AATTTAAGCTCAGTGATGAAACAATGGAGACAAAGAAAAAAGTGCAAGACAGAAGCAGCTCAATTCGGACGAGGGAATCCTTGTGTGTGGACCACTCAAGCTCCACGGAAATCTTCAGGTTGCCGATCCACGCTAGCGTCCGTTGTCAAATACCCTCGGGAAGGCACAGAAAACCACGCATGGAGCGTACCTCTCAGGCGCAACCAAGTATACATATTACATAGGGCGAAGAGTAAGGGTTGATCGAAGAAGATTCAGAGGCACCTCAGGAAATCCGGAAGAGCGAAATCGCAAACCTCTGTTGTCTTGAGCACGTACCTCCGCTGGTGCTAGAACCGGCGCCGAAACTACTGGCTGTGTTGCTACCAAACAAGCCACCACCAGTAGTTCCGGTTCCAGTATTGCTAGATCCAAATGCTGGGGTTCCGGTTGATCCAAAGCCTAGATGGTAGGGGTGATCGCGGTCAGAGAGACTGGTTTCAAGCTGGGCCTCGCAACTCTTTCTGTTGTCGCGGCGTCGCTGAGCATCGAGGAGAGCCGCTGGGTATGTCGAAGAGGCCTGACGAAGGATTTCATAATTGGAAGATAGGATTGATTCCTTGCGCGTGTCATGGCCATGGCGGGTCGACGTCAGGAGCACCGAATTGTTGTTGAGAAGAGAGCACCGAAGGGCGGAACGAAGTCACAGATGAAGAGGAACGAGGGGGATTGGAAAGGGCAATGGGGAAAATGAATCGCAAGGGTATGATATGATAAACCTACCTCCTGCAGTGTTATTGTTGGTGCCGAATCCAGAGCTCCCGAAGTTGGAGGTCTGGTTGTTCTGCCCGAACCCTCCTCCACTTCCGAAGAAAGACATGTTGTCGGTCGGGAGCTGAGGACGCTATGAGTGCATAGGTCAGGCTCGCGCAAGTTAAGGGTGACGAAAACGTCGTCGACGATGGGTGTGATAACGAGGATGGCGCGTGGGGAAAGAGAAGGGAGAGACGCGACAGAAATCAAGTCAAGTTTGCTGAAGGCAGGAGTAGGCTTATGTCAGCACGGGCAACAGTGATCCGTCACGTGGTTGCTGCCTGACTCGGATGCGGGAGACTCGACCGTCACTCACTCGTACATGGATGCATGCAAAGACGGAGTGGTGCAGGATATCGTGTGGCGAGGGGCTAGACTTTCGCTATGGATCTTACGTACCGAGGTTGCAATGTCAAAATTGGAAAGTCGCGAAAGGTTGAGAATGAGCAGGATTGAGAAGGACGTGGAATGAACTAATACTTCCCTCTCACAGTAGAGGCATATCATTCGTTTACACTACACACTACAACAAAAAACAACCAAATCCTAGATAAAATCAAAATCACATGGCTCCTGATGATACTAGTAGGGAATCTCAAATACATCAAGGGGAAACTCAAAAACGGAATAAAAAAAAAAAGTCAACCTCCCACCCGAGAGTTTGTTATCGAGCCTACTAAGCAAGCCATGCAATTAGTATACTTAACCCCGACCATTACACAATATAGAATCCAAGGACACTCACTCTTTTCAGACATTATTATCGTAAAATTCATTGAGCATTCTCTTACTTCCGACGAGAAGCGTGGACAGTCTCGATGATCTTTGCCACAACGGAGGGATCAGAAAGCTATGGAACAGATTAGCATTGTTCAAATAGAACAAAAAGAAACAAAGATGTGAGATATCTTACTGTAGAAATGTCACCCAAGCTATCCTCCTCGCCGCTGAGAATCTTGCGCAGAATGCGACGCATGATCTTTCCGCTGCGGGTTTTGGGAAGATCCTCCACAACGAAGACGGCCTTGGGGGCGGCGAAGGGGCCAATTGATTTGCGGACCTGCATGACCAGATCCTTTCGCACCTGATCATTGGTCTCATTGCCCTCTTTCAAGGCTACGAAAGCATTCACGGCCTGGCCTGTCAGCTCGTCAGATATACCAACGACAGCAGCCTCAGCAACCATGGCTAGGAAAAGTTAGCGAATATTCTTGGTCTTTTCTTGTCAGAAAATACTCACAGTGCTCAATAAGAGCAGCCTCAATCTCGGCAGTAGAGAGACGGTGGCCAGAGACGTTAACAACGTCATCCACACGGCCCCGGATCCAGTAGTAGCCGTCGTGATCGCGACCAGCGCCATCTCCGGTGAACTAGAAAATGGTCAATTTCAATCCTCATAAGGGAGCTATGAGTGCCTTACGTAGTAGCCCTTATACACGTTCAAGTAAGTATCCATGTAGCGCTTGTGGGCTCCCCAGACGGTACGGGCCATGCTGGGCCAGGGCTGCTTGAATGCCAAAACACCCTCGACATCATTACCAGTGATTTCCTCGCCAGAAACGGGATCAATGATAGCGGGCTCAATACCGAAGAAGGGCAAAGAGGCACTGCCAGGCTTGGTGGGGGTAATACCACCCAGAGGTGTAATAACGTTGGATCCAGTCTCGGTTTGCCAGTAAGTCTGTCCATTTAATCAGCACGTGCGCATTTTCTCTCAGTATAAGGGGTTTACCAACATCGCAAATGTGGGCTTCTTCCTTGCCAACGGACTCAAAGTACCACTTCCACACTTCTGCGGCGATCGGTTCACCAACAGAACCCAGGATACGGAGAGACTTCATCTTGTGGTGAATGTGCTCATCGCCAGCCCGCTTCAGCAAGCGCAGAGCAGTAGGGGCAACGTAGAACTGAGTCACGTCATACTTGTCAATGACATCCCAGTAACGGGAGAAGTTGGGGTAAGCGGGGGTAGACTCGAAAACAACGGTGGCACAGCCCAAGAGAAGAGGAGCATAGACAACGTAGGTGTGTCCGGTAATCCAACCCACGTCACCACCGCAGAAATAGCGGTCGTCATCGTGGATGTCAAACACGTATTTTCCGGTCATGGCAGCACCAAGCAGGTAACCAGCAGTAGTGTGCATGACACCCTTCGGCTTTCCGGTTGAACCGGAGGTGTAAAGTAGGAAAAGAGGATCCTCAGAGTTCACAGGCTCCGGGGCAAGGTAGTTGGGGTACTTCTCAATCTCTTCGTGCCACCAAATATCACGGCCGGCAGTCCAGGGGACCTCGGCGCCGGTTCGCTTGAAGACAAGCACGGTAGACACATCGGGACACTGCTTAAGCGCCTCATCAACAATGCGCTTGGTACCAATGACCTTGCCGCCACGCTTGCCCTCGTCACTAGTGATAACGACTCTGGAGTCGGCATCAAGGACACGGTCACGCAGTGAGTCAGAGGAGAAACCGGCGAAAACGACCGAGTGTACGGCACCAATTCTCGAGCAGGCCAAGAAAGCAATGAGCGCCTCCGGAATCATGGGGAGGTAGATGGCGACTGTGTCACCCTTCTTCACACCACGCTTCTTCAGAGCCCAAGCCACGCGGGAAACCTCGCGCAGCAACTCGCCGTATGTGATGGTGCGGCCCTCATTGGGCTCATCGGCCTCGTAAATGATGGCCACCTTGTCGGGGTTCTTCAACGCATGGCGATCGACGCAGTTGAAGGAGGCATTCAAGGTGCCCTCGACGAACCACGCGTTGTCGCCGTTCTCGAACGAGCCGTGGTGGGTGGTTTGGAAGTCCTTGTCGAATGTGAGCAGCTCGCGGGCCATTCGAGCCCAGAAGGTGTCGGGGTCGCGGATCGACTCCTCATAGAGTTTCTTGTACTCATCGATATCCTTCAGATGAGTACCGGTGGGGTGCTTGTCGTGGAAAGCCTGAGGAACATGGAAAGTGTCGACCTCGTGGGCCTCGTGCACCTGCGTGGATTGACCGAATTAGCCACCGATGCGACACCCAAGAGTCTGGAGCGGTGTGAGGCAACAACAAAGGAGACGGGAACTTACCACCGCGGGTTTAGGGGCAGTCGACATGATTTGTGGGCCTCTAGGCACAGGAAATGAAGTCAAAGAGAAGCGACGCAAACCTCTAGAGGTGGGGAGTCAGAACAATTTCCAAGAATATGGAAGGCACAATGGATCAATAAGCTCTCGGTGGGAAAGGAGGGGGAACTCACTGAGGACGGGGCGGCTTACGGAGTAGGGAAGAGAGAAAGGGGAGGAGTAAAGCAGAGAAATAAACCACGGGGGATCCGCGGCGGTTTAGTAGTCGGTCCATTCAGGCCATTGCCCACACAATCGCACCGGGCAGGTGGAGATGGACCCAACCATGAATACCTTTCCGTACGCGCTGTCACTACATTTTCGGGTGGGGGAAGTCCCCCCGCCTGGTTCGGGTAGGAAGCTAGTATGCCGCTTACAGGGCAATATTACCGCTGGATTAGCTCTCAAAACTTTGGGACGTTTATTGTAGCTGGAAATTCCATGATTCCATGGGTCTCAGTATCTCGAATAGCCGAATATGATATGTTGATAATCCAAGATTGAAGCCGAGGATAATCTCGGAATAAGTGGCTCCCTTCTAAAGGCTGGGTTGTTTGGCTAGGTAATTTTGATCCCCGGTATATATGCAACTCGTATCAATGGTAAGATCTACCTGGCGCTCTCAGGGGCTCTTTGTTTCAGCGGTATCTTGTATAGACCAAAGGAAGTAAAGATTATTATCACAACTGGCCATGCGTCCTGCCCGCTATATAGTGTTGATGAATGGAAAACAAGATGTATTGACAATACAAAACTATTAGTTAAATGGAGCTTAGCGCGCCCAACTGCCTCATGCGGTGTGGACCGTGCGTTTCCCGGTGGATGAGGAATGCGGACTTTACTGAATGCAGACTCTAGTCGAGACATTGGATGCTGCAGCCAGGCACGATCGGAAAACTCAGCTGGATTGAGCGAAATGCCGACCAACCGCCTGTATGGGCAAAACACTAGAACGTAGTTTTGACTTCGGCCATGCGGGGGCTGGACAGGACTCTTCCGTTGCTCCGGGGAAAGGTCAACAATTAGCACCACTTCCCCTCCCTTCGTCCCCCCCCTGTCAATCGTCCTCCAACACCATTTGTCCGAAGCGATCGGCCAGATTACCTAGGCACCACTTGGCATGCGCTTCGCTTGGGTCGGGTAGGTCGCATAGTGGTCAGCAACAGCTGGGGCAACGGGATCGGGTGTTTTGGCAATCCGTGCTGTTAACCGTGGACCTAGGTCTATCATCCGGATGATCTCGCCACTTGCGATGTCATTGAATCTCAAGCTTGCTTTCCTTACGTAGTTTGAAAAAGTCAATACCACGAACCATGATTTCATGATGTTTGAAGCCAGTACGCCTTGAAGAACCCATCCCACTTAACATTTCCCGTGCATGTCTGCGGGGGCTGAGTCAGCAGAGTGTGTGATTTGAATTCAAAGTCAAAAGTTTATTTTGTACTTTCACTGGGTGTATCTATAGCTTCATGGTCGCGTGGCATTTTCAACCTCTCTCCGTCTTATATTGACCTCATCACATTTAAGAGCTAGCAAACACTTAAGCACCACAGTGGAGTCCATCCTAGACCAGTATGGTAAAAGGTTTGTTAGTTTACACAAAGATTGTTGGTGGGTTGTGGCTTCGAAACAACTGTAAGATTACAGTGGGATTGTGGGATTGTGGGGGGAGGGAACGACGTGGGACGGGCAAGCTTTCCCTGTTCTTAAATAAGTATTTATGATCACGGAGATCATCGGTCGCATTGTCAATGGGGCTCTGGGTGAACTGCTAGATGGGACCCAATTAAAAGTGGGTGGACTTCTTTACTACTGTAACACCCAGAGGTTGCCAATGTAGCATTCTCACAAGACATTTAATTATCCTATGATTTTAGTTCACGAAGATCAGTGGGAATACGAGCTGCACCTCTCTGCCGCCTGCAGCCCTTCGACATGATCTGAAGGCAAAAGTGAAAAATAAAAAATACAAGAAGCTCCACACATCCCACTTCGCGCCCCAACAACCCTCTTTTCCTGCAGCCTCGGGCTCGGGCTTGACATGGCAATGCATGCGGGAACCAGAATAAAATACGCCCGGTAAACTCAGCTCACCGGCCCCCCACTACAAGCCTGCCATCTCAATATCCAATAAAGCCCGCGAGAATTGCTCTACCGTGGGGCAAGTCCACCTGTGTATTTTCATTGTGGGCTCGGCGAGCAAATAGTGGTGCACCGAGAAAAGACCGTATTATCTCCTTGAATGGAGCCCCAATCATTCCATAATCCGATTCTCCTTGGAATCTATGGAGTCAGATTGATTTGATGCCGATTTATTGGTTAATGGCACACTTGGAGACTTCTTAATACACTCGGGAAAGAATGAATTCCGCGTCGGTCCGGTACAATGTGGCCCGTTCTGCCGAACGAATGCAAGATCCATCAATGTCTGCCACGCTATGCCACATAGGGCACCCTCCGCCGGGCTCGAAGGACATGCCTTAAACAATCTATAGCAGCGTGGATCTGGACACCATGGCAAATTGCTCAACTTGACCTCTTCCATATCGCTGCTGAAGAGCAATTAGCAACACGAATGAAGAGAGATCGGTAGATCCCTATCACTGACTGCAACATCACTCTAGTGCAGCTCCCTGCGGCATACACCTGCAACGCCGTGTTGCCTGTTGCTTTCGCCATGACTATCTGATCTACCAATTGCAGATACTGGCTCGGCCTCACTCTTTTAGTGAATTTGCGTGATACAACAAATACATGCTGTGTGAATGAAAGTGACTGTATGCTCTATTTAGATAGCTCTATGGGCGTGAAGCACCTTTCTAGGCCGCAGACCTATCGCAACACGGGCTGAAGTAATGGTGCGACGATGAAAGCTTCAAGCATGATACAAATGGATATCCCGAGGACTGCTTTCTATCAACCACTTACCTAGGTGGACACTTCATCAAATTTCCTGCTAATGCTTTCTCACTAACAGGACTTACGAAAAGAAATAATCACATACATATGACAAAAAATCAACAAAAGCTCATTTTTCCCATCCCTAGATACCTCCAGTGCTTTGGGTCTCTGTCACATGAAGGCGCTATAAATGAGGGCAAAAGTACTGATCATCCAATGCTGTATTTTCCATTCCGTCGGACTCCCACGGGGTTGGATCTTCTGTCGATGGATCATTGACATATCATATGCGAATTTACAAGTAAAGACGATCTCTCCTGTTCCCCCCAGTGTCTATCTTAGGTAATGTCTCGTGGCCACTGAGAATCTGGTCTCAAAACGAATTCTAATACTTGATTTTGTCTATTTATACTGTATCATGTTTGCGGCAACTGTGAAATTTTTACAGAAATTGTCATCACGGAAGAGAATGTAGTCTGATAAATGAGAAAGCTGACTGACTGCTATTGGTGAGATTGATTTGAAGGAGGGGATAGGTATGGACCCTACATTGCGCATTATCAGGTGAGAACCAAGGCTGGGCATAGACTCTATAGTATTAATAAAGCGAATTGCTATCCTCTTCGCCTGACATTTATTGGTTCTTACGTAAAACTGTAGCGACTTACGAAGCAAAAAAACAACTATGTGCTGTTGTACTACCACACCTCACCCAACCTTCATTCCAATCGCGATAGTAAGCTCGTTCGGATAGGCGTGAGCTACATAGACTCATACAGGTCGATGGCGGTGTGGAATTCAATCATCCTATTTCCATGGTTCTCATTGTCTGGGGTCTCACCGCCCTTGCTTGTGGGGTCCCACCTTCGTCATCTCCAAATAGCATGATTAGGCTCACACTCTCGAGATGTTCCTGCAACCATGCCGGACGATATGTCTATGATACCATATAATGGGGGGAATCTTGATGTTGTGCTGTAAGTACTCGTCCCTACTTCCTGCTTTTTTGACTGACCGAGAGCTAGCCGACACAACGACTCCGTGGTCGTCTATGATCATGATTCCCAACAGCTAGTTCTCCGCAATGCAGCGGACACGCATGAGAATGATGTCGAGCTTTCAAACTGCCCATTATGTCACCGACCTATGCGAGATAGCAGTCGGGGTCGGCAACATGCGAATGCAGACCCTGAAGGGGAATTCGTCAACCCGAATTACTTCCGCATGCTTGACAACAGCCTTCCAAGCTCTACAAGATCCTCTACCCCTCCTTCCCCACATTTTCGCCTTGTCCAACCGGCTCTTCCGGATGGATCAGCTAGCGTCGGACCTACTAGTGCTCCTTCTCATAACTCTTATTCGACAACGTCTCAAGGAATCTCATCTGCCGCATTCAGTCAGGATTACTTCAAGAAGTTCTTTGTGGAGGAAAAAGTGCTAGGAAAAGGAGGAAAAGGCGTCGTGCTGCTTGTCAAGCATGTCTTGGATGGTGTGTCTCTTGGACAATATGCCTGTAAGCGTGTTCCTGTCGGCGACGACCATGAATGGCTAGAGAAGGTCCTGGGCGAAGTCCAACTCTTGCAGCATCTTTCCCAGCAGAATTTGGTCTCGTATCGCCATGTCTGGCTGGAGAACGCCAAGATAAATGTCTTTGGTCCCAGTGTACCATGTGCCTTCATCTTACAGCAATACTGCAATTCTGGTGATCTTCACAATTATATTTGTGGCTCTGTGCCGACGTCAACCACCGCCCAACAACTAAAAGCGCGCCTTCGACGAAAATCCAAGGGCGAACCAGACCTGAACCCTACAGGGCCCCGTATGCTGCAGCTGGATGAGATCTATTCCTTCTTCCGAGATATCACGTCTGGGTTGCGTCATTTACACACCAACGGATACATTCATCGTGACTTGAAACCTCAAAACTGTCTCCTTCATGAAACAACGGATGGTATGCGAGTCTTGGTGAGTGACTTTGGTGAGGTGCAAACACAAAATGCGATGCGCAAATCAACCGGTGCAACAGGGACATTGTCATATTGTGCGCCTGAAGTTCTTCGACGCGAATACCCAGATGGGCCATTCGGCAACTTCACATTTAAATCCGATATTTTCTCCTTGGGCATGATTCTCTATTTTCTGTGTTTTGCAGAACTTCCATATGCGAGTGCCGATATCATCAATGAGGAGAAAGAAGATTTGGACCAACTGCGCAAGGAGATCACCAGCTGGGCCGGTTTCGATCAAGCTCGAAGGAAGCGCCCTGACCTTCCAGAGAAGCTTTATAGCTTCTTAGAAAGGCTTCTTTCTGTGGACCCTGACAGGCGGCCCACCGCCGATGAAGTATTGAATGGGATTCAAGCCGGTGCCAATGCCAATGAATTTCGCTTCAAAAGAAACAGCTCAGCTAGCCCCGACTTGCCTACTGGGGCTAGAATTCGCCCTGTCGATAGTCCCCAGCCCTCTATGGACAGACGAGCCCTTTCGCCCGCCAAAAAAATGCCTCGTAGTCCCGTGGCATTCCGACGAGACTCAATGTTCGACACAAATGAGTTTGGGGCCAGCTCGCCCTCTGGGTCAGAAGTCATGGATGGCCGGCCATCACTCAGCCCCGATCAGGATATTGTCGTTCGCCCCAGATACTCTACTTCACCGCCCAGATCCCCGACGAGACACAGCCCTGATGAATCCATTCATACTCAGCAACAAATACCTCGTCAACAACTTCTCCCTCCACCCCCGAGCAGATTTCCGTCGCTGGATTTTTTGACAGCGTACATATCATCACCAGGGCTGCAGTTTTCAGTATTCTTGATCAAAGTCGTCTCTATTCTCCACCCATGCTCACCTCTTTCCGTAAAACCGTGGATTCTCTACCCTCTTCTCCTATTTGCTGCGATAACTCTTGGTGCACACGACCCTCGGATTCAAGCTCTAGCTATCATAGCGCATATGCTCGTCGTCGGGGTTGGTATGCGTCTTGGTGCTCTGTGCACTTGGCCCGGGGACTCGACCCTCGGCCTCTAAAATGCGGGACGATACTCGATACAATGATGACCCTGCATGCTTCTGCTTCTCATGATATCCTTTTCCTGTGGTGCAGCGAAATTACCACAATAACATAATTTGTACCCACAGAATCCAGGGAGTACAATTCCCTACAACCACAATACATCCTTATATTCCGAGGTTTTTCATTGTTCAAGCTCTATAGCGATGAGTTGAAAATTCTTAGTCAACAGTGAATAGATTATACATTATGTTTTGTGAAGCTTCAACCTATATTCTATTTCACATGGGTGAAGTATATGAAATTCCTCAATCCAATAACCGTGCTTGAAAAACAAAATAAAATATTAACGGCATGGATGTCGAGGGTGAAAAATATAACCATATCTCCACTTAGTCAGATCCCGGCAGCCCAGCCTTACCAAGCCGTAAGTACTCTACCCAGCAAAAAGCACAGGCGAGCACAGTACAGACTGGCCAAGAAGAGCGGCATGGGGATCAGATGGTGATGTGGCCAGAGATTCCCTCGTTTGAGTTCTATCTTGGAATTTGTTGGATGATCCATACCAAAGAATGATATGTCCATGATGTGCTAGAAGATTCTAACACAATGAATTCCGCTCACTACAGGGAAGAGAACAAACGGAAGTGACAAGAGTCCATTAGACCAAAGTCTAGGTGAGCCAGTCTACCTGGGTCTCAATTAGATTTGAGTGGCCGGTCGTTCGCTTTGGTTGATCGTCGATGTTAATGGATCGTTTTCGGTTATTCACCGTTGAGGAAACTGATGTGCTGTTCAAGTTTGCGATGTCGCAGTCAGAAGTAGGCAGTGTAGTAGAGCACAGGTGATCCATAGTCCAATTTGGACACAAAACTCTGCTTCAAGGAGTCGATGCCACATCCAGATGGCCAGCAACCGACCCAAGAGGCCCGCATCACGCCCTTCGCTCCTGTTACAATCAGGCGAGCAGCTGACTTGACTGTCACAATGTCATCAAGTATATCCTTTGGTTAGTTCGAGAAGCTCGTCATATGCTGCTTTCTCGGTTTGCAGGTGCAGGGAAGTTGAAGTCGGTTATATTTCGGTGTGAGGCAATGATGCTTGAAAGGGTCAAGTCCGAGGTGAATAACCTTGGGGTTCGGAAAGAGTTGCCAGGTTCACAAGTGAACAACCCGAGAAGTAGGAAAGGGGGAAAAGGCTGACAAAGGCCTGAGGCTGAGTGGTCCGTGCACCAATGTGGGTCTACAATCATTCATCAGTCCCAAGCTTCCATCTTCTCATTCATTCATTCGTTATTTCCCGCCATGGCCTCCAAAAATGGGATCGACCGTCGAGATGAAGATGGTAAGATCCGAAAAGCCTTTGAGAATACCTAGATGCTAATAGTCAACTTTTCTAGAGGTTTGCCCTGTCTGCAAATCCTCGCGGTACCTCAACCCGAACATGCGATTCCTCATCAACCCAGAATGCTATCACAAGATGTGCGAGTCCTGCGTTGACCGGATCTTCTCATCCGGTCCATCCAGCTGCCCAGTAGCAGGATGTCGAAAGACGCTTCGCAAGGCCCGGTTCCGGGCTCAGACATTCGAGGACATCGGTGTAGAGCGGGAGGTTGATATCAGGCGGCGAGTGATGCACATGTTCGCCACCCACCCTCTCACAGCAAAAAGACACCCAAGTTCGCAAGCTAACACATGAAATCCAACAGTCTTAACCGTCGCGAAGAAGAGTTCGACTCAAAACGCGCCTACGACGACTTTCTCGAGCAGCGCGAAGAAATGATCGCCAACCTCGTGACCCGCATCGATGTCGCCAAAACCGAAGCCCAGCTCCAGAAATACGCCTCAGTGAACATGCAATCCATCCGCGCAAACCAAGCCCTCGAGGAACAAGAAGCATCATCCTTTGCAGCACGCATGACCCAAGAACAAGAAGAAGCTCGCCTCCGCCGCCAAGCCGCGCGCGAGCAACTCGAGAACGAGCGCCGCGAGATGCATGCCGGACGCGAAGACATGATCTCACGTCTTGCGGCTGGTTCGAGCGCCGACGCTGCAGCGATCGCACGCGAAGGACATAAGGTGCTATTGAAGAAGTCGTCTGCGCGACGTAGCGAGGAGGACCGCATTCGACAGAAGCAGGCTGCGCTGCGTGGCAGTGAGACGAAGCGGGTTGGATCGTCGCTTACAACTGCCGATACGGCCGGGCCATCTGATGGTGGGCTTATCAAGGGCCTGCGGAAAATCAAGACGCCCGAGCCGGAGAAGCCATACGATCCTTTCATGGGGTATGTGCCTGAGAAGCGGGATTACTATACCTTGCAGCCATCTTATCCGTCAACCTATCTTGATCGTGTGAAGAATGATACTCGGGTGGCAGCTGGAGGCTATGATCTGCGGGAGTATTACTCGCGGACGCTGGTGGAGGCGTTTGCAGGATTGGGGTGTTTCATTGGGGAGGAGGTTGCACAGCGAGAGGCTGCTACCTCGGGGTTGGGACTGAAGCCTACTGCGACGACGGGTGCTGCGATGGCGGCGGGTGAGGAATGATAAAGGATTTGAACTAGGATATTCTTGTGGTTGGGACTTGTCTTTTTTTCATCAGGAGTATATGGCACATAGCGACGGCGTTTGAATACTTTGTTTTAAAATTAAACAAATACCTACTTTCCATACGTGGATTGAAAGAATGTGAAGAAAGAATTGATCTCGATACATTTGTGCAAACAATAGGCCGGCAGGCGAGTAGAATATGGTTGGGAATAAAGGCTCGCAACCGGTAGAATTACAACCTGAAAAGATAACGCTAATACACCCTTCAATGCTAATCCACATCCAATCTTCAAGTACGTCCAGTGAGCTCCGCGGTGCTCTCAATGCCCTCCCAGGGCAGTTCATCTTCATCATCCGACTCTGCCAAGCGCGATGACTTATTGGTTGTGCCCGTCACATCCGGGTTAGCGGCCATATCAACGCCAATGGATTCCAAAGTCATTTCCATTTCCTGCTCCGTTATCTCATGGCCACCTTTCTGGCCCTCAAGAACATCGTAGAGCGCATAAATCTGGTCAGATTTCATATCAATATCCCTCAAAACAGTCTCAATCTTCTCCAAGAGCGTCTTTCGCTGTCGCTTTCCAAGCGACACATCTAGATTGTTGTAAGCGCTTTGGTATGTAGCAAGCTGCATCTTCAAATGAGCCAATTCATCCTCAAGTGTCTTGAGCACAGTGGCGAGAGCGACAGCTGGGGGTTGGGAAGGACGCATGGTGGGCTCTTCGTTGTACAGAGATGGCTTAGGCATGCGCTCGGAAACAGGAATGGGCTTAGTAACCTTGACAGGCTCATGGTTGCAAGTGTCGTTGGGAAGGACGTTCTTGCAGATCATGCAATTCTTGCCCTCGTGGTGCGCAAGGTTGTCCAAGGCTCGCTGATCGGCTTCTGGGAGGCGGGTCGGGTTACTGGCAGCCTGCTCGACACGGCTGAGGGTAATGTCCGGAAGAATAAAAGCAGATGTCATGTCCTCGATGTTTCGGCGCTTCTTGCGCTGCGAGGACATGGATGTGACCGAATGATCGGAATGGCGTCTAGGACGCTCTGCTGTGGGAACAACCAAGCTGCTTTCACCATCTGAGGTAACGCCTGATTTGGTAGTGACATCACCAATCGCTGAAGCGGGTCGGGGAATTTGGGGCTTGGGCTCGCGCAGAGATGATTTGCGCGGCATTGGGGTCTTCAGGATGCTCTGGCGGGTAGTGTTGACGGTTTCGGCGGTGGTATCCTTCGAAGCGCTTGAGCGACGTTGTTTGCGCGACAATCTTTCTTCTTCCAAAGTCTTGCGGAGACGAGCAATCTCGTTTTCATCAAGAATAGTCAACAAGGTGAGATCCTCAACCTGGGAAGAGACCTTGCTCTGCTCAGTGGCCTCCGTCACGTCCTCCACCACAACCCGCTTCACCCGTTGCTTGCCAGTGTTGGGTTGCTTCCTGATGCTCCTCGATTCGGTTTGGCGAGCGGCATCAGATTTGCCCGACCTGGAAGAGCGCTTGCCTGTGGGTACGTCGATGGAGAAGAGGGCTTCCTCTGCACGCTCCTTCTCCAGTCGGGAGATTTCTTTGTCCACTTGGGTAGAAATCTTGGAACGAGAGTCGTCATGGCGTTTGGACTTGGGGTTCAAACGAGCACTCTTTGAAGTGAGGTCTCTGGTGCTGCGGCTCATGTCTGCACTACGTTCTGTGTACACTTCGCTATCATCGGCATCGGAACCAGTGAGGCTCTCGTCTGAACGAGCCGTCTCTTGCTCGCGAGACTTCTTGCCAGATGTTTGGCTCAGCTGAGACCTGAGCTCTGTATTCTCTCGTCTCAAATCCTCGTTCTCGGCCTTGAGCTCACGAGTTTCAAGGTAGGCCACACCCAGCTGGGAAATTGCTGACTCTCTCTCTTGGTTCAGGCGTTTCACTGCAGCTTCTTGTACCTGGATCTTCCGGTCCGCGATATCAAGCTGGTTTTGGAGGGCGATGTTGGCGGCTTCGAGTTCTGATTTCGTTAGCCGACAAACATTGGACATAATTAGACAAAAACGTACTTTGGTTCTCATTAGCGATCCGCTTGGAAGCCTTTTTGCTCTCTCCATCGTCTACTGCGTACTTCTCGGAGTGCCGAGATCTACCCGCCTTGAGTGATGCGTTCTCCTCGCGGTAGCTCTCGATCCTCCTCTCTGCATCAGACTTGAACCTCTCAAGCTCCGAGACCTTGTCCTGCAAGAGTCGGAGGGAAACAAACAAAGCTTTTTCGTCCTCGGGGATAGGAACAGCATCGAGGGGCATATGTTCACGGGTCAGAGATACATCAGCCCTATCATGGGGAGGAGAAACAAAGCGAGTGGAGCGTCTGTGCGAGAAAACCGGGGTGCCGTCTTCGTATACACCAGAAACCAGTTCGGAGATATTAGGGAGGTCGGGAAGGAGGAAAGAGTTGCGGGTCATGGTATCACCCATGTTGTTGGTCTGTGGTGCATTCGCAACCTGCCGGCGAGTACCTGCAGAATTGCTCTTGCGAAGTTCTTTCGCATATGCTTCCCGCGAGACGCGTTCAATCGCGTCGGCGATCTCTTGAGATTGATTGACGTTACCAAAACGCGTCGATCGAGACTTGTTCTCAACCGGGGCAGGGCGTTCATCTCCCAAAAAGGAACCCTCATAGTTGTCCCGGACTTTGGCGTGCATATCGGAGAGGGTGCGGCGTTGGTCGCGCTGGCTTTTGGAGACCTGGGGGCTCATCATATGCTCTTTCTGGGCTTGGTTTGCCCGTCGCAATTGGGCATCTTTCCGGAGATTCTCGCTCACGGCGCGTTTGGGGTTCGAACGAGCAGGCATGCTCTTCTGTGGGGTAGGGTATTCCACGCGCACGGCGGGAGAGGAAGATCGGACACTGTTCTGGAAGCTCATCACGGAGTCTCGCGAATCGTCTAGGCGACGCCCAGACTTGCCGACACCGCGTCCTAGCTCCATTGAGGGTTCACTGTTGTCATCGAACATTTCTTCCTCATCAGCCTCTTCTTCCGAGGGTAGCTGAGAGAACTCGGGGAATGCGCGGTCAATAGTGGAGGTGTTGACAGCCCAGTCGGGTTCGTCGTCCATATCGGGAAGCATGTTGGGGAGGCGAGGGCTACCGATCTCTCGGGTCGACGCCAATGCTTCGTGTTCAGGGTCGAAGTCAGACACCGTCAAACTGGTGTCGGAAAGAGGCATATTAAATTAGCCTGGGTGGGTGGTTCATGTGGGAGAAAAGTGGAGGTGGATGGGGTGTTGATGGTTTTGTTTTGGCGCGGAATGTTTTGGTCGCGCGTCTCCGCCAATCACGATAGTTGTACGAGGAGGCTGGGAAAGTACAGCCGTTTCATTTCCCCCACTGCACCGGAAGTACAGACCATAGCGAACTCTCAGTAGAATGGAAAACACAATCAAATCCTATTTCAGTATTTGCCCAAGCCATGAATATATAGGACCCCTAAAGTTTGCGTACTCAGGTATTGATTCAATCGTTCGGTCCAAACCTTGTAAGCAACATCGAACTGGACCAGAGCACCAATTCTGGTTCTCAGTATATATAGTATCCTTGAGTGTTGCAACTACTTGAAAGTAGTTGATCTCATAATATGGGAGCAATAGGCCTTCATTTATCTACTTGCAATTTACAACATTGTACTCAATATCCCAATGTTCCAATTCCTAACCTTTAAGGTTACCGAAGGGTTAGTACATACATATCCAGATTTGCCCAGGTGTTTCCTGGCCTGTTCGCGTCTATAAGAATACGTTGGTAGGTACGTTCTCGGAGTTTAAGAACGCCCGACCTTACCCAGCCATAACCCTATAATCATTGACAAGTTGCAAGAGAGCACACTTTTAGGTAAGGGCGGATTCGTGTTTGAACCAAGAACCACCATATCGGGATGACACAGAATGGTATTCCCGATCCATGGGTGAATCGGGGTGGGACTTCCCGAGACCTCAGCCGTTCCTACCATTCCATTTATGGTTTTGAGCCTATTTACCCATGGACCAGTTTATCCGATGTTGTCACAAGTAGGGTTAGGCCCCCGGGCTGCTAACCTTCAATAGCCATCATAATTATAGGCACAAGTCTCACAAGGCAATCACTTCGCGTATATCGCAAATCAAACCTAAATTGATGATGATGTGTCAGGGTCCAAACCCACATGCATGGGGGCCTTTGATTGTGTACCCGTATGCATACTTATCCATGGATATCACATACTGACTGCTCCTTACATGCATAATTGGCTCGGAGCGGCCAAATCAGACTCTGGATGCACCTCGTCCCAGACCTATGGACTCTCGATTTATCATGTGTTCCATATCCTAGTCAGAAGCTAAGAATATTGTGTGCGGGTTTCTTTTCACGTTGGCTCAAGATTAAATCTACACCACTGGATGCCTGGGATCCCACAAAAAACAAGTGCACTTATGACACAGCAGTTACTTTTGAATGCAATATCTGTCTCATAAGGTTGCAACTTGAAGTTGGAAAGCTCATCATGAGTAGGCTGGCCATTTTGAAATCGATATCCACATATACAGATGAATATCCAAAGATTGACAGGGCTTACTCGATACCGGAAATAAGTACTCGACCCATCAACGCTTCCCCATGAATAAGTGAACCCGGTGTTTTCTCGAATGAGTATATCCGAAAGAAATCCACCTCCACGCAAATACGCACATAAGCAATGCGTATTCTCCATGTTGCTCATGACATCATGGCGGGCCAAATTTAGGAGCACTGGAACGGTGACATGGGGCCAAAAGGTCGTTTAGCAACTGTGCAGTATTCGCAACGCTTACCTCTTACGATGCGTGATAATGTGCGTGACTGCCCGGGCGGGCAAAGTACGGGAGCTTCTGGAAAAAACCCTGGACTCTCATAGTGAGTGAAAACAGGCGAGGTGACATTGTCATGCAGGGTTAGACTAGGGTCTTAGATTGAATTCGCAGATGACCTCGAATTGGCTTCACTGGAGGTAGCACGCACTATCGGGAATAGAAAGGCGACGATACCCAATGCATGTCCACCTGGGCGTTGGGGTCATTCTGTCATGCGAGTTGGACAAAGAATGGACATGCTGGCTTTGATCGGAGGGGCCGAGCGGTGCTACGACAAGCTGACCCGAGCGTATTTCGGTCGTGGAAGCGATCCAACACGGGAATGAAGGGACATCCAGGATCTCACGATACAAACCCCGCATCCCGAAGGGGCCGCTCTACAGAGTACATGGCGCTTCATGACTCGTAGCGCGACAAAAAACGGCGGTAGTCAAGGTTCTTCTAGAAGATGGGGCGGATTTCAATAAGGTTTATGTGCTGATCTCAGACCCAATAAGCCATCGGGGATGAGACAGGGGGACAGATTGGCTGAGGAATGTGGTGCCGACGTGATCGTCGGGAGATGTAGGAGTGCGAGGTGCCGTGGTATCTTACAAGCCAACAAAGGTTGGCGCCGTTGGTACAACTATTGGTCATGGCGCACATTGCCACTGTTGGAAAGGCTGAGGCTCGAAGAGCTGAGATGCGAAAAGCTGATGCGAAAGCTGATGATAAAAGCTGAGATGAACATAGTACGAGATACGATCAGCCGTCGACCAGGCGATCAAGAGGCAAATAAGACAAAGCCATAGATTAAAGAGATTTTCCGAGCAATTAAAAAAGCAAGAGCGCGACCTACACCAGATCCCTGTCGTGGCCCTTAACCTTTTTGGCACAGAGTCAACCAATGACAGCAGAACTAAGAATATCACATTAGGCTACTTTCATGTCATTTGATGATGCGGTGGAGAGACCCACTTTGCTCTGGGCTCGTGTCCAGATCTTTAAATAGAACGTTAAATGGGTTGGGGATTGTTTTGATCCTCAGAATGCCTATGTAGGAGATCATGATCAAGGGGATTGCTAGATGGAGGAAATCAGAAACCGCAGAGAAACGACGAGATCAACAGGAATCACCAAGTTGGCCCCCAGAGATCCCACGTTTGGTTATTTTTGAATCCAAGGGCCGATCGCCATCTCCGACCGGGCTGGTTGGTGGCGTCAATAGTTCTAAATCCACTGCCAGCAGGAAAAAAAAAAAATTCATCCTGCGCCGAGAAGATCTCCATGACACAAGACTACTTTAATTGAGTAGCCCGCTGCGTCGTGGTTAATCTGTGGTTCTTATTTTCTCTGTTAAAGAGGAGACTTAACCTCTCGTCACATTGCAGAAGCGCCAACTATTCTTAGCCCGGCTCCGTCAACCCCCGCCTCTTACTATAATCCTATAATCTCTCCTTCCCCTCCCCTCTTCTCTATGACACTCATGACTCTCTATCCTTCTGCCCCCGACGTGAGACTCTCATGCTCAACTATGTCCTGCATGCCTTCACCAGCTGGTGATCCTCCAACCATTAGCGCGCGGCCCAAACTCACCCTCCAAACTACCTCTCTCCCTCGCACATTTGGATCGTCAACTACCGGCCTCTCTCGCTCCTGCACATCTGCCCCAGGTGCATCACCGACCGTTGGAAATACTTTTAAAAATGCCTATGATATCTCAACCCCCGCTTCCGCAACCAGCTCTCCCTCCAAGGGCCCCAGCCACCGCTTTCCCTCCAACAAACCCATCTCACCTTATGTGCACCACTCTTCCAACAATAATAATCCCTTCAACAACCGCCCTTACCAACTTCCCCTAGGGGTACGAAGCATCTTGCGCAACTCCCCTCTCGACACAGCCTCACGGCGACGATCTGGGTCCATCTCCGCAGGGGCCAACAATGGACCCGGGGGCGCAGGCGCCCGCCGAGTCTTTTTTCCCACCAAGAAGCAAGTCAGCTATCGAGTCCCACTAGAGGAAGAAATTCGGACGGAGCGCTACACGGCGCAGCATCTGGATCTCGTGCGCGACGAGGAAGAGGAGAAAGCAAAGCAAAAGGTGGCAGTGCAACAACACGAGGCAAATCGGGGGCCAGAAACACAACCACGCGACTCCACCCAAGACTCAGATGCCAACCAGTCCCTGTCAGAGTCTAGTACTTCAGACGAAGCTAGTGCCGACGAAGGAATGCCCAAAACGACGCTTTCGAAGCTGGAACGCAAGAAAAGACGCACTATGCGTACAGAGCGGCAAGTGCGCGCCGTCGCACTGCTCGATGGATTGGAATCGGACCAGTACGGTGGTTGCTCCACACCGCAAACTCCCCAGGGACGGGTCAAGCGTCGCCGAGAATGGAAATGGACTTTGGGTCCCATCAACACCGATATCACTGCCACTACCAGTTCTGGGAGTGTTTCTTCCGCGACTGCGACACCTGAAACCCCGTCGGTTTCCTCTGCCTCCACTGTGGATGAACCAAAACCTGAAACCCAATCCTTTCAGGATCAATAGCCCACTTGGGGGCCGAAGACTCACGAACTTACTATGACTCACATATCTACGCATGCATAATGGTGATGCATATATACCATTGTTGTGGAATCATATTCTTCATTTAGAGGCGCTGGTCGGCTTGTTTTTTTTTAAAGCGATAAATGATAAATCATCTTCTTAAACCCGATCATCAGGGTATCATGGATCCCATTTAGAGAACAATTTAATTTCTTTGAATACACTTTGACGCATTTAAACTCCCGATTCCGTCATCACGCAGCGGCACTAAACCTTCGCTTAAGCGGGGGATGCATAAGCCAAGATTCTTACCGTTGGGTTTCTTTGTTCCCTAGTTAGGAAGTCCCACTGGTCCAAGGCCATGATTGAGATGCTCATCAAACATGATGTTACGTATAAACTCCGTACTAGATGTGATAGAGCAGTATAGTCTAGAAAAGCGTATAACCGAAACATGTCGTCATCGTATACTATAGGAACCAAGCTAAATACAGCCGTAGAACGCCATTTAGTGTCACCAAAAAAGAACCATGATCGGCACATGAGGACCAGTAGTACTAAGACATGGTAATTATACTTCCACGTAGGGTAGGAAATCGCACGAGCCCCTTAAAAAATGACATCAATGTCCAGTTTCCCCTTAGGTCTCTGTCTCAACATCCGGCTCACGTCCCGTAAGCCCACCTGCCCCAACCTTCTTCTTCACCTTTCTAAGCGCAAACTTCGCCTCATCCTTGACAAAAGCTGCATTCCGAGCCGGCTTCCACTGCATCAGCCCTCGCTGCTGCCGCTGCTCACTCCTCCGATTGGCCTTATTGGACTGCTCCATACTCTTTGAGGAACTAGCCGTAGCTGCACTCCCACTAATAATAGATGGTCCTCCGGATGAGGACTCATGATCAGACTCATATGACGAAGAGTCACTGTGTTCATCATGCTGCTCCTCATCGTTCGCTGAATCCTGTCGCGCAGATGGCTGTCCCTTTAGCGGTGGCGGTGTAACAGGATCATGAGGCGGCTTATCCTGCCCCGGCTCCGCGACCTTTCGGCCCTTAGAATCCGTGTACGCGCGCGGATCATGCCCAAAAGCACCACTCCAGTCATGACCTTCACGGTCGATCCATTGGCGACGTTCATTAGGAGGGGCATGTTTCAGGACATCACGGGAGTCGATGAGACTCTGTTCATGTTTCTGTTGGACTTCCTCGGGGATTTCGATAGAGACACTGCGGGAGCGAACGCCCTGTGAGACGCAAGCTTCCCATGTTTCGAAAGTTTCACGGGAATCATTATCGACGACGAAACGTTCGTGTGACTCGTCGATACCCGGTGAAAAGTGGCAGTTGAATTGCAGCCGACCGACTGTAGTAAGGTCTTCGAGGCCGGGCACCTCCTTTGCGCGCCAGTTCTCTTCCGTGATGTAGTTCTGAGTGAGTCGGGCGCCGCTCTTAGTTGTCCAGATTGGGATATCGATCTCAGTGCTCTCGTTATCGACTAGATGCTGTAGCCATAGGACGGCATAGGCTGCTGCACCACGTTTGCCCTTCGTATGGAATTCGAAGACGACGGGAGATCTGTAGCGGTGCTTCACTGGTAGGCGGAGAGTATCACGGAAGGTCTCGTCCGATGTATCGTAGATCACATCGTTGCCTTCTGTGTGTGCTTTCCACCGAGGAACCTTGCCTGTACTTCCGCCTGTGCGCATCTTGATCTTGGACAAATGACCGTAGTCCTTGGCGATAATCCGGTTCTCGCCGAACTCGAAGGTGCCGACGTCCCAACCGAGCATAGTGGGTGGGAGCTTGGTCTCCACGTGGCGGAAGAGGAGGGAAATACGGATGCGTCCAAAGCCGACGCCGCCGTCGAGAGGGTACCAGCGTGTGACTTGGGAGCTGGTTTGGAAGATGTCGGATAGTTTGATGGGCACTACACCTAGAATCGGGTCATGTTCTCGGTATCGCTGGTCTCGCACGGTGACCGTCACGACGGCGGAGCGCCAGTCACGGACAAAGCGCTCGGTTCCAGCGTTGAAGATTGGCTTAGAGCTCACGGCCTTAGGGCGTGTGCGGTAGACCTGCAGATGAAATGGTTAGCATCAATTTACTTTGTATCCCAGAATTGTAGCATCGGATACGTACCAGCTGATCGTTGAGCATGATCTTGCAGTAACTTGTAGGCAGATCACCACCTTGTTCTTCCGTATTCTCTCCAAAAGGCTTTGCAGGCTCGTACTCCTTGCCCTTGCGGTTTCCATCACTGCCCTTGATATTGGCAAGCTGGAGGTTAACAATCTGGTGCACGACAATGTGCACAATACCACTCGGCCAGATAGGATCAGGAGGTGTATGCATAACGGCATCCTCTTCCTCATTATTGATAGTGCCCTTCTCATCCTCGAAGGTTGGATTTCCCTTGAGATTTTCAGGGAGATCCTTCTTCTTGCCATCGGTCCGCAGCTCAGGACGCAGCTTCGGTTTCCCGAAGTACCCAACCTCCCAGTGCAATTGACCCGGCATCTCACTACCCTCGTCAAGACCCTGTAGCTTGGATACCTGCGGGTACATCTTACTCGGGTGCTGAAGCATCTCCCGAATAGGCAGTTCAACCTTGCCCACGATGTCATCCGCAGTATTACGGTCCGAGTCCCAGAGCTCAATACTCAAGTTCTCGTCCGCTTTAATCAGTTCCGGCGTGACAAGGAGTGCGGCAGTCTCCTCCCAGATAGGATTGAGGTCATCCGTGATCACACGAGTGCAGTACATCGGTTTCCCGTATTTCGAGAACGAAAGGTTAATGTACGGATCACTACCGCCGCCCTCGCTACCGCGACGGTCCTGCTTGCTCAGACCGACAGCTCGGTGGATACGAACCCACATCACACCTATGGCGAGAGTATCCTTCTGGATATCGTCAGCCTGCAGCAACATGCTCACATCCATAGTCATAGACTTGGGCGCCGCGAACATTGCGCAAGCGGCGCCAATAGAGGAATTCACGAAGTTGGAAATGAGAGGTAAATTGAGGATATTGACTCCACGTCGGAGCATGGGCACACAGCCCGCTTTAACGTGAGGAATGCCGACCAAGCTGAAGGTGAGGTCCTTTGCGAAAGGCGGCTCGGGCATCATTTGAAGACGGAGTCGGACGGTACCGACTAGTTCAGTCAGTTCGACGAAGATGGGAAAAGGAATGCCGAATAAACCACGGATACCGAGATAGAAGACGAGCTGCATGTGCATGTTGCGTGCCTTGGAAGAAGCTGTGCCGGAGCTCGGCTTGGCGTGGTAGGCGAATGAAGCCTCCATATTGTAGTAGCTGCCTCCTTCTTCGGTAGCAGCGGCTTCTTGAGGGTCTTTATTTTTCAGATTTGATTCATGAATGTTGTCCTTGAGGTTTTGAACATGCTCATCCGGGAGGGCACGCATGCTCAGGATACGGATTGGGTTGTTGCCCTGGTCGATTTCGGCGATGCGGACATTCTCAACGACGCTTGGAGCGGAGGCTTGCATGATATCCTCGATTGTGTCGGCCATTGGAGTCAGCATCTCGGGATTCATGAGGCCCCAGACCACACCGAGGAAAGAGTTCATCCATTCCACAGACTCTGGAAGAAGGTTTGCGGTGGCCTGGGATATAATTAGTTCGTGAGGCGCTTATCGTTAGGTGGAGATTACATACGGTCTGACCACGCATCTGCTCACTGCTCCATTCCATCTCTTTGCCACTCCGGATGACCTCCTGTACCCATAACCATACACCGCTGGCAATGCATGCAGCCAAGGGGATAAGGCCCCAAAGAGAAGCGCCAAAGAATTTACCAAGAACAATGATAGCAACGGGGATACCGATGCATAGTTTCGTTGCCTGCTTCTCCAACTGCTTGAACATGGGTGCATAGGTGATTGTCGGTGTGGGATGGAAGAGCACATTGGTCTTCTCACCACGAATTGGCACATCGGATGTTGTTCCTTCGGCGATAGGGTCAGGAGGCGCGGTGATGTCCTGCTTTTCTTTGTATTCTGGCAGCTCTTGATCAGGACTGGTTTTCACATCCTGATATATAGTTAGTATTGCACGCGTTGTTGATGTTCTTGTGGTGGTGTCCCTACAGTCGGCTGTCCGATATTGGCATTTGGCACCGTCAACTATATTCCCGTCAGTGAGATCACATCTCCGGTACAACTCTATTGAAAGTTATACACACCATCGGATTCTTAACAGCTTCCATTGACGTCTCATCTTGATCCTCAACTCCAATATCTTTCCCCGTTGTCGGATCAGTCACCGTGCGCATCTTGGCCTTGGAGACCTCGCGCGCTTTGTGAGCAACCGCATCTCCCTGGCCCTCGGAATGTTTTCCACCGCGAGTATCTTCCCATTGTTGTTTTTTCAGTCGATCCTCCTTTTGCCGACTCTCCTCACCGATTCGGTGATCACGCTCCTTCTTCTCGTGGTCAAGGTTCTCGACGTATTTCTGAACAGTCGGAACAGGATTGGCACCACTCCAGTGCTCTCCAACCCGATGCCGCTGTGGCGATCCACGTTTCCCCCCAGTAGCTTCAGCCATGAGTGCGGAAAGCTGGTCGTCCGAGTTGCTCTCAGCTGTGAAGTATGGCAGGCTAGTTCGAGGGGGCTGTCATAGGTATAGATCGCGACGAGAGATTGGATTCTTCACAGCCCCACGTCGATCGTGATTCAAGGAATTGATCACGCAAAAGAATATGTGCAGTTTGAAAGCTTCAAGCCTCATGGACCTTTAATACACGTAGAACAAAACTTTGTCAAGTTGGGCGGACGGAGCGGCCGAGAGCTTCCCCAGAACTACGTCATCGGTGGGATCAACCCGGAAAATCCTATGACGATGTCAACTGCCCTGTCATTTGTCGTTCGAGTGTTTCATCTGCAATTAGTCTCTACTGTACAGATCTGAGCTAACACCTTGGCCGTGGGTTTCCCAGGCCGCGATGTGAGTCACTTACTACGTTGTCTATCTACTCGCATCCTCTCCGTGCCATGCGTTTTACACCTGAATTTATGCCCGGTGGCACACTTGCAGACTGATTCTTTGTATCGATCTCTTTGTCTTATCCATAATTGATCATCATCATCGCCAAGGGATCAGGCCAGGACATGATGTCACCAGCGCAGCTGTGACTTCAATGCTCATCTACACCGATGCAAATCTTGCTTGGCCGTGGAAACATTCGACGATAATCCCTGGTCGCTAGAAAACTTTCATCTGTAGCCTATGAAATCGCGGCTGTTTGTGGTGTTGTACACGCTTAGCATTTGTCCAATGAAACCCTCACGTCTCAGCTCAAAGATCGACAAACTAGTGATCAGATCATCTTCTACCGATTCAGGGGCTTCAGTAAGGGCAAAGAATCATGATAGCGACCATTTTATTGGTGCATCACACTGTTGAATGCTGATCTATGATGATGAAGCGGCCTTCGAGTTGGCCCTGTGGTACTTGATGGATATGCAGAGGCGATGTCATGAAGGTTCGTGAGCCTGGTGTTGGTCCATGATCCTTCAGGACTACTATAACTTGGAAGGAATTTCATATCATCCGATGCTTTGAAGTGTATGTAGTGCAATGGTGACGTCTTTGTGTGAGGTGCGCACTGGGATAGCTGTTGGGCTACTCGGTCGCTAAGCCCAAGTGCCCGGGCAAGAACAGCTTATGCAGTAAGTGAGTAACAGCTACAAAACAGATATAGCTAGATGTTGAATAGAAAATGACTTATTTGGGCGAAGTGGTAGAAACGGAGGTTTTCTAGAGCGTAGGGGTGTTGGTTGAAGAGCCAAATTGATTTTCTTATCGCGATCACGTACCGCTCGCTTTGCTCAACCTCCGGCCAGTTTGATCCACATCTCCAACGTTGCGACTTTCAAAATTAAAGCCACCTCTATCCTTTTCACATCTATACGCCGAGATGTCAACAAATGATGAATCCCCGGCCCAGAGAGCTGCTCGTCAACGGCGTGAGCGCCGTGAGGCTAAAATCAGGGAGGGAGGCTCCGCGCGTCTGGACAAGATCACCAGTCTAAGCGGTCGCACCCCGCAATCAGGTACGACTAGAAAAAATACCCCGTGTCTATCAGAATATAGAGCCTCAGATGCTGACCAGACGTCTTTCAATCAGATCGCGAAGAGGCGTCACCCTCTCCTCAACCTCCCCAACCCGCCGTCTCTCCCTCTCCTCCCCCATCCCTCCAGAGCCAGCCATCCATGCAGGACCAGCAGTCCGTAGAGGCTCTCCAGGCACAGCAGGATGCCTTCCGTGCGATGCTCCGACAAGCAGCGCCTGCAGTTGAGCAGAACCAAGATGCCGATGCCAATGATTTAGAGGACCCCACTCTCAAGCTTCTCAATTCCCTCCTAAACGGCATGCCCATGCCCGGTATGCCCGGTGACCCCAACGCGCCTCCATCAGCACCTGGGTCCGGCGGGATGCCAGCCCAAGGAGCCGGAGGACCTGGACTCTCGACTGCGGCACTTCTTGCGTCCTCTCTAGGCGTGCCACCCTTCCTTGCAAACATGATCGGCGGAGCTTTCCAGACAACAGAGGAAGACCCAAAGAGCGTGAGGACATGGAAGACACTGCACATTGCCTTTGCATTGGGCGTAGCTTTTTACCTTCTGTTTATCATCGCATCATCTATTGCAGTGTTTGGTAGCCCACCGCCGAAGCCTGCCACGGTCCAGAATCCGTTTATGATTTTCGTTACAGGCGAGTTGCTCTTATGCGGAGGGCGGGTCTTGATTGGTGGCCAGAAAGGGATGCGGTCAGCCATGAAGATTGGCAAGGATGTTATTCGTGATGGTAGCCTCGTTATTTTTGCATTGGGTTTGGGGAGCTGGTACACCCGTGAGTGGCAAGTTACTGGTGGCTACTAGTCATGTATTTCTATGAATCAGCGTGGCACGAAAATTCCAAACGTTTTATTGCATGATATCAGGCTCAAGCATCTATCTGTCTATTTTAGAACGTAATCAATGCTTGCCTCAACTAGGAACAGAAGTCCCGAGCCAAGTTGATGAATATCTCTTCCATCTGAGCCAAACTCTTCACCTGCACCCATTCCTCTTTACTATGGAGACCCTCGCCAGCGGGACCAAACACAATCGATGGAATACCGACTTCAGCCAGCAAAGCTGCATCGCACCAGAATGGGACAGTTCCAACCGAAGGGGTTCTTCCAAATATCGAAGTAGCACAGGTGACTGCCATCTGCACCAAGAGGTGATCCCGTGAAAGTTTTGTTGTCGGACGCGACATTGTGATGCGAGGCTCATTGTATTGAAATTGGGGCTTTCCTTCTGAAACCTTGCGAAGAAGTCCACGAACATCCTCCAGAATAGATGCTTCGGATTGCGCAGGAATTGTGCGGAATTCAACTGTGATTGTACATTTGCCGGGATAAGAAGATGGTTCCTCTCCTCCTCGAATCAGACCACAATGCAGAGATGCCTTGCCTAGAAGATCATCCTCCGGCAGATGGATTTGATATTCCTCAAGAGCCTGGAGGAACCATCCAGCATGCATGATAGAATCTTGCCCTGCCACAGGGTTCGAGCCATGTGCAGCAACACCCAAGATATCAACTTCAACCCATACGAATCCTTTGTGCGCAGTGATAATCTCTTCCATGGTTGGCTCAGGGATGACTGCAGCATCAGCCCGCCAACCAGCAGCAATTAGGTCCTGGGTTCCCTGGGAAGCGTCTTCCTCATCTGATACAGCAGCCACAATGATATCTCCTCGAGGCATTTGATGGTGACCTTTGGCTTTGATCGCTGCTAGCGCCGCAAGCGCGGCTGCCAAACCACCCTTCATATCCAGACATCCTCGTCCAAAAATGGCTGGTTCTCCATTTTTAATCCCCATGGCGCCTGATAGGGGATCCACGCCTTGCTCATAGCTTGAGTTACTGACTGTGTCCACGTGTCCGTTGAACATGAGCGACTTTCCTCCTCCGCTTCCTCGAAGTACACCAACAACAGAGGGTCGGCCTGCAACGGGCTCAATACGGTGGTACTCAATATCGCGATGTGCAAACCATGCCGACAAATAGTCAGCGATCTCGCTTTCACCTGCTCCGCCACTCACAGATAAAGTAGGGTTGGAAGAGTCGATTTGAGTGAGCGCTTGCGTCAGGCCCACAGCATCTTCTACAGACACATCCTTAGGAATGGGGTAGGGGCGTGCACCTTCTGTGCTGAGAAGAACCACCACGGAGTCTTTGGTCAACAACGAGGATTCTTCTCGCGCAAGACGCCGCAGTGCAGCCAGGGACGCGGCACCACATGGGCCAGCGGGTACCGAGTTCGAAGTCAGATACTGAACTGCGCAGTGGCTCTCGTACGACGAAACAGTCACGCAGGCATCAACAGAACGCTGCAAATCTGGCCAAGCTGTAGTCGAGACGGTGCCACAATTCATACCGTCCATAATAGTAGCGGATGTTTGGACGGCAACTGAATGCCCAGCACGGAGACTGGAAGACAAACACGGAGCCGAGTCAGGTTCAACGGTAACCATGGCCATGTGCTTTGATTTGCAATGTCTTGCTACAGCATGAGCAAGACTACCAACCCCAACAGGTGTGACCATCATGTTGGCTGACAGACCAAGCTGGGACAGCTGCTCTTCGGTCTCGTTCAGCAGGGTAGAATACCCCTCCACAATCCAAGCGGGGACGTCTTCGTATCCCTCAAAAGCAGTATCCTGGATCAACAGCACCTGTCCGTCACAGGCTTTGTTTGAGGCATGAATTACTGCCTCATCGTATGTTCCTTGGACAACAGAGACCTTTGCGCCCTCCGACGCAATGCGATTACGTGTTCCCTCGCTCATGGACCGGGGGACAAATATCTCAGCTTGAATACCGAGTAGCCTAGCCATATACGCAACTGCTCGTCCATGATTGCCTTCGGACGCAGTAACCAGGTATATCGAGCTTGCTTTAGCCTTTAACGAAAGTTCTTCCAAAGTAATCTTGTCCGAGTCGAATCCAAGGCTTTGAGAAAGGGCTCGGAATGTGCCCCATGATGCACCCAGAACCTTGAATGAAGGTAGACCAAATCGGTTGCTCTCGTCTTTCACAAAAACCGCTTTGACACCTAGCTCAGTTGCAATTTCTGGCAATGATACCAGTGGGGTTGGTGCATATTTGGGCAGTGACTTGTGGAATTCAGTAGCACCGGTGGACAATGGGTAATCGCATCGCTCCTCGGCGGCGGCGGGGTTTAGATAAATTGGACGCCTTGAAGACATGGCGTATTTTGGTTCGATGTACTTTTTTCTAGTGCAGAAGAAGCAAAAGAGATAAATTTATCTGTTCCATTTTCTTGTTCGAGAACTTTGGTTCGACAGCCTTCCAAAAACATGCAGGCGCCTCCTACGAACGACGCCTTCTAATAACATCCGAGGCCCGCGGAGTGGAGCTTAATTCTACTTCATCCACCAATTTAGCCATTTGCCCTAATTACTACATGAAATGCAACATGTGCAAGCTCAAGGTCAAGATGCGTAGATCTTAGATAAAATGATTGTTTTGGGTTCGAAGAAGATCATGTAGCAGCGTTTATTACTATCTTTCATTCAAGTGATGTATGGGTCCATGCCCAGGTGTGGACGCTTACCATAGATTTTACACCTTTTCCAGCCTAATTCAAGGCCAGTCAGAATTGGGGACGAGTATTGTCGTGGGTATTCATTTTAACAATAGGTAATGTACCACGTTTATAGTCTACAGTGAGAAGTGGATATAGATATTGCAAGGTGGAAGAGAAAAATTTTTGTGATTCAATCCATACAAGGACGGGGGTATCTAGATTGCCATGAGACGCCTCGAAGTTATGACAGACTTCAACCAGGGCCGTATCTGGCATGCACCTTTCACGAGCGTTCATGAGCTCAGACATTGCACTGATAACCAGTGTTGTCTGACTAGACACGACGTTGCGTGAGAATGCAAATCCTCTCTTTCGGGCAGTTGAAACCAAGTCTTGAAAGTAGGCTTGACACGAGACTGCGGAGGGGAATTGGTGGGCGCGTATGCTCTAATATCTCAAGAGCTGCGCAAGCCATCTCAGATGGTTAAGGTTTTGAGATTTGGTGTGCAGGGATACGACTCATTCAGTCCTCCTCACCACTCTCCACGTCGCTGATCTCCAGATTGGCGATAGAATCATCGTCATCATCCTCCTCAAAGCCTTCGAATTCCTCATTAGGCTTGGAATCCGATGACTCGCCATCGTCGGCGGCCTCAGGGGCGGTCTCGGTCTCCTCAAGCTTACGCTTGCGACCCATTTCTCCAAGGCGGCCTTCACGGCCTTCCATGGTCTCTTTCTCGCCAACAGGAGGCTTGGGAGGAGGGGTGAACCAAGGAGTCTTTCCACGAAGGAAATCGTTGATGACCATCTTGGCCACACCATCCAAGTCAGGCTCACCTCCCTTGAGCAGACGACCGCCCTTGCGAGCAAGTCGGCTGAGGAAGTCAATGGCGTCAGTAGGCTCCTTGATACCGTAGGTACGCTCCAGGTGGCGTGGCTGCACGCGGCGCATCACGGCGGGAATGTACTGTTCAGGGTTCTCTACATTCTCCACGCGACAGACACCACGCAGAAGAATGTCCTCCTCAGTATCATTCTGGTTGGGCGGAACCACACCAGGGCAATCAATGAGGTAGATTCTCTTCATCAAGGTGATGTACTGCCACACCTTGGTCTCACCGGGAATGGGAGCCACAGTGCACACCTTCTTCTTCCGAAGAGTGTTGATGATGGAAGACTTGCCCGTGTTAGGGTAGCCAATGAAACCAACAGAGATCTGCTTGCGATCAGAGTGCAATGAAGAGAATTGGCGAAGCAAGGTAATCAAAGAACCCTTGCCAAAGGAGTTGTTGATGTTGGCGTGGAAAGCAAGAGTCGGGTAATCCTTCGACAGATGACGAACCCAAGCGGCCTGGTAAAGATGCCATGTTAGCAAATTGTCACCAGAAAATTTGATGAAAAAAAAAAAAAAAAAAAAGAAAGCAAGAAATGTGTGGGATGTTACTAAGAGCTCAGCTATTAAGCCACCAAAAAAGGCAGAAGCAGAGCTCAACTCAAAAACAAGACACATCTGTCCCTTACGACGAGCCTTCAAGACGAAGGCTCGTCAACCTAACTTCAGAAAGAAGGTCGGTGCGGGACAGTGTTAATCTACCAAAGCTGTAACAGACAGACTCCCATTGAGAGAAACGCGACATAGAATCGCAGGAGAAGTCTTGACTTAGCAATGGCACGGCCTGAAGGCCGATTGAGGAAAAAAAAAAAAAAAAAAAAAGGAAGTAATGAAAACAATAAAACGCGAAGGGGTTGGAAAGAATTGAAGCAAGAGTTGAAACTTACAGCCACACCGGTCGGGATGAGATCGGTCTTGTTCAGCACGAAGATAAGATGCTTGTGAGGTGCCTCCTCGCGGATGTATTTCTCAACGCTCCGGCAACGAGTACCAACGGGATCACGAGCATCCAAAACGTGAATGACAACATCGGAAGAGTCAATAACCTTGTAAAGCTCGTTCCAAATACGCTTGCTCTGACCCTTGGAGAAGACAGACTCGCGGGCAGTAGTAAGAATAGCATCATCCTTGGAGCCCACATCAGCAGAGACAATGGGAGTACCATCATCGTTTACGTCCTGGTCCATCTTCTCCATGTAGCTGTCGTGAACCTTGGCGGTCTCACCAGCCAGATCTTCCAGAGAAGTCACGCCCAACTTGACACGCTTTCTTTGAGCCTTGGGTCCGAAGGTATCGTTGAAGGGGTTGTTCTCAATCTCCATCTTGGCTTGATGTTGCTTGATTCCATTCACGGTGTCATTGTCCCGAATCAAGCTCATGGGGAGCTTGTTGGTCTTGAGCAGGACTTGGTAAGGATCGGAAGCCCGTTCAGCAACAGCCTCACGGAAGGAGGTGAGCGCCTCCTGGGAGATGACTCGACTGTTGGCAAACCACTTGCGGTTGGGCTCGATGCGAGCAGTGGGAGCATCACGAGACTGGTAGGAGGCAGCATTGGTGATCTCACCATGGGCATTGCGTTGAGCTTTGCCATCCTTGAACATGTTCAAGGTCTTGATCTTCTTAGCATCACTAGAAGTCATGTTAGTCCGTTGCGCTTCCACTTGACCACGACTGAAACATGGCTTGTACATACCGGTAAAAGTTTTCACCCTTCGTCTTGACATTGCCCATGCCATCGTTGGGCTTTCCTTGCCGCACCTTACGGGCGGCCTCCTTCTTTCCGGTACCCATGATGATGGACTACCTGTAATGTGAAGGTAATTAAAAAAAGGGGTTGGACCTTCGGAAAATTTTTCGAAGGCGCAGACCAAACACAAAGAGTGGCAGAGAGCAAAGAGAAGAAGAAGAAAAAAAAAAGGCGGAAAGAACTATTTTTTTTTGGCGCCAAGAAAAAATCGCGGTGCACGGACCACGGCAAAATCGCTTCTGTTTCTCCCGACTTTGCTTCTCCGAGTACCCTCCTTTCCAAGCGGTCATTGTTACGGTCTCTCGGGCCGGATACATCGTGATTTGAATCTCTCTCTGGTATTTCTTTCCATTTCGCTCTGCAAAACTAGCCTTTTTGGGCGGATTCAACGGAATTGACTGGCGCAGCATGTCTGCCCTCCGCAACAGCCGGACTGCCAGAGTGCAGGTCCGTGGTTTCGCGACCTCCCCGAATCTTCGAGTCGGACCCGAGTCCCCCCATTTCATCGATGTTCCTCGAATTCTTCAGCCGAGTAACCCGGTCAAGCCCAGAGTCAAGGGTACGCTCCCTGTGCCTCGTGAGCTCTTCCCAGCTCGCCGTGCCGACAAGCCGCGCAAAGCGTATCTCGATGCCGCAACACCCCTCCCTCAAACCGAGCGCAAGGTGAACCCGAAGAGTCATGACCCTGAGAAGCAGGCCTTCAAGCTCAAGATGGCGGTTCTGCGCAGACAGCACCTCCGGGAGGGTCTCCGAACCCTGTACCAGCGGAAGACATCGGCAGAGGAAATCATTTTCAACAGAAGTCTCGAGAGCCAAAACCGACGAGAGCGTGTTCTTCAACAACCTGAGCCAGAAGATGAGCGCCTAACTCGATCAACGGTTGTACAGGCGATGCAATCAAAGGGACACGCAGCCCTAGCGGACCCGAACCGGGAGCAGCGTCTGGCTCTTTCCAAGGCGCGGGTGGAGGCACTTAAGCAAAAGAAGGATGCACAGCGACAAGAGGACCTGCAATCTCTGTATATGAATGCCCGTACTTTCATCGTCAACGAGGAGCAGCTCGCTGCTGAGATCGACCGTGTGTTCCCCGAAGGTGAGAATGAGGCCTGGCGCAACGACCACCAGCAGGGAGAGAATATCTGGAACCTGGGAACTCCTCAAACCGTGCAGAGCATCGTCAACCAGACCCGGAGGAGTGAGACTGCCCGCTGGGATGTGATTCAGGACCGAGTCAAGCAGCTCGGTGAGCAGATCACTGGTGGCAAGCTGTGATTGATATTATCGTGTCATGTACAATATTTATTTGAGGCTACTGCATTTGCGTTTCGTGCATAACTCAAGCCCTGAAAGGATCTGTTAAATATATTATTATTATGGCGTTTAAAAACTCCCCGTTTATCATCCATATTCACGAATGCCTATCCAGTACTTCGAGTGCACGCGTGTGTTGAAGAGAGCTCTTAGAGCCACCTGGACAACGCACGGAAACTCAATTTTGTAATGGAAACGGCGTCCGGAAACCTCCAGCTAGATAGCCCTGGAGATTTATTTGACTTGAATCATATTTTCTCGTCCTAAGATTATTCCATTCGGTCCACAAAACAATGTCAAGACTAGGTACGGGGTTGGCCTAGGTCGTATCCATGGAGCACAATGGACCTCCGAATTCACACATAGACTTATGATATTGGCTTCGCCGGAGTATATCCATTAGTGTTTGTCTACATTTATCTATTCCAGGGCTCCATCCGTGAACGGTATTATGTCTGCTCCGACTAGCCAATATTAGATTTACATGTAACACTTTGATCTATGCTGAAGTGCTAAATGGAATCAACTAAACATTGATGGTAAATCCACAGGCAAGTATAGATTGGAACTGAATATAAGTGGAGATTTAGTAAATATATGTTGACCCCGGCGTATTCATCAGCAAATAGTTTCCCGATGTTCGTATGTAATACTACTTCCGAGCAAGAACAACAATGGACGTGTAGCTGGCGGCAACATAAGTGTGGATCTGTTCGACTCGCAGACCAGCACACTCTGCCAGGGAATCCCATTGCTTCTTCGATCGCTCTTTCCCTCCAAAGGCGAACATCATTGATAAATCTGCCATGGTAGCTTGCCAATGAGCACCGGTGTCCGGTAAGACAACGTCGTCAATCAGAATGCGAGCATCAGAGGCCATGACACTACCAATGTTCTGAAGAATGGAAGCCGCCTCCTTGTCGGGCCAATCGTGCATGATCCTTCGCAGGTAATAGAATTTTGCATCTACCAAGGTGTAAGCTATTATGAGATCAACTACAGCAAAGATCAACTTAGGGCAAGAATAGAACAGCTACTGACCTGTGATGGGTTGCTTCTGGAAAAAGTCGTGGGCTTCGACTCTAACTCCTTCAATTGGGGACAATCTGTCAACTGCCTCGGGCAGATCTTGCAAGACAAGGTGACCGAGAAGGTTGGGGTATGTCTTTCCCAGCTGAACACATTGATGGCCATGACCACCACCAACATCCACAAGAAATGGCCTCTCAGATGGCTGCAGGGTGATGGACTTGATCTTTTCAGCCTCTGACTTGATAAGATCAAAACCAACAGTCCATTCCGCACCTTCAAGTGCGGTCATGACTTTCTGGAGAGAGCCAAAATGCTTGGGATGCTGAATGAGCCAGTCGAAGCAGGCTAGATTAGTGTTGAAAGCTTTTTGGAATGGCGTATCCGTGTTACTGGTAAGATCTTGATACTTTCTCTTCATGAAAAATTCGGGCATAGCTTGAGCTATAGGGCCAAAGATATCAAATCTAAGAAAAATTATTACGGTTCCCGTATTTGATGGCCCAGAGGGAGGACAGTAAAAGAAAGCACCACTTACCCGTGTTGAGCCATACCCTCGCCTCTAGGATCAGCTAGAACGTAGGTGATCTTGTTTGCTCGGTATTCGTTGATACCAACCTCCATGATCATATTCGTAGAGGCTAGATAGCGAAGAACCCTTTCTATTGGGATAAAATTAGCGATAGGACGTTCTAGGGTTGAGTGAAGATCTTTTAAGATGTTCATCATACCCATAAAGGTAGGGGATGCATCATAGATATGAGCCAGCTGATTGACAGTCAAAGACCCATTGGTCTTGCTCAGGTCACGAAAAACTCCAAGGTCTACCCCGAGACGGAGCATAGCGATGAGAAGATTCTAAACGTGTCGGTGATGAGAGAAAAGAACATAGAGTTTCAACTCTTACTGAGTTTCCGAACTCCATTAACGTATCTTGTGGAGACTGAATATCCATCTGAATATCCCGAAGAGCCTTTTGAATGTCCAATCGACCCGCATCATCGGCGGATTGGGCCAAGGTGTGAATTTGAGAGATGACTGCGTCCATTTGGAGGTGAGGCCAAGCCCTGGAGGTATTGGGTGGAAGAAAAAAAAGAATTTTGGAAGCTGCAAGTAATAGACCACAGCTGAATGTGAGCTTTAGAGTACTCTCTATATTTCTTGGACCTTAGAATGTCCCATGGCTTTTATATGTGCATTCAGTACACGGGTGATATAGATGGAAACCGAGGCCGCGGAACTTCCGCGGGAAGTCACCGCTTACTGATTGGCTTTCAACTCTACCTCAACCAGCTTCTCTGCCCACCGGTGGTTATTGCAAAATTTCGGCAAGCTTTAAAAGGGCATTGATAATGGGACGCGTTGAAAAACATTCGTCCCGATCAGAGCGCTCACGCCCAGTCTCTTGTCTGTTTTGTCGTTCGCGAAAATTACGATGCAGCCGACAGTTTCCCTGTCCCAATTGCACGAGCCGCGGTCTTCCTTGCCAACTGGATGGCCCAGCAAAAGCTGTCAACAACGTGGAAAAATTGCCCGACGCACTGACCAGTACCTTCCAGCTCGATGTATTAGAACGTTTACGCCGATTGGAGGATATAGTGATCGAGAAGAAAGAACCAGGAGGTGCGGGTGAACAAGTATCACCCCCTCGGCCTTGGCAAAAAGCATACCCTACTCCTTTGAATGCCGAAACCACCCCGGCTACTGATGTAGAATGGTTGGAGGGGGAGGTTACATATCCGGTTTCCACAGTATGCTCTGCCGACCACATATGGGGAAAAATCACTGGAAGAAACTACTGATGGGAATTTCTACAGGTATCCCTCCTTGCAAGTGATATAGAGTTCAAAACATGCACCATCAAACAAGCCTTTGCTGCTGCTGCTCCATTTGCTGAGTGTGGTTTTGAGTCACCCTGCGCAACTAAATGTATTTGGCTTCCCTTTTACGAGGAATCCAAACTTATGGTCGACAAATACCTCACCGATATCACCTACATTCACCATGTGGTCCACACTCCTTCGGTGCGGAAACTTGTGGATGAACTCTACCAGAATCTCAATCACAAAGCTTCTGTCAAAATTGGACATGTTTCATTGCTCCTGGCAATTCTCGCGAGCACCACTTTCTTCTGGACAGAACGTGACATGCATTTACCGTTATTTTCCTCTGTCAAGGAAGCGAATGAGCAGGCCACTATCTGGATGAAACTTGCCCTTGAAGTACTGGAGTACTCGCGTCTCAAGGGCTCAGATTCCCTTGAAGATATTCAAGCTATGATTATTGTGGCCTTTCTCATAACAAACCTCGTTGGAATCACGTCGCAGGCATGGTATGTTTTCTCCACAGCCATCACAGTAGCTCGTCATCTGCAACTGCATCGAATTGACCATCCGCATAATGCGATTTCTGGTGTATATCGTCAAGATACAATCCACGCGGAGATAGGCAGGAGAGTGTGGTGGTATCTAGTTGGGACAGATTGGTATGTTTTCCTTGAGGATGATTGAGGGATACTGTCTAAATTTCTGGCGGAAAGGCAATTTTCCTCTTTTACAGGCCCACAAAAAGGAACCTATAGTGTTAATCCTCGACACATGGCCACGGAAAAACCTTTGAATATAGATGACGAAGACCTTCTCGACGGAGCGATTGGTGCCAGGCCGGTAGACCAGCCGACTTCAATGTCATACTGTCTTCAGCGGATTCGACTGGCAGAATTGTGCCGTGAGATTACTGACAGCATCCCCTTCTCTGAACCTGAGCTGGTGATTCGTGACTATAAAAAATTAAGGCATATCGATGTGCAAATATGCAATATCACCAATGAGATGCCCCGATTCTTTTCCCTTGATTACGATGCGAGTGAACTTCCAGAAACGGATCCACGAAAAAAAGCAGGAATCATTATTCAACGTTATGTCATCAACTCTCTGATCAATACACTACGATGCAGACTTCATCTTCCGTACCTGTCTCGGGTAGCAACGGATCCCGATCTCGCGTTCTCACGGGAGGCGTGTCTACAGGCGGCGCGTACAGCTATTCGAACAGAGCGGCTTCTATCAAAAGAGCTGATACCTTTTGTCCTTGCACGATTGAAGTTTTCTGGTGTTTTGCATTGTGTTTGTATGGCGATTATCGTACTGTTGATGGATGTTTGTCTTAACAAAAGTCTTCAACCGGACGAGGATCGGGAACGACGAGAGGAAATCTTCCATGCGTTTAAGATTTTAGAAGAGGCCAAGGATCAATCACCATTTGCAGAAAGGATACTGGAATCTTTCCATGCCGTTCTCTGGAAGAACAGGGTCACTTTACCGGAGACCAGTGGCAAGACGGATCAAATGGAGAATGGAAACCAGCTATCACCGTCTGCATTGAGCACGGGTTCAACGTTCATAACCGCCTTCAGTGGTGACGGTGCTGAGAACAACCGGTTGGATCCGACTCTTCCCACTTTCGATGACATCTGGCAGAAATTTGACAGTAATGTGGATCCGACTTTAGTTTTCGACTGGGATTCCTTGTTTGCAGAGCTAGATTCACCGTTCCTTTCGATATGATCAGATATCAAAAATTTCGGAGCATCGTTATTTATAATTCCAAGTACTATGACGCATATGCTGGAAAAGTGTTATGTAAAGACATTGCTCTCGCCCTGTCAGTCGCATACATCCGCTCAGACCCGGTGCGATCGACACTGCAGGCGGATTTACTTGGCACTGGCATCGGTAGCGCGATGAGGGGTCATTAGCGCAACGGCCAACAGGAAAACCGGGGTCTATGATACATGGCATGCAGCTTGTGGTGGCGTCGTATCGATATTTTTACTTTTGTTGTTGTCTATGAGGCATAATGTGGCAATCGGTCGCCGAAATCGCAGGAGGCTGGTACCTGAATTCAATGGGGCCCCGGAGTTTGAAACCAAGCTACAGGATGCCTCATACCGCATGGACCCTACAGATTTTTCAAATTGCAAATCTCTTGCTTGATTTTTGGGGGCTGTTCTAGAAGCCTAGAGCGAAGGAAAATGATCGTCCGATCGCCAGTCTGACAATCGGGGCATGGACACGCGTCCCGAATCGTGTACTTCTTACGAAATCTTCCATGCAAATCTTCTATCCCAAGCCATCGAGACTCTGCGTGACGTGGCTCAAAATGTCAATATCACCAACATCACCAATGTTACCTATCACGGTCTCTCGAACTTCTTTGCCTGTTTTGCCAAAACCCACGAAAGATACACCATTTTTTGTGTGTGCCTAGCCAGAAGTGATTCATTCCTGGGTTCAACCAGAGGAATATAAATAACCGGCATTGCTGTTGGCTAACCAAACTCTGAGGGGCTCCACTTGCGCACTGGACAACGATGATTAAGTCCCGGCTTCACAATCTCCGATCCAATCCTGTTACTTTTCCAGGCCCCAGCAGGATTGCAATCGTTTATTACATCTTTCCCGTTATGATTATTTGTCGATAGGCGAAAGCGAGGCTGTGTATCTCATCTGCCCACTTTTTTTTTCTAGTCGCTTAGTCCAATGTGGTATGGTATACTAACAAGATGCACATCTCCACCAATCTCGCAGGGTTGCAGGGTCTTTCGGGGTTCCCACGCCATTGTGAGCAATCGTGGAGCCTAATCTGGGTGTGTGAAAAGTTTGATCATTCAGATCGTAGTCGAAAATTGACCTGGCTATCTGCCTTGAGAGCTCTCAGCTTGGTTTTCCGGGGAAGAAGCAACCATTGTTTATTGATAGCTTTTCAGAATTAAGGCTCCTCTGTACCTTTTTCCTGCTCGATGCCAACCATGCAACGTAGACATACGGGGATCAATCAAAAGCAAGAATCTCACCGGCAACCCATGGATGTTGGCACTGTTGAGCCGTCCGATCCGAGACTTGACCGGTTGCAACTTACTCGTAGGGAGACGCATCTTGCATGGGTTCCGTGGTCGGGGGAACTCATTCGCCACTGCAATTCACGCTGCCTGCGTTGTCCTTGGCAGCATTGTTTACTGTGCAACGTACATAATCACCGTGATCCAGACCAGAATGGGGATCTCGCACATGGCTCTTATGATAGGCCACTGTGGTCCACCACACGAAAGAACAGCGTCCAACAGCAGGTGGTGCTCCACTGTAGTGGAGCATGAAGCATGGCTTTTTCTCCACATATATGGTAATGGACCTTAGTTACCAAATGACGTCTACCATGTCACAGCGGGTGCTTCTCTCGGCTGGTACGGACTTTCTTTGACCTGCTGTCCGAGGTAAGGCACAGATCCACACCCATACCCACGGTCAATGGCTTTGGAAATACTCGATTCGGATATGCTGACATCAAATTGTTTCTATTTTTTAATTCCTTTCGGAGGATGACGCCGGATGGGTACCTATGCCATGCTTTGTTGGAGAATCTCTTGATTCGTAACGCTGTGGCCCCATCCACTGTCCGTTATAAGTATCCATCCAGATCCCCCGGACAAAGACCCTCGGCTTTGTTACTTCACTACGATACAAGCGACACGTACTTAAACTAAGTACAACGTCTCACGGTCTTTTCCACCAAAGAGTGCTGCGTTCATTCGTTCAATAAGCCTCTCCGCCTTGCATTTTATTTGCATCATGAAGACCGTTTTCGCCATCGCTGCCTTCGCGGCCGGCACCAATGCCCTCGTTGGCCGCAGCGATAGCTGTTGCTTCCACCTGACTGCCTCCGGCAGTCTGTCCGGATCCCTTGGCCAGCTCAGTGATGGTCAGGTTCGTCTCGGTGACGACAGCCTGTCTGCTGCGGACTTCTGCATCAACTCGAGCGGTGCTATCACTGATAGCGAAGGCCGTGGCTGCATCGTTACTAGTGAGTACCTATAAAAGATGAATCAACTACGGTAATCTAACGTATACCAGGCGAGACTACACAGTTCCAGTGTGACACTGGTGCCAATGCCACCACTGGTTTCTCTATCAACTCGAACGGTGGCCTTGAGTACCACAACAGCCCTCGTTTCATTGCCTGTGAGACTGGACAGAACAATGGCCGTAACATCTACACTACCAACAGCACTTCCGTGACCATGTGCAAGAACATCGAGCTTACTGCCGATTCTTGCTCTGGCTCCGGTGCCGGTGCTTCGTCGTCGCCCAAGCCCTCTGCTTCTGCTTCTGCTTCCAGCATCCCGGTGGCCCCTAGCAGCTCTGCTGCTACCCCGGCTCCCAGCTCCCCTGCTCCAGTCTACACCTCTCCTGCTGCCTCGGCTCCTAGTGCCCCGGCCCCGGTCAACAGCTCCCCCACTGCTGGCTCTGCGCCTGCCCCGTCTGCTGCTACTCTCTCGGGCTCGCCTATCTATGTGACCAGCACTGTTACGGTTACTGACTGCAGCTGCGCCAATACCACTCCCGGTCTTCCTGTTCCCAGTGGAGGTGCAGGCTCCGCTCCCAGCGGTTCTCCTGCCCCCTCTTACTCTCAGGCACCGGCTCCTAGCGGCTCTTCTCCTTCTGAGAGCGCTCAGCCTTCTGGACCTATTGGTGGCTCCACCCCCAGCGCCTCTGCTGCCCCCTCTCCCTCCCAGAGCGTTCAGCCCTCCGCACCTGCCGGTGGTTTCTCTACCTCCGCTTCCCCCGTTGAGTCCGTGGCACCCACCACTAGCTCCATGGTCGCTCCCGCTCCCAGCACCACCGCAGTCCAGTCTTCGGCCTCCTCTACCGCGACCCAGTCGTCTGCTAGCAGCTGTGCCACCACCCTCACCTCCGGCGAGTACCAGTACCCCCACCTGATCATCCCCATCAACTCCTCTACCCCCGATACCGCCTACGGCACCCAGTACTTCGGCACTGTTCGCGACACCGTCTCGACCATCTTCAACTTCGACATCCCGTCCTCGTACGAGGGTTCGACCTGTAACCTGGTCTTCATGTTCCCCCAGAAGGCCGATCTCGAGACCTCCGACTACACCTTCAGCGGTGATGGCAAGATTGACTTCTCCAAGCTGTCTGAGGTTGCTAGCAGCTCCACCACCTACAACAACGCTCCCTCCGTCTCCGAGGACCTTGGTGACATCACTATCTCTGCTGGTAACAGCTACGTTGTTTCCTCCTTCTCTTGCCCCGCTGGCGAGACCGTCGCCTATGAGATGTCCGAGGCCGGTACCACTGACCTCTACTGGTTCAACGACTGGAACCCCTCTCCGTGAGTGCTCCTCTCCCTTCAACATGGCAGTGAACTATTACTAATATTACTTCTAGTCTGGGTCTCTTCATTACCAAGTGCTAAATGGACAGCGCTCCTTTTCGATAGTCCATCTCTGGTAAAATAATGGGCGGTTTCATTGTCTTGTATAGGTTATTAATGCCTCATGCTTAAACGTCTTGATGTCTTTTATGGCTTTTAACTCGGGTGTCTGTGCTACTGGGTATTTAAATTACTCGGCGGACATGTCTGTCTATACTGGTATGGGATTTCACCTTGTCCAGTGCATAGTTGACATCCTTTCTCCATTGTTGTATTAGTATATTTTCAACCCAATACATTCCTTTCAAGTTCATTTTTCCTCCCACATCTGATTAGTCGGAATGAAAGAACTTGCGCATATAGATTGACTTGGCGTAAATACGGCTGTACCTTGGCAAAAAAAAGTTCTACGTATCACTGGAAAAAATCCGTTTAACAATCTCCCGCTGTTGCTTGTATGAAGCTATGGCACAGTTGTGGGTTCGACTGACGCAACCTCGATGAGAGTAACACGAATATCAGGGTTTACCGTGTTAATAAGATCAGAGTTCGAGGAAATTTACTGGGAACTTTTGGAAAATGCGTTTGGACGTTGTTTGCGTCGCACAATCGAGTTGTCAACGACGGATATCCAGTGATGTCTTTTTGCGTTTAGAATGACGGAATATATGTGCAAAGTGGTATGGAATTAGTAATTGTCCCAACCTAATATTAAATGATATCTTCGTTTCTATATAATCATTAATATCAATTTTGTGTATGGCGGTCCGAGTTGTTGTCAATATCCACATGAACTGTATCCATGACTCGGATATTATTGGCGTCTTTCATATCCCAACAAAGGGCCTCTTGACTTGAACCTCTTTGCGTATCGATATCAACGGTGTTGTGATGGATCGAGCCATCGAAGACTCGCTTTTGGGGTTGTGGGACGGGTGCAAGGCCAATCGAGCCCGTGCCGTTTGATTTGCTCTGGTCGGTAGGGCGGGTTTTCATTCGCAGGACGCCAAACAAGCCCCTTAATGCCGGCAATGAGAGTGCGACGATCATCGCTGAAGTTTCAGAGGTACTCCAGGCCATGACTACGGAGAAGTACCAGGTAACGTCGGTTGGGTGGTCCAGGGCGACGATCATCGAAACCATGCGGAGGACGGAGGTACTATTCAGATTAGTAAACTATTGGTTCAGGGATTATCCATTCGAACTTCCGGTACTGTACTCACACGATCGCACTAGAAGCCAAGACGTTAGTGGAGAAGATCAATCGGGGAGTATAGGGTTCACTCACAAGACACCAAAGCAGAAAACAAAGAGCAGAGTTGCTTTTCTAGCAAAATTGACTTGCAACTTCAGCACAATGTTCACCGGTAATACTAAGATGAGCGAATCACAGATAATGGTCATGATCGAGGTCGAGAGGAAGACTTGTGTCGAGGTCAGACATTTCCCAGAGATGCTCGAATCCCACAATGCCTGGAGTGGAATGCATTGCAGCGCAATAATGAGCGTCTGCGCTACCCATACAGCAGTCACAAAGGCAAATGCCAGTCGCATGTACACTTTGAACTGAGGCATGGGGTTCAGACGTGCATAGAACGCCAAACCAGAGACTCGACAGATCCAGAGGGCGCAAAAGTATACCATCTGGGCAGCGACGAGCCACTTGTACATTTTGACCATCTTCGCTGGATCAGTGATTAGGTCCGCCAGATGCTCGCCAGCCCCGTAATGAACAACCATGATGGATAGTGCCATGTCAATCCAGGCGAGTAGCTACATTGCATAACAGGAATGAGCTTTGTGCGAGATGAAAATTTCCAGGGGGAGAAGCTTGTACCTGTCCGATCACAATAAGATAGTCATCCCAGCCCAGTTCCCGGATTAGAATCCCACGGGCGTATAGACGAACCAGGACGACTATGGTGGATATTATTGTCACAATGATCATGCCTATGGTCGCAGATCGCCCGCGATCCTTGTCCATATCCTCTGAAGCCATCTTTGCACTGAGATAACCACCTCAATGGATGAGAGGGTCAAAGGCGCATTGGTGGAGAAATTCCAGGGGAGAATCATGAAATCGATTCGAAAGAAACTTGTCATCGAGACAGACAATGCTTGTCTTCTTTTTCCCACGGGAACGTCTGCGGGCCGCGTAAAGTGGATCTCATTGCCACGATGGCCCCAATATTCGAATTAGATTGCCCGTTTAGTTCTAGTGTTCGGTTCCATTCATCCTGCACGCCACACTAAGAATGACACTAATGCTGCTAACATTATGTTTGGCTCTTGTTGAAGCAGCGCCTCCACAAACGCCCACATTTTTGCGATCTAGTTGCTTCCCCAACCTGGTTATAGCATAGAGCGCCGCAAGGGCGGGATAGTGCGCACAAATGCACTGGAATTGGTTCTTTCCGACGAGGCTCTGGATTCTTCCGAGTCTCCGTGCAATTTATGCACGGAACTGATTCGCCCTCCACAGACTTATCAGAGGCCGGGAAATTGCAATCACTCCTCTCCCCATGTGGGGTTCGGCTATAACTACGAACCCCCTGTGAAAAGCGTCGGGTTTCCTTTTGTTCTGTTTTTCTTCAACTTGAGTCGAAGGAATTCAGAATTCATTCCTGGGCAATATGGCCCCACTCGTGATTCCTGATGTAATAGCCTCGCTGAACACCCGCCTCACATGGGGTGTGGTGCTTGTCGGGGCGCTCATTGTTCGGATGGTGTTTAGACGGTGCTGCACGTCGATTAGGGATATCCCCGGTCCGTTCTGGGGCTCCTTTTCCAGTCTTTGGGTGGTCGCTCAGCTATACAAAGGCCACCTGGAAGATGCGACACTCAAATTACATGAGAAGCATGGTATATCACCCCTCGGGTTGGACCGTGTGAGGGAATAGAAGTGCTCATCATACGATAGGACACTTTGTGCGGATCCGAGAAAATGAAGTTAGCGTGTCCCACCCGGATGCAGTGAGACAGCTCCTGCATGCAAACATTGCAAAGGTACTATGCCAGTCCCAAGTTGCCCAGGCGTCACCAATGGAACCTAATGTCCGTACAGGGCCCATGGTATGCCATCTTTAGTCTTCCAGACTATCACTATGTCAACCAGATGTCTGAGCTGGACCACCAGCGACACATCGAGAAAAATCGCAACATTGCCTCGGGATATGCTCTTTCCAACATCATCAAGTCCGAACCATATGTCGATGCCGTCCTGGAGCTGTTCACCAATGCCATGGCGGAACACGCTCAAGCCGGCAAGCCCTTCAAATTCGAAACGTGGTTCACTTTCTATGCATTTGATGTTCTCGGCGAGGTCACGTTCTCCAAATCCTTTGGCTTTGTCGGGACTGGTACAGATATCGGAAATGCCATCTCCAACACCAGAGCCCTCGCTCTCTATGTCGCCGTGATGGGCCACTACGTCTGGCTCCACAATCTCACCTTGGGCAACCCGCTCCTAAGCCGTCTAGGCATTCAGCCTTCCTCGCACATTTTCGATACCTGTCTTGCGGCTATCAAGGCGCGCAAGGAGAACCCTAAAATGCGCAAGGATATGATGCAGCAATGGCTCGACACCCGTGCTAAATACCCGGATCGCATGGCGGAGAGTGAGATCTTCGGCGCTGCCGTGGCTAATGTCGGTGCTGGGGCAGACACCGTCAGCTCGACTATGCAGGCTCTGACCTACTGTCTCATTCGCAGCCCCGAGCATCTGCAGCGCCTCCGCGAGGAGATCGATGCTGCTCAGGCTCAAGGAGAACTTTCCCCCATCGTTCAGTACAACGAAGCACAAAAATTGCGCTTCCTTCAAGCTTGCGTATGCTCCCAACTCCTCATATTCCCATGAATCTCCATGCTAATAGCCTGGATAGATCAAAGAAATATACCGACTCCACAGCGCGGTTCCTAGTCCGCTCCCACGCGTTGTGCCAAAGAGTGGAATGACCATTGGAGACAGATACTTCGAAGAAGGCGTATGTTGATGCCTTTCTGCTGGTTCTCGAATATCCACTGACGAATACTTTTAGGTCATTCTGAGCGTTAATCCCTGGGTCTACCACCGGAACCCAGCGCTGTTTGGTGAAGACTGCAACACCTTCAACCCTAACCGCTGGCTTACGGGTGAGACGACAAATATGGATTCCTTCCTCATTCACGTAAGTAGTCATTTCGAGTGCGTTCTCGGTTGATCAGTCAGTCGTGCTAATGGACTTTTTCTCCATAGTGGGGAGCGGGATACAACCAATGCCCCGGCCGCAACCTTGCTCACTTTGAGATCACCAAGCTTATCACCACTATGGTTCGGGACTTTGAATTCGAGCTGACGGATCCCAAGAAAGAGTGGGAATGGACGAACCACTTCACCGTTATGCAGTGGGGGTGGCCTTGCAATGTTCGCCGGCGTACTAATGCATGAGATGAGCTGGTGTCAAATTATTGGAGGTGTTCGAGTATACTGATGAGATGAACGAGTCGATGATCTCAGCCATGTTAATTCCGCTCAGTTTGTATATAAGCGAGTTTTCTGTTGTAAGAAATTTGCTGACATTCCTTGTCGTGTAGATTCGCGGTGAAAGTTTATTGGACGATCCTTTGAATGCGACTGAATATTGAATTTGGTTTGGTCCAATGCATCTCGGAGGTTGTTCCGTTGAGATATGAAGCTTGGCAGTCAAGCCAGAGACTGGGTGGCGTAGGCCTTAACTAAGCCACATGTCCAGCATGACCCCCAGAGCCATCACACCATGCTTCTCTGCGTTCGTGAGTCCAGCTATGACCTTGGAATGCCTGATGGCACTGCTGTTAGCCTTTTCATGAGATCCCATATTTTTCAAATGATCCTCAAGTTACAGAATTCATACAGAATTAACAAAAATGACTGACCAAGTACCATCTCTATCATTGGCATGGAATCCAGACATAGCATCGACTATACCATCTGCAATGACCAAAGCGACTTTGTTCTGGGAAAAGCGGCATTTAACATTTCGATAGCCTCGAAGTTAAGCATGTTTCGCGAGGCGCTGCAGCAATTTCCAGCTTGGACCCTTTAATAACCATGTTGCCTAGTTGTGGATCGGGCTCCAATGGGCGGCGTTGAACGAATGGAATTAGGCACGCACGGTTGCAGGGCACACGTCTTGTGGATTCTATGGGGGTGGATCGGATGAGTTGAAGATCTACAAAAAGTTCGGCTTTTGATGAGGAAGTCTAAAGTCGGGACCGGGCCAAAGGGTTGAATGCGCAGTCAAGAGACCCACTGTGAACCAGGAACCAGGAATCAGGTACAGTAACAGGAACCCGAGCCATAAATAGGATAGATCTCGCCAGTTGAAACAGGTGCCTGGAATACGCAGAAAATAGTATAAGTCGCCAAGATGCGCCTCTTACTTTTACGGTACATTTCGATCGTCGTGTTATTAAAGCGGACCTCGCACACGCGATCAACCTCAACTTCAATTTTCTCTTTGCCGGAGGATTGAGTTGATTTCGCTCCTCTACCCTGAAAATGGAGATTCCGGCCAAATTGCCGTTCTCCAAGCGACCGCTCCGACCTCGCGTAGTCATCTCGTAAGTTCGTGTTTCCCCGCGAAGTCCGCTTTCACTAACTTTCTTCCAGCTACATTTTCGACTACGTGATCTTAATGTAGGCCTCCCCCTCCTGGAAGCCTTTCCTCTAACCGTTGAACAGTGCCTGTGTCATCGGCTTCTGGATCCTCGACTCCCTTGAACCATATCACCAGCACTTCTCCCTCCGCAATTACTCCCTCCAATACCCGTACGCCGTCCACGAGCGCATTCCCATCCAATATGCCCTCTGCATCTCCGGCCTCTTCCCTCTCGTCTTGATCATTATCTATACCCTCTTCATCGATGGCCTGTTTTCGCACCACAAGCCTCTGGACCCGGCGTCCGGAAAGCGCAAGCTGCGCGGTCCATGGCGCTGGAAGGATCGCTTGTGGGAGATGAACTGTGGGATCTTAGGTCTCTTGCTATCACAGGCACTGGCTTTCCTCATCACACAAGTGCTCAAGAATGCATGTGGGAAACCGCGTCCGGACTTGATCGACCGGTGCCAGCCGCGCGACGGAAGCCTGGACATGCTGCCGTATGGTCTGTCCAACTCCACGATCTGCACGGGAGAGGCAAAGTTGATCAAGGATGGATTTCGGTCATGGCCATCAGGTACGTTCGCATGGACCATTGGGGTATCTGGGCAACAATGTACTAATTCGGGTTGCGTACAGGTCATAGCAGCTGTGAGTCGCAATCGCTGACACTTACCATGTAGACTTACTTGGGAGAACCATTACTAACGGTCCTTATAGCCTCCTTCGCGGGCTTGTTCTACACATCTCTATGGCTAGGCGGCAAGTTCCATATTATGGACAACCGGGGTGAAACCTGGAAGACCCTACTGGTCACCATCCCGATCCTTGCCGCAACCCTTGTTGCCGTGTCTCGCATCATGGACGCCCGCCACCATCCATTCGATGTGATCACCGGCTCGCTTCTCGGCGTCATCTGTGCTATAGTCTCCTACCGTCAATACTTCCCTCCTATCACCGAGGCCTGGCGGAAGGGCCGGGCCTACCCGATCCGCACCTGGGGCACCGAGCCAGCTGCCCCAATCGAAGCGAAGTTCAGCGCACTAAGTGACAGTACGACTGCTTTGCGCAATCCTGAGGCAGAACGCTTGAATGGGCCCAGTATGCGTGGGCGATCTACATCCCCAGGCCAGCTTGATCCTGGCACATCGGGGTACAACCCTGGCAACCCGTATACCTCACAAGTGTATCCTCGTCGCGCGCATGACCATGATCCGGATGGGAACTGGTCTTCGAGCGAAGATGACGTCGGCAATGGGTATGAGATGCAAACAGGGTACGCGGCGACGCAGAATCCGGTTGTCAGTCGCAATTCGTTTGATGCCAATACCGCATACCATCCCAACGCGTATCAGTCGCAGGTGCATACTGCGCCGGTTGGTGTTATCAGTCCACCGCCGGGCGTGATTGTCAGCCATGATCACCTAGATCGATCATTGACCGATGCGCCCAGTCGGGAGGTGTAAGGAAATTTAAAGAGCTTATAGACTCCCTCCGTTTCATGACTCGGCGCAAAGGTCTGTTTTCTTTTTGAGACATTGACTCGGGATACAATGAGATTGATGTATGAATATGTTAGACGGCGTTTCATAAGCATTAGAATATGCATTTGATTTGGGATTGAATATTCTCATCTCTATTTTCCCTGACTTCAACCTTAATGGCCAATTGGGTTTTGGTGATCCATTGGTTCCACTTGGCGGGATCTTTGGTTGCCGCTCCAACCCACCGCATGTAAAGTATGTGATCAACAGTCAATCAGATGCAGGTCATAAATTAAAGGAATACGATCGGGTACACTAACCAGCTCAGTGCAGGGCAAACTGTCAAAATTAGTCCGTTGAACCAATAAACTCATAACAAAACTTGGCACTTTGACGCTGGCCGTCCCAGCCACCCATAACATGCACGGTTACTCGCCCAGCCTCTTCCCCGCTGTCAGCGCAAGATGACGGCACACTTTTTTCTTTTGCGCTTCCAACCCCTCTCCCTTTTTCTTTTCTTTACATATTCTCTCTCTCGTGCTCTGCAGATTGTGATCTCAATCCACTCGCGCTTCGAAGCTGCATGTGAGGTGCCCGAGAGTGAGATCCACCCTATACAAAGTACAACATCAATTTCTCGGTCTCGACATACTTGAGTGACGCGACAGCGGCCCGTTTCGCAATCTCTATTTTGTCGCATTCCTGAGATCCAAACTCAATCTTACCCCTTGTCCACGAGGCACTCGGCAGGATGATTGGCAGTATATTCTTCATTTTTAACCGGCTGGTGGAGATCACCTTCTTGATCCCCATCATCGGCATCATGGTACGTGAATACAAATTCTTCTCGTTCGAGATGAGACCAAGTCGCGCGCTGGCTAGCGATCACACCCGTGGTCTCTCATCAGCCAACCAAAATGTATCCAAAGACTAACACCGCAATGATCATCAGTCCTACTTCGTCCATGGCTACCTCAAAGCCAACATGCTCACACCCCCCTACATCCTCGTCATCTTCATCGTCAGCGTCATTGCCGTCTTCTGGGCCATCGATACCCTAATCCGCTTCTCAGCAACCAAGCGCTCGGCCCTCTTCGTGTCATTCGTGGACCTCCTTTTCATGGGCGCACTCATCGCCGGTGTCTACGAGCTCCGCTTCATCGCAAACCAGAGCTGCTCACACTGGGACGGCGGCTCGGTCTGGGTATCTCTCGGTCCATTCGGCGAGTATGGACAAAGTGTCCATAACGATTACCACTTGCACATTGACAAGACGTGCGCTATGCTCAAGACTTCATTTGCGATGGGTATTATGGAGGTCGTCTTCTTTGCTTGGACGGCTTTCCTGGCTCTTTTCTTGCATTCGCGTGAGCGTGAGGTTGTGGTTAAGGAGACTACTGTTCGGAGACGGAGTCACAGTTCGCGACGTGGTCACTCTAGTGGAGGGCATCATCGTCATCGGAGCTCAAGTCGGAGTCGGCGGCCTGCGTATGTCGTTTAAGGACCCTGTATAGCCTTGAACCTTGGGTTTAGCGGTGGTCTTTGTTTTGGGATTTTTGTTCTATTTATGGTTTTGATTTTTGTTAGTTTTTATGATTGTATGATGATGCGATGGAATAATGAGGATGAGGATATGGGATGATCACGAATGGGGAGAAAACGTTTGATTATCAAACATCAAAATTACCAACTATGATTCGGGGGGTAGATACGTTTTGACACTGAGAGATCTCATTTGGTCATATTTTGATAGTCTAGGAAGTAAAACGCATCAATTTCATCTTTACCCAATTGACAAACACATGGCTCGCAGTAGCCTTCTAGATTATGCCCATCATATTAGCCCTAGCTTAGTGAAAATTCTCGTTACAATAATCACTGATCGAACTTCAAAATCAATTCATAACATACATCTATTTCAGCCACATAGGTTCTTTCTTTTACTCCAGAGTCTTCAGTTGGTCCAAGGTTCAAATGCTCTTAAGATTCTTTGAACAGCCTAGATCAGTGGAAATATAATGAATAAAATGATATACAGCCCTGAAAGATGCACCCAAAAATAAGAAAAGAAACTATAAAAGAGTGAAATAGAATAGACCAGACAAATCTCAAGATGCACGCAAAACCATGTACTTGTACATTAACCACGTCTCGTCGATCCATCTATATCCATATCATTAGTTGAGTATTTGCAAGCATTCCATATCGGCTTGACTTTTGACAAATGAACCAAAGGAACCCAATCTATTTTTGCAAAGAAACCAAAAGAGGAAATGGTACATGGCCACGTCTCGTCTCATTGAAAAGAACCCCCCAAGGCATATAGCATCGCATCCCCGTCGACTAAGTCCGACTATTGATCATTTTGGTATCCAAATCAACCATAGCGCGCGCTCAGGCTGGCAAAAGCATCTGGGCTGTGTCGGCCATTCTGCAGTCCGTTGATATCGACGCTTGGCTGGCTCATATGCGTTCTAGGCATGTTCGGGTTTACCGAAGTAAAGGGACTAGGGTTAGAGGCATAGGGATTTGAAGTGCCAAAGCCCATTCCCATTGCCGAAGCAGGAGCGGGAGCGGGAGCAGAGGCTGCGGTGCCGTTGGCACCCATTCCGATGCCCAATCCGGAAGATTGGTAATTCACGCCTGCTTGGGCGGCTAGACCCGAACCAGCGCCGGAGCCGGGAGTAGGCCCATATGGGTTTCGGGTTGCAGTGTTCTGCTGTGGGGTTTGGATGTTGGATCCGGGCTGGGTCTGCGGAGTGGAGCTGAGAGAGTGCGTAAGTGGCGGAAGAGGGCTCATTCCTGCGTTGGGCTGGAATTGAGACTGGGGCTGTTGCGGAAGTGGGGGAACTCCGTTGCTGGGCGAGGGAGCGAGGTTATAGAGAGAAAGAATGCTGTTTTTATCCATGTGGCCAGTGGCTTGGGGTGCCAATTGCTGTGGTTGCTGCTGGTGGTATTGGTTCGGGAGGCCATTCGGATAACCACCTGCACTCTGTGGGGTTGGCGGTCCCATGGACTGCTGGAAAGGATTAAAAGAACCCTGGCCAGCATTTTGAACTTGCTGGGGCTGCTGCTGCTGCTGGAAATGAGGCGTTGATCCAAAAGGAGATGTGCCGAATGGCGAATTGGATGAAATCGCTGGCATAGTATTTGCATGTTGAGGCGGATGAGGCACCGTAATTGTCGGCACCGGCGGTGCTAGCTGTTGCTGTTGTGGTTGGGTTTGCGCAGTTGTGTTAAAGAATGGATTGTTCTGCGCGGCACTCGGGTTGGGATAAGTTTGACTGGCCATGCCGCCCTGCGGCTGAGGCGCTGTTTGAAAGAATGGATTATAGTTGTTGTCCACAGGCTGGGGTGAGGAAACATAAGCACCCTGAGAGAACGTTGCTGTCACCGGCGGGGTATACGGTTGCTGGTATGCAGGCTGCTGCATGGAGCTAGCTTGGCTTGGATATCCACCAGTGGAGTGCGGGAACAAGGGCTGGGATACCTGGAGATTCTGGAAAGAGTTCTCCAAAGGCTGAGCCGACTGGGGCGTATGCATAGGTTGCGGTGGCTGAGTGAACTGGTCGAATGGGTTGTACGAACTCGGCTGTGTGGGCTGCGCAGGCTGCGATTGTTGAGGAACAGGGTTCGAGACAGCCCTATCGAAAGGGTTGTTTGCCGTTTCTGGCCTAGAAACGGCGACAGCAGGCACTGTGGCGGATACTGCTCTTGTTTGAGCTGTCTTCTTCGCAGCCCAGGCCCGGATCAAGTCGGGGTTTCCTTCGCCTAGTCTCGACAGTGTCTCAACACACCGATCCAAATCTTCGTTGAGACCCTTGAGGACCATCTCGTTGCGTCGGTCGTTGGTGAAACCCAACTCCTGCAGCGCTGCCATCTTCGCTTCCAACGAGGCAGTCGTCACATCAGCAACCGGTGCTCCCATCCCAGTGATCTTATTTGAGGGTGGCGGAGACCAGGGCCGCTGGTCATTGGCCGGCGACCCCCTCTTGGTTCCAAATCGACGAAGGTTCGAGGTCGAGGAGGATGACCGAAGTCCAAACCCAAAAAACTTGCCTGACTTCGGCGGGAGTGGAGGGGGCGAACCCTCGGGGGATCTGTCCGGTGATGCAGCCCGTCTCGATTCATCGCGTCGGTATTCATCACGGCTGTATTCATCGCGTCTCGATTCGTGTCGCTTGGTATAACTAGAGTCTTCCCGGCTAGGAGGCTTGGGCTTGCCATCCTCCAACGACCGGTACTGGTATTTCTGTCGTATGAACCGTTCCATGCATGAGTCGGCCTCGTCAATGTCGGTCGGAACTGGCGGCTTTATATTCTTGGGGTTGTAGATCTTGTTCATAAGAAGGTTGCCATGGGATTTCATGTTCTGGCCAGGAAGTGGTGGCGTCAGTTTCTGGGACTTCGATCCTAGAGTTTATAGGTTCACTCACATCAACCTGTTCCGCAGACCAAGTATCCATCGACAAAGACTTGACCTTGGAGATGTGTGTGCCCAACTTGCGGTGGATTGCGGCGCACCGCATGCACAGGAAGAGACCCATCTATACAAAAGACGAAGATCAGACAACCATTTCTAGGGGAAGGAGTGAATTTCGGAGATCAATGGAATAACGTACGTTCCAGCTCGCCCATCCTATATGATTGAACAATCTAGTCAGCCCAAAGTCTTCTATGAGGCTTTTCGCGGGGAAGAGACGAACCTGGGGTCAGGGCATCACAATCGGCACACCGGTCATTGCCAGGGACGGTCCGGATCAACTCGGCCAGGGCCTTCTCATTGCGCTGCTGCTGGCGCTTACTGATGCCATTCGGCATGATGAAGGAAAGGAGTGGACAGCGTACACACAGTACGTGAAGGATGATGAATAGGGGAAAGAGGAAAAAGTCTCAAGGCGGAGAACGGGAGTACCGAATCATCTGCGAGGGGCATTGCAACCCCGGACATTCTGTCCCAAATACTTTCCAAGCTTAACTACGCGCGGCCGGTTCAGGGATGCGCTATTGATAGCTCCACTGGTCACCTCTCCAAGGACATTGCTTCTAGAACAGCTCTAGAAGAGAGATCCGAGAGTAAGACTCGGTATCGCGGGTACAAAGACCGGGATAGGGTTCTGGCTCAACCATGAATCCGTCTTTGAATCTTCCAAGTAAACAAGTATTGTCTGCTATATTAGAAACTCAATTTCCTACTGAGATCAATTTACGTCTACAAATTTGGGTCCAAAGATGGGAATGTCTGGACAGCAGGGGATACCATCGCCCACTGCAACTCAGCCAGCCGAAGCCAACCTGTGCCGTCGAGGAAATTTATGCTGCCCAGTTCATCTAGTACGCCAATATGACCTGCCATCCTATGATAAAAAGGAATTGGAGGTTGATTATGCGTTCGAAAAAGTGTAAAGAAGAAAAAGAAATCTATCGATAGTGAAATTTTCCTTCTAAAATAGGAGGGTCACACGTGATGTGTCACGTGCCCTATGGCGCGCTCTGCTATTTCTTCGATTTTCGTTTTCTCTTTCTCTTCCTTCAACTTCACACTCTCAAGAGTGAACGAGCCCTTGAAAAAGTGCCTCGATCCTGTAATGTGAGGATCGTCACACTGTTTTCAGGGCTCTACTATATTCTATAGCAACACCACATAACCCGCGAGGTGCCATTTAATGGCATCGACGTTTCTTGGGTGATTTTTATCGTTCGTTCGTGGCAGATCAAAACCAAACAGCTTCTAGCAGGGCTGCGTCTACTCCACCCTGGTGCTCAGTCTTCTTTGAGCGGCAGGACTATTTTACGACGAACATCCTAGTATCAATACATATCTTGGACAATTTTCAATCTTCACTTTTCCAATTTTCGTATTTCTGTACTGCCTTCTCTGGGAATGAGCTCTATCCGAGGCTCTTCAACTAAATGTCAGCTTCTCTCTTGTGGCCTTGATCACATTTTATTTCCAAATCATGAACCACGAGCTGTCCTGCTGACTACAGCTGCCGCCGTTCAATTTTTTTCTTCGCCCGCCCTCCACCTTGAACCCCGCTTCACCAACGTTCGAAGACGCCCGTTCGAAGACGCCCGTTCGAAGACGCCCGTTCGAAGAGGCCCATCTGTAGGGCAACTGCCTATGATGACCGAGTCGTCGGTCGACTATTACCGGGTCCTTGAGCTCCCCTTCTCGAGCAACTCTACCACCCCCCTATCGAATCTGCAGATCAAACTCGCCTACCACAAAGCACTCCTTAAACACCACCCAGATAAAGCCGGCGCCGTCGCACAACACTCGAGCACCGCAAGTTCGGCCTCTGCAACCTCGAAATTTCCCTCGTCAAAGGGTGATCAGCGATCTTATACCATCGATGAGATTACATCGGCTTACAAAACACTCTCCGATCCGCAGTTGCGTGCAGAATACGATCGCTCGCTTCGGCTAAACCGCTCAAAGTTTGCGGAGGACAGCACCGAAGTGTTCCATACGGGTCTGGAGACGGTGGATCTAGATGACATGGATTATGACGAGGAGGACGGCTCCTGGTATCGTGGCTGCCGATGTGGGGATGAGAGAGGATTCTCGGTGACAGAGGCGCATCTGGAGTCAAGTATGGATCATGGAGAGGTCGTCATCGGATGCGTGGGGTGTAGTCTTTACATGAAAATCCTCTTTGCTGCCGAAGATGGCTGAAGGGCCAGGCTTCTAGATGTCTTATCTTGAAGCTCATTCAACACAAATTGCCGTTTCATCGGAGCCAGACGGACTCACTTTGAAACTGTCGAGGTGTTAAGTGGGTTGCCATGTGTCCGATATGGCCACCCCGAGGCTCTGCAATTCCGGTGTATCATGGGAACGCCATCGGAACCTCGCAGAGTTCGTCGCAAGCACCCGCATTCGACACCCAGTGACATAGACAAGACAGCATGACTTTCTTCTCTCGCCCGGATCCTGAGACTGTGTCTGGGTCATATGCCACTGGGTGTCTTGCTTGTCTCCACTTGTCCTATCTATAGCACGTGGGCATGTGAGCATATTATCTGTCAGTTTTTCGGCGATAGATGAGGCTATGATAGTCTGATGACATCGCTGCCCGTCTACCCTGTTCGAGATTTTGGGGCTTCGGTTTCCCTTACTTTCTGTCTCTATTTCTATCTGGCGGAATAGCTAACATGCGAATCCATGTCTAATGTTTCGGCTCGCCTCAAATGGGCCCGAAGCTCCCGGGTAATATTCGAACGTCAGATCGGATAGTATATATTGTGCCTTTTGAGGGAGCTATCGGTAACCAACGGCCTATCTATCCAGCCTTTGGTATATCTTCTTTATATCTCAATGCAATCTCTAGCACTGTTCGGGGTTCATCTTACTCTCGATCCGCCTAATGACTCGAGCCGGATTCCCAGCTGCAAAATGGAAAGGAGGAACATCCTAAACAATCAGTAATCCACACCAAAAGTAGTGCAAGGTACCAACTCACCCTTGTTACCACAGCTCCCGCCCCAATTGTACAACCCTTGCCAATTCTTACACCCGCAAGAACAATCACACTTCCCCCAATCCACACATCATCTTCGATGTGAATCTCCTTCCCGGCCTCGGGTCCCTTCATTCCCTGTCGAACGGCAGGATCAAGTGGATGAATAGCACCGTAAAGCGAAACATTCGGTCCGAAGAGAACCCGTTCACCGATTGTTATAAGACAAGTATCCAAGACTAGCAGGTTAAAATTGAGGAATGTGCCAGCTCCCACTTTGAAATTCAGACCATGGTCCACGGAGATGGGACCATCGACAACGGGATCTGTTTCATCGAAAAGTTCTTCGTCTTCTTTGGGGTCCGGATTTACTTGTGGGAGGGGACGAGTGTCTCCGATTATACTTGGTAAGAGTCAGCGCGATTCGGTCTATATTAATGTTGAATAGAAGCCCCGATTCGACATGGATATGAGACCGGGAGCTTCGTTGTCGCTGGTCAGATCTTACTTTCTCCATAGTTCAACCTTTCGTCGTCGAGAGACATTTCCTGCTGTATTGAACTCATCACATGCCTGCTTGCAGCGTGTTCTGTTGGCCTGGAGGTCTTCATCCCATGGCATGTACAGCTCACCGCGGAGCATTTTGGCCCATTCTTTGGAGCTAGTCATTGTGATTGTGTTAAAAATCGGATCGAACTCAAAGAATTGAAATTCACTGGGTTTGAGATGAGATGCGCACTCCGATCTTATACTTGAACGCCGGTCGAGCTGTGGCGTTGATGTGGATCCCATTGCGCTCTGATTTTCCTGATCGGGCAGGTCAGGCAGCAGGTGTCGGAAGTTGTTTTATGAAGTACATATTTTACTTTGGGCTACTGTTGGTCTTGAATCGAAGTTAGCTTCGATTGGATCTGGTATTGGCGTGTATCTCTGTGACTTGTTATACATGCATTCGTACTGTACTCCAGCCAGGGTTTAGGCCGGGCCTTAAGTGCTCGGGCTCGGGATTTCCTGTCTGTTTCCGATTTTTTTTGTTCTTGGTTCAATCCGGTCTTGACATATGGTGCAATATATCTCTCTATTGCGTCTAGTACTTATAAATGTTGCTATGGAAAATTTAAAAGGTTATTTGCTCCCGCCCTGAAGGTCCCGAGGTCGAGGGAGTGTCTATCCCATAACGACGGATATATATGTTTTGACGAGACCTGGACACCGAAGGTGATCACTGAGTCAGGAACCTTGAGAACCATTAAGATCAAACAACAAACTAATCCCAAAGCTTCGCCTCATATCAAGAATGTGAAAGAAACGAAGTGTGGTGCCTCAGGCGGATTGGAGGTGTTCATTAAGCTCTGTTGACCGGAAGATTGATGACATATTGAAGGATCCGGGCAAAACAACCTCGACCTCTTCCCCCACCACCTTCACACTCGAAGCCCCAACACACCCCTTCAAAATGTCGGTCATCAACATATCCTCAAACGAGCAATTTAACACCCTTCTTAACTCCTCCCGTGTTGTCGTCGCCGATTGTAAGTCTCAACACCGCCCCGCACGAGAATCCCTTCCTACCCCCACCAGCATCGAACAAACACCAACAAGATCCTTGACTGACTTTCATCCGTTCCCGGATAGTCTACGCCGACTGGTGCGGACCATGCAAAGCTATCGCTCCTGTTTACGACTCACTGGCTCGCCAGCTGTCTCGCCCGAATCAAATCACATTCACTAAGATCAACGGTGATCAGCAGAAGGACCTGGCGCAGGCGTATAGCGTGCGAGCGTACGTGAATTACCTTTCCTCAGTGACTTGAGCCTACGAGTGAAGGATCTACGAGCAAAATAATAACCTGTCACTAACTTCTACGATACAGATACCCCACCTTCATCGTCTTTGAGAACGGCCGCAAGACCCAGACCGTCGCCGGCGCAGACCCCCGTCGCCTAAACGAAGTCATTCAAAAACTCGCCACCGAAGCCACAAAGTCCGATGGTGCGACAGCTGGCGATGGTGAATCCAGCGGCGGCTGGTTCGGTGCCACCGTAGCCAAGGGCTACTCAGACGTGACCGACCAAGTCGACCCGAAGGGACTGGAGCTTCTGAACCGGGACAACGAGCGGGGTGAGGCACGCGTGCTGTTCGAAGGCACTAAGCCATCAGGCCTTGCGGGCAAGGGCAAGGGCAAGGCCGAAGGAAAGGCAGATTGGGTGGAGAGTGATACGGATGAGCAGCTTATGCTTTACATCCCGCTCCAGTCAACGCTGAAGGTGCACTCGTTGCACATTACCTCTTTCGCGGTCGCTGATGAGGATGACGACGAGGCACCTATGCGGCCGAAGACCATCAAGCTTTATGTCAACCGCTCGCATGTGCTTGGATTTGATGAGGCGGACGATATCCCGGCGGTGCAAACTGTGGAGATTAAGGAAGAGGACTGGGATGCGAAGACGGGAACTGCTCGGGTTGATTTGCGCTTTGTTAAGTTCCAGAACGTTACCTCGTTGGTTCTGTTCTTCGTGGATGGAGATGGAGATAGCGAAAAGTTGCGTGTTGACCGGGTCCGCATTATTGGCGATTCCGGTGAGAAGCGTTCAATGGGCAAGCTGGAGAAGATTGGCGATGAGCCTGGGGAGTAAAGAGTCAAATGACAATGCATGGTAGTTGGACTCAAAAGGATCAAAATTTCGAACTTCTTGATATTCTTGAGGAAAATGCAAAGGCTAGACTCGGTAATAGGAATTTAATAGCGACAAAGACAATGATAGCATGCGCTACAGAGCAATCTGGGCATCTTAGGGGATATATGCTTGTGAAAAATTTTTCGTCCATTGCTTTGACTAAAAATTACGTGCAATAATAGATATAGGGCTATGTAAATGGTATGTCCGATCCCAGACCCAAAAGGCCTTCAGAAGGTCAGCTTGTGAGAAATGAAGAGAGACCTGTAAAGTGGGAGAAGGGTGCAATTCCGTTCTTCTGTGGCGCAACTGACACCTGGTTACATCACTGAAAGGATGTCCAAGCAACACGGGTAATGTTAGTCGCGCCGCCGCACGAAGAAGGAAAGAGAAAGGAGGAAATGTCGCCGCCGAGAAAGAAAATTTATAGCAGAATTCCGGATTATCTGCTCTTCCGTAGCCCGCAGAATAACCGATAATCATTACATAATCAAGCAAGGACTGCAACTTTTTTTTTTCTGTTGTGTTTTTGCTTTCCTTTTTTCTTTCCATAAAAATTATTTGGCCTGTGATGAGGATAATGGAATCATATGATAGGAAGAGACTGACTCCTAATGGAGCTTGATCTTAACAGAACCATCCCTGAGGCCATGTTGATTTTTGTTAGCTGCTGGAATAATCAGAATATCAGAATTAGCTTTGGATTTTTCATCGTGCCGGTCGACCTGCAAACATAATCAACCAAAGGAAAAACCTTAGGGCTAGCTGGGGACCTGCGCCGCAACACCAGAAATTAAGCATAAAACACCTGCATGTGATGCTCAACCGCTTTCACCTCAAATTCCGCGCATAATCACTCGTACTCGTACGCTCTCCGCCAAGCCCTAGGCACCAGCTCGCAGGAAATGAGTTTCAGGCGAAGCGAAGCGACCTGGACCCATTCTTGAGGACCCTGGACGCAAAGCTATTCCACTATATGGAGCACAAGCTCCGCCGAACACTGGAAGCTGTATTTGAAATTTCGTCACGGTCTCTGGTACCCGTTCCCCGCGGAATACGGACAATGACGAAATCTTTCCGGTGAAAGGATACCGTCTCGACCAGATAGATGCATCGTAGGCAGCAGGTGACGACAGACCAGCCAAAAGTAGCGACAGGATCCATGGATCAAATGGATCCGAGATATCGATCGCGGGCCGACAAATCCACCTCGAACCCGGCCCGGCTTGGACAATTGGAAGAACGGATGCATACGGCTTCGGCGCTTCGGCATGTTCGGCGCTTCATAACGATACTGTATGAAGAATATGCATTCTGGAACTCGGCGGTAGTCCGCCGCGCTGGTCACCATAAACAGTAAGTGCAGCTCCGTAGGCAAGGCTGAAATTTCTCCAATTGCGCCGCGAATCCACTCTAGGTTCGACGGTGGTGTAACATCGTCAGCGGGGATGGGATGGAGACTAGGCTGGAGAATGGAGATGTGGTGTGGTGTGCCTTTTTGCAGTTATGGATCTATCATGCCACAAAGGTCTGTGATCCACGGATGAGAAAGCTGCTGAAACAAATAAACTGGCAGTAGTGCCTTTCTGCCAAGGTCTGTTGATGTCGGCGGTCCTATATTAGATACGGGGTACGATTTGTAGTGTATTACTCATTGAATGAATCATGTTAGACGATCCCGCATCCCGTGCTAGACCCAACGATTGGCTAATCGATTTGTGTCTCCGGTAAGCGATGTTGGTGGCTGTTTGAATGAGGATCTCTTGGCTGCTCTATCGTTTAATGGCGAGGGCAGACCCGCTTGTATCCGCCTCGACACGAGCGGAGGAATCCAACCAGTGTTCTTGTGGCCCCGGCACACGCTGCCTGGTGGTGTACCCACCACCCTGAGCACGTGTAGAAATGGCTATGTGTTCTTTGGAGGAGCGTGAGGGCGTTGAAGAAGGGTGGAGAGGCTTATAGTAGTGCAGTACGTATAGTAGCCACAGTTCACACTAAGCGTTAGTACAGCGTAGTCGACCTTCCAGAAGGGAAAAAGAAGGAAATTTTCTTCAGCGCTAGCTCGCCTCTTAATTAACCCCCTTCTAGCGTATCTAGTAAAAAGTGTAAATAAAGGCAGACGCTAATCATGCGCGAAGGTTTTCGGCTGCCAAGTTTCAGACCAGGACCTGAATTTTGGTTTCAGTTCTGGGCGGATGCAATCTAATCGCCACGCTGGATTGCGGGAGTGGATTCTCTTCAGTCTCTGCCATTGAAGGTGTGTCCAGTTGAAAAAAAAAAAATCCATCCCCCAACACCTATCTCTTATCATTACGTACACTCAAATACCCGCAGATTAATCGGAGGGTCGTCTGAGGCTTCCGGTAGATTCTGACTATGCATTTTGCAGGAGCCACTTCCTTGGTTGTGAGCCGCGTGGGAGCAAAACTATCCGATAAGAAATGGAGTCGGGTGGTCGATCTCGATCGCACAAGACCAAAAAACAGGAACGGGAATTTCTCCAGGTGGGCGCACCCTTCGGAGAATTGTTCAGCGCCATTTGTTTGGCACTGTGATTCGATGAAAAGCTAGGGCTGGTATCATGGAGTTTCCACTGCGGTCGGGAGATTCACAGAAATAAATGGGGACGGAGGTGATATTGATATCGAGTAATGATCTGCTCCGATTAGGTGGTGAAAGGGAAAGGGACCAGTGTCCGAAATCGGATGTGCTCCGGATATGCTATCGCCGACCCAAGGACTGCGCTGGAGACAAGACACACAAGGTACCTGCGCAATGACTTCAAAAGGACACCGAGTGGCCTGGGGCCCGATAGGGTTTCGGCTGGGAGGCGGGAATCTCGTCATTACACCGGGGACTTGCATGGTGTGGGCTCCAGTACTTGACCCAGGACCAGCTATCGTGTGCGTGGGTAAAAAGCGGACGGAGCACGATACGGATTTCCGTGGGTGGGGGCGAGTGAAAAGAGAAGTGTACCTGAGTCAAAAAAAAGTCAAACCCACGGAATCGGTTCCCAGGATAGCAGTGCACAGTTCGTGTGGTTCAGCGGGCTGGCCCCCAGGTACCACGTTTCGGGTTTATTGCACCTTTGAGATGCGGAGACTTACGCCGGCAGAGATAGCATACTGCAGGTTGCCCCATCGTGAGCGAATTTTGGGGACCAAGTACGCCACCTTGTTGGCTCGGAGCCTGCATGGGATCGGGAGCACTAATGCACAATTTCAGGTCCAGGAACGCTTAGGATCTCTTTTGCCACAAGCTGCTAAATCCCTTCTCCGTATTCTCCGTATTCTCCGCATTTTTGGGAACCTCATTAAGCTTGAGAACAATAATTGCGAACCGACTCTAGAAGCGCCGGAAAAGAGTTTCTGGTGTGTGATTTGCGGTCCACCGCGGATCTCATAACTGGAACCAGTGGGGAGAAGATAAGCCAACTATGTCCCTATGGAGTAATGAAGCTTTCCGCGCAAAAGCAAACAAATAACCAATTCCGACAAACTCTGTGTGCCTGAAGATTGCGGTTTTTTTTTTGCGGGGAGTCTCAAACTAGTTGGAATAGTGGGAAAATAACAAAGTCGAGAAACTTCGATTGGTCTAGCAGGATCAATGCCGAGGAACCAGCATTAGTGCAGCCCACCCATTTCCCCGTACGGAAGGGATGTTTGGTTGCGATAGACAGCAGATCTTACCGAAAGAATCCTTCCCATTGTCCACGTTCCTGGCCGCCACAATGGCACCAGGGAGGTCAAAGTGTAGGTTTTCCTCCGTCAATAATGCGGTATCCTCCTGGGGCACATATTGGCTCGACCACTTAGCAAGAAAAAAGTGCAAGTTACAAGCGCCATAGGATACCAGGGTGATCATAGCTCTTCTGTACCAAATGCACACCTAGGACTAAATGCCCGATTAGGCATGGTGTCGGGTGCAAGAGCCAGTCTCACCCAAGGTTCACCTCGAAGAAAGTTTGGGCGATCGACTGTGCTAATCTTCTCTGGAGTTGGAGTACAGACGATACCGAAGACTGGTTCGGTTTACATGTGCGGGTTATCTCAAGCTTTGTGTGGTTGGTTAGGGCTTCGGAACAGGCCGTCAATTAATTTGGCCCCCCCGGGATTCATGCGTACCTGGTGCGTATAACAGACCCAAATAATGGGAGTAGCAGACGAAATCCCCGATTGGGTAAAAGATACTGTGTCTCTTGGCCCCGGTGTACTCTGCGGTCCCATGGATCACTGTCCGTGAACTTGGTTTTAGCCGAGAAACTCGTGTCGTATCCCCGCATTTTATTTTGGGCCGGTGCAGATACAACTCTGTTCCATTTTAATTTGGTTTTGAACACATGCTCGGTGGTGAAACTGTCCCCGAGTTGCCACCGTTAGCCGAGTAGGGACGGCTGTTCCGGAGAGCGCCCTGAGCGCAAAGCCAAACCATTCGAAGGATTTGACTAGAGACCGTTGCAATAGATTGAGATCTAGCGCCCGAGGTAGTAGCCGGGGACGAACACCTTTCCATTCAAATTAATATCGAACGGTGGCGAGTCAAGACGTTTGGTGGAGGCTGGGCCATCCAATGCAAGACATGTCTGATGAGCGTTCACAGGTGACCAGCACCGTAAGCTGAGAGTTCTAAGAAAAAGAAAATCTCATTCTAAGTTCTCATGATTGTGGTGTAAGATGATGTATGTAGACTTTCTACTGACACATTTCCTAATCTGGTCAGACATGCATCGTGGTAGTTTCACTGCAAGTCTGGGCTCTGATCCCACCAAAAATATGCTATAATTCTTCTGGCTTAGTAGGATCTATGCTATAGAGGTACTTTTGTCATATCCATAGTCACAGGGCCTTCACACCGCTATAGAGTCCCCTGTGTAGACAATTAGAAATAACGCTATGGAGGGTCTCGAATTTTCGGGCGTGGGGCGGCCAGCCAAGACCCCGGCGTACGCTAGCGCCATTTGGGCCTGGAAAACGCGTGTACCGTCGAAGCCACTAGCAATGGGTTAACCTGGTGTTTCAGATTTCAAGCTTACCTGGGAGCGGGAAGGTCCGACCGAAATTACTCCTCCAGAAAAGAAAATCTTCCTAATACAGTGTAGTAGTATCGGTGGTATTCTACTCTCCACATTTTTATGGGATTCGAAGGAGTTCCGTTCCAGTTTTCTTGCGAATGAGAGGCTGCACATGGGTCCCAGGTGCCTGTTATTTGGAAGATCTGCAGACTGTCAAAAAAGCCAATGGGTCCGGCCATGCATACCATCTCCCAAGGTTTTCCCAAGAAAGTACGAAATACGGAGTGTTCCAAGTCGAGTCGGGAGAAGTTACTCTTTCTCGGTTAGCAGGAGTGACAAAGTTCAGTAAAGTCGAAGTTTAGAATCCATTCTCAACCTTAACTGTAAACGTGAAGAAGTTCGGCAAGTACAGTGCGTGCATGGTTGCGTTGGTAGCCGTTCTGTTTCAGGACCAACTTATGATAGGGATGCCTGCAGACGATCACGGACGATAGCATGACCCAGTTACTCAGCAGAACCTTGGAACCATGAGATATTGCATGATGATCTATAAAGTATGTACTGTATTCGGGACTCCATATACACTCCACCATGTTTTAAATGTTCGGATTTTCATGATGGCACCATCATAGCGTAGGCCCTGCAGCGAACTTCTAGCCGTTATTCATCAGATTGGTGCAAGGGTGTTGGTCGGATGGCCGGATGGTGTAGTCCGTATGAAAGAACCTGGCGGAGACCATACGTATAGCAATGCTATTCCTGTAGCCACTCAGAGATCCACATGGCTGTCTTTTTGTCTTTGTTTTCCGTAATGGCGATAATGCGGGTCTTTGATTCGAGCAAATGCGAATAAATCCATCGCTCTGAATAATTGGCGTCAATCATACGTTCGACCAGTCCAGACGACGAGTCCTACGAGTCGTGGTGGCGTTGCTTTGATGCGTAAGCTCAAAAGCTTTCAATGACGGGGATCATTTGAAACGCGATGTGCACTTCCGTTGGACCCTTGCGCCAACGCTGTCCGACACATCAACCCTCGAGGTCCGACCGATTCCCGTTATAACGGTTTTTGCCTAGACTCGACAGCTCAAATTATTTTTATGATGCCTCGAACAAATTTGCCTTCCAGTACTTTGTCCTCTCTACACACGTATGTATGCATCCTATTATCAATCTCTCCAGCGCTGTGTCTTTTGTCGGATACAAGCATAGGATGATCGCCAACGGTCTGTGGCATCACAAACCCCGAGAGCCCCAGCCTTTTTTCCCATGAGGTGTTTGATTGGTCGGGGGGCAAGAGGTCTCCAATTGTGATTACGAGAATCATTCCCAATGGATAGCTCCGGTTCATTTTCTTTCTTCCAATCGACACAGGCAGTTTGCTTCTTCGGCAATGGGAACTAACTGTAAAGGATCAATGGGAATGGGGATCTTCGGTCCAAGACTTCCACTATTGACAGACCGCTATCTGCGCCAAAAGCACTGAAGCATAGGAGCTCCAAGCTCACCCGTGTTATCCCCGAATGTCCACAAAGAAGCTCCATCTGCACGCATTTGAGTCGCTCGGCTGTTCTGGAGGACCTTCCGCGACACATTTCTTTGGGGCTAGGAGCCGCCCGTCCGTCGGCGCGTGTGCGCTATCTCCAGTTTTTCTTTTTCTGACTCCACCGGGCAAATCCAGACTGTCCGCACATTCGTTCCGGTATAGCCACATGCATGGCTCTTCCCGTTCCTGGCTCCAGTGTTGGGGTAGCTTATAGCTCTACTATGTAGTAGTGTACGTTAGTTGATTTTTGCCGTGTGATGAGGTCATTCCAAGCTTAATATTGGTACCGGTGAGTTTTGCCTTAAGTGGGTTTTATCTTTATCTGGATGCACGATATCGGTTCAATAGCGTTGGCGTAGTCGGGTTCTAAGGGTTAATATTTCCTTTCTTTTTTTTTTCTTTCTCTTTTTGCCTGGTATTGGCTGCCCCGTGGTCAAGAAGGAATTTACTGTCTGTGCGACAACGGTGGCGGCCAAGGCAACGGCGATAGCACCTGCAATAGTAGCAAAGCCAAAATTAACGAATTTTTGGGCGCATGAATCGATTCATCCATCACAGTCGTGAACTAAGTTAAATTATTGCTCATGTGGCGAATAAAAAATTATGATCACAACTTTAATTTTCTATGCATAGGTAGTGTGCCTTGTACAGGCAACACTGAGGGTTTGGTGATCGTAATGCGGGAATAGTCTTCCCCTCCGACGCAAGGCTGGTTCTCACTAGATCGCTAGCTCAGGATCATTGGATTTCTCGAAGAAGGATTGACAGCCTTCCATGCATGGCTCTACGTACAGTATTACCCTATCGCTTGGGGGAAAATGTATCCCCAGTCAATCCACGGGGCTCATGAATTGTGGACCTCCATCCAAGTGGAGTTGGAAGGCGATCAAGCCGAATGGAATTGGCTCAACTGTGTGTGGAAATCCATCTCCAATTTCCCACTTTCACGGCGTGACTTCCCACTTGGATAGATGATAAGCTGTGATTGGTAGCGGAAGATGAAGGAATCCCGTCCGACACTTTTGTCCGTGCTGGGGATAGCGGCAGCCAAGATGTGGAGCGCGCTATGTTTAGAAGCGGCCAATGGTGCCCAGTTGATGCACACTCCGGACGGGCCCCCGAAGGAAATGATGGGCGACTCGATGCTTTTTGGTTCTGGACTCGAGGGCGTGCATGCAGTGAGTGGTTTGGTTTGACGAAGATATCGGTTTTGTTTGATGGTATTTTATTTTCATTTTTTTTGGTATTAACTTTTTTTTTCTTGTGTTGGAGATGGGTTTGTTTATTTTTCTTATGTGGGTAACTTGGAGCTGGTGTGGAAATAACCCAAACTTCTGGCAAACTTAACCCGCGACTCAAAAACAGAACCCATGTTAGCATTGTGCCACAACCTTTGCGTTACCTAGAGATTGGCACCGGACCTTGCTTGCGTGGCGCTGTGTGCAGGTGTAGGTGATGAAGAAGTTTGATGTATCGGATTTTCCATGCTGATGGATCACAGTGGTGCGTTCCCCGGATCTACCGATCAGAAGTCAAGTGCCATCACACTGCAATCGGAACACATCACTTGGCGACATGTACCTAGACCAATCATTATCACCAGTTTGGGAAAAACCCAAAATACTGAGCTGTCCAGTATCGCAGCAGGGACTGTCCAGCTATAGTCTGTAGGCGCGATGTCATGGAATGCATGAGCGTGGGACCCTGGAGCCAATCCGATGAGCGGATTGGCAGCAATGAGAACTATCTCTCCGGTCGCCACGCTGATTTGCGAACAATGACTGCATTTCGAGCCTTGCTGATATCCATGGTGCAGCCAATAAAAGCAGTAAGCTTCGTTGTGGTTCTTATTCGGCTTGTGCCTCCACAGTCTTGTTCCTGCAGTAGGCCACGCAACTTGACAACATCACAGGTGGATATTTCTAGATTTGTTTTTGATGTTGCCTTTTTGAATTCATCTTTCTGGAGATCTTGAGCCCTTACAGCTGAACGAACGGCTAAGTTCCAATACGAGAACGAGAAACCCCACCCCCCCTCCCACACAAGCGATGTCGTATACTGTATGGTAGAATTTTGATAGGATCGTACTCTATAAGGACTGATAAAATCCTGGACTGGTAAGTGACGCTTCTCGGCCATCACACTGCACCGAGGAGTCTTTCCGTTGTACTTTTGGCTGGCCATGTGAAACTGACCAGGGTGGAACAGATGCGCCATTGGGAATGAGCCAATGCCGGCCGTTTCACGATCTGGTCGCACGCTGGTTGCCACCGTTGATAGTCTTGATCGGCAGGAAATGAGCGATGAGGCCTAACCTTCATGCAGGCGACGAGAATGGCTGAGCCCGTTCGGGCATTGATAAACCTTCTTTTCGGCGCGCACCCAAAGTACATGGAAAAGAAGGTTTCCACAGGATGATCGCATGGTCGAAGGACTTGGGGGGGAAATGGGCCTCCGAGGTGATTCAGATTGTCGATCGCGGTGGACATGCCCTGGCAGCCAAATGACGAAGACGGGACACGCGTGGGGCTAAGAAAGGCCCAAATTCCTTCGGGACACGGCCATTGGTGTGGTGTTATGGGTGGAACCGCCTCTCGCTGATAAGAGGTGCAAACTGATTGCCGCTGTCACCATCTTGGATCCAATCGTCGTGCACCTCGTGGCCACACCACGCCATCCCGAATTTTTGGCTTGACCGCGGTGTGCCTGACAGGACGGTTCTCTGCAAATGATCTGCGAGAGAAGGTAGGGACGTGGGGGGTAGAGCGGTTAGAATCATTATTGTCTACTCGTTATTCGCTCTATTGCTTTTTTGGATTATCTTGTACAATCGATAATGCTGGGCTCGGTGAAATTAAATCAGCACAGCCTCTCTCCGCATTCCAGCGCGTAACACCACTCGTGCTCTTGACTCCACTCTCAATTTGGGCGCTCCGACCGATGTGGGTTCCCACAGGCGGGCCAGTGCCCGTCCCTTTGGGTAAGTACGCCCCACTGGTCCTGAGTTACACGCTGCTAATCCCGCCCCAGACTGATACCATTTTCTTTTTCTTTTTTTAATTCCTTTTTCAAAAAATGATTGTCCCCAAAAATACCGTAACATAATTCCCAAAATTCATAATTAAAATCAAATAAAGGTCTTGACCCACACTCCGTTCTGCTTGTATGTACCCGGCAAAAGTAGAAGAGCAGATCACTCATTTAACCCACCGCTGCTGCTCTCCCTTTTTCCCCTTCCTTTCTGTCCATATCGTGTCTCTCTTTATTTTATTTTTTGATTTGGGATTTTTATTTCTTATTTTTCTTCTTATTTCTTTCCTTTTCCCACTAGTCCTTGTCTCTCGACTGTTTTGGGTTTGGGACGGTTTATAGCAACTTATTTGGACTACACCTTCCCTTGTCTCTCCGGTTTCCTATCTACAGGATCCTGTCCTTCCTTTGAACACTACTACACCTAATTCTCGTGTCCTCATCCCATACATTCTTTTCTACTTATCGTGAAAAGGACACTCCATCAATTCGTCCCTCAACTTACTCTACCTTAATACTTGGAATACAACTTGGTTGCATTCCTATACACACAGGTATGTATATCAACGTTGGGAGAACGAGATCAATTGGGAAAGAAACCTGTGGCTGACAGGGGCAGCAGCCTTCTACAATGGACTCAACTTACACAGTGACACCGACTCCGGTGCATGGACAACCTTCGTTTGCATACTACGATAACTCAACACAGCAACAAGGCCACTACACCAGCCAGCCATCAGACCTGCCGTGGTATGGACAGTCGCAGTACGCGACCCGGGGGATGGAGCAACCAATCTACCAGGCTCCGGCCATGAATATGCACCAGATGGCCACCACCAATGCCTTCCGCGGTGCTACCATGAGCATGACTCCAATTGCCTCGCCCCAGCCCTCTCAGATGAAGCCCTCCATTATTGTGCAGCAAGGCTCTCCCGCCTTGATGCCTTTGGACACCCGCTTCCTGAGCCACGATATGTACGGCTTCCCATCTACGCCACCACTGTCGTCCTCTGGGAGCTCCATCAGCAGCCCCCCGTCTGCCAATGGCACCTTGCACACCCCGATCCACGACAGCTTCTTTGGCTTTGACAAGGTGGAGGGCGTCAAGGAGGGGTGCGAGACTGATGTGCACACTGAGCTTCTGGCCAACCAGGATTGGACACGCACTGATTCGCCTCCAATGACACCTGGTAAGTGATCGACCGACTCGAGATGTCAAAAATTTAGTTACATGCATAATGGCCCAAGTGTCACATGCAAGGGGGATCGAAATATGATAGATGCTAATCTTGGAAACAGTGTTCATCCACCCGCCATCACTTACTGCCAGCCACTCGGACCTGCTCTCCGCCCACTCTTGCCCCTCGCTTTCCCCCTCCCCCTCTCCCGTCCCCACCGACATTCTCTCCCAATCTCAGACCTTGACTGCTGAGCACCCTGGCGCCTCTTTCTGCGATCCCCGTCAGCTCACAGTTGAGCCGTCGGTGAATGTGCACACCCCCCAGGACCTCCCTCCCCTGCCGACCCTCTCTTGCGAAGAAGAGGAGCCTCGTGCCGTTGTGGGCAGCGCCTCTGTGACGCTCCCCGTCAATGAGAACCCGTCTCCCTCTTACACTTCGTCAACCGAGGACCCTCTGAGCTCTCTCCCTACCTTTGACAGCTTTTCGGACCTCGACTCGGATGATGAGATCAACCGCCTGGTGGAGTTCCACCCGGCCGCCAATGCCGTCTACTTGGGTGATAAGCGCCAGCGGATGAACCAATATCTGGCTGAGGATGACGGATTCCTCAGCGAGCACAGCATTGAGGACTCGGATGACAGCGAGACTTTCGTCCTTCCCACCGGCTTGCCGTCCTTCGATTGGACCGAGTCAAACCAGTCGGCTCAGTCCGAGGCCGATGAGGAGGAGCCCAAGACCAAGAAGCGTAGCAACCGCAAGTCCGCCCGCAAGAACGTCCAGATCGATGAAGAGGTTGAGCACATGTCCACGGCCCACTCCCACTCCCCGGGAGCTGACAGCTGCTGCACTGACTCGGAGCCTGCACCTGTGTCGGTCAACCGTCGCGGCCGCAAGCAGTCTCTGACCGAGGACCCATCCAAGACTTTTGTCTGCACTCTTTGCTCTCGTCGGTTCCGTCGCCAGGAGCACCTCAAGCGCCACTACCGCTCGCTGCACACTCAGGATAAGCCTTTCGAGTGCAACGAGTGTGGCAAGAAGTTCTCCCGCAGTGATAACCTGGCTCAGCACGCCCGAACCCACGGTGCCGGATCGATGGTCATGGGCGTCTTGGACTCGAGTGAGGCCATGTCGTACGATGACCAACACGACGCCGGTGCCCTGGGGGCCGTTATGTACGAATCCCAAACTGGTTCCGAGGCCAGCCCTGACCGGCGATCGGTCAAGAAGCGCAAGCGTGACTTGGCTTAAGTCTCTGGTCTTGGGCTTTGATGATTTTTCATGAGACCAGGAGCTTCCTACTGCATTTATAATAACATACATTCGGTCTGGGTCTTTTTAAGGAAGCTCAATCGTGTCTTCATTGGGTTTGGCGTCCGCGGGCATTTACACTGGTGTCGGAAACATGGTCATCGGTGTATGACACCTTTTTGGTTCTTTGCATCTCTTTATCGGAAATCGGGGATAAACACGCCCGAGGGCTGTTTTTTGGAGAAGTTCTTTCTACTCATGGGCGTTCGGAATCCATGAAAGGGGAAGGCAAAAAGAACCAAAATAGATGGCATCCTGTCCCTTCGGAACAGGTGGCAGGATCTGGTGTTCGATTTCCTTTGTCATTTCTTTTGTCCTTTTCTTTTTCTCTCTTTCACCTGAACCAACACGAAACCAACATGGGCAGTTCGACTCTCAGCCCTGGGGCTTTTGAATCCTGGTTTTTGGTTTTGTTTTCCCCCTCAAAATCTCCATCTTTCATCCTTTACACTTCTTCACTTCGCTTCCGTTTCGTTCATCTGTTGAATTGTTTATTTCGATGTAATATCTTTTCGAGCTTTTTTGTCTTTGATTCTTGTGCTGGTCACATTCGTGTATAAGTTAATTTGGCCACCCTTCTTATTCTTGTCATCTTTATTCTTGTCATCATCCCCCCATTTTTCATACCCCTTCTTGTATTGCATTTGCCCTTTTGTGTTGGTCTCAGGTCATCTTCATCCGGTGTGGATTTAGCAACATCAAATTACAAGCATAATTCTCTCTATATTGGTCTCCTTAGTAGAACGTATTGAAACCCTGGGTTCTCTTATGGCTTCTGCCCACAAGGATATTGGTCTAGGTGATAAGAAAACGCGGTAACTTGGCAACTGGTGGCACTAGATGGCTTATCACGCTATCGATAAGAGGGACAAGGCGGGGAGGAACAAAAAAAACCCCCATGCATCACATTGACCAACACAGCTCGGGGCAGATGGATTGAACCTTGAAGACATCCAATATTTCCTAATCCCTACAATCAATCACAAAATGCCGTCTCAATCATCTCAAAGCTTAAACGTCATCGCCCTAATCTCAGGCGGCAAAGACTCCCTCTACTCCATCCTGCACTGCATCCGCAACGGCCACAAAGTTGTCGCATTAGCAAATTTACATCCAGAATTAAGGCAAAACACCCAATCAGCCGAAAATGATGACGAAGAAGCCGACATAGACAGTTTCATGTACCAAACAATCGGTCACAGCGTAATCCCTCTATATGAATCCGCGCTTGGCATCCCACTTTACCGTGCTGCCATCACTGGCGGGGCAGTCGATACCTCCAGAGTGTACCGACACGATACCGCAGACCAAGCTGCTGAGAGTGGATCCAGTGCAGCTGAAACTACAACAGACGAGACCGAATCTCTCGTTCCACTCTTGCGTCGGGTGATGGAAGCTCATCCCGAAGCAAATGCTGTTTCGGCTGGTGCTATCTTGTCTACGTATCAGCGGACAAGAATCGAGAATATTGCTGGTAGATTGGGTCTTGTTCCGCTCGCTTGGTTGTGGAAGTATCCCTCGCTCCCGGCGCCGGTTGAGCGCGATGCTGATCCCCTCGCTGTTAGTGAGGCGGGCTTACTTGAGGATATGGCGGCGGTGGGGTGCGATGCTAGGATGATTAAGGTTGCGTCGGGTGGATTGGACGATGGGTATCTGTGGGAAAATGTTTCTGGATCTGGGAACCCAGGGCGCGTATTGCGGAGACGAATGACAAGGGGGATGGGGAGGTTTGCGGCGGCGGAGGATATTAAGGGAGCGGTTTTGGGTGAGGGGAGGTGAGTATGAGACTTTGGCGCTGGATGGACCTTCTTTCCTTTGGAAGAGTAGGATTGAAATCGAGGGACGGAACGTTGGGAGTGGAGAGGGGGGTGTTGGTTATTTGAAGTTGAAGGGGGCGAAATGCGTCCCAAAGTTGGCGGAGGAGGGAGAGAAGAAACTTGAGCCCAAGGATGTGAGAAGGCCGGCTTTTTTGGATGCACAATTTACGGCTGCGTTGAAGGATGTCTCTGTTGCATTGACTGAGCCGGAGTTAGCGGACACAGATTTGATGTTTAGCAAGAATACGGCTTCAGCGCCTGCTTGGTCTGTCTGCGAGCCAACTTATTATCGATCTGCATCGACATGGACGATGGCGAACTTGATGGCCCCAGAGGCTGGCCCTGATGCTGGTGAGCAGATGAATGCAATTGTCGACAAAGTGCAGCTTGCGATGAAGTCTTTTACTGCTGATTCGGGAACGCGCTCGACAGAAGACATCGTCTTTGCTACAGTGTTGCTGCGCTCAATGGCAGACTTCGCCCTGATGAATAATGTTTACGTCTCGCTATTCAAGAAACCCAATCCCCCTGCCCGAGTCACCGTCGCATGTGGTGATTCACTTCCGTCCAATGTGAAGGTGATGGTTTCCTTCGTGGTGAACTTGGGATCGCGCAATCGGCGCCAGGGCCTCCACGTTCAATCGCGGTCATATTGGGCCCCAGCAAATATCGGCCCCTATTCCCAAGCTATGTCTATTCCTCTACGTGACGAGAGCAGAATAGTCTACATTGCTGGTCAGATTCCCCCTTGAACCGGCTTCTATGGAGGTGGCCACCGAAGGAAAGTCGTGGCTCGAGGATTACCGTCTACGGGCCGTACTGGCTCTCCAACACCTGTGGCGAATTGGTGAAGAATTGGAAGTGGACTGGTGGTTAGGAGCCGTTGCATTTTTGACGGGTGGGGAGCACATTCAGACCCAAGCCCAGGTGGCGTGGCATCTTTGGAAGAAGATGCATACACGGCCTGATGATGCCGAGGATGACGACTCAGATGAGGGCCCACAGCTTGATGCGTGGGACATAAAGTATGGAGGCCGGGCGGATGAGCTCGTCCCTGAAGCTGTTTCTGCCACTTTGCCCAAATTCTCTGTTCTTGACGAAGACACTCCTACTATCTCGCCATTCCTTGCCGTCGAAGTTGATGAGCTTCCTCGAGGCAGTGATATCGAATGGCAGGGCCTGGGTAGCCGCTGTCAAAAAGCTCAACTGGAGAGCAACCAGGACTCGACCTCTGCGACTATCGATGGCAGATACAGCTATATTTGCCAAGAGTATATCAACGACGAATCCTTGGGCTCCTTGGAAGACAGAGTGCGCTCAGCTATAAGCACACACTGTCAGACACAAGGTATCTCCCAGGCGATTCTTTACACCAGAGAACCTGTGGCTGAGGATCTCTGGCCAGGCCAGGTAGTGCCATGCCGGTCCATTTGGGGTCGGGAAGGGCAACCATTAAAAGCTGCAGTGGTTATACAGAACGAGCATGACTCAATTTGATTAGCGGCCATTGTCGCAAAGGAGTTTGAATGATGAAAATGATGAACTAATTACATAGAACTCGAAATATACCTTGGAAACCATTTACTGGTGCGTCAAGCTTGTGATGAGCTGAATACATTGAAAAGGACACCTGTGGACCTGCGATCAAGACAGTGCATTTGTATGAGGCCACTGAGGGACCTGCCAGTCTCATTCGCAACCAATAGCATGTTATTGAGAAACATAGGGTATGCTAATAGAAGAGTCGTAAGTTCCTTTTAGACTAGCCTCTTCAGTCAGATGTCGAACGTTGCGTCTTGGCTGAGATGTTGGGTAACAGTATCTTGATCCTCGAGGTATTGTCTATTGGCAAAGAAATAACGATCAGGGTGATCAAGGAAACGCAACGTGACGTGCTTCGATCTCATTCTATTGCTCTGATAAACCCTTGAAGCAAAACAAGTTGCAATGACGAAGTGCGCCCGAGCATGTGATAAGGCAGAATCCGTTTCCGCGTTTAGTAAAGATAACAACGTCCACGTTCTGCTTCGGATGTCACTTCGAACTTTTTTTTTTCCTTTATACTTTTTCACTTCTTTTTCTAGCCTTTTTCCTTTCACATCTGCGAGGGGATCAAAGCTAACATCCCCATCTCTGAATATCCCTCTCATCTTTTCCGTCTACCGTTCTATCTTCTCCCCAGGGATGACGTACCCATGAACCTAGGAATGGCGCTATGAATTCACCGCGGGGCCAGGAGGAACAGGAAGTGCTCACACGCAGTAGCACACCTGCCACAAGCTCTGAATTAATCGCCGAAGATCTGCGACAATTCACTCGTTCTCCACATCCCTACCACCATAGCCGACGTCTCGGATCCCGCACCCCTTCTGAACAAGGCGACCGTCTCCAACCTCTAACTCCCTATTCCAAGTCCTCGCGGACACCCAGCGACAGCGGTACTGAAGCAGACGATGAGAGTACGGGGATATTAAGAGGTCTTCCTGCGCCGCCGCTTCGGCCGCGTAAGGGCTTGCGCTCCGGCGGAAATGGCTTCGTCGACTCCGATGCTTGGTTGCCTACATTACATCCGTGGCCCTCACTTGCACGACAGTCTAGTCGGGGTTCCCGGAGAAGCTCCGAGGAAAAGCAGGCGGAGGGAGAGGCAGCCGAGGCTCAGCAGCTGAAGGCGAAGAGGCGGATTGAGATCTTGCGCCGGCTGTTGGAAACAGTCCTTCTCTTGTCGATTGGGGCGGTGGTTTTACTAAGGAAAGAAGCTCACTCTCTTGCGTGGGAATGGAGAAAAGGTATGGTGAATTTCAAAAGGCGAATTGTTTGGATTATACTAATGGTGGTACAGAGCTCATTACCCATGGTCTCCTGCTCCTCGGGTTGTATGCTTCATATCCTGTCATTGTCTGTATTGCAAGGACCCGCAAGTCGTATGGACCATCTAAACGTCCATTCTTCAATGTTCCCTCGAGCTTCGATCCCGCTCCGCTCCTGTACCCGATCCTCATTCCGATATTTGTTTCGATATCGCTGGCGAACTATCGTCCGTCCCTGATCATGCCAAACATCATCTTCAGTCTCTCGTCTATCCCCGCACCCGTCATACCGTTACACAACTGGTCCAATGGCTTGAGTCTCCCGCACTGGATGGTTACATTGGTGCCTATTCTCATTTCGGAACACTTTTCTCTTGACTCTACGATTCCCAAACCGCTGTCGCTTCGCGGGCACGATGCCGAAACATTGATTCTTCTTTTTCCTTTGCATCAAGCGTTGATACCCACTTTAGACTTTTTGTTGACAACCAGCATTCTCCCAGCCGAGCTCCAGCTGTTAACCACTGCATTATTGAATTTGTATTTGTTTGCGACATCGCCCCAGGCGGAGATCTTGAAAGCCTTGCTTTGGCTAGGCGGGATGTGCATGTTTGCTTTAGGCCGGGATGTCCTACGTTGGGAGGTTGCACTGGCTCGTATTCCTAGCTGGAAGTTTCGCCGCTCTCTACGCGGCTCGCAATCGCCAAGGCGATTCATAAATATGATGGATCACCGTCTTTGTCAGAAGTTAAGCGGAACCGGCGTCTCCGATGAGCCTACATCGGACAGCGATGGGCCCGGTGCAGTTCCCACGCCACGCAAGGCGAAAATCATGCGTGAAAAAGCCCCTTCGGCTGAACCAATGTCCGCAGTAGGAAATGTCACTACCGAGGAAGTTTTTGAAAAGCACTATCGCGCTGGACAGCGACAGCGCCGCCGGCATACGATCTCCGTCCTGGATGAAGCTGTGCAGAAGAAAGAACGGGTCCGAACTACGCCCGGTGGACGGCGGAAGAAATTGATGGGGCCTGGGCTCGCGTCATTCTTATCGCTGACTGCACCTCAAGCACAAGTCCGCAAGTGGTTATATGCACTCTACATATACGCTGTCTCACTAGTGATTATCTTGGGGCCGATCCGGATATATGTGGCTAAGCAGGCCTTGCAAGGTCAAGATCCATTCGGATGGGCGATTGGATACTTGTTTGGCAACCTATCTGCAGTTCGATTTTGGGTGCTTATGACGAATCTGGAGTATTGGATCCAACTGCCACCGCGCCCGGATGCGACCCTGGAAGATGCAGCTTGCTGGTTCGGGCGGATTGAACATCTCCGACAGACGACTTTCGGACCTGCCAACACTCGCCTTTTACTGAGTGCATACTGCATCGTGGTACTGGTGATGGGACTGGCAGTGGTGTTCCAGCTCAGCTCGGTCGCTGAGGTTGACACACGGCGCAAAGTATTTCATGGGATGATGGTGTTGATGTTTCTGCCTACGGTGTTTGTGGATCCGACCTTCTGCGCCTTGGCATTGGGACTGGTACTTTCAATCTTTTTGCTCCTAGATCTCTTCCGGGCATCCCAGCTACCTCCCATCTCTCGGCCACTGACATACTTCTTGGCGCCATATGTAGACGGGCGGGACCACAGAGGACCTGTCATTATTTCGCATATATTTTTGCTAATCGGATGCTCTATTCCACTCTGGTTATCATTGTCTGATCTTGCTCGCAATGACCAGGGCCCTTGGGTTGGCTGGGACGTGCCTGCGCGCGACGCCAGCATGGTCAGTGGAGTCATCTGTGTTGGCATGGGCGATGCAGCCGCATCGCTTATTGGGCGTCGCTACGGAAGATTGAAATGGTTTTGGGGCGGGGGAAAGTCGCTGGAAGGCAGTGTGGCTTTTGTGGTAGCGGTCAGTGTTGGATTGTTGGCTGTTCGTGCCTGGCTGATGGTGGGAGGTTGGCCAGTGGCTGGCAGCGAATGGGTCGAGGCACCCACCTCGACCGTTCGGTTCTGGCTCTGGACACTCTGCAAGGCCGGATTAGCGGCAGGTGGAACGAGCGCCACCGAGGCGATCCTCACTGGCTGCAATGATAACGTCGTGGTGCCCGTGGTGCTGTGGCTCTTGGTGCGGGGCTTAGGTGTTTGATGCGTGGAGATAGTGGATCCTTGTATAGAATGGCGGAGGAATCTGCCTTTGTAAATTCTGTATACTACATAACGACTTATGGATTCAATCTAGACGATTTTCTTTCAACTGCCCTCTCTACTCCATTTCGTTCTCAAGCGATAAGCTTTGGGGGGCGTTATCGTGCCGATCTCGGGCTTTATCTAATCGCGTCCAATCAGTTATCACTCCCCATATTTAGTGACCTTGGGGATCAGAGTACTCTCTGGGCGCCTGCATGATCTAATTTTCCCCCTTTTTTGCCTGAATTCCCTTGTTCCCATATTTATCACTTTACATCTTTCTTCTTGCTTGATTTCTTGTTCTTTCTATCATTATCTCACCGAGACAACTTGATTTCATCAGATCTAGTGACCCACCCCTCCTGACCGCCCTCGCCCTATCACACTGATTCCCGTTTGGCGGTCACACCCCTCACGGTCCTTGGGTCTAGCTTTCCCGCCTCAATCATCACATCATCCTTCTCTCTCATTAGACCTTGCATTTTCCACAACTTTGGTTCGCCTTCTCCCCCTTATATCCTATTGCAGAAACCCCCCCCCCCAAGCTGCTATACACCCACCACTTTTGCCTCCCGGGTGTTTTGAACCGTTACTGGATAACGTGCATACACCATTTATCCTCTAGATCGCGAGCTGGGGTCTTCATCAACCCAGTCCGTATCATAATTACTGAGCCGCTTGAACCGGCCTCGTCCCATAGCGCCGCCTTCGGCTCCTTTCCACCGTCGCTCTTCTGCTGCTTTATCGTCCTTCCATCCTTCAAGGAATACCTACAGCTTCACTCTCCATCCTGGCTCCCCTGATGGGCCTCTACTTGCGCCAGCCGTCTTCAGTACTTCTGCGGTAGTTGTAGTCGGGGGGTGGTTGACTTCGGATCGTCCTCATAGCTTCTTTGTGGGGTATCAAGGCAGCCTTCCCGCTGCTCTGTGACAGCCATGACTTCCCAACACACCCGGAAGTCTCGTGAGTCCACCCGCCCCGAGATGTCTATCGGGCGATATACACGACTCGATGAGATCGGTCGAGGGAGCTTTGCAACAGTCTATCAGGGTGTTCATACTGTGAGTCATGAATGGCGATCCTTTGAGAAGCTGCTTGAGTTTGCCACTAACCTTTGAGAATATACTAGAAATCACGCACCTTTGTAGCCATCAAGTCTGTCAACATGTCAAAGCTTAATAAGAAGCTCAAAGATAACCTTTCCTCCGAAATCGATATCCTCAAGGGGCTGCACCATCCGCATATCGTCGCGCTTATCGATTGCCACGAATCCACCTCACATATCCATCTGGTCATGGAATACTGTGCTTTGGGAGATTTATCACTTTTTATTAAACGCCGTGATACCCTTGCTGGTCATCGATATACTCGCGATATGATTGCCAAATACCCGAATCCACCAGGCGGAGCGTTAAACGAGGTCGTGACTCGACATTTTCTGAAACAGCTTGCTAGCGCACTACAGTTCCTTCGAGATCGAAACCTCATTCATCGCGATATCAAGCCTCAAAATCTCCTACTTTGTCCTTCACCTTCCTCGTACCGGAGTGGTACGGCCCAAGTCATTCCTTTCAAAGGTAGCGATAATTCCTACGAGCCGATTACAGGTCTGGAGTCTCTACCGATGCTCAAGATTGCCGATTTCGGGTTTGCGAGGTCCTTACCAGCGACTTCATTAGCAGAGACTTTATGCGGGTCCCCGCTATATATGGCGCCTGAAATCCTTCGGTACGAGAAGTATGATGCCAAAGCTGACCTCTGGTCTGTTGGAACCGTACTCTATGAGATGGTCGTAGGACGACCTCCATTCCGCGCCACAAACCATGTTGAGCTACTCCGCAGGATTGAAAAAGGAGAGGATCGAATTCGATTTCCAGAGGAAAACCCAGCCTCGGATAACATGAAGAAGCTGATACGGGGCCTCTTGAAGCGTAACCCGGTGGAACGATTAAACTTCCCAGAATTCTTCAATAATAATGTTATAACTGATGTTATCCCCGGTTTGGTGGCCGACGACGCACCCCAGCCGCGACGCCTCTCTACAGAGGACCTCAATGAGCCGAGACCATACAGGGTTGAACCTCGACCCGATCCAAGATCCGACAAAGATTCACCGTATCTTGCGGATCAAGAAGAGCCTATGACGTATCCGCCTCCCCATCGAGCATCTATCAATCGCCGCAAATCTACAGACTCCCCATTGAGCTCTTCACCGATTCGTCGGGCAGGGAGTGCAGATAGGCCGGCGTCAGGCGTTTCTAAGGAGCATCCCCGTGGTAGTACTCCACCGCAACGACCAGGCGCAATTACTCATGCTACAGCTCCTGGACGACAGGAGCTTGTTGATCGAAATGCTGCGGCCACTGCGATGGATCGACAACGAAATCGGAATACGTACTCGGGGCCTTCCAAGTCACAACTGGACCGATCCCAGGCCGAAAACGAACGAGCGGCCCAAGAAGTGGCATTTGAGAGAGACTATGTTGTTGTGGAAAAGAGGGCGGTTGAAGTCAATGCCTTTGCCGATGAGCTTGCGCACAGTCCACGCATTCAAGGTGGATTTGCCCGGGGCCAGACAGGTGGCCCCCCTCGGCGTGCAACCACCCAAGGGCTGCCAACCGTATCATCAAATTCTCCGCATGGAAATGCTTCCAAAGCTATGCAAATTGTTTCCAACCGTGCCCGAGCAGACTCAACGCACCAGCGACAACATTCATACGAGCGCCGGTATGGACAGAGCCCATCATCGGCAACATCGGCGATTTCCAAAGCTCTCAACATGGCCAGTGGCCGTCTTTTCGGCATGGGCTTTTCGCCTCCGATGGCCGTCACCAAAGGAGGGCGGTCGCCACCTCTGACCTATAACCCATTCCCAGCCTATCCAGCTGCTCAAGCGAGCCTGATGCTTATGGGAGAGGGCCCCAAGACCAACGCTGCTTTCGATGAAGACTACAGGACAGTTTCGGTGATTGAAGAATGTGCAACCCGCAGTGATGTTGTCTATGGATTCGCCGAAGTAAAGTATAAGCAGCTTATCCCGCTGGCACCTTCGGCGAACATTGATCCCCCGAGGCCGAATGAAGCTACCGATGCTGATGACTCTGGTGATGATGGCTTGACGGTTGACGCTATTGTGACTCTTTCTGAAGAAGCACTGGTCCTTTACGTCAAAGCCTTGGCATTACTTGCAAAGTCTATGGACATCGCAGGGGCTTGGTGGTCAAGGAAGAACAGAGAAGATTCCTATGGAGATCATTCGAACCGAAGCGATGGCACCAGCGTGCTAGCCGGTACTCGCATAAACAACGTTGTCCAGTGGGTCCGAAGCCGGTTTAACGAAGTGCTAGAGAAGGCCGAATTTGTTCGACTGAAGCTTATCGAAGCGCAAAGGCGATTGCCACTCGATCATCCAGGTCACCCAGATAACCGTTCTGTCGGATCTACTGCGGCTTCCTACGGATCAGCCGATGTTGTCGTCAGCCCTGGAGTTACTGCCGAGAGGTTGATGTATGACCGGGCTTTGGAGATGAGCCGGGCTGCGGCCATCAACGAGTTGACTAGTGAAGACCTCGCCGGGTGTGAGATTGCTTACGTTACTGCTATCCGTATGTTGGAGGCTATTCTTGAGGATGACGGATCGCAGTCGGCGTCGGGTGTCACGGGTGATCAAGCCTCTAACGGAAGTGACAAGACTTCCTCGGACGATATGCATGGGGAGGATCGCCAGGTTGTCGTCAAATGTGAGTGATATCTGTTGTTTCGTCAAACATGGTCAAGTGCTAAATATCTCAAACAGTGGTCTCTAGCATGCGTGGCCGCCTGACATCTCTCCGTAAAAAGCTCGCTGTCCTCTCCAAACGCTCATCGGCGCCAACGGCCTCTCTGGGTGGTGGTCGCATGCCGTCTTCCAATTTGGTTCCCATCTCACACGCCACAGCGGCTACACCACCTCGGTGATCTTATAGCCCTTAATCTCGATGACAAAGCAATTCATGCCGTTTTGTTGCTCCCCAATGCCTTGGTTCATCATGTATAATCTACCATGGCCAGACGTCCTTTTCGTCTGTTTTCACCTCCTTACTTGTGACCTTTACGTCACCCCACACTGTCTATGATGCCCTCAATTCATGTTGAAACTTTACTGCGTCCGCCATATATCCCATGCACAGGGGAAGAGGAGTTCATTCATTTCCTTGGCTTTGAATTTGTTATTATTTGGTTATTTTTCTTGCTCTGGATTGGTTTTTTACCGGCGTTTATCTGGACTTGTGGTATACAGATTGGCCATCTTATCATTGTATGATCGTTTTTGTCTTTTTTGAACTCGATGCACTAGGTCTGGGAGTTTGGTCATGACTGGAGATCAGAATTGGAATGGAATTGGTGGATTTACTTGCATATATGTGATGCTTAGATGAGACATGGTAATCTTTGAAATCTCCTTTTCCTGTCTTACATTGCGTAGCATCGTATCCCCGATCAAGTAGCCACAATAATGTCGCATCAATGATTTCGATATACAATTCCTTTGGGTTGATCCAGGCAGTATAGAAACTTTGCGGTGGTTTTGTAGTCTTATGAGGTGATTATGCGATCATACAATCAATGCCCCCTCTTCATAGGTCGCTCAACACAATAAATGTCGCTTTTTTGCATCATCTGAAGTAAAACACTGAGCCAATGGCGTGATTTATTTCTATGGGTAATAGTTTGCTTCTAATTTGGCTCCTGAGCAGGCAGCGGTATTTGATAGTTACTGTGAGCACGTACAGTTTCGCAGTAATATAATCGGAAAATTGGAAACCCCCCCCACAATAGCTCAAGCTGAAAAGCGCGAAGGTAGCATAACTTTGATAAAATCTTGTGATTGTTATTGTCCCTGTCATTCTTGGACCCAAAGGTCGGTTGTGATCATGATACCTGTCATCCACTCTAAGCTTAGACCCTGTCGATCTATTTGGATGATTCAGCCCGAACCACTAACTCAGATTTTCCTTAGATTTGGGCTAACTTGATTTAGAACTCGAGTCCTGGTCGATCGCATAGTTAGTATAAACTCAACCCTAAGCCTATGGATTACGTAACATCTTAAAGACGAAGGATATGTCTCTAAAGCGTCGCCCGACAATCCTCGCCAGATTAGGCGTTTTCAGCGCCACGCCACTTATTTAATTGGGGTGACTAGGACAGATGTCTTTGCTACGCCAGGTACCGTTCTTCAGCTCTATGGAAGTCTCGGTCTATCGCTGTATATATGAGTGAACGGTAATTTTATCGCCATGGCAGGCATAGCTGACTACCTCGAATGGGGTAGTGCGATCCCAAAGTAAATAATCGATGACTCAGACGGACAATTCCAATGCGAATAGATATTTGAACTAAAGGGAAAGAATAGGAGCTGGATTTTGTATAAGGAACGGTGGTGAAAAGTATTATCTCGAACATGTCTACCAAAAGTCCCATTTTTCTAGCCATCGCAATGTATACAGCATACGCCTTCCTGCTAGGATGGGCGTAGATCAAGTGGTTTTTCAAGCAGATTTTTGTATGGTTATAGTGCCAGGGGTGCCCAACGGCTGGGAGTGATTTATGTACTCTTTAGATGTGCCCGTTCTTTTCAATTGCAGATGCGAATGGTTGGTCCCACACACACGCAGAGACTGGCTGGAACATTGAGTAATGTAGTATCACGGACTCCGACGGAGTTTTCAGCAAGTGGGTTGGATTCATTTTACTGCCACCAGAGAAAATTCGTTGAGCAGTCATTGGGGGATCCTTATTTGCTAAGAACGAAGAAGTGGGCAAAAATGGTTGTACGACTATTGAACCAGGCGTTACATCACGACAAGACTACATAAACCCATATAGGCATGATTTAGGACGACTTTAGAATACAATTTCTTTGTGCTGACTCAAGTCTCCGTATGTATTGTAAGATTGTAGGGTATTAGCAACGAAATGTCCCAATGCTTCTATGGATGCCCATTCATGTAGCGGAAGCTATCATGAGCCCCTCAAACTGAGTGGAGAAATAGTCTTGCAAGACGGGACAGTTCTTCGAAGAAGATACTGGCCCACAGTCATCTGCCGTGGTATATCAAGGCATGCGCTGGTTTAAACTTGCGTTTGTTAAAGGAAGGAAAATCGAAAGGACGAATTGACTGAGTTTTATAAGAGATCCACGAGCGTCACCGCCTGCCCCGGACAGGGTTCTGCCGGATCCATTCTTTTCCTTATGATTGTTCTCCGAATTGACCGATTTCTCCCCTTTATGCTTCATTGTTCAATTAATATTGTACTATATAATTTTTCATTCTGTATTATTATTGGGCCTTATCCCCCGCCACCTTCTTTTTGTTTCCCGCTTTTCAACCCTTCTAGGGGATTCGTGGTCGCCTAATGCGACGTTTCTCCACGCGTGCGCTGCTTCATTCAAAAGCAAAGCCACCGCTTCTTTCCGCCAGATCCCCCCTCCCCCTCTTTCACTCCGCCCCTCGGTCTGCGACAACTTTAAGACCGACTCGCCCGCGCTCCAATCCTCTCGCCCAAACTTCCAAAAGATACTGTTCATACCGCAGAATGTGTCACTCCCGTCGTGACGAGGTCTCCGGCTCGACCAATGTCCAGGGCCGTGAGGTCCTGCCCACCAACGTGAAGCCTGTGCACTATGATTTGACCCTCGAGCCCAACTTTGAGAAGTTCACCTACGAAGGATCCGTCCTTATTGAGTATGTAACCACAATGGGAAAGCATGCACAGCTACAGGGAGCTTGTGACACTGACAATCCGTGTTCAGCCTGCAGGTGACTGAGGACACCGACTTTATCTCCCTTAACTCCAACGAGATCGATATCCACAGCGCAACCGTTCTGTCGAAAGGCACAGTAGTAGAGTCGAAGCCGGAAATTTTCATGAATAAGGATGCGCAGACCGCTACCATCAAGTTCAACCACGCCCTCTCTGCGGGGTCCGATGCCCAGCTGAAGCTCACCTTCACTGGTATCCTGAACGATAACATGGCCGGTTTCTACCGTTCCTCATACAAGCACAATGGTGAGACCAAGTACATCGCCACCTCTCAGATGGAGCCGACGGACGCTCGCCGCGCCTTCCCCTGCTTTGACGAGCCCGCTCTCAAGGCCAAGTTCACCGTGACCCTGATTGCAGACAAGAGCATGACCTGCCTGAGCAACATGGATGTGGCATCCGAGACCGATATTGAGGGTGGTAAGAAGACTGTCAAGTTCAACACCTCGCCCGAGATGTCGACCTACCTGATTGCCTTCATCGTGGGTCACCTTAACTATGTTGAGACCAACAACTTCCGAGTGCCAGTTCGCGTCTACGCCACCCCCGACCAGGATATCGAACACGGTCGCTTCTCTCTGGAGCTCGCCGCTAAGACCCTTGCTTTCTACGAGAAGGCCTTTGACAATGATTTCCCACTGCCGAAGATGGACATGGTGGCCGTGCCTGACTTCAGCGCGGGAGCTATGGAGAACTGGGGTTTGATTACCTACCGTATCGTTGATGTGCTCTTGGACGAGAAGAACGCCGGTGCCTCCCGAAAGGAGCGTATTGCCGAGACCGTCCAGCACGAATTGGCTCACCAGTGGTTCGGTAACTTGGTCACCATGGACTTCTGGGATGGCCTGTGGTTGAACGAGGGTTTCGCGACCTGGATGTCGTGGTACTCTTGCAATGTGTTCTACCCTGAATGGAAGGTGTGGCAGACTTATGTCATTGATAACCTCCAGGGCGCTTTGTCGCTCGACTCGCTCCGTAGCAGTCACCCCATTGAGGTCCCTGTGAAGCGCGCCGATGAGATCAACCAGATTTTCGATGCTATCTCTTACTCCAAGGGCTCGTCTGTACTGCGCATGATCTCCAAGTACCTGGGAGAGGATGTGTTCCTGCAGGGTGTCCGTGACTACATTCGCAAGCATGCCTACGGCAACACCCAGACTGGTGATCTGTGGGCTGCTTTGGCCAACGCCAGTGGCAAGCCTGTTCAGTCGGTCATGGACATCTGGACTAAGAACGTTGGTTTCCCCGTCCTTAGCGTCACTGAAAACCCAGAAACCTCGTCTATCAGCCTGAAGCAGAACCGCTTCCTGCGTACTGGTGACGTCCGCCCCGAGGAGGATAAGGTCCTTTACCCTTGCATGCTCGGCCTGCGCACCAAGGACTCCGTCGATGAAACTACTATGTTGACTGAGCGTGAGGGTGAGTTCAAGGTCCCTGATCTGGACTTCTACAAGCTTAATGCCGACCACTCCGCCATCTACCGCACTTCCTACTCTCCCGAGCGCCTGCGCAAGCTGGGACAGGCTGCTCGTGATGGTCTTCTCACTGTTGAGGACCGTGCTGGTATGATTGCCGACTCTGGTGCTCTGTCTGCTTCTGGTTTCCAGAAGACCTCTGGTCTGCTGTCGCTCCTCCAGGGTCTCGATACCGAGTCCGAATTTGTTGTTTGGACTGAGATGCTCTCCCGTATCGCCACCCTGCGTGGTGCCTGGCTCTTTGAGGATGCCAAGACTAAGGACGCGCTCAAGGCTTTCCAGCGTTCGCTCGTCTCCGCCAAGGCTCACGAGCTGGGCTGGGAGTTTTCTGAGAACGATGACCACATCCTGCAGCAGTTCAAGGCTCTTATGTTCGGCTCCGCCGGTATGGCCGACGATCCGGTTGTCATCAAGGCTGCCCAGGACATGTTCGGCCGCTTTGCTGCCGGCGACATTTCCGCCATTCACCCCAACATTCGTGGCAGCGTTTTCACCATCGTTCTGAAGCACGGTGGCGTCAAGGAGTACGAAGTTGTGCTGGACCGCTTCCGCAATGCCCCTACTTCTGACGAGAAGACCACTGCCTTGCGTTGCCTCGGTGCCTCCGAGGACCCGGCTCTCATCCAGCGCACTCTCGACCTGGCCATGGGTGACGAGGTCAAGAACCAGGATATCTACATGCCGCTCGGCGGTCTTCGCGGCTCCACGGCCGGTATTCAGGCTCGTTGGACCTGGCTCCAGAAGAACTGGGACACTGTCTACCAGCGCCTTCCCCCGTCCCTCGGTATGCTGGGTACTGTCGTGCAAATGACTACCAGTGCCTTCGCCACTGAAGCCCAGCTCAAGGACGTTCAGGCCTTCTTCGACTCTAAGGATACTAAGGTTGGTTCCTTCCCACACTTTTCTTCTTCCATTGCATATCTGATCTTTTTTTCTACAGGGATACGACCGTGCCGTTGAACAGAGCCTTGACGCCATCCGCGCCAAGGTCAACTGGATCCAGCGCGACGGCGAGGATGTCGAGTCCTGGCTGAGCAAGAACCAGTACCTCCAGAGTAAGTTGTGAAATTAATGTAAGTATTAATTCGGAGCTGGCGGTCTTTTTCGGGTCTTACGTGTCTGAATTTATTGAGTCAGACTTCAACAGTAGCACACGGGCTGTGTCTGTTGGCCCTGTCGGAGCTTTATCCTCCACTCTTTCTTATCAAGCATAGATCTACAGTTAAACCTTCATCTTGGCTCTGAACGGGAGCAAGGCAACAATATACAAAAACCTTCGTTGTCGTCTATCACGGTTGTTTCAATCTATGTTATTAATTCATATACGCTAAACCTTTCCCCAGCCAACGCCACAGTAAACGATGCACCATATCATCGTAATGCGTGTAATGTAGGAAACCCCCGGAGTTCTATTCAAAGCTGTCAATATAAGGTGGAGTGATTGATGATTGACAAAGAGGCTGCTTACCCTAGAATTTGTATCTGGGAAGGATGGAGCGTAAAGAAGCAAGACGTTTGAATGGCCCAGAGGTTGTTCTGGCTTTTTCTGATGAGCTTTGAACATCGTTCGGTAGTGGTTTGGACAAAGGTTTGAACCCGTTCTGGGCATTGGGTTCTCTTTTCACGGGAGGAAGGGCAAGATGCATGTTGCGTAAGTATAATGATGAATCTATTTCCTATCGCCGGGCAGGCATGGTATATGAAGGGGGTTTATAGCGCTTCCGAACGACTCGTGTTCATAAGTACTATCAATCACCAATCATACCTAGCTGGTTCCTGCCCGCATTTTAGCGCCAGCCGTTATCATGATAAGCCGATTACGACTTCAAGACTTCGGGGGCATGATAAGCTCACGAAATCGATTTCCCCTCCGATCTCCGTTGCCTTGGCCTGTAAACCAGTCCCTCCACGATGGACCTGCAAACCCGATTTCTCCGCCCGAGCAAGCCCCGCTTACGCTCCACTAGGCCTGCCCGGCCGAAGAAGTTGAAATCAGTTACTTATACGGGGTATGCCATCCGTATGGAGGACAGTGATTAGCGTTGAAGCTTATATAGTGCAGATGCTGGACCTGCAGGTCTCGAAAGACGAAATGCGATGAACGCCAAGAGAATGGATGTGGCATTTGTGAGCGATCCGGTCTAAAATGTGCTGGCTATGATGTGAATCTGTATTGGGTTACGGGAAAGCAAGAAGGTTGCCGCAAGGTTCATCGCAGAAGTCTTGTGCTCGGTAGGTATGCCTCGGATGATTCCCATAAGGTACCCAGGTGCTCACCCTCGTAGATCGGACCAGCTCGATATACTTGCCAGATGAAGAAGTCGACAAGATCTTGTCGACGCTTGATAATATCGATGCACCATCTAACACGGTGTGTATGGGATCTTTCGCTATTTTCAGCGCTCACATAGCTGGCGAGTCTGCTATAGATCCAGATGATTACGGTGAACTCCTCATGAGACCCAGGTGTCTTGTATCTAGCTCTCCATCGACACCTCATTCTGAGCTTTCCCTGCCTCTTTTTCAAGACTCAGAGATCTCACTTCTCTTGTATCATTATAAAGATCATGTCGCTGGTCTTCTTCAACCAGTCCTTCATCCTGGGAACCCATGGCGGACAACTTACGTCCCGTTCGCTCTTGAAGGGCGCCCCGATCTTTTTCTCGCGCAACATCCTGCGCCATCATTTACGGCGTCAACTGCGATCTTTCATGGGCTACTATCGTCAGCTGCATTTCATCTTCGGAACCTCACTGGTGGATCGGAAAAGTTTAACCGTCTGGGCTTTCGACATAGAACCAAGGCTCTGCAAGCATTGAAACTGGCGCTCATCGATAGCGATGATTCACATCTATATACCGTTCAAATGACCGCAATGTTATCTTTAGTGACGATTGATGTGAGTGGCTTTGATGTTTTCTGACGGAGTAGATACGCTAACAAATTAGACTATAACGGGCGAGGATGCCGATTTTCCGATTCACCTGAAAGGCTGCCGACAGCTACGAGAGTGTCACGAATCCAAGGCTTCTAAATGTCCAAGTCAGCAGGTCAATAGTATATGTCATTTTCTGACTCTCCTTGGCCGAACCACGTCAACCGAGCTTCAGGTGACCCAGATTACCGATGAATGGCGTCTTGAGAAACCACTGTTCAGCAGCAGTGATACTCACATAGAGTACATTTACGGAGTCACTCCGACCTTAGGCAATCTTCTTCATCGAACATGCCAAATCGCAGAGGCTCTTTCAAGACATGGCGGCCAAGATATACCCATCTCGCTTCAAAAAACACGCAACGCTCTAAGAGCCGAGCTACTTACCTGGAACTTAGCAACAGACGACTGCCACCTAGCAGAGTCTGAAGCAGCAATGAGCATGCTCGAAATCGTTCGCCGACAAGCCTGCGCATTCCATAGCGCCTTGTTGATATTTTATTACCGAGCCATTGAAAATCACCTTTTTATCGATCCCCAGCTGGAGGTCTTGAATGTCTGGGAAAATCTCACTATAGCGGAACAGAACAAGGAGTACGATATGCAGGACCAGAGATATGGAGCTCCCATGTCCTGGCCTGGTTTTATCGCCGCCTGCGAAGCTGTCGACCGCCAGCCATGGGTTGAGTGGTGGGGAAAGGTCCAAAGGTATAATTTGGGGAATTTCAGCCGACAATGGAATATCATCCTGGAAGTTTGGGCGATTGTAGATAGTCATGAAGATGTATGCTGGAGGAATGCGTTGCAGCGGTCTGGGAAATTGGTTCTGCCAATCTGAGAAACGATAACATGCACGTGAAGTGGCTTTCCTCGAAAATGCATGACACCTGTGCGTCCTCTACATATCTCTCGAGACAACTTCCCTTAAGGTATATCTCGGTGCGATTCTTCAGAGCCGCGTCCGAGCTATACCGAAACAGGTATTTCGGTGCGATCCCACCAGTCCATAACCAATGAAATAGAGTGAATAGTGGCACAAGACTGCATTGAAGGGACATTGGCAAGGGAGGCAAACTATGGGGAAAATCCATTTTAATGTGGAGTGGAAGGAGCCTCTTCAGTCTTATAAGCTTCCTCGTCCCACTAGCTCTCAACTTAGCTCATCTCAATATCCGATAACCGACAAAACTAACTCCAACTTCAAAGTTAACAATGCCTAGCTCAATAGGTATCTTGGAATTGCTGAGATCATCGACATTTCTGCAAACAGCCTTGGAAGTGTTAAAACAACTGGAAATTCAGCATCGTTGACAGCGGGGCAGTGAAGCACGTGACCCATGAAGGGTACGGGACGGCGCAGACTACAAGTCTCCTTCCATTTGAAGAGATGGCACGTCTGATCTGAACAAGGCTACGTCGATGGAGGGTATGCTCCGTGTTGCCTTTAGGCTTCGGATCGAAATTCCCGGCTAATGTGGAAGAGACTGGTCGCTTATTAACCCGTGTCCCAGTCTCATTGGACTCCATCTGATGCATCAATTTCCAACAATGGCTGGTACGGTCCCAAAAATATGACAGTGAACCCTGGATTAACGAAAGGCTGCATCCTTTACCCAGGGAAAAGCCAATGATATCACCGCCAACCAGATTTGCTTCATTTATCCACACCAATTACTGTTCTTGGCGCGTTATCAAATCATGCAGCTCCCCCGCCCGCCCCAGGGTTTGATTGGCCTACGATCCGATTATCCTTTCCACTTCAACTATTAGCTTCGAATGCCTGGGCGCAAGTTGCCGTTCTGGAATCATGAAGTTTACCCATGAATCTTACCAGGTGTTAGATAATCGGCCGGGAGAGAGTCAGATCACTCTAGACAACAATCTCTCAAACCTCACCAGCTGATGCCCGTGCGATCTTCATTATGGATTCTGCGGGTTTGCCCGAGGGCCACACAGCCACTCGGTCGATCCGCCCCCACTCCAAAATGAGGACGGGGTGCGTGGAGTGCAAAAGGAGGAGAATAAAGGTAGCAAGGATTAACACCCCCGGCGCACACGCTGTACAGGGGATAACAATGGGAACAATGGCTAATGCACATGCAGTGTGACGAGGGCAAACCAATTTGCACTCGATGTAAACACCGACCAGAAAAGTGCAAATATGAGTTCAAGCTTTCCTGGACGGGCGGGAGACCGTTCAAGAACCGTCGCCAGAGTGAATCGCAGAGCGATTCTCAAAGTCCACCCGAGGCAGTCAATGCTTCTGCTAGTATTGCCTCTTCGCAGGTAATACCGCCCGATCGGCGGCCCTCTACACTCTCTAGTTCGAGCGCAAGTTCGGGAGAATGGATGTTCGAGGGCCCAATGCCAATGGGGGCGAGTGTCCTTGATTTAGGCACGACTCACTCAGTAGAATGGGCCAAGCAGGAGCATTCACGATTTATACCAAGCGAGATTAATACTGATGGGGATCTGATTTATACTACGGAACCTGGATTAGCAGAACGAAAACCATCGACCGATGCAAGTCAAGTTACCACGCTATCGCAATCTCTGGCTCGGCGATATCCTTTCAACAAGCGAGATCAACAGAAAAAAAATCGATACGGACACCCTGATTTCCCAGATATCTCTCCTTTTACGCAACGAATACATTATGCACTCTCCAACAATCCCGCGCAGCTCAGCTCTTCACCCGAAAGTCGCTTCTTCCTCCACCACTACATCAACACAACCGCCGACGTGATCTTCCCTCTCTCACTAACGGGAAACCCTTTACGAGAAGACCTCCTCCAGTCCGCCATGTCAAATCCACATCTCCTAAACGCATTCCTCGCATGTGCCTGTTCCCACTACGCTCGACGACACGAAAACATGCCCGTCCAAATGGAAAGTAGCATTGCCAAATTTACCAATGCAGCTCTAAATGGCCTGAGACGAGCAATGCTAGATCCCAAACAAGCCGGAAAACTGGAAACCATCAGCACGGCTCTCGCGTTATGCACCTCAGACGTGATCTCTGGCGATCTAAGCACATGGCGAATACATCTCTCGGGCGCCAACAAGTTGATTCTATCCGCCTTCCAGTCCTCATCCGAAGAAGACACCAAAACCCCCTTGGAGACATTCGTGATTAAGTGGTATGCCCTACTAGACATTTTCGCTGGTGTCTCCGGTCTCCGCAAGAGCTCGAACCCTGGCGGACGATACTGGTCGTCCAACGACGATGATACCTACATCGACGAATGGACAGGCTACTCGCTAGATCTGATCCCGATTATTTCGCGCATTGGGCGAATGGCGCGAATCCAGCAAAAAAGAACGCGGGTTATGGCCGTGAACGACGATTCCGAAGATGAGGAGGTCGATACACAAGTGCGAGAAGAAAGCTTAGATGAAATCCGAGACATGGAGAATCTGATCTATTCGCTGTATAATCGGACGGCTCATCCGTCCTTGGTGAATCACCCTGATCCAGCGACGAGGAAACGAGCCGTGGAAATGCAGTGTATCCATCGGGCATTTCTGTACACGGCTCTTCTTCATCTGTACCGTCGTGTACAGGACTTGCCCAAGCACCATACCAAGGCTGTCTATGCAGTCCATATGGTCATCGAAACGATCCAGATGATTCCCCGAGAATCATCATCGAATATTCTGACATTGTGGCCGGTTTTCACGGTCGGATGCGAGACCGATGATCCAGTCCAGAGAAAGATCATCGAGCAGAGGATAGCTAAAATGGAATCATTCGGAATGGGGAACGTAGAAACCGCTCGCCAAGCCATGCATGCATACTGGGAGTCCGGTGCGACCGAGCGATGGGATATATTCCTGGAGAATTACCCGCAAGACATTGTTCTCTTTTGATTATGCGATCTTATATTCGATCATTTCTTATTTCTATATCCACTATGTGAGCGAACGTGCGATAGAATCTTTCATCCTTGTCTATATCAAGCGTCAGCTTTTTCTCTTGGTTGCACCTGAACATTTTCAACAGTCGTTCCAGAATCTGCCAGCCTTTCCAAAACCTCGTATGTTTCCGAGGACAATTTCGGTCCTTTGTAGATCCTGCTGCCTCCAATAAACCACCAAATGACGACCAGGATCGCCATGCCATAAGATACAAGCGATGTGTAGTTCATATCGGTCGCCGTGACGGGTGGACGGTCATATGGCAAGCAGAAAAAGACATTTGAGACAAAGATGTAGATGAGAGCGACCGCATTCACGGCATAGCCCACGATTCCATCACCGAGGTAGAACCAGCCTGGTGCAGCTCTCTTGCGCCCAGTAAAGAAATGGACGGCAATAGCGATACCATAGGAAGTCGAGGACATGACTGCGTACGAAGCAACGAGGGCATTGAACGCCACTGTCGAGGCAACGTAAAGAGCTCCCAACGCAGTGCTGATCAACGCTAGAGAAAAAAGAGAAGAATGTTAGCGCTGATAGCACCTGGTGCAATTTCAAATTAAGACTTACTAATTAAGATATTGGCTCTTGCTGGCATCACATTCTGCTCATCAATCTTGGAGAAGAAATCAGAGAATGGCAGAGCGCCGTCGCGGGCGAATGCCCACACACATCGCACGGTCGCAATCTGGGCTCCAATGCATCCAGGAATAGCAGCGAGGAAGATCACAAGACCGCACGCGAATGCAGACCTTGTGTCAGCGAACGCGATTTTCATGATACCTGCGACGGGGAAATTATCTTCGGAGGCAGTCATGATGGTGTCCAGATCGCCGGCTGCATAGAAGAGGGCGATCAGGAGGCAGAAACCCCTTCTCGAGTATTAGTAGGATCACAATTGAAGGAGAAGAGTATCTTACATTGCGAAAGAACCAAACCATTGGATCATCACCGTCTTGGCAATGTTCTTTGATGGGTTCGGCACTTCTTCTGCCATATGCGTGGAGCTATCAATCGTACCGATTGAGAAAGCTGGAGCAACCAGTCCAAGAATGAAGCTCATGCCCGTTGGCCAGCCTGTAGAGTTTGTATATTCAGTCCATACGAAGGAACTAGTAGAATGCGATTTTGGAAGGACCGCGAGACAGACAATGATAGTGAACCAGGCGCCGACATTGACGAATACTGTGTCTGCGTTAGCATAGTTCTTTCGCGCAGGGAGCACATTGATGCCATACATCCAAACTTAGTATAATATGGTAAGATCTTGTTGCCAAATTGAATGAATGCCGCAAAGGACCAGTTCAGAACGACAAACACCACGAACACATGCCATGGCTGACTGATGTACTCGGGATGGTAGAGCTGATACAAGCCCGTCACCTCGAGACCGGCGACCGAATATAAGGAAGCCAATCCGAGGGTCCATCCAAGCATATTGAAGTATCCGGTCAGGAAACCAACCGGTCGCGAGTATTTGGGACCAGCTAATGCTGCCGACCAGTGGTAAACCCCCGCAGCAGTTGGCATAGCCGAGGTCAACTCGGCCATGGACAACGCGATGAAGAGGAAGAAGAAGTTATCCACGATCCTGGTATTCCATTAGCACATAGTTGCACTTTCGTCCGGGGGCAGATCATACCAAGCGTAGATCATTCCTGCCGCACCGCCATTATAGATCGAGGTAATGAACGTTCCGATGATCGCCGTCTGGGCACGAGTTAGTTTCCACGCGACTTTCAAGGGATGAAGAACAAGATCGCGGGGAAGTTTAGGGGGCCTTACCCAAGCACTGGCAGTAATGATGGCATTAGCGGCCATGGAAAAGGGCGTGAATTGGCGATTCAGCTCTTCTTTGTGACCCAGCGCCGCCAATACGGTCGCATCGTCCTTGATCGGGACTAAAACCATGTCAGCTCCCCGACGCTACCACGCATGGAAAGAGGAATTCCTCATAACCCACCTATCTCCCTCATGATGAATGTGAATGACAAGGGACAGCCACGGATGGGTCTTGAAGACGCCCTTGACCCCCTGAAGTTAAGGCTTATCGGCAGGAGTTCCCGCAATTAACTTCCCCAAACCTTGATTCGACACTTGCGGCGTTAGCGTCGCGCCATTCTTGCAAGGGAAGGTCGCATACATAACCGAAGTGGGAAAGCCTGCAAGTACTTTTGTTGGGTGGGGTGGACCACCACTTGGCGTTCTTCTATGCGAATGCGAAGTGCATCGTTAAATCCGAGAGTCGCACATACCTTCAGGGCTTTATAAATATTGAATTGGCTCTCTGGCTTTCCGAAGTGAAGTTGAACTGTCCAACCCCGCAGGCCCAACCACCATGAAAATACCACTTCCCACCACCGTCGACAAGGTGGTTGCAGGTGATGCTGGTACTTCGGTAGACAATCCCATTGATGCTCTCATCATTGGTGCTGGTCCTTCGGGTGAGCAAGTCTTTCATACCGAGAATCCCAAAATATGGTTCCCGCGGCTAACAGCTTCCAGGCATGGTGTCTCTCCGGAACCTGCTCAGAGATGATCCGCCGTTATCGGTCCTCGCTGTAGAGCGTCAGGCAGTTCCAGGTGGTATCTGGACCGGTCATATTCCGGAATATTCAACTCTTCAGGATTTGGTCGTGGAATATGAATGTCATGGGGTCAAGTTTCCTCGACGAGAGCCCCAGAGGCGAGCATCGAGAGACCAAGTTGCGGAGTTCTGTGAAGCATACTTTGAAGAATTCCACCTCAAGCAACATGTGCTATGGCAGCACGATATAACTCACGTCGAAATGATCAAGCCGATGCTGCACAAGGTTGACCTTCGTCCCATGGTGGAGGGGTTGGAGAAATCCGTCTCTCGGACCATTTACACGCGCAGTGTTCTTGTCTGCACGTATGAAAATACCATCTCAGTTACCGTTGGACTATTGACTAACTTGTCTTAGTGGACACAATATGTTTCCTTATATGCCCAAATTCCCGGGCCAGGAAACAGCCACGTTCCCTATCATACACAACAACAACATTCGTGAGGCCAAGGAGATTCCTACCTCGGATGTATTGATTGTTGGCGCAGGTCCCTCGGCTATGGATATTATCCAGCAAGCCTGTCTCACCCAGAATGCAACAAATGTGCACGTAGTTGCACGTTCTCCCCACTGGTACGCGAGCGACAATGCATGAACTTCTCGCGTGTTGAGCTAATAATCTATAGGGGTGCTCCTGACATGTGGTGGCCATCACTATGGAGGTTCGGATGGACTGACCTGCATTTGTGCCGAGTCTTATATCGAATTCTACCAATCTTTGTCGTGGACTCCATCCTATACTTCATCCACTTTATTTGGGCTCTGATCCAAGGAGTACCGGAATGGCGACCTCCATTCCGTAAGTCATTCTTGCATCTCCATCAAATATTCGCTCCTATTAACAACTTGCAGATGAGGGCGCATCCGCCAAAGTCGGCTACATTCTTCGTTCACACCTCGTTCCTGCATACAAAAACGGCCAGTTCAAAATCCACAACGGCTGCAGCATCAAACTCATCGATGGCGACAGTGTGACCCTCACCAACGGCACAGTCCTAAAACCGAAAATGTTCGTTGCAGCAACTGGATGGTCAACTGATTCATCCTATTTGCCAGAAGGTTGCGAAGCAGGCGAATACGACTCTTTGGCTGCAGCAGACGCAGAGCGTCCCCTCTACCTCCGCTTCTACGACCAGGACTACCCCGGGATCTTCTACATCTCCGTCGCAGCCGGTTTTATCACATACACTGAGAATGCATCGTTCCTCAGCCAGGCCGTGAATCAGATCCTGCGGGGCACCTGGACTCCCCGTCTGCGGAAGAGATCAAGAAAAGTAACAAGGAGGTTTCATTACATCATATTGCCCTTCCTGGACTTATTGAGAATGATCTTGAAGCCGCAGGATTCCAGGATCTGAGAGGTAAAAATTACCGTTAAGCTAATATTGCAAATTAGGCTTTCTGCACACTCCTAGGGCCTGGTTACGATGAATTTGACCTGGGGACTAATGCAGAGGTTGGTCTTCGGCATACAAAATATAGCGATGAATACAGGATTCTCGCTTAAGGTATCAGATAGCTGCCTAGGCACCTACCTGCCCATGATGAAGGAGATAGGGCTAATCAAAAATGACATAAAATGTTCAAGTCTAACAGAACTATACTTTACTCATATCCTTACGTTCTAGTGGCGAGAGACTGCAAGTAGTCAACAGAAGTGGAGATAGTCCGTTTGGGGTTCGACACCACCTGGCAAGGCGACAAGGATGTGAGACTGAAGATTCGAAGGCATTCTCCTCATGAGTTAAATCGGTGTCTCGTATACACATCATGAATATATCCTCTGCAAACTAACCCTTTACCTAATTTCACGAAGATATAAAAGTGGTATCCATTTAATAAAAGTACAAAAAAATTGGCGAAAGAGGGCAATGACCGTGACGCTCCTTTCAGGTTTTTCTAGGTCAGGTAGCTTCCCTACATTTCTAGAATATCGGCTTCTTGACCTCATATTCATTTGTTTCATAACTGAAAAGTCCGTGTTGCAGTAAGGATTTACTTCGGGGCCATTAAGCCCAGCCGCCCTTGCCACCAAACCCTGAACTATCCTCGATCTTCTTTCCGGGGCCGCGATTGGGCCTGGACTGCGCAGCCTCGTGCTTACGTAGTTCTTCGGGAACGCGGGAAATGGGTGACTTGATGAGCATCTGCTTAAGGTCGTACCTAATAGACTGGTTAGTATCGATTTTATGCATACCACGAAGAATAAAGAAAGGAAGACATACATAACGTCGCTATCTTCGTTACCAAGGAACGTGATGGCGACACCACTCTTTCCTGCACGTCCGGTACGACCAATTCTGTGAGTATAACTTTCGATCGATGTGGCCATGTTGAAGTTGACGACGAGGGAAACATCCGGGACATCAATACCACGTCCAGCAAGGTCAGTTGCGACTAATACTTCCGTGGCACCGCTGCGGACGGAGGCAAGGGCAGCTTCACGCTGGTCTTGTGTTTTGGAACCGTGTAAAGTAACCGAAGAGAAGCCCATCTGCTTAATTTCTCGGGCGATGGCATCACAGTTTCGTTTGATGTTGACGAAAACGATGATAGGAGCCCGGAATTCGCCAGACGTGAGAATCTCGCCAAGACGTTTCTTCCGCTTGTCTTCGCCAGGAACCATTTCGACGCGTTGCTCAACTGTGTCAACGGCCTCACCAACACCACCAATAGTGATGATGGCAGGACGCCGCAAATATTTCCGAGCAATACGCTCGACGGCCGCTGGCATGGTAGCGGTGTACATCATAGTCTGGCGGTATCTGTCACGGCCTCCAAGATGCTGGCTCATAGTTTGCGGATTTTCGGCTTCTTCAGTGTCGGGTTTTTCGTTGGTGACGGGCAAAGCGTCGAGGATCTTGTTAACGGGCTCCTCAAAGCCTAGATCGATCATGCGATCTGCTTCATCCATAATGACATAGCAGCACTGGCTAAGGACCAACATTCGTCGCTCAATACAATCGACCAGACGACCCGGAGTAGCGATGATGATTTCCGCACCATCGCGTAGACTGTAGGCTTGCTCCTCGAGTGAATGACCACCAACAATACTAACGACATTAAAACCAAGAGGTTGTGTAAACTTTTTGGCTTCAATCTCAATCTGCTGGGCCAATTCACGAGTAGGAGCTAAAACAATAGCATAGGGCCCATCGTTCTTGCGCCACTCATTCTCATCAAGGCGAGGTAGTTCCGAGATATAGACAAGAAGTGGCAGCAAGAATGCAGCAGTCTTACCGGAACCCGTCACGGCAACACCGATGAGATCACGCGACTGCATTGCGATTGGAACAGCAGCCCGCTGGATAGCAGTGGGCTCCTTGTAACCAACACGATCGATAAGTTCTAGCAAGCGCGGAGGAAGCTGGCTCTCCTTCCATGAGCGCATCGGATTGGGTACACTGCCACCCCTTGTGGCGATGTTGAAATCTTCCTTGAAGATACGCCAGTCACGCTCACGCATGTGGCTCAGCTCCTTCTCACTCCAGTGTTTGTCCAACTGGTGTCGTGTGCTCTCCTCACGACGACGGCGCTCCATGTCCAGCATTTCCTTCGCGCGCATGTCGCCCGCTTCTTGATCCCGACTTTGGATTGCTTGCGCGTATTTGCGCGTCAAACTGTCTGCAACATCGTCCCCAAATCCAGCCAAGCGGCCTCGTCCAAAGAAATTTGCTTCCTGTCGGTGTTGATACAATGGGTTGTAGTCGCCACTGGTATCCTCCTCGGCATTCCATTCGAAATTGAACTTTTTGTCTGTAGTGCGCTTGCGTTTCTTTTGCGCTGAGAAGCTTGAGGCTTGTTCTGCTCCCATGTATCGCTTCTTGATTAATTCTGCCTCTGTCTCGGCTTCATTCTTCTTTGTAAGAGTTTTTTCACCCTGAGACTTCTTCCCTCCCTTTGGTGGAGGCGGAGGAGGGTCCATGTCGTGATTGCGGCCCCGCATAGCAGCTGGTCCTGATGGGGCATCCCCACGCATTGCGCGTGGTCCTGTTGGTACCCTACCATTCGAGTTCCTGTAATCACTGCCCGTTTCTTCTGATATGATCGATGGTGTCCGGGATGAAGACCCAGTTCGATCAGCCCCATTCGCTTGCGCCTTGGCCTGCCGCTCAGCCTCTACCTCCTTCGCCCGCTTTTCTAGCGCCAGTTTCTCGCGCTGCGCTTTGGATAAGAATTTCGGCTAAATAGAATAAGTTAAGTTAGAGACAGGTCCGAAAGATCAAGGTGCGAAACTTTGCTTTAAGATAAGACAGTACCTTTGCAGCCGCAGCTTCTGCTTCCTTTTTCTTGCGAATAAGATCTTCCACGCTTAATGGAGCCGGAGCTGGCCGTTTAGATCCCCACCCCTGCTTCTTTTTGGTCGTTTCAATAGGTGGCGCAGGTGGTCTGTCATCTGGAGGAGGTGGAGGGGCTGCAGCATCTGGCGGCGGCGGAGGAGCACCTGAATCCTCCGGAGGTGGTGGTGGTGGCGAGGGAGGGCGCTCAATTGGATCTGGTGGAGGAGCTGGAGGAGCTCTAGGAGCCTCGTTTGAGCCATTCATCTCGATGTCGTCCATCGTGGCGCGGTTGTGAGCGCAAAGTGATATGTGAAAGATCCGGTCGAATCTCAAGATGGCGCATATCGAATTTATACGGTGAACTAAACGTACCACATGTGCAGTTCCACAGATGGACCATGAGGTTACAATAATACTCTAGCAACCGTGACTATCATACTACTAGCATAACGCTTACACATTTGGACGAGCTTTTGCACTGAAAATACGTCAAACAATATGTATAGGCGCGAAGCTACTAGATTGCGCGGCATGATTGGGAGCAGCCGATTTGAGTGTATTATTTACGCATTTCCGCTCAGAGATATGGGACACAGATTCATTGGAAGCAAGAGCTAAGCTGCACAAAGCCCTTTCGGCGAATCAGAAATCGCTAAGAAACCTAGAACGGAATCGTGAAAGAAAAAAATGCCAGTTCGGCAAAAACGTGATGCTAAGTGAAAGGAAAGTCACCCACCCTGGTAGATTAGGTATCAATGAGAAACCATGGGAAAAGAGAAGCAGGGGATTAAAGCCTCCGCAACGAGTCATAAATAAACATGTCAGATGGATTAGGCAACAGGTTGAGCGTTGACGGGAGTCTGCTGGTAGTATGCATATGCTGGGTCTTGTGCCGCAATCGCCTGTTCAGGGGTAGGTTGAGGCATGGGGACAGGAGTGGGTTGTCCATCAGCAGGGGTAGGTGGAACAACAACAGTACCACCAGTTCGGGCAGCAGCCACCGATGGTGGTCCATGCACCTCACGATCTAGGGTCATATACTCCTTAGCGATGTCTTGGGTGCCTCGCTCCAGAAGGTATGCCATGTAGATCTCAACTAGTTCCCTAACGACCTCCGGAAGCAATGTACTCTTAGACCGAACATCAGAGATGACCTTCTTGATGCGCTCGTATTGGACCGATTCGGTTGTAGCGCTAGTAGGCTGATCAATCTCAAACATAAGATAACTTGTCCAGAAAGGACGGCTGTCAAGGTAGTACTGCTGGTTTTCTTGGAACACCTTGCGGGCATCATCGGGGGCGCCCTTGATCTTCCACAAAAGGCGGGCCCATTCGGCAACAAGAGCAGCCTTAGTAGCCATCTCGACCTCAGGAGAATCTAACTGGGTCTTGTAGACTTCGATGGCAGCATTCAGGTCACCATGCCGGCGGGACATGTTGGCCAGAGAGATGATGGTCTCAACATGACTAGGGAGGCAGAAAAGGATAGCATAATGGATATCCTTGGCGACATCAATGCGACCCGACATTTCCTCGAAGTAGGCATACTGCAAACGAATAGCAGGGTTCGCAATTGGAACGTAAAGACAACTAGCACGTTGGTAAATAATCCGAGCTTCCTCTTCCTTGCCAGACTGAGCGGTCATCCAGCGGGCATAGCGAAGCCAAAACTCCTCATAGTGAGCACAGGTAACCAGACAGCGCTCATACAAGAATTGAATGCGAGGATAGGAGCCTTCTGATTCCTCGAAATCGAGGTACTTTTTCCAGTTGGTCAACTGGCCCTCGTCCAATTCTGTCACGTGGAAGTAAGGCCGCTTGATCTCGGCTTCATAGGTCCATCGCTTGGTTGTCTCTGTCTGAGTCTTCGAGAAGACCTCGAGGTGGTAGTTATCAACGCGTAACCGCAGATCACGCTCGATCTCAGCCTCAGCCTTGGCTCCTGGCGGAACCTGAGATGAAGCAGCCTCCAGCTCAGAACGGAACTGAGACATCACTTCTGCGGATGCGAGTTCTGCCAGAGGACGATTTTGTGCTAGTTGGCGATAGCGTTCGAAGTATCGTGCGTACTGGTGCATTGGGATATGAATAACACGGCTAAGAATGGCAAAGATCTTGTCTTGAGCCTCCACGCGCTCCTCAAACTCAATGTACTTATCCCAGAAGGGATGCGCCAGGAAGTCTAGGCCTACACTGCTGGCGCCACGCTCGAAAAGACTGTTTAGGTTTCCAGGTCAGCATATTAGATCCTCTTAACATGGGGGTGGGGGGTCTAATGGGAGGGGATAGGAAGAAATGTGTGGCAAACATCATGGTCATCTCTGCCGTTGTGGTGACAGATCCAAAATCAACGATGGGTGAGTAATGGGGGAGGCATTAAGTGCTTCGAGAACACTTGTCCTTTGGTTTTGGTATCCGGGCAAAGGAAAGAAAAGATCATGTCTCGAGGTCAAGAGAAGGAAAGCAGCCTGAATGAAGCCATGGGTGAGAAGTAAACACCACTTGAGTCCGGATGGTCAGGCGACAGTGTCTCACCCATCATCAAGAGAATTGCTTATCCAGCACATAGTCATGCTTCACACCACATCAAGTCCCAAGCGATCGCGAGCTGCATTGATAACGGTTACAGGGAAAGGGAAGGAAAATAGCTTCGTTGTACTTACTCTCGAATAATGTCGGCATCATGTGAAGTCTCGGCCTTGAAGCCGCAATAGTTGGTCCATAGATCAACCGATGGAGAAATACTAGCAATACCTCTTTCATAGACCTAACGACCAGTTAGCGATATCCGACGAAATGAGTATTCGTTTTCATGGAATTGATGTAGACTCCATTCTTGACAGGAACACGGGAAATAGAAGACGATCTCACGCACCATCTCTGCAGCTTCTGTGCCCGTGATAGAGAACTCCATATCTGCATACTTCTTCCAGTATCCGAAGAGGAGCGGAAACTTGGCGAGGAAGCGATCGTAGGCATGACGTGCGGTGGTAATGGCTTGGGGATTAGAGTTACGGTTGATGCCACCCTCGAGAGCCTCTGCGCCGCGCACGAGCTTCTCCCAAGTTTCGAAGTTATCGGGATCGTCGACCTAGGAATGGATTTAGCAAATGCCTAAATAATGAAATGATTTGCGCGGGGCACGCGACGCGCTGGGATGCTCACCAACTCCGCTTCGAGCTTTCGTAGTTCCGCATTCTCCTCCTCCGAACCTCCAAAGTGATAGTCTGCCATGGTGGGCCTCAAGTGATATGCGTAGTGAAAATTACGCGCACAAGATGACGCGCGCAAGACAAGCGGCTCAGAGTGCACAAATATATGCCAGGAATATGAATAAATCACGGGTGTTGATAACAATGGAGAGTGTTGGTAACGGGAGGCCGAGGGGGCTGAAACCAGAGCGATGAAAAAGCAGAACAATGGACGAATTAGGAAATACTAATGCCTGAGGCACAAAGGCCTTCAGGCTGCAACTCTCGGGATTTCGCGATCTCAACTTTTAATCATTTTTAAACATCAACACCATCCTAATTCAACTGCCCACCATGTCGGTAAACGTGGGTACCGTGGGCAATCTGCCAATCCGCCTCCGCAACTTCTTCGCCCGCTATCCTCCTCAGATTTACTCCGCGCTCGTTGCACCCCGATTAACTCCCCCGGAGGGCGAAGCTTCCGAACAAACCCTTCCATCACCGTACACCCCCGACCGTGATGTCAAGGGTGCTCACAAGCCTGATCCCGAGGCCTTCTCTCCTGCAAAGGCTCTCCTGTACAATAACCCCGAAGCTCGCAACCCGTTCTTGCCCCAAAAGATCTTCCGTACCGGCAAGTGGCTCGGTCCCCGATACGGGCTACGACAACAGGCCGACCTTGTAAAAATGGCTGCGAAATACAACGTGGAGCAACTACTCCCTCCTGGTATCAAATCGACAGAATACAAAGCTGCACGTTTGGCTGAGCGTGGTCTGCGTATCAAGGGTACTGGTATTGGCCAGAAGGTCAAGGGTCACAAGTGGGAGCGCACTATGGAGGCCAGACTCGAGGATCGTCGCAAGGCGATGGTGGAGATGCCGGAGATGATCCGTTTGTGGAAGCAGGTAAGTAATCTCGTGGCGGTGCTTATCATATGGAAACTAACGCCTTTCCACAGAGAGGTCATGGTCGTGGCTGGCGCCAGTGGCCCAAGCGGTAAAACGGATATTTGGGCTGAAAACAATTCTCATAATTTCTTGTCTACTTTGGAGTCATCCTGTTACCCATTTATTTCAATGTCGCCTTGCCGTGTTCTTCTACAGGTTGGCAGAAGCGTCTGTGTCTGTGTGAACATTGCAGGGGTTTGGGATGGGAGTTATATCTTTTGGTTTTGCGCCATTTTTATCACACTTGTACTATATTATGCGTGAGCGCAGCGCTTGAACTTACCCGAACAGCCGCTGTCAAGGCTGTCTCGCTTCCATGTGCATAACCCAGCTGGGAAAATCTACATCATAGTTCACACCAAAATTGGCAATGGGTTTCCAACAATCTTGGAAGCTTGGAACTCGTGGGTCTCGACAGTGCAACGTAATGAGAAGGCACCCATTCCCGGTTAAACGAGGCTTTCCATATTTTGTTGATCCCGAGGTAATGGTAGCTGAATCTAGGTTCGCAGTTCATACTAAAACCAGTTTTTTCTTGCGGCAGGATTCGAGGGAAAAGCAATACCTGCGCACCATGCACAGTAGTCTATTACCGACATACCGGGCCAGGTATAGGCCAGGCAGATATTAGTCCAAGGATCTGCAAGAGACGGCCAGACGGCCCCCAAATACTCCGTCAAAACAGCGCTATCTGAATCCTGGCGTTTGTAATGCCCCACCATCACGATCAATAGTTCGTGACTAGACACCTCTTTCCACATGGGATTCTGTTTTACCCTGCACACAATGCCATTGTTGTGGATGACCTCGGATGGGGCCACACGGCTCGATGCCTGTCAATGGCCCCAATCACAGGACTATATTCTTAGGCTAGCCTGAACTGCATATCGACCCTGAGCTGGGCGGGTAAGCTGACGACTTATAGGCCACAACCAGATTGTCCCAGGCCGCCACCAGCTCGTGTGGTCAATGGGAACTACAAGTACGTTGACCATTCTGTCACGGCCGTGATCCTTGGTCACAGACTAGTTATGTAGGGTGATATACTTTTGCATATGAGCAATTCCGGTCTCTGGTTGGCTCGAGAACTCGGGAGCATTGTACTCGAACTGCGCCATCTAGTTTGCCTGTTGAATCTGACCGGCGGAGCCCACTGCGTACCCACCTGGCATCCACCACAATGGCGCCCCACGGCCCCCTCTCAGCCTGACAAGATGTGCCCGCATGTTTGAGCCGTGCATGGACGTTCCCGGTCATGACAGTTTTCCACCGCGCGGTTCCCCGCCATGGGGTCCATCGTCACATGATCTCGTCTACTGTACATTCGCAGTGGCAATGCCGTGGGGCGTTCATGGGTTGTCGATCGAGCGAGCGAGTTCAATTGGTTTTGCGATCCCAGCACTAGTGCCCAGGTGCATCTCCACGCTATAAGAACAATGGAGTGCCCTGTGCATTATCTTCACAGTTCTCTGATGAACTCCTGCTCAGTTCCAAGTGATCTACAAGCGGCCAATCCCCCTCATCGGAACTCCCCGTCTCCCCCATACTATCCTAAGGTCCGTATAGTTGGTTTTCCGTCTTATCTGTTCCCCCTTCGAAGCAGTCTTATCTTACCCTCGGTGGTTATACAAAGATGCAGTCTATTTCTGGCATATTCTATTATTATTTATAACTGTCGAAAATGTTGATGAAGTTGGAAACTAACTGGGGGCCGTTCCTAGGCTTACATTGTCCAGGTATATATAGTTTGGTTCGCAGTGATCTCCAAGTGGGGTTCCTGCATCATACATGCGGATGGGTCGCAGAAAGTCGTCCGCTTACACCGTTAAGCCTCGTGCACCCCGCGGGCACGTTCGATCCCTTTTAAATGGCAGCACCTGGCATAAAGTCCATCTCTCACCGGCGAAGATGGCAACTCACCCACCAAACCCGCCCCAGACGGTCTATTGTCAAGGCTACTCTGCGGACGTGGATACCATCCGGGAACAAGAATATCCACTACTAAATGGTACGCCACTTTCACCGACTGAATGAAATACCATACTAATTGCCACTACCTTTTGTAGAAACGACCTATTTGGACCATGCTGGCACAACAATTTATGCGAAGTCCACGATCGAGGCTTTTTCCCGAGACATGACTTCAAATCTTTTTGGCAATCCCCATTCCATGTCACTATCGTCGCAACTTTCCACCCAGCGGACAGACGATATTCGACTCCGAGTTCTCCGCTTCTTCAACGCAGACCCAGAAGAGTATGATCTGGTCTTCGTTGCAAATGCGACTGCAGCCATTAAGCTTGTGACGGACTCGATCCGAGACTCCGACCATCGGGGTTTCTGGTATGGCTACCATGTTGATGCCCACACTAGTTTGGTCGGCGTGCGAGAAGTTGCGGATCTCGGTCACCAGTGCCTGCAAGGAGATGACAAGGTAGATGCTTGGATTTCAGAATTGGCCACATCCGAGACAAAAGCCCCCAAACTTTTTGCCTACCCCGCGCAATCGAATCTGAACGGCCGCCGCCTTCCACTTCGATGGTGCAAGGAGATCCGTTCGGCCGCCGCCGTCAATGGAGGAAATGTATTTACATTACTTGATGCAGCCTCGCTGTTATCTACCGCGCCATTGGACTTGAGCTCTGCGGCCCCGGACTTCACGGCGCTGAGCTTTTACAAGATCTTTGGATTTCCAGACTTGGGTGCCTTGATAGTTCGGAAGAGCGCCGCCCGTGTTTTTGAAAGACGAAAGTACTTCGGCGGAGGCACCGTTGACATGGTTGTAGCCGCTGGTGCCCAATGGCATGCCAAGAAGGAGACTTCCCTCCACGAGCGCCTCGAGGATGGCACCCTTCCATTCCACAATATCATTGCTCTAGATGCTGCCATGGATACCCATGAACGTTTGTATGGGTCGATGGCAAATATCTCCTCCCATACTGCATTTTTGGCCAAACGCCTCTACGACCGCCTGTCCATCCTATCACATTGGAACGAAACGCATGTTTGCCAAATATATCAGCCTAGCTCGTCCACGTATGATTGTCCCCTCACCCAGGGCCCAATTCTGGCGTTCAATTTAAGGAACAGCCAGGGCGAGTGGATCCCCAAGACAGAGGTGGAAAAATTGGCTACTGTACAGAATATTCAAATAAGGACTGGCTCGGTTTGCAATCCTGGCGGTACGGCCTCTTCGCTTGGATGGACGGGCACGGAACTGCGTCGTCATTATACGACAGGGTTGCGCTGCGGTGATGATAACGACATCCTAGGTGGTCGGCCCACCGGAGTTTTACGAGTGAGCATAGGTGCAATGACAAATATGAAAGACATTGACTCTTTTGTTGATTTCATTGCGGAGTTTTATGTGGAGAATGCGCCCCCTGTTGTTTCCGTGGACCCGGCCACTGAGAATGATTCCGTCGGCCGCCACTTTTACATCGAAAGCCTTTCGGTGTTCCCAATCAAAAGTTGTGGCGCCTTCAAGATCCCTGAAGGCAAACGATGGGAAGTGAAGAGAGAGGGGCTAGCATGGGATCGAGAGTGGTGCCTCATCCACCAAGGAACGGGTGCAGCGCTAAACCAGAAAAGATACCCACGCATGGCACTGATTAGGCCATCAATTGATCTCGAACGTGGTGTCCTCCGCATTACCTGCGGTGTCATGACCGACTCTGTAAGTCTCGAGATCTCTCTTGGATGGGAGGATACAACTCTCATATCTACTTCTCTCTGCCCAAATACTACAAAACGGTCCATGGTATGCGGCGATCAGGTTTCTCTACATGCCTACGCCTCACCAGTAGTATCGGCATTTTTCTCCGATTTCCTTGGTGTCCCATGCACACTGGCTCGATTTCCCAGCCAAACGGCGGACCGGTTCTCCCGACCGACGCGTATGTCCAGCACATGGAGGAACAAATTCCGCAAGCTCCTTATGCCGGGCTCTTTCCCACCTGACCTTCCACCACCAGCCCGTGATAATGGACGGAGCCCTCTTCTACTATCCAATGAGATGCCTATCTTGGTGGTCTCGCGTTCATCAGTCAATCGCGTGAATGAACTCATCAAAGCAGCAGGCAAATCAGGTGCAAGCAAAGCCGTTTCCGCCGATGTATTCCGTGGGAACATTGTCGTCGCCGAACGGCTTGTTCAAATGGGTGATGCAGAGCAACCATTTATTGAGGACCACTGGTCTTCTCTGCGCATTGGACCAGATCAGCTTCGCATGGATGTGTTGGAGGCATGCCAGCGCTGCCAGATGGTGTGCATCGATCAGTTCACTGGACAGAGACGTGACGAGCCGTTTTCGACTCTCGCGAAAACCAGGAATGTGGATGGCAAAGTGAACTTTGGTCAATATGCCGCTCTTCCAAATCAAGAGGCCGAGGCCTTTGGTTCGGACCCGCCAGATCGCCGGACGATCATGGTGGGAGATGTTGTTATACCAACCTTTGAAAATTAAGAGTACATTATCTGGTCTCTATTTTGGTCAAAGGCGATGTCTGTCATGTCGGATATGTTGGGATATTCTTGATGATGTCAAGATGTATTTGTTTTTGTACATAGTAGAGTCAAGGTCACTCTGGTGATACTTTGGAAATGACTCAAATGGGAAGGAAAGACGTGAGGTTACGATTAACATCAATTTAAGGTTAAATTGTTACACAGAGCAAAGGCATCTGGGAGAATTAGGCTCTGAATTTTAAGGCTACTGGCCTATGGTAGACCAAGAGGTGACATATGTCACCTCAGTCCTTTGACTGACTGACATGTGGCACAATCCTTGCGCCTGAAAGACCACCACGCTCAATAGATGGCATGTATCGGGGATACGTTGAAGCAAAAAGCAGTAAATAAAGACATTGAACGAAGGCGATGTGCCTGCCGTCTGATCTTAGCTGTTTCTGAAGGTGAAAAATATCGCATCCGATGGATTTTCAGAAATAACATCCTAAGTAAGAAAGTACAAACGACCACTCCCAGGCGACTCTCCTCGATCTCGAGCTTGTCAATTACGACTGCTGAGACACGACAGGAATAGCAGCGGCAGCAGGAGCATCAGAAGCGATTTGGCTCGCACGAGTAAACGGTGCAGCAAACCCATAAGTGCGATAACCAGCCGAATAATCTTTGCCTTCCACGCGCTCTGAGATTGCATCAGTGAAAGTTACCCCAAATAACGATACTGGTTCAAAAAACTCACCATGCTCTGGAGGGAAATTCTCCATTCGATGCTTATAGTACCTTTCTCGCAAGTCCAAGCCATCCTTCTTCGAATGGAAAGTGGCATACAGACTAGAACGGCTCTCACTGGTTTTATTCTCTGCCGAGCGATGCGCAAGATGCGAGCCGAAGATCAGCATGTCACCAGGATCCAGCGGAATGGTGATCCACTCATGGGCAGCTTCCCATGACTGTTTGATTCGACCATGGCTTTCGAACTCTACATCCATCTTGTGTGAACCAGGGACCACCTCCAGACATCCATTAGCAAGGGTGGCAGCATCAATGGCGACATTAGCTGTCACGTGCTCGATGCGACCGATATGGTCGTAAGCCGGTGCATCGAGGTGTGCTTGGAAGCCATTGCCGAAAGGCTGCTTGTAGTTGATTTTGTCTTTGAAGAGGAGCATATCCTATATGACGTTAGAAGCTTGACCACAACACGGAGTTTCTTCCCAGTACTGACATCACCGGAGACGGCCTTGAGAATCTCGCCGAGTTTCTCGCCGCAAACCAACTCTTTAAACTGTGGGTGGAAGTCGACAAAACGCTCAGTACGCATGAGTTGTCGTTCGCCTTTAATGTTGATCTCGTCATAAGGCATCCATTTGCCCTTGACGCGAGGCCAGCCCTTGATGTCCTCGGTCCACTGCTTCAAAGCGATCGGATCGACAAGCTGATGCTCATTGACACGCAAAAGAAGATAACCGTTTTTGTGGTACGAGGCCACTTGCTCTGGAGTGAGGGCATTCATGTGGAATCTTATGGGGGTCGAAATGTCAAAGAACGTCGACTTGAGAGACGGAGAAGTACGGTGATTGGGGGAAGACTTTATATATAATGATCAAGTGAGCTAATTACCAAGCACAATCGCACGACTGCTCAAATGAGCCAATCCCCTGTTTCGCAAGCTCCTCTAGCCATAACTGCCTCTTTTGGTTCGGATTGTCTCCACTCTGCATAGAAGCATAGGCGTTCCTACCGCACCGCACAGACCACCGGGCTTCGCACCGACGAGTAAGCCGCCCTCCATTCGTTGAGATTCAACATGTCGAGGTGAGGGGCCGATGAATCATATCATCTCTATTTGCACGTGCATTCTCAAACATAGCGAACTACGGACTTCTTGCCATGATCTCTGGCCATTTGCTATTAGAAGGCTTTCAATGGTCGGGTCACTCAGACATCACAACTAAAGTTGAATAACCAGAATATTACGTCTACAAAGCTGAGAAGCGTCAAAATGAATCTCAAGATGTCGATTCCTCAAGCTTCAGGGACTCTGAGATCTGTTGAAGAGCATACCCGAGCCACAATCAAGATTCTCTTCGCTTTCCTTCATGCTCAAGGGCAAGGCGTTTACCTTGGAGAGCGAGTGACACAGCTAGAGCACTCACTTCAATGTGCTTATCTTGCAACTAAATCGACGGCATACACCAACGATCCGGAGGTTATTCTTGCTGCATTGTTACACGATGTCGGGCGTTTCATTCCCGCCGCAGAGAAAATGGACAAGATGATCACTCCGGACGGTCAGTATGTCGGCCGCATGAGCCATGAGGTCCTGGGCGAGACTTATCTGCGCCAGATTGGATTCAGTGAGAGAGTGTGCAAGTTAGTCGGGGCACATGTCATGGCCAAGCGGTATCTTGTTGCCACCGACAAGACTTACCATGACGGATTGAGTGAGACTAGCAAACGAACCTTACGTTTTCAAGTATGAAGGCACATTACATGTTTGCTAAATATTGGCTGATTCATACTAGGGTGGAGGATTCACCGAGGCGGAAGTCCTTGAGGCACAGAAAGATCCATGGCTGCAAGCTAAACTCGCAGTCCGGCGCTGGGATGACTTGGCCAAAGATCCGGATTGTATAGTATCTCCCCTCGAAGCCTACGAGGATATTGCATTCCAGTGCCTACTCGGTGAGTGTTATAGAGCAAACCCAGAGTCAAGGACTAATCATCCCTAGAATCACGGTCGAAGTTCACCCTCCATTCCAGGGAATATCACATCCCAACCCAGCCAACGGTTGTTGTCTGTATCGATGGATTCGACCCAGAGTATCTGGATTCTGGATTCAAGAGAGGCCTTCTTCCTACATTCAAGAGCATTGTGGAAAATGGGTTCCATGCCGCAGCCAAAAGCTGCATGCCCTCATTCACAAATCCCAACAATGTGTCCATTATCACCGGCGCGCCGCCATCATGCCACGGAATTGCAGGAAATTTCTTCCTCGATCGCGAAACCGGCGAGGTAAAGATGATCACGGATGACTCACTATTACGAGGCTCTACCCTGCTCGAACAGATGTTCCAGAGAGGTGTACGGATTGGGGCCATCACCGCAAAGGACAAACTGCGCAAAATCCTCGGGCATGGCCTGAAAGGTGCAATCTGCTTTTCTGCCGAGCGCGCCGCAGACTGCACTCTTGAAGAGAATGGAATCGAAGATGTTGAAAAGTGGCTCGGGCAGCCGGCTCCAAGCCAATACTCCGGAGAGTTATCATTGTTCGTGTTGGATGCCGGAATCAAGCTCCTGCAGGAAGAGAGGTCCGACTTTTTGTATCTGACTCTTTCGGATTACATCCAGCACAAGCATGCCCCTGGAAGCAAGGACGCGGATGAGTTCATGGGTGCGATTGACGCACGTTTACAGAAACTGATTGAGTTGGCACCGGTCGTTGGCGTCACTGGCGATCACGGGATGAACCAAAAGTCGAATGAGTCGGGTGAACCAAATGTGATTTTTCTTGAAGAAGCTCTCAACGCAAATTTCGGTCCCGACGCTAGTCGGGTTATTTGCCCTATCACAGATCCCTTTGTGCGGCACCATGGTGCACTTGGGTCGTTCGTGCGTGTCTATTTGAAGGATATCTCGAAGCTTCAATCCATGCTTTCCTTTTGCCAATCGCTCCCTGAGATCGAAGAGGCTCTGAACCGAGAAGATGCAGCTGAGAAATACGAAATGCCTTTTGATCGGGAGGCTGACATCGTTGTAATTTCCAAGTCTCATGCTGTGATGGGGAGCAAAAAAGCAGATCATGATCTTTCACAATTGAAAGACCACCCATTGCGATCACATGGAGGCCTGAGTGAGCAGCATATTCCAGTTCTCATGACGAAGCCAGTGGGATATAAAATTCCAAATGGGAAGAGCTGGAGGAACTATGATATCTTTGATCTTGTTCTTAATTGGTCAGCCTGAGCTTTCTCTGTTTTCAAGCCTTGCCCAGATAGTATATTTACCTATGTTCAAACCAAAACGGTAGTTCAGTTTTCGAAAGAACAATCGGGTTATCTAGCCTTGGCCTTGATAGACATGTACGGGATAGCTAGGTTGTCAAATTCATTATTGAGTTAGTGATCCGCCCCCTGATTAACCGCCCATTATCCACGTGGTACTTGGGGGCCCATTGAGGTACTATAATGTAACCACCACTCATCTAAATCAGGAAAGTGTGTTTGAAAATCAAAACTCGCCATGTTCTCCATCCAGGCCATATCAAACTGAGGATTTGGATCCACCATCGGTGAAGGATGGTACATGGCGTCTGTAGATGTTTGAGGGGGTACTTGGCATCTGGATAATAACCGCCCCAGACCTTCAGCAATGGCAACGAGTAAATGTTGCCGGTGCATGGTTCGAGTTATTTCTCGCAATGCAGCCACAGTTTGCGCGACCAAAGACAGTATTTTGACAGTGTCGATTCGAATGACCATGGCATATTTTGTGGCAACTTTGAGCAAGAAAATCATGGCAAAGGCGAGCATGGTGTCAAAATACAATGGTAGTCCATTCATGAAGGATCGAAATTCTGCGTCGGAAACAATCACACGGAGGATAGACATGGCTGAAAGTACACCAGCATTGGCGATCTCTTCCAATTCAGGGGTGAACCATTCTGTGGTGGCTTCGGCTGCAGGCATACCCCGGAATGCATGAGAGCAGAGATAGAGCTTGGCAAAGTGGAAATGAAAGCCCACGCCCTTTTGTGGATAATTTCCCACGTTGCGGTTCTCTCTGAATCTTTCGTTCCAATCTGCGAGCCATGTGTCCAATGCGATAGAGTAACGACGGAGCTGAGGTATTATTTGGGGCGCGATTGCCGTATCTACATCCACGCCAAAGGTGTCAAATACTTGACTTAAGATCGACCACTCATGGACTTGACTGATGAGACGAGCGTCATCCTCAGTCGCATGCTCTGTCTGGAGCATCTGAGACGCAGATTTGATTATGAACCCTTCGTGAGACATTGGTGGTCGGCCGTATGCAATCGAAAAATGATGATCGCAGACATAGACAAGGTAATATAGCCGAACCTGAAGATAGCCTTCCCTATCCCCCTTTAGAGCCTTGTAAATTCCACTGTGGAGGTGAATATCTGATGCCACTCGTACAGCTGCTCTTGTTAGGCCCCGGTCGTGTGTAAGCTTCGAGTGACATACCATTTCCAATCAATGCCCAGGAAAGTTCATGTAGCCAGAATGCCCCGATACATAACCCCCTGATGTCATCCTCGTTCGCAGTCCGAGAAAATATTTGCGTCGAGACAAGGCTCTTGAACTCATTATAGCAAATGTCGAATAAATGGGCCAGGGACTGCGAATGAAGGGCCCCAACTGTACAGACTGCTGCAGTTAACAGGGGCGAAGCCACTCTGACCGAGTCTAAGCTGATGTGATCGCCCAGTATTCTATACAGAAAGTGATCCAGCCGTAGATGGTATTCTTCGAATAAAGCCAGCGCCTGTCGTAAGGTAATCAATCCAGTCGATATTAAGTCTGGGCGGCGTGTGTTGGGTAAACTGTTCGGCAGTGCGCTTCTCGCGCTATCCGAGAGACATGAAGCCGGGATAGAAGCCGGGCCCCCTCGAGGATCCATAACAACTTCCCAAGTTCGAGGTAATTCGCGATCATCCCTTGGATGACTAGGGGCCTGAACCTGAACCTGAGCCTGAGACTGGTGATGGGATTCAGGACTGAAGGTTGATGGCTCTGCATTGGTCAAATCCACGGGCGGACTTAATGACTCCAGGTGCTCTTCAACTTGTGACTTCAATTCAGGTATATCGACTTTGTTTGCGATCTTTGCAATAGCCTCTTCAAGTCGCCGGATCTTGTGGACCATGGCACCTTTCCATCTAGAAGGATTCAGTCAGCTGATACCAGCCTTGCAGTTGAGGCGGAAAAACACACGTCACATCCTCCTCTAAAAGGGTCTGTAAGCTCCTGTTGACAGTGCACGGAAGGCCTCTTTTCTTGCACCGAGAACATGGCGCCTGGCCGTCTCGCATATGACATTTTATCTAAATACATCCTCCATTAGCGCCCTTCACCAAAATGGGTGCGGATTGCCTCACTTTTTGCTTGCGACATGCCACACATGCCGTGATTTTACGAGTTATATCCGGGGGTTTGCGATCACCGAATGATTCACGCAAGGCATTCACAGCGGGTGGTGAGGGCAGCGATACATCCATTCCGCCAACCGACCGGGGCAAGTCCCAGTGCCTGGCGATAAGAGATAAGGATATCAGGTCTCACCAAAGGAGCCAACCAGGGAACCCGCAATGAGTATGACGTTGCGTCTAGGGCTGTATTTTAATTAGAGAAGCGAAAGGACAGGAAATCACCACAGGACTTCGCACCGATGTTGACTTATAAGCTTAGTTGCACGGCAAGTGGCCGACGGCACGTGGGGGCAATGGCAGCCAATGACTGGCAGATCCACATTTCATTTCTCTGATCGGCTCCCTTCCGTGCATTTGCCCTACTCGTGGTGGATCTCTTCCTTCTCATTGAATATCGAATCTTCTCATGCCTTGAGCCAACTCTCCAGGTTTGGCATTTGACACGGTACTTCTCACCGATAGCAGCATCCTTGTCAAAAGTGACACCCGTCAACTCCCAAAGTATAAAAACGTGCGACACTATCTGGGCTCTGTTAGAAGCCAGGATGCTCGACCACGAAGTCCTGAACTCGCCACTTGCATTTGTCTCCTCGTTTTGTTCTGAACCTTTTTCTCAATCGTCATTTATTGAAATGTTACAATGGCCTCTCTAGGAGCTAAGTTGCGTTTCATGATCACTGCGGGAGTGGGATTCTTCGCAGACGGCTATCTTAACTTGACAATTGGACTAGGTAAGGATTTTGATATCACCTAGCAGTAAGGAGTATAGCTGATATGCTCAAGTGGTCCCGATTCTGGGATATCTCTATTTCCCGGATGGCAGCGTCTCTGCAGTCGATAGCGATGTCATCAAAGGAGGCCTTAGTCTGGGTATGGTGATTGGCCAACTTCTTTTTGGCGTGCTCAGTGATACCTGGGGCCGCCACAAAATCTATGGGAAGGAGTTGCTGTTGACTATCTTCGGAACTCTACTGGTGATTCTGCTGCCATGGAAAGGCATGACTCCACGATCAGTAACCGCCTGGGTGACGATGTTTCGCGTTGTGACCGGCGTGGGGATCGGAGCTGGTAAGCAGGGCCTTACTAACAGAGAAAGTACAATCCTGACTGGTGATAGACTACCCGCTTTCCTCTGCGCTGGCTGCAGAGAAATCACCGTTTGGCTCTCGAGCTATCCAGGTACTGGCCGTTTTCTCGAATATTGGCCTTGGAAATATCGCCGCCAGTATCGTCTTCTTGGTCCTACTTAAAGCATTTGAGGGCTCGGTTGCCGATAATATAAATCACCTCGAGTGGGTGTGGCGACTATTGCTGGGCATTGGCATCATTCCTGCTGTTTTCACGCTCTATGCCCGGTTGACTATCGCCGAGACATTGCCATACAAACAATGTCAGTCCCCCTCTCCCCGTGGTAAGAGGCCATGGCCAAGGCTGACATTTTCGTAGACGTATGCGATGAGAATACAGGGCAAAAACGGGGCTTCAAACAACAATGGAGAGATTTCCGAGAATACTTTAGTCACTGGAAGCACGCAAAAGTGCTCATTGCAACTGCAGCCTCCTGGTTCCTATTGTGAGTTTGCTCCTTTAGGAATTCTCCTATATACTGACTAACGAAATCAAGTGATATTGCATATTACGGAATCAACCTCAACCAAAGTGTGATCCTGACCAGAATCGGATATGCCAAAGGAGCCACTCCGTGGCAGACCCTTTATAACACCGCCATTGGTAACATAATTGTCCAGGCTGCGGTAGGCATCTCCCCCTTGAAGTCTCAAAGAGGTTGAGTTGTTGCTGATTAGTTGTCAGGGCTATCTTCCAGGATTTTACGTTGGCATTTTTCTCCCCGATTTTATGGGCCGAGTCCGCCAGCAGTTATATACATGTGGTACTGTGTGCGTTCTCTACGCGATCTGGGCTGGGATCAGTTCTCCTGGCGCTCACACCTCCACTGGAGGATTGATGGCAATTTTTGCGATCTCCCAGTTCATCCTCACAACCGGTCCCAATACAACCACATTTCTGATCCCCGCAGAGGTGTTTCCAACACGGGTTAGGGGTACAGCCCATGGTATCTCTGCCGCTGCTGGTAAATGCGGCGCTATTCTGACAGCATTTGCTTTTGGGACCGTTGAAGATGCGATCGGTCTTTCAGGTGTACTCGGCCTATTCTCTGGTGTAATGTTACTTACCACGCTGGTCACGTTCTTAATCCCGGAGACGAGAAACCATACACTTGAGGGAATTGAAAGGGGTCATTTGTATGGCGATCATGATGGTTTTAAGGGTGATGATTCCCCTGTGGGTGTTATTACACAGGTGCATGTCAACACGACCGGCCCTGGCTCTACCGATAAAGTGATCTAATCTAGATTTCGATGTAGCTAGTTGTTGAAATCGGTCAATAAGCTCATTAGACTTCAACGACATAGTGTGCTGCTTTATTAGCTCCTGTGCTACTACCGATAGATTTCGAACGTGTTGCTTATTTCCTATCAAGTGGGTGGTTTCTATTGTAGCAGGGCCTGAGGTTTCAACTGTCGAGGTTCAAATGCCTTTGAGGATTCCCGTCTCATTTCTCTTTTCACTGTCCAATGCTTCAACTCACGGGGGTTTCGCAAGGATCTCGGAACCTGAGCTTCTAATTGTAATTTTTTTTCCTATTTCACGAGACTGCCCGTGGTGGTGTGAATCCCTTTCCCCGAAAAGTGAATATGTTTGCTGTATATTTTTTAGAATTTACGTTTGCAGGGTTCATTTCAGTCAGTTGGTTCTATATAATTCATACAATTTGTTTTCACATATCTTATGTTTACTCGCACCGCGCTGCTCTACGTTGACTCGCGTCAATATTGCAACTTCTTACAAAACATCGATCTTACTTGCACCCTGTTCCTCTTTAAATCGGCACTCAAATCTTCAATAATGGCTGATACACTGAATGAGCTCATCACCCAGGGAACCGCCTTGAACCAATCGATGGAATACGAATTCTTCGCCAGTCCAATTGTCCTCGTGGGTCCACTTCATGAAAAGTGGCTCGCCGGTGTGAAATCTGCCCTCCGAGAGAACGGCCTAGAGAAGCTGATAGACACCACCGTACCTCACCCTAAAACTACGGACGCGTCTTGGGGATATTGGCATGTGCTCTCCTGTCACACGCGCTGCTGGTTAGCCGCTGGCTTGCCGGCACATATTTTGAAAAAGGTCAACAAAAACAAAGATAATTTGGCATACGCCGATCATTTCATGGAAGTGGTGCTTTATGAACTTCGATACAAGCTCTTCAACACGCATTTGAAGCTCACAGCAGAACTCGCTTCACTCAAGGCTGCCGATTTTCCAACCTTGAAGGAATACATGGTCATCTTTTCACATCTTTACAAGCGTCTCCAAGAGCTCCAAGCAACCCCGCCGTCATACCATCTCCTTTGCTGTGTTTACCAGCAAGTACAACTCTCAAACAATGCCGTCATTAAAGATTTTGTGCGTGCAAACATCAAATCGCTGTTGGGTACTTGCGGTGATATTTGGACCTATCTTCCTCCTACAGTTCTCGGATTGTGGATCGATACCATGGTGAGATTGCTTCACAGAGTTGAACGTCTGAATCTTGATGATCCAGGCTCTTCTCTTGATATCCCCGTGTATGGCAATACGAGCCAGCCGCATGGAATTTGAGACCTGATAGGGCCAAAGACAACAGAAGGCAGTCTCTGTGTCAAATATTCTTACAACCTTACTGTTACTGCCGTTCTTGCATCGAACAACTACGTAGCGTCTAAAAATTTTCAATGGGACTTGAATATTCTCATAGCCTCATCTCTAATAAAAGTCAGTTTCTCTGGTTGAGGTCTCTTACCCTAAGCGGGGTATGATTTACAAGATCAAGAAAGATAGTCCGGGGCTCGTGGGGTCTGAAAAGATCTGCAAAAAAAAGCAAGTGGATATTCTGACAGGAGCGACGGTCATCGCGGCCATGTGGGCACTTTCCATCGGTCTCGGAATTGATTTTAGTCCTCCAATTGATGGATATTACAGTCAATTCATACTCATGGCGCGAGTCATGCCGCTCGTATTGCTACTAAGTATGTCATTCCCTACTTGTCAAGACAATCCGAGCCTGAGCAGGACGACAGCTTTTACAATTATACTTTGCTGATTGTTTTCATCGATTGTCATGATATTCTCAGAGTTTCATAATCACATAGAACATTATCCACTTCTAGTACTGGAACTGCTCCTCCTCAACTTGGTCGATGTGCTGCCGAGCCTGGTACTTGGCCCGCTCGGTGTCAACAAAGTCCAGTCCCTTAGTCTCGACCTCACGGTCGATGAAAGCACCGGCGAAGCCAGCCAACAGCTCCTTGGCCATAGCGTGGTTAGGGGGCTGGCCTAGCGAAAGTATCAGCCATGTTCAAAATGTAGGGGGTAACGGGTCGAAGGGTACGTACCGTTCTCAGCAACGTGGTTCTCGTAAGCGCGGGCAGCGGCGAAGCTGGCAGCACCGGCAAGCAGCTCGTGAGAGAACTTAGCCTCGTGCTCGCCCTGGGGGATGTTCTGCCACTCCTCGTGGGCCTGAGCCTGATCGGAATCGCCTATTTAAGGTAAGCTAAGATCTTGCTGACAGCTTGGCATGCAAGACGAGCGGAATTCTGGAATACTAACCGTCGAACCAACCCATGATGAATGATGAAAGATGAATAGAGAGTGAAAGGGTGATGTGAGAATTGTTGAGGATGAAGAAGAAAGACAAAAAAGGAGGGAGAAGAGGGGTTCATATAGGAGGGGCATTCAGAATAGGCGTGCAAACGGGCCAATCACCCCAACTACTATGGAGTGCCACCTCACCGTTTCACCATCATCATGCTCAGAAGGAATGATTGGTTTGTGGCTGAATTGAATGGGACCTCCCAATGGCTATACGCGCCTGGATGGTAAACACCCGAAACCTATTACAGTAGATCACCTTTACTGAGTCCTGGTATTGGTAGCCTACGGAGCTCTCTGAAGGCGCCACCATCTCTCAGATACACGTCAGTCATTACATCAGGAGCAAGGGTTTTGTGGCTGTGGTGGCATCCAATCAAGGGAATTTCAAGCGGTAATTTTGTCCTAGGTGGGGCGAAAGAGCTACTAGGTCCTTTTACTTTCGCTAGCTAAGGCTCTAGCGGTGTACTCTGCCCCAACACGAAGAGTCGACTACCTCGCAGCCATGTCTACATTGTACTTCAACAATGTGGCTGAGCTGCGCGTGGTAAATTTTGCATTAAGGTATGCAGCGTACATGATGCGGACCATGCCATGTGAGCTGCCGGGAGCTACCGACCTGATGGAGTAAAATACTCGGCGCCAAGATAAACAAGCTTCTCCCTCTTCAGAAATGATTGACCGCCTTGTCTTAGAACACCATGACACGGATTATGAATTATGATCTGATAGTCAATTCTAATTATACGGTAGATTGTACAATCCGAACAGGACGCCAAACAAAGACAAAGTCCAATTGCTGAAAATTCCATGTATTGGGGTCCATCACACACTATTGTTTGAGGACCTCGAATGTGGCGCAGGTAATACAAGCGATTGGAAGTCGTTTAGGTGTGGAGCGGGGTAAGCGGTGCTAACTTTCCCAATGAGTTGCACATCGACGTCGATCGGACACGTTTACATTAGATGGGGTGCATGCTCCACTTTGATTGGAGGTCAAGTTTCTGGTATCACATCAATGCCCATTGTGCTCAGCCTTGGTCAATTCGAATACTCGAATTGAAAAAGGCCTCAGGCTCCCAGGCACTATTTGAGCGAAGCACGTCGTTTCAGACTAAGCCTATTTGGCACCCCAATAGATTGCATGCCTTTCTTCAGACTTGGGCCTCGGTGGCAAGGTCAAAATATCTTCAACGAAGCCTATTGAGACCCATTTCCGGGCTAATGGACTCCTATTGAGGACCACTTTAGGTATAACCAATTGCCGCACAGGTAGCGGAGGAACAAAGGATGAGAAGAGCATGTATGCAATCGTTTCTTTGTTTACCCCGGGGAAGATCAACTCCTTGTCTCCTTAAATGCAGCCTACAGACCTAATAATGGCACTGCCTTTGTACTCTATCCTCGACGTGCAGAAGATGTTTGATATCATCTTCTTAGTCTAGTGCTCGGAAATCCAAAATGATGTTAAACGATGTAGCAGTCAGAATTTGCCAGCCAATGGCTGAGGTATAAATAGCGCCCTCTTTGCACTTCATAAAATACTGAAAGTCAACGGTCCTTCGGAATGAAATACACACAAATTAGTCGTTTCGTGGCGTTGGGTGCCATACTGGTATCGACTGCCACTGCCGCATACTTTCCCGGTGGTCTTCTTTCTACCAAGTATACCTCATTCGATAAGCGTACCATACCTGTAGCAGGTAGTGATGGTATCTGCTACACCTACACTGTTTTAGCGGCAGACACCTGTGCCAGTATTGCCAAGGCCTTCGACATCACGGTGGCCGAGATCGAAGAGTACAACTCCGATGTGTATGCCTGGTTTGGCTGTGACAATTTGTATCAAGGAGCCTTCATTTGTCTGAGTCCCGGGTCTCCTGCTATGCCTGTTGCTCTTCCGCACGCTATATGCGGACCCCAGGTACCAGGAACAGTACGACCTGCTGATATGTCCAAGTCCAATCTTGCTTCTCTGAACCCTTGCGTCTCAGAGGATTGTGTGAGTGATCTTCATGAAATGAATACAAAGTACCAAATGAACTGACCTTTCTTCAGTGCTCAATTGATGGTCGGTGTGGAACTACCTCGGCATACTGTAGTTCATCAGTTTGTATCTCCAATTGCAACGCAAAAGCCGCGAGCGCAGCGACTACGAGTAAAACTTCCAAATCATCAACGACCAGCAAGATCTCCACGAAATCAACTACCACTTTATCAAAGACTACAAGCACGACATCCACCAAGTCATCCCCCTCATCAACAAAGACTACGTCATCGCAAGAGAAAGAAACAGTGACCGAAACAGCCTCCGCGGCCTCGGCGACACATACGTGGTCTATAGCAATATATGACAAATCCAATTGCGATGCAGGTGGAACAGGCTATTATGTTGTTGGAGGGTTCAATACCAACACAAGGACTAGATGTTTAGTCTTAAGCGGAGGTGACTTGACCACTGACGATAGTGGCCCTGACCCGTGGTGCCAATGGTATTCTGGTGGTGGCCACAGTGGCTATAAGAGTTGCGGATCGTCCACACTTACCGTGCCCGGGTCCTATTTTATCTCAGCTGGTCAGTGTTGGACCTATTCGGATGATGCTTGCCAGGATTATTCGGGGCAAATAAATAACCCGAATATCGGGTGTCAACATTATCTTTTAACGAGCTGGAACCCTAAGACTATTGGCTCTATGGAATGTGCGTATATCATGTGAAGTTTGATTGATTTATATTTGAATATCTAGGTCTGCAATATTGAAACCAAAGTCAAGGTGAATCTAAGTATTTCCAAACTTGTATATTATTCAAGTGCTTATATAGCGAGCTGTCAAATGCCCAGGTAGGCATAAATTGGGCATTTACCTGGGAACTCGGGATACGTATGATTATTTATGTTTGATTTTCTTTGAGCTGCACAAAGCCTGCTTTTCAATTTTCATTCAAGCCAAGTCAGCACCTATAATCAAATTGGTCGATCAATCCTATAAAGTATAGAAGCAGGATGCAAATAGGCCTCATATTCGACTTCTTCCTCATCAGGAACATCATAATGATAATGGCCGCCTTTGCGACCACTTTCAGCATCAAAACAATGGGTGTGTTCCATCCGCAACCCCAAGCTCTCAGGATCAGCACTATGCATTACGGTCAAGCACACGACAGGGGCATCAAATACATGATACGTGAGCCAACGCTTCTCCAACTGCTCTCGATCTTGAAAAGGTAGATCTTCTGGAAAGTCAGGCATAATATGAAATTTGGCCTTGCCAGACTTGAGAAGAAATACCCCGCCAAGACTGATCGGATTCGAATTCCCATAGTAATCTCGAAGTCCAAGACGAATACAGTTGGTGAAGTTCTGATCACCAGTTCGTCCTCTCGCCGAAACCTTAAGCACTGGACCCGGATCACCAGTTGACCCATACAAATTCATCATAAGCGCACAATTTGTACTGGTGGCATGGTGACACGATGACAAGCCCTCGGGGTCAACTTCAATAACCCGAGTGTTATTAATGATTCTCAACGAAGATGGGTTATCAAATTCCGGTAAATCCGCTTCCGAGCTCCAAGAAACATTCGGAGCGAGCTCGGCATTATGGCCGAGGTCGTGAAACGGAGCCGCGCCTGCGCCGATCAGAGAGCCCCCGGTGGGTGACATTTGCATATCCTTTGCAAGTGACAGAAATGAGTACTTGGCATTGAGATTTGGGCGTGGGAATAGATTGGCCTGTCCACCAATATCGGCGATACATGGGTTTCCTGAGAGACCGGCCGCAGCGAGGTTGAAAGGGGGTTGGCGTAGGTCTGGGCAGTCCACAACACGAGCTGTGGCGTTCGCGAAGTTGGATTCTAGGGACTTCTGGATGATGGTTGCCAGCTCACCCATTGGGGGAGGCTCCCTTGGATGGATTGTGACGCTCATAGCAGGGGTTATTTGATATGCTAGTTAATGAGGACGTAGTGAGAATAGTGTTCCACCAGTAAGCCTTGGTGTGGGGGGCTAAAGTATATACGAAAGCAGGTGCGTCATGCCGTTCCCCGAGGTCACGGAAACTACCGAGATCTCGGGGAGCTGTCACCTCGGCATTCTTGAATTCCAAATAACACCAAGCTTATCGAGCATTCAAGTATATCTATGTCAACACCCGATCTGTAATTTCAAATTGTAGAGCCTGAAGGAAAATTTCTTCCAAATTTTCAAGGTGTTTCAAAGTAGGGAGTGCAGAAGCCTGCATGACAAGATCTTCATATCTTAGAAAAGGGCTTCCCCTTAGGTGAATCACTTGAAATTCCCAGTTTGATTCAAAGTCTAGGATTCAACAAGAGAGAGGGCACGGTGTGATACATATCTGATTTCTAATAATCGTCTCAAATGTGCAGAATACTAATATAATAAATGTACAACTTTGAAATCTGCTCTTTATCTCAAGCCAAGAGGCCTGCAATCATTCCCAGAGTGCACGCTCCCGCTTGTCGATTTTCCTCTTAGACGAGCCGCCCAGCCATTCCGGCCAAGCTGAAAACCAATCTTGCACACCGGAACCCTTCTGCCGGAAATGTGATAAGAAGGTATCAGTGCGAGACTGTTTCACCCAAGGCCAGGAGCTTGACGAGAAACCGGACCCAGCAAAGTCCCGTAGGGACGCGAAAGAAAATGAGGAATAGTCTGGAAATGATGGAAGAATGTCTAGACCAAAGGAGGTCCAGTGGCTTTGGTCTAGACTTGTTTCTTTTTGCGAACGCCACACATCCTGCTCAGTTGGGTCGAGGCACCAGACAACAATATCCCCGCGGCGTCGCCAGTCATCATGCCAGGCTGTATTCCAGGTACGCCAGCATTCAGCATAAGAGCCCCGGACCAGGCTATGCATCGTTGGCTCCAGCTGGGCGAAGAAGATGAGGTAATCGGGCCACTCATGGAGACCTTGACTCGCAGATTGGAATCCAGTCACGTAGCTTGGTTGGCGAGGTAGGTAGCGCAACCCGCCAGCCATATTCTCTTGTAGGAAATGGGTTGGGTCATCGTAGAACTGGTCGGCTTCATCACGATAGACAGCCTTTTGTGTCTCATCAAGGTCGACTGGAGGTTCACAGGAGAGGGCCCATGCATGAATAGGGTGGACCAGATGAGACCGCCAAGGGGTGCTGTGACAGGGCATTAGAAACCCGGCTGTAACTCTGGCTTCGAGACCAAATTGATTCTTATTTGGCAATGAATGAACCTCATATTGGCCACGGAGGTAGCTAAGCACATTCAGTGGGCCAGAGGCATGGTACACAGACGTATATATCGCGATAGTCCCATTGACCAGGAGAATAAAGAGAAGAGTGAGTCTCTTAGGAGTCTGGGATTTGAAAATGAGGGCTGGCCAAAAGAATTGGACTAAACGGGGTGCGGCCAGGATGTGGAGAGATGGGAGCAGAGGGTAGATGAAGCGGACTTCCTTGTGCGATATAAGGGATAGCACACATGGCATCAAGATACATACTGTAGCCAAGTGTACTCGGGTCGCAGCTTGTACTTTCTCCGAATGTGAGGATACTGAGACCCGGGTGGTCATTGTAAGGTATAGACCCGAGACAGCAAATGGAAGCAATGTGGTGAGCAAAAGTGGGTAGCCCTCCGTCACGTAATAATGCCAATTGTTACGCCCATAAAACACTGCTAGTGACTGTGTGATATTGAAGTATAGAAAGCGCAGGGGAGGAAATGTCCAAATCCCGTAGAACAATCGGTCTGCCACGGCCGATATACCTAATATCATAGACCCACAAAGCAAAACCTCTCGAACAAGAACAGTACGCTGATTCCAGGAGACCTGAAGCCAAGCGAGTCCAGCCAAGGTCATCCAAATTATGATGTTAGTTGGGCGAAGAATACAAGCGACGGCCGCCAATGACAGGCATTGGCGAAGTCCCGGTAGCACTTGGCGAGCCTGAGTTTTGGCCTTCTCTCCGGCATGACAGTCAGCAGGCGAGCCAGCTGACCATTGCCACGGCCACTTATTCAATGCGACAATAGTAACCGTTGTTTCAAGGCAGTTGGATAAAGTTCTCGTCGAGCAGAACCATTGCCAAGGGTTAATGATGGTAGCGATCAACGCCGCCCATGCGCCACGAGAATCCTCGCCATAGATGCGACTTGCAAGTCTCCAGGTATAGAAGTCGCCCAACGCCGACAAAACGGCCTGTACGGTTTTCGGGGCAGCTATGAGAAGTTCGGCGCGCGTGGAGGGTGCACATAAAACGGACGCAATTGAATCGGTCACTTTGTAAATTGCAGCAAAAAGGAGAGGGTGGAGGGAGGATCGAAGTTGGTGTTTCCATTCCTGTTTCAAAACGCGATCAGCAATGAGACGTGTCGCGCGACTTGTCATCCCGTTCTCACCCATGTCATCCAAGCGCCCTGGTCTTTATTGTCCACACCTGTTCCAAAGGCGATCTGCCATGCCGGCTCCAGAGATTGGAAGAATTCATCGGGCTGGAAGAATGTGCGAATCGTGAGCGCATTGATAAGGCGGAAGGCGATGAGGAAGAAGAGGATGTTGGCGGCCGGGGTGCCAGCGACGTGTCGTGGGGAAGAAGTGTGTGCAGAAGGCATAACTGAGACCAATGAAAGCTATTAGTTATAAATTTGACCAATCCTACGCCGGTTACTGGTCCGTGACGCGGGTTCAGATTATCATGATGGATGCCGCGACGGCGAGCATGACATCAACCAGGAAAAAAAACGCGACCGCGGGAGTCAATGGCCGGGCCGGTAACAGAAACGAGCTGATTGGAGAAATTGGTATTGTGATAGGTAATATGATGGAGACGAGAAGCAAAAATGCGCGAGCGCTCGTGTAATCCTGCGCTTAGGGAACAGTAGAAGTGGAGGGATGAAAGAGCTCGCGACAACCTGCACTTAAGGGAAAGGCACTTGCACTTAGGGGAATAGCGGCGGACCTATACGCCACTGCCAATTCCACGGTCGGAAGTACATAATGTCCCCTTGCTTCCTTTTCTTCTTTCTTTGACAAAAATATTTTGATTCTCTACATCTCTGATCTTTTCAGTGTTGTACCGAATCTTATTCTCTCTTGTGGATCAACCTTCCCTACAGATCTCCCCTCTTAGTTCCCCCGCAAAATCCACCATGGCCGCCAACGGGTCCAACGGGTCTTTCTCCCATTACCATGCTGCCTCGACTGCCGAAGCCATCCAGGCAGAGAAGGACTATGCTGCTCACAACTATCACCCTTTGCCCGTGGTCTTTGCCCGTGCTCAGGGTACTTCGGTCTGGGACCCCGAAGGACGTCATTATCTCGACTTCCTCTCTGCCTACTCTGCTGTAAACCAAGGTCACTGCCACCCCAAATTGATTGCGGCTCTTGTTGAGCAGGCATCGAGAGTCACTCTAAGCTCGCGCGCTTTCTACAATGATGTGTTCCCCCGCTTCGCCCAATTTGTCACCAGTTACTTTGGCTTTGATATGGTTCTGCCTATGAACACTGGTGCCGAGGCCGTGGAGACGGGCATCAAGATCGCTCGGAAGTGGGGTTACAAGGTCAAGGGAATCCCAGAGAACAAAGCGATCGTTCTGAGTGCGGAAAACAACTTCCACGGTCGGACAGTAAGTTACCCCTCCACATTCCATCCCCTGGTGAGACATGACGTATGCATAATTGGAGGCTGACCGGCTTGTTCCTTGCATTAGTTCGCCGCCATCTCACTGTCGTCCGACCCGGAATCCCGTGAACACTACGGCCCTTACCTGCCTGGTATCGGGTGTACCATCCCCGGTACCGAGAAACCTATCACCTACAACGATAAGGCCGCCCTCCGCGAGGCCTTTGAGCAGGCTGGGCCTAACTTGGCGGCATTCCTCGTCGAGCCCATCCAGGGTGAAGCCGGTATCGTCGTCCCAGATGAGAGCTACCTACAGGAGGCTCGTGCGCTGTGTGATAAGCACAATGTGCTCTTGATCTGTGACGAGATCCAGACTGGTATTGCCCGCACCGGAAAGCTCCTTTGTCACGAGTGGAGCGGAATCAAGCCAGACCTTGTCCTCCTGGGCAAGGCCATCTCTGGTGGTATGTACCCTGTCTCATGTGTGCTAGGCAGCAAAGACGTCATGCTCACGATCGAGCCTGGTACCCATGGGTCAACCTACGGTGGTAACCCCTTGGGCTGTGCTGTTGCCATTCGCGCTCTGGAAGTTGTCCGTGAGGAACAGATGGTGGAGCGAGCTGAGAAGCTCGGTCATATCTTCCGTCAAGGCCTGGAGGATCTCAAGAGTCCACTTATTCAGACTGTGCGCGGAAAGGGTCTCCTCAATGCCATTGTCATTGACGAGTCTAAGACCAACGGTCACTCGGCCTGGGACCTATGCATGTTGATGAAGGAAAAGGGCTTGCTGGTACGTGCGAAGAGATTCGTCAGATCCATGAAAAGAGAGCTAACTTACATGTATCTTTAGGCCAAGCCGACTCACCAGAACATTATCCGTCTTGCCCCACCGCTAGTCATTACCGAGGAGGAGATCAAGCAGGCCCTGGATATTATCAACCAGGCTGTGATTGAGCTGCCGAACCTGAAGGGTGCCGCTGAGGACCACGTGATCCCTCCCCCAGAGAAGAAGGTTAAAATTGGAGTCGAGAACTAGAGACCTCGACTTGGGTCATTAGCCGGGTGTGGGCCCACCATGATTTACCACAATGGTGCTTGGAGCTCGACATGCCACACAAAACTGATAGACAGTTATTTTGTTCAGACGGCTTTTTGCCTTCACGATGTCACGATGGAATATAGACCTACAAAGATAGGCCGATTTGCCATCTCGGCTACGGCCAAGATAGCTATCGGCAGCGAATCAGAAGATTTCGAATTCGAGCAACACGTACCAAGAAACTTTTACGTAAGCAAAAAAAAGAGTACGGAGTACAACCGGCAAGTTGCGCTCGGTTGCGCCTCGTGGCGGATTTGGTGGGCCCAATCCCGTTGGTTTTAGGCGAACAAAGCTGCCGTGACTGGCTGAAATGGCAAGAGCTTAGCCAGATCCATAACCCCACGAGCTCCACTTCTCACTTTCTTCGCAAAGTTCGCGCAAAGGGGTTTAGGGGATGGCTTTTTGCATTATGACTCGCTTCAGGTTACATATCGGGACGGGATCCCAATCTCCCCGATTCCCGATACACTACCGTGGATAATTCGTAGCGAATGCGAATACGATACTGGTCTCCTTCTTTTCCTTCTCTTTAATCATGCTATACTTTTGTTCATTGTTCTTCATTAGTCTCCACATGACCTGGGAGAAAATATGCGTTGCATAGCTCCGGTCTGTAAGATACTAATATTTGGGGAACGACAAATGGAGCAAACGGTCCACCTCAGTCGATCATGGAACCCTTCCGAAACCCTGATACTAGCTACCGTAGAAAAAACTCGGCTTTTGTGATTTGTTAGCGACTATCGATACTAGATGATTAATAATGTATTGGGGCATAACTCCACAAGTGTCACTCTCGGACCTTGAATTTCCCGTTGAATTCCCCGAGAAGCTTTCGAATCAAGTGCAATATCCAGGATTTCGTGCATGTCCACCGATGTAATTCAGAGTTTACCGGATAATGGGCCTGACTCACCACTCACCGAATGCTGTCTTATGATCGCATTTTCCCACCTTTGGCTCTCTTTCTTCGACATTCATTCCATGCTTTTCCGGTTTCAGTTACATCGGAATCCAGCTTATCGGCCCCACCACTTTTTTTCGGCGCTAACACTAAAGCCGGGGCTTAGATTTCTTTTATAGGCCGTGACTATCTTGGATTGAAATCCTTCTGCCCGTGGGGTTTGTTGTCTCCTCTTTCCTACCGGACTCGCTTTTCTGTCGATTTGTCGCCTGGGAAGTATTTTTTTTTATGGCTACACCCGATCCCACGCCGCAAGTAGCGGTCGTGGATGAAAAACTGCCTCCAGCCGAGGCTAGAAGTGCTAGATCAACGTCGGGTGAAGAACCCAAGGCTCCGGGCCTGGATGTTGATGGCCTGGAATCAACAACGAAGAAGAAATGGTACAAGCGACTCAATCCTTTACGATGGCAGACTCCACCACCTGTTCCAGAGGAACGAACCCCCTCAAAAGAGTATGGCGCTTCATTTCTTAGCGTTGTGTATTTTCAATGGATGTCGCCCTTGATGAATGTAAGTTTGTGCTAGCAGTAATCTAGTCTTTTTTATTCGTTTACGTGAATTTCAAAGGGCTGACATGATGTCTAGGTTGGTTATCTTCGTCCTCTTGAGCTTCAAGATGTCTGGACAGTGAACCCTGATCGTACCGTCGATATTATATCAGGTCGACTCGAGGCTGCATTGGAACGTCGTACGGCATCGAAGAGTAAACGGCCACTTACCGCCGCGCTCTACGACACATTTCGCTTCGAATTCTTACTTGGCGGTATCTGTCAGCTATTCAGTTCGCTTCTGTTGGTCTTTGCGCCCTACCTAACGCGGTATCTAATTGCATTTGCTACGGAGGCCTGGGAGGCGAAGGAGACTGGTCTTCCTTCCCCAAACATTGGCCGCGGAATGGGGTTTGTTGTCGGGATCAGTCTTATGCAGGCACTGCAGAGTCTGTGTACTAATCAATTCTTGTATCGAGGTCAGATGGTTGGTGGTCAAGTACGTGCGGTTTTAATTTCTCTGGTTTTCAACAAGGCCATGAAACTGTCCGCGCGTGCTAAAGCCGGTGGAAAGGCGACTGAAGAAGAGGTCAAGGCTCTGGAGACTGCCAAGGAGGAAGCTCTCCAGAAGGACCCCAATAAGAAGCCTGCCGCTAAAGACCCCAAAGCTGCAGGGGACGCAAATGGAGTGGCAGGTGATGGTCGTGGATGGAGTAACGGCCGCATCATTGCGCTCATGAGTATCGATGTCGACCGGATCAACCTTGCCGCTGGCATGTTCCACATGGTGTGGACAGCCCCTATATCGGTCATCGTGACTCTGGTCTTGCTCCTTGTCAACATCGGCGTCAGTTGCCTTTCGGGATATGCGTTGCTAGTGTTTGGCATACCTTTCCTCACTTTTGCGGTTCGATTCCTGGTGATGCGCCGAAAAGCCATCAATAAGGTCACCGATCAGCGTGTATCCCTGACACAGGAAATTCTACAAGCTGTGCGCTTCGTGAAATACTTTGGATGGGAAAGCAGCTTCCTCGGCCGCCTGAAAGAAATTCGCACCCACGAGATCCGGTCCATCCAGACCCTTCTGGCAGTTCGCAATGCCATCCTATGTGTGTCGATGTCGATTCCCACCTTCGCCTCTATGCTGGCTTTTATCACCTATGCTCTGACAAGCCATGATCTTCACCCGGCTAACATCTTCTCTTCGCTTGCACTGTTCAACTCTCTGCGTATGCCACTCAACATGTTGCCCATGGTTCTCGGTCAGGTCACCGATGCCGTGACTGCTCTGAATCGTATCCAGGAATTCTTGCTCGCCGAAGAGCAAAAGGAGGATATCAAACAGATCAAGGATATGCATAACGCCATTGAAATCGAAGATGCCTCGTTCACGTGGGAGCGTTTGCCGACCGAAGAGGAAAAGACTGGCAAGGTTGACAAGAAAGCTGCAAAACTTTTGGAAGCCGCCAAGGAAAACGAAATTACGGAAAAGGAACAACCAACGGAACCATTCAAATTGGAGCATGTGAGCCTCGAGATTGGTCGCAATGAACTATTGGCAGTTATTGGAACGGTCGGCTGTGGTAAGACCTCTCTTCTCTCCGCTCTGGCTGGTGATATGCGTGTCACTGAGGGCCATGTACGAATGAGTACAACCCGCGCTTTTTGCCCACAGTACGCTTGGATCCAAAACACTTCCGTACGCAACAACATTCTTTTCGGCAAAGAGTATGACGAGACTTGGTACAACGACGTGATCGATGCTTGTGCATTAGTTCCGGATATGAAGGTTTTGCCCAATGGTGATTCGACTGAGATTGGTGAGCGTGGTATCACGGTCTCTGGAGGACAAAAGCAGCGTCTTAACATTGCGCGGGCCATTTATTTCAATGCCGAGCTTGTGCTCATGGATGACCCCCTTTCTGCTGTTGACGCTCATGTCGGCCGCCACATCATGGACAAGGCTATCTGTGGGCTACTGAAAGACCGATGCAGAATCCTTGCTACCCACCAGCTCCACGTTCTCAACCGATGCGACCGCATTGTGGTCATGGAAGAAGGCCGGATTCACGCAGTCGACACATTCGACAACCTCATGCGCGATAACGAGTTGTTCCAGCGCCTTATGGCCACATCTGGACAGGAGGACTCGAATGAGCAATCCGAAAAGGCCGAAGAAGCCAGCGAAAAAGTAGAAGAAGCACAAGAAGCAACCCCCAAGGAAGCTGGAACGGCAAAGCCAGCGGGCGTCCTGATGCAGCAAGAAGAGAAGGCTACATCATCGGTGGGCTGGAATGTATGGAAGGCCTACATCCGTGCATCCGGCAGCTCCTTAAACGCTATCGTGATTCTTTTCTTCTTGGCTCTTGCGAACGTAGCCAACATCTACACCAGCTTGTGGCTTTCATATTGGACTTCCGATAAATACCCCTCGTTCTCAACGGGCGAATACATTGGTATTTACGCTGCATTGGGTGTTAGTGGTGTTCTCATCATGTTCATCTTCTCGACTTACATGACGACATGCGGAACGAATTCCAGCCGAACGATGCTTCAGCGTGCGATGACCCGTGTCCTGCGCGCTCCGATGTCGTTCTTCGACACTACTCCCCTTGGTCGTATCACCAATCGCTTCTCAAAAGACGTTCAAGTCATGGACAATGAACTTTCGGACGCGATCCGTATGTACGCATTGACGATGACCATGATTATTTCTGTCATGGTTTTGATTATCGTCTACTTCTACTATGTAAGTTCCAACATCGACTGACGGGAAACAGTTGAAACTATATACTAACAGTTGATAGTTCGTCATCGCCCTTGTCCCTCTTGTGATTCTGTTCCTCCTCGCTTCCAACTACTACCGTGCATCCGCCCGGGAAATGAAACGCCATGAAGCAGTCCTTCGATCGAGCGTTTATGCCCGGTTCAGCGAAGCTATCTCCGGCGTGGCATGTATTCGTGCCTACGGCGTTGAAAAGCAGTTTCAGCGAAGCATTCGCGACTCCATCGATGTGATGAACGGTGCATACTTCTTGACATTTTCCAATCAACGCTGGCTCAGTGTCCGACTTGACGGTGTAGCTACCCTCATGGTCTTCGTGATCGGTGTTTTGGTTGTCACATCCCGATTCAACGTCTCTCCCAGTATCTCTGGCTTGATCTTGTCCTACGTTCTCTCCATCGCTCAGATGCTCCAATTTACTGTTCGTCAGCTTGCCGAGGTAGAAAACGATATGAACGCCACCGAGCGCGTTCATTACTACGGTACCGAATTGGAGGAAGAAGCTCCCCTGCACCTAGCTGAGGTGCCTGCCAGCTGGCCCGAGAAAGGCCGCATCGAGTTCAAGGACACTCAGATGCGGTACCGAGCCGAACTGCCTCTAGTCCTCAAGGGTCTCAGCATGGACGTACAGGGAGGTGAGCGCATCGGTATTGTCGGCCGAACCGGTGCCGGAAAGTCGAGTATCATGTCTGCTTTGTTCCGGTTGACCGAACTATCTGGAGGTACCATTCAAATTGATGGAGTCGACATCTCCACCATCGGTCTGTATGATCTTCGCTCCCGTCTTGCCATTATCCCACAAGACCCCGCTCTCTTCAAGGGCACCATTCGTTCCAACCTCGACCCCTTCAACGAACATGCCGATCTGGAACTGTGGTCTGCCCTGCGCAGAGCCTACCTAATTGGTGAAGACACTCTCGGTGTCGATGCGGAAGCAGTCCTCCCCGAGCCCTCCACCGGAACCACAACCCCCGTCACAGCCAGCGACGCGAAGCCCCGGCCAACCAACCGCCTGACCCTCGAGTCCCCCGTTGACGAAGAAGGTCTGAACTTCTCTCTCGGCCAGCGTCAACTCATGGCGCTCGCTCGAGCTCTGGTCCGCGATGCAAGGATCATCGTGTGCGACGAAGCGACATCCTCCGTCGACTTTGAAACCGATCAGAAGATCCAGCGCACCATGGCTCAGGGATTCCAGGGCAAGACATTGCTCTGCATTGCGCATCGTTTGCGCACCATCATCCACTACGATCGCATCTGTGTGATGGACCAGGGCCAGATCGCCGAGATGGATACCCCGCTTGCGCTGTTCGATAAGTCGGATGGTATTTTCCGTGCTATGTGTGAGCGCAGCGGCATCTCGCGACAGGATATCCTTACCCAGGATTGAATAATTTTCCCCGAGCAATAAGGGGGAGAGTACATAATAAGGAGTTTATCGATTCCAACTTATACATATTTACTGAGCATATATGAGTTCGTCCCAAAATGCAAATAATCTCTATTCTTCATGAGAATATACCATGTTCATCCAGCCTTGAACATTTTGTACATGTAGTATTACACGATTCCGACCCATCTACCTGGGCACTATTCATGCCCAGGTATCTTATCCAATTCACAAACCAGCTCCATTCCCAAGTTCCTCATCATCCCTTCCACCCCCGCCTCCTTCCATCCCTCTAAATCCCGCTCATCAATCTCAACCCGCTCCTCAACCTCTGTCAATCTGCCAATAGGCAACCCAGTAAACTTGACAGGCAACCCGACTGAAGTCCCGACAACCCGCATCCGCAACCCATTCAACACCCCCGCAAATGCTCTGCCGCTTTACCTCCACCCCGGGACCCATACGAAACAATCCCTGCCGGCTTACCCTTCCACTCGAAGAACAAGTAATCTAGGGCATTTTTAAGGCTGGCGGGGATGCTCCAGTTATATTGCGGCGTCACAAAAATAAAGGCATCATATTGGCGCACTACCTTTGACCAGGCGCGCGTGTGTTCTTTGGAGTAGTGTGGCGTGGGGTCCGTGGGTGGAAGACTGGCAGGGATGACGTATTCATCGTAGAGAGGGAGGGATTGGGCGGCCAGATCGAGGATTGTCAGGGTTATGTGGCGGGGATCGGTGTCCGGTGAGGCATCGCTGGATGGTGAGGTTGCTTTGCGCGTGGGGATTGTTGGATCCGAGGCAAGGACGTCATGGATGTATTGCGTTATCGTGGGGTTCAGGCGGGGAATGCGGGTGCTGCATGTTACAATGGCGACGTGTTTTGGTGGCATTTGGACGGTGTATCCCGATGACGGTGGCTTTGTGACAGGGTTGTTTTATTTATCAATGGAGGTATGCAGTCTCTTATCATTCAAGTCGGTGTCGGTGTAGGAGAGAACATGATTCACATTTATAGTTTACGGTCCGCGGATCCGCGGAGTGGATAGTCTAACGTGGATCCGCCACAAAGCTAAGGCATATGTCATCTATGAAGGGAAGGTAATTATCATGGCCCAAGATGAAGCGGAATTGGCTTGCAAAATAATGAGCTTCGCCAAGTGAACAAGATCGATGAGTGGTGGAGAATTCGCTTTGGCCTCTCCGAAGACCCTGGATGCTGTGTCATTCTTGCCTCTATTGGTTGACTGCTACGGAGATGTCTCCCCGGGATAGGTAAGCTCGTGAACTAATACCCCGCGACGGTAAAAGTAAAAGGAAAAAGCACTTAAAGCAGGTCCGGTCCCCTGCCAGGCCAAAAACAAAAATCGTGGGACCAAGTTGATGCAACATGCCTACTCGAGGAATCTTTATCTATGCACCAACCTTCGATCAGCGTGTCGATGGGTTTGGAATCGGCAATCCAACTCCTCGCATCTCTTGGAAATTTGGCAACGAAGACAGATCCATTCGCGCCTGGAGTCAAGCAGAATACGAGTTGGAAATCAATCGGCATGGAGTGACCAAATCCTACTCCGCCAAAAGTGACCAGTCTGTTTTAATTGAATGGCCGGACGAGCCATTACAGTCAAGGGACAAGGCTTCTGTGAGAGTGAGAGCTTGGACAAGAAACGATGTCTGTGTTGATAGCTCTACAGAATGGTCTCCCTGGTCCACAGTGGAGACCTCGCTGCTGTCAAGGGAAGACTGGGTAGCCAAGATGATCTCCAGCTCCACAGTGGTCCAATCGGATGAACCTATTCGCCCACCCCGCTTTCGAAAGACGTTTGAAATTCCCAAAGACAAAGGGGAAATTAGCTCAGCCAGGCTTTATATCACCTCTCATGGAGTTTATAACGCTTTCATCAATGGAGTTCCCGTGGGCAATCATCTCATGGCGCCAGGTTGGACGACCTACCATTCGAGGTTAAACTTCCAAGTCTTTGACGTTACCAAGTTGCTTCAGAGCGACAATGTTCTCGCAGTCGAACTGGGCGAAGGATGGTATGCGTCTCGGCTTTGGCGTGAAGGCCGCTTCGTATTCGGAAAAGACCTCGCACTGTTGTCGCAATTGGAAATCAATTTCAAGGATGACACAGAGCCTCTCACAGTAATATCAGATGAGACCTGGGAATCCAGCGTCGGTCCAATTCTCAGCAGCGAGATATATGACGGTGAAGTGTACGACATGGCACAAGAGCAACCCGGATGGAGCTCCACTGGCTACAACTCTCAGTCAGTATGGACGCCTGTGCGAACCTTGCAGTTTCCTACAGAGCAACTGGTTATACCAGAGAGTCCTCCGGTTCGGATCATCCAAGAAACCGAGCCTAAAGAGATATTTAGAAGTCCCACCGGAAAGCTTTTAGTGGACTTTGGTCAAAATATCGTAGGTAAGCTACGTGTTCGATCACTCAATAAACCTGAAGGCAATCTAGTCTCCTTTCAGCATGCCGAGGTTCTCGAGAATGGCGAGTTGGGAATCCGCCCCCTTCGAAATGCCAAATGCACCGATACTATCATCTGTTCAGGGGAGGAGCTTGAGGAGTGGTCGCCTAGCTACACATTCCATGGGTTTCGCTACGTGCAGGTCGATGGCTGGACCCCTGAAGATGAGATCAATCCCTTCAAGAGCTCAAATCTGACTGCTTTGGTCATGCATACCGATATGTCAAGGACTGGTTGGTTCACATGCTCCAACGACCTGGTGAACAAATTGCACGAAAATGCGCTTTGGGGAATGAGAGGTAACTTCTTGTCAATTCCCACGGATTGTCCTCAGCGCGACGAGCGACTGGGATGGACAGGAGACATCCAGGTATTTTGTCCTTCGGCATCCTATTTGTACCACACTGCAGGGATATTGGGAGATTGGCTCAAGGATCTTGCCTGTGAGCAGGAAAAGGGAGGTGGTGTTCCGCCTATGATTGTACCGGATGTATGTCTGACCAAGCCGGCCCGCCCTCCACAGGCTGTGTGGGGAGATGCAGCGGTTTTGGTGCCCTGGGCTTTGTACAAATTCACGAATGATGCCAAGATACTTCGGACACAGTATGATAGTATGACGTCGTGGCTTGACAAAGGATGTCGTCGCGGGCCAGATGGATTGTGGTCGGATTCGCTGTGGCAGCATGGGGACTGGTTGGACCCCTCCGCTCCACCGGATGACGCTGGAAATGGCGCGACAGATGGTGTCCTCGTTGCAGACGCATATCTTGTTCACAGCACTCACGTCATGAGCAAAGTGTCGGCTATACTGGGACACGAAGAAGATATGCAGCGTTTCAAATCCGATTACCTGAGACTGAAGGGCCTGTTCCAAAGGAAATACATAACCCCAGCTGGCTATGTTGCTTGTGACACGCAGACGGCTCTTTCTCTCGCCATCGTTTTTCAGCTCTTTGAGAACGCGGATCAGGTGAGGGTGGCCGGAGAACGCCTGGCCCGACGCGTCCAATTTGCTCGATTCCGCGTGTCAACTGGATTTGCTGGTACGCCACTCGTCACCCACGCGTTGAACATGGCGGGAAAACCCGAAATCGCTTACCGCATGCTCGTCGAGAGGGAGTGTCCGTCGTGGCTTTACCCCGTTATCATGGGCGCAACGACTATCTGGGAGCGATGGGATAGCATGCTTCCCGATGGCAGCATTAACCCAGGAACGATGACCAGCTTTAACCACTATGCACTGGGATCAATCATTAACTGGCTTCATCAATCCGTTGGTGGTATCAGTCCCACGGAGCTTGGCTGGAAGAAATTTCTCGTCCGACCTGTGCCTGGAGGCGGCATAACCTCTGCAGAGGCACAATACGACAGCCCGTATGGGTTGATAACATCTTCTTGGAAATTGGACGGCCCCGGCAAATTCCGCATGCAGCTGATCATTCCCCCTAATTCGACAGCTTATGTTATTTTGCCGGATAGACAGAGGCATGATGGCGATACCTCGGAGGAGCAAGGAATCCAATTTGCGTCCGGTGAGTACGAGATATACTGTGATTATACCCCGAGAAAGTGGCCGCCGAAGGCACTTCTCACGCTGTTCCGGGAGGATACAAGCGGTGATCCGACGGAGATTCCTATACGTTGATGGCCGACCCCATATGTCCCTGTACCTAAATAGTATAATTTGTATCTGAAGAATTTAACTTTCAGGGGCCTGACGCAGAGCAGCCTCAAAATTGCTTATTTGTACCAAGAATCGTCGGAGACCCGGTCAGGGGCTCTCCGACACGGCTGCCATTTTTAGTTTCTTGTGTCCCATTCCCTGAATCTGGATATGGATAAGATTAGTCTGAATCATGGCGTTCAATGGGACAAATGAGTGTCATTTTGATTGGAAGTGGGTTCAGGGGGAGAAGTAGTAGGCGAGCTTGAATATGGTAACTAAACTCCGATTGGGTACGGAAAGGGCCTTCACGGGCCTGGGCTTGCGGCTAGCGATCGTAGTTGCTTCAAGTGGGTCTTCTGAATCCTGACCTTCGGGCGCAGAAGGGTCGAGTCCTGGTCATTTTTGCCGATTGCTAGCCTACCTTGGGACATATTGTATCTTCTTATACTCCTATATCTTCATAGTTCCAGTTATTTCAACTTTGATCTAAACATCTCACCAGAAAGAACATTCAAAATACAAAAATGCATTTCAAGACTTTTTTTGCCCTTCTTTTCCTCAGCCCAGCCTTGGCTAGTCCCGTCGCTTCGGACGATGCCTCGGACGATGATATGGCGCAGTTAGAGGCTCTCGCCGAAAGCCTCACCGTGCCGGCCGAAACCACCACATCATCAGTGCCCAACTCTATCCTCTCGGTGCTGGAAACCGCTATCCCTGCTTCATGGTACGAGGAAATCATGGATCCTACCTCTCGCTCCTCGCTCGTCAGCGAGATCGAAGCCGGCACCCTACCAGCCTGGTACAATGCTCTCCCGAGCAGCGTGAAAGCCTGGGCTTCCGCTCAAGGTGGCTTTGCTGAGAATTTCGTTGGTGCCACCTCGGCAGCCTCTGATGACGCGACTACGGTTGGAGATGCTACGCCTGCCATTACTTCTGCTATCAACACAGCAGCCGCCACAGCTACTCAGACAGGGGCTACTTCCAGCGATAAAGTGGCCACTGGCACTGTTTCTACTTCCGAGACATTTACTGCTTCTGCTTCTGCTTCCACTTCGCCTTCAACTGCTACCTCGACTGGAGGGGCACCCGTTGCGACTGCGGGTGTCGCTATGAGCTTTGCTGGTGCTGTTGGTCTGTTAGGCCTTGCAATTGCTCTATAATAGTCTGCTGGATGCTTTCTTCTCGGACACTATTGTTTTGGGGTTTTTATTCAAAGATTTGTATTATAGTTCTATTGCATCCATAGATTCGGACTGCTTATATCCTCTTTATCATCTACTGCTTTAACTTCTCATTCCCAAAACATCAAATACATAATCGTGGATAATTTCATCCCCTCAGGGAATACTGACAACCAAACAAGATTCAATAAGCCCTTCATAAATATCCAATACTCGGAGTTCGATGCCACCTGAGTGTTTGTAGTTCAGAGGTGTGAACGTGTTATTTATTCACAGGGAGACGTGCGGCTATATATACAACGAGAAGGTCAAATTAATTTCCAGCCTGATTCTTTGTGTAGATACTTCGCAGTTCATGACGATGCTCCGGCCTGGTTCCTAATTATCACCAGCCCTATATTACGGCAGTATTCTCCACGGGTCAATATGGACTTTAAAAGGCTGTTGGCCGGTGAAAGAAAATAAACCATGTAGGTGGGGTCTCCCCCAAAGTCGGACGAAAACGTGCGCGAGGGTGACACACCGCGTGTTGAGCGACTCACCTTCCGTTTGTTAACGCGTCCTTACTCACCATTAATAGCCTGCTCATCGCCTATATTTTGCAACATCCTTACAGCCCTTGATGTCTTTCGCAAACAATTGAAAGAGATGGCGAAGCATACTGCCAGTGGACATGAAATCATACCAGATGAGATATATATCCGGGATTATATTGGAGGTACACTTGCCAACTTGATTCGTCTAAGATTGAAGTACGATGGCCAGAGTTCTTTTATACAAGATTAGGTTACACATGAGGAGGACTCGCAAGTGTTCAATGTATGCAACCTTCCGCTTATATCGGCAATATGCCCGACAAGTATTCTTGATGCCAGCCATGCTCTGTTAGATAAATCGACATGGGCTTTTTATCGGCCTACGCGCTGGAAGCGAAGATTGGGAAGCGAGGACTCTTGAATGCACATGCACAGAAGCCATCTAAGTGGGAATTTTTGGCGAGTATTGTGCATAGGGCCCCTGACAGGTTATTCAGGCCCGCTGGTGGTAATAATGACTTTTTTGAGGAAGAAAAAGGTGCTAGAGAAACTGCATCTCAGATTGAAAACCTCTTGCAAGAAGCCAGCCTGGCTGAGAAACAAATATCTGATTTCATACTCAGGAATGAAAAAAGCCAATAATGAAATACCTTAATCTATACTTCAAGAGGTGTAATACTTGTGGAGCACGACTGCGAAACCGCAGTGACCCCTCGACGGTGCGGATTGTTTTGAATCACGAGAAAGTGTCTGGTTTACCTTTTTCGGGGCCCCTGAAGGTCTAAAGCCATTGAATTTGGGCTACTTTAAGTTTGAAGTAACAATTAGCTAAGGTATATGTTGACATCTACAACCCGCATGGCAAACTTGATGTTATCTATGAGCCTGACGTCCCAAAGGTCCGATGGCGTAAGATTGCATACAACGGCTCAATGAGCCCCATTTCCTCTATTCTCCAGATGGACACGCCGCGGATGCGAATGAGTCAGCACATCATTGACGACTTGATCTTACCTATGATGATGCAAATTCAGGCCATCGCTGAGGCTGATGGGGTGATTCTTCAGTCTGATCTCGTCGATGCAGTTATGCACCAAGATCCGAATGACACAGCCTTTAAGCCAAGTATGTGCCAGGATTATGAGAAAGGGAACTTGATGGAGATTGAAAATCTTGTTGGGGAGCCGAAGTTCCATCCTGGAAATCCATATGTTTAAACCTACACCGCTGGCTATCTGTTTGAAAATACGATGGTTCAAAAATTCAAGTTGATCCATACATATTTCAGTCTTTTCGTTGAAGCCCATTTGCCCCTCCTTCTTGTCCACGGGTGTCGATATATCGGTAATATTAGAAAGTATAGCCTCAAATGGTACCATTGTAGTTAATATTGTTAAGGAGGTATAATAGCTAGGCGGGATCCACATGGAATGAGTCGAGCAAGCGCCAACGATCAGGGTCCGTAGGATGATGACTTACAACGCTAGATGGATGCAAATTAGTGATGGGTGCTGGACGGCGGGCAGTGAAGCGCCGGCTCGCCCTCCAAAGTTACGGATGGAAAGGAGGCCGTTTCTGGCGTCGAAAGCTGTCATTTTCGGCGTCGATTTCACGAGTCCTCATATTCTATATGTAAATATATTTTGCAAGTGTCTCAGTAGCTTTATTGTGAGTTTCGTCGAAATCCTGACGCTTAACAGGTCCGGATCTAAAGAGTGCGGTTCGGCCTCTTAGATCCGTTTAAATCGACATGATATCAAGAAGACCTTCAGCTATTCCAACAGGATATCTTCACATCGCATCATTTTGACATGTACAAGAACCTCAAAATTGTGAAGGTCCTTGTTCTGAAGAAATGCTTTTACAAAGCAAAGGCCACCAGTCCTACAACCAGTCTACCCAAGATTGCCTCCAGAGGTGCCGTGATCTGAGGCGCATCCCCACTATAAGGCCCTGACGCAAACCCACTGGAAGTGTCCGATGAGGTGGTGTCCATAGATGCAGCGGTGGCATTTTCGACGTCGCAGTAGGACCAGCGGTAATATTAATTGCCAAGAAAGTGACTTGACATTGGTTCAATGTCAAAGATTTAGTAACCGAAGTTGAGCCATTAGCAGGCATTGTTTCAGTGCAGACAGCAGCTGTGCTACCACCAGTAGAGCATATTAAATGCCTGTGAACAGCACTATAGTCTATTGTTGGCAAGTACGTTCGTTAGCGAGCTCACGAAGCGTATGGCGATTTCAATGCCCACTCAAGCGTTTGTGGATCTTCCGTATAGAGAAAGCCCGGGAGCACTCCACAATGTGAAGATTGGGACCGAATAGACAATTGATGCCATATGTTGGTTTTTCGGATTCGTGATAATCATCAAATTATCAGCATATCATGCCATGGTAATCTAGGAAGGACATGGTGATCATAATTCACCTTGACAACCAAGCCGATCAGGGACTGCGTGTCAGCACCATAAACGAAGAGAGAGATGACCGAACTTTCAGCCGCGGTAGGGCCCAGTATAGTCAAAATAAAAAACGCCTTCAAACCACATTGCTCCAGCCCTAGGCTCATATATTTAGACGGCATGGAGCAAAAGGACAAGTCACGTTCGGGCTATAAAATTAGGTCGGAGGTTTAGAGGCCGTGGTAAATCAGTCCCGTGAGGAATAGTATAGTTTCCTCGGAAGAGCCTCTTCGGAAAAGGTGTCCGGGTAAACACAAATTGATCATAAAGGGAATTTAGTTTCATTTGTATGTGTATATTGACGTCAAGAGCATGTCAAATTCCCTACCCCATATTACAGATAATATCATCTCCCAAGGTCAACTTTTTGCCCCCAATTTGGTAATTGCGACTTGGTACCTTGGATTGTAGGGTGTCGACAAATGAATATGTCTTGCTTAATTTCGTGTTTAAAACCCCCAAATTCTACCTTTTTTGGGGGTGACACCATGATAACAACAGAGTCAGTCATCAATATCTTGACAAGCGTCCATCGGTTATTGAAGATAGCGTCCTCTCTGGAGTCATCGACTCTGTAGCTGCCTGTGGTAAGCCAGAAGGCGTAAAAGAGGGTGCCTTGGATCATGGCTCGCGCTCTTTCTCTCATGTTTCAAAACATTTAGCCACTTGGATGACTGCGTGCTGATCTAGCTGTATCATTGCTTCGTGTCGACTGATCTACCACGCTGACCTTTACGTATGCCTGAAATTCTCAGAAGCATGACCGTATCCAAAACCACGCATTGCAGCCTATTTGTCCTGAAGGGCTTAAGCGGCTCTTCGACAAGTATGACATGGGAGTTGCAGATTCTACCGAATCAAGCAGTCTTCCGGGGCTGCCAAGCCCTGAAGAAAGACTTCGCGGGGCGCAGTTATATCTATCTTGGTGATTTCGCCTTGCGTGTGTCATTTGACTAATGAGGCCAATCATTGGCAATGATCAGGACCCCGCGGCATATTGTCAAAATAGCGACTTATGAACCCTAATCTCTTGAAATCATGAGCTACGGCTTTGGGGTTGTTGTGTCGCGGGTGAGAAGATGCAAGCGGCGATCTATACGATCTATGGTCGCTGGTAAATAGCAGGGATTTTGCAAACACAGAATGCCGCTTATAACCGAGTAGCGGCACCTGCCATGAATCCATGCCAAAACATCAGCCCCACACCATTCCACCTCTTCTCAGTAAGCTTATGCGGTGGTCAAGAGCACAAGAATGGTGATCAAATGGCGTATGTGGTCATCTTGGCTGCGCCTTGTCGGACAGCATTGCCAAGCTCTCATTCCGAGCTGGTTTCGAATGCGTTTTTATGACAGAACTTTTGTATGTTTCGCTAAGGGGGTCTTCCCAGATGGCCTCAGTTCTCGCCAGGAGTACCTCGGGCATACTTTGCCCCGTCGGCAGGGCAGTGATGGGCCTGGCGGGTCAACCTACCCGAAAGCGACTTCCACGGGAAGCTTTAAGAAACGCAGGCAAACGAGCCGACACTATGAGGGTCATCGTTAATCAACCCCCAAAAAAAGGGGAGACTAGAGCCAGAGCTCGCAGCATATTGTCGAGCTCTTCGGTGAAACAACTACTCTCGGCACTGTCGGAGGCACGGTCGCCAAGGCGTTATGGATGACGATGGCAATGTGGGCCCAAGAAGCTCTACTAGGAATTACCAGCAGCTCACAGATCAATTGTTATCCACTTTAAACGAGTGTCAAGGAGATCGGTTGGAGCACCGTGGCTACCTGCGTGCCCCTGGTGGATGCAGTGTTCATGCGTCTCAACCCCGTCCTTCCGGGCCCCATGTGGCGCCGGACAGACTACCCCATTTTGGGGTGTGGATATCTAGTCCCTGTATGTAAAGCAATTGGCGTAATGCGAGGGTCGGTCTTTCAGCATCCAGATCTCTTTCACCGAACACGCGAGATTATTCCGGTCCTGTGGCTGGGAGAACTTGGCGATAAGGTGGACGCATCCCAACATTTCGGGGTCACGCCGCGCACGTGTATTGATAGGTATGTTGCTATGGTGGAGATGAGATTCAATCCCTGCGTGGTGGTTGTGGAAGTTTAACTGGCAGCTGTTACGCAGTGGTAAATCTTCTGGAATACGTGGTAACGTGGTTCGGTATCAACCCTATGGAAGAAGGATACTCCATGTCAGGAGACTCGGGCACAAGTGACCATGCAAGGACAAAGGCAATGACTAGATTGCTTTTTTTAAGTCGATGCACAATGAGAACTTATTATTATCATTGCGCACATCGCCCCTCCCTTAGGCGCCTTACGAGTCAGCCTCTTTGCATTCAAAGCTATGACCACACGTGTCGATCGGCATGATTTGTTCCAGATCTTTTCGAGAATGATTCGGGAAAATCCTGGATAATGGTTCTTAGGTCGGAGGCAAGACCCATGGGATCTGTAAACCCAAATGTCAGAATTCGAATTTCTAGATGATCGGGAAATCCAGGGTCGGGGAGTTCCCAACAGAGGCAGTTGGACCATGCCCAGATACCTGAATTGACAGTCGTATTCGAACGACATCGACAATTACCGGGTCTAGGCTGAAATGACAGTGTCTTGAATCGAAAGGCAATGCCACATGGGAATAACATACGTTGGAAGTGGATCCATCCCGGGGAGATCTCCTGGCCAGCCATTTCAGCACGTTCGCCTCCGAGATCCACCCGCTGTCGATGGGAGTCCCGCAGCGCTTATCACGCTCATTCATATATCCATTGTTCGGCCTCGGGAACAATAATATGTCATGGTTCCTTTCGATCAATCTGATATGGGATCTACCCTGGCAGATGTGACATTGCCTTGAATCGCGATTCTCCAACCCTCCCCCCAAAGGCAGCGAGGAGGCCAGCGGCCATGAACTCGTTAGTTTCTCCAGATTTTCAGGAGTGGGCAAGCACTACTACGCGTCGTGAAAGCACGGTCTCAACCTCCACCGTGTCGTCCGCCTCCACCAGTATCCTCTTCCAAAGCCCCGCGACCTCCCCCGGCTCAAGAAAGCAATCATGGCAGTTATACGAAGATGTGATACGCCTTGAACTGAACCCACATATGACGATGTTCGTGCTTCGATCCTCCCCCACACTGTTTCTGATCGCGAATTAATCATTCCTGCAGATCATTTGTCAAGAATGGCCAACTTTTTAAGCTACGCTATACCTTCATCGATGTCTGCAAGGACTCGACGGGGGCTTTGAAATGTCTCGAGCTCGGGGGAGGTCTCGGTCAACAAACTCCCTTCGTGCATGCGTGTAAGTCCCGAGAAAAAGCTCTGCACTGCACACCAAGGCTCATGAAGCGACGTTGCAGTTCACAATACCAAGTTGCCAGTTCCGCATCTTGAGCACCCCAAAGACTCCGCAGAATATCCTCTCCGAATCTCGTTCCTCGAGCACCAGACCGTCCAAACCGCCCAGGTGGTCTTTATGACTCAATTATCCTACAAATTTGAGAACTGGGAAGGTATGCGACCGACCCGAATTTGCCACCCCGCAGGAATATTATCAGGCTGACAATAGGACAGACTGCGCACAGTTCCAAGAGCTTCTCCTCTGCTCTAAGTTGATGTTCATCGGCGGCATGGCCGAAGCCAAATCCAAGGGCCGTGGCGAAGAATGCATCAGTCAAAATCTCCGAATTCTTCGTGGCCATAATGGCAAACGAGTCATGCTATTTTTTGCCAACTCCCAGCGCAAAGAGCTCAAGCGATATGTGTCCATTCCACGTAAGTATGACAAGTGCATTATTATCGACTTGATTTCTAACGTATCCTAGTCAACTGCGTTGCGAGTGTCAAACCACCCAAAAAGGCCGGGCGGCCAGTCGTATTAGAGCTGGACCCGAATTTCGACATCCTCATGAAAATGCGGAATTTAACGATCCATTTCCTGGACGACGACGGTAAGTGCTAAATCCCGGATGATCCGAGCGATCGCTTACTTGGTTCCTAGATTGCAAGAGCTTCTGCCAGCTGCTGTCAACGGAGCTAACGATTGGATGAATAATTTCTTTTTAATAATTTCGGTTTTGTATAAATTTGCATGGCGGGGTCAATGGCGTGAGGCGTAATGCGTGATACTGTGATACATATTGTGATACTGTGATACCATTATACGAGCATTTCATTTGCTTAGATTAAATCTTTACAATGATTTTAATTTTCTGATTTTTTATTTAAATTTTCTATTATTTAAAATGCCATTTTATCCGATTCCCAGAAAGTTAAATAGACAAGGCACCATTGTGTTTGCCCCAACGTGGTCAAGTCAAGCGTGGATTCCAAGCAATGTGGGGCTCCCGCACAGCGTCTCAGTCGTCTGGAGTCCCGCACGTGGAGCGAGGAATCAATGGGTTTGGCTGGATCGGCAAGTGGAGCCCTGCTCGTTCTTTTAGCCTGCGCTAGAGCGAACAGGGGTCTGTCCGCTCGAGGCTCAACGTGCCAGTCCGATTGGCCCCGCACTGCATGGGAGAAGCACATATACTGCTTCCTGCCATGCAAATCTCTTCCATCCTTTGAACCTGAGGGGAAACAGCTCACCATGGGGAAGTTTCATGCCCGGTTGTACAAGACCGATCGAGCACGGGATTTCGATCATGAACAGGTGAGCAGCTTCGGTGCGGTTGGCATGGCGGGGTGGTTTTGACATTCTTGACAATCAGGATCGATATGTGCGCATGCGACAGATCTATGAAACGATTGACCGACAAGGCTATCAATGGGTTGTCGTACTCGTCGCCGGTCTCGGCTTCTTCCTGGATGGTTACACTGTGAGTGGGAGTTGGAACTATGAGAACTCCGAAAGGAAATGGCCACTGACAGTGCTTTCAAAGCTCTTTGCTAGTAATATGGCCCTTCCGATGATTTCCTACGTCTATTGGCAAGACGATACCTCCTCGCTTCGTTTGACTTGCATCAACATTGCCACCTTGGCCGGAACGTTGCTCGGTATGGTGCTGTTTGGATTTTTGGCGGACAAGAATGGGCGAAAGAAGATGTACGGTGTTGAACTGGTGCTGCTGATCACCGCGACGCTCGGGGTGGTCATGTCTTCCGAAGGCAAGGACGGCAGTATGAGCATTTTTACGTGGTTGATCTGGTGGAGAGTCTGTGTCGGCATTGGTGTTGGAGCAGACTACCCCCTCAGTGCTGTCATTACATCAGAGTACGTATAGTTTCTGCCACGCGATTCCATCTAGATCACTGACAAAGCCATAGATTTGCTCCGACCAAGCACCGCGCCCGCATGATGGCCACCGTCTTCTTCATGCAGCCTCTGGGCCAAATTGCAGGCAATCTGGTTTCGTTAATCGTGATCGCGGTCGGTAGGAACAGTAACAGCGATGATCTTACTCGCAGCGTCGACAGCATGTGGCGCTGGGTTCTGGGAATTGGTGTTGTTCCCGGTGCCATTGCGATTCTCTTCCGATTTGCCATTCCCGAGAGCCCTCGTTACCTCGTTGAGATCGACGACGACCCAGTCACCGCGGAGTTCGATGCCACCACTCTCTTTAGCGAGCCTTCTATCAGCCCCGGATTCGATGCACAGGGCTTTGGAAACGTTACTTCTATCATGGGCAGTTCGATTCAGCTCCCACCCATTTCTTCCCTGGCCAGCTCCTCCATTCATGAAGATGAAGAATACAGTAACTTGCCACCGGCAACTCTCAACTCACACTGGCGGCTCGCAAAATCCGATATTATTCGATACTTCTGGACAGAAGGAAACTGGCGCAGCCTAGCTGGTACGACATTGGCTTGGCTGCTCATGGATTTCGGTTTCTATGGTATCAGTCTTGCCAGTCCCCAATTCTTGGCTAAGACATGGGGCCAGCTACATATCTCAGTATCAGAGCCATACTGGATGACCGACTCTCGCCCAGGAGCTAGCGTTTACGACATGTTCTTCCAGACCTCTATCCGCGCTCTGGTGATTCTGAACATCGGCAGTTTTGTCGGCGGTCTCCTGCTCATTGTTTTCGCCCATCGCATTGAGCGAGTTGCCTTGCAAAAATACACTTTCCTCTGTCTAGCAGCACTTTTCATTGCATTGGGAAGCATCTTCGTCTGTCTGATCAACAATCCGCCTGCTTCGGTTGCATTATACATTCTCGGCCAGATCCTTTTCAACTTCGGTAGGGTCAACGCTTCAATTCCCTCGGTTTTCAACTAACATCACATAGGTCCCAACGCAACAACTTACATGATCCCCGCCGAGATTTTCCCTACTCGTTATAGAGCTACCTGCTACGGACTTAGCGCAGGCGCTGGCAAGCTGGGCTCCATCCTTGTCCAAGTCTTCTCCACCTACTACCGGTTCGGCGGTGGTCTCGGAGACGTATCGACTCGCCACCACGGCATTGTTCTTTTTGTTTTTAGTGCTTGTATGGTCATCGGGGCTGCTGTGACACATTTCTGGATTCCGCCTCTTCAACAGAAGAAGGGCAACAACATTCTTTGGGGCGGGAAACCTTACACTCTTGAAACGATGGCCTTGGGTCGCATGGGACGCAAGAGCCGAGAGGCTGGAATTCGGAGGAGATCCACAAGGAAACGCGCCATGTCCTTTGGCGGATAGACCTTATTTACCATATTTCTTTGTACTTTCTTTGGGTCTTTTTGGTGTTATGGGCAAAAGGGGTAAAGGGTGGGCTTCTGGATATATACGGCTCACATGAACATAGTGAATAGATACCCCTGACATTCAAATAAACTTGTATCATAAGAGACTAACAATAATGGAGCAAGAGGTTAATTGATGAACTATCGATAATAAAAGTGGATTGGATGGGACATTGGCGATCGGTCAACGATCACCAATTCCCCGCAGTTTGCCGGAATTGGCCGGAATTCTGCGACACTAACGATCACGACTTACAAAACTGAGAATACTCATAGATTTCAAAACAAAATACTCCGCGATTGAGTTGTGAAAATGAACGGCTATAAAGTTTCCCAGCCAAATCCCCGAAAGCGCCGAAGACCTGCGCTAGCGTGCGAGCAATGTCGACGGCGCAAGGTACGATGCGACCGGGAAATGCCATGTGGACCCTGCATCAAGTCTCACCCCTCGCTGAACTGCGCATATGTTGACGAGGGTAAAGCTGCACTGGACGCTAGGCTAGAGTCATCTCGATTTAGTGAGCATGATCTTTCGTCGCACTCTGATGAACAACATGTTTCTTCGGGCGCTGGCCGGAGCTCTGCCGACCGTGCTCGAATAGCGCAACTTGAACGCAGTATTAAAGCCCTGCAGAATCGCGTGCATGATCTGGAGCAAAACAAGGCCCACGGTAGCCAAGACCATCACCAGGATGAAGATACTCAGCAATTGAGTGGAGAAGTTGATCGCGTCACTGGCAGACTTAGAGGATCGGAGCAGCCCCAAACATTTATTTCCCCCCTAGCACCTCGCATCAAAAGCGACAATGGAAGAACCAAGCTGTTTGGTACGACTCATTGGGCCCTTGTGTTTCAACAGGTGAAATTTCCTTGATCATTATATATCTTCACTCTATTGACTTGCTTCAGTTCCGTGTTTTACGCCAAGTGCGAAGCACAGCCAGCTATACGGATAGTGAACACAACTCCATCAGCAAATCGCTTACAGATATCCGCAAGCTGAGATATCGTATTAAGAGTCGGCAAGCACCGCAGCTGGTAGATCCCGCGCCAGGTCTATTGAGTGATTTGCCTCCGAGGGAAATATGCGACCAGCTGGTCCAGCATTATTTACGCACTCTTGGGATGATATATCGCATCTTGCATGTTCCAACCTTTAACCAAGAATTTGAAAGTTTCTGGGAAGACCCTCAATCAGCGTCTAGGGGCTTTTTACTCAAGCTTCTGTTGATCCTTGCTATCGGGTCCGTCTTCCATTGCAAGCCTGGGCCATTGAATGAGCTCGGTATGCCGATCCAGCGCTGGGTGTATGCGGCACAGTGGTGGTTGTCCGGTCCATTTTCGAAGGAGATTGGAAACCTGGAGGGCTTGCAAGTGTATTGTCTGCTTCTTATTTGCCGTCAAACTTATGCGATGGATAAGGAATCGAACTGGATGTCGGCTGGAGCATTATTGCGCCAAGCGGTCGGCCAGGGACTACATCGTGATCCCTGCAACTTTCCAACAATATCGATATTTGATGGTGAAATGCGGCGTCGGATATGGGCTACCATAATAGAGCTTAATATTCAGCTGGCCATTGATGCAGCAATGCCACCGTTACTTGCTGAAACGGATTACGACACTCGACCACCTGCTAATATCGACGACGAGGATATCGATCCCTCTACTACAATCCTACCTCCGATTCAACTTCAAGATTTCTTCACAGACTCTTCGCTGCAAATTTTGCTCTTGCGGTCTTTTCCGATCCGCTTGCAAGTCGCAAGGACTATCAACGAGTGCGGTCGGGAACAGCTCTATGAAACCGCGTTGCAGCTAGGCAGCGTACTGACTTCGGCCTGTAAAGAGATGGCAGCACTATTTCGTACTTATACGACTAGTACCAGAAGATCCAAGAACCGACCCACCCAGTTTCACTACCAATTGATGGATACTCTACTCCGACGTTTCTTGTTGAACCTTTATCGACCATTTACCATTCAAGCTGCAAAGGACCCCCGTTTCTATCTCGCCCGAAAACTCAGTCTCGACTCCGCTCTTATGATGGCTTCATATGGAGAGATGCCAGAAGGCCTCGCAGACACAGATCAGCAACCACATCAAGACTTCCAGCGACTTGCTCTCTCGGGATCAGGATTGTTCAAAGCACACTTGTCCCTGGATGTAATGATCGTCATCTCATCAGAGCTGATCACACAACTCGAAGAAGAATTTGGCGCTCACCCAGAAGGGATTCCCCCATTTACTTCGAGTGCAGTTGACCAAATCGCGAACGCTGCACGATTTCCGCTCATTCAGGCACTGGAACGTATCAAGGGTCATCTTTATACCGGTCTAGAGGCGGGCATCCCGAGTATGAAACGGTACTGCCTGCTAGCAGGAGTTCTGGCGCAAGTTCAACCAGTCTCCCGTCAAGAGCAAGGGGATTGGCCCCATATTCGTGAAGCATTTATGGTCAGCATGCAGACTTGTCGTACCCTACTTGAGCAACACATTTCCGAGTCCCAAGTCACCGAAGAAGGGGCCTTACAAACCGCCATGGGTGAATCCAGTATTTGGACGCCTGAGAGTACATTTGGCTCTAGTTTAGGTTCGGACTTTATGGTTAGTCATCTATACTCTTGAATATTTCTTAAAGATGACTAACTTTTTTCTAGTTCACTGATCTAGGACTGGATGCGTTGAATTTTTGGGATCTCCCTTCGTTTGTTGATGGCAGTGCATTCGATCCGCCCAGAGCTGCCTTTGACGTATAGAAGGTAGTAATTGTCAAATAATTCAGAAGTGGCGAGTATTCGGCCACTACTGAGATCCATGAAACATTTCTGTTATATTTTGTCTAGCACTTTTGACATCAATTACTGTGTTTCGACCTGACGAATCCGAATGCCACCGCTCCATCCCACCCATCCCTTCTCAGCCGGGCCCCGTATCATGCAAATGGCAAATGAGACCGCAACAAAGATCACACTGACGGACCCACTCATAATCCATCCACTTTCACCATAGACTCGATTCCCAACTGCAGTTCCCATAAGCTGGCCACAGAAAACTCCAATCATATAGGCAGTATTGACCCGACTTCGCGCTTTCGGCGCAACACTGTATATAGCAGTTCGGTTCGCAATCTGCGTCATCTGGAGACCAAAATCCTGCAACGCTGCTTGTAGAATGGGGCCTGCCACCGAAAATGTACCCGTATACGCACCGATGCAGATTCCAGTAAGCAAGATAGTTAAGCTAATGAGAATAGACACATGCGTAACGAATTTATCGATGACATATCGGGAATAAAAGGGACCGAGAAACATTGGAGTTAGACCTGCTAACGAAAACAGTCCGATTGTCACTGTGTTGTAGTGGTAGGGTGCGCCAGATAGGAGGAAGGTGAGCGTTGTCCAGAAACTGGTGAAAGTTGCCGATAGGAAGAATCCCATGAATGTGGCGTATACCAGGACTGGGGAGGTAACGAATAGTTGCACGATTGAGGTTAGGACTTTTAGGTAGGAGATGTCGGTGTTGGTTCGTGGGTAATCTGGCATGAATGCCCAGAGCAAGATGAAGATTGCATATTGCAGTGCAAGGGATAGCCAGTAAATGTTTCTCCACGAAGAGTATTCGGCGATGATTCCTGAAAGGAGTCGTGCGAATAGTAGGCCTAGGACTAGTCCTGATGACACAATCGATAATGCCGTTGCGCGTCGAGCTGGCGGAGCAAGGTCTCCCACCAGGGGAAGCATGATTTGCTGTGAAATATGGTTAGCACACGTTCAAGCCAAGGAGGGGGAATCCATGCAGATAAATATGCTTTTGTCCGCTACTTCGCTACTTACCGGCGTAACAGTGGTAACCGAAGAAAGATAGCTTATAGCGAGGAATGCATTGAAGGAATTGGTGATACACACGCCAATCCATAGAGTCGCCGTTATAAATGTCAGAAGAAGGACAAAAGGCCTTCTCCGAACCAAATCACCCAAGGGGCAGAGAAGAATTAACCCTGTTGCATAGCCAGCTTGGCTGCAGGTAGGAATTAGGGATGCTCGCTCATGAGACACATCAAAAAAGCTAGCAAGTGTATCCAAAAGAGGTTGTGCATAATAAAGATTGGCAACCTAAAGATCATATCAGTGATGTCCCACCACGCAAGTGGATATGTGGGGATCGGCTTTGGTCCAGAACATACCGTAAACGTTCCAGCAAAGGCAAAGAGGATATTTAATGGCATCCCAAACTTGGGTGGGCTCTCTTTATGCCATCGGCACCATGGCGGCGCCCATAGTAACGCATCGATAATAGGTTTCCAGCAATTGGACTTCATCGATGATTCATTTGGGGTGAAATCATTATCCTCGGCATTCTCCCCGGATTCCCCAGACTTGTCGGTATCATCGGAAAGAATGTTGGGAGCATCCGGACCAGCCTCTTCAGACGAGTTTTGGTTATGGGATTTCAGCACCTCCGCATCTGGGTCCTTTCCTTCCATTCTTCAGACTGGCCAATGCTATGAAGAGCGTGAAAAGGTGGGGGAATTTTCTCGGGATTGTCGGTCTCGGCAGGGGCCGGGGAATTGATAAGATCCAAAAACGGCGATTCGCCAGCAGATCAAGACCTGACGGAACTCTATTTTACTCTTACATCAACAACTGCTGCCAGTGATTGATCCTCATCTCATCAGTTCTGGCGTTGAAGAATATACATTTAGGTATGTTCTTCTGAGCGAATCAAATGCAAAGCTTTCCTGGATATGTATACAGGCCCTAACACCCACGCTATGTACATGCATCTTACCGTCATAAGAATAAAACAATTGAGCAAGAAAAATATAAAGAGTGGAGACCTATTGTATCCATTCCGTCTCCGGTCGCTTGAGAGGATGTCCTGCAGAGTTGAAGACATATTCATCCAGACTGAGGGCATCCGGTGCGCTGAACATGAGATAGAAGTATTTCAATGTTTGGGACATCCAGAAGCTTTCCATGGAGTCAATGTGAACTGGGTCTTCGGTCGGAGTCGTGACGTCGGCGAGGGCAGCGTTGCCATTGATGATTTCAGTGGTATTTTGAATAGATTCGAACATGCCCCAGGCGGTATCGAGCAGGTCCTCGCGGGCGGAAATGCGATAAAGATTGAACATGCTTTCGATGGTTTCCGGTCGCAAATTGTAACGAGAATCGGGGATGGCAATGAAGCCTTTTGGCAGATGATGATCCCGGATATAGGCATCAATGTCCATGTCGGGATCTGGCTCTGGACTGTTGTTCACGCTTTTCCAGACCTCTTGCTTCCAATGCCACTCGTTCCATGGGCAGTCGTTCTGGGAAGCACACGGAATCGTCTCATATACCTCGGGCATGATACCTAGAGGCATAGACTGGGCAGCCCAGATGCAGCCATCGACCAACTTGTTCGCGATTTGGCGATGGGCTGGGATGCTGAAGAGTGCTCCTCCCAATGCGAACATACCTCCCGTGAAACAGGCACGGTGGTGAACCTGACTTTCCAATAGCGTACGAGACTTTCCATTTTGGGTCATCATCACACGAATTGACCCTGGGACAAGAATGTCTTTGTTATCATGAGTCATCGGACGGAAGAGACTGTGTCCAGCGGCGGTCCGTGTCGATCTCTCATACATCTTGCGATACACGGGAAATCGGCCTCCAAGTAACATATCGGCCTTTGCCAATGTTTTATACAGAGAATCGACCTCAGCACCCAATGTGAAAAAGTCTCCGTCAAAGACTTCCGTTCGGGCATTCAGGACGACCGGCCACATTCCTGGGAGCTTGGTCAAATCTTGCAACTGGCTGAGTATCTCCATGACCAGTTGTGCAGCGTTGAAGTATTTTGGATCGCTGGTCAATTGCGACAATCTTGTGAATTCAAGAATAAAGGAACCGAGTTCTGACGCCGAGACCATCTCTTCGGCGAACTGCTCTTCCTGCCGTGCGGCCCGGTGCAGATCCCAATGGGTGATCGGCATGCGGTTCGGCGTGTCGAATGCCGCATAAAGCATATCGCCAACCTCGATCGCCTTGTTCAGCAATCGGCGATCGGCGCTGAGATCAAATGCGCCCAGTAATCCACCCAGTATGCGAATATTAATCTCATGCGTATTGATTTCCGACGACTGGGTGGTCTCAAAATTGATCTCGACAACGGCCTTCACGGCTATGTCGAACTCCGATCGCATTCCCATGATCCATAATGTGTCCAGGTTATCCACCAACGTCACACCCCAGCCACCAAGTCCATTACTAGGCAAGCCGCTCATGGGCGTAAGCTCGTCGGTCTGCCACGCTAGCCACTTGTATGAATCCCAGCATCGGGTAAATGCTTCTTTGACTGCCGCCTGTCTGCTCTTCTGGAACCAAGTGGTGATTTGAGAGAAGCTCGATTCGCTTGCTTGGATCTTTGGGATACCGAGGCGCGATTGGGTCGGCGGGAGTAAGGAAGGTACGACGAGATGGCGGATAGGGAGCCGGCTCCAAATGGTGTTGTGGGATTGTTTATCAAGCGGCGGTTCGCTGGGAAAATCGGGATTTTGGAAGTCTGGCTTGGGAATATCTGGACTAGGTGCATCCGGAGGGGCAATGTGTTCATTAATGGGCGTTGTTTGTTGGGCATGGTATTCATTCAATGAGTGACGGTGCCGATAGAGCATGGATATGATGAAGAGTGCCAGGAAGAAGCCCAGCCATTGGCGTCTAGTTCGACTCATGGCGAATACCTGAATGTTAATTTCATATAGTCAATTTGGGATCCAGCATTTTTTTGATTCGATGCTGGAACGCGAACGCAGGATGGTCCCAGGGGCGGATAAGGAGGCACGCGAGATTTCCCCGCGAGCTGCAGATTGGGCGGAAGTCTAGGCATATTATAGTGGCGACACTTTTTGCGTCAGCCCTGCCAAGATGACTGAAAAGCTGGACAAGTGGCTCCGGGAACGCGTCTCTCCAATACGAGCGGGCTTACGACGCCTGCTGGCGGAACCTTAGCGGGTGCTCGTTCCTGGCTACCGGCATGTTAATGGCGGTCTAGAGCGATGAAAAATCAATTCTCCAGGCACAATTGTTGCTCAGCGTGACCATTGTACAAGGTCTAACGGTCTTAGGATCGTTAGTATTCAATAGCTTAATATTCCTTCGGTGTGACTTCCCATCTGGTACATTAAGGGGGGAGATAAAAATAGAAGATTGCCGGGTGTCCCGGGAGCTAATTTGAGGCAAAAGACAAAAAAGAAATCTGCATCATCCGTGAATCGAACACGGGCCTCGTCGATGGCAACGACGAATTCTACCACTAGACCAATGATGCTGGTTCATGTAATGTGCAGCAAACTAATGCTACATAAAGCAAAATTGTCTGCTGCCCAAAAATTGACATTGCTACATATCAGGAATTTTGAAAATTTCCTTTCAAATTGTATGTTGAGGTGATGGAGATTCCATAGTATAGCATTGGCTTATACTTGTTTTCTTCAATAAATTGAGTAGAATATACAACTTGGAACATTAAATAGCATCAACTGTCGGGCGCAAGGTCTGTTTAGAGGTTGGCATTGGACCTTGGGGGTGCAGTAGGAAATATATATAGGGCATTTGTGCATCTAGCCAAACCGTCAAACTCGCGAACTCCAAGCCTTAATTCTTGAAATTCTTTATAGGTCGATCACTTGAAAATAACACAATTCATTGAATAATCACAACATCGCAATTTCATTCATACATAGCTATCATGCTAGCAAAGTTCGAAAACCTTAAAACCAGACATGCAGCTCCCTCGGTATACTACTGGCTAGTTCTTGCCTCGAAAACTGCAGGTTGCAAAGCGCTCGCCCCTTCTGGCTCCCAAAAACCGGATAGTTCCAATCCTGCTTCCTTCAACAAGTCACAATACTCATTCTTCGTTCGCTCCGCCGCTGCAAACGACACCATCATACTCATATCACCAATAGTAGCCATCAAGGGAACGTTCATCTCCGGCATAGCCTTTTCCTCAATCAGCAGAAGCGAACTAGGACTCATCGCCTCACGGATTCTGGACAGAATCTGCACCACCTGCTGATCTGGCCAATCATGGAGCACATTGCGAAGATAGTAGGCTTTCGCTCCTTTGACGGGTTGTTCATCGAAAAAGCTGTATCCCTGCGCTTCAATACAGGCAGGTATATCCCCTGTTTCAATGACATGTGGCAGGTCCTGGAGGATAAGTCTTCCTGATAGACCGGGGAACTTCTCATGGAAGATCTGGAGATCTTTTCCGTGGCAGCCTCCGACATCAACTAGGAGGACAGAGGAGGGATCTTCACTATGTAGCTTTTCCTTGACGGGGAAGAATTCGAACCAGCTTTTCTCACCGCGACGGTATGATGATGCCATCACTGTGTTGAATGCGTTTTGGTAGTACGGCTTTAAAGACAGATAGTCGAAATAACGAGACTTGGTACCCATGGCTACCTGGAATGGGGCATCGTCGATGTTGCCTGGATTATTCCAGCCTTTTTGTTCGAAATATTCGGGGAGCCGGGAGAGGATAGTGTGGAAGTGGGTGCTATTACTCATTAGCAATGTCTTCGTCTTTACCACTGACTGAACCTACAAGTGAATCACCGCTGCTGATAGCGGGGATGCCGAGATGTAGGCTTCGGCGAGTGATGTAGATAGGTAAATATCAGAGGAGATTTGCTTGAGAACTTCCATTGACGCTAGGAATCTCATGATTCTCCCTATTTCAAATTAGCGAAAAGTTTGGACTGAAGTCCTGGAAACATGCCGACGAGCTTAGCATCTGCCTTGACATCTTCAGCAATCTGATTGATGGTGACCCTGCCACCTTCCTGATTGGATGAACGGTTGGCGATGGCATCAAAGAGCTTGAGGTCGACTCCCAAGCGAATTGCCATTGCTTGATGGCCCTAAAGAGATTTCATTAACTTTGTCCCTCCTAACACGAGGCAAAGCTAGGGAGGGACCGACGGCAAAGAGAAGTTTGACGGTCTTCTCCAAAGGAGATTCGCATAGACTCTTCAACTGATCGCATGCTTGGGATAGTTGCGCCCGCTGTAGCTCATCTACATCGACCCGACCGGACGAAGTGACCGACTTTATAGACTGGAGTAATTGAGAAATGACCATTTTGAAGAGTGTGCAGATAGTTTGATTTGGATTGTGTTGTGCAGCGCATTCTACCGAATAGAGGCATGGAGTCGTGAGCGGTGGTTTTTGTACTATCCAATGCGACCGGCAAATCCATGGGAATACACCGACACCGATTCCCGAGACCGACTTTCGTTCATTCTGCACACAATCACTCCAAATAGCGCTCTGAAAAGCCCACGAATCACAAGGTTCTGGCAAGACAACCTTGGAAATGGGTCATGATTTGGGAATATATGTGTTTGAGTCAGCCACATATAATGTTTTGGTAACAGGCGTAGTGCTAGCGGGAAGAATCTCGATCGCCGATTTCGCCGATTTCCCCGCCATTTATAGGTTCACGAACGATTGCCAATTAACCGAACTTCTTGCTTGTTGTACTGTCATGATCGTATTGCTAATCTGGGGAGGTGGCAATACAGGTTTCGCCTAGTTGAAGATTGATTAAATGCGGGGCACTGAACCTTCGGCTCAGCCTTATGTCAATCAAGGTTAAATGCCATATAAAAGACTATAGCGCCTTGATCCTGCCAAACCCCCTGCAATTAAATGTAAAAGTAGCTTTGGAATCTGAAAAGACTAAGTTTCGACGCGGGTCACACCGTGTACAAGCCACTCCACTACTCCACGCGTGCGGGGTTCTTCACATAATCACACATAAATACGGGCGCACATTTTCAGCTTTCTGGTTCTATCCCACACTTTTCTCTCTACCTCTTCCCTCTGAAAACACTCTAATACCCGTACCTTTCAAATATGACGGCCATTGATGTGACGGCACAGCCCAGCCTTCCCTCACGCTATAGAGTGGAACCGGGTTCCTGCGATATCCCTATCGGTGTTCTGCCGAAGACGTGCACATCCACGCCCGAAAAACCAGAGATTATCGCTAGTAACGTGATCGAGAAGGTCAACAGTAGCATTGTGAAGAAGGATGCTGCAGCTCTCGCGTCGCTGTTCATTAATAACAGTTACTGGCGCGATCATCTCTGTCTCACATGGGAATTCCGGACGCTGAAAGGAGCCGAAGCTCTCTCGAAGTTTGTTGTTGAAAGCCCTTCGGTCATCAAGTTTGAGCTTGACAATTCCTCTCCATTTACAGCACCGCATAATGGCCCGATTGATGCCTTTGGTGAGGTCCACGGAATTGAGTTCTTTGTTAAAGTTTCTACGGGCTTCGGTAACGGCAGGGGCATTGTACGACTTGCCCAAGAGGGAGAGGAGTGGAAGATCTTCACCGTCTTCACAACTCTTAACGAGATCACCAGCCACGAGGAACTAGTTAATGGCCACCGACCCGTTGGAGTGCAGCATGGCGCACACCAGGGCCGAACGAACTGGCAAGATCGACGTACTGCGAGTGAAAATTATGAAGAAAAAGATCCTGCTGTTCTCATCGTCGGTATGTATAGAGCTACACTAACAACTACCAGATATTTGAGAAACCGAGCTAACAAGTGCTTGGTTATAGGTGCCGGCCAAGGAGGTCTGACTGCAGCTGCACGTCTGAAGATGCTGAATGTTGACACCCTGGTAATTGACCAAGAAGACCGAATCGGAGATAGCTGGCGTCATCGCTACCACCAACTTGTTCTACACGATCCAGTGTGGTATGATCACATGCCATACATTCCCTTCCCACCCAACTGGCCCATCTTCACGCCCAAAGATAAACTAGCGGAGTTCTTCGAATCCTACGTTAAGCTACTCGAACTCAACGTCTGGGTCCGCACCGAGTTGAAGTCCTCATCTTGGGACGAGAAAGCAAAGCAATGGACTGTTGTCTTAGAGCGCACGAAAGCAGATGGCTCGACTGAGACACGCACTTTCCACCCACGCCATGTAATTCAGGCCACCGGACACTCCGGGAAGAAGAACCTGCCCACCTTCAAGGGGATGGAGAATTTTAAGGGTGATCAAATCTGCCACAGCTCCGAGTTCCCTGGCGCAAAGGAGGGACAAAAGGGCAAGAAGGCCATTGTTGTTGGCTCATGTAATTCGGGTCATGATATTGCTCAAGACTACTATGAGAAGGGTTATGATGTAACCATGGTGCAGCGAAGTTCGACGTGTGTGGTTTCGTCCAACTCTATTACTGAGATCGCTCTCAAGGGCCTTTATGATGAAGCGGCGCCGCCTACTGAAGATGCGGATACTTATTTGATGAGTGTGGCGCCCGAGCTATTCAAGCTGCAGCAGACGAAGGTCACGAAGGCCGTGAACCAGAACGACGCGAAGACACTTGAAGGGTTGGCAAAGGCAGGCTTCCAGGTCGATCGCGGTCCCATGGAGGCGGGGCTTTTGCTAAAGTACTTCCAGCGTGGAGGTGGTTATTACATTGATGTGGGAGGAAGCCAGTTGATTGTAGATGGGAAGGTGAAGGTCAAACAGGGACAGGAGATTAGTGAGATTCTGGCGAATGGGATTCGGTTCGCCGATGGGTCGGAGCTGGAGGCCGATGAGATTGTCTTTGCGACGGGATACCAGAACATGAGAACGCAGGCGCGCATCATCTTTGGTGACGAGGTCGCGGATCGCGTTGGCAATGTGTGGGGGCTGAATGCGGAGGGTGAGTTCCGGACCATCTGGCAACGCAGCGGGCACCCTGGGTTCTGGTTTATGGGTGGAAACCTGGCACTGTGCAGATACTACTCGCGTCTTTTGGCGCTGCAGATCAAGGCTCTGGAGGAAGGCATTGCTACGTACTAGGTGATCAAGATAATCGCTAATCAAATTCTATTTGGTATCGTTAAAGTCGTGATATGTCAACCGAGTCTGTTTCATGAAGCCAGTCCATGCCATCCTTCTTGTTGAGCAACCCACACGCCCAGCGTGAGGATCTCTGTGTATAACCATGCCTCCAATGCCTCGCGGGCACTAGCATCGCCTGTAGCCGGTAGAGGATCCGTTAAATCCATGCATATTTGGAGGTGCTCCATGATAGAGCTCTTTCGCACAAGAATCTCCAATCCGCCCCTTGTCATCGTGGCAAGGCGACTTTTCCTCCTCGCAGTCCGATCAATCAAGAACAAGACGAATTGGTCCGAATCAGGCCCATTATCTTTTCCCGTTGAACTTCTCTTTTCCCACTGCAAGATCATCCTTCCGCGGTTTCCAGAATCTTGATCCCCCTCCTGATCATTCCTAATAGTAAATCGGTAACATGGCGTCTTCTCCGATCCTGCCGTACCCACACTGCCTTGCCAACTAGACCGGGCATTGCGAAAGTAAATAGATGATGCCGGCGTCTCGCCGGTCGATGATTGACACAAAGCTGCAATAATGTCCCTATGCGGAGTATTGCAATCCTCTTCACTCTCAGAGGAATTGGTCGAGTCCTTTCGGATTGAATTGGTATGCATCATATAAGGTTCATTGCTGGTCACGTAGATATCCCCAGATCTTAATTTAGGCCGCTGGGGAAATTCCCGCGTGAGTTTTGATTTGCGGAAAGGTGGTTGCCATATTTCTAAAACCGGGACTGGGCGATGATTGACCGCAACTTGTTGGATTTGCAGGAGGAGCTTTGGGGCCAGACGGAGTGATGATTTTGGGGGCGGGCGGGCCACTTTGAAATTTGCATGAATCTTGGTTCTTGTGGGTTGCGATGGAGGTCTGCATTGAATTAGAAACTAGATTCTGGAAAGAATGTGATAGCGGGGCAGATTCATACCGTTCGTCGCTAGCTGTGTCGCTGTCATAGACTACGGAGCTGGAGCTCATAATGGGTTCCTGCATTTTGAAAATCATGACTGCTCTGATCTGTTCGCTAGCGAAAGATCAAATCCATTTAAGGTGTCATGCACAGAGAGGAAAGAGAGAGTTTTTCTCCTTCACCGACACGAAGACATATTCCGTAATAAATAAGCGTTTCCACTATGGCCTCGCCCCCGTACTCGTATGTTTTCGCGCGCACGAACCATGAAGATGTGGGGGCAATCGGCTAGTTGCGAATTCCGTGTCCGACCGAGTACGCTAAGATTTCCTGATGAGGCATGGTCAGCAAATAAGAAAGGATCCCATACAAGGTTCCGTGGAAATCGGACACACGATTGGATTGTTCCTTCAAAATAGGCGGCCAAAATTCGACCGAAATGAGCATACTGTGCGATCCCGAATCGTTGGCGTCATTCATCGCGTGAGATTTTGGGGCTAAACGCAAAACGCCTCAGCCCTGCGAATCCCGACTCCGATGCGTAGCTCTCCTTAAACCCGGTCATTTCTTTGTTATTCCTCTCCAAATATGTTAGCGTCTTGGGACACGTCTCAGCCGTATTCGTTTTTGACTTCACCATTGGGTAAATGTGGAGCTGTGCTTGGCTGAGACTGTGTCGATCAAATCAAAAGCCGTCGCACGATACAGCCCCAAACGGCTTAACCTCGCCATCGGAGCAGCTGAAATGAAGGTTTCATCCTAGGCTGCCTCAGGTCGAAAGTCAAAACTAAGAAAGTGGCAGCCTTGTGTAGTCATCTCGGCGATCAGGCTCTTAACTTAGTTTTCAGGCATCATATGCCCCCCTTAACGGTAACGGGTCCAGACCCTTTCCCCTCCACCATGCTCAAGACCGAGAATGCGACCGGTGATGATTCCTCGAATAGTCAAGAGCTAATTGACAACTCACTTCACCTGCACAATCAGTAGAAGACCGATGGAAACAACAGCAAGAGCGTGGGGAATCCATGATATTCCTCAAGTTCAACGGCCGAGTTTGTGAACACTCCCTACGGTGTCATGTTAGTATCACGGCTCTATAAATAGATCCAGGGTCAAAGAAAGATGTCCAATCAACGTATCCACGGGAATATGATCGACCACACCGCCAATGTGAAAGGGGGTTTCCGCCCCCCACGCGGCCGGGCACCGAGTGTATGACCTATGCTAAGGATGGCGAAGCACCACCAGAACACGCCGTGGCCCCACGTTAAAAGCCACATGGATTCTTTCATCAGCCCGATAATATCTGGTGCGCCCCAAAGCTTTCCTGTACTGCCTCGCCCAATACCTGGAGAGCGAATGAGCCTTGCCCGACTGGCCCGCAGAAAATCATGTCCTGAAAGACTTTGTCTGCTGTTGAGCTGACTGGAGTGCTGGAACATGACTAGGACTGTATTGACTCCTGCGACTGAGAGCCCGGCGTCACCTTCGAGGTATTCGATGATTATAGCGGGGATTTGGAGGCGTGGACTGACGTGACTCTAGCGGCATACCCCACGGCCCACCGGCGGCCGAGACATTGATGGCGATGCACAAAAAACAGGACGTCTCAATGAGGTTCGTGCGCTGCGCGATTCATGGCGGACATGCTTTGGATAACTCAATGCGCGAAGGAGATAGAATGTCAGACACAAGCTGAAAAAGACAATAGTGTATATCCACACAATTTTGGCCAGATTTCAAAAACCGTTGAACTGGTAGTCTAGCCGACCGAGAACAACATGGACGGTTCCTGTGCCTTGCGGAACTAGGACCCATTGTGATGTGAAGCTCCATAGGGCCAGAGAAAGGGCTTTGCCTAGAGGCTGCAGTGGATTGACCTGCTCCGACATCTCCACAAAATAATGATCTGCAAACGGTCAATGGAACTTATAAGTTGAACCTTTTTTTTCTGGCTTTGGGTTTATTGGATACCCAAATTGGTCGTCCTTTTGACGTCATTTACGCCGAGGCCGATTTTTGGATCCATCCAACTCGAACCTAGGAACCGAAGTATACAGCGTGCTGCTGTGTCATAGAGCTTCGATAGGACTTCTCAAGGGGATTGGCGGGTCCAAATTTACTCCATAGAACATGGAAAGCGTAGTTCAGGAATCTCTGTGCTGAAAATATCAACATAAATCCTTAATGATATTGAACCAACACACTGTAAGAGATGCACCCATAAACCCGGGGGACTTCCCCAGTACATAATCTGCGATCAACAAAGAATATGCAAGTCAACAAAACGCTTCAAAACGAAAAAGCAAAAAAAAAAAGAAAAGAAAGAGACCGATCGAATCTTATCCCGAATGGTTCGGATTCAAAACCATGCTGCCATGAACTGGACCCCAATCCTCAGAGAACAGCGATCGCAGATTTGGACCCTGCCAAACCGTTGATTCCCTTTCCGACGCCTGGGAATAAGCCCAACCTCCCATAAAGTATCTGTCATGATAATCGTGTTTCGATTTTTGCTTTTTTCATTATGCAACATTCGTGGATGGGCTCCGTGACTCGTGCGCATACGGCTGGTAATAACCCGATGCTTCCTCCGAGGTATCTGTATCGGTTAGCGGCACTGATCAGCAGACTCGATGAAGTAACCTACATCGCGACTCTAGGTCTTTCGCGGCACCCAGCGACTCTCGTTTCATATGTCCGTAATTTCTTATGCGCACTTGGCGCATGTATTGGTTCTGTTCATGGGATGCATCGCCGGATCGTGCAGTCTCCTCCAGCGGGTTGTAGCGGCGGAAGAGGGCGGCGCCCATGGCAGTGATGCCTAAGCAGCCAACCAGGACGATAACGATGATGGCGGATCGAGTGAGACCCATGGTGAGATTTGGAGAGAATGCGAACGAGGTGTGGTGTTTTTATGGAGGAATTGGAAGACGAAGGTGGATTTTGATTTCGACCAGAATTGGGTGATGTGGTGGTGTATACTTGGGCGTGAGGCGTTGGTCAGTGCATGGCGGGGAGTTCGTATCCGATCGAAGTACAGGGTGGATAAGGTCTCGTGTAGACTGGAGAAGGGAAACTGTAGAAGAGGGGAAATGGGAAGATAACGGGAATGAAAATCAAAGAGCAGGGATATGCGACATGAAAAGGCTTACGCGAGCCTCGATGGCTCATATTCGCAATCTGATCAATGTCTTATTCTTTGAACAGTTTACGGGTCGACCGGCAGACGCGATTGGCTCTCGACTCTAGGGCACTGCGGACCGACAGGAACAATCGCTTTGATTCGATCCCAGTTTCTCGCTTCTGCTGATCCGCCACGCGGACCTTGAGGAGTTGGCTGATGCGGAATTCATTAAACTACATCTGGAATTACATTGGATAGTTCAGCACCCAATCCAAATTGACATATTGAGAGTAAAATTGAAATTTTCCGTCCAGAAATAGCAGCGCTGACGCAGAAAATCCGAATCAGATCCAGTGTTTTCCGGTCGCTAGTCAAAGCTTGTCACTGTCCTTGCTTCTGATTGGCCGTGTGAGAATTGATCTGTTCACAAAGGCTGCCTGCAGTGGGGCTCCCATTGTTTCAACGGCGTGGAGACGTACTCTCGCGATGAAGATCCATGGCTGGAGGCTGAGTCACATATCCGATTGGTGTAGATACCAATGTACCATCGATGACTCGAATCGGAAGAAAATCCAACCGTTGGACTGCATCAACAGACCATGGCAGACGACCCCGCAAGAGACATGATATGCACAGAAAAAAGATATGGGCAAGAGAAAAGGAAAAGGAAAAAAAAAAAAAAAAAAAGGAAAGACAGGAGACGAATTTTTTTAAAAAAACATAAAACAAAACATTTACAGCCAATAGGAGAGCCAATGAAACAAGGAAAAAAGGTACATCAGTTGACTGGAAACAAAGAGAAACCGGCCGTTGACCCGAGAACCATCGACACATGACCCCAGTCGCATCTCATGACTATTCCGCCCGCATCCGAGCAAATGGACGGAGCCAATCCATGTACTAAATTTTTTATTCCCGGTCAGTCTTGAATAACAAGGTGCGTTAAGTACGGGAAATATTTTTACCTACTGTGATCCACTGTCGGCGATTAAAATAGATGAGAATTCTCAACCGCATGTAAAGCTCGGGAGAATCGGCATTGTGGAGGCTGTGGGATAATATATTAGCGGTGATACTGGGATTGGAGCTCAAGAGCACGAACTGCGAACGTCTTATTTTGAGGTCTAACATCGCAAGTCGGTTTTTGTCGGAAATGTGGTGTGCATGAGATGGATGGTACATGGGAGTTCATCAGCTTCTGGGTGGTCCTAATAGACTGTATAACATACCGGTAAAATCGACGCCGAGAACTGATGTCTGTTCTTCTTCATAGAGTATACCCCTCCAGATGTCGTTGTTTCTGATTGAGATTGAGAATTCTGATTTTTCGGCGGAATATGGATAGCCTGATGGATCGCAGGCTCTTTCACCTTTACATACCTTTGTTTACCTTTGCTTTCATATTGAATTTGTCGCTGATTTGGGCGAAGCAGACGATAAACTCTCAAAGCTGGGCTGGACAGAGGTGGGCCATTTTGTTTCGTATTTTTGATGCAGTGCAATAAGCTGGAGCACTCACCTTGATTAATTTGGTCGCAGAATGTGTTTGAAACTATAGCTGCGATAGTTTGGAGGAGGGATAAGGCTTTCTAAGCCGTTTATAGAGCAGTCCGTTGTACATGGAGCGGGCTGATGCGAGGTGTAATGGTGAGAGGCGTGCTGGTGTGGTACCTTGAGATATATTGCATTCGATGAATGCAATAGCGGATGGGGTACAGCCAGGACGTTGATGAGTCGAAGGCATGCCTGTGGCGAAGTATAGATCTGTAGGCGTAGATTGATGTGTATCCCACCAAAACAAAAGGATGTGAAGAACAAAATCTGACAGTTGGAGGACAAGCGAGGACGATGAAAGCACTGGAGCTCTGGATTGAATTCAAAGAAGGGGGGAAAGACCCTATTTATGTTGTTACAGCTCCTCCGTTGAGAAAACCATGCCCTCCATGTGAAAAGCATGGCGCCTTGGAAAACCATGTCAAGGTGGAGCAATAATGGGGGCGGAATACTTCATTCCAGGGCTACGCGCCTTTCACCAACATCGCGAGTCAAGCTCACCCGTGATTCCTGGATGAATGTGGCATTGAGTCTGGTTTGCACCCAGAGAAGTGGGGGTGGTTTTGGCGCCGACAAGGTTAGTGATGAACAGGGGAGGAATTTCTGAGAATGTGGAACTTGGAAGTACATAGAGCAGATGTGAGAATGTGCTTGCACTTGCAGAAGTGGTGAAATGTTATATCACCCACATTAGTGTTCAAATTGGTTGGTTTAGTGGACGTCTTGTGAGTTGGTTCTAAGCGCCCGGTTTACGATGCGGAGATCCAGGTCAATAATCTTGGCCACCCATGTGAATTACAAGCACCGTGAATATCCTCAAATGGTTCATTTAGTCATTGAAAAGTATCCTTGCATTTATTAGTCGATTGAGTATTGATACGATTGGACAAATACAGCTAGGCCCATGTCAATTCGTAAAAATTCATAAAAAACCGGATTTAAATTTCAATTTAGTGACAACTAATCAAAGAAAGAAAATGAAAAAAATTCTGGAGTTAGTTCATACGGATCTCGCAATTCCATTGCTGTGTGGTCAATCTCCCATCCTCCTTACGATTGCATCGAAAAAAGCATTCACGTTAATTCGTCATTCGTATCATTAGGACTTGTAACTGGGCTTGCGAGTCATGCCGTAAAGCTGAAGCAGCTCCAGTCAGTCGCCAAAGAACCTCGGATTTCATGAAAAACGTACCTTGCAAACATCGCCGCCGTCATCGCATCTGATCTCTTTGCTGAGCTCAAATCCCATCTTCTCATATATAGAAATATTGGGAAACCCTTTTGAGCTCTCGAGATAGCAGGAGATGCCTTCTTCATCAGCCCTTCGCAGAATCGTCTCCATGAGTCGCTTACCAACCCCCATACCGCGAACCTGAGAGCTGACACCCAACAGATTACAGTAATAATAGCCCCGGGGGTCAGTCCAGAGATCATCTACCGCGTTCTTTTGCAACTTCTTCCAAAGCCAGTATCGGCGAACATGCAAGCCGCCACGGCCGGCGAAGCGGATGTTGAACATGAGCTGACGAAAGGAGAGGAGCCATTCTTGTGCCCAAACGGACCACGTCTGGGGAAGGGCGGGATCTTCTGGGGGAGTCCACCAGCTAAAGCCAACAATAGTGCCTGGGGCTAATCTAATTTCGTGCTCGGTTTTGAGGTCGCTTGCAGCACGACTCACTTTCGCGACGAAAACTGGATGGCCGCAGTTGAAGCTGAACTGTAGATGAGCCGCGATCGAAGCTGCATTTCGCTCAGCTTTAAACTATACAAGGCGTTGGTTACTTAATTCCTTGGAAATTCAGAGCGTGGATCGGAATATGGTTGCTGAGAGCCTTGCTATCGCTGTCGCTTTAGGAAGGAGTTTTGGTAGCTCGTACCTTGGCTGCATCGAATGCCCACCGGAAATAGGGATCATCTGCGAAGGTCCTCTGCACGCAGTCTACAACACCCGCGATATCGGCCTCAGCCATCGGGACGATCTCGATTGACATGGTCTTTGCCTTGCCACTACGGTCTCGCAAATCAAAGTCGACTAGCTCACAGTATGGGTTTAGATATCCGCGTACTGGGTCTACTGGATCTGCGAGTGGGCTGGGACAGCGATATGGTATAAACGTGTGAATGGAGTAGGAGTGGGTAGAATGAGAAAACCGCCATCTAAGGAGAGTTGGAGAGGTGTAATCACCAAATGATGTAGAAGATAAGAAGAAGTAAAATGAAGATCTATATGTCTTGCCAAGGGCGTGAGAGGAAGAGAGGTCTGGCTTGTAAATTGAAGAGTGAAGTCGTTTCTGAGAGTCAGCTTCCAAGGAGGAGAAAGAGGAGACTCATATAGCTGTGTTCATGACACTCCACCGGTCTATCAGACTTTCTTATCTGAGGCGCGCAACTGGCGCTTCACTAGCCTGATTGGGCAGCTCCATCCGGCTAGGGGCGGGCACCTTGTCGCACAACTCATACCTGTGCATCATTCTCGTGGCCCAGTCTTGATTTGAATCAAAAGCAGGAGACGCCAAACTGGGCTAGTACAGATGTACCGACAGGGATGTTGTATATTCTAGTGGCTTCTTCCAATATACCCAAAATTGTTGAGAGCCCCTTCTCTCGTTGGAACTGCGGGGACAGGTTGCATCGGGTTAGATTGGGCGAGGTGGGGCAGCTACGCGCGATTCGGCAGGTTGTCGCGGAGAGCAATGGGTATTGGCTGCTTGGAGCGGAACAGGCGGGTCTTCATATTGGTGTTATCGTCCACGCATTGAAGATCATGTTTGATAACAACTCGGGATTCTCGGTTCCCGGTCCTACATCAAGATGGATATTGAATACGCATATTCAGTCTATATTAGTAGAGCGCATAGCTTATTCAATTTTAGATGCACGATGAGCATGGTTAAATCGCTGACCCCAGGACAATAAAACGCCACAGAGGACCGGCACCTGCCGGCTTACGCTCAGACCCATGACCCAGCAGCCTCATCAATGAAACCAGCCGTGTAACTGAAGACGGTGAGTGCCCTACAGTAGCCCTCGCCTTACGCAAGGAGGAACCAAGGCGTCGCACATGACCTCGGTCTCTCTGTCACGCGATTTCAGCCCAACAAAGGGTCACCGCCAGAGAAGTTACCGTGTAAATTAGCACGGGGAGCTATTTGGTACACGAATCAGACCGTCGCCGGGAGACAGTTTGATGGAAGAAAAAAATGCCTAGAAGCCCCTGCGTTATGGCAGTTTTTACCCCGAACCTTTCTATCGACTGTTGAAGAATTACTAATTCATCCCTCACAGTAAGCTGAGCATGATAGTAAAATAATAATTCTACTAACAGTAGTGAATCACCAGTTTAAGAAAAAGAATCTCTGGGAAGTTCAAGCATGATCCCTGCGTACTGATTGAAGAAAACATTTGGATGTAAATCAATCACCCCTGGTTGGCACCGGTTGGTTACATCTTAGTCAAGCAGTGGTACTCGATCGGCGCCTTAATCTTCCCTCTTAGTCTCTATCGAGGTCAGTTTGGCTGGGCCTGTGCTGTTTACTTGACCCTCAATTCTGGCTCTGCCCACAGAAACTGTGTTATAGTATCTCGAGCCCAGTCCACTTCTTTGCCGAAGTCAAGCTCCTTGACAGTCTCCCAGTAAAACGGACATACAAGCTTGGTCAAGATAAGACGCAATTCGGAATATGCAAGGTCGTTTCCAAGGCAGGTTCGAGGGCCTACCAAGAAGGGTCTTGATGCTTCAAGATTGTCACCGGCATAACGGGAATCTTAGAGGAAATGATCAGTAGGTAGCCAACGCTCCGGGTGAAACGACTCCAGATCAGTGAAATACTTGGGATGGTGTCCAAGCGTGTATTGGTGGCCGGAAACAATGGTCTATGTCGAAGTAGAAATCAGTTAAATCAGATAACCTAAATTCGGGTACAACTAGAATTATTTATCTAGTTTTCCAAGGGCGAAAAGTTTACCCCTTTGGAAATGTAATGCCCGTCCACAAAGGCACCGGGACTGACGCGCAGCACGTTTATAGAAAGAGGGACAAATATACGCAGGGTCTCTTTGATAACAGCATTGACATAAAGTCAAGGGCGTGTACTTGCCTCGTCAATATCTGTATGACTGGTGAAGCAGTTGCGTACTTCTTCCTGTAGCGCCTGAAGACACTCTGGTCGTTCTAGGACATAGTAAGTGATACCTGCTAGTGCAGTGGCTGTTGTCTAAATTCAAGCAATAAGGAGGGAGCTTTCATTTGTTCTTAGGAACTCAACGAATAGTTGCTTTGCTTTAGCCTTATCATTTTCGTTCATCAGTTGGTCGAAGAAGTCTGGGTGCTCTTTATCGATACCCTTAGCTATACGTTTACGTATCAATTTCCTAAGGACCTCTTGGTGCTCGATCCGCTCCTTCAGGAGACTACGAATCGAGATAACTAGAGTTGCCAGAGAGTTTCGTGTCATTGTTGGATAGAAAAAACATCAGCCGCTTGGCGCTCGGAGGATATGTCAAAATCTCGATTCTAATCATGAATCCTAGAAACACCCTTATGAGAGAGTCAAGTGTTGCGTCATCTTTGCAAAAATAGCAATATGGTATTAGTGTGGCAATATTAAAAGGCGAAATTGGATTCTGGGGAGGAAAATACAGAGCCAATGTAACATCGACTAGAAATTAAAGCTCCAAACGGTTAGCGGAAGGTTGCAAGATATTTGAAGTTGACTGCTGGAAAATCTGATGTTGACTACGTACAGTATGTTCTGAGACGGCCAAAATCACTCTGAATCCACTCAGATCTGTATTACCCTCGCTGTCTCCACAATCGTTTATATTAACATCTAGACCGAGCCCAAGGGATATGTGGCTGGTATGCTGTGGCGTACAGTGAAAACCCTGGCTACTGCAGTTTGATAAGGTTGAGTCCAGATGCTCAACCTTAATTCCCTTCCCCGAAACCCAATTCCTGCTAACCCCTGACTTGACTTCGCCATATGGTAGATAGATGCTGAAGCACCAACGCTATTTTATAGGTTTAATTTTTAGCGTTGTGAGAATTTATCGTATGAGTTACGTGGTTACTCTGATTAGCAAGAAGTATGGTAAACATGTAAAAGTCATATTTGCATCATATGTCGCATAAGCGATGTACATGAATTGAAAACCGCCCAGCGGAACCAATAAATCATTTATCCAATCTGGCTATGGGTATAGAGCATTTAGCAGCAGCACTCGCAGCATTCGAAGCAGCAGAGACCAGCGCAACTAAACCAGAATCATCGTCAGTAATACTTCACGACGACATACTTGGTTAGGGGTACTCACACTCCGCAGCAGACATCCTCACCCTCACCACCACCACGAATGTGCACGTTCATGGACTCAGGAGTCTGCGAAATCAATATTAGCATGTTGAAATCTCAATGCTTGTCATTTTGTCAAAAGATGGGAAAGACATACGGGCTGCTGGGTGACAGTCTCGTTCATGCCGGCAGGGCTGTTAGGCTGCTGCATTTGCACGGTGGTAGCATCCCACTTGTTCTCCTCGGTAGCCTCACGGCCAGAGAACCAGGTCTTGATAGCGTCGAACATGTTGTAGAAAAATTTGCGAGAAATTGGGTGATGGAACTATGAACAAAGGAATGATCTTGGCAGCCAAGAGAGGGCCAAGAGAAAATGGAGAAACCCCTTTTTAAGGGGAATCTTGTTTAGTGGTCTGTGCACAATCCCTGAGCAGTGGGGGCGGTCACCTGATGCCACTCCACGTGTACCTGCAACCGATGCCATTGGATTCCGATAACCACCTCGCGAAGGTTTACACATGATAAGCCATGTTTCTATCTGGTTGGTTCCCCGTAAACCTCTCTTGTATTGTACGGAGTACTCCGTACTGCGCTCTGAAGAACATCTCCATGGCTGATTCTCCTGAGCTCAGCTTGCGCCTATTACGTAGCTCCACCTGCGGAACAAATCATATCCATCGTGGTCGTCGATTACGATTGGCTGTGCTCAAACAAGATTTTTTTGCCGTCTGCCTAGACCAGACAACATCACAGTAGCAAGCCTAGGCATCAGCCCTCCAGTTTTCCTGCCGATGTTTCCGGATTCTCCATTATAAGTGGTTCTCAGACACGTCATGTGGCGCCACAGTAAAACCCTTGGCGGAGCTTAGCGTGGCCTTCGGGTAGGGCTGTGAGATATGATCGTCTAGATTCATTTGGGTTCTCAGCTGAACCCACTCGGAAATCTCCGACCTTCTCTCCGAGTCCTCGAGTAGGATGTTGCCCAAAGAAATTTTACGTATACGATGATGCTATTTTCTTGTCTCGAAAATGGGACTATCGGGGCCTTGTCAACCATGGGAACCATGACGATCGCAGTGAAAGATAAGGGCGGTGAACAAATTCTGCGTTTCCAATTTTGAGACCGACGTTATATTTATCTACAGTAGCCAGGCAGCCGTTTAATTCGATGAACTAGTCGCCTTTCGAACGTTACATCATCGTAGCTCCCCTGCATGTGGATCCTCTTTTACAGTCCAATTTTATACCTCGCTCGATTTTTCGCGTCTTGCCTAGGTAGGACTCTTTCCCTTTTGGCCACTCCAAGAGCCAATTTGGCATTTCTCCCGCTTCACGTGTAATTCCAATGGCAGGCATACACTCTAATTAGAAACACTTGAGCAATTGGAACCACAAGAGAAGTAATTGTCAGGACACATTGATGATAAAAAGGCAATAGATCCACCGCAAGATAATCTCAGCCGAACGCCCCAAGCATTGTACCAAGTCGAAAATATTCCTCGATATGACAGTCAATACCCATGGTAGTTTGTTGGTCACCTCAACTGCCACACTAACTTTACTATCATTAGGTCTGGATTTAGTCCGCGTTGCCGCCTTCACTGGCTACGAGGATTCCGTCGATGACAGACAACAGGCCAGGCGAAGATCATACTATTAGTCTTGTGGTCCAAATCACTACCTGAGCTGGAATGAGATAATGCGGATTGTGGGAATGAGAGACAGCAAGGAGAGAGGGGAAGGTCTGAATTGAAAAGAGGGGAAGAGGAATTCTATGCTCGAAAATGGAGCCTCCCAAAATGAATAAATCGTGCCGTTCCTCATTGTACGATTACCAGCGGCAGCTTTCAGATCTGACATGATAACACGGGCACTAATTGAAATCCAATCTGTCGAGTTTGTCAAGTATCATGGCGGAGCTAAATGCTGACATGACAAAGGTTCTGAGCGCCTCGCATACCGTGCCGCTTCCAGACGCAATGGGCTGCATGGCCACGCACCATCTGTGCTGTCACCAGTAATCCTGGCGTCTATGCCATAGGACACATCACAAACAGACAGTGGTGGCGCGATGCCAGCGGCGAATGTATGAAGCGACACCTTCCTGCCCACGCAGTTGGCGGGACAAAGGATCAGATGAGTCTCATTTTGAAATGGACATGATACGTCTGCTGTCGGCAAATCCAGGGGTCTCAACTGCGATGGATGGTGGTCATTTCTCTACCCCAAGACGTATCCTTGTGCTGGGCTTATGAAGTTGGTGATTCTATATAAGCGAAGAATAGAAGTAGAAGGCGAGGATGGTCCTATATACCGGCGATCATTGCGCGTGGTTTCGAGGCCCAGCAAGTCGCCGAATTCGGTCTTTTTGAGCCAAGGATAGATGTCGTCATTCACTTTCCTGACGCGAGGTAGACGTGTATTTTCTGGGTGCATACTGGTGAATATCTCACGCTGATGTCGGGAATGCAATTATTTCAGTATTGGAATGTTCCTCGCTCATATTGAGCTGCGTTGACGATTTGTCAGCCGTGCGAAACTGCTGAGAAGCAACCTTTTGTCTTCAATCTACGTAGTTTATGATGGTTCCTTTTCATGGATTACCACGAGAATGTACCTAGGAGAAGCGTTATAGAAACTCGTGCCAAATGTGATAAATCATATTTGATATGTCGCGATCGTGGGAATCTCGGAGCGGAGGGTCGGACGGTCGGACGGTCGGACGATCAAGCCCCCCACCTCGTTCGCAAATCCTTTAGTACACCTCTCCTACTCGACTCATAGCAACATTTGAAATCAGCCGACAGCAACAGTCCGAAAATCGAATAGCAGTATTTTTTCCAATCGGGGGATCGGCATCATGACAGAGTCAAGGCGAAAAATGCCGCCCCCAAGTCGGCGACGGGATAAGCCTCAATTATCATGCAACATGTGCAGGAGGAGGAAGTATGGATCGCTGACTAAATAATGTTTATTTTTGGTGTGAATTCTAAAGGCTGATAATTTGATAGACTGCGATGTGATCGAAACCACCCTTGTGGAGCTTGTAGTCAACGAGGTCTTTCCCTGTCTTGCACATATCCCCCCGGCGCAGGCGAGACGGGGCGGATCACCAAAGAGCAGCAACCATCAGCCAAGTCAACTTTGCCAGAGCGCATTGGGCAGCTGGAAAAGTTGATCTCGCGTATTGTGGATGATGCCGGCATCCAGAAGACCCCTGTCCGGGTCCAAAGTCAGAATCCACCCCATGGGGACGAAGACAAGGCAACATCACAGGCTGAAGCAGAGGCCTCAAGTGACCCATCCGACTCATTTGGTCACATATCACTGCAAGATAGCAAGACGACATATGTTCAAGATACACACTGGACCGCAATCTTAGATGGGGTGAGTCCAAGAGGATCTGACCAGCTGAGTGAAGGCTAATTCGAACAACAGATCACCGAGCTCAAGGACTCAGTACAGCATGAGGTGTCAAGTAATTCAAAACAAACACACTTCCTGCATAACTCGTCAGATATGCTGTTCCCCCACTGTGAGCCTGCAACCCATAGAGAAATCCTGGAAGAGCTACCCTCGCGAGAAACCTGCGACAGACTCGTTGCTGATTTTTTTAATTATTCATCTATACCATGTGAGAGACACTTCTTCGCTTTGAATTCTCTTCCATATTGTTCTAAACTTCGCAATCTAGTGCTCCATGGCCCGTCATTTTTGAGACAGGTAGGTCATATTCGGTTTTTGAAGCCATCGGAACATGACTGACCCTTGGAAACAGTATGATCGATTCTGGGAGAATAATACTGGGACTCACATCATGTGGATTGGGAAGTTGTATGGTGTAATGTCTCTTGCGTTGATGTTCCAAAGCGAGGGTGAGTCTTTGAAGAATCGGAACGAGCTGATCGCAAAGTTTGACAAGAAGGTAAACCAATGCCTGGTTCTTGGCGGATACCAAGATTGTCCCCCGCATACGATTGAGACCATATGCTTTACTCTGAACACCCAGTTTAATAAAATGGGAAACGGTGAGGTGAACGGCGTGATTATTCTGGGTATTCTTGCACGTATGGCCCAGCGCATGGGCTACCACCGTGACGCATCTCATTTCCCTCACATTTCTCCTTTTCAAGGTGAAATGAGACGAAGAGTCTGGGCGATGATTACAAATCTTGACGTAATGCTTTCATTGTCCGTCGGGCTCCCCCGGCTACTGCGAGAGTTCCAGTCAGATACAGCACCTCCACGGAATCTTTTGGATAGTGATTTTGATGAAGATACGACTGAGCTGCCGCAATCACGCCCCATTTCGTATTCGACACCCTGCCAGTGGCTAGTCGCCAAGAACAAACTGACTATGGTCCTGGGCATTATCACTGATTTCTCAACTTCGATTCGGAGGCCAAGCTATGCAGAAGTCATGCGTTTGGACCAACTCCTGCTTGACACGTATTTGGAGAATCCACAATTTCTACTAGAGCGACCTTTAAGCAAGTCTCTCATGGATACATCAGAGACCATTCTTCATCGTATCCAGCTTGTAACCTTGTTTGCAAAAGCGAGATGTGTTTTGCATTATCGATACCTCGCATCTTCGAGGACTGATGAACGGTATTCATACTCTCGCAGCACCTGCATTGGAGCCGCTCTCAAAATTCTTGAGTACCAACGATTGATGGATCAAGAAACACAACCTGGAGGCCGCCTATTTCGTGAGAGATGGAAGATCAGATCACCTATTATGAGAGGCGTCACCTTATTGGGAACGACTCTCCTCTGCCTAGAACTAAATCATGATCTTTCAAATAACCCAACAAACAACCCGAAGTCAAGACCATTGACAGAACCCGTCAAATCTGCGATCATTCAGGCCCTTCAGACGTCACATGGCATCTGGTCCGAAGCAGGCGACTCGTACCCCAAATGTACCAGCACAATCCAAGCGATTGATGTGGTATTTAAGAAACTTCAAAACGAACAAAGTTCTCCCGTGTCAAATGATGTGCCCAGTACCGCCAATTTATTCAATGTTGAACCGGCCGTCGAGTCTCTAATAGGTATGATTGATCTTGGAAAGCAATATGACTTGTCGTGCAAATCATATAAAGCGGTTCGTAGCTAACTCAATACTTCATAGATCCTTTTGTTGGTGCAAACCTAAACATCTGGCCTGAGCTTGGGGGCGCAATGCTCATAGACCAGGCAATCAACTTCCCTCAACCTCAGCCTGACTATTTGAATTCCCCAGCTCCGTCCTCCCACATCGCACCTGAGCTATTGGATCTGGTAAGTCATTATTTTCTTCCTCAATGGGCCTCTGATAATGACAGGAGCATAGACAAACAGCATAGATGAAATGCTTGGGGTATCCTTGAATTATCCTCGGATGGCTGACTTGTCACGATGATCGATCAGCACGCTGTTGAAAGCCCTGATTCATTTTTGAAATCATCCATGTCAATACTAAAATATTTATAATACCTTTCTATTTGAACCGTGGGCGCGTTTTAGTGATTCAAGCTTCCGAGTCAACCCACTCAAAACAGTAACGAAGTGACATGAAGATAGACAAGGTCCATATGAGTGCTGTGAGCTTTACGGATTTGACATATTCTACGCATAAAATATCTTGTCCAAAATAGCATGAAAATGTGCGAGTCATTTCGCTAAGCCCATGCAATAGTAGTAATCCAGATATATGAATTCCTTATTTGTTTACATTAAAATTCGTTTTTTTTTTCAAAATCGGATGTGCCCCTCCTATGCACCCATTCCGTTCTATAACGCTGAAAGGCATGTCACATCTATTTCATCATTCCATCGAGTGCAAATGGTTTATGCCGAGGCACAGTGTCCGCCGTCAACGCGTAGATCCGCACCAGTCATCCAGGCACTAGCATCAGTGAGCATGTAGATGGTGGGACCCTTGAAGTCCTCGGGGGCACCCAAGCGACCGAGCAGAGCACCGCGCATCCATGTCTCCTCTACCTCAGGCTTCTCCTTGAGCAAAGCGTCTGTCATAGCAGTGCGAATATACTATTCTAAATATCAGTGATGGCTCTTCAAAATGGATCTCATGACATTCTTACCCCGGCAGAAAGTGTGTTGACCCGAATGTTATGCTGGCCCCATTCCTGGGCGACCGATCGACACATCTGGTGGACAGCGGCCTTGGATGAGTTGTAGGCAGTGCAGGTCAACCCCTGTGGGAAATTTAGTATATGGGGTTTCTCGGTGCATGGATTTAGTTCAACATACCCTGTTGGCAATCTGGCCCGACATCGAGGCAATCATCACAATACTCCCAGGAGCTTTCTCCTCCACCAAAATGCGCGAGAAATGCTTAGCGGGAATAAATGTTCCAAGGACACTGGAGGTTTAGACGTTAGATTAGAATTTTTTTTTTTCGGCGTATCGCATAAGACTCACTTGACGTCGAGCATTTTGCGGTATCCGTCAACGGGGTAGTCAAGAGCAGGGACCATCTGTTGAATTCCAGCGCAGGTGATAAGACCGCGCAAAGGCATATTGCGAGCTTTTCCATCGGCCGCGATCTTCTCTAGCAAGGCCTCGGTGGCCTCCTCATTGGTGATGTCGCATGTGTTGTAGGTTGCTTGCAGGCCCTTCGACTTCGCAAGCTTTTGAACGGCAACCCATTCCTCTGCACTCGGCTCAGGTAGGAGATCCATACAAGCGACATCGCCACCAGCCTCGAGGACAGCGGTGGTCAATGTCATCCCTAGACCACGGCCACCGCCGGTAATCGCAACTGTGCGACCCGCGAGGGAGAACAGGTCATTGGTAGGCGCGAAAGCAGCTGGGGTCTCGTTCGACTCGGGGACAACCGGGGGTAAGGTGTGGTCGAGGGAGATAGCGGGAGCCATTTTGAATTATTATTGTATATGTAGCGAAGGAGAATGGACGGAGATTGAATGGGTCAAATTGCTCTATCAAAAAGAAATGGGAGGATTGACGAGGAAGCACACCTCATATAAGGAAAGCCTTTTACATCCCATCAAGTGACAGCTCTAGAGATGAGCGGTTAGATAGAACCTAACTAGGGAATCGAGCGTAGGGACCACAGTGGAACGCTTCAGAACCAAATGATTTTGTCCGCGTCTCCATATTTTCAAGTCTTCTATCCCGAACCCAACAAATCATGCCGATGTGTGCTGGCACCGATCGGAATGATAATGGGTGTTGGTAGTAGTGGTGAGCGACTTTGGAGTGCAAAGAGTTACTCTTCATGGTAAAAGGCCTGTCGAAACCGTGGGGATTGGGGTTTAACATGGGGAATAAAGTCGTAGTTGTGGGGATCAGTAGTGAATTGTGCTTCACTAAACCGTGGTAACCAGGCGCTTAACATTTACAAATCGGGAAATTCCCCCAAACGCCAAGCCCTGGCGCAATTGAGGCTTTTAATGGTTTAGCCGGTGCCGAGTCCATGACTCGGCACGACCCACTTCTCTCTTCGGCCCAGGCACGCGTGTCTTGTCCTTGTCAATCTTCTACTCTAAGTGGAAGCAGGTTTTCCTCAAGGCTTGGATGGATAGAGGGACCTTTTCATGACATGGGCATATTAAGAACGCTTCGTAGTTTTGCAAATTGGATCCCAGGGCACACACGACCAGAATAGCCCTACGCAAGTCAACTGCACTAGTTCTCGGCTGATGCGGGATAATTCCCTGAACGGGGATTCCCCATTTACACCCGCGTTACGGACCTTTCCCGCTTTTCAAACACGGCGTCATCCCTGGGGCATTTAAGATTTCCCGGGCCCATAGTTACGACATGTTTTGTGGCGCCACCGATTTGCGGAGTTAGCCCGGATAGTAGTTCTATACATGCTATAAAGAGCTGAAAAGCCCCACTGTCATATAGCACGGTTGAATAAACGTGGTTCCTATTTTACGTGCTCTGCCTAGGACCTCTCTGGCCTGGTCACTTTTAAATTAAACTCCTCTGGAGACATTTCACTCTCCGACCTAGTCATGTCATTCCTCACGGGGCGGGCTTTGCATTGGGCCATTACGGCCACTGCCGGTAGCGGCTTTCTGCTGTGAGTACAGACAATGCGAGGACAAAAATGGCATTTCAACTTATCATCACTTCATAGATTTGGTTATGATCAGGGTGTTATGTCTGGTCTGTTGAGTGGTGATGCGTTCACTACAAGATTTCCCGAAATCGACACTACATCCACTGGTCATGGAAGCTCATCTTTGCAAGGAACAGTGTAAGTGCTTGGCCAACTCAGTCACTGATTCATATTAACCTATGACTTCTCTAACAGTGTCGCTATTTACGAAATTGTACGCTGGAAATGGAGTTTCTATCAGATGAAGCTAATTTGAACAGGGTTGCTTCGTGGGAGCAATTATCTCATTGATATTGGGCGAAAAACTTGGCCGACGCAAGTGTATATTGGCTGGATGTGTCATTCTAAGTATCGGTGCTGCTATCCAGTGCAGTGCCTATGGAATCCCTCAACTGATTGTTGGGCGCATCATTGCGGGAGTTGGCAATGGTCTCAATACAAGTACTATCCGTAAGAGCTCACTTCCTAACAATGCTGAATCACTGCTGACCCGATCTTAGCTGTCTGGCATTCGGAGTTGAGTAAGGCCGCAAGTCGTGGTAAAGGAGTATGTTGTCTTGAAATCCGCAGCGGAGAGCGCATTATTGACAAGCGATTCAGCTGGCTATCGAATTGGCAATCAACATCTTTGGTGTCATGATGTCCTATTGGGTTGGTGAGTAGGACTGAGTCTTTGGTAGATGAGTTGACTCTGACTCGATCATAATACAGATTACGGCTTCAGTTACGTTGAGAGTGAAGTCCAATTCCGTTTCCCCATCGCCCTGCAAATTCTCTTTGCCATCTTGACCTTCATTGGGGTCATGTTCCTCCCCGAGTCTCCTCGCTGGGTAATACAAACACTATCAAACCAATTTGGTATGGCCAGCACTAACACTGTCACAGCTTTTGAAACACGGTAACGAAGATAAAGCCCGCCATATCATATGGAGACTCCAGGACAATGCCAAGGAAATCGATGAGAACGACGCCGTTGTCGGCATCGACGTCAGGGAAATTTCGCAAGCAATTAGAGAAGAGACGGAAGCTTCGGCTGAAGGCTCATTCAAACTTATCTTCAAGAACGGCGACCAAAAATTCCTGCATCGGACTCTGTTGGGCATGGGCGGACAGATGATGCAGCAGATATCGGGAATCAATTTGATTACCTACGTGAGTCAACCGCCAATGAGCAAAGAGTCCTGACTGACCCTGAACTAGTATGCAACTGAAATCTTTGAGAACTCGGTGGGAATGTCTCATAATACTGCCTTACTCCTGTCAGGGTTCAACGGCGTTGCCTACTTTTTCTCTTCCTTGGTCCCCATCTGGGTTATTGATCGGTATGCAGCGCTTGTTCCTATTATCTCCTACATTTCACTAATGAAGCGTAGACTGGGTCGGCGAAAACTAATGATGTTCGCGGTGGTTGGACAAGGTTGTTGCATGGCTATCTTGGCAGGCACCGTCTGGAACGGTGGCCATGCAGCAGGTCTTGTTGCAACAGTGATGCTATTCTTATTCAACTTCTTCTTCGCTGTTGGACTGCTAGCTATTCCATGGCTCTGTATGTGCTGCATAGAAAAAATCTTCTTATGCAGCGGGATGAGTGCTAATAAAGACTTACGACAGTGCCCGCAGAATATTCGCCCCTAGCCGTCCGAACCCAATCTGCAGCTCTTGCTACTGCAACTAATTGTAAGAAATTCTTAGCTGCGCTTCATTCACTTGCTAACCTGAGCCAAAGGGATTTGTACATTTTTGGTTGTTGAAATTACTCCCGTCAGTATCGCAAACATTGGATACCGAACTTACATCTACTTTGCCGGTACGTAGCCACTCTCCCACATCTGACAACGAACAGTCTCGCTAATATTTTTTGGGTAGTTTTCAACTTCTGCTTCCTCCCTCTCATTTACTTCTTCTACCCAGAGACACGCAATCTCACCTTGGAGCAGATTGACAAGCTCTTCACCGGCGAAAAGGTCAAACTTTACTGGAACCCATCTATGGGTATGGCTGGTGATGTAGATTCTCGGATCGCCTACGGCAAGGAAACGGAAGCTGGGGTTGAAGAAGCGCAACATGTTGAGTAATACTTAATATTGAACATGAAATTCTGCTTTTCCCCGTTATCCACCTACGTAATATCTCAGCCAAGTTCATCATTGGGGACGCCGACCCTTTCTGCCGTGTCCCCACGTCTCGGGAAACCCCCGCGTCCAATCCCCACAAATCGGCTCGACTCGGGGTGTTGGCCAATAACATGAATTTCCCCATACGAACGGCCCGAGTGAGCGCTTAAACGCTCCCATTTGAGTAATTTTATTCGCATCCGTCATCCGTCATTTGACACCCATCAACACCCCCAGAAACACTTCCTAGGATGGTATATTCCTTGCAGAAATGGCCAGCATAATCCCTAGTAGTCCTCTGTTGTGTAACGATACCGACAAGGATAACTCGTCTTCCATCTCAGACATGGCCCATGGCACAAGATTGGCAGAGCGCAAGAGGCGCACGCGAACTGGGTGTCTCAACTGCAGTCGCAGACGGCGAAAATGTGATGAAGCTAAGCCGACCTGCACGGGCTGTAAGCGTCGCGGCGAAGACTGTCAATGGCGCATGCTTGGTTCGTTCCGTGATGCCAATATTAAGGTGTTGGAATCGGATCACCCCTCCATGAGCCAAGGAGGGGCTGTCAGCAATAACAAACGTCAAAGCAAATTCAAGATTTTGAATAACTTGTCAAATTTGCCCCGCTCGCGGGGTATTAAACGTCAAATTGAGACAGAGACGGTCCTGGATCTGAGTCTAAATCCCGATCGGTCAGAAGAGCGTGGCTTGTCTCCGCCATCCACAAAGAGCAACGACACTGCGCCCACATTCAATGTCACCCCTGAAGACCACCAGACCTACGTGGCTGTGGATACGACTCACACTCCAGATACCAGCCCCGATCAAATCCAGGGGTTGTCTCCGCCATTATCTGGCCGCTCGCAGATACCACAAGACCCCAGCCACGAATGTGTCCGCAATGGCGACAACCAGGAACATGTTAGTCGGACTGTCCCACTTGAAGCCACTAGCCAGGGTCACTATGCAAACGATCTCCACTGTGATTTTGAGCCGCCTTCTCTGCATGATGACGCTTCCTCCAATGCCTATTTGAACTCCAGTCCGGAATTTGTGATAGATGACCTCACTACACTCCGAAATCTAACGCAGAGCTCTCAGTTTCAGCCGTCTGTGCCGGGCTCATATGAATCTCATTCGCCGCTCTTCAATCATAGTATATTCTCTGATCCAGCGGACTTTACCAATGATGTCTTTCTTCCTGGTTCCACTTATGAGGCTCTTCATACGACTCTGCGAAATCGTCAACTGTGGACTGCAAGGCCGGACGTAACAAGTCTGTGTAGTCCTCGAGGATCTATTTCTCACATTCATACACCAACTCCATTCAGTGACTCGGATACCTTCAGCAGATCAGGAAGAGAGCCCCGGCGCTCAAGACCCGGTAGATTCATTGACCTTTCCCCTGAACGGGAACATATGCTGTGGCAGAATTATTTGAACGAAATATGCTCGTGGGTGCGTACTTATCCCCGGGGTAAGCTGCTGGGCGCTTGCTAATGGAATAAAGCTCGATATGTTCGATAATAATCACCACTTCGCTTCCACTTTCCCTCAAATGGCCAAGACTGCACCTCATCTCCGCTACTCTATGCTTGCGCTATCTGCGCGACAACTCGAAAGGCTGCAGAACAAAAAGTCTCAGTCGGAAAGCTTGTCACTTTATCAGGAAGCTATACATCTTCTGTTGCCGGAGTTGGAAAACAAAACAACTCCTGTTATTGCCTCTTGTGTCATTTTGTGCGTGTTGGAGATGTTGAGCTGTAAGGTTGATTTCTAAATTATCTCGCTATTATAATATTGATCGACTCTAGGTAATCCAAAAGAATGGCGCCGCCACCTGGATGGCTGCGCTTATCTCATTCAGGCGGCTGGTATCAATGGCTTCTCTGGCAAGGAAGAACAGGCGTTGTTCTGGTGCTTTGCACGTATGGGTATGTCTCGTACAGAACTTTTACTGAATCATCACTAATATAGCTTAAGACCTCTGTGGTGGCCTTATTTCAGAGGAAGAAACAATTATTCCCATCCATAATTGGAGGCCTCGCGATATGAGCTGTGTAGAGGCATCTTTGTTGTTCCTGTCTTCGGCAAAAAACAACTTCGATACCTATGCCAACTACACCGTTTATCTTTGTGCAGAGACGCTTGGAGTTCTTTTCGGCAATGGATCAAAAGCCCCGCATCCATGCACGTCCTGCCAGTCCGTTACAGGTGAAGAAGGGTATTCATATGTACACCGCTGGCAAGAGGTATTCAGCCATGCAGAGCTGTGGTATGAGAACCGACCCAACCAGATGAAACCAGTTTTTACAGCTCCTGTTGCTACACCTGACCACACAGGAAGAAACAGACCATTTCCAACGGTTCTATATGGCAACGGAGATGCCAGTAGGTACCAACCCTGAGAACACTTAGTTTTTACTAACGCCACCCAGTCTCTGGCAACCAACTCTATCACGTTTGTGCTCTTCTATTGCTACAACGGAAGCCTAAGACCTTGAATCTCCCTAAGAAGCCGGTATGCCCCACCTCTCTAAAGATATCATGTTTCTCGCTGACTAGTCTAAAGAAGTCGGTTCTATGGCACGCGCGGCAAATATGTGCTATCTCTGTTTCCAATGCGCACCAGTAAGCAACAATTCTGAATAAATCAACACAAGTTATATACTAATTTGCGACACAGTGGCTGTTGGACAAATGCTCTCCAACCTCTCTGGATAGCCGGAAAGGTGATGTCACACTACTCTGAGCATGCAGCGATCGTGGAAACGTTGATTCAGATCGAGCATGAGACTGGATGGGCAACTGCATGGCGAGTCGAAGACTTGAAAGAATTCTGGGGCGATTACGATAACGATGATGAGTGTGATGTTGACATGGATTGAACGATATTATCACCAGTAATACAACGATACTGCATCTGTACATATATTTCCGAAGAACCTTGCAAACATTCCCCATAAACAACCATGTAGGTTTCCATAGATATTGTACCATAGATATTGTAGGTCATACTTGAGGGTGTTAAGGGTGTTATATTATTACCCCAATGGTATCACTGCTCAACCAATGCCGTCATTACGTCGGACCATCTCCGTGCGGGGCAGATGTGCTCGACTCGAGGTCCACGATGCTCCCCACTTTGTCGGTTCCAATCAGCGCTCAGCTCACTAGTGAACTACCGATCTTAACTTGATATGACAGTCATTGTACAACAATTTGGACTCGAGGCGAGGGCCCAATGTTACCCCGCGTCGTTAGACAGCTCAATCATGAGCTCCGAAGCTGTAGTTTAAAATCGCGGGGAGCCAATCTCTAGACTATCGGAATTAAAAAGCTCTCTCGAGTTGTCTGAGTCGAAATCAATACTCCATATCATGTCTTCCTCCATTCCAGCGCAGTCAGCTCCTTCGGAGCCCCAGACCAAGATCGCACTCGAGTCCAAGGTCATCGCAAGTTAGTAACTACAATTTAAATTGGGTGGAATGAATTCTAATTTCGATTCTCAGTTACCGGCGCAAACCGCGGAATTGGCCTTGGTGTCGCAGAGAGCTGTCTCGTGAATGGAGCTGCCCGAATCTACTCGATCGACATCGGCGAAACGGGCGGCGATTTTGCCGCGCTTTCTAAACGCTTCCCAGGCCAACTATTTGCCCTGCAAGCCGATGTGACCAAAGAAGCCAGCATCTCGACAGCAGTGGACAAGATTGTCGAGGAGGCTGGAGCGCTGCATGGAATGGTCGTCAATGCAGGACGGACAAATCACAAATCAGCACTGGATTTTACGACTGAGGAAATTGAATCGCTTTTCTCCGTGAACGTGGGTCACCTTGCTTGTGTTTTTTTCTCCCCCTCTCCGTTGTTGGTCTTGGCTAACTTAGGGAATGGATCAGCTATTTGGAGCATTCTACACGGCCAGGTGTGCCGCCCGGGCATTCATCAAACTTGGCATCAAGGGGGCGATCGTCTTTACTGCCTCCATGGCCTCCTACCGCCCCAACAAGGTACGTCAAAATGATTGGCATTTGTTTCACAACCTCAAATAACTCTTGGCAGCGCGTCCCGTCCACCCCCTACGGCGCGTCGAAGGCTGGCATCCGCAATATGACGCATACCCTTGCCATGGAGTGGGCTCAGCACGGCATTCGTGTAAACAGTGTCTCTCCTGGTCTGGTCAACACTGCTATGACATACTGGGTTCCACAGCAACCTGATTGGGAGCAACAGCTTAAGTACTATGGTGGATTCCCGAGGCTTGCTGAGGTACAAGAGCTTGGCGGTGCTTATGTCTACTTGTTAAGTGATGCTGCTTCGTATACGACGTCGATTGATATTCCTGTGAACGGGGTTATTGGAAGTAGGTGATCCCATGACCTTTAGATTCTTGACCAACAGAAATACTGACCATTGCAGTTTGTTAATTTGCTTATGGCACGGTTTCATTGGACACTGAAGCTTTGGTATTCATGGCACATCATATGGTACTACAGATCAAATTTGAGACCTACTTCTGAAAGACCGAATTTTGAAGTAATTTTGAGGAATGTGTTGTTTCATGTGGTTCCAATATGACATACAACGTAGCCCTTAGCGCCGGTCACATGGTAGTGTCAATAACTACCAAGCCAATTGAGCCCCTTCCAGTCCTTTGAAAGTAAATCCGAGGAAATATGCCAATATCTGAATGTGCGAGATCTTGGAAACCTTCAAGTACAAGCGGTCATTGAATTGGAAGCTTGGATATGACATTCCTAGGACCCCATATGCACATCAGCCAAGGCCATTTTTACAACCCGGGGAGCTCAACGATGGCAAAATCTTTCAATCTATACCTACATCACTTGGACAGACTTTCGACCGAAGGTTCTTTACTCGGAATGCTACCATCGCCCAATACTTAGAGTTGGGGTGTTTGGGCCCATTTGGACATCCGGGATTGCCTGTACCAAGGTCAGCATCCATTTGAATGCCTACTAAGCAGTAGAATTATTATGAAGAAATAATCCTACAAGATTACTTGTAGAAGACTTATGATCCATATCTCCTACATAAATGTATTTGAGAACCTTATGAAATGTAAATATAAAAATTAATTGGTCTTGGTAGATTGGAATTCCAGCGTACCTTGGTAGTGAGTGCCGCACGGATATATATCGGTGCACATGCACAAAGACTACAACATCAACTGGAACTTTGATCTCAGCTCTCAAGGGGTAAAAACCACCGGGGTAAGATTGTTGAGCTTGCTAGCACATGCAGGCCAATATTCTCTTTTCATGCAATTATTACAGAGCACGTTATCGTGAAAGAAGCGTTCATCTCAAAAGTTGACACGTTCTCTGGTGGCTTCTACTAGCGTGTAGACGTATATATATGCAGGGAAAACAGATATGAGAGCTTCCTAGGCTTGCATGTATTGCTATAAGGTCACAAAAGACACAAAGGATTGATCACCATAATCATGTTATGAGGTACTTCGGTATTGTGGACTAAACACTTTCCAGTGTGTTACACTTGCTGAACGGACGGAGAACAGAACGCAAACAGGAACCAGAAGGTGCAGTGCCGATTATATAATTTCTTTTGCGACCATGACACATGGCACAGCCACAATATATTATGCTTACAGGCTGCAATCAGCTGAAAAGGAACGAAAACAGGATATGTTGGTCCGGAGGACGAATAGTAAGACTTGAAATGTACTGCGTGGCAAGGGCGAGCACGGACGAATATCTTGTGAACATTTGGAATGAATAAAGCATAGGTCTATTACAGCAGATGAAGCACCTCTTCTGCAGACCAGGCAAAGAAGCAGTGATTTGAGACTGACCGGCGACCCCCGCACTGCCAGCAGGTGGCCGAATGCAGCTGATGATCTGGAAAAGGAGGAGACATCGAGATTGACAAATGAGATGGCATTCCGATACGGGTCCGCCAATGACAGGCTCTGTTTTCTGGAGAGATAGTTGATCCCTTCTTCTCCAGGAGCTTGGAATGTTCGCAAGGTGGCGGGAAAATCTGGATCTAGGGATGAAAACAAAGCTACCAAGTATGGAAGGATGGTAGTTGAGATCGCCACAATGAGGTCGTAGTGAGAAGTAATTATGATAGCATTGAATGAAAATGATGGTTAACTTGGATCAGGTGAGGAAAGACATGTTGTAAGGTAAAAGGACGAGGTAGTCGCGAGTGAAAGTTCTTTCCACACCACATGCCCATTTTCACATTTCAGTATTATGACTTGTCTGTTTTCGTCACTTGAATGATCAATCCGCTTGGGTTTGAGCGCATTCCAGGTTGTCACTACATTGTTTATGTATGAGGGTCTCCCAACAGCCATCCCCAACCCAAGTCACTCATTAGACACCAGCTCCAACCCACCTGCCACAACAAACGGACGTTTCGACCCCCTCAGGCATCCGTCTAGCCGGAGGACGTCCAGGAAGTATCTGCCACGGATCTTCCGATCTGGACGAACCATCCACCAACTACCTATCACGCGACGCGATGAGTCTTCATGGCCTTGGGGTGATTGGGGCCCAGGTGGCCGCGTCCATCAAGAGCAACGACGAGAAAATCCCTACGCCGAAGATACGATCGCCTTCTGGATCAGTGCAGTCGACCCCCAGAATTGAGATCGAGCATACCCGCTCTCTGGACTATGACCCGTCGATCGGCGCTAAGCCATATTCGCCGTTTTACTCGCATGGCACGCCCACGATTTCCTACGAACAGCTCACCTTTGAGACAAAAAATGCGAGTCGCAACCGCAGCGGGCTGCGAGATCTTGAAAATGCAGGACCCTACAGCTATCGCAGTGACAGCCCTCGACGATCCAAGCTATGGGAAGGCAATGTCAAGCCTCGGTCATGCCTACAATCTTTGAGTACCCGACAGCGCATGATATTCAAGGCCATCATTGCCGTCGTCACTGTTGGGACAATGATCGCCATTGCTTTGGGAATTACTTATGCAGTGGGTGGTGCTGTTTGGAAGTCCAGTGATGAGCAAACGTCACTTGGAGGTTAATTGGTGAGTGCACACCGACTGCGCAGCAGAACGAAGGCCTTATGCTGATTATCTAGTATAGATTGTCATTACTTTACATCGTCGACCTTTTGGTCAGTCACTCCTTCGTAGCCGTTAGCTGACCTGGGGAACCATGGTCAACCCATTTTCCTTTGTATTTGGAGACATTGAGCCTTTGCGCGCAAACGGATTCTCGGTGTGGCAGTGCTGATTGCGTTACTTTCCTGCTCGTGAGCTCAGAGTTTTCGGGAAGAGTGAGCGGCCTGCTCGAGTCTCACATTGTACATTTACTGAAAACAGTGGTTGGAGCCACAACGTGATCAAGTCAGTTCATTCCCAGTAGGAACAGGTCGACTTGCATGTGTGTTATGTAAAAGAGTGAAAGGGTCCACATTTGGCCCACAGTCGGGAGAAACGACGGCCCGCCCACGTGATCACGAGCAACTACAAAAACGCGCGAAAAATTCTCATCCTCTGGTCTTTTTCTTCTTCATCAAAAAAGCATCAGAGCCTGCCACGACCATCGTCCTGTCTTGTGACACCCTCCACGGCGATTGTTGCCTTCGGTCTTTCGGGACTGATCGGCTCTGTAGAGTAATAATCCTCGATAGGAAGTTCGCCTCCCGTTGGGTCCTCTTTAGTGAGGGCGATGGGAGGGGAATGTCGAAGACGGGATACATTCCCCTTTTTATTCACCTAGTGGACATTAAGGGTCGTAAGAGTAAACAGGAGTATACAGCTTCCAGTTTCCAAGTAAACGAAAAGCTCTGGCCATGCCTAGCTTATTAAATGCCCAGGTCTGCCAGCGCTGCTGTATACGTTGTCACCTAGTCGCATTGTTTACAAATCTGCACTGCAGTAACCTAAACAACCTTAAATCGAGGCTTGCTTGACATCATATGGAATTCTGGCCTACTCCTGCAACACATGTTGCGTGGCAGACCGCGCCCTACGTCGAATGAGAGGCCAGTCTGTACCTGCCATAGTTCAACCCCTTTCATTTCAGGCCCACGACATGGGCTTAACCTGAAGGCTTGGCCTATTCGATACATCGTGGAGCACGGGAAACTAGGGCGATCGTAACCATGCAAGCTACACAGGAGAAGCTGGTTGGTCAGTATTCTCCCTCGAGAATACCGACCGAACCCCTGGTGATTCATCCCTCTCCAAATGCCGGGGAATGTCGCAGCACAACGTACCCAACCTACCTATTCGGCTTGTGTTTACCATTGCAAACCCGCGAAATGTTGTTTTTCCATTCTCACCAACATTCTCGATGAGTTTGCTCCCCTGCACCAAAAATCTGGGCTCAGCTACTGGCTGAGAATACACATTCCGGCCATGCAATCGATGCCTGGTGATCATGAATGCCAAAGGAGTACTAAAGCCATAATCAGCGCCTCAGCCGTCGTGGAATTCTTTCTTGTCTGGATATTAGGGAGTTCTCTCGACTGATCGTGCCATTCTTTATCTTTCCTGTATCAATTGATCAAAGCCGTTCTTTTTGGACTGTTGCTAAGTCCCACGATATACCCTTTTTGATTTCTGCAGTAATATCACATCTTCAAAGTCGTCAATATGAAGGGATTCATTGGTGGTATTCCATTGGCCCTTTTGGTGGCTGCTGTCCAGGTCCAGGCCATGGAGCAAGGCGCTGTGAGTACAGACGGTTTATCACTACGTATTCATACTAACATAAGGAACAGAATGGGATGGATATGAGCCAAAATGGCTTTCACCAGCGACGAGCGGCTGGTTTCCACCCTGCCCATGTTGGTGGCACCGCTATGGGCGGTCCGTCTGGAAAAGACGAGGATGGGACTTTCACTAGCCCATACAGTGCGGACGTTCACACTCACACAAACGTGAATGAGCACTACAAGGACAACCACTCCATCAAGATCAAGGACAAGAACATCTACCCTCCTCCCAGCTTCGGTCACGGTGGTCCCGGTCCTGCTCTTGGTCCCGGTGCTGGCCCATTTGGCCATGCGGATGGCCCTGGAGCTGGCCCATTCAACAAGCGTTCCTGGCCCTCCGGCGGCACGGCCGAGGGTGGTCCTTCTGGCAATGACGAGGGTCAGACCTTCAATATGCCTATTACTGGCATCTTTCACACCGATGTGAATGAGTATAGCAAGGATGACCACTCCGTTCACGTGAAGAACAAGGACATCCACCCTGGCCCTGTCATCGAGGCTGCTCCGTTCCACCCTCCTCCCCAGTTTGCTGGTCCTCCCAATGGCCCTGGTGGTCACGCTCCCTACCGCAAGGCCAGCGGTGAATCATCCGACAAGTTTGAGGTCTCAGCTGATGGTTTCACTAAGCGATTCTCCCCTGGCGGTACCGCGATGGGAGGTCCCGGCGGTGGTGAGTCCCACGGGCCCAAGGGAGAGGAGGGCTACCCCGTGATTGCTGGAGGCACCGCAATGGGTGGGCCTTCCGGTGATGATGAGGGTATCAATTGGGATATCTCCCAGACTGCTGACATCAAGACGAATGTGAACGAGGATTACGAAGATGATCACTCCATCAACATCAAGCACAAAGATGTTTTCCCTCCTCCTTCTCACCCTCCCTTTGGTTTCCCCAAGCGTGGTCTCTACCCCCACAGTGGCGGTACTGTCATTGGCGGTCCTTCTGGAGATGACGGTGGCCAGAGCTTCAACATGCCTATCACCGTGGAGACCGACACTGCCGTGAACGAACATTATCAAGATGACCACTCCATTGACCTGAAGCACGAGGACGTCTATCCTGCGCCGCATTTCGGTCACCCCTTCCGTCGTGCCTACTCCCCTGATTCTGCTGACCGTGAAGGTGGTGACGATGACGATTATTCTCCTCCCATCGTCTCTGGCGGAACTGCTATGGGCGGCCCTTCCGGTGACGATGATGGTATCAACTGGGGCTCTCCCACTCATATCGGTGTTGATACCAATGTGAATGAGCATCATGATGACAACCACGCTGTCAAGATTGACACTACCACTGTCCACCCGTCTTCGTGGGATTTCCACCCGGCCCCGGCCCCGGCCCCTGCACCGGTCCACGAGGTCCACGAAGTCCACGAGGTCCCCGCTCAAACCGTCCACGAGGAGGTTCCCCAGATGCCCTGGATGACCTACACTGACCAGCAGCACGCTGCCGGTGTTCCTGCCGAGATCCACACGACCCCTGCGGCCCCCGAGCACCATGAGATCCCTGCGCCCTCTGAGCCTGCTCCTCCCTCCCACCGTGCTGAGGAAGAGCACGTTCCCGAGTGCTCCGCTCAGGTCCACGAGGTCGTCCACACTGTGACTGAGACCCAGTACAAGCAGGTTCAGGCCACCGAGACAGTCTACCAGCAGGTCCCTGTTGTCTCGCAGGTTGTCCAGACTAGCGCTGTCCCCATGCACGCTGTGCCCATGGAGTCCGGGTCTGACCCCAAGATCATGTCATTCTCCGCCCCTGCCCGCTCTTCTTCTTCCAACGTTCCCTACGCGAGCTACCCTTACTCTGCTGCCAAGAGCTCCATGAGTGCCCCCGCTGCTATGTACTCTCAGATCCCTGTCCATGTCCCCATGGCCACCCCCTCTTCTTCTGCCTCCATGATGCCTATGGTTACCCCTGCTTCTAGCCACGGGTTGAACATGCCCACCGGAGTTTCCCCTGAGCAGAGTGCTTTCGCCTCCAGCTCTGCCCATGCTTCTCCTTCCAAGGGTGTCATGTTCACCGGTGCTGCTAGCCGCGTGTCTGGTGGTATTGTCTCCGCTGCCGCTGCCGTTGCCGGTGTCCTTGCCTTCATCCTGTAAGATCTTGGCCCGACCAGCCCTGTCAATCATTTCAACTTGTTGTACTATTTCCTTTCGTGTCCTCTTTTCCCTATTACCGTGTACCTCTGCTTCAATCCATTTCTTCATTAATGCCGAATGTTCTCCGAACTTAATGAGGTAACACGTCTGAAATATGAGTTTTGATTTTTCCATCTAAACAAACACCCCCAATCCTTCTCCATGTAGCAACTATGCCGACCCAAACTTTCAAACTTCCTCTTTCATAAGACTCGTGGCAACAACTTTCGTGCACAGCCCGTGGAGAATCACAAATCCTAGCTCTAACCTGCCTGATTAAGTTCCACTTCCCCGCAATTATCAACCAATCACGGAATCCGCTTTTGCATCCGGTTCGTCCAAACCAACTCAGAACTTGGTCAATTTCCTGATTTCGAACATTCCGCCAATCAAGGGTCCTTGTCCTCGTGCCCTGTTCCCTCGTCTCGTCTTACGCAAGAATTCTAGGCGCCCCTTGACAGGCGGCTCAGTTACCGATACTTTGGTTTCGGCCAAGCCACACTTCTGTGGTGATATCATCATGGCTTCATGACACTAATCCGGGTAAGTTAGCCGTGATGTCAGATCATAGATGCAGGAACTATGATCTTCGAAAATCATATAAACATGTTCTTGTGACCTAGGGATTTTGTCTAGTATTCTTTTGGAAAGATTAATCTACTAGCCAATTCACTCCACCTTCAAATAACCCTCTACACAACACATCCACAAAACTTATAGTCATTACACAATGGTTCATCAACAATCGAACGCCAATGCTGGAGGCTCCTTGACGGACATGGCACCAACGGGCACCTCAATCCCCCAAAACGCTGGCAAACAAAATACCATTCCTTCAATCCCACGTCCAGACCAACGTACCGAACCCTCTTATTTCAACCACGATGCTCGAGCTCGTCCTACTACTGCCATGGACGTAGACAATGCGGTCGATATTCCGCGTTCCACCCACGACCGTGGACAGACGGCCGAAGTGATTACTGGAACTGGTGATCTACTGCCCACTACAGTCGAGTCAAAGAGAGTGCACATGAATGTTCCTGGTCGCTCGGATGGCAGAGACACCAAGCACCAAGGCTTTAATCGGAATGAAAATGACAAGCTTGCTGGGCAAAGCAAGTTGGAGGAGGGTGCTGATGAAAAGATCGGGGTTCATCAGGTACGGATCATTGACTCCCCATTCAATCGGTAAATGGTTTTTACTGACCGGTTCATACAGTTCTTTGGCGTCGAGGCCACGTATTAGGGGCTGATGAAAAGTGCTCCGATCGCTACGTTGATATTTACAATTTTATGGGAGGATTCTGTTTTATCGCTGGACTTGTCAGCTTAGCCCTAGTGGCTTTTTACGATGTATGATTAACGATTTATGATCAATTGTGATTCTATTTTTCTTGATTTGCGGGCATATACTGCTAGATATGTACCCTAGATGCTTCTGGTTCAAGGAATCCTTGGTAGATTTCATCCAGTACATCGCGCTTCCGCTTACGGTCAGCAAGTGCTGCTTCCTCCTCCTCGGTGGGCTCCCCGTCAGGCTCACGAGATACCCAAGTACGGATAGTCCCGTCGCCATGAGCAGAGAATAATTCTAGTCCCTCGCCTGACCCACCATTCCCGCGCCAAGCTAGATCGTTGATCCGCGCCGCGCTAAGTGCACTCGATCGGCCGCGGGCCTGGGCTCCAACTGCGATACCAGGGACCCGAAGGCGCTTGACGAATGTCCCGTCGCGAAGCTCAAACATAAAGATCTCACCGCGGTCATCCTGCTCATGGAAATTGGGCCATAAAAGGGTCTCGTGTCCCGGAGCCATGAATCCCTTCGGTATCACCAGTGGAGCCCGCTCTGCAAGATATGATGAGGTAGAGTTGCGCACGCGAGGCCCGAAATGAACCAATGTATTTGCGCCGCTTGCTGCATCCCAAACTCTGATACGAGAATCCTGACCTGTGGTGACTAAATGGGTGCCATTAGACGTCCATCGTACACCAGTGACAGCACCATTGTGAGCGCGAGAATGCCGAGAGAATGCCGGTCGGGGCTCGAAGAATGTTGCAGAGCCTGAGCTTGGAGTTGCTAGTCCTACCGGATCATCCATATCCAAAGTCGCAATGGCAGAGTTATGGCCGCCACGGCGTACGTCGAAGATGATCACCCGGTTATCCACGGAGCCCGAGGCCAAAAGATGGGGACGATGTGGAGCCCAATCCACCGAAAGTACCGCTGCGTTGTGGCCCGGCAGACCATGGGCTGCAAGACCAGACCGCAAGTCGACCAGGCGAACGGCTGGATCGGACGTTGCGACTGCGACCAGCAGCGTGGATCCAGGTTGAGAGGAGAACGAGTGCGCATATGGTGTACAATCCAATTTAAATGTATGAACAGGAGTTATGGCTGGTGACTGCAGCGCTGAAAGCTTCAATGTGCCATCGTAGGCAGTCGAGAAGATGGTAGATGGTTCGGGGTCAAAGGGATAGATGGACAGAGAAGTGATGGCATGGGTGTGCGCATCCGGATGCGAGGACTTGCTAACCAAAGCGCAAGACTGGTGGACGTGATTGAGTTCTGATCCTCTAGTCTCGAGGTCCCAAAGGTGAATGGTTGGATCTGCCCCTCCAGATAGCATACTACTCGGTCTTGGTTAAACTAGAGCTCAATTGAAATATCATAGGGAGATCAGGCGTACTATCGGCCTTCAAATTTATCGATTGCCAGGCAGTTCACGCCAGATTTATGGGCAATCTCATCTTCCGTTAGGTCGTGTTCCTCATCAGAAGGGGTGGCATCATCTCGAGACTCGTTCCTTCGCGGGGCTCTGCGGCTGGAGAATCGAATCCCAGGCGCAGGCTCGAGGTTGTGTACTAGCCGGGTTCTTTGGGCGACATGGAAGGTATTTGAGCTTACAGTCCCGAGGGCTCTGTTGAGAAGAAAGGAATTCATTCAATCATCGAGAATCAACACGAGTAGGGAATAGAACTGCGGAGATGGCGATAAGCTGATGTGACCTCATCGGACTAAGGTTATGCCGGCGCATCATATTTCCGGACTTTCTCTTCTTGCTACCGCTGCGTCTGGCGCATTTGCGATGCACCGGCAACTCCAGGAACATGTCTCTAGAACCTGGCGCCGAAGATTACATTGCAGAGGATTTTTCGATCCACCGAGATGAAAATCGAGAAAGGGCTGGATCTCATGTGAGATTTGACCTGTCAACCTCCGACAACAGGAACTCCAAATCTTTCAGACATATCGCCAATCTCTATGATTCTGTTGCTGGTATGGTCTTCGCACGGGACGTGAAGTTTAGCAATACCTTCTGACGATTCCAGGTCGCGTCAACCTCAATGGATTCCTGGCACCGAGGGCGACACGGTGGGGCGATACACAGTCTTCAGGTGGTCGCGATCTCCGCCCCGAAGAGGTCTTGTATCGACATATGCCGCAAAAGTTGAAAAGTATTGAGGAGGATGAATCTACGTATTTCGCACATGAAAATCTCCCCGCCGATCGCCCTCTCCCGAGCTCCGAAATTTTGACGGCAGTGCACGCCTATTCCTCCGATTTTTATACACACAAGCTTCGCGACAGTGGGAAACACAATTTCTACAGTATGGACGAGTCTGCTCTCCTTGCAGTCGGGATTCTGATGGAGGAGCTGGCCAAAGAACAGCTTGGGGAAAACGGAGACATGGTTCTGACAGAGGAAATGTGGAATAGTGAAGATGAAGGCAATGACCCCCGGTCTTCGCGAAAGAGACTGAGGGCAAGTACCATTGAAGATGTTTCCGCCCTGAACCAGGACACGCGGGACGCAGTGGAGAAGGGCGAGAGTCACATATTACCCCAGACAGAGCATGAAATTATACTGGAGGAGACACAAAGAAGTGGTTCTCCGCAGAAAAAGCAGAAGAGAAAGGGGCCTGCCTGATTGGAGGATGGGTATGCTTTTTATCCCACTATCTGCTTATGCTCCTGATGTGACGCTGGTATCTGCGGGGCTTAAGCGACTCAAGATGCCAGAGGATCGCATTATACTCGGTCAACACCCTAATATGGACTTTATGTACCGAACCAGAGACGGGCGGACACCCGGAATATGCCAGAACGCCAGAGTTACCTGCATGTGGTTGAAAGAAACCACGGTAGCTTGGTTGTTAATGCCCCATGCGGGTTTCCACTGGGCGCTTCGCTTGACTGCGCCGGGGTATATCTGTATCGTTACATGCTGAAATCAATCAGACGGTCAAGGATTTGCTGCGAGGCGACTCTAAGCCCATGGGCAGTATGGCGTGGATGGCGTACATCCCGAGGTGTGGCCTATCATCTCCAAATTGCCCACGAAACGGTCGATTGGGATGTGCGCTCTCGATGACGGGTCGATTTTAGCGCTAGAAAACCCCGCCTACATTATGAAGCAAATCACGGAGTACAGATTTTAGGCTCGGACCACTTAATATTGAATCGTAGTATACTACGTAGTAGTAAATACATAGATCGAAAATAATAACCCCCCCCGTTGCTAACGTAAGGAAGACCGGAGATTTTAATCCACAGGTGGAGAGGTGAGCAGATTTCCCAAATACAAGCCACTTGAAAACTTGGCTTTCCTCCACTCCTCCACCCATGAATGCTTAACCACCCCATGTCTATCCTAAAGCGGGAAAGCTTACCTCCAAGCTTCTCCCTACCGAGCCAGGAAAGGTAGAACCTCAGACGGCAACGCCTCAGTGGGTCGTGCCCCATCCTACGACATCATGGTACGTGGCCCGTTGCCTAGGTTCGATTGACTAAAATGCCTGGTGTGGGATGAACACAACGAATACAAACGGTCGATTTGACGCGTCACCAGTTCTATCTAATTTTTTTATTTCTAACTATTGAGGTGAACCAGCCACCCAAGTTGTCCAAGGCCGACAAACTGGCATTGATTGTGACTCACCTGCAGACCACGGGAACCTGTTACACACTCAAAGAACTCGAGAAGAGCTTACCTGCCGTGGCATCTATCAACAGTATCCAAGTGAAAGAATATATCCAGGCCTTGCTTGACGAGGATCAAATCCGAGTTGACAAGATCGGCAGCGGCAACTGGTACTGGAGCTTCGGAAGTGACGAAAAGGTCGAGCGGGAGCGGCAGTTGGCCCGGGTGTATACGGAAGTGGAGAAAGTGAAGAAATCTTGTGCCCAGTGGGAAAAGGCACTAGCTGAAACTGCGCAACGACACGAATCTGACTCTGAGGGTGAGAATGAAGTCGGGATCGACACGCGCCAGAGTTTACTGGTCACGAAAGCCGAGCTCGCAGCAGAAGTACATCGGCTTCGGGTCGCAGAGATGGGGTTGGGCGACTCGGTGTGTAAGAAAGGGGTGCTGATGCTGCAGGGGGAGTTAGCGGGGTTCAGGCAGCAAGCGTTGCAGTGGACGGATAATTTGTGTATTCTGGAACAGTATCTGCGTGAACTGGCCCAAGACCCGCAAATGGTCGCCGCGGTACTGCATGAATGTTATGGAGACGAGTACGTGGATGGGGGGCTGCGTGAGCTGGAGTAGACATGCGGATTATGATGATGATTACGATTTATGTTTATACCCGCGGTAGTACTAACTGAAAGGTGGAAATCTGGATGAAAGAGTGAAAAAGCTTAGCCTAATCAACCATTTGGTTTCTCCTCAGCAGATCCCGACTTAAGCTTTTCACCACTGTTGCAGGTTGGGGCGCCTTTCATCCCCGACATAGGAATGGGGACGCTCGAGTAATTCGAAGAAATGCGATTATAAACCTGGAGTAATCATGACCAAGTGATCCATACCAAAAAGCCCCATGACTGTAGTTGGCTAGTGCCTTTTCCCGAGAAGCTTGACTTGCCAATTTAAGAATCGCTGGGTCTCGTCCTTCTCCGCTTATCGACCAAATCTCTCTCTCCTCACACCCTTCTCCCCCTCCCTTTCTCTCTGATTGCTATATACACCTCCTTAATCCTGACATCGTGCGCCACACCTGGTCCCACATTCCGTCCGTCGCGCCTCTTCTCCCGAACTTCAGTCTGGCCCCCTCTCGAGAGTGAGCCTCACGTCTCGGCCCCCCTCTCCATTCGAACCACCACCGATCTCCTCGATATCATCAATCACTTCAGTCGGCATTCATCGTCGCGATCCAGAAACCTGCCAATCGAAACCCTATCGATTTTCCGGGGGAACTTTCGCGATTTAACCGTGCGCTTTGGTGAGACCGGAAACAATGTGGTTCGGTGGTCCTCGAGCATAACGACCCATTCCTTTCTTCTGGACCTGGGATTCTTATTTCGCGTGTGGACACCCGGATACATACCGTGGCGTTTGGAACCGAACTGTGCCTATAGGCTCACGCTGCACCATTTGCCGCTGGACGTGTCGCTGAATCGATCTCGCCTGCCCTTCTGCCTACTCGAGTCACTCCTCCCCCGTCCGACCCCAGCCCAGCCCCACCAAAACGTGCAGGCCAGGGGCTTCACTTATATCCTTCCTTAGTCACTCGTGACTCGCCTTCGAGGTCTTCCTCTCCTCCCTGCTTCATTAGTGCCGCCATATTGTATGGATGCAGGAAGTAGCGGCTGCGTGTCATGTCCTCCAACCCTCCTCCCACGTCCTCCACCCCGCCGGTCAGCCGGAAAACCAACTCCTTTCTTTCAAAATTTCGCTCTCCCCTTGGGTCACGCAATCGAAGCATCACCGACTTCTACATCGACCCAGATGACCCGTGGCGCTCATACTTTCCAGGGGATACCATCAAAGGCACCGTCATTGTGACCGTGCTGCGGCCAGTGCGCATTACACATATTGTTATCTGTCTCCATGGCTACGTCAAGGTCTTCAAGAACGCGGTGCCGGCGGGGGAGTCCAATCCGGATATTGGGTTCATTGGCCCCGGGCGTGGCCGACGAGGTGCAGAATACATGGGCAACGGATTGGCGACCCTGTTTGAAGATGAAGTAGTACTCTGTGGTGACGGCCGCCTAAAAGAGGGCATCTATAAGTTTCGTTTCGAGATGACGCTTCCCCCATACGCTTTACCCAGCAGCATTAATGTGAGTGGTCCTGCTTTCGGAGTCGCGTGAAACCGCGTCATGCTAATCATTGTCTAGTTCGAACGAGGCACCGTCGCTTATGCACTCACATCCACCCTTACCCGACCGACCACCATGAATCCTACACTTACCTGCCGAAGACGAGTGAATCTACTTGAAAACATCGACATTGCCCCTTTCCCCGCCCCCAAAGCCCGCATCGTTACCCTGGAACCCGTTTCCAAGCGATCAAGATCCAAAGCAAAAACCAAATCTCCCTCCTCCGACACCACAGCAGCCCCCGACACCTCCTCCATAGATACCCCGGTCAGCAGCGCAGCTGGCTCCGTGGACCACCGACCACCACTCAGTCCGTCTCCGAGCAATGTCAGCTCCTCCAGCCGACCTAGCAATAGCAGCCAGAGCTTTCAAATCGCTAGCGACCCAAGCTCATCCACAAGTACAGGTGGGGGGCGAAATAGCGAAGGCCGCAGTGTGACCCCCTCTGTTTCGGAGAAAACCATAACCGCCAAGGCGGAAGTTCTGCGCGCGGGCGTGCTACCGGGGGATACGCTGCCTATCAAAGTCACCATAAATCATTGCAAACAAGTGCGCAGTGCGCATGGTATCATTATTACTCTATATCGGCAGGGCCGCATCGATCTCCACCCGTCCATCCCCATTGGAAGTAACGCGAATGGAAAAAAACCAGTCTATGAAGACTGCTACCCACGCTCTCGTACTGGGCTCGGCGGATTGACCCTCGGAACTACTCGCAACAGCAGCACCTTCCGAAAGGACCTATCTCAGTCGTTTGCGCCGTTGATCGTGGATCCTACTAACTTGACTGCTATTGTGAAAACCTCGATTCGCGTTCCTGAAGACGCATTCCCCACCATCACTCGTGTGCCGGGTGCCATGATCAACTTTCGCTATTATGTCGAGATTGTGGTCGATTTGCGTGGTAAAATTACTTCCCCAGATCGCTTCATCCCACGTTTCAACATGGTTTCGGGTGGCAGCACATTTTCGCCCAGTGGACAAATTTTGAATCCGGCGGATGCCAAAGGCAGCGCTATCACTGCCAACTGGGCGGGCAATATCCTCGATACGGATCGAATCCGTCGAGAGAAAGGCGTCATTTCCGTAGCCTTTGAAGTGGTTGTTGGTACCAAAGATTCCAAACGTGGTCAGGGCACCATTGAACGCACATCGTCTGTTGCTGCCGAATCGACTACATCTCAAGCAGCTCCTATATCTTCGAACCCTGTTAATAATGGAGATGCGGAGGAGTGGGCTGAGGCAAGTCCTGGAGAGTATGGACAAGAGGAACAAATGTACCTCGATGAAGCTTGGGCAGAGTATCCTGAGGACTACGTACAACAATTCTCACCTCCTGGGCCCATGACTGCACATCCTGAAGTTGAAGAGCCTGTCGATGAAAAGACTCGAATCCGACGCCACGAGGAAGCACTCCTACCCAGTCAACCGCCCGACGAAGACGAAGCAGGGTCATCAGTTGAATTGGCGGTGCCGACCGCGCCAGTCTTGCCCGAAGATCATCATCTGCAGGACTATCAGCACGTGTCCTCGGATACAGATGTAATGTCTCATGTCCCGTCTGCATCATCACTGCAGACCGTGGTTGCGAATGGCGGTGTCCCTGAGCCCAGTGAACCTTCTGGCCCGGGTGATGATAAGCTAGAGCTTGAACGCCAGCGATTAATGGAGCAGGTCAGCGCTCCTAGTGCACCACCTGAGGAGAGCAATGGCGAGGGCCCCAGCGCCCCGGTTTTCGACGAAGACGATCAACTCGTGGGTGGCACAGCGCATGCAGACGAGTCATTACCCCGATACCAGCGGTAAAGCATACTATTATTATTGGGTTTATTATATTGATACCTCTATTTCACATTTTCAACATGTACATTTTGCATTTGGGGGCTGGGAAATTTTCTGGAAGATACCACTATTCGCATTTTTTTTATGGACACCCGGCGCTGGTGATCTGATTGGCGTTGCAACCTGACCCTGTACTATAACTATGAATCTGTTATACGGAGCAATCAGTTTGTCCACATTATTATTCATGGTAGAACTACTTAATCTACGCCTATCAGAGCCAATTTGATAATGATTAGCGTTATCGGTATCTCGGAGCGATTTTCCCTTGGCAACTCCGCTTACCCATCAACCTCATTTTCCCCCTGTTTCTCCTCTCAGCTTCTCCACGATCTTCATCCAAGATCATTTTCACCATGCCCCTCACAAGCGGGTCGTTCGCGACCTTCCTGATTGTCTGCCGTGAGTTCCCCTCGGGTCCTCAAATGCCTACCTCCAATCCTAAAGGATCATCACGTCCTCGAGCTCAATCCCACCTCAACCGCACTGAACGCAACATTGACAACTAATTCTTCACAACAGCAACATGCTTTTTCCTTGGAATCATCTTCTCCCTTTTCCCTTACGACTACCCAATCCTGTGGTCCACAACACCTACCCCGGCCTCGCACTATGATTACCTAGAAGCGCACCTCCAATTCCTCCACGCCAGCCCTCCTCTCATCCCCCGCATTCTCCATATTGTCATCTTCCTCGGCCTCGCAGGCCTCATCTCTAAGCTCTACAAGCCCTCCGAATCCAACATGCTTTTCGACGGCGCCTCCCTCGTTCTCTACATGTGCGGCGTGACAGTCTACATCGCCAACATCGTCAAGGGTCTGCGCCTCGCCTCTGCTGGAAAATACGGCGACGCGCTTGCCACTAGCCCCGAAGAGCGCGATCAGATCCTCGGCCGCGAGGACTCGCTTAAGGTGCTGAGTGCTAGTAATACCATTCTTGCTCTCGTGCTGGTTGGTATTCTTGTGCTTCAGGCTGGGCAGTGGTATGCCGAGCTGAAGGATCAGCAGGAGTATGAGTCGGTTGCTAAGGGCAAGAAGACTGATAGTGAGGGTGAGGAAGAGGAGGCCGTTTCGTCTGCGGTCGAGACCAAGTCAGGGAAGAAGAAGAATAAGGGAAACTAGACTCTTGATTGTTGAGTAATCTTATCCTCTTCGGGTCTTTTCTTTGGATTATGTTGTGTTGGTTTTGTTATTCGCATTCGCTGGAAATATTATTTGGTTGCGATCGGATGAGTATCTGGGTATCCCGACAATGGCCGATGGTGGTAGTGGTGGCTTGTCCTGTCTGAACAGTTGTATTCTATGGCTAACAGTGAAGCGATGGTTTGCATTGAGCAATGGTCATGTGATTCCCGTTTGCTGTGGGATGGCTTCTTCGTATCTACCTCAATTGACCTTGCGAGAAAATCAAAAAGAGATATGACTGAACCGGAATATAGGGAAGCAAAAGCAGAGTAGGAGCGGAAAAATCGATATTTCAATCCGCACGGTGTGCGGCCCGGTCTCGTCTATGTACACGGGGTTCCATGTGGCTCACTATAATGGTATTTTTATACGAGAAATGATATGAAATGGGGTAAAAGGAAATGACATGAGATGCGAATGTATGCATGGATTGAGGCTAAAAAAGAAAGTAGATGTAGCGTATGTATAATGATGGAGTATGTCGTCACATCGCAGAAGGGGAATCATAAGACAGATCATGAGGAAAATGACAAGGGATAGGGGTTGGCAGATGGTGCCACAAATGAAAGATGTCAACGGAATGAAAATGGGCTTCGAGGGAGGTCAGGGGAGCGAGGACTGAGTGCTTTGGCGAAGAGATCTTCTGACTCCCCACTGGAGGTACGGACAAGTGGAACCATCGAATCCAAAGATTCCATCGAGTCCATGGATGCGAATCCTCCTTGCTCAATAGTTTGCTGAGCTGCTTGCAAGGATGACGGAGGGAAATGCGCAATAGTCTTCAGCCCCTCGGCACCGGTTGGGTTTGTCAGCGTGCTTGGAGTAGTCGTGGGGTTGGTAATTGGTGTTGGAATGAGAGTTTCCTGCTTGCTTGCAACATTGCTAAACGAGCTGAAAGAGGATACAGCGACATCAGGAGATTGTGGTGACAGCAAGTGGGCTGTGTTTGGACCCGAGCCTATTTTTGTGGTTAAGTCTTTGAGATCTGGTATTCTAGAGGTGGGTGATTTACTGTCATTTCCCGATACTGCCAAGTCCTTCTCACTCGTTTGCAATTTCAATCCCTTGAGCTTGTCGGTCAACTTTCTCCCACTGACGGGAGATACTGGCGTCGCAGGGCCCGTGGGGTGCAGGGATGTGGAAGTCGAAGGGTCGTGACTGGTCGAAACAACTTCGCCGCCGCGAATTATGACTCCAAAATTTGTTTCAATCCATTCTTTTTCCTGTACGGCCATATGCAGGGCAACTCCTTCGACATTGTTGAGGCATTCTTCCTCAATCTCACGATCAAGAACGCGGAGGCGCTTCTTTGCCCAGATTGTATGCAATACGCCTTTTTTGCCAGCCGCACGACCAGTGGCGCCGAGTTCGGGTGGAAAAATGGCGGGCAATGGATTTAGCTGGAAGCTATCATGGCCAGATTTGGGGACAAATGGAGTGTCACCGGTCTCGGCTGTGGCGCGGGGCTCATAGGACAAGGTGACAACAGGTGGGATGGTGACATTGGGCGGTAGAAGGAAGTAAAAACGGCGGAGACTATCACTTGGTCGATCATCGGCGGGGATAACCGTAGTCTTGCCGGTCCACGAAACATGCCATGATCCCTCTGCTGCAGATCGGTTCAGGTCATCATCCTCCCATTCAATCATCAAAATCTTTGTGCCTTCGTTGCCTTTACCAGCCTCAAACTCGAATCGAGCCAGTGCAGTGATAGAGAGGCAGCTACCATTCAAACCGCGAGGGGTCTTCTGGTCCGCGAATTCGCTGTCCGGTGTGAAGGTGGGCGGTGCTCGAGACATGATGCAGGTCCGGGAAAAAAGTCTCTCGGGTTGGGGCCGCACGGAACACACACTCGGGAAGGGTACTTGGGCGGGCTTAGCACCGGTTGACAGAAGGGATTACTGAGACACGTAGTGAGCCGGCCTGAGTTGAGATGAGAGGTGTTACGGGCTTGGAGGAAGGAGGGGAATTGGCGGGTCGATCACGGGATTCCACTCAAATGTCTCCATGCCGGCTTCAAACATGGGCGGGTAAAATTTGGATCTTTACCCTTTCAAGTAAGACTTAGCTACGATCGCTCGTCTGCTATTTGTTGAGGTCGCAGGGGTAAACCATTCGCATGGTTCTGCCTGCCCCGCGTCTAATTTTAGAATTCATTCCGAAGCCAAAGAAGCCACTTCTTTCTTCAGTCTTTGAGCCGATGGCAAAGCAAATATGAATATGAGTCCAATGCCATTCAACATTTCAAGTTTATTCCTGGTTTTTTGACACTACATATCCCCGATGACTTCATGTCTTTGAAGGGCTTTCCGGCTGGAAAATGATGTTCGACCCCGCATGGTTTTTCCGGAATGGTCTATTTTTGGCAATGCAGTGTGATCTAACGTGACGAAGACGCATCTTATAGTAACCAATCCTGTGCTGGCATTCCCATGTGCTCCCTTTCCAATGAATTGCTTCAAGCTGATGACAGCAATGTCAAAATCAACAAAATGATCAAAAGTATCTTCTTTCTTTGCTGGGGGCTACGTAGTGGTAATTTGAAACAATGAACGTAGCAGCTGAATGTTGCCAAAATGGACACCAATATTTGGCTGCTCTTTACAAAATCAGTTACTGTGAAGCTTGGTCTATGAGGAGTATACTTAGTAGTGCCCTCGCTCACCTTCATGTTCGAGTCAATGACCAGCCATTCATACGTATACTTCCTAATATAACCTCAAGGTCGTTTCATAAATCATTAAAATGTTGGGGTTTCTTAGAAAGACTCCGCGCGCAGAGAGATTCTTTCTTTCGGGAAAATTGATTGACTGCCGTATAGATCAATGCCTGTAAGTCAGAAGTGTTCTGTATCCAAGGCTCACTTGCCGTATAAACTGACATAAACTTTACATAAGCAAATGGTATATTCTGAACATAACATCAGTAATGAGTTCTCGGAGTGACGCAAGAATGCCCAGTATGTGGCATCGCAATGCCGCTGCTATGCCAAAATGATCGGCTTCGTCTTCATTACAATACCATGGCCCGCGCATCGAGAATGGCACATGATTAAGTCAAAGAATCAAAATGATATCCTAATTTAGAACTGAAATTAATCGCCAGTGAGGTTTTGTAAGATATGTGTAGACAGTGGATATGGTATGATACTGTATCATACTGAAGGCCATGTTCTGAAACAATGTGTGGTTTTAAGAACAGAAAAACCATGCTGGATGATTTGGATTGGACACAAAAATAGAAACAAGCATCAAGATACACATATTGCGCTATCACAACGACGCTGTGGCGTGGAATTGAATAATGGGGCGAGAAGAGCATCAAGAAAATTAAACGTTTAGCTTTGGATGTACGACACACTCAACGCAATGCGGGGATCAAAATATCTAAAATTAACAGTAAAACAGGCTTTCGCTTCCAAAAATAGTGGTTACAATAGTAGACGAGGGCGCGCGAGGGAATGATCAACAGAGTTCTGGTGAAAAGGAGAAGGTGAGTGGTCCAATGCCTTTCAGGGCTAAAAGCGCAGTGCAGCGAAAGCCAATCAACGTAATAGATAGACCTTGGAAACAATATATAAAATACAGATATGCAGCCCTGTATATCTCAACAGGGTTATCAAGCGGGGCATGCGCTAGTCTATGAGAGCTCCGTTCCGTAGCATGCAGGTAACAGCTAACCCAATGTGAAGAACCATTCGAAATTGGAGGAAGCTACCCACCTACCTGGAGATATTTTTGGAGTGCCACCAGATTCAAAAATCAGTGGTTGTTTCGCATTCGTAGCGTTGTTGCTTTCCGAAATCATTTCAACGCAAGTATTGCTATTATTATAATTGGGCTTGCCGCCCGTGAGCAGCCACAACTAGCGTTCCTATGTTTTCTCTGTTGGAGAACTTGTCACATGTAGTCAATTTTGACATAGTCATTCCAGAAATTTGGCAGCGTCAAAAACCATAAATCGAATTCCCTCGGTTCATTTAGATTATGAATATGCTGTTTATACAATTCGGTGGAAATGTACACCTAGGCGTCACTGATTGAGATTCAAAACGCCCAAACAGCGTATTTGCCGGTGATCATTAGAGCAAAATCAATGTTCACTGGAATAGATGAGGTTCAAATTGGAGTGGATGTCAAAAATAGAAATTTTGCTATCAAGTAGGGGGTTCTGCACGTAGATCTCGGACCAAAGTGTTGGGGTACATGTGGGACAAATCCTGTTACAGGGGTTTTTTTTAGTTGCACCATCCAAGAGAAAACTCCCGGTTCAGCGCTTAGAAGATAACTACTGTAGGCACTAGGATTCGGTGCTAGCTGGATACGAGTATAATCTTGCAGCCTAAGATTTGAGTCGTGGACGATCAATGAAAGGTGGAAATTAGAAAGATGACGTCTGTTAACATAGGGTGTCTACTTCGTACCGGGAGCGTGGTCCTTGCATGCAACCAGCGTTTCTAAAAATGGAGTCTTCACGAGAAATGTATACATCACTGCTGCAGCTTTGGTGACGGCCGCTGTTACCCCCTCCCTATTTGGTGCCTGTATGTGCTTCAATTGCATGAAGGAATTTGTGACGGGACACTTGTGCATGCATTCAGCGTTCCCAATGATAGAGAATCCCACTTGGTCAAACCATTGCAATCATCATGTCCAAACATTGGTGGTGATTTGTTGAATACTGTCCGGTGCTCAGTGATTCGATTTCAACTTGGCATACTCGATCGCCTATTGGTCAAAACTAAGGAATGCGAAGCACAAAACCTAATGTCCGACCGCCATGCTGGGGTGCCTAAAAATAGTCTACCCCTCCGTATGTACAGGTGCAGGAGGGATGTAATCGAGAGGCAAATCGCATCCATGAAAACCCGAGGTGGCATCCTTGACAAGCTGATCTCCGTGTGATGACCCCACTTAAATGAACCAATGGTGCCGAAATAATTGCGGGTTCCTCCCTCGAAGCACAGGCTAGGTCACAGGCTAGGTCACACGCTAGGTCGGACTCAGATTAGCGCCGGCGCTTAGATGAGATTGATGAGCGGGCCGTGGGACTGACGTAACAGGGCTATGATCTATGATTGGACAGAAGTTTTAATATGGGGCTTCTTTGTTTTTGCGATACTTTTTTTACCGTTACTCGTACCATCTGGCCTGTCCCTTCACGTTGTCTGTTCGTGAGAGGGGAAGAAAGTTCAATAGGTCAGGAGGCCCACCACACTTCGTCGGTCTTTTACCTGGAATCGGACCTCAAGGGATTGTTAGCGGCTCGTTGCGCTCACATTCGAGACAGGTGTGTAAGATATTCAGGGTCACTGTTATTTACCACTTCCCAAAGGTGAAATTTACTGCTGCCATTCTGCTATAGGATCAACATGAAATATGCAGGTTTACGATAATACTATCAACATTTGTTACCATACTGTCGGTACCTACTGGGGCTGACTGTTCAACCCCTGCCGAAAATAAAATGCTTCATTGCGGTACAATGGTAGAATCTATGCATGGCTTGCGCATAGCTTAACCCCTACTTCGTCCACAAATTTAGAATGGAGAATTCTGCTCATTTTATCTATAGTGATAATAAGTACTCATAAGCAGGGCGCTGGACCCATGGGTATCCCCAAGGTTCATTGCGGGGGTTTCTAAATGTTCAAACTGTAAGTCTAATATACACTCATAGTTCTCCAGTAAGGGCAAAAGTGACATTATATCTCGTGATCCTAGATGCATGTCTCCTTGACTTGTGTATTCCCCGATCCTTTCGTCAGGTTTAAATACGTATAAACGATCCTGTAATACATACAAAACTTACTAATATATTACATACGATACGCAACAATGTCAGAAACCATGAAATCGGGCTTCATCGGCCTTAAACCTCTATACCGCCAGTCCAGAATGAAAACAATGGGGGCGGTGGCTTATGGAAAGTACCCAAGGGGCGCTACCTTGGCTGACTTCTGGATTTTTCAAGATCAGGGGCGGGATTTCTGTGCTGGACAAAATCCTTCGAGTCAACGGTATGATGCGCGGCTCAAGTAAAGGGGTTTATTTATCAGGCTAGATCCCATGCACTTCGATTGTTTCAACAGGGATAAGGCCTCGTGGCGCAAAATTTACCTGATCTGGTTCGTTGCCGCCTCCAGGGTATCCAAATTGCTAGCTTCGGCATATAGCAATACAAAGAATGCCTTGCGCCTCCTGACACAGCGTCCTACTCAATCCATGAACCTAAAGTTAAGGAAAAAATAGCTGCTGGGAATATGGTCTAATCGGGTTCAATAAAGCTGGAATTCTGTGTAAGGAATATAAGAGGAGGGTTTTACGCGCATTGTGTGTCTCGTTCCCTCGGTCAGCGGTATCTGTAGCCTATAGAGGGCGTGAACCTTGGAAGCGCATATTGGAAGGATTGGCACTCCCATATAGTTTAATCAATGAAGCGCCCAAGTATCCACCATCTGCTATCCCGAATCCTTGGCTTGGGGTAGTGAATCCTGTGGCTGGCGAAAATAGAAAACAGAACAAGAACACGACTTGTATTCTCCGACTTGACTGACCCTGGGTTGAGCCTCTCGGAATTATAATATGTATGTGCATTAGCTCAATCTCGATCCGGTTAGTATCCTTCGTGCGTTAGCTTTTTGTTGGTTTTCGCGTCTTTGTAGTAGTGTTCCCAACACCAGCTAATGCGGCTGACACGTGGGAACAGTCCCAGATGCGTCGATCTGTTTTGGGGCTCCTACGTTCTCTCTTCCGGTAGGATGAGAAAGATCCCCTTTTATGCTTTTGAGATCCTTCCATTATCTCAAATCGGCCTCGTAGAAGCCCACGGACCTCACCAACGCATCCTGGGTCCGTCAATGCCCCTACGAATTGGATATGCGGTGAGCCTCTAGTATCGACTTACCCTGCCTTGCAGAGCCACGTCAATGGTTGTATATTTGCGGAGCGTCCGTGTCTATACTTCTAATTTTGAATAACGAACAGCTAAATAAACGTTGACTTAAACAAGCCACTGGTCTCAAGCCAGGAAATAGGAGACCTATTATCCTATGTTAATCAGCACGAAGTAGATGATCTCGGATGGCCCTTTAGGATGAGCAAAAGCACAAAGTTGGTAGATTGTGGAAGAATTCATTTGTGATATTTGAATTAGGTCCCAAATAAACTCCAGCACCAAATAGAAGCCCCACAAGTACAAGGAATCAGCCTTGCATGCCCTTTTTCTCCGCCACCAACAATAAAGCTCAACAAACATTGGACAAAGCTAGAAACACGCCACAAACTCCATGCTCCATCATCTGATCCAGGCTCCCTCGCGCAAGGAAACCCCGGCTAAGCGAAGGAGTCAATTAGGCAGTACCAAAAATCGAATTCAACCCAGATGGCGAAACAGAATGCAAATCATTCTAACAATGTCATAAACACGGCCGGAACCAGTCGTAAAAAGAAAAAGGGCGAGATTTTGGGCTTTTAACCACTCGCAAGTCGCGTAAAGTAGGCAGGTCACTTGCGCCGAATCATCCAAGACCTATCAAAAAGATAAAAAAGGAAAGAGACCCCAGAACCTGCTTTGACCCCTCAAAAAAGCATGCATTCCCAAGTTGGGACTTATTCGTCCCGAGTGTCCGCGGTCTTGCGTCTCTTTCCCTTTGGTGGAGGCTCCAAGTGCGTCCGTTTGTATGTCACGGTTCGTGTTACAACCTGGCGCACACTGACCGACTTTCCGCCAGCACTTCTTGGTGTCTCGATGTAGCGAATTTTCCAATCCGATGACCCAAATGGTGAGTGGAGCGTGCGTGCACTACCAGGTGTACGTGCGCTTCCCGGTGTTCGTACGCTCCCGGGGGAGTCGCTAAGGGGAGAGTAGACACATGTGGTGGGGATGCGGAGTCGTCTTAGGGTGGTGGGGAGCCTTGCAGATTGCGGGCTTGTGGCAGACTTTTGGCTGGTCGTAGGCGATAGTGGTTGGAAGGCGGCACTGGTAGTTTTGGGGCCCTCACTTGTTGTGTTGGATGGCACCGAGATTGGAGAAGGACGCCGCTTTCGCTCAAAGTTGATTTGCTCGTAGTTGAATCGCCGAAAGTCTGGACCCGCACTGATAGGAGTCTCGAAGACCGGTGTGAGAGCTTTAAGAAACTCAACATAGGAAGATGGCGGGGTGAGTGATGATATGCTGCTTGGCTCGCTAAATCCATCTTCACGCTTTATGGTAGGCGTGGAAGTGGAAGTGGAAGTGGCAGTGAAGGGACTGAGCTCGGAAGGGAACGTCATTGTTTTAGGTGTCTTGAGAGGGGGGAGTACAGGCTTATTATTCGGAGCCATGGTGGTAGGGCAAGATGTCAGAAAATGACTGACAGCAGAGAGGTAAGTTGACGATTAATATAGGAAGAGAACCCGAAGCTCCGAAGACAAAGGGCGTCGAGAAGGGAAATTGTGCAGGAAGACGACAGAGTGCGCCCAGTGCTTAAGAGGGTCAATGCACGACGCAACTGATGGACGTGTAAATAGTGAGGAGATAGGGGGATGATTGGACGGTCAAAAGAGAAATTTTTGGAGAAGTTAAAAGGCCAGAGGGGTCTGAAATAGAATATCAGGATCCCGTGGCACAGGATAAGAGGATAAGGAGAGACCCAAAGTTGGTGGAATGAGAAATCGTGGACCCAAGTCGATCTATATGGGCGGCGGAGCAATGGGGCCTCGAGTGGGACCAGGAAGTATCGTACGGAACGAGCGGTACGGTACCGTATCAAATGTGCCGGACTGTAATGATACGGATCGATATGTATTGAAATCAACTTTGGGACTAATCTGCATAAGGGTTAGCGCTCACCACTGGGCACAGGTCGCTGTGTGCTCTCCTACCTTTTTGTTGCCCAAAGCTTTGCCCCCAATGTTAGTACGAAGAAAAAAATGCTAGAGAAAAAAATAGGATGATAATAAGGGGGAGACCAGCCCGTCTGAGATAAGTTTGGTCGCAACAATCCCGGCCTATGGGATTAATGTTGATCTCAATTAGATTGTCACCGTGCGAGCGACAAAAGGCGTGGAATTTCAGTCCAGCTGAAGATTGTGAGCCCCTGTGTGGTCTGTAGAGAAAGAATGTTTTCCAAGAGTTCTATGGGTTTTCCCCTTGTTATAAATCCTACTCATCTTGGATTCCTCCTGCCGCGTGGCTGTCTTCAGAAGTAGGATCGGCGATTAATAACCTGGTCCGGCGCCATCTGAAGCACTGTTTAGGCCTACATGCTCCTCAGGAACCCATCAGACAATCGCTACTCCTGCTAGTGTGTTTCATATTGTCTCCAGGGGTTTTCACGGCTTACTCACCCATCATGGCTGGGTCTGACTAAAGCGCGCGGTTCCTCCACTCAAAGGGCGGCTCGCCCCCGCGCCGCCACATTTACAAGGAAACACGAGGATCATTAGCGATGAAGTTGAAGAACAGACTGCCAAGCCTTTGAGTCCACCGTTCTTCCACCCCTGAATGTCTTCAAGCAACATTATGTACTAATAATAGTGCGAGAATGATCTTCTTGTTTCTTCATGTCGAATAAATAAATCGACAGAGGAACAACTACAGTCAAACAATGGCCGTGACTGCTCCACTAGACAGTCACACAATAGAGTTAGAGCCTTCTAACATTGGAATACTTTACAGAAATAATTTAGAGGAAGAATTTACTTTCGACTTTGAGAATTTGAAGGAGATGAGACTTTGGATTCTACGCATACCCCTAATGCATAGGTATCGTGCAATTCAATCTAATGGAGAAAAAGAATAATTTGAATCCTGACGCTCACAGTAAGAGGTCAATCCACATATTGAGGGACTCTCGCTAATACACTCTGCCAAAAATAGTACTTACACTTTATTGTCCCCTGCAGAGAACTCTAAACGGTGAAAGATTCCAGGAGAGCCACGCGCTGGGTTGGGTTTCAAATAAGGTCGCCGCTTCAGAGGGCTCTCCTGCTATGTCCTGCAGTATTTATTTCAAATATAAACCAACCGAAATTTATAGCCATCGGCGACTAACAGATAAGCACCATAAATGAAGACGCGACTTCAATATACCAAATTTGACCAATAACCCACTCATATCCAAGCGAGATAGATTTCATCAGGGAATTGAAGGGAGACTTCCAAGCGCCGGCTTCTTCTACCTTAAAAAAAGCTATTTCAAGCCTGATATGAAACAGAGCGCTACATGCTATTGTACGCGCCATGAGCATTGCAAAGGGAACAACAAGTTGCCTCGACAACACGCGCTTGAGACCAATTATGGCTCACGTCTTGTATTCTTGGTCCACACTGCATTTGCATCTATTCATTGATTGGAACATAGAAGCTTGATCAGATTGAAATCTTCACGCAGTGCCGCCAGAGTTATCCCGAAATAGCCATTCTGCTGTCTAGAGTCATGGCATGGAAAAATATCATGCAAGCAGAACTGGCAAATGAACCTTGGAAGCGGCTACCTCGGGATACCAAGGTAACAGACATGAACTTTCCTCATGGTTATTTTAAAATGTGAGCAACGATGCATTTCTCCGCTTCACCCTAGATTCTCCTTTCCTTGAAGTTTTTCCCGGTGCGGGCTTTTCTGTATCTGCTTAGGTATCCTATCCGAAATATTCGAAAGGGCCTATGGGCTCTACACCCAAAGCATTTTACAGTGAAGGCTGGACGCTCAACGGGCATCTCAGGTGTGGAGCTGAGTATATGAAATCCTTACCTGACGACAAACACAATTTAGCTAAGCTCTAAAGGCGGGCTACACCCAATGCTCTCAGAGCAACCCTAGATTATCAACACAGCCTGAGAAGATAAGTGAGAGATTTTAAACATTCGAACAACACATAAGAGTAGAACGACGGTCTTATTCACTGAGCTCACTGGCTAATACCCGTTTCACTGCCAAGGTTGCTATTAAAAATCACCTTCTTCATCCTACTTCAACCCAGTCGAGGATTTCAACCGATGCATCCAAAGACTTGCCACAAAGCTCCCGAAAGATACATGGACTACCCAGGTGAAGTCCTGATCATGAGTTTTCGTCGAGTCTTCCGATCAATTATATTTTTATTATCAACCCGTTTCAAGTTTAAAAGTTTGCGTCTGCTAGAAGGCTATTTAATGCATTTTAGGCTGGAGGGAGCATTCATTATTCGAATTCTTGGAAACAAAATCACCCAAGCAGTCTCACGGGGTATCCGTACCTTTTCTAATGCATTTATACAGAGAAATGTCAACTTGGTCTATCTGACAGTGGCATACTGTTTCGTCCCAATGAGGACTGGACTCAACTAAAGGATGCTACCTCGAAGGATACCGTGAGCATTCATGGATATCATTGTCAATCAACTTAGGCAGTCAAGTTTCCAAAAGAAGTTTACTCGGGTATTCCAAATCCCATGGGCATGATTTCTGGTATGACGACATTTTTAGCCACAAACTCCCTATCTCACGAACTAACAGAATGCTTCACGTAGGACCCCAAACTGAGAACAATGAAGTTGCTTTTTCATCTAAGGATTGGAGTGGAGTCGGCAGGCTCTTACATGGGAGTGATTATCAGAAGACACAGTAATGTCTCGCCCGTGGCTCTTAGATACTTCACCTGGGAACCACACATCAAACACTAAGTCTGGAGATTGAAAATGGAAAATCCCGACTATTAACTAGTCATGAGAAAAGCCTAGGTACAAACCCGGCTTCCTGCATGTATATCCTTGGAGCAAGCATCATCACTGGCCAGTCCCATGCAGTGTATCAGGTGCTGGATGGGGGGCCCTGGAATTATACTCACAAAGTTTGGCTGACTTCAGATCCATACGGAATAATGAAACATACATTGAAAGATAATCACATACCAATAGTGCACTGAGTTGGTCTCTTGTTTTACGGCGAGAGATAATCTCTCCATGAAGGTACAAGAACACCCGTGGTCATCTTGAATCAGGGCAGTCCTTGGATATCCAAATTTTTCATTGAACTCCGTTGTCTGACATGGGAAATACCCACTTCACAGCGGTCCAAATGTGCCGCAATCTCGTACAATGAGAGTTATTGGAGGACAGCATTGGAAGTAATCTCAACCTTACCGCGGCTGAAAAGAAGCCAAAATTCATGCTCGGAAAAAGGGAATTAAAGACAGCCCTTTGACCTGTTGAAAACAGATGTTGGATGATGGCCTTTCGATCCAAATTGGTTTTTAAGGGCATCAAATCGGAAAATAATATTGGCTAACATCTACCGAGCACTAGTCTCAGGACTCGGCATGGGGCCTGCACAATGGAGGAAGGCTACAAAGAGAATCACAAAGTATTGGGCACTTTCCAAAAATTTTGATTGTTCTCCAGCAATGACTGGTGTCCAAAGAGACATATTCATCTCAAACAAACGCCCTGTTCAATATCCAGGTTCCATCCTCCTAAGAGAGACTGAGACTCAAGATACTAACGAAAAATCAAACAAAAGGGAATCAAAGCGCCGCCCTGTATAGTAAATCAATTACTCCATTTTTCCTTGAAGGAAAAAACATCAAATATAATTAGATCAGCAGATGCTTCCATCCATTACGAGTCATTATATCCCGCCAGTGAACTTGCTGCTTTTTAATAGATCGCCCTGCAAATGCAGCAGCCTCGGGAGATGTCGGAGCAAAGCTTCGAGTTGCGATAGGCTGATTCTCATTGGTTTCGGAGTTGCTCAGCGATGCCATTGGGGGTTCATCCGTGAGTCTCCAGACTTCTTGAACGATGCGGAACATGCGACCAAAGCTGCCAAAGTCCCCAACATCACCGCCGAGGGCTGCTGCACGCTCCCAAAGGATAGTACGGAAGTCACTGTTTGGAGTTGCAGAAGCACCTGCAATCAGCAGGGGCCAAACTAGTGAGCGATCAAAACCAAAGGGGCCGGCCGGGATGTACTGCAAAGCAGCGGTGATAGAGGACACAAGAGCAACAATGCTGCTTTGACTTCGGTCAAAGCCGGGAACAAGGCTGCATAGATAGATGCGAGCTGCAAGGCGAAAAATAGTGGTCATGTTCTTTGTCAATTGGTCTGCGCGAATGGTACTAGCGGATGTGTACGGGTGATCCAGGCTTGGATCGGCGGGCTCAGTGTATTCCAGTTGAGCACCAAGAGCAGAAACATGTTGACAGAGAGTAATGTCGTCAACTTTACCTTCAGCCTTCAACGAATCGAGGCAAGCAGTCTCAGCGATGAGATACATGACTCTGTCATCACATCCCATCAACTCCCGAAGCCCAGAAGAAGTTCCATTAAGGTGTTTGGTGCGGTAGCTATGGGCAAATTGAGGCGTAGTTCCCATCATTGTGGATCCCAGGATATCAATCCATGCTGTCAGGGACATGCTAAACGGAGTACCCGACGAACACTCCAGACTCGGTGGTAATAACTTAGTGGGGAGCTCAAGGCGGTTCACCAAATTTGACGCGGCTTGAAAATGGTCGTTCCAGGGGATGTCAGGTAGACAATCCTCGGGTCCACCAACGGAACAGTGGAAGAAAATCATTGCCAAAGTAGCATCCAGAATTTGCTCATGGTTTGTATCGCTGTTGAGAGCCTTGCACAATGCTGAGATAGCTTCATATCGATGTCGCATAATGTCATGGTCGATTTCATCGGATACAATTCCAACATTGTTCTTTAAATGGATGCCAGAAACGCTCAAACAAGTGTGAAGGTAGGCTTTGTTGCTTTCAAGTGCAGAAACAATAGCTTTTGCGCGAGTAAGACCTTTCTGGTGGACTTCGAGAATAGGGAAAATCATGCGCAGGACGTGGTTGACAAAGTGGTCCAGGAGGGGCCTATCAAGGTCCTCAACTGGGATGTTTGCAGTGCTTAGGGAAGATGAGGGCGGTGGCGGTACCACTGCCTGGGCCTGCATCACGGGCTCCGTGCTAAAATCGAATGTATCATGAGGTTCAACTTCATTAAAGCACTCTTCTTCAAGCCATTCATCTCCATGGAAGTTGGGTAGTGTGCTATGAAGTTGCGGGGGCCCCATGGCGTTAAATGTCGAAACAGACGAGTCATGTCTCATCGGTACATCATTGACAAATGTCTGTCGCTCAGTTCGAACGTCCACCTCGTAGGGGGCATATTGTGGCAAGTAGGACCCCGGGGGAAGGATAGGCGGCTGGGTCCCGAGGGCGAAAGGATCAAAGTTTTCGGGTAGGCATGGTCCTGGACGACTAAAGTCGTATTCGCCAATCATAGAAGGAGAGAGAGAACCTATAGCGCGATCTAAACGTAGAAAAGAGTGAGAAAAGGGGCCGACGACTTGTGATAAATTGGTCTGTAAACATACCGTGGTGTTGAGAGCCTCTTCGCTCCAGAGTCTTGGTTTGCTTAATATTATTCTTTACGCGCTCTTTCTGCTGTCGTCGAAGCTCTGCGCTGGCCCACCACATAGGTCGCTTGTATTCGCATTTTAGGGAGAGGTTGGAGCAAGCTTTGCAAGTAGGATGACCTTCGTCGCACTTCTTTCTTCGCAAGCGACAGGTAAAGCAACCTAGAAGACTTCTCATTAGATTCTATTATCTCGACAATCTCATTTGTGGCTCACCCACCGGAGCGTGAACGCTTGTGTAGTTTATTTCCGTTCCTGTCAAGTGGCTCCGAAGAACTTGCGGAGGCGGTTGGCGCTGACACCGTCGTGGTAGATGAGCGCGAAGTGGGCATTTTGAATGGCTACCAGCAACAAAGTGAAGAAATGGCGACAATGGACTTGATCTGGTCAACAGACGGCGAGAGATTTCTGGCAAACGATTGAAGAACCGCCAGCGGAGCTACTCGTTCGCACTTATGGCAATGAGAGGGGAAGTAGAAAGGAAACCAAAAGACAGACGAGACCTAGCTCGTTATCCTGTCTATCAAAGACAGGATGATACCTAGTATCGAGAGATGGTGTTTGGGACAGACGGGACCAAGGCGGATTGTTTCATCATGATATACTCGGAGGGTGAGGACTTTAAGGACTAATCTGCGATCTGAGCTGCATCTCACGATGCTTCTATTTTTTGACAAGCTAGGCGAGGACTGGTCGATCCAACCCAGCGAATATGCGAACATGGGTGGGGATCTACAGTTGGGACAAATGACACCAAACCTGGACTAAATTTGGGAACATTTTCAGCAGGGGTCTGCTTCCTGTTGGTTGACATGCACAAGTGGATTGGATCGCTGCCCGAGCCCTCAATTTCAGTGACTGGGTAGGATTCGTGATAGTCTGGTGGGCCATTGGTCCGAGCCTGCAGACAAGATAGTACATCTCGACATGTAATAGGCTACTTGTGTCTGTGACGGCTTATTAGCTCGACAGGCTTTTTTGCTATCACATTGTCCGTGCGCTTGATCCACTCTCTCCAGCCTTTCGACTATCTGATCTGTCCCGCAAACACTACTGGTACACAATGGTGTCTCCCAATTTTAATGAGCGTCAAAAAAAAAAAAAAAAAAAAAAAAAGCAAGTCAAAAGACCTGGGACTAGATTGAGTGAGTAGAGAAAATTGTGGGATCGTATTTGGCGTAGACCGCCAAATGGTTGGTGCTGGGACCAACTGCTTTGGACCAGAATGTTGGTCACAGTTGGTGACGAAAGGCACATACAGTGGAGTTGGATCGTGACGGGGCGGCAGCCGATGCATGCCAAGCTTCAACTTCTAGGGTATGATTGGCTGACTCTCCTCAAGCCCTTAGCGGTTCGGGACCCATAGTCGTGCAGAATGGGAGCTCCACAGCCAACCAACACGAGCGGGGGAAACCTTGAAGACGGTCGTACTGCGCACCTGCAGTCGAAGATCCTTAATTAGCAAGAATTAACCGCCAATATCACCAGTGGTATCCGAAAACTGTGTTAATTATCCCTTTATTTCTTAGTGAAGCTGATATGCTCAACCTTTCTTGGCTGAAATTGCTATTAATAAATCTTATAAACTCCCTCACTTAGGAAAAGGAAAGTCAGTAAAGTGACCCTAATTTTGATCTATATTCAGACACTTGAATCTATAGCTTCTATTTTGAGTTATTGGTCCATAATTAGTATCTTTTATTCCCTTGTCGGAAAAGGGGGTTTCATCCGTTGCATAACCACCCAATGAAATGTCACATCACAATGTTGGTGGAGGATTTCCAAGGTCATCCCGATGGGCGCTGTCACTTGATCTGAAAAGATTAGCTTTGGTCATAGCAAGTGCTAAGGCTAAGTCGTTGGCAATTTCACGCTTGCCGATACCCAGAACTACCTCTCGGGTTAAACCCCAACATCACAGGGATAGTTTAATAAGAATCCTTTGTTACCTATATCTCAGTGATTCAACATGAGACTTCAGCTTTTAACACAATTTGTGATGACGCTATCTTCTGATCCGAGTGTTTTCAAATTCCAAGGTATGCCTTTCGCTTCCGACCTTGCACAGAATCAGGGAACAAATTGAAATTACGTCTGAGTAGATCAGTCTCATATATTATTTGACCATCTATTGTCATTTTTCAGATATCAAGCAGAAGCTTCATGGTAATACGGCCAGGAGCACGAATGAATTCAAGGTACGGAGTTGACAGCACGCTAAGATGATGTCCAGATACATAACGTATCTAGACCAGTAGAAACTATTTCTCTTTAGACACATCTACTCTTTGAATTATCACAACGTAGCATCCTGCTCATCTAATCCAGATCTCGACTAGTTAAGAGAGTTGGCTGGAAAACCAATATTGTTATTGGATGGACACTTTTTCATTCGGTATCTCTAGGGACAAAAAGACCATGCCCAACGGAGGTTTTGAAGAAAATAATGCCCAATGAGCACGTGTTGTAGCACGTTTTTGTTCCGAGTACGTCATGATGTATGCAGGCTTGAGTGGACATAGACTAGTCTAAGAGCCCGAGTAAGCGACCCTTCGGTAAGACGGCGTTGGAATCCAGATTGTAGACTAGATTGTCGTGACCAGTCAACTTCACAATCGTTCCGGGCGGACATCAAGCCGTCCACGGGTGCGAGCTCCCCACGGATCACAATTCTAGGAACCGTGCAACGCAGAATTTCTGCGACAAGGAAAATATTTTCATGTCTATTATTCTGTATTATACCGCTAACAAAATGATCACCAATAATTTATTGCACGCAGTGGCAACGAGACGCCAAGTATTTCAAGCGTCAGTGAGTCTTAATTCCCCTCAATTGCTCTATTTCTGGAAACAGTCTGACGCGGTCAGTAGAAATGAAGGTTAATTTCGATCTTGTTGCTATAATTATCGACGATTAACTATCCCGTTTTGATCAATTATGTCTACTTTTCACCGTGTGATCAACAACCGGCCAGCTGCCTTAGCGCTAATGTGACAAAGTATTGGATATGATTGGACGTTGCCACCCCAACTTAGGGTGGGGATTGTCTAGTCGGGGCTTCAGAGCCTATCGATGCGTGCCGAACGGCCATCACTGCAGTAGCGCTGTTTCCGTAAGCCTTTCGCCTGGTTTTCCCACCCCCTCTCGCAGGATTATCCCTCGCATGGTAAATTTGGAACCGTGCCCTAAGCTTTAATCTTTATCCAACGAGAGAATAGAACCATCCTTTAGGAATGCGTGAGCTCCTCCAAGGCAGCCAATCAAAGCGCTTTCAAGGCCTGGGGGGTAGCTTTTCAACCGTTCTCTGACAACCCCAGTCGCAAGTCACTCTATGCAATGCCATACACAATTCGTCACATCTTTCTCACTGGCCGAACTCCTCTTCATAGTTATTTTTGAATGTGAGCTTTTTTTGGAAATTTCCGTCTTCGTTAACTGTCCTCTTACTTATACCCAGGGCCCACCCCAATCCAGATCTCTATTCCCAACTTCAAGAATTCTATTGTACAAAATTCCAATTTAGTATTTTATATACTATCTAACATTTCATTACACAGACAAGGCTGCCCTGTCTGAGAACCTCCTCTACCAACGCCAGGCATCGAAGTACTTCGCTCTTAGCGCCTATTGCTGGAGCCGAGAACTTTGCATGCAAATTACCCTCTAGGGCAGAACATTATCCTAAATACCTTCGCAAATTCTTGTCCCCAAAATGGTATTCTATTACCTATATTCCTCGCATTTGCATCTTACTAATGGTCAACATAGGCTGCTCAACGTGATCACCGTGCCACGCTCAAGTACATCCGCTCGAAGGTGAACGGGCAATTCACCTCAAAGCCCACTCGTCCTATGAGCCCACCGTCGGTGTCTACGGAGATTTGGGATACAGACATTGATTCTGATTCCCAGTCTGAATCTATGGACGACTCCTCACGAAGTGTTCGCTCGGTATGCGTTGAATCTAAAACCTTGTCTCAGGCAACAATGGCTCATTGAATTCTTTACAGCTTGACACCTCTAGTGTAACCACCGCTTCTACCCCTGATGATATCAAGACTCCCGACTCCACTGGACTGACTGCCTTCCACTTTCACATTGATGAAAACCCAATATCCGGTCCGGAAGGTCCTCATCTTTTTCGCATGTCAAACGGGTCGATGGACATCAAGTCAACAGTTGAAATCGATCTGATCTTCGATGATGACGCAGTCAGCGATGCTATTCCTTACTATACCTCCGCATCTACCTTCGAGCCTGAGCGAAGAGACACACCTGTTCCGAGTGTACCAAATCCAAGTACGCCACTTCAGACTGTGGTAGAAGACTCATCAGACCTTGATGAGACACGGGTAGCGAGTTGGAACCCTCAGAATGTTGTCAGCTGGTTGCAGAAGCTGAATTTTGATGAAGGTGTAATTGAGAAGTTCTTTATCAACGACATTTCTGGCACAATCCTATTGGAACTTCAGCAAGAAGACCTGAAGGAGCTTGACATTCACTCCTTTGGCAAGCGCCATCAATTGATGGCTTGCATTCGAAGCCTCCGCCACGGCGCTTTCTCGAACGATGTGCCACCAGCCCTTCCATCAGAGCCTGTCTCACGAGAGCCAACCCCTCATTCCACAACAGCCGACGTGGGCTCCAGAAGCTGCAGTGCTACTCCAGTAGCCTGCGAAGCGACTTCGCCCCAAACGGAAAACGAAGATCTTCACCAGCGCCGTCAACGAAGACGCCGCCGCGCAGGAGCTCTTGGTCCCAATGATTCAGTCTCTATTGTTGGAATTGAGCAGGCATTCCCCAAGCTTCACAGGTGCTCAAAAGGCGAGGACTGCCGCAAGTGGCAAAAACAATACGCCCGGCTCACCCGCCTAGGTCAGGACCTTCCTGCCGAGACTGTTGGTACCCCGATGGTCATCACTGGCGATCCTGGAAACCCGTCGTGCGCCCGCAACCTCATCAAGACTCCCAAGTCCGAGATAACTCCCTCTATTGTCGCATCGTCGGATGTTCTTGGTCCAAACCAAGTGTCTGAATTACCCTTGTCTGAAAAGCAGCTCCATGAAGTCGAGCCTCGGGATCCGCAGGAGAACGTGCGTAACTTCTTAAACTTCCAACGCCTGAGCCGATTGCAACCTGCGTGTGATCCCGCAACTCCCCCAATCGATACTTTTCCTTCTCCCGAGGCCGACTCACCCGGTACTCTTGCCGAAAACCTTCGCAATCTCCCGAGGCTTCGCATCCCGAGCGGCCATGGCCCATCACCAAGAAGCGCTAGCGCTCTCTCTGGTCAACGCACTATTACTCCTTCAGTGCTTCGGAAAAAGGCACCATTCCAGCAGCCTTCCGCTGAAAAAAACAGGACTCCATATGTTGAACTCTTCTCACCCTCGGACTACTATCGCCAGGACCCCCACTATGGACAATCCTCTCCCATGTCTGATGTGGATATTCCTATAACTGCGATTCCATTCGGCCCTATCGAGCGCAACTTTTCGCAATCAGTGCCCCCAGATATGCGTTTCGGAAATGGAGTTCATCGCACAGCGATTGACCCAATTGATCGACCCGAATCTACTAAGGTTGATAACCACAGACGCAAGATTTCCCATCCCTTAGGCCGTCTTGATGAGGGCCGGATGATGACGCCCATTGAGACGCCAGAGGACTTGGAGCAGACTCCCCGTGCTGGTAACTACCGATTCAACCCATTCACCGTTTCTGGTGAAGCCACAGACGACATCATCCACAGCGGATGGATGAAGAAGCGCAAAACCACCCGTCTTCTGCGACACGAATGGAATGAGCACGCTTTTGCTTTGCGGGGCACCCAGCTTGGCATGTTCACAACAGAGGAGGCTGCTCAACAGGATTCGAAAGCCCTTGAGTACATTGACATCGATGATTACGCTGTGGCTTGCTCATCGCTTGCCTCAAGCTCCAAGTTGACCGCCGCGTTCAAGAAGACTGTCTTGAAGCGCACAGATGACACTCGTGGAGGGACAGCCTTTGCTTTCTCGCTGATTCCGTCTCCCACGAGCACAGCTTTCGCTGACAGGAAGACGATTTTTAACAACGGCCCCAAGTCGCACCACTTCGCAGTAAAGACCCGGGATGAGCGCATCGATTGGATGCGCGAGCTCATGCTGGCCAAAGCTCTTCGCCGAGGTCGCGAAAGTGGTGCATCCCTCAATGTCAACGGCAATGCCATTTAAAGGCTTTAAGTGGCTCATATGACACTCTATTTACATGACTTTCCTACCCTCTTTTTCTCACTTGCACAATATACCCTCTCATGTGTTCATTCTTCTTGTTACAGCGCAAAGCCTTCTGATGAGCTTATGAATTTCCTATCTTATTAAGCATTAGTGGCACAGGAAGCCACCAGGCGCATTTATTTACGAATATACTTGAGGGGTGCTGGGCTACCCCTCAACTAGATGTGAACCTCACGGTTTCAAAACATTTACCACAATAGTATCAAAAATCTCAACCCAGAGCTGGTTCTCACTCATTGAAATCATTTTCCAACAATGCAGTAGCGGTGTAGAGCGATTGTGCATTTTACTAAATTCCCGAGCTAAAACCACCGACAAAATTTTCTGATATTAAAAAATAGTAATCAATGGCTATTAATACATGTCCCCGTTCACGTTCACAGATACTGCTAATAAAATTTAGATTTTATGATGCTTGACCGCAAAGAACCTGAACTGGTAGTTTCAACTACTGTAGCTCGTATCACGTTCTGGAATTTCTCCATTTTTCCTACGTGATTGTGGCTGCCATTGGTTATCAAAGTATGCGCGATTTCCCGAGGGCGCTAAGTCATGTACGGGCACTGGTGCATAAGTGGGCCAGTGCTCCTCGCCATGCATCGCGGGGGTGATCACAGTGCATAGGATCCACTCATCCGCTGCTCCGCTTAGCCAAGGAGAACAAGCCCAGGATGATTGTTGGTCTGGTGCTCGTGGACAATTTCTGCTTAGCGCTGGAAAAAGCACTGTGCCAGAGAGTCTTTCCAGACTGAGATTGGCGTGATGACAAGCGATAGTCAGAGAGCGCCTTGGTGTAACTGGCCGCTCAAATGCCGGCGCCCTTTTTGACCGTCTGGGGTCGAAACTTTGAACACATGCCAGCCGCCGCCATTACGACCCAGTCAAAAAAAAAAAAAAAAGGAGAAAAATTAATCAGTGCTGGCTAGCTAAGGTGCAGGATCACCTTACGCCGTTACCCCTCCAGCCGCGCAGGGCCCGCACCATGTTGGTGGATGTTAGTAACAGCCACGATAACACCTATGATTTATTGAGTAAGCATGGACTAGTGCCGAGCCTGGTACGTTATTGAGTTTTGATCTCCTGATTCTTTCCTTAGCATCGCCTTCGGGACGACCATCCTTTTGCCTATTGCTTGACTCGCTTCGATGTCTATAGTCGCCAGGCATCATGGTAAATGTGTCTGCAGTTCGCGACAGCCTTGTTCAGGCCGCCCAATCCACACGAGTTGGGATGCGCTGCTTGAACACTGGACGAGACTCACATGATGCCTCTATCCGAGCATTATCGCTACTTACGGATTTATTGGATCTTCTCTACCGCATCAAAGACGAGATCAGCTGGGCCGAAGAGAAATGGTTCGTCGCAGTCGGGCGCCTTCGAGCGCTGAGCGAGCTCCTGTCATGGTTCAGATTAACCATGAAGTCTCTAGAGCTCTACTTCCAACCTGGGGGCGTGAGCCCCTTCTACTTCCGAAAACACCTCTTAGACAAGACCTATATTCCTCGATTCGAGCAATACAAAATTATGTTCCTCCTTTCTATGCAGCCTGACTCCGAGTAAGATCCCATTGAGAAGGATAAACCCCGTTTTTATGCTTGTTATGCTAATTCATTTTCCAAGGGAACGAGCTTTGTTGGACAAGCAGATTCGCGGCGATTTGAAGCGACATCGTGACGTGGAAACCAGTAAGCCAGTCTTTGATGATAAAGTATTTGCTCTTTTGAGTGTAATAATGACTTCCTAGGTGGCCTAAAAAATGACCAGCAGTTCGAAGATGAGGCCCTTGGGCTAACGAGTCGACTGTCCTCCGAACACTTCATCACGCTCGCGGATCTTTGCAACCGACGACAACAGGGATCTTGCTCCTGGATATTTGAAAACTCAAATTTTAGACAGTGGATGATAGGAGGATTCAGAACTTTGTATTGTGTTGGGCCTCGTGAGTCTTCCGAAGCCTCCTTACATATTTCCACTTCATACTAATGCTAGACCTATAGCGGGCGCGGGCAAGACATTCTTATCGTTAGTATTATATAACATGCCTGCACTTCTCTAGGGTCTAGAAGTTAATAATGGTCACAGGTCCACGATTATCGACTTTCTCCAGAAGACATTTACCTCACCCGATGTTGCGACGGTCTTTGTCTTTTGTCAAGGCGAGGGTGGGAAAGAAGCATCATCCATAGATCTCCTAAAAACCATTCTAGCCCAACTGGTATTCCGAAAGCGCAGTCTGTCCTATGCAACGTCTTCACTGTATAATGCAGAAGCTCTTAGGGAAGGGAGCGCTTCGTCTAAGGCATACCAAAACGCCATCCGGGCTGAGATTAATCGTTTCTCGAAAGTACTATTAGTGCTTGATGGGCTCGATACATTTCCAGACAAAGACCGCATCTTAAGTCGGATGCACAAACTTCCGCAGCATGCCCAACTTCTTGTTACGCTGCGAGAATTGAGTGGCACAAAGTCGCTGGAAAGTTCTGGATACGTGAGCGTCTTAGCGCCACCGGAGGATATTGGACTCTACACCCTCGCTCGTACAAAATCGGATAGCAGTATACGCAACATCATCGGAGAAAAGAATCCAGATCTCAAAATTGAGGATGACATTCTTCATTCCGTGGTGGAGAAGTCACATGGGATGTGAGTCCCTTTCCAAACCCCTTTAATGTAATAGTACCATGCTAACACGTTTGATAAAGATTTCTTTTGGCCAAAATTCATCTTGATCTCTTGTCTCAGTATAACGATCGGAATCTACTTGAAAGAGCCCTCGTTCACCTTCCTGAAAACCTTGCAGAAGCTTATGGCGAATCAATGAAACAAGTTGTCAGCCACAGCCCATCGGCAACCCGCTATGTCTATTGGGTTCTTTATGCACTTAGATCGCTGTCGGTCGCTGAACTTCGAAGTGCTGTGGATGACGATGCCCATTCAAAGCCAGATTCAATGACATTTGAGCATTTTTTGCAGATACAGACCGCGGGGCTTCTGTCTGTCGATGCGGTCTCTGGTACTGTTCGATTTGTTCATCGCACGGCGAAGGAGTACCTCGAGGGCTCTGCAGCTAGAGTCTTCTTTCCATCAGCACAGAAAGATATTACGGAAGCTTGCCTATCAGTAATTAGTCCCGATGAAGTGGTAGATGATTGTTATCATACCGACATGGGTTCATCACGCATCGTGAACAAAGGCCTCGTCAACTATGCTGCAGCTAACTGGGGTCTGCATGCTCGAGAAGTGGATGAAGATGAGCAGACTTTCCAAGTGCTTATCAAAACTTTTCTCAACAAGCTTCTCTGGAGAAGGCCACCCCTGGATTACGAAAGAGGGAGAGCTGAGAGTATGCCATCAGAGCTGGGCCTCGGAAAGTATCCCAACGACTGGACCGGCCTACACTACCTGGCGTTTTTCGGAGTTCCCGGGAAAGCCAAGCGGCTTTTAGAACAGGGCGCAAATGTGAATGCCCAAGAGAATGCCTTAGGTGTAACACCATTACACTGTGCGGTACACCAAGGCAACGATGAAATGGTGGAGTTTTTGCTTGAAAGAGGAGGCAGTGTCAATGCGACCAATTCCCAGGGCCAGACAGCTTTGCATATCGCTTCCATACGAGGTCACCGGAAATGCATGAAGCTTTTATTCGCGGAGCACATCGACTTACAGAAAGTGGACAACAGGGGGGATTCGAGCCTCCATGCTGCCGTGGGAACTGCGACCGATGAGTCTACAGTCCCCCTATTGGTCAAGCACAAGGTAGACTTGGATTTACAAAATCCAGATACTGGCAATACTGCTCTTCATATCGCAGTGCAGTTGCGGCGTCCTCGAATCATTTTGTTTCTCTTGGAAAAAGGAGCTGCCATTGACATTGCGAACGATGAAGGCTTCACTCCTTTGCAATTGGCCGCCAACACTGACAATTGCGAAGCCATTTCCCTGCTTCTCCAGCACTGTGCTCACATAGAAGCGAGATCACTTTCGGGTCCTACAGCTCTGCAGTATGCTGCATGGAAAGGACATTGGGTTGCCTTTGATCTTCTCCTCATTGGTGGAGCTGATATCAACGTCTGGAACAAACAAGGCGAGACCCTGCTCCATGAACAGGCCCGCTACAGTGTCCATACTGGAGTTGTGAGTAAGCTTCTGAACCAAGGCGCGAATCTTGAAGCTCGTACATCGCAGGGATTTACACCGCTCCAATGCGCTGCTATGAACGGCAACAAAGTCATGTTCCGATTGTTGCTCGACTGGGGAGCCAAAATCGATGTACAGACAGCAAAGGGTGAGACCATCCTCCACCTCACCCCGCCTTCCAACCAGAACTGCCTCGATATTTTGAAGATGGCGCTAGACGAGGGTCTAGATGTGAAAGCCATGTCTCTCCAAGGCTGGACACCGCTCCATCAGACCGTCTATACGGGAACGGGGGTTCCGGAAATCTCATCCGACCGCACTGCCGAATACATTCAACTACTACTCAGCAACGGGGCCTCAATAAATGAGCTGACAGCTTCGGCCTCTGCTGAGACGCCTCTCCATCTAGCAGCAACATCGCCTGTTCCGCGTGCGTCTCTCGTCGAGTACCTTGTTCAGCACGGTGCTGATGTGAATACTCCGAGTGGCGAAGGAAAGACTCCACTGCACCTTGCCGCTGAGCGTGGGCGCGAGCCCTTATTTCGCATACTTCTCGATGCTGGCGCCGACCTATCTCTTGAGATTCCCAATGAGAAGAACGGCCCAGTGAAGGGTGACTTTGAAAATCCCGAAGACTTTTACAAGGAAACACCAGTAACGGCCTTATATCTTGCGAAAAAGAATCCATTCGGATCGCTGTGGTTTGATGAGGAAGGGCAGTTGCGCCCTGTTCCCGAACGGAGTGGAAGAGAAAGTGCAACAACCATTTTTGAGGATGATTCCGACTCCTCTGAGCCGGAGACTACTGGGGAATCTACGTTAATCGGAAGTGAGAATCCGTACATAGACGTTTAGTGTATATGTTTTGGTTCTTTCCTGATTTTGGCACTGATGGATACCCGCCTTCCAAGCTCTCCTTTTGGATCTGATGAGCTGAGGCATCATGTTGGAATGAAGCGATTTAGCGATGATAGCTCTCGTTGGTAGGTGTTATTTAGGTTGAGTTATTCGAGGTCAATTTTAATCCATTCTCTTATTATCCTCAACGCAGTCATCTCACAAGTAAATCGAGTTGGGAGATTGGGACGGGATAGACCGGGTAACACTCATTACTCATTACTCAATATACAGAAACTAGTATTATAGGTTCTACATATTCACTTTAAATTGGTAGAATTCTAACCCATCATTCGAACAACGACATAGGCCCAGCCATCTCCATACGCAGAGCACCTGACCACCTCTTCAATTGGTGCAGACATAGGAAGTACCGCACCGTGTAATACAGGCTTTGCAAGTACTGGCGTACGCCGGCTTGGGAACAAATTTGGAAGCAACATGTTCAAGACACTTCCGACCGTCTGAGGCTGCGTACTTGGGCTAGACCGCGCGCTGATAATTTGACTGGCCTGGACACTTGATATTGGTACAGACGGAGGAAGCGGCGTTTGCACCACCTTCAATGACGGGGAATTCTCATCTGGTGGAAGTGGAAGGAAGATGCGAACAGGTACGTTGCGAAATGGCTGCGATGATGGAGGGAGAAGGGTGTTTGAAATACGCTGGAAAGATGGGAGGTCCACTATTTGAGCAATCACAAGTCAGTGAGGCACTTGATCCTGGTGTAGAAATATTACCATTCTCTACAGCCTTCCAAAGGCCTGAAGAGTCCTCCTTGGAAAGGCTCATGATGCCTTTTGCGGTGCCGTTGCGCAGGAAGTCCGCTTCCTTCACACTGTTTATAAACGCGTCATTCATGACCATACCATCTGGATCCAGCCTGACGAGGTCTTCGACGGGCCAGTCACTAAAGTGGACGGTCAGGCGCCATGGAAGCGGTGATTCATCCTCTTGCGGGTCAGGGTTTGGGGTGTTACTCCTCGTGGCGGGCTCTGCGCCGGCATACAGGTCAAATAATAGGCCAATAGGATAATGCCATTTCAGAGGCACACCTTCGAAGGTAAACCAGCCTTCATGATGTTGGGAGTTGGGCTCGATCAACGAGGTTGAGAAGAATGCTCGAAGCCTTGGGAGCAGCGAGGGGAGATACGAGACACGATGACAGGCCACCTAGACAACATCCGTCAATACGGCTGAAGGGAGTCCATTCTGGGTATTGCAAAGACGCATACAAGATATGGATCAGTCTTGTCGTAAGTTCGGCTCTCAGAAGGTGCTAGAACGATCTCTAATGGTATCCGCCCATCCCAGATGCTCCGCTGGATAGCCACAGGAGAGGCCTGGGACTCCATGAAGGGCCGGGCCCACAGACAAGCTTGTGTGTTTTATAGTGATACTAGCTGGATATCAGCTAATGATCTTCACACATCGGGCAGCTCACAAACCACTGATCAGTCTTCCAGTCGATGTGATCTACTGATCCACAAGAGCAAGGCGCGTCCCATCAAACAACAAGGCTTCTAGATTGTGTCTGTCCCGCTGCTGGGGAGTTCATGGTCTGGATTGACTTTATTCCATAAAAGCTCTATGAGCGATTTGACAGCGATCTGGCTCATCTCAATGATGTTGACGTTGTTTGGAGCGTATCTGGTGGTTGGCACGGTCGGCCACACGTGATTGTGGGGATAACATGAGATCCCCTGGCTCAGCACCACCTGCATCATTCAACTTCCCAACCACAATGTGTCCTAATATACAGTCCATGTATATACGGAATGGATGCCCTTTCTTTGATTGAGCTCACAGTGTTCTTTGTCGACAACTTCTTCAAATCCGTAATGTTTGCGACCGTCTCGAGCTCAGCAACAGCTTCCCGATCGCGTTCCTCTTCTCGTCGTCCACGATGCACTTGATCAGCCTCCAATACTTATCCGGAATTTCTATTTCATGAAGTCAGAGGAAACAACTTGATGCAGGAATACTCCGGTTGTCATAAAGCCATAATCGAAGGCTTCGGACACTCGTCGCTCACAGGCTTTTGGTCTATGGCAACATCTGGTCTTATTGACCAGATCCACATCGAGTCTCGGTCTACGAAGTCTGATCGGAACTCTTAAGGCGAGATACACTCATTCATGGAGCAGCTGCGTCGCCAGAACATACGAAGCAGGCGCCTAGGCCCTGGTCGCAGGCAGTGATCATCTGTGCTTTTCATCTTCTCTGCTGCAAAGCCGCTCCAGACATGTCAATCTTGATGTTTGTAGTACCTTTTTAGGTCAAAGGGTAATAAAGTCCTGTAGTCCGGTACCTGCGTCAATCGCGCAGACAGTTCCCATTGCTGAAGCGTACGATTCACATGGAGTTTGCCGATTGCCATGTCTAGCCCGGCTGCTTGGTAAATTCATTTACTAGAGAAGGGGATTCATTGTCTGGTTTCTTTCTAGACAGAGGCAAGAACCACATAGATAGCTAGGTACTCTTAAGGAATTACAACTAACTCCAACATTCCCCGGTTTCGCGTGCGGATAGGAGAAATATATGCCACCGACCTCTGAGCCTGACCCCTGTAGAGACAGCCAAAGCCGAGGAGCCTTTTCACACTCAATCACTGGAGCCAGTAGAAGCGACATGCCATTAGCTCCAGATTATCACTGGCATTCTTATGACTGGTGGCGCTGCGCAACGGATATCTCTGGCCATTTCAAACGTTGGCTATGGCAAAAGACTTTACGACAGGGCACATTTGTTATACAATACTGAAGTGCTGTAGCCCTATAAAATGCCCATGCCAATTAGAAGGCTTCTATCTTATTTGACCTGATTATATGAGGTCATCTCTTGCCTAAATAGGTATCTATTTCGAGGACCTCTGGGGCCACACTAAGGTTGAGGGATTCGCAGCTCATCTGCGTAGGCTCTGAGGTCCGGGGCAAATATATATATCCTGACTTTGCGAGATCTCAACTCTTGGGTATGGCATTTTCCCCAGGTCCTTCTTGTGGTCCGTGATGAGTACTGAACAGTATAAGATAAAATTCACCGATGATTAGATACCTTGCTCGAGTCTGCACGAGCGTCGGCATATCATCCATGGATTGGCTAACAGGGCCTGGATTCTAGTCACACCGGTGCTATCACTCGAACCGTGGGTAGTGGTAGATTATGCATGTACTATATTGAAAGATGTGAACTGTATAGAGTTAGAAGTAAGTATACTCTCGGCAAGTATAGTTTCTAATTGTTTATCTTTTCACGCGGCATTTTAAGCCTGTTGCTGGGACTCTAAAATGCTCGGATGCCGGCTTCTATACGGAGCTCACGGCCCCGGGGGCACTTCGGCATTCCGGGCCGTACAGTAGAAAACATCTTCTCAAAGTATTGGAAGTAAGCTTACTTTCTCGGGCCGCTTCGAGCAAGCTTCACCGGTGCCGACTAGAGTCATTGATTGGAAACATGGTACAGGATCTGGCCAACAGAAAATTCTGCTATTCATCTGACCTCGATTCAACCTAGCCAAGTGTCCTCACCGGTGATGACAAGAGACGGGGCCCGGCACAGTCGGATCCACTTGGTGCTTTCAGAGCTGCTCGATGGGGTTCTACAAGACTAATGCCAACAGCTATTTTCCTCGGCTCGGGGGAGAATAAAGAGAAAGGAATTTCTGTGGCTGACATTAATTAGCTGGAATACTTTATTCCCTGGCTCTATATTCTCCCGTCCTCACCGAGTGGATTGGCGATAAGGTTTATACACCGGTGGCGTTTTCCAATATCTAACGGCCTACGTATGATGATAAGGTCAAAGAAAGTTAAAGAAATCCCCAGAGCCTGAAATCTACCCGAGATCGGCTTTATGTCAGCTATGAATTTATCCTGGCAATGAATCATGGAGAAAAGGACTTTGGCATGGAGAAGACTTCTCCACGATCGTCAAGCCAATGAGAGAGACGTCCAGGGGGAAGAGTGGTCCATGCCTCACGTGACTACCCAGTGACCCTCCTCATAAAGTTTAGCGTGCTTTTATCCTTTCTTCCGCATGGAATCCTCGGCGACAATCCGTCGTAACGCCGTGGTTAAGGGTTCTCCCCGCGCAGCCAAGGGACGCCAGTGACGAATTTTCATGCACCCCAAACCCATGTGCCCCCCAAAATGATAGCCCGGGGTTTTGGTTTATGAAGCGGGACTTCACTGATCCCCTTGGTTCCTCTACAATCCCCTTATCCTCCCCCTTTACTCCCACAGAGTTCCTGGCTCTCCACAATTCCTGACCCGTCTGATCCGGGGACAAAGGATATGCCCGACCCTCTTCATGCAATATTACGCACCATGTGGCGAACCAGAGCGTTCACCGGTGGGAGTCCCCTCAACATTCCCCAACGCCCCTCCTCTGTGGACAACGGGTAAACTCAAGATGGGGGGAAAATTCCTCAAGTCCTCTTGGCTAAATATATAGGACCGCCAACTCGACGTGAAAGCATCACAACACATCCAAAAAACCAAAAACTGTAGAAGTAAATGGTGCCTGGCATGGCCATAGAAGGGCAAAATAGTCGTTTGAGGTCATCATGACCATGGAAGATGGATTCCGGGTTAGATATATACTATCAACAATTCGTTGGCCCCGGCTGAATGTTTCCACCGGGGAAAACGCTACCCCGGGGTCAGTGTCCACCCCGTGGGAATTTTAGCACGCCTCCCAGGTCGCGTAGCCTCACTATGGAACCCCATACCTGCCCCAGAGGATGGGGTTCTACGCAACACAGGTTGTGGGGATAGTCAGCGAGAGGATTTCCACACACCTTCTGTACCCACAACCCACTGGGGAATGAGACGTACTTAGCCTGGCTCCCGTCCCATCTTTTCTCTTCCTTATCCATCCCAAAGTCGAAATTTTTTTCGCCTTCCCAACCACTCCGAAAATTTTTTCCTTAAGCTGTTCAACACCAAACAGCCATGGGTGGTATCCTCCATCTCGTCGAGGACCGGCCGACGCCGTCATGCGTCTACAACTGGCGTGTCTACCTTCTCGCCGCCATCGCATCATGCGGCTCCAACATGATCGGTTATACTAGTGCCTTCATTGGTACTACTATCGATCTCACATCCTTCCAGAAGGAATTCGGCACAGATGAATTGACCTCTGCAGGACAGGACCTGGTCAGTGAAAATATCGTCTCACTCTTCATCGCCGGTGCCTTCTTCGGTGCCCTTCTTACATACGCCCTGAGCCACTGGATTGGTCGCAAGTGGTGTTTGACTATCTCCTCAGCTGTCTTCATCCTCGGTGCTGCTCTCCAGACCGGTTCTAGCAGTAGTACTGGTTTGGGTATGCTGTACGCTGGTCGTGTCTTGTCCGGTCTGGGAACCGGTGTCGCCTCCAACATTGTTCCTATCTATCTCGCTGAGCTAGCTCCCCCTGCCATTCGTGGTCGTCTCGTCGGTCTTTATGAGCTTGGCTGGCAGATCGGTGGTATGCTGGGCTTCTGGATTAATGTGAGTCATGGTCTCGGAATGCCCCTTGATTCATTGGAAAATTCCCCTCGAGGACTACGTCGCTAATCACCTGATTGCTTAGTACGGTGTCGAGCAACATCTTCCTGAAGACCGCGAGCAGTGGATGATTCCCTTCGCTATTCAGCTGATCCCCTCCGGTATGCTCTTGCTCGGCTCTCTTTGGATGCGGGAATCCCCTCGATGGCTGTTCTTGCATGACAAGCGTTCGCAAGCCATGAACAACCTTTGCTGGATCCGCCAATTGACTGCTAGCGACATCTACATCACCGAAGAGGTTGCTGCTATTGATGCCGCTATCGAGGAACAGCGGGCCACCGTTGGTATGGGATTCTGGCAACCCTTCCAGGCTCTTCGCTCCCGGCCTCTCCTCTGCTACCGTCTGTTCTTGGGATGCATGCTCTTCTTCTGGCAGAACGGATCTGGTATCAATGCCATCAACTACTACTCCCCCACCATCTTCAAGTCTCTGGGTGTCCAAACCAACACTGTCGACATTATGACCGGTATTTTTGGTGTCGTTAAGGCTGTTATGACTGTTATCTGGCTGCTGTTCCTGGTCGATCAATTTGGTCGCCGCAAGCTTTTGCTCGTCGGTGCCATCACTGGTTCCATTTGCATGTGGGTCATCGGTGCCTATGTCTACATTGTTGAGCCCACCAAGCACAACATCACTTCCCTCGACGGAAGTGGTATTGCCGCTATCTTCTTCTTCTACCTGTGGACTGCTGTCTACACCCCAACCTGGAACGGTACTCCCTGGGTCATCAACTCTGAGTTCTTTGACCCCAACTTCCGTTCCCTCGCCCAGGCCTGCACCACCGCAAGCAACTGGCTCTTCAACTTCCTCGTCTCTCGCTTCACCGAGCAGATGTTCGCCGCCATGGGATACGGAGTGTACATGTTCTTCGCGTCGCTCTCCTTCCTCGCCTTCTTCTTTGCCTTCTTCCTTATTCCCGAGACCTCCGGTATCCCTCTGGAGAAGGTTGACCGCCTGTTTAAGTGCAAGCCTGTCTGGCGCGCGAATGCGCAGCTCAAGGAGATTCTTCGCGCAGAGGAGGAGGAGTTCCGCTTTGAAGTTAAGGACCAAGCTGTTCACCAAGAGAACCAAGGTGACTCCGATGAGAGCACCGCGAAGGTCTAAGAACCTGATTTTTTGTTTTTCTGTTTTTCTTTTTATAAACTCTTGTATAGATACATTAGAGCCGTACATAGATGCGATATTTTGATTATGACTGAGCTGACACGGTGTCAAGCTTCATGAATGCATGCATACATTGCGAGTCCTTTTCACTCATTTTCTTCGATCTTTAATCTATACCATAGACTATATGTTGTAAGAAAGTCCACAAATCCGATTGTGGTAATTGTAATCAAATGCCGATAGCACCCCGACAAGATGTAAGGTCGTAGCAAGCACCACTAAGACATGAAAGATCTGATGAGAGGATCCGAATATATCAAACTTCCCCGGATCTAGAGACTCCGGTACGCGTGTCTGTATCGATTGGTTCATTAGCGAATTTTCCTCAATGCCGCAATTCATGTGAGAACTGACAATATAAACAACAGCTCCGAGTGCAAGGAGCAGTTCTTCGGCAATAAAGAATGGAGCCCCAGACTGCTTCATCATCTGCATGAAGCCGAAACGGGCAATGCCGTGGATGAAAGGTGCGACACCAAAAAGGCCCATCGTCATGAAAGTCCCCAGGCGAAAAGTGCGCCAGCGGAGGCCTTGGAATCTTGGGTTCACAAGTATGATGAGACACACGACACTAAGCGTCCCAATCTAAATTACAAGCTTTTGTTTAGCATCTATACTTCTGCCATACTGTTATCTATTCAGACGGCATTTGCACTTACCATCCCCCAATATATACATTTCAAATCATGCTCACAATAGAAAACCATATTGATACCGGAAACGAAATCACCCAGAATCAGAATAACAATTCCAATAAAATCAAGCTGCAACCAAAGATTGCAGACATCTTCCGAATGGTTCATGAGTGTATGAAACGTCGCCGACATCCCCAGACAGATCGTCGCTGTCAGCAAGAAGAACGCGAGGACGATCTGGTCCTGCAGTGGAGTGTGGGGGTACCACGTTTGAAGGTAGTGGTAGAGTGTGCATTCAGCAAGCAAGAATGCTACTGCGGGGATCAGGTGGGAGTAGATATTGATTGATTCGTTATGCAGATAGAAGAGACTGGATAGGCAAGTTTGAGTGGAATTTGAGATTGGGCGGTAGCCTGTGAGAATGTACCGGTTGTCTGAGTACCATTCTGGGACATCGTTGTATGACAACAGACGTTGAGCAGGTGTAAGGTTTAGCTGTAGGGATGGTGATTGGCTCTTCGCTGGCGTTACGTGAGGCGATGGTTGCTTTCGTTGACGTGGTGATGGTAGCATTATGGAATGGTCTTTGGAGAGCAGGGATGATCAAAACTAAAATATAGGGACCTGAGTCTCGAACTCAGCCTCGTGGGTTGGTTCAGGGGATCATGCTGACCAGGGGCAGCGGATCCTGGTTATTGGACGTTAGGGGCTGTTCCATGCAGGCCGGTCACCAATGTGAAGTGATCGACCTATCAGAACCTCAACTCCAGGCTACATGGCATCCACGTGTTACACAATTGCCAATATGATATTGAAAAACAAATATGGAAATTCAGTCACCGCTATTCCGTCACGATCTGTGGACAACGCTGTTAGGGCTTCAGTCCCCCTTGGCTGTATCCTAATGTGGAGATCTGTATCACCACATCCAGGTACAAGAAAACCGCGTTTGGCCAACACAGATATATTGTATTGAAGAGGAAAAGCAGAAAATATATCTCAGTCAATGATTAGACAAAGGTTAAGTTAGCAAAAAATGGGCAAAATACATCTGATATGCTGAAACAACATCAGGTAAGAGACAACCCATGTCAATCGAGCTGGGGTGAGGATATTCCCCACAACGACTGCAAAATTAGATCTGGAATGGAAGCCTGAATAGAATCAAGGTCAAGAAATAGGTTGTTTATCAGGCTTTCCACATCATCACCAACAAACAACAGCCCTTGCCATCCAGAGCAGTTGCAGTAAGGAACAACCACTGCGGGCCACTAAGTCTTGGAGTTAATGCTCTTATATCTGCTCGAAGAAAGATCGATTGTATTGAAGCCTAAGATATCGATTCCCGCAGCAAATTTTTTCATTCGGACAATGGGAAGGTGTATGTGACCTGAGGCTGTGCTTGTGTAGCAAATGCCCAGCAGCAGCGACAATGCATTTTCCTTGGTCTTGGTAGCACCATGTCCATTACATCAGCCCCGGAGATGGTCAAGACAGGCGATCGCGTAATCGACCGCATTCTGAAGAGGAGACAGCGAGAATGGTAATCTGAATACAAATGAGGTTTGATACAAAAATGTGAAAATCAAGAATTGGACTTGCGAGGTTTATTAGTGTCAACATCCATCATTACTGTATATTAAAAAACACAAAAAGGAAGCAGCTTGGTCGATGGATCCGTCTAATTTGGAATGACACTTCTCAAAAGGACTAGTCTATTCTAGTCTGCTGATGTCGAAATCCTTCCTTATCGACTTCACACTTTGCATGAGAAAGCCCTTGAAAAAAAATATAAGATTTATATTCGGAAAAAAAAAGATAATACAATAACTTCTAGGGTATTGCTTGAATCAAAGGCATCGCGTAAACATTTCCAAGGTCGATAGGGCAACCGCGTCTCACAGGAAAGCCATCACTATCGCTATCAGCTTAATTCAAAGGCGGGGACAAAGACTTTGGGACTTACCACCGACCATAAGAGCCACCACTATAAGCGAAACTCGCCGGGGAAAACAAGAGATTGCGTTATTCGTATTGGTAGGCTGAGGAGGAGCCGTGTAGGAGGGTAGAAAAGGATTGCTGGTGCTGTTGTCTAACGACTTTTCCAGCTTAGCTGTCATGGTGTAGTTGAACCGCTGGATCATATCTTCCTGTAAAGCCTCCTCGATTGCGGCCCACCAAACTGATGCCATTATCTTATACCCAGCATCTGTCGGGTGAGTTGCGTCTGCCATTTCATTCCAGGGAATAGCATAGCTCATCTCAGCCAGAACGACTCGATCGCCACTTTTGCGACGCTTGGCAGCAAGTACGCGATACTGATCACTGATCCATTCGACGACTTGTGGCGTCTTCTTGTTTGGCAATAGTGTCGAGAGAATGATAGTCGTATTGGGAACTTCTTGGAAGAGGAAGTCTAGCAGAGAGCTCATTCGATCTCCTGTGAGGCCAACTTTGTAATTTTCCAAGGCGTCGTTGGTGCCAGCGCTGCAGGTACATTAGCTCTTGAATACCTGTTGATTGAGAAGGGACAAGCTGACTTGATCAGGATCAAATTAGGCTGTTGGGGGGTTGTTTTCGCAGCTTCCTTTGATAGTTGATCGACTCTAAAGCCGAAGTGACCTTCATTGAACTGCATTGGCAAAATATGTGAGATTCCATTCTATCTTTCTTTGAACTTGGTGATCACTCACATTGTCAAGCATCGTACCGTTCCTTAAACTCCCGACCATCTCAACCTCCCAGCCTTTGTAGCGAAGCTGCTGTCTAAGCCAACTCCGATAGCCATTGTGCCCGGTTGACAGATACCCATTGGTGATGGACGCGCCTAATGGCATTATTCGGAGTAGTAAAGAATCCTCGGCCCGCGATCTTAAGGTGGTGATATCATCGCGACCGGCTGCGATCGTGGCACTTGGAATCGAATCGGGGAGAGAAAATGTCAAGACGAACGTTGATAACAAGGCGACACACAGCACCCAGGCACACACCATCGAATTCATGGGTGTTGCTGGTCGCATGATGACCGAGGAATTTGTGAAAGTGAAAGAACCTTGGAACTACTCGGCTAAGACTCAGGAACCCCAGGAACCAGAGCCTCTTTAAAAATTGAATTCACTTGAGTCTGACCCCCACTTCGTATCATCGAAGTCACAGGAATTTCCATGATAATTGGCCCGAGACTAGTTTCCGTTCAGAGTCAGGGGCTTAGCATTGGCTGACCAATTGAGCAGCCTTGCGAGCTTATGAAATTGGCAGCCTGATTGATGCCACTGTTTGCCCCCGGGCGATTTAGCGCTTATGACACAACCATGGCGTGATAAAGCCGCTAGATAATAACAACAATAGCGTTGGGTCATTAGTCTAGTTTGGGTATAGGCCCCGAACAATCACCAGTTGGAGCCTCGCCAAGCGCCCGAAAGTGTAACCCAAGCAACAGCCGACGTATCATCGTATAGAAAATTCGCCGAGGCTTCTACTCCGCCCGAGACCCTGAGGCTAAAATGCTAAAATGCCAAGTGAGCTGCGCCCTAAAATAAATCCAGGGTCCAATGTTGTATGGCGAGGGCAAGAATGGGCCCAGTTAGGGGGCCCAATCCCACTCTAGTCATTCGCCGTCAGCGCCACCTTCTAGCCACTAGCCACTCACGATCTACGAAATTTCCCGTGCATCATTTAATGTCACTTCCACCATCAATGGCTTAGTTTAGTCAGTTTAGTCTATATCGGTACCAGCAAATATAGCCGTGGACTTTGAATCCGCAGCATCTCCAAAATTCTTACAGTCAACTAATTTAATTTCGTGATTTATTCCAAAGAACTTGTGGCGGTGGACCATTGGCAGGGTTACTGCTTTAACCGGTCTTGCCTCCCTCTTTGTCTTTATCGTTGAATAGAAAGCCGAGAGCGCCAGCCAAGCAAATTCTGCTGAGGTCGAAGTGATATGGACCGCGGAGGATGTTTTGACAAAAGTTTGATGACTCGAAGGAACCGGTGGCTTAGCCGATCTAGTCCCCAGTTAGTATATCGTTCAAATAAAGCTACCTGATGCCTTTGGTCGAGACTCTTCTTTTAATGGTACAGTACTATAGAATATGCGTACTACAGGTAGGTTCAACCTTAACAAAGTACTCATCAAATTTTGGAAATGGTTTGAATGAGGAGATTCGCTGATGAGAAGATTGTAGGTAATATTGATAGAAAAGGTAAGATATGTGTCAAAACATTCAGAAGCATTTGCGTTCTATCGCTCCCCTTTTATCTTCGACATGCTAGACCCTCAATTTACTTCTAATGGCTCCGGCTCCATATCTAAGGAACAGGAGGAAAACTATGGGAGGTGGATGTGGGGAAGAAATTAGCGGAATTCAGGGCGTGGGCGATTGACGCGCAATTATCATATATTTTATTGGGCTTCACTCATAGCTTAACGCGATTAAAATTGCGCGACGGAGCTTGTGGATTGTGGCGATTGCCAATGTTGTTGGAAAGACTATACAGAATCCATGCTAGGCTCTGAAGGAAGTCGTAGCCTTATGTACAGCCACGAGATATGACATCGCGGATCTTCATTTTCTGATGGCACTGTGCACTATACTAAATTTGGGTATAAAATACATTGTTCTCAAGATTATGTGTATGAATCTCATACTGGGCATAAGGTCTGTTTGAACCCCTTCCCTCAGTGTGATGGCGTTTTGTCTGTCATCGTGGCTGCGCGCATTTCATGTAAGCTCCGCAATATCGCAGCGACTCGCTGGGGACGTGATAAGTCAACGAAAGACCACTTCGCTTCTCGAAGCACTTTTAGCAATACCCACATTCCACAAAAAACCACAATCTAGACAATAAAATCCATTAGCCTTTTTTGGAAGACGCAACGGCAAGTCTCATTCTCTTACTGTCAAAGAAGATGATAGGAAAGGTAGCAGATAAAAGCCACTCCACAATGGCGACATGTTCATAACAAGCAAGACAATCCAGCAGCCCCCGAAAGCTAACCAGGCCAATAGGGGCTGACCGTGGCTGCGATATGGGTAGTTGCGGCTATTGCGCTCGACCTGGGCAACGTCCTCTCGGTCAAGGTACTCTGGATTTTTTATTATCAATTGGGTACTGGTAGCGGTTAGCGGCCATCGTGGATCGGACTATTCTTTCTACTGACCAGCCATGGTAACGAATAAATGCGAGAGAAACACAGGCCCACACAATCAGGTTACCAACGGATGCCATTTCACTGAGAAATTCAATAAACTAGAGACGGATATCAGCTGTCGGATGAACAGAACGGAATGTCCCAGCGAATCCTACCATTGAAATAGAGGTCTCAGCTTGTTTAGAGCCCCGAACAAGCTGCAAAAATGGAATCCAACAAAATGCAACAGCGGAAAGTACTACGGCCTGCCGGGGAACCTTCCGGTGGTCTGTCTTACCAAGCTTTGCCAAGATGCGTAGATGCCATCTCTGGCCTTTGCCCCCTTTAATTTGGCTGGTGAGACCAAATAACGCGCGCGAGGAGATATAGAGATTCGTAGCAGCGCACGAAGCGCAGGTGAAAACGAGGAACACATTGAAAACGGTCGCTAAATGTGGGATTTTAGAGCCTGCGGCGATCATCACAAAAGCTGAATGACTGCCGGGATTTTGACAATCCGTATTCTTGCTCTCCCAAGTCACACGAGGTAACTTGCAATCGTCAGATTTAATATCAATGCTTACCAGAAATCCGCTCAGGGTGTATGCAACTGTTGCAAGGACGGATATGTATATGGCTGAGAACTTGACGCCACTTCCAACCAGGGGGCTGTCACGGCTTGAGCGGTTGTCTGATGAATTTTCTTCGTCGGTGTCATGCTGAGGCCATTTGGCTTCCAAGGCAGATGAAGCAACAACTTCGACGCCAACGAATGAAAAGACTGCGGTTGATATGCACATGCTGCAGGCCTTTCAGTAAGTTGAAGGCATTGGTCTCATTGCATAGGACTTACAATAGCGCAGTTGGCCAATTTTTGGCAGCTGAATCGTCAAAGGTGGTAGGCGAGGACCAATCTTTATATTCAAAAGCCGATGAGCGTTTTGATAGTATCCCGAAGGCCAGATGTACTTACAATCAACACCACGTGGAGCCCCAGTATCTGGGTCAGCTGGAAGAACTTAGCACTGTCTTTTCAGGGAATCAAGCGAGCTACCAAGTGACAATAAACGGAAGTGAGATCTCCTTACCTTCCCTATTGATTAAAATCAAGAAAATGAAGATGATCAACATGAACGTAATCTTTAAAGATCCTGTTATCACCTCTAAAAGACCATATGACTACACAGACTATTAAGATTGTTCCGTTCAGCCAATTCGCAGTGATCGAACTCACCTCGATCCTGAGCATATTGACAGCAACCAGTGTCACTGGAACTGCCAGAAAAATGAACCCTGCATGCACGCCTCGACTCTCAAAGGCATGCCAGTAGTCGAATTCAGCTGCTAACGTTGCAAGAAGCGAGGAGAAAGACATTGAGTACGTAAACCTGTAGTCGTGGTTAGCATAGCTCTGATCTTGAGCATTTGCTAGGCTCTGCAATGTTCTTACCAGTATGCGATACCAACAGCGATGCCCAGCTCCTCATCAACAAACTTGCTGACATATACCGAGAGGGCACCTGGGATTGGCCAAATGCATAGCATTTCGGTAATACCCTGCATGACAGCCCATACCAAGCACCCCACAAGAAAGTAGGACAATACAACCGCCAAAGGACCCCCAAGCTCAAGGATTTGACCACCTCGCCAGTAGAGGCCAATTCCAACCGTCGCATTGATTGTGATCATGAATAGATGAATGCCCTTGAGCCTTCTATTTACCTTTCTGTCTTCTCGAGGACCGACCAGTATTATTTGTTCAGGTCGTCGTTTGAACCCGCCCTCATCCACTGAATTTACGAGGGTTTCTTGGGTTGAAACGCTCCGAGCATTGGAAACATCTCGCTGGTGCGACTCTGGACTCAAAAAATCAGGCCGCTGCTCTCTGCTCTCTACCGGCTGTTCACCGACCACAGTGCTGGACAGCCTGATTGGCAGAGGCACAGCCACGCTTTCCGATGACCATTCGCGTAGCTCGAGTGACGGTGTCATTTTTGAAGTGACATTGACAGTTCATTCCCCCTTGCTTCGTTGGCAATGGAATGTGCCAATCCAGTTATTTGGCGACTATGAGCTGCATATTTCTGATCATGGTTTTCTTCCAGAAGGACAAGGAATGGGCCCCCAGGTTTTATCTGCAACGGCTCAAGGCCACCAATCAGGGTTTGCACCCGGGTGACACACGGGCGACCCCGAGACATAATTTCTTTTGCGGGGGAGGAGCACCAATAGGTGGATGGTGATTCCATTCCGAGAACAGTGCGGAGATAACCTCGTATTTGTTGGGTGATAAGGCTGCGCCACAGATAGACCCTGAGCCTTCCCCTCTCTTTGGCCGATACCGTGCGTTCGTGACGTGGCCCACCTGGGCGAATTCCCCTTTTGTTTCAGCCGCAGAGTTTGCTTTATGAGTTCGCGGGAGGTCAATGATTTCTGCTTGGCCCCGCGTCCTATAATTCCGTTTGATCAGTATGCCGGGCGCAGCTGTACAAGAACCGACTCGACAGAACACGACCACTCACTATCTCAGGAAGGAAAGACTTGAAGCACGGCTGCGGGAGCTGTTTCCTGATGTGAAGGATTTCAAGATTAGGGTTTGTATCCATAGATCCACTCGCTCCTGTGCTGTCAGGCTGAATTCAAGCAGATGCAGAATGACGAATATTCATTTGTTGCGCCGAGGCGAGTTGAGGCTGTACGCGGTGATCCCAATTCAAATTGTATAGACTTTGACTGACATGTTTATAACCCAGATCGAGCTCGTGTAAGATATTTTTACCTAATATGTAACAATGCTTTGGCGCGCTGACACCCTTCCAGGCCAGCCCGAGTGGTAACCGAGAGCGATGAAGAGTGAGCGGGATGGCAAGGTGGTACACGTGGGGCCCGGGGCCAAGGCGCAGTATGTAGCATGAGGCGCAGGTCACCCCCTGGATGGCGCACAGAAACGCCTTACGAGACAATGACTGATTTTTTACCTTCAAATAAATCCATTCATCTTTGATGTAATTTGGTCTACCTGTTCACTAAACGTGGATTTCCAGAAGCATGACTTCTATAGAAAACTGCTGCCTTGATAAAATCAACAAACCAGTTCAGGTGTTTGATGTTGGCCCAGATGCCGGGACTTCAGCCACCTCGTGTCAGAAACATGAGTTTCTCACCTTGGATAATTTATCTGCATATCTCCAAAAACTTGAATCTCACACATACTCGTGTCGTTTGATGTGAGTTTCACGAAGCCTGGTATCATCCCTGGCTAACACGAACAAGATCGATTTGCCAGGTAAACTCCTGGCAACCATTGCAGATCACAAAACCAATGCTTGAGGAGCTCGTTAACCAGCACAATATCAACTTGGAGTTCTGGCAGCTCCCTTTATCTTTTTTTGAGCGCAGTCAATACGGTCTGGACCTGGAGCAAGTTTTCTGTGTACCATACACCGAGTCTCGCACTGGCTCTTGCATAGGTAAAACAGTACCACTTCCCCGGGGTTTTCGGAAGAGTCACTAAATTAGAAACAGAGATATCTTACACGATCAGATACCCCGAGTACAAGGCAAAGGTCAGAGAGTGGACGATCCGCCAAACCGGCCTGTACCATAAATATGATTCCGCTACATCGCAAAGCACGTTCATATTGATCAACCCGACTCCCCGGTCAAAGGCATTCCTCAAAGCGGTTGAACTTCTACAAAATGCAAGCTCCGAAAAATTGACAAATCCTTTCTGGCTTCACTCGGTCTTGTTCTCAACTTATTTGCCGGCATGGAGAGAACGCATGTTGGAACTTGAACGCCAATTCCTACCTCTAGCCAAAACGACATATGCCGCATTCATTGACGAACCTTTGAGCTTGAAATACAATACCCTCAACGTACTGACCAAACTTGAAGGCGATTTTCTTCAAATGCCAACTATACTGGCGGGCGCGATAGATGTGCTCGATGAGCTCTCTGCACTCATCGGCTCAATAGACAAGTCACCAAGCGCACAATCCGAGCTACAAATTCTGAAGAATCATCGTCGAAAATGTTGTACCCACTCTCGGACCTCCATGGATCTACAGCAGCGAGTACAATCCGTCGCCCGACTTTTGGCAGATACACTCCTGCTTCGCGACCAAGTTGTCACGACCGAGCAGAATGAGCAGATTTACCAATTGAACAAGTCGGCAGTCTTCATCACCAGACTATCCTTATTATATCTTCCGCCATCATTCATTGCAGTCAGTAGCTTTCCAACCTTTCTTTCCGAAAAGGGCTTCAACCCGTTAACATGTTGCGGTAGACCATGTTTGGCATGAATTTCTTCGCAATGGACCAAGTCAATTCCTCCATTGTCGGGACATCTATGATATGGATATTTTTCGTTGCCTCGGTCGGGCTGACTGCCCTCACGTTCCTCATCTACTACTTGCTGGGGCACCGCAATAGCGTTGCACTACCCAGACTTACGGATAGAGGACAGACGGCTCCGCAACGGAATTTTCAGGCTATGATGCGACGATTTACAGGACCAAGCACTGTTGATACGGAACTCCAGAACCTTCACGCTTGAAAAATGGTAGATGGAATGATCATGCCTTGATGGACATACTCACCAGGGAGAAAGCAAATAGAGGATGGAATGTTATTTGTTCAATGCTGATCTGAAAATTCTGGCTACATAGAAGAACGTGCCCATGATACAAATGACCTAGAAATTGACGAAACTCACAACAAGCTCCGCCCTAGACTGAAGCTTCTTCCATTGTATCTCACTCAAATAATTCGGAACCTATATATAGCTCGTCGATTGTCGTTCGTAAGGGCAGCAAGGAGAATGAACTTCTTTTCTCCTTGAGAATACAGTCGCTCGCTAAATGCATCATCATCGGAAAGGCCTGGGAGCTCGGCAAGCTCTTTGATCACTAAACTTCTCGTTTGCCCTGGCATTGACATTTCCAACAGGAGCATTTTGTGATTAGCGGACCGTTTCCCAACAGCATATAGTCTCTTATCATCCCAGCCCATCATCAATTTCAATACTCGATAGATATGGATATCTGCCGCGGCCGACTGAATCGTGCTCTCTGGGTCGAGACTCCTGATATGAAGCATTTCTTCTCGAGTGATAACCGCGCAGGCGTCGGGGACTTTGTTGAAGGGGGCCAAGGTCGTAAAGATGCCCACAGTACTGGTGATGTCAAATCCCTTAACTCTCGATTAGTATAAGTCGGCCAAACTGGTTCCATAGCCTCTCATGGCAACCACTTACTTGCAATTCAATTGTGAGAGGATCTATATGTTTTGATTTAAGGCAAATATGAAGGATTGGGATTTTGTGCTCCCAGTCACGGGAAATAAGATGCGGGCGGAAGATGATCCATATATCATCATTTGTTGCAAAAAACAGCTGTAAAGCATCTGATGCAGGCCAATCTAATTGGCATTGGTACTGACAGTTCTCCACTGAACGGACTGGAGCACGGTACAACATTCCCGGCTTGTTTTCATCATTGGGATCACGCAAAATAAATACGATGGTCTCGCTATCGGGAGAGAGAGCTAGTCGTTTGATTTCTGGGAGGGATTGCAGAGAGGTATGATGCAAGTATCGAAGGTTCTCGCCCGGCGAGTGGCCTTTTTGTAAATCGAAAACGTAGCACTGGAAGGAGCGTGAGAAATTTTGAGAGCAGTTCAGAGTTTACTGGAGACTCAGATACTCACCTCGAAGTTCCCTCCTGATTTGGATGCTATCAGGTACTTATCTGTCACGCTTACAGATTTCCAGATACAGTCAGATATTGTGAATTCATCTGCTGACTTCACCACCGGTACTGGTTCATTCGCCTCTGCTACGGGCAATGAATTGCATGTGTAGATGGATATTTTGAAGTCAGTCCAAAAGGCAACAATCTGCCCATCTGGGGAGATTTCACATCCTTTGAAAGGCTCATTGTCGTCCAGATACATCCTCTCAAGTCTACTATTCACACCATGGCTCATTTCTCCACCGGCACTGAAGAGTTGGCTGCATATTCTCGTGATCCAATTGGACCTTGTCGGCATGTTCTGGACAACCATTGGTGGTCTCTCCAGGTTTTCGTAACTCAGCCTTGTTGCTTGAATGATTTGTTCCACGGCAGACACGCTACATCGCTTTGATTGGTCTTTAAAGACCTCGTTCTCGAGATATTCTAATATCAGTCGCACAGCGGCTCCTTCATTGGGGTTTCGCTGTCTTGCTTTCACAATCAGATAGTCATGCCATTTCTTGACCTCCGGATTGACTTGAAAGGGCTTGAATCCTCCGTCCCTGACAAAGAAGCGATCATAGCCCTCTGCCTTTGCATGGGCTACTCTATTATCAGAATAGCGGGTCACTCCAGCGGCGCCACCTTCCAGATATGCGAACAAGACGCTAATGACACAACCAAGAGACCAAACATCACTGCTAGTCTTCATATTTCGGCTCGCAGAGATAGACTCGGGTGCAAGGTAGGTTGACTGTTCTCGACGATTCATTGTTCCAGATCCGTCTTCTGGCTGTTCACGCCGAACAAAGGGACCGTTGAAGTTTCTCTCTCCCACGCTGCGCAGCCCGGACTTCTCTGTTTTCACACTTTTCACACGAGACATGCCAAAATCACTGATCTTCCAAACATAATGGATGTTTCCATCTACCTCCTCCACAAATACCAGAATGTTCTTGGGCTTGAGGTCCATATGATAACAAACCAGCTTCTCGCCGTCACCCATCGTGATCCCAGTATGGAGGAATTTCAGCCCATTGGCAAGGCCCTGTGCCGCTTTGATAATTGCCGCTTTCTCGGGTTTCTGAGGTGTGTATTGCATCATGTATGCCCACAGATCACACATGGCAAGCGGCATGAATAGACTATATGTGGCTAGGCCGACTGCAAGGCTGCCGTAGCTTTCCACAATATTTTTACAAGACCACTCTGCAGATAAAATTTGCTTCATGATGAGGGTCTCGTTTCTATTTTCTCGGGAAGATCGGATGTAATCTTTGCGCGCAATTTCTATCGGATCGGCGTTGGCATATTTCGAAGTAGGATCGTAAAAGTGTCCTTTGGCAATTTTAACCTTGTATACTGCCCCAAATGAGCCTTCATTGAGGAAGGTTTCCTCAAGATAGGGAAGACGCTGTCTGTCTGGATTCTCAATAGGGGTTTCTCTCCCCTTAAAAATCACCACCGGGCAAAAGCAAGCTTGATGCTCAAGGAATTTGTCCGGCGTAACTTCTTCCTGGAACAGATCGGCTAATACACTGCGCTTCACCGGTAGCTTGTATATTTCGGCGGGCCAGACATCGTGAAAGACAAGCTCGGTCACAAAGGTTCGCGCGGCGTGGATGCTGCAAGTGATGTACATTAAAGTGGCCAAAAAGTCATACAGGTCTCTTTCGGCAACCCTCTGGATCAAATGATCTTGATTAGAAGTGACGTTCCTCAAATTCTGGTCAGGAAGTTCAAGGCTGTCAAAAAAGCGTCGCAGGAGATCATCATTCAGCACTTCCTTGCTTGTCCCTGTTGCGGCGAAGCGGCGCCCGTCCTCGGGTGTTCCCTGTAGCTTGGTCGTGATTCGTTGGTATATCTCCTCGCATAATTCTGAGTACGTGGTGGATGCCATGGCTATATCGATCTTAGCCGCTGTGGGAGATGAAAGGGAAAAGTTGCCTTCTTCTCGTATTCCAATAGCGTACTTTTAGCGCGGTCATGTGGAAAGCATCTGACTCAGTGTCTATATTTACCCGCTATTATTTTTGCCTTTTTTAACTTCATCGGAGACGCGTTTGAGGAGGCTTAGTAAATGGGTGTATGAAGAAATGCTCACTAGAGCCGCAAAATGAGGGGACCAATCCTGCACTTGGTAGCAGCTGCTTGCCCCATTCTGGCTCCGCTTTACTCCACGTCTCACACTTAGGCCATTGAAGGTGGGGCAACATACATACCCTTTTTCTGTGACGAGGTTCCGTTCAACATTATCTCTAAAACGCCGATGGCTCACATCTCTTAACGAAAGCATCATGGAGTGTCGAGAACCACACCCTGAATCAATCCAGAATGGTCATGAAGCAAATCAAATACGCGCATTGAAGGAAAGGAGTTGACATGGGCCTTCATGGCTAATATATGAGGGATATCCCAGGAGCCCGTGCCAGTTGATTGGAAGATTACCAAGGGACAGAGAGTTGCAATGGGGAAGAGTACGCACAAGGCAACAATTTAAACCATGGAACGGGAGGATTGCTGCCTGACAAGTCTGGCAATTAATATCAATCTAAAAAGACAGTAATTCTGGCTAAATACAATACACGCCATGGAGTGGAATGTCCTCCACGACAACACGATCTAAACTCAAGGGTATCAAATCAGGCCACTGCTTCCCTGGCCTTTGCGACCTCTGTTTCGCCTCTTTGCAGGGTCGCCACTACCAATGCATATGCCTCATCCTTCGCTTTACACTGAGAGGAGCCACGAATGGCCTCCTTATCCCAACCATGGGCGCATCCTTCCATTCGACGACTCAATGAGACCTTTCCATCTATGCCATCAATTTTCTCAGACAAAGTCTCCGCCTCGACAGCAAATGCACACTGTGATGCCGTGATGAACAATGCATTGTTTGGGAAATTGTGCGGATCGGCAAAGGCAGGGGAGATACGGGGATCGTATGCATCAACGTTGCCTGGGTTGAGCAATTTATGACAAGTTTGGGAGAATTTTGGAAATATTTTCTTCATGATCCAGTTGGAGGAATCCACCAACGGTTTCTCTGGAGTTGGTAGCGCCATGTCAGTCGGTCCATAAATGGAAACAACGGTATTGAAAATGCTCTTGTGTTCTTCGCCACCAAACAGCGCTGATGATGATGCTACCGCGAGCGCGATGTTGGCTCCAGCGCTGAACCCCGAAAGCGAGATGCAGGAAGCATCAAAGCGACCGGGCTGCGATTGTACCCATTTCACAACGTCCTCAGCATCGTTGAAGGCAGCTGGAAATGTGTTCTCGGGCGCGAGTCGGTACTGAACATCAATCACAGTGTATTCGGTCTTGTCTGCGACGAACCGGCAGTATTCGTCATCATTGCCGAAGGTGCGGAGAACAAAGCCACTACCACAGAAGTTGATAAGGACGGGAGTTGGTTTGTCTTCCTCCGTTCCGTATATATTGGTTTTGATGGTTCGGCCTTCATCACGAGATGGGACGTATACTGTGTCATCTGGTTTGGGATGAATATGCAGTCTGGGTCGAACAAGGGCGCGGAGAAATGTGGCAACGGATTTGTGATAAACGTACTGCATCCCCATGACTATGACGGGCGACGCGCACCGGTAAGCTGGTCTTCACTTAGTTGCCCCCACAGATGGGTCAAGGTTGTTTATTTCAAGTTTTTGACACTCTGGGGTTCTCCGGGGTGAAAGCGACACAAAAATTCGGCCGTCTAATCCAGGTTTTGGCCGCATGCCGATCATGCTCGACCTCGGATGCGGTTACGTCATGGCGGTACTGACTTCGACTACATGTACAGTAAGCATTTGAAATCTTAGAAAATCAGACTTCAAAATGAACATGACGGAGATAACAAGTTTCGTACAATATGGTCCAAGTAGTCTGTGAAGAATTAATTTTAAGCCGCTGAATATAAGGAGTCCCATGACTACTCCGATGAGAGTTCCTTGCAAGGCCTGGGGCTGGGGCCCACCATACTGTCTAGTGTAGGAGGTTGATTCCTCAGTTTCACCATCATATTAGTCCGAGAGAGTTCATTTCCAGTGTGAATTTGACTGCGTGAAAGCCTTCTGGTCTACTCTTCTCCAATGGGACAAAGTTAGACATTTCTTAATTTTCCAGGTGGCGACTCATATTCAGAAGCAATTCTTGTGAGGTCGGAGATAAGCGGAACATCCCGCCCTGAACCTTTTGGTCTTCTTTCAATAAGTTCACCGAACACAAACAACCCCAGGTCGAATGAAGCCTATCCACTAACAGAATTATAATGTGTTATTATTAAGTTTATCATGTTTGCTCATGTTCAAGCTATGCAATTGTTCAGTTCCAATATTACCATAGTATCATTTTGGCACATCTTGTTCTCCATGCCCAATATTCCATCAGTTGTCCATAGATTCCTGAGGGTAACAAACAACCCACCGTAGCATCATATATGGCTCGTTAACGGAGATTGTTGATGCGTTTCTGCAGGCCTCTAAGGTTTCTATCGCTTGCCCCTTACTGTACTTGGAGTTCGGTCCCATAACTTTCCATGTAAGCCAGTGCTCTGGATATTTGTTGTTTAGTCATGAAATCAGAATTACCTTCAAATTGTGACATCTTGATGGTCTCTTGATAGCTTATCTAATAGCAGATGTTTGAATAGTAGAGTCGGGGGTCCCGAGTCCCCAATATATATCTCCTTCATATGCCTAGGTGTATGGAGGTGACCATGTTGGTTGAGATGTAAGACCCTGGGCAGGAACAAAGCATCTTCAAGAAAACAAGGAATGCTACTGAGCACCTAGTAAAATGTCAATTTTAGGACAAACGTCGTTAGGGCAATTATTTACAAAAATACTGTAGCCCATGAACATTCAAAGAAAGCAACCATAGAAGGGATAAATATAGATAGATATATGTATGCATCGAGTATACACACCCTTTTTTCTGCCTAATAAGACCAAAGCGACATATTTAGGGTATTGCTCCATAAATTGGTCTTCGGTCTCTGTTCCTCTCTCATATAGTTTCCTTATACGAAGCTCTATTCAGATAAACTTCATCGAATGCCTGGGTGTATTTCGGCTGCCTATTTGATAATATCACCCATGGGATAGCCTATCTGCGTAGAGCCTCAGTCTGGGAGAGAGTTGAGTTGTGATATCGTTTTGGAACTTTGGTAATGGGTAGATAGATATGAATTTTCATTAATTCTAACAACCTTTCTTCCCAGAATTACGTCCCCTGGAAATTAGTCACTAAAAATGTTCTATCTGCGTCTTGCGGTCTGATTTGCTAATCTAAAAACCGAAACATAGAAAGAATTTGGGCTGACAGGAGCCCTGAAAGATCTCCTATCGTCATCTTGACGAGAGCATTCCCGATTGCTAATATCCAGCCTCGGGAGTAGCTACCTATGCCAGCTTTTCCGCAGAGACGATCCCCATGGCCCAGTCTCAGCTTCTCAAACAGCCATGTTCCAGACTTGATCAAATCCGCACTCAGTCTTGAGTGAAGTCATTCCACCTGGCAAAACCAAAAAGAAAAAAGGTGCTCCGCTTCCGTTGACGCGGCCTTTGTCAGGTTGCCTCGCCTGTTCAAGTAGGAGACTCTCATAATCCCGACCCGAAAGGCACGAGGCTGGCAACTATGGAGTACCAAGTATGTTTGGTTTCACTTGATATGTCAATCTCTGCCAAATACGAGCTAACGTTTCAGCCTATGAAGCTTCAGGCTAAATGGACGTAAAAGAAGGCGTTCCTGCATTAGGCTAGTCTCGCTGCCTGTGGGCCTGACTATAGAGTCCACGCGCGGGTCCAAATAGATTATGGTAGCAAAAGAAACCATGCCGTCAACACGAGTTTAGCGACTTGACTTGTGAATGTTGCGTTACTTCCACAGCGTGTGATCCCTTGGCTCGTGTTTCAGATTGGCTTCTGGACCTAATTTCCGACGTGGGTGAGGGGGATCGGCCTGCCCGATCTCCAATGATATTAAAATCCACGCCCTTTTTCTTTCCTTTGTCTTTCTTTTTGTCCCTCCTCCCCTCTTTGCTCTCTGATTCGTAAAGGGCCGTTGGTGGGCGCTGCCATTCCAAGGTTGTGCAAGGGCTCGCTAAAGATGCCCTGTTTGAGAAGTGAAGCAACAGGGGTAACTTATCCCTAGTCGTGTACTTAATTAATCTCGCACTAGATGCTATTTCCGGTGGTGATCTGGCCTTGAAACTGTATATTCACAAGATGAAGTTGTTGCGAGGGCAACAAGATGCAGCGGCTCTTCGGAATCCATACCGATTGTAAGTAGGGAGATTCAGAGTTTCGTTTCAGACTGAAAAAGCGTTAAGCTGAGCAAACTCTCCTGTAAGGGATGGGCCAGTGGGGCGATCATTGCTGCATTGATCGACGCCCTGCGAACTATTATTGACTACCTATCCCTTGCCAGGATCCGATTTTGGTTCTTTGTTGATTGTGATAGGTAGAAAACTGAGCAATGAGAATTTTTTCTTTACGAAAACATGGGGGCAATTTCACTTGACCCACCAAAGCCATTTTTTTTTTTGCTTTTTTTCACGATGTAAAATAGCGCAGTCTTTAGGGCTGTCGTCGGGCGCGCAGTGGCGGGAACCCGGCGATTCGGGACAAGGTGGTACAAAGCACCCAGCTGGTATCTGCCAAGCATCCAACGTCAGCTTGAGCGATCACCAGCTCCTCTCAGGTGATCCACTTGATTCGCCGTGCTTAGAAGGCCCCATACGAATGATAAAATGAGCCAAGAGATCGACCTGGGCGCAGTGAGGAGCTGACCCTATGAGGAGATAAGGTTGCCGGAGCTTGGACCAGATGTGCCTTGCATGGACCCACAACGTCGTCAAACATTGCTCGCTTTGGAATGCTTTCCCCTTAGAACGCGTGGGAGAAGCAACTTTATTATCTGAAACACCGGTTCCCATATGGCTTTTGTGGCTTTGCTATCCCGCACAGGACATCATCTGAACGTCACTGTGGTCATCCAGTTGCATACTTCGGCAGTGAATTCGCATCCGACAATCAAGTTCAATGGGAGCGACCCGCTAGCCTAAACGAGGTTGGGGCCAGTATTTGCTTTTGTTCCATTCCCCCTCATCGGTCTCCAATCATGGCCTGTTAGTTGCTCATCTCGGGAGATAGACCTATGAAACCCGGTAAAGATGCTCAGCCACTCGGCTATCCCCACTTCGTTTCCACTTCATCTCGTAAATGCAGTGCCCGGTGCCCCGGTGCTGGGCCATTGATCTGCCCTTAAAAAGACAAGCTTGTACCAAGGAAGGATTTCGACCAAGCGCCACTGACTGGCTGGCCATCACCCTCATCTGTGCTGATACTTTCTATATTCGGGAACTCCCACGCCGTAGTTTTGACTCGTCATACGGTACAGTACACAAATAACGCAGATTAAATGAGTTTCAATCCACGTGTTACCCCTTTTCTCGGAGATAGAGCCCTTGATTCGCCCTAAAGCAGAGCTGTCGCGTGTTGTCCGATCTTTACTAATACTGTTCCGGCGTCTTCGCATTCCGGTGGTTGGTATTATGGCTGTGTAGAATGAGTTCAATGATTCGTAAGGCGATGAATACTGAGAATACGTGGCTGGTATGGACCAGCGTTCTTAGTACATATCTCCGCCTGGACCGTAATTCCAACGTATAGTACGTGTTCTCGCAAGGGATCATCCTACGCTATTGCAAGAAAGGGAAATGAACAAGCATAACTCTGCGCGTGGCCGGGAGAATGGATCCAATCCTAAGCTGCCTTTAGATTGACCAACAGTCAAAGGATAATTATTTTCGAAATTACCTGGCCTAATGCAGAATCTCCATGTGATCAACCACGTTGGTCCCACGACATGTTCTAATTATGAAAACAGAATTACAAAAATTTGAAAATCCAAATCCAAAACAACAGGTCTTTGCAAGGGTGTACATCCCATGCGAAAATCATTTCGAGACGCGCGCATTTACCGCCAACCCTGAATCGACCATCTAGGCTCTTTCAGATGACGTTTACCCTTGCCCTTACGGGACCCTTGTTAGATCTCTCACCGATGATCACCGTTGAACCTGCGTAGACTTCCGGCAAAAACACCCATCCCTTCCCTCATTCCACGGTCCATATACTCCATCTAGCTTAATCCCGCGCTGAAACATGTGGCTGGCCATGTGCCGACTGTTTTGAATACTAGCCCTTGGAAGGACCCGCTCGCTCACGCTACTGCATCGAACACTTGTACCTGCCTCGTAGCCCCATTATGGTGCAGAGCCCGGGCCAATCGTATTCGCCTCGTCGCCTGTTTCAAACGGATTGGCGGGTATGCACTTCCCACGCTATTTTTACTTTGGGTTAGCGTCCGCTGAACAGGAATTTGGGGCATACGAGACAGTCGTTCATGCGGACAACCCCAGGCGCCTCGACTCTGACGGCGGAATGGTGTCACAGGGGTCATGGCCTGTGGAGCCTGTCGTGGGCTTTCGATGCGAGATGATGATCCATTCATCATTCCTTTCTTTGCTTAGCTTCGTTTGTTTCCTTTTTGGCTTTTATTTTCTTTTTTTTTGGGGCTTTTTTCTTGTCCCCATGTGGATACCACGAAGCGAGCTTCTGGAGAGCTCGCGTGTGTCCAAGGCATACCTGGGGCTAAAGCATAGCCTCATCCCAGGCCTTATCCTTTGTATAAAAGGAGAGAGCCCCGCTCTCATAGTGTGATCGTCATCCAACAGAGTTTCAAACATCGTCACTACCAAAGACATTCCAAAGTATCTATATCACTGCACTGCATTCGTTCGATCTTATCGTCGATTCTTTAATTCCGCCAATCTCCAAATTCTTCAGACAACAAGACGATTTGCAGTTATGTCTCGCCCAGAATCTTCCACCACGTAAGTAGTGCTCTTATCGGCTTGAAGGTGGTCATGATAACTAAGATGTTTGGAAACCTAGCGCTCAGAATGGCACCACTACCGCTACCACTACTGCCCTTACCCAGAGCAATGTCAGCCAGGTCCCACGCGCAATTCACAGCAGCGTTGACCGATTTGCCCGGGCTTCAGCTTCGGAGGGGCCATACTACGCTGGTGCAGCTGCTGCGGAGCGATCCACTCATCTTGCTGGGCTAGCAAGCCAAGTCAACGCTTTGGATGAGATCATGAAGAGCCGAAAGTAGGGGACGAAGAGAAAGGTGGAGAGGAGAGAGAAAAGAGGAAGCAAGCTTGATATCCTGTGTTTATAAAAATGTTGCTTTGTCTATATATGTAATTCTTAGTCTATCCAACGCGGTAGAAAATATAAATGTCTGAAATCTTCAAAGGAACGACCTTGCCACAATAGTCATCTTAAAGCACCTTCAGAATGTACGACGCCACCTCTTCGTATCTAGTGCTGGGGAATTCATGTCCTGCCTCGTAGAACTTGAATACTGCATTTCCACCAAGGGCAGCCGTAGCATCTGTGACAAGCTCGTCCTTGACGATAACGGCATCGGTGTTGCCACACAAGATATGAACCTTATCACTCGGCAAACCCTTGGGTCCCCGGTTCTCAGACGAGCCACCATTTTGTGCGCTTAGGTACTCTCCAAGGCGTGCCCAGTTATTCCATTGATGCTTGCGGAAGATGGGACCATTACGCATAGTAGACATGAATGCATGAACAAAGCCATGGTGGTGATCGACTTGCCACACAATTGAAGCTGGCACGTTAAGATGGGGATATTCCCGTGACAGCACCTGGGCTTCTGCAGCAACTTCGCTAGGGGCCTCCTGATTCAGCGCATCTGATACATTGAGCTTTCCATCCTTAGGCTTGGAAACCAACGGCCCTGCTCTCAACCGCCTCTTGACAAAATATCCAAGGACACCCTCTGGAATGATGCCTCTGGAGTACAAAAGCTGAGCCTGTGAGCTAACATGGGAGTCATGCATCATGCCAGCAGGAGCTAGAAGCACCAACGAAGACAGGAGGTATGGAAAATATGAGGCAAATGCGGCAGATATTCCACCACCAAGGGAGTACCCGACGAGGCAGAATTTTCCGGACTCCGCACCGGTCCATGAGATTGGCGATGATGCCAGAGCAAGCATGATTTGTGTGGTAAAAAGTCGATTATCATGAGGGAGATCCGCCGGCGAATCAGAGTATCCTCGGCCAAACCTAAGCATTATATGTAAGCAATCGTCCTGGGCCAAGGGATAGTTGAGGACTGAGTGGTTGCGAGGAGACATACAGATCGAAGAGCATCACACGGCAGCCCCGGTCCGCCAGCGCATGGGCCACCCCACCGAGCGCGATAGAGGGAGTGGTGATACCATGAACCATCAAAACCTTCGGACCTTCCTCGCGACCCCATTCATATACCCGGAGCGAGCCGTATGGGCTGTTAACATCGCGCGCGCCAGGAAGGTTATCGTTAGGAAGAGGCAATTTGCGGTTCTCCTCATCCGAGAGCCCCTCTAGGAGAGTCGAGCGCGGGGAAGGAAGAACACCAGCACGGGGCTCATCACGGTTCAAAAGGGACCGAAGTAGCAGGCCTAATGTGAATGAAGCACCAGTCACTGCTAGCAAGGGAAGTTGTGTTCTCTGGTTGGCCCAGGAGTCGGAGAGGAAATCCACGGTTTGGTGGTACAGGGCCATGGTTAGTTGCTGACAACCCTTCGGTAACAGCCGATTGACTTTGTATTGGTGTAATATGCAGCGAGTAATGGGCAAGTGTACCGTGATCCCGCGGTGCGACGCTGCTAAGGAGGTGACTGATGAAAGAGAAAGCTGAGCCCGATGGGGCCGAGGCCCATGTGGCCGATAAGGATCTGATAAGACGTCATCGGATCAAAACATTGAAAATATGTTACTTCTTTGTTGATAGTAAGTCACCCGGACAAGATTGTCCAGATACACAATGGTTGGAAATTTCCAGAAGCTCCAGTTAATCATGTTTCCATGGACGGCCACTATCCCCATATCGATTCCCCAGGTTACGGAATTCAGCCTAAAGGACCAGCGCCCAGGAACTCATAATCCAAATTGGGCAGCATTTCCAGTTCTTGGAGGCAAGGATCGACAACGGAATTTCTGGAAATTTGTATGAAGATCCTTCTCTCAAATACCAGAAGTCAAGTGACAGACATGCTACTTCGATTTTACTTCAACTAATGCAACGAAACTGCCGTGACGCATTAGGAAATGTATTCTCCTGGACACGACAGCATATGAGCTGAAATTGACAGACATATTGTTGGTTGGGTAGAGTTCTACATATCATCGATCTTTCTGAAGGTGACTTGACCGCAGCAGTATACAGAGCCTTTTCAGGGCTTGACGCCTACCGATGTAGGTACCCTTCTAAGTTTGTGCCTTGATTGTGGCGTTGAGTAGTTTGGTGTATGGAGCCTCTCTACACGTCAGAACCTTTCTGTTTCGTGTTGAAAGATTGACGGCGGCTGGTGGTGCTAAGAATTCGTCTTCTCATTGAAGGACCGGTTGTGCTAGTTTTTCCGTGTACCCAGTGAATCTTATCCGGGAGGGGTCTGGTTCATCTGAAACGCCCTATTCCTAAATGGTCATGCAGAACAACTCTCCAAGTCTCTGATTGTTCCAGAAAGTAAAATGACATGGATACTCCTACGTCTGTGGGTCGATGTGTGCCTTTCGGCAGTTATGGAATCTAGTGGCACTCGGGGGGCTTCAGCCACCCCATATGCGTCTCATGACACTTGGCACTACACATAAGCCAACCGCGTGGAGTCCAATCAGAGACCATTGACAGGACTTGATCTTGGAAGATGTAGAGAGAAGCTAATACTCAAAATCTTTGACGTTATCCACGCAATTGCGAGAACAATGCGGACCATCGACACAGCTACATCGAAAGAGCCTTTGCCCATGCGGATGTACGTTAAGGTGGATATTGAAACCACTAGTCCTGAACTAGCCGCCCTGTTTCCGCATGAGACCCTGACGAGACATCTATTGAGCCTAACGATGATCCTTCCCATCCTGATCATGGAGGAGGGTCCACATCCAAATCTATACACGACACGGATGTCGCCCAATCTGGATGTCCCCGTCCTTTTGATGAAAGGCCTTTCTTGTCTTCGTCCATACCAATTCGGCGACGGACTGGTGCTCCGTCATGTCGGAGTCAATGTGTCAGGAGAACTTGTCTGGGTTTGACATGGCTAGAATTGACAGATGCGGATCTGCTGGCAAATGTTATATAAAGGAGTATCATCTTCGCATCCTGGGTTTTTGTTCTTCAACTGCAGGCCAGAAATCCATTGACCACAATCCTTCCTTCCAATTCGTCCAATCATGGCTCAACGGGCCCTTCTTTTCTCCGCCTTGATGGCAGCTGCTCGTGCCCAGCAGGCTGGCACATATACTACCGAGACCCATCCTTCCCTGACCTGGGAGGAGTGCACTTCTAGCGGTAGTTGTACTGAGCAGTCTGGGTCAGTTGTTATCGATTCCAACTGGCGTTGGGTGCATTCGACCGATGATTACACGAACTGCTACACGGGCAACACGGTATGTTGTTCTATGATGATCGAGCAAGTATGATAACAACTGACAATTGAATTCAAAATAGTGGGATGCAACCCTTTGCCCCGATGACACTACCTGTGCCACAAACTGCGCCCTGGATGGTGCAGACTATGAGTCCACATACGGTGTGACAACCGATGCTGATGCGCTGACTCTGGGATTTGTCACCGGCTCCAACGTGGGCTCGCGTCTATACCTGATGGAGGATGACAGCACCTATCAGATCTTCAAGCTTTTGAACAAGGAGTTCACCTTTGATGTGGATGTTTCCAATCTCCCTTGCGGACTTAACGGCGCCCTTTACTTTGTTGCCATGGACTCAGATGGAGGTATGTCCCAGTACGCAAACAACACTGCTGGTGCCAAGTACGGTACTGGATACTGCGATTCTCAGTGCCCTCGGGATCTGAAGTTCATCAATGGCCAAGTGAGTCCAGCTTCGATAACAAAAATTTTCATATATTAACTGGTATAGGGCAACGTGGATGGCTGGGTCCCCTCGACCAGTGATTCCAATTCGGGAATCGGCAATCACGGCTCTTGCTGCGCAGAGATGGACGTCTGGGAAGCAAACAGCATTTCCACCGCTTTGACACCCCACCCTTGCGACACTGCCGGCCAGACCATGTGTGAAGAAGATGACTGCGGTGGTACCTACTCAAGCAGCCGCTACGGTGGAACATGCGATCCAGATGGATGTGACTTCAACCCCTACCGCATGGGCAACACCAGCTTCTTCGGACCCGACAAGGTCGTTGATACCAACTCGAAGATGACGGTCGTCACGCAGTTCATCACCGATGACGGCACTGACACCGGCACACTCAGTGAGATCAAGCGTATCTACGTGCAGGACGGTGTAGTGATTGCCAACTCGGCATCCGATGTTAGCGGCGTCTCCGGAAACTCGATCACGTCGGACTTTTGCACAGCGCAGAAGACCGCATTCGGGGATGAGGATGTCTTTGCCCAGCACGGCGGTATGTCTGGCATGAGCAGTGGTTTAGAGCAAGGAATGGTGCTTGTTTTGAGTTTGTGGGATGACCATTATTCCGATATGCTCTGGCTGGATAGTGATTACCCGACCGACGCGACCGCCTCGGACCCTGGTGTTGCCCGTGGTACTTGCTCTACTTCATCTGGCGCGCCGAGCACCATTGAGTCTGCATCTGCTTCGGCCAATGTGGTCTTCTCGGGTATCAAGTTTGGTCCTATCGGATCCACCTACTCTTCATAAGTTTGAAATGTCGGCCAGAATGGAATCTCTACCCATTTCGTGGGTGTGACGGGACAAAGCGGAGAAGAGATTGGAGATGTATTGGATGCAATTTGCTTTTCTTGTTTTATACTTTTTGAACTTCATTTCTTCGAGAGCGAGTCTCTCAGTATCTTTTTTTTGGCTTGATTATTCATTTGTCGCAATTGAACAAAACATAGGAAAACATCAGAGAATAAACGGTTTTATGTTGATGTCATTGAACCTTGGATAAGACCACGGAAGATCCTCGGCCCGCTAAAAAGAAAAAACGGAAGCTTTAAGCTTCACCAACTTTAAGAACTCACACTTACAACATATAAACACCCCAAAATACAAAGCATTGGTCTTTCTCGGTGACTTAGTGACCCTTGGACTGGTCACACTTCCCGCGCAACCATGTTCGACACGGTCTGCTCACTTCCGCTCTCCTCGGACCTTTTCACACAGGCCATCCACCCCGGACAACCTGTAGTCTCCGTGGGTCTAGCCTCGGGTCATGTCCAGACATTCCGATTGCCCTCCGAAGACGCCAGCAGCGACGATGATGCGGCGTCCAATTCCTCCATTCGCAGTGGCAAGGGTCATATCGACACCATGTGGCGGACAAGACGGCACAAGGGTAGCTGTCGGTCCTTGGGATTTAGCACAGATGGAGAGATGCTGTATTCGGCTGGTACCGATGGGCTCGTCAAAGCTGCAAAGTCTGAGACAGGCCAGGTGGAAAACAAGATTGTAATTCCGCTCGAAAAGAAAGGGTAATTTTCTCCGCAAATGCGACAGGCATTGACGTTTGTGAGATTCAATGAAGCTAACTTACGGCTCGGGTATTATTAGATCTGTCGATGCCCCTACTATCATCCACGCTCTTTCCCCCCAGACCCTTTTGCTTGCGACAGACTCCAGCGCTCTCCACCTTTACGATTTGCGAATTCCCTACTCCAAGGTCTCCGCTCGACCAGAGCAGTCGCATCACCCGCACGACGACTACGTCTCTTCCTTGACCCCTTTGCCTGCCTCCGACACCAGCACTTCCGGATTCAGCAAGCAATGGGTCACAACCGGTGGAACTACTTTGGCAGTGACGGATTTACGGCGAGGTGTGCTTGTGCGCAGTGAAGATCAGGAGGAGGAACTGATTAGCTCCGCATACATGGGTGGACTGCCCAGCAGCGGGACCAGCCGCGGAGAGAAGCTGCTCGTGGGTGGCTCGAACGGCATCATTACGCTGTGGGAGAAGGGCGTATGGGATGATCAAGATGAGCGCATCTATGTTGAGCGAAGCAACGATGGTGGCGAATCCATTGATACAATGTCTGTTGCTCCAGATGATCTGGGTTATGGCAAGCTCGTGGCCGCTGGTCTGGCCAATGGATTGGTCAAGTTTGTGCGCATTGGATCGAACAAGGTTGTGTCAGAGGTTCAGCATGACGAGACTGAGGGTGTTGTGGGGCTGGGATGGGATGTCGAGGGACGCATGGTTTCTGGCGGAGGGCAGATTGTCAAGGTTTGGCATGAAGCTGTCGCAACCGATGGTGCAGAAGATGATATGGATGGTGGGAAGCATATGCTTGATGATAGTGATGACAGTGATGATTCCGATGACAGCGATCGGGAGAAGAAGAAGAAACCCAATGCGCGGGAGCGCAAGAAGCAGAAGAAATCCAACCGCAAGGAAAGCGGTGCGCACGTCATGGCTTTTGCCGATATGGACTAATGCTGCATTATCTGATACCCACCTGCAGAATATTAGAATACTACCCAAAAGCGAAATAAAAAATAACCTAGACCATCCGGTGTTTCATTCGTAGCAATGTCAAGTCATGTCCGCGGGTTTATAATTAGGGTAAGCTATATCCGAGAAATGAATGCTTATTCATGCTGAACTAATAGTCAACTAAGTATCCGGGGATTTCCGCACTTCTTTTGGGTGTAGCTTTGAAATATCTTTAGGCCATCAAACAATTCTTCCACGAGGAAATGCCGAGGATGGAGTCTTCAGTCTTCAATTAATCGGATTCAGCTCCAAAATGCAATTCAAATCTAGTTCTTCGGTCGTAATCGACTCAACTTCGGAACCAAGCTCAGTTCGAACTGCCGATGGTAGACCCCACGGCCCCACGGTAGCGTATGACGTTCGTCGGATCACGGTGGGGTGTGGGGTGGCTAGTCGGTTATAAGACTGCATTGGCTCGCCCGTGAATGGTCTTGGCCATATACTATAAATCTCAAAATGGATTCTTTCGAGTACAACCCCAACCCCGGCCGCGTCGTGTTTGGCAGCGGGACACTACAGAAACTCCCTGAGGAGATCGCGCGGTTGCAGGTGAAGTCTCCATTGGTGCTGTCGACACCCCAGCAGATTAGCCAGGCCGAGAGCGTCAAGGATGTGCTCCAGGGCCAAGTGGCTGGCATTTTCAGCGAGGCTACTATGCACACGCCAACACATATTACTGACAAGGCTCTCGAGTATGCGAAGGCACAGGGTGCTGATTCGGTGATTTCTATTGGTGGTGGAAGTACCATTGGTCTGGGAAAGGCGATCAGTATTCGCACTGGCCTGCCTCATATCTGCATTCCCACAACCTATGCCGGTAGTGAGATGACTCCCATCTTGGGTGAGACGGCCAATGGATTGAAGCAGACGCGTTCTGATCCCAAGATCTTGCCTGGTACCGTCATCTACGATGTGGACTTGACTATGACCCTGCCAGCGGCTATGAGTGCCACCAGTGGAGTCAATGCCATTGCTCATGCTGGTAAGTAGCTTTGAATATCACTTTGTAGTTGCCCAAAGGCCAAGAGACTGATCTAATCCATTTGGAAATGCAGTCGAAGCGCTCTACGCCCGCAACACCAACCCAATCATCACCATGATGGCTATTGAAGGTACTCGGGCCCTTGCATCCGCCCTCCCTGAGATCGTTGAGAACCCGTCTTCTCAAACTGCCCGCTCTAAGGCTCTCTATGGTGCCTGGCTCTGCGGCACCTGTCTCGGTAGCGTGGGCATGTCCATTCATCACAAGCTGTGCCACACTCTCGGTGGCAGCTTCAACCTCCCTCATGCAGAGACCCACACCGCTGTCCTTCCTCACGCCATTTCCTACAATGCGCCTAATATTCCGGAGGCCATGAAGAAGCTTGCAGATGCGCTGCCAGACAGCAATGGCGACGCAATCCATGGTCTCAATGTCTTACTGGCCAAGTTGAAGGTCAAGCGTGGCCTAAAGGACTTTGGTATGAAGGAGGAAGATATTGATAAGGCGGCCGATATTGCTGTCTCTAACCCTTACTGGAACCCACGCGCGATTGAGCGGGCTCCGATTCGTGAGTTGATTCGCAGGGTCTGGGTGGGTGAGCCGGCAAGTGCCAACCTATAGATCAAATAAATGCATTCATATTAATTTGACACCATTCAAACATAAGTCTTGCTCCTCTTAACTTATCAAATACCATTTGGCCTTAATGTCAAGAAAAATGGAGAAAGAAATAAAAAAAAGTGGCGTGTTGGGCGTTTACCAATGGGCTGATCCATAATTATGGTTATCGGCGGCGGGGGAAGTGGGGGATCGTATTTTTTTTTCTACAAAATTTTGGATTTTCCCGTCTTTACCCCTCCAACACCAACATCAACTTATTGATTTCAAATGGGTACTATGGAGGCAGCTCCGGTGCTGTCCACTCCGGACGACCGCATATTTGAATTGACCGAGCCTGTCGCCCCAATCCATGCCTCTCAGCGGCTGTCCGATGCCGAACTTTCGATCACGTACGACATCGAACGCACCTTGACGGAAATTCGCCAAGCCCGATACAAGCGCATCGCTCTACAATTTCCCGATGATATGCTTCCGGATGCTCCGCGGGTGTTTCAGCTTCTCAGCCGCGGCCTTAATTCAGACGAGGTCGCCAGCGCGAATAGGACAAGTGCGGGACAGGCAAATTGTCAAGCCGGCACGGAAGCCAATATAACAGAGGGTGTGTCTCAGCTGTCTGTAGATTACCAGGAGACTTGGTCGCCGCGTTTGTACATCCTGGCCGACACCTCCTACGGTACGTGCTGCGTGGATGAAGTGGCAGCAGAGCATGTGGATGCTGATGTCGCGGTGCACTACGGGAGGTCTTGCTTGTCCCCAACTGCGAGGCTGCCAGTTATATATGTTTTCACAAACAAGCCACTGTCAATAGACCCCGTCGTGGAAGCCTTTAAGACGACTTATACGGATCCGACTACCAAAGTCATCATCGCAGCCGATGTCACCTACGCCGCTCATATTCAGGACGTGTATAAGCGCCTCGTCGAAGATGGATACAGCAATGTGTTTGCTACAGAGGTGATCCATGAACCTTCGTCAGCCATTCCTAATCGCTCTGTGCCTGAGTCCGTCAGGGAGGCACCCGATACCCTGTCCGGTTGGCAGCTGTTCCACATCTCCGACCCACCAACCGCTCTTCTCTTGACCCTTGCTTCTCGTGTGGCTGCTATTCATATCTACCCCACCAATAACCCAGGCAACAACCATGTCAAGCCTTTGCCGGCATCTACTGCTGCATTGTTGGGACGGCGATATGCCCTGATTACCCGCCTCACGACAGTCCCTATCTGGGGTATCCTAATCAACACGCTCAGTGTCAAGAACTACATGGGCATCGTGGACCATGTGAAAGAGAAAATTGCCGCCGCTGGCAAGAAGAGCTACATGTTTGTCGTAGGCAAACTTAACGCCGCTAAAATCGCTAATTTCAGTGAGATTGGTGGCTGGGTGGTGATCGGCTGCTGGGAGAGCTCATTGGTCGATAGCAAGGATTTCTTTACGCCAGTGATCACACCGTTCGAATTAGAGCTGGCGCTGAAGAGTGACGACGAACGAGTATGGACGGGATCCTGGCAAAGCAACTTTCAAGCCATCCTCGACAAGCCGGATGGGGAGTCAGACGAAGCAGACCAGACATCAAACGGTGCAACCATGGACGAGGAAGATGGCATGTCGGAACCCGAGTCTGCACCGCCCGAGTTCGATCTGCGTACTGGGCGCTACGTTTCCCATTCGCGACCGATGCGGGATCCCGCACCCCGCGCTTCCGCCGCGATCGATGGGTCGTCTGGGCCTTCCGCTGCTAGGGCGCTGGCCCGGCGGGCTAAGGGCGATCTAGCGATGATCGGCGGTGCCGTATCACCAGGGGCCGAATTTCTACGGTCGCAACGGACTTGGAAGGGGTTGGGCAGTGACTTTGACATTCGATACGATGAGGAGGAGTCGGACAGTACGCTGGTCAAGGAAGGGCGCAAGGGTATTGCCAGGGGGTATACGGTTGGCGAATCAGGCGAGAGACATTAGCCGGTTTATGTCAATCTATGGACATCAAGTACATACGAATACACTAGTTCACTAGTGAGGTATGATATATCTTCAAAGGGGCTTCGCATGTATATAGCGTGAAGCAATATACCCTCCTGGTTAGATCATAGAGCATCACATGACGACAACGGGCGCATCCGTAAGAAAGTGGAAAGTTTGTCTTCTTTTTTCTTTGATTTGCATCTTTGCTTTGAATCATTATTTCCTTTCCAGGTTTAAGTCAAGTTGTTTCGGGTTGAGAATTCGTGGGCCTTCTCTCCATCAACTCCTCATTTATCCTTCTTCCCCTCTCTCTCCCCCCTCGCTCCCCCTTGGGATTCCGCGAGCCCTTGCGATCCCACACTCATATCGATTATACTTCACGTCTGATGGCCTTGCATGGTGGCTTATCTTGAGATGTGATTTTTCTTATTTCTAAGCCATTCGTTGCATCCTATGATGTGCTGCGCCTTCACGCTACCGACTCGCGATCTCGCGTTCCTGGACCTTTCGACCTGAAGACCGAGAACCCCAGACTTTCAACGTACTCGCGGCCCATACCATGGACCACCACGGCATCATGGCAGAGCAACAGGCCATCGATCCCCAGAAAGAGCCACAGCAGCTGGTTGAAACTGCCCTTCAGAATTCAGTCCTCTCCGTGGAACGTCCTTTATCTCTCTTTGAGCGCGTGATTACCACCAATGCTCCCATTATAGAATCCCTATTACTCCAGATTCCGACCGACACCATCATCAAGCTCTACCACACGTCGCACTACCTTCGCACGTTCCTTCGCTCATACCCGATCGCATGGAGGTCCCTCTCATTTCGTCTACTCTACCCATCCGGCAGCTTGCCGGCCAGCCGGATCATCATTCCGGGCATGTCAGACTTCGAAACGCAACGCCAATCCCGCCCATACGCCCTAGATCAGCTGTTAATGCATGTGGTAATCCCTTTCAGCGGGTGCCTCCGGAGCTTGGAGCTGGATAACACGGCCGTCTCAGGTCAGATTTTGATTTCGACGGTGTTGCATGCACGCAGGGAATATCTAGAGCACCTTTCCGTTCGCGGCTGCAAGAATGTCTCTCTCAAGTATCACATCATCCCATATCTGACGATGTTCGGATTGCAATATGACGTGGATATGGAAAGAAATGTCGGCAGCTCCCCAGCGACTAAACGGTTAGCGCTCAAGAGCCTTTACGCGTATCGATGCCGCCATCATCGTCGCCGGCCTTATCTCACTGCGTCGCTATTGCGCAAGGATTCCGATTCAGAGCCTACTCATGAACTCGTCAACCTCTGCCACAAATTAGGAATCTGGACGGATACTGCATGGTGTACAACACCTGCTGGCAGGTGTTTTCGCAGGCGCGGATATGTCTCCATGCGTGTTCCGCAAGGTTCCCCAGAAGTCTGGGTGGTATTCGATCGACTCTGGAGATGCAAGAACTGGATTGGACCAGTGGATTCATCTATACACCGCCCTCGTGTAGATGATGGGAAACTCTGGGAAAATTGCGACACGGGGTGCAACGGAGAGGCGATTGGCACAGGCGAAGGGCCTGACATGGGTGAGGGTAAAATGACTCCTGCGCATCTTCGTCGAAGCCATACTCAGTTTGTGCAAAATGTGAAATGCGACGGTTGTTTGGAGGATATCGCAGAAAGATGCGAGCAATGCAGTATCCTGATGCACTGCGTGGGATGCCGCAGAACTCTGTGTGCCAGTTGTGCTTACGAGCGGCCCTATCTTCACCGCACAAACTCCGGTGCATCTACCGGAAATCATCATCAACAACAACAACACGATGGACAAAACCCCAACTCCTTCTGGTGGGCTCCCGGGGCTACACTCTCACCTAGCTCGATGCAGGATCCAATCGCGAATCCCCTCGACAACACTCCCTTGTTCCATGGAGGAGCACCGACGTCACATCCTGCCCTAAAGTTCCATTGGTGTTGCACGGAACCTATCTTCTCCGGAGGTGGGGGCATCAGCATCGGCACACCTAGTCGGGACGTGGACCAAGTGCGCGCTGTACCTTTGCCTCGTAATCAAGGCTGGGAGGACCTTGAGTACACCGTCAGCGAGTGGAGCAAGACATTCCCAAAGTACGCTTACGGCGACCCAAGCAAACCGGATTATTCTCTTGAAACCGGACACCTCGCCATGATGAAGTGGTTACTAGGGCCACCCAATCGGCAAGTCTCACCATGCCCCCGGAACCTATGCCAGGATTGCTACGACTCGCCACAGTGGAAGGTTCATTGCAAAAGCTGCTCCAAGCCACTTTGTATCGAGCATGACCTCCGCGGTCTCCGTCTGCGTATCTGCGGCTACCGGGACCTCGCATTTGAGAAAATGACTATTCAAAACCGATCGGCGGTCAGCCCTCCATCTCCCAACGCATCATTTAACCAAGTTTCGGGATTTGATCTTCCTTTCCGCACTCAGCGGCTGGTTGACTCCACCAATAGCAGTTTCATCGAGGACCAACAGGGAGACATCATCATAGATGACAATCTATCGGACCCTCCAACCGGCGACCCGTCTCTGTTTCCTCGCAATCCCACTCGCTCCTTCTCCGCACCACCGTCAAATCATTCGGGGTCATCCTCCCCCTCCTCCTCGTACTTTGAGTCCACATTTGAGGCGCCACGGTGGCAAGGCTGTCAATCTTTCTTTTGTCCGCAGTACCGTTCCCACGGGGATCAGCGACAGCGGTGCTCAAGCTCCCTCCGAGAATGCAAGGCGTGTGCGGTGTATGTCTGTCAGGACTGCGTGACCGCCAACCCTCCCTGCAAGTGCACCTACTGCGAAGAGAATTATCTGTGCCCAAACTGCATGAAAGTACGTGCTCGTGATGGTGCTTGCCGCCGACGAGAGGAGGAGAAAGCCCGCAGAGAGCGCAAGTGGAAAAGGGACATGCAGGTGCTAGAGGGTATCTTGGAACTCAAAGTAGCCAATGAAGTGGCCGAGTTTGCGGGTCAATTCTTCGAATATATCGAGCATGGCCCGGACGATGGAGTCCCTGTCACACCCATCGAGAATCACGAGTCCGATGATCTTTTGCCTAGCAGTTCTCTGGAACCGCCTGTGGACTCAGACGTCGAAGTGGGATCCTCTCTATTCGTTGCCGGGACCAATTATATCACCCCACTTTACGAGTTCGAATAGAGTCACTCTTCTACCGGTCCAGATATCCCTTTGATATCATCCACTGTCCGTCACATTATTCTTTTTTACGTCTGTCTTGATCTCGGTTTCTTTAGCGAACTACCACATATCACGGCGCCAGCGGGTACTCATTCCTGATATTTATCTTTTTTTTTTTTTTTACCTTCAAATCTACTTCCTCTCATCGTGGGACACTTTACGCAAAGCGAGTCATGCATGTCGGATCAAGCCAATGAATTTCATGGTGGATCAACCAGGCGTTGCAACATGGCGGGGCGCATTTCCGGATTTCTAATTTATTTTTTTCCCTTCCACCCTAAATTCCTCCTCCCCTTCTGTTCCAACCCCTCCTTTTGAATCGGACCAGAGCTGCAGATGGATGCCCTGAGCGCTCTACTCTTAGGTCTACGGGTTTGCAGGAACACAAATCGGTCTGACGACGTGGCTGGCCAATGGACGCAGGCACCGAGCTACTTTTCCGATGTATCTTTTTCTTTTCCTCTATCCGTCCTCGTTTCGGTCTTCATGTCGCTTATCCTGTTCGAGGCTGGTTAACCCCGACAGAGTGTGTGATCTAGAGTGGGTAGGGCATGGCGTATATTGACCAGATATTTTTCATCAGCATTCATCACTAGGAGGAAGCTATTTCACAGGGCCATATATTAGTATTGTCATTATCTATTAGTGGAGAGCGACCAATACTGGTCCGAAAATTTATATTGTGCCTTTCAAGCTGATGAGTACCCAAAATTGAACCTTCGAAAGCCACTGAATGTGACCTTAATACTCACTCTATAAAACAGCCTATCTTTAACTCACCCTGCAGCGGTGAGGTGATCAGATCCGCCACTGTCGGTTACATAATTGGCAGATATCAGCATCATGCACCGGTAAATTAAATGGTCTACCCGTTTCCCCGTCATGGCCCTATCATGGGTTCAATGCGAATCCTAGTGACTGTACTAACCGACTAATCCAAATCGAGAAGTCATCCACGGCCCCTCCCAAGTGCCGCGAAAGTCGGACGGCTGTACTTCTGCCTGCACAAGGGGAAGTTTGATTCCGGGCGATCAGTACTTTTGTCACTCTATCAGGGATTTGTCACTCATATGACGCAGTAGCGGTGATCGGGCACAATGACTCTTGCTTCAGGAATCAGAATACCGGTTTGGACTGGCCAATATCGGAGAAACATGCGATGAGTCTTGTGATGGAGGCTGTGGGCCGTCGAATGGATCTCTTGGTTGACGTGGCATGGCGGTGGAATGTAGGAGATGTGTACTCCGGTCCATAACCTGAGGCTCGAGGTCTTGAATACTGTATAGGTCTACAGTATACAGACTTTGGGCTCATTTGGCATGTTCCCGATATCAGCCGAACCGTTGGTCTCACCGCATCTGACCTAGCCTCCCTGGCTACCTTCTATCTTTCGTCCTTTGTCCTCAAACAGCGACCTTTCGGGATATGTAGGCGACGTATGTTTCCTTGGGGAAAAAAACCATGATGGTTTCAGGAAGTGTTGTCATAGGTGACAAAAGTACCAGCCCGCACGGTATTTTTGTTGCTGGCACACCCGCCCCATCCGCTCGAATAAGAAGACTTCCCCGACACTAGAGGGACCTTCGACTCAGCCCCTTGACTTGTTTCGGTGTTGACCGCCTGTCGTGCCGGGCGGTTGGGCCCGCATGGGATTCTGTGATTCTTCCATGGGGCTTTGTTTTGGCTTCCGTCGGTGGAGAGCGGGTGGTAGATGGTACATGAATGTATAATATAGTATAAAATTGACCGTCCTGCTTGGCCTCTATAGATGTTGGATGTACAGACAATGCTATATTCATCTTTCCAAGAGCCTGCACATTAACAGGGTTTGCGTGGTCAACACCGGAGTATCTACGTAGAAAATAATCAAAGGTTAGCCGATCAGTGCAAGACTACACCCTCGGCAAGCAAGATTCTCACGATAATGAAGAATGGAACTGTTTCGGAAACTCTATTTGTCTTCACCTATGACAACGGACATGATTGCGAGTGTCGTACTGAAGGTCCGACGCGAGTGTCACGCAGCCACCCTGCATAGTTAACTGGCGATAACCGGAGTAAAAGCGGTGCGCGGTGCTGTCAAGTTCCCAGCAGTCAGGTAAAGATCGGCTATCAAAGCATGATGGAGTACAAGCATGAGGCACGTACAAAGGGCATCAAGATGGTCATCTGATAGCCGGGGGCAGCGGTGATACACAGGTCCGTGTCCTATACCGCAACGTGCCAACATCAATTCCACCCAATGACCCCTTTGCACTCGGACTTCAGGTCAGAGTACGTGTCTGGGTGCACTTGGGTAGATGATGCGGTCAAGGACAACAACGGTGACCATGCGTGCCACCACGTGGTTCTGACTCAACCCCTCCAGGGAATAAAATACCATAAAACAATTAAAAAACGGGATAGCATGCAACAGCCCGGCCTTGCGACGGACCGTCTTATCGGCGGTGAATAGAGTAATCTAACCAATAGACGCGCGCCGGCTGTGTTTAAGCGACTTACTTGACAGCTGATGATTGTATCAGAGAGAACAACCGATCGAGCGGACCGAGCGCCGATCTCTAAGGATCAACCCAATCCGCTTCCCCGGGTACCACTATGCTGACGGCTGCATTTATCATGCGTTCTATTGTATTTGGCCCCCCCCCTTTCTCGGTTTCCTCTACTTTGGCCTTGCAGTACCCACCCGGGGGGGACCATATACTATCCTTGGAACTTGAGCTATCCACCTGGAGCTGATCTAGAATTTCCCTCCCCCTTTTTCCCCCTTAGGCTCCCGATATCAGATCGGCTGGCGCGGATGTGGTGACAAAGCCCCCCGATTGGTACGGGGGTGCGGTTCCTCAGGAAGGTATCCTATAGGTGCCCTTGGGATGTGGTGGACTTTGCGGGTTACCTGAGCTTTCCATTGTCACAGCACGCACAGTCACTAGCCTGCGCTCTGACATCAACCTCTTATAGGTTCCAGGGGTGTTGGAGGGGAAAGAAGGAAGAGTGGGGAAGCACATCTAAGGCGCCACTCTACTGGGTTCCTTATTCCCTGATTCTTCGTTGGTTTTTTCTTTTTCTAATCCATATCAGGATTGTTAGTATCATCCGCTAGTGATGATGATATATTCTGCTTTGGTTATGGTTTGCACGGAAATGAGATCTCAGCTTTGACCCTCAAGCTCACTGGACAGCTCCCCCCCCCTGGCTTTGTCATGTCTACTCTGACTTTTCCCCCTTGAAACGACCAATGACGGCTGTCCACTTTATGCCCAATAACCTGTATGAACCGGGATCAGCCCGGGTTTACCTTGAGGTTATGCGGACCGTTCTACCGTGGACGAATCTAGGGGCGCGAGGAGAGTCGGTGAAGCTGGGGCCAACAATACCAGCCTTGCCCCCTTCCCAAGGAGGACTAGCCAACTCAGCCTAAGCCCAACCTGAATGTCGTAATGGTCGTAAGCGGCTGTGAAAATCGTGGAAACAAAAAAGAAAAAGAAAATGGAGATATTCTGCGGCTGTGACACTCGTGACCGGGTTCTGCCCCAGAGCAAACATTCGCGATTATTTAATTTGGATTTAATGTTTTAATGATTTTTGAATCTCTTTCCACTTTCGATCATTTTAATTTAATTGGGATTTTGGAATTTTGGAATTTAACACTGTCACTGGATTCCACATGTGTATATAAAGGGGCCTTGGGGTCTCAGGACTTTTTTGATTTCCAACACAGTCTCGGACCAGATACTTGAAGACGCAATCTTCATCTCTTGTGAAGGCCTTTCATATTCACAATTCCAATCCACTTCTACCACACATCTTCTACAATGGATCAAGTCAAGTCCCAAGGTGTCAAACCAACACCCGTCGGCAAGGACGGCAAGCCGCTCGACAGTGTCGAGTCCTACCAAGCACACTGGGCCCAGCTGATGGAAGATACCAACTTGAAGATTCAGCAAATCCGAGGTATGACCATGATCGCGAACTCCCCAAATCCATCATCTATGACATATGATATGTCATATGCAGGGAGTGAGAGCAATAATCTGACACTTGACTATAGAGGAAGAGAAGAGAAGGGCAAACCAGCAAAGCCAGTCCTCGGGCCGATGATTTCCACTATAACGCTCTGTCACGGTCGCTATGCAATATGAACGGAGTTCCTCGGGGGTTCAGGATGGATACATTCTTTTCATTTCTTGTCTATATCATTTTCTTTCATGGCGTTGCATATCCCGGGCGACTGAAGCATGGGGCACACCCAGATTCCACGGCCACATTCGTTTTATGGAGTTGTGAATCTGATGCGGATTAGAAGGAGGGGTATCGAGGATATGGACGGCATTTGCGCATCATGCTCAATCGATTTTTTTTTCTTTTTGTTTGTTATCTGCTGTCATTGATTTGGTTCTGGTTTTGTTGAATGAAGATCTCCTAGAAAGGAGACTTGAGGCGCGGCTTGCATATCCGAGGGAACATCCCTGGTCGATCGTTACGCACAAGCCAGAAATTGAATCGATTTCCTACTCAATGACTATACGTGATTCAGAACCTTCACACACATGAAGCACCGGGTGCCTCGGCATTTAGTTTCCTTCTCTTTTCTTTTTTTCATTCATCTCGATTTTGCCACTATTTACTTTCTTCTCAATGCACGCTTTTCGCCTGCAGTCAATAACGAACTCGGTCAATGTCGCATGCATACATTGACTGTTGTAGATAGCACTCACAGTACAGTGATCGTCATTGACTTGCATCCCCATTCGTCGGACCAACAGTCGGGACAACTGACCTGTGCATCTTTCAGCTACGCCATCGCCAACAATGCCATTGCTACAAGCGGTGTGAAGGTTCACCTGCACCCAGGTGAAATCAGGCGACCGGCTAGCGTATTCTATGGGTACGTCGTAAGCAGAATCCTTTCGGCATTTAGCGGCAAAGAAGCATTTGAGAAAAAAGAAAGACACAGAAAGCCCCTCGGAACAGTTCGTGTCGACTTCAATGCCGATCGGCTCCCCCTGCAGACCATTTCTCTTTTGACAGCATTCCGTGCCGTTTGCCGATCAGTCAAATCGGGAGGGGATTTGCCCCCCTTTTACCCCCTTTGACAAGGACGTTAGGGCCGGCCGAGCTGTCGTTCATTCTAGGATCTGTCAAAACCGATCTCCTGTCTTGGACGTCTACATCGCTTTTCATGCAAGGAGGCGGGGAATACGGGACGCGTATAGCGCGGCTATGTATGGCGTGGGCCGACGCTCGGGATGCGTCCCGAATGGGAGAGGCTGGAATCCAGTTCCACAGTGTAAGACATGTATACGGTCTAGAATCATTGTGACAGATTCCGATTTCATGGAGATTGATAGCTGGGGAGTATAAAGTTGGGATCCATAAAAAGATACGAGGCGACCAATCACAAATTAGGGTTCTGCGGCCCTTCGGCACCCCACCCGTAATTATTCCAAGCTTCGCATCGAACCTCACTTCCCCGCCATCAACAAGCCTTTTCCATCATGTCCTCTGCCGATTCTGACCAGAATCTCTCCCCGGCCGAACGGGCTGAACGCGATCTCCAGGAGAAGGAGCGCCAGGCTCGCGAGGCCGCTGAGCAGGCCCAGCTCCCTTACAAATGGACCCAGACCATTCGCGACCTTGAGGTGTCCGCGCCGATCCCTTCCAATATCAAGGGCCGGGACATGGTGGTGACCCTGACCAAGTCAAAGATTAGCGTTGCAATTAAAGGCCAAGAGCCTATTCTCGAGGTGGGTCTTTCAGCTACCCTGCCCCCGCTATCCTCTTTGTCAACCACTTCCCCAGGACAATCCAATCATCGGCTAACGCTTAAGTTCTCTATTTGTTCAGGGCGAATTCCCCCACCCCATTCTTGTCGACGAATCATCTTGGACCCTTGAGACAACTTCTGTGGCTCCGGGCAAGGAAGTCATCATCCACCTTGACAAAGTAAACAAAGTGGAGTGGTGGCCTCATGTTGTGAAGGGCGCACCCAAGATCGATGTCACCAAGATTACACCCGAGAACTCGAGTCTGAGTGACCTCGACGGCGAGACCCGCGCCATGGTTGAGAAGATGATGTACGATCAGCGCCAGAAGGAGGCAGGTGGCTTGACCAGCGATGAACAGAAGAAGAAGGAGCTTTTGGAGAAGTTCAAGGCGGACCACCCTGGTAAGTTATGATTGCTCCCAGTACCGGTGGGTTACTGTGTGACTTTTTGGCTAATGTTTTCGCAGAGATGGATTTCTCTAATGCTCAGATCAGTTAAGGAAATTAGTATATTTGAATGTCCTAGACAAAGCGATTCCCTAGTGTATGAATCATGACTAATATGCATCAAGCATGGTTGGTTTTCAATGAATTTTGCGGTCCTGTCTCTCCCATTCCTATGATCAACAATTTGATCTATATTTCCTCAATTCTGCTATTTACCAAAGGCTATAACGTACACGAGAAAAATCTACCAAGAGACGGACAGCTTGAGTGGAACAGTAGATGGAAGTGATAACTCATATGGCCTAGGATATTATGCCAACCCATCTTCCAATACACTCATTCTCCATTGATCAGTCTCTTCTTATTCTTCCCCAGGTCTCTCCACCGTCACTGCAATGATCATGTAAGCGCCGGAACGCCAATGCTCAGAAGCCAGATAATAATATCACGAGAGTTGTGTGACGTATCTTTTCACTCAGTCATTTTTGAGCCTCATTCAGTATTGCCCGATTGGATCGAATGCCGGTTTCCTATTTAGGCCAGGCACAGCACTACATGTATCTACTCCGCCTCCCTCTTCTCTCTTCACTGACTAATCGAATAATATTGTCGGGCGTTCTGGATTCCCTTTTGCGACCTGAGCCTAGATCGATCTACATCACTCAAGGACAACGATTATGTCATTCTTCCCCAAAGGGCGGTAAACATACATGTATACGCGCTCCATCCAGCGCCACACCGCACTTACATTCAGCTTTGTCCCGGTCCATCTTGGCAATCTGCACCCCTTCATAGAATTTGACGTATAGGAACACTTCCATAAAAACAAAAGCCGATGTTCTAGAACAATCAGCTCCACCCGGGTCCTTTAAAACAAGGTTACGGCAAAGTCCTTGCAGCCATGAATATGATGCATCCATCCGAGACCCGCTCGGGGAGCCTAGCTAGGTGGGGATGCAGGGGGAAAGGGCCATGGATATTCCGGGTTCCGAATCTCAAATACCACTCGCTGACAGGTGCAGAGATCGTCGAGGAAATATAAAGATCGGGATTTCCATCGGAGATTGCAGACGCGTGGGCGATCGGCAAGGACAGCAGTTAAAGGAAATCATCTCCACAGCCCGCCGACTATGCATGAACTAACTTGGAACTTAAGGTGGCAAAACCTGATATTTTGGCCTGTGTTACGAGGCGGATCCCGATTGTTTGGGTGAAGTTATGGAGTGGACCTCAGTGCATCTTTGCGGCTCAGCCTTGAAACAGTTGAGATATGTACAGTAGTTTTGCGGCCCAAAAGCAAGGACAGCATGGTTCTCAGAAGATCGCCATTTCGAGGTACGAGCTTTCATCAGGGCACGGACACTACTGGCTTGGCTGGCACCGAGAATGGGGTCAATGACCTCATTTGGTGAAACAAGACACGGATTGCCTTTTTAGGGTTGATGCGTTGTTCGTCGATGGCTACATACTGTACTATTCTGGACGCCATAAATACATCAAAGGATTTTCGACTAAACCTGATGATCCTTACCCTGGCTTTATACACATCATAATCGACCTTGGATTTTCAAGATCACCTACTGGAAATATTTCCCCCGAGAACAATACTTCCAAGGCACCGTCTAGCCAAGAAATTTCCATGCAAAAACAAAATCCTTATATATGCCCTAGTATCTGGATGAAGCATACACAAGCGTGAACCAAGTATGCTTAGACAAGCGTCCGGTATCTCTTAAGGTTTCCAAGACCATAAAATTGCGTGCTTTAAGTGTCAACATTCAAACAAGACACTCCGTCCTACGAAACTGAACATGCTTGGGTACACTTTTTAAATATGGTGCATACTTTCTCGTCTGGCAAGATGAACCTAAGCTGTACCAGTTCGAGTGCATAGCTAGACATATCTGGAAATATTTGAGAATAATTCACCTTCTAAGTCTAAGCTTGGTATCAAAATTCACAACAAGCTCCTTATTTTTATCAGTAAGAACCCAAGCCCAAACAGGGCCACGACGAGACTCAAACGCCTGTACAAGTCGACTCCACAAATTCGACACGTCTAGAACAAGTATCTCTTGCTTCACAGTGCCCATGTCATCCATACCGGTTATAAAACCATCCGACATGTCTAAAGGACGATAGTACTTGAAGTCAGGGCCCATCATAATCGATCCGGAGGCGGTTTCCTCGCGCAGCTGATTAGTGAAAATATCCACGCCGACGTATTTTGGCTGGTCTGAAGAGTCATCGATTCTGATGACCTGGCAGGCCCGACCTTCAAGAAGGATGAAGTCACCGACTCTGATGGTCGAAGAAGGTATTTCGGGCATCTTGATATATTCGAGAGTGGCGGTATAGCGGAATATTTGTCTGTAGGCTAAGCTTGATCTGCTGGCAGATTTGGGGTATCGAGGTAACACCAAGGCTGTGGAGCTCTCTAGATAGGCATGTGTGGGTGCTGAGATGTTCCAGTCAACCCAATCTAGGGATGCGTGGCACACTTCCAATAAGCGAAACTCTGTGAGCCCTAGGGCAGTGTTGCATGAAGCCTGCATGTAATTCACGACCGTTTGAACCAGAAATAGGCGGAGAAGCAGTTTTTGAGGTCGATTGGATCTAGCAGGACCACCATTCAATCAAATAAACATACAACCCTAGGATTGCTTATCGTCATGTTCGGCCATTACTAAAGTGCTCCGATCTTTGACATATATCTCAGGTGTGCCGTTCCAGCGCTATAGGCTCATCAGTGTCGTAACGTAGTTTCCCAGTTGATCGCCCGAGAGACCAGCTCGGGTTTTAGATCGAGAAGTGATATATTAACATACGTGCGTGGTTTGTCTGAGAGCACTTCGGGCTGCTCGCGATTAGAAAATGATTAGGATCTAGTCGTTTTGAGATCCTCAAGTAAGCACACCGTGGAGAAGTGTCTTGGGGAGGTGCGGACACAAGGACAGAAGCAGGCGGCGCTGCAGGTTCCGCGAACTTCGTTTTGCGGTATACCTTCGTGCTGGATATGATTTTTTCTAGCCATGTTTGAAATCCGTTTGATAATATTTGAAGGTGATTCGATTTGATTGAAGTAGGCATTTCGTTATTAGGTAGTGGTGGTATACACTATGTATCCTTATATATCCACAATATTGACAAGGGTTTCCGATGCCGCCATATCTATCATCATTATTAAATATCCCAATATACCCCATATTTCCGTTCGTAAAAAAAGATGTGCCAATCGTCGCGTCGTATGCAGTGAGTTGTCACCAAACAGTGAAATGAGCCAACCTAGCGTGTATAAGCAAAGATAGCAAGGCACAGCAATGCCATGACACATGAGTCCAGCTCGAGTATCATATGCGGCTCAAATACAAAGATGACAATGATGCCGGATAAAATCGAAAGAATATGTAGTATGTTGCGTTGATGGTTTGATATTCTCGTCTTCTTCATCGGCTCTCCCACGAGACCCTCCGATGACGACGAATAGAGACATCATCCGCTTCAGACGAAGGTGCCGTCGTTCGGGCGCCATGGCCACCGTGCACCCTGGCCATAGGCGGGGGATTGATGGTCACGGCCATAGCAGATGAAATAGAGAAAGACCTGGACCTCGACAGCATAGCCGAGTGCCGCGGAGAGTACGGCGGCGGCGGAGTTTCTCGGGTCGCAGTCGATGTATTACCATAGCTACTGGGATACGAGAAAGTAGAAGCGCCATCAGAACTCACATCCTCATCGTAGAGGTTGCGGTTCTTCTCGTCGGCGGGATATGGACTGGAGTCCGAAGAGATCGCAGGATCACGCATATTTCCTTCGAGAGTCTTCTCGTGGATGCTCATCGGTCGTGGCGTGTACTGTGGAAGTGGAACCACGCTGGCATAGCCTCCGTCCGAGTCAGCCGGCGGAGGTCCGTGCCAATCCGGTTCGCTGGGACTCGCAGCACGAATGAACTGGCCCTCGCCGGAGAGGGTGAAGCGACCAGTCTGGATACCATTATGGGTGTGACTCTGGTGCTGTCTGGTGCTTTGCATCTCAGGTTGAGATGAAGAGTGCGGGGAAGCATGGTCGTGGGAGAAGCAGCCACAAAGGCCCGAGAGGAACGACATGGCGGGGCTGAGAAGGGTATTTTCTGTTGCTTTTGGCGTAGAAGAAAAGTGTTTAAAGAAAAGGAAAGAGTCAAAAGATTTGCAAAGTCTGTAGAGTATAAGAGAACGAAGACTGAAGAGCCTATGGTATGTCGCTTTGGATGGGCGCAATAAGGATTGGGACACTTGAGCCTCAATGGATCAGCAAGATAAGGCCAGCAAGTGGGAGAATTCCACACTCCAGTTGATCAGACTCCTACAAAGGAGCAAAATCAACAATAACCTGTCCCAGATAAAGTGATTCAGTCACGACGACATGTTAAGAAGAAAGAAAGGGAACAACAAAGCAAGACAATGAGGCTGCTGCAGGCATCCAAATTCCCGGTCATGCTGATTGGTAGATAATGTCAGCATTTACGCCTGAGGCAAGAACGTGTCTTTTAACTCGAAACTAACCAAATGTAGATTAACGACGATATAGTGATCATCAGCATCCAATATATGTACTAGGACAGGGTATAATAATGATATTATTGGAGTAGAAGATATTAATCAGGCAGGCAGACTCTCATTGAAGCTCGTGCTTTGGAATGGACACAATACAGATCGAATTAGGCATTCTCTCTTGTGCCCCCACCTTCGTTGGCGATGAAATCCAATTGAAGGCTTCTTGCAGTGTTCGTGCTATTTAGCCACGAGGGTTAAGCAGTTATATTTGATCCTTGATCTTCCCTTTATGGAAGATATGCTCATATCTTTGTGAGGTGGGTCCAGCCCTTTTCCTCCACGATGCCATTCACAATCCCCCCGCATGTTTGTTACGATGCTATTCTCACTACACCTTCCATCCGAGCCATCCCTACTCTTCTTTTGCCCTCGAGGCTACTCCCAGGTAACTCACTTAGGTTATGCCCAAATTCCACTTTACTTTTTGGTCATGAAACCTACATCATGATCTATAGATCCTAATCAATAGCCTCTGGGAGAGATAACCAAAGTCCCGATAAGAGCTGACATAATCAGGTACCCGCCGATCCATTCTAAATTTTTTGTAGATTTTCGTTTTTTGGACTTCCCCGCGCCACTCAAAGCCCACTCTCCAACGGACTTTTCCTTCTTTCTTCGTCCTTTCATACGCTCGCTAATACATCGCGCCAAATAAAAATGTCATCGGAGAAAGATATTCACAAATTCATCGAGAATGTCCAACCACCAACAGTGCCCCCCTCCCGCTCTCACGACCCCTCCAACAACCAGAAGCGCGCCGACCCGTTCCAATTTGGCTCCCGTTACCTAGAAGAGGGTGACAACGTTTTCGAGTTCAATGCCTGGGACCACGTTGAGCCCGACGATGAGTTCAAAGCCTTCGCCGAGGTCCAATACGAGAAGCAGCGCGCTGCGCCCGTCTCCGACTTCGACCAAAATCGTTTCAACAATGACCCCGCCAAGTGGTGGAATCTGTTCTACAAGAACAACACCGATAACTTCTTCAAGGACCGCAAATGGTTGCAGCAGGAGTTCCCGGTGCTGGCAGAGGTGACGAAGAAGGACGCCGGCCCCCAGGTTGTGCTAGAGGTTGGCGCTGGAGCGGGCAACACTGCATTTCCCCTGATTCGGAATAATGAAAACGAACAGTTGAAGGTGCATGCTTGTGACTTCTCGAAGTATGCTGTACAGGTCATGCGGGAGAGTGACCAGTATAATCCGAAGTACATGGTTGCCGATGTTTGGGACGCTGCTGCGGTGCCCGACGAGAACGGTGACTCTTTGCCGCCTGGTCTGACTGAGGGCTCTGTCGATGTCATCATCTTGATCTTTATCTTCTCCGCGCTAAACCCGAACCAGTGGGACCTTGCTCTGCGCAATATCTACCGTCTCTTGAAGCCCGGTGGCCAAGTCCTGTTCCGTGATTATGGACGTGGAGATCTGGCACAGGTGCGCTTCAAGAAAGGTCGCTACATGCAGGAGAACTTCTATGTTCGCGGTGATGGTACCCGTGTTTATTTCTTTGATCACGATGAGTTGGTCCAGATGTGGGGTCGATGGACACCAGAGAAGGGTCTTCAGGTCGATTTGGAGAACCCTCTTTCGGAGTCTCAGCTTGCGGAGGCTAATACCTCATTCGAGGTCAAGCATCTAGGAGCTGATCGACGCCTCATTGTGAACCGTTCTACCAAGCTGAAGATGTACCGCTGTTGGATGCAAGGTCATTTCCGCAAGCGTGGCGGTGATGTTGCTAATGCTGGAAATATTGAGTGAGATTTGGTGTCGCGCTCCGTTACACCATTTTGAACACCCCTGGCAGGGAATTGGACACTCTTGCCAACACAAAACCGATGGCTCAACGGCAGTGTTGGCTGTGCCTTCCACAGTCAGTTGCATATATGTTGGGCGTTGGTGTCCTGCCCTGTAAGACCAACAGGCCACTCGGCGCTTTGACTTCTGGAAAAAAGGGTATTTCCGCAATACAGAATACCCAAGAGGTTTATAGTCATCGGAAGCATACATATGAGCCATGGATTTACGAGTTTGACGATAAAATACTTGCATATAGAATTCGTTTTGATAGACTTTGGTTTCCCTGAAACATACACACAAACCCAATGAAAGAGAAGAACTATGCTTGTCTAATGCCAAGCATTGGATTGACAAAGAAATGTTTCTAAATTGAAGATAGTCTGGTCTAGCAAAGTAGAAATTATGACAAGACAAAAAATCAAAAAAACCGAAACGTCGGCCGATGCCGCAAAGTAAATACAAGAACTCAAATGAATATGCAGGCCCCCCACTTGGGCATTATCAGAGCCAGGCAGCTCAACCGAGCAGGGGCAAATCTCCCAGGGAATGTACTTTGGAGAGATTCGAGAAATAGAAAATAACGAAGAAGATGTGCAAGCAACTCCCCCAATGCAACCGAAGACCATCTGGTCAAGGCTTATGTAAAAATGTCTATAAGATATCGACAGACCTCGTATAGACCGTCGGAAAAATCCAGATCTAAGAAGCAAAAGAAGAAACGTTGGGGTCCATTCGTTTATCCCCGTATTTTTGTTGTCATGATTTGTCATGAACATGAAGAAGCAAAATGTAAATGCAAGTGTCAATCCAATATGTAAAAGGACACGCTCATGAGGTCAGATTAGGACATTCTCCCTGCGCACGCTGGAAGGCATTTGCGAACAGGTCTTGCATGGCGTGGTAGTGGAAGAAGATGCCTCCTAGCACGGCCAAATGCCAGATGTTGTGGCTGCCGCCGACATAGTCGAACAGACCGGGCTTCCAGCGCTCGGGGATCTTGGAGGCGTAGACACAGGCACCGACGAAGTACACGAGAATGCTCTTCACGACCGGGGCATAGAAGTAGAGACACCATTCAAAACCGCGGGTGTAAGATAGTTGTGCCAGGGGGGCGAATCCAGTCAAAGCAAGTGTGACGAAAAACGCCACACGGGCCCAAGCCATATCATGGCGGTTGAAGGTCGGGTGCCAAGGGAGGATGACACCACCGATACCCAGGGAAAACGTGAGAAGAATGTACGTCCATCGCGAAACAGGCTCACAGTAAAAAGCAGTGTATTCAGTGGTCACGATCGAAGCGGCTACCAGCATGGAGATGCCCGTGTAGTCCACACAAGCAAAGCGTTCCATCAAAGTTTGCGAGGCAATGCTGTTCATTGTGTGCCAGATGGTGCTGCAGACCAAGCACTTGCATGCCGCAGCAAAGAAAGCTGCAGCAATCAACACGTCGGCTTTGCTGCTGAGGTGGAAATTGGTGTGAAGCGGGTAGAAGTAGAAAGCGATAGCAAGGACGATAAGAAGACCGACAACATGGGACCAGATGTTGACCCATTCATTCGAGAAAGAGAAGACGGAGCACACGCAATCAACCTTAGATGTCGTGAAACGGTATCCTTTCAGGATATGTGGGTTGACTCTCCACGGATGGGGCAAATCCGAGTAAGTGATCAAGCGTTTCTGCTCAGCCAGACTAAGAGCGGATTCAATGTTCTCCCGGAGCAAATCCCGGGCGCGGCGAGCACGTTCCATTCCTTCGTCAACCACCTCACGGGCGTGAACTAGGCTGGAATCCACAGCCTTCCACCCGTCATCGAGGGTGCCGTATATTCCGCGATCCCGGACGGCGTGCGCTCGCGACTCGAGCTCTGACAAGAATGACTCCATCAATCGGACGCCCGCCTGTGCTTTTTGCTCCAACGTCTCCTTGGTCGCCAGTGCCTCATGGTATCCGTCCTCCAAAGTCTCCACTAAGATCTTGGCCCGCTTCTTACCGCTGCCCATCAATTCACCAGATGCAATGGAGCATTGATCACGTACGGCTTCCAAAGTCGCATATCCACGTTTGAGGCTGGCGTCGACCTGATCCATGTGGGACTTGCGGTATTGTTCGATCCAGTGCATTCGGCGTTCGAGTTCCGCAAGGAAGAGTTCGACCTATAGAGAGGGTATGTTAGAGACAGGTGACTTTCTTTGAAAAGCGAGGGTGATTCTCACCCTGATGAAGACTGTATCTGCATCTTGATAATCACAGGAAAGCTTCCTCGGGGCATGATAGGAGTGTCTTCGGTGTCGGTCTCGCAGGAGACCAGTTCCCTCGGTGGGAGTTGCGACAGAGGACGAGTGGGCCCCTTCCGCCTCCAACCCCTCCGGATATGTTTCCACTGTCATGGAAGATGCTGTGCAGGCCATCGCTGTGGCGAGCCAGGGGAGTATTCGTGTAGCGTCAATCCGAGAACCTCCAGGGTTACGGGGTTGTGTTCAGGAACGGGGGTGGCCGGAGTGATCCGGGAAGCTGAGCGGTTCAGGGAGAAGTGAGAGGTGGCTCGTTGAACCCGTTGAGAAGTTTAAGGAGAGAAAACGGCGAGTCCCCTATGTACACAACATATCTGCAAGGTGGGGTGAGAACGGAAAAGGAAGAAAGACCAAAAGTTCGGGATAAAGTCTTCCCCAACCACACTCGGCCCAGCATTCACATGGGTTGAGCGGTGCCGTCATTTGATTGATCCGTTCGTTCCCACTTCTTCCTCCTTCCCCACTTTGTTAGTCTGATCGGTCCCCCAAAACTCTCTTCATTGAATAGATTTCCCTGGTTAATTGCCACTTGAACCCCCCACGAATTAAAAAATCATGGCTATCAGCGAGATCATCACCGACCAGTCATTGCTGCCCGTGCTCAGCACCAGCGCCGAGACTCTCGCCCAATGCCAACAACTCCTAGCCCTACTGAATCCAGACTCCATCCCCGCCGGAACCTCAGCCCATGAATTATCGCTGGCTGCCTCGAAACAGCAGAAGGTCCTCTTTGCCCTTCTCGCCCAGCTGCGCGGGCAGAACCGTGATGTGCTTTTCCGCGTGCGCGACACAAAACAAGCCACCGCCGAGGCCCGCCAGGAGATCGACCGATTACATCTCCAGTTGCAGAACCTGTATTACGAGCAGAAACACCTGAGTGGCGAGATTTCAGCCTGTGAATCCTACGAGTAAGTGTACTCGGCGCCTTGCATACCACCTCCTATCCCTGTGAAACTTTCTTTGCTAATTACAATGTTCGCGCAACAGCCACAAGTACCTTTCACTTCCGTTAATACCTGTCGAGGAATTCCTCGAACTTTTCCCCGAGCACCGCGAGACCAATGAGCATGAATTAATGATTGCGCGCATTAACCACGAGCATGCGGAGCGAGAGAAACTCGAGCAGGCTCGCCAGGAGTTGCTGAAACACAAGCAGGCCTTGATCGCCGAGAACAAGAAGCGCAAGGATGATCTGGCCAATCTGGACCAGGACCTCGAGAAATTCGTTGATGTATGTGCCTGCAGTTGTTCAAGTCTTGCTTTCGTTGTTCATTACTGACTTCTGCAATGCAGGCTGCCAAACCTATCCAAAAAATCTTCGAGAAGGAATACTAGGGAAGATGGGTTCTGCAAGGTCCATGGCCAAAAGGCCTGACCGCCACATTAGAACGGCGTTATATGTTAAGATACCCTATGTGATTTACGTGGAATACTGTTTAGTCTGAATAATCTACCCGATTGAGGGTCATACGAACTCTTATGTACCATTCCCGAGCGTTGAAAGCGACGTATATTATTTAGGAATTATATTCATTCAATTCTTTGTACCCCAACTAGAATAAATATTACCTTGATTACACAGACATGTCATATACATAGGAACATGTTTCAATTAGTCCTGATGGTTTAGTGGTAGACAATGATTTAACCGGCGCCACCTGGTCCCTTCTCCGCCTTTCAAGGTTCACCTTTCCCTGACAACAACAACACTCGTTCACTCTCTACTGCTTGAGTGTTGTGTTGGTTCACGGCACAAAGCATGTCCCTAGCATGACCGCCAAAAATGGAGACAGCGAGTCTCCGAAGGCTTCGGCCGTGTCGAACCCTCAATCGAGCGCCCAGCGCGTTCCACCCCCCGAGACCCTCGAGGCCACTAAGACGCGATTCCGAGTAATTGCTGCGTTTTGGGCTGTGATCATCTTTCTCGGATTTCCAATATGGTGGAAGACAACATCGATCTATCGGGCACACCTACCAATTCAGGAGATGGTAGATTGGGATGATGGCAAGGTACAGCACCTCACCAGGGTGGCCGCGATAAACAATAAGATGGCTAATATCCCATGACTAGACATGTCGCCCTGTCTTTCCCTTAGACATCCATGTTGCAGCACCTGCAATGCAGATTTCCGAGTCCCAGCACCTCCTCCGCACCACACAGCATACCCTTGACGATCTCAATGAATTCGCCGCGCACCACTTGCGGCTCAAATTGGCGAATGACACCAGCGCATCTCCCTCCAATGGCGAAGAGAGCACTGGAGGCTTTGATCAAGTCGGAGAAGGTGCGGACATTGCGTTGACTGTTCGGGTGCTCCCCCAGAATGATTTGGCCGCCCCTCGATCAGAACTTCATGCAGACACTACACAGCTGGATGTATTCTACCCACCAAACCAAGTTCCTCTTCCATCCTCCTCAAACCCGCCTCTGTCGGCTTTTATTGCGCAGGAGCTCCAAGGATTGTATAGCGAGGAGAAGGCAACTATTGCCCACATTCTCTCAAGTGGCACAGCTGGCTTTGATTCGGAGAGCATCAGCCGGCGACTGCGTCGATCCATGAAATACGCCGACACGTATCACTTGTCCTTCTCGCTGTTCACTCCTGGCTCCGTGCCATCATCTTGGGAGATTGAGGCTGCTGTCGAGGAGTACCTATCCCCTCTTCTCCATGCATTTGCTCCCATCAGCAACTTTACAATCGATACTCAGGTTCAGCTCTATGCAACATTTTCACCTATGGCGCCTCAACCGGTCTATGACGAGACCGAAGCTGCTTGGACACTGAAGAAGGAGGATTTGAGCGCATTCATCAATGCTGCCGAGTGGCCTCTCAATCCTAGCATTGGCAGCGGCCCAACCCTCAATTTCATTCTTTATGTGCCAGCCCCGTCTCAATCCCCGCTTGTCGTGAAGGAGAACCGGGCTTCGAGCTGGATCGTGCCGCAGTGGGGTGGTGTATTTCTTCTGAACCCAACACTGTCCGCAAGTATGGGCGGCCCGTCAAACCCAACACACCTCACACAAGATTCTTTACGGCCGGCATTCATGACTTTCTCTCACCAACTGCTGACTCTCTTGGGCACACCCACTACCCCTTCTTCGCTACCTCTCCGTCTTCAAACCCTCATTCGTGTCCGAGCCGCTACTCTCCTTCTCTCCGCGTCATCTACTATGGGATCTCTAGCCCGTCTCACAGAATCTCTTCCCTCCATTCCTATCCCAGCTACTGTCGCTTCCTCGGTCTCCACTACCCTGATCCACCTCTCTGCTACTTGCTCTTATCTTCGAGATGGCCGCTTTGCTGCCGCTCTTGCCAGTGCACGGGTAGCTGAGACTGAAGCAGAGCGTAGCTTTTTTGAAAAGAGCATGGTTGGTCAGGTCTATTTCCCAGATGAGCACAAGGTTGCAGTATATTTGCCTCTCTTGGGTCCCATTGGTGTGCCTTTAGTTGTTGGGTTATTGAAGGAGCTGAAGCGAATTGTCGCAGGATGGAAAGCAAGAAAGGCTTCGGCAAAGTAAATCATTTCATTCCCCATGCATCTAGAAGCTATATGTATACATCAATTAAATCCAACTTCTTCCGCCGAACAATTTCAATAAGTTAACACCTCTTATCCCGGCTACACTGGCTGTGCAAATACACGATTGCCTGAGCAGTGAACACTGTTAGTACTGAGGTACCAAATCTTTGCCAAATTAAACATGTGGAACAGGTATATGAACAAAGGAAAATATCTAAAACAATCGCAAATGTTGTACACCAAACAAAATGCTAAATCAAATCAAAAGTGAACGTGAGAACCAAGCTTTCAACTACAATCTCCGAGGGCAACTTTATCAGGTAATCTTCCTCACTTCATGCACTTTGAAAGACTGGTCCCCCTTCGACTCATTATTGAACCCAACAGCCTGCACCAAATCTGTAAACGTGGTCGACGGCCTCGCAATACGGCTTGGATACGGCTCCGGCCCTAGAAACCGTCTCGACTGCATGAACACCGCAGGTGGCGAATACACCTTGATACTCTCGGTACTAGGCTCACGCTGTCTAGGCGGTGTCACAGGATTCGTTTGCACAGGAAGCTCCGATGCGGTAGGAAGTGGAGGCACGTCTTTGTCTAGTCCAGGTACACCAGTCGAAAACAGACTGCGAACCCGAGAGCCAGAACGGTTTAGCATAGAACGCATGGACCGGGAACTCATCGATGAGCGCTTGTCGGTTGGGTTCCGGAGGAGGAAGTCTGTGCGGTAGGATGCATCCTCTGAGGCTATGGGGCTTGAGATTCCGAGAACGGCGCCTGAGGAAGATCGGCTGGACCAGTTGTGTGCTGTTGCTTTGGTGTCTTGGTTTATTTTCGCTAGTTGTTTCTTGTCCGCGCGGTGGCGGACGCACGTTGATATCAGAAGTGCAGCGATTGCGCCGAATAGGGCTCCTGGGAAGAAGCCTGCTATTACTGCTTTGCTTGGGAAGGAGGGACAAGTGGTGATGGTTGAGTTGGAAGAAGAGGTTGAGTCGGCGTTTAGCGATGTTGAAGAGATGGACGAGGAGACTGGTGTGAAGGTTGCACCATAGGCCGAGAGATCGGTGGTTGATGAGGCTGTTGAGGTTGATGTTTTTGAAGTTGTGGTACTTGAAGTTGTAGTTGTAGTTGTACTTTCGGTTGTTGAGTTTGTCATGTGGCAAAGGCTGTCATTCTCACAAGTATATCCGAATGGGCAGCATAACTTGCCACATGTCGGGAGACTCTCATCGAGCAGTGTTGTCTTGACGGAGGCTTTTGGGTGAGTAGTGGCGTTCTGCTCTTGGATATCGCAAGTGATAGGTGATATGTAGTCACAACTACTTCCGGATGGGCAGCAGAGGACTGTAGTGTCGTTGTCGAGAACGAGGCAGGTTGAGGATGACGGACAACAAAAGTCCGAGGGGACGTTCCCTCCACACGAGTCGTATGAACTGGGACATGAATCGCTTCTTGGAAGAATTTCAAACCCATTAAATGCATGTGTTGATTTCACGGAAGTCATGATAGTCAAGAGAAAGAGAAGAAATGATCCTTTGGCCATGGTATCGGCAGCGGATCTAGCCATGATGGCGTTTCGAACGTGGTCTGGCAGTATAGATGTGCCCCAGAGTAGTCTGTCTGTCTGACGGAGATATCTGAAGAATCAGTAGAAGGAATGATCACCGCTTGTCCGATATCTGGTTCAAATGCAGGACAAGAAGCAACAGATCACGAAGAAGGATATTAGATAAAATCCAGGATGATAGCGACAGACGAATAGACAAAGAGAGTAACGATAAGCTGAAACTGAAAGGGAACAGGAGACAGAAAATAAAATCAGGCGACTTCGTACAAAGAAGAAGCCTCGTCAGTGCCCATTCATTTCCCAGTTTCCATATAATCTATTCTGGGCACGCGCCGGGAGCCCAAGCTAGTGCTCGTGAGTTTCATATTCGACTACATGATCGCATCATAGTAGGATGGGCGCTAAACTAGATCCTTCCCCTGAAGAATGCATGACCCACTGGACGATAGATGGGCGCTTAGAGAAACACTGGTAGATGCAGATGTAGTTGGACGGCCTCTGATTGGTTCAAAGTGGGCAGATGATATAAGCCACGCTAGTCCCGATGGAGAAGTGCGTCGGGAGGGAAATTCTTCGAGATTTGGGAAAGCTCAGTAGATCAAGTCCACTCACCTATCTCACATTATGTTTAGCCGACTTGCCCGGCCCGCCCTGCGCGCGGCTTCTGTCCAGGTATGATCGGCTGGCTTGCATCCTTTGCCCCCGTCGCGCAAATAGAAACTGATCGCGTTGCTCTCCAGACACCTATCTCTTCCGCCCTCCCACGCTTCCAGACCCGTGCTCTCCATCGCATCCCTCAATTGCAGAATGAGAAATATTACAAGGAGAATGGTATTCCGGACTTCATGTCACCGGAGGGTTTTGACTTCGCCTGGACCCAATACCAGAGCCTCCTCGTGGACAAACTCAACCTGTTGACACAAGGTCGGTCCAGCTCATACTGCGGACAATTGAATGGCCTGACGGGTTCTTTCAATGGATATACGTGTAATTGAATACTGATTTGATTCAATTTGTGTACAGACACCGTTGACGCGGATGCTAAGCCTGGAGAGTTGCTGGTCAAGTACTCCCGGCGCGCGGAGATGGCCTCGGTCTTCAACTACGCCTCCATGGCTCACAACAACCACTTTTTCTTCAACTGCCTGGTCAGTATTACAGCCCGTGCATCTAGTGTACACTGTCGTCTAACACCATGCAGTCCCCCCAAACTACTGAGATCCCCGAGAAGTTCGCCCGAGACATCGTCGACACTTGCTCGTCTGTTGAGTCCCTGAAGCTCGACTTCCTGGCCACCGCCAACTCCATGTTCGGCCCCGGTTTCGTCTGGCTCGCCAAGAACCTCGAGCGCGAGGGCATGATGCAGATCTTCTGCACCTACAACGCCGGCTCCCCTTACCCGGCCGCCCACTCCCGGCGCCAACCCGTCGACATGGCCACCCACACCCCCGAGACCCAGCTGGGCAACCAGTTCGCCGGCTCGATGGGCGCTCATGCCCAGAACCAGAAGAGCTTAGCCCCCGGTGCTATTGATGTGCAGCCCATTCTGTGCGTGAACACTTGGGAGCACGCCTGGATGATGGATTACGGTATTGCCGGCAAGGCGGAGTACTTGGAGCGCTGGTGGGATCGGATTAACTGGGACGTTGTGTTCGACAACTACAACGCTATCAGCTCTATGCGATCGAATCCTTCGATGGCCCAAGCTCGGAGTCTGAGCATGTCCTGAGCGGATAAACCCCCTTTGATGTTTGGATAATCTGTATTATATACTAACATGTTCTATTTCTTCCCTTTCATTTCTAAATTTTTGTTTTCAAAATTGTACAGCGGATCTCCATAGAAATTAACATGGCACTCATGGTCTATATCTTTCTATAATTTCCAGGGCTGTATGTACTCTATCCCGTACAAAGAAAAACACATATAATGTACAAAGCGCCGATACAATGTATCCAAGGCATCTATGCTTATTGGCCTTCCGCATGCTTCTCCTTCATTCGCTTCTCAAACGCCTCAATCATCACACCGGCCATTTGATCCTCCACCGCGCCCATAACTGTAGCATGCAACTGATTCCGGAACTCAAATTGCACCTTCAAGTTCACCTTAGTCTGCGGCGATCCACCTTTCACATCAAGTGGTGTCAACTCCCATCGCGTAGAGAGGTACTCGAAGATCCCCTCATTCGCTCCGGGGAAGAAGCTACTAAGACCCGACGAGCTGCTACTACCAGCACTACTCTCAGGCTTCCCAAACTTCGCACCACTTCGTGCTTCCACAACTCCCTTCGAGGGATCGCAATCCACGCGCGAAGTAAAGGTCTCACTAAGCGGGCCATATCCAATAGTCAGGAATGCCTGCGTCGGGTAACCCGTTTGGGGGTCGCGCGCTGTAACTGTTGACGCATTGAGGAATGGCAGGAACTCGGAGTACGCTTCGACGGAGGAGATCACTTTGAAGAGGGGGGCGGGTGAGTAGGGAAGTGTGCGGGAGGCCTTTAGGACGCGCTTTGGCGAGTTGTCGCCGTTATTGTTGCCGGAGGGTAGGAATGAGGAGAGCGATGAGAGATTGAAGGATCGTTTTTGGAATTGGTATATGCATGACGGTGATAACTGGCGTGAGGGGAGTTGGTGTTCCCTCAAGATTGTGTTGGTTGGAAGGGCTGCTCGCAGCGAGGCGCATTGAGGCCGTGCTAGGGTGGTGATTGTGCGATTTTGAAATCGCAAAGCCCGGGTGGGATTCATGAGAGGTGGAGGGGTGGTCTATGGTAAGAGGAGTGAGGTTTCTGCGGTGTGTCGCTCGAGTTGAAGCTTCGAGGTTTTGGTACGAATTGAAAAAGTTCCCCGGTCCACGGGTCGGGATCTGCGGCCGAGGCTGGGCACTATACCAGCAGAAAGAAGAGATAAGATCCGGATTTCAAGGTTCGTCATCACGACCGAAATGATACACTTAAGGCAAAACTTAGGACTGGCTTATATGAGGTACTAAATAGTGTGGATACCTATCCGACATCAGATTAAACTTCTGACCTTATACTATCATTATGGTCGGAATAGTTGGTATATATTTTTGTAGGAGTCATCAAGCCACGCAGAGATGTGTGCAACAATGTCTGGCACTACCCAAGCGATTCTATTGGATATTGGGAGGAAAAGCAAACTCCACACCATTGGAATCAATACAAGGCCCGGCCGACCACAGGTTGTCCTGGTTAGCTGTGTCAAAACCATACATTCGGCCATCATACAGACGCTAAAAAGAAATCCTCAAGGTTAGCTTGTTCCTTTAATGTACTGCACCAAAGCCATAACATACCCAGTCTAACTGAGCAGGCGTGCTAAGCATATCGTCAATCACACCCAGAGAAGAATATGACGGAGTCTCGGAAGCGTCAGTATACATTGTGTTAGTAGCTTGCATGTCCCCCAGAGAAACCATCGGGTACTGCTGTTGGTTGATCGTGGGCATTGGTTGAAATAGATTTCGAGCTACTTATAGGGTCAGTAGTGAAATTAATACACCGCATTAGGGGAATACGTACTCTCCATTGTACTCGTATCCTCCTCGATATTTGAGGTGAGACTTTCAAGGCTGCGGCCTTGCACTCGGCTAAGCATGATACTCAGCGCGACAAATGCCCGCTGGGTATCCGTAGACCGCCGTGGAGTCTGCTTGAAAATTTTGTGTGTATTCTCCAATAGCAGCAGGAGTTCCTTGTGCTCCCGCGTCTGTAATCGAGCAGGATCTCCACTGTCGTTGGCATGCGACAGCACTAGACAGAGAACCATAGCGGAGAGCATAAAGTCGGTGTTTTGAAGGGAGTTGAGTAGGAAACGCTCTGAATATAATTGTCCACCTGGCAATGACTCGCTCCAGATATCAGCATGGTGTCGCAGCGACGCACTGGCCGCATCGATACAGATCCTTCGCGAATTGGCGTATTTACCATGTGTCTCGTTGATATACCGACGGTGCAAGACGATACGGGATTTTTGGTAGATTAGATTCAGGTTATACCGCCATAGTATGAGATCTGTTTGGTCGCCCATAGACTGGGACATTGGTCGTGCACGGAAAAATGAAGGCAGTCGATCGTGTTCTATATCGAGACGACGATTCATTGCCATGATTTCATCATATGATACTGGCTCTCGCGTATAGGCCGAGTCGCAAATCTGCCCAAAGGCTGCCATGAGACGTGATTTTGATCGTGTGTACGAGCAAGCCGTCCTCTCTTCATCCGGTCGACCAGGTGGCAACTGGACGGAGTTCTCGTCAAAGTCGGTGTCCAATAGATTGGAAGGTATCTCAGAATCACAGTAGTAAGGCTGTACGGTTCGCGGGAGACCATTTTGGAATGAGACCAGGGTGTCGAGTTGACATATCATTGCCCACAAACGCCGGCGCATTTCCCCATCGAATGCGGATAAGCTGGGATAGTGACTCGGGTCGCGGTGGTAGCCCATGTGCAGCGCAAGTCGAATGGTAATTCCAAGGAGATATGACACTCCAATCTGAGTATCCTGAGTGCGAAGAAATTCGGAAAGTGAATAGAGGAAGACCGCCTCGGGCTTGTATTTTCCAGGAACTAAGTAGTTCGACTGGACAAGACACTGTGAAGCTCTTCTGCGGAAAACATCCCACAGGCTCATCGGATCCACCTCGCTGATAGGAAATGGCTCCTCACTGCGACGAAGGAGAGAGATAGACAAGGCCATGATTGCATACAGCAATGCAATCCAAGTAAATGACATGTCCTGAGGATTGTTCCAGAATTGCTCATATTCCTTGCGAAATGTTGGGACATGGATGACAACTATTTCCCATATCAGCACACACTCAACCTCTGTAAAGGACTTTGACATACCTATTGATGGTTCAAATGTTTTCAAAAAGCGAGAAATTAGTCGATCGGCAATCGATCGTACGGGAATGTCGACAAGAATTTCTTGCTTGGTGACCTTCCTCGACATGCTAAGCAGAAGCACTGGTGAGGAATCATCATATGGATCCTCCTCAGGAGCATCATTGTCAGAATTCTCTTCTTGTTCGTCCAAATATTCCTTCACTCCATTGATCTGAATATCCAAGTCAGCCCTCTCTCCACCAACCAAGTACCGGTAATATACAGACCTCTTCTAGAATAGCACGCCAGTTCGCACTATCAATGTAACTGGTGCCTTCATCACTAATAACCAAAGTGCCTGTATCACGAGGCGATGATTTAGTTTCACGGTCATTTGCCGAAGGAGGCGTGTCATAGCCCAGGATATCTTGTGGCAATCCAGTATTGAAGTCAGTAACTTGATCGCTGGGCTTCTGCTGTTGAGCCAGCGACATAACCAGGTTCTCCAAATGCTGTAGTCGATCTTGAACAAGTGTTGGACTAGAGCGCTCATGCTGGGCTTTGGCTCGAGGTCCGCGACCGACATAAGTACATGATGCCGCTTCGCCACGCTTCATACAGTTGGTGCATGGGTAAGTGCGGCAGCATTTCAACCTGTGGTTTTGATTAGTATCTTGATGCCCCGAATTTATGCTTATGGATCATTACTTTCGAAACCGGCATGCGGTGCATGAAAGCTGGACCCGTGTTCGCTTTTTAGGTGCCCTGGTCTCCGCAGTAAGCGGGTCCGGGTTATTAACAGGCTCGGACATGGGTAATGTAGCCTAATAATAGTATCCGGAAAAGCAAGTGCGAGAGATTGTAGAATATCGCGCCTAATGCCGATAGGCAAGGTTTTCAGTGTCCACTTTGTGCGAAGTCCGGCGTTGGAGGGGTAGCAAGCAAAAATGAGAGATGTGAAGCTCCCGCAATGCTCGGTCTCCGCTTTTTTTTTATCTCCGTTGAATCTCGTTTACTAGAGCCAGGGAAAAGGCTGGTCAACAAAAAATCCTTAGAATATAGGGTACTGTCGCATTGTTATACAGAAAATGGTCTCTAGCTATTTTCTGCGGAATAGTTCATCCGATTTCATTGAAAAGAAGATCAAGAGGCATACTCCCGGTGAAATCCTGAGAAACCTGGTTGATAAGCATGCGCAGGTTTGGATCAGTGGTATCATCATCATTCAATGTGAATTGATTTTCTCCAGGAAGCATGAAATCATTTTCACTTGGCAGATCAACAAAGTTCTGTACATGACCAGGCATATCGCTCCCTGGGTCACCGAAGCTTGCCCCCATCGGCATGTGGGAAAGGTCATATGCGAATTGATCTAGCTCCAACTCCGGAACCGGGGACTGGACTTGACTGCAAATAAGATCGAGCATCTCCAGATAGCGAGCCGCGGACTTGTTTCTAGCAGCTAGCATTCTGAGACAGTTTCGAGATTGAAAGACTGAGTGATGCAGCTCGGATGACTCTGGCTGGATTGGGGAAGTTTTGTCAAGAAAACCAGCCACGAGGACTAATGTGGCCTGCAACAAGAAATACGTGGCGTACCACGCCAGGCTTTGATACAGATTGCTTTCGTGAACAGTGCAAAATGTAGCAATGTCGTGGATACTATCCATAGCGACATTTAGGCACTTTTCATCTGCGTTTATCTTTGTCGGTAGAAAGCTGTGTTGTCTTTGACTGCCACGCCAAAGTAGAATCCGCAAATTTTGTTCCTTCCAGAGGACAACAGCTCGTGGCCCACGAAACCACGAGGGGACATCCATCGAAGTAAAATAGCTTGGCAAGCTTTTATACCAGCAGAAGAGATCGCGTTCCATAGACTCGGCTAGTCTGTACTCAATTCGAGTTCCAGCGGTCTTGGCTAGAAGGAATTCGTGATAAGTGGCATCAGCAAGCTTGGCTAGCTGAGCCTGGGCGATGATTGCTGAGTACGTTGTTGGATAGTCAACCTCCGGCGGAACTTGCGATGTTAATGCGATAGCCTTTCCAGTCAATATTAGTACCAGATACATTCCAATTTGACTAAAAAGGATACTTGACTTACCTTATCATCAACATTCCTTGGAAGTCGAATGTCAATGAACCCATCCACAATTGTGGGGGGACGACCGGTGGTGATATTGAATCCACTTTCAAAACAATATATGGTCCAGAAGAGTTGCCGTCGCCTCTCATGTCCAATGGTGTCCTCTATCCCAGTAGGCTCTCGGTGTAAGCCCAACCCAATCGCCATTCTATATGCAAGACCAATGAAGTTGTAGCCGGTATTTGTTCGGTCTCTCTTTTGGAGATAGTTCCCCATGAGCAAGAATGCTTGCACCGTTTCCACGGTTCCAGATTCAAGCATCTGTATCGAAAGGCTGGATCGTGCAGCCGCATAGAATCTTGACTGTTGATGCTCCGACTCCTTGCTCGATGCCCAGTGACCAATAGCAAGGACCATGTAGTACGTGACACGCCATGGGGAGATTGGCGGGGTTTGTTGCTGGCTTGCCGTGACCTTATCGCGGAATGTTTTCTCATGCAGAATGGGAAAATGGTTATTGTAGAGTTGAAAATAAGCATCGATTAGATGGCTAGTAGCATGGCAGATCGCGAAACTTGAGGACTCAGGAAGTGGGATTCCCGGTCGGTTAAACCTTCGATGAGATCTGCGTCGCCCTCTTTGCCTTGTCCTATTTGTGATTGTGGGGTCTATCTCTTCCAAAAGTCGTGAGCCGGAGCTACTCCCTGAAAAACATGTTAGTCAACCGAAGGATGTCTGTGTTTCCGGAGTGAGCCTGCGCTCACATACCCAAGTAGCCCGAGTCGTTTGTTGAAAGTGTGGCCATCCCATCAGTGGCGATGGCGTCATCACCGTCTGGCGACGCTTCCTCTGGAGACAATGACCCCTCGTACCACTCGTAGCTATCGGGAGTGAGCTCTATATTTCTCTCTAAAGTTGACGAATCCGCAACGCCTGGTTCAGAGCTAAATTGTTCCAAAGCAGCTTTGATGTCAACATCTGGGTTTAGCGAGCGCAAGAGTGATCGGAGCTGAGCGCACCGATGTTCAGCGAGATCTAGATTCTTCCTAGTCAATGGAGTTCGATCCGGTGGACTCTCGAAACTGCACGTCTTCCCTTTCCTTGTACAGTAGGAACATGGTCCACTCTCTGGTCGAAAACACCGAGTTTTTCTCTTCTGACAGTTGATGCATGCTCGCTGTGCAGATGAACTTAATGCTTTGCTCGTGATTTTCGGCATTTTGAATGGGTACATGCATAAATATTTCCTGCATAGTAGAGTGCCTCACGTCATTGAAGTGGAAGCGGGAGTGTCGGAGTGCAGTCGACCGACGGGAAGCACCGAAGCATAAGTAGCAAGGCAATTCTAAAAGAACTACCCACTTAGTGGAAACAGGGTCTTCATAATTGTCAAGTCAAATTTCCTCATCCGTATAATAGTTTCGGCTTTCGCAGTTGTTAAATAAAGATGGTTTCAGTATTCTAAATTTCAAATGATCTAGCTATTCAGGCATGCTTTAAAGCACAATGGCACCCCCGTCAACGACAATATCCGCACCGTTTATGTATGAGCCAGCACTGCTGGCAAGTAAGACAATCGTGCCTGTCAATTCCGATGGACTTCCCATTCTACCACTAGGATTCCGTTCAGCCCAAATACGCCGATGCTCAGCAATACCATCGCCTTCGTTTAGAATTGTGTCCATATACCCCGGGCTAACAGTGTTGGTCCGAATACCATACCTAGCCCATTCAGCAGCCAGACAGCTCTTAAGCATCAGGAGTGCTGATTTGCTGACATTGTACGCAACCTGAGGCTGAGGATAATTGACGCGATGCGCGGAAATCGATGCCACAAATGTAATCGAACCGCCCGTTCCTTGCTTCACCATGTGTCGAGCCGCCGCCTGAGCGCAAATAAATGAGCCTGTGGTGTTGATGTCGAGGATTCTCCGCCATTGCGCGATGGGCATATCAAGACTATCAACACATCCTACCACACCAACAAACGAAACAAGTGTATCAATAGATCCAAGCTCTTTGACAGTCTCCTCCATTGCAATACGAACGCTTTCTTCATCGGTAACGTCGACCTTCTGAGTGCTAATCTTAGCATGCGGGAATTTTGACTGCATTTGGGCGATCTCATTCTGTGAATTGGCCGGGTTGATATCAAGGATCATGAGGCCTTCCAGCCCATGTTCGAGGAGGGCGTCACAGGATCGGAGACCTAGAGTACCAGCACCCCCGGTGACAACTGCGTTGCCCCGGACAGAAAAGCGTTTTTGAGCCCCGACTGAAGGGTCACTCTCGACTGGGACCTTAGGAGCAGCTGTCATCGACGAAGGACTGCCGTCACTGAACACCATGGAGGGGACGACCCGAGAAGTGAGAGCCTCACGCTCAGTGATCTCGTCTGTAGGGGCCATATTGTTGCGCAGAATGAGGTACGTCGTTGTGGGGTTATGAACCTGGGAGTGCGGGGAAAAGCTTGAGGAGAGCTATGGCGAACCGAAAGGTTGATTGCGCCCAGAGAAGCAAGTCAAGAAAGAGAAGTCATGTTATTTCAATGCCCAAGTAAGCAAAATAACTCAAGCTCTATTTGACATACAATATTCACCGGACCACTGTCTTCCTAGGCAGACTGGGCGACTGCTTTTTGAATCATGCTACATACATCGGCGTCATCCCGACCCCGACTGCTCCGCTTTCATCGGTGCACTGCAGCCCGACGATTTCCCTGCTCTATACATGGGAGACGGGCGACAGAAAAAGACAATAGCGGATATACTCTATAACAATCTCACAAATTATGCAGGCATTTCTCTGGCTAAAATGGCTATCTGCTGTGGTAGAAATCATGTTGTTCAAATGAAATCATCAGCCTATGGGAACATTTTAGTTGTTTGGCATTTATGAAACGGGAGTGCATTACTATGTCTAATGAATCCTATCATATGACTGTTTCTCAGAAGGGAGAAGTGTAGGTGGTCGTTTGTCGGCGAATTCTGCTCCGACGTGCTTTGTTTGCGACGCGTTGTTCTGGCCTTCCCCAGGTTTTGATGCCGAGGAAGCACCCGACCAGCCCCATATATTTACGTTGACAGTCCTCCGCATCTCCGCCATGGGCTCCAAGTTGGAATTTATCGATCACTCTGTCTATTTTGCTTTGCAAATAGATCTTCCCACGAGAGGTCTATTATCACAATGGTGTCTCCTACGACATCAGAAGCCGCGGCGGCAATGACTATCTCTTATGGAGAGACTGGTAAGTATTGAAAAAGCTTCATCATGGATATGATTCCATTCTAAGTCACCAATACTCTAGGTATCCGGGCACTTTTGCGTCAGCCTTACATATTATTCATGGCGGTCTTTGCTAGTATCGGTGGCATGCTCTTTGGGTAAGAGCTATAATCAACTAGGTTTATGGAGCCATACTAAACGGCTCTTCAGTTACGACCAAGGTGTCATTAGTGGAGTCTTGGTGATGAATAACTTTGTAAGTGACTGACATTCTCCACTTCATCAATGCACACCTGCCTAACCTCCCCTTTTCAGGGCAAACAATTCCCCCTTCTTGCATCAAACTCAACACTTCAAGGATGGATGGTAGCAGTCCTTACTCTGGGAGCCATGGTTGGTGCACTAGCAAATGGTCCTATTGCCGACCGCCTCTCACGTCGATGGTCCATTCTTCTCGCCAACTGTATCTTCCTTGTCGGTTCAATCATCCAAGCTGCTGCCAAAAACCTCTCCATGATTTTTGTTGGTCGTTTCATCGCAGGCCTGGCCATTGGTGGGCTATCCATGGTTATCCCGCTATATATTAGCGAGTTGGCTCCGTCGAATGTTCGAGGCAGCTTGGTCTCGTTGCAACAACTCAGCATTACTTTCGGTATCATGATTGCTTTCTGGATCGACTACGGCACACAGCATATTGGAGGAACGGGGGATGGTCAGTCTCCAATCGCTTGGAGGCTTCCCCTCGCGTTGCAATGTATTCCTTCCTTGGTACTATTAGTGGGTACATTCTTTTTGCCATACAGCCCCCGGTGGCTGCTTTTGAAAGGTTAGTTTCCCAGTCTCGTCCACAAAACAAGTATTTTGCCATTTGTAACACGCATGATAGATCGTGAAGAGGAAGCAGAGGCAACACTGCTCCGTATTCGCCGTGTTCCAGATATAGACCCCCGCATCAGACTCGAGTTGCTCGAAATCAAAGCAGCGGTGCAATTCGATCGCGAGACAACTTCAGTCCTCTACCCGCATGCAATAACATCGCTCCAGGTAACTCTGGAGAGGTACAAGTCCCTTATAACAGTTCGGCATCTTAACCGACGTTTATTCATCGCATGCCTGATGCAGTTTATTCAACAATTCACAGGTATCAATGCTATTATCTACTACGCACCCCAAATCTTCGAGAATATCGGCATGACTGGTGAGTCAGTTGACTTGCTTGCAACTGGCGTGGTAGGAATCATCGATTTTGTTTTTACGATTCCTGCTATCTTGTTCATGGACCAATGGGGTCGCAAGAAGGTGTTGATCGTTGGCGGCATTGGGATGTCCATATCTCAACTGCTCGTTGCTACAATATACGCCGTATACAATGGGTCCTGGGGGAGTCATCCGGCTGCTGGATGGGCTTGTGCTGCATTCGTGTGGGCTTATATCGCAAACTTTGCCTTCAGCATCGGTTGTGTTAACTGGATTATCCCCTCTGAGATCTTCCCGCCTGGTGTTCGATCACAAGCTGTGGGGCTGGCCATTGGCACTAACTGGCTGAGCAACGTGAGTAACGTGTGCTGATTATGAACTTGTGGTGACAATACTAATGAAGCCTAGTTCATTGTAGCATTGATCTATCCAAGGATGCTGGGTGCTATCAAATTTGGCACTTTCTACTTCTTCCTTGGTAAGTTTCTTTTCTTTTCCTTTCCTTTGTTTTGATTATCTGTTTTCACTTAAGATAAAGGCTTACTTGTAAATATAGCATTTTGCGTCTTCCTTATCGTCTGGGTTTATCTCTTTGTCCCAGAGACCCGGGGCATTGGTATAGAGGAAATGGATAAGATCTTCGGGGGTAACCAAGGGGAAGCTGATATGATAAGAATGGCAAATATCAGGCGGCGACTTGGAATTTCGGTTGATGTTTCCGAAGACTCGGATGTCAAAGATCTCGATATTGGCGTTTCGCAGATTGAGCATGCCTGAGATATATGATATGGTTTGACTAGTTCACTATCGTTGGAGACTGGAACCATTCTTAATTGGATTTTATTTGTGCTGCATGAAGGCAAATTATCTCATTTTGAACATAATTTGCACCCAAGATGTATCAAATTAGTGGATTAGCCCTTTCATTAAAAACTCTGTGAATTTTATAGTTCTGGTTACTTACATCTAGCTTACTAGTCCAAGTCATACGAATGTTACAAATATATTATCAAATTATTCTATAAAGGAGAATAATTGTAGTCCCTAAAAGTCGTAGGCAATGAATACTCAGGAGGCCGACTGATCGCAAAATGGGATACTCATACATTCCACGACCGGACCTTTGCCCATATATGCCGGGTGGATCTTTAAGTCACTTGCACACAATCTATGTATCTTTGAAGACCCAATCAATGCATATCAACAGAAATTATCTCTTTGCATTTCCAAGTGGAACGGTAATGATTGAAATCAATATGATGTCTGTAATTTTTCTTGTTCAGAATCGTAAATATATGCCTCAAGGCAAAACATAACCTCCATCGATAAGCACGTCACTGCCTGTCATATATGTGGAGGCATCACTAGCAAGATACAGGTACAGGCCCTTGATTTCCTTGGTGTGGCCCTGGCGCCCCAAGGCGGACATCCGATATGCTTCATTGATAGCAAACCCACTAGCACCCATCTTAGTATCGAAGAAGCCTGGTGAAACGATATTCACTCGAGCAAACTCACGCCACTCACGGGCAAGGGACTTGCCAAAGTGAGTAACATATGCTTTGGTGGCATTGTACACAGGCTGATCAGTGGGCACGTTGACAATGTGTCCGCTCATGCTTGATGTGATGATCAGGTTGCCGAAGCCTTGCTTTTGGAATATTTCACCGGCATATTTTGCGCAGTAGACGATACCATCGACTGGATAAACACTTAGTCAATGATTCAGGATGTTCATCGGGGAATATCCTTACCGTTAACAGACATCTGTTTCCGATATTCCTCGAGGGTCTGCTCCAAGATAGGTTTAGAGATAGCCATTCCTGCCCACGATCATTAATTTAAGTTTCAGTCAGAGATACTCTTGCAACGAACCTGCATTCGCAACGAAAACATCTATTTTGCCAAAGTCTTTTACTACCTTCGCAATGGTTTCTTGGACGTCGGTGGAGACAGAGACTGTATTCAGAATAAGCATACCGGTATTCAATGCCTGGGTATTTACCGACTCACCATCAACTTTATAGGCGGCTGTTTTCACATTGTGCGAAGTACCCAAGTCCTTCGCCTTTTGGATTGCAACATCATTTCTACCACCTGTCAGTTCACATCGATGTATTGAGCCCGTATTTATCACTCACGAGTTATACCAGAATGCCACATGACCACCAGCCTCAGCGATAGCCTCCGCTACGGCATATCCAATTCCATCCGCCGCACCAGTGATTACGACTACCTTGCCATCCATACGGAGTTGCTCAAGGACATTGGAAGGGGTGTTGGGGAACGGGCGGGGGAATCCCTCGCGGACAACGCCGCAATCATCAAAGTTCATGGACATGTTTGCGACTCTTTTGTTCTTTTCTTCGAAATTGTGAACTTAAGTCAGTTTTTCGGAAATTCTTGGTTGCTGTTTAATAGTTGAGCATGGATCCACTTGAGATCGGCCAACAAGACCCCGCGCCATTGTCATCGGTGCGCTCTCGTCCGATGCCATCGGAGTTGAGCCGGGAACCCCAGCTTTGGCGGGTAATTAATCTGCGGCGCCATTGGGTCCCGAATTTGTTTTAACCGACTTTAAATAAGACCAATGACACAATTCGGAAATTTTTGATATGATCACCTTGATCATGGCTTCTCCGAGTACTTTTTATTGACTGAAATTATGTTGAACATTTGGCTCATGCTGTTATAAACACTAGGGGCCCTTTACGAGCCCTTTAATTGACAATGATTTTCTCCAAGAGGCACCACAATATAACACCAGGAGACAGCCCGTGAAGATGGTAGCCAAAATTATTGCTTCAATCCCGTACCCTAATCCATAGCCAAGGCGATCCGCCAGTTCGGGACTCCAGAAGGGCACCGTGAAGGAAATAATCTGGCGAATGGCATTGATGAGTTGAAGCACAGAACCCGAATGGGAGGACAAGCAGTCGACACAATAAGTCTTCAGGGGAGTCGTAGCCAATTGCAACCCAAAATTTGCTACTCCGAATCCAATGCATGGCCCTATCCAGTGGGTATGATTTTGCAGTGTTAAGCCGAAGATCAAGATCCCAGCGACTGCCATAACAGCCCCAGGAAGACCAACTATGAGACGGCGCTCGAGATATTCTGGCCTGTTGTTGATAGCGACAGCAGCACGTCGTCGCTCTCGCTTCATAATCCAATCGCTCCCCGGGCCTGCTAGCTGCTCGCCGATCACAGCGCCAATCAAAGGCCCGAAGAAGAACAGCCCTTGCGCGACCGCACCAAATCCATATTCTTTCTCGAGTGCAATGGGTACAATGGTCGCGAGCCCCACAGAAACAATGGCGAAAGTCACACTATAGGCAAATGCAACGAGAACAATATGCGGCGCTTGAAGAATCAAAAATGGCTCCAAGACATATTGTAGTTGAAGCCGGGCGCGTCCATGTTTCCGGTGACTGTATGATGTCTCAGGACATGTCAAAATAAAGCACATTGCTTGAACAGCATTCATTATTGCAGTCAACCACATCACCCATTGCCACCCGGCATACCGAACCACGGGCCCGCCGATCACTCCACCGAGGGGCGCCCCGATCGACACCATTTGTGCCCAGATACCATTTTTCTGCCCTCGCTGCTCTGCACTGAAGAGATCCACCACAATGACGCCTGGTAGAACAAAGCCTGCTGAGATTCCGAACGACTGAAATACACGTGCTGTCATGAGGCCGCCGTACGTCTTGGCGAAACCTCCACCGAGAGCAGCGAAACAGGATAATAGCATGCTTGTAATTAGGATTGGTCTGCGCCCATAGGCATTCATGCAAACAATCCAGAAGAATGGTGCGAGCCCAAGGAAGAGGACATGGACTGCTATAAGATAGGTTGCTGTTTGGGAGGTGATGCCCAATTCTTGAGCGACATCATTGGTCCCTGGAATCAAGATAGAGCTTGTGAAACCGGGACAGACAGCGAAGAAGCTGCATTGAATCAATATAACATGTTTGCGAAGCCAGGGCCAATGCTGGAGAGGACATTGTTAGCATCCCAGCATTTGATGGTGGTGAAAGACATACCAGAGGAGAATCTGTCTGGACTTCCTCCGAGCTAGAAGAGGTATCATTGTGCCGTGAAGCTTCTAGCTTCATTTCCTCGGCATTCATGATGAACCAAGGGCTTCAAATAGTCCATTCAAGGTGCCCAGGTCTAACGGGGAAAGATGATGCAGGGTCGAAGGTGGAAAGGGATAGAAGCAAAGCAAGTATAGCCGATCTGCAGATCTGCGGGGACCTGGGAAGGATTAGCGGAACGCGTCCCATAATAATTCCGCACCTCCGCATGGCAACTGCAGGGTGAATCTAGCATGAACTGAAGCTCAGACCTTGTGAGTCCGGGGTCTCTACTGTTTTGCGTATCAAGTGTTAATCAATCGTAATGAATGTCCCCCTCGGATTTGAGCGCGGGTCTTTCCTTGGCGAAGCTTAAATCCGATGCGATGCTAAACGGACAACCACAGTGAAAGCAAACATTTGCACAGGATCAACTGGTTTGCACTAGTGTGATTGCAGATAAACAAAGAAAGTGACTGACTCGCACTTTGTGTTTGTCGTCTTTTATAAATTCGCTCTTTTCCTCTCTTCCTCTTCCTCCTCTCTTCTCGCGCACCCTCTGGACTCTGCACTTTCCTGCTCTTAAAATCTAACGGTCACCTGACACTTTATGAGCAGATTCCCGACTTCAGTTTCTCGTTTGCCGGTATGAGGTGATGGCAGCATGGGAGAGTTACATGAACAAAGGATTGTCAGTGTGGTCACGAAGACTGGAGGTGTTTGTTTCCGAATGATGACCTCTGTACAGAGTCATTTCTCATAGTTCGTCCTCAAGTTCTGTATTCCGAGTTCTGGGTTCGCCTTGAAGCTCTGGAAATCGCTCTTGGTTCGGGCTCCATGGGATCCCATAATGAAACGATTTGTGGGAAGTAGAGAAGAAGAGGCTCACGCCACTTCAGTATCTACATCTTGCAATCAGTATCTAAAAGTCTGACGGAAAATTCACTACGCCATCCCTGCTCGTTCTTTGTTGTTTGACTGCTAGCTCGGTACTAGCTCGAACGGTAATCGGCCCCTTTTATTTTCCCTTGCGACCTACTGTATCCATTCTTTGGCGGATATCAATCTTGACTTGTTTAATACTTATTTACACGGTTGATTGTCTCTGTGTCTCTGTTGGGTCCTCACTCTTCGAGTGTAAGGCATGTTGGGGGACCTCTTTGTTAGGGGAGTGCGATAGCTTTTAATCAGTAATTCCTGTAATGGGAATGGCATTCCTCCATGTGAAATAAAATAAAACGCCCAATAGCCCATCGAATCGTAGCCCCACATCGACATCCTAGGACATAGTTGAAATAAAAAACTTAACCGCGCGCGCAAACTTGCGCCGGCTAAATGGAAATGGTGAAAATACTGTGGACATGTCATTAAGGACAGTGGGGAGGGTATCTAAATACAAAAGCTGAGAGTTGTAAGAACAAGAGTTGTAAGAACAAGAGTTCCCAAAATAACCAAATAAACAAAGAATACGCTATATCTTCGATATCAATGACAAGCTCACAGTCGAACCTGGCCACCATTCAACCGATCCCAGTCTTTCTGTTCAAATGGAACATAAGAGTTGCCCTGCAGCCAGTACAGGTGATCGTTCTTCGAGACCTGGGCTAGATCTACACCTTCGGTACGCAGGATATGCTTCTGCTGTTTATTGTTCCCAGTCGACTGCATCTCGGGCATGAACCGAAGGAATAGCGGAGCTGCATAGCGTGGCAAATTCTTTAGGGTTTGCGCCGCAATGCTTTCAAGCGTGGCAGGCGAGGGCTTCAGTGCTGGACCAGAAGCGTTACCGCTAGCTAGCTGCTGGTTCAAGACCAGCGCCGCACATCCGGCACGACCCTCATGATTCGGGAGAGCCACGCCATAGACGTTGGCTTCGTGCACCTCCGGGTGAGAGCCGAGGACTTCGGCAACCTCGTTGGTAGAGACATTCTCACTCTTCCACCGGAAAGTATCGCCCAGTCGATCGGAAAAGTACCAGCGACCATCCTTGTCCCATCGGATCACGTCACCTGAGCGAAAGAATGCATCGCCCTTGATCAGGACATCGCGCACAATCTTACTCTCGGTAGCCTTGGAGTTCCCAAAGTAGCCCTGGAACGCTGCGCTAGGGTCGGTAGGGTCTATCCGGAATAGCAACTCACCAGGATCGCCTCGAGCAACCTTCTTGCAGAGGCCAGTCTTCGGGTCACGCCACGGTTCCTGGTTCTCCCAGTCCACGTCGACAATGGCAGAGTTTCGTTCGAAAATGAAGTTTCCAATAGCTCCATTCCGGCCAATGGCGCCTGCTGAGAAGTCATTCGAAGAGAGATTCCAAGCCCCGGCTGTGCCTTCGGTAGCAGCGTAAAATTCGGCAACGGTGGGTATGTTGAAACGTTCCTTGAATCGATTCCAGATGTCAGGACGGAGGCCGTTACCAAATGCAATGCGAATGTTATGCTTCTTGTCTAGATCCTCACCCGTGACCGAATCGATCTGGGGTGGCACGCCGAGAATGTATCGAAGAGTCTCGCCGACATATTGGATGATTGTTGCGTTGTTCTCACGAGCTTCATTCATGAAGTTACGTGCAGAAAATTTGCGACCAACAATCAGTGTAGCGCCTGCATGCATGGTGGCGACGAATCCAAGCAGGGCTGCGGAGGCATGATACAGAGGCATGCACTTTTAAAGTTAGCGTTGGGCTTCGATTTTCCAATATCGGGGTGGGGGACATACCGTAAAGAAGCGATCTGCAGAGGTCATACTCATCCAGTTTCCTACGAAGCAAGTACTGGACCAGCCTTTGTGCAAGCTGACGATTGCGGGTTTGGGAAGACCCGTGGTACCGCTGGTATAAATCAACAAGGCCATGTCGCGCGGGAGTAGACCAGCACGAGCCGTATCTTCCTCCCGCATTGGCGCCATCTCCAAGACCTGGGCCTCCACGTCGGGAGTCAGGAACACTACATCAGTCGGGCCTTTCCCATCACGGAAGTTTGGAGAGGCCAATGACTCCATCAGCTCCGGTGTGAATTTATTGCGGACTTCCTCGTCCACAATCACAAGTTTGGCAGTTGACACCTTGAGGGAATGGGTTAGAGGCTTGCCAGCCAGATTATAGTTGATGAGGGCAGGAACCGCCCCAATACTCCAGAGCCCAAGAATCATGAACAAGAACGTGGATGAGTTCATGCAGTCGATGGCAACAATCTCTTTGGAACACACGTTGTGTACATTTTTGAACCAATTGGCAAAGCGCAGGGCCATATTATAGGTTTCACGAAAACTCCATGTTCGGCCGTTATAAACGATGAAATCATTGTCGGCGGTGCTGGGGGAGAGGGCGTGATTCTCGAGGACATAGAAGAGGTTCAGGCGATCGCTCTTTTCTGCTGAGTTCCTCTTCTTCATCATCTTGAACATTGACTTAAGGAGGCTAACATCATAGAAGAGTGAATGCTTCGCGTTCAGGTATGCTAAAGCTGTTGCGGCCGCGGGCAGAGCAATGCTCAAAGGCACATCTGTAAGCCGAGAGCAAACATTAGCAGATAGATCTTTATTTAGAACTCATGAGCAATTTATACCCACCAGACAGGAAAGGCAACGGCATTTTGGCTGTAATGGCCAGTTTTCAGCTGTCGGATCAAACCTTGGAAGATTGAAAGTTGAAGCTCTTTGTCCAAAACGATAGATAAGGTTGGTGTGGCAAGGTCGTACCCCTATGGGGCAAACGGATTCAAGAGCGGCGGGTGGGTAAACTTTCGTCAACAGGCTTGAGAAAATAACGAAATACGACTGATGGGGGCCAGCGATGAAACAACAAAGAGATAGCGAATTGTCCAGGTGAGATTATTGCCAAGATACCTCGGCATCTTCGCGCCGATCCGGCTGGAGCGGCATAGTGCTAAAACGCGTCACTGTACTACGCCCCACATTGATAGTACTGCTACAAGTGGGATCTTTAACGACTACGTGGAAATCAATCAATTATGGATTGTCTTTTCTTTTGCATAAAAGGAATATTTCCCTGGAAACAAGTCACATCGAGATCTCAGGACAAGTTGTTGCTTTGTCTGTGCACGACGCGGAGCAAGACAGAAGTACCGCCTTCACATGGCTCAGCTGGTCTGATAGACTTGAGTAATCCACAAGGCATGCCATCATATTTTTCTTTCCATTGATGGGCTTTGCCGTAATTTTCTCCGCACAGACACTATGACGGAATATTGAAACAGGTTCTGTTGTCTGTGCAATATTTATGTCACATCAAATATGGTTATTGTGGTGCTTTCTTCTTCTTCAACGCCGGTACATCTTCATAGCCCTCGTCCATGAACTCTCGGAGCTCATCAAGACCCTGCTTGAGCACATCGGTCTCGCAGGCATATCCAACTCTAACATAGCCCTGGAAGTCCTCCCCTCCTCCAAAGCACCGGCTACCTGGTACAAACATAACTCCCTTCTCTTCCTGTAGCTTCTCGCAGAAAGCCACATCATCGATCGGTTTCCCCATCTTGCTAAACCGAACAAAGGCAGTCGTCCCAGCACGGGGCTTCACCCAAGAACAGGCCCACCGGTGATCCTCGATGAATTTCTCCAGAATCTCAAGATTCGTTCGGCCAAGGTCAATATTTCGTTGGAGAAGATTATGGATGCACTCCGGTGCCAGAGCAAAGCTGGCCACGGCGTCGTCGATCTGGCCAACGGAGATGGTAGTGTAGTCTCGAGAGCTGGCACAAGCTTCAATGATCGACCGGTTTCGCGATGCGATCCATCCCACGCGCAGCCCAGCTAAACTGTATGCTTTCGAGGTGGAACCGGTTGCAATGGTGTTCTCGTATCCAAGAGAGAGTATCGAGGGAGGAAACTGCGGGTCCATGGGACTAATGTTGTGGAAAATAGGTCGGTACACCTCGTCGGCCAAAATGGTGATAGAAGATTCGCGGGCAATATCAACAATATCTTCGAGATGGTCGCGCGGGACGATTGCTCCTGTGGGATTCTGGGGATTGCTAAACAATAGAGTTAGTCTGGCTCAAGCAATATGATTCGTATATTTTACGGCATACTTGATAATGATCAATTTGGTATTCGGACGAATGAGTCCTTTCAATTCTTCAATATCGAGCTTCCAGCCATCAGCTTCCTTCGACTTCCAGAGGCTCACTTCAGCTCCCAGAGATGCGGGAACTGAGTAAAGCTGTTGGTAAGTTGGGTAGTGGCAGATAACATGATCTCCCGGTCCAACCAGGGTATACAGAGCTAGAAAGTTGGCCTGAATAGCACCAGCCGTGATCAAAACATTGTCTTTCGGTAATGGGGTGGGTGTCTTCGCGGAGTACAAGTTGGCAAGAGTCTGGCGCAGCTTATCGGAGCCTCTGATCGCACCATAAGTAAGTTTGGTGGATTGAAGCTGGGTCAAGGGGTTGGTGTCCTTGTCCTCGGAAAGCTCACGGAGATCGTCGATCGAGAGGGATGCGCAGCAGGTCTCAGCTGTATTATACTTGGCGGTGGTCTCATATTTGTCCATCCACTAGTTAAATTTTAGTAAAGTCTTTGGCGAACGGTATCTCCGTGAACGAAGAAAAAGAAAAGAACAGAAAAGAAAGCCGAGTCATACAGGAATGCGGGGAGTGTACCTGCTCAACCGCGAACTCTTCGATCTTCACCATAATGTCGGCTTATGAGGTGGACCCCACACAAAGATTTCTGAGATCGCAAAATTTTCTGTGGGTTATGCTCTTCTGCAAAATGCAAATTCTCCAGTTATGAAGGAATTGAAAGGAAAAAGGGAATTTGTTCACATCTCGGGCTTTGGCCCGATCCCCGCATCACGTGGAGTGTCCACTCTCGAATATTTGGATTGGTTGTCACATGATACACGTGTCATAGGTGTGTGTACAGCGTGCAAGAGCCATGACTTGGATACTAAAGGCTCCTGGAATAGTACTCAAAGATACTTATGTAAAGCTTAAGTGAATGCTTCCAATTGAATCTGGAATAATTGATAGGTTTGTCACCCAAACAAGCGATGCTATATATCTTTGGCTCTATCGGAATCATCTTTCAAAGTTTCTTGCGCATAAGGAATGCAAAGAATGAATTTGAAGTAATTCAAATAGGCAGTTCCTCTACATGCTCCTATCACATATCTAGCACCCCTTCGGATCCACCAAATTGCACAACTAGCTTCGCGGGCTGCGGCTGAAACACCAGACTTTGCACTCGAGTCAAACGGCGATGAGACGATGTGGCGGTAAAGTATATCGGGGTCATCATAAAAAGAGCGAGCATGCGGTAGATATTTTTGGCTTGACTGAGAGTAAGGAGTCTGTAGATTTCCCCAAGAAGAATGAAACCCAATCTCATTGTCAACATACCATACTTCTGGAAGTGTTGGACCAGCGTGGTTGTTGGCTTTATGCTTCTTGAATAATTTGATGAGACGAATAGCTGACCTGCAGTCCAATTCACCTGCAGCATAGTCTTTGAGATTGTGGGCTAGGACCAGAACGTCGGAATTGGAAAGCGCTGGGATCGCATTTTCAAAGTTATCATGGTCCCAATCAATACCAAATTGTAATCTTTGAATGCTGTCTACCCCCTCACGCTTGAGCTCTGCCACAATTGCCTGGCCAAATGCTTCACTTGCTCCAGTGATCACAAAGCGTTTGCCTCTGAATGTATAGGCAGTACCGTATATCCAGTCGAGAATCTTGACGAACGAGCCAATGTAGCGATCGGGGTAGACATGATGGAGTGCGTGGAACTCTGGGCCAACGAAAATCCAGTTGGGGTCCTTGGGTGTAATTTCATAGACAAGGTGATTCGAATCTCGGCCGCTCATGACAATAACAAAGGCGGTTCTCATGATTTGAATGCCAATCATGAAACAAAGATGAGCTGACGTGGTCCACACCAGAGTAGTGGGCGTCACTAAGGTGGCAAAGATATACCCCAGAATTGTTCCAATAATCTGAAGTACAAGCTCAAGTGGCAATGCCTGAAACTGATTCTGTCGAAGGTACTTTTTGTCGAACTGCATATGGCGTGTGAAGAAGAGGTGGTGGTAACGGTGAACTCGTGCCAGATGTTGGAAAAGAGGATGGGACGACTTTTTGCAATGGTGGAGCATGTGGTGAACAATATCAAAGAACAAAGATCCTGTGCAATGTAGATAAAATAGAGAAATAAAAGCTGAGAGAGCATTTTGACTCCAGAGTAGACGGAGAGATGCAAACAAAGCTAAATTTGTATCAATTGATGGCACTTCGATCGAGCTGATCATTCTGGCGACTGATTTTCACAAGCCCTGGATCATTGAGAAGCACAAAGCAATTGAGCTCGCAGATCTCTCGTGGACTTCAGGTATAAATATTGTTTTTGATCCTTTCGGTATCTTAAGGACCATGTTTAACAATGATAGGCCCCTTTAATTTTTTCTTATGCTGAAGAATATGTATAGGCAACCGGCGACATAGTAAGAGAATGTGGCTTGTTTACTTGGCATTTTAGACCCTCTTGAAGCCACCCAACCCACAAAATCTACCCACAAATGGATATCTAGGCATCAACGGATAACTTGAGATCAAGAAATGTTCAAGAAACGCCTGGGCATGCAATTGAAGGCTTGTTACGACTTTGTCTCCTACTCTAGGTCTGAGATACGACGTGCAATTGCATATTGACATTTTCGAAGATAAGATTTGCATCAGTATTTGACCTGGCATCTTCAAATGAAGTATAGCATGAAGATGAAAATAATGTTAGCTGGAAGATAGGCGGAGTTGCTCCGTGTGTCTATACGGCCCCACTATAGTGGATGTGCAAAAATACGAGTACGGTTCACGTCTATTTTTATAGTTTTTTTTCCCCTGTCAATGCCACGCGGTGAAACATATTCGCTATGGGTCCTCTAGAGCAGGGATTAATGGCAAATTCTCGTAGTGTTTAGTCCCACAATCCCCCTGGCATTTTCAAACTATTACGTTGGAAAAACTCCTGTGCCTTTTGGGACAGGACTTGAAAATCCTGGCAAACCAAAAGCGCGAGAAATTGAAACAAAAGGATGGCCAGATCCGATGCGTCAGTGGTTAAAGGATTGAATAGAACTTTGACAAGAAATTCACTTCCACGCGCAAGTTATAGTTCGTGCGTACACGGCTCACGTGAGATCGATGATAAGCGATCTATTGAATTCTAATATAGCGATGACAATTCCCTGGGGCCATTCAAATCCCCACAAACCAATGACTCGCGTATATAGGCCTCCCTGTGCCGCCAATGCGCTAGTATGCATGTCCTCGATGCATATAAGGATAACATGAGGCACACAAGACGCCCGAATGAAAAGGTATAGGTATACTAATGCTCTTACTTAAGACCAGCTCTAGTTTAGATAATCTTACATCATAATAGAGTTCTAGGCATCTTTGTTTCATAAGTGAGACCCTTGAATTCCGCTCCTGGCCTTGATCCAACACTATTGACTAATGGAGTATAGAGCTCATTGGCAGTTTCCAACAGTTTCAGATTCGTTTTCTGCCAGCCCAGATTGCAAGACTTCTCCCAGTGACTCGAACTGGCAATCTACCTACGAATGGAATGCACTTAGCCACACCTTACAGGGGACTCTCCTCAGAAATTCCCCTGCAGCATCGTCATGCTACCCCGGCAATCCATTCCAGTCACCAGAAAATTACACCGATGTGAAGAGCCATTGGACTTATGCTTCATACCACTCTGCTTGACCGGAGAGTATCGATTACCCGATCTACACCAACAGTTCCCGTCTACCGCCAGGTGCGACTGGATATACAAATTCTAGGGGATTCACCATTGGTGGCCTTTCACAGTATATTGTGAATGCAACGACAGAAATGCAGATTGCTACTGCGATGAGATGGGCTTTCCAGCGCAATATTCGTATTGTTGTGAAGGGAACTGGACACGATCTGAATGGCCGGTAGGGAACTCGATCATAATGAACATGAATGTCGTCACTAAACAATATCTAGTTCCACCGGTGCATTTTCGATCTCCATTTGGTCTCACAATTAAGAACGCCGAGCACAAACCAATTTGGAAACTACCTGGCTGCAACGAGACTGCAGACGTGATGGTACTTGGCAGTGGAAACAATTGGGGCTCTGCGGGCCTTGCGGCAAACATCGTGAACAGAGCTATCGCAGGTGGCGAGGACTCTACAGTTGGCCTTGGTGGCTTGATCCAAAACGGTGGTCACGGCTGGCTGTCTAGTCATTATGGCCTTGAATCAGATTAAGTTTACCAGGTTACTGGGATCATGACTGAAGGCCGTCGCCTTGTTGCAAAGACTGTGCAAAACAAAGACCTTTTCTGGGCTGTTCGTGGCGGAGGAGGAGGGCAGCTTGGTGTGATAACTGAATATGTTCTGAAGACACACCCCGTCCCTGAAAACATGGTTACAGGCAGCCCTGAGTTCTACGCAGGATATCAGTCCAATGCTAGCGAGACTGGATCTTGGAATGCCTTGGCTCATGTGGTCTCCTGCATTCCGGACATCATGAATAGTGGTCTCACGGCCACTATAACTGCCCTCGCAAAGGAGAATGTCGAGACTCTACTGGGTCTGGATCAAACTGTCCCAGGTGCCGCTGCATCTATTAGCTTGACTGGTTTCAACATGACCACTACTGAGATGAACGTCACCATCAGTAAGCTGGCAGACCAGATCAAAAATGTGACGCATGGCAGCTCTTTGAACTTCGCATTGATCGCACCTACTACCAAGGGCTATTACACTCATTCCGGCTCGAGTATCAATGCCGGAGTTGTCAGCCTATCACAAGCCATCTCCTAGGCCGTCGCGAGCTTTCAGATATCCTCAAAATGGATTTGATCGCATACCTTCGAGGAATTTTTGACAATGATGATGGTCCTGGATCGATTCTTCTATTCGGTCTGCAAGCTGGCCTTGGTCCCGCTAACGTCCCGGAAGAGATGCGTGGAAGTGTGCTCCCGGCCTGGCGTGAGACGTATGCACATGCCATGATATATGGAGCATCGATAAATGCAACTGGTGACGCGAATGAGTCCTTGCAAAGGGGTGCCGAGTGGTATGAGGCATATAAAGAGCCTTTTTGGAGAGAATGGGCCCCTAATACGGGTGCCTACATGAACGAAGGAAATCCTTTCAGTTCTACATGGAAGCTCGATCTCTATGGCGACAACTGCGATCGACTTCTTGAAATCAAGCGCAAGCATGACCCTAGTGAGAGCCTTTACACTTGGAGTGGACTTGGTAGTGATATGTGGCATTATGACTTAAGGAGTGAGTTACCGATATTTCAACCTGATTCGTCGAGAATTTCCGGGAGTTCAATTCTTGGATTAACAATTGCAGTCATAAATGGGTTCTAGAACTGTATTGCATGACCTTTGCGACTTTACTTCAAGGCAGAGTGTCACACCGATCGTCATCGTTTAAGTGGAACCTACATCTAGGCGTTTGGCAACTCGATAAGCATATGGCTGACTGTGACGCCAACTATCCAGTTTTGTATCTACTACAGCCGATAGCTGTTGATGGGACACTGTTAATCTTGGGGGGTGGTTCGATTTTTTGGGGAGAAAAGAAAACATTTCCAGCGGCGCAGTCACAGCCTTGGAGACCGAACCTGACTAAGCCACGTAGAATCCAAGCCCAGTCGTGTAAATCATTGTTCACTGGTTGATACTGTAAACAGGCAGTTTCCGTCAATATTGCTTAGATTGAACATAGCTCCATCGCTCTGGTCTTTCTCGTAGTGGGTTCATCTTACTCCGTATCCTCGGGTGCGAAGCCGGTTATGTGGAGTCCCCACATGGAACCAACCGTCGAGACAAGTTCAAGTCGAACATATGTATGGTCCAAAGGGCACGCATACGATATTGTAAAAACAGAAGGTATGTTGAAAGTATAAGTTCATGTCGATCAGGTACCTGCACGAAAGAGGCCCAAACAAACCCCCAATCACAGTGTGGCTGATTGCACGGGCTTGTTCCTGGCAAACGAGGCAGCTTCTCCGCCCGCGTCATCGTCATCTTACAACTTCACTCCGCACTTAGTCCTTCTTCCCCCATCCAACCCATGCTCAAAACTTCGGTTCGCCATCAATCCTTCCCGGCGATTCTCGCATTCCTACTTTGATCGCCGGTACTGCAGCTGTTTGGAACGGGGTACTTAACCTATCCTCCGCTCATGATGCGATCAGCTCCGGCATTTATCCTGGGGATTGCGCTTGCCTCTCAGGCGATCCCTACAGCAGCATGGGAGGATTTCTCCGACGCAAATCTTTTCTATCGATCCGTCTCCCTTTTCGATGACCGACCTGCCGATTGCCCTCCCTGTTTCAACTGCCAATTAGACTCTTACAACTGCACCCATTCCGCTCCCTGCAACAAATTCAATGGCAAATGCTCCTGTCCCGCTGGATTCGGAGGAGATGACTGCTCTGTGCCTACCTGTGGCTCACTCGCCGATGGTGAGAATCGTCCGCCACGAACCGGCGCGACCTGTGACTGCAAGGATGGCTGGGGCGGTGTCAACTGCAACGTCTGTCAAAAGGATAGCGCTTGTAACGCGATGATGCCCGAAGGTCAAGATGGCGTGTGCTATAAGTCAGGCTCTACTGTCAAGCAGAACTTTCAGATGTGCGATGTCACCAATCGGAAGATTCTTGACCAACTGGGGAAGCAGAAGCCGCAGGTGACCTTCTCTTGTGAAGCCGAGGACCATACCTGCAATTTTCAATTCTGGGTGGACCAAAAGGAGTCTTTCTACTGTGGTCTAGATACCTGTGAATGGGGCATGGAGACCGGATTTGAGACCAACACCACCAGCTACAAATGTGAGAATGTCCAGTGCAAGTGTGTCCCGGGCCGGTTCCTCTGCGGCCAGGACGGATCCATCGACCTCGGTGACTTTCTCGACCAAGTTATCAAAGGCCCAGCCACTTTTCAGACCATTTCCGACACAAAAGGGAGCAAAAGTGTCTTCTCCGAGCCGCAAATGAACGGCCTCATCAGTGCAGTCTTCGGCGACCCTACTATTTCCTTAACTTGTGACTCTGGAGAGTGTCTGTACAAAACTGATCTCCCAGGCTATCAGCGTCCCATCAAGAAGATCAACACCCCCCTTATTGCCAGTGTTATTGCTGGATGTGCACTTTTCGTTGTCGCTGTTATCTTGGTTGTGTGGTACTTGTCTCGCCGGGCCGCAAACCGTGGTTATATGCGCCTGTCCCTGTCGGATGACTCAGACGATGACAGTGCGAGGTTACTTGCCGAACACCGTCCTGCATCTTTGTACTGGGATAATGTGTCGTATTACTTGAATGGCAAGGAGATTCTCTCTGGTATTCAAGGTGCATCGACCCCAGGACAAATTACCGCAATCATGGGTGCCTCTGGTGCTGGAAAAACGACCTTCCTCGATATATTGGCTCGCAAGAACAAGCGTGGGGCAGTTCATGGTAATTTCTTTGTGAACGGAGAAAAAATCAGTGACAATGATTACAAGAGCATGATTGGATTCGTCGACCAGGAGGACACTATGCTGCCAACCTTGACCGTTCATGAGACCATCCAGACCAGTGCTCTTTTGAGACTACCCCGGGACATGAGTCTGGCGGCTAAGGAGCAGAGAGTTTTGGAAGTCGAGAAGCAGTTGGGGATCTACCATATCAAAGACCAGTTAATTGGATCGGAAGAAGGTAGCGGTCGCGGCATCTCTGGCGGTGAAAAACGCCGAGTTGGTATAGCTTGCGAACTCGTCACTAGCCCAAGCATTCTGTTTTTGGACGAGCCCACCAGTGGATTGGTATGTTAAACAATACTTTGCGACAGGGATTCCGTAGCTGATCAATTCTTCCAGGATGCTTACAACGCCTTTAACGTGGTTGAGTGCTTGGTCACTCTGGCCAAGACATATAATCGCACTGTCATTTTCACCATCCATCAACCCCGTTCAAACATTGTCGCCCTATTCGACCGGCTTGTCTTGCTTGCAAGTGGCCGAACCGTTTACTCTGGGCCATTCTCCACATGTCAGCAGTATTTCGACCAAATTGGGTATACATGCCCACCAGGTTTCAACATTGCGGACTATCTCGTCGACTTGACTATGCATGCCGGTTCTTCACGCTCTTACACTGACGAAGTCGGTTCCGTGGACGGACGGCCACCCAAGACTGCCTCGAGTAGTCTGAGGGCTATCAAGTCCGTTGCTAGCGTATCCAATGTCAGCATCGAGGAGAATTCTAGTAGCACCACCGAGGCAGGTCGACGACCCAAACACAATCGTCGAGTTTCTCTCAAGCAACAGCAAGATCGTCAGCTTTACTCCCGCCGCAAGGACCATAAAGATCTCGAGCCCCCGGCTACACCCAAGACCGATGAAGAAGATGCCACGCTCGATGTGGCCGAGAATACGCAACAATGGCTGCGTCTTTCTCGCCAACCAGGAAACGTTCCCCCACAGATCCTCGATGATCCGGATCAGCTACCACCTCCAGCCCCTGGTCAGAGCGACCTTGATATTCTCGTTGCAAGCTACGCTGATTCTGACGTTTTCCACTCGGTCCACGATGAGATTGTAACAGCTGTTCAAAGTGCTGAGGCTGCTAATGGGTCCCAGAATTCTCATCTGCAGGGTTCTGCACCGCCCAAGATTGCTCGTATCAGTTTGGGGCGACAGTTCCTGATTTTGTCACAGCGCACGTGGCGCAATCTTTACCGCAACCCGATGCTGATGCTGACCCACTATGCAATCTCCATACTTCTCGCTGTGCTTTCGGGGTTCCTTTTCTATGGGTTGACCGACGATATAAAGGGTTTCCAGAACCGCCTTGGTCTCTTCTTTTTCATTCTCGCTTTGTTCGGATTCAGCACCTTGACAAGTCTCACGGTGTTTTCAACTGAACGGCTTTTGTTTGTTCGAGAACGAGCAAATGGCTACTACCATCCGGTCACCTACTTCGCATCCAAGGTCGTTTTCGACATTGTGCCCCTGCGGCTCCTCCCACCTATCATCATGGGCATTATTGTCTACCCCATGACCGGGCTGATCCCCGCATGGCCTGAATTCCTTCGGTTCATGCTGGTGTTGGTTCTGTTCAACCTTGCGGCTGCCAACATCTGCTTGTTTATCGGTATTGTGTTCCGTGATGGTGGCGTTGCCAACTTGATTGGTAGCCTGGTAATGCTGTTCAGCTTACTGTTCGCCGGTCTTTTGTTGAATCATGATGCCATTCCCTCGTCCGCTCTGTGGTTGCAAAGTGTAGGTTTACCTTTATACCCCGAATTTTCTCTCGTACATTACTGACTTCAGCATAGCTCTCTATCTTCCACTATGGCTTTGAAGCACTCATTGTGAACGAAGTCACCTTCCTGACACTGATCGACCACAAGTACGGCTTAGACATCGAAGTGCCCGGTGCCTCGATCCTGAGCGCATTTGGCTTCAACACACTCGCCTACTGGAATGATGTCATTGGACTTGCCGTCATTTCAGGGGCTTTTATCATAATTGCATACGCAGCGATGCATTTCCTGCTTGTCGAGAAACGGTAGGCATAGAGGGCCTTGACCCAACGTTGTCGATCGCTTTCGGCTTTCCATCCCCCACGATGTATTGATTTCGGGCGTTATGTCTTTGTTTCTCCTGAGGAATTATTGCTTAGAGCATTGGGTGTCTAGCCAGCTACGGTGTATGAGAATGTCAAATATCGCGACCGCTCTGACTTTCAAAGAACGCGGCTCCATTTATGTATATAATCTAAGCTCTGGGCCCGTTCGTACATACTGGTAGTCATATAATGATCGATATTCACCCATCAAAACTTTTAAGCATTTTCCACTAGCTACATTCCACATGTGAAAAGCAAGTCTACACACGGGTTGCATCCGAGAACACGTGTGCGACGTCATTTTTCGCGGCTCATCGAGCTTCTTAACTGTCCCCCTTTTTCCACCTGGGCAATTCTCAGGAATCTCTAGGAAATCACAGCTCATTTCATTCATCATAATTCTCGTCTGGAGCTTCCAAAGCTTGGTGTTCGCTTCCTGTGTACGAAGTACGTGGTTGCCCAGCCCCTCCACTTTTCCCAATGACGCTAATGCCCGCGCCAGTTGCTGCCCACCGCCGCCCGTTCAGGTTGGCTCGATTTCGCTAATCCAACGAACCCAATACTTTGCAATAATACGGTCCCGATCCACCTCCTCACTTCCCTGCACTGCGTCTCGTCTGCGTCTCCACCCGAGAGCTTAGGTATCACGCAGGTGTTGATCTGTGAGTGCGCTCCGTCCGAATATCTTTGCTTGGTTCCTCTGTGTTCTCAGGCCCTCAAACCCCACAAAAATCATCTCCAATTCCGGCTCTGCGCTCCGCTCCGCTTAAGCAGCCCCCAACATTTGCATCTACCACCTCCTTTGCTGCATCGGTGCTAACCCTCTCAAAAAGTCTTTTCCTCTTCCTCAATCCTCTTCGCCGACTCTTCTGCCCATAATGTCTGGTGAAGCGTGGCTCTACCTGTTGGCGGTGTTGATCAATGCCGTCAACCTGTTCCTTCAGGTTTTCTTCACGATTATGTACAGTGATCTGGAGTGGTGAGTTCTCTCTTCCACAATTGCGTAGTATTCCACAGATCTGTGGCGGTTTCCTGAGCTTGACTAATTCTCGCCTCCCCTTTTCCCACAGTGACTACATCAACCCGATCGACCTTTGCAACCGTCTTAACGCCTACATTATCCCCGAAGCAGCCGTTCACGCTTTCCTGACCTTCCTCTTCGTCATTAATGGCTACTGGCTCGCTATCTTCTTGAATTTGCCTCTCCTGGCCTTCAACGCAAAGAAGTATGTTTTGCCGCCGCTCTCTGAGCTCTCCCATCAATACGTGTAGCCGAAGAGCTAATCGAGATATTATTTTCCAGGATCTATGACAACCAGCACCTCCTGGATGCGACTGAGATCTTCCGCAAGCTGAATGTGCACAAGAAGGTTAGTCCTGAACTCCTGTGTCATTCTCTCAGGCACGTAATGGTGACTAACCCGTTTGTTTAATAGGAATCGTTCATCAAACTCGGCTTCAGCCTCTTGATGTTCTTCTTCTACCTCTACAGCATGATTGTTGCTCTGATTCGCGACGAAGGACACTGAATTCGCGATAAGACTGATAATGCTATGCGCCATGGTCGTTCTCGCTAGCTCAAGACATTATTCGCCGGCATTGTATTCCCTCACATATCCGCATCAGCATTCCCAATCGATGCCCGCGTCTAAAGTCGACCGTCTGCAAGATACGATGCGACCAGGTTATTTGGGCAGCCACGATTTGACGATTCCATTTGTTACCCTGGCTATCTAGGAGGGATGGACTAATGCCCTATATGAGAGAAATTGTGCTTCCATTCTTGAGATAGAGGGCTGGACCTCGGGTGCGGCGACGATAGAGAGTTACCGGTGGTGTGAGTGTTGGTTGCTTGTGCAGGCGTTTGGAAGAGGCTCTCGTACTCCCCTCAGCGTCTTGTTCAGTGTTTGTTCATTTTGTACTTCATTTCCATGATTTGTTGTCCTCCTGTGTTATCTTATCATGTCTTTCGGCCTGTGAGCTGTATATACCTCCCGAGCGGTTTGGCAATGAAAGCGTACGATACCCAGTTTGGTCCATATAATTTTGTTTCATCAGGTTAGGATATAGATGGCGCATGTCTACCGTAATTGTCTGTTTTGCTTTTGCTTTTTCTTTCCTCAAAAAAAAAAAAAAAAAGAAAAGAAAAGAAAAGAAAAAAGCATTTGCTAAGTTATCATTTACGTTGCAGGTTGGTCTTTGCATCTGAGGTCATAAACTACGCTTTGCGGTCTTCATTCGGGAATTCTGCCGAAAACCGTAGATTTCCACCGCCAAACCACCACCGTTAACTTTCATCTTGTGATCGAGGTTGATTTTCTCAAACTTCGCTCACGCATATTGACAATGTCAGGCTTATTAGGTGCTGGGTATTATTCCAGCGATGATGACACTGCCAATGTGCCCAAAGTCTCGGTGACGACCGCAACCAAGGTCGTTGCTGCACCAGAAGTCAATACAGAGGTTTGGTCCCCTACCCCCATCCCTATTTTCTATTCAAAACCCTGAAGGTCCTTCTCTTTTGGTGCACAGATAATACTAACAATCCCATAGGATCAAGCACACATGCAGATGACTCTCGCCAACACCTCATCGCAAGCCCTCACCTACAACGCCACCTACGATGATCTCACACGACCTTCGCAAGGACCCGTCAACCCATTCAAACCCGTCGGCGCTGGAAATGGTATCAAGCGCAAAAATGTCCCAACTGGGTTCGCCGAGGAAGCTGCTATTAGTGAGTCTACTTTCGCTGCGCAACATCGCACTTTCCAGAGCTTGGGATATACCCGCAACCCGACTCGCCCGGATCAGTTCGTGGGAAATATGGACAATGTTGCGCAATATGGTGGCAAAGACATCGTTCAGATGAAAATTCCCAAGGAGGCGTCTGCTGCATGGCGCGCAAAGCGGCAAAGGAAGGGCGATTCGAGTATTGTCGAGGGCGAAGGCGCGTACCTAGGTCCGTGGGCCAAATACCAGACTGAACAACAATACGAGGATATCGAGGTTGGGTCGGATGAGGAGCGCGAGTTAGCAAGCGATGAGGAGTACGTGGAAGAAGGCGATGAGACCTCCGCCCCGGCGGCACTCATGCCGGCCATGAGCAAAGAGGCCACCGACTACGCGGGCGATTATTCCAAGGAAGAGACCACCGAATTCCACGGATCAGAGGAGGCCGATTACCAGGGTCGTACATATATGCATGTTCCTCAGGACTTGGATATCGACTTGCGCAAGGAGCCTGGCAGTATCAAGAACTACCTGCCCAAGAAGCTTGTCCACACCTGGAAGTCGCACACCAAAGCCATCACCTCTCTTCGCTTCTTCCCTGGCTCAGGACATCTGCTCCTTTCTTCTGCCGCCGATGGAAAAGCCAAGATCTGGGATGCATACCACTCGCGCGAGCTGTTACGTACTTTCTCAGGCCACTCGAAGGCCATCTCAGACACAGACTTCCACCCGACAGGCAAGACGTTCCTTACCGGCTCTTACGACCGACAGATCAAGCTATGGGATACGGAATACGGGAAATGTCTGGGCCGGTTCTCGACAGGTAAAACGCCGCACGTTGTGCGCTTCAACCCAAGTCCTGAACACTCGCACGAGTTCCTGGCCGGTATGTCCGACAAGAAGATTGTGCAGTTTGATACTCGCTCTGGCGAGTTAGTCCAAGAATACGATCACCACTTGGCTGCTGTCAACACCATCACGTTCGTTGACGATAACCGCCGCTTCATTTCCACCTCGGATGATAAGTCGCTGCGTGCGTGGGAATATGGTATTCCCGTGCCCATTAAGTTCATCGCAGAGCCCTACATGTTCGCTCTTACTCGTGCTACACCTCATCCCAATGGAAAATACGTCGCTTTCCAATCAGGCGATAACCAGATTGTCGTTTACGGGGCAACTGATAAGTTCCGCCAAAACCGCAAGAAGAGTTTCCGTGGCCACAATAACGCCGGCTATGGAATTGATATTAAGATCTCCCCTGACGGTCAATTCCTTGCTTCCGGTGATAGTGGCGGCTATGTTTGTTTCTGGGATTGGAAGACTGGCAAGATGTATCATAAGATTCTGGCTGGTGGGAAAGAGGGTGGCGCTATTACCTGTTTGGACTGGCATCCGCAAGAAACAAGCAAGGTGGTTACTGGTGGTCTGGACGGCCTGATCAAGTACTGGGATTAAGCTATTTTTTCTTTGGTTTAGTTGGGCATTTATACCAGCCTCGCGGCGTTGAAAATCCATCTTTGGTATTTTTTTTCCTTTCATGGTGATTGCATAATTTTTGGACTTATGTTGGTCCTCACGAGTGATGTAAAGATCATTTCACGTAGCGATATTCAGAAACGGCTTGCAGCAGGTCAATTTTGGCACAAACAAGTGCCGAAAGTAAGTCTATCATGATAAGGTACAAATGTAGTCGACAAGTTTCAACGCTGAAGACTCGATAATGCGAGTTATTTTCATATAATGTTTAGCTCTCACCTGTGCACAATCTCTCTCCAAGATCTCGCCAGCTGCTTCAAGCCACACCGCACAAATCCGAAGGGCGAAGCTTCCCGTGGGTACTTCAACAGCAACAGAGCCAAAGCGCCCACACCGACAACCAAAGCCGAGCTGAGACCCAGGCCCAGTAGCTCACTTTGTCTTTGCACAGCAGCCACCACTTCCGAGTACCGCTGGTTACTAAAGCTGACACGCGCATACTGCGTCTTCCACCCAAGGAAGGGCAACCGCTGGTCAATCGTCTCTTCAATTGATTTCCGTAGCTTATACAGCGGCGACTTGACACCCCAACGCATTTCAAGGTAATTCTGCTTCGAGAGGTCATTTATGGCATATGTATCATCGCATCGCTGATTGGTATACGCTTGGAAGGCGGCTTGTCGGCGCACGCTACGGGTGTACACGCTCGTATCCGAATCGTAGACGCCATGCTTGTCCAACTGCTCGAAGAGTACACGCACGTCTTCCAACCCGGCGTTCAGACCTTGACCATAGAATGGAAGTACGGCGTGTGCGGCATCGCCGATGATCGCAACGCTAGAGCTGTAATGGTGCGGTTTACATTTTATGCTGATGAGGGGTAAGTGCGGGTTGACAGCAAATTGCTCCACCAGAGCTTGTGGGTCAATCAATTCGGGGCAGACGCCAGGGAAATGCTCATCGAATGAAGCCTGGAGAGCTTGTGGGGAGTTCTGAAGGGCGGTGTAGTGTGCGGCTGGCGCGAAGAGGGTACATGTGAAGGATTTGTCGGCAGAGGGGATGGCGATGAACATGAATTCGCGACCTGGCCAGATGTGTAGGTGGTTCGGAGAAATAGCGAATTCGCCGTGCTCAGTGGGTGGGATGCGGAATTCGCACCACAGAGTATCAATGTATTCTTGTTGGTAGTCGACGCGCGCGAATTTCATCATGTGGAAACGGCTGGCAGAGTGAGCGCCATCTGCGCCAATGAGGCAGTCGAAGGAGACTTCGATCTCGGGGACTCGACCTGCGATACCCAGATCATCGGCTTGGGGTGTGTCGCCTGGAATGCGGCGCTCAAACCAGGCCTTGTTGGTGCAGAAGTCTGCGCCAGTTAGTTTGTGGTTGAAGAAGAGCTTGACGTTGGGTGTCCGCTCTAGCTCGTCGAGAAGCGCATTATTCAATGCGCCACGGTCAACCGCGTTGATCGCCTAAACACATATGATTAGCTATTTAGCCGAACTTAGTGTTACGTGGGGGCTGCAAATCATTGGATTGTGCATGGATGTGCATACCCGGCCGTGAATGTCATAGGCTTGAGCGGCTTCCCACAATGCGCCGTTGTCTCGGCCGTGGATCATCCGCCCATGCATCGGGAGCGTATTGCGGAGGACATTTTCAACCAGTCCGTCCCGGTGCGCCTCTTGGATAGAGTTGATTCCGCGCTCTGAAAGAGCCAGATTGATCGACTTGGTGAAGTTCAACGGCACAGTAGTCGGGTCACGGAGATCTACGGAGACGGAACGCAGGGGCACAAATTATTGACTTTTCTTCGGAAATTTTCGCGGGATGACACGAGGCACAGGGTGCATTGGAAACGCAGAATCCATTCTTGCTTGGCTTCTGGTTCCAAAGCCAATCAATTGATGTCGCAATGGGAGTCCGGATCGAATGGCAATAAATTTTAATTCATTGTCATCGGCAGGATGTAGCCCGCACCACCAAGAGGGATTTTTCTTGGTAGCTCAAATTGACTTGCATTCTCTTGCGCTCTTCTCTCGCAATAGGAAATAACTCAAATGACTGGAATTCGACACATACCTCCGCGCAGTTCATATACCTCCACTTCGTCGCCGCGGGAAGCCGCATAGAGCGCCGCTAAGGACCCAACCGGTCCCGCGCCCACCACAACCACCTTCTGCTTGGGGGTGACAGCAGCCATGATGCAGCTGGATTGGAAATTCGTTCAGAGCAGAGCAAGGTTCCTGAATGCTGGAGAACCCCGGAACACACCTCAATCACGTGGTGCGGTATCGGCCCTTGCCTGATTCAGTGATCTTTCCAAATCGATCGACCGGGGATTAGTCATCCATTTTGACCCGCTTTGTGCCTGAGGCTCTAGATCTGTCCTAACTAGGACTAGTCCCTTTTCGACGTACATTATAGTAGCATAATAGCACATCAATCGCTTGAAATTAATAATGGTATTATTCATTAGCAATACTATTCCGGTCAGTCTCCCTAAGTTATACACTTTTCGCCCCAGCATCATTTCTTTCATCGCAAGAATGCCTTCTCCATAGCCTCTGTCTGAATCTTCCATAAAGGCTCGGCGAGGGTGATCAATTTCGCTCCAAATGACTGCATGATACCTTCCAGAGACTCCTCTTCGTCTTGTGGCTCCTTGAGATCTTTAGGAATCTCTAGACCAAAAGCATTGCCCGTACGTAGCCTCCATGAATTTCTCATATCCCGAATCAAACGGCACGCGACCTCATGTTGAGGGTCCACATTTTTCGCCACGAGATAGAATGAAGTCCTTTTTGCGTGACAAAAGGGCGGTTTGAAAAGTGTGATTTGGGAGAATCTGTCAAATGCTTCCAGAAGCCGCAAAACCCGCGGGTTGTAGACCTGGTGCAAAAGCACCACAATGGTCCCGGCAGACTTGACTCTTTGCAATGCCATGACACTCTGAGCATCTGCAAGTCTACGCTGGGACGTCAAATCCTGTTCTGGATCAGCTGAAGGAAGAACATGTCCATCACAAAAAATCAAGTCGAATTTTTGTCCTGCATACGGTATATGATTCGAAAACTTAGATGTCGAGGGTTGATCCGCTGAGGCCAAGTCCGGAAACCCAAGCTCTGCGGAAAGCATGGCGAGATTCAACATTTGAACTTTGAGCCGTTTTTTTTCCTGCCAGCCTGGAAGATAAATCTCAAGTCCACCTTCGTTCGTGGGTAGACTGATGGCACACACTTGTGCGAAACGATTGTATTTCAAGACCGTAGCGGAGAAGCCTCCAGGGGCCATACAAAGATCAAGAACATCAAAGTTCATTCTCTTCCACGGAGGAGGGATCAACTTCTCTTGATCTTGGAAGTTGTCACCGATCCTCGTCATCATATTGAAAAAACCTGCCTTTTGTTCTTCGGACACGGATTGAACAGCACGCGCCTTTTGATTCCTGAAGTATTCATCGGCTTTAGGACACTTCCATACCTAAGAGATATATCAGGCTTGAATCATAACACAGAGATGTAACAGAATCCGGCGCGTCTTACTTCGTCTTGAACCTTCAGCAGTTTGGCAAAAATTGCCGATTTTGAGCTCAAGAAATTGTTGACTATCTCGGATTCTTGATCCCGTAGTTCTCCAGTGAGGGTGGACATCTTGTTTGGCTGTCAACATACTAATTGATGAAGAGTGGGCGTGTGAAAATGTGAGGAGCGAGGACGCGTTCGTGAGAAAAGAAGAGGTGAGAGGGAACGATCTATTGGGATGAAAGGTGAGAAAGACAAACTGCTCCCTGGGCACCTATGCAAAATATCTGAGCTGAAAACTAGAGGAATGGGCAACACTATAGGATATTGAACTACAATAGTAAACTATATGACTGGAAGATTCATCTTAGACTTGATTGTGTCATCCTTTTCCAGTCGAGAGTATTTCTCAGAACCCATTCACCTTTGAAAGGTTTCGCGGCATAGGTGAAAGAGCTCACGGATATACCGTCGGGGGATAACATAGCAATCTCGAAGCATACTTTGCAGACACAGACACTCGTGTCTTCAAGTCTATCGAAGGAAATTATCGTAATGCTCATCGCTTCTGGCATCATCAATCAGGCTACTATTTACGGACGTTATTAATTGAACACCACATAGTGTCGGTTGATAACCACATTCAGCATCTAGGAGTATTTCTAAATTCAGAGTATGATTTTCGAATTAATACCTAGATGATTACGTCTTGACTCACACTCGGCTGCTTCAAGACCCGATCATACTAAGATTGCTGTACCTAATGTGAAGGTAAATGAGTAGTGATACCTGCTGAGTCGCGTTTTCTTGCCCCTATTCAGTTAAACTGTCAATAGTTATGAGTTAGGCAATATTTCAGAAAGAAAACCCGTACATGGTCGGTCCTTAAACTAGTTGTTTATCTTCTATTACATCGTACACCGATTATGATAGGTGGGGTTGCGGTCCCACACTTCCTACTGAGATGTGCAAATCCCACGTTTCTAATGCAAAATTCTGCAAGGAGAATCACATACAGGTGCCGATACTTTTGTTTTTCTGTTTGCTGTATCCATCAAGTTCGGGAGAAAATAAAGGAAAAATGGTATTCAATTGTCGCGGTGTTTAGGTGGACTATTGGCAGCCGAGCTAACGGCGTTGTATCAGTCCCTTATCCGGCCCAAATTTGCCGACGGGGCCTGAGCACGCAAGCGGGGAGAAATGCGACGAATTGCAGTCGTTCATTGGTTCAATCAACTACTCTTCGCGTTCTGACGAGCGGGGGAAGGCCGCTTATCACCACGTGAGTGAGGATTTATGAATAAATCAGTGTTTCTTCCTCTTGATTCACAATTGCGACTCAAACAGACACTGTACGCTTAAAGGTGTGAAGATATCCGTGGCAGTTGTGTTGCCATCATGGCGTCTGAGCGTGTCCTTTCCGAGACCTCCCCGTTGCTGGTGCCCGGCAACGGCACTGCCACTACTGGAGCAATAGACATCCCCCAGGAGGAATGGGCAGAACCAAGAAATTGTGATGAGGATCAGGCCAAGGAGCCGTTTCCAGATGCTCAAGTACAGCTCAAGTATTTTATTCCGGCAATTTCATTAGGTGTAAGACCATCCTGATCCATGCCCTGGCTCTCCCCGCCAACTCACACAGTCGTCGGCTAATGGACGTGTAGATATTCATGTCAGCTGCGGACCAAACCATCATTATGGCCAGCTATGGACAAATTGGTAGTGATTTGAAAGCTCTCAATTTGACCAGCTGGATTGCCACTTCATACTTTCTGACCTTGACCTCATTTCAACCGCTGTACGGAAAATTAAGCGATATCTTTGGCCGAAAGGAATGTCTGCTTTTTGGCTACGCCGTTTTTGGACTTGGAAATCTAGGCTGTGGGCTTGCACGTAATATTTATGAGCTGATTGCGGCGCGCGTATGTCAATATTAAGCAGCCCTTCGACGTATTCGACTAACATGGGGTTAGGTTTTCCAAGGAATTGGAGGTGGCGGTATGACCACTGTTGTCAGTATCTTAATGAGTGACCTTGTTCCCCTGCGCGACCGAGGTCTCTGGCAAGGCATTATCAATCTCGTCTATGCCACTGGATCAACCGCGGGCGCACCCTTAGGAGGGATCCTAGTTGATTACATCGGCTGGCGTTGGTATGTCGATTTACCCAAAATCCATGACAATCTTCTAATCAACGGAACACAGGGCTTTTTTGTTACAATTTCCCATATGCGTCCTGGCTATTGTTGCTGTATCCCTTATGCTCAAGCTTCCGACCCACGAAAACACAGACTGGAAGGCGAAGCTAAAGCGCGTTGACTTCCTTGGCGCGGTTGTCCTCGTCGGTGCTGTCCTAGGCCTCCTAGTTGGTTTGGATCGTGGCAGCAATGTGTCATGGACGATGCCACTAACTATCGTTTCACTGAGCTTGTCAGCGATTTTCTTTGTTCTCTTCGTGCTAGTGGAACTATATGTCGCAGCTGAGCCCTTTGCACCGGGCCACATCATCTTCAACCGCACTTTTTTCTCCCTCTATTGCTGCAATTTCTTCAGCTTCGGAGGCTGGTTTGCCGTTCTATTCTACATCCCACTTTATTTCCAGGCCGTTGATGGTGTATCTGCCTCTGGCGCTGGTTTGCGCTTATTACCGAGCATTCTGTCCGGTGCAACCGGGTCGATTCTCGCTGGTCTCATCATGAAGTGGACAGGGAAATATTACTGGCTCACGATTGCAGCATACTCATCTTTGACTTCGGGCTGCTTCTTGATCTACTTTTTCTCAGGCGGCGTCATGACGAGCACTATCGGCATGATTGTTGGAATGGTCATGTCAGCATTTGGCAATGGAACCGGGGTCACATCGACTTTGATTGGCTTGAGTGAGTTTTGTGTATGTCATGCAAAGTCCCCCGTTACTAATGTGTTCCCAGTATCAAATTCAACAATGGAGGATCAGGCAGTCGTTACAGCCTGCTCATACCTATTCCGATCTTTGGGTTCCGTTATAGGGATTTCACTGTCATCAGGTCTAGTTCAACAGCTTCTACGAGGACGGCTTCAATCGGACCTACATGACAGCAAAAACATTGATGAAATCGTCAATGGAGTTCGAGAGAGTCTTAACTACATCAATAAGCTGGATCCGGAGATTTCTAAGATTGTCCGCAACTGCTATGCCTGGGCGACTAACAAGGGCTTTAGCTTTCTAACTGTTGTGGTGTTCTTTGCCCTTTTCAGCGCCTGCTTTATGAATGAAGCCAAACTCAAACGGTAATCAATCATTCTTGTCAAAGCTATTGTTGTCCATAATGATGATACTCTCTGTTTTCAGCGTTGCATAATTGAGTGGTCAATCTTTGCATTAGACTCATAGCCCAAAATTGTTGCATGCTTCCCTCCCTGACACTAGGTCTGAGCATAGAAAATTGTTTATGATCGATTGCAATATGCAGGTGTGTGTCAGAAATATAATATTTCCAATGTTGACTTAATGAGCGAAAATAAAATGGTTGTCTTTCACGGCGTAACTAATTACACTCGTATTGGGTGTGTGTGTTCAGTAGCTAAGTTTAGTGCACATGTAGTTAGTCAACTAATGTGACACCTAATTTCTGGGGCTCCGCCCCCGTGACGTTTCATCTTCCACGAAGTTCGAATTTCATTACACCTCAACCTCGATCTCAATACTGAGTGTTTGAGGCGTTGTGTCTCCTGCGATTCTTCAAATACCAAATCCCGATCGGCATCGAATTATGACTGTCCTTTCACCGTGACACCCTACCTGCAGCTGTCATCTGCTTAAGCTCCGCCATGTCCGAGTCGCGCTCCGGGCCAGTGTCACTGACACGGTATCGACCTATCTTGTACCTGTTCACCGGTGTTGCAGCAGCCTACGCCCTTCTCTACATTCATAACAATGTAGTCTCGCCAAATACCTCACAAGCCCCCTCCGCCGCCGAGGCGCCGTGCGCCGCACCAGACGAAGCGAAGCCGAGGAGCTAGCAATCACAGAAACCCCTTCTTACCGGGCAATCACTCATCTGGAGCAACTGGAACGTCAGAATGGTGTGTACGGAACATTTCGGATCGAGACAGAAGATGGTCGGCGTGTGGAGAGCGGCCTGCTCCCATCATTGCTAGCAACCCGTGACCAACTGATGGAGGAAGTCGGTGTCCCGCCTGCCCATGCGGAGCGTATGCGTGAGATGATGGAGGACACCTTTCTGGAATCTTTCCTTGCACTTGATTTCCCCGCCTCACATACCCTTCCTGAAGACACGCCCGAGCGGGCGTACCTGACTGAGCAGCTCCAACGACGAGGAATCTCAAGTGCGGGAATCGAGCGGGCGCTTATCCGGTTCAACGCCGATAACAACTACGGAGATGAACTGCGTCGGCGAAGACAAAATGGCGAACGTGTCACCCTTTCGACGTCGACTTTCCCCGACGTGGCTCCTCCGAATCCTGATGGTGGAGAGGCAGGTGTAGACGACCAGAGCGTTTTCTCTTGGCGTGATGGGAACAACGATGGATCGCCTACTCGGGAAGGCCAAAACCTGCTCAATTTGCTGTATCACATTGCGGAGGACCAGGCACGCAGAGATGGCTACATTCATCGAGGTGTCACTTGCAATAGCTGCGGAGCCATGCCTATTCAGGGCATCCGCTATCGGTGTGCCAACTGCATTGATTATGATTTGTGTGAGACATGTGAGGCAATGCAAGTGCACATCAAAACACACTTGTTCTACAAGGTTCGAATCCCAGCGCCGTTCCTGGGAAATCCGCGTCAATCACAACCTGTCTGGTATCCTGGAAAACCTGCCATGCTCCCACGAAGCCTTCCACGGCCGCTGGCGAAACGCTTAACCCGAGAGACCAACTTTGAAAATACTGAGCTTGATGCGCTTTGGGACCAGTTCCGTTGTCTTGCAAACTATGAATGGGCAGATGATCCTAACAAGCTGTACATGGCCATTGATCGAAAGACTTTTGATCGGTGCTTTGTGCCCAACACATCTATTCGACCACCTCCACCAAGTCTAATTTACGATCGCATGTTTGCATTTTATGACACCAATGGTGATAACCTCATTGGATTTGAAGAATTTCTGAAGGGGTTGGCCAGTCTTAACAATAAGAGCAATGATGAGCGGTTGCGACGTGTTTTCCGTGGTTATGATATCGACGGCGATGGGTATGTCGAGCGAAAGGACTTTCTTCGAGTCTTCCGAGCGTACTATACTCTCAGTAGAGAACTTACCCGTGATATGGTCGCCGGCATGGAAGATGATTTCCTTGAAGGCGGAGCTCGCGATGTTGTTCTTGGTAGCCAGCCCATTAGTTCTGCATTTCCTGGTAACATTCCGTCTGGTGAGATTTCGCGAACTGGTGAAGGAAAGCGTGTTAATATTGAGGGTGACATGGAAATTTCCGATAATGGTGGAATCCTACGACGAGACGGTCACGATACTGGGGACCGACACTCGGTTGTGGGAGACGCTGCTGCTCGAGAACAATTCGGTCGAACGAGGCCGATTTTCCCATCTACTTTGCAGCTCCCAGGTACTGTGTCGATTCGTCGTCGGTCCATCGTGGAGCGCGGCCAAACAGGTGGTGGGGACAACGATGAAGATGAAGATGGCAGTGACTCGGATGAATCAGGGTCGTCGGTTGCTAGTGGCAGCTGGCCACCACCAGAGCATATTCGTGAGGAGGATATTATTGAGGCCCTCGGAACGTATGTACCCCCTCAGGAGATCAACGATCCGATCGATAGGGCCCGCATCGTGACAACAGTGTACAACAGAATGCGCGAAGAAGATCAAAGAAGAATTGACGAAACCCGCCGAAATGGAATTGACGAACGCTGGCGACGTCGCGCTTTCTATACCGACGAGGAAGACGGCGCCACCATCCCGGAAGGATATCAACGAGACCCTACTTTCGACGACTTGAGCGACGACGAGTCGATAGATGAATCGCCAATCGACTCACACCCACCATCACCTCGCTCACGTTCTTCTTCCAAGGTTCGATTCCAGGATGATATTACTGACGACTATGACGTTCGATCCAACCCGTCCACATCTTCTAGGAGCATTCCCGTTGGTGAGCGATGGGGTGGCTTCGAGATTCCAGAGGTTGAAAGAGATGCCGGTAAGGAGATCTTGTACCAAGTCACGCAGCAAGGCTTCAATGAGCTTCTTGATCTCCTTTTCAAACAAAAGGAAGATCTGCTCATGGAGGTTTATCGAACCCGTGCGGATCGCAAGACGTGGGCTCATGAGATTGAGCTCGTGCGAATGTCTCCCCCGCCCCCGCCACCTCTCAAGGAACCTGAACAGGCAATAGATGAGAAGGACCTTCAAGATGTTACAAATGAAAGGTCTCTTGATGAACTGCTGCAACGTGCCGGTTACGCTGTGCAAAGTCCCACTATAGCACCAGTATTTGCACCTACGTCTACGGGTGCGGTGGCATCGGATGATGATATTGAACCTACGCACTTTGCCGACCCCGAGAGTGAATTTGAGCATGGCCAAGATCTGTCTTTTGATGACTCCGACACTGCTTCGGTCACCAGCTCCTCCCATCCGGATGGCCAACTCGATATTTCCGATGCCGCGTCTTACAGTGATTCTTCCGATGAGGATTCAAGGCCGATCATTGATGAGCTTGACGACTATGATCCAACCCTCCCACAATTTCGTCCGGAAACAGAAACACTCCGCCCCCGGCTCTCTTTCCGCGACGAGCCACAAGTCATCACCGATGGGCCAGGCACCGAATCACCCTCTCATACCTCAAACTCTGATCTCCCAGAACAACTTCGCCTTGAGCCCAATGGCACAACCTCACTGCCCGCCCCATCATCACCCCACTTGTCCTCTCCAGGAGCTGAAGAAACCGCCCCCAAACTCACTCTCCCTCCCTCTCCCATGCAGCCTCTTCCCCCTCCAAAAAGATCGCCCACTCCACCTCGAATCACTAGCACCCCTCGTCGGCCTTCCTCACGAACCCTTGCCCGTTGGGCATACCTGAATCAGGTCGAGCGCGAAGCCAAGGAACGTGGTGGAAACGGTGGAAGACTCAATTATGACGAGTTTGCCCGTCGAATGGCAGCTGATAAGGGGCGCCGGCTGGCATTTGTGGCTAGTTGGATAGAAATGGCTAGCTTTTGAGTACTGCCCAGGTACTCTTCTGGAACTTTCGATCCGTGTACATTAAAAGAATTGTGAATTTATTTTTCTTCGGAATCACTCCAGGGCTTTGGTTGGGAATTTTGTAAGACTGGCTGCCCAGGTTGTGCGAACCTATGCATAGTCCACTGAATCACTGATCCCTTTCGGGCATTACGATTTGTCATTTCAAGTCACCTGTTGGCACCACGAGTATTGAGCAGCTGCTTGGTCTGTAGCTACCTTTTATTGACAAAAGCACCGCAGCTCACAGACAACATGCCTCATGAGCCCCGCGGCTGTATTAATGTATGTCAGACGAACCGGTCCGGGATCATCATCACCTAACTAAGGATTGAAATCACCAATCAGCTGCTGTCGCGGAAAGACACTAATTACTCAATTACTAGGACTAACTTTTATAGTCGAGAGCACGGCGGATCTATACGAGAGAACCGCGTCTTGGCAGCTGATCACGCATTGCCTCAGCCACATTTGCTTCAGAAACTCACAATATTAGAGACCTTCCCCCCTAGCTATCTCGTCCCTAGAGTTTATCAAGACAGATTTTGCATTCCAACCCGCAAGGTGACTTGATCGCTATTCTAAAACTTCGACTGAAGGTCCTGGATTCTCTGGAGGAGATTGCAGAGAATGTTGAAGGAGGTTAATTGGGGCTGTATTGGACATTTACAGATATGTGTACACCTGGGAGTAGATCTGAGGTAAAAATTCAATGGATATATTAAGACACTTATTACCGCACATATTCAAGTTCGAAGACCTTACGGCCTTCCTTACCACACCTAGCCTAGAGCCTAAATATTAAAACAGAAATAAGCCGCTAACTAACGATTAAATTTAATGTATGTTTTAATAAGTATACCGGTCTTTAAGCCCTTGATATGCTCATTCTGAATAGTATAGATTTATAAAAAAATCTTGACCTTAAACCACCGTGGAATATCCGAGGTCTGTCTTAGAGAAAGATTTAAGATAATGCTAGATGAGATCTATTAAGAAGATACTATGCTAGGCGGAAAGGGTATAATAAACTTTCCAAGCAGAAGTCGTCAAGATTAATTCCTGGAAAAGAGAGCATGGGAAATCCACCTAGAACCCCTCATACTAGGTTTTGGCAGAGGTTCGCATATAAATCAGGCGGGATAATACAGTAGGTTTATGCAGCAGTATTCAGCCCCATGTCTTATTGATCAGGAAATGTAGGCTTCTCCCGTAACATCACAGGAAAAGAAAAGGCGAACAAGTCAAGAACAGCCTAAACAAAAGGAGGGTGAGTTAAAAAGGAGAAAAGGAGGATCAGTCTCTATAATGCCATGGCTGTGTGAAGAACCCTACTGCTCCTTGGTCGATGAATCTGCTTCGGTACTCTCCAAAGGATCAGTTGGACTCCACGGCATTTCAAGTAGACTCATGACCCAAGAATTTCCTTCGGTGGAGCTGGTCGTTTATGCGGCAACTCCGGATGTGGTGTGATATCTGTTTCACTTCCCTGCTTCAAATAATCTCTAGAAAAGTCATATTACGCATGACTAGCAGTAAGTTACGTGAGATCTTTTCAAGGTTTGTCAGTGGCTGGATGGTGTAGTTGGTTATCGCATCTCGTTGGCACCCTCGTGAATTATGAGATTAGGTTTAGCGGCTGGTCGTCACCAAATTCACGTATTTACTTAAAGGTGGTTTCCGTAGAGTGATATATCAATTGGCCGGATGGTGTAGTTGGTTATCACGTATCGTTAACACCGATAAGGTCCTGGGATCGAGCCCCAGTCTGGTCATTCTTTTTTGTCTTTTTTTTGTTTCCACACTGTCGTACACACGGGAGTGGTGGAGCTGAGCGTGTTTTGCGGGAGCCAATGGTTAACCGCGCTGCTTCCAGGAAAGGGCAAAGGGGTGGAATGAGGGAGAGAACAAAACAAAAGCAAAGCGTTTTGTTCCCGAAGAACACAGATTTACACATCACAATACATAGCTATAAGGCTATTTCACATGTTCACGGCTCTCTTGGAAAACGACATTAATGTTTCAAAAGGCCAAACGGGAAATAAATATATTGCCACGTCGCATACATATACACTCCCGCGACACATCTCACCCGGCTTCCAATCAACTCTTCTCCATATCCTCATTGCTAGAAGAGGCCGTCGGCGTCACGCCAGCTTCTGCAGGAACGAATCCGTATTGCACAGCGGCTCGCTCAATATCCTCATTGGAGAGAAAGGGTAGTTCCTTTGCAGCACGCACATAGCTAATATTCTCTGAGTACCCCTTTGCAAAGATCACATCGATCTCCTCCAGCGATCGACCAGCAGTCTCGGGATAGAAAAAGTATATGACGGGGAAAAAGCAAGCGTTAATGCACGCAAAAAACAGGTACGTACCCCAGCCAATATTTCGTACCATGATTGGTGTGACCATCACAATGAGAAAATTGAAGGTCCAGTTCGTGCAAGTAGATAGAGCATTTGCTTTCGCACGGGTCCTAATTGGCGAGATTTCCGCTGGATAAAGCCAAGGAAGAGGTAACCAGGTCGCCCCAAACGAGGCGATGTAAATGAATAGACCAAGCGCTGCACCCTTAGCTGGTCCGGGTGTACCGGGGATCAAGCAGGCAAATGTCAAAACCATTGATAGACATTGTCCAACGGTGCCACTGAGAAAAAGCTTACGACGGCCGACCCTTTCAATCAAGAACCAAGACATACAGGCGAAGATCGAGTAAACGATCATGTTAACGCCACCTAGAATCATTGACATGAAATCCGTTTGGTTGAGAGATTTCTTGAAAAGAACTGGAAGGTAATATATGACAGCATTACATCCGCCAATTTGTTGAAAAAATTGAGAAGAGGATCCGAGAAGCATACGTCGGAAATGTTGCGTCTTTCCGCCCGTGAAGACAGCAGACATCGGCGTCGACTTGGCTGCTTGGCCAGAACTATGAAAATCAGTATCGGAGAATTGACAGAACGCGGTTCGGAATTCCAAGTGTCGGGATGTAATTGTAGAACATACGCTCTGATTGAATCCAAAATAATAGTCTTTTGAAGCTGGACATCAGGATGAGATATCTCTTGAGCGGCAAGCGCGGCGATGATCGTCTCACCCTCCTCGTATCGTTCCTGAATAAAGAGCCAACGAGGTGATTCCGGAAGAAAGAACATTCCGACAATAATAAGTAGACCAAAAACAATCTGGAAGGCGATCGGAAAACGCCAGGTGAGATCCGGAGAACCATATGAGGCCCCAAAGTCTATCCAGTAAGAGATAAGTGTGCCAATAGCGACTGTGCTTCCTTCGATACAGATAAGAAGACCACGGTTGGTGGATCTCGAGCACTCAGCTTGATAGGTTGGAATGGTCGAAGTATTCATTCCATTCCCAACACCTGTCACAACTCGGCCCACGCAAAATTGGGCCAGAGGGACGTGGCCCTTGAATGCAGTGACCTGGATAATTACGCCAATGACCATGACAGTTGCACCGAGCATGATTGATTTGCGCCGTCCAAGCCAATCGCCAAAGACCAAGCTAAAAATGGCTCCTCCAAGGCATCCTGCAACGTGGTCAGTCATGTTATGAAATATCGTTGATCTGACGCTTACCTAGCTCGTAGATGGCAGTGACCACACCTTGCATGGTTGAATTGTCCTTGGTTGCGGTAAAAATATCATTGAAGGGGTCGGCGTCGATGATACTACTCATGACACCCTCTGTATACGTTGGAATTCATGTGAGTACTCTTCGGGGTGATGTGAGTGTAGTGAACATACGGTCATAGCCAAACAATAAAAATCCCATTGTGGCACAAGCCGTCACAGCTCTCATGAGCCATTTGCCAGACAAGCCGGCAAATCGAGGGGAAGACATGTTGGGGGTTCACTATTTGGTCCAATGCTTCCTAGACCTTTGTGGTGAACTTATGAGATAATTCCGTGCCAAAAGATTGGAAAGCCGAATATAGTAGACTCAAAGCAAGATGGGCAAGGAAGAAATCAAACATTCAACCACTTCGGAATACCCCGTATTTATGTCCACAAGGCTCCAGATACATGTGGGGATCTGGCTTGGGGAATGGGGCTCATCAAGGACATCCGACGACTCCGCCTCATAGTGTAACTGCACCAGGATAGGCTGAAATCGAGGTCCAAAACTCACTAACACCCTGCACATGAACCGCGTCTAAGGGGAAACATCTTAGCTTGCGTCATTGGCTGCTACGGTCCATCAAAAATAGCATATTGATTGGATAGAAAAATCAACCGCCAATATAGCAGTATTCCTTAGGCTTCCAGCCAAGACGTGAAATTGGGGCAAAATGCATGGCACATGGTTAATATCCATGATGTCGTGGTGGGATTGCAACGCCAATATCTGGAAAGAAGGCTTGCTTAAGCTAAAAGGATAAAGTTGCGACTTTTGAACATGGGGCATGCGTAGATTTCAGGGTGTTTTATGCCCATTGGGATTCACAAATTGGAAATATCAAAGACGAGAACCGAGGGACAATATGGATGGCTAGGAAAATAGTCTGCTAGCAAGATGCCTTGCCGATCCTCATGAAATTTCGAGCCAAGATGTTGACTTTCATGGGGGCGATGATAATGGAAGGTTTAGCGAGGAATACAAAGCACAGCGTGGCTTAGGTCTCTATTGTGGTAACTCTGCGATAGCCTTGGCATGGATTGGACGGGCACCGCATAGGCTAGTCGATTGGACCCTACTAAGCGGGCGCAAAGGCCCCGAATTGAAGGTTCTTGGCCATACTTGGCGCCAATGCTCCGCCAATATTCCGTCGAGACCCTCGCCAGCTCTACTCTGCGGTATAATCGGGAACTAAGTGCATTCTTTATCCCGAGGTTTGTGCTCAAAGTCCACCTCTGTTTTGAATGGATGTTGTTTCGAAGCGTTAGCTAACTTGCGTTTGAGTTTTGATTTTCCTTTATGAACAGAAATGGCCTCCAGTAATTGGAATGTGTCATGTCGCTTAATTTCGGGATGAATCATATTTGGTTTGATAAGTACGTAATAGGTACAGCCTATCCGAGATGCTATTCTTCAGAGGCCTTAGGCTGGTCTTGGGCTGGGGCACCTGGGAAGCGAGTGCCCTTGTCCTTGACCTTCTTTACTTTCTTTTGCACAACCGGGGGCGGGTAGGCCTTCAAAGTAATCTCCTGCCATTCCGCGGAGGCTTCGTAGGCCGCCTGTATAGGTGCCATAAGGCTGATCAGACCCGCTGCCACAGCAGGCTTGAGGAGTTGTGGCGTTAACTAAAAGAAAGTCAGTTATCATGATAGGGAATGATATAGAGATATGAAACATACGATATCATTGGTGTAGTCCGCTGTGAGTTGCTTGATATCAGTGTAGATTAATGGCTCCTGCTCTCTTCGCTCGACAATGAACTCCTTCTTGCCCTTCAGTTCGGCGGCAGGCAGGAGAACGTATTCCACAAGTGCGATAACTCCGTTGTCTTCAGCGACCCGAGGGGCTGCTTCCGCTTTGCGAATCTTCTTCGAGATGCTATCAGCGGAGTCTAGAAGATCAATCTTGCTATCTGTTGGGTGTTAGTATTTGTAGCAACGTTTAGCGGAACATTCTAAACCAGATAGGAATTACCTTCAATACTAGAACTCATCTTAGCACCCTTCAATCCGCTGATCATAGGGTTGATAAGATGCGCGCGCTAAATTTGTTCGTAAGCCGATGTACATCCTCAAATGTATAGGAGCCATACCTTTCGGTAACCGAGCTTAGGTAGCCATTCTGTGGCAGCAACAAAGAGTTTCCTCTGGTCCATACCTCCGAACTGGCAATCAACCTTCAGATGCTCCTCGTCTAGCACCTGGAGCACCGGGTACAGAAGACCACTCAGAGGAGCATTGTCAGTCTGTTTGACGACCTCCGCGCCAGCTTTCTTAGCATCGGACTCGGAAATCAAGCTTGAAAGGCGGTACACGTCCATAACGTATTCGGGGCTCTTCTGGTAGGAGCTACCAAGAACAAATGTCAACTTGTCAGTGGGGACGCCGACAGACTGGAGAATCGCCGTGATGATCTTTTCGTAGTACTGAGCACGGTTCTCGACAAGCTCAAGCGGTGCCTTCAGGTTATCGAGGAAGCCATGGATATCGGCAAGCAGGACGATGACATCGCATTGGGCACGGAGCAATTGAGCGATCTTCAAAGCAGCGAGGAAGTATCCGACGTGAGGCCTTCCGGTAGTGGCCGTTCCTAATGTCAAGTAAAGGTTAATTAGGGTGTCAATGCCTGTGTATCTAAACTGACTCACCCCAGTAGATACGGGGGTTGCGGCCCTCCGCGAGGATGCCCTCAATGATCTCGGGGTTCAAAACCTCCGCGAGATTTTCGCGAATGAGGTCGAATCGTTCTTTCGCTGTCAGTTCCATCGCGACGGAGTATGATACTTGTGAGCACAGGGAGAGGGATGGCTGGTGGGATGGTGGGATGGTTTTCTCAAGTGGGACCAGCGGAATAATATTTGATCCGAATGTAATTTTGACTCAGAAGGTGCGGTCAAATATGGCAGAAAATGGCAGAACCCCTCGTCTCTGCCGGCGATTAAAATATACGCCAATCATAATGTAGGAATCACAGGCGGTAGAAGCAGGGGTATCAACAGTTGCGTCATGTAAAGATTGTCTAGATATGAATTTGTATAGATATCTTGCAGTCACAGATGAGTCATACTTGATGACACGATTCTCTAACGGGATTTTATCAAGGAACGTGTCAGGTGGTAACAACATTGGGCCCATGATACTCGGAGACTTCCGAGGGGTTTCCGGAAGCTTTCCGCAGTACATCGAGGTTCCGCAGCCCTCTTCGTAGATATTTTGGGAAGTAAACCCCTTTTTTGTGTATCGGTTGACAGCGATGCAGTGTTAATTGTCATTAAGTAGACAAGGCGCATGTATTGAGCGATACTATCAAGTTCATATCCTGGTATCTAAAGGCTACACGTAGTATTTACTCTCACACTAGGCTCTCTATTGTGATCATCACGACAACAATACTTAATGAGTAGAGCAATACGGTATATCGATACCGATCAGGCTTTTTATGCCCCCAGCTGGCCAAGCAGTTCAATCTTATCCCAAACTGAACTATTGATAAGAGGTGTATATGGGGGCCCAGGTGGCATTACAGTGCATGTCAGTGAACGTCCCGTTTTATTTATGCTTCAGCCATTTCCCACATCCACCGTCTCTCTTACACTCATCACAAACATAGACGCCGATATTCAGTGGCGAGCTCCCGAATAGGCATATGATAGCTCTGTGAGAGTCAAGTAACATCACCTAGGACATGATTCTTCGAGCTTATAATAAAATATTATTTCTTACATTCAACGTCATTTTCCTAATCTCCTAATATCTCAATCATCCGTTAAACCAAGGAATGGAGACAGCATCCACTAGCAGAAGCGGTATAAGGATAAGCTTCAGTGACCCATTCCAAAGGTTGTCGCGACCAAGCAATGTTTTTGTATCTCTGTGACATTTTCAGAACACAAGGGCATGTGAGCAATAGTGTATCTAGATCCCCCAAGTTGGTGCTGAACAGTTCAAGAAGATGCAAATCATTTTTTCTCTCATCACATAAATCTCCCCTAGTATTATCGAGAGGATTGTCGGCCTTGAACTCCACAGCACTCCAACCGGAGAAGGCCTAAGGGGCGACGGTACGTGAGAATATCCCAAAAAAAGTTAAAAAAAAAGACAAAACAGTATCTACCCCAAGCTATTGCACAAGCCATTGCAAATGGTATGAGATATGAAGATATTCAAAGCTGTGGGCGATCCGTTTACCTCTGGAAGGAATTTTCATTGTTCAGATCTGGTTGTCGTGGAAAAAGCGAGGTGGGATCAATGGATCCTGCGGCAGCGGCACAACCCGAGGTGTCAAAAGTACTGTCCATTAAAATCCTACGGTAATTGGTTCCTCTGCCCCAACTGTGGAGCCCATTTTTGGAGGGAGGCATTTGTGAGGGGCATGGCGGGGGGCTTTGTATACCTTGTATCACGCCAACAAGCAGGAACAGTCTATCGAGAATCAACCTAAAAAGAAACGGCTCAGAGTCGGAGTGAGGTAGTCCCCGAAATCATAAGATTCCATGTCGCATTAATACCGCCTTCTGTGTCATGCGTTAATAGTCAGGAATGCGTATCGGCAGTTGACGGATCTTACGCAACCTTTGCTGACCTTTCTCTCACACTTTACACCACAGGCGCTCTTGAAATTCCTGGTACAAGTGACCCTCCACGCTCGACATCAACATTGAATCATGGCTACCAGTAAGTCTTGCGCTTCTATGGACTGTGGAATGAGTTAAGTACAATTGAGACTGAGATATCATGACAGCCGGTACAAAGTCCTTCTGTCACAAAGAGTACCCACCGCGGGCAGATCTGCGCAAAATGATGGACCAGCAGCCTCTTCCCACCCTTGCCCCTGGATTGATCGGTTCCACTTCAATGACAAGTGATGAAGCAACGAGCCAAGCGCGGGCGGTTTTGGATATTTTCAACGCTGCTTTGGCTGTTGATGATGCTAAAACATTGGAGAGTTGTTTCTATGCCGACCAGGCATACTGGAAGGACCAGCTGTCTCTAACCTACCACTTGCGTACATTCAATACTCCAGGTATTATTGCAGCCGGTCTGCTGGAAACGGCAAAGCTCAGAGGCATTTCAAAAGGCATCGAGATAGATGGGTCGGCTATGCTCCTGCCAGTGACGCCAACACTTGTAAGTGTAACACAAGAACCTACTGGATTTAGTTTGCAAATAGTTGACCTCACAACTTGAACTTCGATAGCAATTCATTGACTGTCCTCTTGTATTCCAAACCAGCTCGCCAGCTACAACTTGCCGTGGAAAGGTCATGCTCTTGCCGGTGAAAGACACTGGGTACAACAAAGTTGTGTGGAAAATTTGGGTGTTGTTTACTCGGCTCGAGAGTTTGGATATACAACCCGAGGATGAGATACTGCTTCGGTCCCCTCGAAGGCAACTCGATAATGCAGAGAGCTTTGACACGGACGTCTTCATAATTGGCGGTGGAAACGCGTAAGATGGAACAATTAGAAGCCATTGCCATAGTGTGTTATTGCTAATATTGATTCGAACAGTGGCGTCACTCTTTCAGCCCGTCTCAAGGCACTGGGCGTAGATAGTCTCTTGGCTGAGCAAAATCCCCGTGTCGGTGACAATTGGGCTCTTCGATATGACTGCATGAAGTTTCATATTCCGACTTCAGTCTGCGATATGCCTTATATGGGTAAGGCTGCTGTTCCATGCTGTTGTTCAAATTAATTCTTCAAGTCTAGAAAAACGAAATGCTGACAAGAACTAGAGTATGGTGAAGAGCTCCGAACTCCCAATTTCCTTACACGGCAGAACTTGGCGTCGCAGGTCCAACAATATGTGGAAAAGTTCAATCTCAACATGATAACTTCGGCTAAGATTCAATCCACTCAGTATGATGAGAGCGCGAAGAGATGGAAAATTAACTTTCAAACTCCACATGGAAAGAGGACAGCAGTGTCCAAACAGCTTGTCCTGGCGACGGGTTATGGATCGCAAAAGCCCAATCTACCGACTATAGCAAACAGAGAAATTTATAGGGGCATTAGCATCCACTCAGCTGAATACAAGAATGCTACGGCATTGAAGGAGCAGGGTGTCAAGGTGAGCAATCTGCAAAGGAGTTCCTTATGAGGCTTCCACTGAGTAGACAAGACCGTAATGATTATCGGGTCCGCGAATACAGCCTTCGATATTCTCGAAGAGTGCCATGCTACAGGTCTCAATTCGACAATGAACGTCCGCTCCCCAACGTATATCGTTCCGTTGGACTATGTTTGTCACAAAAGCAGTCTTGGTGCTTATGATGGCGGTGTTGCAGCTGCAGATAAACTTTTCCTATCCTTGCCCTCAGTAATAGAGGGTCAACTAGGGCGTGACCTTTTTGCAATGTTTGCATCAGCAGAGCCAGAGCGTTATGCAGCTCTCCAGGCAGCTGGGTTTCCTGTCCTTGATAGTCGAGACCCCAACTGCGCCTTGATACACAACCTGCTCGAGCGCGCAGGTGGGCATTATGTCGACGTTGGTGGTACCAAATTGATTGAAGAGGGCAAGGTGGGTATCAAGGCTAATGCCGAGCCTGTCGCGTATACGAAGACAGGCCTCCGTTTCTCTGATGGTAGCTGCGTTGACGCAGATGCTATCATTTGGTGCACTGGGTACGCCGATGCGAATGTGCGTGACACTGCCGCAGAGATTTTGGCAAGCGCATCTGCTGTTGATGGGGTATCCAGTGGCGTAGATGATGGGATTAAACATCTTCTGGGCCCTCGAGAGATCGCATCTCGCTTAGACGCAACATGGAGCATTGACTCTGAAGGCGAAATCCGCGGCATGTGGAAGCGCCATCTAGGCCTTGACAATTTCTGGATCATGGGTGGCTACACGCAACAGCACCGATGGCATTCACGCACCCTGGCGCTTCAGATAAAAGCGGCATTAGAGGGTATTTTGCCTCCCGCTTATCGGGATACCCCATTTCCACGCGTGGAATGAACGTAGTCGTATAGCTTCGGAAAGGTCGCGCACTGTTGTTGAAGCCTGAAGTATTTCGGAAGGATCCCGGGGAAGCTGCGATAACCCAGTGACTTCATGTTTAATGAGTTTCGTAGCGCAGGTTTAATTCAGTACCAAAAAAATACCTTTGCGAGTATGATTCACGCCGCCTTTCTGGTTCTGATCTCCCATACGGAGATTGTACCCTTAATATCCAATTAAGTCACATCCTCGGCGCGACATTCGCCACGATATTTTGATGCTGCATGCCCTTCAAGAAGTTAAAGCCTTGCACAGGTCTAGCTCTGGGTAGAATATACCGTAAATGGGCTTCAGACACTCGTACTTACAACTAGGGGATAAAGTATGTTTGTCTGAATTAGAAATACCCTTCCGTCTTGCAGTATCTAAGCTTCGTCTGTCCTAAATTTTCTTCCCTCTTGATCGTAATGCTATTTATATTTCTTCCTGCATATCAGTATGGGCTGTAGCAGAGAATAACAAAGAGAAAAGAAAGAAAATTGAGAACTCTCATGCTCAGTGCTCCTGTGCGGACGTAAAAAAGCCAAGGCGTTTTTGAAAGATACGTGATAAGGGGAACCGATAGAAGGTAAAGTACGCCACAGTAAGCCCGAACCAAGAGTCACATCAGCGTATGTCAGGAAAAGAGAAATATTGAGCAAGAACATCCACGTGCTGCCTATGGAGGGATACGCTAAGATGGAATAGGGATAGCGGGACGCCAGTAGTTAAAACACACTGGCGCTAGTAATTCTGAAGTCAACCAACTGTACTTATACCGAATGCTCGGCAACCCATGCCACTTTTCGAAAGACACACAGAGCAGTGGATCCGTGCTAACCTTGACTGGAGAACGCTATTGACTTGGCGGAGCTGAAATGTTTGACAGCTGGACATGCGCCAGCGGTCGATATCCACCAACATGGAATAAATAGCCTCGAAGTCCATCTTATCTATTTCGGCTCACCTCGAACGCCAAAAACTGGGAGGACGCATACACAATGAGCGTGAACGTTTTTGGAACGATTGTGGATCCAGCCGTCACTCCTCTCCATGGAGGAGAGTGTGGAAAGCGTCTGGTGCCACATGTTATTGACGCGACGGCCAGCGCAACTCCAGACGCCGAGTGTTTTTCAATCCCACGGACCCCTGGCCGCCCTACCGATGGGTGGAAGGTCATCACCTGGGCTCAAGTTGCCAACGCCGTCAACTATGTAGCTCACATGCTCATTAAAAAAGGCGGAAAACCGGAACCCAGGACGTTTCCCACTGTCGCCTACATCGGCCTAGAGGATCCGCGGTACACAGTCTTTGTGGTCGGTGCAGTTAAGGCCGGCTACCAAGCCTTGTTCATCTCACCACGTAACTCGGTTCAAGCCCAGCTAAACCTGTTCGAGAAGACCAATTGCAACCTACTATACCATGATTCTCAGTACGCATCCTTGGTTAAGCCATGGGTGGATGGGCGACCAGGCATGGAGAGTGAGGCTATCGCACCATGGGAACAATGGGTTGCTGAGGAGGTGGCGCCATTTCCATACCTCAAGACCTTCGCTGAGGCTGAATGGGACCCTTATGTAGTGTTGCACACAAGCGGCAGCACCGGCCTTCCCAAGCCGATTGTCATCAGCCAGGGCAAGCTTGCCTTGAACGATCTGCACCGGGCCGTCCCGCCGTATGAGGGAAATTTGCCATGGCTGCCGACGTGGACCAGCTTTGAGAATAGCCGTTACCTCCTCATCTTCCCTCTGTTCCACACCGCAGGTATCATGACCTCAACCTTGTGTGGCTTTTATTATAATGCACCAATTGCGTTCCGTGACCCATCGGTGCCGATCACCGGCGACAATGTTGTTGACTGGTTGCAGAACTCGAACCCGGGGTGGACACTCATGCCCCCAGCTACACTGGAACAGATGTCGCGCTCGCCGGTGGCCATAGAGGAGCTTAGAAAGCTGAATGTTGCAGGATTCGCCGGAGGTTAGTCTCACTACATACAGGAATCTTGAAGCGCTGCGCTAACTCCGATATTCTTTCGTCGCAGGCAATGTAGCTCCCGTCCCAGCCAACCACTTGCTAAGCGAGGGGGTTCACTTGGTCAATGCCATAGGTTCAACTGAGTAAGTGACCTATATGCAAGTTTTGACCCAAAAAATACTAAAGCTAAACAGATATATTTACTTCACTTATTACTCACAGCCTGATCCCGCTCTTTGGGCGTGGTTTATCATCCCGACGGAGATGATAGGCATTGACTGGCGACCTTTCGGTGATGGAACATATGAGCAAGTCGTTGTTCGTCAGAATAAGGACCACCCTGGGCTGCAGGCTTGCTTCTATGTCTTCCCTGAATTAGACGAGTTCAGCACCAAGGATCTTTACCGACCGCACCCAACTCTGGCTAACCACTGGACCTACGTGGGTCGGGCCGATGACATTATTGTCTTCTCGACCGGAGAGAAGCTCAACCCGACAACAATTGAAGGCGCCGTCATGGGCCACGCGGGAGTCCTTGGTGCCCAGGTTGTTGGTACCAAACAATTCCATGCCGCCTTACTCATCGAGCCGGTCCAGCCTCCTGAGACTGAACAAGATAAACAGCGGTTCATTGATGAAATCTGGCCCATCGTTGAGAAAGTCAATATCGAGACAGTGGCTCACGGCCGTATATCTCGCGAATATATCTTCTTATCGGACCCGGAACGCCCCTTTCCCCGCGCCGGAAAGGGTACCATTCAACGTGCCATGACGGTCAAGGTCTACGAGAGCGATATTGAGAAGATCTTCGAGGTCGGGCGTGACGTGACGGCCCTGGCAGTCGACCTTGATATCTCATCTCAACCAGCTTTTGTCAATGGGGTGCACGCCGCGATACAGAGCGTGACCAAGTTACCTACACTGGGCATGGATGATGATATTTTTGCTGCGGGTGTTGACTCACTCCAAGTAATTCAACTGGCACGGGTCCTTCGCGTCAGTCTAGCGGCAGCCGGTGTGCAGTTCAGTGAATCCGCCCTTGAGCCGCGGACCATTTACACCTACCCCACGATCACGCAACTGGCAAAATACGCTTACTCTCTTGTATCATCCCCCACCTCCGCCGCCGCCGTGGCGGATGATAGCGCAGTCTGTCGCGCCCTGGTGGACAAATACACCCAAAATCTCCCAGCCACTATCCCCAACAAGCCCGCTCCCGCTGACGAAAGTCAAGTCCTCATCATCACTGGTACTACCGGCACGATAGGCTCCTACCTACTGGACATAGCCATAGCGAATCCTCGAGTACGCCACATTTTCTGTCTGAACCGAGCCGCCGACGGCCAGGCCCGCCAAACCGAGGCGAGTGCATCCCGAGGCCTGTCGACGGACTTCACGCGGGCCGAATTCCTCCAGGTTGATCTGGCCGAACCGACACTCGGTCTGGCAGCTGATAATTACGACCGACTCGCACGAGAGGCAGACCGCGTGATCCATAACGCTTGGCCCGTCAACTTTAATCTTTCGATTGCCTCCTTTGAACCACACCTCCGCGGAGTTCGAAACCTAGTCGACTTTGTTGTGCGTGCCCAAAAAAATGTGCCAATCACCTTCATCTCCAGCGTAGGCACGGTGGACCACTGGCCGAAACCAAACGGAGTCGTGCCGGAAACTGCTCTGGAAGACTGGTCTCTCGCTGGAACGGGATACGGTCAATCCAAACTCGCCAGTAGCATGATTCTTGACGCCGCAGCTACTTCATCTGGCGTGTCGAGAGCCATCATTCGGGTCGGACAGGTTGGTGGTCCGCGTGGAGCACAAGGCCAATGGAATCCACAGGAGTGGGTGCCCAGCTTGGTGCGCAGCTCCGTCTACCTCGGACTTCTGCCTGATTCTCTGGGCGCAATGGGCCACCTAGGCTGGGTGCCGGTAGAGGACGTTGCCAATGTGGTGCTGGAGGTATCTGGGGTGACCGCCCCTGTGTCTGTGGATGAGTTCCACGGGTACTTCCATGCGTTGAATAAGAATGTCACAGATTGGCCAAATCTGGTACCCACTTTGCGCGAGTTCTATGGCGAGCGCATTAAGCAAGTGGTGCCATTGAAGGAATGGGTAGATGCCTTGGAGAAAAGCCAGGTGCATGCTGGGGATGTGGAGCAAAATCCTGCGGTGAAGCTGCTCGATACGTTCCGTTTGGCTGCCACGGGCGCCGGAAACGCTTACTCGTTTGCAACAACGCGCACTGAAGAGTACAGCTCCACTATGCGGCAGATGGAGGCGGTTTCACCCCAGTTGATGAGACATTGGTGTGAACAATGGAAGTTTTGAGCATGTATTCTTGACGCTTCAATCGAAGTACCTGGGGCTAAGCTAGATTCTGGCAACTATTGATAGACCTAACATATAAATGATGAATTAAAGTTATGCATAAAGCCTTCATTGCTCAACTGTCATCAGTATTTGACTCATTGGATCTCAACCCTCATCTGGGCACAATCGTCCCTAGATAATAGTTCAATGCCTCGCGACACATTCATCAACTGATGATATTACGTCACATTCCAAAATAACTGGTCGATAAAATATATTGTGAAATTACCACAGAATTTCAATAACAAAAATTTCGAAGGTAGAAATGATTCAAAGATATCAACATCTGCTCATATGGTAACAATTGAATTTGATTAAGTCCGCAAATCATGGCCATCCCCTTACATTCCCCAACTGATCTCGCTACAGCCGCGCAGACGGGGCTTCAGCGCTTTCTTCTTTCCTCATTTTCTTTGATAAGTTTTTACTGGCCCAGTCAGCAATAGCCATGTTGGTGACCATTGGGTTCACGCCACTAGCACTTGGGAAAATCGATGCATCGATCACATATAGCCCCTTGGCGCCCCAGACCTGGCACTCGGGGTCAACAACACCTTTGGCTGCAGTGCTAGCCATTCGGCATGTTCCCATCTGGTGTGCACTGGAATAGAAACATTTCTCGACATTGAGAGGCGATTTCAGACGGAGTTCATCAACCCATTTCTGGAATTGCGGATCATTCACACCCTCATCAAATTCGTCGGATTTTGAAGTCCGCTCGGATCGATAGAACGGTCGCATATCTGCGTAGGAAGTGTGAAATTCCTTTGCGCCGGAAACATATGCTATCTTCGCACTGGCAATCAATGCTTCCAGACCGCTTTGTCGATCGAATGCCGAAGGCGTGTACTGTACACGTATCCTTCCATCAACGGGATCTGGATAGACCCGCCCACTATCTCGATCTCGGGTGATGGAGATGAAGCTTGTCATGTGGCTTAGATTGGCACAAAACATCTTGTAATCGAGTCCATCACGCCAGGGGAAGGTTGGGAGATAAAGTGGCGGCAGTGTGACGGTTGTTTCGACCTTAGCACCGTGGCCTCGGCCATCAAGGTTTTCGAAATCCTTGACCACAGTGGTCAGAGCAGAGCCCTCCCAAGGTCGGATCTCATCGTCGAAGACGGCGGCGCCAAAGAGCACTATGCAAAAAGTTAGAAATATTCCATTGAACAACCCATTGAAAATACGTACCTGGGTGCAAGTGAAGATTTCGACCGATGTTCCAATTTTGCAAGCCGCTACGAAGAAGTAAAAGAGGACTGTTGAAAGTGCCACATGACACTATCACTTTCTTCGCTTTGATCGCAATCTTCCGTTTTGTAGCATTGCCCTGCTCCGGGACTAGATACGAGTCTCTCGGGGTCCAGGTTCCTTCCACACCAGTGGCAATCTTTTCTCTGCTCAAAAATCCACCTGTTTCAGTGAAGGTAATCTTGTCCGCCTTGAAACCTTCCATGAAGATCGCACCAGCCTTTGCTGCATCCGCCAGCCAGGTTTCAGTTGGTCCCTTCTTGCCTGCCGCGGCGCATCCCATTGTACAATATCCACAGTAGTGCTCTTCATCGCCAGTATTCTGTGGAACGACATCGACATCATATCCGAGCTTTCGAGCACCATCTAGAATGACTTGATTTTGCCGGCTGTGTTTAATGTGCTTCGAATTAACACCCATACGATCACAGACGCGATCCAGGGAGTTCTGGAACTCGGCGGACGTGAAGAAGGGCAAGCCTGAATCAGCCCACTCCTTGCGTACGAAGGCTTGGGTTTGCAGTGAACAGGCCCAGTTGATCGTGCCGCCACCACCCCAGGTTGAACCTGCGAAGAGGGCAACCGATGCATCATCAGTAAGAGCTGAGCCCGCTCCTTCAAACATGTTCACAAGACCTTTGCTGGTTTCCATGGGGAAGTAGCTCGATGGGTAATGGTATGACTTTTCGACGACCAAAACGCGATGACCTGCTTCAGCAAGGTTCTTAGCGGTGACAGCACCTCCACAGCCGCTGCCTATAATCACCACATCTGTTTCGATGATTTCCAGGTCGTTGCCTGGGGGAAACTGTAGAAATTCGTATTCGAAACCGTCGGCGGGCTTCCCGTGCACGGGAACCCGAGGAATTCCCACAGCGATCGGCAATGTAGGGCTAGATATCATCCATGTCTTCTTGAACATGGCCAGCAAAGATCTGTGGATGAGACGAATAGGGGGCAATCGAGAAGACCCCCATGCAGTAAAAATTTGTTCACGGACTTTCAATGGTTGTTTTTGGATTGGAATCATCGAACCAGTCAGGAGAAGTGCCCCCGCGCGAGTGCTGTAGGATGCTTAACAGTCAAAGTTTCCCGTCGCACGACACAAATGACTTACTTGAGAACATCCAATATCATACACAGTCCTTTGCGGCCTTCTTCATGGACGTCGTTTGCAAAGAGGCACTGCAGACCATCTCTGAATCCTTGAAGAGACGAGACATCTTCTTGCAGATAGGCCCTGGCTACGTCTGTAGCGTTGGACGCCTTGATGTTTACCGCCAGTTTCGACACAGCAGATTCAAATTGGCTGTCTGTGACAGCTTTTTGGCTGGACGAAGCGTCTCCACTTACGCGGACAGATGGTATGACAGTATCAGCCAAAGCCAGAAGTGTCTCCCATTGAAGATCAGTCAGAATCTCATTTGTAGGCACTGGAGGAATTGCAGCTTCAAGTGGTGTGTATGAAGACATTTCTTGGAGAAGCTCTGCCATGTTGCTTGTTGCCCACAATGAGAATCAGACTGTGATTTTGCTTTCAAGATAGATGTATGACGAAAAGACAGAAGAGAAGTAACTGGTCTGTCAAGCAGATTTTGAGATAGATGATTTTATCACGATGCCAGAACAGAAGCGAACCAAAGAGAAATTAGGATGAAGGGGAATAAGGTAGGAAACATAATATCGGCCAATTTGTACTTGTCCCTTCCCGGACTAAAATTTGTTTTATCTTATACCGACGAGAATCTAGATTACGGGGTTTGAACTGTTGCTTCTTGAAACGTTCAAAAATGTTATTTCCTTTCCAATCGCCGTGATATGAGTTTATACAATTCAATAAAAGACTACCTTGCCTCTTTACGCTTCGTAGAGAAACGAGAACGAATAAATATCGAGCGTTGAATTATGCACTTAGTGCACGCAAGGAGGAAAAGTGAGGACACGGTCTTAACACAGATAAACCCCGCTGAGAGATCTGTTTGTATTTTGGGACCTTCGGAATAGCCGGCAAACCTCTGGCACGAACCAAGCCACATTTTTGAAGTGGTGAAGTTTGGCGTTTTTCCTTCCCCCCTTTCAGCCTAGTTCGTGGTTCGCCGGGAGGCTGGCTGAAACGACGACCTACTAGTAACCACTAGTCTGTTAAGACTAAGTGTGTGAACGGCTGAGAATCCACATAGAGATGCTGCTCTGCTCTACTGTTATAAAAAGAAAAAAACTCGTCAAGAACTTGATTTTGAATTCTTGATTGCTGCTGCCTCGTCCAAAATTATAGTCTAGGAACGTTTACGTAGCGGATATTTCGGTGAGGGCTGAGCTGAAACCTCAACGTCTGCTGGTTGTTCTTAAAATATCGCTAAGGAGGAGGGGATCGCCAACAAATCCACGCTAGCCACGTCTCGGTATCTTCGGGTCGTCTAAAAAATCCCGATTTCCCTTGCTGCCCCCGCAGCCCCAGATGTTCGGTTCTAAATACCTCTACGTATTTTACGCCTCAGTTACGGCACGTTTCGAATGCCAAGCATAGTCTTCCCCTCCCTAAGGCTGATGTAAACCTGCCTTTGCGATCCGGACTTCACTCGGCCTGCATTATAGGAATAAAGGGCTATTTACGAAGTAGAGTTCCAATAGAAGCGTAAATGCACCATGTAATTTTGACCGAGGAAGAAAATGAAGAGATAATACGTTGGATTTAGGCAGGAACTCAAGATTTCGTTCAGATGAACAAGAAACAGAACAAGATAAGAAAAGAACATAACAAAAAAATTAATAAAACCAAACAAACCGAAAATTGAGACCTTAACGGCATCACCGAGGGCCATCAGCAAATTACAGTACAGGAATTTACCCGGTGCAGCCAATGGTAGTCAGGCATGGGGTGTTTTCTTCTGTACGAGAGAAAAGTGAGAATATTTGATGAGATTTTGACTGATAACGGTATACCAGTCTATAAATGGCTTAGCGGCTTGAAGCCAGCTAAAACACACTAAAACTAGTAATTTTGAGCTGGTCAAATCTCGAATCTTGTGGCTTACACAGGCTGATCTGTACTAGGCTGACGAGAGGTCGCACAGCCACATTGTATACAACCCGGTCAACTCATACGACTATCTCCAATGTTCTATTCAATAGATTCCGACAGCGAGTGAGGTTTATCGGCCAAGCTGTTAACGCCCGTGAGAATATTTGCAAAGATGATGCCAATTCAACGAAGACTATCCGGGTTTACAATAAGACGGCCGACGGTCCGTCTTAGAATTACGTATATGAAGATCCACGGAGCCTCTTCATAGTTAACTCAGTACAGATTCGAATGAATTCCACAGAAAAAGGGTGCAGATAATTCGCATATGCTTTAACTACACTCCTTTCGACAAACAGTTGTTAAGAGAAAAATATCTCCAAGTCCGTAATGCCCAATTGACCGGTGCATGGATATAGAATTGACGTTGAGATTAATACTACGCGTTAATTAAATCCACTGGCCGAGCGGGAATAGCTTTGAATTCAGATCCATGCCTACATATCGAGGAAGCTTATGATAGGTTTCTATGTAGTACATATTACATCAGAGCCTCAAATACGTATTTCAAGTTCATCTCTTACATTCCCTATGGCAACATAAAACATCCAACGAGCCCTTTTCGGCCCTGTCTCCAAATATAATCGTTATAAAAACAATACGGAACACCCTGAGATAGTACGATGGAAACAAGATATAACCTATATGATAGATGGTTGACCATAATGCCCTACAGCATGCTCTTCCTTGATTATAGCTTTGGAAATGCTGTCCCTATATGCACCACTCCGACGTATTTGTGTTGGAATAAAGCTAACCACAACGACTTAATTTGTCACGTATTTATGGGAAACAGAACAGATAAAAAGTCAGAGCCAAAGAGTTAGATTGCTTGATGTCCAATAGTAAAGCGCCCCTAGCTACCTACTTGTCCCTCATCTTTTTATAATTTAAAGAGGACCTATTCTTCCTTCCAACATTTACTATCGAATGATATCTGAGATGCTACCACGAATCTGGCCTTCTATCGGTTTCGAATGGTCTATAAATTATGCTATCAATATGTTCTTGGGTGAGCTGAGTTGATTGGTTCCGGTTTGCCTATAAGTCTTGCGTGAACCTTTATCAATATCTAGGTCTGTAACACTACCTTGGATCTCAAGAGACTGAGGGTCCGCAATACCTTGGTCTTCACGTTTCAGTGTCCCCAACCAGTTGGTCGCAATATTCTCAGGTGTTTGGGAAACCAACCTAATAGCAAATAGATGCGAATGAAAACTCACCTATCATTAGGCGCCCTCCATGGGGCTTGTGCTTCAAGTTTGAAGCAGGCGGCAGAAAAATGCATCTTCTATTCCTCAAGTCTCCAGCCGCCCAATATGCTAACTACAGAGTCGAGTTCCTAATTCTTCCGAAATTGCCGCCATTTCCGGGATTCAGAACGCATTTCATGGCAAAAGGACGAACAATTTTAGAGCCGTAGATCTTATTGGCTCTTACGACAGTGTTCTTTGCTTCGCCTTCACAGGGGTTGGAATGCACATGGATCCGCTACCTAATGGGGGCCAAAATGATTCCATGGACCACAAAAATTTCGACATCTTTTCTGTCGTTCAAGATGATCCGTATTACCCACAGTATGTTGCATTAATTAGCTTTGACTTTATAGTCAGTAAAAGAAAATTCATTTACTCCCGAGAAGAACCATTTCTGGCATATGTAGGAGCCAATGTGTGGATGAAACACGGCGCTAATGTACAGCCCACAAGCGCGTCTACTAGCAGCAAGAAAGCCTGCTCGAGGATGTGGGGTCCGTCGTACATACCAACCATCTTGAACCCCTTATAACCTGGTACTCCCTTCTAGCTGAGGGCGAAAATCATTTTGTTCGATACCTTTCAGTAAACATTCACATTACAATGGCCGTGCCATCTTCTGAATTTACCTTCTCAATCAGCTCACAATCTTCAGTGGCTTTCACCCCTTCGTCATCATCTCGAGACAGCAGTAACGAAGCAAACTCAGTTTTGACCCCAGAAACTCCGCGATCGATCCCTCTCTTCCAGAGTTTGAGTCTCAACGATTCCACAGGCTCGCTGCTTTCCACTCCATCTAGGTCACAAAATGGATGGCTAAGCCCGGGTAGCTCGCCTTCAACTTATAGACAGCAGCATAATGCTTCTCCAAGTCCAGGGCCTGAGTTTCTATCTTCATCTCATGGTAGGCAAAGTCTCAGAGGAAATCATTCGATATTTTCAAATTCTGCGCAAGCCAATTCAAGTGTTCCAGGGGCTTTTCCTGTCTCGACTAACGGAGAAGAATCTCCTCTTTCTGAGAACGATGCCTCCGAGAATGAAGAAAACTCAGATAGTGACGAAAGTAGCGGCAGTGATGAAACGGCTGAAGCACCAACTGTTGATATACGTGAAGAGCCCCTTCCTGCTGCTCCCGTCTACAATCACCGACTTCAAAATGGGTTGAAAGCAGTCAAAAGCGAATTAGCATTTCTGGCAGACACCATGAGACTCTCCGAGTTGAACCAAGATCACTCTTCTGCTCTTCACAGCCTCTCTAAACAGGCTAAGAAAATGAGCATGTTTGAGTATCCAGAAACTCGAACTGTGGGCTTCATTGGTGATTCTGGTGTTGGTATGGTTCTTTGCTCATGGCATTTACTGATCTTTTGAATATTAATTCTTGGCTAGGAAAAAGCTCTTTGATAAACTCATTGCTAGATCAAAAAAGCTTGTCACGCTCAGTATGTTTCATCTGCCTCATTAATCTCTCATATATACCACGCAGTTTTATTTACAAGGATTTACAGAGTAGCGAAGGTGTGGCTTGCACCTGCGTCGTGACTGAATTCCGGCATATTGATGACAATCACACCGGGCCTTACACGATTGAAGCGGACTTCATGACCTCAGAAGAGATGAAAAACCTCCTAGAAGAGCTTCTTACAATCTTCCGTCAATGCCATGTTCCCCAATTTTTTCAGGAGTTGAAGTCGTATGATGAGCAAACAAAGTGTCAAGATGACGCCAAGAGAGTCTGGGAAACCTTCCAATCTTTGTTCAATGACCAGCCAGGTTTAACTATGGAGCACCTCTCGGAAGACTACGATGGGGCTCATTTCAGTCTTCTCGCACAGTTAGAGCGATGGGCCTCTGCTGGCTTGGTACACCGACCTGGTGGGCTTGATGCGACCGAATACTCTGTTATTGCTGGTGATATAGAGGAGTGCAGAGACACCCTCGACATGCTGACCGGCAGTAATGCTCGTGAAGGTAAACCGGCGCTTTGGCCATTCATCAAGTTGATTAGGTACGTGAGGTATTCGCAAGATTAATAACATTTCTGATGTTGTTCCAGAGTATATCTCAAGTCACCCATTCTGAAAACTGGCTTAGTGCTGGCTGATCTACCCGGTATGCAAACCCAATTCCAAAGGTCATCTTCCTCTCAGCGTAATGATTTTCGCTTACTTGTACTAGGCTTCAGCGATCTGAACTTTGCCAGAGTTCAAGCGACTGAAAGATATCTTTCTCATGGCTGTGATGAAGTTTTTGTTGTGGTCGACATCGACCGAGCTTGCACAAACCCGTCGATTCAAGACATTATGCGAAGATGCAGAGATGATCAGCCGCGACGGATCATCTGCACAAAGTCGGAGGTATTGGAAGCAGCTCACCCAGCAGGAATGTGCTTACTGATCTGTCTTCTAAGGCTATTTCACCTGAAGAAGTATCTCGTACAGGTGACGCACATGCTCGTCGAGTAAAGGAAATGAATAAAGACATCCAGGCTGTCCAACAGAAAATTCAATCAACCGAGTCTAGAGCACGGCGAGCATCTAATACGAGGCGAGCAGAATTTGCGGTCAAACTATTCGAACTACGGTAGGTCGCTTATGCCAGTATGGAGGAATCTCTTTTGCTGAATATGTAGCAGTGAGAAGGAAACACAGCTAAATCTCGAGTAAGTCAAAAATTGCAAGATGCTCGGGTCGATGTCTGCTTACCAAGTCGTTGATTAGTATGAGAAGACTTCTCATCACTCGGCGAAACTTACAAGTATCAGAGGGTCTCATCGCAAGACATCAAAATGTCAGGGTTTTTTGTATTAGCAACACACTCTATTCCCAATACCGTTATAGCGGAAACAATGAGGAGGAGGCGTACGTTGACCTGGCAGGGATTCGAGAACTGCGCCGCTACTGCCAACTCGTACCATCCGAGGCCCTGATGCGCTCAACATCGGAATTCTTGAATCATCAAGTGCCAGCCCTGCTCTTATCTTTGCGTCAGTGGGCTCTGTCTGGGTCGGATTCTGTCACAGGTGGAAATGCCTCTATCCTTCGACAGGTTCTAGAAAATGCGCAGGATGATTTCCAACGGGTATCTTCAACCTAAAGGCATACTAGGCCTTTGGTAGCCTATTTCAAGATTTTGAGTGTTCTGATTTTGAATAGGAACTCATTTCAAATCAAGGGCTGGCTCATATCTTGCGCCAGAGGTTGGTTAGGCTTTACGACGAATATATTACTAGCATGATCAGTGAGTTCATTCGCTGAGTGAGGTCCGGTACGTCTCTAATAAGAGTTTTAGGGCGATCTCAAACCCACTGGACGACAGCAAGTATTGGGATCAGCCGCGAATGGGCAGGCGTGAGTTTTCCTCGCCGGATTTCTTGACAATGAACTTCAGCTCTAATCATATCACTAGTGGGCCCATGGCACGTATACTGCCTTTTGTCGGCGTTTTGGCGAACATGCGACCGCGGCTGTACCCAATGGTCGCTGTTGGAATAACGAACTACTTCTACCAGCCCAGGATCAGCTCATCCACAATTGGGACAATATACAGAATTGGTTGCAAATGCAGGAAGCGACCTTCGCGAATAATTCCTTCAACGTTTTCAGCAGATGCCGCGGAGCAATTGATGGTAAGTTGTTACTCTTTTGAACGTCAAAGCTTGGTTCTCCAGCAATCGGTGTCATGGAATGATTCTCTGACAATCTCGTATAGCGCATATCCATCTTGCACCGCGCGCCCTCCAAAATCTGCAACGAAGCATGGATCTCAGAAAGAAATGTGTTGAAGATCATGTGATGAATTCCTTGCAGAAGATCAAGCAAATTTCACAGTATGAGTTCCCAACCATGGGTTATCGCAAACACTATTCTGACTTGGTCTATAGAAACACAAAGCGAGACATGGCTTATGGGCATGCCAGCTCGTATATTTCGGGCCTGATGCAGCCTGCATACGCCAGGACCAACCAAGAAGGAGGTTTGTCAGACCCTTGTACAATGTATTGCACTTCGTATCATTTACTCATCGTTTTTTAGGAACGGGAAGTGACAGACGCCGGAAAAACATCATGAATGACCATTTGACGCATTCCATGCTTTTTGCCAATCTCTCTAATGTGGCTGGCAGAGAATATATCGAGGCCCTTGATAAGTGTTTCAATGAGCTACAGAGGAAAGTCACTGAGGAAGTAGAATGCCTGGTGAGAGACCTGAACGCTGTGATTGCGGTTGAAGGTCGTCTTTCAGAAGCGGAAAAAGCGACTACAGTAGCCGAGGCGCTTAGATGTCGATTTCAGGCGACAGAAGACATCTTGGAAAGGGCCCAGACTATTGTGCGGGAGCTCAATCCAGAACCCTGATTGCAAGGGGAAAGAGTGTCGCTCAATATGTCTTATTGTAATCTTTATTGCAGGCCTTGGCCAATCTCAATCAACTGATCTACTTATCCAATGGGCGTGGTACATAAACCATGAATCTACGGCTCCGTACTATTACCCTAACAAGGGAGCTACCACAGTGAAAAAGCAGGAAATACAATGAAACCCCGAAAAGAAGATAGAAAGTCATTGCGACTGCTCTGCTAATATACTTTCACTACATCGTAAGCACCACACGTCCAAGTTAAAAAGAACAGCCCCCTCTCCTTTGTTCTCTCGATCAGTTCATCACATATGGAGGTAGATCTGCAGGCGGGAAGCACCGGTCTGTTGCATCAGCGTTATTCCCCCACCAGGCAGGAAAGCTTAGATTAGGCAGATTGACGACGAATATGCAAATCTAAAGTTCAAATATGAGAGTCTAGCCAGACGTGAGAAGGGGAAGGATGTGACTTACCAAAGTCATCAACTGTGTTCCACAATCTAAACCGACACCAGTCAAGTAGTTGTACTTGCGCCACCACACTGGGCAGTACCGTGGAAGAATGCCCATGAACAAAATACAAGCCAACAAAGAAGTGAAAAAGTTCACCGTCTCATACTTTGGGAACAGGAAGCCCCCATAAAACATCAATGTCGGGTTGAACCAACGCTCCATGTCCCACTTGGGCTTCCACTTCTGCACAAACCAGACCGCAAGAACAGACAGAGCACCGACAAGGAAGGAATAGTATACCCAGGGGTACCGTTCATTGAAAAAGGTCTTAGGGCCCAGGATGCCCCAAATGATAGAGCTGGAGTAGTAGTACCGGGTCTCGACTGCATCCCATGCCGCAGAAGTGCGCTGACCGATCAAGAAGGGCCTCTCACGATCGACAATGAGCTGCATGAAGCCATAGTTGATAAAGGGACCCAGAACGGTGCCCCAAAGCTGACCCCAGAACATCTCCCGCTCCGGGATCTTCATGTAAAAGCCAAATTTGTAGTCCGAAATCAAGTTGAGACACTGCTCGAGCACACAGTACCCATAGGTATAGCCGGAAAGTACCGCTGTGGGCTGTCCCGGAAACATGAGCCCGGCAAGCAGATCGCTAAAAGAACCCATACCAACTTGAATATTGGCTACGGCCCATAGAATACCGTTGGGCCAGGTGAACACGAATGAAAAGAGACAGATAACTATGAGTCCCCACCAGTCAAGCTTCATGTTACCCTCATATCCCTGAGCGATGGCGATCACCACACAGATACCAAGTAACGTCAAATACCACCAGTGAGGCACCCGCTTTCGGAAGGACATGAGCTTGAGATAAGGGTCATCATAATCGCTGCGTTTGTTCTGCCAGCCATCTTTTATACCGATCCACGCTGACTTTCCGTACCACAGGATTGCGTAGACCAGCGAAGCTGTGAGCGCCGCAAAAGTCCAGAACCAAAAGAACACATATGACGGAGACCAGTAGGGAGATCCATACTCAGCCAATGCGGTTTGATTCACTTGATTGTTGGAATCAATGATGGCCGTAACGTCATAAGTGCTGCCATTTGCCGTGTAGGTACCTGTATCCATGGGGGCGAAATTCTGCGCATTCAGCGTGTTGGTGAAGTATATAATTGGATAAAGTACCCAGATACAGAAGATGGCGAAGAGACCAGAGTTGAGACTCGACCAGAGCGGGGTGTAGTATGGATACATGAAGCTAATGTAGTTCCAGTCAAGAGAGAAATCCAAGATGCCCTATCATGAATTAGCACGGCTTCATTGTATATGAATGGTGCGATAGGGTGAAATACAAATCCGTAGTAACCTGAACCCAAGACAAACGCTTTCCAATTGCCATGACCAAACCAACAAATCAATGGAAGTGATCCCAAAAGTGGAAAAATTAGCTCCGGTATCCACTCATAAATGAAGGTGAGACAGGCAACGATGGCAAAGTACTTTAAGGCCTTCTTGGTTGCCGATGGGCTACTATGCATTGCGTTGAATAGAGAGACATTGGGCAGTACACCGGGATAGTACATAGAAGGTGGTCGTACAAGGACATCCCTAAACAGACCAGCAAAGCCGTATCCAATTGTCTGTGAGGCCAGTAGGAAGAAGATCGACCACCCAGCATTGAGCTTCTCGCCGTAGTAAAGCTCGATGGCAGACAAGGGGCCTAATCCAATGGCCATGTAGCACTATATCAAATTGTATCAGCGACACAGCATGCAGAGAGAAGTGAGGGCACACTCACACTACCCCAATAAGCAACGATTATTAAGGCGTGCTCCTTTGCATTCCAAGGACCGGGATTCATTGACCATTTCCATCCAAAAAAGCTGAACTGTTTCGTGGGCAAATATCGAGCCATAGCGTCGCCCATTCCCCAGGCCAGCAATTGAACGGCATAACTGGTGATGCTGTTATAATAAGGCTTGAAATAATAAAAGGTAGAGAGGGCGCAACCAGTGAGAACCCAAAATGTGGATAGGACCCAGAACCGAAAGGTTAAGATTGGCTCCCTATGTAAAATGTTAGTGAATGTGATAATGAATAGAATACAAAGCAAATGGACTTGCGTTGGGTCATTGCGAAGGTCGACCGTTTTGGCCACCAAAGGAATGGGATAATCCTTTAGACGAGGATCGATGAACTCGTCATCATCATCGGGGACAATACCCTCTCCAAGGGGTACGTCTGTGACATGTCCCTCGAAATCTTTTTCAGCCACAAAGCCTTTAGCAACTTCAAGATCATGAATGTCCGGTTTCTCAGTCAACGAGAAATCCTGTTTTTTCTCTGAAATGTTCATGTCCTCCACAGGCGTGCAGACGGGACTATCCTCCAGTCCGTCCGCCATATTGGTCATTAGAATCAGAAGTAGACCTAGACTGATTGTTTAATTCTTGGGGAAAACGCCCTAATTTATAGATACTCTTTGCCATCGTGCATATGCCGTCTAGCGGCGCGAGAACTCTCGTACTCGAGCTCTGGGCCGAAAAGCCGAATTATCGATGGATGGTGAATTCCTTTGAGCCAGGTATGATAACGGTGACCATATCGATTTGCCTCAAAATCCCTAGATTGAGCCATGCCGCGTTATCCGACCACCAATAGGTGATGTGATAACATCGGCCGTCGTTGAGAATAGATGTTGTTTTATTCGGCGACTCATAGATCCGCCACGAGGTCTCTGTTGAAAGATTCTGCACAATTGCGGCTAACACATGTAGCGTGCTCCGAAATAAGCTATCTCCAGTGTCCTGGGTACGTTGGGATTGGCTCCTCACTCGTGTTTATCTCGGCAATGGGGAGAAAGGCGGGGCGTATCTTCGTTCTGTCCGGGATTCCGACGCATCTCCGCATGATTTCATGAAGAACCTCGATACTTTCATAGAAGTATCCATGGTTGTGTTGAGAGATTAGCGATTCTTGCTTGTTAAAAGACTTCCGAGCAATGATCTAGAGCAGTCTAGATCCCGTTTTGAGAGACTGACTCCGCTCGGCAAAAATGGCTCCAGTGCTGGGTCTCCAGTATTTTGTTTCTAGCCGATCGAAGTTCGGTCCTATTTACCCATTTGAATTGAAATGCCCGGTTGGCTGCTTTTTCTGGTTCAACAGACTCTCAATCGAAGGTCACGCAGCGCATCATTTGTATGTGACTGGAAAAGATCCTGATTTCTCGGCCGGCTGGCACCCATTCAACAAAAAGACTCCAGTAGCTAACCGTCCATGATAAGAGAATGCTATGACCGACCGTGCTGGGTCGGATCGTTGAGAATGTTTCTACCCATGAGCTCATGTTCTAGGGTATTTTTGAACACGGAAGGGTAAGAGTTGCAGTAAGATCTTAGGAATTCCCAAGCACGACGTACCCAGGTTGATAAAATGGTGTCCTTTAATGGCTGCCTAAATGAGTCACAGTGAGTCACGCCTCGGCTTATGATGCCAGTGATCACAGCATGCTTACCCGATGTGGTCTTCTCAATGGCCCGATCCAGGTCATGTAAGTTGACCTTGGAAGCCGAAATGTAGTTCTTCATTATGGTCAATGCTTTTACAGATTCCTATGTTGCTGACAGCGGCTCGCATGTGGCAGTAGACCCTTTTTGCTCAGATACCCATTCTACTAAGAACCCTGTTGAAATGTTCATTGATGCTCCGAGCTACGAGCCAGCTACCAAGTAATTATTACCCAGGCTCAGTAGCGAATGTATTTGATCAAAAGCGGACCTATTATTGTATCAGAAGAATCTGACTAAGCCATTTTCTCATGCATTGGAACGGCTTGATAAACAACGGGGTATCAATGCAACGGGTTGAACTCCAGGGTGTCAGCCACTCAATCGATATGGTTGGCTGGGGAGCTATCAGGCAATAAACATCTGAAATTTCATGCCCCACCTCTAAACTTATCAGCGTGAATCGCTGGGGAAAGATCAGAGGAGACTCGCCCGAGGCGAGGGAAAGAGAAGAAGAACACCAGTAATGGGGTCAGAAGGGACGGAGCGAACAGAAAGCTGTTTTATTGGGACATGGATAGAAGAGAGGAGAGGAAACAAGAAGAAACAAGAGACAAGCAAGAATCCAGGCAACCAGAGAGCATCACCTGACCTCTCAACAGAACTGAGTCCCTTCAACCTATGAGATCAGATAAATTTAACTCTCCAAAGATCAGTTCTGGTGATCACTCGACACTATCGATTCCCAAGCCCATCCTCGCACAGGAAACTACTCGACCAGTCTTAACGAGACATTACTCACCCTCACCCAGAAGCAAAGTGCATCGTCGTTTCTTAGGAGAAACAGGGGTGACATTAAGCAGGGGCTCTATAAGTGACTTGTGAACACGACAAGAATGGTGATGCTACAGTGAGTAGGCTAGACGAGAGATCAGATGTACGGAATACGAGGTTCGATCATCATGATGTCAATCAAAGTGCAGTACTGTACGTAATTTTTCACCAGATTGTAGATCTGCCGCCACGCTGAGATCAGATAAGAACGATCAGATAATCGATTAGCACAAGGCTTGTACCATGGAAGAAAGAATTTTCAGTGAATTGACGTTGCGCGACCATGGGAGTCCTTCCGGTTGCATATAACGGTCGGACCGTGGCGGTAGTGGTGTATACGACCCCCATAAAGTTTCTCTTGCTTGCAATCCAATCACGTAAAATTATCGCAGTGATGATCCATCCGATACCTTTTTAGGTAGATAATTAAGTACTGGCCAACCTTGTAGAGAGATTGTGTTTGTGGGGGCCGAAGAGTTTAAAAATGAACAAGCAGACATGAATTGCGGCTTGGTCCATTCAACTGTACTGTAAGAGGTCGCGAGCAAAGACAGTGCGCCCAAACGACAGTAATCGATTAATGTGTAGAATTTCTCCACCAAGCAATTTCCGTCAAGGGAAGGGATCGCATACAACAATTTCGTGATCCTTGAACCCGAGATCGGCACACCATATTCTACTGTACATCAAAGAAAGCTCGGAGTCGCCGATGATTGGCAGTCAATTATGGGCCAAAACGAACTCAAACTCTGTTTCAATTATCTGATCCCGCCACACTCCGACAGGGCTCGTACGCCCCGGAAGACGAATTAAAAAGAACGATGTGGAGACCGTTCCAGAAACCGAGTTAAGCGCGAATTCAGAACTTGTTCTCCAGTTTTAGACCATTTTCCAAATCATAGGCATAAAGGCTGATCTTTTCCTCCTTGCCTGTTTCTTGGTCGACCTTTCGCTTTACCCGCCCTGGTGTTCTATCTCACCTATAGATCATCGGGACACCATTCACTGGGGATATTCAAATTTCTCCCGTCAATATGGGTGTCATCGACACTATCCGGGGCCGCGATGAAAATGGCCGGACCTCAAAATCGTTTCTACCAACTCCAGTTTATGAGGATAATACTACTAAACAAGAACAACCTGCAAACGACATATCGCATCTCCCGGGTGAGGAATCTCTAGAGTGGCACGATGAAAAGGAGGTTCAGGCACACCCTGACCAGATCAATGCAAATGCCGATTATGGTCTTCAGAAAGCTGAGGCTGCTGCACTCGTCTATACCAAGAAGGTCGTGTTCGGAATCTATGGCTGGTACGTTGTGGCTTAAAAGAAAGAAAGAAAAAGGGGTCTTCCCCGCAACGGACTAGCGCTAATCTTCGACCAATCTGATTAGGATTTGGGTCTGCTACTTCATGTTGGCTTTCCACCAGACTATGTTGTCAAACCTGTCGCAATATGTATTAGGTTCATTTGATGCTGGACCACAGGTCACCACGGCCTATATTACCTCGGCCATTGTGGGAGGCGTGTTGAAACTACCGCTGGGAAAGACCCTGAATTTGTGGGGCCGTGCCGAGGGTCTGTTCGTCTCGGTTGTAATTTATCTCATTGGTATGGTTATCCTGGCTGCTTGCAATGGGCCCAACTCGTTCGCTGCTGGATACACTTTGTATTGGGTTGGCTACTACTTCATCTATCTCATTTTGGAAATTTTCATTGCGGATACCACCGGGTTGCGCAACCGAGCCTGGGCCTTTGCTTTCTCCACAACCCCATTCATCTGCACCGCTTTTACTGCTCCATTGGCAGTGACTTCTTTTATCGAGACATCAGGATGGCGCTGGGGATTTGGAGTTTTTGCCATTGTGCAGCCGTTTGTCTTTGTCCCTCTGTGTGCTGTTTTCAAATTTTACGAGAAGAAAGCCCAGAGGCTGGGGGTGTTCAAGAGAGAACCAAGTGGCCGGACCACTTGGCAATCCATTATTCACTATATCCACGAGTTTGACGGTATGTTCATCTTTTTGACCTTGTCTCTCTCTTTTTTTGTCTTTTTCTTCTCATCTTGCTAACAATTGCATTTAGTAATTGGTGCTTGCATCATCATGGCTGCGTTTATTCTCTTTCTGCTGCCATTCAGCTTGACATCCTACGGCCTCGCTGGATACTCCAGTGCCAAATTCATCGCCATGATTGTAGTTGGAATCTGTCTCTTCCCTGCCTTCGGTGTCTGGGAGAAATACTTTGCTCGGAAGCACTTCATTCGGTGGGAAATCTTCAAAAATCGCTCTATCGCTGGTGCTTGTCTGCTCAGTCTTGTCTTATTCTTCAACTTCGATCTATGGGACACATACTTCCAAGCATTCCTGCTCGTTGTATATGACCTCGGCTACACTAAGGCTGGTTATCTGATGCAGACCTACAACGTTGGCTCTTGCTTTTGGTCCGTGATCATGGGACTGTACATCTACAAGACCAAGCATTTCAAGTGGGCATGTTTATGCTTCGGTTTGCCGCTCATGATGCTTGGGTCAGGTCTGATGATTTACTTCCGCGGTGCTGATCAGGACATCGGATATATCATCATGTGCCAAATTTTTATTGCTTTTGCCGGTGGTACTATGGTCATTGGAAATGACATGGCTGCTATGGCAGGAGGTGATCGTGAAGGCATTCCATTGGCACTCTCCTTGATCAGTTTATTCAACAATGTGGGAAGCTCGATCGGATATGCTGTTTGCGCCGCGATCTACAATAACACATTTCTTGGGGCGCTCCGCAGCCGTCTCCCCGCAGATCAGCAAGCTAATGCTGAGGATATCTACAAGGGCACTTTCGTTACACAACTGAAGTACCCAGTTGGGTCTCCGATTCGCGACGCCGCTGCCTATGCTTGGGGCTATTCGCAGCGAATGAATTGCATTGCGTCCACCTGCATCTTGGTACTGGGTATTCCAGCCATTCTCATGTGGAAGAACTTCAACGTCGATAAGAAGCAGGTGAAGGGTACCGTCATATAGTTTGCCCTGGTATATTACTCTAGAGGCGTGGAGTGTAAAAAGACATGGTTGCAGTATATAGTATAGTGTTATAAAATTGGATTCACCAGGTTCCATGGAAATGAATGGCTCATGAATCACCGGAGGAGATCCCGGAGGTTCCGAACTGGAGGGAATAACAACGGTGATCCGATTCACTGAGACCCACCCTAATTACCGATCCAGTCAATATCATTGGGCCGGTCAGCATCTTCATCATGCTACCTAGTCGAAATAGACCTATCAGACGCCCTGGGAGTTACTTGTATCATTATCCTTGATTTTCGAATTGTCTTCTAGAATTTGGATTAGAAAGCAGCGAAGCAGCGTTACCGGGAGAAAAGTCAGGTAATATTACTTTGGGAATTGCAAGAGCTTTCAATGAAGCGGTTTATAGAAAAGAATATTTCTGCATTCCAAATGGCAAGCAGGAATATATATCGTAAATGGCTACAGGGATAACAGAATTTCAATCATTTTAACCATCTGGACCTAATTGCACTACAGCATTGTACATGGTGAAGCGCTTATATCAGATAAATAGGAAACTACAGTATACAAATATCATGGCGTAGTTTTAATACACTCGCACTTGAGTGAATTAGGAGTTAAAGTGGGACTTTGAGAAGTGGATCATTCTTCCTGATGTTGTGATTGGTCAGAGGTAGGAGGACATGTAGACCAGGCAACGTGTATGTATAGGTGTATATTGTAAATTCTGCATTTCAATAACAGAACGCTTTAAATAATCACAATATTGACCCGTGAGAGACAATTGAATGCTGCATGTTCTAGCATAGTGTAATGTGAGAAGATTCCACCTCTTTGGCCGGGATCTGGGGGCCATTTAGTTGCCTTAATGCGTCCGCGGACAATTATCAGACAACCATCAGGAAACAAACAATTCTAGCCAAAACCAGTTTCCTCTTTCTCGATGTCCGATTTCTAAGATGCAAGCGAGCTCGATTTACAAGATCGAATGCTCTAGGCGCCGAGGGGCTTGAATTGGCCCCAAGCCCACCGGATTCCTGCTGCACCGCTAACCCATTTTGATAGTAGAATCCCTGTAAGCCCCTCCCGAACCACCTTTACCCCTATTCAATTCATGACGTGTCAAATGAAGGCGACGAATCAGTGAGGTTTAGGATCGGGCCGACTCTCAATTACCTGCACCTTGGTCACAGGCCATTCCTCTTCTAGCTGGTAAATGCGGCTGAGCGCGATTCCCTCCACACTGATCCTAGCGCGCCAGAAGCGAGATGGCTTTAGCTGCGTGGGAAAGCTGCACCTGGCTTAAACCTGGAAACAACCCCCAGCCAGTCCCTTTTCCCAAGTGCTCCCCGCTTAATCCCCGTGGCGAAGGGATTGCCCATAATGATTCCGTCGCATGGTGACTTCACTGTCGGCTGGGTCACTGCAATCAGAAAAGAATACACGGCAGCCCGACAAGTCTTGGATGAGGAATTCGACACCACAAATTTCGTTCTTCCCCGGGGCGATCGCAACACCTATACCTACGGGCGCATCGGGAGTCATTATGTATTGATCACATGCCTCGAAAATGCGCAGTGTGGCATCAATTCTGCCTCCGATGCAGCCGATGACATGAGAAGCAGTTTTCCCATGATTCGCCTTTTACTCATCGTGGGAATCGCGGGAGGAATACCGACCCTGGGTAATGACATACGATTGGGGGATATTGTGGTTGGCACTGAAATCATTCGCTACAGGAGTACCGCGACCGGTGAATTCGAGCGTTCCGGGCATGTCGAACCCGCAGGCCGGGCTCTCTTTACAGGCACACAAGGTCTTGCAGTTCAGCTAGATGAAGGCTTAGACCTATACAATTTGCTGGAGAAAACATTTACCAAGACACAGAAAATCAAAGATGACTATCAAAAACCGCAAGAATGTATCGACCATCTTTGGATAGCTGACTACGAACACGATTCTTCTCAATGTCTTTCTTCCGTCGATGAAAGAAAGCTCGTATCTCGGCCCAAGCGTCCTGACTATGATCGCATAAAAGTACATTCCGGGAAAATCGGTTCGACGGACAAGCTCACGAATAATGCTGGCGTGAGAGATAATATCGGGAAGAAGTTCGGTGTCCTATGCTCAAAGGAGGAGCCGGCGAGTGCGGAAAATAAATTCCCTTGTTTGCATATTCGAGGCATCTGCAATTATGCCGACTCGCACAGCAACCATGCGTGGAAAGGATATGCTGCTGCGTCTGCTTCAGTTTACGCCAAAAAGCTTCTGCAAACTATTGCCCCTGAAGAAGTCTGGCGTATGAATATCTCAATTGATATAAAGAACCTTCAACAATTTGTGGAGTATTTGGTCTATGAAGTGAGCCAAGCGACAAATATCTCAGCTCGACTTGCCGAGCAGAAAACAAGATTGATGACTACGAGCCGCGCGCTTCGTGGAGTCAAGACAGGTGTGGAGCTTTTGGTCCAGCTGTCACAAGAGGCAGTCAGTGATAGCCAGCAACAGTTGATTGATGCACAAATCATGAGAGATCGTTGGGACGCCCTTGCGGCTAGTCAAGGAGACCTTAGGAAGGCGCTTAATACCCTTGGTATGCATATCAAGAACTTGCAAAAGTCGGTGTCCTCGAAGGATTCAAAATTGGAATGCGATCGATTACATCTACGCGTCCAGATGAGCGCTGCAGCCCTTCAGGACCTGAGCAATATGATTAAGCCATTCTTCAATAACGTGACAAACTTTCATGACCAGGAAGACATGACGCCAAGTGATGTGACAAGCATTGCTGCCTCAGAGAGCACTCGGAAGTCCAGCAACCTCACTCAGCTGAGCGGAAGGTTCAGCGATCTTAGTACTAAGGCCTTTACAAAACCAGAACGACACAGCTCAAAATTATCTATCAGCGAATCATCCGAATCGAAAGACACCGATGAAATTGGCTTGTCTGCTGATGCCTCAGTACACAGAAAGGGACACAGGTGGTCGAATTTGTTCCGAAAAGAAGATCACAAACAAGAAGAAACCCGTATCGAGTCACCATACTCAGAAGGCGAGAGAACCAAAGGTCTTGGAGTGGGCTGGCGATATTCATTTCAGACAATGAAAGGCAACATGTCACGGTCTGACGTTTCTATCTTCCAAGAGCAGCGGTCTCTGGAAAGACCAACAGAGAAGTCTTTTACACCCATTTCGAGCGACAGGAATACGTCCAGACATACTACATCCAAGGAGCTTGTCCGATCGGATAGCCCCCAAGAATTGCCAGTAAGTGCATTCTAAGTAATCAAAAGATCCTCTGTGCTGACTACTTCGTTCCCTTCCCCAGGGCAGAGCTAGCTTCGAAGCCTATTCGCCTCCGATGCCTTCAAGATCCCCGCCTATCCCTCGTCGTCCCTTGTTCAGTCCAACGTCTACTGGAAACTTCAGTTTTGGCTCTGTAGAAAACCTTCGAGACCTTGGTAACGATTGTGACGTATCGGAATTGGATTTCAATCCCCGCAAAGAAGTTTTCAAAACCTTTGATGACCGGGGAAGTTATCGATCTCCGTCTCCCAGGCCTACGGTTAGGTAGTCGTACCCATAAGATTAAATTCGTACAATAGATATATAATAAGCTCATATTCACGTGTTTTCAACCTCAGGCGTGTGGTTTAAACGCGCAAATACCGCAAGAGCACGCGAGAAACACAAAACCACACTAAACAAGCAACTTAAACCGGGCATCCTTGCAGAGATGCGGGGCATTTTATACCTTACAGTCACATGATGAGGCTGAGGCTGACTGGGTTCGAGTATTTATTGACGCTTTGCCCGCCTAGATTTCTGAGATCGAATCCACCCCACTGCCTTATGCCTCACAAAAGTACCAAATATATTTTGTGACCTTATCACAGGTCTATGCCCTGGAGAACACCTTCAGCTTTACTGTATCCGTATCTACTCCACATAGACCAGAGCGCAGCCAGAGCGTCTTCAAGATGTCTTCTTTAAACCTTGAGTCGACGCCATCTCCTTTCTCCACCGTGCCCTTTCCGCGCGATCCAGATTTCGTTGATGTCGGAGGCCTCATCGGTCAAGTCCACTTTAGATGCTCCTCCCAAACAGAGCGTCCAGTGATATTCGTTGGCGCAGGTGGGACAGGGTTCGTCAAGAACTACCGAGGGGGAGACTTAACGGCTAATACTGAAAAGGAAGTCCCATCTAGCTATCGAGTACTCATACAGAATGCGTGAGAAGTCGCCTGATATATGGGTCCTATGGATCAACTCACGCACTCCAGCGCGCTTCCAGCAAAGTTGTGCAAACCTTGCTGAACGTGTCAAGGCTCCAGGGTATAGGAATCCCGAAACCAATAAATTTGGCATTCTGTGTGATTGGTTGCAAAATCAGCGATCAGGAAGATGGTTGCTTGTTTTGGATCACATCGATAATGCCCGATTCTTTCACGAAACAGGCCTTGGGGGACCCGATTCCCTATTTGATCTTCTTCGTCGGTGTCCAAATGGAACGATTATTCTCACGACCCGAAGCTTCGACGTTGTGGAACAGTTTGATAGACGAGGAGATCTTGTCTTAATCCATCCGATGAGAATGACCTATGCTGAAACCCTACTGGAGACGAAGTTGAAACACCAGGAAAGAGACAACGAAACGGTCGGCATGGCTCTTGAGGAGCTCCTATTTCTACAGCTCGGGATTGTCATTGCAGCAGCTTATATCAACTATCGAGGGGCTAGTTATTCTGTGGGGCGATATGTCGACGATCTGTGCAACAGCGAGTTCAGTGCACTTAGTCTTGCTGATATTGATCAACATCACGTGAATATGAGAGAGTGCCTAGTCATACCATGTCAATTGGCAATCGAGTACATTCTCGAAATCAGACCATCTGCAGCAGGTCTTCTGTTTCTGACAAGCTTCTTTGACGAGCAAGGCATTCCCGAATATCTTCTGCGAAATCAACCTGAGATTGAAGAGTTTGAGGTCAGGGTTGAGAAGGAGGACGCCTCGGATGCTTCTTCATTCACCATTGTCGATGGATTCGAGGATGATGTGGAGGTGTTGAAGGACTTCTGTTTAATTGCTGTTGAAAACACTGGAAAGACATTCAGAATGCACAACCTTGTCCAATACGGCATCAAGCAGTGGCTTAAAGCACATGAAGCATTGGATGGATGGCAGCAAACCTTTCTTACCAAAATCAGCAAGGAGTTCCCAGCTCCTACCGCAGAGACCTGGGAGACATGTCAACTACTTTTCCCCCACGCCCAGACCGCAATAACAGACCTACCAAGAGAATGCTCGAACGAGTTATTCACGGAATGGATAACCCTCATCCACAACACTGCGTCATTTGCCTTCCAACGAGGGGATATTTCAGGTGCACAACAGATGATGCAAGTTGCAATGGACGAGCAAAATAGGAAATTAAGCGCAAATGACCCATCAATTCTCACCACCAAAGACTTTATGAGTCAAACTCACTACTCATCTGGTCACTGGCAAAAGGCGGAAGCCTTGAGCACGGAAGTTCTAGCCGAAAGCAGAGGAATTCTTGGACATGAGCACCCCGACACCCTACGCCGACAGGCAAAGTTGATCATGCTATACATGAAACAAGGTCGATACCAAGATGCCGAAGCTGGATACACCGAGCTTGCGGCAAGCTCGAAGAAAGTCTGGGGATCTCAGAATTCAGATACACTCGAATGCCTCAGTAATCTCGCCACGGCACTCGCAATGCAGGAAAAGTGGATAACAGCAGAGATTGCGCTTCGCGAAGCAGTCAATGGAAGTATCAACGTTCTCGGCGAGGGGAATCCAACGACTCTCGAGCGCATGAAGAGCCTGGTAAAGGTCTTTCTGGCGCTAGGGCGCGCTCGTGCTCGAGAGGCGGAGACACTGCAGATTCAAGTTGTAGATATTTCCAGGGCGGTTTTTGGTCCCGAGCATGTTAATACGGTGGATAGTATGAATGATCTGATAGATATGTTCTTGCGCTCAAACAGATGGGAAGCGGCCGAGGCCCTGCAGCTGCATGTACTGGAGGTTCAGAGAAAGCTGCTCGGTGAAGATCATCCAACCATTTTGGCTAGTATGGACAATCTTGTTTTCCTTTGTCTCAAGCAAGAGCGGCTGCATGATGCTCAGTTCGTGCAGAAAGGCATCATAGATATCTCGACGAACAAGCTTGGTGCGGAGCATTATTTGACGCTGCGGGCTCTGAGCAAAATGGATGATATACGCAAGGAGATCACACATTTCGAGCAAGAAAACGCTCCGGAAGTGCCCGAAAGATGGTTATGATATGCACGGGACAGCAATTACACTCCAAGATTGATGGCTGCCATGAGTGGGTTTATTTTGAGCGTTCTCTGAATACTAGTGCGAGTTTAGCGGGCCGCGAATGATATTCAATATGATTTTGATAGAATTAGCAGACGAGGTATATCTTTGCAAAGTCTAATAACACGCTATTCTTCTATAATGTATATATCAATTAGCTCATTCGTTTCCCGAAGGACTTTCTCGCTTGTTGAAAAGAGGCGCCACATAAGAATATAAGAGGGACAATATTAGTAAATTATTTGGCCTTCCAGAACAACCAACCGAAGGCCGCAACGAGCTTCAACCCGGCTGCCATCCACAGCGCAGACTCCATACCGCCGCTGCTGCGACTCAACCAGCCACCCACGATGGCACCGATGAGCAAGAACACCACACCTCCGATACGGCGATTGCGCTTGACATTGTCGGTCGGCTTCTGGAGGATCTTTGCGTCGGACGCGATATCGAAGTAGACGCTTGTAAGAACGACCGTCGGGATCTCGTTGTATCCCAGCGCGCGACTACAAGTCATCCCACCGGCGGACTGGAAAGCCAGCAGTCCAATGGGGATGAGCTCTAGGAACAGGGGTCCACCATCCAGGGACGAATCATTCGAACTGTGTGGGATGAGATCGGCTTGGATGAGAGCGACGGCGATGATGATGAGGGCTGTCTGCACGAGGAAGGACACAAAAAGGGTACCGCGGCGGAGGGAGCCGACCGAGCGCATGGAGATGGAGAAGATCATTGCGCCGGAGAAGAAGGAGGCGATGGAGACGAGGGACTTGAGCCAGCCCCATGGCTTACTGGTTGGCTGATTGGATGCACCGAGACCAAGGAAAATGGTGTTACCTGCTCGCACAAGGTCGAAGGTCAATACGTGTTCTCGGGGGCTTGTGTTCGGTGAATCATACCCGTCTGCATTCCCAGGAAGCAGGACCACGCATTATAGGCACTGCTGTCGCACAGACCAGTCAAGAAACAGAGGAGCAAACAAACCAGATCAGCATGGCTGGGGTTCAACTCTTGCTTCCATCGGCGCGTGATTGTTGACGTATTGCGCATCTCCGAAGAGGGACTGGCCTCCAGGTCCGGTGTCGGGGCCTCCGCTTGTTTCTCCATTCTTGTCCCTATGAGCGCGCAAAGCGAAGAGTGGCTGGGGGGTCTATTGGAGAGGTTGAGGTGACAGTGGAAGAGGCTTTGAGGGGATTCCGAGGGAATAAAAGACCGTGAGAGGGGAAAAAGGTGCGGTGGAATGGGAAAATGGAGTTGCCGCGGCGAACTAAACCGATTTCCCGCTCAATCACGACATTGGCTAAGAAAACTCTTCTCCACTACCGTAGGGCTGACCCGTGCGGAGTTTGTCGGTTCTTCAGGTCCCTTTCTATCTGATTGTAGATTATAGAGACTTTGATGCAGTCATTCCTGAAGTATTAACGTGTCGCAGAACCCGGGAGAAACATCGGTCTTTATACAAAAGAAATAGCTCACAGCTTTCCGATTTTTACCCGGTTCCTGGACCCGTGCGACTAACGCAATCGAACGTGAAACGACCAGAACCCCGAATGTGCCAAGAAATGTCGAGGCGATCGCCCCGAGCCTGGCTCACCGGAGGGATAAGCCTGCATGTTGCAGCGATAACCCTTCCGTTCGAGCGAAAGATACATGGATGAAGGGAATCTCAAAGCACCATGCGCGGAGATAAGTGGGATGACCACGAAGACTGCATCTAGAATCATACCGGTATGCCCAGGGCGGTGGTTATATAACGGATAGGTGAACCGCCAAGGATTGGTGGCTCTGTTGCTGCAGAATACATCCAAGCAGCTTCCGATACTACTGTAGCAGTCTTGACCGACACAACACGGATTCGGCACTTCGGCGTCCTAGGGGCTGCTTTAGTGCCGGAAGATAATACCGGTATCGCATTGCCGTGATTGTCCCTAGTGTAAAGAGGCACCAGAGTAGCACATATGGAGGCATAGACTAACTTGCAGGCTACCAAACCCCTCCAGCGCTAAACCAATCGCGCCAGGCACTAAATCGGCTCCCACCTATGACATTGGTATAATTCCAAGATTCTGGCATGAATGTGGATTCGCGCGTCCTGGAGACCCATTATTCTCTGCTGTGAACCAGTTATGTGGCTCAATGGAGCCAATCGCCCTCGTCATGAGTTGGAATCCAGTTTATGATAGCTTGGCTTGGGAAATTATCCAAGGATTCTTAACCGGAAGCTTCTAACATTAATCTAAGACTTCTTCTGCTTCCAAGCTCCAATGCCTCTCCGTTGCACATCCATTCCATCAAGCTAATTCCTATGGTGGAGAGCTTTTCCATTGCCGGATCCGCTCTTCTATGGACCCTGGATCCTCTACTGCTCTGATTTGCACATTATTTCATTCCGTGCCGATCATCCTCGACGATTTTTTTCCCTCTTGACTGTGCCCTTTCATTGACTTCCATAGTCTGGCTCTCTTAGCATCACCTCGTATATTTATCGCGGGCCGATGCCCGCCGATCATCTATGATGTCTACACCCACATTCCAAACCACCAAGCCGTTTACGCGACTTTTCAACTTGTCCAAATTTAAGTTGCTAGCCGTGTTCCTAGCACTGTCCATAACCCTTCTTTTGGCATCATATGGCTGGAAAAAAAGTCTCGATCATCAATTACCCGCATTGCCTGCGGAAAACAATGATCCGGAACCGGATTTTTGGAATTGGCAGACAATCACCCATTTTCAAAAGTATAAATCGAAAGGTCCATTTACAGCGGAAGACATATGCGCCGACTTCCCTTCAAACATTCTCGAACGCGTCCAGGTGGTCTTGAAAACTGGCGCGACGGAAAGCGCAGACCGCATCGATGCCTCCATGAACTCAGTAACGCGCTGCATCTCCAACCTCCTTGTCGTCTCGGACCGTGCGACCGAGCTCCACGGACATCGCGTGCACGACGTTCTCGCCGATCTGGCACCCCTTGCTGAACAATTGAATGTCACCGATTTCAAAATGTACGAAGCGTTGCGAAACGGCGACAAGAACGTCGGTGGTGCGGAGGGTTGGCGGCTAGATCGCTTCAAATTCTTGCCGATGATTGAACGTGCAAAGGAAGCGAATCCCACCGCTGAATGGTTCGTTTTCCTCGAGACAGATACGTATATATTTTGGGATAATCTGTTTAGACTACTGGATCAGTTTGATGCAGGTGTGCCCTTGTACTTCGGTTCGCCTTCGCCAGGGTTTTGGCTGGAAAACGAACAAAGAGTATGGTTCGCATATGGAGGCTCTGGCTTCGTTCTTTCTAGAGCGGCCGTCGAGATCCTGACAGAGCGTGAAATCGGAGAATACGGAGAATATCTCGAGCCCTCTGTCAGCGAACGCTATATGGAAGTGGTGGATCGCGACTGCTGTGGAGACTCGGTACTTGGATTTGCACTTTATCAAAAAGGAATCAACATATCTGGATTGTGGCCCATGTTTAATGCGCATCCTTTACATGGGATCCCTTTCGACGCCAAGCACTGGTGTCAACCCGTTATCAGCTTGCATAAATCCTTGTTCTCCGATATGACGGGATTGGCTAAATGGGAGAGCAAGCGGGACAGAACGGTATGATTGCCCGTTGGTGATGACATCACGGATACGAATGCTGACCTTCAAATCTAGAGCCCCGTCCTATATTCCGACCTAGTCGATTATCTTCAATTAGGAGCACTGCCAGACCGAGTCGAATGGGACAACGGTGACTTTGGCGGGCATATTGAACCGCCGGAGTCTGCAGCGCATGGCTCATTGGACGCGTGTCGACAAGCATGCCAAGATAGTGATGCGTGTCTCTCATTTACTTGGGATTCGGCTGGGCAATGCGTGTTTGTTCGCACAATACGTCTTGGGGCCGGGAAGAAGGTCTCGCCTAATAAACTCACGGCTGGGTGGGATAATCCGGGGATCCAAAGGTGGCGCGATGACAATAGGTGTGAGGCGCCGATGTGGGTGAAGCCTAGCATTAAGAGAATCTTTTAAAATGTTTATAGATTGTACAGTACTTAATACCCAATAGACGGACATGGTTCCGAGGTTTAATGTGATAAATGCCAGGTTTGGAAAATTGATCATGATATTGTTTGTACAGATGCATTCGATTCAAATATGGACAAATATGCAATTCTATATGAGAAGCCAAGGGGTATCAAGGACGCCGGCGCCCACGTAAGACTTAGATCGGGAGATGGCCATGCTCATTAGTCTCCTCATCCTCTTTGGGCGTAACCAGCTGGTATAATCCGCCCATATCCGGTCTGCGGCGCCGTAAACGACGGAACACAGCGCAGTATAATCCACACAGAAGACAACCAAGAGAAAAGATCATAATGATTGTTACGCCCCACGGATGGTCGGAAGAGAAGCTTGTCGGGGGCTCCGAGCCTCGTGAGGCAACTTCCGTCCTGCCGATGACCTCACCGTTCGCATTCACGGCGGCGACACGGAAGTAAGAGGTGACGGCAGGCGTGAAAGGAACCTCAGTCTCAAATCCAGAACGTGGAATCTCGTCAACAACAGAAAATGTCATATTTGTAAGACTGTCCCCATCCCAGGCTTCGAGAGCCCATGAAGCGACTTCAGTCGCTCCATTCCAACTGACAAATACGCTGTCCCCTGCCATCGCGGCATCGGGCAGAGTATCCGGCATACCAACCCAATTGTCCTTGAAGACTCGGTATGACATTGTTCGGCCAAAAGTGAAATAGGCAGATGCGCCAAAGTGCGTGTTGCAGACGACTTCGCCATCGGCCGAGAACTCGGTAAACGCGGCACTATGGCCCCAGCCAACCAAAACATTGCCGGTATCGAGCAACTGCACGTTGCCCTGTGTAACGGCCATCATGTGTTGCGGGTGGTCGTATCTTGTCACTACCCTGGCTTCGCGCGCGGGAATATCCAACTCGATTAGGAGACCTTGGCTAACCGCAGACAGGTCTCCGTTGTCGTTAGCCGCGTTATTCAAGAGCGTGATCCGGTCAGGACCGCGCCAGCGAGCGTCGTGCTGCCATTTGAAGCTAGTTGCAAAGCCATCGTCGTTGAATTCGTTGTATTTCCCGCCCAGGGTCCAGAGTACCTGACCATTTGAGTCGATGCAGGTAACCGTATGTGTGTGTCGCGCAGACACGAGATAGTGGCCCTCATCGTTCTTGTCCACGCTGTTCATATGGAAGTAATCGTAGCCGAGGGTTCGTTCGTGACCCTTATCGCCCAGTGGTTCATAACTGGTTTCAGGGGGATAGGCATGCGACGATCGCCATTCGAATAGTAGTTCGCCAGTCGCGATGTCAACTTCTTGCACGACACCTTCGTAAAGCCAACCGAGTTCGGGACCTCCAACGGACGTCAGATCGGCCGGGATGGGTTCGTAAATGGTGAGGAGCGCGGTATCATTAACTGTGATTTGGAGATCGTGAAGATCGCCCTGAAGAATGCCAACAGGGGATATAATGTATTTAGGGGTATAGGTTGAATCGAGCTGTCCCAAATCCAAGATTAGTCCCTGCAGCCAATAAGAGATTAGAAGAAATCTTCCAATTCCGTACCATATACCATGATCCGCGCCCATGTCCGTCTTCTTCATCTCCCTGCCAATAAGTGACGTAATCATTTCCCTTGTAGTGTTGAACTTTAAAATCCTGAGTCGTCCCCCAATTGTATTTTTTGTAAACAAGCTCGCCCTGGGCGTCGAGAATCATTGGCCCCGGGTGTCGAACGGAATCACCCCGTGGGGCAAGGAAGGTATATCGTTGGTCGCATTTTGCACCGGCCGGAGAAATCTCAACAATTGGGGACTCCTCGTCGAAAGAGTGGTATGTTCGTGAAGGACCAAATCCATAAAATCCCAAGTCATACCTGCTCATACCAAGTCGAAATCGGAATCTCAGAAGTTGTGGCACTACAAAGAGGTAGAATAGAACGAATCCTCCGAGGGCTAGTAGAAGCGCCGGTAATAAACGTCGAGAACCGAGTCTGTGTGGTCGATCGCTGCGGCCAAGCCAAGAGCTTAAGCGCAGGGTGGCGGAAGAAGCCCGCATGAACATTGGATCATTGCAAGTCCTCGACAACGACTCTTTCAGGGGGGTATGGGATGCAAAAAGTGTCAAAAGGAGCGGAGCGGAAATTGGATGGGGATCACTTCAGCAGATATATTCGCGACGCCACCCCTTCCATAACCTTGCCTCGCCGACTATCCGGGACAAACCCTCCCCTTGCTGGGCCTCCCCGCAAGCAGAGATTCCCTAGCCCAAAACGTGGTGCACATCCTTCGGTGCGTACCCTGATTCGGCGTTCCATAGAAGGTTTTCCACTTGCCAAGTTTAGGGTGGAGTTCGTCTGGCGGGATTGCGTACTTGAACCAGTTTTCCTTTACCCGGACGGGGTTTATTTGATTATCTGTGGATGTCCTCGACTGAACCACTTATCGAGTTGACCAGTCAGAGGGGACTGTGGGTCTCATTTCGCAGCGAGTCCCGTCAAGACCCCAGGGACCGTAGCGCCATCGCCCACGCGTCCTCCGTTGCAACCGGCGAGATGTGGCGCTTTGAAGTGTCGGATGTGGGTTCGTTTTGGCAATCTACGGCCAATCAGGTTGGCACTTGGCAGCGCCTGGCCGTCATGGATATCTGTGGGTTCGAGTCGCTAAGGCAAAAAAACAATTGAAATAAAAGGAAAGTTATGAATGAACAATTTTTATGACAGGGAAGACTGCAGATTTCATGTTTGAGAATCCGTTCAGTTTCCAAGGTTGGAAGTGGGAAAAGGAGAAACTATTGTCTCCACCTACCTTCCGTTCTGAACTCCCAAAACGGAGGGCGGTACGCAGTACGAGCGGAGTCAAACTAAACGAAATAGTTTCCTTGTATTTTGTGCATACACATCTTACGACCCCTTATGCCATTCATGCGCAATCATGCGCCATCACTTGGACCCGTTCAGATTGCTTTCGATCAGTCAACTCGGGCGGGGAACCCTGATTAGGATAAGCTTGTGTTCATTCCTGTTGAACTCGGCTATAGCGCTCCAATCTGTCAACTTCAACTAACTCCGCAGGGTAAAATATAGTGGACACCAAGAACCGGAGAATGCAATGGTGAACTAATTGTCTTGGTGCATTGTAGCGAGATGATGTCCCCGCAGGGTCACGACTTAACTTACCGCATTAGGTACACTGGTCTAGCGCCACATAGCTACTCAGCCACTTTTCTACACTGTTTACATACGCGTACCAAATAGCGGAGTCTACTACATACGCTTCTAGATTTTCTTCAAGTGGGACCAATACTTATATTGGAGGCTGCTGATTTGACCGTTTCAAATTTGTCTCTCTTTTGTTCCACAGCTGTTTATTTTTTGTCAATCTTGCCAAGTTGTGGAGCTGATAGACGGGTTCATGGAAATAATACTCCGTAGAGGTCCGTCACGGATGCTCAAGTCTAAAACCTATGGCATCAAATTAGCCAATTAATTAATTCAACGACTATGCCGTTAATCTGACAGAATGTCCGTGCGCCTTTACCCTTGTCTGCCCCCTTATTAACAGATAGTCAAATTCTTCTTGACTAATGCCTGGAACTAATCATAGCCATTGCTGGTCACGAATCTCTTTTGATCTGGGTATGATATCAACATACAACAAAGCTAAGAAAAAAAAGAAAAAGAAAGAAGTGAGAGAGAGAAAAGGGAAACTCAGAACAAGACTAACAATAGCTCAGTCATGCCGGAGCAATGATCTCCACCGGCGCCCAAATCTTGTATTTCTCCTTCTCTCCTGCAATATCTACATAAAGCTTCCACTCCAGTGTGTGAGTATGCTGGATATTATATGTCGTGAAAGATGGCCCGATGACGGTTCCTCTCCACGCGTCCAAAGGCAACGTTTGGTTTCCAGCTTTGAAACCGGCTTTATGAAGAGTCAGTTGGAACAGATTGCCGAGATTTAAGGGTGCGTTTCCTTTCCCGGTGGTAATGACCAATGGTTGATCGAGAGCTGCGATGATGCTCTGTAGGTTGAAGCCGAGCTTTGTGTCATATTCATTATCGTGGACCGAGTCTGTAAAGTTTCCGGCTGACAGACAATGGGTCTTGACGCGGAGCGATGCTTCAATATTCATAATGCGGATAGTTTGCGCAACATCCTTGATGCTGTCGCTGGTTCTCTCAAGATTGGGCATGATCTCTAATTGCAGAGGCATTGGGGTTGGGTCGTCCAGTTGAAGGGACGACGGGACGGTAAACAGCAGGTCGAAATGAAAGGCAGGCACCTTTGACGAGGAGAAGAACTTTTGTACATTCTGCTTGAACGACAGGTCTGTATCTTCCATTCCCGACTGCAGTCGGTGTGTGGAGACGAGTCTTGGTTGCTTGATCATTTTTGGTATACCACTAGTCTGTGTGACTGGGTGCCGGAGGGTGATAGGACGGATGGCTTCATGAGATGTTTTGTTTCCTCCAAAATTGTATTCCAGGCGAGCCTGGAGATAATATTCCACAATCTCGGATGAGCTAGGGTTACTCCCCCATCTTGTAGTTTCGGAATAGAAGGACCCTGGCAAAATGTGGTGAAGAGGATGGTCTATGTCGAGTGGGATGAAACTGCACTTCTGGCTATGGTTTCGTCTGCAGTACTCCATGGGCTCATATGGAATATTGACAGAGACTGGCCAGCTCAGTGACTCATTGCTCCCCTCGGCAAGATGCAAGGGTCCCTGAAAGATGACCATCTCGTTGAAGTCCACGAGCTGCCAGTTGTCGCGATAAACCGATCTGTTATTGTTTCCTCTCCGTACGGTTATCTTGACCTTAACGCGACCGATAAAGGATAGTTTTATGGTGGCATTGGGGGTAACAATTGGTACTTTTCGAACCAAGTTGCCGATAATAGTGTCGCCGGGTGCATAGGCCCATCCTGCTGGTGCCGCGAGGTCGAACTGTAAGGCTGGACTCCCAGCAGCGTAATGCTGTGGCATATTGATTTTTTCTTGCCTCAAGGAGTTCCTATAAGATGTTGGAAGTTGATCTTATCAAGCCGATGGTGAAGGGTCCAGGGTCCGCCCCCATTTTGCACCGCCTTGGACGGGGCTGCCCAGTGGGGTCCAAAAACAAAGCCAAGCGACAAAATGAATGGGAACAAGGCTGTGGCTAGTCATTTCGATTCTACACAACAATGTTTGAAAATCGGGAATTCTTAGACTTGAAGACCAGGACCTTAGTCCTCGAGTGCGGACCTTGGAATAGGACTTGGCTTTGATTGAGCTTTCAAGATAACACTAGTGAGAATCTCTCACCTTGACGGATCAACATCCAACTGGTTTATCTATACCTACACTCGCCTACTGGGTTTCGTGAAGTTGGTGATGCTGCATGCTGATTAGCCTGGACCACAACCGGCATTGATAGGCACCTGCACAGGTGTTGTGGAGCTCCATGTGTATTAATTTAAGTTTAATGATAGCCATTTATAATGACACTGCATCATTAGAAGGTCTCTCTGGGCTACTTTTTATTCATTGGATGATTGGAAGACTTGATCAAAGACCTAGGTCAGTATTACTCTAGAGGGTGCCAAGTGGAGGAACGGTCGGGAGAGATTCCAGGGATGACGGAGGCTTTTCATGATCTACTATGTACTCGGCGACTGACAGTCATGGTTAGATCCAAGTTTGATTCTAGCTCTCATCTCTGCCCAAACCTGAGTCTATCGCACTTCAACTGACTATGCAAGGCGGTCATTCTCTAGCCATTTTAGCCACGGGTGGGACTAACGTGACATACTATAGATGCGTATGCGGACAGGTTTTACATTGCTATTCCATACGGTCGCTTATCATCGACTACCATAAATCTGAGGTAGATGAAGAATATATCCGGAATACAGTACAAGGAAAAGCTATTCATTTAATAATTAAGAAACATGGCACTAACTATTAGACTTGACCCAGAGACTGATGAGAAGTGGAGTTGTCTCAACCCATTTTTGAGTGTTCGCGTCTCAGGTCAGAACTTTAACAGGCTGTGTTGCGCGCCTGGCGCGCACAGCTCTATACCACAAACACACTGCACTTTTGATCCATCCTGCATTTTCACATGTTACTTTTACTCATATCTTTCAAGATAAGAAAAAGTGTTGATCAGTCTGCATTTCCCTCTGAGTTGGCCCGGCGGCGCCACCCGGAATCCCATGGTTGTCCTTAGTGGATCACCTGAAATCCATACAATGGTCATATCGAGCTTCGAGTTTAGTTGGTCGAGACTTGGCCAAGCCCGCCACAGCACAGACACGGCAACGCTCGGAGCTGCTGTACCCCTTTGACCGAGAGGTGTGACCACGCCAGCACCACGCAATGGCCCTGGTCAAAGCATTCCATGCATCAATGCTCCACGTGGATGCGCATGCAAGAGGGGAAAGACTCCAGTCAAAATCCCGCTCGTTAAAACGACATGGACAAGGAGCCAATAATTCAAAATCGGGAAATGCGTCATAGCGCACTAGCGATCAACTAGGCAAAAATGATATGCTGATCAATCGATTTAAACTCCACCCGGAGAAGCGCCGCCCACCGTTCCATTGTCGCTGATTGGCTATTTGCCCGGTTTCTGCAAGACCCCCTGTTCTCCTCTGATCTCCAATTTTTTTTCTGTGAAGTTTGGTTCTTCGTTGATTCTTATTTTCTCACGCAAATATGTCGCGCGACAAGGAGCTCAGAGCCCATGAGGCTGCTGTTGAATCTACAGATCAGGATGACTGGGATATGCAGCGCCTGGGCAAGGTCCAGCAGTTGAAGGTGCGTTGGAACTGGAGTGTGGGGAGGCGCGTGGAGCGCATGAACTGACTAGTCCGCGATAGAGAAACTTCCGATTCTATTCGATCCTGGGGTTCACGACGACCCTGATGGCTACCTGGGAGTCGATTCTGCTGTGAGTTGTATTGCGATAACTCGGATCGCATCGGACTTTGCATACTGACCAACCGTAGGACGAGTACCTATGGCCTGACTGACGGCGGTCGCGCCGGCATGATCTATGTCTACATCGGCTCCTTTGTTGGATTCTTTGCTGCGGTCATTTCGATGGCAGAGATCTCTTCTGTGTACGTCTTACCACTGATGAGTTGCCACGCATCCATAATAGGTTCTGACTACTCTCCAGTTCACCGACGTCCGCTGGTCAATACCACTGGGTCAGCGAATTTGGCCCTCCAAGAGCGCAACGGTTCCTGAGCTACCTCACCGGATGGCTGTCAGTGTTGGGCTGGCAAGCTGCTTTTGCCAGTATCTGCTTCCTGTGTGGTACTCTCATCCAGGGACTGCTTGTTTTCAACTACTCCGGCGATACCGGCTATGTATACGACTTCCACCGCTGGCACGGGACTCTTCTGACAATTGCCATCGCGGCCGTTGGAACCCTCATCAACACATACGGTGCGAAATTTCTGCCCTCTCTCGAGGGTGTCATCTTGTTCCTTCACCTGGGTGGATTTGTCGCAGTTTTAGCTACAATGTGGGGAATGTCATCTGGAAAAGCCCCGAACGAGGTTGTATGGAAAGAATTCTCAAACTCGGGTGGATGGTCCAGCATGGGGCTAGCTTGTCTCGTGGGCCAGTTGACCCCGATTTTCTCATGGACTGGACCTGATGCTGCGACTCACATGGCCGAGGAGGTCCAAAATGCCTCCTTTGTCATTCCCTGGTGCATGGTCTCTACCGCCTTGGTCAACGGTAGTCTGGGATTCGTCATCCTCATTACCCTCTTATACACCATGGGACCCATTTCCGACGTGCTTGACCCGGCGAGCGGGTTCTCGTTCATCCCCGCTGTTCAGCATGCCACTGGATCCATGGCAGCCACCAATGGAGTAGCGGCGATCATTCTTGTGATGGAAGTTTGCAGCGCTATCAGTATTCTTGCTACAGCCTCTCGACAGACCTTCGCTTTTGCCCGCGATAATGCTCTACCGTTTTCTAAGGCCCTGTCGCATGTTAACAGCCGAACCCAGGTTCCGGTCACTTCTGTATTGGTCTCCACTATCATTACTGTCTTGCTCAGTTTGATCAATATTGGATCCACCGCCGCCTTCAACGCAGTTGCATCTGTCATGATTGCCGCACTCTTCACAACTTACATTCTCTCCATCTTGGCCTTTATCCGAGCCCGACGCCTTCCAGGCGGAATACCACCTTCTCGTTTCTCACTTGGTCGGTTTGGAATGCCGATCAACGTATTTGCAGTTGCCTGGCTCTGCTTTTCGATTATCTTTACGTTCTTCCCCACTGCCAACAACCCGACCCCTGTCGATATGAACTGGTCGATTCTAGTGTTCGGCGTTGTCGTCATCTTTGCCATTGTGCAATATTTCGTCCATGGCTCTCGTATATACGAAGCGCCCGTTACACAAGTACGCAAGACTAATTAATAGACTTGAACGCCCGGTCTTTCGGGATGCGCTACATAGATTTTCTTTTCTTATATTTTCTCTTTCTTCATTCCAAAGGAGCTTGATTTTTCGGACCGGCTGGCCGGTGATTTTTTACATTTCATACAGCATTTAACTAGTACCTTTGGGTATCTCTGGCCACAGGCCCAATACATAGCACAATATTCCCCAGAAAATTCCCATATCACCCAATAAATGCAGTTTTCAGTTCAGATAGTTCGTTGCTAGATTTAGAATCTCCTCCAACCCTTCAGTGTAATCAACACCAAGCGGTGCCATCATATCAACTCCAGATAGCACAGCCGGCTCAATACTTGTGATCTCAGACCAATGTCTATGATTTGCTGCCCTCACAGCAGATGGAACTTGCAAAAGTGACTTGGACCGACCAGGTAAACTTGCGCGATCATGTTGATAAAAAGCTCGAATAATGTCTGCGATGTCAAGCCCATTCTCATGCGACGGAGAACCGGGGAGAACTGAAGGCCTCCGCAACTCAGGGACAAGATATCTTCCGCGTTTGCTTAACTGCTCGGCCTCGAGCATCGCCCTCAATAGGGATACACCACGCTGGGCAATCATGTCTGATTCGCAATGCGATAGGATTTCAATTCCGTCTTCGATCAGCTGTTGATGTTCGGATGATTGGCGATCTGCTACCGATTGGTGGAACATATCCAGGCATAAAATAATCTGCAAGAATGTCAGTCAGTTAAAGCAGGTGTGAACCATGTTGAACTCCTCACTTACACTTGCTGTAACACTGAATGCCTGATGTATCCACAAGACAGGTCCACCACATCGACTCGCTTCCTTCTGCTCTTTAATTATCGTGCGTGACGCAGCCACGCAAGTCTTTCGCGTGAATTCAAACATTGGGTTGGAAAAGCTCAAACTTAAAAACTTTCTGTGAATCATGATAACCTTGTGCGCGGAGCTAATAGCGAGACTTTTCCGTGCCCATGGAACGTAACATGGCCAATCAGGATCCAACGGAACATTCTGTAGATAGCGAGGAAGATGTTGGGTGGCTAGCGTGCGCAGACGACGATCATATTTCAGTACCTCCTCATATCGAGTATAAAGAGTATTACAGGAGATGATATCATCCTGTAGACCTGGCATCAAAGCGGCAATGTCATAGAAGAGACGGGAATAGCTTGTCACAGATGGATGATCATCTGACAGAAAATTCATTTCCTCGTCACAGTTTTGAGGCTTTGTTGTACCAAATCCCAGCTTATGGATTAAGTAGCTCTCGGTAAAGGGAATTGAAAACCAGTCTTGGATGCAGAGCTGACACCAGACCCGTCGGCCGATCTCCCGATCGACAAGACCAGATGGTGAGGCATCACTAGATTCATCCAGCTGATGTAAACCAAGTCCTTGTGCGATTCGAACAGCCGAAGCTAGTAGCACCGAAAATCCATTCGAGTGCCCTAGCATATGAGCGGACATGGTGAGTGTCGCAATTGCTTCAACAGAGTAGATAGAATGACAGGCCATATAGTCTGCTTGATGTAGACATGCTATTGTAGCCTTCAGCCATCGTTTTGATAGAGTGTCTTTCTCTCGGTCGCGAAAACCCCAAGACTGAGATATCGGTCTCGGCGCACATGCCATTGACCCTGTAAGAACGGCGAAGAGGAGCGCTATCCACTGTAGACGAATTCCAGCTCCTGTGATCTGACCCTCGTCTTTCTCATAAAATAAATCCAGCTCTGCTAGGAAGGTTTTCGCATGGAACGATCCGTGATACCAAAGCAGGCAGTCACAGTGATAGTGAACGAGTTGGTAAACCTTGATTTTAGTCGGAAGTAGTGCCTGGCATAGGGCTGCTGCTGATAATCCTGACACGCCAGCATCTTCTAATACGTCTTCAGCGGGTATATCGCCAGGCGAATGGTCGATATTGTTTTGTCTTGCGATCTCATCTTGATAGGTAGGGTCTTTCCGACGGCCCCATGCAAGGAACTCGAGTATTGTTGCAGCATCTTCCACCTCCCTGGGCGTATTCTCTGCATCAACATGACCCGAATTACGAACAGAGAAAGGGGATCTCTGTGACTCTGCCGGCGAAAACGAAGTGCTGTTGACTGAGGGATCGGGTCTCAGAATTCGAGGGCGTGAAGAGGCTTCGTTGGACTCGTTCAGTGCCGCCTCCAATTCATTCACCCTTGACTGAAGCCTTTCAATAATCCCTTCAGTATCTACTGCAGAATCAGTCGTCGGCCGGGCCAGGATAGGGCGCTCAATGCGCTCGGATTGAGCAGCGCTGTGGCTCGGCGAGGTCCGCTCGCGCGGCCGAGTACATGGTGTTCCTTTCTTGGTACAGTTGCGACATGGAAGAATCTTGTCACACTTCACTTTGCGTCTTGTGCATTCAACACATGCTAGACGCTTTCGGTGGACTCCGGAGATCATGTTTGTAAAAGTAGATGTACAAGGGAGCGTTGGCTTATCTATGACAGAGGGGCCAAGAGCCAATTAATCCTCGGCATTACGCAGCAGCGGATCTTCTTATCTGGGGTTGAGGATGAAGAGGGCGAAGTCCAATTAACCCACCTCACATGCTCGTATGGAATAAGATGTGAAGACTAAGAGTGTTCTAATCATCGGCCTCTGCTTTCAACGTCCGTGCCAATATTCCCGACGTTGTAATCAGTCTTCGTAATTAGTACGACATTCGTGGATCCTGGGGTGCTCGGCCGACCGCCTCGGCCGAGGTGATTGATAGGTCAGACGAGACCATGATTCAATAATATGACAGCCCTACGTAACTACTCTATCGATCTATTTATATGGGACCGATACTCCCTACCTTCTACTTGCATCGAAAACCCTCTCAAGTATCTGTGTCACGTCAATAATCGCAAAATGGCTCAAACCAGATATGTCGACCGCCCGATTCCTCAAATCTCTCTCAAGGACTTCGACAATCGCATCGATGAAATTACCACCGAATTAGTCAACGCTGCGGAGAACGTTGGATTCTTCACACTCATTGACCACGGCCTTTCCAAAGAAGACATTGAATCCATGTTCATGACATCTAAGAGCTTCTTTGAGCTCCCAGACGAGACGAAGAAAACAGTACCCTGGAATACCAACAATGTGGGGTGGGAGAAGAACTCACAGATTCGACCATCTACTGGAAAACCAGACAGTAAGGAATCCTATCAGTTGCAATACGGAGACAACATGAAGGGGTTATGGGTTGCAGACGAGCATCTCGCAGGGTTCCAAACTACTTCCCTGGAGTTCATGCATCGGGTGCAGGGCGTCTCAGAAAGACTAATGCGATGTTTCGCTCGAGGTCTGGGATTCTCCGAAGACTTTTTCATCAAATGCCACGATGTGGCACGACCAGACTCTCAAACCACCATGCGACTACTTCATTACTTTGCACTGCCGGAGGAAGCGGACGGCAAAGTGTATCATCGCGCTGGGGCACATGCCGATTGGGACTTTCTGACATTACTCTTCCAGAAAGAGGGGCAAAGTGGGCTGGAGATATGTCCGGGGCGCGAATCGGTCACGGAGTTTGGAATCGGGGACGAGTGGACCAAGGTGGAGGCCAAGACCGGGGAGATCGTGTGCAATATTGGGGACTTACTCATGTCTTGGTCGGATGATCGGTTCAAGTCCACCTTTCATCGGGTCAAGGCGCCGTGTGAGCCGGGTGATTATTTTGGGGATAGGTATAGTATTGCATACTTCAACCAGCCCTGCAAGGATGCGTTGATCCAAGGGCCACTGAAAAAGTATCCAATGGTGACCGGGGCTCAATTTACCGACAGTGCGATGAAGAGGAATTTTGCTGCGTTGCAGGAGAAGTTGAAGACGGTCACTGCGGCATGATAGGAGGGCGCTTTCAGATTCTTTGGCTTGTTCGCGTTGGGGTCATCCGGGCACTAGTCAGAGATATTTGCTTCATTGAGAAGCTGTGATAGCGCTTGGGAGTGGTAGTTTGTGGACCTGAAACTCTCGTCAAGTAGGAAAAGAGATGAAATGAATATGATACTCGTTATAAGTTTCCAAAATCCCACCATGTGGAAAATCCGTCAATGTTACCCAACGTTGATTCTGACTCGGGGTATCCAAGAGTCTCCATGTCGACAAATTGTGAAGGGTCGGCCCATAGCCAAGGGGTATTAGCCATAAGACTGTCAGCAGGGGCCACGAGCTTGTCGCCAAGTGGAGCGATTGGGGAGGTTGGCGCCGAGGTAGCGATACGGGGCATCTTAGGTGGTATGTGTGCGGCCGAGCCGCCGTCGGTAGTATTCACCGTGATGTCGGGAGACATGGCGACAATAACTTCGAGGGTGGAAGATGAATTTTCCTTATCTTCTTCAAAAACCATAGGCATCAGAGAAGGATGGAGCAGTCCGGCTGTAGGTGTCTCGTCAAATGTTGGTAAACACTTGATTTGTAGCACGTCCCACATCAGAGGAATGCTAAGATGAATCCTCGAGGGCTCCCAATCAAAGTCTACCTTATCCGAGCCGGAAGCAATGCGTGTCATTTTATCCAGTGTCCGGTCCTTGACATATTGGGTTAATTAGAAGACCCTTAGTAAGAATGGGATCAGCATACCAGGGTTTGACAGGCAGGGGAAAATGAAACAAAGCTTTTCAAGAATCTCCTGCATTTTGAAAAGTCGGTTTTGGACTTGTACTTCAATCTGGGATCGGCGGCACAGCAGAAATAAAGATGCACTGTAGCAGCTATAGCAGCGGCGTGCCCGAAGAACGGATCGATTAATCGCATTTTCTTATCGGAGACCATGTCAATCATGCGAACGATCCAGGTGGCATGTAGCATGACCACTTCTGAGGATCTTCGCCAAAAAGTGTTTGGAATCGTCAACTTGTGATTGTACTGGGAAGCCACAATATAAAGAAAAGGGTGATTCAACACTGTCAGAATAGTGTGATAGGTAAATTGGAGCTTGAGCCAAGAGGCCCAATAATCCCGGTTCACCCGTAGTTCATCTGGTCGACGCTCATAGAACTTGACCGAGTCATATCTGTGACAAAGTGACAATTTGTTCTCGAGCTCAGTGAGGTCGGACAAGACCATCGCATACATCGAGTCATGCCGCCATGGCTCTGTCAACTTACTTTGTGCACAGTCAAACACATAGCTCCTGACACGATTCCATACCCATCCAAAATGAAGGGCTAGATTCCAGATTCCAATGTCGGATGAACTTGTGCAGCCGATCGTATCATTAGGCAGTGGCGGGGGGTGGTGAGCCGGATTCTCGATAACCTGCTCGCTACCCGTAGAAAGATAAAAAGAACGTAGAACCTCAGCTTGAACACTCAGTAAGCCACCCATTTGCCCGTAAGTCTGTTCGAGTGACTGGAGGCTCCAAAAGAGTCTTTTCTTGCGTTCGGCAGATAGGCATTCGATCCCGTACGTAGAGTTAAGATCCAGCATTGCGGAGCGGCAAAGCTGGAGAGCGAGACCGAGATGAAATCGTCCAAGTGGTCCGTTTCCATCTAGAATTTGTCAGAGTCCCTTCTTTGTTCCCCGTCGAGCATAGAGCAATCCTACCTAGAAAGGAAGAATAGGACAGAAGACACAAGCTTTCGATCGTTTCAAGCTCGATTGTCCCATTCGCGATACGAAGCATTACCAATGTCCGTGCGGTATCCCCATATTGCTGTACCTCGTCGCGATCTTGAGAGAAACGCGAGGTCAATGTTATAATGCTGCAAACAAGTTCCTCAGAGAGGTAGCTTGGATCCTTCACTTCTTCCCGTTCGAAGCACCATATCGGTTGTCGATGACAGTATTGAAAATAGAGTTCGATTGCCCGGGAAACTCGAGAGGGGGTATGGCCTTTCGTGTCTTCAAAGCCAAGCCCGAGGAAAGGCTCATTCAAATTACCACTGAACTCGTTCGATGATGGACCTGATGGGATCGAGTAGCTTGTTTCTTGGTTGTCCTGCGGCTTGACTTTGTTTTGATCAGGAGGACTTGATCTTCATAACGTTAGTATTGAAAGACAGATAGTGTTCAGGTCTTCCCTCTTACCCTTTGCCGCTGAGAATAAGATTGACCTTCTCCTCGAGATATGCCAGCCGATCGGCCTTGAAGCTGTTAGTTTGTGGGGTACAGAGCGTATAAGAGTACTATCATACCGATGGTCCGCCGCGCGAGCCCTTGGAGGTAGTAGTGTAAAGACATGGCTGATTGAGGCGAACGCAACTTGAGCAAGATGGCTTCTCAGCCGGACACCTCGTCTTCTTCCTCCTAGTTGTCAAGGAATCAGGATAAAAACAAGGAATATTTTCTAGGCGCGACTTACCTGCAATTAAGACAAGCCTCATGAGATCGCAATCTACCACGATTGCCGTCCCGTGGCATCATATGGTCTGAATACGTCAAAGGTTATTCTATGGAAAAAGAAATATGTTGTGAATGATGTATTGGTTAAGTCTTGCAAGACAAATAGCTGGGGCTAGCAACAAAAGAAATAACGTCAGAGGATGTATTGGAGGGAAGGAGATGGCAATGACGATCGGTGCGGGGAACGGAGCGATAGCGATGGGAAAGTCTCGTTTTCGCATTCTAGATCGCGCCGAGAGCCTATTTGGGGCTAGTTCAGGCTTTGACTGGCTGTCCCCGCAGAACCAAGTGTCCAGGTTGGAAACGGTCTGTGTACGGGATTTTGGCTTACGATGTAACTTAACCCACTCAAAGGGGCAAATCTATCCCGCAACTAAGTCGAAAATGCCGCGATACAGAATCTTGGTCGCAGATCCATGCTAGGAGACCGATTCGTACCAATGGCGTCCTCCGTATATGTGAGTAAGTTATGCTTTTTTTCCAGCAAAATTAGGGTCTTTATCTCTTCGTAACGTTATCTGACATTCCCAATCAAGAAGGTTGATTGAAGTTCTAGTGACGTTGTCAAGATAAGGACCCCGCAGATTACACTCTTGATAGCAGATCTTTGCTGGGAAAGTCTCATATTCAAAGAAACCTTAGATATCGTTTCAGGCATGACTGACCTTAAATGCTTGATTCAAAAATAGGAAGGGCCTGTGATAAGCTAAATAAAAATGTGGCACATTATTCGTGAACGACTAACGGGTAGAAGCCAATGAACGCTAACATCAAAATCACGCCAAAATGCGACCGTGGAAAACACAATCAGTAAGCAAGAGCCTGATTACCGGCTGTCTGACATCCTCCCCCACAGCACCCGGTAGCCTGTGTAGAGCAATCCGCCCCCTGCTTTTGGGTGGTCAAATTGGTACAGAAGTCCATGTCCTCCTGACTTGTGGTGGCAGTGGTAGGAAGGGCCTGGCGGGATGGCCAAATCTGCCGTCCGGTTTCTTCTTCACGCTTGTGAAACTCGGTAACAAGGTCTCGCACGATGCCTTGGAAGTAAAGCGGCCCCTTCTCCAGCTTCGGGTGAAGTTCACCGTTGACAAAGACTCCGTTACTCAAGTTCTTCTGGGATTCGGTACAGAGTTGTTTGTCTTCGGCCATGATCCGCTTAAACATCTGGTTGACGTGCTCAAAGTCCTCATCACTTGAGCCCTTGTGGCGGTAGACCTCATAGCGCATCGCACAGCTAGTTGGTGAGATGGGAACAAAGCGCTGCATGAAGAAGAAGTGTGGCCTTTTTGGTTGTCAGCAAAGATGTTCCGACAAGATGAATGATAGCATAAGGGCAAGCTCACGAGACAGTCATAGAGGCATTCGGGAAGTAGTAGGTGCTGCAAATATTCATGCCCTTGGCGATCTGCTCCTCTGTGGCACCAGGGTGGTGAATTATACTAGCATTCTTCGTATCAACATCGTAAGCTTCGAGGGTGGCCACCGATGGAACATCAGGGTGTGCAGTTTGGCAGTGGTAACATTCATTATAATTGTCGGCAAGAATCTTCCAGTTATAGTCGCCGTTCATCTCCCACGTGTGGTCAAATTGGTATTCGCTGAAATCAAAGTCTTGGAATCGCGACTGCAAGTCGATCCCCTTAAAGTCGTCTTCCCAGGAAATTTCCGGTTTCTCTGCACTATCCAGATTGACCCAAATGAAACCATTGCCATCTACATGAACATGGATAGAGAACAGTCCATTCTTTGATTTGTCAAATCCCTCCAGCTCTTGATAGCCTGGTGCCTTGGCGAGTTTTCCGTTCAGTCCGTAAGACCAGCCGTGGTACTTACAAGCAAAGATTCGTGCTGTTCCGCTGTCTGCATCATCTGCGACGACTGGAAATGCGCGATGACGACAAACATTGTGGAACGCGTTGATATTCCCATCGCGATCGCGGACAATGATGAAAGGGAATCCCGCGATGTCGTATTTCAGATAGTCACCAGTCTTTGCAAGGCGCAGCTTATGCGTGGTCAAGAGCCACTTTCTTGAGAAAATAGCTCGTCGTTCAAGCTCATACATCTCTTGAGAGGTGTACCAATTGGCCGGAAGAGCTCTTGCGAGGGAATTTTGCAGGGGAGCCTTGTCCCCCGCGGGGTCGCTGTAACCCAGATAGCTCTTTAGCATTGATGTCATGTCGTGGGGATTTAAATTGAAAACTCTTGCTTCTAGATTTTGATCTCCTGGTTTGGTGATGAGAAAGGGCATCATATATACTTAGCACAGGCTTGGCATTTGTGATCGGTGCTGGACCCACGGCTAGAAGCCGGTGCCGGTCCTGTGATCGGCTCCTGTATCTGGCTCCGGGTGTCAATGACATGCACTATCGAATCAACTTTGCGGGACTTGAATGTCACAAAAAGAGATAACACGGCGAGCGGTATTTTAGCCGGGTCTCTGCTCTACGCCACCCGCTTTGTCGGTCCGTATACCGTATTCTCTTTGATAATAGGGGAAACTGTGCTAATTCATATGATTTGGCCAGCGTATTCGCAGCTACAAATCAACCATAGGAACGTGACTCTAGGACTTCTCTCCTTCTTTCAACCACCACCACTGCGCACCCTCGATACACCAACTCTGAATGAAACATGACAACAGTGTCATGTTACAGAGCCAGAAGACACGACCCCAAAGTCAAAGAATCATGTTCTATAAATAATTCGGGGAGTGGTAAATCGGTCAAATTCCCATCTCCCAAGGTTACTTCCTAATGAGAGTATCTACTTGGGGGAGGCTGGATAGATGAATCCATCCATGATAAGTAATATGTATAGTCCACAGACACCCCAAAGCATGGGCTGCGTAGAGTCTCCCCGATTCACTCTCTTTCACAGAGATAGGTCTTGGAAACAGTAAGGCTTACTCACAACCATTACTATGGAACAGTGTCTCTTGGAAGAGGTGGGAAAAGAGCCTCGCACTTGCGTAGCTTATAGCGGTCTCTGGTGTGTAGGATTGCCAGTACTGAAGCCTCAAAACCCCCATCTATTTTTTTATGATTATTAGATGGATAATAGTGTGCAATTGATCAATCCTTGGGCTACTTAGATGTCAAAGCAACACATAGATCATTTCAATTATATATAAGAGAAAGTCAGGTAGCATTCTCGTGATATGGAGAGGAACATATTCTCCATTTTAGGTCCACGAAGAGTAGGTGATTTGTCGCCCAGCACAATCAAGACATGGTCGCACCTGGCAAATTCACCATGAAAAAACCAAAAAAAAAAAAAAATTCGATTATAGTTGCTCTCCATATTGTAATTGAAATACTAGTGTATTCTGCCCCAGGGTTTGAACGGATTGTCTCAGAAATGAACGGCAGAGACTTGTGGCGCAACACATGATTCACCCCGCACGACGCGCTGTTCCCCGATCACATGAGCCGTTGAATCATCTCGATCGTATCTAAAACTTAGAGACAAAGTAATTAAGTGGCGAAATTCTGTAGTTCTAATATACGATCGCGTCTTATCTAGAGAACACAGCCATAAGATTCAAACACGCTTGGATCAATTGATCACGAGCTCAGCATCAGGTTGGATCTACACGATTTCTCCCATGTTCAATTGCTTATCAGTGAGTATCAGGCTTCGGTTTCGACCTAGCTTTCTTTGGCATTGTTTGCTTCCCCCTGACACTGAGATTTGCCACTCGCGTACCTTACAACCATTTCTATTCCAGTGGCTTGCAAAGGCATAATCATGGGATGAACAAATATCATAATTGGCATTGCGGTCCACCGCGCCGAGCGCCGGCGGAAGCGGAGAGTGACCGCCGATGGGTTAAGGAGTTGGGGGGCGCAGGGTAAATCGGGGGAACCCAGGCCAGATCAGGCATGACCTTCCCCTGCACCCGATTCCTTTGAATGCTTGCACATGAAGAGACGTTGCCTGATTTTATTGGCTGCATTTTGTTATCAGAAAAGTAGTACTGGTTCCGGGGATCTATATTAATCCCTATGGGTATACGTTTGGGCTTCGAAGCATCTCGTTCTTCCTAAGAATTATCTATCTCGATTCAAAAATCGACCAGTTGGAAGCACCCCGTATCTGTTTCTCACACCCTTCCCCATTGCGACCACGTAAGTCCACAATGACCTGCAATGTGGTAGTACTGTTGGTTTCTCTATGATACCTTAGCTGCAGCTCTTTTGAGATCTGGGTTTAACATTTGAGACAAAAAGTTTAGCGTACAGCATTTTACGTATCGGTTGATGCTAAATTGATATCACAAAAGCTTCTCTTCTGTGCTCACGAGACCTGCTGAAAGTGGAGAAAAGAGAAAAGATAGAACTCAAATCAAAAGTAACTTCTACTCTTGCCTCTCCTGCAGCTGAGGCACCTTGAGCATTCTTCGCTGGTTGACCTAAGAGAGATTGGTACACAAATTCATCACATGTGCACTCCTAAACTGTATAGTATAGTAGCAGCATTGTTATCTTCAAACATCTCATTTAAAAGCATGTGAAAATACACATAGGCTTGGGAATGACCTTCGGAGTCGCACTGTATGCGTTCGATAGAGAAATATTGATTAGATCTTGCTCTGGCGTGTAGACGCACGAAGAGCAACATCGAAAGTGCTTCGTTCGTTGTTCGTCAACTCTCTCCTCTCTGGTCCACCACGGCTCCCATCGCCCGCAAATGCATCGCCCTGGAACGCCTCCTTGAACTGGGTCGGAAACTTCCACTTGTTGAGCAGTTCCTGGGGAAGATTCTGTTGAAAGCTTCCAACAATATTTTTTCCGAGCACTGGCAGAAACTTGAACGCACTAAAGATGAGTGTTAAAGACAGTGATGGAGCTGGGCAATTTGGGCCACTCACTGTCCACTGCCACCAGTTGCGATGAAGAGGTTCTTATGTTCGGGGTGGAAGTCAAAGATAAAATCACCGGTGGGGGTATCATTGTACCAGCAAATCCCAGCACGCTCAAAGCCCCTCGGAGCGAGATGAGGGAATATGTCTTTCATACCAGCTAGAAGTCTCTTCATTCCATCCTCGGGAACAAAATTGGCCCGCGAGGCAACAGCAGATGCACCGGGTGCAGACACGCCAGCTTTTGTTGACTGCTGTGTGTAGCCATAACCGTGAATAGCAACCTTCAGGTAGCCAGTCCCATCGTGCGGTGGGAAACAGAAGAAACCAGTGGAGAAGTTGAAATAAATCGGAATGTCTTTCAACTCAGCAACTTCCTGGGGGGTGAGCTTGAGGTATCCAACAACTTGTCCAGCTGCAAGCATTGAATTCCAGGCAGGAACCAAGCTTGAAGTCCATGCACCAGTAGCCACGATAAAATGATCACTGTTGACTCTGTTACCATTGGCAGTGCGAACAGCCTTGATGCTGCCATCGTGGTTCTTCTCAAATTCCTCGACCTGACCACTCGGACCAGTGATGAACGACACGCCAGCGGCAACACATCGAGACGCAAGGCGACTGATGGCTTTTCCAGCATCAGCCCATCCAGCAGATGTGTTGTAAAATCCATCAAAGCCCGGAGTTGCCAGCTTCCCAGTGAGCTTTGGCCACAGTCCTTTAGCTTCCTCCACACTCTTGACTGCATGCCATGGCTGGCCCATTTCTGTTAAGACACGCTTTGTCTTTGCGCTATATTCCTGGGCTCGCGGTTGAACTGGCTGTTCGGGAGTACCCTCCTGACATACCCAGAGACATGGTGTCTGGTAAAAGGCATCTGAGTACTCCGGGGTTTTCCAGAGGTCAAAAGCCTCCTTGGCAATTTTGGCGTATATAGCGTCGCCATAGTCGAAACGGATTATGCGTGAAATATCGTTGCTCGAACCATCTGGGACTGGGGGCATCGAGCGATCGAGAACGGTGACTGATGTATATCCTTCCTCCTTGAGTTTGAGAGCAGTGCCAAGGCCAAAAGCACCGGCTCCAACGATAACAATACGCGCTGATTTATCCATTGCGAGGATAATGTTAATAAAGTGTGGTTTTTAGCAACAATTCGAGTTGGACCTTCGGATTCTTATACCGCTTGATGACAATGTATTCCCTACGGTCCGTATTGGATCCCGTCCCCACAATGACATCCAGAGTGGGGCAGGCCATTGGCTGCCCGTTCTGTAGAATTTCATCCGGCCCGCATCACGGTCCGTGTTCATATACCGGTTGTGCAGAGCACATGCAGATGTTGAGATGTACAACAAGGATATAAGCAGCTTGATCATTATTTTATTCAATTGTAACTACTAGGCAGGGAGTGCTGATTGTTGAAGCCCATCCGTCTGTTTGACGTCGTATGGTAGAATCAAGTTCAGCAACACGCCAACAACAGCAGCGATGATGAACGGTGTCTCCACGATTAGGCTGATACCTTGTTCAAAACCTTCCAAGTTGACATTTGATCCACTATAATCCAGGACCTTGTCGAACCAACTCGGGGAAACAATGTCCATAAAGCCAATGCCTAACGCAGCCGTAAGAATGAACCGATTACGCCTGGTGAATGGTACCAGGCTGAGCACTCGGATACCGGCGACGGTAATAGTACTGTAGAGGAACACTTGCATGCCGCCCAGCACCGATGGGGGCATGGAGCCGAACACTGCACCGAACTTGCCGAATATACCCATAAGGATCAGAAAAGCCGACGCACACCAACCCGCTCTGCGGCTCTATTTAGACAGAAAATCAGTAATCACGAAATAAATAATGGCTTGGAAGACGTACGGCACATCCGGTAAGAGAAATGACACCATTGTTTCCTGCCTGGCTGACCATTGGCAGCCCGGTACCCAAGGCACTGATCAAGCTGCCTATCCCATCACAAAGGATTCCACCTTGAATTCGGCTATTAAACTCAATCCCATCAATATCGACGCCGGAGATTTCAGCAGTGGCGAGAATATCTGGCATGCAGCTCACAGCCTCGCAGATGAACATAATCAGAAGAGGGAGAACCAGTGCGCCATCTACTGACAGCTTGAATGTATGGACCCAGAGAAAAGTTGCCACTGGTGCCGCATCAATATTATCACGGGACCAGTAGCCCGTGGCACCGGAGATTGCGCATCCCATCGCGAGACCAAAAACGACAGATGCAGAACGCATTAGCGGGGAGCCAAAAAGCTCAACGACGATAATGGTGACAAACACGCTGAAGCCAAGCCCAATGAGCTTCGGATCTCCCCTATCATACATTAATACTTCTGCCAGGTGTGAGGATGGGAGAGATAATTACCATGGTAGTGGTTTCGGAGCGGCAGTATCAGGACAAAGACTGTAGTAGCCTGTTCCACCATCACAATTCGAACTTCCGCCCCAGTTTTCCATGCCACTCGAGATCAAGTACACTCCAACTAATAAAAGGAGAGTTCCAGTGACAATCTTCGGGAAAATACGATTAAGCGTTTTTGGAGGGACGAATGATAACAAGATCTGGATCCAGACAGTGCATAGCATGGTACCCAGCATCGCACCCCAAGCATCTGGACATGGTAGTTTTGATCCATCTGATGAGGATGGGCATGTACCATTGGCATAGCGCATATCCGCATAGCTAAAGGCGATTGCGAGGATATCAAATGTAGGGCCAACCACAGATAGTAGGCCGGTTCCAATGTAGAATGGGGTTCTCGTTAAATGGACTCGAGTGACCTGCAGAGCTGTTGCAACGCCGGTGGTTATGAATGCTGCTGAGACAAGGTACTGGCTTTGCTCTGAATTGAGATAGAATGCACCACTTGCAATGGCAAGAGGGGGCGACACAATGGATCCGATCATTGTCAAGGCATGTTGTAGGCCCAGAATGATTGTGAGAATGATCGGCACCTCATCGTTCAAGCCGTAAAACGGTGCTTCGTAATCCTTGTACCGCTTGTTGAGCGGCCAAATATTTGGGGTAACAAGATAGAGGTAGTCCTTTACAAATAGATGTTAGTAAATTTGGACCATATAGTAACGCGCATGGGGTGTGCAAGTACATAATTGCCGACCCATCCCTCCCATGTGGTAAAGTAACGGCGAAGATATTGCCATTGGGTTTCGGCGATCGGCGTAATTTCAAGAACTTGGAATCTTCTGTCGCCTTCAAATGACACAGTCACTGGTGTGTTGGCGTCCTCCTTCTCCGGCGTTCGCCGATTAGTCTCCATGATCATTGTCCTGGGTGCGGAGCGAAGCCACATAAGTGAACTAACTAAAAGTTGAACCCTGACAGCCGCTCATATATACCATCTTACGTCGAGCTCACGAAGATAATCAGCAACAGTTCTATTTGTCGAAATGTTATATCATATCTCATGGCGCGGATTGTATCTCGTATACTATCCTTATCCGCGCAAGGATGTTGATAAGGATCCGATTGCCTAGCGTCGGCCGAGGTTCTGGGGTCCCCGATTTCCCCGGCTTTTGAATGGGACACATCAAAAACGAAGCATTGCGCATACTTGCCAATTCGATCGTCAAGCTTGTTCTGACACATACTGAAATTCATGATGGCTGTCACCGACGTTGTTGTTGCACTAGAGTGCAAGTTGTTTTATGGCGCTACCATAATTACCGTCAATCAAAAGCGCCAGATAATATGCAACGGTTATATTCGAGTTGATCGCGACCGAATCACAGCAGTTGGAAAATGCCCATATCCTAGTGTCCTACCGAATGGAGCGCGTGAGGTTGACTGTCGAGGCAAAATAATCATTCCTGGGCTCATCAACACACACGCTCACCTCGTTCAGTCCATCCTTCGGGGCTTGGCGGAAGATTTGCCGCTTCATAATTGGTTATGCGATGCGATATGGCCATTGGAAGCTGTTTTTGAGGGCGATGATGGCGTCAATGCTGCACGCCTAACAGTAATGGAAATGTTAAAGACGGGAACGACCTGCTTCCTTGATCCGATGTTGACATATCGCGCTGGATTCGATCGGGTTTGCAAAGCCGTGGGAGAAATGGGAATCAGAGGCTGCCTGGTATGTGAACCTGGTGTATGTGCTTTGACTCAATCGCTTGTTGCTAAGTATTCATACAGGGTAAATTAGTGAAGTTCACGGAAACTAATCGCCAATTGTCAATATCGGATCCAAGAGATCGAGATCTGCTTGCCATGTCAATTCCTGAACTTGTCAAAGCACACCAGACATACCACGGTAGTCACGATGGCAGAACTCATGTCTGGGCCGCCGCAGGTACCCCTCGCGGAGCACCGATCTCTCAGTATCTTGAATTAGGGGAAGCATGCGCCACACATGGCATATCGGCGACCATGCACTGTGCTGAAGCTCCAAGGGACCGTGACATCTATCATGATTCCTACAATTGCAGTGCCATGGAATTTATCCGGGATGCAAAGCTCTGTGGAGAGCATAGCGAAGAGTCAAGTAAAGACAACGGAACACATAACCTCGTTCTGGCCCATATGGTCAACCTTGACAAGGAAATTGACATTCCTTTACTCGCCAGCACGGGGACTTCTGTGGCTCATAACCCGACATCGAACCTCAAGCTAGCCTCCGGGGTAGCTCCAGTTCCAGCCATGCTTGCACATGACCCCCCTGTGAATGTTTCTTTGGGAACAGACGGGGCTCCTTGCTCGAATCATTATGATATGTTCCAGGAGATGCACTTGGCCGGCATACTTCACAAAGGGGTGAACAATGATGCAAGTTTGATTCCGGCAGAGACAGCACTGGAAATGGCGACAATCAACGGGGCCAAAGCTCTAGGACTGGAAGCCGAAGTTGGTAGTCTCGAAGAGCAGAAAAAGGCAGATTTTGTGGTGCTCGATCCATATGGCTGCGGAGGAGTTGGAGCTGCACCTTGGAACACCGAGGTCCAAAGACACGCGGTCAGTGTTGTTACAACTGTTGTCCATGGTTGCACTGGTCGTGATGTAGACATGACCGTTGTCAACGGTGAAATCCTCGTTGAAGACGGAAAAATTGCAAATGGTGGAAGAGAAAAAGAGAGAGTGATCATTGACCAAGCACAGCACGCCATACAGGGGATTTTGCTTCGTTGCAACAAGGATCGTGTGCCAGAATCTAAGATTGGCGGCAAACTTGGAGAGGGTTGGTCATACGTATAAATATCAGATAATGGTAGAAATTTATTTTCGAGGGTATTAATTAAATCATCGTTCAAAAATAATGCAAACTCACCAAAAAGAAATGATGATTGATGATGGGCCCGAACCGGGATTTGAACCCGGGACCTCGCACAATAGACTATTCCATAATCTGGGACTTTCCCGAAGCGCGAATCATACCACTAGACCATCCGGGCGGTGATATCTGACAAATCCAAATAATTCTATCTATGAAGTAGATTCACTTATGCACTGGAAGCATACCTTGGGCCTAGACTCCACGTGATGGTGCTTAGGCCTTCCTCTTTCGTTTGAGCGCATGCACTTCCCACCTGGGCATAATCATCGTCATGTCGGATAACAAACAGAGCGCCCGGCGGCTTACACGGTGTCGAACAGGATGTATGCGCTGTCGCATTCGTCGCAGGAAATGTAGGTGATCGAATATATCTTCATTCGAATTTGGAATAAGTATATACATTCTCATACAAAATACCTACAGGCGACGAGGGCAAACCGCGGTGTCGGAACTGCATCGATCGAAACTTCCAATGCCAGTATGGTCCCCAACTGACATTCTTGACGAAGAATGCGCAAACTGTTCCAGCGTCTGAAGTAGAGACTCCATCTGCTCGATATGACGCGATTCGGGTAGGTTGATGAGACTGCGGAAGAATCACTGCTGACCCAGCGTTAGTTTGTCAATGAAGACCCCGAGAAGGAAGGCGATGATGCCGACATACTTGGGGAGGAATCGCTATTTGCCGGTAATGAACCTGATCAAACGATACTCGAAACTCCGAATTCGAGTCTATCTAAAGAGCCACAGGCTCCTGACGCCGCCCTGTCAACATGGCCATATGATGGACCTTCACAATCCAGGACCAGGGCTTTCAGTGATAATGATGAAACTGCAGTGGCTGGATTGCTAGCGCTAGGATCGAGTGGGACTGATATCATGGAGCCCAACTTGAGCCTGTCGGATTTTACAACTTCCCCGATTGTGAGGGAAGCTCAGCTGAACCACGCTATGACGCCTATAGAGCTGCCCAACATTGGCACAGTGTTCTCTCCGGGTACAACTCCTCGCCTTCATGATCCACAATCAAATTCATCTCCAACGCAAACGCTAGAACTGCTTCGTCATTACCGATATAACGTGGCACCATGGGTAAGTTCACATCAGACGGAAAGGCCAATCAGAGGCTAAATTTTATTTAGTTGGACATATGTGACCTTGGGCAGTCATTCGGTATCCAGGGCTTGCAACTAGCGATGGTCTCACACCCGGTGTGGGATTCACTATTAGCAGTCTCTGGGGCATCGATGAATATACAACCAACATGTAAAATCGACAGGGGCCCCCTACAGGCCCCAAACCTACAGATGGATATCACTACCATGGCATTCTTGCATGTCCTGGATGCGACAAGAAGTTGCATCGAAGACACTCCTAGGGCTTGGTCATTGCAAAGGAGCATTGATACAGAGCTCGTTGAAGCTCTTAGTCCACATGCTATTGGCAGAGACTTCAACTCGGCAATCTACTGGCTGTTGGTAAGATTTGGTACGTACAACGTCACATTACCATCTACTGAAGATAGAACTGACAGCCCATTGGTCGCAGATCTTGGGGCAGCTTTAGCCACCGATACCAATCTTCAAATCTCTCTTCCTCCTTCACCCCCATATCTCGCAGATGCAGAATTTGGGATAGATCCATTTGCCTTCACCTTTTGCTTCGCGTACCGTCCTCTGTGGCTCTGTGCACGGGCTGTAGGATTTATGCATAACGAAGACCCATCACCGCAAAGCCCACCACTTCAAACTTGGATGAAACTGGCGGAAGAGCTTGACAATTGGTATCAAGAACGGCCGCAAGGATTCCAGCCCATGCTTGAACTCGAGGTGGATAAAGGAATCGAGTCGGTGCAAGACTTCCCGGTCGTTCTTTTTGCTAATGGAGCTGGAATATTTAGCAATCAACTATACCATACTGCCATGCTGCTATTGTTACTTAGCCGGCCGCGCACTGCGCGTCTGACAGACTTCCGTTCCGCGACAATGTCACCACTGTGGCATGCCCAGAGGATTTGCAGCATAGCTTTGAACAACGAGAGGCGCGAATGCTGGGATCCATGTCTGCTGGCGTCATTTCTGACAGCAGCTCGGCGCATGACACACGAAACCCAGCAGCGAAAAATAATCCGTGGATTTTCTAGCATTCGGGAGATCACGGGATGGGATGTCGGAGATCAATTGCATGATCTAGAGAAGGGCTGGGGTTTTCTTGAACCATAAGGAATCCATCCTCATCCCTCTCGTCGGGTAGATATCCGACGGCGACGCGGAATTTGATATCCCCAAGCTAACTCGAGATCATGAATGCGCCAACAAGCACCCCAGCCAGTCTCCGCCTCTATCCTGCGAATGATATCAATAATTATCGTATGCTCTGAGACGTGACTGAAAAGACGACCAGCAATCCATAGGGGCTGAATGGCGTTGTTCAAACATCCCTGGTGAGGGTTTGCAAGGGAAATCCCGCAGATGCGACGGGCATGCCATAGCGCAGAGACAGCTGGTGCTGGTCTCAACTTTATGCTCTTGACCATCGTGTTCAGGAGGAGAATACATGCAGTATGATAAAGCTGATTGGACGAAATGGCCGCCCAGTGCAGGAAGAGGATATGCGGAAATGGCTTAGTGGAGGTAGTGTGTACTGGTAGCAGCTCTGGAGGGCGATCCTCAATCCATTGCTGCAGGTCCTCCCAGATGTTTAGCCAGCGGCGATGAAAGTTTTCACCAGTACAGCCATTCTGGGCACCCAATTCTACAAATTGGGTACGGTCAGAGACTAGCTCGCACGTTTTCGCACACAGGTAAACGGCATAGTTGGCGTGCATATCCGGAGAATGAGCGGCTTGGAACAAACGAGCAGCATCATCCTCGTTACAATCCGGCGTAAGCCACTTGCTAGGGCGAAGGAGCGTGCTTTCCGTGCCATCAGAGATCAGCGCGCCGCATACATCTACACTTGTTAGGTACAATTTCAACCATAGCACTCATTGTATTGCTCACCCATTCGAACATAGCACCAAAATACTGCCTGCAATATTCCACTGCTGAAGCCGTGTATTTCAAAGGCCTCGAATAGTGCAGTGCAGCCTTCCAGGTGTTTACGCCAATCCTGCGCACGAGCAGACATCATCTCGAGACAGCATAGTAGCACACAGGCTGCCACGACCTTGGGATCCCGCATCTGCAGCAAGGGACTGAGTAAGCGTATCGCTTCCTGGTACAGCTCGAGGCTATCGAATGAGTCCTGGGTCCCTTCCTTCCTTTCCATTTGTCGGGCGGATATGGCTAGAATAGCATTGAGAAGCGCAGGAAATGTCCGAGCGAGGGCAGGAATCTGTACTCGAAATGTGCACTGGGAATCAAACATGTCGAGCTGCATTGTAAACCCATCAGCCGACTTTTTCACGGTCGCGTCCAGACCATAGCTCCACAGAGCTCACTCACCCATGGCGCAACTTGCCCCACGTAGTTCTTCAGGTATTGGACTCGACGGGCATTCGAAAGTGCCGGTCGTGAATGTGATTGTTCCCCGCCCTGCGGCGCCTCGGTGCCCTGCTCGTGTTCATCTGGACTCGGTGCCCGTGTTGGTGCGGCGGACTGGGCGATCGTGAAAAGCATACATCGCAGTTCCTCCTGCGATGCAAGGAATCCCGGATCATGCGAAAACCCGTCATGGCCCCAATTGGTGGTGCCAAGTGGGGAGGCAAAGGTAGGGCCGTCGGTGGAATCGGAGGGTGTATGTGCAGGAGCATGGCCCTGCTGTGGTTTGGATGGCCAGTCAGCATTCATAGTATGTGCATACTGTGGAGACATCAGGCCGGAAGGGCCTCCATGCAGCGTAGTTAAGAATTGATCGTCGTTGGCAAGGCGGCGTCGTTTGGAATGAGGGTGCATGATTGTTGAAGGGGAGAAGTGAGAAACTGTGGGGAAGGCTGGCGATCGGCATACATGCTAACAGTTACATCAACAAGTCAAGGGTCAAACCTCGTCATACATTCCGATCCTTCGACCCTGTGCAGGAGTTTCTCCCTATTCTTTGTTAGAAGCAAGGGATGTATTTTTTTTAAATTGGACTTTCTGCCACGGATGTCTGCATCTCCTGTACGTATCCTCCAATCCAAGTTCTATTGACATTCGAGCCGGCGCTTCCAAAATGTACGGACTTAAGCAACTTGCTCTGTTGAGCTTCATGCTCCTCTCGGTCTCTGCAACCAAGGATACAACACGCACAATGGTACGTGCCCCTCATATGGCTGCAACGCATCTTTCGGGGAGCTAACATGGCTCATAGGTCGGCATTGAAACCATGGAAAACAGCAAGGGTATCGATGTGCCATTGGATGATTGCCATGAAGTCGAGCAAGAGTGAGTTATCTCCCCCAACTCGATATTCCTAGTTCTAATTTCATCACAGTGAGGTTCTCACTGTCTCTGTGAAGAAATACTGCCGTGTTTTCACGTAAGTGGGCCAAGCCCCATGCTCATTCGGTATACCTGTTGACTCAATTTTCACAGTGGCCCAGCCTGCACTGGTCGAAACTCATTGCTCCCTCCTGGTGACCATTCGCACACCGATCCGGTACCTATTGAGTCCATTTACTGCCATGCGAAGCGTCCTTTCTAGTGTTGTCTCCATGCCGAAACCACCGACTTCCTTCGACGACGATGGCTTGCCATTTTTGAATATAGATAGAATTTTAATGAATGTTCATGTATTTTCTCTACTGTTTCATACCTTCTATTACCAGGTAGCAATGGTCATTCGACTACCTATAGATGTTCAAGTTGATTAGGTGGAGCACGCCCGATTCGGTAAGCCTGAGCGCTTGTCGGCCGAGGATCAACTACGCCTCAGTTGATCAGAGTGACCTTCAAGGTCGCAGCACTACCCAGACAGTTTCAAGGCTATAGCAATTACTATGGGTAAGGCAATCTTAATTCATGGATAGGTACCCAGGTTGTATTCAATAGATTATCTGTAATGGTTCCTACACCCATCTCCCGAGGTCAGATCTTGCGATATATATTCAAAGGCAGGTCTTTAGGTCGTGGCGCACCCTGACCAATGTTGATTGCCCACTGAGGTCTTAGTAAAGAAGCTTGAGCACTCTGGAGGTTTGGTCTTGATAAATTGATTTTATATCCGTCCTTTCATTCCTGGAGAATGAGGAGAAGAAATCAAAAACTGAGAATATTGGAATCCGAAAAAGAGGGGAGGTTCATACTCAAAAATCACACCTTTTCAAGACAAACAAACGGTCTCTCCTTAGAGCAAATTCATGGATTGTGCCTTCGCCAGGGGTAAGTATCAATTTGTTCCTCTCGAGGTTGGTTGATTGTTGTCGCGGCCCCACCTGAACAATATCAAGACCATTCATTGTTTTCACTAGAATTGATTCCCTATTGCGCCTTTGAAGATTTCTCTGCAAGCGTCTGCTTTCAGACTACGAAAGTATCCATCGGAAACTTCTGTGTTCATTTTGTCTCCCAATAGTGACCTATGGAGCGAGTGGTGATTGTGGGAGCAGGTTCGTGGCCCCCATCAAACCAAGCGACCCAGCACTAACCCTCTCAGGTCTTTACGGCCTTGTTGCCGCGAAGACTTACTTACAGGTCAAGGGTGCTTATGCAGGTAGAGATAATATCGATCCCACGGCTGAGCCGGAGACTATTCCATCGTGCTTTACGCAGGACGGTTATGATGTGAAGTATACAGAAGGGTGTCACTTACTCGTGCTCGACGCAGCCTCAGATATTGGAGGTACTTGGGCTGAGGAACGACTTTATCCGAATTTGCTCAGCCAAAATTCGTACGGCCTGTATGAGTTCAGTGATCTGTCTCTCGCCGATGTTGTCCCCAGTGAGCAAAGCGAAGGTGGCTCACGGTTTATTCCTGGTTGGAAGATCAATCGCTACTTGCACTCATGGGTCGCAAAATGGGACCTCCAAAAACACATCAAGTTGAATTCGAAGGTTCAATATTCTGAATCATGTTGATATTCGCCAGGCTAACCGGTATCAGGTCAACAGTATCAGTCGCCTCGAAACCAAGCAATGGAGCCTCAACGTTGCTATTGCAGACCGATGTCAGTCCGGTCATGAAAGAACCATCAACTTAATATGCGACAAGTTAATTTTGGCAACCGGTCTAACCTCGGTTCCGAACTTACCGAAAACGGATGGACTCGAAAGCCCCACGAAGAATTCCTCACATGTCATACACGCCAAGGATATTGGGGGCTGGTCTCGCGCGAATTTGGATTACCAGCCACTCCCCAAGCCTGATGCGATTGTGGAAAACACAAAGACACAGAAATATTGTGCGAACAAGGTACGGTCTGTTGTTGTTTATGGGGGAGCGAAATCCTCTTTTGACTTAGTTCATCTCTTCGCCACACTCCATCGAAAGGACCCTACATTGCATCTGAAGTTTACTCCGGAAAGTCATGTTGAGGTACATTGGATTATTCGAGCGAATAGCCCGGGTCCAGCATGGATGGTTCCTCCAACATCCTCTCTTCCAAATGGAGATGTTGTAGCCAGTGATAAGGCAGTAAGCACGAGGTTCATTCATTATCTGAGCCCGTGCTCTTATGAAGCACCTAAACGCCTCTCTATACAGAACTGGAAGGTGAGTAGTAATGGCTCATGGTTGGCTCGCATTTTCCACGGAAATCCCTTTGGAAGATGGTGGATGCGTTGGCTGTGGAAGTCAATAGATTGGGAGATGGAGAAATTCGCACAATATGATGTAGATGCAAAGATGCAGCTTCTTCGACCAAACAAAAGGTGGGAAATACTTCGGATCAAATACTTTCAATTTTTGACATTTTATAGTATCTTTTCCTGTGGTGCTAGTGCTGGTATTGCCAACCAACGTGATCTGTGGGACACAATCAGATCGCCAAATGTGAAGGTTTACCGGTCGACCATCCAGTCAATCTCAGAACCATTTACAAAAAACGATGGAAGGACACAACAAGGTGTCACAGTGTCAATGACCAACGGAGGAAATATTGATAACGTTGATCTTGTTCTTCATGCCACTGGGTATAAGCCGATTGTCCCAATCAAGACTACCCCATCAAGCTTTCGACTCACCCTTGGTTTGTCCGGGATTGCTGTCTCTGAGCCCCAGGAAAAGGTTGGATATAAGAGCGATAATCCTCATAATGCTATTGAGGTTCCTCTTGATGCAACTACTGAAAAACTTTGTCAATACTGGCAAACCCTTGACTCGGCGCTCGAGCCAGCGATCAAACAAAGACTGCTCGATAGTGGATGCGTTCCGCTGGAGAAATCTGCTCCATCATGGAGCGGCCCGAACAAGTTTATTCAGTACCGCCTGTTTCGTCGCATGGTTGCTCCAGAATTAGTTGCCGAGGGAGACCGTTCTTTTGCAACCCTCGGTATTGTTCTCGGTTCCACGATTGCCATCATCGCTGAGGTGCAAGCATTGTGGATTGCAGGATTTCTGACCGGGGGATTTGACAATGTCTCTACTGGTAATACATCATACCAATCTGGATCGCTCTACCTGGCGGATTTACCCAAAGAGATTATGAACCAAGAAATTTCTGAAGACTGTGTCCTTGGATCGTTAATTGGGAGTGGATTAGAGGTTGGTGCCATTGATGTGAGTAATTATTCGCTTCTCTTCTAAGGTGAGACTAACAAGCCATTGTAACAGTACAATGATTTGCTCATGCGAGACCTGGGCCTGAACCCATATCGCTTGGGTGGAGGCCGATTGAAAGAGCTGACTGGCGTGTATGAGCCTCATGTGTACGCTGGAATAGTTGAAGAGTGGCTTATTCGTCGAGAATTTTTGTATTTGTCTTCCTTGTCATGACCTTATATTGTCAATGCATTTCTTCTAGGCGGTTACCCCGTATGAACAGCCTATCCACATAAATGACCGTTTTCCATCAACAAATATATGGTTTCTTTTTTTTGAGCGACAGAGGCAATGCGCCCTGTGGAAATCACTGTTGAGTAAAAAATATAGTCCCGGAAAGGGATATTTCCTGAGTCGAGAGCGTGTTAGGGGTAAATTTAACGTGTAAATGAAGTTGTTTGTGCTTGCGTAGAGCTACGCGTATTTCGGATAAACTTAGGATTATATGAATAATCCAAAGTGATGAACTAAAATAGATATATTAAGGCACACTAGATAAACAAAAAGGATTTTGTGATTTGGGTTGGGATCTTCATGGATCTTCATCCCAGACTCTATTTAACATGGCCCCCGGGGCGGATGGCAAGCCGGAAACGAACACGATAGATGGAGACATCATTACCCAAAAAGGAAACGCTAAGACTTTGGCAACTGCACTAAGCCTTTGTAGGTAAAGTGCCATTTTCATGATTTGGGGGTCTGATTTTACTGGACCCCAAAACATCAAGGATCGGAATCCATGCGATTCTTGCTGTTTCCTATTCGACAAAAACCGGTGTTGGTTAGGCACTGGGGCCGAAAGGCGATTCCGAAACACCTAGACTAGCTGATATCTTTCAGGAAGGGAAGGTATCATTTACAAAATAAAATGAAAGCAAGTGTGCCTGGAATGGGATGCTTGGCGCATGATGGCTAGCCACATTACTGAGCGTATTGTGTTTCTTGGTGACGATCTATCCATGATCTGTAAATGAATGAACCAATCATTTCCGCTCCGGGACGGGCTTTATACCTACGCAGGTCTGGCACCGCGCCACGTAACAAATTCCCGATGAGCCCGCGATACCATTGGTTACGTTGTTTGAGATCTTACGGTCCTAAAACAGTCTAACATGGGGTGGGCCCCATCCACCTTTTTGAGGTACCTACTGCCTACCTTGGTAGATATGCAAAACGATGGAGCTAACCAAAAGGGGAAAACCCCAGATCATTGACAGTATATATACCTTGTAGCTGAAATGCCATTCATTTTCATATAATCAACAATCTAAACTCCTACAGTTATGGCTACTTCAACGACTAGCCTCATGGCATCCACCACCACGGCATCCGCCACATCCACGGCGACATGCATCAACATGGTGGCCGGTAAAAATGGGTATTTACCTCCAGATGCATGCGGAGTGAAACTTTACTATGTCCCATCTTTGGCTGCTGCCATTCTGTTCTGCGTTCTTTTTGGATTAACCACTTCGGCCCATGTAGCCCAAGCGATCATACATAAGAAAGTAGGAGACTTGAAAATGTTCCGACAAGTGCCACTGTGGCTAACATTTTGACAGAAATATGCATTGGTGATTATCTTGGGTGGCCTGTGGGAGCTCACTGCATTCGTCTTCCGCTCAATTCAAACCCACAATCAATCTTCTAACATAATCAACACTTTATACACGATGTTTTTCCTATTAGCCCCAATTTGTGAGCAAATCCTTGGACAGAGCTTGTGAATGGTCGACCACTAATTCCACACAGGGATTAACGCTTTCCTTTACATGACGCTTGGTCGCATGATCAACTTTTTTATCCCCGACCAGAAGCTTCGGGGCATCTCTGCACGCCGATTTGGAATGATCTTTGTCTGTCTTGATATTTTTGCTTTCTTCGTTCAGATGGTTGGCGCAGCTTTTACCACAGGCGAGAACACCAAAAAAGATGTGGTCCTGTTAGGAATCCACATTTACATGGGTGGCATCGGACTTCAAGAGCTTTTCATCATTGGCTTTACCGTTTTGACGATCCAACTTCACCTAACCATGATCGGAATGGAGCGCATGGGGTACCGTTCGGAGAAGATGACCAACAGCCCATTCCCGTGGCGATACCTTTTCTACACCATCTACTTTGCACTGGCAATGATCACAGTGAGTTATATGCATGTCAGTATAGATTTTTTCAAAAAAGCTGACTATTCGAAAAGGTTCGTATTATCTTCCGCCTGGCTCAATACGCCCAGGGCTACTCGACCACAAACCCTATTCTGCTTCACGAGGTATATGAATATGTCTTTGATGCTTCACCGATGCTGCTGGCTCTCTTTGCTGTGAACTTCCTTCATCCCGGTCGCGTACTCCAGGGAGAAGGTTCAAAGTTCAAGAAGATCAGCCGTGCGGAGAAGAAACAACAAAAGATTCTTAAAAAGATGCAGAAGGATCAGGCACACCAGAAGGAGGAGGCTATGAGAAGCGTTGAAGAATTTGAGATGGGACCCACTCGTGCCTATGTTTGATGATCATAATGCGGTCTCACCACGATGACAACGGCCATATTTTCTTGTTTCCTTTTGTTAACGAATTTGCTTTCTCGGCAACGTTTCTATTCTTCAAGCCAAGGTGGAATGGCTTGAGTGAAAGGTATTGATTTTACGAATACGTGGCCCTGGAGGCCAGTGTTTGAATGTGCGTTTTTTAGAGTTATTTCTTTCTTAGATGGTGTGATGGGCAATATTCAACGCTTCGCGCAATGTATGGGATTTCTTTGGACCAAAATTTTGTCGCATATTCAAGATGCAAAGTAGTTCACAAGGTTGCTATTCCATCGAGACAAGACACATTGCCTACTTAGTCATGGCTTAATAACATATATAAATCGCAAAAATTCTCTCCTAAGCGAAGTCCATAGCTGTAGATAGCTCGACACAAAGAAACGATCTGATAGCTAAAAACACCCCTTGCGCGGTTTTCTTTTTTCACCAACGAAGCACCATCTGTCTTCCTCAAGACGAATAGAAGATTTAAGACGGGATTGATGGTGTTGTGTGTGGCATTGATCAACATTCCATTGCCTTCTGCCATCCCTAGGTATGCGCCCAGCACCCACTCCTGGTTCCTGAAACCTTGGTTCGTCCCTGTGACTGGTGAAATAACTGCAGAATAGGACAATGCTCTTGTGGTCTGGTTTAGCCAGGGAGGAAAAGCCCAAAATTTGCTTCTCCTGCCCTTGAAGCAGACACAGAGCCACTGATCAGTGCCAGAGCCTGCGCGAACTGCCCAAGCGTCAAGTCCACCAACGTAGGTTAGTATGCCTTACTCTAATGTAGCCTGGAATGGGAGATTTTTGGGCGAAAAATGATAAGGCCGAGCAAGTGCTAAAGTGATAGAATGTAAGATATGTGGTTCCGCCCGGGCACCGAGATACGTATCCAAGGAGCAACCTGGTGGAAGAGCATGCCGTGGAGGCCTCGTCATTTACTAAGCCGATCCAAGCCTGTGCATTTTCCTCTCCCTTGTGTCGTAAGTTTCTATATAGAGAACCATTGCACTCCCCGAGACATTTAATCAGCACCATTTCGGCATGATTTCATCACATTCTGAGGATAATGATTCCTCATTAGGCTCAAGGGATTCTGGCGGCAGTCGGACCAGCCCACTTAGCGACAGATATCAGATACGTCCACCCGGTGCTCTACACAAGGAGTCCGCGTTGAAAGATGATATGAATGAAGAATATTTGCCTCAAGTTGATGGAGGCGTTCATGCATGGCTATTTCTTCTAGCCGCTACTATGCTGGAAGCATTAGTATGGGGTAAGTCAATCAAACCAGAAATGGAGAATGAGTGAAAGGAATTTAACAAGCATATGTCTAATCAAGGATACGCCTTCTCATTTGGCGTTTTCCAGGATTATTATAGTGTGCACGAGCCATTCAAAGAATCTAAAAACATAGCAGTGATTGGAACATGTGCTATGGTATTGTTTTCGCTCCCAGTCAAAGCTATGTTTGGTGGAATTAACAATTCAAACAGGGGATCGCATACTTACTTGCTCCTTTTACGATTATGATGATGATTTTGATTCCCCGAATCGCCCGTTGGGTTTCAACAGTGGGCATTGTAATTGTCTGTGTTTCCCTAGCACTGAGTTCATTCGCTTCCAACACCACACAACTTATTCTGGCCCAAGGGGTGGCTTATGGAATCGGTGCATGCTTCTCATATACACCATCTATTTTATATATGTCAGAATGGTTTGTAAAACGCAAAGGGTTGGCATTTGGGATCTCTCTGGTATGGAATCTATAATCAGTTTCGAAATTGCCTTTTTATATGTGTGAAAGTGACGCTAATTCTGTACACAGGCTGGATCAGGAGTCTCTGGAGTCATATTCCCTCCACTTATAGGATGGCTTCTGGGTAGATATGGAGTCGAAACGACTTTACGAGTTTCTGCCGTTACTTTGTTTATTCTGGCTGTACCGTTCCTTTACTGGCACAAGCCTCGACGGCCACCTTCCAATACACCCAGCTATGATAGACTCAACCTGAGATTTCTATACAGCAGAGAGTACAACATATACCAGCTTGGAAATACTGTCGAAGCACTGGGATTCTTCCTGCCAACAATCTATCTCCCCACCTATGCCCGCAACCTAGGGGCAAGCGAGGTGGTATGTTCGCTCACTGTCACATTGATCAATCTGTCGTGGGTCTTTAGTTCCGTTATTATGGGATTTCTCTCTGATCGCTACCATTGCACCACATGTATCCTCATTTCAACCGTTGGCACGGTTTTGGCGGTGTTTTTCCTCTGGGGATTTGCTATGAACGTTCCAATCCTCTACCTTTTTTGCGTTGCATATGGACTCCTGGCGGGCGGATATACGGCGACGTGGGCTGGAGTGGCTGAAGAAATTGGGCGGGCTAACCCAGCAGCTGATGTGAGCGTCATCTATCCATTCATGGAGTTCGGAAGAGGGCTTGGTAATTTGGTTAGTGGACCGCTTAGTGAGGCGTTGCTCAAGGCGGATAACTGGCAAGGCTCTGCATATGGCGTTTATGGGAGTGGCTATGGCACACTTGTTGTTTGTACAGGGGCCACAGCGCTACTAGGTGGCGTGTCAATTGCCGCACGGCAATTCAAGTGGGTATGACTGGTGTGCTGTAAACAAAAAGATGAACCTACGACTGAAATCAGGAGTGAAGAGAGTATCATAAAATAGCTGTTGATGGTAAATACATTATGCATTTCAATTCAAACATCAATAACCATGTCGCACACTAAAAATGCAAGTTCACAACACGAACTGCTACGCTAGTTTATTTATTTGGTGATCCAACCCCATAGACTCCAGTACCAGGGCTGAGGTACCTCGATCTCCTTCTGAAACTCGATTCGGCCAGTGTCAAGATCAGCTTCGGCAGGGGAGATGAAAGCTGAGCGTGTCCACACTTTGTGTCCGACATAAAGCACAACAAAGATGATCACACAGATATAGGCGATGAAGAAATCAGAGACATTGAAGCCACCGATGAATGAGGCGAATCCGTTGGTGATGGCAATCAGAATATTGAAAAACAGACCATACCAAGCCAGCCACGGCTGGCCAACCGCCTTATAGGGAAGATCGTCGCGTGAGATTCCCCGGGTTTTAAGTGCGCGCATGAAGGCAATGTGGCATGCGTTGATGCATGACCAGGTGATGAATCCAGCAACACTGGAGAGGTTGACGAGCCAGTTGAAGACTGTTCCTGCGTCGTTGGACACATTCATGAAAGCAAGGAGACCAAACGCAGCGGTGAATGCAACACTAACGTAGGGGACACCCTTCTTGGTAACGCGGGCGAAAAATTTGGGCGCAAATCCCTCGATAGCCAAGCCAGTCAAAACGCGGCTACCACTGTACACATTGGAGTTGGCTGCCGACAAAACAACAGTCAAAAGAACGGCATTAATCAGACTTGGTAGCACAGCAATACCGGCGAGGTCAGCCGCGATAACCATAGGCGAGGAAGAGCCGTTAGTTTGGGCTGTTGCGAGCCGGTCATTGGTGTAGGGCACAACCAAGCCAATAAAGAAGATGGTCAAAACGAAGAAAAGACCAATGCGGACAAAGGTCTTGCGAATGGCCGAGGGCACGGTTTTCTGGGGATTCTCGGTCTCTCCAGCGGCGATACCGACCAGCTCAGTTCCCTGGTAAGAGAAACCGGCTTGAATGAGCACGGCCCAGAAACCGACGAACTTGCCCAGGGACGGCGGGTTGTCAACAAGATGAGTCGCAAAAGCACCGGGTTCTTTCCAGTAGTGGAAGCCCAAGTAACCTTGTTTTCCGACGCCACAATCAACGCAAATCGCAAAGATCATGAAGCCGATGACCGTCACAACCTTGATCGTAGAGAACCAAAACTCAACTTCGCCATAAAATCCTACTGGCATGAAGTTCAAAGCCGTGATCAAGACCCAGAAGACTCCAATGAAGATCGCAATGTTCAGGTCTTCTCGCCAATATTGTATGATCGTTCCGGTGGCTGTAAGTTCGACAGCGAATGTGGAGGCCCAGTTGAACCAATAGATCCAGCCCATGGAGAAGCCAAGACTGGGGTCGATCAATCGGGCAGCGTAGGATGTGAAGGCACCGGTAATGGGGATAAAGGTTGCGACCTCACCGAGGGAGACCATGACAGAGAAGACGACTGTACCAATGAAGATATATGCGATCAGCGCACCGGCGGGGCCGGATTCCGCGAGGGCAGTACCACTCGAGATGAAGAGACCTAATAGACTTAGTATATAATTGACGATCGAAAATCCTCAACCGGTGCTTACCAGTTCCAATAGTTCCACCTATAAATCATTGTTAGTTCTAGGAAACTTCACTGAAACACTGGTAGAGACATACCAATAGCGATCATTTGCAAGTGTCTGCTCTTGAGGCGGCGCTTCAGCTGTCCGGGACCTGACTCCTCGCCATCATTTTGCTCGGTATCAGCGACCTTGATGTCCTGAGAAACCTTTTGCTCGTTGCCGAAGTCAATGCCAGAGACGTAAGAAGTCGACGAATTTCTGTTGGCTGGCGCCACCGAAGTGACGTTCCTAGGAGGCATCTTGGCCCACAGCGACCGGGGTATTTGCGGTCAAGCAAGCTTAAAGGAGCTTGAACTGGCGTCCAGAAGCGATCAGGGTATAGCACGGGAGGGAGCTCACGAGATAAGATTTTTTTTTTTTCTTAAGAGCATCTGGAGAATTTCCGCTTTCGCTTGCATAGAGTGGGTCACGCCAGGCGACCCACATACTCGACACGCGGAGACGAATTTTATTAGGTAAATCGAACCGAAAGGCAAGACAACAAGATCCACGCCAGGATACTACTTGCCAGAGCTCTAAATCGACGCCTGGATATGTATATTTACGTAGAGGCCAGATATAGCAAGAAGTTGAAGTTCATCAATAATTTAAACTGACAGCATGAGGACAATTGTATGGATCACGTGATCTCGGATCGGAGGCTCCGAAGGCGTGTCATGGAGGGAAAAAGTTAGAATTTGCCTTGACTTGACACTAACACTGAGTGGAGTCTTCTTTGTGTTTTCCACCCCACTAGAGTTGGGAGAGACTAACGCACTCAAATAAAATATTCCTATGGTCTTGTACATTAATCCCAATTGCCCACTTTGTCACACTCAGTACCACCCAGGGATCATTCAAGATCTGAGCTTATTTTCAGCACATGTAAATGCCCTTGAAGGTGGCATATAGATACAGCGAACTACTAAACACTCTTTCATGAAACCATCTTCCATTATGTCATGTTCTACAGTAACTTGAGAACTACGAAGAGATATAACCCTCCCGAGGTCGAGAGCCAGGTTAATTTCAACGATGATTGGCTGTTATATACCTACATCGTGTATCTTCGCGAATTACTCAGTTCGAATCATCGAGTCATCCAAAACCTTTGCTGCAGTACTATCGATGACCTTATTGCTTCCATTGCTACATCAGGTGCGGGGAACAACCACATTCATGCGAAGAATAGTTGACTCAGAGCCTACTGCCTACTTGAGATAACCACGTGCCCAGGTGGTTTCTCGTAAGATCACGTTTTTAATTCTTGCTGCAGACCACCCTGAGGTCTTCTACCCTATTCATATGCAGTGTATCTGTAGACCCATTCCAAGGTCCGGGATACCACCTGTAATACAGCGAACCCTTTTTTTCTTCCACTTTCGCATCTCAGATAAGGGACCTTCCAAGGTTGGATGTGCTCCGCCGTAAGACGCTGCCGGCGATTTGCACCCATGCTCGCTGCTTCACCCACTAGGCTTTTGGGCCACGGGCAGGGCTCAAAAGATACGAACAGTGTTGCCCCCTTCAGCATCCTGCCTGGATAGTTTCACTTACACTGATATCTATAGACCACAACCTCAGACAGATGTGTTAAATATGAGAGGCCTTCCAAGTATCTATGGGCGCAGGGCATAGTGCCGTTTGGCTCGGGCAAATGCCCAAGGTTCACTAAGAAATCCACGAATAGACGCTGTGCGCCACCCCCTTGAATTTGCAACTTCCGAACCCTGTATTATCTCTAAGAATATAGAGTACATGGATCGGCACCTGAGCAGAGATCAACCCGAGGTGGGTCCGTCACACATCTGTACCATACACTGTCTGCCAGCGCCGAGGCACACGGCAGTCGCCCTGAGCATACAGATCCGATCGATCGGCTTGCCGATAACACAACCGAATGGTTTTGTGGTCCCGGAAAAGCGGCAAGCCCACTCCACCTAGTGGGGTAATATATCGGCGCATAGCAAATCAGAAAGCGTAATTGTTTACCCATCTAGTTCAGCTGATACGGTATGTGAAATTTGTAAAATATTGGTCAGGCAATGGGTTGATCTACGCATGATTGTTTTAATCGTGGACTTTATTTAAAGAATGGAGCCCACCCTTCCGCCCTGCACTCTATTCAGTCCACTACCGGTTTAACAATTTGTCGCATTCATCATGTCTCCAGCGGAGAAAGGCTCTCCCGAGGCGCCAAGACCACAACACATCCCCTATTGGCGCATCCTGACCGACCAGGGCGTTTGCACACCCGAAGTAATCGATTATCCCTACGCTGGCGCAGGTACCGAAGATTCGCCTTTTGTTGTTGAATGGATCCCCGATGACCCTCGCAACCCTATGCAATTTTCCACTGGCCTAAAATGGACATATACTATTTTGGTCGCATTTGCAACACTCGCAGTCTCGCTATCGTCCTCGGCATATGCAGGTGGAATTAATGAAGTGCTTACAGATTTGCATGTGGGCGAAGAAGTCGCCACGCTGGGAGTGAGCTTGTTTGTCTTGGGATTTGCTGTCGGCCCTCTGCTTTGGGCCCCTATGAGTGAGCTTGTTGGACGTCAGATAGTCTTTCTGATCACCTTCTTCTCACTCGCTGCATTCTGCGCTGGCGCAGCCGGCGCTCAGCATGCATATTCCCTTATCATCCTCCGCTTCTTTGCCGGTTCCTTTGGCTCATCCCCTTTTACCAACGCTGGTGGTGTCATTGCTGATATCTTCCCTGCCGAGAAGCGTGGGTTGGCCACGAGTCTCTTTGCTGGAGCACCATTCCTCGGACCTACCCTCGGACCTGTTATTGGAGGTTTCCTGAGCGAGAACGCTGGTTGGCGATGGGTGCAGGGATTCTTGGCGGTCTTCACAGGTTTGATTTGGATATTGGGAAGTCTTATCGTTCCAGAGACATACGCCCCGGTTTTGCTCCGTAAGCGGGCAGAGCGCTTGTCTGAAATAACCGGAAAGGTTTATCGCAGCAAGCTGGATATCGATCGCGGAAAGGTTTCTGCCCGGGACGCTTTCACCACTGCTCTCAAACGACCATGGATCCTTCTATTCGCCGAGCCTATTGTATTTTTGCTCTCTCTTTACATGGCGATCGTGTATGGCACATTATACATGCTTTTCGATGCCTTTCCCATTGTCTTCCAGGAGATAAGAGGATGGAGTGAAGGAGTCGGCAGCTTGCCGTTCCTCTCTGTGATGATCGGAATGATGATCGCCGTCGGTCTGAACATGTACGACAACAAACGCTACATTCGCATCCACATCAAACACAACGGATTCGCACCTCCTGAAGCACGCCTGCCGCCAACAATGCTCGGTGGTATAGCTATTCCTATCGGCTTGTTCTGGTTTGCATGGACGAACTACCCGTCAATCCCATGGATTGTCTGTGTGCTCGCTACCGCGCCCTTTGGTTTCGGCATGGTATTTGTCTTCTTGGGAATCATGAACTATCTCATCGATGCGTACACAATCTACGCAGCATCTGTCCTTGCCGCAAATTCGATTATCCGATCTTGCTTTGGTGCCGGATTCCCTCTCTTCACGACATACATGTACAACAATCTGGGAATCCACTGGGCATCGTGTGTGCCCGCCTTCCTTTCGCTAGCCTGTGTCCCTTTCCCATTCATTTTCTATCGTTATGGACCTGCTATTCGGCGCAAGTGCAAGTACGCTGCTGAGGCAGATGACTTCATGCGTGCATTGAACCGGAAGGCCAACGAAACAAGCGAGGTGGAAGAGACCGAAGGAGTCGCAGATGAAAACTCGGAGAAGCAGGCCGCAGAGCCCGTGAGAGTTTCGGTGGATAATCAGTCGTCGATGTCTTCCCGTACATCGCTTGAGCGCATCGAAACATATGAGGCGAATCCATTCGATATCGATCGTGTGAACACGCGCAACTCTGCTATCACACAACAATCGAACTCAGCCCAAGGTCGCGTATCAAAATTCTTTGGCTTCGGCCGCAAGTGAGACTTGTACGCTCATCTCAGATTCACTATTGAATCGCCAAAAGTTTAAACCCGCGCGCCGGTTTCTCGTTCTCCTCAGGTTATGATTTGTGATACCATATTAAATACCCCCATCCTGATTGAAGATAATGTATAAACATTTTACATAATAATAATTTGACGCCAGTATGATCTTGCTCCTAAAAGTTTGCTGCCTCAGGAAGCCTTTCGGGTGTGTCATCCCGGTATTCACTTGTAATCAAATGCTTGAAGGAAGGCGACCACTCCACTCGAGGTGTAAGGATGTCCAAGTCCCAAAGCTCAGAGAGGGTTTTTAGAATAGAAGTGTGGGTAAAGTCGCTGTCTCCATCAGGTTTGTTTTGAATAAGACCTTTTCCAACCCAAGGAGAAATAAGAACTGTGGGAACACGCACGCCCAGACGATCAAAGTGGAATGTATAGTCACCGCCGTCAGCAGCTCTTTCAGTGTATGTCAGGCTGTCACCGGCGGGCACTTTCATCGGAGGGGGCACATGATCCGCAAATCCACCATGCTCGTCCCACGTCAGAATGAACAGTGTCTCATTCCATTGAGGCGAGTTCCGTAGTGCTTCGTAAATGCCCTTGATATAGTTCTCACCCATATTGATGGGAGAAGGTGGGTGCATTGAAGTATAGTGGCAGCATTCGGGGTTGATCCATGTGAACGGCGGCAATTCACCATTGGCTGCATCTTGATAAAAGTTCTCAATCGGTTTCACACTTGTCTTGCTTGTGATAGACTTTGCGGTCCATTCGTAAAACATTGCGTCGGGCAAAAATTGTGGACTCGATCTTGTTGATTCCTCGTAGTTTGTCCAGCTGATTCCTTTTTCTGACAATTGTTGGAAAATTGATCTTTGTGGCATTTCTGATCTGAGGAAGGCTTCATCGTTTCTGCCATGCCCGTAGGAGGTACCCGATGTGAGATATGCTCTGTTAGGGTTGGTAGGCCCGGGAACGGCGGCGAACCATCGATCAAAGAGAACATAGTTCTCGGCGATCGCATTGAAGACGGGAATATGCTCGGGTGTAAAATAATCGATGACCTCAGCCGCACGTTCGCGTTCGAGTAGATCGATCATTTCTGGTGACATTCCTCGTGTTTCATCATGTTGTATTGCAGGTCTGCTAGGCCTGTCCAACTCCTGTTGTTTTTGCAAGCGCTCCAGTCGGTAGGAAAGTCGTTGCTCCGTGATAAAACCATTCATGGACGATTCTGCGAGCGCAGGAGGGTGATATGATCCGAAAATCTGCATATTAATACCAGAAATGCTGTGATTGGGATCATCGGCAGCGATGTTCTGTGCGGTATTGGCCGCGCAAACTTGGCGGGATGTGTCGGGCATGGATATATTTGCTGGATTGCAATATTTTCGATTCACTAAGCCATCGATGCTGCTATTATAGGTAAGACCACCGGCAAAGTGGTCAAAAGAGAGGTTTTCTTGGACGAGCACGACAACATTCTTGATCGCACTGCGCAGCTTACTGAGCTGTTCGGCCTCGTCGAACGATAACGGCTCCTGATATGCGGCCGCCCCGAGGGCGAGCGCAAGCAACGGTATTAGTCGAGCCATGACGGATAGTGTGAAGCAAAGTGCCTGGAAGAACTTTTCATTTTCTCAAAAGAGAGAAGAGACCAAAAAGATCCCAGATGCCCTGGGCCAAATCCTTTGCTCCGGTCGCAACGGCGTATCATATGTGCGGATCCCTTGATTCCCCCTCATTTTCCAGGGTTGCTCCACTCGATCCACTCGATCATGCCAACATGGTCACCCCTTGACCGATCATTGGCTACAGTAAGATCAGGGATGCCCGATCCATAGCGAATAAAGATAGCCTCACTATAAAGAAAAACCCGTCCAGTCTGTTGTACCGTAGACACGACCTGGTTTTTAATGAGATAGCTTGGAGCTGATCAAAAGTCGGATAAAAATGTAAAGCAATCTATCGAGCGACAAATGTGGATTTGAATACTTTAAGAATTACATACAATATCATTCACAAGTATGTAGGGGCAAATCCCGCAGCTTAGGGAAGCATAAATGTTTGCCTTGTTGCCGTGTCGCCTTGCTGCCTGGAGCGAGCTCTTGCCTCAGGCTTCAGGGTGACTCAGCACAAACTGCCGACTGCCGCTCATTGATTCCATCAAATCATCATCCGGACAGCGGCCCCACCACGACGAATCCTTGGGTGTTTCCCCCTTTTAAAGCCTCCTCACCTGCGCTGATTTCTCCGATTTCCGGCAGATAGACATCACGAGCAAATTGCTCACGTTCGATGGGGTTTTATATCGGGCGAACGAAGGCCGATCCCAATGGACTTAGACTATCGGAATATGCTGGCACCGAGTGGCCTACCTTTGATTCCCCAAAGCGACTTTCGGTCCCCCAGTCTTCCCCGCCCGACCCCGGGCATTAATTTCATGCAGAGAAGCCCGGAATCAGGCGAGATGGAGAGGACCCCGCCTGTCACGGGCAAGCGCCGAGGTGGAAGCCGGAAGGCCTGTAATGAGTGTAAGCAACAGAAGGTGAGCCACATGCCATTTCTCCGACCCTCGTTCCACTTCCCCAAATAGACGTGCCCACATCGCCCCCTATACCCAATACTGCTCTGGTGCCATACTGATATTTCCGCGACCATAATCAGCTACGATGTGACATTGTACAAACTCCTGCCGCGGCATGCTCACGCTGCCGCAGGCTAGGCATTGATTGCAAAGTTGAACAATCCTTTAAACGTATTTCCAAGCGAAGGTAAAATGTCTTTTAGGCCTCCCCAACTATGGATTTCACTAAACAATGCCTAGACGCAATGCGGAAATGGAAAAAGAAATTGCTGATCTCCGTCGTCGACTTGAAACCAATCCTGAACATGAGCAGACTGGTGAACATCATACAGGTGATGAGATGTCACAGACTTCAGAAGAAGGTTTCCGCCGGCGTGAATCTTCCGCGATCGATCGGTCACGCCCGGTGTCCGTTCCAGTAGAGAACCATCCTTCTATCTCAACGCCTCTCACGATGCATAGATCTGGCTCTATCATATCACAAGACGAAAATACACCATGGAGACTCGAAGATGTTACCCTATCAAGAGCGCGCGTGGCGCGGTTATTTGAACAGTATGTTTCTCATATAAAGCGGGTTATGATACCAAGCTAACTCTCATATCAAGATACTTCAAGTATTATCATCCATTTCTTCCGCTTCTGAATCTGCCAAAGCCCCCCGAGGTCTATCTTGGTCGTTGTCCTTTGCTGGCGTGGACGATTGTATGTGTGGCTAGTCGACGATCCCCGTCTGATCCAGGTCTTTTGAGTGCATTGTCAGGGCCATTTAGCCGTCTTTTGTGGTCGACCATCACCAATGTCCCCCAAGATTATCGAGTAGTCAAAGCACTGTGTGTATTATGCACATGGCCTCTTCCCACCACAAGTCAACGGACCGATGCTACATTTATGCTTAGTGGTCTGATGATGCAGATTGCCATGCAGTTGGGCTTGCACCGCCCAGTTCAGGCTGAAGAGTTCACGACATTCCAGATGGGTGCTCAAGGCGAAGCACTCAAGGATCGCTTGCACACGTGGATTATCTGCAACATGGTCGCCCAGAAGTATGTATTCCCCGCCATCTTGGCACAAGGAAAAGCATTCTCTTTTTTTCTTTTTTTTTTTCCTTTGGCTAATTGTATGAAAGCGTTGCGACTGGTTACGGACAACCCCCAAGCACAATGTACGACTGGGCTCTTGAGCCTGGTTCCTTGAAGGACGCTGATTATCATCTGCCCCCCGAACTTGCTATTCGGTTGCGTATTGAAAAGTTCTGTGATCGGGTGACCAAAGCTCTCTATAGTAGCAAGCCTGATCCTGGTGAATTCACCAGTAGGGAGAAGCTTGTAGTTGTCCAGATACTCGAGAGTGAACTGAGAGATATGGAAGTTGAGTTTGGACAGGAAATCTCTGGTAGGATTCCGGCGGCTTCGACGTGTCCCACAACCCAGCTAACATTCCAAAAGCAATTAACATGATTCACCTACGTGCGGCCGAGCTACATTTCCGGTATTTTGTTTTCCTGGGCTCTAGCGCACAGAGCGACAATCTTGCCAAGCTTTTCATCGCAACTACTTCGTTTTTGGGACGGGTTTTCGACCTTGAAACTGACCCGAGCGAGCCTATTGGTCATTCGACCAATTACATTCTTCAAATGATTGTTTCCGCTGCCTTTGCTTTGATGAAGCTTTTGAAGAGCAGCTTCAACAGACACATTGACTTCAATCACGGAAAGTTGTTATTCAATGGCGCTATCTCGGCTATTCGCCGGATCAGCGTCATGGATCACGATCGACCTATCCGCCTTGCTGACATTCTTGCTCAAATGTGGAATGCAACTGGCCCAGAGCCAGCTGGGGAAGATGGCCTTCAACTGAAGGTTCGCTGCCGGATGAGTATGAGCCATGTCTACGATACTGTATGGCGCTGGCGACAGCGGTTCCGTCCAGTGAAGAGCATGGAAGAAATGCAAGGTAGGCTACCCATTTAGGTTTGAGTAGTTCAATAGTTCATGCTGACACTTAAATTTTACAGCGGCTGCCGCTGCGGCAAATATGGACATCACCACGGCACCGGGACCCATGGCCCGGCAACAGGAAATTTCCCTCGAAGACCCATCATTGATGTTACCAGCTCAGTTTGATGAGAGCGGGGCTTTTTTCAGCGAGGCTGGTTTCTCTGAAGTTTTCGACTCTCTCAACTGGGTTTTCGAGGGCATCCCGGACTCATTTGTCGCCCCGCCCGTCTTATAATGTTGACCTAGTGACATCTTCTTTCTTAGTATTTTGTGCTACTGCGGATTTTCATTGCTGTCTTATATCGACTATAGACGGTTATTTTCAGCGATTTGTTTACCAGAGATACCATGCAAATAAAAGTGATTTATTGTCTCGAATATGCTGCAATATTGTCTTAAGCAAAATTGGTGGGCGAGACCATCAAATTTTAGCCTTCAACTTCTCCTCGTTGTCCAGCTGCTTTTTCTTTGGTCCTATAAATCCGAAAATGTATGCAGCTATCTTGCGCATCTGGATCTCTTCTGCCCCCTCGGTGATCCGGTACCGTCTGAAATGTCGATAAATGTGCTCAAAAGGGTAATGGCGTGAGTACCCATCCCCACCGTGAATCTATTCAGTCAGCCTTTTCCACCAAACAGCGCGAAGATAATTGGAGACTGACCTGAATCGCTTTATCAGAAGCCTGACAGCATAACCTATTCGCCCAGAAATTACACATCGACACCTGGTCACTCAGGTTGCGCTCGATTTCAACCCATGGTGGCACTTTGTTTCCTGATACCCGACTTGACGCAACAAGACGATCCATTTCCCAGCTTGTCTTGAGTATGAACAGTCGCAACATTTCTACCTGAGTCATGAGCTCCACCACCGGGAATTGAATTGCTTGGTTATCCGCCAGCGTTTTACCTTCTCCCCATATCTTGCGTTCGCGAGCGCGTATGATGCTTCTTTCTAGACAAAATCGCGCAGCACCACAGGCACTAGCCGCCTGTCGGACACGATTTTCATGCACAAACGTTTGCGCAATGGCCAAACCATTGTCCAAGGATCCTAACATGGCAGTCTCTGGCACCCAGACACGATCCAGCTCAACCGTTGCATGATCCGTCGGCATATTCATTGTCCATTCATAACTTAGGATCCGAACCCCATGTGTATCCCGTGGAACCAAAAAGGCAGTAATACCCTTGGCAGATCCGGGTGAGCCAGACGTACGTGCAAAGATAATGAGATGAGTACAATTATGCGCACCGGTTTGCCACTTCTTCATTCCGGTAATCTCGAAGCCGCCACGGTCGCGATGAGCTATAGTCGACATGAAGGTAGCGTCACTCCCGTGGTCCGGCTCTGTCAGACCAAAGGTTGTTCGAAACTCGCCGCGCAAGCGAGCTGGAATCAAAGTGCGGCGCTGCTCTTCGCTGCCAAAATGGTGGATCATATAGATATCAGGGAAATTTCCCACGATGCTATGCTCATTTTGCAAGTCATTTGCCAATCCGAGCCCGCCTCCATATGCCGGATGTGAGGCTAGGTGGTATCGAATTGCTGACATCCAAACATTCGTATTGGGATGCTCTTCGCCCCCATATTCTTTGGGGAGTGCGAAACGATAAAGGCCTGCCTCATCGCTCAGATTACGGGCTTGACTCAGCAGCGCCTCCCATTCTGGGCGCGGATTGCCTTTATTGTCCCAGTCTGTTCGAGAATGCTCTCGTCTATGGTCGAAGAACCGGTTGTTGTCATTAGAATGCTGGAGGGGAAGAATTGTGGAATTGATAAAAGAATCTATGAGTTCAAGGTGAGACTTTAATTCAGCTGGTAAATCAAAATTCATATCGCTGTCCACAAGAAGGATTCTTTCTGTCGCGGTTTGATGATGATACTTTCACGGTGTATCTCCACATACAAAGTAGCCAGTGTCGACTTCCCCGCATTCTCGCTGGGCGGACCTCGGCTTACACCCCTCTCCATCTCAGCATCTATGCTAGTGTTTATGCGAGCGCGTGAGTTTCTTGGTGAGCAAAGTAGGTAGCGATTAGTACTAGGAGAATATTGATCGCATATTTGCTTTGGCCAATCCACGCTTCCTGCGGAGTCATTCGATAAATTAGTCTAAAAACGGGCTGTTACCCTGAATAGCCTGCAGCCCCTGGTCAATCATGATTTGGGCTATAGGGGCAGGTTATCATGCACAACATTTGGAATTTCCTTCGGCCCAATGAAAGCAATGGCAACAAGCGAGAATCAGTGCTAGCGTAAACTGTTTTCTAGCAGTGACTGCCATTCTCTTCAATATTGGAAGGAAGTCGTGTCAAAGACCTCATATACAAGATAGTACATGGCAACTGGATATGTGGGCTTTCTTAGCCAGGATTTATGGCACTGCTACGTGTTTATTTGCACCTAATCAAGTGATTCGCCTCATTTCGCTTTCCTGCAGCAGAGCGCCGACCACACTTATGTGCCGAAGGAACTCAAAGGGGCGAACTGGATAACAAATGCTTCTGGACATGTTTCAGCCGTCAATCTGCAACATCATTTTCAAATCTTGTCAAGTCTATAATGGCAAAAGACTGTGATACAGCATCTAGGCAGGAATAGCAACGTAAAAAAGCTCGTTTGGGCGTTTCCGACGAGTTGGTACCAAGTATCAAAACAAACTATTCACGAACCTAACCATGGCACAGGCCCACGTTTGCGCCATGGCTAGCTCACGTTGCACGCGGGTAGACAGTACAAGGTTGAAGAGGGCCCAATCAACGTGCTCTACGGTATAGTTAATGCAAGAGGCGTTTCACGAGAACCAGGATATCTAATCTTATACCCTGTGTCACACGCGCAAGTGAAATGAGCCCATCAGGAACCCATAGAATTGGAAGAACTGCGTTATCTGCCAAGCGATCTATTTGCGCCTTGACCTATTTTTGTCCTCGACGCTCATTTCGCCGTTTGGGCTAAAGCTACAGGCGCAGTACAACTCAAGTACCGCGGTTGGTTCGGAATTTTCAAAACGACGGCGTAAGGGCAGTGGCGTATACTAGATGGGCGATCTAGCAGGTCAACCCACAACAGAGTTTCCAGCACCATCCCTGGTCGGTTCTGATTTGAATTTTTCCGGCTGCCTGGGATATATGTACGACTTCAGCGGCTATTCCCAAACCAAACCCCTGGGCTCTCTACAATGTGTTGTCAGTGCTTTCTTGTCATACAGGAACTCACATGGTATCCCTGATAAATTGAACCTGTCATAATGGCCTGAGTTGGTCTTCTCCATAACATCAGTTTTGCTTTTGTTTCCCGTTCATATGAGAAAACCACTTGTCCTTGTGTATCCACCCTCAGGGCTTCTTTACATGCGTTGCTTTGTGTAATACTTTGAAGAATAGGTTCCTGTCAAAATTTGTCATCTGTGTTCTGGTGGGGACTCGATATGCATCCGCCTTCGTAGATGCTGATAGGTTACAAATATTATTCGCGTAACCGTATTTCACGCTTTGTTCAGTTTCTCCTGTCTTTCAGTCGAATGGAAAGAAGATATTTCAAGATTTTCAAAGAACAGTTAAACTTATCGCACGTAACGTTCAACGAGGAAGCGCTTCTAAACAAGCGGAGAATTTGTTCTGGCCCCGCCATTGACACATGTTGAGAGACCCAGTACCGTGGCCATGTATTTCAAACACAGCTAGGTAAACATCTGCTAGCCCTCTCTCTTGGTCTAATCTACAAGTAGATCATATTCAAATTGGTCATGTCTGAAGTATATGGCGGAGGATCGGTACTTCTTATGAATTTCAAGGTTGTCACGAAGGTGCATATTCCGCCACATCTAGTTACCTACATATACTTGACGCCTGTGCAGTACTATCCCCAAACAACAGTTGACCTATTCTGAGTTTTCAATCAAGATGCATCCAGCTCTTAATTATCGACAATCTCGAAGGTCAGCTTGCGATAGATGTCGCGGATTCAAATTACGCTGTGAACGTGATCATGTGAATGGCAGATCATGCGAAAGATGTCTCAAAGCTCAGGTCGTGTGTACGACAAGTGTCAACCACCCTTCTTCAAACTATTTATCTTCAAAAAGCGGTCATTGCTCTTACCCAGAGGGCCCAGATCCAAGGTTCATGGGCTCCGAGCGACATTCTATTCCTATTCTGCACAAATCTTTCAACTCGAAAGTGAAAAAGCCTGCTTCATCCGGAAGCTTCCATAAGTCTGACCACCCGAAATACGACAGCTGGGCATATTCAGAGAGCTTTTTACCTTGGAATACTGAGATTCTACCCCCTTTTACAGGGGATATGGGATTTCAGGCCGCTGCCTACCCTTCTACGCCATTTCAACTCGATCATTGGAATGAGCAGCAGCTATCCTGGGCTACCGGCGTTTATCCTATGGTGAGCATTTAGCAATACCTTTGAGAGGGATAAATCACTAATCTGGTTATGAGCAGCCTCCAGTCGACGACATCTTTTTCGAGCCTGACTGTCGCATGGATCATCAGCCTTTGGCGTCCCATACACTCGTAATGGACCCTTCCTTCAATTTTGAAGATGAATCTCACATCAGTGCTACGTCGTCTATGCCATCGGATCCCCCAGCACTCTTGAACACGGGGCCCCCATCCCTCGTGGACAGTCATTGGGATGTTCCGTGGGACAGAATCTCCTCCGTCGCTGAGAATGAGAAGCAAGGGTCTTCTGGCACAATTGAATTGACCTCAACAAACAATTACGACTTGCGCAAAAGGCTCCTCAAGCTCAACTTGGAGATGATCGATGATCTCGAGCTATTGGAGTCTGGGTCTGATATCTCGCAGCCCTCAGCCTTTCTTGGCGATATCATGAACTCGCCGGGGGGAAAGCTCGAGATCCCCATCTTTCGCATGCTCGACCATTCTACAAAATTCTTAGAGATCCTTCAATCTGGGATTGGCGCATCGGAAGACTCCTTAAATCTCATTCCAAGTATTGAGTTTTCAAACGCAGAACCAAATATGTTTGAGGATGCGAGGGCGTTCCCACAAGGCGTGGAGAAAAGAATTGAATCTACATCATCGTCTCATGATTCATGCCAACGCACGATCAAGCCACCCTCATCAGATCAAACGACAAATTCATCACCGCCAGAATATGATGTATCCACTTCCATGGGAATGCTTACAGCTTACTGCCATCTTATTCGCGTATATCGTGCTATATTTAGCCAGCTCTATCAACTCTTTCTTCTCGTTCCACCCGCCGACGCTGCTGCATTCCTTCTGCTGCCAAGCTCTCAGCACGGTCAATTCCAAATGGAGAGAAGCCTCACAGTAGAAGTTCAAGTCTGGATTGACATGAGCACTAATATGTTGGCAAAAATTGAACGGGCTCTGGGAATGCCTTGCAGTGACGTGGATGGATGTACGGGTCCTGTTGCGTCTGTTTTAGCAAATGGCCCCTTGAGTTCCGTGCGAGACCATATTATGACCCAAGAACAAATCGAGGGTGGGATCCCTTTGAAAGAGACAATGAGTTGTTTGCGAAAACTTGTGAATGATTCAGTCTGTGTATGATAACTTTTTGTCCGGGCTCTCTTCAAAGGGTTTGTGGTGGTGTGACAAGGGATGTACTGCCATTTGATTTCTGTCCAACATGGGCGCCAAGCACAAGAATATTTAATGAGTGGTATAAGTAAACTGGTCCACAGTGGACACATGATAAGTCTACTTGGTATGCTTCTTGGTTGGATTTACTAGTAAATGGTCGGATATTCAAGCTGGTGTGTCGGTAAGATAATAGAAAATATAATGACGAACCTTGGCTAGATAATGAGATATAATCGCAACCCAGTACCCTAGCAAACTTCAAAGCTACATCCATTTGACCTTCCAGAGAATCAACTTACTTTGAGCCTTGATCATGCTTCCTTTCGTGGTTGCATTTCATATTCGCATATGACCACACGGCGAAAAGTCTCAAAAACTACCGAGTGCCTCTCCAAATTAACATCACAACTGAATGGAAGTCCATGAATCACCGAGTCCGATATACTGATGAATCGAATATTCAGCTTTAGCCCCGTAAGTCCCGATACCGATACCGAGTCCGAAATGAGGTCTTACATGTGCTTCGCACAGAAGTTTGGGTACTGATATTTGAACCGGCTCCCCTCTCATGAATGCCGAAAATCCATGAAAACTGCTTTTTTAAGCCCCAATAAAATCAATACATCTAAGAAAGCATGGCTACTCCGATCTCCAAAAATGTCACCAACCTTGTTGGAACATGGAGCTTGGTACGCTTCCTCGAGCTAAATGTGCTTGGATAGTCTGTTAACAGTTATCTTAGAATAGGAAGCTCTCCGATGATCCCGATCAAATATTTGCTGTGGTATGCATATTCTCCCAAAGAATCCGTTTCATAAATAGCTGAACGAAAATAGCAAGGTGTACCATGGATTACCCGGAAGGTCCTCCGTTTTGCCAACCTCACTTTGCAAATCAGCCAGTCGGTTTCATCGTCGGACGCTAGCAGCGAAGGCGCAACCGACTCCTCATCTGACATCAGCTCAGTCACGACACTGCACATTAAGCAGACCATCCATCCTGGTGGATTCAATAGTGAAACAACCTATCCTGTAAACGGAGTTGGGCAAGACATGTCACTTCCAATCTTTGGGGATATCAACATGCTGTTGCGGTACATAAATACCGCAGAGATCAAGGACGATGTGCTTCGTCAGGGACTGGAAGACGGATGTTCCTCAAACATGGTTATTGATGAGGCTGCTTATAACACGAAGATGGATTGGACTGCGCAAGTGGTTTGGGGGTTTGAGATGATCAATGGGAAACGATACTTCACCCGTAACGTCATTACGTCGAAGAACTCCCAGAAGAATGAGCCGGTTGTTGCTCGAATGGTCTATGATTACCAATGCTAGTTGTCAGTGGTCACTCACTCTGTTGTTGCGGTATCGTGGAAGGGGGAACTGAATTGCTGGTGACTCCATAGTAGAATTCATGATTCGTCTCCCATCTTTGAGGTTCTCTACATTCGTTTCTTCACTTCGAACTATATGGTTTTCATGAAATTTTAATCTTCCATTCCCTGCATGGGGGTATTACAAAATGTTAAACAATTTGACCTCTTGTATAGACAATAACCTTAAGGATTTGCTGTCGGGCACGTGATAGCACAATCTTTAGAACCAACAAAACTCTGTATCATCCATTCATAGGCTTGTACATAAAGTAGCTACTCAAGAGTTGACATGGGAACAACAAGCTTCTTTCCAGACACCTTGCCTTTCTTGAGAATGTCCAGCCCGTTCATTATGCCCTCAAACTGCCCCGGAATGGTTTCCATAGGGACAGGTTTGAGCTTTCCCTCTGTGATCAGTTGCTGAAGACATTGATACCATTTCCGAGCCCATTCTCCGATCTCTGGGCGAGGCGGGATACCATACGGCTCTGGGAGCTCAACACCATCCCCGGATATAGCCCCTCCCATCACTAGCTCATGTTTTATGGTCTTTCGCGTACAGAGACTCTCTTGGTACTGCTCTAGGGCGCAGTACCGGCCACCAGTACGACCCATTGCTTCTTGGCACAAGCGCAATGTTTTGGCTTCCGAGAATGGGTCAAGTACAAATCGAAGTGCATTCTTAGTTGCGGCTCGGATCTCCGTCGCACAAGTTGGAGAATTGTAGTCAAACACAAGATCAGCACCGTAGGATTTGACGAGGTCAAAATTGTGAGGGGAACACGTTGTGATGACCCGATGGCCGCAGCTGCAAGGCGTTAGCTCAAGGAGGTCATTATAGGACAAGACAAAAATGACTTACAGCTTCACCATTTGAATCGCGACTAGCCCAATGGTACTACTCCCGCCATATATCAGGACATCCTCAGCCTTGCTGGCTGGACCATCCAGCTTTCCTGGCAGCTGCAGCGACCAAAATAGCGCAACTCCGAGGGTCGCAATTCCTGTTCCCGAGAGAGCGGTAGCAGTGGCAAAGGACATGTCCTTCGGCATATGGAACGTAAAATCCGGATCTGCACGGAGATATTGGCAGTATGCCCCGGATTGGGGGTCGGATTGTTTTGAGCCTTGAACCGCTCCGAAAACACGGTCTCCCAGTTTGAACCGACCATCAGCAGCGACCTGACTTCCCAGCGACACAACAATGCCTGCAAAGTCGCAACCATCCCAGAGACCCGGCGTGGGGAATCTGAGAGGCATCTTGAAATCACAAGGATTCAGAGCCACTGCCTCGACAGACACAAGCATATTGTTGTGACCAATATCTGGCACTGGCATGCCAGGGGTTATTTTCAGGACCCCAGCTTCATGCTGAAGTATCACCGTCTGAGAAGGCGGGATTCCGAAGGTGGACTCCATTGTGGACAACAGTGCTCACAACAAAAAAGTATCGCCTGTGATTGAACGTCCCGCTTGGTATATGAGATAAGTTGGACGAGATAGGATCTCGGAGATTTCAGGGTTATAAGCATGCCGTATTTCGAAGCGTCCAGGTGCCCAATTGTCAGTGCGTGCGAAAAACATAACGTTTGTTTGTGTACGACAGCGCTGAACCTGAAACTTCGCCTGATTGGAAATTTTCCATAGTTCGATAGAATCGGTCTTTAATATGAAGCTGCATCTGCAGGACTCTAGGAAATAGCGGTGGGCGTAGCCCAATGCCCTTGACAAAGTACTTTTGTTGCGGATGTCAGTGGGTCGCCCAGGTCATAGAACCTTGGAACTTTGGAACTTTGGAAGATTATAGCACCCACGAGCCATGGATTCAAATCAAGAAAAATATTTCCCGTGGATGCGGGCCTGAATGTGGACTAGGTGTGTGTTTGGCATAAGTTTTCATAGCTAGAGACCAGAGGAAGTGAGCGATGTATATACATACGGCCCCCGGCCATCGATCAACTTCCAGAATTGAGATGAATATTCAGACCAAGCCTAGACGTCTGACTATTTATTATGAAAGATACACTACGTATTAATGGATATTCTCAACTGAAGAGACAGTGAGAGACTAGGAAAGTCATGTTCACGAATGATTTGTTTTGTAGATCGTGAACCCAAAACGCCAGCCCCGCATTCTCCGCTTTTCCATCTCGTCATTTAGCACATGGATTTCACCACCTGCCTCTACGTCAGCCGATAGGCCGTTATTTGCCGATGACCCGACACCTATTCAACGAAATGCCTCCCTGATGATTTCGGAAAACTCGCAAAGTGAATACATGGCTGATGACAGGCATGAGATCCAAAACTGCCCCAAAACCATCACGCTCACGTTTTGGTAAGTGAAGAATATGTAAAGTGTGAAGATCAATATACTAATATTGACAGGCTGTCGTACCTGCCGTGCACGGAAAGTAGGTTGTTTCAGTGCATTCGCTGGCCCTATAACTGTCTAACCGTTTCGTTTCATTTGGAAACAGGTCAAATGTGACGAAAAGCCAGGTGAATGTGGAAATTGTGCACGACTGCGGCTGGTCTGCTCAGGATATGGGGCTTCCCCAAATTCACAGGCTCAAGAAATTGAGAAACACAGAACAGAGAGTTCCAAACGAAAGAGAACTTATAGGTCATGCACGGCCTGTCGTGCAAGCAAAACTAAATGCTCGGGGGAGCGACCGACGTGCCGAAGGTGTCTAGAGAAAGGTCATGATTGTCTTTATTCAGAATCCTCACAGCCAGGTTGGATTCAGCGCGTTGAGGATATCTCGACAGACAGCAAAAAGCCCATCTCAACTCCTTCACTTATCCCTGATCGGTCCCCAAGCAATCAGCTAGAGCATGAAACTACGCGGCTTGGCCATATTTCTCCACATTCCCCAAGTCTGTTTGGCCAATCTCTCTTGAAAGAGTCCATAGAGCCCGCAACTGGCCCCTTACATTGGTACTATTGAATTTAAGAGTCTATCGTGGTGACTTCCTTGACTAATGTTGTTTCATCAGGCTGACTGCATCTCATTTGCCCGACCGAAGCAAAATTGGGCTTTTAGTCGAAGAGTTCTTCAACAACATCCACCCGTTGCGGTGCTTCGCCTTTATTCACAGGCCCTCATTTCTTCAAAGGCTTGACAAAGATGGCCCGAAAAGATATCAAAGCCATGCACTTTTGCACATAATTTGTGCACTGGGAGCCCAGTAAGCCAGACCCCATTTGCTATATTCTATTTGATGACAAAACCTGATCATCGAATTCAAGATTTCATGCACTATCTTACAGTGAAACAATGTCTCCACTTCCAACAAAATCTGTTCTTATGGCTGGAGCTGAATGGGCCAAGATCGCCCAAAAGCTAATTCTCGAGGCGCTTGATACAGTCACCATCGAGAAGTTAATGGCAAGTTCAAGTATCATGACATATGTTGCCAGCTAGATCTAACAGTGAGCAAATTATAGGCATCAGTCCTGCTTCATGATCATGCCGTCCGCATGGGAAATTTTGCAAATGCATTTATGCTTAGTGGACTTATAACACGAATGACTCAAGCACTCCAAATTAACCTGGAATACAATACCGATGTTCTTTGCCAGAATATTGAGGTAGGGCCCTCTGTCACGGCCAGGGAGTCCCGGCGAAGGTTAATGTGGAGCTGTTATATTATGGATGCCCTTGTTGGTAGCGGGGTGGACCAACTTACTCTGGTCGATGAGAAAGATATGAAGATCCAATTACCCTGCAACGAAAGGAATTTCATTCAGCAAATTCCATGTCTCACGGAGACTTTGGAGCCTGGGAACTGGCTGAAATTTATACCAGGTGAGCTCGACAGCGATGCACTGATGCCAAATATGGGAATGATGGCATACTTTATTCGCCATATTTCAATTCGGAAAAGAGTATTGAGGTGAGCCTTTGGACTAACTTGGGCATGACTTCTCTTTCGCTGCAACTTGCTTACCTGGGACCCAGATATATCAAGCATCTCGATGAAGCGATGGTTCCTTGGGAAGCACAGTCCGAATTTGCACTTCTGGACCGTGATTGTCGCAATTGGTATGAGTCCTTGCCGGCGAGCTTGCAATTTACTCCGAATGCAATTTATATTCGAAAGGACTCGGCTCAGCTTGGCGCTCTTTGCGTATTACATTGCGCGCATTATCAAACAATATGCGACTTATACCGACTGGGTGCACCGGCGCTTTACAAACTTCGTGCCGCCTTCGACTTTCCTCCAGAGCAACACGCTTTTCTGGGACACTTGCAAGAAGTCTTATTCGATGCTGCGAGGGCATTGGCGACCATAATTGGCCAGACAGCTCAGCATGGGACTAGAGCGTTGGCAGATTCATGGCTCCCGACTATTACATATGATAGCTGTCGAATCATGGTATACCATCTGACCCAAATACTTGACCCCCGTGCTGAAGAAACAAAAACAATCACCGCGGAGACTCTGCCACTTTTAAAGAGCAATATCGATGCCTTGAAATTGATGGGATCTCTGAGTGTCATCGCAAACTCGTTAGTGAGTCGCTAAGCACTGTCGGATCTATTTGTGTTGATTGTCAACTGATATTTCGTCTATAGTGTTCCGCAGCAGAGACCATGTTCGACCGATCGGGCATCGGTTCCGAGGTAGTCGCCCGGAACAGCATTCCCGATGACCCATACCAAACAGGCGACGAAGACCCAAGGTAGATATAATCCATCGTAGTCAACTAGATTCATAAGTTGCTAACACTACAAATAGTGAAAGTCTCCCTGGTACTCCAATCCAAAGTGCACCAGACTATGTGCTCAATCCATTATCTATTTTCCGTATGGCACGCAAATCTATACCGGAACGACATGCCCCAGAAAAGGCAACCACTTCATCTGCGCCTAATAGTGTCATTCCTGAATCTAACCCTGATCTCGATCAATCAACCACCGGCGCTCCTACTGAGGGCCCAGGATCAGGTGCCTCAAACGATGTTGAGTTTGGACAAGCAAGCCTTGAAGAGCTGCAGACACTGTTCATGTCAGATCTAGGGTGGACATGGCAACCGGCAGATACTGCTGTCGGCTCAGGCATTGAGGGAGCTGGGTTGATGCCATGGGCTGGAGGATATTCTGCTACGCAAGCGGAGCCTTGGCTTCCTGTATTTCCTTTTCCACAGCAAAATTGATCAATGATAACCTTTGCCGAAAGATTTAATATAGCTTGTATCCTAGGGAATAGGGTAGACTTTTAAGTAGAAAATTAATTTAGCAAAGTTGTAGTTGCGTCGAATCTTGGCAACAGGAAGATAGTAAGGTAAAATTGACTGAGGGTACTTTAATTGATTATGATCGAGATCTCTGATAGGTATTCGTCCTTTTAAAACAGCACTTAATACGCAGATAGCACATAATATTATGCACGGGTGATACTTCGAGCTGCATGTCAGGCTCGGAAACCACAGACTCACGCCCAATCGCAGAATGTCAAAAGGGATTTACATCATTTGCCCCAAATGCCCATGTAAGCAAGGGCTGTAATGAATCCCTAGTACCCGGCTTTTACCATTTATTTTGTCTACCAAGACACCAACATCTCCCTTCACAGGCTGCCGCGACGGGGGAAGGTGACTCCATCAATGGCTGCGTGGTCGGTGAACCAGCTCACCTTTTCACCACCGCCTTGGTTAACCAAGGCTGAGGGAAGGCTGCGACCCTCTTCGGAATCGAAGATAGCCTTCATGATATCCTTCTTGCCGGCTCCAGTAGCGACAAATGCGACTTGAACAGCAGATGTAACAACGGGGAGCGTAAGAGTAATGCGCTTGGGCGGGGGCTTAGGTGAGTTGTTCTCAGCTGCGACCCACGCATCCTTCTCACGCAGGAGCTCATGTCCAGGGAATAGACTGCAGGTGTGGCCGTCAGGACCGCAACCCAGAAGAATCAGGTCAAAAATAGGCAGCTTGACACTGTTCTTGGCAGCAAATACCCGCATCAAGTCTTCTTGGTACAGATCGGCCAGTTCCTGAGTATCATCTTTTTCAACCGCCTCGGTATTGATGGGGTACACGGTCGGAGCTCCGAGCTCCGCTGGGATCTTGCTCAAAAGCTCCTCATGCAGCAAGCGATAGTTGCTGTCATCGTGGTCGAGGGGCACGGCACGCTCATCAGCGAAAAAGATGTGCCATTTGGAGAACTGAGGGGTATCTTCGGGGGTGCCATTGCCGGGGGCTAAAAGGGCGCGGGCGAGCACCGTAGGCAGGGAGCCACCGGAGACGGCGATGCGGAAGCTATCGTGGCGGCTTAGAGCAGCATTCTGGCTGGCGAGAACGTAAGGGCGCAATTGCTCCGCTAGCGTGTTTGTGCTAGGAAAGCTGAGGAGGTTGGGCTGTCCGGTGGCCATGGCTGATGTGTGTGATTTGAAAAAGCGAGTCTTACAGCGTTGCAGGATCTCTCTCGTCACTCGGTGACTCGGCGGGGTTGGCGGGGCGAGGGGCCACTCTCATGGAATTTCCTGCCAAAGGCGCGCCAGCCATTGTGGACGGGCTTTTAACAGGACCGGAACGGGAGATGACGTCGTCCTTATTTAAGAAGGTGCATCTTATCTCGTCCAATGGTTCCTATGTTCCAATGACGTGGTCCCCTGCCTCGCACAAATATTAGTCAAGCTTCACGCCTAAGGCTGCCAAGTCCCGTTTGTCACTGTGATTGGTCAATTGATCCACAAAGCTGTGTGCCATGTTTTGTCTCCATTTGTTCTCACCTACGAGGTCTCAAAGTAGTCGAATCATACTTCCACCGAAGTTTTAGCCTTTGAACAGGTATCAGTATGGATCTGCGACAGTGGACTTTGGAAAATGGAGCGAATGTGTGGACAAGCATTCCAAACGCATAATATATTTCGAGTATAGTTTAGTAGCAGGTGATGAAGACTTGAACACTAACGGTGCGACATAGTGCATTACTAGGTACCAGGCAATGATAGACAATTGAAATACTTCAATTTCGGAATGAGAACAGACCGATGGATTACATTGTTAAAATGAAAACGGAAGACCTCGAATCCAGGCATATCATCCCGAATAAAGCTTTCGATGCAATTTGCAACCTACTGAGTTAGTTTCGGCTAGATCAGGAGTGATTGATGCAACATAAAAACTGGTACGCTCTGCCCTGTGGTATCTTGAAGAATCAACGCAATTAACAAGCATGACCCCCGAGAAAAACGAAAATTACAATTCATAAGACAATCAAAGATTAAGACGTTTTTCTTTCCTCAGCCCGGCGATAACAAGCGTTATATAAGATGTCGCTTCAAGAACTATTCTCGCGAGCTTGAGATGCCGGCAGTTGCCTCAATATCCCCCTCTTTGGAGAAACTCTGTGGCGTGCCAACTTGTGTCTCACCTCGATTCTTCTTCAAACCAGGAAACGAAACGGTATTCATATCCAGGAGATACATATACCAATAAAATGTTCCTAGCTCCATTATTAGTGCTGCCAATACCGAAGCGAGACATGTTCCACTTACCGCAAAACAGACCACCGCCGAGAATGTTTCCAATCAGAGCGGGAATGATGCCCTTCCAGATATACAGGCCAACGGATATTCCCGGTGCATCTAACCAGATCGCAAGGGGAATGAATGTCATGTTGGCGACAACGTGGTCAAGGCCGAGAGAAACGAAAGCAAAAATAGGCCACCAGATGCCCATTATCTTGGATGCGAGATCACGTCCCTGCATGCCCAAAAAGCATGCCAGACAAACTAACCAATTACAACCAATTCCACGCAGAAATACCATGTGGAAGTCAGGGGTAACCTGCTTTTTTGTCGCAAATGTAATGACAGTCGATTTGAATGGGTCGGCTTCGAAAACACCACCATCTAACGATCGGTAATTAGGTGGGGTCCAAAACATCCATTGTCTTCGAGGTATTACTCACAGCCAAAGATGATAGCTACCATAAACAATGCTCCGGCCAAGTTCCCTAGGAATGTGACTACCCAGTGGATCAACATCCTCCACCAGGGTAGCTGTCGTTGCAAGGCCGCAACGGTAGTATACTGGCTCCTTATTAGCATTATGACTGGTACAGGGTGTATGCGGATATATTTTACCATGAATGTCCCAGTACAAAGATCAGCACCAGTCAATATGATCATGCACAATCCATAGGGGAAAACCAATGCACTGATTGTGCGTATCAATCCAGCGGCGTTCTCCGCGTACCATGGGGAGGCATTTGTGCTTAAAGCAGTACCACAGGCAAATGAAAGCAAGCAACCAGCAGAGACAGAACTTAAAAATACCTTGTCTAATCGCATGTTGCCTTTGTGTACTCCAGCCCTCACGACGGACTCAATAGCCTCTCGGGGCGAGAGTGCGTCGAATGACATAACGCCTGATGAGTTGCGATATTTTTCGCAACTACAGTAGATTAGAATCAGACCCAGGAAGACAATCGCCAAAGTACAAACACCCGATGTAAGAAAAAATAAGGGGCACGCGACGCGCTGGTAGAACCAATACTCCTTTTATATATTACTCCATATTTACTCCGCAGTGGGTACCTACTGGAATCGTTCCCTTTTTTGCTAGCCTATTAGGAAAATGTGAACTTGGCCCACATGGCAAGTGCTACGAACATCATTGGATATAGATAAGCTCAAATATTGGTTGTTGTACGCGCAGTAGCCCTCTTCTAAGGCCTGGGGAAAAGATGAAGAATCTCGTAGTAAGCTGATGTGATGGAGATGTTTGTGGAGCTGCAATGCGACGATCCTTCCACGGTTGGTCCAGGCGACCAGTGATATCTACATTCTTTATCAGTCTTGGCGTTCTTGGCGAGGCGCGCCGCATTTCCAGGTGTGCTTTCTCCGCGGATCAAGGAGAAATGCTTGTTTGTGTTGAAGTGGTTGACAACAGAGATTTCCTTGCTTTTGAGAACTCAGATGGCCAATACCCAGTGCGGCACAGCTGGGGCAAGCGAAAGGCTAATGTCATGACGTCAAAAACCAGTCTGTGTTGCCACAGATTTCATGGCTACAATAGGGGTCTGCACTTGCATTTGTCAATGATCGCAGCCACCAACCTGTAGACTATTTACTACCAAAGACCTCTGCTTTTCAAAATAAGAAGTAAGCATGGTGAAAGACAGAGACACCGTGATCAGGTAAGACTAGTGTCTTTTCTTCAACTTTCGGGCCTTATCAGCCTGAAAACCGAACTAACAAGAGCCTATCTGACAGGGAATTCAATGACCTGGTCAATATGAGCCCAAATGAACTGCGTGATTGGCTCAAAGAGGAGCAGTCGACTTCATCGGGATGGACTAACGATTCAGGGGAGACCATTGGCCATGAAAGGTAGATCAGACATTTCTGTCCCCGGGGCCTGGAACGTCAAGATTGACTAGTACGACAGTGGTCGGAAGATTGTACAAATCCTTGAACACAACCCCGACGAGGATCCATCCGGTTACTCGGATTCAGAGATCGACCATATGCGACGTGTGGTTTCCTACTGCAAACGCCACCTAGCCCAGGAGGAAGGCGTGAAACACAACCCCGATAGCAAAAGCTATCGGTCCCTCAAGAACTGGGGACATGATGCGTTGAAGGCCTAGATTGCAACGTGGACGAGATCTTGACTATGCACCTAGAGAAATTGGATATGTTCACGTTGTTTCTTTCACACCCCGTCCCACGCGCCATCTAATCACGTGATTTGGTGACATTCCCTCACGCGGCGCATTGGGAGTGTGCGTGTGGTTGGGTACATTGTTTGGATGCCCAAGCGTTCTAGCCGATGCAGTCCCCAAAACAAATTTTATCTTGGATGCGTCCAATATCATGGCCACTAAACTGGTTACCTATATACATACATGGTCAGATCTCAGGTCTGAATGCATGACAACTCGACTATCGCTTGTGGCCATTGCAATTTGGAGTCTAAGAGCCTGGATCCCCTAATGACATGCTAGCTGGCCATGAGGCCAAAACACGTTAAAGAATAAGTGTCTACTGTAAGACTTCAAGATGTCACACGAAGCGTTCTATCAAATTGTCCGTGCACGATAATTTGTGGAAGACAACGATGCCGAACGACTTCGCTACGCGCCCTCAGTCAAAGTTGCTTCATCATTGCTTTTCTCGAGTGTCCTATTTCCATAAAAAGTCACACGAATAATTGGCCTTTTCCGTACTTCCTCGCAGTAGTGGAGTTGCAGAATTTGCCCTTCGTTCAGAATCAAGCTGATTCGGGCGTGGCGTTACAAATTTGGCGGCCATGTGTGCTTCCACTATCACCCTTATTCCACCCAGCAACCTTCTCTTTTGATTAAGGATGGAATAAAATCTGAGGCGACCAGGTCACTAGAACAGCCGCGAAATGGTGATCCGGTGCCTGACAAGGCGTCGGACCGTTTACAATACATATCGCGATATCAAGCTATCAAGCTGTAGAGGGGGAATAGGCAATACAAACCAGCCCTTAGAAATCCCGAGAGCAAATACCGAGAGCAAATCCCGAGAGCATAACACGGCCATATCATCAAGTCGTGTATTAGATGATTATCTCAGATGGTCACCACATCCTCGACAAGAGCCACTCAATCGGAGTCGGAGTCGGTCTCGGCTTTCGTCCAGATCAAAATTGATCACTGTTGAGTCGTGCGTTTAAGAGGGTTTTAAAGGACCTGCCAAGGCGGCTTGATGCATCATGCAAGCGCGAAAGATCCCGCAGACGCAGGTTCAGCCCAGATTGTGTATCCATTCTGCTTTGATATGGGAGTATAACAATTTGATTCGTCTGGTTTGATTCCACATGTATGAAGCGCCATGTCGGTTCGGATCAGACTGGAAGAAGTGGATCACTACTACTACTAAGCTTACATGGTTTCAGGGTCATCCGAATGGAAATCTCAAGGTTTCGTGATTTACAAGAGCCTCGATATATTGAGATGAATCCCTCATCACAGCTTGGTTCCAAGATAAAGGCCATGCGAGAGTGATACTTTACCTGTTGTTGTCACTTTCACTTTCCGTATCTCCACTCCCAATATTGTTTTACATACTATTAATTTTTACCTGAGATACTGCGAAACCTCAACACTCAAATGTCCATGAACGGTCAAACAGGAGGGGAGCCCATTGCGATTGTGGGAAGTGCTTGTCGATTCCCCGGTGAAGCTACTTCCCCATCCAAGCTTTGGGAATTACTCAAAGATCCCCGAGATGTCTTGACTGAAATACCCAAAATTCGATTCAATCCCGACGCCTTCTATCATCCAGATAGCTCTCATCATGGAACAAGCAATGTCCGACACTCATATGTCCTTTCGGATGACCACCGGTTATTCGACGCCCAGTTCTTTGGAACCAAACCTGTGGAAGCAAATGCAATTGATCCTCAGCAACGTCTGCTATTAGAGACAGTATACGAGAGTCTTGAAGCAGGCGGGCTGCCAATGGAGAAATTGCAAGGCTCTGACACTGGTGTGTATGTGGGTTTGATGACGAATGACTATTCGGATCTCATAGGCAGAGATATTCAGAGCATTCCTGCATATTTCGCGTCTGGAACAGCTCGAAGTATCCTCTCCAACCGCATCTCCTACTTCTTCAATTGGCATGGTCCATCCATGACCATTGACACCGCTTGCTCTTCAAGTCTGGTTGCGATGCACCAAGCAGTGCAAAGCTTGCGTGCCGGAGAGACAAGAATGGCCGTGGCAGCTGGAACGAATCTCCTCCTTGGCCCTGAGCAGTATGTCGCTGAGAGTAAGTTGAAAATGCTCTCCCCCACGGGACGATCGCGCATGTGGGACAAGGGTGCAGACGGATACGCTCGAGGTGACGGTATTGCGGCTGTCGTTCTTAAGCCACTCAGCCTTGCACTCGCCGACGGTGACAATATCGAGTGTATAATTCGCGAAACTGGAACCAATCAAGATGGGCGAACAAAGGGAATCACGATGCCCAACCCGCATGCTCAGGCGGACTTGATCAGGTCCACCTACTCCAGAGCGGGACTTGACATAACCAAAGCTAGTGATCGCCCTCAATTTTTCGAGGCCCATGGAACAGGTATGTCCTTGAGAATTAGAAATTGCAATGGGAAACTTTGAAACTGACAGGTTACTCAAGGAACCCCTGCTGGAGATCCGGTCGAGGCAGAAGCCATTAGCACAGCCTTTTTCGGACCTAAAGCAAATTATTCTCGAAAGTCTGATGAAGAGCCGCCGCTTTTCGTGGGATCTATCAAAACTATAATTGGACACACGGAAGGCACGGCGGGGCTGGCGGCAGTAATCAAAGCGTCACTGGCATTGCAGCATGGTGTCATTCCTCCCAATCTCCTTTTGAACGAGTTGAACCCGAATGTGAAACCCTTCTATAATGATCTTCAAATCATACAGAAGGCCCAGGATTGGCCCCAACTCCCAGATAATGTAGTTCGCCGTGCCAGTGTGAACAGCTTTGGGTTTGGTGGTGCAAATGCTCACGCGATCCTGGAATCCTTTGAAGATTCAAATGGCAGTGCGAGAGTAGACTCCACTTCTCCTCCATTCACACCATTCAACTTTTCCGCCTCGTCAGAAAAGTCACTTGCGACCACGCTGGGTAGATATTGCGCATACCTAAAGGGTCAGCCAAAAGTGGATTTGCGCGATTTGTCATGGACTCTGAACTGTCGTCGCTCTACGCTTCCAGTCCGAGTGACAATTTCAGCGTCCGGTGTTCCAGATCTCATTGCCAAGTTGGACAGGGCTGCACAGTCACCCGAGGACTTTACGCCGGCTTCCAAAACATCAAGCATCAAACGTGCCAAGCTGCTAGGTGTATTCACTGGCCAAGGTGCTCAATGGGCCCGAATGGGAGCAGAGTTGCTTGGGTCAACCCTGGGGGCCGCGTGTATTGCCCGCCTTGATTTTGCTCTTCAGAATCTCCCACAAGAGCATCGCCCTAATTGGCTGCTCAAAGACGAGATACTGAAAGATGCTACGTCATCTCGCATAGGTCAGGCTATGTTCTCGCAAACCCTTTGCACGGCGATTCAGGTAATGTTGGTTGACCTACTTCGTGCGGCTGGTATTGTATTCACTGCTGTAGTCGGCCATTCATCGGGAGAGATCTCGGCTGCTTATGCTGCTGGGTACCTCACTGCAGAAGATGCAATCAAAATCGCCTACTATCGTGGGTGGGCTTTGCAGTACTCCGGTGACACCAATGGGGTCAAAGGAGCAATGATGGCGGCTGGGACGTCCATTGAAGATGCCCGGGAACTTTGCGAGATGCCGACTTTGGAGGGGCGCATCTGTGTCGCCGCGAGCAACTCCCCTGCCAGTGTCACGCTTTCTGGCGACATGGATGCCATCGAGGAGGCAAAGGAGGTGCTTGAGGATGAAAAGAAATTTGCGCGGTTGCTCAAAGTTGATAAAGCTTATCACTCTCACCATATGATACCGTGCGCCGCTCCGTATATTGAAGCCCTTCAAAATTGCAAAATCAGTATCCAAAATCGGTCGGATGTTGGTACAACATGGATCTCCAGTGTCTATGGGAAGAACATCGAAGATGTTACTGATAGCCTGGTGGACACATACTGGAGCAACAACATGGTCAATCCCGTTCTCTTCTCACAGGCTATGAGCTATGCAACAGCTGCACTCGGACCTTTTGATATGGCGGTCGAAGTTGGCCCTCACCCGGCACTTAAAGGTCCAGCTTTACAAACAATTCAAGAGGTTTCTGGCAACGAGATTCCCTATACTGGAACATGTAACCGGGGAAAGGATAGCAGAGAGGCTTTAGCGTCTGCGCTCGGAGCACTGTGGATATCTCTCGGCGAAAATGCTGTGGATTTTGCGAAATTTGACAACTCGACCCTTTCAGGTGGGTCAAGGCGGCTTGTGACAGGACTACCAACCTATGCATGGGATCATGATAGAGTTTACTGGCATGAATCTCGCCTCTCCACAGAATTTCGAGAGGGCGGCGAGAAGTTTCATTCTCTGCTCGGAGTCCAATGTGCAGATGGCACACAGAAAGAGATCCGGTGGCGAAACTACCTTCATACTCGAGAAATTCCGTGGCTCACCCACCACCAAGTACAGGGGCAGATGGTGTTTCCAGCAGCAGGCTATATATCTGCAGCTGTGGAGGTTTTGAATGAACGTTACGGCATTCCATCAATTAAGTTGATTGAATTGCAGGATTTCATCATTGGCCAAGCCCTGGTGCTAGAAGAGAATGCCGGGGTTGAGGTTATATATGCTTTGAACATTTCTGATGAGCAGGATGGCTCCGTGACGGCAGACTTCAACTGCTACTCCGATGCAAACAGAGGATCCTCAAACATGTCGCTGCATGCTTCTGCTAAGATCAAGGTTACTCTCGGTAATCCAAGCTATACTGATCTACCACTGGGCAGTGAATCCCAGGATTCATTCTTGGAAGTTGAGACTGATCGATTTTACAACTTTGTTTCCGACCTTGGGTTCGGTTACACGGGTCCATTTCACGCGCTTTCAAACCTGAAAAGGAAAATGGATCATGCTACTGGGGACATCGCGGTTCCAATGGAAGGCAGCACAGGAGGGCATTTGCTGGTTCATCCTGGATCGCTGGATGGTGCGATCCAGGCAATTATGCTAGCGTACTCCTTTCCTGGCGATGGTCGTCTGCGCACTCTCTACCTCCCTACCAAGATTGACAGCATCCGGATCAACCCGGCCCTTTGCTTGGAATTGGCAGGTCCTGGTTCGAACCTTCAATTTCACTCTTCGGTCGTGAGTGCTCGGTTCTCCGAGCTTTCTGGAGATGTGGACCTATACACATCCGATGGCCAATACACAGTTGTGCAACTTCAAGGGCTCCACACAACTCCTCTCACTCCTTTGACAGCAGCTACTGATGTTCCAATGTTCACCGAGATTCAGTGGGCCTCCGAAGAGGCGACAGCGTGTGATATTGATTTCGACGTGGAATTCACAAATCAAGCAGAGCTGTTAGCAATGGAGCGTGTTGCGCACTTCTATTTGAAAAATCTCCACCTATCCATTGATGAGTCCGAAAATGCAGCGGTCGAAACGCACCACAGTCATCTTCTGTCATATTCCAGCCACTGTGTCTCAATCGTGAAATCTGACCAGCACCCCTGGGTCCCATCGAAGTGCAGTGACGACACTGCGACCGACATTGCGCGATTGCTTTCCAGGTAATTCTACTTCAGGGTTTCCTAATTCCTGCTGAAGGGAACTAACATCTCTAGATATCCGGAGAGCATTGATATGAAAATCATGAGGCGAGTTGGCGAGGCACTGCCTTTGATTGTCCGTGGGGAAGTCAACTTACTTGAAATTCTCATGCAAGACAACATGTTGAGCCAATTCTATTCTGAATCATCTGGAATCCAATTTTACCTGCAACACATGTCCCGAATCTGCGGTCAGATCAGCAATCGCTATCCCCATCTTAATGTTCTGGAAATCGGTAAGTTCAAAATGAGGCCCAGCATATGACCCATTGCTCATACACTAGTATAGGTGCCGGCGCTGGGGAGAATACTGAATGGGTGTTGCGAGGGATTAACAAGGGCTTTGCTTCCTACACCTACACAGATATCTTGGATGGTCAGTTCGATGAGGCACAAGACAGGTTTCAAGAGCACCAGGCCAAGATGGCATTCAAAGTCCTGGACATTGAATCCGATATTACAGAACAAGGATATGCCCCAGAATCATATGACCTGGTGATTGCTTCACTTGCGCTCTATGCGACAAGCAATATTGAGAAAACACTATCCAATGTCCGCCGTCTCATCAAACCCGGCGGCTACTTGTTGCTTTTGGAGTTGACGAACCCAAATGTGATGAAATTTGGTCTCATCTTTGGTGGACTTCCAGCATGGTGGATGGGTCATTCCGAGGGACGTACTTTGTCACCGTGTGTATCCACCGAGGTATGGGATGATTGCATGAAAAAAGCTGGATTCTCAGGCAGTGATGTCTCTATAAACTCGCCACCAGGTCTACCCGTTCCATTTTCGGTAATGTTGACTCAGGCTGTCGATCAACGATTGAGCTTTTTGCGCAACCCCTTAGCTCCCACTAATGAGACACTGGGGATCGAATCATTGACGATCATCGGCGGCCAAAGCTCTTTCACGACCTCATTAGCCTTGGATGTAAGGCACGCAATTGGCAGTCATTACAAGAAAATCGTGTTTTACTCTTCATTGGCGGATATTTCCTCGGCAGACCTTCGAGTCATGGGCTCTGTGCTCTGCTTGTCTGAGTTAGATGAGCCGGCTCTTCTTTCGATGTCACGACAAAACTTGAAAGGTTTCAAAGTGCTTTTCGAGAAGAGCAAAAACATCCTATGGGTCGGTCACGGTGCACAAGGTGATAACCCATCTGCCAACATGATCGTTGGTGTTCAACGGACACTCCAGGTTGAAATGCCTCATCTAAGAGTGCAGTTCATGAACCTTCACTCTCTAAAGGATGCAAATTCGGATCTTATATCCAGAAAGATCTTACAGCTTGATGCTACGGACATCTGGGAGCAGAAAGGCCACCTCCAAGAGATTTTGTGGTACAGAGAACCGCAGATCACTTTGCGCGATGGGAGCTTTTTTATCCCTCGATTAAAACTGCACACCGAAAGAAATGACCGGTATAACTCCTCCAAACGGCTTGTTGTGAAGAGTGTGCAGCGAAAGTCCTCGGTTGTCGTGGTAGACAGATCCGATGGTTACTATCAAGTCTTGGAAGGAAAATACCCGTGCTCCGGGCCATCGGACAGTCGCGTGCGAATCCAGGTCACGGAATCTCTGCTGCGCCCGCTCATGATCAATGAAACAGATCATCTATTTCTGGTTGCTGGAAAAGAGTGTGAAACAGGTGTTGATGTAGTCGCACTTTCGGAAACTCTTTCTTCCTGCATAGACATCCCAACATCTTGGCAGGTGCAATGCAGGAGCTCAAAGAACGAACCTCGTCAGTCGATGATAAGTCTTTACTCACATTTCATTGTCCAGGCGCTCTTCCGAAATATCCTCCCTGGAAGTACCATTGCTGTCCTGGAACCCGATTTTTCACTGGCGGCGGTGCTTGAACAACATGCAACGCGAAGAGGTATCCGGCTGGTTCTTTTCACCACAGAGAACAGGTTCTGTTCGCAGCCCTGGGTCTTTATCCACAAAAACTCTGCGCGACGTGAAATAAAGGCAATGACACCACCAAATGTCGTCAGGTTGTTCAATTTCGCTGGCGACCATGACGTGCTGTCGCGCCTTCAGGATAGCTTGCCAGATGAGTGCCGACTGGAAACCGAGCGCACTTTGACAATGCAATATTCCAATTACTCCCCTAGCCCGACTGGAGAAGATGATGTCGGTTTCCAGCTACAGAATTTGTGGTCTAAGGTTCAAATTGACCAGGGCCCCGTCAATCTGAACAGACTTCCAAATCTCACCCTTGCAGGTCTTATCGACAGCCAGCCAAGCTCGGGTAAACAGGCTCTCCTCACCTGGGAGGATAAGAACCTGCCGCTTCAGGTGTTCCCCGCGACATCTATTGTCAAATTCGACAAAAACAAAACATATTGGCTCGTTGGGCTCACAGGAGGACTTGGCCTTTCTCTATGCCAGTGGATGGCTAGCCAAGGTGCCCGGTATATTGCTTTGTCGAGTCGTAATCCAAAGATCGACCCAAATTGGATACTCCAAATGGCTGGGAACGGATGCACAGTCCGCGTTTTTGCCAAGTAAGCCATTCCTGTGTTCAAATCTGGAGATATGCCCTATTCTAACAATATCAGTGATATTACAAACCGTGAGTCTGTGAGGAGCACTTACGATCAGATTGTCAACTCAATGCCACGAATTGGCGGTGTTGCACAGGGCGCCATGGTTCTCCAAGACACCATGTTCCTAGATCTCGACCTTCCTCGGCTTGAGAAAGTTCTGCAGCCCAAGATTCAAGGTAGTATTTTGCTCGATGAGCTCTTTTCTGAGGACACTCTAGATTTCATGGTATTTTTCTCGTCTATGGCTTCGATCACGGGAAACCCTGGACAAGTCGCATACAATGCTGCAAACATGTTCATGGCTAGCTTAGCCGCACAGCGTCGGAGTCGTGGATTAGCCGGGTACGCCATCAACATCGGAGCCATTGTCGGCAATGGCTATGTCACACGAGAGCTGAACATGGACCAACAATCATATCTATACCGAGTCGGTCATACCTGGATGTCGGAGCAAGACTTCCGGGAGGTATTTGCAGAAGGAGTTCTTTCCTGCATTGAAAGAACGGGCAGCTCAGAGCTGTGTAGTTCATTGAGGATTGACGAGGACGAGTCCAAAAACTGGGTCGCAAATCCCATTTTCCAGCATTTGGTAATAAAATCCAACTCGTTTGCTGCGACGGGCAAGAAAAACAAATCGGGAGTTATTGTTAGACTGCAACTGCTCGACGCCACCTCCAAGGAAGAGGTTTTGGAGATTCTACAAGGTATGATGGCCCTTCTTTGAATCTAGAGGAGCTCAAGGTTAACCGGATATTGAAGACGTTTTCACAATCAAACTGCGATCTGCCCTTCAGACCGACCCGGACAAAGCGATTCTGGACTTGAGTCCGGATGAATTGGGTGTCGATTCACTTGTCGCTGTAGAACTTCGATCTTGGTTCATCAAGGAGATTGCCGTTGATATGCCAGTGCTGAAGATTTTCAATGCAGCATCAATTCGAGATCTCTTAGAGTCGGCGGCCAATCTTCTGCAAGATACGCTGATTCCTAACGTGAAGAAGGATGAGGAAGCTGTCTCGAAAGCTCCTGTAACTATGCCTCCTCGTTCACCCCAGATAGGCTCCCTGGAACCTGAGTCTGCACAGGATACGCCGACCTCAGAGTCTAGTGATGATATCAAGGCCTTCCACTTGGAGTATTCTCCATCACATGATATTGGCAGTGCAAGTTCGGTGACATCTGCCCGAGCCGGTGATTCGAGCTCGGAGCAGAATGATGAGGCATCTTCATCTGCAAGCTCTGTTGAGGATGTCACAGATGTTGATCTTGATCAAAAACGACAAATTCAACGAACCCTTCCCATGTCGCACGGACAGTCACGATTCTACTTTCTAAAATCATTCGTTGAGGATCAGACTGCATTCAATGTCACTCTAGCCTTTGAGCTAACGGGACACTTGCGGATTGAAGACTTGGCCCGAGCAGTTGAAACAGTGGGCCAGCATCATGAAGCATTGAGAACATTTTTCTTCCTGAGTCAGGACAAGCAAGGAATGCAGGGCGTTTGGACCAAGTCCTCGCTGCGACTAGAGCGCAGCTTGATCAGTGACGAGAAAGAGGTTGAGACTTCTAAAGATCAGATGAAATCTCATGTCTTCAATATTGAAGATGGCGAAACCTTCCGCATACAGCTACTTTCCCTGCGAGGCGATAAACACTGGCTAATTTGTGGCTTCCATCACATCAACATGGACGGCATCAGTTTCGAGATATTCTGGTCGGACATCGAGAAGGCATACAGAGGACTGTCTCTGTCGTACGATATGCTTCAATACCCCGACTTCACTTTGAGGCAGTTGCGTGATCATGAAAGTGGTGCCTGGGAAAAGAGCCTCCAGTACTGGAGAGCGGAATTCACGGATATGCCCCCGGTCGCGCCTCTACTTCCATTCTCTCGTGTGCCCGCTAGGCCCACTGTTACGGACATCGGAACGCACAATGTTTCCATGCGTCTAGAAAAGGAGCTTTCAGATGGAATCAAAAACTGCGCAGGCATCTTCAAAGTTACTCCGTATCATTTCCATCTTGCAGTTTGGCAAACTCTTCTGTTGCGACTCTTCGATGTGGAGAACATATGTATCGGCCTTGGAGATGGTAATCGCACGGATCCAGATGTTATGCAGAGCATTGGGTTGTTCCTCAATCTTGTTCCAATCCGGTTCCATCGCAAGCCTTCTCAATCGTTCGGAGAGGCGTTAAAAGATACAAAGTCCATTTCTCAACAGGCGTTCTCACATGCTCATATCCCATTGAACGTCATTCTCTCTGATTTGAGTGTCCCTAGATCTACATCCCACGGTCCGCTGTTCCAAGTGTCTTTCAATTATCGTCCTGGGATTGCAGAATCTCGCAAGTTTTGCGGGTGTGTTGCCAGTGGGTCTTTATTGACGACTGGCGGTATCTCCTACGATCTTCATCTTGACGTTTTAGATAACGGTGATGAAGGGACATCGATTCACTTGCTGGTTCAAAAAGATCTATATGAGATGCAACATGCGGAAATCCTTCTTCGCAGTTATCACAGCCTCCTACAAGCATTCATTCAGAATCCTGCCACGAGGGTTTTCTGGCCACCATTGTTTTCAAAGGACGATATTGAGAGGGGTTTGACTGTCGGTCGAGGTAAGCTCATAAACGCAGCTCATTGTTCTTTTGTAAATGCTTACTATTCGCAGGATGTGAAATGGAGAGCCAATGGCCCGAGACCTTAATTCATCGAATCAACGATGTTTCGGCATCACACCCTAACCGAGTCGCTCTGAGAGAACCAGGAGGGGCTAAGCTCACATACTCGCAGTTTTCTAGTCGAGTGTCCAGTATTGCAACTGCATTGGTTCAAAGAGGCGTAGGTCCTGGAGATGCTGTCGGGGTTTTCCAATCTCCGGCTGCGAATTGGATTTGCTCAATGATGGCAATTTGGCATGTCGGTGGAACATACGTGCCTCTGGACAAGAAGTCTGGAATACATCGATTATCAACTATAGTCTCCGAGACTGCGCCTTGTGTGATCCTGACTGATGCAACCACTGCACAAGATATCGACCAACTGCACGCCTCAACACAATCGCTTGACGTGTCTTGTATCGAGAAAACCTCCGATATCCCCGCGTCAAACATGGCAAAGGCCACACAGCTAGCCGTTGTTATGTATACAAGCGGTTCGACTGGCGTACCCAAAGGCATTATGATCAACCACTCGGCATTTTCGAATCAAATTCACGTTGTCAGCAAGTCTTGGGGTATTCGGGAAGCAAAGGAGACGGTATTGCACCAATCATCCTGTGCCTGGGATATGTCCCTTCTTCAAATTCTACTCTCACTCAGCAATGCAGGAACATTGGTCATTGCTGACGCTAAAGATCGGGTTAGTCCTGCAGCACTTGCGAGTCTCATTCAATCTGAGAATGTGACCGTCACAGCCGCAACGCCTACAGAGTATTTCTCTTGGCTTCGTCATGGAGGCTCGCAGTTAAAAGACAGTCTTTGGAGTCTTGCAATTTGTGGTGGTGAAGTTCTTTCCGACGGATTGATGCGCGAGTTTCAATGTCTTGCGAAGCCAGAATTGAGACTTATCAATATCTATGGTCCAGCCGAGGCAACAATAGTCTGCAGCTCGGTGGAAATCCCATACATGGACTTTGATGTCAGGAGCGAAAAGAACTCTCTGCCTCTTTATACCTTGCCCAACAACTCGGTCTACATTGTCGACGAAAAGTTGAATCCGGTTCCTATTGGCATACCTGGTGAGTTGGTGATCGGAGGAGCCGGTGTTGCTTTGGGCTATCTCGATGCAGACAAAAACAAGGAGCAATTCATGTTGGACCATCACTCTAGTGCCTCTTTCCAAAGCCAAGGATGGGTCAACATTCATCGATCTGGTGACCGGGCTCGACTGACAGACGATGGGGGTCTTGTTCTCATGGGTCGTATCAATGGTGACAATCAAATCAAACTGAACGGAATACGCATCAACGTCGAGGAAATCGAGGCCACAATCCTGAGGGCTTCCAAGGGCAAAGTTCTGCAGGTGATCGTCTCCCCTCGAACCTCCACTGAGGATCCCAGTCGAAACTTTATGGTTGCATTTGTTGTTTTGGATGATTTCGAGACAACCGAAGTCCAAGCAAGATTTTTAGATCAGCTTGTTCAAGACCTCCCGCTTCCACGATACATGCTTCCAGCTGCGATAATTCCAATCGACACTCTGCCTCAGAACACGTCCGGAAAGGTGGACCGGTCGATCGTCAACAGCATGGTCATTCCAAATAACCCGTGCCAGGAAACCAAGAATGACAGCCTTTTACCTTTGGAGGCTTCTCTCCGTCAGCTTTGGCAAGAAACGATCCCTCAAGATCTCATCTCTCATCACTCAATCCAATCACAATCGGAGTATTTCCATTGTGGTGGAAGCTCTCTCTCCCTCATTAACTTGCAATCTTTGATCAAGGAACGGCTCGACGTATCAGTGTCTCTACATCAGCTGTTTGAAGCGAGTTCCCTGCAAGACATGGCCTCTCTGGTAGGAAAACGATCATCTGCCAATATTGCAACACCTGTCGATTGGGAAAAAGAAATCAACGGCTTGCTGTTATCTTCTCAAGACACCCTTCCTGCCATTACCAACCAAAAGGCGCCTTCCGGGACCAGCGTGGTGGTTCTCACAGGAGCAACTGGATTCGTCGGGAAGGAGATTCTGCGTAATTTGTTGGATGATGAAAGGATTCAAGCCGTACACTGCCTTGCTGTCCGCCGCTCACCCAACGAACTACCCGACATTTTTGCGCATCCAAAGGTCCATGTGCACGAAGGAAATCTTGGGGCATCAAAGCTGGGACTATCGGAATTTGAAGCAGTCTCAATATTCAGTCACGCCGATATCATTATCCACAATGGGGCTGATGTTTCTTTCATGAAGACCTACCAATCTCTCAAATTGACAAATGTGGCGTCTACGAAGGAGCTTGTGAAGCTTGCTTTGCCACGTCGCATTCCTTTCCATTTCGTATCGTCTGCGACTGCTACCAGACTTTCATCCCTACCCAGCTTTGGAGAATCGTCTCTCGCTGCATACAGTCCTCCCAACCTTCCAGATGATGGCTATATGGCAGCCAAGTGGGTATGTGAGGTATACTTGGAGCGGGCTAGTGAACAATTCGGTCTTCCAGTCTGGATTCACCGCCCATCCAGCGTTTCAGGGGCGAATGCGCCGGAGCTCGATATGATGAGCAACATCATGCGATATTCCCAAGAGACGAAGAAGATCCCAGACACCAAGTCGTGGCCTGGGGGCTTTGATTTGATCTCAGTGGATTTGGTGGCGGAACAGATTGTGGAAGCTGTGCATGAGTCTGGCTTGTCTGCAGGAAACGAAGGTGTCCGATTCCGTTTTGAATCTGGGGAACTTGTGTTTGAACAGGGGAAATTTCAAGAGGCAATGGAGACTAGAACAGGGGAACAATTCGAAGTGGTATCTATTCCGGAATGGGTGGATCTTGCTGAGAAGGCAGGGATGAGCACGTTACTTGGAATGTACTTACGGAAGGCTTCAAATGGGCAGGTTTTGCTCCCCAGATTGGTTAAGGGAGAGAGGTAATATTCGCATTCAGTCTAAGTAGATAGTGTGAATGGAATTATGAAGATTAGACTTCCTCCTCTGCGAAAGCTGACGACTGCCATTATCCTTGCTGGTGATTTTAATGGTGCGCAATAACATGCAAGCATAACCTGTTCTTAAATCTAACTATAGCCTCATCTTGATTCACATGTGCTCGTTAAACCACAGAACAGCTTGCAAAAACGCAGTCTCCTTGGCGTACTTTCCGACACGCTTACTCAGGTCACCGCGCACCGCAAATCTAATTCACGATGAGGGTCAGTCATCTCGATCAGCTATCTGATTCTCAGTAAACATACCCATGATCCACACCACTATACAGGTTGATCTGGTAGGGCAATCCCGTCTGTTGAATAATTAATTCACTCTTGTGACATTTTTCGGGTGAAAACAACCGATCAGTCTCAGCAGCAGCGATTCCCAGAGGACCTTTGATCGCGGCCAACTCCTCCTCAGTGACGTTGGTAGGATGCGCCATGAATCCGACATCTACCTTTATGCTTGGCTGGAGGAACCGCACTACATATTTCGCCCCGAAGCAATATCCAACGGCCCCGATTGTCTATTAAAGGTTAATAACCAGAGATTCGGTATGGAGGACGGCCATCCTACCTTGCATCCAAAGGTACCCCGCAGGACTGTCAAGCAACTATCAACAATTGGATCGACATTTGGTGGCGAATGTGCGATGCGCTTGGGGTTGAATGCCCCGGCACGCCATTTCTCCATATCAAATTCGCCTGGCCTGTTCAGTGGCACGGGTTCGCCCTCAAACAGGTCGGGGATCACGACAACTATCATTATACTTAGTGACTTCTTGCCTACACAGGCATGAAAGACTCACAATAGCCATTTGCGGCAGACTGGGCAGCGATCAGCTGAATGTTAATAAAATGATGTCCAATAATATCGGTCAAGCTAAGATACAGTCAGTGTGTGTTAAGCACACCGCAGAATCAAACACTTACATTAAGATTGCCTTGTCTGTAGATTGGTATTCAGGATAGACGGTGTATGCTTCAATGCCAGCAATTTGGGACAGCTTTCCCTTGGCAACGCCTTCATGCTTAACACCCTTGTAGCAACATGACTCAAGGTAGAGAAGCCATTTTGATTGGTAGTGGTCAAGATTATCAAACCTCACATGCCATCTCAGACGGCTTTATATATCTGAGCAGCCTCTCTGTCACCTGACAGTTGACAATTCACCGCTTTCTACCCCTCAACAACCTGCGTCGGATTTAGCTATGGACTTGGTCCCTCATGTTGCTTCGGCCGAGCGTCCTAGACCGACACTAATCTCCGCCACCCAAGTCCAGTAACTTCAACCGAGCGATCTCTCTTGTATCAATCTGGAATTTCAACGACCTCGGTCTATAGGATATCCATTCTTGCTGCGGTCTGCTTCTTAAGCCCGGAGCTCGAAATTCGTGCGAGCCTTGCTTGGTTTTGTCCCCGAGCTTTCTTTTCCAAGTTTGGCTTGAGCAAACCTCACAAAGCGATTTTGGGGTAAAATACAGAAGAGCTTTGGAGCTTTGGAGCTTAATTTATGAGACCTTGGAAAATAAACAATTTTCGAACGTTGGAATCGGATTTCGGAAGCAACGGATGCTTTGAAAGATACATGTCCTGGGCAGCCGAAGTTTTGATCTGGGCCGAGTTCACCATTATTCGGCCAATATGTATACAACGGTTACCAACTTAATCTTCACGTCCCCGAAACCTTGGAAAAGACCTCGCCCGCCCGGGGACTTGACCCCTTGGAACTTAACCTTGGAGTCAACGATTAATTTACTTCAATTGTGATTATGGTGCCTTCCAAGGCTGTTTCTCCCGCAATAACAAACCTTGGGAGAACACTAGGGAAATCTGGGAAGAATTTCCGCATCCCTTGCACGTGTTGCAAGGTTGCAAAAGTTGGAATAACAGGATCCAAGGCGGCTGTTGTAATATTTTCCACATTGATCTGAGTCGTATAGCTTGATAAATCGAACACAGAACTAGGTGGTTTGAATGCGCAGATTATTCGGCGTTGAAAAAATACAGGTCAGGAATACGGTCACGAGATGTTTCCTGGGCAAAAGCCGGTATCCTCGGGTAACTTTAAACCTTGATGGCCCCGATCTCGCAGACCTTTTAACTATGGAAGGTGCGTTGCACTCTTAACGGCAATTGCTCCACGAGGGGCACTCCCCACCTGATTGGCCTGAGGTGTCATGGTACTCTGTCGCTGTTGACTCACATGCTCTTGTCTAACTTTTAATTTAAAGTCAAGCTTACCTTCTATTCTTCCCATTTTTTTCCCTATTTCTTTCTTTTTCCAACCTTTACCCCTTCCTTCACAACTTCCCACATTTCACAATGGCACAGAACGGTACCTTCAGCAATGACTTCACTGTCAAGGCTGGCCTGGCGCAGATGCTGAAGGGTGGCGTGATCATGGATGTCGTCAATGCTGAGCAGGTAAGCCATTGAGGCAATTCTCCGAATCCTTTCCCTGGAATCTACAGCTAACAACTTCTCCTTCCCCAGGCCCGCATTGCCGAAGAGGCCGGCGCCGCAGCCGTTATGGCGCTGGAGCGTGTCCCCGCCGATATCCGTGTTGAGGGTGGCGTTGCCCGCATGTCTGACCCGGGCATGATTAAGGAGATTATGGAGGCCGTTACTATTCCCGTGATGGCGAAGGCTCGCATTGGTCACTTTGTTGAGTGCCAGGTACGTGAAGGAAATTCTTTGAAATGATCGCAATGCGACTTTGCGCTAGTGAAGTGGCGGATCGACGCTCCCGTCGCGGGGTAAAGGAAAAATCGCAAAGCTAACCACCCACGCTGCGTAGATCCTCGAGGCCATTGGCGTTGACTACATCGATGAATCCGAAGTCCTCACCCCCGCTGACGATGTCTACCACGTCACCAAGTCCACATTCAAGGTCCCCTTCGTATGCGGCTGCCGTAACCTTGGCGAGGCCCTGCGCCGTATCTCTGAGGGTGCCGCTATGATCCGCACCAAAGGTGAGGCTGGTACTGGTGATGTTGTTGAGGCTGTTAAGCACATGCGCACTGTCAATGCTCAGATCGCCAAGGCTCGCGGTATCCTGAAGTCCAGCCCCGACTTTGAGCCCGAGCTCCGCGCTTTCGCCCGCGAGATCGAGGCCCCCTACGAGCTTGTCCGTGAGGCAGCTGAGCAGGGTCGTCTGCCCGTTGTTAACTTCGCTGCCGGCGGTGTTGCGACCCCCGCTGATGCTGCGCTGATGATGCAGCTCGGCTGCGATGGTGTCTTCGTTGGATCCGGTATCTTCAAGTCCGGTGACGCTGCTAAGCGTGCCAAGGCTATCGTGCAGGCTGTTACTCACTTTAAGGATGCCAAGGTTCTTGCTCAGGTTAGCGAGGGCCTCGGCGAGGCCATGGTCGGTATTAATGTGCAGAAGATGCCCGAGGCTGATAAGCTGGCCGGTCGCGGATGGTAGATTGTCTTCACATGTTTGTTTCTTTTACGTTCGGTCTTATTCGGGCCTTCAAAATTCGCTGTACATGAGTCACGAGCCGATCTATTTGCATGATACACAAAAATCTTAGAGATTATGATTATTTGAAGTCAATTGGTAGATCAGATGAACATGCAAACCTTGTAAGAGTGTCAGGCCAGATCGAGTTTCATACGAGATGATTCCAAGATCTGGAGCATATGGCCCCAATGATAATTTACATGTCGCCTCCCATTCCCCAAAGGGATGTCATACATGCCACTGGTAGGTATGGAGAAACAAGATGCAAGGATATGATAGGTTCCTCCCTCCGACCGATCGCCGAACGCTCTGGGGAATGACTTGAAGAGGGATATCGATTTCGATAGGCAACAGAACACACCAAGATCCACCTTTTTCGTGGAGCCTGCTTTGCCCCTCTATTGCCCCTCTTACGCATCCAATAGGCAATTCGCCATCTATTCTCTTCACCGAGACTACCCGTTGTGGATCACCCTGCTTCCCAAGGGCGCGGGTAATGTTCCGTAACATTACGTACGTACGTAATCAAAAACAGAGATCGATCTTTCCGGGCTCATCCATATCCGGCATTGCTAAGATATTTGAAGATTGAATAATGGAAACTGTTGTTATAAAGAGCCTAATAGTGTCATAATTGTATCTCATTCTATATCACTATTCCCAAGGAACATCATCTCAAATCATCGATAGCGTCATCATTAGTCGTAGCATCTACAGCCCTAGCCAGAATCGGGTCTTGCCAACCTCGAATTGACCTCGAAGCTCTTCGTCGCCAGTACCAGTGATCAAGACCTCGTATTCACCCTTCTCGGAAATCCATTGCTCACGCTGCTCATCCCACCAGCTCGTCGCGAGCTTCTTCTCAACAGAAAGCTGCACGGTCTTGGATTCACCGGGCTGGAGGAACACCTTCTGGAAAGCCTTGAGCTCACGGACAGGGCGATTGACATCAGTCTTGGGGGGAACAATCCAAAGCTGGACAATTTCAGCACCAGCAATGGAGCCAGTGTTGGTAACTGTGACAGCAGCGGTGATAGGTTCTCCGGACTCGGAGTACTTGGCCTGCTCGGGAACGGTCTGGATACTCAAGTCCGATCGGGTAAAGGTCGTGTAAGATAGACCGTGACCGAAGGGGAATGCGGGGGCAATATCGCTCCTCTCGAAGTACCGGTAACCTACGTAGATGTCTTCACCGTAAAGAACACGGCCGCGCTCAGAGCGGAAGTTCACGTAGGACGGATTGTCTTGCAGGCGACGGGGGAAGGTGACCGGCAACTTGGCGGACGGGTTCACATCACCGTAGAGCACGTCTGCAATACCATTGCCGCACTCATTACCGCCGAACCAGGCTTGCACCACTGCGCGCGCGTCATTTACCCATGGCATGGTCACGGGTGTGCCGGATTGAATCACGACGATGGCATTCGGGTTTACGCCCAACACGCGGGTGATCAGCTCGTCGCTTCCCGAGGGTAGATCCATATGGTCACGGTCGTAACCCTCTGTTTCCCACTCGCTTGTCAAACCTGCGAAGATAACAACCTGCTCAGCTGTCTTTGCCTGCTCCACGGCAGCGGAGATCAGTTCTTCCTGGCTGACGCGACGACTAGCGCCAAAGCGGAAGCCACCAGGACCAAATGCTACAATTCCACGGGTGTCCAGATCGGAAGTGGGTGCGGTGCCAAACTCGAAAACAACCTTGTAAGTCTGTCCGGCATTGAGCTCTTTCTCACCCTGCTCCTCGATTGTTGCTGTGCCGAAGAAAGCAGAGCCTTGCTTCTGATTTTTGGTGTTGTCTACCACAACTTCACCGTCAATAAGCAGGCGGCCAGTACCGACAACCGTCACGCCAAAGTCGTAGACTCCGCTCTCCTCAGGCGTAAAATATCCTTCCATATCAACATAATAGGTCATGGATTTGATCTTAGGGTTGACATAATCCATCAAGAATCCAAGCGAGTTAATGAGCTGTAGCTCATCCACTACAGTGCGTTCTGTGCCAGCACTTGGGTGCTCATTGTATACTTTGAAAGTAAAGCCAGTCTTGCCGTCCTCGGTCTTCATGAGGGGACCGAGAAGGGGCAATTCCTTGTGAGAATAGACACCCTGAGCGAATTTGACATCACCATTGCTCTTCGCTGAGACGCCGTCAAACGGAGTCACAGTATAGTAAGGTGCCAGGGAAGCCGAGCCACCACCACAGTAGGCAGCCTGCTTGGCGTTAGGTCCAATGACAAGTAGCGACCGGTCCTTTTTCAATGGCAAGGTGGCACCCTCATTCTTCAACAGAACCACAGACTCTGCGGCCGCGCGACGCATTAATGCTTGATCTTCGGGTCGGTTTAACGCGATCTCATCCGCTCCTTCAGGAATGCCCAAGGGTTCAACATAGTTGACCAATCTTAAGATGTTGCGCACACGTTCATCTAACTTGAACTGGGCTACCTTATTGGACGAAACGGCGTGTGCAAGAGCTTCTCCACGCCAGCGAGACTTTCCTGGCATCTCGATATCGAGACCAGCATTTATTGCGTCAGATGTGCTATAGGTACCGAACCTGCGAAAGGAGATGTCAGAAATCGCCGGGTTCATTGGTTGAAAGGTGGACTTACCAGTCACTCATAACCAAACCGTCCCATCCCCACTCTTTTCGCAGAACATCAGTAATCAAAAACTCATTCTCGCTAACATGTGTACCATTGACCTTGTTATAAGCAGTCATAATACACGCAGACCGACAGATCCGCATAGCCAATTGGAACGGAAGCAGGTAAATCTCGCGCAGAGCACGCTGTGTAATAATGCTGTTCACAGCCATTCGCTCGTGCTCCTGGTCGTTACAGACAAAGTGTTTCAGTGTCGCAGCGACACCTTTATCCTGCATACCCTTGCAGAAATGCCCTGCAAGAGTACCGGAGAGCACACCATCTTCGGAGAAAGACTCAAATCCGCGACCGCCGAGCGGCGATCGTTGAATATTGATTGTGGGACCCAGGACGATATGGGTGCCCTTTGCAATCGCTTCATCGCCCATTAATGTGCCGACCTCCGACAACAGCTCGGCATCCCAGGTTGCGCCCAGGGCGGTGGCGCATGGGAAACAGGCTGCGGGAATACCGTTGAAGAAACGGGTGCCACGAACACCATTTGGGCCATCTGACATGCGCAGTGAGGGAATATTTAGGCGCGGAATGGGTACTGTGTGCCAGAAATCGCGTCCTGTTGTGGTAGGTTAGCATTGTTTTGTATGGCGGGGGTTAGTGAGGGCAGAAGTCGAAGGATGAAGTGAAACTTACCAGCTGTGAGGGCTACCTTCTCACCCAATGTGAGTTCCTCAATAGCTTTCTCCACATCAATAGGAGCCATGATGTTGAGGCTCTTTGGCGTTAGATCGGAAGTTTATATTTAAGTTCGTCACAGGTTCTGGTATGCTTAAGCCACCACTATTATTGACAAGGGCAAGTGCGAAATTTTTGACTATTGCTGCTGATCAAGGAGAGCGGGGATTATGACGGCCTTTTATGATCGAACCTTGGAAGTAATGGGATAGATCGTAATCTCCCCGACAGAGCTCAAGCGGGGGGAGACGTAAGTGGACCTCGAGCTCCCTGCTCAAAGCGCCACGGAGTTATCCCCTCGCCCGAAGTTTAGCCGGGAGGCACCTGACCTACACACACTTGCTTCACATCGGTTGCTCGGCCCGCAGACCCACGTTACTTAGTAATCGTACACGATTAGTTAACTAATAGCAAACTATGCAGAGGGTTGCAGAGGTCCCAAGGTTTGCTCGGTTGCAATTACCACTGCCCAGCCAAGGTTTACAATCCAGCCGTGCCAACGGGTAAACACATTCCGAACTATCTAGCAGTACACTGACAACTGTCGAGTCTCACACGTCATTTTTCGAGGTACGCAGACAAGAATGCTTTTGCATATCTGGAAATTAACTACTACTTAGAATTATCTTTGAATTGGATAAAAGATTCCTAGTCTATCACCATAGATGGTACTTGTTGGGTCACTCGATGCAACGCACCTCCGGTCAAAGGAATGGCGTTTGTATATACCTGCCGAACGACTCGATCGGGAACGAGGGATGATAAAAGCTCAAGAGATCTCTGATCTCTCTCTTCGTCTCCAAACTTTGGGATTATCAGTCCCCCGTTGACGAAGTAAAAATTGACATAGCTAGCCGAGAGCTTATCGTCGTCACCATTGGTCAAGCCCCGAGGATCCGGCTCTTCAATAGTATGGATCTGCAGAGTTCGACCTCTTGAATCCCGCTCGCGACCTAGCAGCTCCCTGATTTCCACAGAGATGTCTTTCCATACATCGGCAGCCGTGTCATGAGGTTTAGAGTAGACGATAACACCAGGTCGAATAAAGCGCGCCTTGGTATTCATATGCACATCCGTGATATCCACTTTACGTCGACCGGGGAACCAAATGACCTTTTGAATACCCAGCAATCGTTTCAGCTCAGCCTCAATCCTAGCCTTGGACATACCAGGATTGCGCATGTCACAGATAATACTGCTCTCCGTGATCAACAATGTCCCTTCCCCATCCGTCACGAACGCACCTCCTTCAGCACGGAATGGGGAATCGATCCGAGTCACGGGGGCAGGCTCGAAGTCATGATCTATGACCCAACGTGCAAAGTCCGTGTTTTCCTGGAGCGCCTTATCGTCCAACGGTGGCCATCGCTGACCCCAGCATAGCCCATCACCGTCTGGCTTCTTGCCACCCCACTCGTTGAAGCGAAAGTTTACAGCGAAACGTCGATCGGAGAATTTGCCTGTCGCGTCACGGATATAGACTGGTCCCGTGTCGCGGACCCAGCAGTGATTAATTGGGCAAGGGATGATGGTCACGCACCCAAGATCCTTGCCGGTGTTTTGGAGCAGGGGATCTAAGAGGGTCTTGTCATCCGGGCGCACATAGATGCGGACTGGCTCAAATTCTGCGATGGCAGTAGCGAGCTCTGCTAGCTCGATGCAAACTGCGTCGTATTTGTCGGGAGGGAGAGAAGAACGAGATGGGAAGCCGAGGATGGTGGCTTCGTGCTGTTCGCTTTCGGCGGGAAAGATGTATCTTCCTTGTTGGATTTCACTGTGTGTCCTTTCGGATGGTGCATGTGAATATGAGTGTGATGGACTAGACCTAGTATTGAATTTTCTATCGATGACTCGGCGTAACTTTTTGAAGAGCCTCATGATGACCTATTCAATCTGCAAAGCATCTTCCTAGTAAGGAAAAGATATTTATTATGCGGCATTTTAGTGTGGAGAGGTGGCTTTTCTACAAAATGTTCACTTTCTGAGCAGTGTAACTGCAGGTTCGGAGACGGATGGTGCTACATACAAGGCCGGCAGATATGCTTGAATATAGGGCTAGTCGCACAGGATCCAACCAGATCTGCTTCAAAAGTGTTTGAGATATTGAGCATCATATGCACAGGTTAGCCAAAGCAGATAATTGTCCAGATGTAACGAGGAGAAAGATCTATTTTAAATTTCATTGTCGACAAGTTTGAGTTTAACGCGGAAAATAGAAAGAAGGGGAAGGATACGTGAAACAAATTCTGTGAGATTCGATAAATCATAAAAAATTCTTGGCATGTGTGAGTTACACCTTCTCGATATGGGTTTCAAAAATAGTCCTGATAGTCATTGCGCTCTTCTTCGGAATACGTTTCTGGTCATTCTCATAGTCGACGTAGGTCACACCAAAACGAGTCTCATAACCTTCCGCCCATTCAAAATTGCTAAAAAAAAAAAAAAAGTCCATGGTTAGTATGTTTTGCGAGATGGAAAGCGGGGAATACATACTCCATCAGACTCCAAGCCATATAAGCACGGACATTAACCCCGTCAAGGGTATATGCATCAGCCATGGCGCCAATGTAATCTCGGAAATACTTCACACGGAACTCGTCGTCTAGGAGCTGCTCGAGAGGCATATCATTCTCACCTAGCACACTGGTTCCGTTTTCTGTCACATAGATCTTGGGATACCCATAGCGCTCACTAAGCCACTTTAGCAGCTTTCGGAATCCTATTGCGCACGGTCTGAGCCAAGGGGACTGTGTGATAGGGCCAACACTCTGGCCATTTTTGTCTTCGAGGAGAAGCTCCAGGTTTCCTGCAATGTCATCAAGCTCGGGCTCTCCTGTTTTGGCGCGAATAAAGTTGGCACAGTAGTGGTTCATTCCATAAAAGTCATTACTACCATGAACCAGCGCAATCTCTTCTGGAGTCCAGCTTGGCAGTCGATTGCCCAGTTGCTTTATCATGCTGTCTGGGTACTTTCCATGGTAAATGGGATCAGCGAACCAGGAGATAGCAAATTCGATCTTGCGATCGCACGCTTCAACGTCGGCTGGGTTTTCTGGGTCCCATGGATCTGCCCAGTCGCCTTTTGAATTTTGACCATCGTCAGCCAGGAAAGCGTGTTGTGAAACACAGGTCACATACCGTTCAAGGTGATGCCAATTTCACCACCGTCCTGTGTTTTGAATTCTTCACGGTAGATCTTGACTGCTGCTCCGTGTGCAATCAAAATATTGTGCCCCACAATCCATGGCTCTGTTGACCCGTCGCCAACATCACTTTTGCTTCGGTCACTCGTATGACCTGGTGCAAAGGCCCCAGTGTTGTATCCGAGAACACTGCTACACCATGGCTCATTAAATGTGATCCAGTATTTGACCTTGGAGCCAAAGGCCTCGAACATGACCCTGGCATAGTGCGAAAAGTCCGCGACAAATTCTTCCTTGTTCAAAAGCCCACCGTAGCGTCTGTCCAATTCCTCAGGGACATCCCAATGGAAGAGTGTGACCATCGGCGTAATTCCTGCATCGTGCAGATCATCGACAAATCTCTGATAGAACTGTACACCCTTTTTGTTGATGGGGTCATTCCGGCCACCAAGTGGAATAATTCGAGACCTTTGACAGTCAGAAGACAATTCATCATTTAGTTATTTTCAACGAACCATGAAATCGAGAATCTATATGCCCGAGCACCGCATGCCTTCAACAAGGCAATATCCTCGTGGGTTCGGTGATAAGAATCGCACGCCACATCTCCGGAACCGCCACCAGCGATCTTGCCAGGGATCTTGCAGAACTTGTCCCAAATCGAAGGTCCACGACCATCCTCATTAGCACCACCCTCAATTTGATAAGCAGCGGTCGCGAAGCCCCAAAGGAAATCGGGCGGTAGAGTGGATTGCACAATGGATCCCATGTTGGTCGATTTTCTTTCCAGAATTTGAGATTGTCGCCTCAATCCATGCCTTTGGGTATTCGTTTATTTATGAAAGTGTCGACAATGTATCTGAATCAAGGGAGCCCAAAAGCGAAACACTCAGCTCAGACCTTCCTTATCGTGACAGGAATTTTCTCCGCGATCCGGAGCATATCCCGCGCCCAGATGGTGGCAGGCTCCACTGCGCGATCGCGCGTCAGATTGGCTCTGGCAGATGCAACGGTTGCCCGGCCCGTTCACCGCGAAAGCTCTAGGAATCCCGGTTCAACCCCCTAGAGACATCCCGTCCCACGCTTAGTCCAAGGCCGGACGACAAAGCGTGTCCGATGCGGTTCACAAGGCTCCTTTCCCCTGGTGGCTTTTGTTCGGGATTACCCTAGCCTTGTCGCGACCGGGATCATATGAAGGCGCCGATCGCCCTGCATGCCTGCCGAAAACCCGATGCTACCTATGGTTTTCCTTGAATGTTTGCTTGCTTGACCTGCGCGTTGAAATGGTTCGGCTCACATCCTCGGAGAATGTCCGGGGCGCCACTGAACTCTCATCTTACGCATCTTTCTACTGTGAATGCCCGCTGACTAGGACATGACCTAGCATATTCCGTGCGAGAAATCTTGCTTGAAGGGAAGAGTAGATGTGACACCGACTCCTTGTGAGCTGGCTTCTTCGGCCGCCCCAATCATATTGAGTGGATTATCACTGGTGATGGTGAGAAGGTCACCTCGGTTCATGGCGCATGCGTTTGCGCAGGATGATCAACAAATGTTGCGAAGCAGAGCCCAATCCCTATGATCCCGGATCTGAGCCACTCATTCGCACTGCATTGGTCTAATAACCCACCCCACGAACAATGCCCTCAAGTATCGGCCCGCCTGCAAACGTCAGCGTCATGTTTCGCTATGCCTTTTCTTGGTCTCTGCATATAACGATAATTGATTCCAGGCTTTGAATTCTAGAGCGCGTCACTCCAAAGGGAAAGTTTTGCATTTTCTTTGTTTGAGATTAGTGTTATCGGGACTGTCTATTTTGGGCTTTAGAGGGTGTGGCATTCTAGAAAGCCCTCCATCCTAAGGCCCTAATAGGCAACTCTACGTCTACTGTTCCATCAATTTGTAGTGCAGGCTCCGTTTCAATACTTTTATGAATCTACTTCCCAAAGCCTCACCTCGGCTTCTTTTTCTCTTCCTTCGTGAGGGGTATAACATATCCATTCATTGGACATGCCTTTGGAGGTCCTATCTTACAAGCAGCATCATAGACCACTAGGACAATGACCTTTTGTAATAAAATAAGATTTCAAGGAGCTTGCAGGCATAATAAGCGACCGTGGGTAAAAATCAACATTTGGAATGGAGTTCCACTTTCATGTAATTACAAAATAAAAGCCTCACAACTGTCTCCACTTTAACATTCTGCCGTTGCAAAAAACTAGTAAATTAATCCCAAGCAGCCATAATGATAGTTCGCTCCTTTGCGAAGAATCCGCATATCCAGATATCAATTTTTTGAGCCGGCATTGCATTTATTACCTGACCCAAGATTGAACGGTAGTGAATCAACATGGCCTCCATCAGAGTACACAATCCACATTTCGAATCCACGTCTATATTCAACCCACAGTAAACGTTTGTATTCTTCAGAAGGGATAATTAAGGCTGCAACATACCCATTGATGATCTTTGATAAATATGTAGCTACACCTGGAGCCAGACCGGGCATCTTGTCTTGGTTCAAAGATGTGTACACCACATCATCTAGTACAGCTGGATAGGGTTGATTGACATTAGGAAAAGCCCCGTTATAGTTCGTGATATCGAACCTAAAATACGGCCTGTCCGTGATAAAAAGACTTTCTAGTGCCATAGTTCCTTTTTCACTGCCATAGGTCAGATGGTCAGTTTACCTAACAGATGTCCACTTGATCGTGAAATTCTGGCTCGGGTCCACGCATTAGCCGCGGATAGGTGACGTTATGTTCATGCCTATTGACCATTAATCACTCATAAATCAACAACTTAGTTTAGTCAATTGTGGACTTTAGTTGGCTGGGCATGGCGACGAGGAGTAGACATTGCCAAAAGCAAGAGGCGGGGGAAATAGCAGTGATCGGTTTCTAGTACCTAATTGGCGACTTGATATTGATGGATGATTTAAGAAGGCTTCCTCATGAACTGGTTACAGGCATGTGCTGTTGGCATGCCCATGAATCAGGCTTATCGGGATGAGGATTTGAGAAGAAGTTAGGAAATCCCTGGTAAAAGGTCCAATGCTATGTCAGTAGACCAAGAAGTAACGTAAAGAAAATTGGAAGTCATGTAAATTTGATGACTTATAAAAAGGAAAGCCCGCATTTTGGAAGATTTCAGAGCTAGTTCCCAAGGCCCCTGAACCCATCTGTATGGGCAGTAATACTAACCCTCAGCGCCTAGCGTGGAGATTTCATACCCTTGAACGTTTTCTTTGAACATTGCATCAAGGAACTGCTGGGATTGTGCTTGAAAGCAAAATCCTCATTTGATGAGTTGTGACTTACTCAACTTATTAATATTTATTTAGCCGTATAACAATACTAGGAGGACTAGAGGCTGTCTTTTTTGCATCTGGCTATCTGATTTGGAGTCAGATGCCATGGAATACTCAACAAAATCCATGATGTCTAAGCTCGGGTGTAGACATGGCTTTGTAATAACTGGGGACCTATTATGAATCCCAGAGTGAGTTGATGTTTCCAAAAGACCTTTCATACAATTCATGCTGAGATGTGCCTAGTAGGCTGGGACACAAAGCGGATGTCAAAATCTGCTGTCCGGGACTTGATGTTGCGTGCTTACCTGGGAGCATCCATGAATACTGGAACGTTCCGTGAGTATAGCTTGAGGCGAATAAACACGACTAGGATATGCTCATGCACAAGCAGAGGACAGAGAAAGAGCACAGAAGCTGATATTGTTTGGATGTCTGATCCATATGAATATTCCCACGGTCGCTGCGGTAAAAGTACATTACATGACCAGGATGCTTAGGAGGAATGGCGGACCGCTGAGCTGTAGAGTCGAATGTGACATATCAAAAATTGACCTGATGACGTGGCCCTGAGGCTGCTAGTGGTTCACCCGTGGCGATCAGTCTCACTCCTTATCGCTTCATTTGGATGGAGTATGCATGGACGAGTCATGCTTGACTAGGTGAGTGATATTTACAAAGTCTATGAAAGAACGTGTACGATTTTCAAGTGATCAGACGAGTCTAGATGGGTGAGGTGAGTTGGATTTGACCTCAGAAAAATATCAGCCAATGATTGCTCAGGCAAATTCGAGTCCCTGTCTTAATAGTCCTTGAATTCTCGTTTGGCCCCCAAACATGGCTCTTTCAGCCAACTGCTCGAGGCCTTTGCCTTTCCCCCTTTCCCCTTTCCCTTTTTTCGTTTACGTTTCATTCATTCTTTTTTGCAACATCTCACCTTCCCAGAGACTTTCTACTACCTTTGATCTGCATCGGCGAAATTAATAGGGCGATGTTCATTCCAACCAAAGCAGTAGCATCCTAGTCAGCATTATGTGAAGCAGTATACAGATTCTTACAAATGATCGGCGATCAAGTATTTCTTGGTGGGGAATAGTCCACGTGTACGTCTACCCGCCAGGCTCCTGGGCCGTCTTCCGCGAGATGCAGGGCTGGCTCTGTGGCGTTGGTTTCTTTGTTCACTTTCGTTTTTGCTTTTTCAAATAAAACCCTCAGGGGAAACCAAGGGGACACCAAACCTTCTCCCATGTGCGTTATATGAATCGAAAAACGAGTTGCAGTGTTCGTTGTTACAACGTGGGAATATTTATACGGATGAAGATTTGAGCGGCAATGTCACCGTTTTTGGCACCTTGTAGCGGATGCTTATTTTGTGATAGAATGGACTGAGAGGGCTACTAACATTTGAAACCACCTCCTTGACAGGGTTCCGTTCCTTCGACCAGGGTGCGTGTGCATAAGCCACACAAGCTTAGTCCTGCTAAGATTTCTGCTTTCGACTCCCAGCCAGATGGATGGCTCGTTCCTTAGGCACAAAATGAAATCGCATAAATACACGCCTTGGCCAGGGGCTATGCTTTTGCTCTTGTGTATTATAAATACCTTGTTAGCATTTCCATACTTCTCCCTGGTCCGCTCGTTGCTCCATTCGAAATCAAACTGCCTTTGGCATATGTGGACGGGGTATTCTTTACCCATTAAAAGTACGCCATGCCCACTGAGACGGATCTCAATCCCCTCGCTAGTGGAGCCCAAAGGTCGGCAGGACTGCTTCATGAGTACGATTTTGACTTAGGAAGTTGTCCAGAAGGGCATGCAGTGGAAAGTTACACAACACTCATGCCCAGTTACGAAGCCTTCTCAGGGCTCTTGAACAAAGTGACGAAAAACTACCAGGCCATCACCGATGACAACAGAAGTTTTGTACTTCAAAATCTCCAAGAGATGACGCGATGTAGAATGATTGACGAATGGATGGAGACTGAAATTGGTCAAGCGGGCCCAGTGGCGGTTCGACAAGAAGGCTGCAGTCACAATGCTCCCACTATCAAATGGAGCAGAGTCATATCGGCCATTCAAGCGGGGCTTTTCTGTCAAGCAAACCACCCCAATGACGTCTATCGCGGCCGCTTGGGGGATTATGAATACATTATCACCAAACGGCAATGGAAACTTCTGGAGAAGCGGAATTGGAATGTGAACAAGGTGCCGAGCCAATCTGATTGGTACGAAGAACGCAACGAGAGACAAAAGGTCAAGGCTGAATACATTCGCATCGCAAACCTACTGGCTATCGGTGAGTATATTGGCAGTTGACACCTTCACCTTCCTTCCCACTTCGATTAAATACTTACAATTCCAACTTTTGACAGATGCCGAGAAGCTACACTGCCTTTCCAGAGCGATAGACGAGAAGAACGCGGTCATTGAGGAATTTCAGCTTCAGAAGAACAGTCTGGGTCAACTGCCTGCAGCCCGGCATCCATCTGTAACAAGCGCTAGCAAAGAAACATGCCACGAAGATCCTGCAGACGGACCACCAATTACCTCCGTGAATGACCGAGACAGTAATACCACAACTCCGAGGTCATTCGAGGACCTAATTGGCACTTGCACGGCCAGAGACCACAAAGCTGGGAGACTAGCAGGAGACACTGAAAAGCACCTATTTGTGCATGATTTGCGGCTTCGGGGAGTGCCCTGGATAGATGTCGGTATTCAATACAAGAAAAGATTCAACATACAGGGCACTTGCAATTGGAGTACCATACAAAGCAAGTATAGCAAGGAGTTGAAAAAAAGAAAGAGGGGTAAACTGGTCTTGAAAGTTTGTCCATCGCGTTTACGGCAGATTTCCTTGGGGACGACTCGGTCACCATTGAACCCACATCGAACGGCACCAAGAATCGGAGCGGCTGTCTCCAAACCTGTTGTACAACAGATTACACCATCGATCCAGTCCTCCTGTGACGAGGCCGATAATGGCGTGAATAAACACTCAGCAGTTTCATTCCCAGAAACCCCGGCAGGTGATGCAGTGTATGCCCCGTTCTTAAATGGCCTCCCCCTGATTCCAAAGTTTCCACGAGTGAGCCCAGGGTGCCACTCCGAGGTAGCTTGGAGTGCTTATGAGTTCGAAACATCCACCTAGACTCAAAAAATAGATTACATGGGCAATCTAGACGACATGGTGGTTTCCGGACTTTAGCGCCGGAATAGGGTGAAACTAGCCTTTCCTTTGTTCTCTATCCCTAATCTTTCAAGGAGTTCATGTACAATAGTTCCCGGATCTGATTTTGTTTTAGCTAGTATAATGCCTGCTTTGAAGCTAGCCCAGCTCGAAAATTGAAACTTTACAAATGCGTCGCCTGGCATAGACTCGGAATTCAATCTTGATGGGCTTCATAGCTGCCTGTATAATGTGTCTGTATCATGTGTTCAACCTTGGAACTATGAATCATTTTTTAATTATTTTGCTGAGATGACATCAGTTCATATCTACTAGACGTGTAACATAGATACTTACGGCTACATCAGGCGGCGCATCGGTGATAACGACTTGAAAGATTAAACCAAACCGCCGGGCCATACACCTGTGTTGTATTCGCTTTAACAATTTGTGTTCTGTAGCAATCGCAACACCCCTCATCGGGATGTGGACCACAATTACGCACCACAACCCCACGGGGAATCCTCCACATCCATGACCCTCACCGCGCCTCACCCGAACACCCATCCACGTCTCAATTGGCCCTCGATCCTTGAACCCAGACCATGGGGACCGGAGTGGTACAAATACCCAGCCCCTCACCCCAGATCACACGAATTTCCATTCAAAATCCGAATCTTACAACCCCCCCAGAACACACTCACAGCACAATCTCATCACTATGGAGATAATTTGGAGAGACTCCGCCACTAAGGATGCCTATGAGGAGGCGCGTGTTGGTCGCGTGTTCAATCACCGTCGTCCCTCGCGATTCCCCCTCGCTGTCGTGAAGGCCACCAGCGAAGATGATATCGTCAAAGCAGTGAAGATGGCTGTTGAGATGAAGTGCCGGGTGGCAGTTCGATCGGGTGGGCATTCTTGGGCTGCGTGGAGTGTTCGCGACAATTCTATTTTGATTGATCTCGGCAACTACAAACAGGTGGATGTTGATGCGGATAAAAGAGTTGCAAGGGCCACACCGAGTATGACTGGCCGCGAGCTCAATTCCGCTTTGATCAAGGACCATGGATTGATGTTCCCCGGTGGCCATTGTCCAGATGTGGGGTTGGGCGGGTTTTTGCTTCAGGGTGGCATGGGCTGGAATTGCCGAGTAGGTTTGGGAGATCTTGACTACGAATACATCAGTTGCTGACTTGGAAGCAGAACTGGGGATGGGCATGTGAGAGAGTTCTGGGTTTGGATGTAGTCACTGCCGAGGGCGAGTTAATTCATTGTAACTCGACTCAGAATCAGGATCTGTACTGGGCGGCTCGGGGAGCTGGTCCTGGTATGTCGAATGTATTTACTCATCAAAAAATATATACTAATTTTCACAAAAGGCTTCCCTGGTGTTGTCACCAAATTCCACCTCAGCTTGATCCCATACCCGAAGAGAGGATTCCGTTCCTCGGGCTATGTCTACCCGATCAGTCAATACCGAAAGGCATTTGACTGGCTCCTATCAATCACGGAAACCTTCGATAATGACACTGAGATTGCCGCGATCTCGCACTACCCAGAAGGCTCTAAGGAAATGTGCTTCTTCATTCTGTTCGTTGTTATGAAAGATACTCCCGAAGAGGCAGAGAAAGCACTCCGCCCAGCACAAGATACTCGTCCCGGTGGGGCCATTGATGAATGGTTCTGCAGGGAAGATAGTCTCGAACAGCAATATGATAAACAGGAAAGCGCCAATCCTGAAAAGCACCGCTACTGTGCTGAAAATGCATACATCAAAGATGACGCTGATGTCCCCGCGGTACTGGAGGAAGCATTCACTACCCTACCCCATCGAAAAGCATTCGCTTTATGGTATCCGATGAACCCGTGCAGTCGCCGGAAGCTACCAGACATGGCTCTCAGCATGCAATCCGATCATTACTTTGCGCTGTATACAGTCTGGGAAGAGGAATCTGACGATGCGCGCTGCCAAGCGTGGGTGAAGAATGTGATGAAGAAGGTTGAGCGACAGTCTGTCGGAGCATACCTGGGTGATTCCGACTTTCAGGTCCGCCGAACCAAGTTCTGGGCCGATGATAATGCCAAAAGACTGATGACTATTCGGCGCAAATGGGATCCCAAGGGTCGTGTTTGTGGATATTTGGATGAAGACGACAAGTCGGGAACAACTGGTTTGAGAAATGTGCATGAGTGGAAGCTGTGATCAGCTCAGGGCTTGGGGAAGTGTATCTGCGCACTGGGGAAATTGGATGATTGTTTTGTTCACTGCAATATTACATTGGTCATGTTTTTTATGCATGTATATAACGCCTGTAGACCTCGGGAGTTCCATATTGAGGGCATTTCCAACCGGGGACTTAGTTCTGTAACTATAATTAAGCAAGGAGTTTTTATTTACAGCTTTGGCTTAGACTGGTCCGCCTGTCTAAGTTTCTTCCACACTTTCACACCCTCGTACCACATTGCATCACGTTCAATCTTGACCGTTCCGTCTGGCTTGAAGGTTCGCACGCCTTGTTGCCCGCTAGTTCCCCAGCCAAATCCATCTTGACCAGCCGCAGTCGGGCCCTGCACGAAGCGGCCCAAGGGACCTATCAAAGCTTCATATGTGTTCTTCTTCTCAGTCGAGTTGAGAACATCTCCGTTACCCCAGAACCACAGCGGGTAATCAGACGAGTGCGTTACACCCCATTCGATGGGCAGCGCTTTATCCATACACTTGGCACGGTACTCGATGCGATACCTATACAGTAGGCTCGAAGCGTCCACACCTCCAGTGTTAGACGTAAGCGCATGCATGAATCCACGCTGCATATGATGAACCTGCATATCAGCATAGATCTTCCCCCAGGCATCAGAGACCCAGTCCTTGCAATCAGACGGGAATTGACCATTAGGGTAATGCAATGGGAGCACAGCATCGACAATCCGCTCGGGGTAGTCGGCGACCAGACGAGTCCGGAGTGCAGATAATGTGTTTGCCTTGGGCGGGAACCAAACAGCGTATAAATGTCTTTCGTCGCGGCACTCGCCTAACATTAGGCGTATCTTCCGAGTAAGCATTCGGCGCGCAAACTCGCCATTATCAAGTGACTCGAAGAGTGTTGGAAGGACGAAACCAGAGTCAGTAGTAGGTCTGAATTGATGCACATCGATTGTCTTCCCAGCGTCGAGAAGGGCTTTGGCTGGCAGCGACCGGAGCCTGGCCAGCTTCTCGTTCCCAGAAAGAGTCAGCGGAATTTCAAGCGCAGTCAGCAGTTGGTCAAATTGTATTTGTGTCTCGGCTGGACTCTTTGGCTGCACGGCGGGTGAGTTAGAGAACATGCATGCTTGGCGAATGATGGCCTGTGAATCTGGTTGACGGAGGTCATATGCGAGCTGGTGGAAGACAGAATTGGCACCTATTCGGAATTCAAGTCAGTTCGGATCTGTGTTGATCGCATAGAAGCTTGATCATACCCGCAGAGTAACCGGAGATTGTAATGTTGTCGGGGTTTCCGCCGAACAATTGAATATTCTCCTTTGTCCATTCCAATGCCAGTCTCTGATCCCAGAATCCATGGTTACCAACTGTTTCGCCGACAGACGCGGCATCATCTGCTAACTCAGCCGAATAAAGGAATCCAAACAGATTCACGCGATATGCAGGCATGACGACCACAGCATTGAAATCGGTTTCGCCTAGCAATGCCCCCGCATTGAAGCCATTTGGAGAGCCGAATTGGAGCCAGCCACCATCTGTTACTCGCAGATTAGTCTCTCTCCCTCGGATATAGGGAATTGACTGAGTGTTTACGTACGGATAAAAACATAAACAGGCCATCCACCTTGAGGGGGCTGGCCTGTTGGAACCCATACGTTGCACTGGAAGCAATCCTCCGACCAGGCGTCCGGGTTCTCAGGTGAGAGTTGTAGGAAGCCGGGCTGCGGACATAACCCCGCTCCGCTGTCGCACTGACCAGGCGATTGTTTAGTGCCGTAGCTGAAATTCGACGACAAGCGGCGAGCTCGTCGCCATCGCTGGAGGGGAGGAAGAGCGTATCGAACGCCGCCAAAGTAGTGACAGAAGTCCGAATTCTTTCCACTAGGTGAGATGGTGGCACCCTGGATGACGCCACGGTGGGCGAGGTCCTTCAGATACGGGCGACGAGATGTTTCCATTTCGTGGTCTTGAGTTCGGAAAGGCGTAAAATGAGGACGGGCAGATAAGGAATTGACGTTCAATCACGGATCAAATACGAGGATGAAGTATACTTGTCTTGACGAGACAACTCTCCGGTCTCTAGATTATCGGATTTTTGCAGGTTTTGCGCTATTCAGGACACGCTGCTCTTTTATCGCCCGTCAGATTGCATTCCGCCATTCCGCTATGGTCTTTTTATCCGTTATAGATAATGGTTGCCGAGATAAAGAGCCAAGTGGAGCTTTTCATTGGTGAAGGAGACGAGCTGATCGGCAATTTGGAGCTCCGGGTTTGGAGAAATGGATAGAATGCGGGGAGTGTCGGCGCTCGGTGACCAGATCTATTGCCGATGTCACATCTACGCATTTATAAGTATAATAGAGCTTCGGAATGAGTTCCCAAGTTTGATTTATTGTTCAATCATATCCATGGATAAAGTCGTTGAGTTATGACGTACTAAACAGGAACAGGTACCTAGTGATGATTCCCGTGTGGACGGTATCCACTTTGAACCCGAGCGCCCACCACCAGTCAGAAGATTCAATATCACGGCCGGAAGCCATACATGAGTGTCGGCCTCAAACCTCGATGATCAGCATTTTGAACGGGAGTATATAACGCTTACAGAAAACCCTCATACTATAAATTACTTAGACACCAGAGAAGCTTGGTGATCATTCGAGATAGAAGTTCATTCGGGTCGAAGCCCATTCATCATATATTGGTATGGAAATGTCGTGTAAACGAGGGGAGATAGCCCCTAGGTCACTTACTCAATTCACTTTGGTAGGCCAGACCAATTCCGTACTCGGATGGATCACAAGGACCTATACCTTCATCTTCACAGCTTCATCGCTAGAAGTGTTGTTATCGCCATTGTCAGACTGTGCCTGGCCAACCTGGACCTGGAGCATACGACGTGCAACACGGGGAGGGTCAAATATGGACTTGGACTGCGCGAAGATCTCGTCAATTTCCTCTAAAGTGCGCCCCTTGGTCTCGGGGAAGAAGAAATATACACAGGGCACGATTGCCGCATTTGTAACGGCAAAAATAATATAATATCGGTTGGAGATCGTGTCAAATCCGACCGGCGTGATTTCAGCGAGTAAGAAATTGAAGGCCCACACAGTGGCTGTGGAGACGGCGTTCACTGCGGCGCGGACTTGTAGTGGTGCCATCTCTGCGGCATACAAGAATGTCAGGCCCGAGTAGCCTACTGTGAAAATGAATTGGAAAGCATATAGGAACACCACTGCCACCACGAGAGCACCCGTATTGCCTTCTTGCCCAGTTGTGCCAGCCAGGATCGCCATGCATATTGACATGGCGCCCGCAGACCAGAGCATCAAAGGACGACGACCTAGGCGGTCAATTGTGTAGAAGGCGAGGAAGCCGCCAAGTGGTTGTGTCAGACCCATCGCGGCAGCCAAAATTCGAGAACGAACAGCGTCCAGGCCAAGATACTGCTGGAAAATTGTAGTAGCGTAGTAGGTGATTAAGTTAACACCACACATTTGCTGAAACATTTGACCCGTTGCAGCGAGATATGCGCGGTGGAAAAGTCGCTGCTCGCCCATAGTGAACATGTCGCGCCAGGATGAAGCCCCGGCTTTGGCTAGAGATGTTTCAATCTCGTAGATAGTATTTGTGATGACTTCTGAATCAGATCCAACATCCAGAAGAGCTTGAAGAACTTCCCGGGCTTCTTCGATTCGGCCCTCCTTGATGAGCCAACGAGGCGACTCCGGGAGGAGCATAATAAACGTCATAGCGATGAGACACAGTACAATCTGGAAGGCGAGCGGAAATCTCCAGGATACCGAGTTGCCTTTGATAAAATAGAAACCGAGGTCAATCCATAATGCACTGGTAACACCGATTCCAACGAAAATTCCATCGGTGACAACATTAGAACCTCTCTTATGTGAAGGGGAAATCTCTGACTGCCAAACCGGGACTGTCGCAAGATAACCACCAATTCCAAGACCAAGGACTAATCGAGCCACAATAAATTGAGCAAATTGAAATGAGGAAGCCATGAGGATGGCGCCGATCACAGCAATGAAATTGGTGATGAAAATGACCTTCCGTCGGCCAAGAAGATCGCCGAGGTAGATGCAGGACAGGGCACCAAAGATACCTCCTGCAGTGTAAAGTGCGATAACCGTGCCTGTCATGACGCCCACGTGTTAGCCCGGACTCCGAAGTCAATTAAACCATATCTCAGCCGCACTAACCTTGAATAGTAGAGTTCTCATGTTTAGTCGCAGCATCACCATGCAGTGTATCCATTCTTGGAAATTGGGCATTGAAAGTCTCGAGAGTCAATAAACCACCTGCAACACTCATATTGTATCCATAGCAGGTGAAGGTCGGACACACGACCAGCATGACAGCCGCCCGGAGAAGGGCATTGCCCCTTAGGCCCATATACGGTTTGAGCCCCATGATGCGACTTATTTTAAGGATGATGTATATGTAGTAAAGAAAGAATTAGCATAAAGTGGCAAGCGGGCCCCTATATGCGAAATTTTGGTCCTTAACAGGTTAACCTAGGCTCACAGGTCCCATACCGGGACCATACGTAACCGAAGCTGGTGATTTTGTGCGGGCATCGGCGTCCGCCGTTGATCAACATCAATGCCACACTCAAACGATCTGGCGGGGCCCTTGTAATTCCGGGGGATTCCACCCTTGCGACCCTGGTATTATGCAACCCCGGACGCCATAGTGAGCGATTGCTAATAGTTTCATTTTATTCTCGATGAAGACGCAACCGTTTCGCAATTGCAATTGGTGCCCGGAATCCCACTCTCTGTGCTTGTGTGTAAAACGCGGGGAATTATGTTTCCCCCACAACCTACCCAGTGGACCCGGCCGGTGTGGTCGGTTGCGGCCAGCGCTCTAATGTACAGTATCAGTCTCTCTAGATCTACAGCCAAGCCTAGTAGGTTATATATGCTTTTTTCAAAGACGTGTTTCAAAAAGTACCGTGATTACTTAAAATTCTAGGTCTATTGGGGTGGCCCTTCGCATTGAGCCTTGAAAACTGGTTGGCGCTCGGGCAGAGGGCGGTCCTCGGTAATACGAGAGACCCACTCCTCGGAGGGAAGTCATGCTGATTGGAACTCTTTTTGGTGGCTGATCTCGCCAATTTGAGAAGATATTTGAAAGTCGGATCTCCGAAAATTCACAAATCTGAAATGCTACGTATGACGAGGCATTCTCCAGGCTCGTGCACACAATCCTAAGTCCTAGGCCAACCATATAAACATGCACTTTGAACTCAGATGAATTAGACCTTCATTCATTGAAATGCCAAAGAACGATAAGAATAGATTTACTGTCCCTGTTGGCTTTAAGTAGAATCTGTCAAGAAATCGAACACTTATCGCTCAGCATTCGCCAGCCGCCTCTTGCCGCATTGTAGACAGCCACAAGAGGGCATAGTCACACAAAGACGATTCCAGATGGCATACAGCTCGAGGAACTTGCTCTCGCCTTCACAATCCTCTTCAGGCCATGTTTCTTGAAATCTCTTCCCCACAACATCGATCATTTTATCCATTCTGATCGCAAAAACATTTTCAGCAGTATACCCACTCAGCGATAGTCTTCCGATGTGCTTGCTGAGCATATCTAAAACCTCTGCCATTTGTAATCTACTTTCTGGATCTTTTTCAAGCCGCCTCCGGACCTCGTGAAGCGTAGATCTAATAACATCGCACTTCAAACCATAGCAACGCCCTGGCTTTGCACCTTCTTCGTAAGCTATCATTTTGATAATATCGAACTTTGCAGCGAGTTCCTGTAGGATGTCAGCCATAGCAGCAATCGCAGCGACACACTGGTCGTCTAACTCTTTCAGATTCCTGCTCCATTCCATGAGAAGCTTATGAAGGGTTCTTCGGGCTTTGGGGAAGTCTTCCACTTCGATTGAGATCACGACATCATACGCAAAGGGATTGGTGAACATACCTAACATTGTGGTGAAACTTTGATTCGAATGGACGATGCAAAATGACTCTATTGGAGATGCAAAGTTGCAAAATAGTTGTTTCAATGCTATTGTTCCAGCCGGAAGGGTGGTTCATTTATAATCGCAATGCTTCTTGCTCCCTGGAAAATAGTGACATGGTTCCTTTGACCTTCCCCTTTGTCAAAGTACAAAAGCTTGATTGCTTGAGAATACAGCGCTCTTTGAAATAATTAGATCAATGTTTCTTTCGGGGCCTGACAGCAGCATTGTGTGCTTCATTGTTCCTTCCGAAGATTTGTAAAGGCATTTAGTACCGAATCAGAACAACAATACAAAGTATGAAACGTTCCCAGAAAGGGATTGTGAAACACGAAATAACAATGAGGACATATCCCGAGGCTATGTATTGTTAATTTAATTCAGCACGCATGGCTTTTATCAATTTTCGAAAGGACCAATGAATAACCATTTTAGTGTTCATAGTGCTTCAAAGCTGATAAGAAAATGTATTTCGAGTGTCAGAGTTACCCAACTTGGACGAAGCAGATCTCTACAGATAACTTGCCGGAACACAGATTCCGGCAGGTGTTTTCGACCACTAAAATGAGTGAATGACAAGATCCGAGATGGTTAAGGGGCATAATAAGTGAAGCAATTAGGATGTTCTGACGCATGAGTCGGGGATTTTGGTCTGTATGTTAGATTTTAAATTGGAGGAGACACCCTTACTGTACACTATTGAGGCTTTTCTATACATTGATGAGTGGATTTTTTGGCCCTGAATCGTTACAAATATACTCTATCTGCTTACAGCTCCTTTCTCTCTATTGGATAATTATCTCATCAATAATTAATTGCAACTATACACTATGATTATCAATAAAAAATAATGAACAAACAACACAGTGTTCACCGCTATCGCCTTCCACGTCAGGAAACATATGGAGGCTCTTTCAACCCCGAATCATATGTGACATCAATTTTTGATTTGGCCGGTCTAGTGTTTGAGTATCCGTTCTAAGGTTAAGTCGTAGTATTCTGATGAATGAATCGGTAGTGAGTAGTAGACAAATGATTATATTTTCAATAATACTCTTTAGCATGCCCACCATGGCGTATCATGTATGCATTCAACCCAAGCGTTCTAACTCGAGCACAACATTCCTTAGCTCCACCATCAAGTGGCTCTCAATCATTAGAACAGGCATTGAAATCAGCAGGTCTTTCACATATTCTACTCGGCCGGTCCTGTGTGGGTGCTATTAGTCTCTTCCAGGAACCAGATCGGCCTGAGACCAAGATCCCGCAAGTAAGATTTCGTGGGGGCCGTGCTTTTTCCTGTACCTAGCATGCCCAAACATTTTGCCCAAAAGCGTACAGCCGATTTGGAATAAATTTAACTACCAGAGATTCACGCTTTGCTTCTAAGCTATGGAAACCGTGTTGAAGACAGCGTAAACGATTAGTTCCTACTTAGAATAGATGATTTCGTTTCTATGGCAGTAGCTTTATGTTTAAATAATGAATTCCAAAGCTGATCAGAACTGCCTTCCATTGCGCTCACCCTCTTTATCACGCTGTTAACATCCATCTTCTTATGTTCTGACCATTGGGGGAAGTCGCCTCCTCTGCAACATGGCCGGTAGAACACGTTAAAAAAAGGTCGTCGCGGTACTCTACATCTAAACTGATCATAATGACATGTTTCATTCAGCATGAAAATAAGCACTTAACCTGACAAAAGATTCTCCACTGAATCGTCGCCCCCGATCTGGAATAGATTGCAACCAATATGAACGAACAAAAAAAGAACTTAGGTATTCCATTAGAACATGGCAGCGGCAGCTGCAGCTACAGCGCATAATGGTGCAGCGGTAATCAAAGGCTTTGCGGGAGCAACAGCAGCATCAGCGGTCTTGGTTGCCTGAGGCGCCGTGAAGGAGACAACACCGCCATTGACCTAGAATGCCCAATATGTGATCGACTCAGTTGGAATATTTTTGGTCGAAGAAGACGTAGAAGAGGCAAGATTTCCGCCAGATGATGAACCAGTGATTGAGGCACTCCATGAGCAAGAGGCCGACTCAGAGTATTTTGTGAAAGAGCAATCAGCTGTCTCGGTATATGTGGCGGTCGTTTGGTCGGATGTATAAGTAAATGAAGCCGCAAAGGTATAGGTCCGAGTGAGTTAGAAGAATAGCACCAGATTTAGCTCGTAACCCATTATAGGCCCTCGTATCCTCCATACTGATATTCTAAAATGCTAGTATTTAACATCTGGTTAGATGCAAAACGGATAGCCATGACGCTATCAGTATATGTAATAGTATGCTTATAATTTGAAACAGCTTCTATATGTTTTGACATAGAAGGCGATATCGGCGGGCACTGTAAAAGGCAAACGATAAAGGTCCTATCCGGATGATCAAGCGGCAGTTATAGCACTCAATCCGGCACCAGAAATGACTTAGGTGGTCTCTCCGCCACTCTCTCATAGCCAAGGCTCATGGCCATGTCCCTCGCCTGCTGGAACTGCTGAACACCGGGACGATGGAAATTTATGGAACTTTCCTCCATAAATAAGGATCATGAAAAAGACTCAAAATTTGTCAAAGTACCCATGATCCAGTTAAACTTTCTGATAGTTCGCTCTTCAGGCGTCCGCTTAAATGGGGCCGAGTCTTGTGTGTTTGTACCAGCCCTGGGTCTCCTCACCCAAAATGTTCCCTTTCAGCCCCTACATCACCATGTGCCAGTGGCACTAGAATCGAATGCTTAAGGGCCAGGTGAAGGTGCAGGAAGAACAGCCTGTAACATTTTCTCGTTTCCCTCGGAAGTTATTCTATTAGCAATGTGACTTGTGGTAGCCTAGGCCAGCCTTTACAGTCCTGTTCAAGAAATCTCAATGCTCTTTCTACTGGGCGACCACGGTTCGGAATTTATGGGATCAATAATATGTTGGTGGTAAAAGTGGAAAACCAGTAATATACCGGAAACTTGCTGTAAATGTATCACCAAAATTCGATTGCTAAACATCATCCGATAGAGTTATGGACATTTGATCTGCTTTTCGGAAACTGAAAGAATCTGCTCAGTCAAGCTTCTCCAAACAATGAAACGATGAAACCTCATTCAATATCACGACAGCTGGGAAGGTGGATTTTGTATCAATTGCAAAATGAAAAGCCCAGTCAAAGTAATCGGGAATATGAAAGGCAGTGTTTCATTGCTCCGATAGTCTACCTAGTGTCGCTTTGCCTGCTCGGCTGTCGTTCACCCTCCCAAGCTCCCCACTAATCCATGACCCAATGCGCGACATTTCCTCCAGGTTGACGCCTGTGTGCATACCAAGGCTATGAATCGTATGGATGAGATCTTCCGTCGAAACATTCCCAGTCGCACCCTTAGAATATGGGCAGCCACCTAATCCACCAACGCTGCTGTCAAATATACGAATTCCATGTTCCAGTCCCACAAGCGTATTGACCAGAGCCTGCCCATAGGTATCATGAAAGTGTAGTGCTAAGTCTGTATTGGCAATGCCAGCAGCCTTCAAGGCTTGTAGAAGTTCCATGGTCCTTGGCGCCGTGCCCATGCCTGTGGTGTCGGCGACTGAAACCTCGTCGGCGCCCATTTCCAGTAGCGTCGCAGTTATATCCGCCACTGTTGAGGGATTGACTTCGGGACCTTCATAAGGGCAACCCAGGGCCACGGAGACGTATCCACGCACCCGAATGTTCCTGGCCTTCGCCAATGTGACAATTGGCTTGATACGCTCGAGCGACTCAGCAATGGTGCAGTTTGTGTTGGCTTTTGAGAATGCTTCGGTGGCTGCTGCGAATAGAGATATCTCTGTTGTAGTGGCAGCTTTTGAATCAACACCAGTCGCGTCCGCCGGAACACCCGTGTCATCCATGATTCTCACTAGGCTTTCAAGTCCCTTGATGTTTGGGACAAGGTAGTTGTAGGCAATCGTATGTTGAGCAGAAGGTGGCGACACAAGAAGTTTCTCGCAGATTTCTGAAGTACTGGCCATCTAAATAGATTGATTAAGCAGCGTTAGTGATTTTCTGAGTTCTCAGCCGGACAGAAATTCGCACCTGCGGCACCCATTTTGCCGGAACGAATGACCCTGCCTCTATGGTGGTAACGCCCGTCTTGGCCAGTCGTTGAATCAATTCTAATTTAGTCTCCTTTGAGATAGACTGCTTTTCATTCTGTAATCCATCCCGAGGACCGACTTCAACGATGCGAACATGGTCCGAGGCTAGCCGCGACTCGGTCGCAAGCCGCCGTGTAGATATGGGCGATCGAAGTGCCGTAAAGAAGCGCAATCGAGGTCGAGCTAGCATAGTGGATAGCTCAATGAGTAGAAGATACCAGCGTAGTGTGAAGATCGGAAGAATCCTAAGTCGGACAGGAGGAAAACTGGAGTAGCATAGAAGGACAGAGTACTGAGAGGGGGAGCTCATGAGATGCGGAGAGCACTTGGCCTTTCCGGGCCTAGCGTGTATTTGTGTCCGTGATCGTCCCACCACTCACACCGCCTTTGCAGAAAAAAAAGATTATCGCGGGGGGAAAAGTCGTCTTATCAATCCAGATCACCCCTCCATCACTTTGAAAACACCTCTGAAATGGACAATACACTCCGTCAGCCCAAGAAGCGGTTCGTCGGTAGACGTACTGCCGAAGCGCAGGCTCAACCCAACCCGACAACTGGAGATGTCGAGTCCACGGCTGTTCAAAAAGGTATTATACAATATTCCCTCATACATGGTGCAAAGCAGCGCTGATCAATTTCTTTTGTACTAGCTGCACCCCGCCGAACTCCCAGAACTCTCAATCAGGTTCCACCAGAGATTCTGAATGATCCCGATATCCAAGCCGCTATTGAATTGCTTCCCAAGAACTACTCCTTCGAGATCCCTAAGACCATTCATCGTGTTCGCACATCCGAAGCCAAGCGTGTGGCTCTACAATTTCCGGAGGGGCTTTTGATCTTCGCTACAACTATCTCCGATATTCTCCAACAATTTTGCCCCGGCATAGAGACTTTGATTATGGGTGATGTCACCTACGGTGCTTGCTGCATTGACGATTATACTGCCCGCGCACTGGGCTGTGACCTGCTCGTTCACTACGCCCACAGTTGTCTTATTCCAGTGGATGTGACTAAAATCAAGACATTATACATCTTCGTGGACATCAGCATTGATACCACTCATCTGATTGCCACTCTTGAACGCAACTTCAAGCCCGGGCAAACCATCGCAACGGTCGGTACCATCCAATTTAACGCTACCCTCCATGGTCTCAAGCCTGTTCTTGAGCGTGCGGGATTCCGCGTTGTTGTTCCTCAAATCATGCCTCTCTCCAAGGGCGAGATTCTTGGCTGCACATCCCCACAGCTTTCTGAAACCGAAATTGATGTCATTCTCTATCTCGGAGACGGTCGCTTCCATCTCGAATCTGCCATGATCCACAATCCCACCATTCCCGCATACCGATACGACCCATATTCGCGCACTCTTACACGAGAGAGTTATGATCACGATGAGATGCACACAATCAGACGCGATGCTATTGCTACCGCAAAGTCTGCCAAGAAATGGGGAATCATCTTGGGCTCACTGGGCCGTCAAGGAAACCCCAACACCATGGCCATGATCGAGCGTCATTTGGCTGAGCGTGGTATCCCTGTAGTAAACCTACTATTGAGTGAGATCTTCCCGGGTAAATTGGCTTCCATGTCAGATGTCGAATGCTGGGTGCAAATCGCATGTCCTCGACTCAGCATCGACTGGGGCTATGCATTTTCCCGCCCCTTGCTTACACCTTATGAGGCGCTTATTGCTCTTGGTGTGCGTGAGAACTGGGACACTGAAAATAAGGGAGTGTATCCTATGGACTTCTATGCCAAGGAGGGATTGGGCCGCACAAAGCCTCAGCAGGCTGTTAGTGGGGCAGCTTGATCTCCCAAGCGCTTTAGCCCATATTCATGACATGAAAGTATATACCCTCCCCAGCCTTGGAAACTATAGAGCATAGGACAGCGGGTCTGGCCTCCGGAATAGGGAAATAAAGATGCCACCTTGAAGATTATAGTCGAATTCATCACATTAGTGAGAAATGGAGTCACGAACATCATTGAAACAATACAAAGCCTACTCAATATGACAAAGATAAGCGTTCAATTGACACTACAACACTCGAGTACGAAATCCTTTTCTCTGCTTGTACTAGATCATTGCGTCCAACAGCGTCGCTAAAACCACGAGCAAATCATTTGCGCCTTCTTGGTTTCCATTGGACAAAAAGGGCTCCGATAGTTCTATTAGAATATGAATCAGAACAGTAGATCATAAAATCACAGAATGTATAGCGCCAACACCTAACAGTCCCTGGCGATCTAGGCAGCGCTAAGGAGGCGCCATGTGGGGAACCTGCCAAAGAAAAAGAACAACAATCTCTCCAAGTTCCGATTGTTCTCCACCACCGCCCAGCTTACAATGAATCGCGCATGAGCCCAGCTATAAGAGGCCCTCGATAGCCATTCGCCGACAGGGTCAACCACAAACAAGTGCCAACTTCCTACGACACCCCAGACTACCTTCCCTGACCCAGCTATCCCTGGACCCCACGCCATGGCCTCCATAATCGACTCCATCACATCAGGCTCAGAGCCTACTCAAGGCGACCCCAACATCTCCTGGCCAATGGAGCGAATCACGCACCCAACCCCAGCCCAAGAATGGCATCCATCCTCCCTTGTTCCAGGCCGACGCGATAGCACCCCCTCCGAAGAATCCGAGGACAGCTCCGCAGACCGAGACACCCACCCCTCAAATTACCCAAAAGGCTCGAAATCGCTATCAGGAATTTCCCTGCGCGCATTTTTTATCGGCACGTCCCTCGGTATTACAATCATGACAACCGTCCTCCTAAGCATCGTCTTTCCCACGCCTCTCTGGCGCGTCCCGTTCTTCGTCGCCTCACTCAGTGTTTTCCATTTCCTCGAGTTCTACACCACGGCTACCTATAACACGCGCGCCGCGGACGTGAATGCTTTTCTTCTGTCCAGTAATGGGTGGGCCTATAATGTCGCACATGGTTCCGCTATCGTGGAATGTATCGTATCGCACGTGTTCTGGCCTGGACAATCTACGCTGGGCAAATTATTTTATGTGAAGGAGCCTGTGTTGGGGACATCTATTCCGCTACTTTTGGTTGTTGGATTGCTGCTCATGGCGGTTGGCCAGTTGATTAGGTCATTTGCCATGGCGCAGGCGGCTAGTAATTTCAATCACCACGTGCAATCGGAGCATAGGGAGGGACATATGCTTGTTACGCATGGGTTATATCGGTTTTTGCGGCATCCAAGCTACTTTGGGTTCTTTTGGTGGGGGTTGGGGACTCAATTGGTGCTTGGGAATGTAGTGTGCTTTTTTGCGTACTCGTTGGTGTTGTGGAAGTTCTTTTCGACGAGAATTAAGCGTGAGTGGTTTTCTTTGTTGAGACTTTTCTTAATCTTCCATTGCTGTGGCGAGTTGCTGACATTTTGGCTTTATAGGCGAGGAGAGATTTTTGATTCAGTTCTTCGGTGCTGAGTATGTCCACTACAGGCAATCGACTCCGGTTGGAATTCCCTTGATTCGTTGATACATCGATACCCTTGATCTTGAAAATCGAGCATGAACAGACCGGCTTGGATCCGTGACTAGGCTCGGCTTTTTTCTTTGTATAACTTACGCTCTACTGTATAATACAATGTTTGATATTGGAAAAGGAGGTTTTGGATATGTGAACAGTAAACCACAGAGTGATCCTATTCCGTATATTGCGAGTCTCTTTGGGGAGACGGCACCATCAAGATGACCATATAATTGTGAACATGAGCGAAACCAAACAAACGTCTTTAATCGATCTATGCACTGGCTGCGACCGGCGCAGCAGTCTCCGACTCAGTGGGGGGTGGGGTCGCAGTGGTCTTATCGGCACCCGGTACCTCCGGCTTCTCAAAGCTCTTCATGGGGTAGTAGCCCCAGCGGTCAAACATCGCACGGTCCTCATCCCATCCACTGCAATCGGTAGTCAACATCTTCTCACCAGTGAAAATAGCATTGGCGCCAGCCTGGAAGCAAGCAATTTGCTGCTCCTCCGATAGCGCAATGCGACCGGCAGCAAGACGAACGATAGTGGCAGGCATAACAAGACGGGCGGTAGCGATAGTCCGGAGCAAACGATCAAAGGGAATCATCTTCCGGTCACCGAGCGGTGTTCCAGGGATCGGAACAAGAGCATTCACAGGGAAAGACTCGGGATGAGAAGGCAAGCTGGAAACAGTGTGCAGAAGACCAACACGGTCGGCGTCGGTCTCGCCGAGACCGAGAATACCACCAGAGCAAACATTGATACCGGCATCTCGAACGTGGTCCAGAGTGCGCAGACGCTCGTCGTACGAGCGGGTAGTGATAATCGTGGGGTAGAACTCGCGTGAGGTGTCGAGGTTGTGGTTGTATGCTGTCAGACCGGCCTCTTTCAGCTCCTTGGCCTGGTCCTGGTCAATCATGCCCAGTGTGACGCAGACCTCCATGTTCATGTCACGAATGCCCGAGACCATCTGCTTGACGTTCTTGAGACTGGTTTTGCGGCCTCGCATGTCACGCCAGGCGGCGCCCATGCAGAATCGGGTGCTGCCGTTAGCCTTGGCCATGCGTGCCTTCTCAAGCACCTCATCCACAGGGCTCATCTTGGTAGCCTTCAAGCCGGTGTTATGTTTTGAAGACTGGGCGCAGTATGAGCAGTCCTCGCTACATCCACCGGTCTTGATGTTCATCAATGTGCACATCTGGATGGCCGATGGATCATGGAATTTGCGGTGCAATGCTTGCTATACGCTATCAGTATTGATTTGGGCGTTTAAGGCTCATCCGAGTCTACAGCGTTTGACGTCCCGAGGCACGAATTAGGGCATCAATTCGTTGGTAAGCGACTAGGTCTACACTTACCGATGCATATGTGAGTTGGTTCAAGGGAGTGTTATAGACCTGGCTAACTTCCTCGCGAGTCCAGTTGGTGCGAGGGGCTGTCGCAGCAGTTGCCTCGATCAGGACATTGGGGATACGGCCGGCAAGCGAGGTAGCGCTGGGAGGACCTTGGACGGTACCGTAGGACCGCAGAACGGTCCGTGGTAGACCCCGCGCAATGGGGAGAGACATTCTGAATTATGTGCGGGAGAATCGATTTGAGGAAGGAGAAGAGGAAAGGAAGTCGATTATACGGAGTTGATGAGCCGAAGGAGGGGAACATTCACCGGCTCGACGGTTACGACAATCATGTGGGGAAGGTAGGACCGCGGATTGATGATTATCATTGGATCTTACGGCCAACCTTAAGTGTTGCAGAACACCAGATGGCATCATACCGGAAATACATTACAAGACGGGTGAAATAGGGAAAGGGTTGAGTCCAGCCCGTTGGCCCCAACAAGCAAGCTCTACAACGGGCTCTCGTGGGTTTCCCTCGGAGAGTCATTCCTTTCTTTTACCACGATCTTCAACCTTGAACTCAATTCTAACGATATCGGCCCGTAGGTAACCGAGGTTGGTCTATGCTTATTTTCCGGTATCCAGGAACAGCGTGGTTTCACTGCTTTTTGCGGTTTTGAGTGTGGGCGACCCGCGTTCGTTGAGCTCTCCATTTGCGTCATGAATTAGAGGCGGGAGATCCACTGCCTTCACCGGCCAATGATCGGCATTATATTAGGAGAGGACGGCCCGTGCAGGATCGGTTCAAGGGAAACTCCAGAATGAATAGCCGCGTTATGCGAGTGGGTTATGGAGATAATATTCTACCGAGAAAATCTGGGGTTTAATTCCAGATTCCATTGCAATTAGGTGAATCATTTCGGTTGGAGTACGAAATAGTCACCGAGTCAACTCGCTTCGGACATCATTCGGGGCGATTTCGGTTAGATAGGTTGGGATGCAAGTGCATGTGAGCAATCGGATAAAAGCCAAAAAAAAAAAAAAAAAAAAAAAAAATTATAAAAGGGAAAAAAAAGCCTTAGAGAAGATTGTTTGTATTTTTCAAAATTTTGCAATACCAATCAGGGTCAATTTGTTCCTGGCGATCATAGATCTCCTCCCTTGCCTACGCAGGCATGTACTACAACGTGATTTGTATTGGTCCTTGAGCTTAATCCGGATGACTTATACTCTGATTACTTTTTTGTTTGGGCTCATTTGTTGCACACATCCGCTTTCCTTTGGACCCTTTCTGTGGGGACTGGTATCGGGTGAATTAGTACAGTATATTATGTTGCCTGAGGCTAGATTTTACGCCAAGAAAGCTTTTCAGGCAGAAAACGTACAAACCTGCATGGTGAACAAGGTCTAGCTTATATTCTCTTCTGAAGACTATCAGCCCAAAAATATTTTCACTTTCGGTTTGTCAACTGTATAATTAATTCAATGGATACGGTGGGGATTAATTATTCAACAGGAACCGGCCTCCCACGTTGAGTTGGTGGGCCCCCACCATACACAGTCCGTTTCTCACCATATCTGCCCCATCAAGGGACATGCGCTATGGTTTACTTCAGGACTAGTATATTTACATCAGAGTTAAACTTAACGTCCAGAGACAATGAGATTCTGACTGCACTCATGGTCAGCCATCATGACAGGTTCCACGGTTTGTGATTGCTCGCTCCTGTGACAACCTTGGAACCGTGGAACACCCCGAAGTCGTTCTACGCACATGGGGTTTCTTGATAAATATGATGCCTCAAGTGTACTGGATTATTTGTCGTAGAGTCATAACAGCCTATCTCTGGCATCATCTAGATGCCACCAAGAAAGAAAAAAAGGCATCGGTTGTCGGTCAGCAGGGACAGGTATCGCCAACATGAAGCATCACCAGGCCGATGACGCAGTGGCAGAATGACGCGCGGGCACAAGCCACCGTGACACGATCTGGCCGTTGTCGTGGGGCAAAAGACACCTTGCAAGGACCACAACGGTGCCTGTATGACCGAATCAGTGGCTGATCGCCAAAAATAAATTAAAGCCCGTCATGTCATCCCACTGACGTCATTTAATCTGCCTGGCTCCCCAAGTGTACAACTGAATAAAACTGTCAGAGCCTCCAAGTCACCTAACCTGCGTCTTCCAAGGTTGCCTGTAGATATCGCCCACCGTCCTACTCTGGTATGTATTCCAAATCTCTGCTGGTTTATGACACACGGCTCATCAACTATCGCCCATCAACTTAGATCTTCATTCGCATCTCCACCTCCACCTCCACTCAAAATGCCTGACATCCACGACCGAATCCGAGAGGAAGTCTCCGATAAAGAACTTGCGCTCTGGACAGCTCTCACATGCGCCGATCCGGCTTCCGAATTAATCAAATTAAGCAACCCTGAGGCCAACTTCTTGTTCCCGAAAAAAGAGGTCCTCACCTTGGAGGACCACGACAAATTCAGAAAGGCGTTGAGGGCTCCGTTTCACCGATTTGACACCTATCGGATCGATGAAGTTCGAATTTTCATCATTGATTTGATGGCGGCGACAGTCACATGCAAGGTCCATGCAGAGAGAGATGGGAAGAAGTACCGGGCGACGTCGCATACGACGTGGAGTCAGGCTTCTGATGGCGAATGGAGGATTGTGACCCACCAGGAATGTAAAGTATAATTATGATCTTGGTATAATTTGGAACGGGGCTCTTGGGTTATTCACGACTGGATGAGCAGAACGTATCATGAATGGAGCTTCTTGGTATCTACTTTAATGTAACGATTTTGTCAGTTTATTTACTTTCAAATTCCACCTTCATAGAGCAACTAACAGCCAAACATACTGCTTTCATGGGTTCTAGTGGTGCGAAGCTTGAAAGCCATAGGGCCAAGGCAATTTTGAAATTCCATGAATAAGATTCATGGGGTTGTGGAGGAACGTCGGGGGTCGATCGTATGGGAATCTCCCGATCAGCATAAGCTGTGAAAGTTTGGAATGCACTCTTTCCCAAGGCTTTCTTCTCCATTTGATTAGCAAACAATGGCTTGATAAGTCGTGTGCCTTCGCAGCCCATTTGTTCGGCTTCATCCAACTCGGCCCCTTCTATGATATGTCGAGTATGATCAATACGTCATCTTAATAGGACGCTCGGATACCCCTGGAAGAACATACCCCAGATGTGGAGAGCAAACTAGATCGTGGAGAACAGGGTTAATCTATCTATCTTGCTAGATCTTTTCATGGCAAGAGAGATCAATGAGTGTTGTGATTCGTTGGCTCTTTGTCGGCTCCTCGTCTCGAGGCTCCGCCTATGTGGACTGTCTCGCGTTCTCAAAGTCCAATGGGTAACTGGGTATAGACTTTATTGGGGTACTTACTTTGGGTTAACACTTTACTAGGTAAACATGGACTGTCATTCACGGTGCTTTCACTGCTATAACGACTTCCAAGGTTTTCCTTGACAGAGAAGATGTCGTCTGCCGTAACACAGCACAAGGAGAGAAAAGGCATTTTTGAACGATCATACTACAATTTATTAACTTGCTGAATTCTCATTGAGTCCATTTGCGCACAGTTATATAAATATAACCTCATAGAGGCAAATTTTGAATGTACAGTTCTTGTCGCGAATTTCAAAGCAATTTGCCGCGAACTCCACTTTCCACTCACCGATCAAGGTTTCACCTTCCCCACAGTGCGGTTTTCCCCCGCTGACCTCGACGCGATCATTTTTCACCGTTAGATGCGCCCAATATCGCGCTATGGCGAAGCCGCAGGGCGCCATTCGGCAAAAGCGCAAATCCCGAGGTCGCGGGCTCCGTGCGACCACTGGTTGGTCAGTTTCTTCCCCAGATCTGACCATTTTCATGTCCTTTAACGCGTAATATAGTCTAATCTGCAAGAGGCGACATGTCAAATGCGACGAAGTATGTATTTGCCGCTCTCCACAAGCTATCGATCAAGCCAAGAGAATGATCTAATTAGACTATCAGGTACAACCACAGTGTGGCCCCTGTGCTAAAGGCCAGCGTCCCTGTGTATATGCACCGCGGGAGTCGCCTTACAGTCGTGCTACAGCAGAGCCGCCGGCATCCGAAGTTCCTGTGGGGGCTGCGGTTGTAGGGGAAATGAATGGTCGAAGTTCCATTCATCAGCCTCTTCAGATATTGGTCGATGCATGCGATCAGGAACAGCCTATTCAGCAGGAGAGCCCGCTTCTAGGATCGCGGCCTACCACCAGCACGATCGCGTCTGAAAACCCTGGGTCAGCAAGTGCAGTTGTCTCAGCAGCAAGGTCACCATATGGCTATGTTCCATCACCGGGGACAGAAAGCTCTTATTCATCAAGAGCTGCGCCCCTGAGCTGGTTTGAACTCTTAGCTACGGACGCGGCAAATGCGGACGACAGGTTTCTTTTGTCGCCCCCTGAGCACTTTGCTCGGCACGGTTCCCATGCACATGTAGATACTGGAGAGGATCCACGCAATAGCTCCAATCTACAGCCTCGAACGCTTCGGGAGAGCCAAAGCTTTAATGCGGCCGCATTTCCGCAGAATCCGGAAATTGCGCGACGATTGGCTTCACAGCCCGCGGAGGTAGAACCGGTGGTATCTAGTACACCATCATCGTGGAGTCTAGGGTCTATAATCGAATTATCACCTTTGGAACATTATTTGTTCCAACATTTTGTGCGTGTTGCAAGCAAGTGGTTGGACTTTTATGATCCGGAGAGCCATTTTGCTTCTACTGTTCCACATTTAGCTCTCCGAAATTCCGGGTTGATGAAAGCCTTGTTGGCCCTTTCTGCACGCCATCGCTCACTGCAAGAATATGAGTCAGAAGGTTTAGGTCTTGCCTTAGTGGGGGAGACTGCCATCGATCGCAACCTGGCTGTCCAGTATTATTACGAATCCCTCCATTACTTGAACAAAGCCATGCAAAATTCCTCCTACACTCGCAGTCATGAATTGATCGCCACTGCACTTCTTATCAGCACCTACGAAATGATCGATGGATCAAATCAGGACTGGGAAAGACACTTAAAAGGCGTTTTCTGGATCCAGCGATTTCAAGATAACGATGGTGAATCAGGAGGGCTTCGATCCGCTGTCTGGTGGGCTTGGATTCGACAGGATGTCTGGGTTGCCATGCGCGAGCGACGTCGAGTCTTCAGTTTCTGGAGGCCCAAGAAGCCACTGTCAGTACTCAGTGCCTCCGAACTTGCAACACGAGCAACATATTTGCTTGCGCAATGCGTCAATTACGTGTCAAAAGAGGAAGAAAAGGCTTCAGACTTGGAGCGTCGCCTGGAACGTGGAAGTGAGCTGCTTTACATGCTGCAGGAATGGCATGATCATCTACCACCCGAATACAGTCCACTTCCCGTCATCTCTACTATTGAAACATTCCCACCAATCTGGGTCCACCCGGCACCCTATGCAGGAGCATTGCAAATTCATAGCCTGGCCCGAATCTTAGTAGTCCTTCACAGGCCATCTTCGGGAGGACTGGACGATTTCCGGGCGGCACAGAAACTTTTAACGTTATCCGTAAACACCATTTGCGGAATTGCACGATCAGTGAGTGCTCAGGATCATGCTGCAAATATCGTTTCTTTGCATACCCTTTTCGGAGGTAAGTCTTTCTTCAATTCGACACTATAGGTCATAGTTTCTAATTAGCTCGCTCCAGCTGGGATGTGTGTCTACACTCCACATGAACGCTTGGCCCTTTTAGAACTTCTCGATTCTTGTCAGCGCACAGTTCGCTGGCCTTTGGAATCACTGAGAAAGGAACTTGAGCTTGAATATGGGAAAGACTCGTTCCATGATCTCATGAGATGAGACACATTGATACTCGAAACATTCCGTCACCGAGGTTTATGAAAGACTTTTCCTCATTGGTTCCTACATTCCAGGAATACATCAATCTCCCCGAAACTCTCATCTCGCCCATGGGATAGGGGAAAATGGTCCAATTATCCGAACCTTCATGATCCTGTGCAGTGCACGAAGGACTTGATCGTGCCTTATATTTCCACTCGAAAGTGGCAATGACTTATTCGCTGAGTGGCCTTTTCTCACTGGGAACTGGATATCGCGGAAATACAGGCGATTAGGATCCTCTGTTGAAAATTGTGCCGTCTCTCAAATCTGAAGGGACTTGCTTTCTCGAGGCTCAAGCACAAAGATCACCTACTTAGGGACTTGATCACTGGTTTTCCAAGTCACAGGCCAACCTCTCATTGTATTCTATTTCGGGTCTGCCCAGGTGACAGAGCCTAACTATTTCTATGTGTACAACAAAGCAACGTATATAGGACTACGTTCAATATGTATTTTCCATATAAATGATGTTCATTCGTCGTGTAAAAAAGCCTAAAACCAGAGGCCATTATATACCGTAGCTCAAACAAAAATAAGACAAAGAATCTTGGAATCATTCCTCAACATACGACTTTGTGCGGCGGCGGAACCAGATGTGCAAAGCACTGAACACAACCACTCCCAGCGCTAGCATCGCAGAGATGACCGAGAAGCCCATGATATACTTGGGGCTATCAGAGTCCGGGAACAAGTACGATCCATAGATCTGCGCCAAATTTCCCATCGCATTCACCAAGGCCAAGCTGACACCTCGAGCCTTCGGGTGCATGCCAGCAAAGGCTGATGATGCGTATGCTAATGTACCTCCATTGGTAGCCCAGAGACCACATGCCATCAATACAAGCAAGACATACCGGGCCGTGTAGTTGTAGACTGCACACACAATTATCGAACATATGAGAGAAAAGGTCAACCAGCAGGCAATAATCAGCCCCCGCCAGTTTGGCACCTTGTCACTGAAGTATGATGTGAAGCCAGTGGCGACAAAAGCCGCCCCATAGATTGGGACGGTGAGAAGGTTAATCTTATAAGTGGAGGCATCGCCGAAGAGGCCTTTGACGAGGGTTGGGTAGAAGTAGGTGAGGGTGCTGGATCCAACAATAACCTGGTGAGGAAGGGTGATTAGTTTGGATGAGTAAAAAGGGGGAAAGAGTAGGCCACAGGGGTGCTTACCATGTACCCAACAACAAAGACCCAGGTGCGCCAATCTCTCACGGCAACTTTGACAGCACCCCAATTGCTCAAGAGGGCAGTATCTTCTGTCACCGCAGTCACGTTCTCGGTCGCCAACCGCGCCACAGCAATGTGCTTCTCGCGCTCAGACAGACCTCTCGAGGTAGCAGGGAAGTCAGGAAGGATGAAAATGGAAATCAAAGCACAGCCAATGGTGGCAGCACCCTCAACAATAAATAACCACCGCCAGCCACGAAGACCATGGGCGCCCTCTAGACCATCCACAATACCCGCAGCAATGAGACTGCCAAAGGCTCCGGATAGAACTGCAGCTGAAATGTACACACCAAACCGCTTGGACTGCTCGGTGCGCTTATACCAAGATGATAGAACGAGGAGAACACCAGGCGCAAATCCGGCCTCAACACTTCCAACGAGGATTCTAAGAACAACAAGGTGCGCGTAGCTCTTGATGACGGCCATGAGACAGGTGAGGACGCCCCACAAAACCATGATTGCAGGGAGGAAGATCGAAGGCCGAGTGCGAGCCAAAACGAGACTATGGAGAAGCCACGGTTAGTGGACTGCTGGAGTAGTCCAGGAGAAACAGCTGACTCACTTGCTAGGCACTTCAAATACAACGTAGCCTACAAAGTACACCACCAGGGCGACTGAATACTCGTTCGAGGTCAAGTTAAGGTCCACTTCCATTCCGGATACCTTTGCATTGGCAATGCTGAGAACGATACTGTGAGTATATGAGAAAAGTAACGGCACGGATTGCGACTCACTTTGTACGGTCCATGTAGGAAAGCAGGTACATGACCCATATCACCGGCAACAGCATCAAATCAACTTTTCTGACCAGAGCCTTCTCCTCCTCAGGGGTCCAGCTCTCATCCGCAACTGCATGTTCAATCTCATTAGAGGAGATCTCCTTCCCGGATGTATCTTCATTGTCGAAGTAATCCATGATTGAAGCAGAGGGTAATAGTGTTTAATGAATTCTGCAGGGAGCATGTCGAACCTCTCGAACAGGATATTTATGTACCCTTGTACGTCGACGGCCGACGATCAGTTTTCCGTGCTTCACTATCAGTGATGACGGCAGTCTACCTGGCTATCCATCATTCCATACGGTATCCCTGATCCGGTACTAGACTGGGGTTGATAGGATCCACCTCCGCAATTCACGAAGCCATGCGGCGTCCCCACAAACTCTATCGCTATTGGCGTGCCGCTCGTCTCGTCTCGAGGCACCCGCGTGGGACTTTTGTCAGCCAATACGACACATCCTTTCTCGCAGGAGTTCCGAGTGCTGAGATACACCATGGTACCTTTTACGGGTTTCTACAAGTGCACATACCCTTTCCGACCCTGGTTGATGCGGGGTGTCTCCGAGATGCGACCCATCAAACACATATGATTGATGAACCGGACATGCCCATCGATAAGTAACATGAGAAGCCCTTTGACTTATCTAATAAGCGCCAGAATGGGTCTAGCATTCCCAAGTCTGGCCGAAACCCAGTATAGTGACGTCAGATGAATTCGGCAAGTCTAAACCACCCACGCCTCGACCCGAGCCTCGATTCGAAGCAAAATTCCGAGCCCGGGGTAAGCATAAGCCCGGTTGTACCTGGAGGGGTGGAGGTTTTTCTTGTTTGGCAATGCGGGGAGCTGATCATGCTCCAAGAATTTCTATTAAAGCTGCAGCATGCCACCAACAACGGTCAACATTCTCCGCATTGTATCTTTAGGCAATTCACTTAGCGACTTTCATCTGGAAAATTTTCCTCTCCTACATCGTCACCATGCCTCCAGTAGCTACCGAGAACTCTTCGGCTGATGCCGCCAAGGTCGAAACTCCTGCTCCTTACCTCAGTACTATGCCGCAGAAGGACTTCAACTGGCAGATTACCCTGGGCCAGAAGGTTGTTGCCATCACCGGTGCAAACCGCGGTATTGGTCTAGGTATTGCGGAGGTGTGCCTCGCTAATTCAGCAAAGATGGTATACTCTCTTGATCTGATGGAACCTGGCGAGGATTTCGCAGCTCTGCAGAAGCGCTACCCCAACTTCAATTTCATTCAGACTGATGTTACCTCTGAAGAGAGCGTGGAGAAGGCTATCAACCAGGTTGTTGAGGAGACTGGCCGAATTGATGGTCTTGTAGCCAATGCAGGCATGACCAAGCACCAGCCTGCTTTGAAATTTGATCGCTCTGAGCTGGAGAAGCTTTTCAACCTTAATGTGAGTATTTCTTGACAAGTACTTGAAGGCCCTTTGTTAACGAATTCTATAGGTCTATGGTGCCTACTTCTGTGCCCAGATTGCTGCTCGCAAGTTCATCGAGCTCGGCATCAAGGGCTCAATTGTGATGACCTCCAGCATGACCTCTTACCGTCCCAATCGAGTGAGTTTTATTTCGGCAGAGCCCTTTGGGAAATGATGCTAATCTGGTATACTTAAAAGGCCGCCCCGTCTGCGCCATACGGAGCAACCAAAGCTGCCGGTTAGTTTTTGAAGCCGAATGACCAATTTCATACCAATTCTAACAGATATCCACTCTTAGTTCGCAACATGTGCCACACCCTCGCCATGGAGTGGAGCAAGCACGGCATCCGCGTCAACAGCATCTCCCCCGGTTTCGTTCGCACCGCCATGACATACTACGTTGAGACTGCACCGGATTGGGACCTGAAGATGCAGTACTACGGTGGTATGCCCCGTCTAGCTGACCCGCGTGAGCTAGGTGGCGCCTATGTATATCTCCTCAGCGATGCTAGCTCATACACGAGTGGCATCGACATTCCCATTGCTGGCATTGTCGGCGCGTGGTAAATAACTTGGATGAGGCGGAAAGCGGGAATCATTTTGGCGTTATGATTTATTTAAGCTGTTATAGAGATTTGGAACTATCTTCTCAAATATTCACTATGATTTTCATGTCCACAATCCGAGTTCAATGTTGTCGGGAATTTTTCGCGTGTTGTAGATTCGGCCTTGGCTCCCGCGGGATCCACTGGGTTGGCCGCGGGCCCATTATCTCAGCAAGCTTCGGAACCCCGTTAACAAGGTCAACTTCTCCATCGACTGCTTTAAACCTGCTCTGAGTCGCAAATGGCGAAATCTGAAAAGACCGTGGTGCCTAAGGGTCCAGCTAAATACAATGTCGGCTGGCGACGAGTGGTCCGCAATTTCAGCCCATCGTATGCGCATCCATGACACATACATACCATGAGCTCTCGGGCGAGTAACCGCTAACGATGACTGTAGGTGGTTTGCAGTCACTATGGGCACCGGAATTGTCTCGGTTTTGTTTAATTCCATTCCATTCTCCTCGCCAGTGCTCTTCTATATTTCCATTGTCTTTTTCGTGTTGAATGCTGTCATTTTCGCCCTGGCCTTCATCACCTCTCTCGTGCGATACATCTTGTATCCCGAGATATGGCGAGTCATGATCCAAGATCCGACAAACTCGCTCTTCCTAGCGACTGTTCCCATGGGCTTCGCTACTCTTATTGAGATGTGGGTTTTTGTCTGTGTTCCCCGCTGGGGAGAATGGGCTTCGTCTTTTGTATGGGCATTATGGATAGTGGATGTTGTCGCCGCAGCTTCGGTGACACTTTCACTGTCGTTTATATTGTGAGGGTCAATCTGAGCTCCTTTTTGCATTACATCACTGATTATGGCTGCTAGGATATCGCAAAAGTATATCACCTCTTTAGACCGGATCACAGCGCTTCAATTGCTACCCATAGCCGCAACAATCGTCGCGGCCGGCGTAGGTGCAGAGGTCGCCAATATTCTACCTAACAAGACTCACGCAATGGGAACCCTTTTAGTTTCCTTTGTCCTATGGGGAATGGGTACACCTTTAGCATTGGCAGTACTCGTCATTTACTATCAGCGACTGGCGGTGCACAAGCTTCCTCCACGCGAGGCCATCGTGAGCTGCTTCCTGCCCTTGGGGCCATTAGGCTTTGGTGGTTTTGGGTAAGATATTCTTGCTATCCTTTTCCATGGAAATGGGGGCTGACTACTTGCAGTATCGTCTATATTGGGAAAGTAGCTCGGGAACTCTTCCAAGACTCCGACATTCTCGATCCCATTGCCGGGTCGATGGCTCATGTACTTGGCGTCTTTATATCTCTACTGATGTGGAGCTTTGGGCTCATCTGGCTGGTTTTCGCCCTTGTGACTGTTTTATACAGTTGTCCTTTTCCTTTCAACATGGGCTGGTGGGGATTTACATTCCCGCTGGGTGTCTATGCAGCCAATACAATGGAGTTAGGAAAGGAGTTGGACCTCATGTTTTTCAAGGTCTTTGGAACAGTATGTACCATGCTTGTTTAACCTCGACACACTTTTAACATGACTCTCTCTAGGTTCTCAGTGCCGCTGTTCTGTTATTGTGGGTTTTGGTGGCGTTTCGAACAGCGCTAGGAGCGTGGCGTGGACATTTGTTCTATGCGCCTTGTTTACAAAACTTGGCTCTGAAAGAGGATGAAACAGAGGGTGAGCGCCTTCGAGCATAGAAAGACCGTATTTTTTGGTCGGAATTTTTTTTCATTGTTTCTATATAGGTACTGTACATAATAGGGGTACTTATTGCACATGCGAATCAAATACAGTACCTGATCTGGTGAAGATATATTTTTCAGCCTTTTCGCTGACACTTTGGGATTTCAAATGTTGTTTATTTAAGATCGCGTAGTCACCAGATCCAGATGATAAGAGAGATCCTTCGGTGTGGAGAGGAACCCATTATTCCGGTCCATCCACAATAGTCAGTACAAGTAGCGAAGATGATTTGGGTAGTCAAGACAAAGTGAAGCCAAAGAGGACTAGTACTGTACAGATGGGAAACTCTGGATGCTGATTGGTCCGCTGGAAGCACATGACTCACGAGGGGAGTCATTCACCGCCTCATGTGACCTGCACGTCATTTTTTTTGTTCGAGGAATTCACTGTAACAGTTGGGGTAGGTTCGCTGCCTAACTTTCCACTATTTCTCTCCTGCAAATTTCCTTTGTACTCCTTCTGCTCTCCATTGCTACACCGCATTCTCGAAAACACCACCAACACCCAATCCGTTATATGCGACCGAGCTCTCCTACTTGACCAAGGCGCGCTGCGCGCAATCCATCAACAGGTCTTTAGGCCGATCATTTCTTCCCAAATTCTCCTGCCATTTGCGACAAATTCACCTACTGCTGCATACCGTACCCCAACAAGATGAAAACCATGAAGTCTCGTCGTTCTGGTGGCGCAGACCGCGGCGGTATCCGAAAGCGGGGACCAACGCGCACCGACCGGGATGGAGACATGGACATGGATACAAGCGCCGCGCGTGGAGGGGCGAAGAGAGGCCGAGGTAACACTGGGCGGACCCCCGCAGGCCGATCCGCGGGATCTGGTCGGACGCAGACACGCGACAGGAACATCGATGCGATCCAGAAGGCTATCTCCAACTCCCAGGACTCGTTCAGCATTCGATCAGGCAAGAACACCAATGCAGACAGACTGGAACAATACATCGTCCGTGGCTGGAAGAACAGCAAGGCATCATCCAGACGCGACCATGGTGTTGACAGTCTCATTGCATACCTCGAACGACGAATGAATACACTCAAGTCAGGATCTCGCGCAAAAATCACCAAGGTATGTTGTAATATTCGAGATCGCGGCCACCATATATAAACCTCGACAAGCACCCGGTCCGACGTTGGCTCTTTGGTCGAATATTGTTTTCCTGGAAAGACGACGGTCGCTACCTCCTGGGGTTCTTGTCATTTCTTGGCTTAAATGACTCTGTGATTCTCAAGGTTCTTTGCGCCTGGCTAACATTCGATTAGTCGCGAGTTGAAGGTGACGCACTTATTGTATCTGTGAGACCGGACTTGGCAGACCCAATGTCCAAAATCAATGGCAATACCTTCGCTGGAGCTAAGATTACCGTGGCCCCATACGATCCTTCCTCGACCGAGGCGCTTGATCGCGAGATAAGCGCTGCCAATGGTCTCTCTCCGGAGACAGTGGACGTGAAATCCAAGATGACTGCGATTCTCGCCAGACGATACTTCCCTGAGACCAAACTTCTTGATCTCTCCAAGCTGGGCACCGACACAGATCTCCAGGCCATGGGAATGTTCAACCAAGCATCAACAGAGTCTAAGTTTTTCCCGGCTCTGATGAAGGTATGGAATATGGGATTCCCCGACGCAAAGCAGAGACGCGAGGCTGTGGAAAGCGTGAGCTTAGCGGACAACCAACTTGCCAACATCAGCGTCGTGACCACCCTCGCTGTGACAATTCCTGGCCTCAAGAACCTCGATCTCTCCAACAATAACTTCAAGGATGCCCACTCATTGATCGGCTGGCGCTGGAAATTCCGCGATCTTGAATTCCTGGACTTGACTGGAAACCCTTTCAGTACCGACGAAAGTTTCAAGAACACCATGATGAAGTGGTATCCCAAACTGCAAACCCTGAACAACGTCCAGGTTCGCACGCCGGAAGAGGTGGCGGCCCAGAAGAAGACGCCCATTCCTGTCCAGCCACCCCACTTCCAAGATGATTCTCAGATCGCAGAAAACTTCATTCGCGCGTTCTTCGCTGGCTACGATAGCAATCGAGCCGAACTTCTCAACAGCTTTTACGACGATGGTTCGAGTTTCTCTATCAACATCAACACTAGCGCACCCAAAGCCGCCCAGGCCGATACTGCCAGTTGGGAACCCTACCTCAAGAAGAGTCGGAACCTCCTGAAGATCAGCCACCTCCCCGCACGAATGTCACGCACCTACACTGGCAAGGTGAAGATCGGTGAACTGTGGAGCACTCTACCGCCCACTCGCCACAGCGATATGGTTACTCACCCCGAGGAGTGCCTCGTGGAATGCCACCCAGTCCCTGGACTTCCAGACCAAACTGGCCAGAGCGCGACTGGTGTCGGTGGACTCTTGGTTATGATTCACGGCAAGTTCGAGGAGAGTCTCGGCGGAAAAATGGAGACACGCAGCTTTGATCGAAGCTTCATCATTGGCCCTGGCAATGGTCCCGGTGGCATCCGAGTTATCAACGACATCCTCGCCCTTCGCGCTTACGGCGGACATGAAGCTTGGAGCCCAGAGAGCCAAGCTATCCCTCAGGCTATCCCTCAGCCCATCCCTCAGGCTATCGCTGCTCCAGGTGCTGTGGCTCCTCCTACCGCCCCTGCCGCTAACCCGGCTGTACCCGTTGCCCCTCGACCCGGTTTCCCAGAGGGATACGGTGCGCCTGGCCCTGGGAAGACCGATACCCAAGTTCAGCAGGAACAGCTGATTTTGCAGATCAGTGCGAAGTCTGGTATGACCATCCAGTATTCTGAAATGGCTCTCTCCAGCAACGGATGGAATCTTGAGGCCGCATGGAACAACTTTGAGCAGTTGAAGGTAAGTCTCACATTCAACATCACACCCTAAACACTTTACTAACATCATTTGGATCAGGCCCAGGGTTCTCTCCCCGCAGATGCTTTCCTTCCTACATCATGATCGATTCACGTTACAACGCCAAATGAGCCAGTCCAAGTCCCACTCCCCTTTTTATTCTTTTCCAATAAAAACAAAATTCACCGGACTGGTCTCACGCTTCACATAAAACACAACCAATAATTGTGCAACTAACCAACTTGCTGCGACGGGGCTGAATTTCTAATGCATGGCTCAGGCGAATGACAAGGGTTTTGTCGCTTTGTATCTTCTCAATTCAATGTATTCTAGACACTGAGCCGTTCCAGTACAATCAGAAACTGGTGTCAATTACAAGGGTCTCACCTACATTCTGACAATCTTCTGTTTCCTGTCTTGATGTCCACACACGTAGCCAGAGGACAAAATCTACGCTATAAACATATATGTATCTTAAGGTTATACAAGCACGTTCAACAAAGCATACAAAACGGTATATGGCAGATTTAAGTATAACTCTGATATCCTAAATGACATCTATTAAATGTAGGCCGTAAAGCGTAACATAACATACGAAAGGAGATTCCTGATCTAATCTGATCTAATCGCCAAATGTAGGGCCAAATCAATGACCGTGTCCATTCTCCTTCTCAGCCTGCGTCTCAAGCTCGTCTTCGTAAGTCGCAATTGAAGCGGAGCTGCGCACACGTTGCAGCTGGCTCTCCACGTAATTGTTGATGTGCTCCTCACGCTCACCGTCGCCATTGGTAGAGAGGCCAGGCGTGCTTCCGCGTCGGCTGACCGGGCTCATGACTTCTTCGTCGTCCAAAATAGTTGATGCCGCCGGGGTGGCATCGCCTGCGATAGTCGAGTTAAAGTCACTCCGGTTTCCGATAGACCGGTTTGTGGAAGAGCGGCGGACAGATGGTCTTCTGGAGCCAACTCCACGGCCGCGTCCGGATCGCGAGAAGATGTCGTCGAAGTAGTGGGAGGCAGCGGCAAAGGGACCCCGTGGGGTCTGGGGGAGACGGCAGTTGATACTAGAAAGAGTCAGTTATATACTTGTATTCCAAAGGAGATTGAGTGGTTTGAGCTCACCCTGTGTCATGAATGATCTTTGCGATCAATCCTGTCCAACCGCATTGGTGGGAGGTACCAAGACCGCGACCAGTGTCGCCATCGAAGAACTCATTGAACCACATGTAATCCTTCCAGTGCTCATCAAAATCAAGAAGATCATTTTGACCATTGCAGGCACGACGTCCCTCGTCATTTCGAGCAAAGAGATGCTGCATTCGGTGCTGGAGCTCCTCAGCTACATGGCCCAGATGCATGTACTCGCCGGAGCCAGTCGGGCACTCTACTTTGAAAGAGTCGCCATAGAACATGTAAAAGCGAAGGAGTGACTCAACAAGGAGGAAGTTGACGCACAACCAGATCGGTCCACGCCAGTTGCTGTTGCCACCAAAGACGGCGCTGTCCGAATCGCCAGGAACGTATCCCACCTTGAAGGTCTCACCGTTGACCTCCATCGAGTAGGGGTTATCCTCGTGAAACTTGGACATGGACCGAACGCCGTGCTTAGCCAAGAATTCGGTCTCATCAAGCATGCGTTTCAGAATCTTCTCCAGGCGGTCTTTGCTCACGAGTGCCAGGAGCAGTCGGTCGTCCTTGCCTCGTCGCTTGATACTGGCAATGTTACGCTCAGCAACATCGGCTTTGTTCTCTACGAACCATTCCAGTCGTCGTTTGAACGAGGGGAACTTGTTGATCAGCTCCGGCTCAAGGGTAAGCACGCCGTACAGCGGGATCAACCCCACCAAGGACCGAATGGGCAGCTGCTGAGTCCATGGACCACCGTAGGAGATGGCGTCATAGTAGAAGCTGCTCTGGTTAGCCAATATGCTCATTGGGGGGTCTGTATGTCAGAACTTACCTATCGTCCTCATTCCACAGGGACTGGATGTTGTCCTCGCCGTTGCGGAATGTCATCGCATCACTGATGAGAATGAAGTGTTCGAAGAACTTGGATGCAACTGAAGTATGTTAAAGGATGTCACCTCAGTTGGATAAGATGGAGAGACTCACTGTCTTCATAGATTCTGCGGTGCTTAGCCAGCTCCAGGGCGATGTTGAGCATGCACAGGCAGTAGAAAGCCATCCAACCCGTACTATCAGCCTGCTCAAGAACACCACCCGTTGGCAGCGGCTCAGAGCGGTTGAACAACCCAATGTTATCCAGACCCAAGAAACCACCCTCGAACACATTCTTACCATCCGAATCCTTGCGGTTGACCCACCAGGTGAAGTTCAGAAGCAGCTTCTGGAAAACACGCTCAAGGAAATCCAAATCCTGTCGTCCATACATCTTGCGCTCAATCTTGAAAGTGCGGAAAACAGCCCATGCGTGCACTGGTGGGTTGACATCACCAAAGTTCCACTCGTAGGCAGGCAGCTGACCATTAGGATGCATGTACCATTCACGAGTCATTAGATCAAGCTGTTTCTTAGCAAAATCAGGATCCATCATCGCGAGAGGAATGCAGTGGAATGCAGTGTCCCAAGCGGCAAAGAATGGATACTCCCATGAGTCTGGCATCGATAGAATATCGTCGATGTGCAGATGGCGCCACTGCTCATTGCGAATGCCCTTTCGGCCTGGCGGTGGGGGAATCTCGGCCGGGTCACCATTACTCCATTGATCCCAGATGAAATTGTAGTACTGCTTACACCACATCATTCCTGAGAAAGCCTGTCGCTGAATATTTCTGAGATCATCGCTCATGGGGAGGGGGCTGATGTTTTGATAAAAGTCATCAGCCTCAGCGCGACGCGCCTCAATCACATCATCGAGCTCTTCCTCATCCACGAAGTCGTTCTTCTTCAGGGAGAAACGGAATCGAACCACCGCACATTCTCCCGGGGGAACCTCGTCACCATCGTCAAAGGCATACCAAGCCGCTAGCTTCGTTCCCTCCTTGGCTGGGTTCACAGCGGCTTTCTCTTCATCGACGATGTAGCGATGGAAAGCGTCCTTCACGTAAGGCTGGTCATTCTTGGTGCCCCATAGTTTTTCATTGTTGGTTTCGTTCTCCGTGAAGAGCAACTCCGGCTGGATATCCTCATCTCCAGAGCCCACAGGTGGGGATGGTGCGAAGCACGCGAAGCGCTCACCCAACTTGTGGTGATTGGATTTGGCAACTCTTGGGCCTTCCTCCTTAATGACTGGTTTCTCACCTTGCTTATCGTAGCCCCAGGACCAGGTGTTTCGGAACCAGACCTGAGGAACGATGTGCAAGGGAGCAGGGTCCGGGCCACGGTTGTACGCGATAACCCGGAAGAGCAGCTCGTCCGCATCATCCCCCTCCTTGGCAGTTTCAATGAAAATGTCCCAGTACCGGTTGTCCTTGAACGCATCGGTGTCGAGGATTTGATATTCTGGCTCCAAACGCGATCGCTTCGCGTTCTCCTCAACCAGCTCCTCGTAGGGAAACTTGTTCTGAGGGTATTTGTAGAGAAACTTCATGTACGAATGCTAAAAGAAGGGTCATGTCAGAGCAGTCACCTCTAGTTGACTCGAGATGACCCTACCGTTGGGGTGTTATCCACATGGAAATGCGCTTCCTTTACACTCTCACCGTGGTTACCTTGAGGGTTGGACAGGCCAAACAGACGCTCCTTGAGGAATTCACTATCGTGCTGGTTAGTACCTCGGCATGCCCAGGTGGGTACTTCTCCCGACCGACGTACTCTTTCTTATTCCAGAAGGAAAATGCAATATTTTGGATTCCATGAGTATCAGAGACACCAGCAATGCCATCTTCACCCCAGCGAAAGGTACGCGACCGGGCATGGTCATGGGAAAAGTCTAGATGGTTAGTTGCCAGTTTGTGCCATTCTAAACTGTGCTGACTTACAGCTCCAAGCATCACCATTATCACTGCGTAGAGTTAGATTGTGCCCTCCTAGAAGGTTTTTCTGGTGGTTCGACTTACGAATAATCCTCGCGGACTAGATCGCGACAACGATGAGATCATTAGCTCGATCCCGGCCCACATCCCACATTCCCCGATCGGACTTACCGGTCGCCCATTGTCGCTCTGCCACATAAGGGCCCCATCGCTTCCAATAGCGAGTGCGTTCGCGGTCCTCCTTTAGGCGCTTCTCCTCCTCGGACAGATACTCATGCTTGTCGATCAGCACCATGGTGGACCCGGGATCCCGGAGAGATCGGCTCAAAAATAACAATGGACTCCGAGTCCAAACTATACAAAAGATAGAATGGAGGACCTTGAAAACAGAACACAAAAGTCTGGGGGAAACGATGGAAAGGTGAAGGAGAAAAGAAAGGAAGGAAGAATCAGGGAAGGAGGGGCAGCAGGTTTTACTCCGCAGCATATCTAGGCCTGGAGCTGTCACTAGCTAAGGGACAATGACGGCACCAGTGGGGTCTCCCGTTCGTGTTGGGGAACGAGCGGTGATTGGCGGGATGCAACAGTCCATGGGAATCTCGACTGCTTTTTGGCTTATCGCGGAAGCAGGGAAGTTGATCTGTGCCCAGGAAAAAGTCAATTCTAAAGAACGGCTCTACATGCGAAACTTGCATGCTTCTTTCTACAGACCAGAATCAGACCTAATCATCGAGTCCACGCAGGTATCCATGTAGATATACAAGGGGGGTCAGAGGGGTACCCAAGTAGATGCCCAAATAGCTACTGTACGACGTGAGGTCGCTTCAGCCGAGGTTTCAAGGTTTGGGTAGATCTATAATTAAAACTATAAGCAAAACGTTATACACGTCCAAGGAACACTGCAGCGAGCCCGGCTTTGCCCGTGCGCTCCCGCACCTTAGGGAACCTTGGTATGCAACTCCTCGGACCACACCTACTCGAATAAGTACGTAGAGGGCTGGTAAAATCAAATCACCATGCAAGCCACTGCACCGGTCAGTTTCGAACGCTGTCTGTGATGAGAAGTCCCACCGCTGATTGGACTGCTCTTTCATCCAGCCTTAACTGACAGTCTAGGGCACTTGTTACGGGCCAAGACATTCATATTTATCAACAGTGTTTTCTGTTCTTGTTACAAGGCCCCAACTAGGACAATACTAATGCTATGCTCTTGTATGCTTTGTTCGAATTCAAATATGAATATTGTTCTAGTAGCCTGCATTGTCTGAGCCTTTCATTTGGAACATAAGTTTACTTAGGGCATAACAGACAAAGCAAGAAATGCAAGCACCTATGTCTTTGGGATGTATTGAATAAAGGCCGGTCCTTGAAAACAACGAGTACAAAAGAAGCAATCACACACAAATGACTCATTTAAATTTGCCTCGAATGTGCACTTCTTTCTCACTTCTCTTTGTGGCTTAGTACGCCTTTCCGTTCAACGCCATCGGGTCTACTTCGAGACCTTCGGTGCTAAACCTGGACTAAAGGAGCTGTATTTAGACTGTCGGGTCTATATCCAGCTGGTTGACTCACTCCATACCGCGACTAAACTCGATCGAGATATCAAAAACCTCGTTCCAAAGATCAACTTCCCAATCCAGCGTCGGAGATATCAGTATATATACACCTCCCCCGCCCCATTTCTCTCAACTTTTTTTTCACCTTGCTTCATCTCTCTTCTACGAGAGGTCAAGTCAGATAAAAACCATTTCACGTGCATCTAAGTCAAACGACCATTCATTGGTCTCGTGCACTCCAACATTAAGTCAAACCCTCATTGGTATCAAAGTCATTCCACTCCACCCTGCCCGAAGCTTCGGTTGTGATCATCCATCCACAGTTCAGCCAACAAAAACCATATCCACCCTTGCACCAGTACTCCTTTGGGGATCATCCATATTCAAGTGGGCCTAAGCTCCAAGTTGCCTCGAAGTGATTGAACTTGTAGGGGGTCAGGTTGATTCTTGAGAAAACCATTTTGCGTGTTCAATCGTTCAAAAAGCCCAAAAGGTTTAAATCGTCAAAATTGTTTCTTTGATTGGAATTCAAAAACAGATCAATCTGGGAACCCCTGAAGTCGAAATTCAGCTCTTGCGAGGCAACGAAAGAGCTTCCCTTGTCTACACTCCCCAGGGAGGAAAGTCTTGGAACCCAAATTGCGTCCGCCAGCAAGCGAAGATGCCTCCCTACCGTCAATCTGAGATGCCTTACAACGGACGCAACCGCCACCAAGGACCCAGAAATGGGCGTGGTCGCGGCGGCAGAGATCTTGAAAATCAAATGGCCAATGGCACAAGATCGACGAATAACAGAGATTCTCAGAATCACTACAATCATCACATGAACCGCCAGGGCAGGGACTGGCAAAACTGGAGCAATGACGGGCTAGCATTTACCAATGAGCGGCGACCATTGGTCCATGAGGATAAAGGCTCCTCTGGTAGCGACGTAAGTGATCTTAAGAGGTTCTCCATCGACAGTGATAGCCCATTTAATCTAACAAATCAACAGCCTCGTCATCCTGGCAACCAGCACTATTCCTGGAACCGTGGCCAGTACCAAAGGCCGCGGAACCACGATGGTGCCAAGTACCAGGGCACAGGTCAGCCTGACAGAAGCCGTGGGCACCCCTGGAATCAGCAACGTTCAAGGCCGGCCTGGCTTGTGACTGCTGGGGGGAATCGGCATCCCAAGTTTGACCAGCGAGATGAATCCGCTGGTCAACAAGTCTATGGTGGAAACTCAAATGAAAATTACCAGAACGGTCAAAGACGACCCAATGGCATCTATGTAAGTATTCACTCTTCCAAGGTCTGTGTAAGATGAGCTAACATGTTGGATAGGAAGCAGATGGTGATGTGAAAATGGTCGATGTCTTTTCATCGGATGAAACATCGGATGCATCACTTGGGGTACGGAACGAATTCCACGTTCCAGTATCTGCCATTCATGGACACCCAGTCACTCGATATTGATTCTGAACTTGAACTCCATGCATGTATACATATGTAAGTGCTTTTGCTCTTATTCGGTCTTAGATTCGATATGCTTATTTTTCCACAGGTGTGAGAGCCGAGGCAATGAATTTGTGCCCGCTCCAAAGTTCAGATGATAATCTGTCAAACCGTCTTGCAAGTTGAATTCGAGTATCACTCAGAGCCCAGAATGGCCTTGGTTCCTCACGAACCATTATTCCACTATGACACGTCTTCGACATCCGGGGGGACGTAGAACCTGGATTTCCGCCGATGCGCCGGATGTCGACGGCTCGGGGCTCATGTCCTTGAGAAGATTTGTTGTTTCAATTATCAGTCACCGTATGGATCCTATCAAAGGACCTGCGGCATTGAATTTTGTTGAGGTCCACGCTGCCCCGATCAGTCTCTACAATCAACCAAATTCTCAAATTTCTACCATTTTGATCAGCGCAGCGTGGCCCTCATATATTTTGTGTGAGGGGAGATGTGTGGATCTGGATTGAGAACTCGTATCCTGGCCAGGGTTTTTACCGTGCGTGCACCTCATCCAAGCCCGCGGAGTTTCCCCTGGTCCCCGTGACACTATCAAGTGAGCGGCCCAAATGGAGGATGTCGAAAACAAAAACAACGGATTGGATATTCAGGTGGCATATGGGTTGGAAAGATTGCGTTCGTTTGGGGATTCATTCCCGGGACTTTGATATCTGCATTGATTAAATCTTCATGTGTCAGTTACATTGTTATATTTCACATTGTCAAGTCACAATCATGGTTAACGGACTTGCTCGCGTGTAGTCATGGCCACAACAGCTTTTCTAGTTAACCTCGTGAACACTCACGACCTATTATGACAGGATGATTGTTGACAATTCTTTTTTTTACATTGAGAAGCCTGCAAAAACATTCAACTTCGTCGCAATCGAGTCAATCAGATTTGCCTGCGTGGAGTCATGGCCACAATGGTGTTTCTGGTTACTTTCGAAGTCAAACTTTCTCATCTGCGATATCTTGTTACTTTTCATATGACCTGTACAATTGATTGTCTACATTACACGTTGCATATATCGAAGTCTCGGGAATGAAACAGTCTGAAAATACTTCCTTCTGGGCTTCAGCCCTATAGATTGTAAACTGTAAGCTTAATATAGACATAGCTGTCATCCAGAGTGGAGAAATATGACGTGAAGATTAAGATGCAGCAATAGAAGACCAAACGCCCGTTCCCGATGCTGATTCGACAAAGTATTGGTACAAGACAAGCGCAAAGATATAGTGACAGGCGCAAATAGTGACCAACTTAGCTAGACCAAGCTGAATCACCAACGGCAAATAGAAGGTCGTGATCAGGTGATAATTTCGCCTAATCATCATCCTCTTCCTCCTTGTTCTTCCCCCAACTCCATACATCCCAAACATACTCCGAAATCAAATCTCCATACCCCTTACCCTCCTCAAGAGCCTTCTGCTCCTCCTGTATCCGCCTCTCCATCCATCCTTCCTTCTCTCCACCCAGCCATACCCGCTGCGCAATACCCTGATCTTGTTGCTTCTGCAACGCCTTCCACTTCTCCAACTCATCGGCTGGCATACCACCTTCACGCAATTGTGCTTCTCGCGCCGCACGCAACCGCATCTGGACCTCTTGCGCACGTTCAGAGGGAAGATCGTTCAGGATGCGCGGTCGAGCGATGCGGGACTCAATCCGCTCGACGATGCTGCGCCCGGTTTGTTCGCGGATGACGTGATTCGCAGAGAAGCCGAAAGCACCAATGAGCAGGACGGTGAGGTGGTCTAGTTTGCGGGGAGGGAGGGCAATTAGGACTGGTGAGGCGACGAGGAAGGTGTAGGCTGTGTAGTTTTTGAATTTTTCGAAGTCGGCTCTTCGTTGGCTAGAAGTGTCTTGTTGCGGTGGTTGGGAAGCCATGTTGAGGTATGGGGAGTGTTGACCACACTACCCGATTGAACTTCGTAGTTTTAATATCAACTAGCAGTGGAGATGGGTATTGTTGATAATGGCGATCGGCAATGAATCCGCATCGCGATGCCAAATAAATTACGGCGGGGCATTCATGCCGCTTGTGCAGCCAGTCATGTGACTTATGTACTTGGGGGCGGAGAGTGATCGGCGTGAGTCTATCGTGGGCTGATGGGAGACGGTGTAATATGAGGGATATAGGGTGTTGGGGGCCGTGAATGCGTGGTTTCAAGTGGATAATGAAAGACCGTAATCGATTTCTTTGACCTATCATCTCAGGGTGACGAAGCCATACGGAGTTGAGATTGGGGGCGGATTCTGATACTGCTATAGTCCAATCAGATGGCCCCACTGCAGCGCTAGAGACAAAGAAAAGGTGGGGCGTAGCGCTTAATCCTTGTAAAAGGCTTGTCTCGTTTCAGTAGGAAATGCAGTCCTCCATCTTCCTGCTGCAGATTAGCATCCTGGTGCCCTGATCTGGAAAAGCTAGTGGGTCGGAGGGGGTGATGTGTGATGGGGGGAGTTCTGGCTGAAAATAGACCTATGCAATACAGCCCCCGTCCCAACTCTATATAAAGAATGTAAAACACCCCATAGAAAAGGTCTGCTGTTTGGCAAAAACAGCTTTCTACAGTCACATTTACGGCCCCCACCATGGGTAAAGGACTTGCAAGACTCATCGGCTCGGGCATCGGCTTCACCTCTGAAGCCATTCATGCTGCCCGACACCGTAACAAAGACTCTATTTCAGAGCAGGGCTCTAGTTCTGCCTCAGCCTCTGCGTCTGCTTCTGCATCTGCTTCTGCCTCCGCTTTCGCTTCTTCTGCTTATGATACCCCTCGCGGTTTCCCTTCTGATACCCCTCTTACCGTCCCCGCAAGTGAATCAGATGGCCATGAGCACTTGAGAGATCTGAGCTTGGACGAAGATCTCCCAGCCTACTCACCGGGCGAAGGGCGGCATAGCGAATCCACCTACCCGGACGAGAAAAGCAGGAACCATCCCTACGAGGCCGCTGATGACTCGGGAGACGAGTATGACAGTATTGTCCAAAGTGAAACGAGGGACCGTGAATATGCCGGGGATGAGGAGGCATGGGAGCTCGACGAGGTGTCCGAGGCATTGCCAGCATACGATGAGCTTGAAGGTGTTCCTGGACAGCTCCCTAGGAGGGACACCGAGGATGACCCCGATGCAATCCATGCTGAAGACTCTGCGGATACCAAGGAGAAGAAGACACAACGTATGATCCGTGAGCTTGTGGCCATGGCAGGTCCACCTGGACCTAAGCAAAAGCTTCCATGCCCGGTGATTATTCCCCAGCGCAGACCCGGTGCAAAGAAGCGCGGATTCGTCCGTGCATATGCACCTGTGTTGCAAGACTGTGGTATTGGCCAGGATGTGTTCTTGAAGTTCATCAGTGACTTCCACAAAGCGAGTCAGGTTTGTTACCCCTCTGTCACTACTCGTCACACTGTATACTAATATTTACCGTCATAACAGGCTTCTATTTGGCTACAGGTCGTCGTCATGGCAGCCGACATCACTGGCTATTCCCCCATGCTGTCAGTCGCTCTGACTGCAATGGCCGTTCAAATCATCGCGGAAACGGCCATGCAATTTCAAATCCGCAAGCGTACAACCAACTACCTGGACAAGGTTAATGAAGAAATTTTCATGCCGCGCGGTCAATACGCTATGATCATGAAGTTTACCGAGAAGCCTCCCAAGCCAAAGAAGAAGAAGAACGGCGCCGCTTCGGACCCACTCGCCGACATGTTCACAATGGAGCAGGTCAACGTAAGTGAATCAGGTGTAAGAGAGGAGGGCGACCCCCAAGCGGGTCCGGCACCTTCTACAGCAGGATTCGACGCCGCCGAGACCATTGCAAAATTCACTAATAGCGAGGAACACCCCGAGATGAACGCATGGAAGACACGTATGAAGGGCTTCAGACTGGAAAGTGGTCGAACTCGTGGCCAGATGCAGCTTCCAGAATGCGCACCACTGATCTATCCCCGTATCGACCGAGTTGCGCTCCGCATACAGGAGGGCAAGGAGGCCAAGTCGACATTCCAGACTGGACGAACATGGGCTCGAGAGTACATTGATAGAAGAAGACAGATCGAATTCGTGAGTGTCATATCTCTCGAAACCCAAAGAATGCAGCTAACAGCAGACAGGAAAATGAGCACAAGGGTTCTGCTCTGGCTATCACTGAGGAAAACCGAAAGCCATTTACTTCACGTTACAATGACCCTAATCACCCAGCCAACAGTGGAGATCTTATCTCGACTCTCACTGGCGGCAAGTTCTCACATAAGAAAAAGCCTGGTCTGATTGAGCGAGCAGCCTCTTCAATCAAGGAACGGAATGATAGGAAACGGGCTCTTCAGGGTCTACCTCCAAGTGAAACACTCAGAGAGAAGATCAACAGAAAAAAGAAGGAACAGGGCAACAGGTTCAAGCTATTCCGGGAGGATGTTCTGTACCTGATGATTGTCAACATGCCTACCCCAGAAGAGCTGGAGCAGGCGGTTGCTCGTCTGCGTTACATGATGGAATTGGAGCAGGCTGAGAAAGAAAAGGCGAAAGCCAAGTAGTAATACTTTGATTGCTCGTATGTGTTTGGGATTTGCATATCGATGATACACTAAGATTGGGTACTCCTTTACGTTAATGAAATTTTCAAGTATTTAATATCATCAACATCTCTTGGTAGAGCCTAAACCTGAAGTACACAAGAGAAATTTCTGATTGCGTAAAATTGGCTCTTGAAAACTTTTTAATATCACTTGTATGGGTCAGCTCTCTGTAGAAGTACCTTGCAATCTGGCCGTGCTGTGGAAAAGACTGAATGAGGGGTCCATCATCCACAATCTGGCCTGTAAAGTCCAGTACATAAGAGAGGAAACATTGAAGAGAGAATAATCGTCTTTGAAAGTCTTTGTATTCCGATATCCTGTATATTCTGGTATGAGGTTCAACAAAAGAAATCAAATCATCCGCACATCGCTAAGAGCAAGACTAAAAACACATGATAATTCGTGGCAAAGAGTGTACAAGATTGATGGCACAAGTTACACCCTAGGCCCATCGCCAACCTGATTCCTGGGTACCCTGCTGCTTCATGACAGACATGAGCAAGGGGTTCTTCCCATGATTGTTCCGTCCCCGACCCACGAACGGATTCCGATCGGACTTCTTCTTTTGTTGTTGTAGCAGCTGCTCAGCAGCCTGGACGTTAATTCCTTCACCAGTATCGGTGATTTTTAAGGCCCACTTAACGTCATCTTCGAAGAAACCGAGCTCATTTACCATGTGGGAAATGGCCCGGTCGACGGGGTCTTGGACTTGGGGTTGGAGAGGGGCTGGCATGAAGGAGCCTGAGAGTGGGGGGCTGCGGAGGAGGGGTGTTTTAGGTTCCGATGTGGGTATTTGACCTGGGGTACCAAGCATGTAGTTCGGAGTGGAGTGGGTGGGTGTGCCCGGCGCATGCTGGGGAGTTCCTGGCGCATAGTTCGGTGTTCCAGGGGGGGGAGGGCTTCGACTTCCGGTTGAGGTTGATGACCGATCGAAGGTGAGAGGGGGTACTGGTGGTACAGAGGGGGCTCCGTTGACAATTCTTCCGATGCTACCTCCGAGGCTGTGCAGGATGGTGCTGTATGTAGACATGGGTCGCTCCATTGCGAAGGAGTCACCCCCGTACGGCTGGTTCCTTCCCTCACGGCGCTGGACTCGAATTTCCTGGGAAAATACCTGTCGACGCTCGCTATCTTCTTCGCGGGTCGTCACTTCGTTCGATGGCAGTTCACATGGACTATCGGCTGAGCCAGAGGGCAGACTGAAAGAATATCGTTCCCGGTCGTCGTAAACGCGCGATACTGCTTCCTTCATGAACGATGATCGGGTGGTCTGACCTTCTGTCAGGTCCCACTTGGTAAGGCCGACCGCGTTCGCTCTTTCAAAGGTGATGGCCGTGGTTTCGGTAGGGTTCAGAGAGCTGACCATCAAGACTGCGGACAAGCCAAGGGTGAGAACATAGGATGTCCATTCCTCTAAACTCAAGTGTTAGCATCCTGTTTCGCATGTGTTTGGCGTTCGACTTACCCAGAATGGTCTCCTCGCGGACTGGGTCGTCCTCGGGCACGTCTATGCCATTGAAAATACCAACATTGCGGGCCTCAATGCACTTCGCATGAAGGGGCTGGACCAAAACTCCAAGGCAGGTCCAGATCTCAGTCATATCATATAGCTCCCTTGGCGTGAGGCCGCTATAGTTGCCATGAGCGAATCCCTCGGGCGGTTCGAACAAAACGTTGTTGATACCAAAGGGCTCGGTCATGGAGGAAGATGAGCCTTGGGCTTTCCGGGCCTTCACTCCTCCTCTTAACCAATCTACCTGGCCTTCAAGGTCGTTTTCACGACCCTTGCCGCTACCAAAGATGCGACAGAATGTCCAAATTCGCCAAAATGCATTGTCGACCTCCTCGGCACGCTGGTCGTCTAATCCGGCCAAGCCACGTACAGTATCGCGGCGCATGAAAGGGGCGCATCGCATGAGAATCATGGACTTGAGTTGAGCCAAAGTATAAATATCTTGAGCATACCGATCCAGGTAGAGAGACGGCGTGTACTCGGGTACCTGGGAATCTGGATCCAAAACGTGTTGCCACTCAGTAGTCCACGGAGGGCTCATTTCACGCAGCTCCCATGCAGGTCGCGACATTTGATAGAGCGCACTCTTGATGATCGGCAGTTCACGTTTCTTGAATACGCGGTAGAAGCGCTTGTTTACCAAGACGAAATTGAAAAGATCATCGAGCGATGTAATTTTCTCCATAATCATCTCAACAATCGAGTCTTCGATCTCAGTCAAGGGGAAGGTCACCTTGAATTCGGTAGTGGAGGCAGATCTTCGTGCCTTGACGGATTCCGGAGATGTTGGTCCAGCGGCAAGTTCATAGACCTGCTCCGGTGGATAGTACACACTGCTCGCTTTGGAAGTGGAGACGAAAGCAGAGTGACGCATTCTATTGGTTGTGGCAACCATCTTTTCATCTCTTACAATGGGCTGACGAAGGGTGAATGACGGGATAACTTCTTTGGCATCTCTGGTGTCGTCGAGCCACGGGGACTGCACTTGACTGGTCAAAAGAGACCGTCGTGCAGGAGCGAGCTGCTCGTACACGCTTGTGAAGCCCAAGCTGTCAGTCTGCAGAGAGGAGGATTTGGAGTTTGCGGGGTTGTCCGAGGCAGTTTGGGTGTCAGGAGCAAACTGGTCGAGCAAAGTCTTGAACCCGAAGTTATCAGTTTGTAAACGGGGCAATTGGAGCAGGAGGTCGTCCCGTTTGTTAGATAACGGATCGTCCTCATCCGATATCTTTTCAATGTTAGGATCCGATTGTGAAAGATGAAGGGACAAGCGTGTTTTGTCAGTCGGGTTGGCATGATCGGCCTGTGGGTCCACTGAAGTCTCCGACCGTGAGCTCAACGTGCTCAGCCGATGCTGGTCCGACCGTGTCGGATTTTGCTTTCGGGTGAACGTTGCCCTGGAGATTGAGAAAGACTTTTTCAATTTCAGCAGATCACCCTTTGTGCCCTCTTTGGAGTTCCCGCCCCAGCGACTCTTTGATTCATCCTTGGCCTTGGGGGTTTTGGCTTTGTTGGAGTCGGTGGAGTCCTTTGATCGGTTATATTTGTGGCCCTTTTTGGTGGAACCGAGATTATCCCGTCGAGAAGTGACGCTCCCAGTTCGACTCCCCTTCGTCTGGTTCGATTCGGAGTAAGGTTTCTGGGATGGAGGCAGGGGCGCGGGCCGCGCCGCTACCAATTCGCCATTGTTGCGACTGATCTGGAGTGGGCCTTCCAACACCAACCGCCTCTTCATCCCATCCAAACTCAACTCAATTTCCATCTCATCTGCAGCTTGTTGCCAGGTTGACACATGACGCTGGTGATTCCGTGAATTTTGGCGATATTCTGGCGAGTTGGGGCTACCGCGGCGACGACTGTCCCGATGTCCGCATGTTTGGCACCGGTGGGGTTGACGGTTGCGACTGGCGTAGGCTGAGTGGGGAACGTGTTGCTGGGGCGTGCAGTCTGTGCACTGTGGTGAAGAATGACGGTGGGCGGACGGCTTTTTATGATCGTGATGCTTGTGATGCGAATCGGTCGAAATCGGCTCAACGAGAGGTGCAAGGGGGAGTGGCTTATTCCTCATATCCCGAAGATTCGAACTCGAATTCTTCGAGGTCGTGGTGTTTAATCGGGTCGGTACCGGTCCCGCTGCGCTCATCCGTTTGGAGGCTCTCGGGCGCATCGAAGCCGACTCGTTGAAAACCCCTGCCTGAACTGGGGAGTAATTGGAGGAATCGGTGGTCATTCGATACTTGTTTTTCCGAAATGCCAGATCAGTCCCGAAGCTCTGCATCGACGTCTGTCTGCTATAGTCGGACGATCCGGGTCTATTTAGATAGTTCTCATCGGACGGGGTAGGGGAGCCCAAGATTTGACCAAGGTTATCGCCCGAGTTGTGATAAAGGCTCTTCACCCGCGCCTGAATCTCATTTTCAACTCGTGAGCGACCGGTCCTCGGCTTCGGAGTCGTATCCAGACCTTCGGGGGCCATCACCGCGAAATTGCTCTGCAACTCCGGAAAGAAGCGAGCCAGAACCTTACTTGAGTGGTCTGCAGGTCGCTCGTCAGAGATGGGAGAAATATCGGATTCTTCGTCGGAGCCCAGTGGCGAGTCCAAGTCAATAATCGTGCGGAGGGATCGTGGAGGGGACACGGGACGATCCACGTCGCCCTCCCACGGTCGGCTCTTAGAAGCATCCTTAGATACATCCATGTCGATCCACTCGTAAGACCTCCCTGCCAAAGCGTCAGGTGCAGCTGGCCTATGAGTCGCCAGTTCGATCATTAACGGTACTTCTGTCCCCTCGTCGGCCTCGGATACGCTGCCGCGAACGGCTTTGATCCTTGGCAGCTGGAAGTTCTTTTCAGATTTGAGGCTCAGTGGTGGCGGACGAAGGGGCTTCAGCGCCTTGTCCTTTGTGATGGAATCCTCGCTTGGTTGAGTGTACGGAAATGTGACCGGCGATACCATCTTTGAGGTTGGGTTCCACCGTTCAGATTTCGCTCCGAGGGTGGGACGTTATCCTAACCCTGGAGCATCGTTCGTAGATCTACTTCTGTCATTGATCATTAGTCCCTCACGTCTCTAAATGATTTGTCGAGTCCGCTCGCTCTGTCTCTCTTTCGAGTTGGATAGTGGAGTCTTCACCTACCGGCGATCGGGGCCCGATAGTCCCGGGAATGTGGATTCGTAGTAGCAATGGTGACTTTATTATCGAAGGTCGCTTACTCGAACAAAGAACGCGGTTGTTTACGGGAGAAACAGTGGCTTGTTCTTCGATGTCGACAAAGAGAAGGAGGAGGTTTGAAAGTAGCCCCGGGAGCAAGCGTTTTTTGTCTTAGGGGGGAAGTTGTTAGGTTGGGGGCTAGTCATGCAGTACCTGCACTCACGCAGACAGCGCTGATATCATTGGAAAAAGCTGCTGGGCTCTTCAGGTGCTCAATGGGCCCACTTCTGTGTGTCACTAAGGGGATACCGCAATACGCCAGGCAATACAGTTCGTATTGGGGGCCGAATCTTCCCTTTCGGGTAACACCCTTCCTTGCATACATCTGTTCGCACTAGAATCCATTTCGAGTACTCAGACGCTTGATCCTTATAAACTTCCCATAACGCGTATAATCGCATAATCTCGTTTCTTGGGATGGATGTGCCGGGTGTGGTATCACTCAGCTTAATCTACACATTACTTGATCGGCGTGCCTATATCCTAATCAGGGTTACATTCCACTCATTTAACACGCATGAGGAAACATGTCAGATCCAAAACAACAAATTAAAATCCATCAGCTCTTGCGCCACAAACCCACGGCCATGTGCACCATGTGGTTGCTGATCGGGGGGATTTGACAGCTTTCCTACTTGAGATCTTTCCTAGTTGAGTGTCATAGTGATCTGCGATCGAGTTCACAATCAGCAATGGACGGAGTAAGTGTGAAACATTCTGGACTGTACAATGTTTGTTTGTCGGCCCTGGCCCTGAGGGGCCAGGGCCCCCAATGGGTACGTATTGATTCGCCACGAATACCGAGTTGCATACTTGGTAAATATGGGACTCCACATTTATTTGCGAACCCACCACTTAACTGCGGGGAATATTGTACCGCCCCGGTAAGTGGAACTTCCACCGTGGACTGAAGTATACTTAGTTCTAATTACTAACCGTTGAAGTGGCACCGTGACACGGTCCATACTCGAGATGGCGGGATTTACACTCCCTAGCGCTCCTGAGTGAGATGTGTGAAACTATCCAGGAACCTCTCCAGTAGGCAGGATTTGCCTGATCTACGATCTGTGACATCGTCTCGATCCCTCCAAATCCCTCGGGAGAACCATTACTCCACCATCGGTTTCAAAAGTCCGACGAATACCCATCTGCCCCCAAGCACAGACAGTTTCATCCTAATCCTTGCCTATTCGGGCAAACTGCCATATACAGGAACCTCATGCGGAGGCTAACAGGGTCCTACTGCTAAATAGTACAATGTGCTTAGCAAAATCTGCCTTGGCGCACTTAGTGAACAGGCCTTCATTGGACCGTTGGAATCATTGGGGAACCCCATGCTATCCATAGATTAGACTACCGGAAGCTAGGGAGCTATGTATAGATAGGGACGGCAACTTGCGGCGCAGTCCTGCATAAATTTTCCGACCGGCCAACACGACCTCAAATAATTTATGGATTTCTTGAAATACTACTGGTCAAGCGAAGGAGCCTATCATTTGCAAGAGAGAATAATGATTACTGGTCGAACGTTCAGGTTTCCCCGGCAGTGAGAATTCAAACACCTATCAGCACCCAAGAAACGCAGTCACCATCCCAGCCGGGATTCAAACCCAAGGGGCAACGAAATCGATGTGGCAATGGGGCAGGATTCCCCTGCGAAACACGGTATAGCTCTTACATTACTGTTTGTATCCAGGGTGGATATATGCAACCTTATGCATCCTGTACCTTGGGGCGATAAATCGTTCGTGGCAAGGCCACTTGTCCAATATCTCGTACTTCGCGAAAGTTCCATCGTTGTGTTTCATCTTCGGTTGTTGAGCCTAATGTTGTTGACAGCCTCTATAGCTTTGTTTCAAATCGGTCGTGCCAGGCCTAACAGTTAAGCTATGCAGTCTTTCGGACTTCGAAAACTCCGCATGAATTACTAAGATGCATAAATCCCCACGGTTCCTACGTTCAATCCATGTTCGCGATAATAGAGCGAGCATAACTTATACCAACGTCGATCATTAGTTCTTCCTTTCTATAAATATAAAAAGACCCAGCGGCGCGTCCATTAAATATCCAAAGATAGGTTCCAACTCCAACCCACGGGTCCTTCGCGGGCTCTAGCTTGGTTCGGCTAGATCCACCAAGCCCCAAAGCAACAGCCCACCTTGTTATGACCTTTCTGGTCGACAATGAAGATACAAACTATCCATCGGGCTATTTCGAAATCTGTTTGATCTCACGTGGCAGCCATTGACCATTTCTAGCAACAAGCACGATCTGAGATTCGATGGTTCTGGCCCTATCAGAGCGCTGATTACCGCCTCATCTAGGAATAGCTCGAAAGCCGATCATTTCACGGCCTTGGGGGCCAAGACTATTTACTGTGACATCACCCCCACTTCTGAAAACTGTTAAATGATGCGCGCTGCCACGCAATGGGTCCCCAGCATCGCCCTGGAGATTTGCATTGCTCCTTCCTGCCTCGCTAAAGTGTGCAATCAAGTCCCTGCAACAGCCTTGCCCCGTATATATCGTGACGTCTACTTGCCGAGCGAGCGACCCAGATAAAAGTCCAGCCCCTTTTCCTGTGGGGAAGCGGCCGGGGGGGAGGGAAGGCCTTGATGGTGATCCCGGGCCTTCCAGGCACGGGTGGCAGTCAAATCTCCGAATTTTGTTTTGGTCAGACGAGACCCGGTAGAGTGGTGCGGATATCAGGACCTGAAGACAGCTGTCGAATCACAGTTGCGTCTACTACAGGGCTACCCAAACAGATGTCCGTTATATTTTCGTGTGGAGCATTGTCTACTGTGTGCCTTGGCATTGGCTAGGTCTAGGTGCCAAAGCACTCTGACCAAAGCCCGTATAATTTCCCCCGCTTTTCGTCATTCATCTTTATCTCGGCTGTGCATTTCCAATTTCAATTTGCGGAATTTCATGCGAGCGGTAAAATCTCCGAAAATGCCCGGGATTGGTTAATTTCTATAGCTTACGATTAATACCAACGTGCTTTTGTTTCTCCATAATCATATTCGAAGAAATCGATCCATATTCATTATGACCAAACTGAGTACATTTGAATGCGACAACTATATACAGGGCTCGAGCGCTGCGCAAGAAATTGCACCACGCCGACGTTGACCTCTGCAGTAAAAGAAAAACAAAGATAAAAACGAAGGAGAACCCTTGAAGAAACGAACCATTGAAAGTAAATAGCAATCAATCCCATATAAGCCAACCAGCAGATCCTCCAAGAGTGATCATCATCATGGCCGTCAAGATACCGGCCCCAGCTCGATCACCCGTTGTGATGGGGTATGACAACGCATCGGGTGTAGGCTGTGGGGGCTTTCCACCAGCACTAGGATCGCCCTTGCTAGTACCGCCATCATCGCTAGTGACCGGTGCAGCAACCTTCGTGATGAGGTTTGCCTGGATCACCTCGAGAGCCGCCATTTGCTGGCCAAAGTCTGTGGTTGTGTCCCATTTCTGCTCTGTCCACTTGAGGCCACACGTAGTGCCTTCCGGTCCACCATCGCAGGCTTTTGCAGCTGCTGTTGCGGATGCTTTGAGCTTGGGCATGATTGTGTCATAGGTGAATGGGGCTAATTGCGTGGTGGCCGCCATCCAGCGGGCGAGATAGCCTTTGAATGATCGTTGATCGACCATGCATGTGTTGACTAGCTCACAGGCTCGTTCAAACATGACATTCTTTGGGTTGTCTGAGAAGAAAACTTCAGACGATTCAAGAATTCTCTCGACACGATTTTTCCATTTGGGATCAGAGGTCTGCCATGCAGTCAGTCGGGCTGATTAGTGAAAGAGAGTGATGTTACTTACTATGTTCCACATGTTCGCCGCACCGAGTAGGAAGACACCGTTGTTGTAGGTCCACTCGATTTCATTGATCTCAGTGCAATTGGTCAAATCACTTGCACCATCCCAGAAGTGATAGTCGTGTGTCATGAATCCGACGTCCTCGGTCCAGTCCCAAGCCCTCTCCGCCCAGTCCTGGTATGTCGAATTTCCGGTATACTTCGCAAGACGCGCAGCCAAATTGAAGAATCCGCCAGTAGAAATGGTGTTCTTGTAGCTATACCCGTTATTCCATGTAAATATTTGCCACCGTAGTCCGCCCCCACATGACGAGTTATCCCAGCGAGGCGCCTGTGTGTTGAACGTTGCCTGGGCCATGGCGAGCCAGCCCATTTTGTCAGAGGGGGGGTTTGGGAAGTTTCGTTCCGCAGCGGACATCGCTGCAAATCCCCAAAAAGCTTGGTCGTCATTTCCTTCTGTTTTACTTTGGTTGTTGGGCATGAAAGCACCAGTATCGCCCGCCTGCCATAGTAGACCCTGCGTGGTAATGTCGTTCCATTTATCGTCGCCTGTATAAAACCAATAGTCGATCAATGCATTGAACATTGCACCAGCTTCCCACCAGTAGTATGGATCTGGTAGATTTCCCGGGTTGTCACCGGGCCTGTTTCCGGTATAGTAGGACATCATGTTCGTGGCTACTTGTCTTGCGGCTATTTTGATGGAATCTGCGATGAAATCAATCACTGAATCGTGGAAGTATCTTCCGATTCCCAATCCATGTGCACATACCGCTATCTTCAACGTCCAATGTAACGGCTCGAGCTGTTGATGCTCCCGCAAGAGCGACGGTTAATATTCTCGCCCATGAGGGCTGAGAAGAGCCGAACATGTGCATCGGGGCCGTTATGTGTTATAATAGGAGGGTGATTCGCAGTTGATCGGAACAGAGCCACCTAGTTTGTCTCTTATCTTCCAGTTGTATGGATATCGAATAAAATGTCGGTTGAAATTCAATTGCACGGGTATCACAGGCTTCTGGATTGCCTCTCAAGCAAAAGGTTAGAAAAGAGAGGAAATCTAGAACCAGAGGCAGCCATACGTAGCATCTACGTCTAGCCGACAAGAGGGGTCTTGTGGATCGTAAATCACATTCCAAAAACAATGGGGTGCTGGCATGGTAACAAGGCGTGTATCCCTCGAGTCGCCTTCCCGCCCTGGACCAAGAGTGGATAAAAAGGTACCACGAATGAACCGCATAGGGATCTACGACTACAATGGACCTGTTAAATGTGCCCGCAATCAGACCAAAATCCGTTGAGGTGTGACCCTGAGCTGTCATTGTATCGTGGCTTCCATGGTTCGAGTTTACGGTGAGGATCGGCGAGGAATGCGGGCAGGGGCTCCCAGGTCGCGATATTTGATCGATAAGCAACAGGCATTGGGGGGAGAGAATCGATTCGATCCGTTCAAGCCAATCAAATTCGAAAGATCACGGGTAAAGATGTTAGTGTGGTTCGCGGCCGCAAACGAATACACTGCAACATCGCATTCCGATGCTGTCACGTCTATCCCTTTTCCGGAAGGGAGGACCTGGAGTATGGCCTCCCCTTTCACAGAACAACATTTTTAATATCTGGTATGGAAACAAGGGAACCTGTTCACTGATATCATCAAGGCACGTTCGCGCCGCTGAACTCCGTCTTTTCAGTGCTGCCATCCTCTGTCCATCCCTTGGGAGGAGCTTGCACCTCAAAATTCCACCCGAATGTATCCTCTTTCTGTCCCGACTGAATACCGCGTAGATTCTGTAAGAGCTTTACACAGACCTCACCGCCCTCATTATTGTATCCGGAACGGTATTCAAACTTGTCTCCCTTCGACCGCATCGTGATACTCCGCACCGGCACCAGGGCAGCCGCTGTTCCCGCCGCAACAACTTCGTCGAAATCAGCCAATTCATCGTAGCTAACACGGCGCTTCTCCACGCGAAAGCCCAAATTCCGGGCAATCTCGCCCACAGATGCGGCGGTGACCGAGTCTATAGCATTGGGACTATCGGGGTGCACAATCGTAACGTCCGTACCGCTCCCTTTAACCCCAATGAACGCCGATGTTGAGAATTCATCAATCTCGCTTCGCGTCGCGCTATCAAGGTGCAGCGTAATGCCAAATCCTTCATTACGCGCCCGATCACTGTGACGTAGTACAGGGGCATAGTTACCCCCGACTTTCGCGGCGCCTGTTCCGTGAGGAGCGGAGCGATCAAAGTCCTCGAGGATCAGGGCATCGACTGCGCTAGCTCCATGGTAGACGCCGGTCGGCATGACAAACACAGCAAGCGTATATCCATCTGGAGGGCTCAAGCCCAGCTGTGCAGAAGACCCGAACAGTAAAGGACGGATGTACATCGCAGCGTCGGATTCATGAGGCGGAACAAACTCGGCATTGGCTGCCACGGCTAAATGCACTGCCTCGATAAATAGCTCTTCCGGCACAGGTGGGATGGAAACCACCTCGGCGGAATTTTGCATTCGCTTTGCATTACGCTCTGGGCGGAAGATAGTGATCTTCTTATCCCCGGCATGGCGGAATGCTTTGAGTCCCTCATAGACTTGTTGTCCGTAGTTCAGGCCGGGCGCCATGCCGTGGATTGACAGGAAAGGCGAAGCGACGAATTGCGGGGCAGACCAATTGCCTCCACCGGACTTTGAAAAGTGGCATTCGACATGGCCGTGAACTGTGAATTTTTAGATATTAAGTCTCGTTTGGACTGGGATGAGCCTACCGTCGCGGACTTTGAAGCCAATGTCCTTCCAATCGAGAGCTGCAGGTGGTGGGGGAAACATGGTGGAGAATGGAGATATGGGGGATCTGCGGGACCCGCGGGGTACATGGCTTTTATACTGGTTCTGGTGACACAATGACTCCAATCGTTTCTGCCATGAGACGGGAAGTCTGACTTCCGCCACTTTCCTCGTAATTCACTTTTTCCGACAGATCTTACACCTTGGCAGCTATCAGGCACTCATTCCCCAACGCCCAATGGCAACCTAAATCCTTTTCATCAGCAAGATCAACGGTGAGTAACATTTGAGACTGATTCAGCCACTGAGGTGTTTCGAAGCTGTTCGGCTTCCAAAGTTGATTCCATCTTGAAATGTCCTCTAGTTGTTTGATTCGAGCTTGTTTTCACTGTTTTAACGAGCTAATGAGGGCTGGGTAGTAAGACTCTCACCGCAAGTTCCATATATATATCCCGCCACTTAAATCCAACAAAATATTCAATGCAGATAAATTTGCACACTATTACTACTTCAACGCTAGTCTATGGAGGAAAGCTTTGGATATTTAGATGTACCCGTGGACAGGTTCGGATAGACCATGAATTAATGGTTCATGCATATTTATGATGCCTGGTTAACTAGGCACCAACAGTGAAATGTCTCAGTTGACACCTGTGCACTTCGATCTCACACAAATTGACCACAGTTTGGGACATCTGGATAGTCGATTCGCCCCCCAACGATTCCGGCATATTCATAGCGGAGAAATTTACTGAATATTGGCAAATTCTTCACGCTTAATCGATCTACTGGTTCGGCGTTGCATACAAAGAGTGCCATTTTAACCCCGGGTTTATCGCCGAGTCCCTTGCTCCACACACTTTTCCTCCTGCCCAGTGATCAATTCACGCATCTCTGAATTCTACATCCTTGATCCACAGCTCCAAAATCTCGACCCATGAGTCCTCCACGAAATCGAAAGCAGCGCCGTGCTGCGGCTACCGAGTCAATTGCCACCGCATCCGACATTCCTCTCTCCATCCCCTCACGCGACGACCCCTCCACGAGCTCCAAAGAGCATAGAACACTGTATGACATCATTGAAGAGCGTCAAAATGAGCTCCGCGGCCAGATAGCAGGCTCAAAAGCTATACCAGCATCAACAAGGAAAACAAGGCAGTCTGCCCAGTCCACGGGGACACGATTCGTGACGGTGGACGCGTCCGGAGCTCTGGTGGAGACCGATGGCGATATCAGCAGTGAGATCGTGAAAAACACCGGAGGACAGAATATCCCCCACAGTGGAGGTGCCAAACCCAAAGACAAAAATGATGAAGACGACTCCGAGACCGACGAGCCCCTCCCACCCTTCCTCGATACCGTTTTGCTCTCTGTCCCTCTCACAACCCTCCACCTCACTCTTGCCTACCTGGCTGCCTACATGTACGCCGAATCCACGAATGTTCCGCGCCTGGTCAAGGATGCTGTTACGACGACCTTCCCTCTACTCACATTTCTTGTTCACTTCATTCACGGCCACATCGTCTCCTTCCGGCTTCCACGATGGAGCTTCTTGAATCCGCAGCCTGTTTACCTTCTCCCACTTACACGAGACAAATTTACATTCTCATTTCTACGCCGCTTGATATTACCCCCGACTCTCCGAACCATTGTCTTCCTACCCGTCGCGGTGACGCTGGGTATGCACCTGATTACTATTACAAATGAGCAACCCAATTACGCTGTGATGAAGAAGGCGCCTGCATATGGGACGGTATGGATCTGGTGCATACTTGAAATGACGTTTGGCCCAGCGGTCTTGGGATCGTTGGGACCGTTGATTTGGGGCGTTTGGTGGATGGGCTACGGCATTGTCTGAGAAGACACTGCAAGTGCATTGAGGCGCACTTTGACATTCCTCCTGTGTTCTCGGAAATTTCATACCCTCGTAGAGCCTTGAAAGCTCATCCAATTATGCTGCGTGCATATTCTATCCTCAAGCTTTCTTCCAAGATTGTACCATAATTTCATCTATAGATATCATTTGCTAGTCACGAATTTATAGATCCTTGCTCGTTTTGCGGTAGGATTACCTGGTTAGAAACACGGGAAGCTGAACAGGCTTCCATTTCTGCATGGAGAATGACGAATCCTAATATCCAGGCTCAGCGCAATTTACTTTTGGGCATCCAATGGAAAATAGCATCAATACCTAATGGAAGAGGCTCGTCTCATCTGCCAATCAATCGCGGCGAGGTGCGGAACTATTACCCCACTTCCCCTGCAAATGATCCGGCACACGATTTATTTTTAGCGTATCTACAGTCTACCGGAGACTAAAGGGGGGCTGTTACTGCACAAACCCCTTTGAGGAGAATGCCACTTGTAAAGGTGGGCAACGATGCTCTCCGGATCGATTTGGCTGCGCCCGAGGGCTGGACATTTGCGCCAGGTGACACAGTCATCGGCGATGTGGTTCGCTGCTCACCCATCGACACTTCCAATGCGGACCTGAAGGTGTTTTTGAGAGGTCGTATACAGACTAGTCGGTCTGGTGCAGGCAATAGCGGTTCATTTTCTACAGATCCAGCTGGTGTGACCACTCAGTCTGTTGCTTCTGAACAGGTCCTTCTCGCGAAGCATTATCCTATCTTCCAAGGTCCCCTACAAATTCCGGAGGGCGGAAATCCCATTTCTTGGTCTTTTACAACTGAGATTACTCCTGATCCCCCAAGAAGGATATACGGAAAATATGATATCTCTTATGACTACTTACCAGGAACCATCAGTTCAGTTGGTCGGAGTGGTGTAGCCACGTCGACTGCGTGGATCGATTACTATCTCGAGGCCGAACTGCGATATCTACAAAAGAGCATTTCTGGGCAGCGCGATATCGAAAGGAAAGACACTTCAATTTACCCGATCACCTTAAGGCATCGACCTCTGCAGGAGTTTGATGAATTCGGGATCACGCAGGAAATATTCAAGCGGAAAGTTCGAGGCCATCGCTTAGTCCCGGATCTTGGTCTCTCCAACTTGTCTATGAAGCAAAGGGCACAGCAACGCTTCGGTTCCTCTAAAGTGCCCGAGCTCCACTTCCAAGTTGAAGTTTACCTTCCGAGTACGATTCAACTTGACAACCCTGCGTTTCTACCCCTGAACCTCATCATCGTTCAAGGGAATGATACGAGCAAGGAGATCAAGACTGTTCAAAGAACAGCTTGGATTACCTCTATCTCAATTTCTATCGAAACATGTACCTTTGTCAAATACCATGGAGCCTCCCTTGAGGCAGACTATAACCAACCCACCAACTCTGCTCGTTCAATTCCCACTAAGTCTGTTGGAGGCCACTCTAGCATCCAGGATTTGCACCTAAAGGACGCCGTTCGCAGGATGGATGACTTTCCTTGGGAGGTTGCCATGGGGGAAGAAACGGTTGATGTTGGGAGTGTTCTTCAGATGGTTCTTCATTCAGATGGGTTGAGTGTTGCGGGAAGGCGGCTTGAGAAAGTGCAGCCAATTACCCCCAGTTTTGATGTTTATAATCTTCGAATCATAAACTGGCTTAAAGTGGACGTGTCGGTCACGGTGGCGGAGGAGACGTTTATGTTGAGTACAAGGACACCTGTGACGATATTAGCCACAGAATAGTCTTACAATACCCCCAAATCAAACATCGGTCCCGTGCAAAGTGCCTAATGGGGTTTTCGTAGCTTAGCACCGTGTTCTACATGCTTGGATTGTAAGGAAAGCTTAGATGCCACTGATTCAACGGTCGAAGCTTTTGGTAATGCGTCCATGGTAATGTAACATGGAGACTAGACTACCGATGTGGTTCAACAAACCGTTACATTGCCCCTTGTAGCTGTGACACGGGGATGGTTGTTTGTTATCGATGTCTTTGAAGATAGCAGTGCATTATAACATGATTTTATTTTTGTTTTTTCGGGGTTACGTTCCTCAATTTCTAATATCTCAAACGACAGAGAGAGGCTATCATAATCATACCACAATGTTTGACTTGCCATGGCGATACTCGAGACGGCGAAGCTATTGACGCCCTCGCTATTGATATGTGGTAAGATTAGATCGTTCACTGACCGAGTTCAATGACTCGGAGGCGTTCCATCTTCATTTTTTCTCTGCCCAAAGCTTGAACATGGTTTTCTGATCAACAGACAGCTGTCTTTTTTACCTTCCATGATACTCGAACCATTGCGAACCCGGTGGTCGCTAATTAGCCTCTTCCGAATGTCCGAAATAGGATTCAGTGCGAGTCCTTTTCTTGGGATAATGTAAGTAAACACACTTGTTGAAGATTTAACGAAGAATTTGGTATTAGAAGTGACGGAACTTGAAGAGACTCTGATCTAACCCAAGACTTCCAGACTGCATCCGAGTCTGCATGTTCCAAGGGCTTAAAAACACCGCTCGTACATGATCTGCAGACATGCGATATACCTGTAAGATCACCAGTACTATTATATCGTCCTAGGCTCGCTCGATTCACTGACTGCAAGGACTTTGATAGTGTACGACAGGGACAACGCCAACCTGCTGTACCAATAACTGTGTGGACTTGAGCAATAACCTGACTCACTGTGGATTATGTTCAATTTCGTGCACGGCTCATCTGTGTCCGGCAATAGAACCAAGCTGCTGCTCTGGAAATTGTGTTGATCTTTCCAGCAACAGGCCTAATTGCGGCTCATGTGACAATACTGTGAGAGCACACTTGATCATAAATTTTTGGACTAAGAACTAATCCGTCGCCCTTGGCTAGTGCAGCGGTCAATATGTCTATTGCTGCGACGGAGGATGTACCGATCTGTTTAATGACCCCGCTCACTGTGCATCTTGCGAAGCTCCTCCGGTAAGGCTGACATGTCTTGATTATGATCCTATCCGATTAAGATTGAATGTCTAGGTGCTAACATGAACTTCTGATAGTGTGTTGGATCTATTCCAGGATGCTGCGCTGGAAGATGTCGCGACCTTGGCCTCGATGCTGCGAATTGTGGAACTTGTAACAACACAGTAAGCTGTCATCAGGTCTACAAGCTTTATAGCGAGGGCAAACAATAAAAATCTACAGTGTCCTGCAGCGCAACCCAGCTGCTGTTCCGGAAATTGCACAAATATCAACACTAGCGTCCAGAACTGTGGAGATTGCAGCAATGCCTGTACAGGCGTACAACCAGCCTGTTGTGCTGGACCTTGCAGAGATTTGTCCAGCAACAATTTGAATTGTGGAGCATGCAGTAACGCTGTAAGTTTACCCGGTCAATGCAGGTGCAGATAAGCTGACTTCCGATTAGTGCCACTCTTCAGTGCCTAGTTGTTGCTCAGGATCATGCAAAAACACCAACTCTGACCTAAATCACTGTGGCTCTTGCACAGCACCCCCATGTAGTGGTATAATGCCTGGATGCTGCTCTGGAACTTGTGTTGATTTGAGTGGGAGTAGTGCAAATTGCGGTTCTTGCGCTAAATAATAGGTGCATTACATCAGGATCACGGCTTGGCTGTTGTCCTGACGCCTACTCCTGTCCAGCGATTCTGAATCCCACAGGACCGGAAATTTGTGTAAGTATATCTATACCATGTCCCATGAATGACTATCTAACTGGCAACGTATTGCACTGTATCTTGCTTCCTTGGCGTGTGTTCCCTATCCTTCGATACAAAAATGACCAAAATAACAATTCCCTTAGCTCTACTGTAAGAAGAAATGGTGGCTTCTGGCTAGCTTGTCCATCTTTGAAACTTGAAGTCATGGCAGACTTGAATACCAATCAAATGTTTGAAGTGAAAATATCCAGTGGAAATATCCTTTGAAAATTGATTGCATCTGTATTCCTCATTCGTCATTCAGATTCATATTTTGGGAATACCCTAAATGCAAATCCACCTATTTCTTGCCGGATTGCGCGGATGGATCCTATGCCGTCAGTAAAGTTCGAATAAAGATACCTTGAGAAAGGCTTACTAAGTAAACCTGGTAGAATTGCATCTTAACACCTTCACCCTCTTGCTGCGGCGCAAATACCACCCGTCCAGCCCAGGGAATATAAACGTCATTCTCCGGGTCAGCCTTGAGACGGTAATTCACTCCACCATAGAGCATGATCTCATTCTCCCCGCCGAAGAAAATGCGAGTGGGAGTGTGCTTCCGTGACGCAACATGAGTCCAGAGACCGTGTCGAATAGTACGAATTCCTAAAGATTTCCGAGGTGAGTATGGAGTGCAGCTGAAGTGGATGCTCGGCTTGTTCGGGTCGGAAACATACCATCAGTGCCCTTGGCCTCTTTCGGACCCATAATCAGAGTGGCATCGGCTGTGAAGTTTTCGACATATTTCTCGTGCAATGACTCGGTGTCGCTGGTACGGTAGAATTCCTGCATGAAACTGACGATGGCAGCCGCGCGAGGCGGGGCGAGAGAAGTGTCGTACTGGATTTCGTATGACATTATGTGCGGTTGCTTATTGTGGAATTGGGTATCTAATAATAGCGGGAAATTGAAGAAGAAGTAGAGAAACAGTTTTTGAAATTGGAGTTGCTCATATGTCATTGAAGGTCCGTTCCCTCAGTCTATTTCATGTGGGGGATGCGTCGGTCCGATAGCCGCGGCCGCATCCGATCTTATCGAGTCGTACAAAATCATGGACGTTCACGACCCCAGACTTCTTATAATGATTTAACCTCGAAAAAATCTAATATGAAACTTCAAATACTGTGTCGCTACTAGGTGAGATGAACTTTCCCGAATTTCACGGAGAGATTCCCATATCGATGCCTGTCGGGTCGAAGTCGGCATAACCGGGTCGGCTCACTGTCATACGCCGGCCGTCGGCTTCAGAGAAGCTATAGACGTAGCATATGAGGTAAACCGATAGCAGTAACATATCCCTGCATTGGTCACTTCTACATAAATCCGAACAGAAAGTGCCCCGCATAGTTGGTTTTCGGATCACGATAAGCTTGATCGGATGCTGGCATCACGTAAGCACATCCATGATGTCTGTAAGCATGAAGAGGAGTGATGAGATGGACACTATTGAAAGGGGAAATGCTTCATTTATCATCGCTGTATGCAGAATTCCAAACGCCAAGAATGATTACGAAGTGTTAAAGCAACTGAGCTATGTCGAGGGCTGTATTTGCCCCTCAAATTCCTCGAATTCCTTCCTCATGGCCTCTTTAACAATCGCGCCGCACATCTTTGCATACGGATTTGTTTGCACTGCTAGTTGCTGCGCAACCTTATTGCCATATCTTCCTCCCAAAAAGAAATCCCGGCTCGACATCTCCTCGAGTTGATCTGCCCCAAGTCCTCGCAAGCGGTCTGGACCCACAGCTTCATCCTGCAAGGTCTGACTCTTCTTTACTCGCGCTGCTTTCAAAAGCAAATATCCTCGGTGGGTGTGCGCATCAGCCAGTAGCCGCGCTTGTCCTGATGATACCGGGTCTGCTGGTGAAGCGGGGGTGGCGAGGGCGATTGCTTGACCCAAGTCTGCTAAGATTCGAGAAGACACATCTGCAGCCTGCGGTGTGAATAAGGCATCGTCTGAGTCGGTCTCGGTTTTTTCATTGGTATCTTTGGACTGAAGATCGACCAGCATGCGCAAGGCCTGGGCGCGGTTGGTATATGCGGGCGGGTAAGTTGGGTATTGAGTAAGAAGATCATCGAATTTATTGATGGCTGATTGTACGTTCTCGGGGGTTGGATTCATGCTTGGTTGTAACTCGCGAATGACTTCGATTTCGCGATTCTTAACCGCGAGTAGGTCTTCTTGTGACAGGTTCACGGTTGCTGGCCATGGAGGGAGTGATGAGTCAACTTTGACTCCGGAAGAGGGCGAAGATTCGGCATCAAACAAAGCTTGTAGGACAGCCGCATCGTTAGAGCTTAACGATGGGCGAGAAGTTGCGACTGATGTCATATGGTATGTGTCGACTCCGGTAGTGAAGTTGTTGTTTGTGAATCGTTTACCACGGGTAGAATAGCCACCAGGCGAAGGAAATGAGGCTTCAGAATATAGAATCTCAAATTCCAAAATATTGAAATAGGATAGGAAGTGCAAAGATTAATTAGGAGAATAAGCAGAAGGAAGTAATAAGGAAGTCATGATGAGAGGGCAGCCAATATCCGCGAGCAATCCAGCCCGGCTGTTACCGGCTATTCTAGGGAATTTCAGGATGCGGCCGCAGCCGAGCTGGGGCACGGCTCTTTGGCTTGCAATGATAGCACCAATGATGATGGGTGCAATAAGATATCCGCATAATTCTCCGGTACGGTTAATAGAGGTTGTATTAGTGGTTCCTATAAAGTAGAACTTGTGGCGTCGTTTCCATATCATCTCACTTCACCCCTTCTCATCTTATCTTAACACACAACGAAGAGTCTTATACCACAACGGAAAACTGAAAATTCGAAAGGACAAAGCACAAGAATGGCTCCTTCGGCTATCTCCACTACTCCACCTCCTTCCACGGTGAATGAGGCATCTTCTATTACCAGTTACCGCGGTTACGATCACATCCACTGGTATGTTGGAAACGCCAAGCAAGCTGCGAGCTACTACATCACCCGAATGGGATTCGAGCGTATTGCCTACCGCGGCCTCGAAACAGGAAACCGTTCTATCTGCTCCCATGTTATTCGCAACGGAGATATCACTTTCATTCTCACCTCGCCTCTCCGCTCTTTGGACCAGATCGACCGCTTCACTACCGAAGAACAAGCCCAGCTTCGTGAGATCCACCACCATCTCGAGCAACATGGCGATGCAGTAAAGGATGTTGCATTTGAAGTGGATGATGTGGATGCTGTCTACTTCGCTGCCGTCAAGAACGGAGCAAAGTCCGTCTCCACTCCCACTGTTCTCAAGGATGAGGGTGGCCAAGTCAAGGTTGCGACCATCCAGACATATGGTCAGACTACGCACACTTTGATCGAACGAAAGACATACCAGGGCGCTTTCCTACCCGGCTACCGTCTGGAAGCGGGCACCGAGGACCCTGTTTCAAAATTCTTGCCTGGTGTGAAGCTTCAACGGATCGACCACTGTGTTGGCAACCAGGACTGGGATGAGATGGACAAGATTTGCGAATAGTAAGTCCATATACAGCCATCTCTTTTGTAAACCGTGAAAAAGGGGAATACTGACGCTTTATCAGCTACGAGAAGGCGCTGGGATTCCACCGTTTCTGGTCCGTAGACGACAGCCAAATCTGCACGTAGGTCCAAAACAGCTTCACTGAAGATAGAGGTGACACTAACCTTTCCAGTGAATTCTCCGCTTTGAAGAGTATCGTCATGTCATCCCCAAATGAGTTGGTCAAGATGCCGATCAACGAACCGGCCAAGGGAAAGAAGCAATCGCAGATCGAGGAGTACGTTGACTTCTACAACGGCGCTGGCGTGCAGCACATCGCGCTGTTGACCGACGACATTATCCGCGACATCACCAACCTGAAGGCTCGTGGAGTGGAGTTCATCAAGGTCCCTGAGACATATTACACCGACATGAAGGCTCGCCTGAAGAAGTCCGGGCTCGTCCTGCATGAAGATTTTGAGACAATCCGCAGTTTGGATATTCTGATCGATTTTGACGAGGGCGGTTACTTGCTGCAGCTGTTTACTAAGGTAGGCTTGCTATTGCTTCGTTCATTATCTACGGTAGGACGTTGCTAATTTGGAACTATAGCATTTAATGGATCGTCCTACAGTGTTCATGGAGATTATTCAACGACATAACTTCTCCGGCTTCGGAGCAGGAAACTTCAAATCACTGTTTGAGGCCATTGAGCGCGAGCAAGAGCTTCGTGGAAATTTGATTTAAGTTTGAGACTGGGTAGAGGCTTCAGAAAAAGAATTGAGACCTGGAAAGGTTGCGAAGCGAGGACATTAGGGGATGTTTTGTTTTAGCGAATACCGTGCATCTTCAATCTACTTCACGATTAATTTTGATACCTTTATTTTCTGTGCATGAGAACATAATTATCTTCAGCGTCGTATTAAGTGACAGGAGCTGAAAGTGCCGCATAATGGTAGTAAGCATAAAGATTGGTGTATCTATTAAAAATTGGCATCAAACTAGAATCTGTCATGGATAACCTAGTGGAAGGCTCACCGCCAAGTCCGCAACCTTGCTTCGGTCACCTGACCAGCAGGTACTGGTGCCTGGTACGAATCCTGGGGTCGTCACTTCACTCGCGCGAGTAATCCGCGACGCTGTTTGGCGCTAAGCAATGAAAGTGACCCTTGAGGGAAGCAATTCTGCAGAGACACTTTCACCCTGGGATGGCGTCGCCAGAATACACCGTCCTGTTACAAGGAATTGGGCTACTTGGTGAGACAACCATATCTCTCCTTTTTTTGCTCTCTTTTTTTTAATACCTTCGACGTACATTATCTTTTTTTCGACTAAAAAAGACTATGTACATGTACTAGCTTCGTGTGAAGAATCGCACTCATCTTCTGAACCGTTGGACTCTTCTTCATCGAACTGATCGCGTCTGTCAACCTCCTCACCTAGCCAAGGGTTATAGAAAGGTTCATTGCATGCCTTTGATATATCATACTGCATAAGGTGGAGGTAAGTGTCATCCGACTGCTCTATATTTTGATAGTAAGCAGGAGACCTGGCGTATATCAACCCCGAACTCCCAGGCACTGACTGTGCTGTCCATTCAGCCTCGGTGTTCATGGAGACCCTTGTTCCCTGGGTTGGTACATTCTGTTGAGAACCTTTCACTCTGTCTCCTACATGGGCACCGTCTTGGCCATCAATTGCTGCTGAGGTTTCCGGCACATTCTCCAGCCCACCATCCTTCGGTCGAAGTCCCTTTCGACTCGCCTGACCACGGGCCTTGCTACAAGCCTTTCGGGTAGCTTTCATGCGATACGCCAAGTTGCTGGAAATCAAAAATATCTCCTCGGTGTCTTCATGACAGAAACGATTCATACACTCATCCACAAACATCATGAGTCTCCGTGGGCGATGAGTTCTTCCCGTTCTCGTCCGACTCTGCAGTACGACACGGAGCAGAAGAACAATTTCTTTTTGAACTGCAATATGACCGAGCATGCATGCTGCACATCCGTTGATCTGGTACGGCCAGGCGCCCGCCGCTACTGAGCTACCTAATACGGGCTTGGTCCACATCCCCTTCAACGCACGCAACTTATTCAAAATATATGTTTCGGTAGGCATAACATGTTGAGGGTGTCGATCGAATGGCTGGAAGCATCGCGTTACTTCTCGCTGGACAAGGTTCAAGATATCGCGGAGCACGTCGGCATTCATGAGTCGGTGGAGATCACATAGTCCCGAAGGCTTTATCTTGAGACCTGACAACGACACTTGTTGACGGTGAAGGCGTTTTGGAAGGGCTTTGATGAGGGTTTGGACTTGCTGGATTTGAGATACAGTGGTGTTGTTTAAATGCAGAATCTCTGTCAGCAACTTGACCTCTGTGCGGTTCAGCTCATTAACTGATCGTGGGTATTCTTCCATGAATTTGCCTCCTGGGACCCCAAGGCTGAATCGTGCGAAAGGTCGATTGTTTGACATATTGCCAGATCATAGTTTGGCGCTTATGATTCTATCCTATGATACCTGAAAGGTGACGCCTCTTTAAATGGAAAGTATCAGACCAGAGCTACAAACGAGTTCCATTAGTGTTATTCACGCCCATGTTTTACCTGAACATTGTCTATTCAAGTCTCATATGGGTCCTTTGAGAGATTCCTTTCATAATTCACCATTGAATATGACTCTGGAGATATCTTTACATTCCTTTGTGTCCTTTGTTACCCAGTCAGTAGCCACGACGGTGCGGTAAATAGCTACTCAGATTAAATATACTGGCGATGTGGCTAATGCGTAGTATGCTACATTTTTTACTTCTTACGAGGCAAACACAAAGTTAGATAGCAAATTATATGCTTTTCTTCATTCATTATTCCGAAGCAACATTATCGTCAAAGATTTGGTACCAGCCGAGAATTCAAAGTCGTTTTATGTGCAAGATGCGTTTACCGCACGCAGTAACCGCCATCAATGAGGAGATCGGCACCAGTCATGTAAGAGCTAGCATCGCTGACAAGGTAGACATAGGCACCCTTCAGCTCCTTAGCCTGACCATTGCGGCCCATGGGGATCATGGAGTTCCACAGGTCCTGAACGTCCTTCTCCACAAAGTCCGACAAACCAGTGTCGATGTATCCGGGAGAAATGCTGTTGACACGGGCAAAGTCGCGCCACTCGTTGGCGAGCGAACGGGCCATGTGGATGCAGCCAGCCTTGGCGACGTTGTAGGAGGTCTGCTCCTGGGGGAAGTTGGCGATGTGGCCGGACATAGAAGAGGTAATGACGAAGCTGCCAGTGCCGCGCTCCTTGAAGTGAGCGCCGACGGCCTTGGCGCAGTGGAAGGTACCAGTCAAATCGGTCTGGATGACTTCGGCCCAGTCAGAGACGGAACCATCAAGGATACCGCTGTTGGCAGTGCGGCCGGCGTTGGCGATGAAGGCATCGATCTTGCCGAACTCCTTAATAACGTTGTTGACGAGCTCTGACACGCTCTCCCAGTTGCCGACGTCGCACTTGTAGGCCTTGACCTTGACACCGTAGGCCTCAGCCAGCTCCTTGGCGTTCTTCTCGCCGCCCTCGGGGCGAGAGGAGTAGGTGATGGCGAGGTCGGCACCCATCTCAGCGCAGCCACGGGCGGCCTCAATGCCCATGCCGCGGGCACCGGAGGCACCGGTGATGACGACGACCTTGCCCTTAAGGCTGAAGAGGTCCTGGAGGTGCTCGCCCTTGGGAACGGGAATAGGCATGGTGAATAGAGTGTGTTATTAAAGTGTAAAAGGTTGTGTAGGTTGTGTAGTAGGTTGTGTAGGTAATTGTTTTGAGGAGGATTGAGGAGATGTAGGATGGAGGGAAGTGAGAGGGAAGAGGGGTAAGTTATAAACTAAGCTCGGAGGATGAGGTCAACCGTATTGTGAGAGGCTGCCTTGATTAAGCGCTGTGCAGACCCCTCCTTCTGTTTCTAGTCAGCTCCATGACCTCATAATGGAGTACCCACTTTGTTATGGGCTTGGTCTGTTGCCACAGTGAGGACCACTTGATCTCCCGGCAAGCCGGGTTTGATACCTTGTTCTTGATCTTGCACACCGAATTTGGCTGCCCCGGTCAACAACACCGGGCAGTCATCGGGCAATCAACCGGAAATAACTAGAGCGGGCGCAGGCGGAGCCAATGATGTCATGACTTTCCTAGCAGTCTTGGTACGGCCAGACCAGCATGTCAGATCCAGAACAATTCTACCAGACCAGATAATAATTAAAAAAAGCTTTATTTAAAAGTCAACTGCAATTGAATTTTATCCAATTTTTGGGTTAAATAAGGTACAGAGAACTTGACTATGAAGACGTGCGATTAGGATTGGTGATCTCATAGCGTGGAAGTTGGCCGATCGCCCCACATTTAACGGATTGATGCGCAGGGACGGTCATAGTATGCCAAGTTCAATGGAATTATATCATAGTACTTCCAACATTGGAACTCTATAGAAGATATCTCCTTTGCGATCAATTGAGTCATTTTTGCCAAGTCACTAATGAAAACGAATGCCTAGGTCCTTCAATGGGTTGGTTTCAGCTTCGCTCGATAAAATTATTTCCTCTTGCCAGGAAGGTCTCACCAAGACAAAATGACAAAGACAATCAGAATGGAAGTATATCCAAGACTTGCTCATGACATTGAAGTTTCAGCTTATAAGATGTTTTCATTTTTCTCGACGCGAAAGGTTGTTCAGTCCTAGAAAGGCCCTGCTCATTCATTGTTGTCTTTGTTTTCTACTATGGATCACACCTTGGATCGATGCATGTAATGACTACATGATGGTATTGGGATTCTTCTCTTGTTTTCAAAGGGACACAAAGAATGAAAACAGACAATGAAGGAAGTGTGCATATTAATGATGAATATAAAAACAACAATTCTACCCTGGTATCGAGTCATCATTCCTGATTCATATCTGTCAACAAGTATTCTTATTATTCCGGCAATATTCCAATTCCTAGCCAAAGGTCTCAGAAAGCTCATTAGTCGAAGGTAGGTAGGTCATCATCACCTAGTACGATGTCCCAGGACGTTCGGGAAGAGACACCGGAGTTGATTCCGAACGACGGGAGTGATCACACAGACAGTGAAGTCGATTCCCCCACAGAGATTGAAGTCAGTTCACCCACCGTTTTTGTGGTCGATTCCCCTGATGCTTTTGACTATATGATTGGAGGTGTTTCAAACAGGGAGGTCGAGGAGCTGACCAACCGTGGGGATGAAAGGGTACTCAGAGCGTATTATCAGAGGCTAGTGGACGTCGCATCAATACTCAATGTTGAATTACCTGTAAGAGATTTGACTAACGAGGAACTAGATTTACTAACCGAAGAACAGCCAGAGGAGCCTGTGACGCCCAATCGATTCCTCGCCTTGCCCGAGACGGCCGTTGATCAACAAATCATTGATTTAGAAGTGGAGTGCGCCATCTGCCTCAGCCCTCCGGAGATCGGTAAAAGGATCACTACCCTGCCTTGTGGACATTTGTTCCATTATCTTTGTATTGAACGGTGGCTTACTCGAAGTCCCACTTGTCCACTTTGCAGGAAGGAAGTCTTTCCCTCGGACCAGCGCGGTTCAACTACCGGAAATGGCAATTCTCCTCATCGTCCAGATAGACGACCGGAGCGACATGTTCATTGGGCGATATAGGTTTAGGTGAGTTGTATAATGGAGAAGAGACTAGAACATTGTAGAATGATCGAAATGTATCATTTGTGAGACGGTAAACAAATATGGATGTTGTTTCGGGAGGTGCTTGAAACGATTATCTCATTACGAAGAAATAGAGTTGTGTCACTTATCATTGGGATAGTAAGAGACTCTATATCATTAAGCTATCAGATCTATAAAAGTGCTTGACAAGTAAATAAGCTACCCTAATGGGAAGCGGGGACCCGCTTGCGGGAGTGTCGACCAATCAAACAACCTGTACCATCGAAGGTTCTCACGTGGTTCCGGTATCTTCTGGAACGCAGTGGACGGTTGTCGTGGCGTCATGAGGCATCAGCGGGTGCCCAAGTTAAGTATATTAACGACATCATCGGCGTGTAATCCACATCTGACCATTATTAACTGACGATCTCCCTTGAACTGATCTTCACAACTTATTCAACTACTTTTCTACCTTCACATAACCCATCTCAACTGATTATACCGATACATAACCGTTCAAAATGAACGGCGCCCAATTCACAGACCGGGCTAACAAGGCCTTGCTGGATTCCAGCGCTCTGGCCGAACAATATGCCCACTCCCAAATCCTTCCTCTCCACCTAGCAGTCGCACTGCTAAATCCCTCCCAAGACGATGCCGGCGATCAACAACCCGCCGGCCACTCCTCACACGATGCTGCGACCGCGCCACTTTTCCGCCAAGTGGTGGAAAAAGCCCACGGTGACCCTCAGCTACTGGATCGTTCATTAATGAAGTTGCTGGTTCGGTTACCGAGTCAAGACCCCCCTCCAGAGTCTGTCAGCGTCTCCCCCGCACTCGCTAAGGTGATCCGCACAGCCACCGAGTTGTCAAAGACTCAAAAAGACAGCTTTGTGGCGATCGACCATTTAATCCAGGCTACAGCTCAGGACTCCCAAGTCCAGCGTGCCCTGGCTGACGCAAATATCCCTAATGTTAAATTAATCGACACTGCTGTGCAGCAAATCCGTGGTACACGGCGCGTGGATTCCAAGACCGCAGACGCGGACAGTGAGAGCGAGAATCTGAAGAAGTTCACCATCGACATGACTTCTTTAGCTCGCGAGGGTAAGATTGACCCTGTCATTGGCCGTGAGGAGGAAATTCGGCGTGTTATTCGCATCCTGAGTCGGCGAACCAAGAACAATCCCGTCCTCATTGGTGAGCCTGGTGTGGGTAAGACAACTATCGTCGAGGGACTGGCCCGCCGCATTGTCAATGCGGATATTCCTGCCAATCTGGCCCAATGCAAACTCCTCTCTCTCGATGTCGGTTCCCTAGTAGCCGGCAGCAAATACCGTGGCGAGTTTGAGGAACGCATGAAGGGCGTCCTCAAAGAAATCGAGGACTCCAAGGAAACCATCGTCCTCTTCGTTGATGAGATCCACTTGCTCATGGGTGCTGGATCTAGCGGCGAAGGTGGAATGGACGCTGCAAACCTCCTTAAGCCTATGCTGGCTCGTGGTCAACTGCACTGTATCGGTGCTACGACCCTGGGTGAATACCGCAAGTACATCGAAAAGGACCAAGCCTTCGAGCGGCGATTCCAACAAGTCCTGGTGAAGGAGCCTTCAGTCTCTGAGACTATCTCTATTCTGCGTGGTCTGAAGGAGAAGTACGAAGTCCACCACGGTGTTAACATACTTGATGGTGCTATTGTCAGTGCAGCAACTCTCGCCTCCCGCTACCTGACAGCCCGTCGTCTTCCCGATTCCGCTGTCGACCTTATTGATGAAGCTGCCGCCGCAGTTCGTGTGACTCGAGAGTCTGAGCCTGAAGCTTTGGATACCCTCGAGCGCAAGTTACGACAGCTTCAGATTGAAATCCACGCTTTGGAGCGTGAACAGGATGAGGCATCCAAAGCCCGACTGGAAGCCGCTAAGCAAGAAGCAGCCAATGTCGCCGAAGAACTTCGCCCCATGCGCCAGAAGTACGAGAGCGAAAAGCAACGCAGCAAGGAAGTTCAAGATGCCAAGATCAAGCTTGACTCCCTCAAGGTCAAGCGTGACGAAGCAGAGCGCTCAGGCGACACCGTCACCGCGGCTGATCTCGAATACTACGCTATCCCCGAAACCAAGACTCTTATTGAGCGTCTTGAGGCCGACCGAGCCCGCGCTGATGCTGAGCGTCGTGCCGCCCAAGGTGACGCTGGTGAAGCTCTCCTCGCCGATGCCGTCGGCCCCGACCAAATCAACGAAATTGTTGCTCGATGGACCGGTATTCCTGTCACCAGACTCAAGACTACCGAAAAAGACAAGCTGCTCAATATGGAAAAGTACCTTGGCAAAGTTGTCATCGGTCAGAAAGAGGCTGTCGTGTCTGTCTCCAATGCAATCAGACTTCAGCGGTCTGGTCTCAGCAATCCGAACTCACCTCCCAGCTTCTTATTCTGCGGTCCCTCGGGTACTGGTAAGACTCTCCTTACCAAGGCCCTAGCGGAGTTCCTCTTCGATGACCCCAAGTCCATGATCCGCTTCGACATGTCCGAATACCAGGAACGTCATTCACTGAGTCGAATGATTGGTGCACCTCCAGGCTATGTCGGTCATGATGCTGGTGGTCAATTGACCGAAAGCTTGCGCCGTCGTCCCTTCTCTATCCTCCTGTTTGACGAAGTCGAGAAGGCCGCTAAGGAAGTTCTCACTGTTCTTCTGCAGCTGATGGACGATGGTCGTATTACCGATGGACAAGGCCGCATTGTCGATGCTAAGAACTGCATTGTTGTCATGACCTCCAACTTGGGTGCTGGGTACCTGTCCCGGCCTACAACCAAGGACGGCCGCATTGATCCGCAAACCCGCGAGCTGGTCATGGGCGCTCTCCGTGACTACTTCCTTCCCGAGTTCCTGAACCGTATCTCCAGTACTGTCATCTTCAACCGTCTCACCAGGAAGGAGATCCGCAAGATTGTTGATCTACGACTGGCTGAGGTTCAAAAGCGTCTGGAACACAATGGTCGCAACGTCCTTATCCAATGTACCGAGGAAGTCAAGGACTACCTTGGTGCCTCTGGTTACTCCCCTGCCTATGGTGCGCGTCCCCTCGGCCGCATTATCGAGAAGGAAGTCCTCAACCGCCTTGCCGTTCTCATCCTGCGTGGAAGTATTAAAGATGGCGAAAGTGCTCGCGTGGTCATGATTGATGGGCGCATCGACGTCCTGCCTAACCACGAGATTGGCGAAAGCGACTCTGACGATGATGAAGAAATGGTCGACTCAGATGACGCTCTTGCTGAGATGGAGGATGGTAGCGGCGATATGGATCTCTACGATGAGTAAACGAGGTCCCACCCGTCGCTGGTCGATGAAAAAAGCTCAATATATTTGAACGATATACGACTTTACGAAACGTTTCTGATCACATTACTTTTTATTTCTATGTTTCTGAGTTATGACATGGAGTTGGTGTTGATATTTGATTCTGAGGGTCGGCTTCATGTGCTTATATGCCTAGGAAGCTGATCGAACCTCATTAATGTAAAGATAGCCTAGTTTTTGAAGAATGCAAAGACATGAAAATATTAATATGAATATGAGCCTCTCTGTAGAACTTCCATAGGTTTCCACAAGATAATGTAGATTCAACCTTAGCCGCACTGTTCATAAAATATCCAATTGGATGACGTTGTTATCAGCCCACCTTCAGCCCACCTTGACACCGCCCTCGACAGATCGATCCTCCATCCCGGTCTCCTCCGCTCTTAAGCTCAAACTAGCTTGCAATCCAGTCACCATGGCTGACTCCATCAACCCTCCTCTCTCTTACGAGGCATCTGCCACGACTACTCACCCCCATGAGGCAACTTGCCTGCCCTCGGAGGTAGTCGCCTGCCTGAAGAACTCCCGCTTCGTATGCGACCTCCCAATCCCCAGCGCATTCTCCCATTTCAAACCCCCAACAATACTGACCGTACCCATCAATTAGCTCCATCTGGCAACATGTGACGATAAGCTCACTCCCCATATCTCTCTTATGTCTTACACCTACCTCCCCTCAACCCCGTTCGACGCCTACCCTACCATCATCATGACCACCAACCCCGCATCCCGAAAGACCAACCACCTCCTCTCCAACCCTCGCCTATCCCTGCTAGTCCACGACTGGGTCTCCCACCGCCCGCCAACCCGTGCGCCAAACCCCCAGGGTGGGCGTGACGGATCTCCCCCACCCGCCGCTACCCGCTCATCACTGGCAAGCCTACTTCTCAACTTGAACACCAGTGCCCTCTCCAGTATCTCCACTACTATCACCGGAGAAGCGCGATTCCTGGAACCTGGTTCGGAGGAAGAGTCTTGGTGCAAGGAGCGTCATCTTGAGAACAACACGTTTGAGGAGGAGGAAATGTCCCTCTTTGGCCAACAGCAGCGAACGGATCTGACTGCGCGCCGTCCCAGTATGTCAATTGATAGTGACGTACGGGTTGTTACCGTCCAGGTCCGCGAGGGTCGCATTGCGGATTGGAAGGGTGGTGTGCGGGATTGGATCTTGCTTCCCCCAGCGAATGAACACGAGGGACTGGTCAATGGTGTTTCCTCATAGTTGGATAGGCTTTCTGTCACCGCAAGGAGATCTGAGATAAACCTATTGATTGCTTTATGAAGCGAGTCTTTTTTCATTACTGAATTCGAGTTTATAGTGGGACCAGTCAGAAAAGCCCAGTGTCCGCGATTTTGTTCTATTGTTATATGATGCAATGTCTCAATCAACATACTAAAATGAAGTAAGATGCAATCAGCAACGAAATGCCAAATTTTATATTCAATTCGTAATAGAAACCATAGTAGTTTCAGTCTCGGTGATCGTCATAGTCTACATATGTCATGACTTATCTTATCGGAGAGCTCCCAGCTTCTCCGCAACTCAAAATCCTCTTGACCTCCAACTCCGAGGGAAACCAAATCACCCAATCTCCAAATCTACAATGAATCACGGAGAATAATACCGACGACACTCTAAATAAATTCGCGATTGAAATAATCACCATGAGACTCGCCCACCTCCACCTCCCACACACCACGCCCTTCGCGCGAGTGTCCAGCCTCCAACAAGCCCTCACGAGCCGCTTCCTCACACACAAAAAGCTCACCTCCCCGGGCTCCCTACCCTCGCAAAAAGACATCAAGACCAATCTCCCGGGTCACGCACACCTGCCACCGCCAGACCCAACCATCATCACGTTCACCCCAAACCCGGTCTACACAACCGGTCGTCGCGATCTCCCACCCTCAAATACCTGTCCCAATTCACCAACAACCCACCTCTCCCTCCCACCACCCCTCGAACCAATCCGCTCCATCCTCACACCTTCCAGCTCCAATGGCCCCAAAGCAGAGTACCACCCCACCCTCCGCGGCGGCCAAACAACGTACCACGGCCCAGGCCAAATGGTCGCATACACGATCCTGGATCTCCGCCGATTGGGGCTAACACCCCGGTGCCATATCCGTGTTCTGGAGAATAGCGTCATCGATGTACTAAAACGGTACGGCGTGAACGGATTCACGACTGAGGATCCGGGCGTCTGGGTTCAAGACCCTGCTTCTTCTGCTGGGCCGATGCCAAAGAAGATCACAGCTGTGGGCGTGCATCTGCGGCGCAATATCAGTAGCTTTGGGGTGGGGCTGAATGTTACGCAGGAGCCCATGTGGTTCTTCAAGCAGATTGTTGCGTGTGGGCTGGAGGGGAAGGAGGTTACTAGTTTGGAGGGGGTTGGGGTTAATGGGGTGACTGTTGATGAGGTTGCTAGTGAATTTGTGGAAAGGTTTGTTGAGCGGGTTAATCGAGATTTTGCTTGTGGGGATAAGACTGGAGAGAAGATTGATGAGGTCTATCAAGTTCAGGAGGAGGACTTGATGAGGTGTTTATAGGATGGGTATACTGTAGATGTATATAAATGGAGTTTGGTGTACTTTGCGCTCTCTAGTACCGGTCTGGAAAATGTCGCTCAGTAGAATTTGACTTTGATTAAAAAACATGCTGCCTCTCTTGTAACAGGCATAGGCATCTGCATTAGAAAATAACCTAAATGAGGCTTCTGCTGTCAATTACGCATCTAAGAGCTTCCGGAGAATTGAAAGCCGGAGCTGGCGCCTGAACGACAAGGATCTACAGTATGCCCACTTATGTAAAACACATTTGTTTGGTTTACGAGAATCAAGAATGAGCCGGACAAATAGTGAGTCATATTGAACTCTCTCTTCGAATCAGAATTCATTTTATGACAAGCATTAGTCACGGCAACTCCAGGCAACGGGCGGAGCACAGCTCTGCGGGAACGCTTCGGATCCGCTGTATGGATGCCTGGACCTTTTAAAAAGTCTATATCTACCTTTTGCTCTTCCTCTTGCTCTGTCTTTATTCTTTTTCATTATTCTTCATCAAAATCAATCAGGTTTTTCAGAGTTCCTCGACAATATTTTCCAACCAAGCCATTCAATTTTTTGAATCAATCAAATCAGATACACAGGAAATACCCGTGGATATATACTGTTTAAAAAAAAAAAAAGAAAGCATCACTCGCCCACCATGGCGCAAGTCAATTGTGGCTGTTGTGTGTACATTGGAAATATTTTACAATATCTGCCCCAGGTCTCCCTCAAAGCCCATGCAACCATCTTCTCTACCGCAGCTCGTACCACGTTGACACAAACCTTTGTCAACCCTTCCAACTGTATCCTGGAAGAGGCTTCCTACAGATTCCCTCTCTACGATGGCGTCAGTGTTGTCGGTTTCAAGTGCCATGTCGGCACTCGCCTTCTTCACAGCAAAGTCAAATCCAAGGAACAGGCTAACACTGACTACCAAAACGCTGTGGATAGAAACGAGTCAGCTGCCATCATGGATCAATCTTACACTGAAAGCGACGTCTTCACCATCCGCCTGGGTAATGTTCCAGCCAGCGAGAAAGTGACTTTGGAAATTACCTTTATTGGAGAACTCAAGCAGGATGCACAAGTCGACGGAATCCGTTACACATTGCCTAACTCCATTGCCCCTCGGTATCAAAACGTGATGACCATGCCAACCTCCGAGCAAGCCTCTGGCTTTCCAGCTCAGTTGGAAGGAATTTCTATCACGGCTGATATCCAGCTGGAAAAAACATCAGTCATCCGAGAACTTCAATCCCCAAGCCACTCCCCCAGAGTCTCCCTTGGTAGAGTCTCCTCTACCGCACCAGATGCCCGTGGGTTTGAGCCCTCTCAGGCCTCTGCTACCCTGCGTTTAGACAACAAGTGCCAAGCTCTACTGGTACGCGACTTTGTCCTAGTTGCCAAAGCTGATGGACTTGATAATCCTCGCGCGCTTCTCGAATCTCACTCGACGATTCCAGGCCAGCGAGCCTTGATGGCTACGCTGGTACCCAAATTCAGTTTACCACCTTCAAAGCCGGAGATAGTTTTCGTGATTGATCGAAGTGCGAGCATGGAAGACAATATCAGCACTTTGAAAAATGCGCTCCAGGTTTTCCTAAAATCTTTGCCTCTTGGGGTGTGCTTCAATATTTGCTCCTTTGGAACAGGGTATTCATTTCTATGGCCCGGCAGCAAAGCATATGACAAATCAAGCCTCCAGGAGGCTCTTTCCCTGGTTGATAGTATTGGCGCTGATATGGGAGGTACGAACATGCAGCCGGCCGTGGAGGCTACCTTGCAAAATCGCCTTCCAGGGAAAGACTTAGAAGTTTTATTGCTTACTGATGGCGCGATAATGGACCAAGATTCACTTTTTCAAATTGTTCGAGAGACTTCTAACCGTCATAACGCTCGCTTCTTCACTCTGGGTATCGGTCATGCAGCATCCCACGCCCTGATCGAAGGTGTTGCTCGGGCTGGCCAGGGATTTTCTCAGTCGGTACTCCAGAACGAAGAGCTAGACAAAAGTATCGTCCGGATGCTCAAGGGAGCTCTCACCCCTCATATCTACGACTACAAACTGGAGGTTGACTACGATAACACGGTGGATCAAGATTATGAACTTGTCAATCCTGTCAGCCCTTCCCCGACCGAAGTGACAGTCACCAGTGGTGCTGACGAGCCTGCTGCGCCGCCCATTTCCCTCTTCAGCGATGATTTTAAGGAGCCAGAGTCAATTTCGGATCTTGAAGGAGCTTTTGCGGACACACTTCCCGTGTTCTCCTCACCCAAGGTCATCCAAGCCCCACACAAGATCCCTCCCCTTTACCCATTCATCAGAACAACCGCATATCTCCTCCTGGATCCCGAATCTGACAGAATCCCTCGTTCTCTTATATTCACCGCCACATCCCAACAGGGCCCTCTGTGCTTGCGGATTCCCATAACTGATATTGGGAAAGGAGAGACGATTCACCAGCTTGCATCTCGCAAAGCCGTCGTTGAACTCGAAGAGCGACACGGCTGGCTGGAAAACATGAAAGATGCCAGTGGCAACCCATTTAATCAGCTCCATTCACAAACTCAGAAGGAGATCGTAGCTCGTGAGTGTCAGGACCTTGGTATCAAGTACCAGATCACGGGCAAGTACTGTTCCTTCGTTGCTTTGGAAAACGACCCTGATCTGGCCAAGGGGTCTGGAAACCAAGAGCCAAAGGAATATAAGGCAGGGACAATGCGAGTCCCCGTTGCTTCTAGATGGAGCGGGTTTGGCCATGCTACCATGATGTGTGCTCAAGGAACCCCCTTACCTGATGAAGAATTTGAGGACGAAGAATTTGAGTCCTCAACAAGCACTAGCACTCGGCCAGGTGGATTGTTTGGATCTACTGGCCACCATCCTGCAATGGCAACACCGCATATGGCTCTATCCAGTGTGAGCACAGGTCCTTCTTCAGGTGGACTTTTCGGAAATACCCGATCCACTCCAGCATCTTCAATACCTCCACCACCACCTGGGCGCATGCAGATGCAGCACGCGCAAATGGCAGTATCGAGCGGGACTACGTTTGGCCAAGCTTCAACATACAGTGCTCCCATGGGATACTATGCCCGCAACTCTCCAAGAGCACCAGCAACAGGTAGAGGCATGTTCGGCCAGACGACAGCAAGCGCTGATTCCTCTTCAGGTGGACTTTTTGGATCAGTTCAACACCCTCCACCGCCACCACCAACTCAGCAGAAACCACACAAGAAGACCAGCAGGTTTGGGCGCGGTGTAGCACCTACCTCAGGCTCGCCAAATGAGCCTTCGTTCGGTCAACCTGCCTCCTCGCCAACCGCAGCAGGTCTTTTTGGGAACGCCCAGACATCCGCACCTGAGCCCCCCAGTTCAAAGGTGCATTCTTTGATTGCATTACAGACCTTTGAGGGAAGCTGGGTTTGGAATCAGCAGTTTTTTGATGTCATGGAAGATGGTATGAATGAGACCTGCGACAAAGTTACTGCTCTACTACAGACCTTTGGCAAACAAGATCCCTTTACGGACCGAGAGAAGAATGTTGTCGCTACCATGCTGGCCATGGAAAAGCTGAAGAGAGATCATCAGGACTCTGAGGATCTGTGGGAACTTGTCTTCCAGAAGGCTCAAACTTGGGTCTCGAATGAACTGGCAGAGATGCAAAGTCCAGTCTTTGGGGACATCGCAAGCTGGGTGTCGAGGATCTAAGAGATTGTCAGGCCATTGCTTTCTATGGAGAAAAACATTGAAAAGAAGAAGAAAAGAAATAATAGCGAAATAGCTTTATGGAAACCCACGGGAAATGAGAAGGACAGGGCTGCCTCCAGATTATGTTCAGGTTTGAAGTTACATTTTGCTGGGCATCAAAATATAAATAAAATTAGATTACATTGCTTCACAGCTACCTCCTACGTAGATAAGCACTAGTAATGTCGGTTCTATGGAATTCTAGTAGCTGATATCTCAATATGGCTCTATTGTATTCCGTAAACATATATCAAAGCTATGACCGCGCAACCTGGAGCTCAGCTGTGTACCAACTCTGGATTGCCCGAATATCATAACTCAAAGCCACAGTATCGAACACCTTCAAATGCTCTCTACATAAAGCGCCATTGTTCGACAACCGGGCGACCCATTTACCATGTTTTCTAGCCGCGGCCACAATCTTCTCAATGGCGCTGACAAACTCAGCCTCGCTCCCTTTCGCAGGAACATAGCCAAGAATGGACAATGCAAGATCATTTGGTCCAATCAGAATCATGTCTGGATAAGTCTCAGCGAGTATCTCATACTAAGGTAGAATGGAACAAATATTTACCCACACCTTGTACAGCACAGATCTCATCAACGTTTTCAACGCCTCCTATTGATTCAATCTGGATACAAGTGATAATAGTTTCATTGGCCGTTTTCATATACGTCGGGATATCAATCCCATGAGCGATTGCTGGAAACGCTGAGCCTTGTCCCCGAACACCCAGTGGAGGGAATTTGGCATGAGAGACAACAGACCTGGCCTCTTCAGCGGTATTGATTTGAGGGACAACGATACCACTTTTCGGATCATTGTTAGTGGCATTGAAATCTCGACATGTGAGATACTTACTGTGCACCAGCATCTAATGCTCTTTTAATCAAATCCGAGTGTGTCATTCTGATGCGAACAAGAGGCGACACTCCCATTGCTGCGATTGCGGCTGTCGAGCTATGCATCGAGTCATCGCTGATATGACCGTGCTCACAGTCGATGATGATTCCCTGGCCAGTTTTAGTAAAAGGAATCCAAACTGTAGAGGCGTTATACTAACGTCGAGGCCGGTCTGGGCTACAATTTGTGCTGTGCGGAAAGAGGGGAGCCCTAAAAAGGTCATTATAGGCTTTGTTCCACCTCGCAGAGCATTAAGCAGACGCAACTGTGGGTTGTGTGTAGAGGCCATCATGACTGGTGGGCATACTCTATGCTAAGAGTGTTCTTCATCTAAGAATGATCTGGGCTCTAGAAGTACCCGGATAGAAGCATTGGCAGCACCGGGCAAACATCAATATGCCGAGTGGGGCTCAAGACCAGTGGCAAAGGTGTCTCTTCGATTTTTTGGCGTGGGAATTCATTTTAAAGTCATTTTGAGTCACTATAACCGGGTACTGACCCATATACCGTGGGCTTCTTTCCCTTGGACCTCGAAATAGGAAGCTTCGGTTTCTATGAGCCTGATTAGGACAATTCCCAAGAAGTGTGCGACTAGGACTTGATTGAATGTGTTCCTAAACTTTTTATTTAAACCGACTTTCCTCAATTTTCTGTGTGTTGTTTCCAAAATGAAATTGTCTCAATGCCTATTTAATTCCAGATCTATCCCTTCCGCTGTAGCGTATGGTAACCGGACTTCGCTCTCGCCTCCGCGATCGTGGCTCCCGCAGCAATCATTTCGCGGATACCAACTTCGCTCTCCTCAATCTGTCGTGCAATTTTAGCTACTTCGCGAGCCCGAGCTCGCGGAACAATAACCACACCGTTCGCATCGGCAACCACAATATCGCGAGAGTTGACCCGGACCTTCCCAATACCAATTGACTCATTAACACCTCCGACTTGAACCCGGTCCTTGCCCGTTCGCATCCAGCGTCCAGCCGTGAAGAGAGGGTAATCATCCTCAAGAGCACGGTTCACATCGCGACAGACACCATCAATAACAGAACCTGCGATGCCTCGGAGGCCGGCGTACTGTGTCATGATATCGCCCCAGACTGTACAGTCAGTGCGACCACCATTGTCGATGACGACTACATCGCCAATGGCCACATCGTCAATGAAGTCGCCAACACTTCCTGGTGGATCACTGGCTGGCACGTAGCGGACTGTGAAGGCTGGTCCGACAGTGACCTTTTTGTAATCAGTCAAAGGCATGATACCGAGCGCCTGTCCAGGGATACCAAGTTTGTCAAGTGCATCAGAGACGGCAGGGGTGTCTGAGCCAGCAAACAAGACGACCAACTCTTGATCCTCAGCACTAGGATCCCTTGGGCCTTGTTTAACAGCTTGGGCCGCCTTCACTTTGTGCGATGACTTGTTAACGTTAATAGCCTCGAACTGGCTATCGTGCATGACCTCAGAAACGGGTCGGCCAGCTCGAACGGCTTCAACCATACCGTTCTGCCGACGGTCTATCCTCTCAGCTAAGTCCAGAATCTCCTCAATGCGTGCGGACGGGGCAAAGACAGTCCCGCATCGATCCGCGATCACATAGTCATCTTGGTGGACCGTGACGCCTCGTACTTTCAGGGGTGTGCCCGAATCAACTTGTACCAGTCGATTGCGTGCGCTGATCATGGTCACACCAAGGCCGTACACGGGGTATTCGGCGTCACGACTGCCATCGATATCCCGACTCATGCCATCAATGATGGTTCCACGGATGCCCTTGACTTTCGATGCGTTGGCAATGATATCGCCCCAACACGAAATTCCCTCTAGACCCCCAGAGATAACGAGAATGCGATCGTCTGTTGTGACAGCATCTATAACGGGGGTCAAGAGATGGGTTGTAGGAGCCTCATCTGTCTTCGGGCCCACTTTGACTGTGCTGGCGCGTCCAACAATCTTTGGGCAGTCCCAGAGTGGGAGGAGGCCATATGTGGCACCTTTGAGACCGAGGAAGTCTAGGGCATCAGATACGGTGTTGGTATCGAGTGCAGAAAGTCTGTCCAAGATTTTGGGTCCACTCATTTTGCTTACTTTGGTGACAGCCTGGTAGTCGAAATGAGAAAGCTTTATGCAGAAATACGCTCGCTGGTGGGATATCTATCAAGACAGTGAAAATGATTTGAGCGAGCGATGTCAAGGGTTTATTATTTGCGTCAAATACCGTGACTCGGCGAAAAAAAATCTCCAATCTTTGTCATGATTTCCTTGCATCTGGTGTCTACTGCCGATGTCCCCGCATCTGTTCGCAAATGGAGTGGTGAACTGTTCAAATGCCGAGTCATCTTCGGGGACCGAGAAAATCGCCGAAGTGTGGACTCGGTAGACAAATCCCGGAAACAGCTTAAATGCTATCGACAATAGCACGACTTTGACGTGCGGGATCTCTGAGTTTCATGACATAGAGCATACGAGATTGGGTTCTACTTTTTGCAAGTCTCGGTTAGGTCACAGATCAGCCTGCTCGGCAGAGGAATGTAAATTACCTGACGAGACAGATACGGAATCGTTGAATCGTGCGTCTCGCTGTCCTCACTCTCCACCGAGTCAGTAATTACTGCCTTCCCCATCACCTTGAACGCCATTTTGAACACAACCACGGAATACCCATGCACAAACTACTGGCTCCCAAGCTACCTTTCTGGTTTCTATGCTATTTCTCGGTCCTAGAAACGGGCATGTCGGTATGATAGTCGGGGTATGGCTACTAGCTCTCAGCAGTTGGATTCCCGTGCTATTTCGAGTCTAATTCTTCCTAGGGCAAGTCAATCACTACACGATGAAGTCTCTACCTTAGATAGCCAACGATCAAATATCAGAAATCCACAAAATGACTTCAGTCTCTCTCTCAGCCGCACTGACCCCCACGACATAACATCATTGGATCATGAGCCCCCGAATATCGGACTGGCGCTTGATTCAAAATGAAAGCCAAGACTGCCAAGAGACGCCGCATCTGTCCCTGAGTCCTGGCGAATGGAAGCCCTCCACCCCCGTCTTGGCGCCCGAAAGGCTCTGGCGGCACTCACCATATACAGTTAGCCAAGACGGTCCGTGGAGACCCAGCGTAGCATGGGGCAATCTCGATTACAGCCACTGTTCCTGCGTAAGTGAAAGACTACCCACGCGCTATATTATTTGAAAGGCTGATTTCCCTATTGGCCTTTGATTTTCCTGCATTGCTATCCATCGGCGACTATGAAGTACTTGCATATTTTGTTGGCAATCGCCTTGGTCGGATCAGAGTCATATCTTGGTATGTTTCTTTTGGCTTATTATAAGATTTTGCTGATCTCGGTTAGTTGGAGCCGAAGCACGGGAATGCATTGTTAACGGTGGGGATGAGGACGTCTTGATAAATCTTGAGCTACACACCCCTGAACAACTTGATTTATTTGAAGGATGTACGACGCTGAATGGTAATATCATCATTCAGTCTGACTACGAAGGCGACTTTATCCTCAATGATATGACTGAGTTCCATGGAAACATCTCCACTGCCGAGGACAGCCCGAAAGGGCTCAGTCGGTTTGAGATGCCTGATCTTGAAATGATTGAAAATATCCATCTCCTTGGCCTTTCTGGAGATATATCTTTACCGAAGCTCGAGGTGGCAGGAGATGTGGAGTTCGTTCAGTCGTCGGATAGTGGGGCGATCGATTTGAGATCACTGTCCGAGGCTAATAGTTTGTCAATCCGTGGAAGTTGGACAAGGTATGACTGCACTCTGCTTCTCTGCTCGGTGGACGTGTCGTAGAACTTTGCTCAAATTTGCGACAGTACGGACCTCTCCTCGCTCCAAACGGTGACTGTGAGCTCTCAGTTCTGTGGCTCGCAGACTTGTGAAATTTATGGCGACGACAAAGTTTTCCCTTATATTGTTGTGGACCTACCATCTCTCGAGAAGACGGATTACTTTGAGATCGCAGGGGCGGTGAAAAGGTTGGTTACTTTCCCATGAGCACCAATAATTCTGCTGATATACAAATTCCTTCAGTGTATCTGTGCCAAAGCTGGAAGTGGTAGGGTACATAGAACCAACCGAGCTTGTTCACAGCCAGGGGCTGTGGATCAACATCGAAGACGGCTATGATGAAAAACTTGATTTCGACGCTCCAAATCTCCACATGCTAAACGGCACACTCGAGGTCTACGGTGGTGTATCTAGGTTCGCTTCTCCCAGAAAACCCCTAAATAAGTTTCCATTTTCTATATTTGCTGACCATTTTGTAGCCTCAGCCTAGGCTCCTTGGGAAAGACGGACCTGCGCGTTATACTGAACACAGAGACTCCTCTTGAGGTCTATTCAACCATTCAAACAGCAATTTCTTTTTACATCTGGGGCAAGCTAAACAGGTTCGTCAACCACTTCTGACTCTTTCGGTCGGCAGTCTAATAAGCATCAATATAGTATTTATCTGCCAGATATGGAGGATCTAGGATGGGTCTCTTTGTCCTACTCTCCTATAATACCTTGTAACGATACACTTTATCAACTGTGGCTAACTCAAGATGACAACTCGAGTGACTGGGAGGATTATAATTCTTGCCAAGAATACAAGTTCCCGCAAGACGTTGGAGTGACGGACCAAAGCACGACGACAAGTGCTATCACTACCTCTACTGCGGCTGCTACTGCTGCTGCTGCTGCTTCCTCTAGTGGTACTACTAGTAGTTCTGGCAACGCAGGGAGCATGGGGGAGGGCAGCTTGAGTGGTAGTGCCACAGCGTCCGAGACGTCGACTCAGAGTAAGGAAACCGGCTCAAACAGCTCAGGCAGCACCGATGTTGTGACTCAGGGAAACGGGGCTCACCGGACCTTTTCCATAAATTTTATCATCGGTGCTGTACCGCCGATTATAGCTATCATCTGGGCTTCTCTCTACTAGGCAAGCACTTGGTGCTTCTACTTTTATTCCATGATTCAGTGTCGGGCTGTTGGTGTAGCAGCCCTGTGACGTCTTTTTGAGCTTCCATGCAATTCGATTACCCCATGCGATTTCTCGATATAAATGTAGGGAATTCAACTTACGAAGTAGCGGTGCGTAAATGCTCATATATCTACAGATTCAGGGCAGTGGGATCCGTCGAATCGGTCTGACTTTGAATGCGAGAACTATGTTGACCACGCTGGTCAATCCATTGCGCACCTGATCAAAGATTTCTTTAAAACCTTCCTTAGATAAGATAGATAACTGAAGCGCATTAATGCATACCTGGTTTTATCAAAGCAGTAGATCTGCTGCTGCAGCAAAGCAAACATTGCGATGTACGTATTGAATAGACCGGGGAGCATTGATTCTAAGGCCGGGACAAGATACAGCTACGGCTGCGATCTTGGGGTTTCCCCAGGCAACTAGTGTACAATAGACTCTTCAGTTTAAGCGCTTGCAATCTAGTCTATCTTTTATCCCGAGACAACCTAAGATATGTACAGAATTTGTCGGCTTAGTTCGGGCGAATTTTGTTCAGAAACACTGATATCCGCGTATACATCTCAACAGGGTTGGAGTACATGGGAAAATGCCCGCTCTTCGTGATCTCCGCCAACTCCACGCCCCCTTCCTTCAACCGTGGCAGATACGACAGTCCCCGGTTCTCCCACCCATACATAAACATCTTCGGGCACGATAGCCCAAGGAACATTCCAAGCAAATCCTCCTCATCCGATAAGCGGACCATCGACTCAAAAATTGGTCGTACCGCCTCAACGCGCACCCGTGCACGGAGGGTGCTTGAGTATAACGGACTAGCAAAAGACGGTGCCTTCCGAGTTCGATCGATGAATTGTTCAAAGAAATCTGCCGGATCATCCGAGTGAAAGGTGAAGATCTGCCGGCTAAGGAAACAGTCCTCGGGCGCAAGGTTGCCCTTGATATCCACGAAGCTCAGGACTCGGTCTGGGTTGCGATGTGCGAGAAGGAGTGCAGTGAGTCCGCCCATTGAGTGACCCATCAGGTGGAATTGGGCGATATTAAAGTGCGCCAGGAGTGCTTCTGTTGTTGCAACGAGAAAGGGAATGTCTGTTGCTGACAGTTTGTCACTTTCTGTGTGCCCGCAGCCCGGGGCATCGAAAGCGATGAACCCATGTTGCTCCAGGTCTGAGTGAAGCTGGATATCAGCTAGGTCCTCTTTGCACGAGCCAAATCCGTGCAAGAATAGAATTGGTGGTCCGTTTTTGAGGCTGTGGATTGTAGACAGACTAAGGCATACGCCTTGGACCTTGACCGGGACCGTTGCATAAGTGAGTGACATGCTGGTTTGTATTCAACGAGTGTGATGAACGAGAGTGATTAATGGATTATCTCATAAATTGTCCCAAGAAACATGCATTTTGAGATTAATAAGGGCGGTGGCAACGGGAACGGTAAAAATCACGTTGGCCCGGCGAAAAGTCGTTTCGCCGGATCTCGATGGCAAAGCTTAAGACTGCAATGACCTCTTGGCAATGCTCATGTTTCCATTGAACTGTGTCCAAAATATTTGGAGAGCAGGTTTGTAATCTTGGGATTAGTGTCGCCCTTGATCTCTCCGAGCAACCCGAAGGACGATCATTTGATGCGATATGCTTTGCCACTCGGCTTATCAGTCAGTAAAATCTTATACTATCACCGTTTATTAAACGATCATGCCAAGATGGAAGAAGCGCGCCCAAGAATTGGCGAGCTTCCTGGCGAATCATTGCCAATCTATCTCGATAAAAGTCTGAAGACACCGGGCGGAACGTACTTGGATGGCTTGCAGGGTTTCTACCCGTATCGCGGTGGGATTTGTACATCTAAGTATCCTTTTGCTTGGCGTAAAGCCACCATCAACCAATCCAGACGTTCCAATTGCCTTCAAAATAAGATTATAAGTCGCATTTTCGATGTACAGCATGAGTGAAATGTACGAAGTTTAATTGGCCTATTTCAACACACCACGCGCGGAAGATTAGCCTCGAAATCCCCGCGTAGAATACTCAAAAACATACATCATGCGAATCTGGCACTTGGGCAAATTTTACAATATTGGCTACCCACGGAGTACTGAAATCAATACACTACCCCAAGGCTCACCTTTGCAGCGCATACGAGAAGCTATCGCCTTTATTGGATGACAAGGTAATTTGCTTTTTGGCCCCTCAATAAGAGGGGCTTATCAGCAATCACTCAGTTGCGACAAGATTACTTTTGTACTGCCCATCCCCTAGAGAAAATGCATTAGAACATGCTGATTTGTAATACCTTCTCAGAAACTGTCATCGTTCGAGATCGGAAATACTTGCCCTGTCTAGCCAATGTACATGCATCTTAAATTTTGTTCTGCAGCGATGGTGATCAGCAAAGGCCCACGGGAACCTTTTTGAAGCGCTCGACACCCGAGCACCTGAGCTACTGCACGTCAGCATTTAGCATAGCCCGGCAACAATCATAATTGAATACGAAGGTAAATCCACAATGGCTGATGTTTCCGGCGTATTGCCCCTTTTCTACCGAGGGCAGATAAATGTCGTACCAAGCGAGCCTGACCCCACTTAGATCTTATAACAACACAACCACGGATGGCACCCGAATCTTAATTCGCTAAGACCCTGTCGACATTCCGATCGGTTGATATTGACGTTATAGATAATTGGCACTCCAATGGATCCAGTCAGCTTTGCCGTCGGTATCATCGGTCTGGCGGGGTTGTTCAGCACCTGCCTAGAGGTTGTGGAAAAGTTCGACTCATTCAAGGAATTCGGTATCGAGTCTCGGTCTATAAGCGCGCAATTCGAAGCGCAAAGGTTACGCTTGCAAAAATGGGGTCAGGCTGTGGGCCTGCAAGGGGACACCCTGATGGAGAAGCATAGCAAGCTGCTGGATGATCCACGGACCTACTCAATAGTTGAGAAATTATTGTCTGCAATCCAAGGGGTTTGCACTTATGCGGATGACCTTGCTTTAGGGCCTGTCTCCCCCATCGAACAACGTCAGTCTTTCCGGGATCAACTGTGGCCGAGACAAGGTCGTCCGGCTGCCCCACACGAGTCGAAGCGGGAGAAGATTAGCTGGGCATTAAGAAAAAAAGCCAAGAAGATGGCGCAAGTGGGCCAATTCTGTTCTCTTGTGGATAATCTTCATAATTTGGTTCCTGTCTCTGGAGGGCGAGTTAATGATGGGTCTTCGCAACCTGTAGAGTCTGGTCAAGGCGAAGATATGTATAAGCCCAGCGGTATGAGCTACATGACGACACTTCCCTCTTGCCCGTTTCCTGACCATAGCAAACAGGTAACGCCATGGATCAAGGTGGATGGATCACAGAGTTTGGGCAGATTCTGAGTGGCATAGAGAATGAGATTGAAGGTTTGTTGTTTCTCACCTGCCGTTGCGATTCCCCCACTTACTGAACAGACGAAATCAAACGTGATCTTCACCCGTGGTTACTCGGCCCCAATTCTCAAAATGAATTGTTTGAGATATCAGCAGGAAAGAGGATCCAAGGCACTTGCGAATGGGCCCTGAGTCGGGATTGGTTCCAGGATTGGTCTTCCTCGCACTTTCCCGAACGCGCAAAAGTGCTTTGGATCAACGGCCCTGCTGGCTTTGGAAAGTCAATCTTATGTGCAAGAATCGTGGAGCACATGACCTCGACATCGAAGGCCCCAGTCGGTCATTTCTTCTTTTCATCGGACTTCGAAAGCAGACGGGACCCATTTATCGCCATTCGTTCCTGGATCTCGCAAACAATGTCTAACGCTATTGCATTTGGCTTGATACGTCAGAGGGCGTCCGCAAATCAAGGCCAGAAGTCTACCCGTGGGGACATAGTCCGACTATTGCGAGACATTGTGGAAAGTATCCCTCAATGTACATTCATCATAGATGGGCTAGATGAATGCGGCTGGGCTGGCGATGGGCTGAAGAATGACGAAGGCGATTCTGTCTTCAATTTCTTGGAGACCCTCAAAAATGCGGTAGGAGGCACACAAACGCGGATTCTTATCGTGAGTCGTGATGAACCAGAGATCCGGAACTCTCTTTCCAACGACGATCACGATGATGTTCTTATCTACCGCCACAAGATCAGGCCCGACGATGTCCGTTCTGACACCGAAATATATTCACGCAGCATTGTCAACAAAAAGCTGTCAAATCGTACAGAGGCTACCAAAGAAGATATCGCGATGAAACTATCTGATCGCTGCAATGGACAGTTCCTGTGGGTAAAAATGCAAGAGGATTGTCTACGCAGTGGCAAGAGTCAAAAGAAAATTGAACAAGCCATCAATTCTACGCCCACTGGACTTGAACACACATACGAGCGCAACTGGCAGAAGATTTCACAGCTGCCTGAAGAGGATTGAGACAGGACAATTTCGCTCTTGCGCTGGACAGCTTTTGCTTTGAGGCCATTGACGGTGAACGAAATCACCGCAGCACTGTTGATAAGTGATGACTGCGAAGAAGTGCGGGTAGACGAGCTTCCGGACAACGTCGATGATGATTATATCAACACGGAGATCCTAGATCTCTGTGGTTCTCTGGTAGAAATCCGAATTTCCCAGGCAGAGACTCAGGCCGGGCTGAGAACAGTTCACTTGGCGCATTTCTCGGTCAAGCAATACCTTCTCTCCAACATTCCGTCTCAAGGAAGAATTGTACAAATAAATTCGGCTTTGAAAGTTTCCGGAGAAGCAATGCAAAGCACACTGCTTGCCAACATGTGTCTCTGTTATGTGCAATGCGAGGACGTTTGGACTGAGTGCCCGGATGAGGAGGGAGGCAAAAATGTGCTGACTGCTTTTCGAAACTATGCTGCTGGCTCATGGCAGCAGCACGCTTCTCTCGGAAATATGAAAGATGAGCGATTTATCAGACTTGTGAACCAGCTCTTCAGTACAGAAAACCCCAGTTGGGGTTCATGGAAAAACTGGTTTGATTTGAATGATAAAGATGGTGGCAAAGGAGAGGCTTCCAATACAAAGTCTGAAGAGACCAGTGAAAGCTCAGACAACGAAGAGGCATCTCCGCCAAGCACGCCAGATGGTGATCGTTTGAATTCCCAGAACACGTCAGACTGTCCGTTATACTACGCAGCGTGGATGGGTTTGGATGAAACCGTGGACTTGCTCATCCGCAATTACAAGGGAAGAATCAACGAACAAGGAAACATGGGATGGACAGCATTGGCCGCAGCTTGTGGAAGAGGAAATTTGGAAATCGCCAAGAGGCTACTCGAAAATGGGGCCGATCTGACAATCATGAATAATGAGGGGAAAACGCCACTTGCACTCTCCTGCCTCAATGGTCACTACGAAGTAGTCAAGCTGCTTCTGAAGAACGGGGCTGACATCGAAACGGCAACCCGTCGTTTGGCCACACCACTTTATTGTGCCGCATTTGGGGGGCACCTCAAAATCGCTGAGCTACTTCTTGATCACGGAGCTAATATTGATGCCCAACATATCAATAAATGGACCCCACTGCATGCAGCAGTTGATGGAGGCCATAATGAGCTGGTTGAATTGCTTCTGAGCAGGGGTGCGGATATCAAGATCCCCATTAACACTGGTAGAGTACCCTTTTATACCGCTGCGCGGAATGGCTCGCTCGAACTCGTTCGACTTCTGTATGAGTACAGCCCCGATATAAACGTCTCCACGCAAGAGGATCAGTGGACCCCACTGAATGTGGCTGCGGACCTGGGACATTTTGAAGTCGTCAAATTTTTAATCGAGAAAGGCGCAGACATCAGCATCCCAAACAGCGCTCGATGGACACCAGTAAATTCCGCGGCAGAGAGTGGCCATCTAGAGGTGGTCAAAATACTCGTCGAAAATGGTGCAGACATTGAAGTACCCAACACCACATCAATGACACCGCTTTATAGCGCTGCACTCAGAAACCACCCACAGGTTGTAGAGTATCTCCTTGAACAGGGGGCGCGCACAGATGTACAGCATGAGCATGGATGGACCCCATTGAACTGCGCAGCTGAGGATGGTTTCATTGAAGTGGCCAAAATGCTTATCGACCATGGAGCTGACATAGAAATCGCCAATGATACCAACATGACGCCTCTATACAGTGCATCATTAAATGGCCATTCCGAGGTGTTGAAAATGCTTCTGGACAAAGGTGCAAAGTGCGACGTTCCCAATAAGAATGGATGGACCCCCATCAATGTTGCCTGTTCAAATGGCCACACTGAAGTTGTCAGGATGCTTCTCGAACATAACCCCGACCTCGAATATCCGGATAATACTGGGTGGACACCAATCAACGCAGCAGCCGACCACGGTCATCTCGAGATCGAGAAAATGCTCATTCAAACGACCGCCAATATCGAGGCAACTAACAAAAGCAAAATGACGTCTCTGTACAGCGCTTCGCTCGGTGGCTACAGCGAGATAGTGAAGCTTCTCCTAGAGAGGGGACCGAACATCAATGCTCAACACAAGAGCGGCTGGACACCGATCAACGCTGCTTCTTCAAATGGCCATCTCGATGTTGTCAAGCAGCTATTGGCTAAAGGAGCCGATATTACGATTACTGATACAAATGGATGGACCCCACTGAACTCAGCGGCTGAGAGTGGTCATTTTGAGATAGTCAATCTATTACTTGCGCACGGTGCAGATATCGAAGCAAAGAACACTACTGGAATGACTCCTTTATATTCTGCTGCCTGGGCTGGCCACACTGAAGTGGTAGAAGCTCTTATTGCGAAGGGCGCCGACTACACAATGCCAAACAAGAATGGATGGACCCCAGTCAATGTGGCCTCTTCAAATGGTCATACGGAGGTGATCAGACTTCTTCTTGCGCAAGATCCTCTGCCTAGCCTAACAGAGAGTGATGCAAACGGATGGACCCCATTGAATGCAGCATCGGATCACGAACACGTCGAGGTTGTGAAGATGCTTCTTGAGAAAGGAGCAGAAAGTACGTTAGAAACAGAAAACAGGAACAAGCAAACACCGCTTTACTGTGCCACCCTCAGAGGGTCGACCGAGATTTTGAAGCTACTTATCGATAGTGGAGCAAATATTAATGCCCAGAAGAAATATGGGTGGACTTCGGTCAATACAGCCTGTTCGAAAGGTTATATAGAAGCCGTCAAGCTACTTTTGGCAAATGGAGCTGACATTTCGATGCCAAATTTCGTCAATGCGACACCGCTATACAGTGCCTCGGTCCATGGATATACTGAAATTGTCCGTCTTCTTCTCGAAAACGGCGCAGATGTCAATATAGCGAGAAACGACAAATGGACCCCGCTCATGGCGGCAGCGACGAGGAGTCCTGATATAGTCAAGTTACTTCTGCAACGTGGCGCTGATGCCGAGGTTGCAAACGACAAAGGACGTACGGTTTTACATACGGCCGCGATAACTGGAAACATAGAAACATGCAACATGTTGTTCGAATATGCGAATCCCGAGCTGGAAGCTCAAGACCAGTGCGGTCGGACCCCATTCTCTCTCGCTGCTTTGAAAGGTCATGTCGCCGTCATGAAGCTCTTACAGTCGAAGAATGCTTCTGTGGATTCCAGGGATAAGTACGGTGCCACGCCGTTGGTCCTGGCCGTTAGATCGGGACATTCAGAAGCCGTGGAATATTTGCTTTCATTGAACACGTCCGAAATTCCTACTCATAGTGAGCTTGGTGGAGATCTATTCTGGTGGGCTCTTGGAAGTGGGAACGACAAAGTGATGGACCTGGTGGGCCGATCTATCGGCACAGCAAACGTTAAAACTTCCGAAGTCGATTCCGAAACCAAATGCTCTTTGGCCAAATACGACCCAGCAGATCGCTGGTGTGATGTGTGTACCCGATCAATAGCGAAGGGTGATATTTACCAGAACTGCAAGGACTGCTATGATTTCGATGTCTGCCTACAGTGTGTCGGCTTTGGAGCCCAGTGCTCTGATTCCTCTCATACTTGGGAGAACAAGGAGCCTGATCCGGAGCCTGAGAAGCCTGAAGAGGATGAATCTACGAAGGTGGTTGAAGCAGTGTCCCCTGTTTAGGTGCTTTTTCTCGAAATGTGCATGAAATAGATGTCTATCTGAATCTTCGATTGTCTCGAGCCTTGTATTCTTCCATACTGGTTATCATAACCACTTTAGAACCTCATCTTAGCACCATTTCAACATTCTTTTCGGGCCATGTAAGCCGCGTATTATATATGTTATAATAGTGTACCTCATAACTCTTGAGTCGATATAATCAATTATCTGTTCGTTGATTTGAGCCAAGCAATGACTATATGGCGGCTCGAACGGGGCTTTGAAGTGTGGGGTACAAAGCGGGGTGCCACTAATAGTGGATCCGTGTAAGAAAACATGTGAACTAAACACGTCAAGAAATATATATTGGCACAACAACAAACAGGTTAAAGAAGAATGACCAACACCTTGGGCGCATTACAGGAAGTGAGCTATTAAGGCATAGAAAAAAAAGCATTGAGTGTCGACTATCGCGTTCATAGTTCGTTTTAATTCAGCGTGGTCCCCTTGGGTATCATTTCCTCCTTTACGTATGGTATGAATAGGTACGAAAGTTGTGTGATCTACCGGTAGACGGGGCTGAATAGCTATGATCGCGTGTCGCTGGGCTTGAATCGAAAACCTGGGCATGTAAGGCCTAGGAGGTGAAAGTCAGCCTAGGCTGGGGCTAAGAACTCCCATTAATATGACGCTCAATTTCGGCCTGCACCTGCAGGTGAAAAGTTTGAAGGTCTTCCGTCAGCTGGCATGTGTATGTTCTTTTTTCAAATTCATGTCTGGCGCTTCGGTGTTACAACTCCATGGTTCGCGTACTTAACTTGTGCATTAATTCCCGTGCTCGTTCTCGTAGCATTGGTTTACGCCCCGCCCAAAACTTCCCCCCGTTCCCCACGTTCTCCATTGCGCAAAGACGGCCCGACTTGCCGCCTCCGTTTTATTCTTTTAAAGGTTCGTTTTTTTCGAGTCCCATGTCACTTTCAACTTTCACCATGAGTACCCAAACCCACACAGAAACAATTACTCTTCAGGCTCGAGGTGCAAATACTCGACCCCAACTGGAATCAACTATCCTCCAAGAATCCGAACCAATCCAATCAACAAAATGGCTCTACCCAAAAATCTTCAGCGCCGGGGTTTCCTTCTTCGTTGCCGGCGTCAACGATGGAAGTCTGGGCTCTCTTATACCCTATATCATCCGCTCCTACCACATTGACACAAATATGGTGGCAGTACTGTAAGTGTCCACACTCGTGGACCACCCAGGTCCACAGCCACGCATGACCGCCACTAACAGTTGATATAGATACGGAGTCACATTCTTCGGCTGGCTTTTCGCAGCTATCTTAAACAGCTTTATCGTCCAATACCTTGATCTAGGTGCGCTGTTATCTCTAGGCGCGGCACTCCAGATTCTGGCCCATGTGCTCCGCACCTGGCTCCCGCCATTCCCACTCTATGCTGTGACATTCCTCCTTGCAAGTCTTGGTCAGGCGTTCAATGATACGCATGCCAATACCTTTGTCTCGTCCCAACGTGGCGCGCACCGTTGGCTTGGATTTATCCATGCGATGTATATGGCCGGATGTCTAGCTGGTCCGTTTGTCGCTACGGCGGTCGCTTCGGCTAATACGGACTCTCAATGGAATCTTTTTTATATCTTTCCTTTGGGGTTGGGTGTTGCTAATATGGCCTTCGTTGCGATCTCGTTTCATGATCGCATGGCTTTGAGGAGGCGGCGGGAGGAGAATTCCATGGACGGAGTAGGATCTACGGGGGGTAATGCTCTACGGGAGATCAAAGCTACTTTAAGTACACCGGGTGTTTGGTTGTTGAGTTTGTTCTTCTTCTTCTTTCTTGGCGCAGCGATTACTGCCGGTGGTGAGTCCTTTGTTGAAGCTTGGGATGGTATTGATGTTGACATTGGTAGGATGGATGGTCGAGTACCTCGTCAAAGTCCGTAACGGCGATGTCAAAGACATGGGATATGTGCCTGCCGGGTATTACGGAGGCGGATTCCTCGGCCGATTAATTCTTGCAGAGCCAACCCATCGCTTCGGAGAACGACGCATGATCTTCATATACGCCGTGCTATGCGTTGGACTACAGCTGGTGTTCTGGCTGTGAGCCCTTCTTCCCTTCTGCTACATGTACTAGCTACTAACAATTACCCAGAGTCCCAAATATTATCACTGAAGCTGTGGCTGTCAGCTTGTTGGGTTTCTTCTCGGGACCATTCTTCGCTACGGTATGTTTTGTGTTCCTTTGGTGGTCCTTTCTAACGTAAACTACTATCATAGGGCATATCAGTTGGATCCAAAATTTTCGCCCCGGAGATTGTGTCACCGGCAATCGCGTTTGTCTTTGTGCTGGGACAAATTGGTGGATCCATATTCCCTGCAATTACGGGTATTATCGCGGCTCAGATCGGCGTCAAAGTGCTGCAGCCGATATTAGTCGGGTTGCTTGGTGCTGCGGGCGTGAGCTGGTTGCTGCTCCCCAAGGATGCAGGGCTCCATCGGGATTAGACTGTTTTGGCCGTTGTATTGTGTCTACGCGTTCTATTAAAGTACTAAAGAACCGAACTTGTCTTGAATCATATCGCTTTAATGCATTGACTAGAAGCGCAAGAACCACGAAAGACAGGGACTCAAGCTAAATCCCGGGTATCAGAATGTAAAGTCATAACCTCATCACATCACCTGCTGGCGAGTAAAATCATTCAAAGCAATCACAAGTGGCCCCTCAAAAGTGACCGAGCTTCTGCTCGTTGTCACACACTAAAAGATATCCTCAGGCCAAAGGAAGCGTTCTTCCTTCGAGGCCTGGTCATTGAGACCCGGCAGTATCTGTTGAGATAGGACTGGCGGAGCAGAGTCTCTGACAGGGTTGTGTGGTTTGGTGGGCGACTCGGTTACCTTGATGGCATTCATTCGTAGTTCTTTAGGCAGAGGAGGCACAGGCGGAATGTCCATGTCGTAACTATGCCTTCGTCTTGGGCTAGGTCGCGCTTTGGTGGGTGAACCGCGGGCCGGATGATCTGGGTCGATTTGGCGGTGCGGCTGAAGATAAAAGGCTTGATGGGCTTCAATAGATGGTGGTGGGGGAGAAGAAAAGTCGTAGGCGATGGGATCCGATTTCAAGGTTGGGGTAGTATAGGTCGTGGAGAAAGAGGAGCGCAATTCTGACCGGTTACGTTGCATACGAAGACGAGGCGGTGATCTTATGTTCTTTGACATTGGTGAGCGGTTGGCGCTAGGAGAGGGTTTTCGGGTGACATATGAAGACCTTCTATGCATTGAATCTGCGTCTTGTGCCGCGGAAGCTCCATGGTCATGTCGTTTGCGTTCCACGGACCCCGGGCTGTCGCCGGTTTCGAATTTCTGCAACTTCGAGCGTGGGGGGCTAAGTAGACCGGCGTCGATTAAGTAGTCGAATTCGGATGGGCGTTCGTCAATATGGTCCGTCGGATTGGGCTGAAGAGGTTTCCGACTAGCGATTGGTTCAGGAACTGTTGACTTCCTTTTGCGGGAAGAGCTTTCCTTACCCATTGACGATGGTCGCCGTTTTGGAGACTTAGCCGTGGACTGAGATTCCGGCGAAACACCTCTTCCTTCCTCAGAGACAAAGGCCTGAAGTTCGGGAGATTGAGACACGGGCTGCTGATCTAGCAAACGTTCAGATGGCACTGTTGGAAGTGCGCCTGGGACAAACTTTCGCGGGTAGCTGCCTGGGTCCATTTCCAGGCTCATGGGTCGATAGTCTAGGGTTGGCGATGGCAGTCGCTCCTCATTGCCACTGATATGACGAAGTTCTCGACGCGCACGCTCCAGCTTATCCTCGAGGTTGCTGACCTTCTTTAGAAGCTTCGACTCGCGTGAGAGTTCCTTGCGGGACTTTTGTCTCCGAATTCCCTGGTTCTCAGAGTCCTCGGACGGGTGATCTAGACATGCAGATGTCGCGGGTGGTTGTTCGTGAGTCTTCATGAATGGAATACGTAGATCCTGAAAGGACGAGCGCTTGGAAGACTTTGATGGGGATCGCAAAGGTGAGCGGATGGGTGACAATGGCGTGCATTGGAAGCCTGCATCTCGTTTGGGGCTACCATAGCCCATTTTGTCTTGAATTGCTTGCCAGGTCTGGTCGGCGCTAGAGGGGTTGACATTTTGGCTTTGCATGTAGGATCCCTTATTCGTCCCCTTGTAGCCAGCACGCTTGAGATTGGCATAGGCCTCCTCGGCTTGGGTGAGCGCATCTTTCTGGGGGGACTTGTTTGCGTTCTCAGGCGAGGTCTTGCTCCATCCACCGAATGGATTGAAAGCGGATGCGATTGCTTTGCCAAATCGAAAAATTCCAGATGCCCGATTCTGCGAGCCAGGCCCTTTGCTCTCGCGCAAGTAAATACTGGGTGGTTTCTCGCTAACGCTATCGCTCATGTTCGCCTCAACGAAACGAGATCGGCGAGTCAGGTGATACCGAGGGCTGTTGGTAGAGGCCTTATGTCTGTTGCGCAGAGATGCAGCCGACCCCCGGGGCGATGCTCGAGGTGAGGCCTTGTAGTTGGGTCCCAAAGATGTGTTTCCATTGCGCGAGCTTCGACTGCCGTTGCTTCCATAGTCCGCTGCTTCGTCCGGCAACGGCCAGTCGTTGGACCGGCGCCGTTTCGCGGACTTTGCAGATGGGGACTTGCAGTCTTCAAGGTCAGGCTCTTCGGCATCATCAAATTGGCCAGATACATCAGAGCTCCAATCTAGATCATTGTCGTCATCGTCACTGCTGCGTAGGTGCTTCCGCGAGGAGCGTTGCTGGGCGGGCACGGAGTCGATGTCCATGTTCATATCGTCTGGGCTGTCGGGTCGCTGGATCTGGTCGCGGAAAAGTCAGAACTATTTGTTTCTTTAATGCGACCACAATCTCCTTGGATCAAGGACCAGAAATGTGCAAGGGAGCTCACCATCACGCTGGGCACGTCGTTCATCATCCCTACTCTAGGGACGGTGCCCTTGAGGAAAGATTTCACTGCGCTAAAAACGATTCGTCGAAAACCCCTGAAAAAAGAAGAAATTATGAGTAGAAGGTGAGCGCAGTCAGTCGCAGGATATAGTCAGGATGTTGAAAAGACCTGGGTGGGAAATTGGATCTTCTGGGGCATTTGTTTACTGTTTACATGACTCCGCACTTCAAGGGCGGATGTTTGTTGTGGTACCTGCGACTTCCGTTTCTATGTGGGGCCCTACCCATTTCAATGTATCTGCTACACACTTGTCTACCCCTCAAAATCCTCTTTATTACATGCATATGTATACCTGCCCAGGTGCATCCAAGGCGCCTGAATGAAGGTACTTGAAAGATCAAAGAATTGCCCTACATATCTAGGTACTTCCCCTCTCCTCCCACAACCAGGACCCCCGTCTTGTGGATCGGGATCGGCCTGGATCCAGAATTCCGCGTGTTTCAATTGAACATGTGTCCGTTGAACGTGCGGAATGCAGTATCACCCTTTGATAGGATATAACGGGCTGCAATTTCCAGAAAGAATGTTGACCTGGCTTTATCATATTCTCCTTGGATGATCTGGGAGTAATCCGAGTAAGTGGGGCTTTGACGTATTGCTGTTTTGATTAATATATATTTTCGTCCGATATAACTTCGGCGGCAGAGCTCTCATCCTTCCCATGGCCCGATTTTTAACCTTGGATTTCCGTTCTTTCCCCAGGTTGCGCTTCAGCTGTATAATGCCTACTTTCCGAGTACCAGATGCAGCCCCGGAATAGACAGCATAGACGCCAGCATGGTTTGTGCTACACAGCTCCAAACATAATGTGCTCGAGCCTGGTGATGCCGGTGCGCTCTTCTCTTGTGCCCTACGATAGAAATGGCGCTTCACCTCTATATGGTCTTGCTTAGTTCACTTCCCAATACAATATATCCAAAGCATGGACCAGTGATAACCATATTCCGACCCCAGTCGATGCGGACTGTCTCCGATGAGCGTCCCAATAAATATCCATTGATTTCTGAAACCAGGCAACCTTTTCTATTGATATATGATAACTATCAAAAACCTTTAGCTTATCTAATAGGCACTACAATAAATTTATCTGGCATTCCTAGATCTGGCCGAAGACCACTATAGTACCTAAATGACATAAGTTCGGCAATTTATACCTTTCAAGTACACTATAGGAAATGTAGTGGGGCACCCCTCTATCATCATAGAATATCCCTTACCGAATGGCGGATGGGTCATGTAGTGGTACTGTGACACCTGTTTTCTAGAATTATATTTATTATATAATACATATCATGCTATATATGCGTAACCTGAAAACCAGGGGATAATTTGTAATCCACAAGATTCATTTGAACGATCTAAATAATAGTACCTGAAGATATGGCCTCTTTGAGGAATGGTTAGATGGTCATGTGATACCACCCTGAGTCAGCATTTCCCACCAATCAGGGGTTGTGTTCTGTCCTTTCAGAATGGAGTAATTCCAATACATTCAAGATCGAACGGACCAGCTTGCAACAGTTCTGCTTCATGACTGGCTTGCCGGGACTTCCTCAGGCACCAAGGGCACTCAAATAATCTCATCCGGTTCAGGTACGACCCGACCATGGCTCCCCTTACATTGTTCTGCCATATCCCTCGGCGCAATCACCATACTTGAGCTACTCGATTAATAGCTTGCGCGTTCTTCTCGGACTCCGCTAACTTAAACTCTCTTTAACCTGCAGACTACGTGTCAATCTCATCTATTCCTATAGGCCTGGCGACTCATTCCTTTGTCGTCAATTGCCTGGTGAGATGCCCGCAAAGTCGCGATTCACAAGGCTAGATGCCTTCGCCAAGACCGTCGAAGATGCGCGCATTCGTACCAACTCCGGCGGTATTATCACAATTGCCTCCTTGCTAGTCGTCTTGTGGTTGGTTTGGGGAGAGTGGGCTGACTACCGCCGAATTGTGATACACCCGGAGCTTATCGTGGACAAGTCGAGAGGTATGAGACATAAATGCATACACGCCATTGGATCTTATGGAGAGTCGACTGACGCTAAATGCCTATGTATATAGGCGAGAGAATGGAGATCCACTTGAACATGACGTTCCCCCGGCTGCCATGCCAGCTTCTGACACTGGATGTCATGGATGTTTCTGGTGAGCAGCAAGTGGGCGTTGCGCACGGTGTGAACAAGGTTCGCCTGGCCTCTGCTGCAGAGGGAGGCAAGGTCATTGACGTCCAATCATTGGATCTGTAAGTGTCACTCCTTGGTGTACCGCTCGGGCCTCGCCAAAGTACCAACTGACGCGACATACAGACACTCCCCCGCCGATGCCGCCAAACACTTAGACCCTAACTATTGCGGTGAGTGCTACGGAGCAACCGCGCCCGCCAATGCGGCCAAGGAAGGCTGCTGCAACACTTGCGACGAAGTGCGTGAGGCATATGCGCAAAAGTCATGGGCCTTTGGTATTGGAGAGAACGTGGAGCAATGCACCAGGGAAGGATACGGCGAGAAACTGCAGGCCCAGCGTCGTGAGGGATGTCGCATTGAGGGTGTCCTTCGAGTCAACAAAGTGGTCGGAAATTTCCACATTGCGCCCGGTCGCAGCTTCACAAACATGAACATGCACGCCCACGATTTGGAAAATTATTTCCTGGACAGTCAATCAGGCGCCGAAAACATGCACACAATGGCGCACGAGATTCACGAGCTCCGATTTGGTCCCCAGCTACCTGTTGAGCTTGCTGACCGTTGGCAATGGACCGAGGATCACCATATCAACCCACTTGATGGAACCTCTCAGACCACCGACGTGCCCGACTTCAACTTTATGTATTTCCTGAAGATCGTTTCGACGTCCTACCTGCCTCTGGGCTGGGACCCGACATTCTCGTCTGCCATCCACAGTGCTTATGATAAGGCTCCTCTCGGCAGCCACGGCCTCGCCTATGGATCTCAGGGCAGCATTGAAGCCCACGAGTACTCTGTCACCTCGCACAAGCGCTCTCTCAAGGGTGGAAACGATGCTGCTGACGGACACGAGGAGCGTTTGCATGCTGCGGGTGGTATCCCCGGTGTCTTCTTCAATTACGATATCTCTCCCATGAAGGTGATAAACCGTGAGACCCGCCCTAAGTCTTTCACAGGCTTCTTGACTGGTGTTTGTGCTATTATTGGTGGTACCCTGACAGTTGCTGCGGCCCTAGATCGTGGCCTCTACGAGGGTGGCATGCGCATTAAGAAGATTCACTCAAACTAGATCTATTTGGTGCTTAAATTTGGTCTCACATGAAAAGAAGGCAAATAAGGACATGTCGATTTGTCTCTGTTTAAGCCGCCGTTAGGCATTTTTGTCTGTAAGCATGGGGAGAGCGGCGAAGTGAAGTTGGCACTTGTGGCGTTTTCGGGATACCTATATACATTGATTTTGTTCTTTTTTTGTACCATGGGTTCATGTATGTATCCCTCCATCAAATAGCAATCGTCTTTTTCGCAGTACCTACATAACTCCTGTAGCTTCCTGAATCGCCTCAGGTTTGAATGCTAGCTCAGCTGGAAGGCCATACAATTAAAACGTATAAACTGGCCTTGTCCGGGAAAGTCTCTGGCAAGACCACCTGAGCATTTTTATAATACAAATCAAATTTGATGTCCAAATAATCAGAGTCTGACCCAAGGTCTCGTATTAGGTATGCAGCGCTAGAATACAAATGTCATAGGCATATGCCTTAAGTCCAACCCGTGAGCCGTACATGGCCGGTGTCCAGATAATCATAAACAAAATGACGTCGTCATGTCAGATACAAGCAAGGAGAAGTATTAAATCCAGTAACAGTGCAAAAGTCACACAGAAGAAGAAGGAAATATTAAAACAAATAATGGTCACAGAGCCAAAGGCTAGTCAAGTTCCCATGGATCAGTTTTCTTCGTCATCTGGGCATCTTCGTATTCAGATGATGGTTCACGCTCCAGAGGAAAGCTGAAGTCATCCTCGGGCACGTTGATTTTGGAAGATGACTGTGACCCGGATTGAGAGATGGCCTTGGTAGAATTGACAGATGGGTTGATGACAATGCGGGCGGCGATATGGAGCAAAATGATGAACAGGGAAATGGGTGGTACCAGCACAAGAGTCAAAGCTTTGGAGATTAGCGAGGCGGATTCTTCTCCAGGGGTCGGCTGGTATATATTAGAAGGGGCTGGCATTGGGGAAACATCTCGTTGTCTGGTTGCCTGTGCTCGGCGACGGAACTCGGAACTCATTTGAGTGAGGTCCGAGGGAAAAGCAGATGTTAGGTTGGGTTGTCTTGAGGTTGACGGAATATTCAATGAAGGCCGAGGCGGATCTTCCCGAGCCGTCTGAGATCTGTTAATAATAGGGGACTCCTCTGTCGAATTTGTGACGACATTAGAGACTGCGCTGTTGTTGACCGTATCAGATGGTATTGTGTTTGTGGTCGGATAAACTGGCGTAGAATCTTGGTCATGTGTCATCTTAAATTTGTGCACCGTGCCAGGAGAACCCAAGGAAGTAGCATGGGTGGAAATTGAGTCGGATGGCGAGTGGGGCTCTGCGGAATGAAAAGATTCAGGTGTGGATGAAAATGAATGATTTGGATAATTTTCAGACTCAGAAGCAAGGATGTCACCCAGTGGCTCATCCTTGGATGATCGGGGCCCTGTTTGAGCCTGACCTTGGCCGGGTTGGGTCATGTCACTCCCAGTAGGCCCAGTAGGCTCAGCAGGCTCAGCAGGCTCAGCAGGCTCAGTAGGCTCAGTAGGCTCAGTAGGCTCAGTAGGCTCAGCAGGCTCAGCAGGCTCAGGAGGCTCAGTAGGCTCAGCAGACTCAGTAGGCTCAGTAGGCTCAGCTTCAATATGAATAGAGCCAGGAAGCTTATCGTCACTCATTGAGTCGAGCTCGGACGAAGCATGTTCCTCGCTGAGCTCTGACAATTCATCTTTAGTAGTTTTGGGCTCCAAAGCATCAGCCTCGGAAACGTAGTTAACAGGAATAGCTTCATGCCGGCTGATTGGGTCATTCGCAGGGGTTTCAGGCTTAATTTCATGCAACACAGTTTCGGTGTTCTCAATCTTTGGCTCAATAGGCAGCTCAATCTTGCTTACAAGTTCGTTTTCAGCCTTTTTGTACTCATGGTCCGCGTAAGCCAACGAGGATCCGAACCCCTTTTCCTCGTCGTTAACAGGCTCACCCGGTTTGGTGATTACTTCAGCAGGCTCATCATTTACTTGAATTGAAATCGTCGGCTCAAGCTGTTCTTCAAGAACCTTGGGGGTTGCAGTAAATTGAGGCTGCGCGGGGCTAGATTGAGTGAGCGTAGGCTCAGATTCAAGCTCAACCATGCGACCAGGCTCTGATCCAGCGATAGGCTCAGACTTAGAGATGGACGTGGATTCAGCGACTGGCCCCAATTCGGAGGCTGCCGCATTTTCAACCGTAAACTCAGATTCAGCCATAGGCGCAGGCTCAATACCGTGCTGTTCTTCTGGGACCAACGGAACATCAAATTTGGCTCGGAGGCTACTGAATGTTTGTGGTGTTTCGGTAACTGATCGTCTCGTAACCCTCGGCTGTTGAGGAAGCTCATATATGCCAGGAGAAGGCGATCTGTCACGCGCCGACAAAACATCCGAAGTTATTCTGTCAGACCGCTCGGGTGGTACTGCACTATCATCGGTTGCAGCTCCATCAGTGTCATCTCCTGTACTAACAGAATCAAGCCATTCTGGCTTGCCTTCGACTGGAGAACCCTGTTCACTTCCGGATGATGCGACCACGCTCTCCTTGCGACCCTTGGGGCGCCAGGCTTTCTTGCGCCGAGGCGCCGTAGCTTCCTCAGGGAGCTCTACAGTGAATTCTCGTTTGAAAGGACATGGAGTAACTTCATAGCGGAGTACCGTTGGTAAAGCGACCTTTAAATCCTCTACCAACCCTTTCTCCTCCTGAGTTTCGTGGGGTATTTCGATGCGGTAATATGTGAGAGGGCGAATGCGCAGGACAAATTTCGAAACCCCATCCACACACCAGCACTGTGAGTTCTTTAGAATCGCATGGACGACATTTCCGCATTTCAGGAACACAGTCAGCCCATGGACTTTCTCGAGTCTCAGTGGCGCAGTTGCGACGGTTCGCTCCGTCGCAGAGCGCCAGGGGAGCGTTTCGATTGTATCGACGGGATAATCAAAATCGGTGGGCGCGGAGCTCGACGGAATCGGGGCCAAAGCCCTGGGAGCAAAATGGACTATCTTCGCGGAGGGATGATAGAAGATGACGTTCTCTGCGACATTTGGATTTGGCGCACCGGAACCGCGTGTCGACTGCGGAATTAACTTCGTGGGGAAAGTAACTGAGCGCCGGATAGAGTGTATCTGACCCAAGGGCTCACTTTGAGGCTCAGGCATTGTCATGTGTGGACAAAGCGATACCACCGCGAGGTGAACACATTGGTGGTTGGAGGATCGTTATCGGCGCAATGAGCGCGTGCCTTGTGCGTGGGGAGGCTCATACTATTGCCTCAGGCCACAATCCCCATGTGACATGACGCAGCTCCATCTTTATAAACGGTGGATGCCTGGCAATTTGTTCTTTGGAACCTCCTTGATCTCGCACTTGGACATTTGAGACATCAAAATATCTCAGAACATATTGCTGTTGTTGTGAGACTTGGATCGGGCTCGATCATGTCGAACTTCGAGCCCAATGCCGTCATTCGCGGCTTCCAGCTCACCGTGGTAGGAAGTCTGTCTCCCATACTCTCTCTGTACAGATCAAGCCCCGTGGACAAGAAACTTTCCTTTCGGATCTCTCGGCTCATACGCAACGTTTGTGTGGGGCCCTGAATGAAGGGCTCGTGGGCCCTTGACAAGTGCAACTGTGTGTTGCCTATTCTGAGGGCCCACCATGGCAGCTAATTGGAGATTGCGAATTGGACCAGACCCCTATGTTTTTCCGAAACTGACTATTACCCGATGCAGCTGTCCGCGCTCTCCAGAATCCAGATCTGTTTAAGCATGAGCACTTTCGTCAAGCAGCTATAGCAGTTGCCGTTGGGGTTGTCATCCAGCTAATTATCCAGATTCCGGTATGTCATACTTTGAAATCATTTAAAAATTGCATTCTAATCTTCAATTTCCAGATAATCGGCCTAAAGTTTGTTCTGTACATAATATCCTGGGTTATCGACCTAGAAAGTGCAACATGGGACGACGATCTTCTCAATGGCCTGGATTTCTTGTCCAAATCTGTTCTCCAGGTGCCATTTCTACTGATGACCTTAATGGGCCATCTTACCCCGACTCTCGATGAGATGTAAGATTATAGGATCCAGATTTGTTAAGCGCTTACTGATCCTGGTTAAGTTTCATGCAATCCATCCACTGGGTGGACACAACATACACCCAGAAACATAAGTCTGAGGACCCCAACACTTTGCGTGCCATGTACTACCCCAACTTGGAATTATTTCCGACCAAGGGGGCCCTCGCCAATCACGCCCCAAATTGGAGGTTTTCATGACATTTGCCAATCGCTATGGCAAGAAAATTGCGCTGGGCCTAGCAGTGTATTTCCTGTCTATGACCCCTATCGTTGGCCGCTTTGTTATGCCAGCAGCCAGTTTCTATACCTTCAAATCGCATGTCGGCACAGCGCCAGCTGTCGTGATTTTTGGTGCTGGACTGGTTCTCCCCAAGACATACATCATTCGGTTCCTCCACACCTACTTTGCATCAAGAAGTCTGATGCGCGAACTCGTGAGTACTAGTGCTAAATCTTCTGGCTTGAGAACCTACTTACGAAAATAATTTAGCTTGAACCGTACTTCCGCCGTATCAAGTTTACTCCGGAACAAAAGAGCCGCTGGTTCCGCGACCGAGAGGGCGTTTTGTTCGGCTTTTCGTTTGCCTTTACCGTTGTTTTGAAAACCCCCTTCATTGGTGTGGTTATGTACGGCGTTGCAGAGGCATCTACGGCATACCTTGTTACAAAGATTACTGATCCACCACCATCCCCAGTTGAGAGTGAAGGCTTTGCTGAGAGTCAAGTAACTTGGAAGAATAAACATGACTTCCTGCGTCTACCACTTGACCACATTGACAAGCTCAATATATCCAGCCAAGATAACCTCAAGCACGACTCGGCTCTTGAGGGAAAGAAAACCCATTGATCAACATAGCAGAGAAGAGGGGACGCTGCCGGTGGGACATATGCTTCGGTCAATTGCATGTAGGGGAGCTTCTGTGATACGATATCCATTATAGAGTATCATAGAGTACTTTCAAACAACTTCAAAGATCATTTCAAACCTCAAACCTAAGCACCATGACCGAAAGCATATTCCCCCATTTTTCTACATAATATATTATAGAGGGCTTGAAAGTTTCGAATTGAAAGATCTGACTTTAACAAGTTTGGAGCGCTTTTAACCCATGGAATCATGTGAATGTAGGTATCTACATGCGTGTTGGGGTACATGTGTTTGCTAGGCGTAGTCGCTGACGAGTTATAGCAAGAGGCTCATTGACCTGGAGTCGAGAGTCGGTTGAAGCGTTAGCCTACATGTTGACTTCAATAAGAGATTCTATTTGGGTCGTCCAGGTACAGAACACCGTTGGCCGGTGAAGAGTAAAGGAGAGGATGACGGGGGAGAATGATGGGGAAAATACTGCAATTGTACAAGTGTATTCGGTCACCCAGCAGTCCACCTCCAAGGACAGTTTTCAACCAATAAGCCGGTATAATCTGATATGCGAATAGTGATAAACATGCTTTGGCGAATAAAGGCACGTGATAATAGCCTTGAAATTCAGCTGGTCAAAGAAGCTGCTAACTCAAGAGGCGTTGCTTTGACGGGAATATGAACTAGCTTCGGCTTGTTCAAAGTGGCGCGCATGTCTCCGTCGTCAATAGTCATGAATACAATAGAAAGACACTCGTGCAAAGTATAACGATTGTCCTACTATCTACGCAGCGCACCACCATAGTTCAACTTATCGAGATTGCCAAAACTTAGAAGCTGACACGACTCATTCCATAAGGATAATCGGCCGGCGAGCTATTCGATTAAGTGATGCCTTACGCGAATCTTAGTACCAACGTTCGGAGTCAGCAAGTAGGCAGTCAAAATGCTCTTCCAAGGCGATTTTATCAGTGATAATCAGCGCGATTCGTCCATTATCTCCATCCGACTTATAGTTGGCACGAATCTCGTCGATAGGGAACTTCTTGTAGCCGACAGATGATTGGCGGTGGTGGGGCATACGCACGTGATAGCCACCATCTTATCACCACGTGATGATAATCATTGTATACTCTCTCATCCCACTTTCTTTCTCTTCTACCTCAGACATGGCGACGCGTTTCCCAAACATGGGCCCTGGACCCACAGAGCCCATAATGGAAGCTCATGCGGTAAATTAACCCGTGATCTCTTATTCGGACGTGTATGCTCACTATGTTCAGTTAGTAACCCAGCTTTATGATCCCTCAAACCAGCGCAACCCAACCAGAATCAATGAAATTCAAACCCGGTTACAGCAATTACAGAAAGGCGAGCATGCCTGGGAAGTTGCAGACTCGCTATTACGTGCAAACTCTACTCACCATCGCTTCATGGGCGCTCTCACGTTTACAGTGAAGATCAATGTTTCTGGGTAAGTTCTCATATAACGCTTCAAATGCACCGAAACTTCAACAAAGCATCTTGTCCGAAGCCCTTTGCCCTATCTGACTGTAGTAATAGGGGTGACATTGAGGAGCCAATGACTTGGCAAATCTTGGAGCGTCTTATTAACCATTTCATCACGATTGTGAATGAAGGTGAGCAGGCTATGGTAGTGAGGAAGCTTGCTTCGAGTCTTGTTGCTGTCTTCCGAAACTCTGCGAGCTCCTGGAAGAGGGCCCTCTGGCAACTAGCGGCGAGCCTTGCGCATGGTGGCTACATTTCTGAATCAGATTCACAGACAGTAGACTTCCTGACTGGAGTCCTACCAGTTCTGAATACCCAGAAAGCCATAGCGCTGGTATTCTTTTCGGTCGCACTGGCTGAGGAAGGTTTGCGACTGGAAGCTGAACCTCAAGATTTGGTTGGCTCAGTTATTCAGCGAGTAGTGGAAAATATTGCCGATGCTTTCTTGCTCGTCCAATACATCATCCGGCAGATCGCTTGCCATGTCTCTGAAGCCGGCAGTGAATCTATGGAATCCACTTTAGGTAATGAAGCTATGGGCTCATGGAAGGTGAGAACTCTTGCATACATTTGTATTGTAAGAAGGAGGCTAACTCTGAATCTAATCGAAAGACCTGGCTTAGTGTCTATGGAAACCATCGCCATTCCGAGGACAAGCAAACCCAGACCCTTGCAGTTTCATGTGGCCAGGATATAATAGAGGCACTCAAGCTACCAAATTTCAATGAAAGTGCAGCCACTGTGCTAACTTCGGCCCTTGAGACCCGTTCCTGGGCCTTTGATAATCACTCCATTTTCACCATGTCGCAAATTCTTTCTGACTCGATTGTCACAAAACACTTGATTGCAATCGCTGATGAGAATGAAGATACTGACAGCATGACGTTCGTTGATCTTCTTGTGGCATATGTCTCCCACGTGAACTTTGATCTCTTCAGTGAACCAATGAAGCCTCAGAACACTCAAATACTTGCCATCTTGCACAATATCTTCAAAACACCAGGCTACGCTGCTATTGACGAATCAGCCACTACCCGCGCCTTGGAGTACTGGGGCGAGATTGCCGAATGCCTCCCGGACAAACTAGAGTCTACCGATTCAAGATACCAAATAGTCAAGGCCCAAATGGCCCAAGTGGTTCTGGGCATGTTCAACAAGCTGCTTTATCCCAATCCCACTGATTTGTCTGACTGGAGTGACGATGAACGGAGCGAATTCAATGCATTCCGTCATGAAGCCTGCGACTATCTTCTGTCGGCATATCCAATTCTTGGCGTCGAGCTTATCAGTGTTTTCCAAGAAATTGCTACCACAAATCTTGAAAAGCTTGATTGGCGGGGCTTTGAAGCCGCTATGTTCTGTCTTGCTCAGCTATCCGAGGCTGTCGATGAAAATGGTCATGCAGACCAGTGCTTGGACTCTATTTTTGGAAGTAACGCCTTTGCACAACTGTGCCTTGGGGGTGAGACCGGCATTCCGCTCAAGGCACGTCAAACACTTGTTGACTCCTTCGGTAAATACGAGTCATATTTTGAACGTCACAGCTTCCTCCTGCCCAATGTTCTCAACATCCTATTTGAATCCCTGAATTTTGATTCATGTGCTCAGCCAGCTTCGCGGTCAATATTGACTCTGTCAAAGTCATGCTCTCGAATGCTGACTACAGAGCTCCCTACCTTCCTCGATCGATTAGATCAGTTCCGTACCAAACCGACGGCAACTGTGTCTACCATGCCCAGAGTCCTCGAGGGAATTGCAACCATTATACAAAAGTTAGACTCAGACCAACAGAAAGTGCAAACATTAGAGAGGATTCTGGGATTTTTCGTCCAAGAGGCCAATAAAGCCCGCGAAGAAGCAGCTGGCTCTGCATACGATATCGCTCGGGTCCACGGTCATCTTGTCTTAAGTTGCATTGCCAGTCTTGGAAGGGGCCTACGGTCTGACGGAGAAGATGTTATCAACGTCGATGCTGCACAAGAGCAGAATCCATACCCACCATCCTTTTGGAATATGGGCCCTGGAGCCTCGGCGCAACAACTCATCATGGAGGCGATGCGACTACTTATTGTGGATTTCCCAGTTGACAGCGGTATTATCGATTCAGCATGCGATATTCTCAAAGCTGGCTATACTGAGTCTTCCGGTCTGTTTGTTTTCCCTCCGTCATTGACAGTCGACTTTATCAAAAGCTTCCCACTGGGGATCTCAGGCACAGATGTCATCATGGCTACGGCATCTTCGTTCCTTGCGTCTCATGGCTCTCATGCGATGCAAGTTCGAGACCAGGCCGTGGAGCTGATCATCCATGTGTCGCAATTGTTCGCCTCGATGCTTGACAATCCCAATCTCTACGATCCTGAAACGGCCAATGCCGGGATTGATTTCCTTGCACGCCTTTTGCCCAAATACTACGCTATTCTGTTCTCCCTGACAGAGCCACTTCCTTCCGCCGTTGGCCCCGTATCACAGGGCACGCCCACATTTGCCCTTTTACTGAATTTTACTCTTCACGCTTTAACTCGGCCAGAACCTCTCGTCCTTCGTTCTGGATCGGCCTTCTGGATAGCCATGATGGACCTGCGCGGTGGATCGTCTGAAGAAACCGTGGCTCTTGATCAAGTTCTGGAGCGTTTCATTCCATCTTTATGTGAAACCTTGGTCAGGCAGATTGCAGGCCGCTGTGCGCGTTCTGACTTGGCTTTTCTAAACGACGTGCTTCGGCGAACCGTCTTCAAGAAGATGGCACTCGCACGTCCAAGCCTAAACACTGCTCTCAATTCCTTGGATGCCCAGGTTGCCGATGCCAATGGCCAACAGATACCAGTCCTCTCAGCGCAGGATAAGTCTCGATTCTTAGAGTCTCTCGTTGTTGCTAGAGGTGCGAGAACGCCATCACTAGAGATTGTGCGGTCTCTTTGGCTGAAGTGCCGTGGCATGACTTTCGATTATGCCCAGTAAAAAGCAGACTTGAGGGAGTAGAATATAAAGTCCTCCCTAGACTATGGCTTGAATGATCTTTTACCGTGTGCTTTTGTTCTACCCTTACTGAAATTTCTCCTCGAGGTTATTATCCGTGGACGAGCCGTAAATCTTCATTTTGAAGCTATTAATAAAATTATAATCACCGTGAATTTACCTCTGATTCTTGAGTTCATACAGCCCCAGTCTCACCTTCTCTTTTCGGATCCAATTTTGCCAAATGGAGAGATCACGTGACCTCGCGCCACCCCGCGTGGTAAGCCCTGGTGGACCCGTTCGTCTCCATTGGCGACCGATGTCATCATCCTCTCCAACTCCAGGAGCCGCATGCCCGCTCTCTCATGAGCATTATCTCACCTCCTTCGCACACAGTGTGTGGAATCGCAATTTCACACCATGGGTGTCACGGGCCTTTGGACGGTTGTGCAGCCTTGCGCCCGACCTATCAAACTCGAAACTCTTAATAAAAAACGGTTGGCCGTCGACGCGTCGATCTGGATCTATCAATTCCTGAAAGCAGTGCGTGACAAGGAGGGAAATGCACTGAGGAACTCTCACATTGTGGGGTTCTTTCGTCGGATATGCAAGCTTCTATATGTCGGCATTCAGCCCGTCTTCGTCTTCGATGGCGGCGCTCCAATACTCAAAAGGGAGACCATCAACAAGCGGAAAAGAAGACGTGAGGGGCGGAGGGAGGATGCATCTCGGACGGCTGGAAAGCTACTCGCAGTTCAAATGCAAAGAATCGCTGAAGAGGAAGCTGAGGCACGAAGACAAAGCAAAAAGCGTATCCGTGCAGACGAGGATGAAGAAATTGGTGCTCCGGTATATGCAGAAGAAGCCCTTTTGACCGACAAAGAAAGACAGCAGAATCGGAAATTCAAGAGGAAGGATGCCTATCACCTCCCGAATCTGGATGTCTCGCTGGAGGAGATGGGCGCACCAAATGACCCTCGAATCATGTCACAGGAAGAGCTGGAAGAATATGCAAGACATTTTCACCAAGGGCAAGATATCAATCTCTATGACTTTTCCAAAATCGACTTCGACAGCGCTTTCTTTCTCAGCCTGCCGGCCACAGACCGCTACAATATCCTGAATGCGGCTCGACTCCGGAGCAGACTGAGGATGGGTTATTCCAAAGAACAGCTGGACGTCATGTTCCCAAATCGCATGGACTTCTCTAGATTTCAAATCGAGCGAGTGACAGAACGCAATGACCTGACGCAACGACTTATGAATATCAACGGCATGAATGGGGAGGAGGCATATTACAAATCTGGGCAGCGTATCGCGGGCGAACGTGGGAGGGAATATGTCCTCGTTAAGGATAGCCAGCATGAAGGAGGCTGGGTCCTTGGTGTGGTGGGGAACAAGGACGAGGGGTACGAAGACAAACCAATTGATGTGGATCAAATTGGATTGCCAGATATATTGTCTGGGTCTGATGAATCGGATGAGGAGTTTGAAGATGTACCAATCGAGGGTCTTAACCGTCTGCCAAAGCTACCATTTCTTCAAGAAGGTGTATTTGATTCGTCACTACAACACTCAGGAGAAAGCACCGACATGAGAAGAGCCTCACAAGAATCTCGAAGACAAGAGGCTGAAGATGACTCTCTTTTCGTACCCAGCGAGGGGCCTCTTTTTCAACATAATCAGAATAACGTTGACAGTTACTTTGATGATGACGAAGAGGACGAGCTTCATAAAGCCATATCTCTGTCTTTACAGACAAATGAAGAACATGATGATGAAATGCCTGATATTCCAATCAATCGACCAAGGGACACGATGCCGCACGCTAATGCCATGCCGGATCCAATGCTCAGCGAAAGCGATGATGATGGCATGGATTTTGCAGCTGCAGTCGCACAGACAAAAGTTTCTACAAAAAAGTCTCGGCCACAAAACCCATTCGATGGGCCTCTTCCTTTCGAGTCAATAAAACTCAACAAAGCACCCAAAGATAATCCATCCACCGAAATTGACGAGAACGCGGGAGGATTTGTGAAAGAGTCATCCCAGAAGCACAAGGCAGAACCTTTACCACCATGGTTCACAGGGGCGAAATTAAACGAGGAATTCATTGCAGATCCAACGTTTGATGAATCCAGAGATCGGAAGGACTCAGAAGAGCCCGATCATCTATTTCTCTCTAACCGCCGCCCAACGGAGGTCATTGATGTCGATGAGATGCCCGACAACAAAGAAGTAGTTGAACTGGATGAAGTTGCACAAGCTGAACCCAACACGGGTTCAAATATGCCTGAGCAGAATCGTACCCCAACCACTAACGAGGTTTTGAATGAAGAGGCTTTCGATGTCGATGTGGGAATAAATGAAGAGCCGATCTTCGATGATAAGAAAGGAAACAGCTCCACAAAAGAACCTCTCGCTCGGCCATCCGTTGAAGTTGAATTTGAAGACGGGGTTTCTTCATCTCTAGAGCCTCCTGGCGTTGAGGTTCAAGCCGCAGCTTTGCCATCACGCGAGGATAATTTCGATCGCAAAGAGCAACGCTCACAGGTCGCACAGACTGAGGATTCTCCCGAGCCGGAGTTTGAAGATGTCTTGCCTGAACCCCCACAGGTCCCGGAAATCGCTGTGGTCTCCCACACTACCACCCCTAACCAGCGCGCCGAGCCCCGGGAAGAGGCTACTAGTATGGGACCAATCATGGATGACGATGGCGAATTTAGCGACCCTGAGGATGAAGAGCTCATGTATCAACTTGCCCAGGAATCTGAAGAGCATGCCCGGTTTGCTCAGACTTTGAACTCGGCCGCCCCTATTCAAACGGCATTTGACTACGAGCAAGAACTGAAGCAACTACGGAACCAGCAACAGAAAGACCGACGTGACGCAGACGAGGTTACCCAAATTATGATCAACGAGTGTCAGCAGTTACTAAAGCTCTTTGGATTGCCCTATATCACAGCACCCATGGAGGCCGAAGCGCAGTGCGCTGAGCTAGTGTCATTGGGACTTGTGGATGGCATCGTTACTGACGATAGCGATACGTTCCTTTTCGGTGGAACCCGAGTGTACAAGAATATGTTCAATCAAAGCAAATATGTTGAATGCTACTTGACCTCCGACTTTGAAAAGGAATACTCCCTTCATCGCAAAAAGCTTATCAGCTTCGCCCATCTTCTGGGAAGCGATTATACCGAGGGTATTCCTGGTATCGGACCCGTGACGGCACTCGAACTGATAACTGAGTTCTCAAGCTTGGAAGAATTTCGTGACTGGTGGACACAAATTCAGATGGGCGTTAACGACCCAGATGACAAACATCTCGCCTTCCGCAAGAAATTCCGCAAGAAGGCGTCGAAGATCTTTTTACCTCCCTCATTCCCTGATGAGCGGGTAGAGGCGGCCTATCTCGAGCCAGAGGTTGATTCTGATCCCTCGCAATTCCAGTGGGGTGTGCCAGATTTGAACGGCCTGAGAGGATTTCTCATGTCGACGATTGGGTGGAGTCCGGAGCGAACAGACGAGGTACTGGTGCCTGTGATTCGAGATATGAATCGCAGGGAAGAGGAAGGTACCCAGTCTAACATTACACAGTTCATGCAAGGCCCCCAAGGTGCCGGCGCATTTGCGCCTCGGGTCCGTAGTGGCGGCGTGAGTCGCATGGAAAAAGCCTTTGGCCGCCTTCAACGGCAAGCTCAGATAGCCCAGGGTTCACCTAGTGGGCCAGTGGAGAATGGGACCGACCCCACATCTGCGTCTACATCCACATCCGCAGGGAAGAGTATATCGAACAAAACGGGTAGCGGCACGACCAAGAAACGGAAAACCCGCGCCACCCCCAACGTGTCATAATCACAGCATCTCAAATGTACATTCACAGCATCTCAAATGTACATTAGAGATCTATATACAGATTATGTGGCGATTAAATACTAATTTAGGGCGATATTTCCGAAGAGTCTACAATGTACTGTAGGGCTGGTCAGTTCATAAAACCCACGTATGTAGCATTGTCCCGTGGGGTCAGTTGCATGTGATGATCCCCTAGTCACGCTCGGTTAGACCAAGAAAGAAATGGGCAGTTGCACTTGAGCCAATCAGATGCAATACACGATGTCTGATTTGTATCAAGAATGACGATCATTCAGAGACCTGGTTCACATGCGAAGAGATCAACCCCTCTCCCCGGACCCCGGACCACGGACCACGGTACGGCTTGCACCAGCCGTGACACCGGAAAAGAGAGAAACCTCATATAAATCACCATTATAAGAACTCCACCATATAGGAGATGTAAAGACACTATCTCTATTGTTTTGAGTTGAATTATCATCGTCTTTCTAAGCAGATCGCAAGTATGCCTCTGAAACCTTCTCGGCATGGCAACACCACCGAATGCCACTACTGGGGCTACTCTTTCCACTGGTCCAACCTTCATCGCTCTGAAGAAGAGCTTCGGCCTATGGCCTATACCTGTGATACCCTGGCCGATGAATGTGTGGAAAAACTAAATAAGATCCCTACGGACGGGGATTCCGACAAGCCATTCCACAAGGATCTATATAGCCTCCTCAAGAACCACGCAGACGAGGACCCGAAGCTCCAGGAGCTGTGGACCCAGATCAATACAGTTCCCGAATGGGTAGATTGGACGCAGATTCAGAGAGGACAGGATGTATTCTTCCGATATGGCCTTGCGATTTTGAACGTGGTATGTCAACATCCAAAAGTCCTTCCTGGTATTCACCCAACTTACCTCGAATAGCTCAGCTTTGAAAGCCTACTGGGCGGCATGTAAGTTTCTCCTCACCCAAAACACTGAATCCAATTAACATCTCAGGGGCGCAACCCGAGTTGTAGAAACCCTCTCCCGAACAGGCGGTTTCAACGCAAAGGTAGTCCGCCGCCGCCTCCTCGAAACCCTACAGCACGTCCTGCAAGTAAACAGCTCAGTCTCAGGGATGAAACCAGGCGGCGAAGGTCACATATCCACAATCCGAGTCCGACTCCTCCACTCAACAGTCCGCCTTCGAATCCTTAGTCTAGCAAACCAAAACCCAGACTACTACGACGTCCAGAAATACGGAACACCCGTAAATGACCTGGACTGTATCGGCACAATAAACACATTTTGCAGCTCGGTCGTCTGGCTCGGGCTACCACGCCAAGGTATCTTTCTCAGTCAGCAGGAGATTGAGGATTATATTGCGCTTTGGAGACTTGTTGCGTGGTATATGGGTACACCGACAGAGCCGTTTGAAGATACGAAGATGGCGAAGGCCACTATGGAGTCTTTGTTGATATCGGAAATCGATCCGACGGAAATCGGGAAAGTTCTTGCTAAGAATATTATTCTTGGTTTAGAGAACACGGCGCCTGCGTACGCTTCTAAGGAGTTTATGGAGGCTTTGAGTCGGCTGTTGAATGGGGAGAGACTTTCGGATGAACTGGAGATTCCCAGGTCGAGTTTTTATTATCGAGTGCTTATTTGGGGGTATTGTATTTGGGTATCTGGGATTTCGTTCATTATTCCACGGATCTATTTTATGGACCGCTTCATGATCTCGGTATGCTCTCTGTTGCTCATTTTCATCAGCATTCATGTACTAACATAATCATTCAGCTCCGGCGGAAATACTATTATAAGATGATCCTAGATGAGAAGATGGGTCTTGGGCGCGAGTCTCGTTTCGACTTTAAGTATGTTCCAACACTGGCCCGGACTACGCGGCTGGGACAACGACGATCAACCAAGTTCGAGAAACCTGGAGTTGAGACTCTGGCGCGATTGGGACTGCTAGCTGCGCTTACTGCAATGGTTACACTGGGCTTGGGATTGATCTTTGCAGCGAGAGTGATACCCTCCAACCAGTTCTTCGGCGTGATAAGAACATGACTCGGGAATGCAGATCGGAGTTGAAGAGTTGAGCAAGTGATCCTGAAGGTCTGAGTCAGATGGTATAAGTAGAGAGGTGTCTTGTCGTCTTGTCTAGACTAGTCTATCCCTCGAACACGCTATGGTTCAACTCTACACCCATTTCCTTAGCCATGCCCTGCATCTGCGCCTCGATATCATCTTCCATGCCACCACCCAGATGAAGAAACTGGCGAACCTTGGTGAAATAGAAGAATACATCGCTAGTAAAGAGTACAAAATGAAACATAAAGTGTTGACCCAGGTTGCGGACTTTCTCCAATAGCGGAAGATCGGGTGATTCCACAAGCGCTCGCGAGGCCCATGTCGCGGTGATCTTGAGTCTGTTCACTGGCGATCCAAGGAATTGATTATTCCCCTGAACGATACGCAGGTTACGTCCGATGAAGATTAGTTCCTGCGGCCATTTTTGTTCATCACCGAGAATCTCGCGGATCGCCTTGCGGGCTCCTTGCTGCAATTCATAGTGGCGTTGCTGTAGCTCGGATTTGCTGAGGCCTTGGATGTGGTTCTGTGTTGACAAGTCGCCTCCACGGTAGGGACGCATCAGGGTTGCAGAAGCAAATATGTCTGAGTTCTGGATACCCCATCCCTTCGCGATTTCACCGAGTGTCTTGTTATCAAAGGTCAAGAGAGCCTTCCAGAATCGGGCGTACTGGTGTCGGAAGTCTGGGTCCATATGAATGTAGAGGCCGTGGTCGATGAGTACCAGCTCCGGCTTTCCGGATGGCTTGCGACGAATGAAGATATTGCCTGGATGTGGGTCGCAATGAACCCAGCCCCAGAGGAACATCTGGGCGGAGAAAAGGTCGACCATGGTTGTCATGACGTCCTTCAGAGACAGGCCTAGACCACCGCGGTTATTCTGACCTTTCCAGTAGTTGCGTTCAGGCTTGAGATTTTCGGCTCCGACGTTTTGAGGCATGGGGACGGTTTTCGGCTGGTCCATGGGAGTTCCGTGACATCCTGGACTACCTTGTCTCCAACCGCCGCGCCAGGACCGCGTGATCGCGTCCTTGTCCCATAGTCGTACACCCTCGATCCACTCTGCAGTCATGACACGTCTTGAGCTCAGCTCGCGATATACCTTCGGAATATATACCCGATCACGCAGTCGAGGCTCGCCAGCGACCAACCGGGCCATGGTCTCAGAGTTGGTGGCTTCATTCTCAAAATCAGTTTCAAGCGACAACCGCTCACTGATATATGGGACTAAGCTGTAGAATGGAATGTCGAACATTTTGCTGTAAATGTATGTCACGACCCTGAGATGGTCAGTATGCAACTCGTTGTAAACCATAACTCGAGCAGAGTACTCACTTAAAAGCCCATAGGTCCCAAGCCAACTGCTGGACAATCTCACGTTTTTGGATTTTAATCGCCACCTCCCTTCCATCCGGTAAACGAGCCCAATGCACCTGAGCAACACTGGCACTTGCGCGAGCCTTCCGCTCCATCACACCTTTCCCAGCTTCACCAGAAAACGAAACTCCAAAGACCTCTTCGGGGGAAGCGCCAAAATCCTCCCGAATAACCTTCTCAACATCCTTCCAGTCATTCTGCGGCGCATCATCAAACATCCGCGAGAACATGGCCTGGAACTCCGGCGGCAAGATCGCAGACTGCATAGCAATAGCCTGACCCATCTTCAAGTAGAGTCCCCCATTATGACGTAGGAGGTCTGATAAGCGCTCCGCATTGCGAGCATGCACCGCTGCAATAGAATATGCGAAGAGAGGGTGTGGTGTGAAGTTAATTTTATAGTCTAGTGCGACCAGGAGGCCGAGGGAGAATGTTCGTGCGGTTCGCGTGAGGGAGGAGGCGTAGAATTGGTTATCGATACCCCAGATCACACCCGCTGTGACGGAGGTGTAGAACAATCGCCGGAGCCATTTGCGGGTACGGGTGTAGGTCTTTGCTGCTTGGGGTTTACCTAAAGAACTTGGTGATGGTGGTACAAAGGGTTGATATTGGCCCGGGTGGACATGTCGGCGGAGCAGAGGACGGAGGGCGAGGGGGGTTGGTCGTGGTCGTAGAGACCGGAGCAGGGTCGCGTGCACCATAGCAGGAGGATAGGACATTAGTCCTGGTGCATTGTGAGATGTGACGGCGTTAAAATAGAGGAAAAAATCGAAAAAGGACCGGTGTCCTTTATGGAATCGAAGGGAGGAGAGAGTTCACGGAGTTAATGGAATTCGGCGATGCGTCATCCGCGGTGACGCTCGGTGAATCAATCTAATCTCTGCGGCAAATTGTCGCATGCAGTCGACGTCTGACTAAACACACCATCGGCACCTGGTTATTTACCATTCTACGAGCTTTCATGCTAATTGCTATTTTAAATTGTAGCGGTGCATCCAACTGTCCAGCAGTGGCGGCACCTTCTCGCAAAGATGTTCGACAATGGCGTCGGGACCACGCTCGACCTGCAAACCATTAGGTATGGCATGCAGCTTGATAGTCGGATTGATCGACCTAGCGATCGCATAGATCTGCTTGGCCTCCTCATCGGTCCACATCGATGCACTGAACTATAGCCAGCACTGCTTAGCCAATACTCTTGTCGAATCAGTAGTCCGCGCTATTATGGAACTCACCAGAACGTCTGGCATATGCCCCTTGACCTAAGCTTCGACCTCGTCGATGCCTATGCGCGTTTAGACTTACCATAATTACAACCACATACCTTATATCTTCGCAAATATCAATGGGAATAATTGTTTGCCGGTCGCTCAAGAGCTCGGCCACACGGCCAATGAGCCGCTTGGCGCGCTCCGGCGCAGAGTTGATAGTAACGAGCGTGAAAGGGTCACTTGGAGCAGACATTACAACTATATAATTGAATTAAAAAGCGACAGAAGCTATGAAGCTATTGCGTCTGGTTTCGTCACAGCTTCTCCCACACTGTGGGAGCTCCTGCGTCACCGTTCCCCACATTGTGGGAGCGCCGGGGTAGAAATACTCCGATAAGAAGCTCGCGTCTGCTCTGGAGCTCCTTTCCGTATATCATCATGTCCAAGATCGCGTCTAAATTTTCGCGTAGGATGCCTCCAGCTCCACATGTACAGCTTGAACTGACCATATCCAGGCCTGGTGCGCTTTGTCCCGAAATCCAACCCCGCCAAGGTTCTCATCGGCGAGCCGGTCGATCCGCAACTAGATGTCGGTTTGGCCGTGTACCAAGGCAAGGATGTCTCGGTACGCCCATTCTCGGGCTCTTCTATGTTGAACCCGGGTTCAATTACCGGATCGACAGAGTCTATTGCCCGCATTCTCTCTCCTCTCGCAAAGACTGAGGTCGGGACGATCCGTTGCATTGGCTTGAACGTGAGTGATCTAGCACCTTTATATGGATCATAGGAGCTATACGCTGACTCGATGGTCTAGTATGTATCGCACGCAAAGGAAATGTCCCTTCCCCTCCCTGATGTACCAACCCTGTTCATGAAGCCTTCGACCTCGCTCGCCGATCCCTGGCCGGCACCTACTGTCCTCCCCAAGATCACCCAGAAAGATAATACCGGCGACTATGAGTCGGAGATGGTCATTGTTCTCGGTCGTGACGCCAAGGATGTGCCCGAGTCCGAGGCCCTGAGCTATGTCCTCGGGTACACCGCCGCCAATGACGTGTCGAGCCGGACAGCACAGATGAATCAGAGCCAGTGGTCCTTCTCGAAGGGCTTTGATGGCGCATGCCCGATCGGTATGACTACTTCTCTACATGAACCCAATATGTGATCATAGCTAACTTTACGAAATAAAGGTCCCGTGCTCGTATCTGCCGCCCTGATGCCAGACGCTAGCAAGTTCAAGATTCGCGGTCTCAAGAGTGGCCGCGTTATGCAGGACTGCCCTCTTACTGACCTGATTTTCTCAGTGCCACAGTTGATTAGCTTTTTATCGCAGGGTACTACATTGCCGGCCGGCACTATCATTCTGACAGGTACTCCGCCTGGAGTTGGTGCCGCTAAAACTCCAAAGGAGTTCATTAAGGCCGGTGACGAGTTTGCCGTTGAGTTGCTACCACATGTGGGCACCCTCATCAACAAAATCGAGCACCAGTAAGGCAGCAAGGGCCAGTGGAGTATAAATGTGGGGACTATGTATAGTATGGACGCCTATTTCCCTGTCAAAAGTTACCAAATCCTTTGGTCTGAAATGGGGTTTGGAATAATACCTCCGTTTCAGGTGAAGTTACATACCGGACCGAGTACACCTAGGCATGCTATTCTCATGCAATAAGCCAATCATTGAACAGGATATGAACATAGATACCGAAGTTACCGTAAATTTCCAAGTTCTATAATCAGACTAAGCTAGAGCCTAGTCCCTTTGGACGTTAGTGGCTAGGGACCACTAGTACACTGTAACCTCACTGCCGAGGCTTTGATCACCGCTAGTTTCATGAAATTTGCCGATGATCCAACATCTATGCAATGATTACAACATACTTAGCTTCGGTATTGCAGCTTCGGTGGGGAAGGTGTGGCCCCATACTGAGTGGAGAGAGCCCGAATCCAGGCTGAGAATACTCGGCGAAACCAACAAAATCGCCAGAATCTCGGGGAGTTCCTGACCAGCTCCCCAGAGGCGGTAGTATCCGACAGTCCGGTCCCACAGGCTACAAACATTGGCGAGGCCATTACGGAGCAGCACTAGCTCATCGATGGGACAAAAAGTGGGAAGAGGGCAGCGCCTATGAGCGCACGGTATTCGGCTTCCCGAGCAAACTCCGCCAACAATCTCGGCATCCCCCAACCACAGCAATCCCAGCTTCAACGCCTCGACGAGGGGGTCCAACTCCCTGATTGGATCGGCTATGGTGGTCAACCTGGGGACCCCGTTTCTTTCCCTTGCAGATATGCGGAGACGGGCTAGGCGTGGTTTAGCGGGCCGCGCTAGCAGGGTAAGACCAGAAAATCGCGCATTGGTCTCTCCCTCGTCATTTCATGAGGGGTTGTGGCTCTCATTGCTGACAGGGAAGCATTATCCAAACCTTCTAGAACGACGAGATGGCTTACGTCGGCTTGGCTTGGCGGTGATCGGGACGAGGGGACTTCGCTTAGAGGACGCCCCTGCAGGAGAAGAGATTGTAATCTTCCGGATTGGGGGGCTACCAAGGTTCTAGTGGAAGTTTCCATTTGCTTCTAAGGTTTGAAAGGCTGTATTGTATGGGGATTGGAGCGTATTGTGGGCTTGGATGTGGGTTTTTAGCGTAAACTTAACAATCTACCTGTGTTGATCATGGATCCAATCCTAGTAGCAAAGCCCTGGAATCATACTTCAGGGCCACAGGCTGTATGAAAGGTCTCGGTGTCAATATCGGGCAAGAAGCGGATCCCTGGATAACCTCATCACACCATATAACGAAACTATATTAGGCGTGCATGGGCCTTTTGCGGGGTTGAATGTTGTTGCGCCCCGCGCTTCCCCAGATGCAGTATGTTGACGTTAATTAACTTGCATTATTAAAGTATGATTTCCCCGGATGTTCAGCGCCCTTTGAACCAAGACTATGCCCAGTGGATTACCCTAACTATTCTCCAAGCTTGTATCGCATAGCTAAACATGGACTTCGTGGGCCCATCCAAAGCCCCCTCGACCAAACAAGCCTGCGACAACTGTCGCCGGCGTAAAATAAAATGCTCCCGCGATTTGCCCTGTGACAAATGCCAGCGCTTACTGCTATCATGCTCATACAGTGACGTGCTCCGTCGCAAGGGCCCCAAATTCCGAACTCTCTACCCCCTCGCGCCGATCCACCCCATCCCCGCACGAGGCGAAACCGCAACTCCAGACCAGCTCTACAGCGCAGATGGATTTGGCGATCAATCAGGCTTCAGGATAAGCTCTCCTACCTCACCTGCTTTCGGGATCAACGATGCACCATACAGTTATGATCTCTCCGACTCATTCTCACAACTCCCGCCGCCGGAGCTGGGCTCCTCGCCCGACAGCACGGATATCAATACCGTTGATTCCTCCGCATACGGCCCTATAATCCCACCACAGATAGCGCGATTATCACCACAGATACTGCTCGCGCATGTGAACGTTTACTTGAAATACCTTTTCCCCATTATGCCCGTCGTGCGGGGTGATCAAATTCGACGCGATAGTCAGCAGCCTGAGCGGTTATTACCGCAGAGATATGCCTTCCTGGCTGCGTTGTGTGCTGCAACGCATATCCAGCTCAAGCTTGATGGTGCGAATCCCATTCAAGACCCGGCCAGGATGCAGACATTGGGTGATGGGGATGTGCTCGTTTCTGGAGAGAAATTGTTAGAGGAAGCTGTGCGAGCTCGAAGGGAATGCGATATTGTGGAGGATATCAGTATTGAGAATCTGCTGACAAGCTTCTTCTTGTTTGCATCTTATGGGAATCTGGATAAGCAGACTCATGCGTGGTTCTATCTTTGTCAAGCTACCTCCATGGCTTTCACGTTGGGGTTACATCGGGAATCTAGTTATGCGGATTTTCAGGTTGAGGAGGCCGAGGAGAGGAGGCGGGTATTTTGGCTACTTTTTATTACAGAACGGTAAGCTCCTGAAGACTCCAGCTGATATATCCCCTTTTCTTGTTTTGTTTTGCTAACTCTTATCAAGAGGATACGCCCTCCAACAATCCAAACCAGTCATGCTCCGCAGCTCAATCCACAAACCACAAGTCCTCTGCTCCGAAGACCCGATCTTAGCCTACGGCTTCATAAACCTAATCAACATCTTCGAGAAACTAACCGCAAATCTCTACGACTGGGTTTCCGCGGGTGGAGGCGAAGGACTTGTTGAGCAGGCACCCACATCAGTCATTCAATCCAGTCTATGCAAGCCGATAACACTGGACGGTGTCCTCGAAATCCAACAGGTTGATATCCTCATCACGCAACAATGGCTTCAAGCTATGATGTGGAAACTGTCTATGAGTCATGCGACACAACCCGGCTCAAAAGACGAATCGGTCTTACCGTTTCATTTACCCGTGTTGGTTGGCAAAGCTGTGATGAGTGTGATTGGCACTGCGTCACAGGGCGCGGTGGATGCCCATGGAATTGGAATGGTATGAGGATATCCCATTTCGTCCACTTCGTTGGTGTCAAACTAATATGATCTGATTTAGGAACAAAAATTATTCGACATGGGCGTCTGCGTCACAGATGTAGCCCGTTCCCTCGGCTCAAAAGCTGTCCACAGATTAGCCGAATCAACCGTTGATCCCCGTGAACTGCTCTGGGGAATCCTGCATACTCTCTCACAAATCCGAGGATCCCCGTCTTACCTTTTTGCTCCGTTGTTGGAACGGTGCAAAACTGTCATCGGACTCGATGGCTCGATTAACATGGGGAATTTTTTGCCTACGCTCGGTGAGCCGGGTCAGCGATCTTGGGCTGATGAGCCGGGTTGGAATTTACTGGCTTCTATGGATCGCGGCGTGGATGAGATTCTGGGGGATGGTGAGAATCCGGATCATGGGAATGGACATGGGAACGGTCATGGACTATTAGGTGACTTAGGTCTGGGTCGACAAGGTGGACTTAGATTTTGAGAGCGCTGTGTCTGTGGTCCATGAGATGCCAGGTGCTTGCATATGCATGTCTTTTTCTGCGTTGAATGTCTTATGATACCATGGAGCTTTATAGACTGTTTGCTTTATCTTTGTATATACAGGCGTACGATTAGGTGGATTCGAGGTCGATTAGTGAGACCAATATTGAATATAGATTTGTTATCATACAACCACTACGCAGCATGACGTCGAAAAATGGAAGACCAAAACTTAGACTGGATGTTAACTTTCCAGTCCAATCCTGTCCATCAAGGGCTCTTTATAATGTGAAATCATGAGGGTTTGATTTGTCTAAAAAGCCTTCTGTACAGTACGACACGACCACACGAGAATAATGTAACAAACCGGTTCATAATCTATATACTCCAAATCTATATATGTTTGACCTTAAGCAACCAAACATGATCATAATTAAATACACAAAAGAATATCAAATAGGTTCATCCCTTGGCTCCACCAGAACCTCATTGACGGAGACATGTTCCGGCTGAGTAAGAGCATGAACAATAGAATTGGCCACGTCGGAAGGATCAAGAATCTTCGCACCAGACGGCTCACCATACTTCTTAACCGCCTCTGCATCAGTGGACATATTCAGCAACGGAGTCGATGTGTTACCGGGCTGGATACTTGTAACCCTTAACCCAGCTCCAGCAGTCTCGAGACGCAAAGCTTGGAGGGTAGCCTCGACGAAGAACTTGCTGGCAGAGTATACGCCCAGACCGGGGAAGACCTTGCGACCTGCATCAGAAGAGATAGCCACAATGTGGCCCTTGCCGCGGGAAAGCATGCTGGGGACTGAGGATGAGAGTGAGTTCAGCAGGCCCTTGCAGTTGACGTCTACGGTACGTTCCCATTCATCTGTTTTGGTGTTTGCCATCATGGTGAAGTACATGACACCGGCGCAGGCGACGAGGATGTCAATTTCACCTAGCTCGTCGCGAGCGGCTTGGAAGAGGGCCTCGGTTTCTGTCTTATTGGTCACGTCTGTTGAACGGATGATGCATTTCACGCCAAAGGATTCGACGTTGCGCTTGACTGATTCCAGGGCATCTAGTCGTCGGGCGCCGAGTGCAACAGCACATCCTTGTTTGGCGAGTGCGGCTGCTACTGCAGCGCCAATGCCTGACGAAGCACCTGTGACAACTGCGACCTGTCCACTGAGAGGGCCGCGGACAACTTGCCGGGGGGCAAGTGAGCGGCCAAGAGCTTGACGGCGGGATGGAGGCTTAGGCAGCCAGCCACGAGCGAACCAGTGGCGGGCATAAGTTTCGAGCAGGAGGGGGTCCACCTTGGGTCTTTCGACAGCCTTGCGGAACGGTCTAGTCATGGCATTATCCAAGACCACGATTCCGCGAAGGAACTCCACGGTGGGCATACCGCTGCGAAGAATATCGACAGTGAATGCACCATCTCCACCCTTGGTCGAACCACGCTTATCCGTCCATAGAGCTACCCATTCGTCCCAGGGAAGTAGTTGAGTGGGGTAACCAAGCTCCGCCAGATACTCAAAGACAGTGCGAGTATTGATCGGAGCAGGATCGCCCAAGTGATAGACCGTCTGCTCGGGTTGGTTCTCAACTTTCTGTGTCTGCGTGGCTAGATGAACGATGGACTGACTGACAAAGTCCACAGGAGTCATCTCCGCCCGCCAGCCATCAACGTCTGGTGCATACCCCAGACGGATGGACTCTACCATCAATGCAGTGAGCAGATCCCACGCATTTGCGGAACCTGTCAGACTGTGCCCACTGATAGTTCCGCATCGGTGGATTTTGACTGGCATTCCGCGTTGACTAGCTTTGAGAGCGAGTTGCTCAGCAACCCACTTGGTCTGGCCGTAGCCGTCCAGCAGCTTCGTGGGCACATCCGCAATATCCAGCATGGTATCCTCAGTCCAGCCGCGCCCGCCAGTAGGAGAGGGGGGCAAAACACCGTTCGTCGAGACATACTGGACTGTGGCACCACCCTTAGAGGCCAAACGGAGAATCTCTCTTGTTCCACCAACGTTGGCGTCACGGAGTGCAGCGTACGGGTAGACCAGATTGACGGTAGCCGCAGCGTGCACAATGACTTGGACTCGAGAGGCAAGGTCGTCAAAAGTTTCGCGCGACAACCCGAAACGAGGTCTGGAAAGATTTCCAGGGAGAACTTCCACACGCTCCATGATGGTGTCACGCCACAGTCCGAGGTCCAGAAGGTTGCGACGGATACGAGCAACACCGCCAGCCTGATCATCATCTTCCGGATCACTGAATCGGACCAGACAGATAATCTGTGCCGTAGTGTTCTCAAGAAGGTCACTTAGTAGGAAGGCACCCAAGAATCCAGTCACACCGGTCAAAAGAACAGTCTCCGCAGAGGCAATAGAAGTCATGGTGGTGTTGGGCAGAGGTTTAATATCGTCGTTCAAAGTGGAGTCGGCCAACAGAACAGCTGGAAGATCAGCTTGGACGGCTGCAGTGTGTCCATCGCGGATGGCGCGCACTGTATCCAGATGACCGGAGAGTGTTACGTTCTCTGCGAGACGTGGAATGGGCACACGGAAGCCAAACTGTTTGGACACTCTGGATGCCAAGTCCGCGAGGGACAAGGAGTGGCCACCCAGATCAAAGAAGTTATCTTCGGGCTTTAGGAGAGCCTTTGAGGTCTTGAGGACATTGGCCCAGATAACAGCAATATCTTTGATGCCAATGGGGTCCTTATCCACCGACTGCTCGCTGCTCACAGGGCTAGCACTGCGCGGTGGGGGAAGGCTTTTGAGATCGACCTTACCAGAGACCTCACTAGTAGGGAGCTCTTTCAAGACCACCCATTGTGCAGGGATCATGTAGTGAGCGAGATGCTCCTCCAGCACACGGCGCGCGGCCGGGCTATGACCAGCTTCGTTTACATCAACTGCCGGACGATCTCCCGCTTCATCATCTGTCACAACGTATGCGACCAGCTGTCGCTCCAGACCATCTCCGTGAGCAACGACGGCACATTGGCTCACAGCCAAATAATTGCAAATATCACTCTCCACCTTTGCAGGCACAACAGAGTATCCGCGAAGTTTGATCATGGCTCCCACTCGACCGGTTATCTCCAGAAGTCCCGAAGGCAGCTGTCGAGCCAAATCGCCAGTTCGGTACATCCGAGCACCAGGGGTGGCATCAAACTTATCTTGGGTGAACGCCTTGGCTGTTGTCTCTGGAAGATTTAGGTATTCTCGGGCGAGGAGATCTCCACCGATAAACAGTTCTCCAGCAGTGCCAACCTCCACCCGCTCACCACTCTCGCTCAAAATATACATGTGCTCTGGGTCAAGAGGAGGACCGACAGGGCAGTAGATAGAGTCATCAATCATATCCCGAATATCTCCGCATGCGATTTCGTGCGTCTCGCATGCACTATAGCAGTTCAATAATCGTGTGTCGGGCAAAGAGCTGATCGTCCGACGGGCCAGATCCATGGTCACCACCTCGCCATTTAGCCATAGTGTTCGTAGTTCGGGCAAACGTGTCGCAATGCGACCGGCAGAATAGCGAGCAAGCACAGTAGCAAGCAATGTTGGGGTCATCAAGGTTTCGGTAATGCGCTTAGAGGCAAGGAGATCCACCAGAGCTGCAGGATCATAACTGACTTCGTCGGGAACTGTCACGACAGTCGCACCACGCAACAGCGGGCGCAGCATCTCCCAAATGAAAAATACATTGCAAGCTACCCGGTCGCCCGGTTGCAAATCCTGAACTCCAAATCTCAGGTTATATGAGAGCACGGGCGCTCTGTGGGGGTTGGCAATTCCCTTGGGCTTGCCTGTGGTGCCGGAAGAGTAAGAAACAAAAGCCAGACGGTCCAGATCATCATCCACTGGTAGTGGTGCGGCCTCTTTCGTATATCCGTTCACTTCGGCTGTGGGCTCGTCCAATGCGATCACCGGGCATTGTGCTTTTACTCGGGGGGCCTCCACTTGGTGGGTAATGACAACGGCGGGGCAGGCGTCCTCGATAACGTCGGCTAACAGCCCCGCGGGGTACGCGAGCTCCAAAACAAGAAATGCACCACCCGCACGAAGCGCTGCCAAACAGGCAATCACGTAGTGGGCGCTGCGAGGAAGTAACACTCCAACCAACGAATCACGGCTGACGCCATACAGTCGGAGTCGAGTGGCCAGCGCATCGACTTCTTGGTCGAGCTCGGCGTATGTGTATGTGGTGGTCCCGTCTTCCAGCGCAATGCCATTGGGAGTCGCCTCCACTTGTTTCTTGAAGAGGGTAGGGAGATCTTTGGTTGTATCGATGAAAGACATTTTGTGATTCTTTCAGGTGGAATTGCGGGGATAACGAGGGGCAAGGAGAAAACCGGAACAGCTTCTCATGGAAAGGAACGTAACGTTATCGTCGAATTCGGTTATGGTTCTAGACGGACTCAAGGTACGGTCATCGAGGGACCTTAGGACGTGTTCGTGACAAGTTGCAATAGCAAACAGAGCTTGACAAGAAGGAGATTGGTAGCTCCCACTTATAGCTTTGGAAGCTGGACCCATTCTAATTAATTCCATCCCACTATTTCTGTTGAGATGGAGAGACATGATGCTGGCATGGGCCCCAAGCCTCGCCGCTAACTGGATGTTGTCTAGTGGGTTGAATCTTTGGAAATCTATAGAGTTCGAGTCCCTCAGGGCCAATGAGTTCCCCGGGTCACTCCCATCCGGAGCTATGGCGAGCCGCGATTCGACCAGGGTCAGAGTTTGCTGTCCAAGATCTGACTGGCCATGACGATGATGATAACCTTGAAACGCCCGAAGCAAGACTTGAGTAAAACAGGAAAGATATCTCGTGTCCTTGTTCACAAAGGCCCAAGAGTATGCGTGGATCCAGTCGATTCCCCACTTGATCCCTTTCACATGTGAAAGTCCAATTTCCCAACAATTTCCTTGTCACATGTCAGTCTGCAGGAACTGATGTAAGCAGTGAGATTACAGTAGTCAAATAAGTAGTAAACTACGTATATTTATTCTCGATGAAGCAATTACTGTGACTAGAATAGTTGTAGAAAGGCTGCTGTGAAGGGGAAAGATTAGAAAGGAGGGATGGACTGCGACTTAATTCCACGTCAAAACATCAAGAATAGAACAGAACATTCATGCGAAGATTCCCAATGTTGCCAGACATGAACAAATTCCAACTGTACACTCCTGGATTTGAAAAATTTGGATATTACTTATTAGGACCTTGGAAACATCGACTGCCCTGAAAGCTACAGGATCTTAACACTTGGGAGCTCTAGTATCTTGGCATGTTTGGGTTGTTTGTTCCAGAGATTCTGCGATCGGGGATAGCTTCAACTTTCTTGCTCCCCACGGACGATCCGGAGCCCCGGATAATGCGTGGATCTTGGTGTGTATTATCCCGTCTCGTCCAACTTTGCGCTATTAAATCCCTCAGAATCATCCTCTAACTAAGCACCAGATCACCGACGTCACAGAAACCTACTAAAGCTCAGCAGAGCAGGCCTTGCTGAGACTATTGCGCCAACCCTTACCATATCAGAAGACCGATTCCTTCTCTTTACCATGGCATCGATCCGCCCTCGCTCCCTACCTTTCCGGGCCCTGTGTACACCCAGGACAACCTCAAGGTCCTGCCGACTCCCGATCCCTCGATCTTCAACCGCACCCCAAAAACAACAATTCATCCGCAACCACTCCACATCCTCCGTCTCCGCAGATGAAGTCTCCCATTTCTCCAGTCTCGCCAGCGAATGGTGGGACCCGATGGGCCACTCTAGAGTCCTACACCTGATGAACCCCCTCCGCCACGAGTTCATCGCCTCATGTCTTGCAGAAGGACCCCCACCCTCCGATACCCATGCACCCGGCAGCAATCCCGCAAATCTGCACTACCTTGACATCGGCTGCGGAGGTGGTATTTTCGCCGAGTCACTGGCTCGTACTATCCCCCTCGATCCTTCCGCAACAGCACCAACACCCACCCGCGCCGCATCAATGACAGCCATCGACCCCACAACGGCCCTGATTCAGATCGCGAAGAACCATGCCCGGAAGGATCCAACTGTGGACTCGCATTTGCGTAGCGGGAAGTTCCGCTACCTGAATACTACTCTGGAAGACGTGCTTGCTTCCAAATCTGAATCTGTCTCTGGATCCACGTCTGCATCATCCGTCACACACCCGCAGTTTGATGTCGTTTCACTGTTCGAGGTCATTGAGCATATTGATTTTAAGACTACGACTCCTGAGGCATTCCTTGCTAATTGTCTTCGTGCGGTCAAGCCTGGCGGGTGGTTGGTTGGATCTACTATCGCGAGGACGTTTCCGTCTTTTATTTTGAATCAGGTTATTGCTGAGGCGCCTTGGCCGATTGGTGTTGTGCCTCGTGGTACGCATGAGTGGAATAAATTTGTGAACCCGAATGAGTTGCATGCTTGGTCGCAGGAGGCGTTGATGCGTGCTGCTGATACGGCTGTGACTCGTGCGGGCGCTGCGGCTTTGGAGGGTACAATGTGGAAGTGTGTAGGTACTATCTATGTGCCTGGGCTGGGATGGAAGATTGTTCCTGGATCTGAGGATTGGGGGAATTATTTCTGGGCTATTAAGAGGGGTGTTTAGTGCATTCCTGAGGACTTTGTACTATATAGAGCTTGTATACTACATAAAATATAGATTTGATTTGTTAATTTTCTTGTGCATCTGAGATGCTGGACCTATAGATTTCCTGGGCTCCAAGGTTGTTTCATGTTGAAAGGAATCCTTGGAAGAGATCAGGGCTGACACTGATTTTGGAAATTGTGCTATGGCATCGAATGAACAATGTGAATTCTATTTTCATTGATTCGTAATAACAACATGAACAGATGACTTGTTTTATTTTAATCCCCTACCTAGGTCAGGGTCTTCTACCACTGCTGAATAGTCCGCTGAAAACGAGGAGGTTCGCGAGTAAACTTCTCAGGTGTGTCCCTCGCACCATCTTTCCAGTAATCAAATTCCATCCAAGCATTCTCCGGCATCTGTGCCTCAGTTGCCTCCAGGAAAGCACCCAGATCAGGACACAGAGGGATAACACCAGTCTCAAGAACATATTGATCCCAAAGCTTCAGAAGTGTCTTCATTTTCTCCGGCTCCTGATCCGCTAGATCGTGAATCTCACCAGGGTCCTCGGCGAGATTGTACAACTGCCACTTCTCGGGTCCCTTAGGCTTGGGGATGAAGACAATCTTCCAGTCGGCGCAGCGGAGTGCAGCCCGACCACAGGTCTCCCAGCCTTGAATAAAGTCTTTCGGGTGGATGCGCTCTTCTTGACCGGTAGCCCAAGGTTTCCAGCTGCGGCCACGCATCGAAACTACTTCGCGACCTTGATATGTTGGTGCGGGGTGCTTGACGCCGGCCATATCCAGGATTGAGGGTGCGAGGTCCATGACTGTGGAGAATTGATCGGTGATACCGCCCTTGGCAGCGGTTGCGTCGCCGGGCTTGAGATTGATGTTCTTAGGAAACCGGCAGGTGAAGGGAACTCGTACTCCACCTTCGGTTGTGTAGGCTTTGTAGAGGCGAGAGGGGGCGGTGGAGGCCTGCGCCCAGCGCGGACCGTACCAGATGAATGAGTTTCCAGCACCTAGGTTTTCGAGGCTGTTGTCATAGTACTTCTGTAGGTGGGGCATAACACCGTTTTGCACCATGGGGTAGGCCTCATAGGCGGCCCCCTCTGCCCCATTGTCAGACATGAAGCAGACGAATGTGTTGTCCAGCTCATCAATCGAGCGCAGGTATTCGACCACCTTTCCCACGTTGGTATCGATACACTCTACCATTCCGGCGAATACTTCCATCGATACGCAGGACTTCTTCTTCTCTTCGTCAGTGTATTCATCCCATTCTTTGATCTCATCGGCAACGACGGGGTGTGCCTCTACATCCTCGCGGACCATACCCAACTCTTTCAGGCGTTGCAGGCGCTTTTGGCGTAGGGCTTCAGGACCCTCATCATAGACTCCACGGTAGTGGTCGATGTACTCGCGCGGTGCCTGAAGTGGCCAATGGGGGGCTGTGAAGGGCAAGTAACCAAAGAACGGGCGATCTCCATTTCCGTCTGGTCCAGCACTGCCACCGGATTCCTTCCACTCGCGCAAATAATCAATCATCTTGTCCCCGTAGCCGTCTGACGAGTACCAGTCATCCGGAAGGTTGCGCACATACTCGCCGTCCTCGCTGTGCAACGCGATATAGCTAGCCTCGATGAAAGTGGGAATATCGTCATTGTCGCGCAGTTGGGGCTCATATGCATAGTGGTTGGAGCAAGCAGGAAGGTGGGCGAATGAGCGAACAAAACCACGCTTGTGAGGGGAGCGCTCGGGAGTGAGGCCTAGATGCCACTTGCCCGATAACATGGTGTGGTACCCCGCATCACGCAAGACCTCGGGAAGCGCGACCACGCGCTCATTCAGGTACCCCTCATATCCAGGCATACCACGCTGCGGAGCTGTGCTCATCGAAGAGCCCTTGGGGCCATTCTGTCCGGAGATGTTGGTCCATTCAATCAAGTTACCCAGACCTGCGATGTGGTGATCTGTGCCGGTCATAATCATGGCCCGAGTGGGACTAGTTTAGAGAATGAGGTTAGTTGGGGGTTTGATCATGATCGGTATCTATAGACTTACGAGCATGCTGCCGCCGCATGGAAATCAGTAAACCGCAGCCCCTCCTCTGCGATCTTGTCAATGTGAGGGGTACGGATCTCGCCACCAAAACAGCCCACATCGGAGAAACCAAGATCATCGGCGACAATCACCATAAAATTGGGGCGTTTCGTCGTCATTGTCAATTAGTGCAGTCAATGAAAGTAGAAGTGAGAAACAAGGCCGGGGTATTTGGAGAAAAAGAAAGTGAGGGGGTTAGCTGCACGAGACTCTTAATTCTTATAATCGGCGGTACAGCTAATCCCTGCTGCATTGCATGCTGCACTGCGCCATGACGGTGCCGCATTTCGTGCTCGGCAGCTATCAATCGCCAGTCGGCCATCGGCTGGTGCTGGAGTGGATCCATGTTTACAGTATGGACTTGAATCCCCACTTGTACTTTCAGCCACAGTTCCTTAGTCATCCGGAACTCGGAGTTGATTCCCATTTTCCCATGCGTCCGTGCGTTGATTGATCAAAGATAACCAGGATCTCAATCAAGGAAATACGCTCTTTCAATCGAATGAAGCATGTTAGTGTTAAATAGTGCCCCGGATAAGTCATCTAGCGCTGATCGTTCAATGAGCTCTCAAAATTGCAGTCTCGCGCCATCTTTCGTTTCCCCTTTTTTTGTTCTGGTTCCTTAAATATGGGTTTGGTAGCTTAAATAGCCACTGCCGATCTTCCCCCGTGCGATCGCTGCCAATTGTTCCCCAATGTGGTACCCAGAGAAAAATCTGAAACGCGGTTCGACGGCTTTATATCCACACAAATTGCAGTTATCTTGAGTGAGTGAACCTTTCCATCTTGTTTGCCATCAAATTGTATTGTTATGGCTGGCCACGCGGTCAGTTGCCGTTTTCGGCCAGAAGTGGGAATGCGCCCGAATTCGGATCATCGAGGATCCTGCTTGTGTATGCTAAATGCGGCAATCTCGGCGCGTCATCCTAATCAAAATCCTGAGATGCATTGGGCGCCTGTCAGCGTCCTCGACTTTTCCTTTTCTTTGGTCTCTCAACATTGAACATTGACTAAACTCGCATGGAACAAGGAAAATACATTGCACCCCTCCACCCCTTGCTTTGATCGTCGAGGTGCGATGATCATCATGAGGCACAGGCTCTACCAGGCCCTGCTAGGCGGGGTTGTGATAGTAATGGGCCTGGCATTCCTGGGAACCAAGCTCGTGGTGTACTATACTCGCTGGAACGACGACCTTGGCATCTCCATATTCAATGGCAAGCTACCAACGATCCCGCAATACGATCAGATCGCCAACCCGTCGCATGCACCTTTGATCCCCGATACCGAGCCGGGCCCAGTACAGCATGCGTCGAATATCCCGAGCGAGCCCACAGTTCCAAAATCTACCGCAGTGCCGACTGAATCAAGTGGGAGCTTCCGAGATTTCAATGCCGAGTGGAATAATAAGAGCACATGGCCCCAATGGTCGAAACAACAGAAATCGGCAGACTCGACCCCGACGAATCGCATTTCGCACGAACGACTCGATCGTCAAGTTCATTCGATATTGAATTTCAGGGACGAATGGCCCTACGGGCGTGTTTCTTGCCCGGCAAATATTGCGGATAGATATGAGGGCTTGAGGGTTATGGAGGATAACAGCCAGGTGCGGTACTTTTTTGCGTTGAATCCAGTCGATGCCCTTGAAGCTCTTCCGCGATTGATGAGTAGCATCATTGAGACCGTAAAGTATCTGGGTGTCAAGCACGCTGCGATTTCAATTGTTGATGGTGGATCCGACGATGGCACGTGGGAGGTTCTCGAAGCGTTGAAACCTTTCATGGATAAGATGGGTGTGCAGTACTTTCTCGCGGCCAGTGATCATATATCGTCGGATGCGAATGATACAGAAACCCTTGCAAACCTTCGAAATCAAGTACTGCAGCCGCTGAAAGCTAAAGGGGTGGAACCTCTGCATGCACTAGCAAGCATGTACTCACCAGAGGCCGTGGTTATATTCCTAGACGATATCGTGATGTGCCCTGAGGATATACTGGAACTAGTCTTCCAGCATATCCACCAAGGGGCACAGATGACATGTGCATTTGATTGGATCTTTAACGGAAGCGTCTTCCATGATGTCTGGACATCACGATCGCTAGCTGGGAACACTTTCTTTCAGATCCCGCCTGATGGCTCGTTGGCCGCAAGCGACAATATGTTCTTCGACGACCGAATCAACAAGCCACGATACGACGCTTTCCTGCCTCTGCAGGTTTATTCGTGTTGGGGTGGTATGGCAACATTGAATGCTGTGTCATTTGCAGAAGACACTATTCGATTCCGGCCCGCAGAGCAAACAGAAGCGGATTGCTACAAGGGTGAGCCCATGCTACTTGCCAAGGATATGTACAGCCAAGGTCTTGGCAAGATCCTAGCCGTCCCGTCGGTGAATGTGGCTTATTCCGATAACGAAGCGACTGAGACAAAACACATCCGCGGATATGTTGGCGATCATATCAACACATCCAGCCAAAAGTTGAATGAATATGAGGTGGTTCAGTGGCAAACGGCTCCTCCTGATATGATCAAATGCCTTGCCCATTCGGACCAACTGGCCTGGACAGAGTGGACAGAGTCTACTTGAGACACATACATCCTAGATTTCCTTTTTCCGATTTACGATTGACAGCGGGTTTGAGATATCCTGGGCGGAGTTACCAGCATTGAAGGCGCATTGATCATTGTTTGTATATATTCGCAGTCTACCTGTTTGGTTTGAGCCTGCAGATAAGTTCTGAATACACGTCATATTATCACACATATTGACAACTACTGAGGCATTCGGATTTAAGATCAGTAATATCAATGGGGCAGTGAGTATGCCGCCGGCAACTATTACCTACCTATCGACTTTCATCTTTTCTGTGGTGGGACTTACTGGTCTTGCGGAGACAAAGTGTAGGCGAAATCCTATCCGATGCTTGGCCCCGAGCCGCCCATACAAGGCCCCTGATCGCCGTGCGACCTTGAGGCCAGGATAGAACCTGGTCAGACTAATCTCTTACGTCCACCAATGCTACGTTTATGAGCCTCCAGTGCTGCCTTTCAATAGTGAGGCTCCTACGTCAATATTGATTAATTGATCCAGTAGTTAAATCAATATTGTCAGTCTCCTTCCTGTAGCACATCCTGATGTTCATCCGAACCATTTCACATAGAAATACTTGTCCCTTCAGTGGTTCTCTTGATACCATTTAGAATAGAGAAGATCAGTCATGTTGGAAAGATTCAAGCCATTGTATCATCCCGACCCCTAAAAGTATATTGATTGCACAGCATCTTGAGATCGGTACCCAGAAAGCTGACAGCAAATGCGGGGAAGCTTGGCCAAGAACCGGAAGATCTTCTACAGACCCAAAATTTGAAACGAAAATTCGCATAAATTCAATGTAGACCGACTCGGCTCCTTGGCGGCTCCGTAAAAGCCCCGGCGATAGCTTTAAAATTGGGCGCATGGCGTGACCTCCCCACCGGCTTGCGCCGTCGGCTATCGGCTGCAGACCCCGGAGAGATCGACAACCCGCTGAGTCCATGTCGTTTTGCTAAAGGTTTGAATTTCTGTGGTTCGTTTTATTGAATTAGCGAATTCGAATGCTGAATGGCGTTACTAACTTTGCCGCTAGGACATATAAATTGTGGCTGACACCTGCGGAGCTTGGGTGTACATAATTATAGATTACGTATATAGAGATGCGCGGACCGTCCTCATATTCTCAGATCATTTCTGTTCAAAATCTATGAATAACGCCTAAAGCTAAATCATTCATGTGTCTTTTATGGAAGCTTTTTAGATTTGAAATTTGAGCCTCTAAAGCTTCTCATTGTGGATTTAAGGTGGACTACTTAGACTAGAGTAGCTGTAGTTCTAGAGAGTCTACGTAGGTCGCTTTTGTATACTCCGCTAAAACCACACCGGGGCAAATATGTATTGGAATCTTTCAATCTTTTTTTATCTGAGCCCAGGTATTTAAAATCAATGGAGAGGGGTTTCCCTATTCCAACGGAGGTGCTCATTTGGCTAGTGAGGGTGTCACTAGAACAGCTCGTTAGTTTCATGGTCACCTTCCTTACAGGATCGCAATATCCGGCATAATAATTATCTGGTTTGATGGTAGGCCTAGGCTCTTCTAGACTGAATCTTCAAAGCCTCCTTGCTTTATTCATTGGCCACAGAATAGAAGACAAACCCCAATAGGAATCGACCCTCGGTTTACCCTAGACCCCCAAAAACCGACATCCATGGGGACTAGCTTTTCTGAGGAGGTGTGGAGGGAACGCCTCTAGCAGAATTCAGATCGGAAACTCAGATCCGGCGAGCGGGATTACACTCGTTGAACTTCCGCAACCCCCCGGGGGACAATCGCGGCCTGTAAATACCCATCTCCAAGTTGTGGAGAGGGAATCCGTGACGATGTACCGGGTCATTGTCCCCGGATGTTTGCTCCACACTAGGCGACATGCGACAGAATCTGGTAAAGCTTATTCGAGCCACTGGTATACTGCATTTCAGCCAATCGGAGGTTCCCCCAGCTTCCTACCGTCACAGTGGACATCCAACATAATACTACATCTACAAAACATGAAATTTCATGGGCAGGGTACTTAGAGGAGTCAATTCTCTCTCTCTTGTGGACTATCCAACCGCTACCTTCCGGGGATAATGACACCTCCGCCAACGAGTCACATCTTCGCATACCAAAAACTTACCTTCGCTCGATCTAACGTACCTTAGCAATGTCGAATGTATCGACATCCACGGCTACAGATACAGACCCGGAAAAGCAGGAGCAGCAAGACAGACGGGTTCGCTCCCCAGGTGGAACGCCCCAACGGAGTCACTATGAGGGGGGAGTGAATGAAGCCGACAGACATGCGGATGGCCAAACGGAAAAACAAGACGAGCTGAAAGAATGGCAGTGTTATGATAAACTGGGATATTCGTATCCATGGTACAAGAAATGGAGTATCATCTCGGTTATCTTCGCCGTGCAATTGTCCATGAACTGGAATGCCAGTTTCTATGCCAGCAGCATTACCCTCTACTCAAAGCACTTTGGAATATCCGAGCAAGCTGCTCGTGTCGGACAAATGGACTTTCTCGTCGCCTATGCCTTTGGATGCGAGTTTTGGGCTCCATTCAGTGAGGAATTTGGCCGATGGCCTATCATGCAAGCGAGTTTGTTTCTGGTCAATATTTGGCAAATCCCCTGTGCGCTGGCACCCAATTTTGGCACCATCGTTGTTTGCCGTCTGTTAGGTGGTGTTTCCTCCGCGGGGGGCTCGGTGACACTGGGCATAGTGGCCGATATGTGGGAGGCGGAGGATCAGCAATGGGCTGTCGCCTATGTTGTGTTGTCTTCGGTGGTAGGGTCTATCATCGCACCCATTGTGGGTGGTTTCGTCGCGACATTCCTTAGTTGGCGTTGGAACTTCTGGCTGCAACTAATTCTGGGAGGATTTGTGCAACTCCTGCACTGGCTTGTTCCAGAGACTCGGTGCAGCATCCTCGTTACCAGAGAGGCGAAAAAAAGACGTGCGAAAGGCGAGATGGTTTATAGTGGCGACGAGCTGAAGAAAAGTCGCTTATCCTTTCGTTACATACTCATGATCTGGGCTCGTCCATTCATCATGTTCCTTCGTGAGCCGATTGTCTTGTGCCTTTCACTTTTCAGCGGGTTCAGTGACGCCTTGATCTTCGTTTTCTTGCAATCTTACACTCCGGTATACAAGCAATGGCATTTTAGTACCATCGACACTGGCTTGGCATTTATTCCGTGAGTGAACTAGATGATGCAAAAAAGGGCGCGACGCTAACAAGATTAATATAGGATTCTTGTCGGATATTTCATCGCTTATTTCTCATTTTTACCCTGGATCCTCCGTCACAACAACATTCGCAAAAGGGATCCAGATGGTCTACAGCCAGAGGCTCGTCTTTATTGGTTACTATGGGGTAGGCTCTCTTCAAGGCTAATATCTATATCTCGCGAGGACCTACTAAGAAGAATAGTGGCTCCTCTTCTGTCAATCGGACTATTCGGGTTTGCGTGGACTAGTCTGGGACCACCGCACGTGCATTGGATAGCACCCATGATATTTTCATGTCTCATTGCAATAGCCAATGTAAGAATCATGATATCCAAAATATTGAGCTCGAATCTGACATTTATTCTAGTTCTCAATCTACATGGCTACCGTCGATTACATGATTGCATCATATGGCCCTTACGCTGCATCTGCAACGGGTGGAAATGGCTTCGCTCGCGATTTCCTCGCAGGAGTGGCTGCCATGTACTCCATGCCAAGTAAGCACTATAATTACCGACCATCTCCATTGGGAATATTCTAACATAAACAGTGTATTCAAACATGGGTACCACTCATAAGCTTGAGTGGCCTTCCACCCTCCTTGGATTCCTGGCCATTCTATTCACGATTCCCATATACGTGTTTTACTGGTACGGACCAGCTATTCGAGCAAAATGCCCCTTTGCACAGACCTTGGCTTCGGACAGGAAGGAGTCTGGGCGCAGAGTTTCTCAATGTGGCTCTGGCGATCCAGACCCAGTGGAACGATATTTGTCGGGCGCTATGGATGACATCCGCAGTGATGTCCGCAGTGAAAGTCGCCCTAGCAGGCGATAACCGAAAGACTTGCTTTGGCTATATAGATTACGAGTTATTCTGCTTTTTTTGATGAGCCCAGCAAAAAAGGTCCAGATATGAAAAAAAAGCATGTGGTTTACATGGAGTGGTTTTGGTCTGCTGGGCATCTTGTCTAACTTTAAATGTCCCTTCACTGGTCTCCCGCTGAAAAGAATTGATATAATTTTGCATTTGATACATCAGGATTACTTGCATTGCAGTAGTGAAGGCTAAAATTTGACTCCACATCGATCATTCAAAAGGTGACATATGTCAAGCGGCTTCTACTAAAGAGGCCTTGGGATTGAATTCCGACTAGCCTCGTTCAGCGACATATTGCTAGACTCCACTTCGTAATTTTCTATCCATGGGTCTTTGCTAGCCTTCTCGTGCCGAGTAAGATTTCAAGGAGATCTGGCCCGAACAGCCAGTTGCTCGTCTCCATACAAAACACCTCTAAATCAGCTCTCTCCTGAAGCGGCTCTGACTGGTATCCATGGGCTTTTAATTGCTGGTCTATTTAGCTGGCTCGTTGACCAAACGTACATCCAGATGGACTTCGATTTACCCACTTGACATTCTATTGACTATATCAGCATGGAAGCTAGGGTTCGCTCCAGCAACAGCCATTTGCACAGCCAACTTATTCGTGGGCAGCAATAGAAAATTTGTGACCAAATACGATAAATTGCAAAATGAGAGTGACCGTGCGTGTATGGACAGACATTACGCAAATACATCTTGGCAGCCTGCTTTTATGCACACCGTGCAGTGCAATGATATGTTAAAGAAGCGATTGAAAGGGCTTAAGGAAATAGATGCATGAATAAAGTTTTTGTCTGAACGAAATTCACCAGGTTCCCATACTTTATTCTCATCAGAAACGGAAACGCTGAATTTGGAAGGGCGTAGATGTGAGCAAGCGTGGAGTGTCCTGATAGTCTGCCCTTAACATATTTCCCCTTTGGACGGTTATTACCCACCCTCTTCATTTCCATGACTGATATTCATACAAATCTATTCTCTATCTCTTACCGTTGTCTTTAAAACACGACAGCCTCATAACATTATCCACATTCTCCCACCTTCAACCTTGACTTTTCATTTCGCCTCACATCTGGCCAGTCTGATTCTTGAGGAATCAACCGTGCAGTCAAGCCTGCGTGATTGAGGCTCAATCATGTCTTCAATTACGTCTTCAAAACGGGCAGCTCGTCTGTCACGACCGCCCTTGCTCCTAAGCAGCCACTCTATCCAAAATACCCAGGCTGCATTTCCACGCTCGGAGCTTGCAGACCGGTACCCTAGTTCGATTCACTGGGAGCCTCCGCTGTCATCTGTGGGACAAGGTCGTGTGACTTCTATCTTTCCCTTGCGGAAGCGTTCAGAGTTTGAGCTTCAGGGCTTGGAAAGCCCCAATACAACGCTGGTTCGCAATCCTAAGCATTCCTCCTACCAAGCAACCCTCAAGGAGTCAAGAAAGGCTCCAAAGCTCGATTTCTCTGAATATGCAATGATCTCTTCCTCTCGATCTTACCTCACCCTAAAGGATGATCTTGTTCAACCCTTAGATGGCAATGATGCGGCTATCAAAAAGTCGTATGATGCCACCACGATTGCTAGCGACATTTTGATTGCAGCAAATCAGCACCCAACCAAATGGGGATTGAATCACCACCTAATGGTTTTGTGCAAGAACTTCGCCGTGGTGAACTTCTCTTCGGACTTGGCAACCTTTCGTTGGGACATCATTGACCCCAAACCTCCCAAACCGTCAACTTCGACCATTGCGACCAGTACTTTTCTCCATGGCTCGGAGACTTCAATGGGAGAACTCTCTAGCTCCAGACTGCAGTATTCGTCTGCGAGTAGGTTACTTGAACCCACGAGTCATCAGTCCTCTCGCTCATCCACTCCTTGTCCGGTTGAAAAACCAGTGTCATGGACACCAACCGGTCCGAATCGAGTCACGAAACTATCAAGTGGCCGGATTGCTCCCAGAAACCCGAAAGATAATCCCAAAAAAATCTCAACGCAGGAGTCTTTACCCCAATTCTCGCCATATTTCAAGCCAAGTCCCCGGCCACAAGTCGTCATTCCGGCATCGACAGATCACATGTCCCCAAAAGAAAACCCACGCCTCCCAGCAATGGTTGAGAGGACACCCAAGCCACAGGTAATTGAAAAGCCAGATCGCAAATCCCCAAGGAAAAATACCTACCGTGCAGCAGTCGCCGAAGTCACACGCAAGCCACTGGCAATCAAAGAACCAGCTGTGCCCTTCTGCCACCCGTTCCAATGCCAATGGTTCAAATGTCAGAAGATACTACTTAGCCGACAGTCTTTGCAAGGACATGTCATGAATGAGCATATTTTGACTAGCCTGGCTTGTCAATGGAGCCTTTGTGACTGTAAGCTCCCTTTGGCGGCTATACCCTTATGGCATCATGTGCTGGATCACCATCTTAAAACACTCCCGGAAAAAAAAGAGAATGAGATCGACGCCTCTATTCAATCTTCCATCGCTGATGTTGAATTTGAAGATTCGTGATTTCTTCAGAGTAACATCCAGCGGCTACTCAAATAGTTTTACTAGATACAAACTAAACATTTCTGCAAAAACTCACTAGCATTCCACACTCCACGCTGTTCCTCGCCAGGAGCTTATGTCCTTGCAAATCTATTATTGGCAGATTATAGATAACTTGGAACTAAACAACATTTCTTCAGGGACTTAGCCTATCAAAATCCTGTTACAATATTCCACATGGTAGTTGTGGTCCCTGACGCAAACTTTGGTCCCCACCCGAGCTCGTCATCACAACCCTAAGATTGCTCATCGCCGCACTTCATTCTCACTCGTCCACTCTGTAGCACCGTGAGCCACTATCACCTTTCGAATCATTCTTATTGGTTGCTTCATGAACTGAGTTTCTCGGCCGGGAGTTGACATGATGCAACACCTGGACCTGCACTTCGTGTTGCCTATCGCGTGAAGCACACCGTTGATGATGTGCTCCGGGATATTCGAGAACATTTTACTAGCAATGACAGAACTCAGTCTTGTACGTTTGTGTTTTCTGGCTAGGCTCTTTTGATCGGATCACCATTATGGCTTCTATCAGCGAAAAAAAGGAAGTCGATACCACTGCTCCTGAAGCAAAGGATGTCACTACCTCGCCTTCATGCAGTAGTGTTGCAGAGGCTGTGGCTATCAACGAAAAGTCGTTACTTCGCAAATTAGACTATCGGCTGTTACCACCTCTCACACTACTATACTTACTATCATTTCTAGATCGAAGCAATGGTTTGTACCTCAGCATAATCACCAGCTACATACTCAGACTGATTATTTTCCATAGTCGGAAATGCAAAACTGGAAGGAATGACCACCGACATCAAAATGAGTATGTTTCAAAGCTTTCAACCTAAGAAAATCGAATCTAACATGATTAATGTCTACTCAGCTGGAGACCAATACCTAACCGGTCTCACCTTGTACTTTGTCGGCTACGTCCTCTTTGAAATCCCATGCAATATCATCCTCAAAAAAGCCTCACCGCGAACATGGCTTCCGACCCTAACATTGATCTGGGGAATTGTCGCCACTTTGTTGGGTGTTGTCCAAAACTACCCCGGGTACCTTTCCTCCAGGTTCTTCCTCGGTGTTGCAGAAAGTGGATTATTCCCTGGTGTAGTGTACTATATCTCGATGTGGTATAAGCGGAATGAGCAACATTATCGCGTTAGTCTGTTCTTCAGTGCGGCGAGTCTGGCGGGCGCTTTTGGTGGTATTCTTGCTTGGGTTCGTTTCAAAGATACTCTCTGTGAAGGCGAAGCTAATGCCACGGCCAGGGAATCGCACATATGAGTGGTGTAGGGGGTTATAGTGGATGGCGATGGATATTCATTCTGGTAAGCAGGTCCACGCTCTGAAAGTGGCCGAATGTTAACGCGAATTGAATGTTAGGAGGGACTGGTCACTGTCATCGCCTCTGTGATCGCTTACTTCTGGGTATACAACTACCCATCGACGGCTGAATTTCTATCGCCTGAAGAAAGAGAATTCATTCAGTTCCGCTTGAAGAATGATAACGATGCGACGCGAGATGAGAGCTTCACCTGGTCTGCGGTGCTGGATGCATTCAAGGATCCAAAAGTCTGGCTCTACTGTCTAGGATTCCACACCATGTCGCTACCGCTATACACACTGTCCCTATTTCTAGTGAGTGCATTAATTTCAAATCTTATACCTTGCCGACACTAATAACGTCTTTTTAGCCAACTATTATCAAAGAGCTTGGATACTCCTCGGCTCAAGCACAGCTACTTTCCGTCCCTCCATATGCCGTAGCATTCGTTTTTACACTAGGTGTCGCCGTCGCTTCGGAAAAGCTTCGCGTCCGTGCGCCCTTTATCATGGGCACATCGGCCCTCGCCTGCATCGGCTACATTCTTCTGCTATCCGACCACAGAGCTGGCGTATCCTATGTGGGTACTATCTTCGCTGCAGCGGGAATTTATCCGTCAGTTGCTATCGTGCTATCTTGGCCTGCGAACAATGTTTCTGGGCAGACGAAGCGGTGCATTGCAAATGCGTTACAGATCAGTGTTGGGAATATCGGTGCAGTTATTGGGACGCAGTTGTACCGCACTGAAGATAGCCCACGGTATTTCCTTGGACATGGCTTTGCGCTGGGATACCTAGTTGCTAATGTCATTGTTGTTGGGATTTTGTGGGTTGTGTTACGGCGGGAGAATGCTGGGAAGGTTCAGGAAATGGACGCCAAGGGGTTGAAGCCGTTTGGCAAAGATATCGGAGATGGGGAGGGTGAGTTCTTGGGTGATCAGGATCCCCGATGGGTGTTCCAAACATAACCTAGTAAGCCTGCTACTAGCATTTCATATACTGCAATTGGAAGAGATTCAACTCTGATAATGATGTTCATTGAGCAATATTGCTTATCTACGTAATACAAACTCGACAGGTATGTATCTCCTACTTTAGACACATCCAGCCCCATGGAGGGGGCGGACGCAACACGAAGGAGCCCCAGAAAGATCTTTGTCGATCTGGAGGAGCTTACTATTGGCACAAATTTGACCTCGAATATCATTGGGCAATAGACGAACGAGACTTCGAAAGTGCCGAAGGGGGTTATGGGGTAAGCGAGACGATATGAGATTCAGTGCTGTCCGCGTCCTGTTAGTTAGTAATTTTGATGGGAGGTATGCAATCAATTCCAAAGCCAACCAACGGCCACGTATCTACCAGAACAACATCATATTCTGCAGACGTGGCCGTAGCTTTGAGCGCCAGTTAAGGTCGCGGTACAGTTCGCTCCAAGGTTACGATGAACCCGACAATCAACTTCCATCAAGTATCCAAGATACCCAAGCCTCAATGAAGAGGTTGGAGTTCAAAATTTGACAACCAAGTCAATTTTCGAATCAGAGTTGTGTGCTCAAAAGCGAACCTGACCTCCTCGGGGGGAACGGTAAACCGATCCAACGGCAGGGGCCAGGATTAGAACGAGCCTCAATTGCTCTGGGTCTCATGCTAAAATTTGCGAATGGAATGGGGGTTCCGTCCGCAAGGGTATGATGGAGACCGTGAATATGTTGAGGAAAAGAAAAACGGAAGTGCGCTTCCACGGGAAGAAAAACCAACGGGAAGCTAGTGCTTATGTAATACCACGTGATATCTCTGTATTAGCTGATGCTATGACGTCATGCGTAAAGAACTATGCACGAAGATATCTTCCAGTCATCATTTGCTAGACATATCTATCCCTATATCCAATACTTTTATGTGTATATACGCTAAGCACAGTCTTTCACTCATGATTTCCCACTCTCAAGCTTTATCAGGCCAATACTTCTGAATGATGGTCTTCTTGTTCACTTTGCCCATGGCATTGCGCTCAATACCATCAACCACCTTTAAGACTGTTGGGACCTTGTAAGGGGCCATCTCGGTCTTTAAAATAGCGCGAAGCTCAGGGAGCTCCAGTGGGGTAGCCTAGGTCATATTAGCGACATCCAATACATATATTGGAGGATAAAAAAAAAACGTACACCTTCACGGAACTTGACAACCGCAGCCACCTGCTGGCCCCATTCCTCATTCTTGAGTCCAACTACAGCAACTTCTTGGATCGACTCCAGTGCAAGCATCTTACGCTCCACTTCCAATGCGGAAATCTTATATCCACCAGACTTAATCAGGTCAACAGATGCACGACCTTGAATGAAGTACGCCCCGGTAGAATCTCGCTTAGCCACATCACCAGTCTTAAACCACCCATCAGCCGTGAACTCAGAAGCCGTTGCCTCGGGTTTTCGCCAGTATTCTCGGAAGACGTTCCCACCCTTAATCTCAATCATGCCATCCTGGTCGATATCCTCGATGACACGTCCGGTCTCTTTCTCTGTCAATCGAACTTGAACTCCAGGGAGCGGCCATCCCACACTTCCGTCAACCCGTTGGTCCAGTTCCAGTCCACAACTAATCGCCATACCGATTTCGGTCATTCCGAATCGCTCCAGCAGAATCTGGCCGGTGATTTCGGCAAATTTAGTCTTGACGGGTGTTGGCAGGGCAGCTGATCCACTAATAAGCAGACGCAGAGCCTTTGCTCCCTCCCGTGCCGCCTGTTCACGGTCTGTTCCGCGAATATTGGCATCGAAGTAATCATTCAGACGAGAGTAAATGGTCGGCACAGCCATAAACATGGTAGAAGAGCCACGGTCCTGCCAGCGCTCCCAGATAACCTTAGGATCAAACTTGGGGTGCATTTCCACTGTGGTTCCGCTCAGAAGACAGGCCGTTAATCCATTGATGATGCCATGAATGTGGTGTAGTGGGAGCACGTGGATAAGGTGATCAGACGGACTATACTTCCAGGCTTTGACAAGGCAGCTTGCTTGAAACTCAATGATTTCGTGGGTGCTTACGCCTCCCTTGGGGTTACCTGTTGTGCCAGAGGTATAGATCATAAGAGCGCGGCGGCTGAGTGGGAATGCGGGGACGAACTTGGGCAAGGAGGGGGAGTCGTTGCGGCTGAATGGGTCAAGTCCCAGAAATGGGATATCTGTTGTACATCCCTCGCGCAGGGCTGGAGCCAATTTCTCAAAGGCAGGGTGGATAAGGATCAACGAAGGGTCCGAGTCGCCGATAGTATATAGGAGCTCCTTGGCGGGGTGGCTTGTGCCTGGTAGTCACCTGTTAGCCATTACTCAATCGCGCAAAGAATCGGCGGCAACTTACAGAGAGGAACAGCAACTCCACCCGCAGCCCAGGTGGCCCATTGCGTCACAACATAATCGTAGCCATTCGGCACAAGGAATGCAATGCGCCGTTCCTCCAAATCACCCGTGGCCGTCAGCCCCAGCAGTTCAAGGATCTGTTTGCGAAGCGCAGCCGCATCCTCAAGAAGCTGTGTAAATGTAAATGACTCCTGCTTAGTCGCATCAATCACAGCAACTTTGCCGGCATCATTCTTCGCATGTTGTTGCGCGGCCAAGAAAAGAGGGAGCGAGGGGAGCGGCATCGGGGCGTGGGACAGGTCTAAGGTGGGCGATTGGCAGTGGACCTATATACAGGGACAAGGGCTGTGCTGAATGTCGTGCGATAAAGAGGTAATATGGTGGATATTGAGAAGTTTTTTTTGACCGAAAATGAGGAAGACCAAAAGGCGTAAAGATCGGTTCATCCCTGGCGCGTTACAATTTATCCGGGAAATGGCGATTGCGGAGCGGATGTGGGGAGGTTGGAGGGGCTACCAATGCCTCCCATGCCGCGGCTATCATTGGCGCCACATTTACATGTAGCGCCCCGAGATTTAGCCGACTCCACATACATCTTGAATGTACAACGTAAGTTATGGTATTGAATCTGGCTAAGAAAGATACATCGTGATTTGAAGAGACGTCAATAAAGCCGATTACCTGGAATGAAGTGGTCATATCAACTTGTCATAGAAGGAAATAGAATATCAAGCACCGCCAGCTTCAGCCCACGTATTTTACGCCTGTTCAAGCATTCAAATCTTCCGGAAAACAACATAAATTCAACGACATTAATTACAGCATAAGCTCTCAATTAGAATATCTAGCATCAATCACCTATGTTTCTGTACCAGGTGATAGGTCTTGATGATTTCTTTCTTCCAACTGTCAAGCGGAATATCTTCTTCTCCCCACGGCACATGCTTCTTAGGCAAATTCTTCAATCTCGAGTCCTCCAAACTAGGCAGGAAGAAATGCTGATGATTCTTGTGGCAAATATTGTTGAAAAACTCACCACTCTTGACCTTCTTGTAGCAGTCAGGCGTCAAGACCATGTTGATGCAGTCCATACACCACCACATATTACCCGGCGAAGTCCATTGCGTACCACACTTGCAGCTGCACTTCAGGGAGAATCGGTCACCCTCGCAGACCTTCGTCAAGGCAAGAGCCGCACGAGCATTCTTCTCATCGCCGAAGGGAATAGCAGCGTGCAGGATCTTGATGTAGGCCAGGGTATCATTGCTGTCATCGTCATCTGACAGAAGCTCAATGGCCATCTGCAGAGTGTTGTGTGCCATTTTCCAGGCTGAGTCCAGGTCTTCTTGCTGCTTATAGTATCTGGCGGAGAACAGACGCAGAGGAAGACGCATTTGGTCCTCGTTGACTTGTTCGGGAACGACCTTTTGCATCATCCTCAGGGTTTTGATGGCCTTCTCGGGTCTTCCGGCGTTCTTGGCCTCAATCGCTTTGTCGAGATAGATTCTTCCTAATCTGTATCCGATGAGGAAGAAGGCGACTGTTGGGTTCAAGGTTGTTTTTGGAATGTCATTCATTGCGGCCGTTTCCAACAATTCTGTGACCTTCTCCAGTGGAAGCTCGGGGAGCACGGCGAGGGCGTCTGCGTAGGACTCACGGAGATAGAATGCAGCATTGTGATCTCTGCTCTTCCTAGCCATGGCAATTGCCTCGAGGTAAATCTGATCAAAGATGTAATACTTCTTTGTGTTGATTGCGGCAAGCACAATGATCTCATGGAATCTTTCATCGTCAGCCAGGCTAAGTGCCATGGGGGCAAGTTGAGACTGGGAACGCAGTTGCTCAAAGAAACCAACAATATCCTCCCATCTCTCTGCTTCATGATACTTTGTCAGAATCATCGCGAAGAATTCTCTATTGGTAGGGTCGTGTTGAAGGCACTGGAAATATCTCTGTCCAGAGTTTTCGGACAGGCCTGCATCCCAATAACGGTTTGCGAGAATAAAGCACATTTCGGCGAATGGTTTCTTGTGTAACGCCATCCAGGCAGAGTCATGCTCATAGCGCTCTATCAGATTCTTCAAAATATCAATTGCTTCTGTGTCTGATTGCGTAACCTTGGCCAGAAGGAGCGATGGCCGCCAAGGAGCATTGGCACCCTTGGGGGCATCCCTGAGCGCATTGCGGCATCTCTCCTCAGCCTTCGAAAATAGGGAGAAACCATCATAGACATAACCCATCTGAGTTTCCCACAGTGGGTCCGGATTCGAGGCAAGGTTTTCCGATCTGATCAGGTCCTCAACCACGGAAACGTGGGTTGGGGTTGGAGATGGACTATGCTCCGTACCAGCTTCGCTAAATGCCCCCATCTAAGTAAAACATCATTAGTATGACCATTATCCAGAGAGTGAAAAGAGATTACCTTCACAAAGTAGTGGTCTAGGCAATCAAATGCCGTCACAGTAACCAAGGCACTTGACTCTTGCTTGAGACACAATTCCGCCATTCGGCGAACACAAGGCACGATAATCGTTGCAAATTGGTGACCTTCAGTTGTTCCAAACAAACTAGCAAGCCATTTCTTTCCTTCATCGTTGACGTTGGCGACAATTCTCTCTCTGCTCAGCCAACCGCAAATCTTAGCCATCTGACTCCTTTCAAGTAGCCAGTCTGGGAAGGTAGGGACGGCCTTGGTTGCCCAGAGAAGATTATCAATGGAGTCTTGATCGCGGAAAAGATTGACCAAGTCAGGTCCAATTTGACCTTTCAGCTCAGGGTCGATTTCTGCCAGGTCCACTTGGGACATATGGTAAACAAGCTGCCGGGAAGCGTATCCGCGTAGAGGCCTCAGCTTCTCGCCGGCCTTGTTAGCCAGGGCATGAAGACAGACCTTGGCAAGTTGAAAATGGGCATTGTTCTCATCCTCGCGGTAGATCTGGTGCTGCCGGGCGCTCAATTTTTGCTGGAAATGCTGCTCCATCTCGAGCTTCTCCGCCAGTCCAGGGGGACATACGGACTTGAGGAAATGGCGAAGAATCTCAACCTCGCCTTCGTTGACAGTCGGGTCCTCTTTTTGGCGCTCTTTGACTACAGCAGCTCGCTCTGGAATGGCAGCCAGAATCTTCTCCGAGCGAAATGCGACATTTCCATAATTGTCAATCTCGAAGAGGAGGAACTTCTTCTTGAGACGTTCGCCTAGTGGAGTAAGGGAGACTGCGTCATTCTTGAAACGCAGCACCGCTGACATGATGTCGACTGTCACTTGCTCTTGTGCGAAGCTAGTCCAAAGAATGATCTTGTTAATCTCGTCGATCTCTTTGGCTGAGAGGGTCTCATTGAGTCTGCGCACATCGTCAACGATATGATCCTCGAGACTTCTGTCTGCCCCATCAAGAGCAAGTTTGATGTCTTTGTCATAATCCAAGGAGCTGATCTTAGTGAGAGTTTTATCCATCATGTAGTAATTTCCCTTAGTTGCCTTGTACAGTCGGTCTTGAATTTCACGTCGGAGTTCAACGATGCCGTCCTGCCTGGTGTCGGAGAGTGAATCAATCCTATCCATCCGAGCGTCGATGTATTTCATGGCATCGTCTGCGTTCCGCTTTTGAATCTGGATAGCAGGGCATGTGAATTGGTCTCGCTCAAGCCGATCGATAGTATCTTGTGTTGTCGTGAACAATACACGAACTGCGCGCCGTTGACAACGACCAGCCTGTTGGAGAAACTTCACGACTGCCGGGTGAACATGCCCTTTCTTGTCACCGAGCTTGTTGATGACGATGAAAAAGGTCACATCGACGCCTGCCAGCTCATCGTGGTTTTCAAGAAGCAACCGGGGCATTATCCTCGTGGGATCAATGGTTCCAGCCTTCCGACATGTAGCGGCAGCCGACTGCATATACGATGCATCGCCATCGGCGAACTGCCAGATGATCGACTTTCCAAGGACATCAATTCCTGCGTTGGCTTTTCTTTCATCCAGAAAGTAGAATCCCACTAGACGACGGGAAGTTTCCACTTGTGCGGTCACCTGTGTACGCAGGTGGTTGATAACCGTTGAAGCCAGATAGCTTTTGCCCGCAGCTTCTGGGCCAACAAGTGCAAGGACGGGCGTATCGGTCATTGGGCTCATCCAAGTTTGGAAAGATTTATCAGCAAGGAGCCATTGACCCGTTCCTTCCACATTGTGCTGACGAATGTTCTGGTACGTCGTTGCCCAGGTTGCGATGGGTGACTGTGCAGTGCTATCCCATGTGTCTGGGGTGTTATCGAAATTCAGGATCTTTAAGATCTGGCTTCTGTCATTGAGAGCCTTCTTCTGTTCTGACCTTTCCTGTCGATCCTCAGACAAAAGACCCATGGTATTTTTCGAATACTCGGCAGCTTTTGACGCCTTTTCGTATGTCTGCGCCGCGACGAGCAATGACTCTTTTTTGGTAAGACCGTTCATTGTATTGATTAATTCTAGAAATTCATCTTTAGAAAAGAACGCAATTTTCATGAATGTCTTGAACTTGAAGCGACCGGAATGCCGAATCTTCATGGCCTTGTCGCAGATCTCTACGAAGACGTCTAGGACTTCGCAGGCAGTTGCGGTTAAAGAGGCGTTCATCTTTCCAGCGACATAATGATGTAGTCGATCCAGGAATTGCCCACATTCTGCGAACAGTGCGCTTAGTTCACCGAATACTTCTTGATAGCCTTGCCAGGCACTGATGACAAAGTTCAAAGCATTGTAACATTGTCCAGCTGGGGCGAAGACCTGTCAAGGGTTAGCATAGTCTTTGCATCCCTTTTGTATTTTTTAGGAACTTACCTGGGACGCAGCATCTGCGATCATACCTCCAACCTTTGAGACGGCAGTGAGGGTATTATTGAAGGCTTCTTTGACACCTGGCGAGATAAAAGATTTCTTCTTGGGGTTCTGGATGGCGTCCAAATTGGCCATCACATCGCCGTGTTGCAGATTTGGATCATAACCTGGACCATGAGATAGTTTTGCGAGCTCTTGCACCCGATCTTGCATCCTCTTCCATGTTGCCGCAAGCTTTGCATTGGCCTCGGCATCTGTCCCAGCAGGGACTTGACGAGCCGGCTCAGCTTTCGTTACCCCATTAGGGGCTTTGATTGCTATTTCGGTACCCATAAATGCTTGAAGGTGGAACAAAAGAGCATTGGCAGGAAGCTCAAAGCACAGGGGCGGACCTAGCAGAGATGGACGGGTTAAGTAGAAGACAGCTCAGGTCTTCAGCTGAGAAAGGGAGAGCCATGACGTAGAAGGTGCCTTCTTGGCGTGAAAATTGTTTATCTCTTCTTGATCGGCATCTGTAAGAGGCCCAATCCAATCCGTCATGCTGCCTTTCAGTGGATCGTGTGCCGATGGATCGGCACGGAGAAGGTCATAGCACCAGTTCGAGAGAACCCCCGCAGGAAAAGGAAAGATGAAAACCGGAGAGAAACAAACCAATAGGTAACTTCGCTCTACCCATCATATTCGGAGCTTTTATGCAAAGACTCACAAAATGTTATCAATATCTGTTGATGTTGATGCTGAACTTGTGTTCATGCCAAGTTGCCCCACCAACAACAGATCTTCAAACACGAGAAATTGGGTCACTGGACCCCACCGAACGGTTCGTGTGAGTTTAGTGTGAGACTATTGGTTTGTTTCCATAGATACGTATCCACTTTTCAATCAACCACTTTCAATCAAGACGATAAGGCACATCTAAGAACCTCGGTTGGTGGCGTTGAGAAATGCTTTTTTTACAATCTAGACGCTCTCCGTCCAATAGTCCAAGGATTACCTAGATTTGCGGAGCAGCCTTCGAAGGCTCGTGAATATCTGGGCATCTGGTAAGGACTACAGTTAGGCGACCCGCGAACGTGGAACAGTAAAGGCTATGATTCATGACTGGAAATTTATTCTAACTCGTTTGTATATATAAATTATCAAGTCTAAGCCCGCCCCCAAAAGAACAAAACTCCATGACAATTGCATCCTCTAAAATATAGGCATGATCGCTCGATTCTCATAATCCACATTAGAGTCCACACTCTCAATCCGCTCTCCACACGTTCCAAAGATCCGGTCCCAAACCCGAGTCTGCTTGCCATAATTATGGCTTTTTCTCCACCCTTTGCGATGATGAAGGTCGTGGTCCTCAATAACCAATTCCATGTCAAAGATTCTCATCAACCAAGACATGGGATTCGGTACACAGGCATGGATGCGAAGACCACTGTGCCCTGCAACCTCTGCAAACAAAACATAAAGCTGAGAGATATGCCACTCGTAAAAACCCATTGGAAATCCCATGAGTCTCATCGTGTAAAAGGCCATTAATGGAATGCCAACAATGTCGAAGAATTCTTGTTCGGAATCCGCATAAATTGTAAGCAGCGGATTGGGGTGCTTGGTAAGGTGATGTGTGCGGTGATACTTCCATAGACCGTTCACGTCGTGCATCAGGCGGTGATACCAGTAGTACCAGAAATCCACAACGACACTATAAAGACTGACTTCAACGAACACCCATGTCCAGTTGAGAGATAGGGGGGCTTCGCTCTTGTTATAAGTCAGGTAGACGGAGAACAGCGGGCGTAAAAATCCCGCAAGAACGACTGATAAAAGTGCTTTCCCTACTCCTGCATCGGGGATCCCATCTCGCTCATGTTTATCTCCATCGAGGAATCCGTGTTTGTGGCCGAGTTCTCGAATGGAGCGCAGTTCACGGAATGCAAAGAGGCGCGCTGCTTGGTAGTAGTAGATGAAAGCGATGACGGGATGGAATTGGTATCCCGTAAGTGATACAAATAACTGGTGGACCATCAGGGGAAGACAAGCGTAGAATAGAATCCAGCGATGCATTTGCCAATCAGGTAGATATGGCAGCTTCTCCGTCTTAGCATGGATGGGAATCTCTCGGTCAAGATCCACATGATAGAGGTTGATTTTCTCGAGAATCTTGTGGGGGATGGACCATTGGCTCTTATCTTGGCGCCAGGTTGACTTCATGGAGTCTCTGGGGTTGATAGGGGCGCCCATGGTGATGGCTGATGGTGAAGATCTACTTTAGGGGCTGAATGGGGGATATGTGGCTAGATATTAATGCCACAATTACGACCTCTCATGTGTGCTCGGTATTACGGTCAGACCGAGGTTCTTGATGATAAGTTTTGCCTCTTTTTGAAGCCCACCATACATATTCACCTGACCTTAGGTGCAGTCATTGGTCTGAATAATGGCTAATGAATTCTGATTGGATCTCGCACTGCTTACCCATTAAGGAATAGGGATTGCAGATCTGATCCGGCAAGATCAACGCACATGAAGGCCACAATATTCAAGCCTACTTTTTAGGTTATTTAGATAAACACTTGCAGTCATCTAGTCGCATATACCGTGAATTCTTGGGTGAGTGGTGTTTCACATGAATGAGATTCGTAGTCATGGGTGAGTTTAGGCGCCCACCTTTGCCGATTACGCTTCTTGCTCCGGCTCACCCTATCGCCTCCTCTTCACGAGCACCCAAGCTGACTGTCACTACATGCCTCTGCATAAGCACTAGTCTATGCTTAAGTACTATTGTTCCTAGAGTAAACACCTTATCTACATTAAGGTTGGTGGTATAAGACCCACTGTGCGTTTGCAGGGGTACTACATGACTAAGCTTCCTCAAGGTTCTCTGCGATAGATTCGCCAAGGTCCCCAGAGTCTACGGTCGGAAAAGTAAGTCACAAAGTCAATTTGGATTAGGTAAATGGTAACATGGCATTATTGACGGAAAACATTTCGCACTTCGCGGGATCCGCATGCGCCGGGCAGTGCCGTTTGGCGGTTCCGTCGAAGGTTCCATGGTTGTCGGTCCGTATCCCATACAGTTTTTAAAGCAACGGCCTCAGGGTCTTCCCGCCCTCGGAGTCCCCCTTCTTTTGCCGAGCTCGCCTCCAGCTCGTTGGAACTGCGCTTCGTAGCTGTTCCAGCCACCTTGAAAGGCGGATGACATGATACACATCAGATCTTGTGGCTTCGTTCACTCGAAACACCTACACGCGGGCTTCAAAAGGTTAACACCTTATGGTCGCTTAAAGTTCTCTCCAAAAGGATGACCGTGGGGGCGTTGTGTCCGCAGGTAAGCGAATGAAGGCGATGGAAGAAAGACCGCAGGTAACTAAGCCCCTGATTAGTCATGTCTCGTCTCGAGGACCACAAATGGTAAATAGAGCAAAAGCATCCAGATGTCAGAAAAACCCTTTGCAGAAAGTAATAGGTTGCTGACATGGACAACCCCACCCCGGTAGAACCCATGAATAGGCGCGCACTCCTGCCTGATGTGGACTGGTCCACGCCTTGCATCTGCAGCTGAGGTGCACTAACCCCATCGCAGACGAGACAGAGTCGAGGCTGTATAAAGCGCACGTGCTCTGTTGCCCAAAACGATAGGGCAAAATTTAGAGCTTCCGAACTGCATATTCCGTCGTTCCGACTCGTTTAAACTTACTTATTATGCCGGGTCATACAAAGGCGGGACTCGCCGACAAGCCAGGAAGAAAGAACCCATTCCGAAAACACGGGGCCGACAATTTCCGCGAGATGTGGCGGGTCAATGAGGCGACAATCCGGGTGGGTTTGACAGAGGACCCAGAACCCGCCGTGGGTTCCCAACCGTAAAGGTTTTTATTTCCAAGACCATGCTTCTTGGTATCTCAATTGGCAAAAATGCTTGTGTGAAATGCTTGGTATAGACGTTGAAAAGTAATCGGATGATCGCCACGCCGTCGAGCGCCGCCGGAAAATTCGGCTGCAGGGGCGTGCTGCATCGATATCGGCAAGTCACAATATCCCGCAATTCAGCCGTATCTTATTCTATTGGACGAATTCTGTTTGAGTCTAAATGCCTGGCGGATACCTCCATGCACTGTGGGTTCTAGGTCCCATGGCCCATTGTGGCCCCAATACGATGATAAGTGAGCAATTTCCTTTCTCGGCAGATGTCAAGCTGATAAGATCAATTGTCATATGGTTATTGGGGTGTACTCTGGGTTCCTGGACCCCAGAGACATGAAATGTTTTTTTCTCTTTTGAGTTCCAGGGTTTAGATGGATAGATCCATGGATGTCTGGAGCTATGGAGGGAAGAAATAGCATTGGTTTCAGGCCCAACGAATTTTTCGTGCTAAAGATAATTGGGAAATGCCTGTGGCCAAGCGATATCAGCATTGGACGCACGTGCAGACACAGCGGCGGAGCTGCAGCGGCGCTAGGCCCAAAGAGGCAAGGTCGGCACGGACGGTCGCGACTTCCCTCGTCATTCAGCGGGGATTGGTTCACTGCTACTCTTCTTTTACTGCTCTTATTCTCTCTTCTTCTCTGTTAAATCTCTTCCAACATCACACTTTCCTCTCTCTCAAGCTCCGGAGAAGTAAACGATTCTCACTCGGCTTGCCACTGGAATTCTACCTCATCCATCCCGTACGACCTCAACGTTCTCACCATCTCCTCCGAGTCATGTCTAGCCAACCTCTTCTCCAAACCGCCCCGGGTGAGTAACACTGTTTTTTCCACTGCTTCATCGACGGGACACCGACAGGTGAAATTGGTTTCGCTTGGAAATATCAGGCTCCAAGCTCCGTTGACATCCCTGAGGTGATGATTCGCCAGATAGCTCTTTGCAATCCGCAATGCAACGCAACGAACTAACAGTATGCAGGCAAGCGCATCGCCCTCCCAACCCGTGTTGAGCCCAAGGTCTTCTTCGCCAACGAGCGCACGTTTCTGTCATGGTTGAACTTCACCGTTATCTTGGGCGGTCTGGCCGTCGGTTTGCTGAACTTCGGTGATCGTATCGGTCGCATCTCCGCGGCCCTCTTCACTTTCATCGCAATGGCCGCCATGATCTACGCAGTCGTCACATTCCACTGGCGCGCTCAAAGTATTCGTCGCCGTGGACAAAGCGGTTTCGACGATCGCTTTGGTCCCACCATTTTGGCTATTGCCCTCTTGGCCGCCGTTGTGGTCAACTTCATCCTCCGCATGCAGGACAACGAATTGAACTGATTGGGTTCTTTTCAGCGCGATGAAACATTTGAAGATTTGATCTCGACCCGGTGCATATTATCATGTCATTTCAGATCCGCTACTTGCACTCACCATCATTTTTCTGTCTGAATACTATCGTGGCGTCCGTTTATAAGTCAGTCACGTGTCAATATCCCTGTTGAAGCGTTCTCGATCTCGGCACTTATGGGGGCGTTTTGGATTTGAATCTGGGTCACTTTTAACAAAATATTTGTCTCCGTCTTGGGCCGCGAGCAAAAGAGTTTGGCTCAATGTCAAATTGATACCTCCGGATTCCATTGGATGTCACTATCTACGAATTGGTAGAGTCACCTGCAATTTCATTTGAAGGGGTTAAATGAACCACGCTATCGGACATATGACATCTATCTGGGCGTCAGTAAAGAGCCCCAGAGCATAAAAGTGATTTGAATTTTTCTTTATCTAGTCGCATCTTTCATTCATTGGTAAAATTCGAAACTTGGTAACATACCTGCAGTGTTCAGGCCGGACAGAACAGTCCTCAGCACATTAAAGCAGCGGAAAGGCCATTCCATCGCCACGTGGGTCACTTCCTGCACTGTATACCAATTGGCCATCATCGTAGTGTAGACGAATAATCTGCCCACGACCAAACATCGCCCGTTCCCAACCCTTGAGTACCTCAATCTTGTGACCCAGGCGGCGCAGACCCTCAATGGTCTCCTCGCTGATTCCCTCCTCAACACACACCGTGCGGTCGCGATCCTCCGATGTCGGAGCCTTGACGCAAATACGCGGAGAATCAAGAGCTGCTTGAGGGTGGTAACCGAATGCAAGCATGTTAAGCAGGACCTGTACATGGCCTTGCGGCTGCATGAAGCCACCCATCACACCATAAACGGAGTGCAGCGATCCGTCCTCCACATTGGTAATCAAGGCAGGAATAATGGTATGGTAGGGTCGCTTGTTCGGGGCCAGAACATTCGGATGTCCAGCTTCCAAGGAGAAATTGGCGCCACGGTTTTGCAGAGTGAAACCACAACCAGCGGGAATGATAGATGTGCCGAACCCAGCATAGTTACTGTTGATAAACGAGATACCGTTGCCTTCGCGATCTGTCACTGCAAAGTATACTGTGTCGCAATGATTGTGGGCTGGGCTTCCGTGGTCCAAGAGCTCAGCTACACGGTCTGGCGAGAAGAGATTCGCCCGTTCGGCTAGGTACTCGCGAGCGAGAAGGCCTTGCGATGGCACTTTCTCAACGTCGGGGTCTGTCACCCACCATCCTGCATCTGCGAAGGCAATTCTCAAACTCTCAATCACAGCGTGCAGGTATTCTGCGGAGTTATGTTGGTCCTGACTGAACTTCGGGATCTTGCCAACGCGCTCTAACTCTTCCATGATACCGAGAGCCATTAGCGCAACAATACCCTGGCCATTTGGTGGGTGTTCCCAGACTTCAACACCCTGGTTAGTGCCATCTGTCCCTGGTGACTGCTTAGAAGCAATATCCTGGCCAGTGAATTTGAGTGAGATGGCATCCACTTCCTGTGTCCCCTGCGCAGCATGTTGTGCCAAATCTTCAAGATCTAGATAACTTCCCAAACTTTGGGCAACCTTTACGATTTCCTCGGCAATTCTACCTTGGTAAAAGCCCTTCTTGCCCTCGGCTGCCAATGTACGGAACGTTCTCGCCAATGTGGGGTTCTTCATGATCTCGCCAGGAAGGGGGGCACGCACTCCATCCTTAGCAGCTGGATCCTTCTTCAACATTTCACGGAAGTTGGGCGATGCTGCACGAATATCCTTCTCGGCTTCTTGCCACTAGTCGTACGGGTGAGCTCACAGATAACAAAAGCAAGGCAGGGATCAATCACTTACACCGTGAGACGAAAGCTCCGAAACGACAAAGCCATCTTCACCCATCTCAATAGCAGGTCGTAGAATCTGTTCCATTGACAGTTTCCCACTTCCAAACTTCTCAATCGTATCCACCCAGCCTGCCGCGGCACCTGGAACTGTCGCTGCGAGAGCATTCAGGAAGGGAATGCTGCCTGGTGCATCGGGAGCCAAGTTCAAATCCTTGCGCACTTTCTCCAATGTGGCCTTGGCGGGGTATCGACCTGATCCATTCAGGGCATGGACCTTTTTAGTTTCGGCCTTATAAAAGAGACAGAACATGTCGCCGCCAATCCCAGTCGAGCCCGGCTCGGACATATTGATTGCGGCAGCTATACCATCCATACGATTAGACATGGACTCTTATCGTTTTAAAATGTCCTCAGACTCACCAACAGCAACGGCAGCATCCTGAACGAATGAGTCAGTCGCAATCTTCCAATTCAAATGGGTTTGAATTTCAACATACAGCTGCATTTCCTCCCTGGCTCAAAATGCGATGTCCTGCTGCAGCTGCCAACGGCTGCGTGCAGGACACTATGCCATGTTTGCTGTGCACAGTGCTCCTCCGACTAGCGAAGGGGACATAGCCCGCGTTACCTTTCGCATAGACTGCTTTCGAGTTGAGCGGCATGATGGTCTTGAAATTGGTGCCTCAATAAACCTTGGAGTGTTCTATGGTGTATCAGTGACGGGTGGAGGAGCTTCCTTTATTGTGTTACACCTGACACAACCTCCCTGGTATGGTTGCAATACGAGTCTCTGGCTACCTGCTTAATCGGGGAAAGGGGAGGGGCCGCAGTACCCCGCTGTTCCTTGGAGAAGTTGGAGTCTATCTTATCGCACGGAGAAACGGCGAGCTCCGCGGGTGATTAGCCGAGGTTCCCGTGTTTACTATTCTGCTCTGGGCCCTTTAATTTAATGTTAAGATGGAATAGGTGACATTATTCCTCAGCTCAGTTTTCTCATTTATGTATGTTCCGCTGGGTAGGTATTGGTAAAGTGGTTGGTTCCTACACCTATATATATTTATGTATGGTTCAATCAACACTAGGTATGATCGTGGACTTAAGGACTTATAGGTACCTGAGCAGGATGGTGATTTAAGTCTACTTCGGAGCCCATGAATGTTCCAGAGACACCAACTTTATTGAAAAGCCAGGCCCTGGCATTTGCGCAGATAGAAGAAAGTCGAAGGCCTGAGGCTACAAAAGTACCTAGTACAGAGGATGATATCTCCACGTGACCCTTATCGATAGAGCTTGGGTTTTTGGTTCTGGATTGCAGATAAGCTTGTCCTGCATCTTTTTCATCCAACTTTCATTTCTCCTCAACCTTGAATTGAAATATATATATATTGGTCGCAGCCCACAAATGATGCTGCAGAATTGATCTGGTTGCGCATACCTTGCTTGTATCAGTTAAATACCATTTGAAATCAACACCTACAATATGATGCCGCACCCACGAGCCTGCCTACTCCTTTCGAAGCAGCCGCTTCGAATTGGACGACTTACCTACTCCCAAACTCTTCTCCCTCGAACACCCCGGGCAGTCATTCCCAAGCGGAGGCTATATACCACTGAGAACCACACCCCCCAATTTGCCGAGACTCAAGATGAAACACAAGATTTATCGCATTTGAACCCATCGCCAGAAGACTACTCTCGCTTCATATTCCAAGACAAATGCTCCGTCACAATGCATGCCGGCGCTGGCGGACACGGCTGCGTTGCCTTTCTACGAGAAAAGTATATTGAAGAGGGTCCCCCGAATGGAGGCGATGGTGGCAGCGGAGGAGGCATTTACATACAAGCCGTGGAGGGATTGACTAGTCTACACAAACTCGCTCGAAGGGGTGTCATCCGAGCTAGCCGAGGAAAAAACGGACAAGGCAAAAGCAAAGGCGGAAAACGGGGCGATGATGTCTTAATCCAGGTACCTGTTGGGACAGTGGTTCGTGAGATCGATCGCCACGATCCCGTCGCAGAGGAGATGGCTCTTAGGCGGAAAATTTATGAGGATCAACAGCTTGAGCAGCAAGAACGGCGTGCAGAGCGTACTGAGAAGCGGCTTGAGCAGCGCGCAAAGTCGGAGGATATGGAAGAAGGGGAGGAGCTTGAAGAGATGGAGGAGGAGGAAGATGAAATCACGCCTATTCGTTTTGATCGCTGGGTACTCTATCCTGGCGCCAACCCGGCCGATTTCTTGACGGTAGACTTTCCGCGATTAAAACCGCGGCGACAGGGTATTGCCGCAATGGAGCCCCAGGCCCCGATTTTCCTTGATCTTTCAGCGCCAATGGACAAGCCAATGTTGTTGGCAGCTGGTGGTGCCGGCGGTTTGGGCAACCCTCATTTCGTGGGTCGTGTTCGTGGACGGCCAAAATTTGCTTCTCGGGGTGAAGGTGGAATGAAACTAGAGCTTGACTTTGAACTCAAGTTGTTGGCAGATGTTGGTCTTGTCGGCAAACCCAACGCTGGAAAAAGCACTCTTCTACGATCATTGACAAACAGTCGCACCCGGATTGGCAACTGGGAGTTCACTACCTTGTCCCCGCACATCGGCACCGTTATAGTTGACGACCACAGAGGCAGACCGCTGGTAGAGAACCGAGGAAAGAAAAATCGTACTCACTTCACGATTGCGGATATCCCCGGTCTGGTTGAAGGTGCACACCTCGACCGGGGTCTTGGTCTTGGATTCCTTCGGCACATTGACCGGGCGGGCATCCTGGCCTTTGTGTTGGACCTGAGTAATGGAGACCCCGTACAAGAGCTGCAGAAACTATGGCACGAACTCGGCGAGTATGCAAGAATTCGCGACTCAGAGCCCGAAACCGTTCCCGAGGAGCCGCAGGGTGTGATCGACTGGGACACGTCTTCTGCCGCTTATCCAGAGTTCGAAGATGATACACCTCAAGAGACATTTCACAGGCCAGCCCGAGGTCTCCCTCATCTCCCCATGCCTCCTCTACACACCAAAGCTTGGTTTGTCGTAGCCACCAAGGCTGATCTCGAGCACACACAACCGCAGTACCGAGCGCTCCAAGAGTATTTAACTGCAGTTGAAAAAGGCGAGATTGAGCACCCATCTGGGCACCCTGATGGCTGGAAACAGAAGTTGCGAGCTGTTCCTGTCAGTGCTATTCGAGGCGAGGGTGTAACTCAGATCCCTAAACTGGTGATGGAGTTCCTGGACTAAAGACATTGGATAGCTGTTTAAATATTGTACAATACTTTAATATACGGAAAAGTTTAGACTCACCACTTAAAATATGATGGCTGGATCTTTCATTCTGCCACACCATTTCTAAAATATTGGACAGCTACCCTTGAGTGAACATGATGCAGCTATATCAACTGCCATACTCCCAAAGGTTGCATCATACTTTATCACGTGACTGCGCGGCGACACATCCGCGGGATCTTGTACTCTACCCACGCGTCAAGACAGGCTCCTCATGCCTCCGGAACGAAACAATGCGCCGGTGAAGCTGTCACTGCCTCTGGTAAGCCTTCAACTCTCCTTCCCCCCCCCTCCGCCGACTCTACTAATGCACTCCCAATCAGCAATACCAGCAGGACATCTTCACCGAACTACGCGCCGAGGATGAGCTGGTCGTGCTTGCTCGTGGCCTTGGGCTCCTGCAACTGATAACAAACTTCCTTCACTTTCACGATGCGGCCGGGAATAATTTGGTGTTGGTGGTCGGCGCGGATGAACGAGAAAATGAGTGGATCGGAGAGGGTACGATATTTACCCTGGGCTTACGCAGCGTGGTCACTTACACAGAGTACCAACAGCATTGTCGGAGCATAATGACCGCAGCAAGTCTCCACTGGCTAGAGGTTTGAGAGCGATCAATACCGATAAAGCGAGTGTATCCATGCGGTGGGTGTCAATGATATCCCTGATCAATTCTCATTGTGCTAATCGAATTCCCTATCAGAGAGCGAATCTACGCCCAAGGTGGTATTCTGAGTGTGACATCCAGGATTTTGGTCGTTGATTTGCTGTCAAAGCTGCTCGATGCTGAAAAGGTAACGGGCATGGTTATCCTGCATGCTGATAAGGTCGTTGCAACTTCTTTGGAAGCGTTCATCGTGCGCATCTACCGACAAACGAACAAGCGCGGCTTTTTGAAGGCCTTTTCCGAGTCTCCTGAGCCATTTACTACAGGCTTTGCGCCACTGGCTAATATGCTGCGCAATCTGTTTCTTCGAAAGGCATCTCTATGGCCCAGATTCCATGTCGCCGTGTCCGAGGCACTGGAAGGAGACCGCAAGGCCGAAGTAATTGAACTGGAAGTTCCAATGAGCTCGAAGATGCGAGAAATTCAGAACGCAGTGCTTGAATGTGTGGACCTCAGTGTTGCGGAGCTTCGCAAGGCCAACACCGGGCTAGACATGGAAGAGTGGACCGTGGACAGCGCCCTGCACAGAAACTTTGCAGCGTCAATTAGACGGCAAATGCAACCTATCTGGCATAGAGTGACTTGGCGCACTAAACAAATTGTTGGCGACCTAACAGATCTTCAATCTATCCTTCAGTTCGTGCCCTCTTGTATGTGTGTCTTTCTATGACTGATTTTTGATGATAACAGAGCTCTGCTTACTTACGACTCGGTGTCTTTTGTTAAATTTTTGGATACAATTGTGATGGGCAGTGCGCCACCTCCAGGATCCAATCCCCACAATCACTCGCCATGGCTTTTTCTTGATGCTGCACATGTTCTTTTCCAAACAGCGAAGTCAAGAGCCTACGAAGGGAAGCTTGATGCATCTTCTTCGGCCGCATTCTCAGCTGCCTTGCAACCCGTTCTTGAACCGCTTCCAAAATGGGATGTACTTGCAGAGGTACTGCAGGAGATTGAACATGATGCTTACTTGCATCCAACCAATGTGGATGAATCAAATAGCACCATACTAATCATGTGCAGTGAGGTCAAAACGTGTTTTCAGCTTCGTGAGTACATCGGCACTATGAGTACCAAAATTGGGACTGTAACAAAGCCCCAACATGGAGACGGAGAGGCGGACGAGCCAAGCGAGGAAAATTCTTCGGCAGATGTCATTATGAGACGCCGATTACGAAGCTATCTCAACTGGAAAAGATCGCTGTCGAACGTCAATAAAAATCTATCGCAGGACGAAAATCAGCCTAGGACACCAACAGGAGCGGCATCGGGCCAAAGACAACAAGGAAGACTCCCGCCAAACAAGCGTCGGCGAGTGCGAGGTGGAGGAGCAGTTAATTCTGCAGCTGCGCGCGTGCCGAACAGCAGTGTTCAAACTCAGGTTGAGCAACCTATCGAGGTCATTAATCTTCTCAATGAGATCCAGCCCACAGAGGTCGAGGAAACGCAAAAAATCGAAATTGACATCGACGAACTCGAGGACATGGAAGATTATTACGAGCTTTACGATATGAATGATCTTGTCATGATTCATTCATATGATGGTGACATGGATGAACACATTCTAGAAGAAGTTCGGCCGCGGTACATCATCATGTATGAGCCAGACTCTGCATTCATTCGCAGGGTTGAAGTTTACCGTAGCTCACACTCTGGCCGGAATGTGAAGGTATACTTCATGTATTATGGCGGATCGGTCGAGGAGCAGCGATACCTGAGTGCCGTGCGTCGGGAGAAAGACTCCTTCACCAAGTTAATCAGGGAAAAAGGGGTAAGTAACAAAGTTCTTATTATGGTGGAAAGATCTCTAATCCATTTTCTAGAATATGGCTGTCACTTTGACTCATGACAAGAGTGCCGAAAACCCGCAAGAGCAGTTCCTCCGCACAGTCAATACTCGTATCGCTGGAGGTGGACGGCTTGCAGCAACGGCAGCTCCGCCACTGGTGGTGGTCGATGTGCGGGAGTTTCGAAGTGCGCTTCCGTCTCTTTTACATGGAAACAACATGATCGTGGTCCCCGTTCAACTCACAGTGGGCGATTATATTCTCACTCCCGAAATTTGCGTCGAGCGAAAGTCCGTTCAGGATCTCATGCAATCTCTAAGAAATGGACGCTTGTACAACCAAGCTGAAACCATGCTTCAACACTACAAAAACCCTCTGCTCCTAATCGAGTTCGACCAGGACAAAGCTTTTACCTTTGACGCGTTCACAACTGGCAACATCAGGACTGAGTCGGGATTCTCCACAACCGGGGCGCCCACCAGCTCTAGTTCGAGCTCAATGACCAACTCATCAAACGCCAAAAGTGCCCAGCACTTACTCGTCCTTCTCACGCTCGCATTCCCACGACTCAAAATTATCTGGTCATCTTCGCCCTACCAGACCGCTGAGATCTTTGCGGAACTAAAAAAGAATAGCCCTGAGCCCGACCCGGTTCGGGCCGTCCAAATTGGGTTGGACATCGATATCTCTGGAGCTGAGTCTGGCGATGTCATGGCTGCGACTGGGATTGAGCATCGTACCTTCAATCTCCTGCCACAAGATATGCTAAGGGCCGTACCTGGTGTGACACCGCAAGCACTTGACCGTCTTACTTTAGAGACGGACAATATCAGTGAGATAGCTAATATGGATGAGGAGCAACTGGATCCGCTGGTTGGGAAAGAAGCTGCTCGTAAGATTGTATCGTTCTTCCGGAAGAACCTTTTTGATGACTGAACAAGTGACCTGTTTAAGCAAGTACAAAAATCTGTTACGAAGGGCTTAATCGAGATCTAGGACTAATTATGCTAGACTGCTAGTCAGAAGTCATTCCTTCAGCATAGTATAGACCGTTTTCCATTTCACTTATCCTTCCTTCATAGGCAGTTAAATTATATGCCTCGACCGCTGAATTTCGCCATGAAATAACCTAGTTGGTTTGAATACCTCATAATTAACGGTCTTCATTAACTACTAAGTTACAAGGTTTGTAAACTACGATCTGGAATGACCATCCAGTGAATTGGAATATGCGAATGGGAAGCCCATATACTGCCATTATCCTTTTCTCCTTCCCTTCTCCATCTCTCTTCATCTTCTCCCACCTTACTCCATCGTCTATTATATTTACATATACTTTATTTCTCTACCTATTTACATCTGTATTGATCTCTCAGGCCCACTCATTATCCTCCAGCTCTGTCTAACTCCTCTAAATCATTATGTCTATTACATCTGAGATCTAAAGAGTACACCAAGTTTTATAGCTTCCAGGTCACGTGCACCGCGCTTGGCCAGATCTGGTCTTTCTCGCTTTCGCTCCAACCTGCAAACTTTCCGAGTCAAGCTATCATCACCTCTCGCCAGGACTTCAAAAATGGCGCTTCCTCCAGAACAGATCAATATCAAGCGGCGACGGGAGGAAGAACCCGTGGAAACACTATGTAGGTTTTTGCCCCCTGTCCTCTTTTTTTCCTTGTGCCTTTTCTACCCCACAATTCTACGTTCAAGAGCAACACCAATATCCAACGAGCTTTGCAATTGCAATTTTTTTTCAGCTGGGCTTTGACTACATTGACAATTCTTGGTTGGCAACTTGAATTTGAGTTGAATTCGACCAGATGTCCCTTTTTCTTTTTTTTACAGGACTTTCCTCGCTATATCAATGTTTAGTTATTCATAACAAAAAACCCCACTAACACAACATAGACATTCAATCCGACTTGCACCATGCCAAGCGCCGCTTCACTGACTATGTCTTTCATCGAGTCACGCTTAACAGCAGCGGAGCTCCTGTTGAGTCCGGCGCCTCGACGCCCCCTCACCCAGCTGCACAGAGATTGCTACGTAGTCCCCGGTCAGTGAGCAGTCTGCAGATTCCTCCTCATCGCACTGCAGCTGCACGGACCAATTCTTCGAATGGAATTCCCACGGTGCGAGCTACATCGCCAGGTGCAGAGATTCGCGAAGCCCAGCGTGCTGCGGCTGCTCGGAAAGAGGCTGAAGAAAAGCGCAAACGCGCAATCCATGGTCCTCCTACCCCGCAATCTGTCTCCCCAGTACCGCTAGGTAGTGTGCTCGCATCTGAAAGGGGATCTATCGGACAAGAACCTGTTTCCGTCTCTGTGCCACCTTCTCCGCGCCATGCCCACTCCGTGCGCCGCTTCCAGATCTCCAGACCCAGTGCCTCAACTCCAGGCTCCCGCCCAGGCTCACGCGCAGGTATTCAGAAACGCCGAGCTGATGGTGCTTTACCTGGAATAGCTGTTTTAGTGGAGCAACTTCAGCGCAAGCCGCATTCGCGCCAAGCCTCTATGATCGCAGACCTGGTGCATCAAGCATCGGAAAGCCAAGAAAGTATAAAGATCAAGACTCCCGCCGAGGAGATAGCACCGCAAGCGAAACCCAGAAAGCGGCCTGTCGTGAATCAGGCTGAGAAGAAATGGCGAGAGGAGCGGCAAGCCGCCATCTCTGCTGCGAAAGATCATCTCTCAGAAACACTGGAGAAATCTGCAAGGGCGAAGCAGAGCACTTGGGATGAAGAGTCGGAACGCTTAGCCAAGGAATTTGAGCAGGTTGCACTGGATATTGAACGCGACATGGATGTGGAACCCCGGAACTTCAATGATAACTTTGCCCCACCATCACCCCAGCCGCGGGTACCGTTCAAACCACCGCAACCCTTGAAACACCAGCCGCGACCTCCAAAACAATCTAGGATTGTGCCATCCCAGGCTTCACTCGCTGGTGATGAGATGAAAACCGACGTGGTCCCGATCGTTAGTGACGATGACGATGACTACGTATATGATGTCTACATTCGACGCCCACTAGAGGAAAGTGACAGGCTCGCGAACCCACTTACTGAAATTGAGTCTGAGCAGCAGCTCAAGGCATTGAACTCGGGTGTTGGTGTCATAGTAATCACCGAGGAGGATGAGCAGTACTGGGAGAATTTCATTGAAGATGACGAGGAAGAATGGGACAGTGAAGATGCAGACTCAAATGGTAGGCTTATATCTCTTCGATGCTTTCAAAACACATCACTGATCATGTCTTTCTCCCGAACAGCTGAAAATAACCCTGCAAATGAGTACCCCGAAGAAGAGCTATCCTCGTCCGATGAGGAAGATGACCCTACAGCCATCTATAGAAAATATCGGAATCGCGCCGCCTCAGATGACGAAGAGTTTGGTTTTGATTATTCTGGGAGCGAGGGTGGTAGGTTCGGCCAGTGGCGTTCCGGTGGACAAATGTATTCGGATGATGAGAGTGATTAGGGTCGGATGGACGCCCAGATGTACATTGGCATTGATGAAGTTTCACAAAATATCTGATATGCTTCAAGCATTAGCATTCGCGGTCTTGGAACAATTATATTTGTTCTTAGAACGACCGCCAGCGACATTTGAAAAGTATACGTCCTCTTAGCAAAATGTGTTAATAAAAGATCAACATGTCCACCTGGTGAAAGTAAGATAAGTCCTTTATGTAGGGCGACTGGAAGTAGATATAGGTAGTTAGAAAATCTAATTTCTACCTCATTCTTATGATCTGTTTGTTCTCCGGGGTTGATGTATAGAAGAGCTATCACGTGATGCATGACGTCCGTCCACTTTTCACGCGCCCTCACGGCCTGGACGACGAGCTTTGATTTCCCTTCAATTCACCCCTCCTCCTCCGGGCCGTTTTTCGGTCGCGCACTATCCCTGCATCATGTCGACTCAGTATGCCACGGAGCCCACTCCGACCGCCTCGGCCACGCTGAATACGACCGTTGGCCCGATTCACATCGCTCTTTTCGCAAACCAGGTCCCTCTCACTTGCAAGAACTTCCTACAACACTGCAAGGATAACTACTACACTGGAACCATTTTTCACCGTGTCTCTCCAGGCTTCATCATCCAAGGTGGTGACCCAACAGGCACTGGGTCGGGTGGTACCTCCATTTACGAATATCCGGAATTCGAATTCGACCCCGAAGCGCGCGATCCGAACGAGCGAGTAGTTCTCCGAGATGAGCTGCATAGTCGTTTGCGCTTTAACCGGCGTGGATTGGTTGGCATGGCCAAGAGCGAGGATGGGACGTACGGTAGTCAATTCTTCATCACGCTTGACAACACCGAGCGGGAGCTGAATGGGCAATGTACTATGTTTGGGCGATTGGAGGGAGACAGTATTTTCAATGTGTTGAAGATCGCCGAGGCAGAGCGTGTCGAAGGCACCGAAAAGCCTGTATATCCAGTGAAGGTGACATCATGCGAGGTGGGAGAATTGGGCCCGATGGAAGGCAAGCTGAAGGATCGGAAAACTATTTCGACATCAACAGGTGATAAGCCGGCAGCTAAGAAGAAGAAGAAGAACCCCAAGGCTGCAAAGGTCTTGCTGAGTTTTGGAGAGGACGAAGGCGAGGAAGAGATTCCTATGCGACCAGCAAAACCGAAGTTCAACCCAACATTAGTCGCCGATGCGCCTGGTGCGAGTAGCGATGCACAATCTGCCCCGAAGCCACAAACAGAGTCTAAGCAGCCACGAAAGCGAGTACGCTCTCCATCCCCGAAAAGATCGCCATCAACAGAGCGCAAACAACGCCCGAAGACACCTGAACCGCAGGCCCAACTCCCCATAAAAGACCCTGAATCACCCGAGCGATCACCCACGCCTGTGAAGGAAACCAAACTCTCACGGACAAATGCCGAGATTGAATCCCTGAAGGCATCTATGCGTCGCAATGTTGACATTGGTCCCGCCGACAAGGGCCACAAGAAGTCAGCTCTTGAATCAATGATTCCCGACACAGCGATTCGAGGTCGCAGACGCCCGCCACCAGGCTCTACAAACGGCGTCGCAACCACTGCAGGACCCAGAAGCTCAGCAGAGAACGAAGCTCTCAGAATGTTCAATGCTTTCAAAGCTAAGCTCAAAGGTGCAGACACACAAACTTCAGCTCAAACATCAAATAAGGATTCACAAACCAAAGACACAAAAAGCCAAGATCAAGATGATGACGAAGAGGAGCAACTCTGCGACCTGCACTTCATTGTTAATTGTCAGTCATGCAAATCTTGGGATGATCCGGAAACTACCACAGCGGACAATGCGGAGGAAGAGGAAGGCTGGATGTCCCACCAACTCCGCTTTGGCAAAGATACCCTAGGCAAAGATTTGAATTGGAAGAAAGACCATCAAGCCGATGTGGACTCGCTCATGGTGATCGATCCTCGTGAGAAAGAGAAGGATATTACGGCCAGTGGCAGTGGCAGTGGCCGCAAGAGAGGCCTACAGCGAGACCGAGAACGGGAGCGCAAACGGGAGCGAGCGGCAGAGCTTGAATGGGGCCGAGAGAGGAGGCAGTAATAGGTTTCTCAAGTCATGATGTATAGACACTTGGTACTTTGGCGTTACAGATAACCCAGTATTTCTCTAGCCTTCTTCAAATGATGAAATCGAAAATGTTCCATTACACAAGCAACTGCCTTGGAGACGATGAGTATCCCTTCATAATGGAAGTAGCCAGAACGTCTACATAGTATTTAGCTCTATTGAATTTGGCGATAGTTCCATTTTTAAAGTTTCAAGCTCCTCTTTCGGCCTTTAGCTATGGCTCGAGCATATGGATGTGAGCGAGACGCTGGAACCAAATGATCGACATCTGCGGTGTGGACGTAGTCCGGAGATGCCTGATTCAATGAGGTGATTCCAATGTTGCGCATGGCAGTCTCTAATTCATCTTGCATGACTATTTTTCGGTTAGCTTGAGAATGCATGTGAGACATAGGACTGGGATGCGTAAAGGAACTTACTATCAATGAGATGCTCAACGCCTTCCTGTCCGTAGTTCATCGCGAATAGCATACTCCGACCCATTCCCACCGCAGTTGCGCCCAAGCACATAGCTTTTAGGATGTCGGTTCCTCGACGGATACCACTGTCCACATACACTTCCATGGCATCGAAGACCTCTGGGCATCTTTTCTGCATCTCTAATAGAGTGATGATGGAAGGCGGGCTTGTGTCAAGATTACGACCGCCGTGGTTACTGAGAAGAATTCCGTCCAGCCCAGCCTTCATAGCCATGAGAGCGTCATCAGCGGACATCACTCCTTTAAGACAAATCGGTTTATGAGTGTGCTGTCGGACCCATTTCAGATCCTCCCACGTAAGACCGGGATCAATATATCCAGCCATCACACGACCCAAACCACCGCCTTTCTTGTCATTCTGCGCTTTAGAGGGCGACATTGGGACGGAAATGCCTTCGTCTGCTTTGACTCGTTCATCCGCTTCCCGTTTACCCGGCCACGCAGCATCAACGGTCACGAAGATCGCCTTGATATTGGGGTTGGCAGAGCATTGGCGCAGAAGCTCGGCAGACTTTTCCCGATCCCGATTGACATATAGCTGGAAAATGAAACTTGCGCCTGGGGCAGTGTTTCGCAGTTCATCCATAGTGAATGAAGAGTTATTCGAGATCTATGATTGTTAGCCGGGTAAGGCTATGTCAAGAGACATTGAACTCACGCCTTGAATGATGCCCTTCTTCTCGCACGCCCGGGCAATCGCACATTCTCCCTCTGGATGGATGAGCTTAGCCATCGCGGCTGGACTGACAAAAAGTGGAAGCTTATAGTCGCCACCTAGGATCTTTGTTCGGGTATCCACAGACCGCACATTCCGAAGTACTCGGGGCCGAAACCATATCCGGCCAAAGCAGGATTTATTCGCGTCTCGGGTAATCAGATCTGTTGATGCGCTGGAGTAGAATGCCCATGTCTTCTTGTTTGCAGTCTTGGAAGCGACTACCTCGAAATCATGGGAATTGATCAGGGTTTCTAATGGAGGCTTTTCGTTGTCCAGAAGAACCTTGGGATTTTCGCCAGGTGGTGGTTTAATCCAATCTTCATCAATTGTAGACTCATCAAGGACTCCCTTGAAACTCTCTGGTTCCAGGCCTGTCTTCAATACACTTGGCGAATGTACTTGCGAATAGGCTTTTGTAGCATCACGGCCTGCATACTTCAAAATAACTGGAATTCGTCAATCGTAGTTTGTTGACGGTAAGTTTAGAATCACATACTGTTAGAACCTCCAGGGTGTTCGTCAAGGAAATCCGTTACATCCCAGACTTGATTGTCAACCACAATCCAGCAATCCTCGGGTGATTGATGCCCCGAGACCTCCTTGACGGATAGTGATTTTTGGTTTGCCATTATCCCGAAGCGCGAAGGGTGAGATTCTCAGAACTAGCGACCAGGTTGATTCTCCAAGGGGAAACTTTACAGAATGACCAAGGAGATTACAGAATGACCAAGGAGAGGAAGAAGCTGGCCAGCCAGAGAAGGTTTAATACTCAGCGAGGTCAGACAAAAGGCGGAGGAGCGCGCTTATCACGGTCATTCTCCGGGCCAGTGAGCGAGTACTCTCCACCCCGGTAATATGCCCGGACTTACCCCGGACTTGCAACACTGCCATTTAAGGAAGGTCCATGGCGCTTGAGAGGTTTAATGTTATAATCTAACTTTGATTTTCAAGTCATGGCAGAAACATTCAATGCCCTAAGAGCAACGAGCATGAAGATTTATCATGTTCAAGCCTCGAATTTCAAGCTGAGCTCTTTTACATAAAACCTCTCATTTTGAAGTGCTTCCCAATTGCTGTCCCTTTCACTACTAATTGAAGTGGACTTGGACCCCGAAGAGATCGCGGTGAGCTACCGACTTTCGCGCGGACTTCTCTCCGTGTGAACATGTTGGCGTCCCACCTGCTTATGTTATCGTCCCACCTGCTTATGTTATCATGCACCGCCACGGCTCAGCCATATGTGTGGCTGGTGATCTCCATGACACAAACCGTGTCAATATTCTCAGCGAAGGCTCACTCTCACCGCAGGAGAGCATTGACGGGCTGAAACCAAAAGACATTAGACGGGACGCCTTTTGAATGCATATCAGGTTCCTTGGAAGCACTCCACTAAACGCCTTTCGACATATCGGATCCTCGATTGGGAGCGGAACAGCAAGCAGAAACATCGTATTCCCAAACCCTGCTCTGACTCATTCTCAGAATAGACTAAGTATGTTGTAATCCTGAACTGAGTCATCCGCGCTACCCACTTGTGGCCTTTTTTTTGGACTATGGACCCTCTTTTTGGTTTCACTAACGGGTTTAACAGGATCTTTTCAAGGGAACCAATCCCTTTTTAGCGGACACCTTATAGGCATAAGATACTATTCTTCGGATTTTTCAACATCTGCAAGAAGTCATATTTCAAGCAATATGGCGAACGAAACTAAGCCTCCTCGTTATGTCGATGTAAGATTTCTCGATTACCTGAAAGAGACCCACAGGACCTTGAAAGCTAACGTCCTTTTTTTCAGATCGGCATCAACCTGAGTGACCCTATGTTCAGTGGTACTTATCACGGGAAGCAAGCTCACGAATGTGACTTGGACGATGTAATCCAACGTGCTCGGGACGTGGGCTGTGAGAAGTTCATGGTCACAGGTTCAGACCTCGTTGAGTCCGAAGAAGCCGTGAAGATTGCCCGTAACTACCGTAAGCTTGCTCCCACTCTAAATTCGTGGCTAATCAAACTAATAATCCAAATTTCAGCCGGATTTTGCTACGCCACAGTCGGTGTGCACCCTTGTCAAGCCAAGATGTTCGACGAGCACCCTGAAGGACCCGCAAAGATGCTCGAGGAGCTCCGCAAGCTAGCAATTGAATCCAAAGAATCCGGATTCGCTGTTGCTTTTGGTGAAATCGGTCTTGATTACGACAGACTGTTCCACAGTGCCAAGGAGCCTCAACTGAAATACTTCGAGGCTCAACTAGACCTTGCGGTCGAGATTGGCATGCCTCTTTTCCTCCATTCTCGTGCTGCAAGTGAGGACTTTGAGAAATTGATTGGCGAGAAACTTCCCCACTTGCCAAAGGGTGGTCTTGTGCATAGTTTCACAGGAACGATGGAAGAAATGCAGAGACTGGTTGATTTGGGTCTTGATATTGGTATTAATGGGTGCAGTATGAAGACTGAGGAGAACCTTGAGGTTGTGAAGGCTGTTCCATTAGAACGACTTCAGATTGAGACAGATGGACCCTGGGTGAGTGTATCTTCTCAATATTTGTCTTCAGTAACTAACGGGTTGTAGTGTGAGATTCGTCCTTCGCACGCTTCGGCAAAATTCCTGACTGGTGCCCCGGAGTTACCGAAGGCTGTTAAGAAGGAGAAATGGCAGAAGGGGTGTATGGTGAAGGGTCGTAATGAGCCTGTTGCCATCGCTCGTGTCGCTCATGTTATTGCCGAGGTCAAGGGAATTTCCGTTGAGGAAGTTTGTGAAGCGTAAGTTTGAAAAGTCTTTTGGCTGAAACATGTGCTAACATTCTATGCTAGTGCCTGGAATAATTCAATCAGAATGTTCGGTCTGGGAGAGACTGTGTAAAGGCCTGAGCAAGTTGAGCATACCGATATCATTTCCAACATCTCATTATAGACCGGTGGCAGCTGCCCCACTAGAAACACAATACAGAAACTGGAGTTTAGGCGCATAATACTACTTCATGTTTTTCCAAATGCATTGCTCGTCGCGATAGGTCTCCGTCAATTTGCCACGGGTATGGATCCAACGAAAGTGGAACCTCCTCTTCTGATCAGACATGCCACAACAAAGGATAGATACAATGGGTTTCTTCCAACGCTGATTCGTGAGTCATTATCAATATAAAGACCCGCCAATGAGACACCTCGGGTCCAGTCTTTGTTACCGGATTCGCTGCTCAAGGGCTTGATTTAGTAAGACATTGGTCTATGCATTTTAGGTTCGTCAGAGCCGAACATGGATCTTGGAGTGCAGCGCAGCCGCCACAAATGGTCTTTTCTTCCATCGGTTCATTTCTTTTTTTCTTTCGTAACGACACGAGAAGAATTGGCTTCAACCCTCCTAAGTTACAGTGAAGCTCTTAAAGATTCTTCAGTACAGTAGTCGGAAAACAAGAACGTGCTCCAGGAATTAAACAACATTTATCCGGTGATACCAAGATGCTGATGAGGAAACTGATCAATCATGGAAAAGCCATAGCAAATACTCATCGAAAAATCTACAGATGTTATTCTCATCGGTGCAATCTAGTCATCGAAGAATCTGATAAGCTAATCCTCAGTTTCAATTGTATTGACTACTTGTCATGGAACGCATGGGAGACTTTGGAGATGCTTAGCTATCTAGTCAGTCGACTGGTGCCGAGTTGGAACCGCAATGATGATCTTGTGGCATCTGGTGTGCACGACACGGCCTACTCGATAATGTATCACTAGAGTATACTGCCAACCCCACTGGATGAAAGAATAAATGAAAGTCCTCGTTGAAGTCGTGCAAAAATGCGGATGGTCTTTGCTTATTATGTCCAGGATCGTGGCTGCTATCAGCGCCCTGGATATAGAAAAAGACGTCTTTGAAGCGTTAATATGTCAAGGAATAACATTGGTTGGTTTGAGATCACCGTAATGCATTGACCCGAGGCCTGTTATAATGAATTTTTTCTTTTCGAATATTATAAGTTTGTACTCATAGATGAGTGATATCGTGATAGTCTGATCCAATCAAGCCTTTCACGAGTTCTTAAAATTTGTAAACGTCAAATTAGGTGAGCGTTTTTTTTATCATTTTAGGTTAAAATATCTAAAATTGGCCTAAAGATAAGTAGTGAAAAAGCTAGGGGCAGCAACTGCTCAATTATCAGTAGTGAGTGGGGACCCCCTGCATGTGCCTTAGTATTGGAACTGGGTAAACAATAAACTGAAGATTTAGTAGACCTCAGATTTGATTATGTCTCCACTTTCATACCTGACGTGATTCCTTTACATGGTAACACATGAAACTGGAATTAATTCGGCATCCCCAAACCGAAATGGTTTATCTTCGGCTCTGCAGCGTATCACCGAATGCTGATTGAGGGCCTAGATGATCACCTTGGGGTACCGCGGGGTAATTTGTGATGCAATGGCACAGTCCACCTCTGTCAAGCAGGGTTGTGGGGAAGACGGCTCTTCAATAGACGATCCGCATTCCATGACACTAACCGAAATGAGATATATCTCTCCGGTTCTTTGCAGCAGGAACGAGGGGATGGAGTGGGGCCCGGCATTGCATATTACTGGACCCACGATCTGCAGATACTGTATGATTGTGAACCCGGAAGCAACAATTTAGAAATGACAACCAAAGTATTTGGGAGTTAAAAGAGAGAGTCAACCAGGGGTCATGGCGCCGGGGGGTTCCTACTGGATGGGGGCGGCTAACACGGAGTCTAATGGGCAGTTAAAGTGGCGTTGTGATTGTGGATGATGGGGACCTCACAAACCACACTCAAAATTGTGGCCACCCACACCACATGAATACCCTTTGTTTCTGGCGCCAGTGGATCCCTCCTACACCCGAAAGGGCCGAGGCTTCATCCCACCAAAGTGATGACAACGTGATGACTGGGAAATCCGGGGAACCAGTGGGCGGGCCTAGCTGATCCTTGCCCGCGATCGGGATGTGATCGTCCGCGGCGAAACATGACTGTCGCATGGACCTCAACCATTTTTATCTGTTCGTTTTAGGGCCGAGGCTGACGCTAAAATAAGGAGGGGTTTCATGTGGATTGGGGTCGATCAGAGGGGTGGCGATTGCTCATATATCATCCAAGACGGCCCCCTTGAGAATGCTTCATTCGCCAAATCTCATTCACACCCGATCATCATAACCCAATTGACTTCTTAACACACCGTGCACACGCACACAACCTACACATAATGGCCACGGAAGGACCCCGCCCTGGCTTCTTGGGGAACATCAACGAAGACCAGGAGGTCAAGCTCCAGAAGATATGGGCCATTCTACTCAGAGCAGCTGAGCTGCCCTCTGACGAGGACGCCAGCATATGTGTCGAGGAACATCCGGCTAGTCCGACCCCATCCGCACCTCCGCGACGAATGTCGCTCCTGAGCCGCACCCCAACCGCGCAAAGCAATGCCTCCGACAAGACAGTCCCCGTCCTCACAAGACCCTACCAGCAGAAGTTCATGGCCTATCTCAAGGAATTTGGTATCGGTCCCAACGAGACCAAGATGGTCCAAAAGTCCCTGTCGGAGATTAGCCCCGCCGAACTGCGGAAGGGCATCCTGGAGCTTCTGAAGCACGACCACCCGGATGCCTTGATGCTTCGATTCCTTCGCGCGCGCAAGTGGGACGTTTGCAAGGCATTCGCGATGATGATGGAAGCCGTTGTCTGGAGAGTTAAAGAGATGCACGTGGATGACGACGTGATGGCAAAGGGTGAGCTCTATGCATTGAAGCAGGAGAAGGGCTCCGATGCCGGCAAGAAGAAGGAAGGAAAGGATCTGCTGGATCAGATGCGTATGGGCAAGAGTTATGTGCATGGCACTGACAAACTGGGCCGACCAATTGTCGTTATTCAAGTTCGCCTCCACAAGCCAGGTGCTCAGAGTGAGGAGACTCTCGAGCGGTATATTGTCCATGTCATTGAGTCTGTCCGACTTACTATGCATGGTGGAGTCGAGAATGCTGTAGGTGAAATACACATGAGAAAAGAATGGACAATTGCTAACGTGATTGAAGTGTGTTCTGTTCGACATGACAGGCTTTGGTCTTTCCAACATGGAATACCCACCAGTGAAGTTTATTTTGAAGTGTTTTGAGGCCAACTACCCAGAGTCACTGGGAATTATGCTGATTCACAATGCCCCCTGGATTTTCTCTGGTTAGTTCAATTTTATCATCTCGGATCAGACAAGAATCTAACTATTGTGCCAGGTATTTGGAAGCTTATCCGAGGCTGGATGGACCCTGATATTGCTGCCAAGGTGCAGTTCACTAGCTCCGCTGACGACCTGACCAAATTCATAGACCGCAGCAAGCTGCCCAAGGGTGTTGGTGGTGACGAGAACTGGGAGTACAAATACATTGAGCCCAAGGAGGGTGAGAATGCCCGGATGGAAGACACCACCACCCGTGATGCTCTTCTGCGGGAGCGACAGCAGATCGGCGAGGAGTTCCTCACTGCCACCGCGGAATGGAACGAGGCCGCCAAGGCCAAGGATAAGACCAAGGTCCAGACTGCGGCCAGCCAAAGATCTTTCCTGGCAGAGCGGTTGCGGGTCAACCACTGGAAGACGGACCCCTACATTCGGGCTCGTCTTTACCTGGACCGAGCAGGCGTTATCCAGGAAGGGGGCAAGGTGGATTTCTATCCCACGGAGGCGACAACAAATGGAACGAGTAAGGCGTCGACAGTCGATCATTTGGAGAAAGTGAATGGTAACGGTATTCAAAATACAGTTTCTGCATAAACTAACAGCACTGGATTTGCTGGATGTTTCTTTCCTTTTCTTTCCGTGTTATTTACTTCCTTTTCGATACCTTAGACGGTTGTTATGAGAATATCCATGAAGATTGAATTTGATAAATTGCCCTTATTCTCTCTGAATAGAGTTTTAAAAACTGGACATTCCAGCGACATGTAAATCCAGCCTAGATTACTATATCTCGACATTCAATGACCGGCTAAAGTTGAAAACTTTGTTATCTATCATTTCACCGCCTTTGGCCAGTTGACGACTTTGCGCAATGGGATTACTTCCGCACCTCTACATCTTTGGCCGTCAGGCCTCGTCACTCAGCACTCTCTTTCCCCAAGAGCTTTCGACCAAAGGCCAAGAATCCCGTTGATCAGCATTTATTATTTACCACACCTCGATAAAAAAATAATTAGAGCTTGCCGTTGTTTTTAACGGCGGGCCATGGCCATTACTCGTGTTTGCTGCAGTCCGACGCGGCAACTACAGGCGCAGCTCACAGCAGGACGCTATGAACCCAGCTGATAGAAGATCGAATTCTCCCTACCCGCAAAGTGTTCCATCATTACAATCACCCGCGATAGATCCTCCCGCCACTCCACCTTCACAATCAGATTATGGTGACTTTCCCAGCTTCACCTCAGCCGATGGGGAACCTCAAGCCGAGCCCGCAGATCCGCCAGACGAGGGTCTACCTACTACTCCCGATACGCCGAAAGCTGGTAATATACTCGCCGATAATGATGGCTACCCACCCGAGCTTGACCGGAAAGGTGAAGAGATGCCTCCCCCGCGAAAGCCACCCGTCCGACCGAACGCGCAAATGACCTCCGAAGAATACAATGCACAACTTCTCTCCGATCCCCGAATGGCAAAGTCCAGTGTTGTGAATCCAGAGTTTTTACAACAATACTATCGAGAGTCTCGGCTTCACCATCTGTCGACCTGGAAAGCAGAATTGAAGGCACAGCTCCAAGCTGCAGCGAAAGAGAAGCTTCTGTCCCAGACTTCCAAAAAGAAGCCGGTTCCAGGTGCAAGGAGATACATTCTCCATGTCGACTTTGACTCGTTCTTCGCTGCTGTGGCGCTTCTCAAACACCCGGAGCTTCGCGATAAACCTGTTGCTATTGCGCATGGCTCTGGTTCTGGGTCTGAAATCGCGAGCTGCAACTATGTTGCTCGTGGGCGGGGTGTCAGGAATGGCATGTGGATGAAGGGTGCGCTGGAGGCATGCCCAGACCTTCAGGTTCTACCGTATGATTTTCCTGCTTACGAAGAGGCTAGTCGGAAGTTTTATAACTCAATCCTTGCAATCGATGGGGTTGTCCAGAGTGTGAGTATCGATGAAGCTCTCATCGACGTCACTCAGCTGTGTTTAGAGGCAGGGGGCTCGGATGGGAGAGGTGTCTCAGAGGGGTCCATTGATCGAGAACAATTCAAAGCAGATAAAGTCGCCCAGGGACTACGTGATTCTGTTAAGGAAAAGACTGGTTGTGCTGTGTCCGTGGGTATTGGAGGAAACATACTCCAAGCCAAGGTTGCTCTGCGAAAAGCGAAACCTGCGGGGCAGTTTCAGTTGAAGCCTGAGGCTGTCTTGGATTTCATTGGAGACCTCACTATTCGAGATCTTCCGGGCGTTGGACACAGTCTGAGTGCCAAATTAGAAGAGCTTGGGGCCACTTTCGTCAAGGATATTAGATACTTGACTCGTGAGAAATTGGTCTCCAGCCTGGGACCGAAGACTGGAATCCGGATGTGGGAATATGCTCGAGGAATTGACAAAACTGAAGTTGGAAATGAGGTCATTAGGAAGTCAGTTTCCGCGGAAGTCAACTGGGGTATTCGATTCACCAGTCAAGACCAAGCGGAAGACTTCGTGAAGTCTCTTTGTGGTGAGCTTAACCGTCGGCTAGTGGAAAACCTAGTCAAGGGCAAGCAGCTTACCTTCAAGGTCATGCGACGATCAATGGATGCCCCACTGGAACCAGTAAAACATCTTGGGCATGGAAAGTGTGACGTTTTCAATAAAAGCATCGTTCTGGGCGTTGCCACTAATGCCACTGACATCTTGGCCAAAGAGGCCATTTCAATGTTGAGGAGTTTAAATTTCTCCCCAGGTGATTTGCGAGGCCTTGGCGTTCAGATGACCAAACTTGAGCCCCTCAAAGCTGGGCCGTTGGCGAATGTCGATAGTAGTCAACGGCAGCTCAGCTTTGCAAAGTCTCCATCGCGTAAGAAGACTGTCACTAGTGCTGAATCAACGAGTCCATCAAAGAGCAGCACGCCACGTACTGAATATCAAACGCCAAGCCATGCCGTCCGCACCACCCCAGACATTCCAGGATCCCAATTTATCATGCCTACTCAAGTTGACCCGGCTGTCCTGTCTGAACTTCCTAGCACAATCAGATCGAGACTCGTGGCGCAGACCAAATCTCCTGATCTGAATCCCCCGTCTCCAACACCAGTTCCAAGGCCAACTATTCCAGCGCTACCCCCCAGTCTCAGCTCGATCCCAATATCTTGGCTGCCCTACCAGACGACTTGCGTAATGAAGTTTTAGGTTATTATAACCAGCAGCCTTCGATACCAGTGCCGTCTGCCGTGGAAGCTGCACCTGTACCGGCTCCTCCCCCTTTAGAGCACATTTCTCGCCCATCATCCTCTGGATCTGTTGGAACAAAGAGACCCTTTATACCGCCTAAAAGAAGACGCGGCCGCCCTTCGAAATTCTCAAAAGTCGACGACAGGTCACAAAGCTTAACAAGCTTTGTCTCAAGGCAAACAACAACAGTAGAGCAAGAAGTCCCTCGCCAACCTTCTCCGGCTGTCGAGGAGCATCATGGAATCTCAGCGGATTTTCTGGCTGCACTACCCGAGGATATTCGACAAGAGATCTTAGATGAGCAACGACGCTCCTCTACAGTTCAATCACCTGCTCCAGAACCCGCGCCTTTGGATCGGGACCCAGATACCGACCCCGAGGCGTCTACTTCTATACCCGCACCAGAAGAGAAAAGATTGCCACTGACTCCTCTACCTGAGCGGCCGGTCTTTACATCACAGCGCTTCACACAGTTGCCCGATCTTCGAGAAGCTGTCAGCGAATGGCATTCTGCTTTTGTAAGCCATGGTCCATATAGCGAGGATGTGGAGGCCCTGTGCGACTACCTAGGTCGCGTAGTTGTCGATGAGAAGGATATCGAAAAGGCTGTTGCCGTAGTGCGCTGGTTGATGTGGCTCGTTGACGAGGACAATGTTGGGCGCGGGCCGATGGACAACCAGACTCCGAGGTCTGAGCAGGGCTTCGTCACTTGGATGGAAGCTGTTGAGATGTTACATGTTTGTATAAACACTGCTTTGGAAGCTCGAGGACTACCTTCGGTGGACTTCGAGTAACCTGGAATGTATATAAATGGCGGCCATGAATTGATGATATGCCCACTGGGGTGTGTTGGGGCCAATCATCTCATGTGCTGGGGTATATAACTTGGTGATTCTCGGGCCTGTAAGTAGAAATTCGGTGGTTGACCACTAAGAATTCCAAAAATTGTACTTGTCTTCAATGTTTGTTTTGTTTTTCATTCGTCGGAGAAATATCTATTGCCACCCTATTATCTCGGAGCGCGATCAATGAACAGCCCATTGAGAGTATTAGGGAATGCGCAATATTTGAGATTCAGAATGGTGACATTATGGATCGAGTACATACCCAGGGATCTACTCAGTCACACTAACTTACCCGAAAATGCAAAGGTGGTCTTGGACTTAATAATGCCCTTTGAGCTAGCGCCTTTTCTGATATCCATCCCGACTCGCCCAGAGCGTTACCTGGTATGTCCACTTAGATCACAGTCGGCAATATGCGTATGTCATTCTTGTCATAGCATATTGGCTGCATCAACATCACTGCGCTACTTTGAACGCGGATAGTGAGGGTGTTCAACTAACTTTATGTTCAACTAAAGGGCATCGATACTTCTCTCCCTTTCCTGAGCCTTTCCTTATAAGCTTTGTTGTGCTCCATGGTCACTGCTTTTTGGTCTGGCCTCGGTTAGATCTATTATAAGGTAGCAGTAAGAATACCGATGTATAAGAATTGGAGAATCCGTCTTAGAGGCTCAATTGCTTTCCGCATCGATGAGAATAATATCATTTTACACACAAAGGTTAATGGTGGGCTCTATCTACTCATTGTTCGACAACTGGGAGCATGGTTTCAAAGTTGTCCTGAAAACTAGCTTTTAATTCGTTGATCTCTTTGCTTTCAGAGCAGGCATAGGTACTATAATTAGCTCATAAAGGCTTTGAGTACCAAAACAAAGGTCTTGACTCCATAGTGAGAATAACGGATTGACTCTGAAGACTATAATGGGGCTTTTGTCCATTGTGGGAAAGTGAGAAAGGCTTTGGTTGTCAAGACAAAGATATTATACTGCATTGAAAATCCCATTCCAAGGTGAGCTCGAGTCCGAGGCATATAAGACCGGGTCAACCCGTCTGTGATAGTCCACCAACAACGAACACCAACGACTTCGGATCTTAACAATTTCCTTGAAACCAATCATGGCTCAATTCGGTGCCATGCAAGACCAGGGAGCCCAGCGCCGACGATGGATTGCTGATCCAAGTGATCCCGGTTGCTACATTGAACGATCCACGCTGACCTATCCCCATCTCCTGGAGAAATTCACGAATTTGACAACAAAGCACGTCCATCCAGAGGATGATTTAGATGAACACGTATTGGATGCGATGGTTGAACTTGAAGAAAGCAAGGTAATAGCTACTGACCGGCGGCAGTGGAGAAACTTCGACATATACTCACCTTTACTAAACGTTTCAGCAAACACAGGGCCAGGTATGATCATCATCGATGTCATGTTCCGGGCTCGGCTAGGGGGACCCATTACTGCTGAACTAATGGCTAATGTGCCTGCAGCTTCCGCTGTGGCCCAGGCCTTGTACACACGAGACTTTGATCTCAAGGATCTACGGTGCGTTTTTGTGAACTGTATCGTTAACAAAAATACTATAGGTTTCATCATGGATCATATATACAAGCCTGAGATATTTGCAGAGTTTCCTGATCTTGACTTTGTGCCTGTGGCTTGGGATTATGGAACTCCGGAGTATGACGGTCTGCTCGGTACTCGCATAGGTAGGGTTGTCGCATATTTGATTCTTGGAGCGTTTGAACGAGGTGCGCATCGGATTTCTCGGATTACAACTTACATGTCTGAAGGGCTCAGTGCTACTCATTTGCGCTTTGATATTGAGGCCATTTGAGGTGCTGAGTGGCTTCCTCTGATGGTTTTCCTTTTTGATGGGCGAAAGGGAAGGGCTGGTATTTTGGCCTTGAATTGAATCACACTTTGACCTAGATGATTTTTTCATTCCCATGTGTCTTTGTTTTGATAGCAAAATCTAAATTTTACACGGTGGGCTGCTCATTCCCACTTTGTTATTCTTTTGGAATAAAACTTAGAAAGCTTACGTGATTAGAATTACAGGATCGAATTTTCTTAAAGAAGCCCCCAGGCTCAATGTCGTTCACCGGGGCTCTCAAGAGCAAGGGAGAGGTCCATGAGACAATCGACAAATATTGCAATGTCTTCTAGGACCTCGTCCAAGTCATAGCGCATAGATTCATCATCCGAAAGTCTCTCAAAGTTTGCTGTATCTTTAGGTGTGACCAGAACAGGAGCTGCCTTCTCTAGAATCTTCTGAAGCTGGCGAGCCATGTCTGACTGGGTCAGGTCTGCCAAATCAGATTCAACAGAGCCTTCTGACTTCGTCAATTGGATCAGCTCACTAACCGCTCGTAGTAGGCTATCATTGATAATCGAGCCAAGCTCGTAGAGAGTAGAGAGCACAGTCTGACAAAGGTCTGACGATTTGGAAAGTACTTCATCAAGCTGGCCGTTTGAAATGGATAAGGCATCTCCCCATAGAAAAAAGCGCTCTAGCTCGCTGCGTAGCCGACGCGAATGCTTCATCTGTGCCGAGCGCTGGGCAATCGAGGTGAATAGACTCAAAATAGCCTTGAACAAGTCGCTAGCCAGAACGAAAACGGAGTTATCGGCCGGTTCAGGCAGCGATCTTCTAGTGTCGATGGCGACTGGGGACTTGCTCGATAAGATGGCATCTGATGTTTTTGCTTTTGGTATTTTATTAGATGGAGCCTCTTTACCGAGTCGATGTTTGAAGCTGCTTTCGAGTTCGTCGTTTTTATTATCATTCATAATTGGCAGTCTTTGGTCGCTCTGATCACATTGATATACGAGGCTGCTTGAAAGTCTATTCCGCTTGTTTCGCCCTTTCTTAAAGTGATTTTTCAGAGCAGTTGAGTCCAGAGGCTTCAGGAGCTCAAAACTGCACAAGAGCTCACCCGAGACCGACATGACGGCGCCCCAGTTATCGAACTCACCACAATAGTTAGGCGCGGAGAATACAGTCACTAACGTTCGGTCCTGATAAAATTCATATCCGTCCTCGACCACCATGTGCGCACGGCAAATCAAGTCAAAATCGTGGCGCTGTAAGAAGTCCATTATAATCTTCTTTCCGAAACAATAACTCACGCCTCGTTCGTTCGGCTCCCAATCCTCTTCCATATCAGCAGGATCACTCCATAAGAGGTCGTTCAATAGACCATAATCTGGAATATCAGTGGGACGTGCAATGCTTCGGATATCGTCCATGTGTGAGAGGCTGGGGGAAAGCCCACCGTGGACGCAAAATATTTTACCAACCACAATTGAAGCAATTGGAAGGCAGTTGAAGGTGTCGATAAACGTTTTCCAGATTTTCAAGTTGCAGCGTCTCTTACACTCGTCATAAAACCCATATACCCGCGTGATACTGGCGCACTCATGGTTGCCTCGGAGTAGAAAGAAGTTTTCGGGATACTTGATTTTATAACAAAGCAGTAGAAGAATGGTCTCCAGACTCTGTTTCCCACGGTTGACATAGTCCCCGAGGAAGAGGTAATTTGAGGCAGGTGGGAACCCACACATCTCAAAGAGTCTTATTAGGTCAGTATACTGTCCATGAATGTCGCCAACGATTCACGGGCCCCGAAAGCTCCAACAGAGGAGGTTGCGAAAGCAAAAGTTCTCGAGACGCGGAGCAGATGACACTGATCTCTGCATTCTTCAGACAGACATTCTTGGTGACTTTGGTGGAATATCCCGCATCCAGGAGTCGCAAGATCATGTCGTCCAAAACGCTCATGTCTATATGGGGAGATCCAGAAGAATCCTTCGCATCGTAAATTGAATCCAAGATGGGATTCAGCTGATTTTCTCGCTTGATCAGATTCGACTCGCCTACTTTCTGAGCGCTCTCGGCTACGGTAGCCGGAGAACGGTCAAACACAGCATCAGATTCGTCGCTTTCCTGAGCATCGAAATACATGTGTGCATGCGTCAACCTAATGGGAGACGAGGATCGCGAGTGGCCGGGTCGAGTTGCGAGCTGGGCAACTCTGTCAGATCCGGGTTCACTACCTGTCAACCTGACCGACCTAGCATCAGACTTATCAATCTGGCCGTCCGATGAGACGAGTGAGGTGCTTGAGCCTTGAGGGCTGTCAATGTCTCGAGCACCTGGGACTTTTGAGCGCATAAAGCCACGGAACGAGCGGGTGGACCTTTCCCCGCAGAGGTTCTGCAACGAGTCGCCCGCGCCAGCATTGCCCTTGGAATGCGCGTGACCCATCGCTCCTAAGTCAATGTATCTGCTGAGCTATGTCTGCTATGATTATGCAGGAAGCGCACACTTATGGTAAGCTGAGAACGTTCTGCTCTTCCGAATATTTCGCCTGCCAGCTTAGATTCCGGGCTTCACGTCAATATGAGAACAGTTTGAAGTAGTCCTCCCTGAATGGGGTCGCGAGCGTTTAGTGAACGAGCTCGGACTTGTTCAATTGTAGACTCAAATTGTGGTAAAGGCGGGAATCAATGGTCATGACAAGGAGGTGTCAATGCCAGGTGGGGGATACATTGAGCTCCTTGAGCCCGTATAGAGAGATGTACCTGTCAGCAGTGCAAACAACTACCCCGCCCCGCCAACGCCGAGTGCTTTCAGCTTGCCAAAAGCCTTCCTTTAATATTTGCTCGAGTGGAAAGAGCCCCTAGTCACTGTACGCCGGATGGAGTTTATCATTGGAACGGCCCTCGCTGGCATCCCTATCGTTCTCGAGGTTTACGATCGTTACTGGGATTTCTCAGAAGGCCTGAGCACCTTCAGGCACCATTCGAGGGAGTTGACCAAATTGGACACAATTATGAAGACACAGAAGACACTTTTCAGAACGAATGTCATCAAGTTGCTCACAGCAATCACGAATGATCCGGAGAAGGCTCGGAGTTTGCTCTCTGACAGCCGAGAAAAACTGCAGAAGCTAAAACTTCCCATCTCCTATGACAGCACTCGCATCGAATCACTACAAGAGTTGTTCGGGAGTTGGAAATCTACACTTGAGCTTGTCTCGACAACAGCAACAGCTATATGTCTTGAGGTGGAAAGCCTTGGAGCAAGTAATACGGGATCCTTTGGAAAGCGATTCCGGCTTTGCTGGAAGAAAAATGAAGTGCAAACTTCAATACAAGAGCTTCGTGACTTCACGGCTGACTTCAATGAATTAACGACACGGATTGTCAGCGAGCTCGAGCAGATTCGAGGCATTGCTCTCCCAACCCAGGGGATTACGATGCGGCAGAAAGCAAGCCAGTTGAATGGACTTGAAAAATACCGCCAGATTCGATCTGCATCGTCCAGACTGTATAATGTCTTTGCTTTACGATGGTCTTGTGCAAGACATACGAAGCATGCCGCAAGTATCTCGCTCATTGACGAAAGCAAATCAATTAAGTTGGAAAAGGCAGAAGATGGTGTCAGGTTTGATGTTGCCATCGACTACGAGGCTGATTCGCCAACGTGCAGAGAGATGCCAATTTGGTTGGAAATTAAGGCAACCCATGAAGGCTGTTTAGACACATCATTATGCAAGACTGAACTCGTTGATTATGAGCCCGACAATGCCTGGACCGATGTTATGGAAAAGATAACGAAGCATTCTCAGCCAATGATCATCAAACAAGTCGAAAGGCCCCCAAAGAGAAGTATTGGGAGATTATTTCCTCTCAAGCCCGACGACTTTGGTCCTGCGGCTGTAAATAGCGGTTCCAGCACCATCGTACAGGGGACAGCGGATGATGATGATGACCAGAATGAAGACACTCCCCTGGCCTCCATTTCAACTAAAACCAACCATCCCACCACTTCTGATTCAATGATTGACCTTGATTTGATTGAAAACTTTTGCTACCACTTCCAAGTTCTAGAACCCGTAAGTTCAAATACCTGTGTCGGCTACATCCAGGAGGTCGGTCTTCACCGTTTCTACCTCCCGCCTCTCGGCCGCCGGCCATCGGAGCAGCAAAAGTCCTTGGCGGATATTATCACATGGATTTCAGAAGACGAATTATCTCGCGATCTGCCGAGAACAGCTGTTGCACATATCGCTAGCTCCCTCGCGGTTGCCGTTCTACAATACCATTCCACACCATGGCTTCCTGATAGCTGGCATAGCAGTCAGGTCCGGTTCTTCGGAGTTGAAGAGCTTTCAGGGGACACTGATGGAATCTCATCCATGACGCCGTATCTGAGGGTCGAGTTCTCGAAGTCGGACAAAGGGGAAGACCGGCCCATGACAGCAATGGCTACCAGTATGGCTTTCACGACTACCAGCGCCAATCACACCAGTTCCTTGAAATCTGGCCATGCTCTTGTACCTGCATCCATAGTCCTTGCCCGGAATGAGCTTCTCTTCCGTTTTGGCGTCGTTCTCCTTGAGCTGGGATACTGCCAGCCATGGCCACAACTTCGACAACGCGTACTTAAAGCCCTGCCACCACAAAAAAAAACTGATTATCATGCCGCTGAAAAGCTTGCCCAAACACCGTTTTTGCGCAATCGTATGGGGCCAAAATTCATGAAAATTGTGCGCAAGTGCCTAGGGTGCGACTTTGGGCTAGGGGAAAGTGACCTAGCAAATGAGCAGCTTCAGGGTATGTTCCTTGTGGAGGTGGTAAAGGAGTTGCAAGGAATAGAAAGAGGTTTAAAGGCACTGGAAATGCATTCGTCAAAGGGGTAATTAAGGCAAACCGAAACAGCACAATTCAGATCCCCAATACCAGCCCTTTAATAGTTATAGTCAACATCTGTCCCGGTCTTATCATAACTCCGGTTCACTCTTCCAAGTTGTCTCGCCAACTTTCCCTTCCGCGCATCGATAGCTGGGTTCACATAGTCCCATCCATCCTCCTTGCCATCTTCATCAAACTTCTTTACCCTAACCTTGGTGCCCGCTAAGAAAATTTCAATTAGTCAAAGGCAATGCGTGTGATAGAATAAAGAGTTGACTTACGCAGGCCAGTCAATTCCGCGTTAATGTAAATATTCTCCCATTGATTCTTCGGAGAAGAATAGAGTTCATGCGCAATACTGAGGTACTCATACTTCTTACCCTTGGCATTCCACCAGTTCCACGTATCCATATGCATCGGCCCATGTGCAAATCGGTGAATGCCTTCCAGGTTGCGGAAATACATCATGGTTATGAGGTGGTTTCCTGCGGAGCGTTCATCTGCCCCCAACAGGGTTTTTGCACCGAGGTCTAATTTGAAGTCAGTTGTAAGCACGGCCAATCCACGGAGTGTATCTTACACCCATATGTTTCTCTTTCAATATCTAACTGCTTATACATGTTCTGTGCCAAGGCGGCGATTTCGCGAGCTCCGGGAGCGAGCATCCCCAGAGGACTGAGTGGATAATGTTAAAATACCATCTCAAGGTATACAAGGGCTTTGTAGGCTTACTGGTTTGATCTTGCGATTAGTTGGAAACAAACCACGTTCTCATCGGATGGTTTGCTGGAATACACGCCTTCTGAATTAGGGATTTGTCCGGTGAATTTTCCCATGATGACATTATCCATAAAGCGATTCTTTTTCAGACCGACACTCATAAATAATGTATCGACGACTCGGTAGGATAGAACGATCATAGCCGGTAGAACTGCATAAAAAGCAGGGAGAGCCAGTACCGCCAGACCTTGAGCAACCGCACCCAGCAGTAACCATGTCGTTATAGAGAATTGGTCTCTGAGTAACTAATTTGATGTGTCAGTCACTAGGTAATCGGGAATAACATTCCTAAGGATTCTCACGTTAAGGTAGATTATCGTTGATTTCTTTTTTGCCGCCGCCGCTGTGGGTTGCCCAAGCGGCGGAAGCATCGGCTGGAGTGGTTCTTCATCTGTCATCCTTGACTTGAATTAGGCAAAACCTCGATAGTCTTGATTTCTTTTAGGATTATCCTCAATGTAAAATTGTCAATACCGAGATGCTGCTGGTCTGTATTTCTTTTGGCAAGACTGACCCAAGGAATATTATTGCCAACGTTAGGAATACGACCATCAGCCGTGAATGATATTTATACTTTCGGTCACGAGGTCATGTTTCATTGGCACCGTCTCCCTAGGTCTGGTGGGGGAGAGAAATATAATTGAGACATTCTTACTGGACGATATACAGTGAAGTAAATTACGGCCCCCAAATTGTCTAGGTGTAAGCACTAGTGTGGAACCGTCGTTCCTCGCTTTAACCATTCCTCTTTCGGCACAGTTACGCACACACATTGATGAAAGCTCCGGTTTGAACCCCAGCAGGGTGAGCTCTATTGGCATCATATTCAAAGTAAGTCCGTTGTATTTGAGTACGTTGGCCATGGTTATGAATGATTTGCGTAATATATACACATAGCGCAACATCTTACTCTCATCATTAGCTAGCCCAAGATAGTCACAGCCCCCAACGCCACGTGTGGTGCAGGAAGCAGCTAACATAGTAGTCCCCAGGTCTACGTCATTACCTGCTCGGACTAGAGGTGGCGCTCCCGAGTGACAGATTACCAACACGAGACTTTGAGCATGCGAAGTATCTACTGGAAGGATCTAATAATATTCCTAACTCGCCAAATGTGGAGGCGGCAGGACTTGGAAGGAGGATACTCGATCGCTGAAGAAGGTATCAGCACTGACCAGCAAGGATGCCCGGCAAAGATGTATTCGGTTTAGTGACCCGCCAACTGATTTACTTTAATTTGCGCCTCATGATGATTCACACCTGAGTAACTATTCTGGACATCCGGGTGGAACGAGACATGCATTAACGCTCTTCTTAGGTCGCACTAAGAACCCTTTGACTATTATCTTTCCAAGACATCTGGGCGTTATTAGATTATTTGCGCTAAATATATTATTGGAGCTCTGCATCGGTAGTCACAATATGCAGGGTGATAGTATGCAGGGACGATATTGACCTGGTTCCATGGCTACGGACATGTCCGGAACATGATATATATTTAATACAGAAACATAATGCCTAGAGCGGCGCGCTTGCATAATTGTTCTAATATCGTATCGATTACCATCAGCTGTGCATACCCATGCCTATTATTTCCCTCCATAATTAAATAGTGATGAGCCCAGTGATAGATACGGAAAATTATAAGAGTGTTTCTTTTCAAGTTTCCTAGCATTTTGGACTTTATCTTGTTGAAGGTACTTTGTTGAAAGAAGTCATAATTTTAAGTGCCAGGTACGCTGATCTCAGTTCAGTCTAATGGCACTTTAAATAGTGAAGTCGTTCTAACCGTCGACGCACCATTATTTACAGACATTCATTCTAAACTTGCAGAGGCTATAGCAGTCAAGGTTGAAATAGCCGTAAATCCTGCTGGATCTGCTAACGTTATTCGGCTTGTGGAGCTCGCTGTTGAAGGCTCTAAAATTGGAAAAACGCTGGATGTAGATGTTTGATCACAGTAAAGTATAAGAAGCTGAGCTTCTGCTTTCGCTTCCTTGCTGATACTTTGGCCACACTTGTTAATCAACCTGCCCTTATGAAATAATGTGATAGGATTTGAATCACCATTTCATCACTCCAGAAGGCATTGTCGGGACTGTGTACAAAACGGTAAGATCATGCGTGCCGAGTTCCCCTCTCCTGCTATTTATAATTTGAATCATACAGATACGGGAAATGAAAGGATCCAGGATCTGAGGGAGGAACAAAAATGAAAGGGAGAACCTTCAGCAGCTACCTACCAATAGTATCTGCTTTTGGTTTGATACAGCTCATCGGTCTACCCAGATACCCCCCTCAAGTCAATATACACATAGCCCGTGTAACAAATATCGAACGACAGATTATAGATGCTTTGTTGCACACGTTAGGTTGGGAAATGTGGGGATGGTTTGAAAGGTTTACTTGAATAATGAACTCGGGGACAACTTTGATCATAGAAATACAACGGTCCTCGGAGTGGCAAGATTCCGATCTTTAACTGTTCAATAGGGGGTATATTAGAAACAAAACAAAATCCGAAATACATTTGTTTCTGAACAAAGCGAGGGGCTCAAACTCCACTTATGCTAGGCTAATCCAATCAACGCTTCATCTCATCGTGCAGTATGCCTCAGTCTCCTCTAGTATCCATTCGATCCATGTTCCGTATGACTTTGCTAACACGGCGACTCAAAGAGCTGTGAGGAATCATCTTCGTAGGCCTAGTCGATCTCCTCACGGAGTCCTCAGGACGGGGCCAGAAGCCGGTGCGAGGATTTGTTACTTCGCCGAGGTCCTGCATAGCAAGTTCATAATCACGTATTGCATTTGGAAACTCCTTGTCCAGTTCCGCCATTGTCGGCTTTTCTGACAACACAGGTTCAGGTGTCCGAGCTCGCTTTTTGGGTGTGTCAGACTTTCTTTTCTTGGGTGCCTTGGAAGATTTCTCTTTCTGTGCGCCGTCACCTAGGGTCGAGGCACGTGTGAAACCAGTCTCGACGTCGTCGGGCATGTGAAATTTCTTAGGTGGTCGCTTAGGTGCACGCCCCTTGCGCTTCGGTTCGGGTAACTCCTGTTGCGAGTTCTCTTGAGGGATGTCGATGATTCGCTTGTCGGGCACGGGCCGAATGCCAGCAGGGAGAATTCGGGCAGACAGATCGTCGTGAAAAGCGAACCGAGTTCCACTGGCGATCATTTCTTGCATTTTTTCGTAGTTGTCTTTGGCTTTGACGTAGGAATCTTGCTCCTTTCCCTTCATCAGAAGAAGGGTGATGTTTCCCGCTCGTTTACGTCCAGTTCGACCCATTCGTTGCAGCATTCGGATCGGCGAGGCAGAAGAGTCATAGCAAACAATACGATCCACCTCACCGATGTCCAGACCTTCTTCGCCAATAGAGGTTGCCACGATGGTATTGTAGGTTCCCCCTTTGAATTTTTTAATGATGTCAAGCTGCGTCTTTTGGGTCATTCCCTCGGAGCCTTTGGCACTGGATTGACCAACGAAGATATGTGGTCGAATCATAGGTTCATACCGCTTCAATACACGCGAGACCTCCTCGGCACTGTCGCGAAAATGCACAAAGATCATGACACGCGTACCCGGTTTATTGGGGTCAGCATTCTCTTGTCCTTCTCCTGCATCCATGAAGTGATTTAAGATCACGGATTTCAGGTATTCCAATTTAGGGTGGCCTATGAATTCAGGGTTTTTAGACCAGGGATCAACATAGGCAACAAGCTTCTTGAAGCTTTCATGCTGCACAATTTGCTTTTGATATTTACCACCCTTCTGTCCATCGGTATTCGACTTGAAATGTATCAAATGGCGGTAGAACGGGACAATTCCATGATATTTCAGCAAGTCAAGGGCGTGGGCCAAGCTGGCGAGTACCGTGAAAATGGCATTCACCATCCCCTTAAGCCCGAAGCTGGCATTTCGGCCAGCGTCGGAGGCCATCCACTGCTGTCTGGCTTTCGTCAATCCGAAAGCAGTAAGCATTAGAGGGTCTTTGCCCCAGTAAGCATTAAGGGTCCGAAGCTGATCCATCTGAGGCTGCAGAGCTTCGGAGATAAGATCCAAGCATAACTGAATCTCTTCCGAGTATTCAAAAGTCTCAATCTCAATATTTCGGGCGTGCACGTAGTCCCGAATGTCAAGAGAGTGCTCAGTGCGAATTTCTACCCGTGAGATTTCTAAGCCATCGATGACGCCTTGAACTGCCTCGACTGTCGACCCAGGTGTGGCTGTCAGGGCGAGAACTCGGAAGCTGTTGCTGAAGCGCCGCATGAACTTTACTACTTCCACGTAGGCATAGCCTCCGGTGGCACGATGGGCCTCATCTACAACCACAAGCACAATTCGCTTAGGGTCTGCAATTCCAGTCTTCAAATCATTGATCAATGTCTGAGGAGTCATAAAAAAGACGCGCTTTGACTGCCATTCTTGGGCACGGATGCCTGGTGATGCACCTCCAGTAAGCATGGTCGTTTGAGAGCGCGGGATGCCGGCAATATCCAAACATGCCGAAACTTGCTGGGACACCAGTGGTTTGGTCGGGGCTACAAAGATAATCTGAGCATCTTTCGTCCAACGGAACCAGTTTAACATGACTGTTGCTGCGATGAACGTTTTTCCCAGTCCAGTGGGCAAAGCCACGAGTAGATTATGGAAAAGGCCCTTTTGGGTGATATTGAACTGGTAATCTCGAGTGGTACCGAGATTAGTGGGATACCACCACGTGTTAAGAGCATCGTGGTTTAGTTTGTGGTGCGTTGGAGGTTCAACTTTATCTGGTGGGCCAGGGTCTTGATGTTGCTGTGAGATATCTGGATTTGATTGAATCATACCGTAGAGGGTAGTTTGTCGGAAGAATGAAGGATTTCGGGAGGCGCTTGAGGAAAATGATGATGTTTGAGCAGGGCGTGCTGCTACTGGCGATAGGCAGGGTGAGGAGTCAAATGCGTCATCTGGGATATCATCGAGCTCGAAGGAAACATCTTGTGGTGCAGCCTTTTTGACGCTAATAGGAAGTTGAGGTCTTGCAGCAACAGCCTTGTTCACAGAATTCGTTATTGAACCTCGTGCAGCCTTCTCAACCTCGAATGAATCCAGTGAAGCAGCCAACGCGGCCCTTAGTCCATCGTAATCTTCATCAGAGAAATTGTCAGACTCTCGAACCCTCTCACTGGCCTGCGGTGTTGGTATTCTGTCTGGGAGAGATGGAGGGTCTGGTTTTTTCCACCTCGGTCCACGGATTCGGTCAGGGCTCGAGTTGGGTTGCGTTAATTGGGTCACGAAAATGTTCTCTTGGACGTTACTGCGTTTCGGTATAAAACTCCGGTTTCTATGACGTGCATCTGCTTGTTCATGGGCTGCGGGTAATTCGCCATCGTTGAATGTCTCTTCGTCAATATCGGAGAACCCGTCTGTGGATGAAGCACCGTCGCGGTCTTCATGGCGCGTCGGAGGTCGTACACGTTGGCGTTTCGCTGAACGAGATTCCGGAATGGCATCATCATCGTCGGGCACGACGAAGTCGTCATCGTCAAAGTAGTCGGATTCGTCAGAAGAGCGCATTGCCGTGATGGATAGCTGTAAGCTGAGGTGCGTCCAGAGAAAATTGTCCTCCTTTGCAGTATCTGGCGGCCAGCGAGGCCAATATGGTTCAGTTGCCCTTTTCGAAGGCACCTGAATTGCTCTCAAAATCCAAGAAGACAGGTTATTGTTGGCAAGACATCGACAATTCGGACAAATCGTCTCTGGCGAAGACGCGTTGCGCGTCAACAAATGATGCAAAATCAGTGCCTCAGGCATGAATTCAATTTCAACCCGTTTTGGAAAGAAGAACAAAGATGGCGGTCAAGCATAGAGTAGCTACAAGCTCGGCTTGCTACGCTGGGGTTGTAGATACAAAAGTTGATTTATTTCTCCAAGTAGTCACCTCCCGCGAGCTCTCTATATCATGAATCATGGTCGCATATAAAACTCCCAAATGTTGAATCGATCCACCCAGATGCCCGCAAAACCCCGCCCATGCCTTTTGGTTGAATCCAATGTTGAACGGCACACTGTTAAAAGAATCCGTTGAAAGTGAAAGGACAATGTTTATGTTCTTAAGATGCAAAAGAAAACAAGCGAAGCCTGGAATCAGGCTTCTTAGTCGTGCTTTTCATAACCGTAACCTCCGATGCCGCCCGCATCATAGGTTTTGGCCTGGTTCGACCCGCCATTACGAGGTCCCCGAACAGCAAGATCTTCCTTAAGCCACTTGAGAACTAATTCACCAAGACGACTGTTCTCAGAGGTCCACTCTGGAACTTGATCATGGAACTTCTCCACTGTGCCGAAGGCCTTAACTTTACCCAGATGCATGTGCACCAAGTGAGTAGGCCACTGGGCAAGATTATCCAGAATATGGGTAGCATAGACAATAGTACAAGCTCTCGTCTCGGTCTCGCGCTTCAGAAAAGCGAGGAAGTTGCTCCGGGAAAGCAAATCGAGGTCAACGGTGATCTCGTCCAAAAGGAGAACCTTCCAAGGTCGCAACAGACCCATGGCCAACTGGACGCGGCGGCGCTCACCATCTGAAACGGCATGCATGCGCCAGCGGACATCAATGTCGAGGATATCAACAAGCTCGTCACGTCGCTCCGGATAGGCATTTCCGCCCACGGAGGCGAGCAACGTGGGGACATCAATGTCGGTGCGAACAATGGCGTTCAGCACCCATTCTACACCGAGGTAGGTTACACCGTCGAGGCCGTCTTTGAATGGATCCTTGCCGCCCACCGTGATGGTGTTGTTGGGTGCCAGGCGTTTACCCGAGACCAGACGAAGCAGGGTGGTTTTTCCCGCTCCGTTCGCTGTGCGCAAGTATTAGCTGCTACGCATTTCTCATGGGCAGGGTAGTAATTGAGTAATAAGACATACCACCTATCAGGAGTGTCCGACTGCCTGGTGGAAGGCTTAAAATGACATTTTCCAGCCCGTTTGAGCCATCTTGGAATTTATAGGAGAGGTTTTGCACCTCAATGGAGGGGAAATCGGCCGCGGAATCGGCCATGTCGAAATTAATGTTGACAAGCAATTCACTGATCAAGGGGGACAATCGAAGATGAAACACAAACGTGAGTCAATCGGAAGTTTCTTGACAAAGCTAAGCTGTGCTCATCTTAGCGTGGACTTTGCAATCACCACGACGGGATGAGGTAATGATCCCGCGATAAGATACCCCGCTCTTTCTCCTTCAACCATGATCATGATATGTCAAGGCTTCATACTTCTTGATATTGGGATTTTTATATTGTCTGTCGCTATTACTTTGGATATTACAAATATGATCAAAGTTTAATTAGTACGTGGGTCCGCAGATCAATAATCAAATGCATTTTGTTATGGCATGGCGTGCGGCCTTATGTGCGGCCTTGTGTGCGGCTACTGCGGACTTACCTCATCTATCGCCGCACCGGAGCCCCATACTCTGAAATGTATAAATAGACAGGTGTTCTCTGCTCTGAGGAGAAATAACCAAAGAATCACTATTCTCTCTTAAGTTTAAGCGGCTGAGCAACTTCATTATATCGCAATGCCAAAGTACGCCAAAGACCAGTCTGTTGGCTTCAAAAACGCCATTGAAAAAGTCGCCATTGTTGGGGTAAGTAATTATATCACCCACAATTCGTTATTGTACGCAGCAGCACTAACAAATACTCTTAGGCCGGAGGCACAATTGGATCACACATTGCCAATGCCCTTCTGAAGACTGGGAAACACACAGTCACGGCCATTTCCCGCAAAGACAGCGGAAACAAACTAGCACTGCCCAAGGAAATCATAGTCGCCCCAGTCGACTACGATGACGAGGCCTCTATCATTGCCGCTCTTGAAGGCCAGCAATTTCTCATCATAACCATGGCCCCCACTGCTCCCCGGGACACCCATAGCAAGCTCGTTCAAGCCGCCGCCAAATCCGGTGTTCCCTACATCATGCCTAATGGGTACGCCGGCGATATCGACAACATCAAGCTCGGCGAAGACACACTACTAGGACCCGTAGCTAGATCTCAAAGGGATGAGATCGAGAAGCTCGGCATGCAGTGGATCACGATGTGCTGTGGGTTTTGGTACGATTACAGCTTGGCTGGAGGTGATGCACGCTTTGGATTCGACTTTGACAAGCGTTCCCTGACAATCTACGATGATGGAAGCACCAAAATCTCTACTTCCACGTTATCGCAGGTTGGACGGGCTGTGGCTAAGGTTCTGAGCCTGAAAGAGCTACCTGAGGACGAAAATGATGAGAGCCTTACTCTGTCGACATTCCTTAACAAGGGCGTGTACATTAAGAGCTTTGTGCTCAGCCAAAATGACATGTTTGACAGTGTTAAGCGTGTTACTGGTACCACTGATGCTGACTGGACCATCAGTCATGAGAACAGCAAGAAGCGGTATGAGGATGGTATGGCGCAGGTTAAAATAGGTAACATGGCTGGCTTTGGCAAGATGCTCTACGCAAGAGGATTTTACCCGGGAGAGTCTAATGACCTTTCGGCAAAGGCACAGAATGACCTGCTTGGATTGCCAAGTGAAAACCTGGATGATTCTACCAAGGCTGGAATAGATTTGGTCAAGGAGCTGCAGCTTCGTGTTGAGCGTATGGCGTCTTAGGCTCTTAAAACAGCATGTACATTTGAGAAGTCTGAATTTCATAGATGCTAATGAACACAAAACCATTCTATCTGTCTTATATTTCATCTCATATCCCACTCATCCTAGGCGAGGCCAATTGTTCGGTAATGCAATTTCAACAATATGCATATGGATGAATGCATTACGAAGAGGCAAGACTTCCATGGGTATCCTCACGGACCCACATCTGATAATTGCTGGTGTGACCCCTGCATTAGTCTCAACCATATGGGAAGCTTTAGCTTGTTGTAAAGACTGCGGATGTAGTTGTAGACAACCACTTTCCTGAAATAGCCGTCTACAGCCGGGCGGTGCGGGTAGCGAGGAATATCCGTCGCGAACATTACCGATTTCAAGTATTTGTTTGAGATCGATTTTTGAAAGGAACACAAGCGAAGTAATTGTAATAGTACTCCATTGCAATTACTTAGATCATTAACTGGGGGAGAAGATGTAAAATAAGAAACATTTCCATTTCGATCTTTTCGAGCTATAATGCTCGTTTCTCATCCTCAAGTGTCATCAAATCATGCTGAGAATCGCTATTTACACAAAACAATTCAACCTCATTGTAACCGAATTCAAGCTTTGTTGGGGTTCTTGAAATGGCGCTTCAGTGGTGTCCAACTATGATCATTGTACTCCTCCTGGACCTTCTGGCAGGTCTTCAGTCCCCACTCAGAGACACCAACCATCAAAGCACTGTACCCACGTTAGTATTGTCCAACATGATGAGATCAGAATTCAACGCATACCTCTCAAACATGAATGCCATGCTACCATCGCCAACCTTGGTAGGCTTAAGCTCTGCATTACTAGCACCCTCAAACGCCGCAGAGTCTGGACCGTGCGCACTCATCACATTGTGCAAGCTAGCTCCAGCAGGCTGGAAACCACCTCCCGTCTTCGCATCGTAGTTACCAGCGATCAAACCCATAAACTCAGACATGGTGTTACGGTGATACCATGGTGGACGGAAAGTATTTTCCTGGACCAGCCAGCGAGGCGGGAAAATAACAAAGTCTGCGATGGCTGTGCCAACGTGGTCGGAGGGACCAGTGAGGACGGTGAAGATTGAGGGGTCGGGGTGATCAAATGAGATCGAGCCAATGGTGTTGAATCGGCCCAGATCGTACTTGTAGGGGTAGTAGTTTCCGTGCCAGGCGACAATGTCGAATGGGGTGTGATTCTGGCGAGCGGAGTACAGCGAGTTGGCGAACTTGCTGTAGAGCTTGTATTCGGTCGGTTCCTCCTCGTCATCAAATGCTGCGACAGGGGCTTGGAAGTCGCGCGCATTGGCGAGACAGTTGGAGCCGATGGGACCCAATTCGGGTAGCTGGTAGTGACCTTGGTACAGTTCGCAGATGTAGCCACGGACCGGGCCGTCAGGAAGGGTGACGCGGTATCTATCAGAGATATTAGATAATGCAGAGCTATTTGGTATTCATATGGTTCCTACCGAACACCACGAGGAATCACACAGATCTCATTCGGGCGTAGGATTATGCGGCCCAATTCCGTCTGAATGTCTAACACTCCGTGTTGTGGCACAATCAGGAAATCTCCATCGGCTGAGTAGAAGGCTTCTTTGCCCATATCCTTGCCTGCAGCGTAGAGTAAAATACCCAATCCTTGCTTCAAAGTCGGGTCACCGGCTCCTGCAACCAGGTGCAGGCCGTGGACCCAGTCAACCTTCTCGTCCAAGTCGAAAGGGTTCCATCGGAGCTGATTGGGAATATGGTGTAGCTTATGGGTCTCGGTGGTCATGCGGGTGTGATATGTGTCCTGCTCCTCAGCGACGAAGTTCTCGTGTGCTGCTGCGGGAATAATGCGGTAGACCCAGGTCTGTTTGTTCTCATGGCGGGGTGCGGTGAAGGCGGTTCCGGACAGTTTCTCGGCGTATAGGCCATAAGGAGCTTTCTGAGGAGAGTTATGACCGATCGGCAGGGCTCCCTTGATGGCTTCGGACCTAAGGATTAGGTTTAGTACTGCTCGCTTGAGTCATTTAAGCCATTGATCAAAGACTTACTCGTGGTGGGAGTCGAAGCCAGTCTGGTAGGAGTATGGATCAGGGTGTGAGAATTGGGTGACAGGCATGATGGCGATGAGGGCGAGAAGTTTGAAAGACAAGAGACAGGCAAGACGAGACTTTGTATTCTCTCGACCGAGGGTAATTCCATACCCGTCTAATATCGTGTAAGAAACAGCTCCGCGATTATCCTTGCGTCATTCGCAGTTGCTTCCGCGCTTGGATGCGGGGACGGAGCGATTCCGCACATGCGGGAATCACAGACCGAGGGGCAAGCTGCGCGAAAACAGTTAAGTTGGCCATGTCGCATAGAAGTTTCTTTTGCATCTTCATTCATTACAGACTCCATCATGGCTTCGTGGCTTCAAATTCCCAAGAACTCGCCGTTCTCATTGGCCAACATCCCGTTCGGCATCATTTCTGCGGCTTCATCCAAAGTTCCCGCCATCGCGATCGGTGATTATGCTTTGGACTTGAACGCATTTGCTTCCTCCGGGGGTTTCTCTCAGCTGCCTTCCATTCAGCAACATCTGAGTGTGTTCAACCAACCCACCCTCAATGCTTTCGCCGAACTAGGTCGCCCTGTGCACCGTCAGGTGCGCGAGTACTTGCAGAATGTCTTCCGCGCCGACACACAGTACCCGCAGGTCCTCAAGGACAATGCGGCCTTGCAAAAATCCGCACTTATTCCCCGCTCACAAGTGACCAATCACGTCCCCATGCAAATTGGTGACTACACCGATTTCTACGCTGGATTGAACCATGCCTACAACATCGGTGTTCTCTTCCGTGGAAAGGACAATGCTCTGCAGCCGAACTACAAGCACCTGCCCGTCGCCTACCACGGGCGTGCTTCATCTGTCGTCACTTCTGGCACCCCTCTGCATCGCCCGAGCGGCCAGATCCTCGCCAACCCAACCGCCGATCCCAAGATTCCCACCTTCTCTCCCTGCAAGAAGCTAGATATCGAGCTGGAGTTGGCTGCTTTTATCAGCAAGCCCAATGAGCTGGGCAAGCCTGTCTCCATCGATGAGGCCGAAGACCACATCTTCGGTCTTGTTCTGATGAACGATTGGTCTGCTCGCGATATCCAGGCTTGGGAGTACGTTCCCCTGGGACCCTTCAATGCTAAGAACTTCGGTACTACCATTACTCCCTGGGTTGTTCTGATTGATGCTCTCGAGCCATTCCGTGCTCAGGGTCTGGAGCCTGGAAACCGTGAAGGTCTCCTTCCTTACCTCCAGGAAAAGCGCGCCGAGAATGCCTACGAGATCCCGCTTCAGGTTGAGGTTACCAACAAGGGTGGTCAGCCTACAATTATCTCCAACAGCAACGCTCGCAACCTTCTCTACTCGTTCCCCCAGATGGTTGCTCACCACACTATCACTGGTTGCAACTTGAGATCGGGTGATTTGTTGGGATCTGGTACAATTTCCGGTACTGAGCCTAAGTCTCAGGGCAGTTTCCTGGAGCAGACCAATGGCAAGGTCCCACTTAAGCTTGCCGATGGCTCAGAGCGTATGTTCCTTGAGGATGGAGACACCGTAATCCTGCGTGGTCTTGCCGGTACCGAAGGCAACTATGTTGGTTTCGGCGACTGCGTCGGCACCATCTTGCCTCCAGTCTCCTTCTAAAGGAACATGAAACTAAAATAAAGAAATTGAATTCTGAATGACCACATATGATAACAAGATTGCTATTCCAGTGCAAATTGTAGCTACAGATAGATCACAATGACATGCATGATCCGAATATGACTCGCGTTTCCGCAACTGCCTCCTCAGTAGATCACCAATTCACTAGTATCCACGTAAATCAACGTAACTAAAGATCCCAGCTTCCATCATTTCCTAATCTTTCGCTCGCAACTCCTCAGGAGTATCAGGCTGGTTCTGCCAATGCCCCTTCTTCACAGCCTCAATCCCCTCCAAATTCCTAATAATTCCAAAAGTAACCGGGAAAACCTTGAGATCAACCCCAACCCGCTCCGCACCCCACGCAGCCGGAATCAAACAAATATCCGCAATAGTGATATCATCCCCGACGCTGAATTTCCCTGCAGACTTCGCCACGGTGGATTCATACGCACGCAGTCCATCCTCAATCAAATCCTTTGACCATGAAGTCCGGTCCGCACCCAGCGTGGCGACCCGCTTCAGAATCTTGAGGTTCGTCACCGGCTGCACGTCGCAGGCAATGATAGATGCTAGTGTGCGTGCTTGAGCGCGGGACATGGGGTCAGATGGGAGTAGTGCAGCTCCTGGGAATGCTTCGTCCAGGTATTCTAGTGCTGCCAGGGACTGGGTGATTGTCACTGGTGCTATGCCTTCATTTTCGACTATGAGGGCCGGAACGAGGCCAGATGGATTGATTTGTTTGTGGGCCGCAGAGGATTGTTCATCTTTAAGGAGGTTGACGAATATGGGCGTGAAGGGTATGTCTTTGAGGTGGAGGGCTATGCGGAGTCGGGCTGAGCAAGAGGAACGGAAATAGGTATAGAGTGTTATGGGCATTTTGATCTCGATGCTGGGGTTTGTGTGAAAGGCTTCCGTCTGAGGATTACTTTTACATTTTAATTTCAACGTAGGCCGGTTGTACAATACGAACCTTCGGTTTTCTGATGCCGCGATGTTCTGTATAGTGCGGAATCGGTCCCGTTGTGCCAGTTCCCGTTGATTTCCGCTTTAAGTGGGGCCTTTACCCCGCCTTTCACGCCAATCAACAGCTCCTACTCTAATGGTCTAGTCACAGATTTGATTTATGCAGGCCCCACCGACTAGCGCACTACATACAGCGTAGTATTGCTATGTGGATGAGCAGTTCCGTATGGGCGCCAGAACGACTCAATGAAAGTAACATTGATTGAAAAAGAGGAAACCCATACTAGCTGAAGATAGACTTTCGTATCACACTCCACGTTATGACCCTATGTTCAAGAAGAGACCCTTGGACGATAATCATGATTTCAGAAGGGGAGTATCTAAGACGGAAACACAACAACATGATTGAAGAAACCGTGGCATAATTACACAATATTCTATGTCCAACACAATGATTCCATTCTACTGGTTAGTCTGTTGTTGAAAACAATAATTGAATTCTTGTTATCTCAGTGCTAAGTGCTTCTAGTAAACAAGGCATACAAACGTTAAAACTGGAGAGAGCATTCGTGAAGAGCCTAAGTGAGCCTGTAAGTGGCATGATAACCAGGGAGAATTGAAAGATACAAGAGCAACGTCGTAAGTCGTACTTCGGTAAGAAGCATCGATGTCATCTTCAGTCCAAAATGATATGAAAGCAGCAATCATCGACCATGTTCCAGACTTGGCACAATGACAGGCCCATATTTGACGACATTCGCATATGCCCCTTCCCCTTGCACCATGAAGTCCGCCGCCAAGCTTAGCTTGGGCCTAGCCCCCGGTGGCGTGTTTGCGCCATAGGGAGTTGCAGCAACAACCTCAGGGTCGTAAGCGACGATAGCAACGTAATTTCTTCGACCCATAAGCTTGCGATGTTCGCGGGCTTGTCCATTTATATCCGTCTGGAAGATCTCCATCATGTCCTCCTTGGTATCCGTTGGTGAAGATGAGGACCGGTGACCGTTCGCGGGGATGTACAAAGGCTTATTGCTACTATGAAGCATTTTGACGACGTAGGATGGGGGTGGGGTGTTGACAGATGGTGATGAAATAAGCTGGTACATGGTCTTGTGATCGGAGGGATTGCTCGGGTCGTGAACAAGACCGGCACCGCAGACATTGACGGCACCAGAGAGGAAAGTCATTCGAAGGGATTTCTGGTGGGCGATCCCCTGCAGGGTGCGAATGAGATAGGTCCGTTCGAGATCCTGGAAAGAAATTGTGAGGAGGCGGTCGGACTTTCATTTCGGAGCTAAACATACCTTGGATTCGTGAGTCCATTGGTCACGCAACTCGTCCATCAGGTCAAACTCGCCAAATGGACTCAAGATCCCGCCCATCAAACCAGATTTGCCCACGGCACGCTTGACAGAGTCGAAGCCAGAACCAACAAACTCTTTAGCTCCTACTACACCGGCCACTGAGCTGGTGACCTTGCCGAGTAGATTATAAGTACCGGTGACAGCCCGCTTTCCTGTAGCAACGGTCTGGGCAATATGCTCGGCAGTTTCTAGTCGGGGGTATATCAGTGGTACCGAAACCATCCAAAGACAGTGTTGTACACTGGGTGGCAGCATCACAATCTTCGGGAAAAGGCCTTGGTAAGTAGGGCCAGCCATAACCTGGTGAGGGTTACGTTCTGAGCGACAGTCGGGCCCAATAACCACAACACCAGGACCCAAGTATTTGACAAAGTGCCAGCCAGTACCAGTGATCGTGAAGAGATCCATATCGTTATTCACATTGCGAAGAATGTCCAAGGTGGTATGGTGCTGGAACAGAAGGTACATCTCGATACCGATACGGCCAATGTTCTTGAACATGTTTGAGAATTGCATGTGTTCAGGATAGGAGCCGAAACCGTCAAATCTGTAGAAAATGTGAGCCACAAATACCTCAATAAAAAAGGTACAATACTTACATGTCATGATCATCGATTTGACAGACGTAGGGGATCTGAGCAAATGATTCACGGAGGTACGGTTGGTCAAAGTGGCTGGTATAGTAGTGGAAGTATCCATGAGAGACATCTTGTTGGTTCGCAGCTGTCCATGGAGCATTTTTTCTGGCTTCCTTTCCACTAATGGTCAGCCATTGTTTGAGGCATGGGATTTCTTTCCACATGCGATCCGCATAGATTTGTCCTCCCAAACACAATTGTGCGTGGAATCCACCAATCTCATTGTGCTTTTGCATAATGTCTTTCCACATGACACCTACGCCACCTAGGCGAGCTCGCTCATTTGCGTTGACATTGATCGAGAAGTCGTTCCCAGATGTTGCGATAAAACGCCAGTTGGTCTCATGTCGGCCTGCGACAAGGAACTCATAGCGGGTGCAGCCCAGGTGTGAGGTGATTGCATAAGTCCATTTTGCGGGTCCCATCTCCTCCATCTGAATGTCAATCTCGTACTTGTAGAATGTCCAGCGTTGGTGGACCGCAATGTTGACCGCTTTCAATTGTCTTGGGTTGGGAGACAGATCAACACTCTGGTGTAGGTGAATTGTGGGAGGCTGCGCAGCATCTGCCACTAGAAGAATTGAGCCCATCCAAATTCCGCGCTCGATGTCCATATTTGTGTATCGAAGATAGGGACCGAAATAGACACCATTCGTAGGGGCCGTTTTGTACATCTCCATGCCGCTGCTAGGTGGAGGTCCAGAGAAGCCGACCATAGGAGATTGAAGGCTTTCAAAACCCGGGGTTAAAGGCACTCCAGGAGAAGCCATGGGTTTTCCAAAAGCCGATAGCCCCGGTGATGCCATTGGATGACTACTATACACACTTCCAATGGGAGACATGGGAGTCTCATTCAGATTCAAGGGTGTGGGACCTTTCGGGAACTCCCACTGAGTGGACTGTGTTGCCAGGTGGATATAATAGTACTGGCCAGAATTTGGATCCATGTGCGCAATCCAGCCTTCTGGAAGGGGTGGAGGAGATGCGGGTGGAAGTCCAGCAGCTGGCCCGGGTGAGGTCACCTGTACTACCTGGGGGGCCTGTTGGAAAGTAGGTTTTCCATTAACCATAGGTTCCTGTGGCGACTGTCCAATGGGAGTCTGCTGACGAGGGTCGTTGGCAAAGGCTGGGTGATCCTGTGATGAGACCGTTGGGGCTGGGGAGGCCGCCGCAGCCATAGCAGGGTGGTTTTGACTAATATTGGCGGGATGCCCTGCCATGGCGGAACTAGCAGCTGCTCCGGCAGCCGCTCCAACAGCAGCTCCAGCAGCGATACTGCTCCGCTTTTCCGGTGGATAATTGTTTGCAGGTGCAGAAACGCTTGAGTAAGCAGGCGGGGGAGAGGAGCTCAAGCGCATTCGATCGAGATCTTGTTCTAAAGCATTGACTGGAACCCGAGACTGTGGCGACTGCTGCTGTTGCGATTGCGGCTGGAACGGGGGCTGCTGGGGTTGGGGAGGTGTCTGCGCCGGATGGGGTTGCGGCGGTGGGCTGCCATGTTGTGATGGATGAATTGGGCTGTGTTCATCACCACTTACAACATCTGCGCCTTGGTACACCGTAGGTGGTCCATGCGGCTGGGAGCCCGGCTGTTCAGTAGGCGTCCATGGCCTTTGTGTTGCGGGCTGTTGTGGTGGAGTGGGTTGTTGTCCAGCATACTGTGCCGCACGTCTTTGCGCTGCAGCGCTTTGTGACTGCAGACCAGCGAGTGTTCCAGTGCCAGCAATTCCAGAGGCAGCATAACGAGCTTCGATATCCGAAGTAGGATGCTGGCCCGGACCCACTATGGGAGTCTCTGGTGGCGGCGGAGATCCACGCTCAGCACGGGTGGTGGAGGTCGACGCCGTCGAATTTATTCGATTAATTCCACCGGATTGTGGAGGATGAAGGGCAGAAGGAGGCCGGGCAGAAGAGGGTCGCGAGTTGGCCCGCTGAGGAGGTGGAAAGTATTGCTGGCGATAATCATATTGAGGTACCTCTGGCGCCACGTTCGTCGGAGCGGGAGCAGCCGCTGGAGGACGAGGATATTGTCTGGCTGCCAACGTTTCCCGATCTGGCGCATCTGGGCCTGGTGATTCGGGTAACGGTTTCGGTGCAGCCCCTCGTCGCTCGGCCAGCGTCGCGACTCGTGGCTCACGGCCATCGCGCGGGCGCAAAGCCGGGGGATAATCGGCGGGGCTCACTGAGCCCGATCCCGATCCTACGGGCGGAGATCCATATCTAGTTGGGTCGGCGAGACGCCCATCATTGGAAGACGAGCTGCGCATTTGGGGACGAGGTCTGTCATCGGGGTACGGCAATGGAGCGTTGGGTGGACTATTGGCCGATGCTGGGGAGGCCGAGTCTCTTTTGTTGATTCTCAAAGGCTCAACCTTGGGCGACTCGTCGGGCCTGTTCGAGGAGTTATTAAGGAACAACTCCTCGTCCGGATGAATGCCACGACTGTCGCCGGGGTTCATTCTGCAGGATGAGACGATCTGGTGCCAAAATAGAAGTTGCAGGATGCACGAAGCCACCCGGGAATTTATTTTAAATGCCTGGTCACAGGGCTAAGCGCCCTTGGTGATTTTGCTGTGACTGTCTAAGCAACAACAGAGCGGGGCATCACGACAGGTCTGTCTGATTCGCTGTTTCAGGGGGACTCCAACGTGGGTAGATAGGTGATTGGTGGCGGGGTAGCACATCCTAGGCGCTTGGAGAGCTGAAGGCAACTTCATTACGGCCCAATCCTTTTCCAAGGTTTCGATGATTCCAATCATACGAGAGATCTGGTCATCGATCAAAAGAACAAGACTAATTCAATTGAACACGAGAAAGCGAGAGTTTTGGAGCAGGGAAATGAAGTCCTGTAGTAAACAAGGGAACCCTGGCACGGTGAGGGCTCCGCCTCCGATAACAGGACCCTGATAGTCAAGCACCTCTGGCCTCCTGGATTTCCTTCACACAAATTCTGAGCAAGTGAGACATAATTAGAAAACTTAGCCACGCGACCAATGTTCTCTATTGTCACCTCTGATCGGTAGTAAACTGGTCGTTGCTCTTTGCCTGATCACATATGGCTCTATCTTGTCCCTGGGTGCAGGCTATATATACATTTCCATTAACCAAGGACCCAAAACATCACGTCCATGAATCCTTGCTCAGGCGTACATTTGAGTACTTTAGTTACCCACATAGATAACAGTAAAACTAACATTGGAACATTTCTTTTACACTCACGTATAGGTATTGCGAATATTGGAATCCTCGGAGAGTTGACTACCTTAAATTATGTATCGCAACTTGGAATGCGACTAGTGAGGTTAGCTCATGTGTAAATTACGTAATCATCGGCATGACCGATCCGAATGTTTAACCACTTGTACAAATTAGTTTGCGCTTCATCACATCATGGCTTCTCTTCGACTCCAGGGATTGCGCTCCGTCATTCGGGGTCAATGTAGCCCTCTGCGGTTCCAGCAGCGTCGCTGGGCTCAGGTCCACGATGTTCGCTACCTCGCCTCGCACCATGACCCCAACCACATCTTGGACAGGTATCGGTCCAAGCTGGACCAGAAGGCCAAACAGTGAGTTCTGGGGATTCATGACCTTGAAATGCTTCACTGACGAATTGTTTGTCCCCATTTAGAGAAGGACATGAATCAATCGAATCCCTGAAGGAGGCCTACAGCGAGAAGATTCAAGATTTGCGCGTTAAAGCATCCACCGTGACCACCCCAGAGCCGGAGGCGCCCGCTTCCAACGCCGAACAACCCACAGCCGCCAAAGCTCCTATCGCCCATGCTGCCCGCGAAGTGTCCGGCAAAGCAAGCCCCATCAAGCCGCTCAGCACATATCTGGATGTCGAGAAGATCCGCGAGCTCCCTCCCAAGGAAGTCGAGGCCCTCTGGCGCCTTCGCTTCGCCAGCAGCCCCACCTCCATCTGCGCCGCCATTCCCCTCGAAATCTATCAGCGTATCATGAGCGCAGCGCGCCAAAACCCACAATTCGTCCTCCCCCTACCCCGTCCGTCAGCTGAGGGAGAGCAAGAAACCCAGGCCGATATCCACTTCCTCCAGTGGGCATTCCACCCACCGGCAAGTGAACCTGTGGCGCCTTCTGGCGAGACAGTCAACACCCATGTTTCCACCGTGATCTTTACCCACCTCGGTGCCTTTAAGATGCATGGTGCATTTGCTCAGCCGCACACCACTATCACACACTACTTGGATTTGGCGGATGATAAGGGACTTGTCCTGATGCACGGCCAGGTTGTGCCTGAACGTGGTGTATCCACCATGGAGGCTACTTGGCTTGCTAGCTGTGTGCAGCGCTTCTATGATTTCGAGGGCCAGGCGAGTGGCCGGAAGAGTGAACTCGTTCGCATGTTCACCCAGGGAGATACTGAGAACTTCAAGGTTGAGGAGTTGATGGCCGAAGCTGAGAGAATCCAGTAGATTTCCTGTACCATTCCAGGTGCCCTGTACTATATGTCACATTACATAAATAGAACGTCTAATGCCAAAAGGTCTTGGTGGCATTTGTACTCTTCTTTCTTCATGGGATGGATGCTTTCAAAATGAAGATATCAATTTTCTTGAAGTGCAATAGACTAAGATAATTGCGATGTATAATGGCCAACTGCAACAAAGGTACTCTCTATTGAAACTCTCTCGCGGTTCCCAAAATCACTAATTCAAAGCTTCGACTTCTTACCTGTGACATTGGCGACCTCCTCACCAGACAAAAGGAAGTCGGGGTACTGGAGGTTACCCTGAGAAGTAGTGCCTCCAGAAACACGCCAGTTGGCACCATCCACTATCTCACGTCAGTTGTCAATCTTGGAGTCATAAGAAATTTGTGTATCATACCAACTAGTGTCTGACCGCTGACATAGTTTCCAGCGTCCGAAAAGAGATACACAGTTGCGTCCGCAATATCCCGTACATGGCCTACGCGGCCCAGAGGCTGACTCTTGATGTATGCTGCCTTGGCATCTGATGGAAGTAAACGCTCCAAGCCCTATGAAAATCGTCAGAACAAATATTCTCGAATGGTAGGATATAGGTGTGATAGACTGACATCTGTTGACTCAATAGGCCCCGGGGCAATGATGTTAGATGTCATGCCGCGAGGACCATACTCGATAGCGACGGAGTTCGACAGAGAGTCGATGCCCGCCTTGGCGACGGACACATGAGCCTGGAAGGGCATGCCACGGTAGTGGAGGGTAGCGCTGACAAAGATAATTCTACCGCCAGTACCCAGTGGGCATGGATTGACTATGAGTCACGTTAGATAAAACCGTGCAATGGTTCTGAAGCTTGACTTACGTTCAGAGTCGACTCTGTGTTTCTTACCCGACTCGATGAGATAAGGTAGAGTAGCCTTGAGCGTATTATAAGAGCCCAAGACATCGATATCCATGACAGACTTGAAAGCATTGACCGAAAGTTGCTCAATAGAGGCCAAGAAGTTGCCGGCGGCACCGGCGCTGTGCGAATTTTAGCAGACAGCCATGAAGATATGGACCATGGGGCATACCTACATGACAAAGTCAATACCACCGAGCTCCTTGACACAGCGGGCCACAGCATCTTTCAAGCTGTCGAATTTGCGAACATCCACTGCACCGATACCAATCACTTTGGCACCGGGGCGGAGAGTCGCCATCTCCTTAGCGGCGCTCTCGGTTTTTTCGACATTGCGACCGATGATACACGCATTGGCACCTAGGTGAACAAGTGCCTTGACCTGGGCGCTACAAATAGTACCCGCGCCGCCGGTACAGAAGACCACTTTGTTTGCTGTGTTGGATGTTAGTCAAGCGGGTCGGGGGTCTTGACCAGACTTAGGGATTATTAGGTGGATTTACCAAAGATGCCATCCTTCCAGGTATCGCTCATGTAATCTTTCTTCTGGAGCGGCATCTCGAGATGTGTCAAATTGGTCTTTAAGCTTGGAAATAAATGACGATAGCAGGAAAGACTGATATATAAAAGGGAGTGTAACACCGTCGCCTTTTCCCCACAGCCGCGGTTCGGCCTCGGCTCATTCGGGGAATGACACCGCGCATAGTTATGCCCAGCTACATAATCCACGGACATGATTTTCAACACGAAGATATGTTTAAGTGTGGGGAAATTTTCATGTTGCCCACTTCTATGTAAATATACAATGTTTAAGCCTTATATATTCTTGTCAATCCAGTCGTCATTTAGATAGCATTAAATGTGCTCTTGTTTTACTGTGGTAGAGTACCTGATGACGCAGGGGTCGAGCCTGTTAAATTTACGCTGAGCGCCTTGGACATGAGAGAAAAAAATCTCTATAACCGTTAAGATTGACTCTCCACATCGATGATTTATCGTCAAATCCAATGGACTAACATTGTAGTAAAGGAGGGAGCACGATGAAGCACCAACGGCTGCTGATTGGCCCAAGTCGGGGTCTGGCGTCACTTCCGCCCAATTCACTTTTCTTTCTCAACTATAGATTCGCGCATCAATCACCCCAGCCCACTTTTATCCACCCATTCTGTTTGGATAATCCGTGAATACCCCCTATAAAGCGCCATGGCCTGCCCTATAACTGTCACCAAGTTTGTTGGGACCGTGTCTCTCGGTCTGCTGACGGTAAGCACATCCTGAGGATGACTGTTTCGCGCGACAGTCTCGGTCTCGGTCGCAGTCTCTAACTAATCGGTCCATCATGAACTTAGGGCATGTCTTACTCCAATGCCTCAATCACCATCCCTGCTCTCAAGCTCCTCCCCTCCTCCACCTCTGCCTCTCGCTGCCTCAATGAAGTGAAGCGCCTAAGCCGCAAGCATGCGCTGCGCCTTTCCAGCTTGACCAATACATGCATTCTCTTCGCCTACTCCATCTCTCCACCACGCCGCCAACATCCATACCTCGTCTGGATGTGCGTGGTCTCCACAGTCAGCTCTTATGGCCTTGACCTGTTCTTTAACCGACATATGGGCCTTAAGAATTGGACTCTTGCCATCATCCAAGACACTACCGGTCTGAGTCTCGGGCTCACACCCCCTTCCAAGAAAGAAGATGACTTAGTGATGGTTGATGCTGAGGAGGATGTCAATGGGGAGACCGTGCAGCGCGACATGGACCGAGAGCGTCGGCTGCAACGTGTGCGGACCTGGCTGGCTGGGCTTGCACTGTCAATGGGCATTGTTGGTCTTTGGGGAGATAAGAAGTGATGGGAATGTTTATTCACGAGCTCCTGGGGCTTTGAATGCCTAGGTTGATATCTTACCTATTCTTTCGGGACTGGGTCGACTTTTTTTTTCTTGTTAATTTAGGCGCTATGGACACTGGATGTTGATCGCACTGTTTTCTCTCGTGGGCTTTTACTCACATGGGCCATGGTCAGGCCTGAATAAACGGGTCGACCTTTGAATGGCACAATTTACTATGCGGCTTAATGCTCGCTGAGTACAATGACTCGCTTCCACATCGGCATGAAGCCAACGTAGATATATTCCAAAAACCGTGCCGAACACCTTGAAAGACCAGTATTCGGTATCAATTTCAGTTCAAGGCTAGTGTAACTGAGCCTTACGAATTTCACACCGGCAGCCGTTTATCCGAGCTGATCTACGGGGTTTGATAAGTGTCGCTTTTGAGTGGATGACACACCGCCACATGATGTAGAAAAGCGGTGGTGGGGGTGGGGGTGGATCGCCTCCCCGAACTATAGCAACGCTTCACGGGGTAAAGCTATAAGAAGGCCTCTGGAGCCACACAGTAAAAGAACCTACAATCCTTCAGCTTGTCAATATCTCTGCAATGCATGCTCATCTGCTGCTGGCAATTCCGCTCCTTTATGTTGGGCTTCAAGTCCTTCTCAGGCTCAGCAGAGCCATTTCTTCTCCGTTGAAAGGCATACCCGGTCCGTCCTGGGCTCGCTTCACCTCTCTATGGTACTTTAATCGAGTTCGCAAAGGGAAATTCGAACACGACAACATCGAGCTCCACCAGAAGTTTGGCCCGGTCGTCCGTGTTTCCCCAGATCATTATAGCATCAGTGACATCTCCGATATAAGAACAGTTTATGGAACTGGCTCCAAATTTCCTAAGTCTGCATGGTATGATGGCTGGAGACATCCTAAGTTGTGGACAGTATTCGCAGATCGCGACATCAAGAGACATTGTTAGTTGCGATATTTATTTTATGAATCAATTTGGATTTATCCCGGACAAGAAGCTAATAGGAGTATAGCTGATAACCGAAAGCGTTTCACTGGGTTATACTCCATGAGCTCAGTGGTGAACTACGAGCCCTTTGTGAATCGCTGCATCGATATATTTTTCCAACGGCTGGACGAGTTTGCGGATCGAGAGCAGGTTTTCAATCTTGGGCACTGGTTCCAGTGTTATGCATTCGACGTGATTGGAGATATCAGTTTCGGTCAAAGATTTGGTAAGTCTTCTCCACTGAAGAAACCCCATATGGTTTGTCAGGTATACTGAGCATTTCTAGGATTCTTGGACGATGGCAAGGACATCGACGGCGCCATCAGCGCAGTACACCAGATGTTGATGTACAGCACCCTAGTCGGAATCTACCCTGAATGGCACCAACGTCTCTTTGAGGCCCTGAGCAAGTTTAAAAGCTCTGGTGCAGCTGGCAGAGCCTATATAGCCAAGTTCGTTCGAGACAAGATCGACCATCTGGAGCAAGAGCGCAACGGTGGGGATAAACCGGCAACGGAAACATCCAAGACCCCAGACTTTTTGACCAAAATGATGAAGGCTCGTGATGAAAATCCAGAGAAGGTGACTGACTATCATCTATTTATCATGGGCCAGTCAAATGTAGCGGCTGGATCCGATACCACGGCCGTCAGTCTATCCGCTATAATGTGGTACCTCTTGAACAGTCCAGAGGTACTGCGCAAACTCCGTAATGAGATCCATGAGTTTACCCAGCAGGGTCGCTGCAGTGTCAACATTACCTTCAATGAAACACAGGAGATGCCGTACCTTCAGGCGGTCATGAAGGAAGCTCTCCGCTTGCATCCCGCCACCGGTCTACCCCTGTGGCGAGTGGTTCCTGCCGGTGGCGCACAACTGAGCGGTCGGTTTTTCCCAGCTGGGACAGTCGTTGGAATAAATTCCTGGGTTGCGCATTATGATGAGCAAGTATTTCCTGATGCGAGGGCATTCCGACCAGAGAGGTGGCTGGAATCAGAAACAGAGCCGGAGAAGCTGAAGGAGATGAACCAGATGTATATGCCTGTAAGTTTGAATTGTCCTTCAGCTTTTCGACTTTTCTATGAGATACATTGGCTAACAAAGAATAACAGTTTGGATTGGGTTCGAGAACGTGTCTTGGAAAGCATATCTCCATTCTGGAGATGTCTAAATTGATTCCCCGTATGGTACGCGACTATGATTTGACCCCATTACGAGCAACTATGGCCACGTCGAATTTTTGGTTTGTGAAGCCAACAGATTTTGATGTGCGTGTTTCTCAGCGAGCTAAGGAGCCCATCGCATAAAGATGTCGAAATTGAATGTTATATTGTCATCCCTTGCGTCAGATCTAGATCTTAAAATATACGTGTATACGGAAAGGTCATGAGGACGATTTTTTCCATTTGCACAGACAACGATGCAATATAGTCACCTGCATAATGGATAGATCAGTTGCAACATATCAAATTTTACCTAGATCAACTGAAATTCGCCATAAAACCATCAAAACTTCATAGCATTGAAAGCTAGAAGTCAAGGTTGTGTTGGACTTGGTTGTGAGGATCGACGGGAGGCCCGTGCAAAGAGTGCAAACCCGCGACCGTGCGCCCGTCACACTCCAAAACGCGCCCCATCCATCAGTATCTTGTACCCCATGTAACTTGGTCTATGGCAAATCGGACATGTTCATTGATCTCCTGCATCAATGAATCCTGGTGCGAGATCCTGGACCAATCAGATCCCCAACTCTACCATTTCTATCCTTTGAAGAGAGCCTCACTTCACGCCCTTCTCTAGCTCTCTTTCTTCGATCCTGAAATCCTCCCCCTCCCAGGACATCTCCCCGGAAATCCTCGGGTGGCAGCTTCGATCTCCTTTCAAAATTTTCTGGAATCGCCTTTATCACGACTTACGATTTCCCCTCGGGTTTTTTTGCTAGTTCCTTGGTAGCCCGATCGGCCGATTCGCCTCTAGGAACCTGACGACTGGACACGAAGATCATCTGAAACCCTCCCCAACCACACACCCCGGACCACGCCGTGACCCAACCTTAGCTATATCTGAACCGCGATCGCTTATTTTGACCATACCATGCTCTAGCGGCGCACTCGCAATACCGCCGCGCTCGATATTTTCACGCTCGTCCTCCTCCCCCACTCAGCTGGCGGCGTGCCCTGCGCCCTTCTCTTTGGATCCGCATCCACAGCGCCCCGCACATCGATGAGGCCTGCTTGTCAGAAACCCATCAAAATCTATAATCGAACCCTTTGATCAACCGTTGAGTCACCGCCTTTCCGGATCGTGCTCGCGCACTCGGATCCAAGCTCCGCACACTAGCGACGGCGTGACCATACGACTACAGAACACAGCTGCACCTCACAGCTGCTTACGATAAGCTTCACGACGATTGATGGTGACCTACGCTGGATTCTCGCGATCCATAAAATCCCAGCTGGCTGTGACTTGATCGCGCCCCGCCGGAGGGATTCGACCAGGCCTCGGATCAGCAATGCCCGTCCGGGAGCATGACCAAGCTGACCGTCAGGGCTCTGAGAGCTCTGGGAATACCAGCTACAGATCACAAGAAACAGTGCGAGATAGCGAGGGACCAACCAGGAATCCGACTAAGTCAGCACCTACTGGTCGTGATGCCGAACCGTTCCCCGGCACCCTGATGGCAAGGTAAGCATCGAAACCTCCGATGATGAGCCCGGTGAATCGGTTTGGAGCTGCAGAAAATACAGCCATGTTATGGCCCATGTACTAATCTTAGACAGATCCGGATCGTCACAAGCTCCGCGAATCGACTGGGGGTCTTCACATTGGTCATGGAGTTCACCGGATATTTCGCCCACCGAAGAACGCAAAGGCTCTGGCTTCAGCAAGGATCGAAAAGCGCTCGCGATTCTTGGGGCTGGTGACGATTTTTCACGATCCTTTAATTCCAGCCCACAACCCACAACTACCAACCCCGGTCGTTCCAGTCGAGATGGACTTGATTCGATCGCACCATGGGCAACGACAGCCGGTTCAGATGGAGCTGGGACCTTTTTCAATGACTACTCTGAGCATGAGGCATCTCCAGCGTCTGCAACATTTCGCCCGACAACAGGACGGACTTTCGCCAGTGAACCAGCTGAGATGGATTACAACCGAGACCATCGGAGACCATCCACTGCGAGTATGACAAGCAGCCAAGGATCCAAATCAAGTATCCATAAATGGGGGAGGAAAAAGTCTAAAGCAACTACTGATGAAAACACGGCTTCCGACGAGCCGGATGATGGCCAGCAGAATCCCCCAAGCAGACGAGGAGGACCTATCGACCAATTGAAAGCTCGTGAACGAGCAAATTCCGACGGGTCAGACCCGTCACAGCGGCCTTCGCGACCACGAGCTGAAACTCCCCTACCATCCAGTGATATCACTCCTTGGGTGTACCAGAATATAAAGGATGTCTCCCATTATGGGGAAGCACCTGTGCGCCAAGTACCTATCGGACCTGATGGTCAACGACTTGAATCTCGTGCTGGAACGAACTCTGGAACTCGGGATTCTAGTCGACGCGGGGCCAATGGACATAGACATTCTCGGAGTAAGGAGGAACGACCCACGCTTGCAGGTGACCTGGCTGGCTACCATCGCCCCTCTGGTGGGCGCGATGACCTTTTTTTGGGACTCAAGCCCTCCAATGACAGCTATCTCACCTCCAACACTGCTATGAGTTCAGTCACCAACCTTGGTGGTCGGTCTGCGAGTCCGACTCCAAGCGTGCAGAGCGCTATCTACCGTGATAGCGGCCAAAGTTCTCCAGGTGGTCCGCCAACAAAACGCGGCATTTTTGATCGGGTGGCAAGACACCTTAAGCCGGGATCTCACAAGCCCCACGATAAGAGCAAGCGCGATCAATCCCCTAATCGCCGCAGACAGCCTAGCCTTGAAGGAGTATCTACTCCCCGTCATACGGACCCAGCGGAGCCTGAGCGGAAGAAGGAGTCTGGCAAAGGGCTTGGCATTGCTGCGCGCAAGTTTCCTCGGCGCGGCTTTACTCATTTGGGAGAAATACCTAAAGATGGGCCATCCCAAAAAGATGACAGTCATGTTTTCAAGCTCAACACAGATCTCACGGATCTCAATGGTATTGTTCGTACCGACCAAGGGTTAATGAATCGTGGCCTGGACGGCACAACTACGCCACGCGAAGAACTCAACCTACCTGACATGTTGCAGCCAGATCAATTTGTCGACGATAGCTGGCACGCGCCCGATAGTTGGCAAGTTAAGAAGCAACAATATGACATGGAACTGGAAGCACAGGATACCGCACCGAAGCCTACTACAGGCCTCCGTGATCGTGACGGACCCTCCTATTTCATTCGAGTCTTCCGCATAGACCATACCTTTGCCACGCTTTCTGCCGGCCTGAATTCGACAGTCGCTGAAATTCTCTATATGCTTGGCCGAAAATCGTTCTTGTCTGATCACCTGAACAATTATGAAATCGTTCTGCGGACAAACGATCTGTCACGGCAACTTGACCACAAAGAGCGCCCGATTCTCATGCAGAAGCAGCTTTTAGAAAAAGTCGGATACACCGAAAAGGACCGGATTGAGGATATTGGTCGCGAGGACCACAGTTATCTCTGTCGTTTCATCTTCCTGCCTACGAAGTTAAGCGGATATACTAGCCTGGAAGCTGACCCTGGCTTCAGCAAGATGCAGAAGTTTAGCCATGTGGATCTACAAGGGCGAAGCCTTGTTACCATTCCCATCACTCTTTACAAGAAATCTTCGGAGATCATCTCCCTTAATTTGTCTCGGAATCTATCACTGGATGTGCCCAAGGACTTCATTCAAAGCTGCATCAATCTGCGAGAGATCAAATTTATTGGGAATGAGGCTACATACTTGCCGACCAGTTTCAGTTTGGCGAGTCGATTGACTTATCTTGATGTGTCCAATAACTTCTTGGACCAGTTGGAACATGCACGCCTCGACCGACTAACCGGCCTTGTGAGCATCAAGTTGGCAAATAATCAGTTGACGACACTGCCCAGCTATTTTGCAAAATTCCAGTCTCTTCGAAGCTTGACCATGTCTTCCAATAGCTTCAAGGTTTTCCCGGAATGTCTCTGTGAGCTGAAGAGTTTGGTTGACCTGGACATCAGCTTTAACGGCATTGAAGAGCTACCGAATATTGGTCGGTTAACCACGCTGGAGCGACTCTGGATGACGAATAATAACATGAGTGGCCCCCTTGACCAATCCTTTCAGAAGCTTGTGAACCTAAAGGAGATCGATGGGCGCTTCAACGCGGTCTCAAATATTGATAGTCTCTCTCGGCTTCCACGGCTGGAACAAGTATTCTTTGGCCATAACTTGGTATCCAAGTTTAAGGGAGCGTTCCCGAGACTGCGCAGCTTGCACTTGGATCACTGTCCCTTAACCCAATTCGACATTGACGCACCCATGCCTACCCTATCTTCTCTCAACCTTGCATCTGCCAAACTCTCCCAGTTTCGCGACGGGATGTATGAAAACATGCCTAATGTTTCTAAGCTGATTTTGGACAAAAATCATCTTTCATCAGTTTCTGTACAAATTGGCAAGTTGCGTCGCCTTGAACATTTCAGTATCATCAAGAATCCGCTCTCATCATTACCTCCCACCATTGGATGCTTGACCGAACTTCGGGATTTCAATGCAAGAGAGTGTAATCTGAAGGCACTGCCTGAGGAGATCTGGCACTGCTCCAAGCTTGAAACTCTTAATGTGTCAACCAATATCCTGGCAACTTTCCCCAAGCATGGTGCACCAATTCCGTTAGTGCCCGGGGAACCACCGCCAACCCCCGTGACAACCCCTGGAGTGTTGGGCAATCCTAGCTATGAAGAGTTAGGACCACTAAATGAAGTGGACACTCGCCGGGAAAGCGAAAGCTCTGGCGGGCCTCCTACATCAGGTACATCGCCAAACGGATCCTATCGAAACCCGTCAATTGTTCCATCCGTTGGTCAGTCCAGAAAAGTTTCGGCAGCATCTCGATCGGCCAATACAGAAGGGAGCTCGAACTCTAGAAAGGACTCATACTTCTCCCAGCAAGGCGCAGCGATCACGTTTTCGGGTTCTCTTCGAAACCTGTATCTTGCTGATAACCGCCTGGAAGATGATGTGTTCCGTGAACTGATTCGCCTTCCTGAGTTGCGAATCGTCAACCTCTCTTATAACGAATTAACTGAGGTACCCCCGGGGGTTCTAAGACGATGGCCATTGATCTCAGAGCTTTACTTGTCTGGCAATGAGCTGACCTGCCTTCCGTCTGACGACCTGGAAGAAATCAATCAACTTAAGGTTCTCCATATAAACGCGAACCGCTTCCAGGTTCTGCCAGCAGAATTGTGCAAAGTCAGCAAGCTATCTATCCTTGACGTTGGAAGCAACGGTCTGAAGTACAATGTCTCCAACTGGCCTTATGATTGGAATTGGAACTGGAATCGCGGTCTTAAGTACTTGAACTTTTCAGGTAATAAGCGACTTGAGATAAAACCCAATATTTCGTCCTTGGGCCCACCTTCCGGCAATGGTGCAGATCTCACAGACTTCACATCCTTGACCCATCTGCGGGTCTTAGGGTTGATGGACGTGACTCTTACAATCCCCACCATTCCAGAGGAAACGGAAGACCGCCGTGTGAGAACGTCTGCCTCGTTAGCTGGCTCCTTGGCCTATGGAATGGCGGATACGCTGGGCCGGACCGAGCATCTTTCCATCATCGACATGATTGTCCCACGTTTGAAGCCAGATAATGTTGAGACCTTGGTCGGCATGTTCGATGGCCAAATCAACTCGAGCGGTGGTTCTCGAGTTGCAAAGTATCTACATGAGCATTTCACGCCTACCTTCTCTCATGAGCTGAAAAAGCTTCACCCTGATCAGGGTGAAACCCCCGTTGACGCGTTACGACGGGCTTTCCTGGCCTTGAACAAAAATATGGCAGGGTCTGCCTACAGGTCGATTGATGACCGCGAACTTCGCCAATATCATCGCGGGTCCAATGCTTCCAAACAACTCAACCAAGACGACATTCAGTCTGGTGGAGTTGCAACCGTGTTGTACTTGAACAACATGGAGCTATATGCTGCAAACGTCGGTGATGCGCAGGCAATCCTTGTCAAGTCGGATGGTTCGCTCCGCTATCTCACCAAAGTTCACGATCCCGCTGAAGCGACTGAACGAGCTCGTATCCGTGCCGCAGGAGGTTTCGTGGCCCGCAATGGCAAGCTCAACGATACTCTCACGGTGTCTCGATGCTTTGGCCATTTCCCGATGATGCCAGCCGTTATTGCTGCCCCTTCCACCATGCACACAACCTTGACAGAGCAAGATGAGATGATAATTTTAGCTTCAAAAGAGCTTTGGGACTATGTGACGCCCGAGCTTGTCGTCGATATAACACGTGGGGCGTACCCAGATCTCATGTTCGCAGCTCAAAAACTTCGAGATTTGGCCATCTCATTTGGTGCTACCAACAAGCTAATGGTAATGATCCTTGGCGTGAGTGAGCTCCAGAAGAAGCAAAAGAAGTGGCCAAGGCCCAGCGTCTCCTTAGGCCCTTCTGCCTTCCCAGAAGATCAGCTCATTTCTACATCCAAGCTTCGCAAGAAGCCTCGTGATATCCCTAGTGATTCTCGTCTTGCGCGGTTCGATTATGTGGATGCTCCCATTGGTGAGCTGGCCATCATTTTCACCGATATCAAAAAGTCAACCGGCCTCTGGGAAGCGTGTCCAGATGCCATGCGCTCAGCTATTCAGATCCATAATGATATTCTCCGACGACAACTTGGCATTATCGGTGGTTATGAAGTTAAGACAGAAGGTGATGCTTTCATGGTGGCATTCGCAACGACCACTGCTGCTATGCTGTGGTGCTTCAACTGTCAAAACCAGCTTCTTGAAGCTGAGTGGCCCACCGAGATACTTGAGCAGCCACAGTGTCAAGTCGTTGTGGACATGGACAACAACATCATATTCCGTGGTCTGTCTGTCCGCATGGGCGGACATTGGGGCGAGCCAGTTTGTGAGAAAGACCCGGTGACTAACCGCATGGACTACTTTGGCCCCATGGTGAATCGAGCGTCTCGAGTTTCTGCTGTCGCCGATGGTGGCCAGACATTTGTGTCATCCGACTTCATGAGCGATATTCAGCGCAATCTGGAGATCTTTGCTGATGCCGAACGTTCCGCGTCAACCAGTTCCACCGATAGCCAGTCGCGAGTAGACAGTCTTGGCCACAATATTCGTCGTGAGCTACAGCAACTCAACAGTCAGGGTTTCGTGATCAAAGATCAGGGCGAGAGAAAGTTGAAAGGCCTGGAGAATCCAGAACCGCTCTTCCTTGTCTACCCGCATTCGCTTGCCGGTCGCCTCGCTGCCCAGGAAGAGGCCAATGATGCAGGTGGCCCGGCTCAAGTCACGCCTAACTCAGAACTGCAGCTCAAGACCGATCTGATCTGGCGTCTTTGGGAAGTCACCCTCCGACTGGAACGAATTTGTGGTGCTCTGGAGAATCCAGCCAATCCACAGCTTAGAGAGCCAAATGTTGCTCTGTTCAACATGGTCAAAAATCACGGTGGTGAATTGAACGATTCCACGGTAATCAGCCTGGTTGACCAACAAGTCACTAGAATTGAGGTAATTATTTCTTTCTCCGCCCCCTATCCCTGTCACATTATATTAACAAAGTTTCCAGGCAACCATCAATACTCTTTCTGTGCGAAACATGATGCGTCCTTTCAAACCAGGCGATCGTCTCGAAGACCATGCCGTTCCCATCGGCGAAGTGATGCAACAATTGCACACTCAAATGGCCGAATACCGCGCCCTGAAAGAGCAGATGGCCGGCAATGGGAATGCAGGCATTCCCGTCGGATCCCCTCCATTCGGTGGCACCCCTATTATGCATGCCGCTGAGAGTAACGCGAGTAACGACACATCCTCCTCATCCTCCTTCCTCAGCCTTTCTGGGGCAACCGACGCTCGCTCTCTTGATACTCCGCGCAATTCTCATTGATCATTGATCGATGCTTTCATTTTCGCTACTATAAATTCCCCTTCTTAATTCCCTGGCTCAGACCAGTCATCTTTCATCTTTGGTTCGGCTTTCGTTTTCGCGTCACGTTTTATGGACGGCGTCTTTTGGCTGAGGATTTTTGGTTCTCTACGAAGCATAGGGCATGGGGCATGGAGGTTATTTTCGTTTCGAGACTTTTACCTTTCGCTCTCCTTTGCTCTGTATTTTTGATTTAAATTCTGGGGGTGCCCAGGTGTATTTCGCAAGATCTGTGAATAAATATTCTACACATATACCTCAGACTGTGGTTGGAAGCATGGTGCAAGCGTATTAAACGTAAGCCGTATAGTAAGGTGTTCAGCTTAAAACGTGGTTATGAATAGATCTGATTTTTCTTCGGCAAATGCTGAACTTGACGAATATGATAGGACTACGCAGATACTAGCCTAGGAGGACCAGACAGTTGTGAATTAAATGATTGATTGATTTGAGATGCCCATCAAATTTAGGCTTGATGCGGTTTCTTCACATGAATCACATCTTGCCGACCACTTGAGAAAGTCTAGTCTATACGACTTAGTTCTGGCCCGACCGACTACCTCCGCGAACCTGAGTCCGAGACTGCCCAGCGGCCGAAGTGGCCGCAGTGATAGGCTTTGCCGAACCACCGCCAGGAAGCTTAACAGTCTTTCCCTTCAACCAGGTGTTCACAGTAGCATTATAGTATAGAGTGTGTCCCTGGCTGTGAATATTCTTCAAGCTCGTAAGAGAATCGGTGAAATTCTGTACAACAGTATTTGCCGTCATAGTCCAGGTACTTGTGGCATCGAGATTAACACCAAAGGTGGCATCTCCATATCCAGAATAAGCGGTACCAGTCCAAGAGCTATGTTTAGCCAGAGACCAATCAATAGAGCTTCCATTGTACGCAACAAGATCACCAGTCATATCAGACTCGGTGACAGAGATAGTCACCTGCGCAGGAGATAAAGCGCTGTTATCAGCGTATCCAGCATAGTAATCGAAGTCCTGAGTGATCTGCGAGTAATTCGCTACAACCAGGATGCCCGACTTAGTAACAAGCTGAGAATTGTCCAAGTAGGCCTCAGCAATGAGATTTCCAAACCATAATCCTGGCATCTCAGAACCAGTGGTTGTGAACTTGGTATTGGTGAGGTTCAACACCGCTCCACTGTTAATGACAGAGCTGCTGAACATAGCAACCCCACCCAACAGACCGGCAGTACAATCACAGTCGACCAACTCGGTGGTCTGAGCACCATCGGAGAAAACGACAGGTCCGTTCTCTGACAGACTGACCACATTGGTAGCGTGGATCTCGCCGAGTGCGTAAAATGTAGCGGACCCGATACCGGCTGCGTGTGCTACGCTGTCGTAGACGTAGATGTACCCACCCGGCGAATCACCCGAGAAACTAGAGGAGCGCTTGCCTCCAGAGTAGACGTCGATGTTGCGGCCGATGATGGTGCCGTTGCCTGAGGCATATAGGCCGTGGCTGACTGGGCCGGAGGAGTATAGCCAAGCATTGTTGACGTTAACGACGGTGTCGGTTCCGTAAGAGTAGATCTGGGCTGCACCATTGTGAACGGTCACGTTGATATTGTCAAAGACGGCGGTGGAAGCGTTGGCCTTAAAGAGAGCTACTTAATATAATTCTGATAAAGTAGACAGTGACAAGAGAACGACATACCACATTGATCGCAGCATTGAAGCCCCAGAAACTGGCATCATTCAGATTGGTCGAATATCCACTTTTGTCGAACTCCATGTAAGTGCCGGTGAAGCTGGCATCGTTTGCAACGAGAAGAACACTGGTGTCGTTGGCGGTAGCAGACCAAGTGACATGGTTTGCGCTGGAGGTCTTCCCCTCGACCTTGTGGGTCGCCAGAACTAGATTGTATCAGCATGCGATGCAATTGTTCTTCCATTGCTGCATTGAACAGTGCACTTACTATCGGAAGGCTGCGAGCTAACCATTGCAATGTCATAATCAGGCACGATAGCATTATCTGCCGCCCACGATGCAGGACTGATGACATTGGAAGGATCCTCAATTGTGATCGATGCCAAGGCCAGAGCAGGAAAAAGCAAGAGAGAGCGGGCTGCCATTGTGTCGAGACTCGAATGAGAAGCTGGAGGATATTCTGTTCCTTGAAAACATCATTAGTATTCCAATTCCTCAGTTTAAATACTTGTTTACGCATGTGGACACGCATATATCCACTGAAGATTCCCCGCTATTAAGAGTATGAATGGGGTCAACCTCGGGATAATGTGGAGAAGAACCATCGAAAGGGAAAATCTGGGGAGATTAAGCTCATTGGAAGCGGGGAGATGAGCATTCAGGAGAGATAGCTTCTGTGGGCCACAGCCCTAGAGACCCCCACATCCCGACTATATATGAGCAGACGCCCGTGCAATCCTAAGGGAAATTTTAGAGACTAGCACGTTCCTGCCAAGGTGCGTACGCAATCAACCTTAGTTATGCCGCTTGTTTACATGGGCCATTTCCCGAAAGGAGGGGAAAGAGGGCTGGGCTGTTTGAGGGGAGGTCGTGAGTGCTCTCAACATGGGTTTCTGGATACTTTCAATTCTATCCTCATCTATAAGTAGTCTCCCCGGATCCCTGCATACTCGACTTTGTGCGGTAATGGAGATCGCAAAGACATCGCGACGATCTTGTTATGGGCCTTTGCTCCAGCAGTCATGACTCATGAGAACGTCCTGTAGTCAGGAGGTAGGAGCAAGTTTCGAACATCGACGACCTGAAGAGATTCCAGTAACAGGGATATAGACGCGCCAAAATTTGCAAGCAAAGAAAGCAAAGAAAAAAAACAAAGTGATAAGCAATCACCAAGATTCCGCTAGGTCGCATTTCAAAAAATGCCATGTTTGTCAGTCAGCTACCTCCCAAGGTCGCTGTCCCATTCCACGTTAACGAGTTCGTCCACCACATTCTTCCATGCAAATTTATAGCAGCGCATATTGGTTTCGAATTTCCTGCGTCTTCGCTGGACCCCGTACAACATGTAAACTGGACCAGCTCACCAACTCCTCCGTGTCACGAAGAAAGCGGAACGCATATGATGTGCGATACATATCATTAATGCAGAGATGGTCCCCCCTTGCCTGAAGAACATAGGTCTGATCATCCTTGGCATCTACCGGCAGAACAGGAACAGGCGGGAAATGTTCCTCGCCGCCGTCTAAAGATATTCTTCCATCGTCGGTGAAATCAAAGTTGTGGAAGAGATAATCCGCCTCGTCGGGACCGGAGCCAACTTTGACGAACCACACGCTGAGCTGTGACGTCGCGTCGCTCAACCGCCAAATATACTTTTTGGACCAGGTCGCATTGGCCATGCCTGCCAGTGCAGGGGGGAGTGCGGAGGCGGGGAATTGGCCACTTTCGGTGTAGAGCCAATCTTGTTCCGCGGAGAGTTGGGTGAAGGTTGCTGTGCCGCTAAGTTGGCCATTGATCTCATTCGCATTTGTACTGCGTAGTGTGCGTGTGAGAGACCATCGCGAAGAGCTTAGTGATTTGAGGATGGTTTTGAGGACTGTGTGCGAGGGGCCCATGGCGTTGGTCATGATGCGGGGAGGAGGGAAAATGGCAGAATCGTGAATGCGGATCTGTTTGTGCTATTCCCCGCCATGACCCAAGTCACCCCCTAGGGCAAGCAAATGCCTGACAGACATCTTTGCGGAATGGCAATAATTCTACCGTGGCATTAGAGGACGATGCGCCTTGGAAATTGATCATAGGTTTTCCAATGGCCATGATTGCTGATTGTTTTCTGTCGTTACTCACGTCGCGCTAGTATCGCCGTTATCGGGACAGATCAAAATGTATAGTACATAGCTCCACTTTTGTGATTCGAATATGAAATAAAGACATAAATGCCTTACTTGCAGATATAATGAGCATTTTGGGAAGTAATGACTACCCATGTGACTTCGATATGCTATGCAACTGGTATAGTACATAGAGATCCCAGGAGGTATAATCCCGGATACTCCGCACCGATTGCAGTGCTGACGCGCATGTGATAGAATTCAAACCCATAGATTAAACCATGGCCAATGCTCTAAAGCCACTGGTTATCACCATTCCAATCTGAGCTCATGGTGTGAAGGGTGTTAATCTTGTGAAACCGCCAACTCATCACTATGGGAAGTAAATACCCAACTAGGGACTGACGTGAGAACCTTGGAACCTTGTACATCAGCCTTGGTCCCGAGGAGAAACCAACTCCTCGTTAGTCCAGCTACCTAAGCACACATTCATAGTTGAAAGCAAAGCAAGGCGGGTAATATGTAAATCAGGGATTCGCTATGAAGGCACCGTCAAGAAGATCATCTCGATTCGACAGGGTGACAAATCTTCAAACTGGTTGCCTTTTTGATACTCTCCCAGATGACCAGCGGAGGGCGTCTCAGAAAGCGGGGATCTGGTCCGCATGGTGGTCTGCATGTGCATGGCAAGGCAACCAGATACTTACCAAAAGAGGGGTGTTGGCCTCCTTTCTGAGGCTCTGCTTGGGCACAAGTCCGGAATCTTTCCATGTTGTCGCGCCTTTGCTGTGAATTGATTGGTGAGAGATCTTCATCGGCTACAAGCGACCGTCATGCCCAACTTGCATCCACCATCATCCACATCAAACTACTTTGGCGCTCTGATGAACACGAGCAAGGAAGTTGGAATTCTTTGGTTGCCATGGACGGGGGTAGTTATAAAATGTCGCCATCCGGACTCGAGTCAAGGTTTCTTTAGAATGAGCATTGCTGGCAAATCCACCGGGCAAACTTGATCGAACTTCTCTATATATTTCGCTATCATCTCCATATTTGACAGTCTACCCATTGGCTTCGCAGTTCCATAATGGAGCCAAAGACGACACCTGAGAAGAGTCCCCCCAAAGATGTCTCGATTCCCCAAAATGCAGGTGCCTCCGCCACTACAAGCCCCAGCCAGTCTACGCCTAAAAGGTATACCATACTGCTCACATATCTCACCAGAGAACAAGCTAATGCAAGTTTTTCGAACTTAGCTACTCCCAATCTATGCAACGTCACGACTTGCAGGGCATCGGAAGCTGGGTGAGTACTTGAAAGCTGTATAATATCGATCAAGATACATTCCGCTAACTCTTACATCTAGGCTAAATCTGGGACTAGATCTTGATTGTGTGATTGCGGTTACACGGGGGACAAGGGCCAAGGGAGGACAGCATCCAGGGAATGGTGAGCCACCTACCCTACAAGGATAAGCCAGTGAACTGACCCAGCGAGCCAAGCGGGTCCGTGAATATCCGAGATTGACATTTGCTCTGGAGTAAATGAATTCCAATCTTGGCAATGACGAGTATATTGCCGCCCAAGCGGAGAGCGCGCCGAGTACGAGGATATGAAGATTGATCTACGGAGGGAAACCGGGATTGGAAAGAGTATTGATCAAATCATCTTTGTTGCATGAGATCAATCCTATCAGAGATCGGAATGTGATCCGAACTCGCAATCGGACAGCACAAGGCCGAGATGATATGCATGCAAATGCACCTCCACCCGTGTTTCCCCTCTTTCCCCCATTTTATCCTTCGTCATTATACACGTTTATCATTTTTCCTTTTCCTTATCTCCAGTTCTCTGTGAAATTGTTTGCTTGCGGTTGATCCGCCCCATCACACTGATCGGCGATGTACTGTCCATTCGCGTTTCATAAACCGCTACGCAATGCATATGTAGTATCCTGCAGTTACATAAACTTCGCATTCATGCCCAAATTGAGGTCCACAGACGAGGCTTGAGCCTCTGAACTAGCTCTGTTGACCCAAATTTTGCTGGGGTACTGTGTGATCCGATTACCCGGTTTTGCACTTCGAGGCTAAGGTTTGGGATAGGGCTGATGGTGGATACCTCATATGTAAGAATTGTATTGTACCGGTTCGATTTTTATGCAGTGCCACCTGCATCCAATGTGGAATATGCACGGCAAGATAGGGAAACACTAGCCGGGGTGCTCTAAGAACATATGGAAACAACCTTGGAAGGCGAATGCAAGAGGAGCACTTTTAGGTATCATAGTCTATCATAGGTACAATGCTGAACCTTATGAGATCATCCCGGAATACTATAACACGGCTTCAATCAGTCACATATTGAATACTCGCGCTCTGGCACTTGGTACTATATCTGAATGTCGGGGCCGAGCATCGATAGATACGGATCGATAAAAAATTGGTCCCAATCCACCGCCCAGTCCATATCTGGCACAGTATTGGATTCGGACACCGGGAATTCACAGTTTGCCTCGACGACTTCCAACTGAGTCAGTTCCTTCCGCTTCTTCGCCATATTAAGAGTGAGTAGATGCCGCGCCATCGATAACGCCTCGCGCGTTAGTGCTGTGTCCGCAGCCTTGACAAGGTTCTCTAATCCTTTGAACGCAGCTCCGATGTGTACAATGGCTGCAGGCGTGTCGATAGCCAACAAGATACAGGTGTACTGGAATACACTGCCGATGACGTTCCAAAATAGACGGCCCTGATTAGCTTGCAGCTCGGCTGCTTCCACTGCGGCGTTTCCGCTATCAATGACAACACTGATGGCCTCATCTGATATGCGGGTCTTGAGTTGATAAAGGCGCCGATAGAAGCAGAACGCAATGTCTGCTTTCGTTACCACAAGGAACGGATGTGTGGTTTGGAATTCACCTAATACTTTGAGACGCTCAAGTAGCTCCTCACTCGGAGTTGAGGCCTGCCACTGAAGCTGGAACGGAGAGTTAGGCGATGGAATAATCTGAATTAGTTCCACAAATTGGTCGGCAACAGACTTTGCTGGCGGAATAATAGATAGGCAAGTCACAGCCTGAAAGCATACAGGCGAACGATCATATTCATAGGACAGCATATTATGCCCAGCCCACGAAATCCAAAATATCCTCCTTAAAAGATCGGCATCATATCCCAGAACCGACGCCATCTTCTTGATATTCTCTTCCTCGTGTAAGCCGATCGCTTCACAGAGGTGCATCTGGGTGCAAGAAGCGATCCAGGCATTGCTAGGGCGTGTTGTAGCCCGTAAATAAAACACCCGCATGCCCCACGCGACGATATGATCAATACCATGCAATCGCAAAGAAGCCGGATCATCAAGAATAGCTTTAGCGTACTGCACCAGCTCAGACTCCCGCGGGTGTCTATTAGTAGGTGAAAGGAACGACCCGAGAGCGGCCACACCAGCTGCCACGGCGGCAAAGGCGACCGCATTGCTGCCGGAACTTTGAGGTGGAGAACTATGATAATAGTCTCGGCATCGCTGGGCATACATTCCCCGGTCAAGTACGTCACCGATAGGACCCAATATTGAGAAGTAAACCTCTGAAAAGAAGTCGAGGTCCTCTTCCGAGATGAGGTTTCCCAGAAAGCAGTGAGTGTTGGATGCTTCTTCGGGGCGAATGCCAAAATTATAGGCAAAGGAACGCGTCTTGGGAGGACTGTCAGAGCCAAGAGCCACGCCTAAGATATGTGGGAATGCCATGGCCGCCGATGCGCCAGAGTGTCTGAACTTTTGCTCGTCAAAGATACCTGGACTGCGTGCTGCGGGGGCCTGGTTTGTCAGGCTTTGACTTTCACTGTTGAGGTTGACGCGCTTGGCTGGAGGCGAAATTTGTACGCCACTCGCAGGCTTGGTGGTGCCGTCCTCGTCGGCATACCTGCAGTTGTATCCATATGTGGTGCACATGCCACATGGATAAATGGTGTCACATTTCCGCTTGCGCTGGTGGCATGGGATGCATGCCTTTCTTGCGCGCTTGCGTTTGGCAATTGCAGTCGACATGGCAACTGGCTATTTGCTTCTCAGCCTAATACCCATACAAGTGTAATGGAGATGATCTCCCCACCATTGCGATTAGTTGACGCAATCTTGGTATTGATGATTTTTTTTCAGCCAGCGATTGAACGTGTCGCAAAGCATGAGATGAAGTGTTGAATCCACTTCGCCCGTGTAAAGTGGCTTGGGGCGGGACGGAGAACCGTCTAAGGCTTAGTGCCTAATTTTGATGATTTAGCGCTCTTTTGCCTGATCTTTGGTAATCCCGACCGCCCGCAAAGTAGAGTTATACAAGCCACATGACACGATCCTCTAAAGTCGTGTTCTCTTAGCTGAATTGAGAATCCCCCTCCATTTCCTATCGATGTGTAACTTAACAAACCTACTTTAAATAACGACCCACTAACTATGCAGACCAATGCAAGGCACAGCACGAGTAATGAAAAAATATATCGAGGTGGTTACACCAGTGCGTCGTCTTTGTAGCTATGTAGCCATCACAGACTTGAACATGGACTCTATGCGATCGAGGCAACTAGCAAAGACTGATTACTCGCGCATCAAGAGTCATCTAGCCCGCTTATCTTTGGGATTAGTGATTATGAGTGGCTCGTTGAGAAGGATGGCGATAGCGACTAATCCATCAGAGTTTTGGATGGCAATACATAAACTGCGGAAGTGGATTAATTACAATTGCCAGGAAGGGGACAGCTCTCAGTCCTCCCTCATCAAGGGCGTCAGTCGGAATCAATACCGATTTATTCTGGATAAAGATAAAACAATGTCTTTGCGTCGCGCAGACAACCAGCAACTGGTACCGGAGCTGATCAATACAGTCTTCGGTACCTTTCATAGTACGTCACCAGTGCACTGTACTTTAGTCCATAGGTGATTCAATATTGACCTTGCGCCTAGTTTCCATGACCGACCACTATATAAAAACCTGTCATCTTGAAAAAAAGCATGGTTGAAATGCCCTCCAAAAACCGAACGCTTCATAATGCATTTCTCTTGTATTATAACTCCTCAGGCATCCAATCCAGACCAACACATTTCTCACTCTTTATCTCCGTTATTTTCTTGTAAGGGAATGGATCACTCCAGATTAAGTCGAATCTGTTCATATTCTAGTCAGTGACAATCCCTCTCTCATTCTTCTCTCACGACACTAGTGCAGGGTGGGACTTACTGATCATCTGGGTATTGTGGTGCATCCTCATACCCCAGAGCTTCCACAAGGTCTGTCATTCTATGATGCTCCCAGCAAATTAAGACATTCCCATTCCCTTTATAATCTGCGATAGCCTTCTTAACACACTTTGCATCATCACGATTACAAGATATGTCAACCTTCATCCCCAGGTCTCTGGCGAGTGGTTTTACGGTTTCGTAGGGTCTGCCTCGTTTCCCGTCTGTTCAAGCAAGCTTCATTAGCCATCATCTTGAGAAATGAAGGAGCTTAAAACATTCGGGATAACCCACTCTTCTTGGGCTTTTGAGCTAATATTAATCCAATGTTATAGTCTGAGTGCGCGCCAAAGACATGTCGAAGACACTCTGCCCGATCCAGACCATCCTCGTTAAGTCCATTTCCCTCCTTGGGTTTTTCGCCATGACGAATCAGATACACGTCCGGGTGTGCAATAGAGAGACCAGTCAAGGCTAAAGCCGCCAAAAGAATTTTATACATATTTTCGATAAAACAGAGCTGGTCGCGTGACAAGGAAATCGATGGTCCAAATCTGGGGGAGAAGGAATTCGAGCAATTCCTTATATGACCCCCTGGGCTGACGGATGTGCTTTTGCGGGTGGCCATCTTTCGTGTCCACCCACCACCGGCTTTTCAATTCTATTCGCCGGCGCGACTGCTGATAAGTCATTCGTGGCAGGGAGAAAAGGGCACATGCGATGTATGGGCTCGAGGTGAATGCTATTTTCTGAGACGGTGGGCCATACACCTGAATGATCTACGCGGCATGGGTTCATCGCGGCTTGTGATTCGCGGAGGCGTGATCGAACGCCTCGCCGCATCCGGGGAGTCTAGTAAGATCAAAGCAAATCTTTTGTGGGACCAGGATTCTGATAGTCATCTGTTTGTAGCAAGGGATCACCCTTGTGATGCGTATTAATATGGTGGTCTGAGGTATGTTCGAAGGTGCGACTCCAAGGCAGTCCAAGTTATCGGTGAGTTGGTGTAGTTCGTGCCGAGTTGATTTATTATGCAAGTCTAGCCCTGATATGATTGGCTGGATTTTTAGGCTGTACGGCTCTGTAGACAAGTCGGTATTGAGGACCCTGGTCGCACTGCCCGGTGGCGCCATCTGACCTGAGCACCTGTCCAATTTGCATAGGCAGCATTTAGGAGTCACGTCGCCAACGGTATGATCATATTCACGAGGTTGATACAAGTGGAATGGAGATACCTTCAAAAATATCAGGGTGCACTGGGTTCGAACCAGGGTTGTATTTATTGTGCCTGATCTCACCGAGCACATAGAGGTGGCCACAAGGTAGACTTCACTTTTGTCCCTTGGGAATTTGAACTTCCTCACTATTACTCCATTACCGCAATTTATGTTCAATTCTAGTTGAAGCTTCCTGGGCTTTCAGGTACTCTAGCAACAACCCCTTTCTAACAGACGAACACCCCTGCCCAACTGTAAGGGGGTCACACTGTACACATAGGTTCAGGTTTCTCGGTACAACTCACAGCGTCCAGGTTGGTCCCGTGGGGGAAAGATTTTCTGCGTGATCACTCACGTAAGGATGAATATGTCGAGCTCGAGAATATCGGAAATTTAGCTCACTATGATAGTTACAATGAAGAAGAGCGGATAATAAACCCCGGGCTATGGTCCTTATGGTTGAATATCCGCACAATGGTAGTGGAAGACTGCTATGGACCGACTAGGATCTGGCAGTGGTACGCATCGGGGCCTCAAGATTGACGAAGCACCTCTCAACGCCTGAACGACTTAAATTTCCATAGCTTTTTTTTTCCCCTTCTTTCTCCAATATTCTTCTGCTTTAAACCAATATTGATGCGTCAAGCATAATCTAGCTTTCCAACTGATATGACGTGGATCTCCCTACTAGTTTGGAAGGTTCAAGTAAGTCCTCATAGGCTCTATAAGATAAAATACTTGACATCTGATAATCCTCCGCAACTCAATTTATAAATTATTGACGTATTTAATGCTTCTTTCCATACTTCTGATCCACTGAGGAAAGCCGAGACAGATGATTCACAGGTACCGCCTGTCATTGGTGGATAAGCCAAGAGGCCCCACTTGCGATAAAAAAACGTCGGCATTGGCGCATTTTCACGATATCGAGGGAGTCACAACGCGCACAGCACGCGACTCCATAATGCATGATGAGCAAGCGCTCATTCGAGGAGTCCAGGGAAAGCCAGGTACCCGAAACAGATAGTAACGGCCTGCTTCCCATCCACGATCTGCTGTCGCCAAGCGATGAGCAGGAGCCCAGCACGACCTCGTCTAAGAAGCCTCGGAACTTCATTGCCACGGTGGTATGTATCGCCACATTGCGGTCTAATTGTATTTCAAAAAGAAGTCGCCTACTAAATTCCATAGGCCTGTGAGACTTGTCGGTTGAAGAAGACAAGATGCGACGAGTCGCGCCCCAAATGTGGACTGTGCAAGTCCCTTGGGCTGGACTGTGTTTACAATGAGCGCAAATCATCAAAGTACGTTTCTTTTTTGCTACGATAATTTAGAGTACATTAACTAATTTTTACAGACGCGATCAGTCGCTCACTATGATCATGAGCACTCTGCACCGGCTGGAGACTAAGCTGGAGAATATCCCGACTTCTATTTTAAGTGATCTTAACTCACTCCGAGGTCAAATGCGGCAGGTCTCAGATGTCGCGCAAGAGACTCACGCATCACCTGCTCTCGTTGGTGAAAATCGCCGCATTGCAGCCATGACATCTTCCTTCACGCCTGCACGGGAGGAGGATGATTTTGATTGGGAAGATAACCAATCCGCCCCAGATCCATCGGGTCGTGTTTCAATCTCATTCAGTCAACACGGAGTCATCTTATGGCCTGGTGCGCGAAGCATTCTTCCCAAGCAGTTACTCGCAGCCTACGCAACACTAGGCAAGAATTATGTGGTCGAATTAGAGTCCACACGCCGACCGTTGCCCATGTTCACCACGCCTTATCCTCTGCATGCCGGAGAGCAGTGGCTCGAGCTAGTGCCCTTGTCCATGATCAAGGGCCTTGCAGATGCATTCTTTGCTGTGTTCAATCCGTTTACACCCATCATGGATAAGAGCTACTTCTTCTCTTTCACTGTTGGCTCAGCCCTTGAAAGTGGATTTGGGTACTCGATGGAGAGTTGCATCGTTTTAACCGTGATGGCGCTGGGTTGTCAGGCTGTGCTCGCTCATCAAGAAGGAAACTATCCTCTTCCTGGTACTACTAGTCATCGCTTTGAAGCACCAGAGTGGATGAATGTCGTCTACGAGGAACAGCCAGGTCTGCGCTTCTTTAATGAGGCGCGTCGGCGTATTGGATTCTTGATGTGTGACAATGATATCCAAAGCTGTCAATTCTATCTGCTTTCTTCGTGCGTGACCCTTCCCTGCGATTCATCAAGCCCGTCGCTAATCCAGTACAGTGTATACTATAGTCAAATCCTCCGTCCAATGGACGCCTGGGCAATGATTCACCGTGCCGCCACCTGCTGCTTGTCAATGTTAACCAAGTGAGTCCACTCGATGAGAACTTTCAGAACCTCCATCTAATCTTTTCAGCCACGACGTCAACTACGATCAGTGGGAAGGCGACATGAAATCCCGTGTTTACTGGAATTGCCTAATGAACGAAACCATCCTCGTCCAAGAACTCCACCTCCCACCAAGCGGTCTCTCTCGACTAGAAGAGCAAGTCCCAATCCCAAAGTTCATCGGCTTCGCCGCAACAGGCTACGGAGCAAATCGCTACCCATTATCCAACTTGGTCGACGACTCTTACTTCCAATACCACTTCCTCGCCCAGGTCGCACACCGAATCATCCTAACCCGCATCCGACACTCCCTCTATTTCTACTGTAAGCTTCCACCCCTCACAACACCTAACCTCAAGAGTATAGCTAATACCCCAGGGTAGCCGATTCCGGGTCCATCCCTTTACCCGCCGTCAACGCCGAACTCCGTCACCAACTCGAACAATGGCGCAACAACCTCCCACCCGCTATCCAATTCCCCGATGCAGGTCTCCCACCCTCGCATTCGACTCCAGGAGATCACACAATGCACCACCCATCGCCCTCAACACCCGCCTCTCCACACCCAATATCATCGCCCCGACCCGCTGATCCGAATCGTCCGCTTTCCCCAGCATTGGCAGTTACAGACGCGATGCTTCGTGGGCGATACATGATCGCACAATTCCATATCGGTCGTCCATACCTCTACAAAGCACTACGCATCCCGAGTAAACTAACAGACGACGATATCGAGCAAATCAAAAGTGGGCTCCGGCACGCGATGGACTGGCCCGTTACGCAAGGAATTTTCCGGAAGATGAGGAGTTGTATCCCGATTAAATTTGCCTTTTGTTCGCAGTGAGTGTACCCCACCATCTCCTTGTTTCGAAAAGCTTGTTGTTAACGCTATCCCTGTCCAGATTCTTCGGTCAAATACTATTATTCTATTGCATCGCACACTCGCCCAGCCCCCGTGTACGTGAAACACTACCACCAGGCTGGGAAAGGTGGAACGACGAGATGATGCGGTTTTTGGAGGACTGTGCAAGGCATAGTCCGGCTGTTGCACAGGATTTGGAGCTTTTGCAGTCCTTGTGGCCTTCATGAACGGGAGGTTTTGACGAATATTATATCCCTAGTGTTTTGCTTTGATTTCGGGTGGCTGTGTTTTTTTTCAGTGCATGGAGTTGGTCTATGCTTATTTTTTTATTCAAGGAGTTTTTTAAATAATGTGATATCGAGGTAGCTGATGAATGAAGGGTGAAAAATAAAGATCCTGCAGAGGTTCGATAATCAGAGTGATTGCTTGACTGGGGAATTGTGCATTTATATTGGTGGCCTTGGTCGCTGCGCAAGAGAATTGCACCGGAAAAAGCTGGAAACAGCTGAGCGTCACATGGCAGGAGAAAAAAATGAAAATAGGGGTATTGAAGAGGATAGAACTACAAGGCGCAATACGAGAGAACAAGTACAAGAATATTGTAAATCAATTGAACTATATACAGCAATCACTTTTTGTGTTTCATCATTCATCGCGGGATTCGCCGCGGAGACGGGGTATCGTCTAGTCATCTCGGGGGAATTCCACATCAAATCATCCGTCTATTACCATTCCAGAAGGTCATCAAAATACGTCATGAGCAGATTTACAGCTGCTCAGCCCAGGGGGCGGAGCCGGGCTGCATCTGGTTAAGCCACTTAACGAGCTCAATGAGCTCAGCGCGGCGCTCATCCTCAAGCTGGTCCTCGTCGGCAAGAACAGCCTGGAAGACGGGCAGAAGACGAGGGGTGAGTTCGCGGATGGTAGCATCCTCCCACTTGTACAGCTGGCAGATCATGCGGTACAGGGGGTCATTCTCCTCGTAATCGTTCTTGAGGGGCAGGATGTTTACCAAGGCGGGCAGAACGTCCTTGGTGGGGACAGCCTCGCGATTGCGGAGGATCATACGGCTGACACAGCCGGTGGCGTTGTCCTGCAGACGGGAGACATCCATCTGGAGGCACTGCTCAAGGCGGCTAAGGATGGTAGGGTAGGCCTTGGTCATCTCGTCAGCAGCCTCGGAGTGCTCAACCAGGCGACCAACGGCATAGGCAGCGTTGGAGCGGGTCTGAGGGTCCTCGTCACCGAGACGGTGGAGCAGCAGCTTGAGAAGGGTGGTGGTCAGGGGGGTGACGGCACTACCCATTCCGTTGATGCACTCGGCGAGGACACCAACAGCGGTGGCACGCTCCAGGGACTCGCTGCTGCTGGCGTAGCGAAGGATGGTCTTCTCGAACACCTTCCACAGCTCAACGAAGCTAGAGCCGAGAGCAGTAGCCATGCCGGACACAACGTCAAGAGCAGTGTCAACGACTACCCAGTCAAACTCGGAGGTCTCATCAGGGCCATCGGTTTCTTCCTCATCCTCGAACTCCATCTGGCAAGGGTGCTTCTTGCTGATGATGTCGGTGATCTGGTGGATGACGTTGGTCAGAACGCTCTCATCAGCGATGAGGGCGGGACCGCAGAAGCGCAGGTTCTCGGCCATGTTGCGGTTAATGTCCGCGACGGTAGCACTAGGATGGATATGTTAGCAAATATCCGCCAAATATCATCCAAAAGAATAGCAGAAGGGAGAATGTTATCATTCGTGATAAACGCGGTTCACATCACGCGTGCTCTTTGGCACGTCAAAGTGAGCTGGGTTAAGCGACTGGTATAATCATTTAACAGGGGAAGTGGAGTGCAGAGGCAGAATAAAGAAGAAAATAATGAAACGTACCGGTCCTCTTCCTCAGTCCACATCTTGATAGTGGCAGTCATGAGGATCTCACCGAATTTCTGGACCTCCTTGGCAGGCTGGACCTGCAGGGGGAGGCCGGGCTGCCACTTAGCCATCTGGCCGTTCTCCTCAGCAATGGCAAACAGCATGGCGTAGGAGCGGTGGAGAGTGCTGATGGTGCTCTTGCGAACACCCTCGTAGTGGTGGTCAGCCAGGGGCATGACCTGCTCAATGGTCTTCTCAAAGTAAGGCAAGAAGGAGCTGCGGGTGTGGGTAACAAGGTCACCAATGACCTCGACGGCGATCTCCTTCTCGAGGGCCAGAGGAGTGGTGGCGGTAATGTCATCCCAATCATCCTCGTCATCGCCAATATCGATGTCCTCAATCTCACCCTCGAACTCATCATCGTCGTCGGCGCTGGCAACCTTGACCTTGCGGCCAGCAACGGTCACCTCCTGGCCGATGAGGTCCTTGCCGGCCTCGCCAAGGGCGACATCAAGCTCAGTCTCGTCCTGCTCAATACAAGCGAAGAGACCGTTGACAGCACCCTGGAGGAAGGGAGAGAAGTGCTCGCCATAGACCTTGGCCATAGCGCCCCAGAAAATGTAAGTGCTCTCCTTGAGGCGAGAGTGACCGAGGTTCAGAGCCTCCTCAGTGGCGCGCATCAAAGGCTCCACGTAAGGCTGGTAACGCTCGGGGCCAGCAGCAGCAGCCATCTCACCCATAGCGTCAGTGACGCTAGCGCGGAGGTCGAGCTCGGCCTCGCTGTCCTTAACAGCAGCGAACTCCTGCAGAAGGTGCATAGACTCATCAAAGAATGGGAGGAAAGAATCACTGGCGGAGGAGGCAAGGGATCCAAGGGCACCGGCAGCAAGAGACTTGATCTTGAAGTCGGGGTGTTTGAAGAGGTTGTGGAGGATGGGAACGAGCTCAGACTGGTAGGGAGCAACATCCTTCTCATCGAGACCATCAACGACGGCATCAATAGCGCTGATACCGGCCTTGAGAATATCGACAATAGGACCCTCCTCCTCACCCTTGTACTCTTGCATGGCGCTGGTCAGGTTCTGGAAGAGCAGGGGCATGAGGGCCTGGTGCTCAGCAGAGAGGTCCTCAGCAAGGTCGTCGGCCAGACGAGCGACGGTGTGCAAGGAAGCCATGCGGACCTTGTACTCTCCGTCGGCAAGGAGCTGCAAGACCATGGGGAAGATCTCCTTCATCTGAGTGCTGATGAAGTCAGGGGCACCCTCAACGCACATGCCGAGAGCCAGGATACCGGCGCGACGGTAGTTGGGGTCAGCGTTGTTGAAGTACTGGCCAAGAGCCTGGAGCAAGGGAACAACGACCTGGCTGGGAGGAAGGCTCTGAGAGAGCAGATCGAGGAAGGCCAGAGCGGAACGGGGGGCGGTGATCTCATCATCGGCAGCAGAGTCATCGTCAAGCTCGGTGACAATGTGCAGAGCAGTGCGGGTAAGCTGCTCACCAACGCGCAGACCCTGGATCTTGACCTTACGGTACTGGATGCACTGCATCAGGAAGCTGATAGCCTGGGTGCGGACGTCCTCCTCGGCCTCGGTGTTGGCGGACAACTCGTTCATGAACATGACAAGGTCCTTAAGGTGGACGTTCAACAAGGCCGAGTCACAGCCAAGAAGGGTCTGGAAGACCTCGAAGGCTTGCATGATCTGGTCATCCTCGCCCTGGTCAATAGCGTCCTTGAGGACAGCGACCATGGAGGGAACCATATCCTGGAAGGCCTTAACAGGGCCAGCGTGAAGCTCGGGCTCAATGTACATAGCAAGCTTGCTCAAAGCGAGCAAAGTGTTGATGCGCACCTCGGCGCTCTCGGGATCCCGAATGGTCTTGCCAAACAGGGTGAACAGATCCTGGAACTTCTCTTCGAAGGTCTCGCCGAGAGTCTCCAGGATGGTGAAGAGGATATAGATGGCAACAGCGCGCTCATCCTGATTACCACTGTCGGCAGCCTGGAGGAGGATGTTGGGGAGATCACCCCACTCACCATCGTTCAGATCAATCTTGGCAATAGCCGAGATGATGCGAGCAATGGAGTGACGAACGAGCGAGGAGCTCTCGCCCATGGTGGAGCGGAGCAGCTGCTCGCGGACCTGGGGCTTCTGGTCGTTGCCCACCTTCAGCCAGTGCTTCGCAACGAGGGATCGAGACTCGACAGCGGCGAGCTGACGAAGGTTGGAATCATCGTGGGCGGTGGCGATCTGAATGAGGAGGACGAGGGACTCAGGCTGGCTGTAGAACTCCTTCTGCAGGATGCCGGTCGCTTCCTTAACATTGCCCTGGGAGGCTGGAAAGCAAGGGTCAGCGGAAAAATCTCGAATAGGCAAGGGATTTGCCCTATATGCTCGTGCATTAACGACACATCACTCTGGAGTACATACGGTCGAGAACAATCTGCAATTGCTGCAGGAATCGTTGCTGATCCATGGTGGCAGAAAATGAGGGTATCGTATCACAGAAAACTTTTCTTTTTAATCACAAGATTGCGCCCCAAGCTGCCTCTCTATAAGAGTAAACGCAGCGGGACAATGATGAGCAGCTTGCCGCTAGACAAACAGCTCAATATGAGAGGGGTATCACAAACAAAAAAGAAAGAAAAAGGAAAGGAGTGGTGGGGGAGAAGAGAAGAAAAAAATAATAACGCGGCGAAGAAGAAGAAAAAAAAAAAGCTCAGGGGTGGAGTGGGTCACCTGATTGGGTCTAGTGTGGAGGGACGGCGCTCTAACGATTGGTCAGAGTTTTTCTCTTTGGGCATGGAATATCGTCACGGTGCTTTTTGGGTCGCGGCACGCGTTAGGGTTTATCCATGCAGAGATTTTGAGCGACGATACAGTTCATGAAAAGGGGGACAATCATGGATGAAAAGGGGATAATCATACTACACATGTGTCCTAAATTTCCGGTAATTGGCGCTTTTGGACCAACATGGCACCTGGGACGGATTATGATCATCCGAACCATGGACTTGCCTCAATAGTCTTGCCATACTTAATGGTACAGTAGCCCCTGGCTCCACGATCAGTAGTATCTTTGGAAAGTGCTCTAGCTAGCACTTGCGATAAATTCTAGTCACAGTGGGAAACTGGGATAACCGGGCACATCCGATGTGCTACAAATTGATTATAAGAGCCTACATTTAGGTGCAAGCTTAAGCTGCTCTTCATAAATGCGCCTTTTTCACTTCCGGTGTGGGATTGGTTTTCGGTATTCCGATAAGGGATCATATTTAATTTATGTGCTTGTAAAGTTGTTCTTGGCTTAATTGCCAGGTGCCCAAGCGTATGCCAGCCAAAGGGCCCGTCAGCCCAAACCTTAGGACCGAACGACAGCTAATTCGAACACCCCTAAAAAAAGCACCAACATCTCAGTGAACGTGAATTGGGTCTTCAGCTACTCCCACTCCACTTCCAATACATATCTACCATGATGTCATGTAGTCCCCTTAGGCCAATCACTGCCTTCATGATACTAACCCGTGTGTTTGGACCGAAATCACATTAATTGATGCAAACCTAGCCAGGTAAGAAGCCCTGGATGGGCTTTGCTGTTCACTCATTACAGTATCACTTCTGCTCAAAACAGCCCTGCAATCTCCTGACTCCAGGGGAAAATGCGGGGATGATACCCTTCTTCACATGAGTAATGTTTCCAAGGAACCTTTGCCAAAATATATAACCACGGACAGCCGTTGGTCACTTATCTACAATCTTACAGTCAGAAGAAATCTGACATCAATCCATAACCACATGTACTGAGCATAACCTTGAAGATCTCGAAGAATTTGTAATGCCAAATCAAAGTTGCTGCCCCGAGGTTCGCAAGGTCAATATACTCTATCGCGGGCACCATCCATTGCCATTTATGAACAGAGCAACGCGACCGAACAATAACGCTTATCTGGTATACGGCCCCTTCATATTAAGTTAAAAGCCGATTTCAAGGTTCGAGAATTTCTCATTTACATTTTCAAGGCCTGTTTTTCTTCTTTCGGCTTAATCGACTTCTGTTCCGGGCAAGTTGAGTTTCTTTGATCGACCTTTTAAGGTGATTGATTCTTTCCTCGAGTCTTTTCCCGACCATAAAAAACGGTCTACAGTGCGCACGCACTATATCCTACCGAGAACGAAATAACTGGAATCAATTAATTAGTGACATTCGCCTAGTAGATACTACTTAGGAATTTGATGAAATTGACTATTGGAACAACTCGATCTTCTGCACCGAAGTGAAACCTGGAGACATCTCTCATGGGATGACATTGAAAGTAGAAAGGTGGATGTTTATTTATAATATCTATGTCAAAATCACCTACGTTTATGGGTATCGCTGTTAGCATTTTGAACAAACCACTAGATGCTGGTTATCTAGCTGTATCTTATTTCAACTGGCCTCTCACCATAAGCCTCAGAAGAAGTTACTATAAGCCGGAAAGCCCATAATCCCTCAAAGGGAGTCAGATCTATTAATACCACTACCGTCCATAAGGAGGGCATTTTAGAGGAGTCTTGACCCAGTAGCGGGCAAGGGCTATTAGACTCTATATCTAATTACTGGAATTTCCCCGATAATCATACCCCACGATTTCGACATGTAATACCTGGACGAGAATGGAGTATAATGATACAAGTAAACTTCTACGAATAACATCACATCGCCGGCCCTAGCACGTGTTTTTTATTACATGAATTAATCCATAACGTAATGATACCTATTGGAAGTTGCTGGTATCATCGTGCACCATTCTCACTTAGGCAATGTATGTCAGTATATATAAGGGTGTTTCTCGTTTCTCTTTCTCGTTTCTCGTTTCGTGGCTAAAGTGTTAGACAGTAGCCTTTCTACATTTCTAGTCCTGTCTTCGCTTACGGATTAATGAGTGTATATATTTCGGTGTATGTAATAGTTGCTTAGGTAGGATGTGGAAGCAAGAGGAAGCAACTATATATAGGACAATCGTTTTATATATCCCTGTGAGCATATAAGTACTTATCAAACATTTAATATTTCGCAGAGTATGGTGTTGATTACTTTTATTAGGCTACGCGTCGATCTAGATACGGCAAACGAGCCATCATCCAATTTAAAAAGAAAGATGACGACGAGCACATGGCAGATATCCCAACTCGTCGCAATCTCAATCAAAGATCGCAGAAAATAATATATATATTAATGGTCGTGGCAAGCACTAAAATTTCGACGTTAGCACCTAATATGAAAGTGAAGGTTTGTTAGGTCTCCCATCATTTTTAGAAGTAATGCATGCGAGTAGGGTGGACTATCTCGAGTTATACCAAGGACTATATATATACAGTATCATCATTATGCGATCGTCAGTATCAATCGTCCGTCAATATCACCGTGATCAATATTACCAGCTAGGAGTTAGGCATATCACGGCGCTCCGATTTTTCGGGCGCGCTTTATTTAGCGGTAGCAGTCTTGGCTTTAGAAGAAAAGCGGACCGATATTGTATCAATCTACAGGTGCCCGTGATTTGATCAGATAAACTCCGGTAGTCGCAAGTACCAGCCAAATAGGTCCTTTCAAAGAATAATCATTGGCTATTAAAATGGTAACCAATACCCCCATAGAAAAGGTTAAAAAGGTACCGCTAACCTTACAAGCCAATCATTCAAGAAGATGTGGACGATGCGCAAGATTTAATGAGGAAAGAAATAGAGAAATCCAAGTGGACCACGTTGTTAGTGGGCTGATCAGTCGGCGGTAAGAAGCCGAAGATGGCCCCCGAGGCGCAGATCTGATAAATGTCTTGGAACCTTGAAAAGTTAAGAAGTCTTGGAAACCTTGGGCTTGGTGCTTGTTACGAGTTTTTCCGGCCCGTTGCGCGGATGCCGAGATAATTCCATTGCTTGATGATCAAGCTGTTCCACAATTCATCTCCCGTTCACAGTAAAACGCGGGCAAATCCGCAAGTACAAGTTGGAAGGATCGTCATTCTTGGGGCCAAACAAGGCTGAACTATCCATTCATGTTTCAGGGTCTTGGAGGTGGGCCCCATAGCGGATCCACCTCCCTTTCTTTTCGCCGCACTACGCGAACGGCCCATGCCTGTAAGCCAGCCACATGAGATAAGATCGTGCATCTGATTAGATCTTGATGCCTTGGTCACTTTGATTTTGGACTTTCCTTCTTTCGAGGAAGTGGTAGGACTTGTTGAAGCTCATCCATATATATTCCTCCATCGATAATCAGACATTAAAATGCTTTCTAGGAATCTTCCAACCTGCACAATAATGACCACGCTTAGTATATAGGCTGTTATTGAGGCACGCGCAATACACCAAATGGCTTAACTGGAGATTAGGTTAACATAAACAGGTTTCAAACAGTTCTCTATTTTGCTTACGAAATAGAATGAGCTGTTTTAAATCATGGAACGGTCAACAAGTCGTGTGTTGACCCACCCATCACCAGGCTCTTGGCGCCGATCAGTCCTGGTCTCAGAGTTGAACGCGAATCTGATTTTTCTTTTAATTCCCCTTAGCCCCAGTGGAGCCGGGGTGCATCGTGTACAGTATGCAGGGGGCAAATCATTCAATTCGCTTGCGCCGAACAAATCATCATCCATAGCGCAGAATCCGTTGGGTCCTTCGCATCTGCGCGTGCTTTTAGTCTCCGACAAGCATCCGACTTCGGCACTGTGTTCTATCAGGGAAAGGATTGTCATCAGTCTTTTTGACTTTCATAAGTTGGACGATATCTCTCAACTTCACTATTTTATTTTATCTCGTTTTCTTTCCCCATATATTTCCACAGTGTTAACCATCCATCATGGGCGTTACACAGATGCGCCCCCTGCTGCGCAGGGCCCGCTACGTTTTTGGTCGTAATAAGGACGATGAGGGGATAAGTTCTTCGGTTGATACTGGTGCCGCTGAGGGAACGTCGGAGAAGAAGGATCCTGGTGCCACTGATAATGTGGTTCCTGTCAATGATATTGGAGCAGAATTGCCCCAGGAAGGATTGCAGCAAGGTGTTGCTGATGCTGAAGCTATGACCCTGACTTGGTCGAAAAAAGTGTTATTCCTGGTGTTCATGAAGTATGTTTGCTCTTGATTCGAATGATATTTTCTCGAATTCTAACCATTTTATTCGACAGCATTTGGTTCTTGTACTTTGTCAATGCATTTCAGGCATCCGTTTACGACACAATCAGTCCTTATGTTGCAAGTTACTATGAATACCACTCGTTATCCGGTCTCCCTACCGCTATTGGCGATGCCTGTTCCGCGGCTGTCTATATTCCCATGGGCAAGATGCTCGATACTTGGGGTCGAGCTGAGGGGTTCCTGCTCATGACCGTTTTCTCAACCCTGGGTCTGATCCTCATGGCCTCATGCGATGGATTCTCCATCTACTGCGCTGGATATGTTAGTTATGACAAAGACACCTGTGACTGTGCTGATACTAACAGTCGATATGCTAGACTTTCTACATGATGGGCTTCGGAGGAATGGAGTACAGTGTGGATGTCCTCACAGCCGATATGACCAAGTTGCAGAACCGAGCTTTTGCCTACGCATTCACCTCTTCCCCATACATCATTACAGCATTTGCTGGTCCTACCGTTGGTCAAGAGTTCTATGCTCTTCCTGGTGATGGCTGGAGATGGGGATTCGGAACCTGGGCGATCATCTTCCCTATCACCGCTGCTCCTCTGTTCTTCACTCTGAAGTACACCCTACGCAAGGCCCAGAAGCAGGGCCATGCTGTCAGGCTGCCTAGCGGTCGAACATTCTTCGAGAGCGTGTGGCATTGGACCCGAGAGTTTGACTGTGAGTTCCTCTGCAATATCATTTCTGGCCTTATCCGAAGCATCCTCTAACCCTTGACAGTGATTGGTGTATTTATTTTCACCGTTGGTCTCGTGCTCTTCGAACTTCCTTTCGACATTGCTGATTACGCCCCCAATGGTTGGGGATCCGATTATATCATTGCTATGCTTGTTGTTGGGTTCTCTATGCTTGGCTTCTTTGCTCTTTGGGAGAAGTTCCTGGCTCCAGTGCCTATGCTGGATATCACCTACATCAAGAACCGTACCGTCATCGGTGCCTGTCTCCTGGATGCCACATACCAATTGTCCTACTACTGCTGGAACTATTATTTCACATCCTTTCTACAGGTCGTCAACGGACTGACTCCTCAGGAAGCCGGATGGATCAACCACATCTTCGATATCGTCTCCGGCGTCCTCTTGCTGTTCGTTGGATTCGCCATTTCCAAGACTGGACACTACAAGTGGCTCCTATATATCTGTGTTCCACTCTACATCTTGGCTCAAGGCCTCATGATCTACTTCCGTCACGCTGAATTTAACGTCGGCTATCAGATCATGTGCCAGGTCTTCATTGCCATCGGTGGTGCGTGCTTCATCATGGTCGAGCAGCTTGCTATTCTCGCCGCCGTGGACCACCAGCATTTCGCTTCGGCTCTTGGTTTGTTGAACGTTGTTGGTACGATCGGCGACAGTGCTGGCCTTACTATCAGTACAGTTGTATGGGAAAACACTTACCCTGTCGCCTTGAGACGTTACCTTCCCGAGTCCGCCATGTCGAACTTTGACAACATTTACAACGACCTGGCCACCCAGCGTGGATACCCGCTCGGTTCGGCTACCAGAATTGCTATCCAGAAAGCTTACTCGTACGCTGAGCTGCGCTTGCTTTCTATCGGTACCGGTATCATGGTTCTCGCTGTTGCTTGGACTATTATGATCCGCGATATCAATGTCAAGGAGAAGCCCCAGGTGAAGGGTGTCGTTTTTTAAGGTGTGAATGACTGTACGTTTGAAATGGAGGTGTTCCATGTATACCCGGCATTGTTGAAAGGGGACCACTTTGACCTTGGCGATCACTATTGATTCCCCATGTGCCACGCTCTTTTTCAATTTGGCTTTATAAACCATTTTCTACTCTTTATTCGCTCGCTTTTAATATATACCACTCTTTTTCTGCTCTTGCACACTTTCTTCTCCTTTCACTAGCCATCACTAGTGTCATGTAGACTGTATATCATTCACTAATGTCACAGAGCATCACCCAGATCTCCCGTTGTTTAGCGATTCATGTTCTAATAGCCGCAACACAAAATTGCGTATACTCTAAACTCGTGGATGTTCCTAGCTGAGTTTTCGGCGCTAATCAATCACAGCACACAAGAACTGGAAAATGTGCGGCCTGATCTCGGCTTCAATCCTTCAAAAGTCTAATAGATTGTTTATTTAGGCCCCCAGGGCCAGGTACCTAACCAATCAACGCCGAGCCTTGCTGTTTTCGCGATAGTAGACCACGCGCTACGTATGTTTCAAAGGGCCGAAACTTACCTTGAACGGGGTCCTTCGTTGGTCGTATGGTTCTGATTGCCTTTGACGCACAAATTTCTTCATAGCTTTCGGCCGCGCCGTCATACTAGTCACTGTAGGTAGGAGTTGACGGATCATGTCATTGCTTATCAAGAATAAACGGAGGAGTTGTATTGAGTGTACCCAGCTAAAGAAAAACTCATTGGTACGTCGATCCCCTGGCTGACTATAGATAAATTCCCTCTCGCTGTTCCCATTATGATTCTGAAAAAATTCCTAGTGGAAGAGAAAGTAAATGTGAAAGTAATGATAATTGAAATTCAAAACGGTCTCACTTAATAATAATCCGCGCCTATCGCACCAGTATCACAATTGCTCTTCCCTATTGATCCTCTCCTTCCATCGCCCTGCTCATCCCACTAACTAGTAATCTTGATATCCTTGGACTTGCTGTCGAATTCCATTTTCAATCGTCACCTTTCCCAGTAACAATGCACTAGGAGCAATATATCGCAATCTAACCTGGCATATAATCTTTGCTCATAGCATGTCTTCAAGATCGGGATCGCAAGGAATCAAATGCTCAAGTAGTCCTCGTCAGCGACCAGTAACTTGATAATCTGATTGACGTAGTATTCAAAATCTTCCACTGTGACCCACTCTGAAAGATTCTCGTTGTCACCCGAGCGGACCTTCAGCATCTGGTGAACCTTGTGGTAGACGATTTCCCGTGAGTTTTGAATATTCACGTGTAATGTCAGCAGCGCTACTTATGGGGTCATAGGGAATAAATGCTGACAAGCCAATTTAAAGTGATCTGCGTATGCCATGACTTATTTGACTGGGAGATCAAAGTCCGTAGGCTTGAGTTGGACGAACTCTTTGATCCTCTTTGCATCTGCTTGAGATTTCGTTCCTTGCACGAGTAGTTTGGCGCTTCTCATGACGGCATCTGCGTAGGTGCAGCGTTCACCCATACCCTCGAGCCTGATACGGAGGGCGCGATTCATGCTGCTTTGCATCCAGCGAGCAGTCTTCGTTGATAAACGCACCCAATTTCGGCTCTCATTGTTCAGGAATAGAGGTCGCGGGCTTGATTCGCTGATCAACCCCATCAGCCCGTGAGAACTCAGGCATTCGGTGACTGCGTTCAACCAAGCATCGAAATTGTCCTCGCCCGTCAAGAATGTGAAGTATGGTGAAATCTTTCCGAAGTGGACGTCATCGTATTTTAGAAGGCCGTCTGACTGATCCAGATAGTTTTCATACTCGCAATCTTCCTCATCCTCCCCCTCCATTTCTGCTTCTATCTCCATTACCATCCAGTCATCCCAGTCCTCGACCCTTACTTTAGCCGGCGCTGCCAACATTGTTGCATCTGTCGACATGATGGAAAACGGCAAGTAGGACATGAACGTAAAGACGTGAGAGAAAAGTGGGTTCGAAATCACCGTCTGGTGATAGAGAGATGGGTGAAAGGTATGCTCAGAATGTCCTTCTAGTGAGTGAAAGACTGCAGAAAGCTGTTTGTAATGAAGAGATGGATCGAATTGAAAATTCCGGTTAGTCGTGATCTATATGCTCGGCTTGGGTGACAGAACCCGGACTCCAGGTGGAAAATTCGACTGTTTGAGAGGGTTACTACAATCACCACATCTAGCGAAGCTTGTTATGGCTCATGGAAAGGGTCCAAAAGGCAGGTTGGTTGGTTTGGTTCAGCCTTCGGAGATGTGGTGCATGGGATGGTGAGAAATATGAGATAGACGAAAGTTAAAATGAGGTAAAAGAAGAAATAGAACAATAGAGAGGAAGAAATGGAGAGAGGGAGAGAGGAAGAGAGGAGGAAAAGAGGAGAGGAAGAGAGGTAGTCTGCTACACTTCAGTCAAGGGGGTCTTGCATAGTTTTCCAAAATGGATGGTTGAATTGGTATAATAATTAAACTCTACCCCATAGTTGTCTCCCACCCCTTTTCCATCATAACATCGACCCAATAACTATTAGCCTCTCCAGAATCCATGCGTCTCCAGACCTCCTTTACGAGCCTCACACAGACATCGATTGGCTTAGGTGGCAACACATGCAGGAGAGATGTGAGACGACCTAGGATGAATTTCCGCGTTTGAGATACTTCAATAGCTTCCATTGATATATTTGGTGTCTCAAAGTCAGATTGAGACTGGCTTTCATCCTGGTTGTCTTCAAATTGGGATTTGGGTTGCTCAGCGGGTATTTGTGGTAGACGTAGCTCACTACATGAAGCAACTAACAGCAATGGTTGGAGGCAGCGGGTCCGGGATTCGAAGGGGATAGTTTTTAGGCGTGATATAAGTGTGACGGCAAAATCAGTGAGCCAGGCGTCGTACAGCCAATCGGATGGATTGTCCTGAGCTGTCGGTTTAGGCGCTTGAGGTTGGTGATGGTGTGAGGAGGGAGGGAAAATGTTGATGTGTGGAGATTGGCGGGTGGTATGTTGATTTGAAGGTTGGACTTTGTCAGATGTAGGACAGCTGGTTATCCCACCGAAGTCCGGGGAGAGGTTCATGCAGTCCAGATTCACCGGGAAGAAAGAGTCGCCAGGTGTTTCTCTTGCCAAATTTGGAAATTGGGCTGCCTCGGGATTTGGCAGGCGGTTGCGAAGTAAGTCCGGGAAAACACGATACAGTTGTATTAAGCCCGTACACCGATAAACCTCTGCAACAGTAAGAAGGTGCCAAACTGGAGTTTCATCGTCGCCAGTACTGACGATCTCAGCTTCTGTGAGATGTGCAAGGGTCAACAAGCGTTCTTCCAACTCGCGTGCCTTTTCGATGGCCATCTGTGCCTTTCTAATGTCGTCGTGAGATGTAAAAGTTTGAGATCGAATGCGTCTTCGTTCTCTGCGAATAAGACGACCCACTTCATGCACAGCGAATTGCGCATCGCGTGCGATTCCAGTCCATGGATGGGGTACCCTTTGAAGAACAAGTGACTCATCCATGGATGATGCACAGGATCCATCAGAGAACATCGCCGAGTCATTATCTGCGACAAATGATAAGAGCATCTCCCAGTATATGAGAGCTTCCTCAAAGAAACGGTGATTATTACTGCGGCTCTCAGGGAAGCTCATAGGTTCTGTGCTAGACCCGTTGGAAATGGAGTTGAGGTGCTTCCGGAGCAGATTGAAAAATGAAATACCCAAGTCCTTTGGATCATGCCAGCTGGCCGTCTGTCCAAGCATAAGGAGCGCCAGCAAAGATTTGTCGTCCATCGCTGCTTCAAGTGTGATTATACTGACAGCCTCATTCCTCATCTTTCGACCAATCGGTCCAAACTGTGGAAAGTCGCTGACAAGAGTTGCAGCAGCCATACTTTGCATTGTCCGGCACATAGCTAGTGATGAGCCCCATAGTCTGGAGACGGTCGTACGGAAGGGGTTCATCTGGCTATCGTAGCTAGAGAAGAGTGCCGCAACTTCTTTGAAATAGTACTCGATAAGCGTCCATGATGGATTGTTTAGCGGACGGGAGATTGATGGAACGTTTCGGGTATTAGAGCGTTGTGAGGAGGGTGGGTAACTGCGTACAATAGTTGATGGCGAGAAGTCTCGATAAATGCTACCGCCATTGCCAGTGTCCTCTTGGGGCGGGCCAATCAGTGACAGAATATGAGATAAATCGGCAGCCATGTCTCCAGATGAAGCAAAGTCATATGGTGAAGTTTCGGTCTGCGAGAAACCTGAGACCGAAATCGGCGCTGGGGAAGACGGGCAGAGATCGGTCAACTCTGGGAGTGATCGATTGCCCTGAAGGTCCCATAGATTGTCACAAAGAACATTCGATTCATCTAGCCCAAAACCTGAGTTTGATTCAGGTTGTGAATCATTATTCGGGGCATTGAGTGGCAGTGTATCCCTAACAGGAGCCGGGGTCTTCCTCGGCACCGAGGTAGAGGGCACAGGGCTCGGCGGTTGGCCCTCAGATGATGCACCAGGACTAGGCTGGTCATATTTTGTGACCCAACGGAGTGACTGAACATATCCAGGACATCGAACTCCAAGTCGGGTGCAGCGGCTACAATGAGGCTTCTCCTCTCCGCACTTGACCTGTTCGGGTAAATTAGCATGTGTTGATTTCGCACCACGCGCCCACACTGACCCTTTTGCTTTTACACCGTGAACATCCGTTACGAGACTTTTTCACTCGTCGCATGATTGATATCTTGATCCGAAGCTGTGAAAAACGACGAAGCCCGGTATTGTGGAACGCACCTTTGGAGTCGTGCGGGGAACACGCTTATCTGTCGCTCCCCGATAACGGGAAAACATTGCCTAATTGATCAGCGCTATATAGATGCCTCTTTCATTCTCTCCTCTTCATGTGGATCCATGTCCACGCATTATTCGCTTTTTTCTTGGCGATACTTCACTACCTATATTCAATCACGTAGGTCTCTTCAATTGTCTACATTGAACTGAATCAGTGATTGTTTGATATACCATTGGTATATATATTGTTGGCGCAGCGATCCTCACTTCCAGACTTTCTTTCCTTCCTCGCACCTTAAAGAGTTTCACCCATCCCCTTTCCCTTCCCTAACAGATAACTGCCTGCCCAGGTGTCAACAGGGGCGACACCAGCAACCGTGCTTTCTGGGAACAGAGCCGAGAAATGTGAACCATGGGCTAAAGAGGTCGGGGCTGAACATACAGATCAATCCGTGGGCTTCTGAGCTACTTTGAAGTGAAGTTGGACCCCGTCCCGGCCTCACTTCTGATAGATGGTGGTGTTTTCGATACTCGTGAAATCGACCAGCGTCCTGAACTCGAGTGGCCTCATTAGGTTGATCAATACACATATAGTAAGACTTAGATCTTTCAATAACCAGACTCGGCAATATTCAAAACTTGTTCATCATATTCCCCCGCTGAATGCAGAGGAAAAAGTATACTGTCCTTGTTTGCAAGCACAAGACGATGGGGGAATTTATCACTTGGTCGACACCTTCATGCGGAATGCCAAGGCTTTACAGCCAACAACATCTCGGACGAAAGAGAAGAGAAGCAAGGAACTGGTCCCAGGTCAAATCTTGCGATTTCGAAATCTCCGTCGATTGTGGACATCGAGGCGTATGCGGGCCTCTTGAAGATAGGCCCATTATTCATAGATACCATATCGTCTCCTTTGCGGCCCCCAACAAATAGCTACCTCTTTAAGTACACTGAATTCGGGTTACAACAGCAGCGCTAGACTAGCCAAGCAGTCGCACGATCAAGTTATCACAAACCTCAAATTACCCTCGATATATACGAGCTAATTGAAGGTTTGAACCTAATGCCGGTTTCAATGTCGCTTCAAAGTTCAATTATGGTCATGTTCGTTCGGTATCTTAATTCCGCGCATCAAGACCATCGGCACCATTGATACTTACCCAATAAAAACGCAACCCAACATTCAAAAAAATGATTGTGGCTATCATACTTTCGCAAATTATCCATCGAATGTCATATCTATCAATGAGTCAAGGTGCCAGATTGCCAGGACCCCCTGCAGGACCCCTGCAGCGTTCGGAATAGCTCCGTTAAGGCGTTACGCACTAGCCACTAACCCAAGCAACTGAATAGGTATCTGCTCCTTAGTGCGTAAGGCTATTATTCGTTGAAAAAAAACCTAAAAGAATTTGATTCGTTCTTACTCCGCACTAAATAATGCCGAACGCCCTCGGAAGCGGAATGATAGCGCGGAACGGTGGTCAGCCCCCGCAGTAGACCATGCATCCGGGGCAGGCTTGAAAAGCTGCTTATTGCCCGGCTGATCATTAAATTGAATTCGGCACCCGCTGCGAGATAATCATTGAATTCACTAGCAGAAAATGTCCTCAACATTGACAATCACCGGAGTGCAGGGTCGGAAGGTTACTGGTAAGGGCCGACAATAGTATACCCGCAGATATAACTTTAAGACTAACACGTTGCTTCAAGTTCCGACCGGACTGTTTATTCACAATGAGTTTGTTCCATCTGTCACTGGCCAGACAATGGCTGTAGAGAATCCATCGACGGGCGAACAACTCGGAACCATTTCAGCCGCCGGGCTGGAGGATATAAACAAGGCAGTCAAGTCGGCCAAAGCAGGGTTTGAAGCTTGGAAGGCAGTTTCTGGGGCTGCACGAGCTCGCATTCTTCTGAAGCTCGCCGATTTACTTGAGCGTGATGCCCAGGATCTGGCATCTCTGGAAGCTGTCGATTCCGGCACCCTCTTCACTGACTCAATGGGACTGAATATCCCACAGGCGGTTGGATGTCTCCGATACTACGCCGGATGGGCCGATAAGATTGATGGAAAGACACTTGAGCTGGATGGCGGTATTGCATACACTCACCGAGAGCCTCTAGGCGTCTGCGGTGCCATCGTGCCTTGGAATGCGCCTCTGTAAGTGACTTCCTGTTCACCGATGATTTTCAAAAAATGCTGACAAGCGACTACGCAGAATGATCACCATCTGGAAACTTGCTCCTGCCCTTGTGACTGGTAACGCTTTGATTATCAAGACATCCGAAAATTCGCCCTTGTATGGCCTGCGATTAGCTGAGCTAGTCAAGGAGGCCGGAATCCCCGCAGGCCTGGTGAATATCGTGGCCGGCGACGGTGCTAGTGCAGGTCAATCCTTGTCCGAGCACATGGAAGTTCGTAAAATAGCTTTCACAGGAAGTGCTTTCGCCGGACGGAAGATTCTCCAGGCGGCATCCCGCACTAACTTGAAAAAGGTGAGCCTTGAGCTCGGAGGTAAGGGACCGTCGATCGTATTCGATGATTGCGATCTTGAGAATGCACTTCTTTGGACCCGTATTGGTATCACCGCCAACAATGGCCAGATATGTGCGGCTGGATCGCGTATCTACGTTCAGGATTCCATCTATGACCGGTTTATCGAGGCTTATAAGAAGGCTGCTGCCGATGCTCCTACTGTTGCGGGTGACCCGTTGGACACATCAACGACCAAGGGCCCAATTGTGAACAAGGCTCAGCATCAGAAGGTCCTGGATTATATTCGTCAAGGCAAGGAGTGTGGTGCTCGTTTGCTGTTTGGTGGAGAGCGAATTGGTGAGAAGGGATACTTTGTGCAGAACACTGCTTTTGCAGATGTTGCGGACGACGCGACGATTATGCGGGAAGAGATTTTTGGCCCAGTTGCTGTAAGTTGTCACGTCTCTCAACTAATGCGCACGGACTTTCATGCTTATCATGTCTTCACCAGAGCATCGCCAAATTCTCTAGTGAGGCGGAGGTCATCTCCAAAGCCAATGATTCTGCTCATGGACTGAGCGCTGCTATCTTCACAAATGATGTCAACCGCGCGCATCGTGTTACTAAAGCGTTGGAGTCTGGACAGGTGACTGTTAACGCGTGGGCGATGTTGAGCCCTAATGTTCCCTTTGGTGGAGTCAAGGAGAGTGGATATGGACGCGACATGGGCGAGGATGCCCTCGAGGGTTGGACCCAGGTCAAGGCTGTCAAATTCCACATTCTTCCCGCTCGACTGTGAGTCTAAATGCCGACTAGATACAAAAAAGAAAAAACAGGTAGCATGGAACTCATTATTCATACTTAAATGGACTGTAGAGCTGGAAAGCCCCACGTGCATTGTTTATAGAGAGTAGAAGAGCTTCAGTATCAATTCGTTATTATTATTTAGGTAGAAGTATATCAAATAACGGTAGCGCGCGACTGATAGTTCAGATATTTTGCAAGATGTTAGGTCGCAATCCTTCGAGAACCGCTGTTACCTCACTCCAAACCTTCTCACGAGCCTTGGCTCCATCTGCGCTGCGCACAAATTCGGAAAGCATTGTGTTTTGAACAACTCCATCAGATATATATGCACCATGGGATTCAAGCCCTGCCAAAATACCAGCAACAAGTGTGCGTGATCCAACTTCCGTTGAGCGAGCCAGAACCTGCTTCAACAACCAGAGCCCCCAGCCCGCCTCTCGGCCCAGCTGTGAATGGCAAAGACCTGGGTTCACCATATTGATAATAACCTCTGATCCACGCACTCTCCCAGCAAGCTCTTGTACAACCAAAACCTCTAGTAGCTTAGACAAGGGATATCGGACTCCCATCTGAGCCTTCGCAGGGTCGGAGATGACCTGAAGCGTGTTCTTCTCTTTCCATTCATCGAATTGTACCCACGCGTGGACTTCACTGACAATGAATGTCATGTGCGGGTGACTGGAAGGCACCTCTTTCTTGGTGGCCTTAAGCTTTGGGAGGACGAGGAGGCCCATGAGCAGGGTACTGATGACGTTGACGGTGATTGTTCGCTCGAAATTTTCGGCGAGCTGAAAATTTTCGGTAGCGATTGCTGCATTCAGGATAGCAGCGTCGAGGCGGGGTAGCTGGGAGATTCGGTCTCCGAAGGCTAGGACGGAGCTGTATGAGGCGAGATCTACCTCCCATACCTCGCAAACACCAGAGCGCTTGGTTGAAGCTTCAATATCCTTTTTGGCTTCTTCTCCCGCTGGGACATTGCGCACTCCTAGAATCACGCGGGAGGCGCCGAGACGGACGACATGACGGGCAGCTTCGAGACCAAGACCGACGTTGGAACCGGTAACGAGAATTGTCTGGCCTTTTAGAGATCCCTCGGGGTAGGATGGCCGGACGAAAAGTTGTGAGTACACGAATGGAGGCATGATTTGAGTATGTGTTTTCAATATAGTCTGATTTGCGAAACTGCAGGATGGCCCAGGGGGTTTACGATGGAAACAGTTAAATAATAAAGATTGCTGCAGGCGCCAATGTCGTGACGAATTTCTTCGCGGAGATTGCATTGTATTAACTCCGGGTCGCAGCTTAAACGCCGGCAAACACTAATCTTCCTCTCTAACGCCTAACTCCACGCTCTTCTCAATGACAGATTCCCGTTTGTTGCTTACAAATTCTCCACAGAATGAGCCCTTCTGAGTTTACAAGTGATTCCATTGAATTCGAAGCTAGATAACTCAATTTTCCCATAGCATGCTCCAGTCGCCAAAGAATTGCCGCCAAGGCCTAACGTTTGTGGCTATGACGTAGACAGGGACCCGAATAGGCTGCCGAGTTGCATTCAACTTCTGCCTTTCCAACTATCACAATCAACCAAAATGCCTGGACATCTCGGTCAAAAAATAATCAACGCTTTAGGGGGCCATTCAAATCATGATTCCTCCGGACAGCCTTTCCAGCATCGTGCGGCAGTGAACAACGATGAGCGCCCACTATCCTCCCACCCCAATACAGGCACTTACCCCCGTCTGGCACGTCTCTCTGATGGATCAATCCTATCTTCATTTACCCGGTTTCCAGATGGCAAGCGAGCACTTTGCGTCGCCCGCAGCACTGACAATGGTCACACCTTTGAGAACCTCTCCGAAGTCACTCGCGCAGCTGGGGACGTGGATAACATGTTCTTGCTAGAGGTCGCTCCAGGTGTTGTCTTAGCAGCCTTCCGCAATCACGACGTCGGACCACAAGGTCCCACGCACTTTCGTATCACAGTCTGCAGATCCCAGGATGGAGGTCGTACATGGCAATTCGCATCCCAGGCAGCCGAGAAAGGTGCCCCACTCGGTATATGGGAACCCTTCATGCGACTCGGTAGACGGGGAGAAGTCCAGCTTACTTACTCGCAAGAGTTCGCACCTAACAACCAGTGTACAATGGTGGTTATCTCTAACGACCAGGGAAGCTCCTGGAGTCGTCCTGCCTGCTTGCACGGAATGAATGATCCTTTACGCGACGGCATGAACGGGATCGCGACTAGTTTCGATAACGGACGAGAGGCGCTCGTGATGGTCTTTGAGACTACGAGACACGGTCCGTTTAGTATCGAGGCACTGGTTTCCTACGATGATGGGGCTTCTTGGCATCATCGTCATGAGGTTTTCCGCCCGAAGCCTGGACACAATGCGGGATCACCGCAGGTCACCTCATTTGCGGACGGGTCTATGGTAGTCGTTTTTATGACCGACGAGGATTCGCCGAAGGTTGAGTGGGTCAAACATGCTTCGATCAAGGCTGTTTTTGCTGGGCCGCCGCAGGATGGGCAGATTCGATGGAGTAAGCCCAGTCTCATCTCGGAGGCCTCGAGCTTTTGGCCTGGTGTTATGGCTATCGATCAGCATACTGCTTTGGTCACCTATGACAGAGGTGGTCCTTTGGCTAAGACAGTCACCTGGCACCCTTGAATGGTGGAGGATGAGAATTTCTTTCAAGTATCTGCGCTTGACATACCAAGGATGTCATATAATATGGCGGTGCGATTGTATGCAGAATTGCATTGAGACTCATGGATGATGATTTTGGAAATGGCATCCCGGGTCAAGTATAGTGCTGAGCGCAGGATACATACCTATAGACTAACGTGGTCACTGAAACACAATTTTTCCCCCGCCTTTTTGTGTTCGTGCTTGTGTTCATGCAAATGCGGAGTGTTTTATGCTTCCTAAAAACTTTGACTTCAGGTGTGATTAAAAATGTCTACATGACCTGCATGTTATATGCAGCCGTGCTCCATAAATTGCGGCATATTGCAGGTCGGCGATAGCATCCGATGATCGGGCCAACCACCCGACCGTTGTACCTAGTCCTACTTAGAATCAATTGCTGAGTTACCTCAACTTAGTATTTCCCGTTACTATGCATCGAACATGAATATAGACTGTGGTATGTGATAATTGAGCCAATCAGACGGCATAGAATATCAATTCATATTCTGTAGAGGAGTGGTGATGGGGGGATAAAGATACAAGCGGCCGGGGCCGTCACCGATTTCTCCGCATTGCCGGACTTGCGACCACCGGAGCTTGACCGGAGCCATAATCTCGAATTTCCCCCGGACTTCTTTTTCCTCTCTTGTACAACCTGGAAATTCTCGGTCGCACGACATAAATAAATTCACAATGGCTTCAGCCCTCAGAGCAAACTGCCGCAAGGTCATGTGTATTGGCCGTAACTACGCGTGCGTGTCTCCCCACGGATAAATTCCGCCTCACAACTAGCCCGCCCTGCCACCCTTTCACGAAAATTGAAACTGACATTGGTTGCGTCTAGCGAACACATTGCAGAGCTGAACAGCGCGACCCCTAAGCAACCTTTCTTCTTCTTGAAACCCTCATCCTCCATCCTCCTCCCCGGCCAGGGCCCCGTCCTCCGTCCCAAGGGCGTCAGTCTTCACTATGAAGTCGAATTGGGTCTCGTGATTGGCAAGACCCTTCGTGATCTTGACCCCAAAGACGAGAAGTCTGCATTTGAGGCCATTGAGAGTGAGCTTAGAGCTTTATATCCCACCACGCATATTCAATCGCTAACCGCGCAAAAGGCTACATTCTCGCTATTGATATGACTGCCCGCAATGTCCAGGACGAGGCCAAGAAGAAGGGCCTCCCCTGGTCCATCGCTAAGGGCTTCGACACCTTCTGCCCCATTTCCGAAATCATCGCCAAGTCCCGTATTCCTAACCCCCACGATGCCTTCCTCCGCCTCCAGGTTAACGGTGTCGACCGCCAGGCTGATTCGACTAGCCTCATGCTGCACCGCATTACTACACAGCTTGCTCAGATCTCCCGTGTCATGACACTTGAGAAGGGTGATATTGTTCTGACTGGCACCCCTAAGGGTGTTGGTGAGGTCAAGGCTGGCGATGTTATGCGCGCTACCATTGAGGTCGATGGCAAGGAGATTGAGGAGGGCCGCATTGAGGTTGAGGTTAAGGATCGCTCCGAGGGTCTTTACGAGTTCAAGGAGACCTAAGTTCATAATGAATTAGCTGAATTTTGGGGGGTGGATAATATATGAGAATAGCGTGCTTTTCTTGGGATATACTTGGCGAAAGTGTGTCAAAGGCTGTAGATATGAACATATAAATTTGAAAATCGGCATTGCGGATTGTTCCAAGGCTTATTCAATTTTGAGAGGTTCCAACTATAATATACCCTAGCTGCTTGCACATGGTACGATCCATTCTGAGAATTGCAACGGTGCTCGAAGACGGAATTGTTCAGATAAGACAGCAATAAGTCCACACTGGGGGGAGGTTTAAAGCACGGTTACTTTCTAAATCGACCGTTCAAGTAGCTATTCGTGCAGATCCAATCCTCAAATGACAACTTAAGTAGAGAACCAGATTCTGTTTGAGCATTTTCAAGAGACAGCCTTTCCTTAGCTCCCGAAAATAAAAAGATATTCATCGACAGATAGAACACTCACTGGTGAAAAAAAATCTCTTTGTGTGTTTGCAAGTGCACTCATCATGAGCCCATACAGAGCGAGATTTCCCGCGGGGTGGTCATCCTTTCCTACGAAGACATTCCACCTCCGCGCCAGGCATGAGCCTGCTTCCGCAGATGAATCAAGAAACGAGAGTTTGAGAAGATCTACAACGGGGTTTCTCCATTTGCTGTTGATCAATCGTCCGGATAGGTCAGTTAGTACTTCTACAAGACGGTTGGGGCTCAGTTCAGTCGTATCAGGTCTCATCAAAGATGGTAAGCAATTTCTTAGGTGTATGATCCGAGTTTTGTTAAGAACAACGTAGGCCAAAGTATTTATAAGGGGATTACATAGCTCTTAAATCTTAATAGCTGACAGCCCCTACTGAATGTAGGTGATACCCGTGACAGCGGGCTACCAAATCACTCCAATTGTCCACTGTTTCCTTCATGACATCGGTTCCTGAATACTCAGTTAATATTTGTCTTCATAAAACACCAGAAAGCCATAGACTCACCCCACATAAAGTCCTGCCAGCTGTGATCAGCCCATAGATCTGGATTCTTACCGGGGCCTCGAATGGCCTCATCGCGTTTGCGTTGTTCTTCGCCGTCAGGTAAGTGTAAAGCCTTTCTTGTCTCAGATGCGCTGTTCTGAATGCGTTCTGCACGCTCCTTGCGCACAGCTTCGTAAACAGAAAGCGCCGTAGGAACCGATTCGGTCAAAGAGAGCGCACATGTGAGGACACCAGCGTCTTCAATGGCTTGCGCAGCGCCCTGAGCTACATATGGAAGCATCGGGTGACAAGCATCGCCCATTAGGACGCATTTGTTCTCAATCCAAGAGGGCAAGGGCAAGTGGGAATTGAGAGTCCACTCCATCACCTCGCCATCCGGGACATAAGTGAGCAGGCTGCGAACCAAATCATTCCAATCGTGATAAAAAGAAAGCATCTCTTGCTTGTCTCCCTTGTTGGTCCAGCTCTCCTCATTGGGCGCGTCTTTCTTTTGAGGATGTAGCAATACCATGTTGTACACAGTGTTGTTTTTAATAGGATAGGCCATGATATGGCCGCCTGGTCCCATCCACCGCATACCCACGTTGTGGTTTAATAGGTCCAATGCGCGCTTGTCTCCTGACATTTCCTCTTTCGGGATCATGACTCGGTAGGCTGCGTCTCCAGTCGGTTGGCATGTGTCGTGAACCCCATGATGGGAAGCAATTTGTTGGCGTATGTCTGATTTTATACCATCGGCCGCAATCACCACGTCGCCAGAGATCCATTCCCCCGACTCCAGCTGTACTCTGGCCTCAAAATCGTCAGGGACTTTAGTCACGCGCGAGCTTGTTCGAATTTCGATCCCTGCAGCTTTGCACCCCTCTAGCAGGATACGTTGTAGATCACCTCGGTGGATAACCGCCAAAGGTGCATGATACTTCTCAGATACCTATATACCAATCAGACTGGATGAAAACCAATAATGAACGAAAAAGCGAGACATACCTGGGGCATCAAAGGCGCTGTTCCAAGTTCCTGATCATTTGCATACCGCCGCAGAGAGTTTTTCTCTAAGCTATTCGACTTCTCCATGACCTTATCTAATAAGCCTAGACGGCCTAGAATACGAGCAGCATTAGGGGCCACTTGGATGCCAGCACCAACTTCCGCGATCTCATGGACGCGTTCCAAGATAAGAACTTCATGGCCAGCCTTGTTTAGTCCCAGCGCTACCGTCAAGCCAGCGATACCAGCACCCACGATAATCACTTTTAGGGGCTTTGTAGCGTTGAAGTCCCAGTTAAATTTGTCCTGGTAATTGTTCATCGTTCGTTTGTATTTTATTACACAAGGTTTGCGTCGTGATAATAGAGTGTGAGAGGAGAAAATTTTCAGTTGCTTGTAGCTATCAAATACATGATGCTTTCCAAGTTATTTAGATATAAGTGAATGTCAAATTGCCGTCCTTCTTTGCCATCAATGCCATCATCCATTAAATATGACGTGCATCTGCGGCTGCGCCGGCAATGTTTTCGGAGAGAGGCACACGCGCAGTTGATGACATAATCACTCGCAGTGCCGTCTAATCTTGCCATGGCGGAACGCTTGGTTGAGTCCACGGGTTAGTCTTGATTTCCTATGGGTCAATCTACGATAATGAGGAATAGCCAGCAGGGCAATTAGATTACATCATTTGTGACATCAAAAAACTTGAATTCAGAGTGTCCTCCCAAGGTCAGTCCACAGGAAATACGCTCGATCCAAGCAAACTTTCTTTCTACTGCTCCCAAAATGCTTTTTACGTGAAATTGTATGATGCAGAAATCGTAATCTAAATAGTGGTAGGATATTAGGAACGGATATGATTGACTCCAATTGTTCGCAATTGAACTCCTGCTTGAGGATATATGTGTGAAGATGTTGATTCATGTGAAAGAACATAGCTATTTGTAGTCGCAGCAGCCCATCTCTCTGTTACCTAAAGTTATGATGGGTTGAGGTGCAGCCACTCCTTCAGGTCTATATACGTAATGTGATCAGAGAGCTACTGGTGACGCGCGCTGTCACCCGACAGAAGCCCTGAAAAGCGTGAATTTCGATTAGAATGGCGTGGCAAGGTTAATGGCACCACAACGGATCCCAAGGACACGGAATTAGTGATATTTACAAAAGAAACTGCTACAGAAACACTGTTTGCTTAACTGGCTAATGAGCTCGTCTGTGTCAGCAGGAGATCTTGGGGAGGAAATGCATCGTAAGCAATGATCCATGTCCAGAGCCTATTCTGCAGGAAACACGGCGTTCGGATTCAATAGATCTATAAAAGCAATAAACTTCTCTCGGCCAATTGGCAGTTACCTAGCTATAATAGCTTGGGATCACATCTTGTCTTAGCGGCAATAAGGAGAGCACCAGTCATAGACTGCGGGCTTCAGAAATCTGTATTTTTCCAGATCGGGTTCTCTCATGACCGAGGAACTAGACGAAATCCAGTGTGTGAAATATGGAGGATCATGTTTGTATTGAACTTGGGGGCTCCCAAATATCACTCATTATAAGGAACAGTCTTATGATTTCCAACTTCCATGGGACCTTCGATTGGCCAGGGGAGCAATGGATCACATCAAGGTGCCCGGTGAGGAGTTATATATTTCTTCCCTCACAAGAATCAATCTGATCTTGGATTTGACAACGCTTTTTTCTACCAAGTTTCTCGACGGCTCCTTGCCTGACCAACAGATTTACTTGGCAGTCATATTCCGCTTTCCATGACGAAAAAAAAAAGGTTATACAACTGTCAGGATTCGCATGTGGTCACCCACCATACTATGTACCAACTGACCGGCGTGTGGCTTATCTACGTTAGATAGTCGGGTGCCGGGTGAGTTGGAAGTGGGTGAGCGCCGCTTTAAGCTCGCGCGACCAGGGTGAGACCGGGTGAGTGCGCAATAGATAGGGGTGAGAATCACCCTTCATCACATGACTATCGCACTGACCCTCATGTGAATTCTTGTGGGATTGGGAGGACGACACATATCCAATCCCAAAGGGTCCTAGTGGTATTTAACCACTCTTTCAATTTGGCACATTGTAACGTCGTTTATCCGAGCTATCTACGGGCCCACACGATAGTTTAACCTGCCCTTTTAAATCGAAATCAACTTTTGCATCTGAGACTACACTTGATTTCATCTTCGATTTTGTTTGCTTACCAGGGTCCACGCGAGTCCGAGTAGGGCCGGGGTCCGAGTCTGGTAGGATTTCGCATATGCGAGACCGCGCTACGTATGGGCTAGTATCGGGTGTTCATGGAAGCTACGGTGACTAGTTCTAAAACTTGGCCCCAGGGCCACACCATCGTAATTACATAACATTGTGCTGGGCATGACCAACACCTCATGGCATGGATAAATTTACCATCAACCTGATTGAGACGCACCAAGAGCATGTCAAAATAAGCATGATGAGCATTTCACAATAAAAACGTGTCGCATGCATCTGAGTGTGTTACATTATCTGGCTCGCAGTATTCGGCAACCCTTAGTGGTTTGTGAGTGGATCCTATCCGAACTTTGAGTATTCCCTGTACTCCGTATGTTAGGTACGGGAATAGTGTAAACCCTGCAATCCTGCCTAGTCTTTGCACTCATTCTTCACTTTCACCGAGACTACAATCATGAAATTCTCGCAATTTCGCCGCGATCGAGAAAAGCTGTCTAGGAACAGCTACTGGAGCCGAAATCGCCTTAGCCCACAAGACTAACAAGAATGCCAAGACTAATTAAAATTACTATGGCAACTCCAACACAACCTCTATCACAACTGATGTGCTCTCCTAGCAATAGTTGCCGTGGTCGGCTTCATGGTATGCGGTGAAAGTAGACTGTAGTGGAAGAGATTTTATTGTCTTGCTTGGATGTTTTCTGCAACTGTTATGGGGACTCTGCTATAGGGCTATTCCCACATCCTGTTGCTCAGGTCCCAGCCTGATGACTCAGGATCCACAGTGCGAGGGCTGTTACCCATATGACAGACTTCCGACGGGGAACCGTCCGCCCTTCAGTGGTGCAGCTGTGAAGCCGCCCTCGCCCAAACTTGCCAAGATTGCCTAGAGACCTCAGTTACTGTTAGCCTCGCCTTAGTGCAGTTTAGTCTGAATTTAGGCTGGTTTAGTACTGACATACCGTTCATTGAGGAGCAACAACAAAATTCTACCCCCTGCGTAATTCAAATTTATGTATCGGATTCTCGTTTTCGGAAAGGCTCAAGTGATTTTTCTGTCTCCTCGTGCGGCATTATTCCTGTGTTTTGTAATTTCAGTGTGGAGGAAGCTACATCTCCGAGTATCCGACGAACTTTCTCGGGTGTGCCTGGAATCTGGAAAAATGCAGCCGATACTGGATTTACTGAAAAGAAACAGTAGATATGCAGTATAGGCAGTGAGCATGGACAGGCTGTCTGGTTATTAGGTTATTTGACCGAGATGCGACTTGCTATAGGCAGTGTGTTCCCTCAAATCGTGTTGTAGTGGGTTGATGAGAACTCATATGTTTGAAATTGACGTCCTCCCCTTGGAATATGCACGCCCCAAAGGCTCTGTAACTATTGTATTGTCTTACCCTTTACAGCTGTGTACCCACTCTGCTAAGCTTCGCTTCGTCGGAAGTATGGCTATCCATGGACTCGGAATTTAGCTAGTAAGTGCGCCGTCTTGGTTCTCTATCAATGTGGATCTTAGAATACCACCCAGCAATCACACACGAATTGCCGTGCTTTCCCACAGAACGATTATATAACACTTAAATGAGGCGGACCTCCTATTTAGTCGAGTTCCAAGCTACCTTTCAGGAAGTCAGTCGTTCTTTGCGACAGCGAATTGGTACGCATGGCTTGCCCCTGTGGTGGCCAGCCACCTCATGCACGGGACCAATGCGAAGGCTGTCTTTGCACATTTTACGAAGCTTAATACCACACAACAAGTGCAAATCCAGTGTACCCCAGCCGATTTCCTAGAGGACCTAAACATCATCTTGGCGTTGTTCACCGACGGAAACAAAGAGGTGATGATTTTCACCGGAGTATCTGGATATTCTACCTGGGAATCTAAGCCAGATGGGAAGGGCGGAGCAAGGCCTATGGTTTGGCAATTCAGATTCCGGCTATATCAACGCAATTACTGGTGATAGACCTCAAAAATATAGCAACAACAACAACAACAACAGCTCCGGCAATCAGTTCGATGGTCCTATTCAACGATTTCGCTCACCGGCACAAGAGGAATAAAGAAGAGGAATAAAGCCTGAAAATACGATGTTCTTCTCGAGCCTGGGTTTTTTGGAACCAAGTCCTATGGCTAGAAAGCTATTCAGTAACCCCTGTCGAGAAAAGAGTCAGGATGCTAGCGAAGATGTTGAAACCACAGGAGCCACAGGATAAAATTGATGATAGTCGGCAGAAGTATCAGAAAGAAATCATCATACCAGATATTAAACTGTGTGCTAACCACGACACTATTGATCAGACCATGTGACAGTCATATATTGGGGCGAGAGGATATGCATTTTCTCATATTACTTTCCTGGTGGCAAGTACCAGCTCAATTAGAATCTCTTCGTTACCTGTGGGTGATGGCGATTAGTCCGCGGTGTGATGGAATTATGCAGTGTTATAACGGCTATGATTAGTCTTGATGCACATAGATCTACATGTCGTTTCCACTTTTACTACCAAGAGTGACGATCATACCCTTTATAAGTTAGAAGTAAGGAGTTCGTCGACCTTATAGCGTGTCCTAAATTATGTCCCTGTGTCACCAGCACAATTTATCGCCTAATCATGGAATGCCATGGTTTAATACAGCTCGAAGACCTTCCAAGTGCCTTTGACTAAGGTCATCAACTTTGGGGGTACACTAAAATGAATCACTCTAACTCATGCAAATTGGGACTTTCGTTCGTACGTTCATCCACACCAAGTTCGGCTCGTTTTGACTCCTCAGCAGGTAGTTCATGCTTCTGGCCATCGGTTCCAAGTTCCGGTAACACTGAGACATTATTTCCATCCCCTCGTGCAAGTCCTCGGCGCTTCCGCCTGCGCAGGTACAGGAAGGAACCCACCCACAAAAGCAAAAGTGTGCCCAAAGCAACTCCAATCCCGATGCCGACTTTGGCGCCCGTAGAAAGCCCTGTCCCCGCGGTATATGTGATCGATCCATTGGATGCACTACTTGAGATAGTCAAGGAAGCAGACTCGGTGCTAGATGATTCTGCTTCGGTTGGGGTAGCAATGGCACCTCCGGCTGCTGTACTAGTGATATAGATCGTCGTGGCATCGTGTGCACTACTTGAGGTTGTGAAAGAAGCAGCATCGGTGTTGGAAGATTTGGTTCCGGTTTCGGTTGTGACTGCGTCTTCAGTTGCTGTACTAGTAATATAGATCGTCGTGGCGTCTGACATGTTGATTCAAAGTAGAAGTGATGGGCGGAGGAGGGTGAAAACCACCAAGGTTGTAGAGGAGGAAATAAAAGCAGCAAAAATCACAAAATAAGGAGAGCAAAAAATTGACAATTTGAAAATTTGGACGCGATTGCAGGAAATAGGGGGAGGCTAAAATAGTTGGATACACTTGCAGCTGAGGTTGTTTGATTGGCCATTGTCCGACTATCCATGACCTTAACAAACCAGCTTAAGTTTCTGAAGGGGGTTCAAACTTTGGAAAAGGACTTCTAATTTCATACGCAAAGATTGAAAAGTCTGCAGCCATCAAGCAAAAAGCGATGGTCAGTTCTTTTCACGTCGCGCGAGAGCTTGTCAGGCTGCGAAGTGGAGATGCCGGGGATTGGGGGCGGAATTCCGGAGGTAAAGGGCACGGACCTAAAGTCGCAAGAACTCTCTGCTCAGGAACTTCAGGCCCCACTTGACGAAGAATTCACGAGGCTTCTCTGTAGCAAAATTTCTCAGCCCAAAATAAAGGTTTGACGCCATGAGGTGAGCTACTTTGAGCCAAATTTAATTCTAAAATGATATTGCTGCAAGTTAATTTTAACGAATCAATAGTACAAATATTGGATATGCGGGGAAAAACCTGGTTCAGTGGTTCTAGTAGAAATATCCATTATTAGGAGCATCCTTTAAATGAAGATGAGCATATATGAATTTAGAATTCATATATACAGCTTCCTTGCTATGTTCGAGGCTCTCTTTGTTTGCTAGATAAAGTACCGCACCACACGTAGCAAACAAAGAACTAACCATGCAGACCCATCCTGACTTATTAAACAGGGGAGTTGAGAGATTGTGCTTATAACAGAGAGATAGATTTCAAACTAATGTATTCTAAAGGCTTCAGGCTTGGTTTTGTGTCTCATATTATCCTCTTTCACTTCCGGCGAGATGAGATTTCCATGAAGTAGTAGTCGAAGGCGCTCGGTAATAAGGCACCAGTTTTCAATCACTGAGATCGCCTCCACCTTCCCCCCCACCCGTTCTGCAATCGATTATATTCTCATTTGGAAAATTCTTCTTCCCATCCTCCAGATCACTAATATCCAGAACTCGAGCCGTGGAGACGTTGCTCTTTCGCTAGCAAATGTTCAAAAATATCTCCAAATATCACATAATTGACACTTACTTTAGTGACTCAAAGATGCGAACTGGCCAAAATCATGATTGAAGATGAAGCTTGCTTCATTATGGACACTCCGGGGTTTTGATCCAGCACATGCTGAAGCAATATTTCACGAAATTATTCAGGGCATGAAGACCATACTGGCTACTTCCCAAATTTCCGGGTTCCTTTACTTCACATGCATCAACCAACCACGTTTTGACTCATTTGATCGACAAGTTCTTCAGATTGTTCGTGCTATGTCTGGCTATGACTACATTCCCTACGTGACTTTCATTACTACATTCTGGACTGCCACCAGACTGTCGCAACAAGCCAATTTCAATGCCCAGCTCGAATTGCTGAAAAAAGACTGCAGGAAGACATTTGGAGTCCAACAGCTGCATTTCTATCAACATGGCCGAGGATACAACGCTGACTGGGAGGTAACTGAATCTTTCCTCGACTCGTTTGAAGAGTCTGGTCGAACCCAGATGGCGCAAAATGCCAGGGATATAATTGCAAGACATTATTGTAGTCCAAATGCATCGGCAAATCAGGCAGTGACTCCAAAGATTGTCCAGGAGCTCAGAGATGGCATCCCCATATACGAGACAGATGCAGGACGGGCTCTTGGTTTGCAACCTACCTCTAATGAGCAGCACAGAGAAGCCTTTGATTAACAGAGCTCGAGATCTGGTCCCTACTCGGCTACCGGATCAAACAGAGAAGCCAATCAAGATGCAGGCTCACAAGATATACCTCGAGCTACCCAGAATGGACTAGAAAACGATGAAGCGTCCGGAAAAACATGGGTCAGGTATTTCTTGAAGCCATTTCCTGGTTTTTCCGGAACGTCAACTTCAATATCGATGTTGCTGGTCCGAGAGGGGGTATCACACCTGCTATGGGAACTAGGTATGGGGGAACAGGCTTTGGAGGTTAGTCTGCATAGACAATAGAACGAGTTTGTCACTAACAATTTACCAGACCCCAGATCCTCTGTGGATGTGATGAAATTAGTCGGCCTTGACTCTAGCAAAGAAGGACGAATTCGATACGCCAGTCAACACGGGATTGGAGGTCAGCCTTTCTCTGCGCCATGGGGTGAAGCGATACGCAAACATGTTCTTCAGAACCACGGTCGATGAAACCTTCTCTAGAAACCTGACGATTATATTCAAAATCATCAATTTGATAAACTCTTTCCACTTCAAATTTGCCGACAGCCGATTTTGGCTTCCGCAGGTCCTTGTTCGTCGCCTAAACAAATTTCTTGTTGAAGATTCTTTTTTTCTATTCACATGGGTTTCTCGAGTTTCTAGGAGAATTTACCGTCGCTAAGCCTTCACCTCCTTGTAATGATTTAGCTGAATAATTTAGGATTCCTCCAAGACCGTCTTGTACTTGAAAAATATGCCATGTCAGCCCCCTCGGAGACCTGAACAAATGCTCAGTCTATAAACTGGTTCCCCAGAGAATATGCCGCGGAAGTAACTGAGAGCTTGGACGGCATTATCTCTCTTCCTTTTCTCCATAAACAGTGATTTTCATCACTCTGAATGGAAACCGATAGTTGTTAGAGACCTAGCTTCAGTTCACCGATCCTCATGTAGCTGAACCTTTGTTAATGCGCCCTCGTCAAGGACTGGTGTGGTGACACAAGTTGCACAGGAGCCTTTTTGACTTCTTCTCGCGGTAATGCGGCCGCGCGTATCCGTTCACATACCCGTCCATGAAGGACGATAAAGAATGAAAAGAGAACAAAAAACCAATTTAGTGACTAATTATTATTGAAGCCACGATTAAACATTTGTATCGTCTACCCAGAAGAGACCATGTCTAACATTAGTCATATTCGAGATTCCCAGGCGAGAAAATAGCAACTTAAATGTATAAATTACTTTTTCTAACACACCTAGCAAAGCTCTTACTGAATACTGAAAAGGGAAAAGCAGCTGCAAGCCCAAAAACATAGCAAAACAACATATCTCCTACTGGTCCTCCATTGGGAATCCTAAGTTAAAGTCATCTGCAACCGACCAACCCCAAGGATCCGAGAGAAGGATATCATCAAATATTCCAGTTTCAAAAATCTCGGAATTAGAAGCAATATCAGTCTCTGTCTCTGGAGAGATAGATTGGGCAGGCACTTTCGCCGACACCGGACTTCGTTGTGGGTTCTTTTGGGACTTTTCAAAAGTTTCTAAACTGCCAATTCCACCTTGGAGAAGAGTTTCAACGTCAAGGGATATTAGTTCAGGGGCACAGCCCTGTTCATTCACTGTCGTTGACCGTAAGTGTTGATTAGTGTCTACCCATTCCACCCAAAAAACTAGTTCGAAGTGCCGCACGGCTGAAATGGTAGTAGCTTGCCCACCTGGCGTACGTTCTCCTGTTCGCTTGGTACGCTTTGGATGTATGGCGTTAATAAATGCAAGTATGCTCTTTAAAGTGGCGTGTACTTCATGAAGGTGTGTATCCACATCTTTGAAAATCAGTGCGATCACCGGGTTCTCGGTTAGTTGTAGTAAACCGTTGACAATTTGATGATACAATTCCGTTGCTAATGAGACTGGGCTTAAGTTACAAGCCCCTGCGAGTCGGTACTTTGAACTGGGGTTAGTGCGCTCGTAGTTTCGTCGGCGTAGTGCTTCACACAGCTCAAGCGTGAAGCAGTCAGACATTCCGGTCAGGTTTAGTATACTGGCAATCAATACTAGTAGTAAAGTCGATTGTGCGATGTGTGTGTCAGCTGTGCAAAAATGAACTTGGGTTGTAGCTAGGTTACGAATTGTCATGAATGCTTTTGACATTTTTATTGCCGCGAGAACAAGTGGGTGAGTCGAACAGTCTTCGGTAAGCTTTTCTAACTCAGGGCAATGAACACAAGAAGATGCTCGAAAAGTAAAATCGTTAATCAAGCGTCTAGTCTCAGATTTGGATGGGTCCATATCATCCTTAGTCACCTCTAGACCAAGCATTTTGTTATCGCGTTGAATGCTGAGGTGGGCCTTAACAAGTGGGCTATTTGAAAAAGCCTGCTCAGCCATGAAGTATATGGCATTGAGTGCCTCTTGAGAGGGAGGACCGAAAGACATCAGCGAGTTCTCAAGGTCGGGTGGCTTGAAATGCCCTGTCAAGCAGAGCTGTGAGGAACTCCGAACACACTTGCGCTTATTGGTTTGACAAGGCTGGCAAATTTGGGCAGGGTCGCATTTCTTCTTGCTTCGATGGCACCAAAGGCATGCTCCACCAAATTCCTTGAGCTTTTGAATATCCTCCTTTCGATTCTCGACGTCCAGTTGTGTCCTCACTCTCTTTTCATGGTGGCGTTGTTTGCTTGTGGGATCCTCCGCGATCCACTGGTAAGTAGATACATCGGGCGCGGGCTGTTCCCTTTTAGTTGTGGGCAGGGAGATGATGGGCTGTTTTGCGACAGCTTTGTTGTAATGACTAGGTACATATCTGTATTCATTGGATGAAATTGGGAAAGAGTTCCTGTAGCCGATTGGTTCTGCGACAGCCTTCGGTAAAGATGGCAGGTCCGGAGAACACGAATCTGATTTACCCTCCTGACTGACTGACGACGGTGTGGTATATTGGTTGAACAGCAGACCTTGTTGCGATGGTGCATTCGATGATCTGCCCATCAGTTGTTGATTCGGGTACATCACGAAACCATTTTCATATCCCAGGTTGATGTTTATGTTATGGAACTTGGAAGCAGGTTGACCAACCAGGCCACTGCCATTGATTGAAGTGCTGGCTGGGCCTTCGAAAGGGTTGTATGTCACATCATCAGGCTCAGATGGAACCGTATATTGGGGATAAAGAGGCTGGTTCGAAGGGTTCGTCCCATGCCGCGTGGAGTCTAGTCTGTGAATGGGTTCTGGAGAAGTAATACCAGAATCTAAATGCGAAGGGATCAAGGAATCAGGTCTCGGGCCTGACACGGCCGAATGTCTTCTTTGTTCTTGATACATGAGAACTGAATGTCCGGATTATGTGTGCAGCGTTTGCTGTATACTGGAATGTTGGAAGGAACGTAGCTTGAGCTTGGCTAAAATGTGTGGCGTAAATGTTCTAAGCAGACAGTGGCGAATCTCTTGTCCATTTCTCTTGAATAGCTCTTGGTTAACCGTACTCGACGCCCTATTGATCTGGCTGTATGGTACTTGAAAGAGCCGCGGCTAAACTTGGTAAGGTCTTGCCCTGAATAGGTTTAGTTCGGGGAGGAACCCCTGGCTTCTTAGCTTTTTAAAGTTACCGGAAGTTACATTCCATGTCAAGTTTCCAGAGTATTGAGTAGATTAATACGCAGTTGACATGAATTTCCATGACATGAATCTGTCACCAAAGTGGCCAGAAAACAGCTCTTGGCGCATCGTTGCCTGAGGCAGCATTCCCCGCGTTCTCCACTTTTTATATCACATGCAATACGATTGTTGAAAGGGGAATACATTCTCCTCCAAAGATATCGCTGGAAGCAGATTCAAAGTTTCTCTCATCTCTTTATATTGAAGAACGGAATATGGCGTTCGACGTTTCATCCAGCGAACCACGGATAAATTTCAAACACCTTCCCGGAGCCCAGGAACAAACCCATAGGTTCGAACAAGTCGGCGTGATGCAAGTCGTGGATCAACAAAAAGACACAATAGAATGGAATCGGAAATTGTTGGGGTCATTGCTTAAGCGTGGACAGTCTCGCCGCATTCCCCCACGACATTCACGGTGATACTCCGACGTCCCGCAGCTCGGGGCATTGCTGGCCCGAGGCCTTGGATTTCCCCTCGACACGCGCTCGTTGAAAAAGTGTCAGCCCCCCACGTTTCTCTACTTTCCTTTCTTTTCTTCTTGCATCTTTCTGAGCTTCGAGAACTCGACGTCGAATTAATTTCTTGTCTCGATCACCTTTTACCTGGCAATCATGGGTTCAGTAACGGAATTTCCCCGCATCAAGGAGATCCGCACCTTCGTCATTGATGGTGTCGGCTCCGGTGGTGACTACCACAACGTAAGAGCACCTTCAATTGCAAATTTGGGGGAATGCAACGAGCTGACGACAAGATTTAGGTCAAAGGTGGCCACTGGCTGATCGACAGCAACATTTCCACTCCCATGACCAAGTGGGCACAGTACCGCGGCTCGCGTACTTCTTGGGGCATCAATGTCTTGGGATCATTCTGTGTTGAGATTGAGGCTACAGATGGAACTAAGGGATTTGCCACTGGTTTCGGTGGTCCCCCTGCTTGCTGGCTGGTCCACCAGCACTTCGAGCGCTTCCTCATTGGAGAAGGTCGGCTCCCATACAATGCCTGATACTCGATACGATTCTAACGCATTCATTACATAGATCCCCGTGACACCAACAACCTCTTCGAGAAGATGTACCGCGGTTCCATGTTCTACGGTCGTAAAGGTCTTCCAGTGGCTGCTATCTCCGTCGTTGATCTCGCTCTTTGGGATTTGATTGGAAAGATTCGCAAGGAGCCAGTCTACAAGATGATCGGTGGTGCTACTCGGTCCCGCCTGGACTTTTATTGCACTGGACCCCAGCCTGGCTCTGCCAAGGCAATGGGATTCGTTGGCGCCAAGGTTGCTCTGCCTCACGGACCCGATGAGAGCACTGAGGGTCTACTGAAGAATGTTGAATACCTCCGTCAAATGCGGGCCAGTGTTGGACCGGACTTCCCTCTTCGTGTCGACTGCTACATGTCTCTGACAGTTTCATACACCATTGAGCTGGTCAAGCGTTGCGAGGCTCTTGGATTGAACATTGACTGGTGGGAGGAGTGCCTGTCCCCCGATGACTTCGATGGCCACGAGTTGCTCAAGCGTGCCCACCCCACTTGTAAATTCACTACTGGCGAGCACGAGTTCTCCCGCTATGGTTTCCGCAAGCTTGTTGAGGGTCGCAATCTGGACATCATCCAGCCTGATGTGATGTGGCTTGGTGGTTTGACCGAGCTCCTCAAAGTCTCTTCTCTCGCTGCCGCTTACGATATTCCCGTTGTACCCCACGCCTCTGGCCCTTACTCCTACCACTTTGTGGTCTCTCAAACCAACTGCCCCTTCCAAGAATACCTGGCCAACTCTCCCGATGGGCACTCCGTCTTGCCCGTGTTCGGCAACCTTTTCTTGAACGAGCCTATTCCTACCAAGGGTTACCTTGATGTCTCAATCCTGGACAAGCCCGGCTTTGGTCTTGAGCTCAACCCCAACGCTCCCTTGATTCCTGGACATGCCCTATTGAACCCTGCACCTCAGAAGAGCCTGCCCGCTCCTGATAACAAGGAGCTTGCCAATGGTACCGCCTAACCACCTTGGTTTCACGGCGTTGCACATATTTCTTTTCCATGGCCATCTTTTCTGCTCCTCACGAAACTTTCACCTGCAATGAATCCATGTACATAAATAAATAGCCTTATGATTACTCTATCCAATAGACTAAAGTTCAGGATGAGACAACCTATCACTGGTAAAGAATATTCTACTGTAAATCTTGCCGAGGTCGACTTTTTCTAAGAATATATCGTGTGCGCACATGACCACAGAATTTCTCTACTCGGTCAATTTAGCCAAATTGACAAAAAGTCGCTTTCAATTCGGCCGAATCCATGTCCACGCGGAAGAATTTGCCCCTCCGTTGCCAATGTGGGGGATTAACCCCACACTCGGGCTAACATCACCGCGAGACCCGAGGTCATGTCCGCGGGGTGACGCGACGCAGGCCAACGCACGGGAAAAAGTTCTCAAGACATTTTGCAATCCTCTCCCTTATACGAGTATCAGAGATCACTAGGAGTCTCTGACAGATTCAATTTCACTCACATCCCGAGACACCATAATCGTTCACAATGCTACCCCAATTACTTGTTGGCAAGGTAGCCGCCATCACCGGTGGTCTGACCGGCATTGGACGGGTATGAACGGCTTCATTATCGTTAAAAACAATTGGGCTGACAGATCATCTTCAGGCCATTGCGCTCGACTATATCCGGCACGGCGCCAGTGTCGCAATCAGCCACCTGGGCGGACCAAAAGAAGACGACCTCCTGCAAGCTCTGAAGAAAGACGTCAACGAGATCGAAGAAGGCGCTGCTGAAACCCGCTTCATCACAGTTTCAGGCGATATTTCGCAACCCGAGACAGGCAAGAATTTCGTTGCGAAGACGGTCGAGGCATTTGGACGTCTAGACGTGTTCGTGAGCAATGCCGGGGTTTGCCAATTTGCCGACTTCCTCGAGTAAGCCAACCTCTCGGATTATTTCTTCCTTGGTTACTTCAAAGAGCTTTCTTAACAGCAATCTCAGACTTGAACCCTCCCTTCTGAACCACACCGTCTCCACCAACCTCTCCGGAGCTTTCTTTGCCACACAAGCCGCTGCGCGCCAGATGGCCTTGGTTCAATCTCCACCCGGTGGCTCCATTATCGGTATAAGTTCCATTTCTGCGCTCGTCGGTGGTGGAGAACAGACACACTACACACCCACCAAGGCTGGTGTTTTGAGTTTGATGCAGTCCTGCGCTGTGGCATTGGGTAAATATGGTATCCGTTGCAACGCCTTGTTACCGGGAACCATCCGTACGCAGCTGAATGATGCCGATATGGCTGATCCGGTCAAGAAGAAGTATATGGAAGGACGCATTCCGTTGGGTAGACTTGGTCAGCCTCCAGATTTGGCTGGGCCGGCTGTTTTCTTGGCCTGTGAGGAGTTGAGTGGCTACGTGGTGAGTTTTGTTTGATGCTTTGGAAGTTCATGGACTTATGCTGACTTTATTCTTTTTCACAGACTGGTGCGCAGCTTTTGGTTGACGGTGGACTCTTTGTCAATCTACAGTAAACGTTCAGCGAATTTGGTTTTTTGAATAGAGCGCAATCATTCATGGAAACTTCATGTTCATTCTACACACAAGGAGCAACAGAGTTTGGGCAGATGTACATAGTAATTGACTGAAATATGCATGCCTCCATCACGTGTTAACCCCACCATCTTGACTATACCCCTGCTTTTCGACAACATTCCTATTCCACATGTCTTGCATAGCGAACATTTGAATCATTCTACTGCTTACATCTACCGCAACAGGTCATCAGAATGGTGATTCCCCTTGTAAGGCAAATCATCACAAGGGCATCCTTTGGCCGTGGCCTCACCGACAAACAATCTTTATCAGTCGATAGCAACATACTTATACCGCCCCACCAGGACTCAGCTACCACTCGAATACTGACAAACAAGAGCAACCCAAGACTCTCTTTTCTCATGTTGCCAACCGAAATACGATTACAAATTTACGATCTTCTTCTGGTTAGCCGATCCAATCGTAAACAAACCCCATCGTGGGCAGTCGGAAACACATGTCAAAGAATGATTACCCTACATACGCCCAATCAAATTCCACAGTACCGAACCATCGAACTCTCGATACTGTCAACGTGTACCCAGATATACCGCGAAGCGATATCAACACTCTATTCAGCGAACGTGTTCAATTTCAGCGAACCAGATCAAATGTTCCGATTCATGACACAGATCGGGCCTACAAATACCAAGTTTGTCCGTTCGTTAGACATCTGGGTACCATATATCGCTGAACTCTCGCCATGGCTAACATTGCTCAATACATTATCGAAAGAAGCCACTGGCCTTCGCTTTATTGAGCTTGCATGGGGCGCAAATTGCGAATCTAATCTGATGCGTGAGAGGGGGGCCAAAGAAAGAGGGTTGGGTGACAATGTTCTCTTCGTATGTGCTTTGGCCGAGATTCAAGGGCTTGAGAAGATTCACCTCAAAGGCTATTATGCTAAGCATTGGCCTTCTTACCTGATGGCGGTCACGGGTGCCCGGGTGCAAGCTGAATGTGGACAACGTCATGAACCGGGGCCTGATGATGATGCTGCGACTATTCAGTTGATACAGGATGCTAATGAGAGAAGTTTGTGGAGGTTCAGGGATTATCAGAGGGGAACAGAGGATTTAGTTCCATAGAGGATATCAATGGCTAGAAATGAACCTATGAGAATTATATCCTGTCATTTAGCGTGTCAGGAGTGGTGTGTCCTGGAGAATGACGCTGTTGGAGGGTAAGTTTGGGTATGGAGTTGTCCAAGATAGAGGTCAACAAACATTGCCAACAAATAGGAACAAAGTCAAGGGTGAAGTTTTTGACTACATTTGTAACATTCATACATTATTTGTCTAGATATCAATTCCGTAAGCATTGACTGCTACACGTCCCCAGATACCCTCTTTCTCCTTTTCTGTCAGGCCTCTCCTTTCCAGGATCCCTTCAACTACATTCGTCCACCTATTCCACGAAACATCGTTTCCGCCGCCACCAATAGTGCACACAGGCCAGTCCGAACCAAACATCACACGCTCCGCGCCAAAGGCGTCAAAGACAACTTTCGTCCAAGGCTGCAAACGATCAACAAGCAAAGCGATATCCGGATCAGTACCCGCACTCAGCGGCGGGAGCTCAGAGAAAGCCCCAGAAAGCTTCATATAAGTCTTATTGCTCGCACGCGCCATACGTGTAATCAACTCCTTCCACTCAAGATATTCAGCATGAGTAGGAACCGATTCAGGGTCCAATCGCAAATTAGGTTTGCACAAGTGATCTGCCCAGTCAGTACAAAACGTAAACTTGAATCCAGGATGTGACTCACTAATCACAATTGTCACTTGTTCGCTCTCATCCACTCCACCATATACCTTGTCCATCATCTGCACGGACTCACGCAGCTGATGTAGCCCGCCACTTCTCGCATCGACGCCAAGGTCAAAGACTAGACCTTGCTTTCCGAGCCATTGTAACGCCTCTACGAACTTTGGTTCGAGCATCACCCCGGCAGGTTTATCTTGGACAAGATATCTGACGCCGCATACCTTGCGCCATACTTTATCTGTTTTCGTGCGCGATTTCACTTGTTCCATGTACTTTTGTAGTACATTTGCGCCACCGGGGACTGGCGCCCATGGTACAATACCGAGGCAAAGCTCGGCGTCGATAGGTTGATGTCCTTCGCCTGGAACTGGCTCGCCGAGTGCGATGCGCGCGAGGAGCGATACTTCATCTAATGCGTGCTTCCATCCTGGATTATTCAAATCTTCTTCCGCGATGGAGGATATACGGTCTGTCTCTAGGAAAATGAAGCCGCGGAGGTATTTTGGTGAGCTTGGGATTGTAGGAACGGATGATGTTGCATGTCGATATTCATCTATGCTGTGTTGCGCGCCAAGAGGGTTGTTGGATCCATGCCAGGCTAGTGATGGAAGGTGCGAGGCTGGGAAGAGGTGAATGTGGGAATCGACGATTGGAGTCGGCATTGTACGTTTGGCGACTTGTTTGACTTGAGGATGGCGGTAGTGCGGGGTTGGTTGGGGTTGGCAGCTATGCCTTAGGAACGGAGCCGAAGGTTTTCTCGATACTCCCCACCTGAGGACAATTTGGTATGTCTTGAAGAGACTGGTTCTCAGGGTAATTTGAGAGAGCAGGTGTTGTCGTTCCCATCGGTAGGTTTTATCCCGAAGAGTGGAGAGCCCAATCTGGAGATATTCCGGGCACAAGAACCTTCAAACATGACCTACACACTACGGCAATGAGCTTTTTCTTTCGAGCTTGGTTTAACAATTTGACTTTCGAGTTCAAGAAATATTATGATGAGGTGGTCTTAAGTATAAATATAATACAAAGGCACCCAAGGCACCATCTATAGATCAGTATATTTACAACGTCTTGGTCACAAACCTTAGCAGTACCAAGCACTCAATGGTATTACACAGCCCTTAGAATTCCGGTCGCTCCAGCTTCACAGCCTCTTTCACAACGCGATCCCGTACACTCTGGCGGTAATTCTCCTGCGAGTCGGACGGCCCACCCGACCTGCCGGCCTCCCAGTCCTCCCAATTCAACCAACGCATCCGCGGTCCCAAGATACCAAGCACACGTCCTGTAATCAGGCTAATGCTGACCGGGCCATATGTATTACTATCAAGCGTTTTGCGTGGATCCTCTGCATCCCCCTCCAGCCACACGTGATTGAATGGAACGATCTGGGTAGGTTTCATGCAGGGCTCGCGGGTGGTGATACGATCGCCCGGAAGACCGACAACACGTTTAATGGCGATATGAGAGGAATTGGCCGGTGATCTATACGTCAGACAATGAATGTTAGTATCCATGATCTCGTCATCTCGCCGTGTCGGTTCCATTTTCCAATCTCAATGGACTGGTCTAAAACCATGTAGGATCATACCGGAATGTTACAATCATCCCCCGCTCAAGTCTTTTTGATCTTGCCCATGGGAAGACGGGGCCCCAAGGCCACATGTTCACAAGCACCATATCGCTTTTTGTTTGCATTTGGTCGTAGTCTTCGTTCAAGTAAGGGGTCATTGATGGGCCGCGCACCCACATGATCTGGGCGACATGTTCGGAGAAGAAAAGACTGATTGGTATAAGGGGGGCGAGAACACGGAGAACGCGACAGGTGCGTCGAACCGGGGATGGGAGGGCAGCGTAGCGCTCGCGGAGGCGGGAGAAGGCTGAGGGGAGGTGCCACTTTGAGACTAGGGGAGAGCCTCGATTTAATGATTTTTGCTGTTCAATGGAGGCATATTTCGGTGTGTCAGGTTGGATATCGGGTTTTTTGTGGTCGCCAGCGAGGAATTTGGCGTCTCGTGGACTCAAGATGCGTGGCTTGACCTTCGGTTGTTGGGGATTCGGGGGCGGCATTTCGGGGATTATTTACGGATTGAGACACCCGAGTTAGGTCAAGGATCAATATTGGGGATCAGCTCCTCCTGGTCATAATAATGGCGTGGTTGTGGAATCTGATCAAGCTGCAAGCTATGCGGATCTGCGGCATTGATATTCGGAAAAGAGCGACCGAGATTCTGCCGTTTCCCCACCGACTTCATTCTGCCTGATCACCCCATGATTACTGCGCGGAAACCTGAGGAAATGCTGACATTTGAGGTAGTGGTGAGAGATTGTTGGAATAGTGTAGTTTAGATTGAATCTGCTATTACTGAGATCAAACAATGACCCTTCGTAACTTTCAGAGCATGAGGTAGTTCCTGGACAGGTCCATTCTCCCGGGGAACCCCACGAACCATCAACATCGATATATAGATCTGGTGGGAGATTACAAGGTACTGTACCAGTCTTGACATTTGCAATGGTTAGATTTAGGGTTTTATTGGGCCTTAAGTGAGGCTGCAATGCAAGCGTGATCCAATGGTCTTATAAATACATGCATGTGAGATTTCTCATCATGCTTAGGTACCTATGACCCCTGTTCACTTCTTAGTGGACCGCATTAGCCTCATGTCCCTCGTTCTTCCCTCTTCCAACGTCCAGCCTTAAGCCGCAGACCCATCGCCCCGCATCTGGATTCCTCACCATGTCTATAATAGAGTCCGAAGTATTGATCGTTGGTGCTGGGGTTTTTGGAGTCAGCACAGCCTACTATCTGGCTAAGCAGTCTTCCAACCCATCGAGCATCACGATTCTCGATCGGGATCGTCCGCCATCAACACCTGCTGCGTCTACAGACTACAACAAAATTATCCGGGCAGACTATTCAGACCCGCTATACATGGACCTAGCATTCGAGGCAATTGATGCCTGGAAAAAGAATTCCCTGTTCACCACTGCCGGCGTCTACCACGAGACGGGTTGGATTTCGATGGGTGAGCGGGACAGCGATCTCACGTCACAAATCCGCGACAATTTTCAAATGAGTGGGCGCCCTGACCCGACTAAAGATATGACAGAGAATGAAGTTCGCAGCAGCTGGGGCGGAATCTTGAAAGACGCAGATTTGAGGCCATTCGATTCTTACTACTATAACCCGTCAGCTGGGTGGGCCGAAGCCGGAGCAGCCCTCAAAATCATGGCCGACGAGGCCATTCGCATGGGCGTTCAATATAAGATTGATGAGGCCAATCGCCTTATGTTAGATCAACACGGAGTCAGAGGAGTTCAAACTAATAATGGCAAAATTTACACAGCTAAGAAGATCATCCTAGCTACAGGAGCTTGGACCAGCGAAATGATGACTTTGACCGAGGACCAACTGCGCATGCCAATGGAATCCAGAATAGAGAGTCAACTCACCGCGGCCGGCGTTTGCGTAGTGCATTACAAATTGACAGATGCAGAGCGGGGGTCTTACGACCAGCTTCCGGTATGTGTGTATGGAGAACAGGGTAAGCTGACATGGCGCGCTCCTTCGAAATCCTTAAATAACTTGTTTAGGCGAAACATTGCCCCCAACGGCATCAGGACTTATAAAATTCACCAATACGGCCTCATTCAAGAACACCGTTCATACCGATAATGGACAAAACATCTCCATTCCTCCAATCCACCAGCGGGCCATTCCGTATGGCCTCCGTCGGCAAACTGTCGACTCAATAAAGGACCGATTACCTACACTATTCTCAAAACATCGCGAAGTCGACCACTTTCGTCTGTGTTGGGATGCGATCACGCCCTCGCAAAACCCATTAATCACACGGCATCCGCACCCTCATTTGTCCAACCTGTATCTCGCTACCGGAGGCTCGTTCCACTGCTGGAAATTCTTGCCCATCATTGGACGCTACGTGACGAATGTCATCTATGGGATAAGTAACGGGGCCGACCGCGATAAGGCGTGGGGGTGGAAGGATGAACAGCCCGGTCAAGGAGTCCGAGGAGTCCACGGCAGTCTGATGCCGTGGAAAGAACTCCGTGATTTCCAGATCTGAGCTTTAATGTTGGGGCGAATCACAGAATGGGTCATGCAGTGGAGACCGTTTGAGCCGAGGTGATAGTTCCTTTTCTGATTTGTCTTTGTGTTCCCCGCAAGCCCCATTCCACCCCCTCAGATGGAAGGGATTCCCTGCTCGAATCAACAGGGGTGAGATGATTGGGAAAAGTGGGGGCAAGTTTGTGCCGAGGATCTTTCCAAGCTTCGGCTTTACAATGCTTTTTTCTTGATTCTCGAGTTCACCTCGCACTCTCTTTCTTATTGTTGATGTTACACAATTAAGTTATTGAATTGCTCCTTATTCCTCACCAATTGCTAAGACGATCCACGTCATCGCCTATTTTTTTTTGGTCCTGTCGATCAAGTACATTTTGTTGAGAAAGTTTCATCTCAACCATATTTCCAATGGAATTCGGTTTGTTACCTTAATCCTCATCTGTGTCTCCCAGCATTTAACAATATTCAGGTACCGCTATAGCTGCCCTAGCCGGAGGTACAACTCTAGCAGCTTATCTGGAAGCCAAATTTCACATCCGCAAAGATACACGGGTACTTCTAGCCTTTAAACGTGGAGAGCGTGCTCTCGCGCGTGCCCGTATGTTCATAACTCCTAAACTCAATAGAGACATACTCACGTCTCCCAACAGTTTCTGAGGGTCGAGTAAATGCTTGGTTCGTCTTTCTAGAGACAGCAAACAAATACCCTGACACAACGGCCATCTGGACCCGTGAACAAACATACACCTACCGTGATGTCCATGAAAAAGCATGCCAATATGCCCATTATTTCCTATCCGAGGGAGTCAAAAAGGGCGATCTAGTCGCCTTCTACCTTCAGAACCGTGCAGAGTTCCTGATTGCATGGATTGCTCTTTGGAGCATTGGCTGCGCACCCGCCGCAATCAATTACAACCTTTCAGGAGAAGCACTGATCCACTGCCTAAAGATTAGCGGTGCTACCATCGTCCTGGCAGATGAAGATCCAACCTGTCTCGCGAGCATGGAGGATTGCAGCGCAACTCTCACCAACGAACTTGGGATGAAGCTTGTAACACTGAACAACTCGCTCAGGGCTCATATAAGCACCTTCCCAACCACAGATCCACCAGTCGAAATGGCCATGAATGTTAAGGCAGAATCACCCTCAATCTTACTGTATACCTCTGGTACAACCGGGATGCCCAAAGCCACCGCATTCACCATGGGCCGGTTCTTCGGTGGATTCACCACACGCTCTGTCGGCGTTGGCGATGTACCCGGGCCCGATGGAGATCGTTGGTATAGCTGCATGCCTCTATACCACGGCACCGCAGCTATTTGTGTCGGCACAGCTCTATCACTCGGAGTCAGCGTCGCGCTAGCTCCCAAATTCAGCGTCCGAAATTTCTGGACTGACATCCGTGACTCGGACGCTACATTCTTCGTTTACGTTGGTGAGACTGCTCGCTATCTACTCGCACCTCCGCCTTCTCCCCAAGATCGGAATCACAAAGTAAGAGCTATGTACGGGAACGGGCTTCGCCCCGACGTCTGGGAGAAGTTCCGGGATCGATTCGGTATCCTCGAGATCTTTGAGTTTTTTAGCAGTAGCGAGGGTGTTTTCAGCTTGTTGAATCGGAACAGTGGCCCGTTCACGTCTGGGTGTGTCGGTCACCATGGCGCACTGCTTCGTGGGATTTTCCGCAATACTTATGTTCCTGTTTCTATTGACTCGGAAACTGGTGAGGTTATTCGCGATAGCAAGACTGGGTTCGCTGTTCGTCCTTCTTTAGAGGAAGGTGGTGAAATTCTGGTCAATATTCCGAGCGAGCAGGCCTTTCAGGGATACTGGAAGAATGGATCAGCTACACAGAAGAAATTTCTGCGCGATGTGTTTGTCAAGGGTGATTTGTATTACCGTACTGGGGATGCTCTTCGTCGTCAGGATGATGGCCGTTGGTACTTCGTGGATCGACTTGGTGATACATTCCGCTGGAAGAGTGAGAACGTGTAAGTGTCCCAGTCCCCTTCATCTAGAGAAATAATCTTCTCTAACGCCATATCCTATAGCTCAACAGCAGAAGTGGCCGAGGTCCTGGGTCGATTCCCCGGGATTCAAGAGGCTAACGTGTATGGTGTCCTCGTACCCAACCATGAAGGTCGCGCAGGCTGTGCAGCTCTTCACATCAGTCCCGAGGCACGGAATAGTCTGGACTATGCGGAACTTGCTCGCTTTACGCGCTCAAAGCTGCCTCGTTATGCTGTTCCTGTTTTTCTGCGTGTGGTTGAGAATCCTGTTCACATCCATAACAACAAGCAAAACAAAGTGCCGCTGCGAGATGAAGGCGTTGATCCTGCGTTGATTGGGACCAAGGTTTCTGACGGCAAGAAAGACAAGTTTTTGTGGCTCGCTCCCGGCCAGGAGGCATATGAGCCCTTCGAAGAGAAAGACTGGAGACGTCTGAAAGACGGTGGTGCTCGCCTGTAAGATCCACGATAGTAAATAGGATTTCTACAGTGTACATAGGCAGGACTATAATGCATGCTCGAGAGGCGACATTTTCTCTCATTGAATTCATATTCGTCATTCATGATTGTAAACTAAACTTGTCTATTAAACTCGTCAATCACACTCGGAGGCTTCTGATAAGCCCCAATAGTCTTCCACTCCATATCCAACCCAAATCCCTCCGGTCCCCCAACCTTCAACCCCCTCTCATCTCCAGTCCAAAGCGGATGCGCAGCCATACCAATCACGTTAACACGTAGACCATACCGCAGATCCTGAGATCCTATCGCCTCACCATCTTGTCCCAAAATCGAAATGAGATCTGGGACCGTGCAAATAATCTCATGGCGGGAGACATCGTCGGGATTTGCAATGTCTGCGTATGCAGCATAGAGGAACTCGTTCTGGAATGGAACTATCAAGCAGCGGGTATCATCATGGTGGCCGTTGACTGGGCCGTCGAGATCTTGCTCCTCATTGCTGAGTGGTATGATTGTACACGTGCCCATTGTGTAACCTTCTTGGACATCTCGCTTTACGTCGATGATCTTGCCGGTGTAAAGGAGATAGCCGGGGGTCGTTTCGAACTGGGAGGTTATATCAGTAAATACCATAAATAGTCCAGGCGGGCTGACTCACAATAGCATTGACTAGATTGATTTTGGATTTTCTGGCTCTGTGGATGGCACGTCCAATATACCATGCTTGCGATACTGTGTTCGGAATGGCATATTGCTTGATGGCTTTTCCAGTCAAGGGTGTAGCAGAAATGGCAATACTGAGGCCCAAATCTACACATTGAGTGCGCAACATGGTCTCGACTCGTGAGTTTGATTCGGCGTTCTGTCATTGATATTAATGGTTTTTTTTTTCCAATCTCTAGATAAACAGGCACTTACCATAACCACGGATGTGTTTCCTCGAGCATCTGCCATAGCACAAGGGGTGATAGGTTCACCGTAAACGTATGGAGTGCCTGAATATCAATTAGATCTCTGCTGTTAAGTTGACACCGAGATTCATATGACTGACCATGTTCCATAGTTGGGTATGCCCGTCCCATCAAGTCACCGTCCACAACAGGGATATCATAGTGAACACTGGATGGGAACGTCGAAAGTCCATTACCACCACCGATTTCATCCGCCATCACGGCTTCGAAATGGGTATGGCCCCCTATCCTAACAGAGCAATCTATTGCGTCCATGATCTCTGTTCCGGCCGCTAGTCGCTCATTGCCCACGCTTGGTGCGCCATACCATGACCCGAAGACGCAAATGTCTGAATCTTTCATGTAACTTGGAGAAATGACACGCATTCTTTTGCCGGAGTTGCGCAGGCTTTCCAGGCATCGTAGATATTCGAGGTATGAGGAGCCTCCACCACCGGTTCCGAGGACACCAGTTCCTGTTGCCAAGAATTCTAGGTCGAGGGGCGAGATGTACCATATGCCGTTTTGGACATCGGGCTGGTAGCTTTCGATATCCATGAAGGCGGAGAACTTGACCATTGATCGTAGCGATTCTGATGTTTTCTTTTTAACATGTTTTTCTGGCTCTGGCCCATTCTCGCTGTTTGTATAAATCTCAGACCCATTGATTGAAGATGCTCCATTTGTAGATGGAGAGTGATTTGCAGACACCGCCAGTCTACCAACGGCTTTAACGACAAACCGCGTAGCTTTGTTGGTGACATACTGGAGAGGAAGTTTGTCAATGGAAACGATCTTGGTGTCGCTCCTGTCTGCACCATGAGCCACAGCGGCTTCGATAGCCTTCTGCTTCGCATCTTCCAGCACCGCTTTCTCATCACGACCATGTAATATCTCAATGATGTCAACCTCACCTGAAACCTTCGCAATCGCAGCGCCAACGGCATTCGCAGAATCATGGTGTGGCGGGATTATACATTCTGCAACACCTTCCAGTTCATCCATTTGAACAATTGACCCACCACCAACGAGTAGAAGAGTCACTGGCAAATCGGACACCTTCATATCTTCAACAGCTCGCTCAAGAATCTTCTTGATCTGAACGCGTGCTTTGTTGACAAGTGCAGGGGAGATAGCCCTGGCCCTCTTCACGTCCCCAATATCTGCTTTCCCCGAAGCCACAACAATATCAGTGGTCGTCATGACCTCACCACCAAAGACCAAAGCTTGAGTAGTCAGGTAATGTCCAACTGATTCAGGGCCAACTTGAACACTATCCGAAGCTTCATCATACATGACACGACTGCCTCCTCCAAGCCCAACACAGAGTACCTCCGGCATTGAAAAGGCAGTCCGCACACCACCAACCTCAACAAAATTCGGCGCCTGACGCGGGAATCCTGATGGAAGTAATGCGCAAACATCACTGGTCGTGCCACCAACATCAACAACCAGAACCTGAGTTTCAGATCGGGTCCTACATTCTCCGCGGTCCAATGAGGCTAGGTATGCTGCACCTGTCATACTGTTCGTAGGACCAGAGGCGAATGTCTTGATTGGCAACTCCGCCGCGGTAGCGGCATTTGTCAATGTTCCATCATTTTGTGTTAGGAACAGTGGGCAATCTAGACGAAGCTTCTTCATCGCTTCACAGAAAGCATGAACTGTTCGTCTTGCGAGACTTAAGATTGAGGCATTCAGGATAGTTGCGTTTTCGCGCTCCAAGAGCCCGATTTCTCCGATTGTATGTGAGCATACTACTGATAGAGATGGGTCTTCTTCAAGTATCAGTTGTTTGCAGGTTTCTTCATGAAGTCCTTGTGCGTCTAGGGGAGAGAATATGCCCACTAGAGCTATCTTGTCAACTCCCGCGGCTTGGATGGATCGAACGGTCTCCTTAATTTGAGTAGTGTTTAATGGAGATATCTCACGTCCGTCGATTTCAAGTCCTGTGCACAAGTTAGATTGATCAACAATAAGCAGGAAATTTTAATACTCACCTCCATCTAGATAGAAAACAGGCCCGCTCATTATATTCTTCAACTCCGGCGGAAAGTCAGAAAACGGCGGCAACTTGATATGGTGGTTAGCTTGGTTCTTATCTAATTTTTCAATACCGAAGTATTTACCATCTTTGTGAAAGGGCCGCAGAGCCGAATTACAGCCACCCTGCTAAGTCGTCGTGCATCTGCCTCCACAACAGCATTCACAAAATGCGTCGTGCCAATGGCTACACTAAGGATGTCTCGACGATCAACGGACGACTTTGACAAGACATCCTCAATCACAGTATGAATCCCCGATGTGACATCAACGGTTGTGGGCGTTTTGCTTGAAGCCCTTACACCTCTTGATTCTGTCTCGGATGCTGAGATCTCAATGATAGCGGCGTCGGTGTTAGTTCCACCGACATCAACGCCGATACGGCATGGACCGCCACGAGTCATATTGTATAGATTTAACGCGGTTGGATATTCTAGAAGGAAACTAACAAAAGGTGAGATTTTAAGGAAAAATAGAATGAGAACCTTAGTTTCAGAGGGAAGGCCATCTCGTTTGTACGTCACCGCATAAGATGGTCCGATAAGGTTCCTACTTGCACCGTGACCTCTTTACTCAAAGGCACGGATACACCTGCCCGATTCATGATTTTCTACTCCAATGATCTACTTCCCCACCACACCTTATCACAGCACTTATCGTGCCCGGGGTCGGGGTCGGGGTCGGGGTCGGGGTCGGGGTCTGATCGCTCCATATGGAAAGCGGAAAGAATGGAGCCTTACATGGTACATCCTAGCGTCCACCAGACAGAATATCGAAGGCCACCCCGAACCCCGATGCAACGCCGTGTGTTTTCGGAGACTCGTGACGCACCTCAATCGCCCAATCATATATCAACAACCCCGGAGTTGATTTTCTTTGTCTCCTTCATTCATTTCATTTATTATCTCGTCATACCTGCCACGATATCTGATGCGGATAAAACATGTCAACTTGGTGTTCTAGCGGTGGCAGTAAAAGCTAGCCTCGTCGCCTATTCCCTGCCATTTGATTTGTCCTCGCTATCCTGATCTCTGTTGTACGATGCGCTCAGGACTACAATGCATGACCACACTTTTGATAAGAATCAACTGATAACTTGATAAGCAGGGATGTTGAACCTCCTTATCTTACAAGGCTATTGGCCGCCAGAACGCCGTATTGAAAACCTAGTACATAGCCAGTACTTGTATTTCGATCTTTAGCCCACGATATTGGACAAGTCTAAAGATTTGCCGTCTCACAAATACCACCCCAAAACGAAGTGCGGAGAAAATTTACTATGTAGTAGCGGCCACGGACCCAACCATAACCCATGCTCTCAGCTGTCTTTTTTTCTTTCTTTGTTACCTTTCGCCAGATTTCTTCTCTTGTCCCTCGCTATGTCGGTCAGGGCGATCCTAAAAAGAATCGAGATTAACGCGGAGGGTGGACTTGTGCCGGACCGATGGATCAATAATGATATCAAGCCTATTGAGGCTGGGCGGCGGACTTGGGGGCACTGGACGTTTCATAATTTCTGTGCGATGGCTCGTTGCATGTCAAAGGCTTTTGCTGATGTTAATAGGGGTGCTTGTCAACTCTAATATATCTACCTACATGACTGGTAGTTCGCTAATTGCACTGGGGTTGACATGGTGGCAAGCTATTATTGCTATCGTTGCTGGACAGCTCCTAGCAACCTTGTTTGTTATTCTGAATTCTATCCCAGGGGCCTATTATTATTGTATGTGATCTACTACCAGTGCGAATCTTGTATCCTAACCTACCATCTGAATAGTGGGATTTCCCGTCGTTAACCGATATGTATGGGGTATGTACGGAAGTGCGTTTGTGATCTGGAATCGTATTCTTCTGTCTATCGGTGAGTGAGACTTGAATTTCAAAACGACATAACTTTCTGCTAACCTTTTCATTTCAGTGTGGTGTAAGCCTGACCTCCTTCCTTCCATTCTACCGCGCTAACCAACCCCGATATAAGACGGCTTCCAAGCATGGATAGGAGGCGAGTGTGTCTACGTTTGCCTACAAGCAATATGGCCCGACCTTGAATCTCGTATCCCAAACACACTCGCAGCATCAACAGGAGCCACAACAGCAGCTTTCGTAGCCTACATAATCTTCATGATTATCTCACTACCATTCATTTGGATTCACCCGCACAAATTGAACACATTCTTCTACGCCTCCGCAGCAACCATCTTAATTTTCGAAATCGTGCTGCTAATCTGGTCCCTCGCAACCATGGGCGATAGCGGCTTTGGCTCGACGCTTTCTGGCTCCGGTAGTGCCACGGGGTGGAACATCGCATTCGGAATCATCAGTACCATCGGATCCATCGCGGCCGGTATCCTTAATCAAAATGATTATGCGCGTTTTGCTAGGAAACCCACAGATGCGATTTGGGGCCAGATTATCAGTTTTCCTTTTTACGGTATCACCTGCTCGATTATTGGTATTTTGGTTACGGCTGCGACGCAGAATCGGTTTAATGGCGCGCAGTGGAACTTGCCTACGCTGCTAAGTGCTGTTATTGAGAATGGAGGCTCGAGATCCAGGGCTGCGGCTTTCTTTGGTGGTGCTGCTTTGGTCGTGTCGCAGATTGGAGTAAATGTTCCAGGGAATTCATTGGCGGGCGGTGAGTATATTCGCGTGCTAGACTCTAGCCTCTTTTGCTGATGCTATCTGTAGGCTTTGATTTGGCGGCGACGTTTCCCCGGTATATCAATATTCGCCGGGGTGCTTATATCACTGCTATCATCTCAATAGCTTGTAACCCTTGGAAACTTGTTAATACCGCCACGACATTCCTCACGGTCTTGAGCAGTTATGCTGTTTTTCTAGGTCCTATGACAGGATTGATGATCGCTTCATACTTCGTTGTTAACAAAGGCAAGATCAAGGTGGAGGATCTATTTGTTGGGAACAGCTCTAGTATATATTGGTACACATGGGGCGTAGATTGGCGAGCTGTGATCGGAGTAAGTGCTCCCTCCCTTTCTCTTTCTTATTCTGCTTGGTACAAGCAAATGCTAATATAGTGGTAGTGGGTTTGTGGAACGGCCCCATCCTTACCCGGCTTCATTGCATATGTGAACCCCAACATCAATGTCCCGATGGGCTTCACGCATATATATTACATTTGCTTTCTTTCCGGCTTTGCCATTAGCGCCGGTGTATATTCTGTTCTTCACCTTTTGTTCCCTGTCCCTGCCGTTGTGGACTTTGTTGAGAGGGCGCCGGCTGCTCGTGTGCTAATAGAGGGATATCGGGATCAATGGGATCGTGAAGATGAAGTGCAGACGGTGCTCGCCCCGCCTAAACCTGACTATGAATGAGATTGAGTTGCCTAAGATTTGCATCTTAGTCCTTTGGGCCTGTGAGGGGGAGGGGCTTGTTTTAGCACATGCGTTGTTTGGTTTTGATTTGCAGACGGTTGGGCTTTTAACAAGCAGTTTGATACCAAGCTACTAAGCATTGAACAGATCTGGGTTGGGTGGCGCTTTTAGAATATTCATTGATATGTATTGCGCTGTCATGTTCATCTTCTAAGTCATAGCGTCGTAAATTTCACCTATATTACAAAGTTTTCTTCTTGATCATGGCGTGTACCGATAAGAACACCTTCAGGTCCGTGACCGTGGAGTAGAAGTGTTCTCAGGTCGCGGGCGAGGAGAAGCGTTCTTGCTTTTTTTTAAAGCCCAAAGCCTACGACCCCGTTGTGGTGGGCCGAGCTCGGCAATTCTCTTCAACACAGCGTAAAACTCCTGCTGGCGCTGCTCAGTCGCACAATAGTGATTAAAGTTGTTGATGATCACTTGTGAGGTAATGGGGCCTCGATGCGAGCGGAAGAAGTTTTGGATTAAGGGCAAAAACTCTTCGCCACGAGGCATGTAAGCTGGGGTAGACCGAGAAGGACCGCCTGGGGTATTCAATGCCGCACCGGGGTTCAGGTTTGTGAGGAGAGAAGCAGATGAGGGTCCTCCTCGACCCGGACGCGCTGAGCTTCCACCCATGTCACGGCCAGCGACACCAAATTGGCCGGTCCATGTGGGTAGTCCAATTGGAACCGAGCGAGCGGCTTCTTCAGCTTTTCGGAGTGCAGAGGCACTTTCATTGGCAAAACGGCGAGCTTGAGCTTCGACCATCTTGGGATCTGCTTGAACTACTCGTTTGCCATTTATAATCTGGTCGTGTTCAAGGGCAGCGTGGACACCTGAACGGGAGAAAATGCTATGCATGAGGCGGTCTTCGGCCTGTTTGCCATCGCCATTCTGATCGGTGTTTTGGTCGTTGCTGGAGTCTTCGGTATCATTTTCCGCCTTGACAGCGACTGCAATTTTGAAGTCTTCCACGTTGGCAATTCCTTGAACCTGGCCCAGGTCATCGGATTCCTCGGTTTTAACGTGAACTGGGGAAGGAGGTTTGGTCTTTGGCGTAGGATTCCTACTAGTGACGCGCTTCCTAGATGGAAAGCTGGGCTTCGGACCCTCCTTCTGCTCTTCTTGGTATGTTACTTCTGCGTTCTTGAAGAGTTGAGTCGTTTCCAGCTCCCCGTCATTCTCCTCGGTAAGCGTGAATAGATCATAGAGGTCGTTAAGTTGGAAACCTTCCCGCTGTTGGGGATCTTTGGTAATTTTGTTGGTCATAAATTGCTTGAAAATCTGACGGTGGTAGATCTTCTCTTCGATAGTGCCCTTCATCATGAGCCGAAAAATTGTCACATCACGTTTCTGGCCAAGACGCCATGCGCGCTCGCAGGCTTGCATATCAGTGGACGGATTCCAGTCGGGATCGAATATGATGACTCGATCAGCACCAGTGAGATTGATGCCGATACCTCCTACCTTCGTAGTAAGAAGAAACACGTGGAGATCCGGATCGACATTGAACTCGCTGACAATGGCATGTCGCTTGGGGATCTGAGTTGATCCATCCATCCGACGAAATGCGAATCCACCAAGAGAACGAACAAACTTCTCCAAAATGTCCAGCATCTGCACAGTTTGGGCAAAGAGTAAAGTCTTATGTCCAGTGTCCCTCCAGAGCTCAAGCAGGCTTCTCAAAACTTGCATTTTACCCGAGCGATCTTCGCGGCCGTAGTCACTTCCGAGGTGGGTAAGTTGCCGATTCACGAGGTCCGGGTGGTTGCAGATCTTGCGGAGGATATCAATGCCTGCAAAAGACTTTTTTTTCCCCTTGCAGATAGACTGCATATCTTCCGAATTCAAATACCGTTGGTACATAGAGCGCTGGTATTGTGTTAGCTTGCAAAAAATGACTTGCTCACTTTTCTTCGGGAGATCAGATGCGACATCGGTCTTGAATCGCTGGAGGAGGTACGGTGTGATGGCATCTTTCAATGTCTCCGCACACTTGGCGGCAGTTTGTACCTGGAGGTTGGAGGCAGAAGCGTAACCGCCTTGACGTATAGGGATTTCAAATTGGTTCTTGAATGTAACAAGTGTGCCGAGGCGCATTGGGAAAACAAAATCAAAGAGAGACCAGAGGTCGGTAAGACTGTTTTGAATGGGGGTACCAGACAAGATGATGCGGTGAGGTGTACGCAACTCTTTGCAGCTGAACGTTATCCCGGCATCAGGGTTGCGAATCTTATGGCCTTCGTCGAGGATGGCGGCCCCCCATTCAATACCGGTCAAATCATCTGCATAGGACTGCAGGCCGGAGTATGTTGTCACCAGAACGTGACCTTCCTCGACGACTCGCTTGAGGATTTTCTTCGCGGCCTTCTGACCGGAAGAAAGACTGTGAGAACCACCAGTACCCATCATCTCCGAGGTCAGCACATCTTCTCGTCTGCTCTCTTTTTTCAGGTTGAGCATTCCACTTCCAGAAGAGTGCAAGATCGAGACACGCAGCGCGGGCCACCAATTGTGGAATTCAGTGACCCACTGGACCATGAGAGTTGCAGGACAGACTACAATAGTAGGTTTGGAGTACATTTTGCTGTGGTGTAGGGCAGCAACATAGGTGATAGCTTGTACTGTCTTTCCCAAACCCATTTCATCTCCAACTATACCACCAACCGACTGTTGGTGAAGCTCCCACAGCCACTGAACACCTGTTTTTTGGTATGAAAAGAGGTAGTGTGCGATGTCTCCGGGGACGTTGAGTCCATTGGGGAGTTCAAGATCGGGATATTTAGGATGTGGCCTATGCCATTCGTCCTCATTTGGATCTTCCTGATAATCGGGTCGCTCACGCCGACGGGCTTCACTCCGAGCTTTCGTCCATATCAACAAACGTTCCTGGTAAACAGACTCATCGCCATCATCCACACCGCTGAGATCCTCCAGATCATCTCCTTTGTCCTTAACGTCCAAATGCCGTTTGCGCTTGCCAGTCATATTTGTCTCGGGGAGTGTTTCAGGCATGTACTCTTCGTCTTCGGACTTGACGCTGGAAGCTTCAGACGCAACATAACTTGCGGACGACGAAGGGGAGAGGGAACGGCGGGGCATGCGGATTTTCATCCTGACTGGGGTTGATCCGGGCGTTGAGCTAAGAGGCGAAGGACCGGCATCCACCTTTTGGCGCTTCACACTACTGGTAGCGCTACTTTCACTATCGTCAAAGTCGTGGCCAGGGCGCACAAGGTTGCGGTGGGAAGCATCATGGCGGGCTTGCTCTCGTTCTTCCTTGACTCTTTGTTCATCCTCTGCACCCGCAAGGGCATCATGTAGAGCTGCGGCAGGTCCCTCTGATCCACCGGTATTTATGAGGTCGAACGGGGTAATCTGACCGGTTCGCAGGAGGTAGTCGCGTCGAGACTCGTTCGCCAGCCGACCTGACCCATGACTGGAGGAAGCTGCCTGCTGGACTTCCCTTTGCCCATCAATTCGTTTTTGAATATCCTGCACATCCTTTACTATTTCAGCTCGGCGCGACCTGAGTCGGTCAAGTTCGACGCGGCGAAGGTTTTGGGTGGCGGTACCCAAGGGCTGGGCGAGGCGATCCTGTAGTCGTCGAATCTGGGCATCGGCTTTGCTGTACAGAATGTAAGCATATTAGTCTGGCAATTTTGGACTACAAAGGAACATACTCTAACTCAGTCAAAGCCTTTTCCAGGCGTTTGGTCTCGTTTTCTTCCGCCTTCTCAGCCAGCAATTTATCGGCCTAAGGAATGTTAGCCAGCACTTCAGATAAATTGCTGTTATAGGCGAGTTCTAACCTTTTGAGCCAAGTCTCGCTCCAGATCATCTTGATTCTGCACATCAACATTCAGTGCCTGCAGGTAGGCTGCCTCATCGGCAGCATGAGGCCGGGAGGAAGCCATGACGCAAAAGTCGGGATGGTTGGGTAGGAAAAAAGAGAATGAAACAGGTCAGAAAAAAAGGGGTCTTTGATTGCATCTAGATTTTTAAGTGAACGCCAGCATGTTCACTTGTCTTTCTGCTGTAAAATAGTAAATGAGAGTATGAATGAATCATGAACGGTGCACTGCAGCGTTGAAATTCGCTCTATGCTTCGATTTTAATGACGGCAGTAGAGACACACCGCCTACTTGAGCCGCTTTACTAGAAGGCGGGTACCTAAAAGGGCTTAGTGTTTTGTGACTCTACTGTATGCGCATGCGCAGGCTCCATTCGGGCACCCCAGTACGTCCTACTAGTAGATATGGCATGCATTCTACCTAGAACATAGTTAGCTTCTTGGCTCTCCTTCAAAGCTGGGGATAGTATCAATGTGACATTAGTTAAAATTTATCTCACTAAGACATGAAAGAAACCCCTCAGAAGCAATGATGTACCTACAATAGCAGCCTCACATACTTTGAAGGCAGAAGCACTATGAACAATGGCCGAGAATGCAATTTCTGACAATTTCATGTTCGAGTCACCCCATCTAAGTAGTGGGAGACATGTGGCGCTGATCGATAATAACGATGACGATGGCGATAACGTGACGATAAGGAATGTCCCGGCACTCTGGGCCAGATCAGGTGATTGAAGATGCAGCCCTGGAGCTTTCAAAAGTTCCTTTTTCCGGTTTCTTGGAATCGCTAGTCCAATCTGGATATTCGTGCATTTTAAGCATCACGCTAACCCTAGCTGGCTTCCCAACCACTCGGTGGATTCCTTCCCCTCTCAAAAGGGTATGTCTGAAGCGAGAAGGAATCGCGTTCCCCGCAGATGGGGTACTGGACGACTAAATAAAGCACTGGAAGCGCCGTGGCAAGTGTTCAGTGGGCCTGGACCAATGACAGCGCTATTCTCTGCAGAACCTCAGATTGTGGACATCAGCCTTGGAATTTCTTCCGGTCCCTCGCGGCCCGTTCGCTCGAGCCAACCACCAACCCTGTCGGTCCAAACGTCGTTCCCTTGTGATGGGTCCGGTCCCACAGCTTATGCCCCCCGCCCCCTCTTCACATCGGAAATGAAGATTCGCGATGTTCAGTCCAATTGGACAACGGCTGAAAAGAAAATAACCAATCTCCTCCAAATGAGCTCCTGCACAAGTGCGGTTGTGTAACAGGGGTCATGGATAACCCATGTCGCAAATCTGGAGAATGATTCCCAAGGGATTGGCCACGAGTCTTTAAGATGATCTTCCCACTGAGCCACTGCTATACCGTCATATATGGACTCTAGGGATCCATATCGATGCATAGACTCCAAGCAAAAAAAGACTAAGCTGTCCACTCACAGGCGTTAACTGCGAAATTACTGCTTCTTTGATCTGATTGATCGAGGCGTGCATAAATCTCCTGCAGGTGCAACGCAAGTTATTTTTGGCCCATTCACTGGGCGCTTCTCTTCGGGTTGACTAACCGTTCCAGTAAGTGTGCGTTAGGTCTCCCTGCCCCTCGGTGCAGCCCCTCTGCAGGTTCCGGGATTTTTTGGATTTTTTGGATTTTTGCTTTTTATTCGCTTTGCTTCCGACAAATCTTCCCCCCTTTTGTTTCCACTCCCCGCTGCACCACGTTCTCCCCTTATCCGCCTCATGGGGCGCTTCCAGGTTGCCGGGATATCCTGCGTTCGCAACTCGGACCACCGTGATCGGAGAGTAACCACCTCCCTCCTCCCCTCTTGGCTGATTCGGTCAGCCACCGGGTCTTTTGGAAGTATCGCGGGATCGCATTCTATAAATACATTTTTTTGACTGATCATTTCCCCGATTCCCTTTGGACGGGATCACATCGGCTTCTATCGCGTGCATCGTATCCAACCTCCAGTAATCCTCCCCTCGAAGAAAGGACCTTCCGGTCTGTCACGACCAGATTCCAATCAAGGTCGTGACCCGCTCCCAAGCCGTCCCGCAGCTCATTTTCTCTTCGACAAAACTTGGGTGACGGGCCTTGGCATCGGTTTTCAAAGTTTGGTTGCTCACATTCGTATCCGGTATTGTGTCCACATTGGTACCAACAAATTTTAATAATAGTTGAAGGGGGGGGTTCTCCCTATATGTCACTTGAGGATCCCGCCGAAGTGACGTTCTCCCGCCCCGCCGATTAGCGGTGTACACATTGGATCTATTTGTGTGCTTGACCTGGCCTGGTGGAAAATCTCGTTCAATCTTAGGATTGTGGTCAATTGAGGATCTTGGGGCCATCGTGTGTTGTCTTTCAAGCATATTGGCAGGATGTCTTTGAAACAGGTAAGGGGAAATAGGAGTGCATTGCATGATTCCCATACTGATTGCAGAACAGGAAATTGAAACGTGGGTTAACGCCCTGGACTGCTATGATCATCAAGAATTCGAAGAAGCCATCCGGCTCTTCAACGAAATTGCAGACACATCTAAGATTCTGTTTAACCTTGGTGTGATTCATGCGACTTTAGGAGAGCATGAGAAAGCCGTACGTCAACCTAAATCGTGAAGAGGCTGGGATATCTCACTAACCTTATTGTGCAGGTTGATTGTTATCAACGATCAGTTGGGCTGGATCGGTATCTTGCCATCGCCTATTTTCAACAAGGCGTATCGAATTTCTTACTCGGTGATTTCGAAGAAGCCTTGGCGAATTTCAACGACACATTACTCTACCTTCGAGGGAACACGTCCATCGATTATGAACAACTAGGCCTTAGGTTTCGTTTGTATTCATGTGAGGTGTTGTTTAATCGTGGTCTATGCTATATCTATCTTCAACAAATCGAACCTGGTATGAAAGACATGCAGTTTGCTGCCAGGGAGAAAGTCACGGAAGATCACGATGTCATCGAGGATGCCATACGTGAAAATGCAGATGTATGCCTCCTTGGAAGGAAGTTGAGATTCAATTTGCTGACTGAGACCCAGGGTTACACGGTTTTTTCAATTCCTGTAGGAACTATCTACCGTCCGAATGCTGCTAAAGTCAAAAATCTTAAATCCAAGGATTACCTGGGCAAGTCCCGCTTGGTTGCTCAATCAGACCGGCGTCAGGGCGCAGAACATAACTGGAGACCGATTGTCATCGACAAGACAGCATTCGAGGACCGGGATGGAATGTCTTTTGCAGCCACCAATATGGTCCATAAGAATCTAAGCAGTCGCACTCGTCAACAATCAGAACCCCCGTTGAACCGCAACGTATTTCCACCAACGCCACCACCCGACGACCGCTCTACCAGCAATGGATCCTCTTCAGGAAGCAGCCACCATCGTACTTCCTCACTTCGTAACAATGCGCGACCCTCGCTACGGCTAGATCTAGAACGCACAGGCGCTGGCTTGGACCGTCGGCCCAGTGTACCAGAAGGTGCAGCACCACTCGCACCGCCACCACTTTCTCAAGCATCTACAGAAAAACCACGAATTGGAACAACCCGAACAGCATCGGAACCTCGTGGTCTGACATCTCGGCAACAAAACATCCGCGGGTATTCACAAGATCCAAGCCGTTCTCGCCAACAAGAAGGACACCGAAGGAATCACAGTGATAACGACTATTCGCCTCAAGAATACGCACAGATGGACCCGCACGACCCATTTCCAGGATCCAGGCCCCATCATAACTCAGGCTACGGCCGAGGAAGTCGACACCAACCCCCACAATACATCAACGAAGAGGATGAATATGTCGATGAAGTATGTGCGGGCGAACCACTAAAAGATGGAAGCTTTGAGCTAGTAGGTGCAGCACCTGAAGGTGGTTCACCTACTTCGCAGCGGCGCACTAGATCCCCAGCACGGTTCTCAAGACGTGCAAACTCCAAAAGACCGGAAGTACGAAAATTCCGCACAAAGGTACACGCGCCAGACGACATCAGATACATCATAATCGGGCCTACGATCGAATATGCGGATTTTGAGACCCGTATTCGTGAGAAATTCGGCTTCAAACATTCCCTGAAAATCAAGGTCCAAGATGATGGTGATATGATTACTATGGTAGACCAGGAGGATCTGGACCTACTCCTAGGCTCAGCTCGAGAGATTGCTCGACGGGAAGGGAGCGAAATGGGGAAAATGGAGGTAAGTTAATCTTGCACTTGGAAGGGAGTTGGCTCATTGGCTAATAATACATTACAGATATGGGTCGAGGAGCGAATTATCTGATTTGTTCTTCCTTTACGATTACACATTTACAGCATGGATTTTGGGCATTTTTGGAGGTTCTTTTAGCTTATACCCTTGGATTAGCATGGATGGAATACATAGTGCATAAATGAGAAATGGCAGACAATCAGTCATGCCTAAAATAACTCTCTATAAATACAAACCTATTTCTGTATATCTGACGATAAGTGGAATCACCCGGCATGCATCATGCAACTTACTCAAGTCCGCACGGATCTTCATCTTCACAATACCAAAATTCCAAAGTTATATTTTTAGCAATCTAGACTAACTTGTACTTGCATCTTTCATCACAACTGCAACGCCTATCACAATCCCAAAACAACTCACATGCATGACCTGATATCCGTGGATGTGGGTACTACTCCAAAACCGCCGGATCCTCCTTAACAACCTGATCATAATACGGCTGGAAAGCCAACCACATCTTACTCGAATTCCCACTCTTCTTATGCGTCATCTCCGCCTCCTCTTTACCAATATAGATCTTCTCCCAGCCCGGCCCGGTAGCTGCATTAGCGAGCAACTGCGAATGACAGCATCGATCCAACGCAATAAACAGGAAGGCGGCTTCATCCACTGTCCGACCACAAGTGATCATGCCATGGTTTTGCAGAATCACACTCCGACATGTTGGGCCGAGCGCTTTGGCGATGCGAGCGCCTTCTTCGGTCGAGACTACTGTCCCGCCGTATTGGTTGTACACCGCTAGATCATTGTAGAAGCGTAGTGCGTCCTGGTATAGCATCTCGATTGGTCGGCCGTAGCACGAGAAGGCTTTCCCGTAGATGGAGTGTGCGTGACAGGCTGCGTTGAGATCTGGTCTGGCTTTGTGGATTTCGCTGTGGATTGCGAAGGCTGGGCCGTTGATTGGGTGTTGGGCACCTCCTGGAAGAACTTGACCTGATTCGTTCACTAGGACTAGGTCTGAGACGCTTATCATGGAGAAGTGCATGCTGAGTGGGTTGATCCAGAAGTACTCTATATTTATCCATGGTGTTAGTGTAATTTTAGGAACTTAATTGGACCTTAAGTTTCTATGATAGGCCGTTGAGGGTGAAGTGCTTGCTTACTAGGGTTAATCGGATCTCTAAGAGAGATGTGTCCCGCGACACCCTCGTCGAAGCCCTGCTTCGCGAATACACGGAATGCAACGGCCAGATGCTGCTTATGGTATGCGCGCTCTGCTTCTTTATTCTCGAATTTCGGGGGTGAGCGGATGACCACGCGACCTTCCTTATCACCTAGGAAGTGGACATCTTCGAAGAACGAATCTTGCTGTGAGGTCTCTGGTGCTTTTGTTTCCAGTGTACCATTGTTGGTCATTGTAGATGTTGTTGTCGCCATGATGGATGAATCGAATATGAAATATTGGAGAATCTTTGGAATATAACCTCTAGATTTAGTCTACCCTCAATCTCAACCCAACAATGGCATTTGTGGCCGTTTTATAGGTTAGCACTTGCAGAGCACTTATGCAATAGCGCCACATCCCCGCCATGTTTGCCCCACAACGGAGAGTGAGGCTCCGTCGACTTCTACGTCTGAATATCCAACGGGTTGTCGTGCTCCGTCTCAACCTCACGCGTTCAAGCTCTCTCGGAGCGTAGAAAGGGCGGGGCTTTGAATTTCGAGAAGAATCTGGCAAAAAGTTTATTGTGGCGTGAAGATAGCCAACGATGAATGACGATGTGTGAGGCGCCGCTTAAACGAATATTTTGCAGGAAATGAGCTTGTGTGGATGCTAGCTTCTATTCGAGGTGTCTCACTCGAATTTTTCAGTTATATGGAGTTGGATGGGTTTAAGAAATAATTACACAAGTCATTTTCTGTATTTCTACGAATACGCTAGTTCTGTTCTCACGTTTTTAGTCCGCTCTGCGTAGGCTGAAAGTCCAGAGCGGTTCCGAGAAACGGAAATAAGAAGTGTGCCTCAAGGGCTCACATTCCAGTTGTTCTTGCGCTTGCATCCCACCGATGAAATCAATGAAAAGATGCCATATCCATCAACCAATGGGAGAAGCTGGTTGGAGACATGAGGAGCTCGAGTGCATAAAGCACGTATAGATCTTGTAGCGCGGTGTATAGGAAATGGAAAGGGATGAGGAAAAAAAAAAAAAAAAAAAGACCGGAGATTCATCAGGTCCGGTAGTATACATGTATGTACAGGGTGATGCATAAATACTCGAACATGGGGCGATTAAAAGTACACGGGAAATATTCCCTTCGAACTCGACAGCTGTGTGATTCAGGTAGTAGTCGAGAGATGCAATGTCGGACTGGCGCTCTATTGAGAAGCTTCCTGTTGTCCCATGGATAGCTTGCGCACATCCCATTCAGAGCCAGCCCAGTCCTTCTTCTCGCCGAGTACGCAGGTTGCGCTGCGAGAACCGTTCACCAGGAATCGATCGGCAACTTCGTTCACATCCTTGGCGGTCACGTCAAGGACTTGCTCTCGCCAGTGTTGGTCCATCTCGTGGGTGACTCCGCTCATGAAGTAGCGGGATCCCTCGCTGTCAACACTGACTGGGGCGTCGAGGCCTTGGAAGATGCCAAGTTTGGCCTCTTCGATCTCACGCTCGGACCATGCACGATCTCTGGCAAAGACACCGCTGTTCTGGAAGACCTTCAGGGTGTTCAAGGGGTTCGGATCGCGGTAGCTCATGAAGGTGAAGATACCCTTGAGAGGACCGTTGCTGGCTCCAGCGCCATAAGCGCCACCCTTCTCTCGGATTTCGGGGTGCAGGTAGTTGTGTGTGAGAAGTTGCGACATCACTGTGAGCGGGGCGCTAGCGGGGTCGACAAATGGCACAGTCTGGGACACTTGGCCAGAGTAGTAGACCTTATATGGGAGATCGTAGAATGCCTTCTCGAACGGCTGGAAACCAGCTGTGGAGGTGGTTGACTGCGGCGAACGAACTCGAGGCAGACCAGCCATCCACTTTTGCAAGACAGACTCGTTTTGCGCGGCACTTTCGGCCTCGCAGACCATACGAACACGAAGATTGGAGTTCTTTGAAATCGCGAATGACTGAATCAGACGCAGCTTCTCAATCAACTCCTGGAGACGCTCAGGGGACGACTCTGCATCGCGCAAGAGGTTGGCAGTGGCCTGCAACTGCTCGAGACCAGACTGCTGCTCCTGCACCCAGAGGTTTGGCGAGATACTGGCAGCTGCAGCATTAACGGCAAAGCGGTGGCCAGTTCCGGCAACAGAATCGATAGCTCCATTTGTGGTCAAACGCAATAACTCTTGGATCATTGTGGGTGCCGAGGGGCTTGAAAAGTTAGTTTCAGTGACCAACGTGGTGAGCATTTCCAGCATCTCGGGAATATTCTTGTCAATAGCATATCCAGAGAAGTCCAAGCCCTCCTTGAATTGGTTCAAATGGGTTGCGGATGACACGTTGAAGTCAGAGGTCGAGATGCCGCCGGTCTTCAATTTGATCAGATCCTCCCATTCCTCCATGGACTTGTTCGCAGTACCGAGCCGCATAATACAGTCATTGAACAAGGGCATCAGAAGACGAAGGTCAGCGGGCAAATCCTCGAAGGTATTGACAGCCTGGAAGTAGGTCAGGCCATTCGTGGGAGCCTCTCGCCAAACGACATCGACATCGTCAACCTTGGACTCGCGGACAAGCTTGCGCTCCTTTTCGCGGGAAATATCCTTCACCCGCACCGACGGAAGACAACTCAAGTCGGCATTCTGGGCGTCTTCCTGCACCTTCAAAAGCTGCAGCTCCTCTTCACTCAACTTAGCCACGGCATTTTCAACTGAGCCGTGCTCCTCGATGAGCTTGGCAAGTTTCTGCTCCTTGCGAATGGCTTCCTTGTCATCCAATTCCATGTTGAATGTTGGGGAACCGACCATGGTGAAGGTCATGTAACGGTCATTCAGGAGATACTTCTCCACAAGAGATTCCAAGTAGCGGGGCTGCTCATATCTTCTCTTGAACTCCTCAATGACATCGTTCCAGGCCAGGTCCTTCATTGGGTTGGAACCATTGAACCAAGAGGCAATGGTCTTCTGCATAACACCAATTCCAAAGTTGGCAGTCTTGTGTCGCAGCGCAAGTTCCAGCTGGTGCAGAAATCCACGCACCTTCTCGTCACTGAATCCAGCCGAAGCAGATTCTTGGAAGACATTCTGGATCACCTGCTTGACTTGGGTTGCTTCCTCGGCACCAACGCCAGTAACACCAACTGAGAAGATTGGGACTTTGCCAGATGCATCCAAGCCAGTGTTGGGAGTGAAAGAAGATCCTAGGCCACTTTCAATGAGGGCCCGATACATAGGCGAACCATAACCATCGAGGAAAAGTGATGAAATAATTCCGACGGAGAACGTCTCCACGGTATCGGTCGAGTCTCCCATATACCAGGAAGTGGAGGTTTTGTGCTGCTTATCTTCGCTGGAGAATGTGTCGATCGGTCCGGAGACGGTCACATTCACCGGCTTGTTGAGATCCAGAGGCAGCTTCAAATCAGTATCCGGCTGGCCCTTTTCAAATCCATCCAAAACTGCTCCAATCTGTTCCAAGTGACCTCCCAACGGCATATCACCGTAAGTTAAGATCTTGGAATTGCTTGGATGGTAGTTGCGCTTCGAAAAGTCGGTCAGCTGTTCGTGGGTAAGGTCCGTGATGTACTCCGGGTCGCCTCCCGAGTTGTTCATCGCCGGGAAAATATTCTCCTTGAACTGAATGTAATACAGGTAATTTGCATCGGACATCTGACCCTTCATCTCGTTGTAGACAACGCCCTTGAACACAATGTCCTCCAACTCGGCCTTCTGCTCGGGATCGGTCAGCAGAGCGCGAGGGTCCTCGGGGCCCAGTCGCCATCCTTCCTGTCGGAAATCATCCTTCTTGAGCAGGGGGTGCAATGTCGCGTCGAGATACACAGACAAAAGGTTTTGGAAATCCTGAGGGTTGGTTGTAGCGAACGGGTAGGTGGTGTGATCAGAGGAGGTGAAGGCATTCATGAAGTTCGAAAGCGATCTCGGAAGCATCTTAAAGAACGGGTCGCGAATAGGATACCTATAATGATGGATTATCAGCAGTTGAACGGTGCTGTCCGTGATTTAGTTGCTTACTTTTCGCTTCCACATAATGTAGTGTGCTCAAGAATATGGGGCACGCCTGTCGCATCTGGCGGGTTGGTCTTGAATCCGATACCAAAAACATTGTTCTTGTCGTCTCTAGCCACATGCAAGTAGTCGGCGTCGGTCTTGTCATGAGTCAGTCGGACCGCTGTGAGGTGCAGTTCCGGGACATGCTTTTTCTCGCGAACGGTGAATCCGTGAAGTTTCTCGCCGATTGCGGGGAAGTTGTCGAGGTTTGTCACGGTGGAATTCGCTCTGGCCGTACGAGCAACATTAATCGCAGAGTTGGATTTCACGAAACGGCTCGAAAGTGGTTGGCGCAAAGCTGGAACTCGGGCCCTGCCCAGTCCCACGGATGAGCGCAACATGGTATCACTGAGAGCTGTACAGAGAGATAACTCAAGGATGGGTCACCTCAAGCTCACAGTACGATCCAAACGATATGTTTCCGAGAGGAAATGCAAGGCTAATGAATCAAAGGAGTAGATTGGATTCCATCAATTCTACAAATATCGGAAGACACGGTATCATCACGTGTGTGTTATGTAATATCTAGGGGCCTGTCTAATCAGGAAGGGTCTAGACATGCATGATTACTCATGTTCAAAGTACGTGGAGACTGAAACATATTTGATCTAGTTTGTTCTAACATCGAATCATTGTTTCAGATGGTTTCGTATGTTATTCAGCATGCCGTTATGAGAACGTTGACGTAGTCCAATCTGCGTCCCACGCTGGTGGCCCTGAGTCTGAATGGGAATGTACAATCGAGACCAACATTCCCAGCACCGCGAATTCCAATTTTAGTTTAATGCTATAAACTGTGGCCTTGAATATCACTTGCGTGAAATAAAGCCCCAAGTATTCAAGTACCACCAACGATATATCCATGATGATAGCTGCAACATTGATGGCAACTAGTTCATACAGAATCTTGTGGCGTCGTTTGTCACCCTCTGGACTGATACGAATCATCTGGATAGTTTCCCAGATATAGATTGAAGATATGAACATCTCCTGTGCCACGAACCAGGTCAACTGCAACCGCTCGAAAATTTCGAATCCGTTTGTCCACGATGAATCGTGTGGAAGGTAGCAAGATCCAAAGTTCAAAACGATGGCTGGGATAACAACGAATCCCCCGAGAATGACCAACCACTTGACCATGCTTAGCACCATGGGGCTCTGGGATACCAGGTGCAGCCGTGAGTAAAGCACGACGGACTGATTGGGCACCATGAACATAAAGCCGATGTTCGAAAGAGTCAAGCTCAACCACAGGGGTGCTAGGTTGAAGAATTGGAAGCTAGGCCCAAGGATGGCGGGAATCACACCAAGAACGGTGGATATCAGCAATGCCCAGAAATATAGAGTGTTGTATCGTTTGAAACTGAGCGGAATGAGTATCGATAGCTCGAGCGCGTTGTATAGCGCAATGGCCATGAATGCAACCACAGCAATTCCGAGAGCCACATTCCCACTGCCAGATCGAAGGATCGAACTGGTAGGTTGCTCAAGGACGGTCATGATATCAGAGAATCTGGTATTTCAATATCCAAGGACATAATAGTGGTCTTGTACTGCATGCTTTGCTCAGAGAGGGAGTAGGATGGCAGCCTGTGTAGTCTCTTGCTTTTGCACCGTCAGAGCAGGAGAGGGGGAATTAGAAGAAAAAGTTGCCAAGCTTCAAATAAAACTGGAGATTTCGTGACCATGGGTATGGACATCGTTATAGTTTGACTGTTACTTTTGGATGATGGGGGAAATGTGGGGAGGCGAAATAATGGGCCGCCACTGGCGCCCCTCCCCGGGTTATTCACGTCATTGCATTCAGGTTCACCCAATAGTCGAGAGGCTTAATTTGCTGTTCCATTCTACTTGGTATCTTAAACTCTGTGATGCGCGGCTACTGCCACATGATTTGCTATCTTGTGGGGAAAAGAGAAGAAAAGGCCAGGATTGGCTTACAGAATTATGTACATCAATCTACTAACTTTCTTCACGTCCCTGTATTTAGAGTTTCTGTACGTCTCGTATTGTTTCATCATGCCAACTTTAATCTTCGGAACATTCCCACATGTTCAATTCCTTCCTCGTCCCACCGACCAAGCGATTCATCCGTTTGGAATCCCAACCCGCGATACATCTGCTCCACATCGACTTGCGCATGCACAAGAACCAAACCATCCCATTTTTTGATAATGGCGGTCCCATTCGACATAGATGCCAACTGTGCCACGGCCTCATCAATCTCAGCCGCATGATCACTCGCCCAATCCAGGACCGTATCCACCAAACGCCGCCCAAGTCCCTTTCCCCGGTACTCAGGCATAACGGCCACGCGTGTTAATTTTATGCATGGCTCATGGTCCCAATCAAATGCAGGTAGGTCTTTTGTACCCACGTCCTCTGGATGTGTGAGGAGAGCATGTGGTGGCTGTGGAGGTGGCACCAGCCGGATGACTGCGACTGGCGCATTCGTATTTTCTGAAGCTGGGTCGTACATAACCCATTGCCAACTTCGTGCATCATCGCCGTCGATCTCGCCTTCGGCGGAGCATTTTTGTTCGTCGACAAATACCCTCATGCGAACGATCATTGCATCGTTGAAGATAGGTGGGTTCGTTGAACCTTGGCCTGGGAGTACAAGCTTTGCGTTGGGGCCTGGAGGCGGTTGGATCACGGTGGTAAAAGGCGTATTTGGTACCATGGTGTCTAAATTGTGTTTGGGCCGTAGGGAAATTGGTCGAGATGAGGGACTTTGTCATTGAAATGGCGGGGCCCCGGGAGCGGGACGTGCTTATCTTCGCTGATATATATGATGTACGGCTCAGAAACAATTTGCAGGCTTGACCAACCGGCTAGGAGCAGCTTTTTATATCTAAAGCTTGGGATTTGCACCACTGATGTGTTTCAACGATACAAGAAAATAACTAGGTACTGTGAAGAAAATTACCAAGGATCTTGGGACAGACAATGTCACTAACTATAAATCGATAACAGCCTCACTAAATGATTCCGACGGAGCTTTCTGATTGGCTCGGGTGAGTGCAAACAGACCAAACAAGATCATGTCTGCGGCGAAATTAATTTCTCGTCCGAAACAATCGACGACGACAACGCCATGTCACTCTATTTCGATGCGGTCAATATTCTGACCGAGCCAGCATCAGGTGGCTCCTTTAAATCCCGAATCTACAGTGCCCGAGACCTCCGCGCAAAACCAGCACAAATCTACGCTCTCATCATCGAAGCCGCGAAATGGGACATTGTTCTGGCCGATGTTATCGACCGCGCTGGTCTTCTAGATGCCGAACGCAAGGTAAGACGACATGGGCATTCTCCAAAATATGCCTACTGACTGTCCAGCTCTGATTGATTGTTTACTTAGCTATCTCCCCTCCTTGCGCTCCTCCTCGTACACGATCACCTCATCTCTAAAAATGGCATCGCGGCCCCGGCAGCGCATACTATTCGACAGGCTGTTGAGCGGCATAAGGTTCGGTTGAAGGCAGAGTTTACGAAGGCACGGGTTCGCCGAGGATGTGCTTCAGTGGAACAGTTCAAGGCTGCGATCTTGAAAGAGAAGCGGGAGGCTGCTGGGCCCAATGATTTCATCTATCCTCGCTGGGTGCGCGTGAACAATATCCGTTCATCTCTTGAGGACCAGATGCGCACAACGTTCTCGGACTATCGGCATGTCGATTCTCTTGCCGAATTGGCACCGGAGGGAGACGATCGCAAATCCCAGCATTTGCTTTATGTTGATCCCCATATTCCAGATCTGGTGGCCGTACCATATGGAGCGGATTTCACTTCATCTGCTGCATACAAGAATGGCGAGATTATCCTGCAGGATAAGGCGTCGTGCTTCCCCGCTTATCTTCTGCTGGGTGATCGCGGGCCTCAGGATCCATGGCAAGGTGATCTGGTCGATGGATGCGCTGCACCGGGAAATAAAACCACCCACTTGGCATCTCTTCTTGCAAAGCAACAAAAGGAGAAGCGGAAGCAGATCATCTCCATGGATGCCTCTAGAATGCGGTCTAAAACACTACAGAAAATGGTCACTATGGCCGGGGCGGACCCCACCGTCACTGTGCTACAAGGTCAGGATTTCTTAGCTCTTGATCCAATGGATGAACGCTTTGAGCAAGTCACAGGTCTCTTGCTGGATCCCAGTTGTTCAGGTAGTGGAATCATCGGTCGCGATGATGTACCTCAACTTACACTGCCCAAACCCGCAGCATCCAAGGCCCCCAATCCCAAGGGCCAAGGCAAGAAACGCAAACGTGCTGATGATAAGGATGAGATGGAAGAGCCAAAGCCGAAAGCAGCATCCAGCGCTTTGAACACTTCCCCATCAGATGAGAATGATATTGCCACTGATAGTGTTGACCAAGAACGTCTCACGAAGTTGTCGAATCTTCAAGCGCGAATCGTGGAACACGCTTTAAGTTTCCCCACTGCAACACATGTTACCTACAGTACCTGTTCTATCCATTTGATTGAAAATGAGGCTGTTGTGGAACGTGTCCTGGTCTCAGATGTGGCTAAAGAAGGCGGCTGGCGCCTTTTGCGACGGGACGAGCAACCGAGTGGACTGCGCAAGTGGACGCATCGGGGCGTCCGACGTGATCGGGAGATGGGGGAGAATGCCGAGTCGGACGCTGCTCCGGCTGCAGTGGATGATCTTTCAGACGAGGATCTAGAAGCCTGTCTGCGTTGCTGGTCTGGTGATGCTGAAGGTCTGGGAGGCTTTTTCGTTGCTGGATTCGTCCGTGATCCCAAGCTTGCTTCCGTAAACAAAGCCCCTGGGTCTAAGACCAAAGCTTCAGAGCCCAAGACCAAAACCCAAAAATCCAAGACAAAAGAACCCAAGTCTAAAAAACCCAAAAAGGAGCCTGCACAAAACAAAAAGGTTGCGGAAAAGGTCGTGCAAAAGGAGGAAGAAGACGAAGAAGATGATGATTGGGATGGCTTCTCAGATTAGATCAAAACAAGTAAAACCAATAGACTTCACTCTATATAACTTCACATTAATTCATATCTGGCATCATGGTCTTGATTTGGTAGCTGATTTACCCCTATAAGAAATCCCTAGCTCGATTACGAATGCGTGGATGAGTGTATACATCCAACTTCGCAGCAATCAGGACAACCTCACAAGGGCCACTAGGATCAGCTTGCTGCACCAACAGCCTCCACTGGCCCTTCCGAACAACCCAAGGACCCTCTTCCGACCCCTCAGAACGCTGACGCTTAGCCGGAGGTTCCTCATCACTTTCACCACTAGACAGCAAATTCGCAATACGCTGAGGATCTCGTTCCCCATCAATGGTAAGATCGGTCTCCCGTCCCCATCTTATATTCAACGGAAGCCCCGCAACATGGGTCTCAGGTACATTCATCTTTTTCCCAATAACTTGGACAAGACTCGCCATCCGAGACTTTGTTTGACCAATGAAATCGGCACGTTGACCCGCACGACTAATTATTGTCGACTCTCCGCCGATTTCCAGCATGAGGTCAAAAGGCTTATCATCCACAAAAGGTCGCGCGTACATAACTAACCCGCCCATGGCTAACGAGGTTATAGAATTTGTGGCAACCTGGATGCCTGATGGCCGAACATCCTCGAGTCGTAAGGCGATCTCCGAACGCTGGTTAAAGGGATTCACGCTGATGTCGTGCGGTATTAACTTTTGTTCCAGGCCCCGCAGATGGAAATATTTGCAATCACGCAGAAGCTCGGCGCGGTGGTCAGCGTTTCGAATGTGTAACGGGTATCCACGGAGCAGGTGTAAGAGCTCTGCGAAAATCTCTGCGGATCGATTGGGGACGCTTGGGGGTGTGATAGCTGGTGGACGGAGGAGTCCGACACGGTCCAGACCGGGGAACACTTCTGATGGAGATGCGAAGAAGGCTCCAAAGCCCAGTGTGAAGAAATTAGGGGAGTCGCCGGGACTCGAGAAGATATCGCGCGGAATTTGGAAATGGCGGTCACCGATCTGGATGAAGATCTCGGATTCGAAAAGTTGAGACATCAATCGGGGTACTGCGGTCCCGTCAGCATATGCTTTCTCTGACCGGTAATAGATGCAATCTCACAGCAATAAAATTGCGAGTCTGCGAACAATTTGACGAACTGTGCGCCATCTCTGGGCCGAACATAGTATCCTGTTCTCATCAGCCTCGTTCCCACAAGCCGGGCCTTTGTGACTACCTTGCAGATGTCTTGCAATCTCTTTAAAGGTCTCTGGGTCGCGATCGATATACAAGGTGCGAATATTGGGTGAATCAGGGTTGCGCATCTGCTCCTCGAAGAATCGCGAGAAGTAGGAGGGAGCTGTGAGGGGTCAGCTTTGCGGCCGTGCATCAAGAAATAGGTGATTGACCATCTGAGGCGATTGAAGCTCCTGAGAGACGGAATAGATCTGAGCCAATCTGAATGGAGAAGACCTTCTCCCTGGGGAGGGTGCACTGCTTGGACGTGGAGTCCGACGCGTCCGCCATGGTTGAAAGGTGTAACCTGGGGGAGCTCTGCCGATCGGAGCTCTTCCGGGTATAACACACGTCACATCATTAAGAGAACGGCAGATCGTGCATATTGCTTGACAAATTTTCCATTTATTTAGAGCTCATGGCAAGCTTTAACATAGACTTAACATGATTCAAGTGGATTCTGGCCTTATTTAGCTGGGTCAATCGTCACTACTGAAGTCGTGCTCATGGTCCACGATACTACTGTGCCTACCTTTCAGTATATCAAAGCTGCACTACTGTGTTTCCCAAGGTACTATATATCTAATCAAGTTAGGGCCGAAGATCATATACCTGTTAAATAGTGTTCTTTCAGATCTTTGTCAGAACGAACTTCGGTATACCCATCCAGTTCGCAGACTCGTGCTCGTGCTCCCCCATGCTACATATGCATATGCACATTGTATTACTCAACCAAGTATTATATCCCCTTTGGTTCGACTGCAGGAAAACCCTAATACCATGCGATATGATAGGTAGCATGGTGCCGTCTTCGTCCATTGACCATGTCCTGCATGTTCACCGAGACTCCGATCGGATGATTTCTGTGTTGCGTGTGAAAATGCACTGACCCTAGGCAAACCGTCCCAACAACTTTGCAACTTCGTGTCCGGACCACAGTGCAGTCAAATTGGCAGCCCAATTGTTCGGCCGGAGAGTTCTTACCCCTTTTAGTGAGATTTAAATCCTGGATCTCGGTCACATGGGGTGGAAACTCGGCTACAATGGGCATTCCGCCCCCGCACCGCACCTGAAGATCTACTAAATCCGGCCACTGTGACTGGCAGAACACCTCAAGACCCACTACAAGTACAAAAAGTACTCATCGAACCATGCTCCGCGGCCTCGGCCCCTCTTCTAGCGTGCCCCATGAAATGAACACGCTGCTCCGATCTTTACTGTCTCCAGCACTCTCAGATACCACTGTGGGGAAACGATTTCAGGTGGTTGTGTATCCGTGCTTTCTCCATAACTTATTTCACTCTCATTTTATTCGATGACTGCCGCTGGGATTCCTTGATACCATCATCGAGAGGCAGTGGCGCCTTATCTTTAACCATGTCTGACCAGTCAATGACCGACTACACCACCTACGTACCGCAGGAGGTGCCTATTCCTCAAGCTCCAGATACTTCGTTTTGGTCCGAGCTGCAATGGAAGACCCTCTTTGCTATTTGTGACGCGATGGTACCATCCATTCGGACGGCGCCCCAGTCTCCGAATGACAAGGTCGTCTCGAATGCTGAATATGATGCGGCACTCGACAAGCTCACATCCCTGATCCCAGGGCCAGATGCGAAGCAACTCGCGGTTCAGTACTTGGAAGAAGATCTTTCTACGAACCCCGTATTCCGTGCCATTGTGGAGCGTACTGTCGGTCACTACATCCACGATGAAGGCCGGAATGGACTTGGTTTCATTTTGAATGCGCTCAAGTAAGGACCTTGATATCGTCCAACGAGAGCAGCCACTGACAAATTCTGTAGTACTCGAGCTGGATCGCTGATTATGACTGGCTCCACGACTCCCCTCCATCAGCAGCCTGTTGCTTTCCGGGAGAAAGTCTTCCGGGGCTGGGATACTTCACGGTTGTCACCTTTACGTGGTGTTCACCGGGCATTGACTGCAATCGTGAAAAAGTCATGGGTGTTGGCCAGTCCAACCGTAGAGAAAGTTCTCGGCTTTCCGCGTATCCCTACCCATGGCAAACCTGCCGATGGATTTGCTTACGACTTCCTTCAGATCCCGCCTGGCGAAGGTCCCGAGACGATTGAAACGGATGTCGTCATTGTAGGCAGCGGCTGTGGTGGGGCAGTCACTGCGAAGAACCTCGCCGAGGCTGGGCTCCGAGTCCTTGTGGTGGAAAAATCCTATTCTTACCCAAGTAAGGCTTTCCCAATGTCGCAAAATGAAGCCTATGTGAATATGTTTGAGGCCTCAGGCGCTGTTGTCAGTGACGATGGCGCGATGGTTGTTCTGGCGGGTTCGACATGGGGTGGCGGTGGCACCGTTAATTGGTCTGCCGCCCTGCAAACTCAAGGTTATGTTCGTCAGGAATGGGCAGATGGTGGTCTACCACTATTCACTTCTTGGGATTTCCAGAGGAGCCTTGATCGTGTCTGCGACCGGATGGGTGTCAATACCGAGCATGTGAAGCATAATCGTCAGAACAATGTGATCTTGGAGGGCGCGCGCAAGCTGGGCTATGCTGCCAAGACGGTCCCTCAGAACACCGGCAATTCAGAGCACTACTGCGGAACCTGTACCATGGGCTGTGCATCTGCTCTCAAGAAGGGACCCACTGAGACATTCCTGGCGGATGCCGCAAGGGCAGGTGCTACCTTTATCGAGGGATTCCGCGCAGACAAAGTCTTATTCGATAATAAGAAGAGTGGAAAGGTGGCCATCGGCGTGGAAGGAACCTGGAAATCGCGCGATCAGTATCTCGGCCTCAGTGGTAGCGGCGCAACCCAGAGAAAGGTCATTATCAAGGCTAAGAAGGTTGTCGTTTCATCTGGCACATTGCAAAGTCCTCTTCTGCTACTTCGAAGTGGTCTTAAGAACTCTCAAATTGGCCGGAACCTTCATTTGCACCCGGTGATGGGCGCCGCCGCTTTCTTTGATGAGGATACCCACCCTTGGGTGGGGTCAGCATTGACCACGGTGGTCAACGAATTCGAAGATCTAGATGGACACGGCCATGGCGTCAAAATTGAATCTGCCTCTATGGTCCCATCCGTATTCATCCCCGTATTCCCCTGGAAAGAAGGACTGGATTATAAGCTTTCCGTGGCTAAAATGCGGCGAAGCACAAGTTTTATCACCCTGACCAAAGACCGAGATGGTGGACGTGTATACCCAGACCCGAACGATGGACGTGTCCGAATCGACTACCAGGTCTCCAGCTTCGATCGACGCCATATTGTAGAGGGCTTGGTTGCCGCAGCCAAGATTGCTTATATCTCAGGAGCTAAGGAGTTCATCACCACCTACCGTGATATCGACGGCTTTGTGCGGCCAGATTCTTCTGATCCAGATTCTCCCGAGGGAATCAACAACGTTGCTTTGCAGAATTGGATCGCGGATCTGCGCCGCAAATCACCCCTGGATGCAGAGAAGGCACTGTTCGCCAGTGCTCATCAGATGGGCACCTGCCGGATGGGCAAGTCTCCCAAGACTAGCGTCGTGGACCCAGACTGCCAGGTTTGGGGAACTGATGGCCTGTATGTTGTGGATGCCTCCGTGTTCCCCAGTGCCAGTGGTGTGAACCCAATGGTCACCAATATGGCTATCGCCGACTGGGCTAGTCAGAATCTTGCCAAGGTGATGAACCAACCCGAGAATAATCGGATGGCACGTCTCTAGTCAGCTTTGTATATTTCACCAAGCATTTGCAAATCATCATGTCTTTCAATGATATCCAGCGTCCTAATTCATTCTTTCGAGTCAAGTACATACGATTTTCTTCTTTTTCATACAATGTTCGAATTCCAGAAGAGTCACAAAGTTTATACATACTCACCCATTCTGCAAGCTTCCAAGATTCGTTAACCATTTATTTTTGGATCCTAGCTCACGCGCTAACGCGTGTATCTGCTTAGTGTATTTTTGATTATTTGAAAGTGTATTAACTTCGCTTTGCTGGTCTATATCACTCCAATTGACCATCGCATATATCTTCAAATAAATCACTTTCTTCTAATCTAGACTACATCTATACAATTTGTCTCGTCGAATACTTCTCATACTACCCCGTCCTAAGCATCGGCATCAGTCTTCCCCTGATTAACCTGCCTCTTCTCAATGAACTTAACCTCTCCCATAGCCCTCGCAACTTCTTCAACAGCCATAACACGCTCATACCAAGCCACGATTGACGGATACTTATCCCGCATCTCCTTATCGATAATCAAAGAAAATGCCATATGCAAAGGTGCCGCAACCGTAATATCTCCCAGACTCAACTTCTCATTCATACCCAACCAAGTCTTTCCCTCTAACTGACCTTCCATATACGCAAGGCCCCGCTCTAACAAGGCGAGCTGCGTCGTCTCTTTCTCCTCATCATACTCCCATTGCCCAAATCGCCACATGGCTAGTTCGCGAAGGGGGCGAAGGAATGCATGATCCGAAAAACTGATCCATGAGCGGATTGACGCGCGCTCTAAGGGTGTAGAGCCGAGGAGTTGCTCGGATAGAGGTCCGCTTTCGGCTACATATTGTGCGATGGCGTCGGATTCGACTAGACGGGCTCCGTCTGCGCCTTCGAAGCCCGGCACCTTTCCTAGAGGGAATTTGGAGAGGTATTCTTCCGTGAGGTTGTCTTTGTAGAGGACGAAGTTTGGAGGAATATCTAATTCCAGGCCGTTTAGGTTAGCTACTGCTTGGATCTTTCCAGGTCAGTGTTAAGACTTAAGTATACCTGGATGGACTTCTTACCTTGCTGACCCGGGCGCTGGGCATGTAGGACCAGATTGTGCCGAATGGAGCCATTGTGGTTTAATTTATTTTCGGGTGAACTTAATTTGAATGATAATTGGAATTGGGATTTTGGATTCAGTCTGAGCTTTATATTACGGGGTTTGGGGCCAAAAGAGTCAGTTGACTCACGGGGCAACGAAAAGCTCCACCTTATTTCAAGAAGGAATCCTGGATTGAGTGGATTCAGGATTCATACTTGCGAAATCTGAGACATGGACTGATTCAAAGATCCTCAGTATAGAATGGATCACTGTGTATCGCCAAACATTGATTTTGCATTTCCACGGAATCCATGGACAGTGTACGGAGTAGACCAGTGGTCAAATGCATTTCCCCTCCGCACCCCGCACCCAGCTCAAGCTTCCACACTCCATGCGGCACCTCCTCAACCTCCCACCCGAGCTCCTAATACTAATCACCGAAACTCTCCCTGTCTATGATGTCCTCAAGCTCCGATTAACCTGTGCATACCTCTTCGACCAGATTCCCCGCGCTTCCCATACCCAGCTCCTACAGGCCGAAACAACAGAATGGGCTCGCCACAAAGACATCTACGCCTGTCGCTACTGCTTACGTCTGCGCCCGGCGCGTGAGTTTGCCGATAGAATGCTACGACGTCGACGAAGCCGATACGGCGCCGACAGTGACAAGCGGTTCTGTATCGAGTGCGGGCTGAAGCCGCGGGAGGGTATGGCTCGGTATGGCCCCGGTGCGCAGATAGCCATTCAAGGACGAGTCTTTGTCATTTGTCTTTCTTGTCGGCACTTTCGTCTGGGTGCTTACGATCGGTATGGACGAAGTACGTTGGAATGCGCATCGTGTTGGCGGGAGCACTGTCCGCGGGAATTGTACAATTTACCCTCCTTGGATAAGACACATGTGCGGCACGAATGAATTGTACTACCTACAATAAACAAGGCTCTGAATAAAGTCGCTGTTACAGGGTCTGAGGCTTCCTGCCTTGACTTGGAATTTGGATATATACGCAAAAAGTGGTCATACATACGCATCATGCTTGGGGAGGGTCGTTAAGACGCATATAATTCCAACAGACTGATTTGTTAGCCACTGCCACACTTCAGATCGGAAGGGTTATGCTTACTGCTGTTGGCCATGTCCTTTCCGAACATGACATCCATTAGGTCCTCTCCATCTTTGGTACCTTCAGCCGGGCTGTAGGTCGCGCACTTCTTGCCGAGAGCCAGACCGATAACATTCGGGAAGGGCGTCAAGTTCATATAAGTGGGTTTGTCGCCTGTGCACTCGGCCAGCATGTGTTGGTGAATGTTGTTAGCTGCATACTGGCCCATATGCATTGCGCCACCACAGCGCTTGATACCAGACCACGCCGCAAGATCGCCGACCGCGAGATGATGCTCTGCATTGGGGATGTTTCCGGAGAATTGAAGACTAGAAGCTTGTCAGATGATTTCGGACTTGTCCACAATGGATATGAGCACGTACGACGGGTGGATCTTGATTAAGCCTTCCTCATTCAGTGCCTCTGGTTCCAGATATGTCGATGTAGCCACTGGTTGTGAGATGGCATTCAACACAAGTCCAGTCATAAGCTGCTGGCCATCTGCCAATATCAAGCGCCACGCGCGCTCCTTGCCCGAGTCGACGGCTGTCGTGTCGATAACACGTTTTCCTAGGATCACCTCTACGTTCTCCTCGCGAAGGATCGCGAGTGCGCGCTCAGCAAAATCATCGGGCAACTCCTCAGATGAAAGCAACCGGTTTCGAGAATGAACAAGGGTGATCTTTTGCTCTGGATAGAGAACCTTTAACTCGGCTGCCATTTCGATTCCGACCGCACCTATCCTGGATCAGTGACTTTCTTTGAATGTGTCCAAATCCGATACAAACCTCCACCAACGACCACAATCCCTTGACTGGCATTTTGCACATTCTTCACATGTTTCCTTGCCTCCTCTAAGAACTCCTCCCGTCGCAAAGACCGCGGCGCAACAGGGAAGATTCTTCGCAGACCTGACGCGGCAATCAAATAATCATACTTTTCCGTCCGATTTTCCTTTGTCTCCGCATCAAGGATATGAGCGATCTTTGACGCGCTATCGACTTTGCTGACAGTTCCCTGAATAAAGCTGAAATCCGGCGACTTAAGTGCAGGAATATCCTTGAAGCGCGTCCACGACTCCGCAGCGAATTTCTCACACACAAGAGACTTGGGCGAGCCAATCAAATGGACTAACCAGTCATTAGCGCGTCATGAACATTTGACCTACTAAATCAACGCTTACAGTAGCCATCCCGCTCGTCCACGACGGTGATCTGGAGAGGAATCTTATACGAGGGTGGTTTAGCATCGGGGTTAGAATCGAAGCGACACACTCGACCCCGCGCCAAATCACTCAGATTCAAAGCGGCAGCGAGACCACCATAAGAGCCGCCAATGATAAGGACCCGGAAGGACCGAGCGACGGCTCGCACACCATCATTAGAAGGCATTGTAGCTTGTAGCTCGTGGTATTTAACGAAGATAGGAAAGAAAGTATGGAGGAAACCAAGAGTATGGAGAGAAAAAGAAAGAGAAACGCGAAGAAGGGAGATCACCGTAGCTAATAATATACTGTGTCATTTCGGAGTCGGACTGGAACTGAAATGAGTCCATCTGATAAGATGCGACATCGGTGTGAAAATTATCAGATCCGATCCGGGCCCGGTTCCGATACATGAAAGTGGGGAGTGCACACCCAATTTTCTTCGTTTTCCCGTTTTATTTCGTATTGTATAGTCAATGAGCCAAGGGCCAAGGGTTGGCAGCGCTGCCCCACTGTACCGATACATCCCGGGTGGGTTTAGCAGTGTTTTCTCTAGCGTCCCTGCATGTACAGTAATGTTGTGGCTCCTTGCTTTCGCGGTGTGATCCGTCCAACAAAGGCCATGTCGCGTGTCATCGGTGATCGAAGGGCTCAGACACGTACTAGCGAGATAGCTATCAGCTTTTGGCGAACACTTAGCCCCTTAGCACGCGCCACACCCACAGCCATGTACGTAAACTTGCCTGTCTCCACGTCATGTTACGGGTGGTGTTCTTCCGTCGGAAATTCTAGAAGGTCCCGTTCTATGTGGGCCCGACAAAGAAAGTGCTGCCGAAGATACACAGTTCCAAGGTTTCCGTTTCAGTACTCGTCCATGTACACCGCAATGAACAGTCTACGGATACCAATCGGATGCAGCCTTCAGGAACGCTATTCAAGCTATCTAATCCAATTCAGGATTGCGTCAGCGCAGTCGAGTCTTGGGGAAATCCAATCATCGATGATTTATTCACGGAGTGATCTGTTTGCCGACATTTCCGTAGGTGGACCACGGACAAGACCCAGACAATTGTAGAAGAAGAGTGGTGTCTGGAACGGTCGGTGGTGGCAGGGGTTGTTCTTATCTGTTCCTGGATCTAATCAATCAGCCGCGTACCGCCACGAGTCGCGTGGGGCTTTTTCAACACAATTAGCCTCAAATCTCCTACTTGCCGATCTCCACGCTTTAACCCTCCAATCTGCAACATGAGGTCCATCTGTTCGTTCCAAGGCGTCCCAATGTTCCTTGGAATTGTTAGTAGGCCTGATGGCGGGGACCGGATTAGGCTACTGCACCGCCATGTCTGACCGCACGGACCAACGCTGAGACAAGATAAAAACCCAAGACTGCATCTCCAACAGCTTCGACAGCGATGCGCATTATACAAACAAAATGTCTTTCCTCCGCTCCATTTACCTCCGCCTCGTAGTATTCGTCCTACGAGGCTTAGTAAAACTTCGAGCAAACATCAACCCATCTTACGACTACATCCAACACATCCCATCCCGGGACGGCGGACGAAGCATAACAGCCCACGCATATTGTGGCCCAAAAAGCGAGAGCAAGAAATCCACGCCCAGTCCCGTGCTTATAAATCTCTTCGGCTGCGGCTACACGCTCCCACTACACGGAAGCGACTCCCGCTTTTGCCGCGAGATAAGCCAACGAACAGGCTGGACCGTGCTAGACGTATCATACAGACTGGCACCAGAAAACCCATTCCCAGCTCAACTGCACGACGCAGAAGATGTCATAAAATGGGTCCTATCCAACCCAGACATGTTCGATCCATCCCGGATATCAGTGTCTGGATTTAGTTCCGGGGGCAATCTTGCGCTTTCAATCGTGTCATCAAAATTCTCGCCCGAAAATTTCCATTCTGTGATTGCATTTTATCCTGGTGTGGAGTCTTATCGTGATCCTGGGACATTGGTCGCACCGCAGCCGGGTGGAAAGCCTATGCCGCCGTTTATTATGAGGGTTTTCTTTGGGTGTTGGATTCCGGATGGTGTTGATATGAAGGATCCGAGGATTTCGCCTGGTCTGGCGGACCCGGCAAGGTTTCCGAAGAATGTTTTGATGATTACAGCTGGGCATGATAGTATGGCTGAAGAAGCCGAGAGGCTTGCGGAGAAGCTTAGAGAGGATCCTGAGCGAAATGTTGTTGCGGAGAGGATGGATCGGTGTAATCATGGATGGGATAAAAAGGCGGTTCCTGGGACGAGAGACTGGGATATGACGTGTAAGGCTTATGATATGGTTGTGGAAATGATAGGGACCGAGTACTTGAGAGAGGGAAGGAGAGCTAGTTAATGACATACAAGATAAATTTGGATGATATCCATCTCTTGGCCTTTGTTTACCAATGACAGGACCTTCCCAAATTTTGAATCTGTCCATGTATGATACTTGAAATTTGTTAGAACAATATTGAGTTGGGGGTAGAAGGATGGTGAGAAATAGAATATGTATGCGAAAGGGAGTTCTGTCACAGGACATTCAACCCGAAAGCTTCTCAACGTAATGTAGATGCATTAAATTCATTAGTAAGATACATAGGTAGTATTCACGGGGATGCTTCTTCATCTCGGCTTTGACAAAAGTTAGCATCGGGAATCCAGCATCGATCCGAACAATAGCCGAAAGTAGCACAAAGATCTAGATCTAATGAGCCAGTTCCACTAGCCACGACTTAATCTTCTTTCCCTGCTCCGTCTCCGTGTTATCGTGTAACATAGAGTTATAAATTGGAGCAACATGGCACTCCCGATGCCCAACAAACATCTCAACATCCCCAAGCCCATCCTTCAACTTCTTGGAAAACTCCAAAATAACGGGCAACATAATCTCATTACCACCACCCGTGATAAGCACAGTCTGAACCGGAAAAGTCGAGAACCACTCCGTAGGAGCATGGAATGCATCTGTATAGTTATCGCGTGGCGCACTACCCAAAAACGCGGTAGCCCAAGGCGCGGCAACAGCAGGCGTAATTATATCACCACCCGTATAGATTTCCTGATCGGGAAACTCGGTATCGAGTAACGTCCATGGTGCGATCATGACGGCGCCGCCGAACTTGCCATTGATTGGCAAAGGCTCGATTTGGGGGTGGGGGTGTGCGATATGCGACAGCACACCGCAGACCAAGTTCCCGCCGGCGGAGTCGCCGCCTAGGAAGACCGTGGCTGGGTCACGGTCTGGTTGGGCGAGGATGTACCGGACACAGGATACGGCTTGTTTCAGCTGTGTCGGGTAGGTGGCATTTGGGGCGAGAGTGTATGTGAGTGAGAAGACTGCGACACTCTTACCGGCCGCTTCGAGATGGCGGACGAGCTGCGCGTAGAAATTGATGTAGCCACGATTGGAGGGTAATCCAAATCCCCCACCTAATTTATGTGAGCAGTGCTTCCGAAACTAAAATGTTCGTACTCACCATGGCACCATATCACCACATTTGTCGCATTGGGGTCCCCGACCCAGTGGCCCGTGGCCCCATGGCTCAACTCCACCGACTCCGCCTTATACCCGAAGGCCTTCACGAAGCGATTGTAAATTTTGGTGGAGCCTGGCAGCACATACTGCATCTGCACTGGCGACAAGCGCTGCGTGGACTTGCGCATAATGGCATAGCCAAAATGGAGGAGGAGGGATTTGGCCTGGCGCTCCGTGCGCCATAGACCTGTCAGGAGAGCATAGAAGGCTGCGATGATGATGCTGGCGACAGCTGGCAGGATGTCCAACTTCTCGCGAAGGGTCAATTTAACCTGGGTCAGCGACATGGTGGAATTATGCCATGTGGAAACTAGCGCAGGTCGCGCTTGATAAGTTCGGGGTTAATGATAGCACGTTGGACCTCGGAGGAACGTGTGGACGATCATTTCGCAATGCTATCCTATTTAGGTAATGATCGGTTTGATCCACACCTTGCGAATTTCGCCCAATTTTCTGTTGGGGCCGAGGTGGATGGCGCATGGCGGTTCCGAAGTTTGGAAATAACTATGGTAGGACCGTAACGTGTGGCTGCAGCTTGAGTCCCATATGTTTTCAATAGTATGCGGATTTCTTCTGTTTGGGGGGTTGTCGAGGTTAGCTTCAGTAGATCGGTGACACCGATCGCACACAACGCATTGATGTATAGATAAACTGTAGAGTACACTAGATCCGACCTCGGTTGATAAGAAGGAACTAACTGCTCACGCATTCCCCGCAAGTGCTGTGCAGAAAGACTCAAGTTCCCCAAAAAAAGGAGGCGCACGGACTCCACCGAGTCTGCGTGAAAGTCGGTAGATCCACAGGATCGTCACAGGGAAAAAACCGAGGCATGTGAGCCTTCTTTTAAAACAGGCAATTGCCCACGTCTGATCGTTGCATCTTTCAACACAATCACGATGAACGGTCACGCACAGTCAGAAACGCGTTTCGACGTGGTTATCATCGGCGCGGGCATCTCCGGCATCAATGCCGCCTACCGCCTGCAGGATGAGCTCCCGGGCTACAGCTATACCGTTCTCGAGGCTCGAGACGACCTGGGCGGAACTTGGGACTTGTTCAGGTACCCTGGTATTCGATCGGATTCTGATTTGTTCACCTTTGGCTTTTCCTTCAACCCCTGGACCCAATCCAACCCCATCGCCGAAGGCCACTTGATTAAAAGCTACGTCGCCGACACCGCCAAGAAATTTGGTATCGACAAGAATATTCAATACCGCCACCGTTTGTCGGCGGCAAATTGGTCTAGCGAGGACAACTACTGGTCCCTGACCATCGACAATGACGGGACCGCCAAGACCATCAATGCTCGGTTCATCATCTTTGGTTCCGGCTACTACAACTACCACGAGCCATTGCAGGCCAACATCCCCGGACTGGACAACTTCCAGGGCCAGATTATTCACCCTCAGTTTTGGCCCGAGGATTTGGATTACACAGACAAGAAAGTCGCGATCATCGGCAGTGGTGCGACCGCCATCACCCTCCTACCCATCATGGCTCAGAAGGCGGAGCGGGTGACCATGGTTCAGCGCAGCCCAACCTACATCATCTCTCTCCCGAACCGCAGTGGAAACTGGTTGCTCAGTTGGATCCTGCCGACAAGCGCATATAATAAACTCCAGCGCCTCATATGGATCATAAAGTCGAGATTCTTCTTCCTCTTCTGCCAAGGTTTCCCGAAGCTCTCACGCTGGGTCCTGACCCGCCTAGCCAGCAAGCAACTACCCAGCCACATCCCCCACGACCCACACTTTCAGCCACGCTATAATCCCTGGGACCAGCGACTCTGCGTTTCGCCAGATGGCGACTTCTATACTAGTCTCCGCAACGGCAAGGCTGATGTCCGTACAGACACCATCAAGACAGTCACGAAGAAGGGTTTGACCCTCAACTCAGACGAAACGGTGGATGCAGACATCATCGTCACTGCAACGGGTCTGAAGCTGCAAATTGCCGGTGGTGCCACCATAACCGTCGATGGCGAGAAAATCGACCCTGGCTCCAAGTTTATGTGGAACGGGGTAATGCTTCAGGATCTTCCTAACGCCTCGTTCATTATCGGATACACTAATGCCTCTTGGACATTGGGTGCGGATGCGACGGCGCGATTCGTGACTCGCCTGATTAAGTCGTTGGAGACTCGTAAGCTTATCGCTGCTACACCTCGTTTGAAGGCGCAGGACGCTGAGACGATCCAGCAGCGTCCGCTGTTGAACTTGAATTCTACTTACGTCACGGTCGCGAACCGGGTGCTGCCTTTGGCGGCTGATCGGGGTCCGTGGCGTCCGCGTGATCATTATATGAAGGACATTAAGTTTGCGACTAAGGGTGACTTGGACGATAGTATGGAATATGTGCAAGGGAAGAACTTGCATCTTCGTGCTAAGATGGAGTGAGAGTTCGATGCGTTTATTTCATGATGGGCTGTAACGATTCTTTTGGTGTTCTTATAATCGGTTAGACTTGGTGTGTTTATTTTGAGGAATTTTTGAGTATAGCGATTTATGTGTGAATACGGAATGGAATGTGAATACTGCCAGATTTCCAAGTGTTTTGATATGTCTTTGTAAACTGATCCGAGGAAGTTGGACGTAGCCAATAAACAAGCTGAAGGTTTTGCTGCGTAGAGAAAAGTATTAAAATGTTCTGACATAATCCTCACTCTGTTCGATGGGGTTATGAGCCTTCTTGCTTGTACAATCTTTGACTGTTTCAAAGTACCTAGCTGGTGGAGACCTCGAGCAGCTTATGGTGTAACTGAGTACGCAAACCCTCCCAGTCCAGGCATAAGTTGCTGAGCACATATCTGCTAGACCCACTACATATCCACACTTAGCTTACTGGCCCTTCCATCTAATAAGAATAAATGACGAGTAAGTACTCTTGAGCAGTGTCATGAGGATTTATAGTTTGGCTAATCACGTATGTACTTTCTACGTAGCTGGACTCTTTAAACCGAACAAACACGCCAGTCGTCCAAGTCGTCCCCTCATCAATCAAATCATCTACCATATATTAAATAGCATTCACCTTCTCAACCTTCTCCTCAGCCTTCGCCTCCAGCATACCCAAAACCCGCTGCCAAGACCTACCAGCCCGTTCAGCATGCTCCTTCGGAACCAACGGACTCTCATCCGCCAGAGTCCTCGAGAAAACCTCCATACTAACCCAGCCTGAGTAACCCAACCCATTCAAACAAGCATCCGTGACCTGCCGAATGGGGAGGAACCCACCCCGCTCCTCCTCACACGGGAACAACCTCGCATTCCTCGACCAAGCAAGCAAAGGATGCAAACCCGGAGCCTTCAGGAACGGTTCATGCGGATCAACCTTCTCTCCATCAGCAAGCTGAACCATCAGAACACGACTCGGATCAACCTCCTTAACAAGCCGCTCCATGGAAATTTGTAGATCCATATCCGCATGCGCAGGTAAGCGTCCATCCACACTCAACGGATCGGCCCAAACGCGGGCAGCTATATTGAACGTATCCAAACAGATACCCAAATTTGGCCTATTCGCCTTCACCACCACATCCCAGCAATCCTCCCACGTGCTGATATGCGTTCCCCAGGCCAGTGCCTCGTAGGCGATCCGAACGGGGAAAGCGAGGTCAGCAGCTTTGGCTAGATCAGATACGATAAGGTCGCGATCACCACTTGTCTGTTTCTCATCCAGGAATGAAGATGGGATCAGGATGAATAGCGAATCGCCTAGAATCTTGCAAAGAGATACCCAGTGCTGCAACTCATCTAGTCGCTGGACATGTTCCGCACGATCAATCAATCCCTCGTAGTGCCGGAATGGCTGGAGAGCGAGGATACGGAGACCTTTCTCAGCGCAGAGATCGTGGATTACATGCGCGGCGTCGATCTCGTATTCGCGATCGGTGCGGGTCTTTGTCTCTTCGCATAGCGTTTGTCCGCGGAGAGTTTTGGCTAGTTGGGCTAGATCATCGTGGAAGAGTTCGATTCCTTCTTGGCCGTTTTGGGCCGCAGCATCGATTTTGCTTGTGATTGAATGGAGGTTTGCGGCTCCTAGACTGATTGTTGCGATGGCTGGTTTCCAGCGGAGTTCGGTGTCGGACTTGGGTGGGGTGGGAAGGGAAGTCATTGCGCTAAGATTTTGACGTGAGATGGGTCGGGGTCTGGAGTTTGGGACGTGCGATGTGGACTAAATAGATATTGTTTTCTCCCCTGGATGGTACGGCCTGCCTATTCGTATACGATTCCATGTTCGCCTGATTTCGCTTCAGCTGCTTCCGTGTCGATCGGAAGGCTCAGGGGTGAGCAAATGCGTCAAATAAGTGGACCATACCTGTCGCAGACCAGAATTGCATTGTGGGCCGTTGTATCACCCGCTTTTCAAGCTTCTGGGATCCATTGGTTGGTGATTAGCACTGATTAGTGGCCGAAAGGGAGCTGCGTGGCTGTGAGTTCCAAGGTTGCTTTTGTAGTGGAGTGATCTGATGCAGCTCGCATGCATATTTGTAAAGAAAAGCAAAAATAAAGTCGAAATATGAGCAAAAGCAAAGATCACGCAAGGGTAAGTCAAGGTGCAGCGTCATCCGCTGCGCTGCATCCGCTGCAATAATACTGCAGTATCACTGGGGTAGAATGATGTTCTTGACCAGGCAAAGATATTCCAATACCCTTGTTTGTGCTACTTTAATCCCACGGACCGTCTTGGTCTGTTCGAATATGTAGAATTTAAGATATGCCCCGCCTACGAGTTCAATTGACCTATAATAGATTCTCTACAAATAGGTTCAGCGGGAGCTTTGACATCGGAGAACCCGTGGCTGCGGAACTGTGGAATCTTCTACTCCGAACCCCATTCATCTTTTCAAGACACGCAGCTACCGCCCCCTGCGGAATTACGTCAAAATTGATGGACCAACCCACTTGTACAAAAGCTCGAAATTCTGCATTAGCACCTTGCGAATCACACGCGCTTTGACAGATTCCAGCTTAGCCACTACAGTACATGCAAAAATATCCCCACTCAGCTAACACCACTAGCGCACATTTGTACTACGTACATTTCGTCAGCTAGCCAGCTCACTGAGTGCTAGTTCCAATATATGCACCCCCTGCATTCCAGTTCGACATCATCGTGTCTTTGCCGTTGGAGGGAAATTCCTCGCGATTGGTTCCATTATCTCCACACTACCCGATCTGCGATCGATCTGCGCTGTCGTTATCCACTTGAAGGTTAGCGTCGGCTCGTGTTGGACACGGTGAGCCAAAATGTTTTAATCGCTCAGCAGCGCCGGTTTTTTGCATGCAGCGGCAGTCTAGACATATTGGCGTTGAGGACTATTGATGCCTGTTATTTCAGGCCGCATGTCCAATTGTAGTCAATGTAAGTTCTTTTTCGCCATGATGCCGTAGCCTGTAGGTTGTGGTCTAGCTTTAAGCTTATTGACATGTGAACTGAAATTGCCTTATGTAATTAAATCCGTCTGATTGATTGATTCATTTTCCTGTTGAGGCAATGCTATGCATGGTGATGCTGCTGCATGCATGTGGCGTAGGGCTTACAGAAGATTTGAAAATGAAGCGAGGGATAGCTCATATGGACTCATCAATGAACGAATAGGAACTATCATATTCACAATCACTTCGTATACACTGGTCGCAAATTGAAAACAGAATCTAAATTTGTCTTTTCAAATTCCTCATCATTATAGAACTTGGCGCGAAGCTCCAAGTTCCAAGGTGCCTTTTCGAAGAATTCCTTTTGCGAGGCTGGGAGGTGACACATCATGCTGGTATTGGGGAAGACGGGATTCTAGCAATTGTCAGCACATCCAAAATACAAGAACAAACCACGATATCCTCACTCACCTGGTATCCCAGGCCTAGCATGATACGGTGAGAATCAGTCTCATTCGGCATACCCGCATGCCAGAGTCTCAGATCCCGGATCATGATATCTCCTGCGGCGCATGTAGCCTGGATCGGGGGTCGAACCTGCCGACGCGCTTTTATCGCTTCATCAGTAACAGCTGGCAAAGGTTCCCCAAGCAGATAATGAGCGGTAATCTGCTCTGGCTTTGTGGCGATTATTTGATCTTTGTTTGACGTGTGAGCGTGCGAACCAAGCCAGAATTCCGTCGCGCCGTTTTCAACGCTGGTTGTGCATAGAGGTATGTTTGCGATGAAATAATAGGGGTATTGTGGATGGACGAATGCATTGTCTTTGTGGACTCCCTGACGCATTCCTCCTGTGTTGGCGAGGGCAGTGTTGGCTGTTAGCCAGTTCCAGATTGGCTTGTGTCCGAGATACCTGGATCTGATAGTCAGTAGCTGCTGTGGAGTGTAGTCTATGGGCCCTTACGCGTTGGCTAACTGGAGTACAAATGAGTTGTAGTAAACATCATCGTAGAGGAGACTGAGTTCCGTGACGGGTGGTCTCTGTAGAAAATTTGCTTTCACTCTTTGTCAATGGTTGCATCATTGACCATTTGGGAAGCTTACATTTCACTGAGTGATTATACACTTGGTTGGGATCATCTCTCTTTTTTTTCAGCATCGGCGCTCATCCGCTCGTTCAGAGCTTTGATGTGACCTACGTCGACGACACCTTTCAGTATAACCAGGCCATCCTGGTGCATCGCCTCTAGAGCCTGCTGGAGCGACCAATCGGAATATCTCCCATTGACGCGCTCCTCGTTGGATAGAGCCACCGTTCTAGCTTCAGGGACATGAACCGTCATGGTGCATCAACAGGCAGGGGTAATGCAATGTACCGGTTAAGCCGTGCTTGGTGGCGATAGAGATACTATTGCCGGGACTCACGTGCTACAGCGGCAAAAGAGGGGGGGAGACAAGGCTTATCTACTGAGTTTATTGGAGAAACTCCACTGCGACGCCAGAAATATGCATTTTTGGCTTGAGAAAGCGGGGAAGGTTTGTGTACAGCGGCCTAGTAGGCCCGCTGGATAGAATTATGGTTATTTCTCCGATGAAAGGGACAGCGCCGGGTTGAAGGAGCAGGCAGTAATCTTGCATATCATCGATCCAGCTCTTATCTCGTCCACCCTTATCTCTGTTCGTTGTGTTGCTATCTTTGAATCCCAGTGACTAGGATGTGGCGCACGGACAATCAGCGGCAATGCAACCCAACAGGAGGACAAGCTGATACCAGAGGATTGGGGCCGATGAGGTTAGCCCATGTGTCGGCCTAAATGTCTAGACATGGGTCTATCTGGATTCTCGCATGGATTAAAGCCCTGATAAGCCGCATGTTCAGTTTCTTATTCCTCTCCACCTTCGTGTTCCCCCTTTAAAGTATCTCACCCCTTGTTAGTAGAGCCAAGGTCAAGGCTGCCCAGGTGAAGGTTGTGCATGCTGTCGTAGTCTCAATATGTCGAACGGTAGTTTTCTTTCGAGGATCCTTCCATCCTCTGAGGCATTCCAAAGTAAAGATGCGTTCATAAATGCTATTCGTGTCGAAGACACTCTCGTCGTCGGTGATAATAAGTATGTTGACGCCGACTCAAAATTCCTAAATCAAGGTTTGTTTCAATTGCTCGTGCTTGAGGTCGGCATTTACTGATGTTTTATCAGATTTGGAGCCCACTCCACCGGAGAAGAGAAGTGAGTCAAATCATGGTCTTTGGACCTGCATGCATAAACGGTCTTCTGACATGTCGCAGCATGGGACACTTGGACATACATACTGTTGTATACTGGAATTTCATTCGGAAATTGGAACCTTGGATCGGTAAGCGATAACTCCAAGAGCGGAAGAACTATAGCTAACGAAGCAACAGACAATGGTTGGCATCGGTCTCAACTGGTGGCAGGCGATCATAGTCATATTTGTTTCCCAACTCATTTCGTCCATTGCGATGGCCTTCAACTCGCGTGCAGCAACAATGTACCACATTGGATATCCCGCCGTGGCCCGGGCCGTCTTCGGAATGTATGGTAGCTACTACTTTGTGGCCGCCAGAGCTGCCCTGGCAATCATTTGGTTTGGTGTTCAGCGTCAGTGCCCTCCACATTTTCGCATACCATCGCTAACCTCCACAAGTATACACTGGCTCATCCTATCTTTCCAACATGATGCGCGCTATCTTTGGCAGTCACTTTGAGAATATTCCAAACCATATCCCTGAATCGATGGGTATCACAACCAAGGGCATGCTATGCTTCTTTCTTTTCTGGCTCATCCACTTCATCTTCTGTTTCTTCCGACCTTATCAACTGAAGAAGTTTTTCTGGTTCAAAGGCTTCGTCATGGTTCCTGGTATTGTGGGCGTCTTTATCTACTGCATGATCGCTTGCCACGGTAATGTCAGCGGCTCACTACCGACTTCCACGGGTGGATCACTTGGCTGGTTCATCATGCACGCGATCAACAGCGGGATGGGAAATACCGCTACGCTGATCACAAATCAACCGGACATTGCTCGTTGGAGTACTAGCAAGAACGCAGCTATCACATCTCAGCTCTTTGTCCAACCAATCGCTGTAACCCTCTCGGCGACATTCGGTATCTTGGCGACAGCCGGTATCAACAGACAATGGGGCTTGGAGCTGTGGAACCCCTGGGACCTGCTCGATGAGATTCAAACGCGCAACAACCACCCCGGCGCCAGATTCGCGATCTTCCTTGCGGCATTCTGCTGGATGATTGGCATTCTTGGAACGAATATCGCCTGTAACATGATCCCGTTCGGATCCGATTCCGCTCTTCTTGTCCCCCGCTTCATCGATATGCGTCGCGGATTTTTCATTGTGGAGTTTCTTGCTTACGCCATTGTGCCCTGGAAAATTATGGCATCCGCCGCAACCTTCACAACGTTTCTGTCCGGATATGGCCTGTTCATGGCGAGTGTTGTGGCAATCATGATTGCCGATTGTGAGTTATGGCCTATCAAAATGCAAGTCCCTTGCGACCTATACTAACAAGACCATTTGCAGATTTCATTCTATCTCGGGGCAACATATTCGTTTCGCATCTTTACAATCCCACAAAGTCGAACCCGCATTACCGGTACACTGGAGGTTTCAATATTCAAGCTATCATTGCTTACCTAGTCGGTATTGCCTTGCCTTTCCCTGGCTTCGCAGTGTCTCTTGGTGCGAGCGGATTGAACCAATCAGCCACAGACATGTTTGACCTAGGTTGGCTTCTGTCTTTTTTCACCTCTTTGATTCTCTACCCACTCATCTGCTGGGTCTGGCCGACGGAGAACCAGAAAATTATTCGAGAACAGCGATTAGCTTGGGAGCAACAAGCAAAGATGTATTTGGGGTCGAATCCCTCCGATGGTGCCCTTGAGGTGGTACAGGTTGTCGAGGACAAGTCGCAAGGGAGCGAAAAACAAGTATCGCTGTGATTATGATTTAGGAAGTGAAATATATGTAAACCCTATTTGAGTTTCATTCGTCTTGTTCAGCGAAGAGAGTGGTATTGCAAGGTCTCTGTAATGATAAATGGAAGGATGAGTGTAATGTCTGGTGTAAAACAAAAGAACAAATTCCTTTCATTTTGACTATTTGATAGTATTTTCCTTGCCCAAACAGATCTCACCATCATTTAAACCCCACTGCTATAATCATGTGTCACAGTATGATGACCTCTCAAAAGCTAAAAGTATAAATTCATGATATCTTTCCATTTCTTTCTTCTTCTCCACATACTCTCTCACCTTCCACAAGCCCCTTTCTTCTCGAACAGATCCCACCATGGGATTGACCATCTACTTGCACCATTGACTGTCCCCACTGCGCCACTTGAGCACCCGGTTCGCTGTTACGATGCAATCATAGCTCATCCTTACCCCCTTCGAATCTGCGAATAGTGGGAGCCGTTTTCTTCACCATAGCCGCCAAAATATCGATAATCAAGTCCGCAGCTGCAACAGAAGTCGTCTCAGCAACCGAGTCATAAGGCGGACTAACCTCCACAACATCCGCACCAACAAGGTTCAAGCCCTCCAAGCCACTGATATACCGCTTAAGCTCACGAGTCGTCCAACCACCCGATTCCGGTGTCCCAGTAGCAGGCGCAATACTCGGATCCAAAACTAGTAATCCTGTCAGTACGCCCAAAGAATATCCACAACTGAACGACATACCATCAATATCAATCGAAAGATAAACCGGCTCATCACCCACAATAGCCAAAGTCCTCCTCACAATCCCGTCAACCCCGATTTCATCAATATCCCTTGCCTCAATCCGATAAAAGCCCAAACTATCATCAATCTCATAATCCCTAACACCAAATAACTTAGTCCTCAATCCCCCGTGCACACTAGCACCTTTATTGATACACCCCTCCCGACTGGCATGCCAAAAGAACGTCCCATGCGTAATAGCACTCTGCTCAGACGCAATACCCGTATACCCCTCATAGGGATCCCAGGTGTCAAGATGCGAATCAAGATGAATAACAGAAACCGGTCCGTAAACACTCTTCAATGACCGCAGAATAGGTAGCACAATCGAATGGTCCCCGCCCAGACTGATGATTCGGGGATGCTTCCACCCATCTTCTTCTGTGTCTGTTGTGGGGTGATAGAGAACCTGTCTGTATCCCTGTTCCATCTGCTTAAAGGCATGTGCGGCGTCGAAGGGGGTAACAGGGACATCGCCACCGTCTACTATGGACAGCCCTTCCTCAAAGGGGTCGATACCCCATACTGGGTTGTAACTCCGGCCTTTCTTTTCGCGGGAGGAACCGGCGCGGATTCCTCGGGGTCCGAAGCGGGCGCCGGGGCGGTAGGAGGTGGATGTGTCATAGGGGAAGCCTAGGATTGCGATGTCGAGGGGCTGGGGTTGTTAGTTTAGATATATTTTGTGGCAAGGTGTACGGACATTTGAGTGATCTGCGGCTAAACATCGTTGCCACTCAAGGTGGGCGAAGGTGACGGGTTGTGAGAATGGGAGATCTTTGTCGAGATCTGCAGTCTGGGGTGTTAGTTCATGGTGGGTTCATTCTAATGGAGGGTCTATAGATTGAGTGTATACCTTCGATAGGATGCCCATAGTCGCCCACGTTGAGGGCGGAGACAATTGGGAGAATGGGTAGTAGGGATTGAGGAATCTTCATTTTGAGATTGAAAGAAACTTCAAGAGTTGGATCATTACATTATTTGCTTGACCTGCGACTATATAGTAGTTTGACTCTGTGTGGGGCCGTTATCGGGTTCGCTGGCTCTTGCCTTTGATAACGAGATCCCCGCATTGTTATGTAATAATGAACTCTTCCTAAATAAACAGGAAGGAACCAGCGAGGTATCTTGAGCAATAGTCACTGGAAGTATGTCCGACGCAATTCAAGCCTTGATGTGGGTCAGTGGCCATTGGTATGATTTGGTAGGAAAGGAATTTTCTGTGCACTAAAAACCATGCACGTTAGCGGATAAAATTTCTTCGGACTATTCATGACGGTTAAACTATAGTCTTATTCTGCTAATGAAAACTGACTAGTACGCTAAAAGATGCATTTCTAGCTACGCCCATCCAACATTCAACTCAGCAGGCGTCTCCTGAAACAACTTTAGAATGTGCTCATTGCCACAAGCAGCGGCAACATCCAAACAAGTCCGCTGCTGAGCATCCTCACGCATAGGATCCAAGCCCATATTCGTAAGGAACTTGAAGCAGTTGACAATATTCTTAGCCAGGACTCTTTCATCTGCAGAAAGGCCGTGAACGGGATGACCAAGTGTCCGACCAGCCAAAATGTGAAGCAGCGAAGACCCAGAATGATGATTAATTGCGAAGACGTCGGCCCCAGCTTCCTTCAGATATCGCAGATGGCAAATTTCTTCCGAATGCTCGTCCACTTCATCATTGTAATATGTCAAACTCTGTCTAGCTCTCAGCGCACCGTGTGCAATATACTCGAACAGTGGAGAATTGCCATTTCGGTTGCGTGCGTTAATATCGACACCAAGGCTTTGAAATTGTTCAATGCGTGATTTGTAGGTGGAGGGATCCTTGGCAAAGAAGTGGAGGGCCGTGTTCCCTTCCGAGTCTGGCCGGAGTGGATCGGCACCGTGTTCGAGCAGCAGATCGATGTGTTGAAGGTGGATTTTCGCTGCTTTTAGCACGTGGTATAGTGGAGTATCACCAGATTTGTCAGGCGTATTGACCAACTTAGAGCTCCGATGGAAGATATCCTTGAGGCATTTTTCATTTGTCTCATCGGGCTCACGCCCCATGAGATTGTGCACCACGGTTTTGCCTTCGTTATCATGGGCGGTAACGTCTGCTCCTCGGGCTAGAAGGTCTTCAACACGCTTTATTGGTCCACGAGAAGCCGCGAGAAGCAATGTTTGGCCGTTGGGATCGCGTGCCTCAAGCTGAAGGGCTGGAAAGTCAAATAGTGGCTCGGCTATTAGTCCTTTATGCAAGATCTCATGTATGATAGTGCATGTTTCAAGTTTCCACTCTGGTTTTGGCTCGTCTTCACTTTCAGCGTCTTCGAACTCCTCATCAAAAAGTTCATCGTTGACCCGCTGATGTCTGATAAAAGTGGCGTATGGGTCTGCACCATGGCGGAGCAACGCTGTCATCATTCGTCTGCGGGAAAGGGTAGGATCGCATCCCGTCAAGTGGTTGGAAATCTGGGACGAAGGAACTTTGTAAAACGCTGCATGAAACAACGGGTATACCTCACAATCTGTGACCCATGATTTCTCCATTCGTGGAATATCTTTCGGGATTTCAGGAGCGGGTCGCCTTAGATTAGCAACTTCACCCTGCGCAAGAAAAAATTCCAATAATTCAACCTCCTGGAGCTCGATGGCGGACAATATAGCCACCGAGGAGACCTTGGCACCGTACGAGAGAAGCAAGTTGATCAATCCAGTATCGCTACCAGCTTTTGACAAGCATGAATCCCCACTGTAATTCACGGCATTGGCATCAGCACCAGATTCCAGAAGAATCTGCACTGCCTCTTTGTAAAAGACGCCCATCGGTCTTTTTTCCTCGACAGCAACATGCAATGGGGTATCTCCTCTCATGTTTCGCAACTCCAGATCAGCCCCCTTGCGAATAAGGTAAGGCAGTGCCTCGTGTACATTCCACCACGTCTTGCCCATGGCAATATCATGTAGAGCGCTGTTATCTGATACTATGACGTTTTGGCGCTGCTTCTGACTTATGAAGAAATCGGTGTTCCTGCAAGTTGCATTTATATTGACGCCCATTTCTTCAATTAGAAACCGGACAACTCCCATGTTCGGAATTTGACGATCGCACGCAACCATCAGAAGCGGCTCTATAGAGTTCATGTGCATGTTATTAGCAATCTCCCCTTTTTTACACCAGTTATGATCATCGAATTTCAAAGCTGCCTCACGGGTACAGACACACTTTAGAACATTCGTAAGACCAAAGCGCGCAAGGCTGTGCAGGAGAGAAATGTTGATAGGAGTAGTGGATTGATAAAGTTCAATCACATCTACCTGCGACACTCTTTGTTCCAACATGTCATACTGACGGAGGCCCAGCAGCTTAGCTGAGTAGGAAGCTCGTAAGTTTTGCTTCGATTCATCCGTCATCCCCCCAATGTCGCCTTTGCAACCTTCCTGCCTCAAAGATGACCTTTCAGCTTCCAGACGAGATTTGGAGGCAATGAAGCCTTCACCAATTGACCCTTCCAAAAGATTGAGATCAGGAAGAAGCATCGACTTTAATCTAAGCAGACACTCAGCAGTATAGTCACGTTGGTTCAACACAGCGTTGTGGAATGCACCGCGAAGAGAGCTCCCATTTCCGGTGATTTTTGCCCCGTGAAGAACCAAAGTAAGTAGGATTTCATCTAGACGGGTGGAGTCTAACTCAGACTTCAGGGTACCTTGACGCCATTTAGACTCTTCAACAGACTTAGCATCTGCTGGCAGATCGTGATCACTGATAAAGATGCTGGCTGCTCTTCTAGCTTTGGTACTGCCGCTTTGAGTATCTTCCGCTTCAACCACTCTTTTCCACCGTGCTTGCTCAAATTCAAATTCCGCACATGCCCCAAATGGCGTGCATCCATCTTTGCCCGGTAAATTAGGATCTGCGCCGGCATCTAGTAGCAACTCGACGCTTTCCGGACGACCGGCGCAACAAGCATAGTGTAGTGCTGTATTTCCCTCTGCACTTTTCTGATTGACAAACCCTTCGAATGCGGCATCTTCCAGGCCACTTAGTTTTGAAAGAACAAGGCCAATGATGCCTGGCTGCCGGGCCCGAGCTGCAACATGAAGTACCGTCATGCCCTGATTTGTGGTTTCGCAAGGATCCACTCCAGCATCGAGAAGTTTGAAAACATACTCTTCAGAGATAGCGGCTGCAACATGGAGGGGCTGAACTCCATTAGCATCGCGAGGGCTTAAATTCTTGCACTTGTTGATGACAAAGTCGAAAGTAGGGTTTTCAGAAAATCTCCCGGTCAAGAGGCTGGGCTTTCTCGCGCAGATCTTGTGTAACACAGTCTTGCCACGATTATTAGGCTGATCAATATCAACCGCCAAATGCGTTAAATGAATGAATGTCGGCAATTTCTCAGAGTGGCGTTTCTTCGATGCGGCCTCGTGAAAGAGTGTATTACCTTTATTATCAACAATAGAAGGATGGAAATCCATACGACATGTCAGATAATCTAAATAACTAATACTTTCGACGACTTGGTGCAGTAAAGTCCTGCCCTTAATGTCCCGTGTGTCAAGTCGGGCACCAAGTTGGATGAATGTCTTGGAAAGCGTAGCTTTGTCATCCGCTGTGTTGTAAAGCTTGGTGTCGGACTTGACGCTCTTAAAAAGAGCCGTCTGGCCTTGCAGATCGCGTATTTCAAGATTTGCACCAGCTTTCACAAGCTTGGAGACAATTTCAAACTCGGGAAGGTGCCTAATCACATGGAGTGGGGTCTCACCCTTCACATTTTGCAGATTTGGATTAGCGCCTGCTGAAAGTAAAGCATCCATGACATCCTCTACAGATCCGAACCTCCAATGATTAAGAAGCACATGTAGCGCGCGATTTCCATCTGGTTTCGACATGTTCACATCTGGCTTGTACTTCAGGAGCTCAAGGGCATGCTCGGGATGATCGCTGCCAAGCCGAAGGTGCAGGGGATTTTCCCTCCCTTTGGTCATCAGCTCGTTGATATTGACAAGCCCTGATTCCAATAAGATGGGTAGAAGTTCTTTGTCCGTGGAACCATCAGTGTGTATAATCGTGTTCCCGCTATCGGTTTCTGCTGTCGGGTCTGCACCTGCGTGCAATAACAGCTTCACGACTTCTATGTTGTTTAAACAGGCAAGATGCAACGCAGTCTCACCTTTCGGGCACTTCACATGAAGATCCGCACCGGCTTCCAGAAGGAGTGACACACAATCTCCTGTTGCTGCTGGGTGACGATTTGACATTCGCTTGGTAATTCCGCATAGAGCGTGAAGAGCAGTGTATCCCCTTGGTTCAACATTTTGCTCCGGTTCTCGACATAGCCTACCTTCACGAGAGCGCCTGCCACGAAACTCAACCGAAGGGTAATCGCAAAGGATATTGGGATCAGCCCCCGCTTTGAGAAGTAACTTTATTGTGCTCATATCGCCTATGCAGCAAGCTTTGAAAAGCGGAGTCAGTCCAGAGTGTTTGGAGTTAACTTCCGTGCCTGGATGTTGAAGAATCAGATCCACACAGGCCGCGTGCCCTGATCCTGCCGACAAAAAAAGGCCTTGCGTTAGGTTATCAGGATCCTTGATGTAACACAGGAGTTCAGTCAACGCCTCAGCCTGTCCATTCATGCAGGCGTACATCCACGGGGTATGACCGATCGATGTTTCAGCATTGCCACACATTCTCTCTGGGGAATCTCTCGTCTTTGGCGTGAGTACGTCAACACCGTTTGCAAGCAAAACCTTGACCACGTCAGCGTGATTGTAGATGACAGCCTGATGAAGTGGTTTGTATCCTTGGTTTGCCTCTCCATCCGGGTCTGCCCCATTATCAATAAGAACCTGCACAACGTCCGCATACCCACTTAGAGCGGCCCAATAGAGAGGAGTGTCACCATGACTGCTCTTGGCGTTTGGGTCAGCATCTGCTTGTTGAAGCAAATGCGTGGCGTATTGAGACAATCCAGTGCGAGCTGCCGCGTGGAGCGGAGTGAGACCTTGAATCATGATTTCTGGCCAGTCGATATCCAGCCAGGCAACAAATCTTTGGTCGTTCGCAACGAAGTCATTCAGTGTCATATAAAATGATGACATGTCTGCACCGGCGAGGGCCGCGCGGCGGGCGTGGATGTACCAGTTAGCTGCTGCATATTCGAGGAATGGAAACTGAAGCCTAATTCTACTCTGCTGAGCCTTTTTGGGTCGAAAAAATTCTTCAGCCTGACTGCGCTTCTTGATCTCCAAATTCTCTAGGCAGCCAGATGTAAGATAATCCATGCATGCCATGGCAAGACGCTGGTTAGTTGAACCGGCCTCAAGAATGGCGTAGCCCAGAGGATTCAAAGGCTTTGTGCGGGTGAACCCCTTGAGAAACTCGGTGAATGAGTGATGAACGACAGAGACAGTCTCGTCATGAAGAATTTGGAGTAGTGGACCACAAGCAGCTCGAACCAGGTCCTTGATTTCTTTCAAACCGCACGCTCCAAATGCAATTGGGATATGGGTAGCCTTAGCCATCTCAGCGACTTCCAAGAGGCGAAGAGGTCTAGTTGCATGCGTTACAAACTGTAGGATGAGAAGTTGGAATTCATCTGGAACATTCGATCGCTTCGCATGTTCTCGCAATAGATCGTTATACATTACATTCAGATCTGCAGGCAATGTTTCGAGTACTACCTGAGGATCAGCGCCAGGTTTGACGAAGGCATCCATCGAGAGCCTTGCATATAGAAAGAGCCCATTTGCTCGACCGGGGACAGCCTCAGTAACTAGACTCCAATATTCGTGGGGAACAGAAGAATTTCGTAATCTGTGCTCGACATAAGCAGCAATGTCTATGTCCACGAATCGTTCATCCAATTGAATATGAGGTATATGAAAGGACCTGAGGGCAGACTCAACTGCGACGACTGGGCGTGAGGTGATGAGAATCTTGACATTCGCAGGGCGCCATTGGCCTAGCTCGACCAAGGAGTGAAGAAAGTCATCATTGCCTTGATCCATCTCGTCCAAGGCGTCTGTGACACAGTAGGCCCTAGGGAGGTGAGAAAGGGCAAATTTGAGGTCTTTCCAGAGGTCACTCAGAGCCAAGCTATCAATAGGACGCTTTTTTCGTAGGTATACATCTCTCAGTCTGACCTGCAAAGGTGGGCTGAATGGAAGTAATTGACATAGCCAGTCCCGCAACGCTGCCACGGGCCGATGGTTTGCATCAATAATCTGTCGGAAGAAGAAGTATAGAACGGGGACCTCTTCTTTGCCCAATTGATGGATTATCGAAGCGGCCATGACCGACTTTCCCGAACCTGGTACACCTTTGATCCAAAGAAGGCCATTCTCATCGCCGTGGTGCCACTGTATGTATGTATTTGTGGATATGAGCCACTGACCAGTGCCCTGGAGGTAGGAGGCAAGATGTCTTGAAAAGTCGGATCGATCTAGATCATAAGGTGTGGGCTGGAGCCAATCTCTGATGTTTTTGAGCTCGTCTGCGGAGAGGGGAAGGATGTTTTCTTCGTTGAAATCCCGAATATCGCCTGGACTGACCAGTACAACAGAGTCTTCGGAATCTGATAGCGACATGATGGACTGGGCTTGCAGTCGGAAGTAATGATGATCTTGGACTAATTTGAGAGGTGGAGGTTGAGGTGGGGTAGGGGCTCAGCTCCTGATCCTTGCTCTTAGGCCACTATGTCAGCCACGGTGCATGACGCCCGGGCCTTGTGAAAAAGAAAATGCTCGGTCCGCGCAGCGACTAATCTGTTCAGGAAGTTTTCGCTCCTAAAAGGAAAAGGCAAAGACCCTCAAGTCAACAGGTTGCGAGGTTTTGGTTTTTCTACTTTGTTTGTGGAGATTTTAAATTAAACAACACAAACTTAAGTTATTTGGCCACCTCACTAAAGCATGTTCTCCGTTCTTCTGATTATTCAATAATATACAAGTTCTTCGACATGTGCACCGTTATTTCCTCCACTTTATGGCAATCTGAATGCACGGGTGATATATGTTCTCTGTCACGCCAAATATGAAATGTTGAACAGCTCTATACACATAGTCAAGATACTCAAGCTGCATTTTGTTTCAAGCGAGTCCTTCTCATCTTCAACCAGAGTGTCATTAAAAAGCCTGCAGCGCCGATATACACAACTCCCACAAATATTTGTATCCGAATATAAGGTTTCGAGTCGCGAGAACTATCCCGAAGTTGAAGCGCGATAGGTTCGGCCAAGGTCAATGGGGGACATAGAACAAGGCAGAATATACCAACTGCAGCCGGCAGGCCCATTAATCCAACAACTTCAGCCGTGATGGGGGACATAGCAGCCAAAAATGTCCCCGAAAACAGGCCTACCACGATCGCAAAGAAATATGTCAGACCTGCAGAGTTAGCGAATATCCATACTACCAGCGACAAAAAGCCCGCTAGGAATGTCGCAGCTATAGTGACGGGAAACCTCCCCCAACGGTCGCTGAGGAGGCCAACGCCGGGCCGCCCAAATGCCTGGCCTAAGTTGAGGAGCGCACCAGCTAGACTGCCTTGCTGTTGGGTAAGGCCGATGGCAACTGAATAGCTAGGTAGACTAAATAGCAGGACCACGTATGCCAATGCACTGAGAAATGCCCAGGCCAATAGCAAGAAGTAGTCGAGAGACCAAAGGGAAGAAAGGTCAAGCTTTGAGGTCTTCCGTGCTGCTCGTGCGTGTGCTGGAATACGCAACAGATTGCCGCATATCACATTCACCGTGAGAGCCAAGATACCCAGTATCCGGGCTGTCCAGGCAATGCCAAGCCCTTGGAGCATCCTTTCTGTAGCCAGGGAGTATATCAGACCACCCAGCCCCGAGCCACCAGAGGCAATGCCATTGGCTAAGCTTCGTTTTTGTGCGAACCAATAAGAGGGTACCGATACAGAAGCCACAAAGCAAAACCCCATCCCAAATCCAAAAGCAACTCCCTGGGATAGAAATAGCTGCCAATTGGTTTTGACGAATGATGTTGTGATGAGCGCGATGGCTTCGATAACAGCACCCAGGTTCAAAACAAGACGGTTTGATACACGTTGGCTTAGAATTGTACCAAGAGGCGCAATAAGCATCGCACATCCAATGCTTAGACCACCGACAAATGCATACTCAAGAGAGGATGTACCGGGAAATACATCGGAAGAGAGGTAGTAGGAAAGGAAGACGCCATAGGCCTAGAAATTGTTAATCGCCGAGGAATAGAATGGAGAGAACGCTACTTACGGCATTGATACCCCATGTGTGAGCGTTGATAAGAAAAGTACATGCGACACAAACCCAACCATATCCACCTTCACGGAACTTCTCTGAGGCTGATTCAACGTTATTTGGGCTTTCATCTGCCGGTGTCGGCGCGACCATGGTGCTAATTTTCTTCATTTTATTCTCGCGTTGAATGGGAGTTCTTTGCCCACAACGCCCTTATATACCATTTTCTTCCTGGAAGATTCGGAGCTCCATCACCGAGAGCTCTTCAAAGTTACATGTCGGTATACCCCATAGTAAGCTTAAGGATGAGGCTCGGAGATCCACACCGAGAGGCCGAGATAAGAAGCCGATAAGACCTGATCATGCCTTATCGAAGTGATCGGATTCCCTGCGCCGAAATCCCGAAGCAACGTGGACGCCTGATCAGCTTTCAGGAGATCCTGTCCTTGAACTTGGAGGCTGCATAGTACTTGCGATCGAAAAATATCCTCGCTTGAATCATGCACAGAATACAGAAAGCATCTGCCAACGACAGTCATGGTGGGGCATTACATACACAAAGCTCTAAGATCGGTGCGCGGTCCTGCCTCGGCTGCCATCAGCGTAAGGTCCGATGCGATCGAGGAGTCCCATGCAAAAACTGTTCAAGATATAGTGTCCCATGCATATACCCAAGAAGGGAGTCTGAGGGGAAGCCTACTACTGTTCAGCGCATCTCCGACAGGCTCGAGCGTCTGGAAAATATCATATCTCACGCGAAAGTCCCGGGACCCTCGAATGCAGAAGCTGAAGCTCCGAATGACGGGGGTCAAAAGAGATCAGCAACTACACAATCTTCACATGAGCCATGGGAGCTGCTGCTGAATGATGGACAAGCTATTCAATACGTCAATAATTCAAATATTAAAGATCTTCTGCAGGATGTGAGTTGAAACCGCAATTTGACACTCCCAAAACACACGCTAATTGACTATGAAGGAAGAGCGGATTCGGGTCACGCAGACACCTCACCTTGGCCAAACTTCCCTGGGAAAAGAGGCAGCATCAAGCGCTTATACGACGCCTCGTCAAGAATGTCCTCTTCCAGACACTGCTTCTGACATCTTGGAGTTCTACCCTGGCCCAGAATTGGCACTTCAGCTATGGGCAATATACGTCCAGTCTGTCGATCCCGTGTTGAAAATATTGCATATACCAACCGCTCAATCTGCTGTCATTGCCACAATTTTGAATCCAAAGTCTGCAGGGCGATCCATGGTAGCGTTGACATATGCTATATATTTTGCTGCATTAACTGCACTGGAAGATGGTGCCGGGGAGACCACCCTTCCTCTAGAGAAGAAAGAGCTTTTGAAGCGCTATAGGCTCCCACTAGAGCGGCTTCTCATCGACACAGATGTTATGAATAGTCCAGAGATGACTTCATTGCAGGCTCTCGCCATTTTTGTCGTAAGTTGATTATATCGGGTAAAAGGAAACCTCTAACATATGATTCTAGACTTGTCTACGGGTGAATGAGACTGGTCGAAGCATATGGATTCTGATTGGACTAGCAATCAGACTAGCACAATCCATCGGATTACATCGCGATGGCGCCCGTCTTCGTCTGAGCCCTTTTGAAACAGAAATGCGTCTCCGCCTTTGGTGGCATCTTTGCTCGCTCGACTCCCGAGCTCCGGAGGACCATGGTTTTGAGCCCGTGGTCGACGTGGTGAATGCCAACTTGCGACTTCCTCTGAACATTAATGATGATCAACTCTACCAAAGTATGACGGAACTCCCAGCCGAGAGCGACGGCTGGACAGAGATGTCATTTTTCCTCGTTCAAACAGAAGCATGCCGGCTCATGCATCCAGTTATTGGGACTCGACGACACAGTTCCACGGATACGCTTGCTGATATTGCAGAAAAGCGAAACTTCCTCACAGAGCGCGGTGAAGCCTTGAGGAACAAATACGGTTTTCAATCTGAAACGCCTAGTGAGCTATGCCGTGTTGCATTCCAGCATTGCAATACCGCTCGCTACAAGATGAACTTTATACTCCAACTGCGAGAGGAGTTGGTCACTCAAAAGCGGGATAGCTTACAGAGCGAGGAAGACAGCGTCCACAGGCTATCATTCAAAATAGCATGCGACGAGCTAGAAAGCCATCGCACGTGTACAAAAGGCAGCCTTGCTTCTAGGTTCAAATGGCTGTTTCCCGCATTCACGCAGTGGTACGCACTGGCCTACGTTTTACGTTGCCTATGTACCTCGTCCAGTATTCCTAACGCTGATTACGTCTGGTGTCTGATTGAGGACACTTTCCCTCAATACATGCGGCATAATGATCAATCGGCCACCGCGCAGGACGCCAATAAGCAATCCACAATTTGGAAGTGTCTGTCCTGGTTAAGACATCAAGCTTTACTTCTGAGGAACTCACAGCCCTCGGTTGGAGGTCGGAATGCTCAAAGTGTTGGGCTCGAAACAGGTCAGATGGAAGCTCAAACGATTCCCTCTCGGCAGAATATATTCAATCGCAATGGTGACCCCATACCCAAGTCCGACCAGAATCCTGTCTCTTCTTTGGACTTTCTGTCGTCAGATCCTCAATTTCTATCCGATTGGAATGCTGTTATGAACAGCTATCTGATAGATGGAGATGAAATGAACATGATGTGATATAAAAATAGCCTGGCACTCTCTCATCCCCTGTCATCTAGCTTTAGCTGACCAAAATGTAGATACAACAATTATTTCAGTGACTTACTTTATCCCACACAGGCGTTGCCGCCAAAGGATTAGGCATCTCACTCATTTCAAGCTGAATAGTTTCGGCATCCCCAATATTCGTATATGTCAATATCGAGCTATTCATTCCGTTCCGCGATTTTCAAACCCCGAACATATGCTGTTGATCAACTTTCCCTCGCCGAAGCTCGCCCCACGGTCCCCACTCCACTCCCCTAGGGGCTACTTAGTTCCTACTGTGTGAACAACGTACAAGTATACATCGTTACCATGTCCAGCTGCTTATCCTCATCATGTCATGTAAGCCATTTGTAGATGCACTAAATATTTACAGTTTGACAGTATGCATATTGGTTTTTCGTCCAATAGGAAATTAGTTTAATTTGACTTTCGGCCCTGCAGGCGCCTCGGGACGTACGGATAAGATAAGATATGCCGCGGGGTTATTATCTTGCGTCAACAATGTAAAATAGATGATTGTAGAAAAATCATTGAGTTATAATTGTATTGATGTGCCCGTAGATTACATTGGTTACTTGAATATAATTATAGTACTAATATGTCAGTCCATTAACATTGAGGGGCATCGTCTGATGATGTCAGCTCATGCGATTTCGCCATTTACGGGAAGCGGGATTTGAAAGCGGCGCATCAAGAAAGTTTTTTTTTCCTTCTTCGTGAATGACTCAATCGCGACACCAATTCATATTTAATGCGTTTAGAGACTCGTGACCTCCGCACACACTGATATAGCGCCTTTGTACATATTGCAAAGTGATATATATTGCGATGTCGGACATCCCACTATCCCGCGCCGACGAGGTGCAAAACGTGAGTGACTCGATCAAGTTGCAGGCTCTCATATGCTATCAGCCATCAATTGTCAAAGAATTACCAGCGCCATGAAGCTAATTCAAATAAACATAGCTCCTCAAAGCCGTCGAAGACCTCCTCATTCCCTTTATTCGATCCGCAGACCAACCTGCATCCCAGTCCCAAACAAACGGAGTCAATGGACACGGCAAACCGACAGGAACTTCGTTGGTGGATTACAAGAAGCCCGAGGATCTCCGCGATATCCTGCAGCTAGAGATCCCAGAGCAAGGCAGACGTCAAGAGGGTCTGATCGAGGTTCTGCAGAAAGTCCTCCGCTACTCGGTCAACACCTGGCACCAAGGTTTCCTGGACAAGCTGTATGCGTCCACCAACGCCCCCGGTGTTGCAGCGGAGCTCATTCTCGCAACCTTGAATACCAATGTGCACGTGTACCAGGTCTCGCCTGCCTTGACGGTCATTGAGAAATATACCGGTCAACGGTTAGCGAACCTCTTTGGTCTCAATGGACCACGTGCAGGAGGTATCTCGGTTCAGGGAGGCTCAGCGTCGAACACCACGTCGATTGTGATTGCTCGTAACAACCTGTATCCCGATACAAAGAAGGAGGGTAATGGAAGCTACCGATTCGTGCTTTTCACCAGCGCGCACGGCCATTACAGCGTTGAGAAGGCTGCTCAGATGCTTGGCTTCGGTAGCAGTGCTGTTTGGCAAGTTCCCATCGATAAGCAGGGACGAATGATTCCTTCGGAATTGGAAAAGCTGGTCCAGAAAGCCCAAGGCGAGGGTCGGACACCGTTCTATGTGAACGCCACCGCTGGAACAACGGTTTTGGGCTCGTTCGACCCATTTAACGAGATCGCGGCCATCTGCCAGAAATACAATCTGTGGTTCCACATTGATGGGTCCTGGGGCGGATCTTTCGTTTTCTCTCAAAACCAGATTCACAAGCTGTCTGGCTCGGAGAAGGCGAATAGCATTGCGATCAATCCACACAAGATGCTTGGTGCACCGGTGACTTGCTCATTCCTGTTGGCTTCGGATATGCGTCAATTCCACCGTGCCAATACTCTTCCGGCGGGCTATCTGTTCCACAACGCAGATACAGAAGCGACGAATGGCGAGTCTCACGAATCTGATATCGAGGTCGACTCGCCGGAAGTTTGGGATCTTGCTGATCTTACACTCCAATGTGGTCGTCGGGCTGATTCGTTGAAGCTGTTCCTGGGCTGGACATACTATGGAAGTGAGGGCTATGCCCAGCAAATTGACTCTGCATGCGAGGTGGCTGCTCATCTTGCCACAATTGCTGAGAAGAACCCTAACTTCATCTTGGTGAGCGAAAATGCTCCTCCATGTTTGCAGGTCTGCTTCTACTATGCCCCTGGCAAGCAGTTTGTTTACCCACGTGGGGCTGTGTCGGATGAAACACAGCGGGGGAAGAGAAACAGCAAGGTCACCGAGGAGATCACACATGCCATCGTGCCCAAGGGCTTCATGGTTGACTTTGCTCCACCCAGTGGCGATGACGATGCGGTTGGAAACGGTAAATTCTTCCGCTGCGTGGTTAATGTTTTGACCAGCAAGGAGACAGTTGAGTCCCTTATCGCTGCCATCGAGGCAACTGGCCCGGGTATCATTGCGTCTTTGAAGTCCCAATGACCAAAAAAAAAAGATGTTACACTGGCGCAACGGTGAGCATGGTCCCGTGACGGCCCTTGCATGCTGAAAATATATCATCCATACATAGATGTCTCCAACGATTTCAATGACCATAGATTTCTCTTGCCGCAGCTTTTCTTTTACACATCATTTTACATGCGCGTCTTTCAACCGATACAATCTCTCTTTCTCTAGCGACTTTAGACTTAAAGAACCAAGTCTTTTGGGCGTCGGAAAAGACCTTTCACATAAATCGAATTCGTATATTATAAAACAGCAGCGTTAATCAAAGCACAGACATGGTATCATAAAATCACATAGAAGCCGAGAAAAAGCCCTCAGCCTCCTCAATCTTCTTCACAGCAGTCTTATAACCCTCAACCTCCTGCAACCGCTCAGCATAAGAAGCAAGCAAAGGATACTTCTCCCGCATCTTCGGATCCTGCAGCACACGACCACTAGCAGCAATAGCCGGGAAACTCAGCAAGATATCAGCAGCAGTCAGGTCCTTTCCACAAATCCAAGGACCACCCCCGGGCGCAGTTTTAAGCTGATCTTCAAGGAAAGCAAGGTTTCCGTCGATATTGCGGTTAAGGAAGGCAGCTTCAACCTGCGAAGCGACGAGACCGGTAATGGGGCGGACGAAGAAAGGCGGGGATTTGCGGATGGCTGCAAGCAAAATTAGTCACGAACACAGTTGTTTCGAGATGAGGTTGCGCTTAAAAGAGCTAAAACACCCTTCTAGCCGTTTTCCCACTTACTATCATTCACAAGACTCATGACCAAGTAGGGCATCAAACTTCCTTCGACGTAATGCATGAAGTAGCGGTATCGCATGAACTCCTCACTCTCACCACCGACCTGTCCTTCCTTGCCGGCGACGTAGCGCTCAGGGACCAGAGATGGGTTGGCCTTTCCGAAGTGGTCGCAGAGGTATTCGACGATGGCGCCCGATTCAGCGAGAACCATGGGGGACGTGGACCCGGGGGCTTCGATTGTGACGACGGGCGACTTGCCGAGGGGGTGGACCTTCTTCAGCTCGGCCGGGGCGAGCTTGTCGGCTCGGCGCTTGAAGGTCTTCAGCTCATACTTGAGTTTGAGTTCCTCAAGCAGCCAGAGAATGCGGTGGCTTCGGGATTGTTCGAGCCTAGCTGGGTTAGCGGCGGAGCTTGGGAAAATTCGACTTGACGGACCAGTATAGAGTGATCTTGCAGCCTTGGTTGTTGTCTGCCATTTTGGCAGAGTACAGGGGTTTTTTTTGTGAGAGTTCCTGATTATTGTGAGGGGTTGAGGGGATGGTGGATTTAAATCATCTCCGTAAGCTTGAACTTGAGTGGATGATGTCAATCGCCGAGGCACGATTATGGACTGATAAGGTTAAAGGGCCGAGATCTGCAGATCGTTCATGTGAAGCGACTTATTTGTTGGGGTTCGCAACTTCAACCGTTTTAGTCTGGTTCGTTGGGTCTAGAGGCAGCTCTTATTATTAATTAATTTCGATCTCCGGAGCACGGTTCCTGCGTTCATTCAATGTCTCTCTCTCTGCACTCCACAGCTTGCAGTGGGACCAAGTTCGCGGCATTATATTTATGGCAAAATCTGGAGCTGCCCTTCTCTTAGCTACACTTTGGAGCAATCGCATGCAGTGATCATAAGAACAAACATTGGCAACTTTGATAAATCTAAGAATTCATTCAAACTTGAGCAACAAAAATCATCCATCGGTATATACCTATGTTCTCCAAGCGCCTAGACCAGATTCAAACGCCAATCCAGTTTCCAGCAAAACAACAAAAGCAATCAAAAGTCCAGCTAAGCCTGATAAACAGCAAAATTGTTAAACTCCCAATAAGCTTCCTCAAAGCTAGACGGGTTGTTAGCCACGAAATCCGGGCAAGTCCCCGGACATTTATACATCTTCTCGTAAAACTGCGGCTGAGCAGCCAACTGTCCACAAAGATCAATATTCACAATAATACTCTGATTCTTAAAGTGCGATGCAATATCACACTCCGTACTGGGAAAGTCAGCCATTGCAGTGCCCCAAGTCGACGGATCAGGTGTCTGAGAAGGGTCCGTGATATCATCCGGGATCAGCCTCCGAGGAAAGAACCAGGCTCGGACACCATCATCCCGGAGCTCAAGGGCATACACTCCGCCGCCTTCTGCGTTCATTGCCTGTCCGTATGTAGACGGCTCGCCGACAACGCCGCAGCCTGCGTTGCTGTTGGTGATGTTTTCGCAGTTGTTGAAGACGGGGTTTCCTGTCTGCTTGCGTTTGACGTTCATTTTACATCCTTTTGTGGAGTGAAGAGTGACTTCGTTGCCGTGGGCGCCTTCGTTGGTTGTTTCTAGAATGTCGATCTCTCCGTTCATAGGCCAGTTATAACCATCTGTCAACCATAGTGCGGGCCATGTTCCGCAGCCGTAGGGTGTGTGGACGATGTCGAAGATGAAGAGGCCGTTGTCGTATGTTGATTTGGATTCTATGCGGACGGAGTTGCGGCCAGCGAGAGCGTTGGGCGTGAATGAGTCGACTCGCAGGATTGCAGAGGTCTCAGTAGCGTATGTGAGGTTGAGGCTTTGGGCTGTTCGCTCACTCACGTAGCTATATTTAAGTTAGTCGAGATTCAGTGATGAGGGAGAAAATGTGTGAACATACACCACGAATCCATCAGTGGGATCATCATCTGTGAAGTAATGGAACTGGTCGAAGAACGAGGTGCCTTGGTATTTATCGACTAGTCGATAGTTTAAGGGCAAATACTTCGGGTATCGGTTTGCCCTAACGCCAAAAACAGCACCAACAATAACCACGATGATGACCACCAGAATACCAATCCCTGATAAGGCTTTTCGACGCTTTGACCATCCTCGTGGATCATACCACGGGAGGACAGGTTGTTTGGGCTCGTCAGATTTGGATGAGACTGGCACTGCAGGCGACACCGGGTTCTTGGGAACATCTGTTGGCTCCAATTTTGGGATTACCGAGGTGGCACCGCTATAACGGTTTAAATACTCGGGTGGGAGGTTTCTACCGTCCATATTGAAGATAGAGAAGCGTGGCTTAAAATAATTGTGTAAGGTGATTCAGGTGTATATCTTGTGTTAAGCATGTATTTGAACGGACGAGTAGAGATGGTATAATTAGAAGCGGATGAAACATGTAGCAGGATTAAAAAGAAGCTGTCAGGTGCAGGTACGAGTGTTTATGCCGTCATGGCTGTGGAATGTTCCTGGACAAGTCTAGTTGTTATGCGCCGATCCCTAAAGCGGACGGATGCGGCACCCACCTGTGGATCGCCCAACTTTATTCCTACTAGTAGTAACACCTAGCTTCTGGGATTTTATTAGCTTTTATTTAAGCAATTTTATTACTTGCACGGTTTTAGCAGTTGGCATATGTCATTTACCCCATATCCAGGAATGTGGGGAAAATTTGACGTCAGTTGCACGTTTATATACCGATGCCGAGAACGGAATCAGTGACTGAAAACATGGAACATGAAGTCAGCTCTCAAATTTCATGATACAAGGTACCTAGATATGGCTGTCGAGCCCTGGAGGTGGATTTCCATGCTACGTAAGCCTTGTGTACAGCCATGCAACGACGTGATGGTAAGATCTTATGGGTTCCCTTTGTAGCCATGCCAGCTGAAGTGCAAGGGGATTACTCTGGGGCACAGTAATATTTCAAGATTTTAGTTGCATTGAAGCTATTAAATACAAATCGTCAATCCAAGCGCTCCCAAGTTAGATGCAGCCCAAATCCAATCTAATCCCATTGCCCTATGCCAATCTAGGAACATACGCCGTCCAGCCGGGCCTGAATCGTCTTTTCATCAAATCGTCCACTTTCCCCCTCGTAGTTTCGGAGGGCCTCCAGGGTCATCAGCCGGCGAGGGGCTTTGCGGCCGGTCATCAGCTCCCACTGTGCAATACCTTGTTCAATGACATTTTCTAGTCCGTCTGATAACACCCAGGACCGGCCGGTGTCAGTTCGGATCCGACGTATCTGTTTCAACAATGGTGTATCCAAGGGTTTATAGGCAAGCTGAAAATTTTTTTGTCAGGATAAGAGACAAGGGTCAAGATTAAGGAGGAACTCACTTCTACTACGACACCCCCAGTGGGACTACCAAGCCACTGCAGAGGCATCTCAAAGTTGGCAGGGGCCTCATTCTGATCAGGATCGGCCGGGACACATGATACGATGAGGGTCGGCGGGTTAGAGTCTTCGGGCCAATCATCTTGTGTTGACCGTAATACTCGCACTACCTCAACCGAATCAACTTGGGACGATGCCCACGAGTTGAAGTGACGAGCAACCTCTTCTGCTCGGGACAGAGTGCGGTTGTAGATGAAGATTTTGCGGCAGCCCATGCGGAGCATGGCGTAGATGGCGGATCGGGCCATACCGCCCGCACCAATCACCAAGCCCGTTGTTTTCGCACTGATAGCATTTCGGGGAGAAAGGTGGCGGTTGATGCAGGTCATAATACCGACCCAGTCTGTATTTTCGCCGTACCATCCGAGCACCGGACCTGCCTGGTTGCGTCGGCTGGCTTGCTCCTGAAGCGAGTACATACCTCCTTCTGATGGGCCCCGCAAGGGCATAATGGTATTAATTGCGCCAATGGCCTCGGCATGTCGGCTTTTCGCTGCGAGCTTATGGTAAAGCTCCACACGCCATGGTTGAACGACACTGGAACCGCCAAAATTTGGATCTCGACGCAGTTCATCCAAGATGTCGAGGGAAGGAGAATCGGGGATGCGATAGGTATGGCTCATACCGGAATGTTGGTGAGCGCCATTGTGCATGAAGGGGGATAAACTGTAGGCAACACTTGAACCAAGGATACAAAACTTCAGCGGATCAAGCACGTAGCTTTGGAAGAGCGCTTTAACGGCGTCGCGGGATGTGATTAAAGGATCGCGCTCGTTTTCTGTCGTACGAGTGATTGCCGGATGTGTCACGTTGGTCAAAATCGAGTTGAACACTTGGGATGTCCGTCCAAGACGTCCAATGTTGTAAGCGATTAAGGGTGCGTGATCCCCAGGTAAAGCATGGATTTTGTTGGAGAATTCCAGAACAGCCGCATTTTCATCACGATTTGTTGCGACGCGAAGAAGACGCACAATCTGGCAACCGAGCTTCTCTGCTTCGTTGTATAATGTCACGCACCCATCATCGGTCCATTTTACACGGGAGGTTGCTTCAAAGACATGTTGACCAATGATCTTGGTATTGCCTCGAGCACGAACGACCTGCGCGAGCTGGGCGCGGTTTTTTCCAAGATCGACAACCAAATATTCCACTGCCAGACGCAACCCCTGTTCCAAAATATCAAAATAAGATGAAGTCGACTGATCACGTCGGCCAAGTCCAGACGATGTCATATCCACAGAGAGAATAATGGGTGTGCGCGAATTCCGGCGCAGGACTGCGACCTGTTGACTGATGACAGCCGCCATATCTAAGTCCCAGCGGTCGACACATAACTCAATTGCATCTCCCCCGGACTCTAATTCTTGAAGGTTCACATTATCGTCAATCAGATCGGAGGATCGAACAAGGATAGCGTGGGTGAAGCTTCGAAGCTCCGGAGGTGTCTCTAGCAAGACAAACGGCGAGTCGTGGCTCGATTGGTTCACGTCGACCCCTGTGACAAAGCGAACAAAGCGGGTCAGGTCTTCTTTGACCTCTTGCAGCTTGAAAGAGTAAGCAGCCGATCGTGGATCGGGGCTTCCATCATCAGCAACAAAGCGTGTACGGTCTTCCAGGTTGTAGAATTCGAAATTGGAGCATGTCCGATGTAATGGGTCTCCTTCTCGCAGTAGTCGTATGGACTGATCTTCTAGTCCTAGGAGTTGTTGAATGCGGTCGATATCGCGCAGGATGTGGACTACCGGACAAATCTGTGAAATGCGGCGCAAGTGGTCCTGAACAGGCCGAGTCAGACTTCCCAGTCCGCACTCCACGACACATCCTGTCTTGTGATTGTCCAACATCTGCTTCAACACATCAATGTCCCGGCGCTGAAATTCCTGGCTGCCATGACTCTTCAAATATTCATGTCGCGTGACACCGGTCACTTCCTTAAAGTAGTGGTCTTCGGTTATGAATCGTCGTTTGAGGGCCGTGGCTGCGACAAAGCCGAGCGAGCGCTTACCACAGCCGCGAATGCCCACCAGCACCAACGAAGCATCGGGATCGAAGGTGCGGGGTGCGGTGGTGGCCTCTGGGAGATGCATAGGGTGGGCAGAGGATGCTCGTGTCGACTCCGAATGAGTGGAGGGGGACTCGGGCTCGACAGGGTCGCGAATGCGGGATTGCCAATCAAGCATGGTGGGCTAATGGATGCCGAGTGTGGAGGCGGCAGATGTAAAGGTGGGAGAAGCGAAAGCGGGTGGAGATGTGTTAGCTAGGCCGAGGGCGCAGGTGCCATGATCGAGAACGGCGTATACACAGTCGCGGTCGCATCAAGGTACAGCAATCATTCAGTGAGGTTCTGACAGGCAGAAAGAAAAAAAAAAGAGGAAATCTGGAGAAGGCAGAACGGTCTCTTTTTCCCCGGATGCCGGATGAGGCACCACTGCGAGCGACTGTGTGGGGCGGCAAATTATCTTATCGCGCGATTTGATTTGCTGTGCGGCAAAAGCCTTAACCCTTGGCTTCACCGGGGGTATAAATCTTGGAGAACTACAGCTCCAGTCAGAGATTTTGATTGGAAATCGGTTAAAAGGATTTTGAGCTTGTGGGGTGCTTGTGTGGGGTGAGATGTGCGACAGCAGATACTATGCGCGCAGTGCAGAAGAAAGTGATTCCCGCACGTTGACCGTTGGACAAGCGAGACGGTTACATTGAAGCCTTTCAATTATGTTAAGGCTCGGCTACTTTTCCTTCTCTTCTAAGCTGGACAGGTCATAAACGCATAAACATATACGCGGATAACCCTTGTCTCCAAAACCGAGCTCTAGTACTCCGTACAGGGGATAACATCGGCATCGTGTCCACCTTCCGAAATTTATGCTGAAACCCGGGTTTACCGAGCACTACTATTCAGGCAATCGAATGAATAGATAGGCAAGTGGATTGCAATGTTGATATAGCGAAGTGCAACTGCGTCCTTTTATCAGATAATTATGTTCACTTGAATTTTTGTGGTATATAATACACGCATCTACCCAAAGGAAGAAGGCAAAAGTCACTCTTGGATATCCGATGGCTCACTTGCCAACACAGAACCTGCAGTGTGTCAGTAGATAATTCCTTATGAAATTCGAAGACATAGATCTCGGGACTCACTTCTCAAAAACCACGCCGAGGACATCTTCTACATCGCCGCTCTCGCCCTTTCCAGTGATCCTAGCAAGCATATCCGCTGCAAAGCGCAGATGCTCAGCAGCCGTAACGATGTCGATATCAACATCGACAGAGTCAGGAGTGATGCCGAAGCAAGCGTCTGGTTCAGGGGTAGAAGAAGTCTGCGAAAGAAAGTCGTCAAGGTGGTCCTTGCATTTCTGTAGATTGGAGCTCTGTCGATGAGTGACTCCTAGTGAATCCTCCCAGTATGATGTATCATATTGAGTGCCTTCTTCAGCACCCAGCGGAGAGGCAATTTGCTCAAATGTCGAGATCAGTCCTTTCAAAAATTCTTGTAACTTGCCAGGATCGGTTTGACCTGGGGAAGAGCATCCTCGCTGTGCCTCATCACAGGACATAGCGAAGACTCGGTTTGTCGGTACCGCGGGGAGAAGGTCATGAACGGTAGCGGCCAGATTATGCGGTAGCGTGCCATTTTCTTTCCAAGATGAAAGCTTGTCGCACTTGTTGACAGCGACGACAAGGCATTTTTCAGCCTGTACACAGTCATTGACTGCATCAAGCACCTCGGGCTCTACAGATAACCGAGCACCGTTTGCAGTATCTTCAAGTGATAACACCACAATAACCACATCAGATTCCAACGCTCTCGTTCTCGCACGTCGGATGCCTTCCTTTTCGACCGCACCAATGACAATAGAGCCACTAGATTCAGGGTCATTTGCCTCCGCACGAATGCCAGCCATATCTCCGAGTTTACAATACCAACCACCCAAGTCAACGCCGACATCGACAATATCACGAGTAGTGCCCTCCTCAGTACTGACAATCGCAGCCTCTTTACCAACAACACGGTTCAAAAGCGAGCTCTTTCCAGCATTCGGAGCACCCAGCAGCGCAACACGAATACCATTCCGAAGTAGCTCTCCTTTAGACGCATTCTGAATGTGAAAGACAATCTGAACTTGTAGCGCTTGGATCTGCGTAGCCACGGAGGATACCAATTCTTCTGTCGACTCATCAAAATGCTGGTCTTCCGAAAAGTCGATCAAAGCCTCTAGCTCGCCGCGCGCATAGAGTAGCTGCTGGCGCCAATCCTCGTACCGTTTGAGCAGCGCGTCACTCGAACCTCGTACTGCCAGGCGTCGCTGTTGTTCCGTGTCTGCAGATAAAGTATCACCTAAAGCTTCGATTTGCGGAAGGCCGAGCCGGTCATTCATAAATGCCCGGCGTGTGAACTCGCCCGGCTCGGCGTAACGTACGACGGTTTCTGTTTGATTGGTTCGTGCAATGGCAGAAAGGACTGCCTTGACAATCGCAGGGCCGCCATGGATGTGAAATTCGAGGAGCTCTTCACCTGTCACTGTTTTCGGAGCAGGGAAGTACAGGACAAGGGCGCCAGCGTCCAGGACCGTGTTAACCGATGGCGGGTGTGATGGGTCGTAGAGGGTGCGCAGTGCGGCACGGCGCGGCTTCGGTAGGGATGTTTCTGGACATAATGCATTGTATATCTGCGAGTCGAGAGTCGTGGTTAGTACAATTGCTAGGTACTGCAGTTCGGGGGATGAATGGCTTCGTACCGAGACACATGCTGGGCCGGAGACCCGCACTACTGCGATTGCAGCTCTCCCTGGGGCTGTAGATAGGGCATAGATCGTCGAATCGGCATCTAGCATAAACCTCCTTGGCGGGCAGGAAGTGAAGCTCCGCTTGAGCTTAGGAACCCGCGTTCCAGCTGGCGATGGACGGATTTCGATGCGATGGCATAACAAATTATGCAACCCTGCTGCGGGCGCTGGGTTCCATGCCGGGCGAAAGGAAGCCCAACGCAAGACTCGACAACGAGATGCTTGCATGCGTAAAAGAAGAGACGAGTGTCGCGGCGCGCTTATTCAAATGTCCATCTTGCAGACACGCAGTTTGATCTGCGACGTCTGATAAGACCGATAAGAACTTCAGCCTTGCAGCCTGATGGACAGGGCACCAATTAAGTTCGGCACCTATTATTGCAAGAAGATAGATTAACACGCTAGTTCAGGTCAGCCGCGCAATTACGAGGCTGTGCTTTCGATTAGCTACTTGTGGTTACGTCGAAGGATCAGATTTTGCGAGAGCTTCATTCTTTTGGCTTAAATAGAGATCCGTAATCAGGAACATCTAGTACTCCTTCCGCACCCCTCTCCGCCATTGTTGTTTCATTGACAGAACTGCAAAATATTCTTGAACATGTCACCTTCTACCTCCCTCAAGCTTGAGCCATTGACTCTGGAAGACAATGCCGCTCTGACGAACCTATGGTTCGCGGCGTTTACCGCGCCCGAGCTTCAAATGGTCTTCCCAAATACCCCAGGCGTTCGCCAATGGCTTCAGGATGCCAACAAGCATGATCTGGTCAACAAACCGTTCCAGAAATACATCAAAATCGTTGACATGGAGAACAAAGACGAGAATGGCAGACCTCGGATCGCTGCCTACGCAAAGTGGGATTTATCGACACCCGAGGAGCGTGGACGTCGTTATCCGCCGTGGCACGAAGAGATGCCCGGGGAGATGTGCGAAGCGTTTTTCTTGAAAGAGGAGTATAATCGAAGCCGTGTGATGGGCGATCGGAAGCATTATTGTTTGTCTCACGGACTCTTACCGGTCCTCATTCATCATTGAAGCTCTACTGACCGTGAGCTAACAGACTTGGATACCGTGGCTACGCACCCTGACTATCAGCGACGAGGATGTGGCTCCATGCTTGTTAAGTGGGGCTGTGACTTGGCTGATGCTGAGGGGGTTAGTGCGTACGTAGATGCTAGCAAGGACGGTGCCCCTTTGTATGCGAAGCATGGATTTGTGGACTACAGCAATCCTGGAGAAGAGATCGCCTCGATGGCCAGGTTTTGTAAGACTGCTTCATCTGAGCACCTGGTGGATCGATAACGTTGTATAAATTGGTAAAGGTTGAAGCTATAGCTCTGGACATCTTCGATAGCACAGCCATTGGGCAATCAATGAGGATATATATTTTGAGTAATGCAAGGGGATGTCCGGAATGGAGACCAAATACCCACAGAACGAAGAACGGACAGACCAAAGATTGCTTCAGCTTCAAGGAATGTGTGTTTATATGAGACGGAACTCTTCGACCGTTTAAACCTGAGAGCTTTGGTACTCTGCAGGCGATTGGGGCTTTTCCAAAGAGCGGGGTGGGGCATCCGGCAACGGAGTGGATTTTCCGAGTATGCAGAGTGACATACGGCGGGGAAGCTATACATAAGGAGATGGAAGAAAAATGCTTTTTAGCTAGATTTCTCATCTTAAATTACGCACTTCTGACATTTTGTAGAAAAGATGGGCGTGGGTGTAGTAAGAAAACTTGCGTTTCACCGAGTCTGACTATTCATAGGACACAAATCGATCATTTGTCCTCCGCGCCGTGAAAGACGTGGTTCTTGAAAACCGACCTATCTCAGATTTAAAAGACCCTTGGGACGTCAGAGTCCAAGTCGCGCAGACAGGCATATGTGGAAGCGATGTACACTACTGGCAGCGAGGACGGATCGGAGGTACACAGCCATTCAAATATTCTTGATAAGACCCTTAAAACTGACACTTGGCAGATTTCATCCTTAGCTCCCCTATAGTGCTTGGCCACGAAAGCTCGGGTACGGTCGTCGAGATTGGATCAGCAGTCAAGAATCTTAAAGTCGGGGACCGAGTAGCTATCGAACCAGGTGTACCATGTCGTCAGTAAGTAAGGACTCATTCCACGGCCGCGATGGCATTCCTAACACCTCCAGCTGCGACTACTGCCGCAGCGGCTCTTACAACCTCTGCCCTGATACCGTCTTCGCAGCCACTCCGCCCCACGATGGTACCCTTTCGAAGTATTATACCACGCAGGCAGACTACTGCTATCCCCTCCCAGAGCATATGGATATGGAAGAAGGCGCACTGGTTGAGCCGGTCGCGGTGGCAGTGCAGATTACAAAGGTAGGCAATGTCAAGCCTAACCAAACCGTCGTGGTTTTCGGGTGTGGGCCCATTGGCCTACTCTGTCAGGCCGTGAGCAAGGCTTACTCGGCGAAGAAAGTGATTGGAGTGGATATCAGCCAGTCTCGGGCGGAGTTCGCACGGTCATTTGGCGCAGATGACGTTTTTGTGCCTCCTCCAAAGCCCGAGGGCAAGGATGATAGCCTATGGAGTGAGGAGATAGCACGGATCATGAAGGAGAAGTTTAATCTTGGAGAGGGGCCGGATGTTGTTCTGGAGGCGTCTGGCGCCCAGGCCTGCATCCAGACGGGTATTCATTTGACTAAAAAGGGTGGGACATACGTGCAGGCTGGTATGGGGCGCGAGGTTAGTTTCTTCTATGTTATGTGACCAGGAATAGACTGACAAGGCTGCAGAATGTTGTGTTCCCTATCACGACGGCGTGCATTCGTGACTTGCACATTCGAGGCTCTATCCGCTACACCGCCGGTTGTTACCCGACTGCCGTGGATCTGATTGCTAGTGGAAAAATTGATGTCAAGCGTCTGGTCACCGACCGGTTCAAGTTTGAGCAGGCAGAGGAGGCTTTTGATCTGGTGCGACAAGGCAAGGAAAGCGTGATTAAAGTTATTATTGAAGGTGTTTCTTCATAAGCAACGATATAGAATACAATGGACCGATCGAATGAGTCTAAGCACCCATCGCCACTGTACGATTAGAGGGTAAGACCAATCTCCGCGAGAGCCTTTGTGACATTCAGTTGGACAGTCAGGTTATTTGCGGTCAGTGCATCGGTAAAATAAGGCAGCTCCTGGCCATTGTAAACGCTGGAGTTACCGGTGATAGTAAATGGCACAACACCAGTCGTGAAGGGATTGCTATCCGAGGTGAGCATCTCTATAATAGCAGTCTCATTGATCGTTGAAGTCATTGGGATAGTATTGTTGCCGGGCTTGAGCACGAGGTCATCAAGGTAGGATAGACCCAATTTTTGGCCTCCCACTAGGAGGTTGAGAGTCACATTTCCCTTTGTGTGATAATATCAATATGTGGATCCAGGACAAGAGGGGCCTAGAAAATGAATGGTTGGACATACCATGCTTAAAGTCATCACAGAAGGGTTCGGAATAAAGACTGTGCCGTTCATATTTCGACCATTCACGACTGTAGTCATGATGTGAAACTCCGTCACGTCGAACCCCTTGAGCTTATTGAGGCCTTGAAGAAATCAGTCCAATCAGCATAGAAGCAAATACAGATAATATGGACACCGCACCTTTCATCGAGACCGTCTTGTTGTATGTCACGGTCACCTTCGGCAAAGATCCTTGCTGAAGTTTTGGCTTGCCATAAATGTTCAACGAGACCTCCTCATTCATCATGACTGCGGTACAGTAGTCAGAGAAAGCGTCAGCATCACTCAGATCAAGCGACTGCGAAACAATGACTTCCGCCCCATCCTTGGACTTCACAGCAGGAACTTTGACAGTCGCAAAGGCGGATGCAGCACCTAGCAAGGACACCGCGGCATCGAATCCGTAGATCTCAGGATGATAGGAGCTATCAGAGCCAATGACCTGGGTCTGGTTAAGGAAGAAAGACTTGGGCTTGGGGTCGCTAATAATCATGCTTGTGATGTTGAGAGTAGAGCTATTGATGTCATGCTGGGCGATGTTGGGGTAGGCGACATAGACCCTATGTTCAACAGACTCCTGGTCAGGATCTCATTTTCTGTAGGCTAAAAAGCTTCATTTAACTTACACTGGAAGCGCTATGACAAGGACCACAATGATGAACACGATCAGGTGTACCCACCACCATTTCTTGAAATGAGTGGCGGCTCGTGATCCAAATGACTGCTTTGCCGGCGAGACGGCGGTAGTCTCCAAGACTTCGGATTCGGGCTTGTTGTCGGACATTATGCTGATATTCAAAGAATAAGATGATATTAGTCATTGTGGTACATTAATATTATATCACGCGACCCAAAAGATCATTTGGTAGGAGGACATACCAAGAATGCTAGTCTTGTCTCGTCAGAGTCAAGGAAAGAAAAAAGAAAAGGGAAAGGTCAGAGAACCGGAGCAAGAGCTGGAAGAACGAGCGACTAAAGTAGGGCAGCCTGCAGCCGGCTAGTCGGGGCTCCGAGGATTCCAGTGTTTATATCACGGAATGCGCCGGCTTATTCCTGGTCCATTTGTTTGCTCAGACAAGCCTAGAGCAGAAGTGAAATTAATCTTCACATGCCGACCTAAAAACAGCCTCTTAGCGATAACGGGGACATTAGCGGTGGCGGAATTCGTGGGCTTGCTGCTCGAGTAGCGACTTGTGGAAATAAGACCCGGAGTTTTGTAGCGTGCATACCTCGTTTAACAGCTTTTTACTTCCCCCTGGGGACTCCGGATTTGCGATCTGCGGGGATGTTCCTGAATCAAGTGGATCGAATGATCACCCCACAACACTGACAGCAGCGGTTGTTTCAGATGAAATCCGGTCTAACTTCCAAAATAATAGGTTCAAAAAGGGGGGACCGAGGCTCCAGGTTGAAATCACTATCCATGATTGCGATATTGGTCATATGCAGGCGGATGAACAATATTTTACGCCATGGATGCGCACCGCAGGCGTTCATTTTACGCCTTGGCGCTGTGCAACCATTTATTTAGGAATCTCCAAGGTTTATGGCTCTCCTGCCCTTGTACGGTTGCACTGGCGTTATGGAAAGCGCTGTTATGATTGGGTAGCGGTGAAACTAGCTGCAACGGGGGCGCTCGCCAAGACTGGCCGGGGAAGCAGCCAAGGGTTTTTGGGCAAAAGTAAAATATATTGGACCAGGACCTGGTTCGGACGTGTCGCCTTCTTGGGTCTTTGTCCCTTACACACAGGGTGCTACGACCGAAAACCTTGATCAATGCCAATGGCTCATGTGCTGCAGATGACAAAGACTGGATGTCTTTCAACTTACATAAGTGATCCCAAATTAGTAAGGTACGGCCTTGTTGCCTTGTTCTCAAGGCAATAAAAAGAATTGATACTTCGTTTATACTTCGATTATCAAGGGCCATAATAGTGACAATGAAGCTCTTTGATCTTTGGAATGACTACCAGACAAAGGCATAATCGCAGCACTTTATACAGCACTGCAAAACTTGAGACGTACAAAGAATTGTGATAATACAATTCACTGGTTATAAAGCGCGAGCATGCCCTATATTGTTGCTTCGAACTCACCGGAGTTATCTTGTAGATGCCATAGCAACTAACATAGAACTGAGGGCCAGAAAGTTTTTGACACACGAGAAACAAGAGGAGTCTCATTGTTTACAATTTGATCGCAACCAACAACAGCTACCATCCCGCACCTCTCACGCGTGTTGATACTTTACCATCTGCTTAGCATCTTTCTTCATTGTTGACACCGCTCTTCGAAGATTCGCTATCAACTTCAGTCCTCACTGTTGAAAACTGTTGCTACCTTGAATACTTCTACTGTTGACACCTCCGTGGATGACATCGTTCCACTGTGTTAACATTTCTCTCGCGTACGAACATCTCTATTGACACTTTGACAACCTTTTTCTGTTGACACCCTTGGTTGTTGACAGCCTTTCTCGTTGCCAACATCCTTCCACCGTGTTTAAATTCTCCTTTTGTGTCAGCCTCTCTGCTGTTGACATCTCCTCCTTGTTTTAACGTCTTTCCATCTGTGTTGACATCTTTTAACCGTGTCAGCATCTTCACATTGTGTGTGGACATCTTTCTGTCCCGTTGACGTACACTCACTTCATTGGTACTCGATAATATTCCATATTCCAACGCAATCAGCAATATGCAAGCATCTCACAACCTTAACGGTGACCTCTGGAACCGTGAGCATTTTGACTGGGCCGAGGACGTGGAGGAGGAGATTCTCAAAACCGAGGCCACCATGATAGAACTGTCCCTAAGTCCACCATTTGACTGGGCCGAAGAGGTTGAGGACGAGATCCTCAAAACCGAGGCCACCATGATTGACCTGGCTTTAAGTCCACCATTTGACTGGGCCGAAGAGGTTGAGGACGAGATCTTCAAAGCAGAAACTGCCGCCCAGCAAGAGCGCCCCTGCTCGCCAATCGGCTGGGATGAGGACGAAAAGGATGGCATAATCAAGAGGAAGGCCACGAAATCGATTGCTCCCATTTACTGTGACCGATCTACCTTATCGTGGGAATCCTTGCAGGAACAAGTGGATAACGAATTCGGTTGGCAAGAGAAGGTAAACCACCAGGTCGGACCCGTACACCATTTTAACTGGTCGGGGAAGGCTGTGTTTGAGCGCAGCGGCACGCTGCCAGAGGAGTCTCTGGCAATTATACGTGCCTGGCCGAAGGTTCCGAAGCACAAAGACGACCCTGACTACAGGGTTCAAGCAATTCTTTGGAACGCAAACAACTTCTTAGACCCAGTAGTGTTGACGCTGGACGATGTCGACAGGTCCGTCCTGGAGCTTCATGGCTCTGCGCTTATACATGCCGCGAAAGGCCATGTGTCAAAACATTACACTGGTCGTGGCTGGTGGTTGACTGACGACAAAGAGGAGATGTTGGATTCGTCATTGGACGTCGGGGATGTAGAGGGTTACCTGGAGCCGAACGTGGTGGTTGGCAACGGCTTCGCCGAGGTGAGCATACTTCCAACGAGGGAAGAACATGCCACAATTGCCAATAATATGATTACCTGGGCGGCTGCCGAAGCCAACGAAAGACCATATTGGCAGAAGTACCGAAAACTCTATTTTGAGCCTACGCGTTCACCACTTCACCAGGTTGCCACTATTGTGCCGGATGAATCTGAAAGCACACGGGCTGAGGCTTCCACCATCGTGCCTATGTCCGATGACTTTGACAGCACATCGGTCAAGGCTATCACCATTGTGTCCGTGTCCGATGAATCAGACAGCACGCCGGTCAGGATGCTGTGTCTTCAGCCATCGCCCTCCTCCGAGTCGGTCTCTCCTCTATTTGACGAGATGATGTGCTGCGATGTCAGAAGGGAGCCGACTCCCCCTTGGTCCAACTCCTCCTGTGAACCAGGCTGCCCCTTTCACGACGAACCAGCACTCGTGCTGTGTTGCGATCGCCAAAGGCAGCCCACTCCCCCATCTTCATCCTCTCATTCCTGCCCCTCGCTCTCCTACTCCTTCGAGTCAGGCTCTCAGAACGACTGCCAGCTCCCGACCTCGCCAGAGCTGCCGGTGGCCCTCGCGGGGTGTCTAATCGCCCATGAACCAGTCATCATGGATGACCGTGGCTCAAGGAGCACATACCAGACAGCCTCGTCACTGAGACGAAAACCCCTTCTTTCGCCTCTACTTCGTTGTGCTTCAGGCTCTTCAGCGTCGCCCCAGATATCGACATTGAAAGCCCCTCAGCAGAGACACCCGATTGCCTCTCCAACTGGCCTTGTCAACAATGACAAGCCGAGTCGGGATCCCGAAGTCTTTTACAGCTTCCCTAAACCACGCGACCGGGGCTCGAAAATCAAGCGATTTTTCAAGAAGGCAGGAAAGATTCTTTTGTCTGGGTTGGGCATGCCTACACAACCATTGTATTCTCCGAATTGTTTCGATGTGGTACCAATTAAGTGACCAGTCCTCCAAATCCTGCATATAACGAAACGCCTTTCAGGCACGTGTATCCGATATATGATATGACACGCCGATTCCAACGTTGTGTTGTGTTCAAAACTCCATACATGTCCCGAGCAACTAGGGTTGGTCCGTGTGGCGTGATGATCTGCCGGCGAAAAACATCCCGCTTTCTATTCCTCCTCACAGCTCCAGGGGTCACGCCAAGTCCACCAATCTCTTCGGCATGGCATGCATCCTTCCCTACCTGCCGCAATCTCTGCGTGAGATTGTCGAGCCTTACATTCCTCTTTACGAAGAACACGCGCCACTGATTGGCATCGCGTTTGCTTCCTTCATCGCAATCTACGTGGGGTACTTATACGTCCGAAGCCAGAAGGAAGCTGCTGTCGCGTTCAATGTCCCTGTACCACCGGAAGTGCGCAAAAGCAACACTGGCAAGAAATGGGACGAGGTCTCGGGTCAGCAGAAACAAGTTCTGGAAGATCAAGCTCGGGGAGTGAGTGTTTACTGCCTTGCCTACTCCTGGATTTACACCGAAACTAATAACGATCGTGTCACCTAGAAATGGAACGATAACTTGATCATGAGCTACTGCCCCGCCGACGGTCGAGTGCTTGGAAATGGAATTCGCCCTGCTACTGTCGAAGATGTTGATGAAGCCGTGCAGGCTGCCAAAACCGCGCAGCGTGAATGGGCCAAGACCACCTTCGCCGAGCGCAGAAAGGTTCTCCGGACACTCTTGAAATACGTGCTCGAACACCAGGACGACATCGTGACTGCATGCTGCCTCGACTCTGGAAAGACAAAAGTTGATGCCTCGTTCGGCGAGATTCTTGTGACAGCCGAAAAGCTCAAGTGGACTATCGATCATGGCGAGAAGGCCCTTCTACCTTCACGCAGACCGACCAACTTCCTTATGATGTACAAAAAGAACATGGTCACTTATGAACCCCTAGGCGTGGTGTCCGCCTGTGTCTCGTGGAATTACCCCTTTCACAACTTCATCGGACCGGTCATCAGCGCGCTATTCACAGGCAACGGTGTCGTCGTCAAGCCCTCCGAGCAAACTGCCTGGTGTACCACCTACTTCCTGGATATTGTTCGCGGCGCTCTTTCGAGCTGCGGATACTCTCATGACCTGGTTCAGACCATTGTGTGTCTCCCCGCTGTCGCAGACAAGTTGACCTCCCACCCGGACATCTCACACCTCACATTCATCGGCTCCCGACCTGTCGCATTCAAAGTCTGCGAGTCCGCTGCAAAGTCTCTCACCCCTGTCACTGTCGAATTGGGCGGCAAAGACCCAGCTGTCATTCTGGACGATTCCCGCACAATTCGCAACCTTCCAACCATCGCCTCGATCCTTATGCGCGGCGTTTTCCAATCCGCTGGTCAAAACTGCATCGGTGTGGAGCGTATAATCGCTTTGCCCGGCACCTACGACAAACTGATCGAGATGGTCACACCTCGAATCCAAGCCCTCCGCCTCGGTTCCATTCTCCTGGACATCACGTCCAACGATCCCTCCGCCATCACACCTGATATGGGAGCTATGATCTCCCCAGCCTGCTTTGATAAGGTCGAATCTCTGATCTCCGAAGCCGTCAAACAAGGCGCCCGTCTGCTCGCTGGTGGAAAACGCCACGAACACCCGAAATACCCCCAAGGTCACTATTTCACTCCTACTCTTCTCGTCGACGTCACTCGTGACATGCGGATCGCTCAAGAAGAGCTATTCGCACCTATCTTCCTCGTTATGCGCGCCGAGTCTGTGCCCGATGCTATCGCCATCGCCAACTCCACTGCCTATGCCCTCGGTGCCAGTGTTTTCGGCCACAACTCTGCTGATGTGCAAGCCTGCGTCTCCAGTATTGACGCTGGCATGGTCTCTGTAAACGATTTCGGAGCTTATTATGCTGTTCAGTTACCCTTTGGCGGTGTTAAGGGATCTGGATATGGCCGGTTTGCCGGTAATGAAGGCCTACAAGGTCTGTGCAACACAAAAGCTGTTTGCGTAGACAGGTTCCCTAAACTTGTTGGCACTGCCATTCCTCCGCGCGTCGATTATCCCATCCAGAAACGGGAGGGCAGTGCCGGTATGAATGATGGCAATGCAGCCTGGGAAATGTGCAAAGGTGTTGTTGAAACTGGTTATCAATTGACAATCGGTGGATGGGTTGCTGGACTCATCCGGTTGTTGAGCAACATGTGAAGTTGTAACTTCAAAATCTGTACCATACTTGTGATGTATCATGTAGCTCTATCATGGCTACAAATGTAATATTCTATGTTCTATCTTTAATCATATTTACAATATTCTAAGCAAAGTATGTACTTGAAAGCCATTTCAAACGCTAGACAATGAAGCAGCACTAAGGTTTCGACACCCCGGACTGCGATGCAAGACCCACATCAAGACCTGCGGAAGCCAGGTGGTAGCTCGGGGCCAGCCCTCACTAACCAATGATCCTCAAGACGGAACGAGGATTCCTCCTGCCAGTTACCCAACGCAGCCCGATGCGACGGTTCAAGCACCTCCTCGAAGAAACGATCGCCTTCCAAGTCGTGAACCTTCAGCTGTCCACAAGTAAACAGCTGATTAGTCGGATTCTCCCTTGCATATTCAATTTGCTCTGGAAGATTCAGCATGAAGTTCGACAACCATTTACAAAACCGAGCAGTGAGCAAGTTGTAGATATCTGGCTTTTTTAGCGCACGCTGATTATTATCCACAATCCACTGCGTGATAGCCGCGGATTTATGAGGGACAGACTCGGCGCTTGCACGGAGAAGCGCCTCAAAGAAAGCCTGCTGGAGATGAGGCTTATCCCGTCCCACGCGGGTGACCTGCTCAAAATGCTTAGAGGGAATGGTGTAGAAAACAGGTTCGCCCTGATTCGCCACCCTCCAACGGAAAACGTACTCGTCCAATTTGAGCAAAGAGATAAGCGCATTGTAGTTTTGTGTCTCGATAGCCTTTGTTACACCCTCATGCAGGGCGGTTCGGTCCACCATCGAAGTTGTGCAAGGGGTACTTATGGCGTTTACACGCTTGTAATTGCTGGAAGTGATTCGCAACATCTCAAGGAAGGCGACATCTTCCGGTGTGAAGCCTGATTTGCGACCGCGGAGCATTTTCTTCGGGGGGTAGCATAGGTTGAGTGCAGGCCAGTTAAGGACTATTTTGCCCTTGGTATGAGTGATCTGTACATCGGCCATGGGGGTGATGTCTAGCTTGTAGTGGTGTGCGCCACGATTTGTGGCTCTGGACATTTGCATGACCTCTTCCCAGGATACACACATCTGTTCGGCGAATTGGGTAGTAAGTGGTCCGCTGCCGCTAAATGACAGCTTGGTATCTTGCTTGCGCTGCATGAATCGATCCAACTCGGCCCGCTCGCCGGGTTCCATTTGTACGCCTTCGTCGAGCCATTGTCGTTGGATGGTCAGGTTGAGCATTGTGGGGACCTGCTTGAGGATACGGTCCATGGTACACCACTTGCAGGAGAATACGAGGGCTTGAAGCATTGAGCGCTCGCCCATGTTAAGCCTGACATATTCCACTGGTTTGAAAATGTCTCTGATGGCGGGGCTGCCATTTTTTGAGGAGCCTGGGTGATTTGCGGGGTACTGTTGGAAGATAACGGGATCTTCCCAGAAGGCCAGGAGGATGAGGAGCCGGTAAATCCGTTCGCTGGAGAGTGCTGCGGCCAAGGCATGTGATGCACGTGGGAGGTTCACGTTCAACGAGTGTAGGAAGATCTGTTCGATGACTTCAACCGGGAGGACTTCGAGCATGGACAGGCGGCGGGGTGCGGGGGAGGACACTTCGGCCGGCTGGCCCTGTGCAGAGGTATCCGGACGTGTGATTTTTGAAGGTCGTGCTGCATAACGCTTGCGTTGCGGTTTTGATTTGGACTTGGAGATAGAGGTAGGTTTTGGTTTGGGTCTCGACGTGAGAATCGTTTTGCGGAGGATATCTATGGGGATGTCTTGGATGCGAAAAGTGTTCTGACCTGTCGCTTGGTTTATGTAGGGACTATCGCTCCTCGCTGGGCCCATGGCAGGGATGCAGAATGAAGTGAAGAGTATGCACAGTATGCATCTCCTGCACGTTGGATCAGCTGACCTGCCACGCCTTTTCATTGGTGGCAAATGCATGATTGGCTGTCGCCCCACTTTACCCCTTGATTGCCGGAGTACAGAATCATCCGCGAAGTCCCTGATACCTGGTGATTCCTCACGGAATATGACTGCGTTACATGTCTTTTCTCTCTTTTTTTTTCTTGGCTCCCTATACGGTAGAGACAATACATGACTTTCCATGACTTCATATCAGAAAATGGGGTAGGTTAGAATGAAATTAGGATTGCCTCAGGCAAAATAGCGTAAAGTAATAACCAAGTATGTACGAGCATTGGTCGGAGCAGGACAAGCACACAACCGTCATCAAGCAAGACAATCATAGCCAAGAATAGAAATTCAAAATCGAAAAGAGATCCCAAAACTCTAAAAAGAGACCATCCCAGTCATCTACGGGCTTCCGCCAAGGCCTGGATTTTGTTAGTACATGGATCATGTCTATGAAGTGGAGGGAAAACAAACCTGCAGCGTAAGCGAGATACCAGGTTCGTGATGCACCTCCATCAATCCAGCTGTAGTCAAAGTCGTCCTGTGAGAAGAACTCCCAGGCTGCAGCCGGATCAATGAGAGCCAAGTTGGCATACAGAACACCCTTCCAGCCACCCTCTACTTTGGAGGCTGGGGTCGAAGCAGTGGCGGAAAACATATCTTTCCATTCCTGTGTCACAAAGCTACGTTGACGAATATAGCCAGAGTGTGGGAGGAGAGGCAACATGTGAATTCTGGAGACTGATGTTAGTCCTGAAATAGGAATAGTTGCCAGCAGATCATACCCTTGAATGAATTCGAGGTTGTTTCCGAAGTAAGTGGTGTGGTCGACCTTGTTCTCAAATAGCTGCCTGAATGTTAGTTTCTGTGTTTTGAGGGTAGAACTCAAGACTCACAATTCCGGTCACCCTGTTGGCAATAAAGTTCGCTGGCTGGTTGGTGTTGTTGTCCTGCATCAGGAAGTAGTTGTCGAGGCTTCGTCGCATGATGCCCAGCATCATGTTTCCACGGGCCTCCATGCTGGCATCGCCAGTGGTACGTCCCCACATCTTCACAGCGTATGCGAACAGAGTATCTTCCGAGGTAGACTCCTGGTCCTTGCCATCATATGACTCGAACAGACCCTTCGCCCAGGAGTGGCCGTTGAACCAGTCAAAGCCACGTGAGAAAGGAAAATAGGAATCATCTTGCACGGAGTTACCCGCATCACGAACAAGCATATTAACCCAGTCCTTATTCTCTGCAAGCCAGCTTGGATCAAGAGCACCAATGATCGCAGCAGCGTGAATGAAGTACCCATAATGGAAATGGTGGTCATTATAGGCAGTGTTTCCGAAGTCAGCGTTCAGGTCTCCAGCATAACCAGCTGTGGAAACAGCACCCTTCCAAACAGCATCGTAGGCCAGAGGGAATTGCTGCTCATTCTGCACAAAGCGGGCAAAGCTCTTTGTCAAGTTTTGCAAGGCGTCGGCAGCCAGTTCAGAGTCTTGACCAAGCTGGTTCACAGTGTAGATTAAAGTCGCGAATTTGCTTAATGCCTTGCCACTGTAGTACATACTATTAAGATCAGATTGGGCACTAATATCTTGCTGCAGCTCGGTAGGCGCGACTTCCAAAATAACTTGTCGGGCGGTCTCAGAAAGTGTGTCGACAGTTCCATCAGTGGTGGACCAGGGCGCAAAATCAATGTCGACTGGAAGATTTGCCTCGGTCATGGTCCAAGTCTCACCAATCACTGCAGTTGCATTACCCTTGGTCGTGCTTCGCATATGGATATTAGTCACACGAGCTTTCGTGCTGCTATCAAAAGACTGGACATGGTGTGGCAAGGCGAAGGTGATGAGCGGGCTCTTGTGTGCGTGTTTTCCGGCCTTGGTCCACGAAAGGCTGTACGTTCCGACGTCACCAGTGACGGAGCCTGTGATGTGGCCATCAACGGCATAAACACCAGCAGAATTGTCGTAAAACTTCTCGCCGGACTTCCCTGCGGGGTTCTTGGCGACCTGGATGGTACCAATGAATCCCTTCGGACCACGGATGCTAGACTGCGTGACCAGCTTGAGTTGGGGATCTTGACCATCCTCCGGGGTGGCATAGAGAACCCAATGGGTGTCATCCTCAAGGATGACCTGGTATTTGAAAATTCCTGGTTTGGGAGATCCGGCATTGACCACCTTGCGGAAAAACACACCACTCTCAATCAGCGGCTCGAGGTCATTGTATACACCAGTGATGTAGCCCATGCCCTGAGTAATTGGGAAAGTGATTGACTTGTCGGATCCGGGGGATCGTCGCAGTACGGCATGGGCAGAGAATGCCTTGGGATCTTCGACAGTGAGAACGCTTGACCCATCTAGCTCATAGGCAGAGAGGATCATATGCTGAAGTCCAACAGGGTTGATGTAATACTCAACAGGCGAGCCAGGAATCTTGTCATTCTTAGGGCCGAAGGCCATCACATTGGTCTCAATGTGGGTCGCTGAAATGCCCCAACTCTTCAAAGTGCCGGCCCCCCTCGACCACCCAAGAGAGTAAGGCTGGGTGAAGCTAGCATTGGTCTGCGTCCCCAAGAACAATCCTGCGTAGAACTTGTTGGTCTCAATCGGCTCTGAAGTATTGGCCTATCGTGAAATTCAGCATATAATCATACTTCACCTGGTTTACTTTCTTACATGTTTGTTGGCCACGGGGTGGTCATCACGGCTTTTGATGTTGGCCGGAGGCGCTCCAGTCGCGACCGGCTGAAAGATATCTTGACTGTCCATGCCGGAAGGATGACCGGACGGACCAGGCAAATCAGTTGAATCGGGCAAATCAGCTGTACTTGGCAGAGCAGTCGTACCAGGCAGATCAGTTGTGCCAGGCGGATCAGTTGCACGAGGCGAGTCAGTTGCGCCTGTGGGAATATGAACTGGTAGCTTTTAGCTGCATCCTATCATGGTTGAGATCATGCCATAAACGAACCTTTCGTGGTTTTCTTAGTCTGTGTTTCCTTGTGTGTTTCCTTGTGTGTTTCCTTGTGTGTTTCCTTGTGTGTTTCCTTGTGTGTTTCCTTGTGTGTTTCCTTGGGTGCTGCCTTGGGTGCTTGCTTGGGTGCTTCCGTAGGTGCTTCCGTAGGTGCTTCCGCCACAGAGTTAGCTGTTGTGGTAGCAACCTTGTGTTTGTGTTTGTGGGTCGGCAGCAATCCAGTGATACCGTCGAGGAAACGACCAATGTCAAGCCCCGGGAAGGGAAACTTCGATGGATGACCGTCCTTTTCCAACGCCACGCGATAAACCTGAAATTGTTTGTCAATACACGTTTAACCAGTTTAATGCTTTTAAAGGTTCTTACAGGCGAGGCTTTCGGGATCAATATTCTCTCTTCCGCGTTCGATGGAGGATACTGTGTTTCAAAAGCCGACACGGGCTGGGTAGCTGTTCTTTGGAGAATTTCTTCTGCCACGGCACCAACACCAGCGTTCGGCAAACAGTATACACTATCTGCAGCAAGAAGCCAAGTTAGCAAGGCTGCTGCCTTCCATGTTGATTTGATTCCCATCCTGCAAGCCCAACACAAGTACTAAGACAACTGGAATTGATAGAGCGTAGATGACTCTGTTCTATAGGCTCAACCTCCAGGCGTGGCCAATTCCAGCGAGTAATTGGTGGCGCTTGCTGGGCGTCGAATGTAGGAATGGGGAGAAAGGATTTAATGTCGAAGATGGGCTACTTACATACAGTTCAATTCCTCCAGATATTTCCGACCTGCCCGCAGGGATTGTTGTTAGTGGTCTGCAGTAGGAATTCCGGGACTGCAGATCTTCTTGGAACTCAATCGCGCTAACAAGGCGGCAAGGGCACGTAGATGGCTGTTTCACCGTGTTTTACGTGTATAGTCTGTGTTCGCCAGCAATGAAGGGCGTGTTGGATGACAACAATGGCTTGTTGCGAGGCCAGCGGGCTCCACTGCCAGGAATGTTACGCGGGGTGTAAACAACGTCAAATAATCAGGACCGCCAGACTGACAGGGGCTGGGCTCCGGATCTGGCAGCTGGAAATTAATGAGAAGCTGTGTCTAACTTGAAGATCGTTTTAAGTTTTGCGGAGTTTGGCAAAGGCTCGGAGTTGTGGATTGAAGCTGTAGGCAGCGACGTAGTGCCAAGGGATGTGGAGCTTTCTCCAACCACTGTCAACAACTTCCCCTCCATCATCTCCGGATCACTCGACAGCCATTTATCACTAGCTCTCTTCATGAGGCCTGTAGAATGTGATAGTGCTGAAACTCAGCTTCTTCCGATGTCACCTCTTGTCTCAAATATGTTCCGCGTACCATAGTCAGCTCCATGCAGACGCGTCACCGCATCTCCACTTATCACCCGAACATAATCACTCTTGTTATTTCCAAGATTGGAACGACCCTTATGCTCAATCAATGAACTCAGAGTAGCTATCCTTCAAGTATTTTTCTCCTCGTAATGTCTAAAATCTTAGCTATCCAATATACTCAAATCGCTCGGTGTTACAATCTTCCCGCGATCTTTCCATCGAAAATCAAGAATACCTTCGCTCTCAGGGTCCTCTATATTGAACGAATTACCGGGAGTCGTTGGATAGCCCTGTATGGATACAGGTTCCTTGAGAATCAGCCTGCTCAGGTAATGCAATTGCCTGGGTTCATGAGGTCTTGTGTCCAGGTGGGTATGATCTCGGGAGCGGGTATATATATATATAGTGGACCAACAACAACCTTACGAGTTACAAGCGCTACGAACTCGACAATAGATGATACTTATCTATGAGATGTTGATGCTTATATAATTAATGCATCTTATAATAAGGTAGACATACATAGGTTGAAAAAAAATAATGTCATGATATTTGGGACGGTAGCATGCTCTTACCGAGATCGATGGAAGTATACTTGCCTGGACGAAGCTGCTGCCAAAATCCAGAACCGGATTCAGGTAAGTTTCCACGCGCCCGAAGTCCGATCATAAATCCACTATTTCCTCTTGTCATCCGTCAACCACCAGCCACGAACAGTCTAGTACTTCGACATATGGCTTCTCGCGGCATGTACAAGCGCAGAGGCATAGAAGTCTAAGATCGACCCGTCGAAATCGTCTAGGGTAAGCAGGACGGGGTCCAAGAAGTTGTTAGCGTTCCAAAGAATGGCTTGAACCCTGTAGTCAGGGTCGTCCTTGTGTTACGGCACCTTTGACCAGGCACGCATAACCCCCTGAGACTCCCCTGGCAGTGTGCCGCTGCGCTCGAACACAGCTTGTCCCAACCAGTCACAATGGTGTATTAGTCCAGATTGGTGGTGTACCTCCTCTTGCCAACCGACTTCGTCTTCGACCTGTTCCTAGACTGGTTCCCATGATAGGGAGGTCCGGTAGCAGAAAACAGGGACAATATATTTGTATGTATTGAGGAAGAGTGGTCCCTTGGAGTTCGTAAAGGAGGCCTTTTGCAGTCCAGATTTCTGACCAAGAGCAAGATAGTGTTTGGCCTGAGGGTAAGAAGGCGAAGAAGTAGTAAGGCATGGTGGTAGGTATGAATCAGATGTGTTCAACATGGATGACCCACGGAAAATATATCGAGAAGACGGAAGGAAATGGAAAATTATGATCAATTTATAGTTTGTCTATCTCTTGGGGGGGTTATTATGAGATGACGTGAGTAGGAGAAGTGAGCTTTATTGTGAGAAGAGTGAAGCTTAAGAGTGAGAGAAGGAAGGATCAAGTGAGTCATAAGTGAGGTTAAGTAAATAATCCGATAGTGAAGAGCTAGTTACTTAATAGCTATTGGAATCCTGGAAAGACAATGAATAAAATCTGATAAAATTCAGTAGATATCAAAGTAGTTGTCAAGGTTCCTTGTTATCTAACCTAAATAGAAAAATATCTAAAGTGCGTACACCACATAATATCTAAAGTAAACAAATTGCTAGTGCAATTCCCCAGCGGGTCCAAAAGCATATTCTACATGCAGAAACGAAAAATAACAGCAGATGACGCCGAAAAATCACCATATCAGCCCCACCGAGCGCACAAAACAGATTCTATGCGACAAGAGCAAGGCCAAACGCAGCAGCAATCATGGGATATCCAACGGCAAGCCTGTCAGCGGCACCAGTGAAAACAGGGCTGCTTGCGGAGTTCGAAGCACCAGGGAAAACATGACCGCTGGCAGACGCCGGAGAATCGCCCGAGGGCTTGGGAATGATCGGATTTGAGGGTGTTGCTAAAGGCTTCACGTCACCCGGACCACCACTGGGACGAGTAGCAGGCTTCTGGTGGGATGCAGTAGACGTAGTCTGGGGAGGCGGTGGCCGAGGGCTAGCTTCGTTGATAGAAGCGGCATCAGCGCCACTTGGGGTCGAATCAGAAAATTGCGCCTGCGGTGTTCCAGACGGATTGAAATGGGGGGAAGGAGTGGATTTAGCGCTGGAAGTCGTATGAGGTTCAGATGCTCCCTCAGTCGGGGTCTTCCATCCAGCTGCAGCTGGGGGTTCGATTTCATAGGATGATGCGGAGGGAGTGACTTCCGATTCCTGGGCGGCATGCGAGGCATGGGAAGAGGGAATAACGGATTCGGCGGCAGCGTCGGTGGTGGAGCTTTCGGTCGAAGTGCAGACTGTCGTGGTACCGGTCACGTACTCTGTAACATATCGGGTGGTAGCGGGTTTCGCCTGGGTAGAAGCGTGGGATTCTTCCACTGATGCTTCAGTCGCGACCTTGGAAGCAGCTGCGGTAGGAGTAGATTCAACCAGGGGGGCGACAGTGCCCACAGTCAAAACGATGTCTGATGCGTGAATGGCGCTCTCGACCGAGTGGCTATTCTCCGTGGAGTGACTAACCACTGACTCCGAAGCTTGAGAAACTTCAGCTACGCGCGTCTCGGTGGCAGTCTTGGTCGCTTTATGATGCGTAACAGCTGCTTGAGATACCTCGTGAGTAGCAGAGCTGTGTGAAGCAGCTGAGACCGTGTGCTTTGCTCCAGTCTGGTACACCTTTACCGAGTTGATCTCCCAGTAAGTCTCCTTGAACTGGGCGGGATGATTGGCGACATAGTTGGTGCAGCTTGCGAAGGAGTCAGAGCTAGTCATGGGGCATCCAGAGCCACCAAACACGCCACCAGCCCAGTCACCACAGAAAGTCACATCGAAAACGAAAGATTGCGCCTTGAAGCTGTTGGCAACATCACAGCCCTCCTGGACCAGTGCCATCGGAGTGCCGAACTCGCTGACATCGGGCTCACCCTTGGTAATCGAAGCTGGAATGGACTTGCGCGGGAAGAACCAAATCTTGAGGAACTCCTCAGTCCACTCCATAGCGTACACACCTCCTCCATTGTTGTTGAACGAAGTGCCGTAGCTACCTTTATGGCCCTCGATCACACAACCCACAGTTCCTAGTGCTTCGCCGCATCCCGTTGCGTTGACAATACCCGACATACCTGTATCGGTCAAAGCGCAAGTACCGGCAGTATGCATAACAATCTCATTGTGATCCTGCAGGTTCACACCTTCGATAATATCAATCTCACCATCCTGTGGCCACTCCTTACCAACGGTCCAAAAAGCAGGCCATGAACCGCAAACACTTCCGGGCATATGCGCAATATCCGCAACTACCAATGAGTGTTCATAGTATTTCGTGGTGCCAACGCGTACCGAGTCACGACCCTTCCCACTGGTGCTCAGGGTAGTGGTATGATCCACACCGATGTATACAGTGCCCTGGTCGGTGACCTTCACTAGCCCCGAGCTCTCTGCACTGGCCTGGTCAAGATAGGTGACCCATCCATTTGTCGGGTCGGCTCCGGTGTAGAAATGGAAGTAGTCGAAGAACTCCTCGCCCTGCCATGACTCCACCAGCTGATACTCAGAGGCGACTGCGGGCGATAGGAGGGATATAAGAAGCAGCGAGCCAGCGCTGAGCGAAAGTGAAGAGGTCTTCATCTTGCGCGAAGTATTAGACAACGGCAACACAGTTAGATCCTCGTTGGTTTAGAACCGGACGGATAATATCGTGGTCACAACAGCCGATGAAGATAGAAGAAGGGATATAAATGGTTTAAACCATATACCGAATAGAAAGAGCGACAAAAAGGTTAAATCAAGGAATGGATGACAATCGCAGATTGTCAACAAAAGTCCACAAGGGGAGAGAAAAGAATGTACGGAGTCGCCACGGCAAAGGTGCGGCGCGTGAATGACATTTAGGTATTTTATGGTCCACTACCGTGTCCGATTCTTTCTTCCATTAGGGAAAGTCAAGTGCCTGGACCCTGAAACCCATTGGCAGCCCCTGGAAAGTGGCATCCTCGATGGCCTAGCCCGGAGATCCGAATTCCCAAAAGTGGGAGCGGTGGTCCATTCTTCACTGGCTGGGATTTGTTTCATCACGAAGAAATTGGTGCGCTGAAGCAGCTAGACGGCGCCTATAGTCAATATGAAACGCTATGGCTCGGCAGAGTTAGGTTCCAAGACAAGATGAAACGCCTGGGCAAGAGCACTCATCACACTGCGGGGCCCAGAAGCGCAACCCCGAATATTTCGTATCTGATCTGCCATCTCATCTTAGATGAATGCGATGAGCTCCTTGCTTGTGGTCTGCGTGGCATACCGAGATGATCATGTCACCTCACATTCTTGTGTTGCGTAGCGCGACCGTGTTGTTGACCCGGGTGATGTAAGCAGCCTAGATGCAGTGAATCGCTCAACGCATCGAGACTCTTGGAGCCATTGTATTCGCCGCTAATATAAACATGTTAGTCAGTGCGAAGGCTACGTTCGTGGGCCGGTTTCAAATTAGAAAATGGAAGGTTGCACGTTATACGGAATAGAGGTAAACCCATGGTTACCGATTCTTATCTTGGCGATCTTCTCGGCACGCGGCGGACATATTTCCCAAAATACATCTCTAGGGCTGTGCCTGTATATGGATAACAATTATTCCGGAGCAGCTGAGAGACCTTGAAATTCATCATCATTACATGTACCTGAAGAAGGGTATCTATCACAATAAATGACAAAAGAAAACGAAAATGAAAAAAAATCAACGCTTATGAAAGCAACTGAGAACCCCAGACTGCGCCAGGAACCAAAGGGACCCAGCAAACCGGAGAAGAGACAGACCAACAGTTCCCCAAACAACAGCCATAACATAGCTCCACACACGGGCACTAGGACCATCCATAAGACAGAACCTATGAATACCCGTGGAGTCCATGATAAGAACCAGAATGATGTTGCTGAAAGCCCACAACAGCACAAGATTCGTCCGGAAAAACTTGTACGAATCGTCAATGTTCTTGTCCTTTTCTTCAGGGGGTGCCTCAAATGGCGCAAGAGCCCGCTTAACTGTCGTTTCGAACGTGGAGTCGATGTCGATCTGGGGACGATCCACTTCTTCAATGACCTTTGATTTTCCATCTTTCTTGATCTGTGCTTCGGGGAGGTTCTGCTGTTTGTCTTTGATTGGTGTGCCCAGGGAAACATCGTGCCAGTTGCAAAAGGCATAGACCATCATGATGTTCGTTGAGCAGATCGTTCCAGCGTAGTAAGCCCAGGATGATGTAAGTACGTGCCACGGGTCCATGTAGAGGAGACTGGCGGCGATGTGAACACCATATGTACCGACGATGGAGACCAGGACCATATTCGAAGCTGAGACATTCCATGTCTCTGACTGGATGGCGTTTTCGTCGATGTCGATGTTGAAGTTGCCGTTTGTGTTGTTGCCGACGACGTAGAATGCCAGGACTGTCACGTAGAGCTGGATGAAAGCGAAGTACATAAAGGTGAGGAGGTAGAGCAGACGGGAACTAAATGGTATATTAGTACAAGTGGCTCAGGCCAAGGTATATCTTGCATGACTCACCCTTTAGGCCGATTTCCGAGAGACAAGATGAATTGTAGAAGCAGAAAAACAACATAGCCGTATTTGAAAAATGTATGCACGATCGGAGAGGCTTCATTTCCAAATGGCCACGCATCATTACTATTCCATGAGCCTGAGGTGCCCACGAGGTCCATGATAGCCGTGGTTATCAACCAGAATGAGGCTACAGTGGGTTAGTAATGATAGACCACCGCAAGAACCGAGCGACATACCGAGCGAAAACCAGACCAATACCAAGTTCGCAAAATCATAAACCATTTGCAGATAGAAGAGCATCAATCTAAGGACATTATGCCGACTCCTCAATATGCGCGTAGAATGAATCAAAGCGTACAGATTCGCAGCAAACGAACCATTCAACCACTGTCGTTTCTGGTTGATGAAATCCGTGAAGTCTTTTGGAACCTCAGCTTCACTCTTCGCGGATTTAACAAAAGACAAATGCCACTTCGATCCTGCCTTGGCAACCAATTCAAAGGACAAAATACGATCTCCGGCGAAAAACATATTCTTCTTGAAAATGCTCATTCCCTCGATACCCTTTTTACCGAGCTTCTTTGTAAGAACAATGTCTCCATTAAAGTACTGTTCCAATGGGCGGCCCATGATAGCTCGGTATCGGTATGCTGAGAACGCGCCGAGGGAAACATGACCAAACACACTTTCTAAAGGTTTGTCGAGGATATTGGATCTCATGTAGTCGAAGGTCTGGGCCGCGACGAACGGGTTGATCATGGATCGCTTATCGCGCAACGCACGTGTTTCACCGCAGGATCCACCGAGATTCTCATCGTTGTAGAATGCTTGCCATAAGCTAAGTAAAGATCTCCTATCGGGTTTGGTACCTGCATCAAGAAGAACAACCACCTCCGGGTTCAACATGCGACAAAAACCGTTGAACAGCCAACGGTGAGAGTTGATTTTGTTACTGGTCTGCTGCTTCAAACACAAAATCATCTGCACGGGTGGAAGATTTGTTGCTTCCTCCCCCTGTGGTCGAACCAGTTGTTGATCCGGGGTAACGGACAGTTGTGTAGTGTATTCGAACTGCGCGTGTAAGTCGATGCTCTTGGATATAGGAAGAGGCACTCACGATGTGTGCGACGGTCTCTCGGCCATCAACGGATTTCTTCATAATACCCTCCTGGTAAACACCAATAGTCGCTAACACATCCAAGGTATTCTTGTCGCAAGGGTCAATTCCATCGAAAACCATACAACAAACGATCTTTTGCCAAGCCGGTCCACCCTTATTCCAAAACTCAGACTTTCTGAGACTAGTGATGTCGCGGATATTCTGCATAACTCCATGCAAAGTCCGTGCTGTAAGAACCTTGTTCTCACTCTTGCAGGTAATACCAATCATCAATTCGGTATGCCGACTATACATTGCAGGGCGAAGGTTGTAACCATTTCGCATAACGAATTCATCAGGGTCGCAAGTTGCCGCCGTGTCTGGGAAATTAGTTGAGGCCATCCAGATCATAAACGAAAGACTTACAGCGCATGTGAGAGAACTCCTCGGTAAATTCTTCCGATTCTCGATATTTCTTCTCCATCGCATTTTGAATTGCGCTTGGCACCGGGTAATCCGCGCTTAGGACATAACCTTGCACGAGCTTAATTTTTCGCGTGGGATATCGGCGGATTCCCTGCGCAAACGTTTGCGCGAATGATCGGCGCTGTACGGGTCCTCCATTGTTGATATTGCCGTAAAATGATTGTCGGGTTCCTGGAGTTCCTGGAGTTCCTGCTTGCTCTTCTCTATTCTCATAGCCAAATTTTTGCTACATGTCGCGCAAATCGCGTTAGCTGATTTGTGTCGCGAATGATCACTTCTACCCCTCATTGCCCGGTTGAAAGTACCTACATCGAATGAAAGCGTGCTCGTACTCTGACTGTTGTCTCTCCCATGATGCGACTGAAAGTAGTCGGATAAGTGAGAGGGGGCGGGGGACGCCGAGCCAGGAGTACCCATTGCGCGTGCTAAGCTTCCCCAGCGGAGTTCGTGAGAGTCAAGAATCAGAAAGGGAAATTGAAAGGAAGAGTTCTGGATGGACACGGGTGATCAATTTAGCGAATGGACAAATGACATGCGCTAGCACATACGGGGGAAATGCCGCGTGTTCTGCGCAGCGACGACCTGTGCGAATTATTGCGGCGATCGGTTTACGGACTTGATGATCGTCAACCCTAGAGAAAGAACTGCCAAGACCTTAAAGATCCATTGTGGTGGACAAAAAAAGATGCATCGGTGTTAAGACTGATGAGGGAATGGAGCGTGTGTACAGTAGTCTAGATTTTCTCTTCTTCGCAGGGCACGATCTGATTGGAGATACGCGAGGTGTGGCCCATGGACGACGAAAAGGATGATGGTTTTGCTTGCAAAGTTGCGCAACGGTCGTACGTCAGCGGACATCGTGGCCCACTATGGACTGATGATATCGTGAATTAGTGTTGTGTTTTGTGTTTACAGAGTACGGTGGCTGTTATATCATTTGGACGGTGTTGCCCACAATGTTTCGGAGACTCTGTTATGCACTGACAGAATAGTTCATGCGACAATCCCCTCTCCGCTGCGTCCGATCCATTGACTTTGCAGGTAAAACCATGGGTCACTGCAGCAATAATTATTTGCCGGATTGTGGGTCTGAGAAAAACAGTTCCTCATTATTGGTTAAGCTCATATCGGTGTTTTAACGACCCACTCCATGCGCCCCCGGCAACAAACGCGAGGACTGCGTCGTTGCCATGATGTTCTTAGAGCGATCAGGATTACTTGGTCATGGTGAGACATAAAGGCGTCGCGATGGCGTATGGCGCCTGATGGTTTCGATGTTGTGTTGCGTTCCTCTCGGTACCTGTCAACTCGGGATGATCATTTCCTACTTTATCCTCCCCTGAACCCGAATTATTATGATCTGCCGCACCAAGGAGGGCTTTGTCCTCTTGTGGAATTTCTTTCACGGCTACTGTGGTTGGATCATGGGTAGTGAAAATTGCGGGACCGATTAAGATGACTTATTGCGCTTTATCGAAGGTGAACCATGCATCTGCGAAGAATAGCGTGTTAACAAGACGGGTGGGGCAAGCAGGAAAGTTAGTATAACAGTGGGTGAGCTACTATTTCCCATGGTCATGGCCCTAGTAGAGTTGCCGATATCATTTATGAAGTGTTAGTGCATAGCATTGTGGACCAACGATGTACTGTAGATAATATCGACTTATCTATACTTCGTTCGCGATCTAGCTCACTATGGATTCTTGTGGCGTGAGCCTACTCCTAATAAAAAGCTTATCCGCGCGAACGCAGAATGTCTGATTATTTTGGACAGCCTAAAAAAGGTACCCAACGCACGTAGACCACTCGTATTTTTTATGCCTCTAGAACGAATAGTGTCACTGTCACTAATATCTCAAAATGGGGGTTCGAGAGATATACCATCAAAGATCATGAGAAATTTAGTCTCCACCACAATATCCACGGCTGTGTAGCCCCATTGAGCAAATTGTATAGTTTTTAGAGACCATTTATCTGTCAAATCAACTTTATTTATTTAACGGAAGGACAGGTATTCAACAGTCTGATAACGATTTTACTAAGTTGCCTTTATTATCAATTGATGGATTTAAACCACACTGTTTTCCCGCTTCGCCAATTCCCCACGAACCCCAGGCAACACATAACGTCCATAATCAATAGCATCATTCAGGTTGTCATAACCGCGAATGGAGATGAGTTCAGCACCAAGATCAACATAGTCTAAAATGGAGTCAATAATAGTCTGGTAAGATCCGACCAATGCAGTAGAAGCTCCACGAGCATTAGTTGCAGTAACAGTAGGATACCAGAGAGCCCGATCCTGGACTTCACCACGACTAGCAATATCCAGCAGCCGCTGAGATCCCACATTCTGAGGGGGCAGCGCATTAGCAGGCGCTTTACCCTGCCCGTTCGCGCGGTGCGTAGTTAAGGCATCTAAGGTCTTGTGCGCCTTCGCCCAAGCAAGTTCATCGGTCTCAGCAACGATGGGACGGAAAGTAACCCAAATGCGTGGACAGTCATTCGCGGGACGACCTGCCTTGGCTGCCTCAGCGTAGATTCGGTCGATCTGCTCCTTAGTCTCCTTCAGTGGTTCGCCCCAGAGCCCGAAAATATCGGCCAGAGAGCCTCCGATGCGGTAGGCCTCATCCGAGGAACCACCGACAGAGACGGGGATAGTACCGTTAACTGGGCGGACCTTATTGCTGAACTGCTTGAATTGGTAGTATTCTCCGTCCCAGTCGAAAGGGTCGGCGGATTCCCATGCTCGGCGCAGAATGCGGATGTATTCCTCCAGTCGTGCGTAACGCTGTTCTTTATTGAGGAAGTCTCCCTCTCTGGCTTGCTCCGCGTCGCTTCCTCCAGCGATGAAGTGTACAACTGCGCGACCGGAACTCAATTGGTCCAGTGTTGCTAGGGCTTTGGCTGCGACAGTGGGGTAGAGTGTGTTTGGGCGAAGGGCGATGATGACTTTGAGGTTTTTGGTGACGGATGCGATGGTGGCTCCGATGGTGAAAGGGTCGAAGTAGGAGGAATCGTATGGTACTAAGGTGTAGTTGAACTCATAATCATCCAAGGACCGGGCGTAGCGGGTTAGATACGCAGGGTCAATCACCGCACCGGGGATTGGATTCAGCTCTGTTGAAGCATTGGGGAAAGTAAGGCTAATGAATTCTGTAGGCATTTTTTGTTGACTGCAGTTTTTCACGCTTTGTATATGTTAAACCCCTCGATTTACATGGAGAGGGAATGGTTCTTATACTTGTTTTTCCGGGGAATTTCCGGCTGCCAATATCCGACATGCAGATGATGCAACCTGGTACACAATGGCGTCTTATCACGAACAGTGGATAAATATAATCCATGTCAGTATTTACTATCAAGACAGGTCTATGGACTAGAAATCTAGCGATTTGGAGGGGTTGTGGGAAGGTGCGATGAGGGGTTTGTGCATGGCATCAATTCCCCCGGAATCACGCCATGACTTTATGTCGGTGCTGACATATAGGCAACTAGTCCCCTCATTTAATCACTGTTATACTGGGACTGGAGATTTGTAATTCAGCTCTAATCTATTGGGATACTCGATATAGGAAAGAGAAGATTGTGTAATGACCACTTGCTCTGCTGTAGACAGGTTGAAGTGTCGGTCCAGAACACTAACTATAATCCAAATTCTCTATATCTCTTGCTTTTCGCAGACTCGTAGCAATGGCTCAGGCATATAGTGAATTCGCCTAGCCACTTAAGAACAGGACATTTGACAATCCATGACAATAAACAGATAGAGTAGGGTCTGCCAGAATGCAGATTCAATAGCATGTGTATCTGGTGGAGGCGAGCTGTGATAAAGTAGAAGCAATACCATGACTGATTAAACCCTTTTCCCCTTTTTGGTCTAATGAGGCCTAGATATTGAAGCTTCGGGTTCGTGGACTTTCATTTTTCACCGATTATGCTGTCAACTATATTTTTTACAATTTTGTTCCTTCCTTCTTTTTTTGGCCTTGGATGTCTGAACCCACAGTCATCTCATGTCCGATTTTATTATTGCATCATGTATGCTAGTGTCAGTCGCTTTCAAACCTGCTAGAAAAGGATTTACCTCGCGTGGCTATATACCAAGGCATATTGCTACTACTCTATTGCTATATTGCACAATGGGCTTTCCTTTGGTGAAAACCTCCCTAGATTTGACGCTTCCATCAACGTACAGCGACCTGGAGGATTCGAAATAACTGTAGGTCAGCATACTCACGGGGTACTTCTGATGACGAAGAATATTCACAACCTGCGCAATGTAGCTAGCACTGTATGTATGTTGCTGCGTGCAAGGATTATGGGGTGCTGACAGCTTAACGGTGTTGGCTAGGTAGCCCCAATGACGGATAGAGCGGCTCTTAAACCAAGCACTCAATTTGTCGCATTTAATGTAACACCAACAGGGCAATATGTATGTAAGTCATTTCAAAATACTTTTTTCATACGCAGCTCAGCTTTGCGATTCTCCTGTCTTACTCGCAGTAACGCGGGGTTTTTGACCTATCATGTTACCTGCTGGATGGTTGCATGATCGACATGTACTTCTGTCTTGGCTGCCGGCTGATCGACAGCCAACGACGAGAATAGTTCAGCCTATTAGCGTATAAAAGAGTCCAAAATCAGACATTGGGCTGTCAGCCTGCCAGGACCTATGCTGCTGCCTAGTAGGGGTCCAGGAGGGTCCGCCTGGGAGAGAAGTCTCTCTGTCCCCTCGTTCATGTTGACCCGCACAACGATTTAATTATTCGCCTGGCTCCGTCATATCAACTATTCGATTTCTCCAACATCTTTTTTCGCTTACCTCAATTTAATTGAATTTTCAATCAACATTTTCAACTTTTAAAAATGGACCACCTCCGTGATTCTCTGCTGAGCTCTCTGCCTAAAGACACACCTTCTACAGCAACGATCGATCATGCTCGCAGAGATCAGGAAGGGACACGCCAAGCTATCGCTCGAGGTGAATTCAAAGAGGTTCGGGACATGGCCTTCAGTAACCGGACCTGGGTCGTTACCAAGCGATACTGCGACATTGGAGATGGTGTAGACTTACTTGAAGCTCACATTCATTCCCTATGGTACATGTATTACGAGCTCGGCCGAAACATATCCTCGGAATCACCTGAGCATGAAGGAATAGTTCTCGATATCCTCCGCATACAAGGAATGGGGCCATTGACTAGACATGCACGCGGAGTCAACGGGATTGATATTGCAAGAACCGTCGACGGTACACTGTGGAACGATCTCCCCTTCTTGGTTGGTGATATGACCAATTTCTGGGTCAATCACAGCGCCTCTATGTCGGGAATACACCGTCTCAACTTGGCAACATTTCTGGCTAAACTCGCATCTACTCGTGTCGCTAAGGATAGGCTGTGCCAAGTTGCTCTTCTGATCTTCCGTTCTCTCTTCGAAAGCCCTCGGGCACTTCGCACTGGGGAAGAGTCAGACGAGAAAGATCTCAACCGAGGTACCAGGCAGCTTGAGGTTTTTCATCTGTTACCCGCTGCTGTTGCTTGGCTGAAAATAGCAAGTCACAATCTACTGTTGCTATCAGAGGTATATTGGAACGACTGCCCTAGCGCCATCAGCAAGGGTGGTGAGGATTTCGTGGAATCGGAGCTCGGACAGCGATCACCTGCTGGATTTTCGCTATGGAGATATATGTTCTGGCTGAAGCGACTTCATGAGATTCAGGGAGAAGCTAAGGAGGATAATGAGAAAGCCCTGGAGGGCCTTGCCACTGATGGCATCCAGTACATGATTAACACAATTAAGGAACGGAATTCTGAGGTCCTCAGGGCTTACAAAAACGGTGGCGATGCCCTACATCAGGATAAGCATCTTTCGTGCTTGAAACCCCTTGCACGCGTCGAGGAGCCAGAGTCTTAAGAAATCGGATGAAGCTACGAAGGACATTCCAAAAAATGCCACGTAGACATTCACCTCCTCCTACCTATTTTTGCGGCCTCCCAAGTCTCCAAGTTTAATGCCACTGTTTTCGCTTCTTATTGCCAACTTTCCATTAAACTCAATCCTGCCTTTTCCATAAGAATGAAGTAATAGTGAGACTGGCTGCCTTTGATAACTAAATTTCACGTCTCCTACAAGTAAGGATGGCTTAGAATATCATATATCTCAGGCGATTTAATGCTCCGGTCCTGTAGGAAGTATCATCATCTAAGGAAAAATTGGCGCTTTGAGATGGCAGCGACTCAGCGTCCACTATGCACAACAGATGGAAAGCCAGCTGTCTCCACTCTGAATCGTCAAATCTGCTGTTTCGTCAATCCTAAGCTTTTCATTTCTCTTTATTTACTGAATGATCAGACGATGTTCAATCCACTCCGGCAAGCCTGAGACATGGAAGGGACACAAATTCATTCACAAACTCTATCTTCCTTGCAAAAATAAAATCGTAGGGCATAAAAACCGATATTAATACTGGAGCCTTGAGGTCTTAGTGTGTCCACAGGTATGTCTGCAGTTTCTCCGTACAGAAAATAACGCGTCCAGTTCCACTTCAATTTTGCAGACTATATACTATACAAAGCTAAGAAGTATTGTTTATAATTAATTGTGGCTGGTCTATTCCCAAGGTCTTTTGATGACTATATCTATTTAGATTGTGAGCACGAAAATATTTCAGGCCTAGGCGAGAATTAGGTCCGGGTCGGGCCGGACTTGGCGTATTGAACTTGGCGCATGAAAGGATTTGACCGCCGCATGTATCACTAATCATTATTTGTCTGTTCAAAGGTTGATCCAAACTGCTGTCATAGGATATTTGAAGAAACGAGGTTCCTCAATAATGGATTCTGTTCCTTACCCTTCAAACATTGTACGTAAGTCCTAGAAGCTAATTACAGAGTATTCGCGGGTTGAGCTCTCAGTTCAAGATTTTTGCGACCTCTGGTGAATCTGCGACTAATTCACTCCACCACCTTGGGTTACATATGCCGGCTCAGATCCTACATTCCGTCACATTGCATTTGCCCTGAATTTGTAGGGTTACATCGCATATACGCTTTAGTTGGTCGGAATTTTGTGTTAGCCTTGCAGCAGGCTATAAGGCTGTGTATGCAGGGTCTGCGACACGACCGATGGGGCCGATTAGTAGCGTTAGCATCGAGTCAATGATAGCATTGCGTATTCTATACCTCGCATAAACGACATTTCCGTCACTATGTTCGGTGATCTGAACATCATTCCATTTTCTATAATCACCGAGAATATAAGGCCACCCAAGAATTCGATATTTTGCTATCGGACTGGTTGCTTCGATCCTTCTGCACGGGCTACCCAAGTGGTAGAATTTACCAAAAACGCGGCTTTTTCAACTAACAAGTTGAATGCGCTTTTGGTACATGAGGCATATCCTTAATTGGATGGCTTGGATGATCATTTGACCGTGGCCCCATAGCATGATGACTGCATCGAACTTCAGGATGGTATTTGTCAAACATCACAGGAATCATGCGGCGTTCTCTATATAAAAGACTTTCAAAGCGCTCCAATCTCTGAAGTATGAATCCCACCAACACAATTTCTTTCTCAGACCGTATACCACAATCTTCTACGAGACGAATCTCCCACCATGCAGATCATCAGCATTACCATTGTCCTCTTCGCCGCAATCGGCGCGGTTGCCAACCCCATCGCGACCGAGTCAGACGATCTCAATGCCCGGGACCTACAGCTTAGTAAATACGGAGGAGTAAGTTCTTCTTCTGAAAAGTCGAAGATAAAACTAACCTTTCTGGATCAATCACAGGAATGCAGCTTGAAACACAACACGTGCACATACCGAAAGGGTGGAAAGGACCATGTAGTTAATTGCGGTTCGGCTACCAACAGAAAGGTAAGTTTCAATTGGTTCCGGGCCAATTTATCATTTCTAATCATCCAATCTTCATCTACAGTGCAAGACTGATCGCCACCACTGTGAATACGATGAGCACCACAACACGGTCGACTGCCAGACCCCAGTTTGAAACAATTATAAGGCTCCACGAGGAACGAAATCCTTAGCTATTGTCATTTTCTCCAGCTCATCATAGGCCTGAGATGATTCGAGTCTCTTAAAATCAATGATATTACATTAAGGAGGGCTTGAACAAGCAGTGAATTTTATCCATATTGAGGCGATGTATTCGTACATTCCCAAGACTTCTCTTCGTTCATATTCTTCGTTATCACCACACTCGTTCGATATCTAGCCAGCTCTACTATCATCAACATGTTGCTATTAACTACCTAATTCATTAAGTGATACTATTAGTAGCGATGCTAGCGAGCTATACTTGGCTATATATACAATCTAATTCAAGCTACCCGATGCCGAGTGAGATGCTAAAAGATACAGTATATAATACCGAAGGAACGTGCTTACTCAGTGAGCGAAAATTGGAAGATATAATCACTAATATGGAGAGGAATTGGAAGATGTTGCGCAGCCTCAAATTTGCTGTACATGGTTGAACATAGTGTGTCGCGGAATTCGAATGTTTTTAATGTTTATTTTTTATTTTCTTGACAGGCCCAGTCATTTTTCGGTGGCGTTCAACGGCAGCCGCACCCACCTCTGCTGTAACTGAAGAGCTTTTCCATAAATAGTATGGTATAAGATCAATATTCAAGCTTCTTCTATGCATATGGGTTTGAGGCGAAATTGATACACCAATCAAAACTCTCAATTGTCATTCAGAATGCATTGCCGCCAATCAGCCGAAGTCGCTTGGAATAACCTCACCTCGGGGGCGAATACGCCCACGGCATTGGTCGGAGGTAGCTCGCGATGGCAAAAACCCGCCCCACTAACCCACCGGAACCAAACAAAATCACCCTGGCGATTCTCCAAAAAGCAGAAAATTGAAGGAAAAAAAAAGATTTTGCCGATTGATTTCAAAATCCACTCAACCGTAAAACAACCACCTACAAGCCCCCCGTGTATACTTCGTGGGTCCTATCCTATGCACCATGTCCGAAGTTGTATATATCACTGTTGAATCACCCGTCCAATTACATGGAGCCCCAACGCAGCCATATTGGATTCATCCGCACATAATTGACAGTATCGATCCGGTCAAGGGTCGTCAATTCCGGGTTTCGGGTCATATTCCCAAAGGCACCTGTCTTCTTGTCGACCGCCCCTATGCAATTATTCCGGTCGTTGATGATCCAGCAACCAATGGGAATCTTATCTGCAGCCATCCGGCTTGTAATCGTCGAATTGCAGACACAGAACGATATTCGTGTCCCAATGCGTGCATAGATGATGTTGTGTGGTGCAGCACTACATGCAGAGATCTGGATCAAGCTCGCCATGCATTCGAATGCACATGGCTGAAAAGGTATTCGAAGCCTATTCGATCCAAACGTGGTGAATATGAATTTGGTATGCTGTGGTTGATCATCCGTCTTCTTGCCACCCGGCAGGTCGAAGTACAAAATTCATTAGCCATAGATGGAGGCAAACCTTGCTCTCCAGTGTCGAAACACGGCTGGGATGGTATAAACATGTTATGCGGATCTGTTGAGACATGGTCTCACGACCGAGTCAAATCTTGGTCCACTCTGGCTAAGAAATATCTCCAAAGCAGCACAATCTTGCCGCATGGATTAAGTACAGACCGCGTCATTCATCTGATATGCCAAGAAGAGGCAAATTCTTTCGGCCTCTACCCAAGGGAAACTGGTGTGTTCCCTATTCCAACCCCCCTTCGTTGACAGGGGGGAGCAGTTTGCAGCGGCTGTATATCCCACCGCGGCAATCGCCAACCACTCATGTTTGCCAAATGTAAGTCCTTCAAGTCTGTTTAACTGCCATTGATGCCGTATTAACTTTCCCTATCAGATCATTCACAAGGCTGATGATCAAGGCCGCATGGTGTTTACTGCATCTCGAGACATCAATGAAGGCGAAGAATGCTGCATATCGTATTTCGACCTGACACAATACACCGACCTCAATACACGTCGTCAGCATCTGAAAAATTCATTTCGGTTCACGTGCAAGTGCGAGCGATGTGTCTCCGAGGAGCCTGTTGAGGAGTCATCATGGATCACGTTATCAATGATGAGCATGGAGTGAGTATAGATCGCTAGACTGGAGAAAATAGTCTTTCGCTTTCTGAATTAGCGAAATGAGTGCATAGCGTATACCTGGGCATCTTGTTTCTTGCATTTTGGGGCTTCTTCTTTCCAAGGCTCTTCTCGTCTGTCAATTACATAGCATTGTCAACAAAAAGCTTTCCTGTCAAATTAAGCTATAAGATTATTAGACTTATGGATGTACACGTCAGCCCACCTGGCCACGATCACCGGTGCAATTTATGTAATAAAGCAGCATCCACGGCAGCTTGAAGGAATCGATCATTGTTATGACATCATCAGTGGTTAAAAGAAAAGTATAGCATCTGTATATGTTTTTTACGTAACGGGTTCAAGGCTTCAGGACCCGAAGGACAGGAGCGCCAAATATCACGTAGGTTTTAAAAGCTTACTTGCTGCTCATTTTCAATTCACTCACTATAGCATAAACATCTAGGGCACTAGTGCTCCTTGAGGCCTGGTACATAATACATTACGTCTATTCTTAGCAAACTTTCTTTCTATCTAGAGAGAAAAAAAAGAAGACGGGGAGCTCGATGATGTAGTTTGAATCTGTTCGGTTGCCTAGTGGGGCACGCTATGCCAAGTGGAAAGGATACACAGCCAAATCTCAAGCTGACCTCCGGCTTGATACTCGTCATCACGAAAGTGAAATATAATTTCACCTTCACTTTTTCATCGGCACTAAGAGCCCCATAAAGTGTTGAATTCGGACCCTAGGCGGTCAAGAAGGCGAATACTTGATGGGTGCAACTCGGCAATTCGGCTACATACCATTGGGATGAGTAAGAATCCTGAAGTCGGCTGTATGGGTATAGCGGATCCCGGGTATGGCGCCCTTAAATACCAAGCTTGGAGCTCACCAAAGACAACAGTATAACCGCTACTATGTTCCGATCACGCTGTCAAAATATCCTACGGTCGCGATGCGTGGTGCCACCCGTTCAGGCAATGACTTGTCATCCCCTGACACACGCAGCATTCTCCACCTCGGCTCGACGTGAGCTCATGGAGACAAGTGGTTTCACCGAGGAGCAACTGACTGTTCGAGATGCCATTCAAAATATTTGTTCAAAATTTCCAAACACCTACTGGCAGGAACGCGATCAGCAGGAGAAAGACCCCAAGGAATTTCATGCAGCCCTAGCAAAAGATGGCTGGCTCGGCATTGCCCTCCCGGAATCCCTGGGAGGAGCAGGCTTAGGTATATATAACCCAGATTGAAATTCTTTGCCGTGACTGATCGCTTTTATCAGGTATATCTGAGGCTACAATGATGATGCAAACCATCACGCAATCCGGTGCAGGCATGGCAGGAGCGCAAGCCATCCACGCTAACGTATATGCCACACAGCCACTAGCTCGGTTTGGTACTCAAGAACAGCTAGAGACTACCATTCCTAACATCATTAATGGGACCTGGCGAACTTGTTTTGGAGTCACAGAGCCAAACACAGGCCTGGACACCCTTAAGCTCAAGACCCTAGCAAAAAAGACAGCGGATGGATACACCGTGACTGGTCAGAAAATCTGGATCACTTGCGCGCAGGTCGCGTCGAAAATGATTCTGTTGGCTCGAACTACTCCACTCGAAGAAGTTAAGAAGTCAACAGAGGGACTATCAATGTTTTGCATTGACCTAAACCGCGATCAGCCGGGGTTAGATCTTCGCAAAATCAAGAAAATGGGCGGTCGCGCCGTGGATGCGAATGAAGTGTTCTTCGACAACTACACTATCCCCGCAAACGCACTCATCGGCCAAGAAAACGAAGGCTTCAAGATCATTCTACACGGTATGAATGCCGAACGTTGTCTTCTAGCTGGCGAAGCCCTCGGCCTAGGATACGCTGCACTAGAAAAGGCCGCTGAGTACGCCAAGGAGCGCGTGGTATTCGGTCGTCCCATTGGTCAGAACCAGGGTGTTTCGCATCCGCTCGCTGATGCGTATATGAAGTTGGAGGCGGCGAAGCTTGCGACATACCATGCTGCGAGACTTTATGATACGAATGACGGCTCAATCCCATTCCATTCTATTGGTGTCGCATGCAACAGTGCGAAGTATTTGGCTGCTGAAGCCGCTTTCACGGCTTGTGAAAGGGCTGTTTTGGCTCATGGTGGTATGGGTTATGCGATGGAGTATGATGTTGAACGGTACATGCGCGAATGTTTCGTCCCCAGGATTGCACCTGTGAGTCGGGAAATGATTCTGAATTACGTTAGTGAGAAGGTGTTGGACTTGCCTCGAAGCTACTAAGCTTGTTGGAAGTACATATACTATGGTATTTGAAAATATAGATAAATTTACTTCAAATTCGATCCCCGCGATCTGAATCATGCTCGGCATTCGTGAGGAGCTTGGTCCGGGCTAGATAAGATTGACCAATAGACCAAGATGATACAATATTGTCGCGGCCATTATTGCCTTCTTCGTCGCCTAGGTCGAAGAACGTAGAGAGACTCTCAAATTCTCGTGACATACAGAGGCCAAAATCGAAGGTGCATTGGGCAAATGCCTCGTGTTGTATTACTCAGGCACCGTGCATAATGCCGGTTTCAATTAATATTTACCCATTTGAATCACGTGTAGTGTCAGGGCGAGGAAAGCACGATGGTCTGCCTTACTCCACCTTTATCCACCTGCCGTGGGTCGGATCGAACCGTCGACGTAAGGCAGCATCTACATTTCCAAGGAACACCCGGCCTCAGCGGACAATCTCTCATCATATTGTGCTTGTTCATATGTCGATATCTACTCTCTGGTAACATTAGCACCCACATCAGATGCTATCAACTAGGACTTCTTCTACGAGAATGCGATACTGATTGGAATAGTTGATCTCGGCATAAAACTGCATTCTTATAGTCTCAAACTTCATTGAAACAGTCAATATGACCCCGAACGCCAGTCTCGCACTTGAAAGATTACGTGAAAGAAACTATCAGCTTGAGGATGAACTTCCAAAACTCAGAAGCTTAGCAAGGTTTCAGATGGAGGGCGATCGTACCCAAGACATCGAAGTCACGGGACAGAAGCACTCAGAAACGACCACGGAAACTCTTGAGAACGAGATCAAAACCCTTCGAGCCGCTAGTGGTAAGAGCGCGCAATACATTCACGTCATAGAATATTTTGGTAACAAGACTCGGGATGTTTTAGATCAACACGTTAGAGAAAAGGAAGACCTCCGGTATCAACTTTCGATTCTAAATAATCAGCACCATGGTGCGACAGAATTATCAAAAAGCATGGCTGAAGGAAATATACGTCGACAACGTGATGAAATGCGCGAGATGAAGGAACTTAAGGGGATGGTTGTACTGCAAAAGGAAGAGATTAGGATATTGAGGGAACAGTTCGAGACCAAAGCTACTCAGCTTAAAGCTGCTCGCAAAGAATTATCTAAGGCTATCACGGAGAGAAAGTTATTCCAGAAGGATTTTGAGAGGGAGAAAAAGAAGATTGAGAAAGAAAAAAAGAAAGTGCACAAGTTAAGAAATCGGGTCCATGATCTTGAAAATTCGAAGGCATCTAAGTGGTAACCGTTTTGGAGGTGGTGAATATCATGCTAAAATTGCACAATGAACACTTAAGCATAGAACATGCAAATTGGAACAAACGATACTATTCGATGTAACTACTTTATCGTGAGATCCCATAGGACGTCGGCGCGACGGACCAATCGGTGTGAGCCGATTTGCTGTTCTCCTTTCTCCAGCGACCCATCAGTAGACGGGTATCGCCGAACGTCAGCAAATTACCGGGGGGTCGAAGGCAATGCTTTGACTCATCTTTTTTAATATGAGAAAAGCTCATTATGACCAATCAAATGGATCACTGAAATCTGTTCGCGTATATATTAGCTTAAAAAAACATGTAATCAATGAACTAGCAAAGTAAAGTACCAATCCTTCGAAATGTAACTGTAGAAGGTCGAAACTATAAAGCGCTGCCGGTTTTCTCGTGAATATCATTAGAATCAGTGCAAAATCTGCTCTACTACTCCAAGTTTATGAATAACATCTTATACCAGCTACAATGGGACGGACCCTTACATACCCAAAGCGGTCCTCAAACACAGTTAATCGATACAATAATCGAGGTAAGTTAACAACTACACAAACATAACAATCAAGCTCACAACCCGCAGCAACATACGACCTGGGCGCGATTCACTCTATAATCAACGAATCACAAGTCCTCAATGTCTCCTTCAATCCAGGACCTGAAGATCCATTCCCAACAATCCTCCCCATGATTGGCCAAATGGGATCCTACGAATTCCCATCCGCAGACATAAACGAGCCATTGGAATGCTACCTGCACGGCTATGTCAGCTCCCGAGTTATGAACCTCGCACGCAGCACCGAGGGCGAGGGACTCCCCATCTGCATCGCAAGTAGCAAAGTAGATGGGTTAGTCATGTCTCTCACCCCCAACTCGCATAGCTATAACTATCGCTCTGTGGTCTTGCATGGATACGCAAATCTCGTCACGGATGAGGAAGAAAAGCTTTGGGCAATGAAGCTGATCACTAACTCGGTGGTCGCTGATCGATGGGATAACACGCGGGTTCCTCCCGACCGGGCGGAAATGTCGTCCACTGTTATTTTGAGGGTTAATGTTGTTGATGGGAGTGGGAAGATAAGGAGCGGGCCGCCTTCTGATGAGCGTAAGGATACGGATAGGAATGATGTTACTGGTCGTGTTTGGACGGGTGTTATTCCCGTATATGAAACATTTGGGGAACCGGTTCCTAGTGACGGGAATCGAGTGTCTGAGGTCCCTGGGCATATTTCTGAATTTATTACGGCGAGGAATGAGCAGAATCGGGGTTCGGCTGAGAGGGCAGCACGGCCGCCGGTGGGATCTGATTGATATGCTGTAGAATCGTGCTGAATTAATTCATATTTTCTTGTCTTCTTCATCACCAAGACTAAATGTACCGACTGATATAAAGAATTGCTACACTGCTAAAGAAAGGAATCGTGGCCGAGAACGGCCTGGGATTTACTTTCAATTGGTGTTCTGGCGCGTATTTGTTATCGGGCAGAATGAATAGAATACCGGGATCACCCATACAGAGAGAAAGCATGGAACGGCGGTGAGCATAAACGGTTAGATTTACACGGAACGGTGGGGCAGAAACGGAAATAAAAACAAAAACATTGAAGTATGTAGACCTTGGCCGTTCTCGGCCACGGTATTGGGTTCTTCACTTCCAAGATTTTTGAACAGGGACGAGGGGAGGGTGTATATATCTAATGCGGAAAAAATTCGTCAAGCATGGCCCTAGCTGTTGATACACTAGCTACCCTGCTCTCTAGGGAGAGATTTGACTTTCTCTCTTCCACTTTTCAGTCATCTCTTGAATCTGACGTGCTCTTTGATAGTCATCATGATTTCCAGAGGCCATCGCATTTTTCAAATATTGTTGGCTGGCTCAGTCGCTTATCTTCTCTTCATATTACTCGGCAGCTCTCTGCAAGTTGCATGGCCTAAACAACTGCCCTACCTTGCTCAGAGGACCTTTTCTTCGAGGACGTTCAGCCATATTCAAAACGAAACGCTCGGGGTACGTCATTCTTTTACATTCCATTTACATTGTTGTGTTCACTATCTAATATGATTAGTTTGAGCACATCTACGCCATCGGCTTACCGGAACGCACGGACAAACGCGACTTCCTTGGTTTGGCCGCCTCTTTGTCTGGCTTCAAGGTCGACTGGCTCGATGGAGTTCGCCCGGAAAGCCTGAACCAGAAGGCTATGCCCAAGGTACGCACTTTAAGCAGCCAAGGTGACCCCTGCTAATAATTTCCAGGGCCTTGACATAGAGACAACAAAGCCGACTATTATTGCGTGTTGGCGTGCCCATATGAATGCTTTGAGAAAGTAAACACCCACCATTTCAAAAAATCCACTCATACCCCTTACAAAACATGCACTAATGACATTCAAAATCGCAGGGTTGTCGAAAACTCATTCTCGACCGCTTTGATCCTAGAAGATGATGCAGACTGGGACGTGAACATCAAAAGCCAGCTCACCGAATTCGCCCACGGCTTACACACAATTCAAGGAAACAAGAAAGTGTCCCCCGAAGCTCCCTACGGAACTGACTGGGATTTGCTATGGATTGGCACGTGCATGACTGGACCAGCTCAGAACGAGACACACTTTTACGCCATCCCCCATGACCCCACAGTCGCAAGTGTCAAGCAACGAGTCAGAACGGAAGGAATCCCAGATAGATGGCAGCAAGATTTCCCCGTAGACTCAACTCGATACATCTATCATGCCGAAAATGGATGTTGCCTGTACGGGTATGCCGTTTCCAACCGCGGGGCAAAACGTATACTGGCTGCGCTGTCTGTTGATCACCTGGACATGCCCGTGGACAACTCTTTGAGTGATATGTGTGGTGGTGTCAGTGGCAGACCAAAGATTGATTGTTACATCCCGTCTCCCGGCTATATTGGTACCCACAAACGGGCTGGACCCTCCTCTCAAGATTCCGATATTGAGAGTGGCGATGCTAGCAAGTTCCATGAAGAGAGGTCGTGGAATATCGTTTACAGTGCCAAGCGAAATATACATCGCCTTGTTGCTGGGGAACACATATTCCACAATCAATGGCGAGATGAGCCTGAGCCGTGGCAGTTGGCGGAGGTAGACGTGGATAATTTCGAGCATCCACAGGGCTTTCTTGTTGATTTGTGAATTTCAATGACCTCATCATCTTGGAATAGGTCTGAGCCAATGGCGGCTGTGAATGCCATTTTTCTTTTCTTTGACGTGGTTTCTTTCGTGTTGGATTCTTCCTTGGTCAACGGTCTGTGCAGGCTATCCACAGTCACCTGTGTACGCTTAGGTGCGGGTCTCAGGTATAAAAGACGATTATAAAGGCAGGAAAGCTGGATATGAAACCCGATGATCTACCCGGCAATTGGGTTCCGATGTGCATGAGTCCAACTCATTTACCACGACAATTATAATGGACCAATTCATAACACTGCCTCACCTCAACAGCAATTCCGGACCATCCATCTTAGATGAAGTTTTATTCTCTGGCCTATATCTATGCCGCAAACCCCAACAGGAAAACCAACGTAATGGACTATGTAAGATTCTATTTCTAACTGAATGCCACAGAGCCTCCATGGCTCCACAGAAAGCTAGGCTATACGAAATACCTTCATGGATCTACGGAACGCCTACCTCGTTGGGTTACCGTAGCAGCATCTATTCTAGAATCATTGTCTCATTCAAGAACCACGAGGTCCGAGCCACGCGGCTCTAGCGTCGCCGTCCAATGTAGGGCGAAGGCTGACTCGAGCTTATGACTAGGCAGCTCGTATTCTGAAATTCTCATGGAAAAAAATATTCGCCCCCACTTGAAGATCCTCCCGAATGAATGAGAGCCTTGCATGCTTCGCCCGGGCGCGTGCATCGGAATCCAGATCGAGGCTCAAAACTATATTATGCCGACCTTAGGCGGGCTGTCAGCTGACCAATCACAGCGCCCAAATTGTCATAAATCGCCCCCGCAGGTGAGCATGTTTGTTACCCGGGTTTAATGAGGCTGAAGTCCTTTGAAGAAAACTTGAACCTAGTCGTTGACTGCAGTCGAGTATAAGTAGATGTGAGTGCCTCGTCTGCCGGTTCTCTCTTCACACAACATATACAGCATCTTGAAAATTCGATACGGAATTGCAGTGCACAACTATTACTCGTTTAATTATTTCGAGACAATGACTTTTTGGGATCACGAAGGTCTTACGGACAATTCATTCGAACATGCGCCAGATAATACAGCTTTTCCAGCTCAGTCCTCGCGCACTGCGCCTCAAGGTAAAGAAATCCCAAGCTCAAAGTCCCACAAGAAGCCTTGGTTCACGAGAAGTATAGGGTTCACCTTCACTTCTGCACCGGCTACAGTCATATACGAAGGCTACAAGTTTTTCAAAGCGGACCCAATCCCGGGCCAAGAGCCTTCATGGACAAAAGTCGAGCGCACAAAAATGCACATGACACAAAGAGATTTCTGCAGGAAGGTACAGAAACGAGCGAACAAAATCTCGGCAGCACAACAATACCAATTCCTTTCTGGAATTCGTCAGGCGCACGTCAATCAATTGATTGCTGAGCTGCGACCACTCGACCCTAGTGTTGAATGGAGCTGTGTATATGCTAAAGAGCGTGAGAAGCCATCTAAAGCTCGCAATAATCATCGTGATGATTATGAAATTGTCTCTATGCAGATAATTTTGATGAAGCGGCCTGTGGAGACAAAGACGCATTTTAGAACGCCTATGGGGGATCTTGTGGACTTAGGTGTCCATTTTGGATCGCACCCAAATAGGGCAAAAATAATTCGTGAAGAGGAGGATCATGAGGTGGATCAATCTTTACTTACTGCGTTTAGAGATCGGTCTGTGCCTGCTTTCCCGACGACTCAGCGGAGTCAGAGATCCCTGAGTAATGAGGGTGCTGGACACCTTCGCGGAGCGCAGGAGCCTCTAGCTCGCCCTGCGACTGCTACTGCTATCAGGCGAAGGCCGGATATAGACCATGATCAAACTTGGAGAGGCTTTGAGAACCAGGAAGCAAGGTCGCCAGAGTAAGCTTCCTTCTACCCATGCAAACCATGATTTCTAACTATGACCTGTTCCTAGATCTCAAATGACATCAGCCGCTCAAGAAGACGGCGAAGAGGAGGAGGAGGGCTATGTCTCGGAAAATATTCAGGAAGAGGATACAGCTCCACCGCACCAGACACCAACTAGTGAGACTTCCACTGTCGGAAGCCCAGGTAATGTGAGCTGTTCTTGTCAGGAATCTGCGGTCCCGCAGAATTCGACATTTGATGCGAGACAGCACAGTCCCAGCCAGTACGACTTTGGCTTTAGGTCTCACTTCGAGCGAAGACCGCTTGTGCCGAATGGCAATGATGATATCAGGCGGAATTTGAGGAATGAGCCTTGGTATAACTCCTGTGCCATACCTGCAAAAAGACATCGGTCATCAGTGTCAGATGCTAGAATGTGGGAAAAGAAAATCCGCATTCAGCAAATGAACGAAGAGGAGATGCGTGACCGGCTTCTAGATTGTGAGGCCCGCATTGAGCAATGGGAGAAAATCCTGCAGAATCAGACACGGATACTCGGGTTACAGATGCGGATTGAGGCCCCTCCGGGGCAGCGGTTTCAGCTATAATATGGCTTTAGAAAGCTAACCGATGTGCAAGATATAGAGCATGCGCTTCACACTTTTGTAAGCTTGGGATCCTGGGATGGAGGTGGATGGTGTTACAGGTTGAACTGCTAAAAGATCCCAATGTGGATTTTTCCTCATTTTGGACCTTTTCGCCGTTCTCTCCGTCGCTCCGTACAATAATGTAATAGTATTTATTTTTTTAATGTGATTGCTTTTGCTGGCTCAAATTTGGATCGATCATACGTATGTGTCTGATCGAAATATATACATAGACGTCTTCCATTGGGGTTGCGAATCCACGGCATGCATTTGGGTATTGAATATGACTAGTTAAGACAAGACAATATAATGTTGATCTCTCAGTCAAAAACGTAACGTCAATGCAAGGGTTAGCATTTTTCATCTAGCTAAGGTCTCAAGGAAAAGTCAGAACCAATACCAGCAAGCCCGTTGATTCAACCATGCGACACTATCATGAAACCCCCAAATAGCTCACCTATCTGAATCGAACTTGTCAAGTTTGAAACTCGCCAGAATCTACAAGTCCTGTCTCTGCCCATTCCAAGGCCTCCCGTTTGAGTCGATAATGTCCACCAAATTTTGACTCTTCTCCGAAGCCAGTTGCTTGACTGGTCCCCGAGAAATCTTCAAAAGCTTCTTTGCCTACCACAGCGCAAATGGGGGACTCAATTCAATATTTGTTAGCCATGTTTCTATTTTGATCCCATTGCTTTCCAAGCCAGCACTAAGAAAACGATGATAACATACTATGTCATTTACAATATCTATAAAATACTATGGCTGAGTAGATAGCAGCATTAGCAATTTGGCCCTGGAATCGGCTAATATCACTATTCCAAATTTCACATACATCTTTCCCGAGCCTATCTTGAAACACGCTAGTCCATTTTTGATATAGTTCCTTTTAAAAATTCCGTAATGTGGTGTAACATAGCAATGTTAATCCCCTAAGTTACCGGAAATACTGATACATCTCTTAATCGACGTGGCTACTTTTCATAGCCCATGCTCAGCCCCGCTTTAGGCATCAAAGCAGCTGTGGCCCTGCGCGGTGAGGCTGAATCCCGCCTCTAAGATTACAAGTATATGAAATTGAATCCAGAGCTGAGATCGCCTGTTCTCCCGGCCTCAAGAACTGCTATCGATCACGATGGCTGATCCACTCTCTATCGCGTCAGGGATTGCTGGGCTGCTTTCATTCGGCATTCAAGTCACCCAATCTTTGGTCAATTTTTACACTACCTACAAGGACCAAGACGTCGATCTAGCAAAGGTTACGCAGAATCTCGACAACCTTCAGAGCATCTTTCGAGCCCTTGATGTTGCAGTAGAGGGACGCCGATCGCAGGCCGACAGCCAAGATCTTCTCCGGGAAGTCGAAAAGGCTGTCCAGAAATGCGAGGAGATCATCTCCGAGCTGCAGAGCGAGTGTGAGAGATTCCACAAGGATGCGGCCGCGGCCGCGGGTTTAAAGGATCGCGTTAAGGCTGCTGGGCGTCGCGCGGCCTATCCATTTCGGAAAAGTACTCTGCAGAAGCTCGAAGAAGACATCAATGACATACGCGAAAATCTTTCGTTTGCACTCGACGTCCTGCAGCTAAAGAGCCAGAGTCAGATTCAAGATGGGATATCAGAGGTCATTTCACTTGTCGAGCGAATAAATGCTAGTCAAATCTCTCTCACGATTCGTTGCTGGCTTATGGCGCCTGATGCCTCTCTTAACCACAACGCTACGTTAGCGAAATGGCATCCAAGCACAGGTCTTTGGTTCATCAATGGCCATCGATTCCGGATGTGGCTAGAAGAATGCAACTCCTTCATATGGCTAAATGGCTTTGCAGGATGTGGCAAGTCGGTCCTTTGCTCAACCACAATTCTACATACGTTTCGTCAGATGAGCCATAAATATGGAGTCGGAATCGCGTTTTTCTACTTTTCTTTTACCGAAGAGGCAAAGCAAGATGATAAAGGTATGCTACGCACGTTGCTATTACAGCTATCTGTACAGCAACAAAACGGCGAAAGAGAGCTGGAGCAATTACATGCATTATATGAATCCGGATCTCCCCCAGTGCATGCGCTGCTTGAGTCACTACGGCGCCTCCTTGATAGATTCCGCTATACTTATATTCTACTTGACGCATTAGACGAGAGCCCTCGAGACTGTAAAAGGGAAGGTGTCTTAGAAGCGATACAAGTGATACGCAGTTGGTCGATACCTAGTGTCCATCTTTTGGTCACAAGTCGGAGCGAGCTGGATATCCGTGAATCATTAGATCCTTCCCCTGATCAAGATCTTACATTAAGGAATTCGGAAACCGATAGAGATATAGCAAACTTTGTCTCTTATCGGCTTAAGGACGACGCGAAACTCCAGAGGTGGAAATCGCGTCACGAAGATATTGAAAAGAAATTGACAACAGGTGCACAAGGAGTGTAGGTTTCTGATAACAAAAGCTAGTCCTCACTATTTTGACCAACATGGCATATAGGTTCAGATACGTCGAATGTCAGTTCAACGCTCTTCGGCGGGTGAAAAACGTGGATCAGCTTGATAAATGCCTGCGCACGTTGCCTCGTGATCTCGATGAAACATACGAGCGGATCTTATGCAGTATCCACGATGACTACGTTGAGGATGTGCGGCGGGTCTTAGCTGTGCTTTGTATCTCCACTAGACCGCTCACTGTTAATGAGCTGATCGACGCACACGCTGTTGACTTAAGTGATCCGCCACACCTTCGTCGCGATGGCCGTTCGTACGACCAAGATGATCTGATCGACATCTGCCTTGGGCTTATCGAGATCGTGGCCACGGAAGACGATAACGAGCAAAAAGCCTTGACTGCTCGCATAGCACATTTCTCCGTTCAGGAATATCTTCAATCGGACCGCATCTTGCAACAAAAAGCAAATTGCTTCGCCATTCGAAGTGCGCCTGCAAATACAGAAATAGCCCGTGTCTGTCTCGTCTACCTTATGGAGCCATCTCTCTCTGGTGACTTACTAGATGAGTCCAAGCTCAAAGAATTCCCACTTGCTCTTTTTGCCGCTATGAATTGGTACCATCACTATGCAAACTCAATTAAGGAGATGCCCGAAACTGAGCAGCTTGTGGCTAGGCTATTTCAAGACAAGACAAAGTCTTTCGCGACCTGGATACGATTACATGACATAGACCGGCGCGGAGCGCCACACGGTTTACATCGTCCCATTGCTACAATGGCAGCACCTCTGTACTACGCGGCCTTACTAGGATTAGCGTCTGTCCTGAACGGTATCTTGCCGGTTGAAACCAAGGAATTAAAACTATCAGAAATCGTGAATGCTCAAGGTGGGCGACTTGGCAATGCCCTCCAGGCCGCATCATGGGGGGGCCATGAGAAGGTGGTACAGATGCTGCTAGATCAAGGAGCCGATATTAACGCCCAGGGCGGAGAATATGGCAATGCTCTCCAGGCTGCATCATCAGGAGGCCATGAGAAGGTGGTACAGATGCTGCTAGATCAAGGAGCCGATATCAACGCGCAGGGTGGATTTTATGGTTATGCTCTCCAGGCTGCATCATGGGGGGGCCATGAGAAGGTGGTACAGATGCTGCTAGATCAAGGAGCCGATATCAACGCGCAGGGTGGATTTTATGGTTATGCTCTCCAGGCTGCATCATCAGGAGGCCATGAGAAGGTGGTACAGATGCTACTCGATCAAGGCGCCGATGTCAACGCCCAGGGCGGAGATTATGGTTATGCTCTCCAGGCTGCATCGTCAGGAGGCCATGAGAAGGTGGTACAGATGCTGCTAGATCAAGGAGCCGATATCAACGCGCAGGGTGGATTTTATGGTTATGCTCTCCAGGCTGCATCATGGGGGGGCCATGAGAAGGTGGTACAGATGCTGCTAGATCAAGGAGCCGATATCAACGCCCAGGGTGGGCGATTTGGCAATGCCCTCCAGGCCGCATTATATAGAGACCATGAGAAGATAGTGCCGATGCTACTCGATCAAGGCGCCGATGTCAACGCCCAGGGCGGAGATTATGGTTATGCTCTCCAGGCTGCATCATTACGAGGCCATGAGAAGGCGGTGCAGATGCTGCTAGATCGAGGCGCCGATGTCAACGCCCAGGGTGGATTTTATAACAATGCCCTCCAGGCCGCATCATATGGAAGCCATAGGAAGGTGGTGCAGATGCTGCTAGATCAAGGAGCCGATACTAACGCCCAGGGTGGGCGATTTGGCAATGCCCTCCAGGCCGCATTATATAAAGGCCATGAGAAGGTGGTACAGATGCTACTCGATCAAGGCGCTGATGTCAACGCCCAGGGCGGAGATTATGGTTATGCTCTCCAGGCTGCATCATTACGAGGCCATGAGAAGGCGGTGCAGATGCTGCTAGATCGAGGCGCCGATATCAACGCCCAGGGTGGATTTTATGACAATGCCCTCCAGGCCGCATCATATGGAAGCCATAGGAAGGTGGTGCAGATGCTGCTAGATCAAGGAGCCGATATTAACGCCCAGGGCGGAGAATATGGCAATGCTCTCCAGGCTGCATCATATGGAGGTCATGAGAAGGTGGTGCAAATGCTGATGGACAGAGGAGCTGGTCCAGATGTTAGAGATTCTACATATGGGCACACGCCACTGTCGCTGGCAGCAATGGAAGGGCACGATAATATCGTCAAACTGTTGCTCGGTGCCAAGAAAATTGTGGCCAATGTGAAAGATAACTGTGGTCGGACACCGCTGTATTTTGCAGCCTGGCGCGGACGTGACACTGTTGCAAAGACAATTCTCGTCTTTGGTTCTGTTGATCCGGACCAGGGAGATCATTATGGCTCAACGCCGCTATCAATAGCTGTACGAAACGGTCATATGGAGGTGGTAAAAATGTTACTGGCTACGGGTATCGTCTCTTGTGACTCTCACGATTGTTTTGGACGGTCTGTGTTCTGGTGGGCTAAAAGGAATGGGAACACGAACATTGCGAAAATGTTGACTGACTATTCCAAGAAGCGGGGAATACCATTGTGTGATGAATATGTTGATGTGCGGTCAGTACCCTTCGATTACGCATCGAGAAATTGTGATTTGTGCACCCTGAATATTCCCAAGAGCAACACATACTATCGATGTGGAATTTGCAACGGAGGGGATTTTGATATTTGTACGGAATGCTATGAGCTTGGAGGGCGTTGTTTGCAAAGCGGCCATCGCATGATCCCGATGAAGGACGGTTGAGGCTTGAATTAGATACATGTATCCGTTTCAGGAATTAACCTAATCAGCATTCGAGAAGCGTTACCTGCTGCATTCTTTACGAATTGCATTTACTATCTTGAAGTGCTTGGGATCGGGAATACGTCATCTTCCGTATCGCGCGTCATATTGTGAATTCTGCTCCGATGTATCTAGGCCAAAAGTTTGGGATACATTGCCGTTGCAATACAAGTTGCAGCCAAACGTCCTTGCTCCAAAGCTCTAAGGAATCTGACGCCCCGCACAATTTCGGCCATGAGTCCTTAAATCATGCTAAATAGCCCTATTCTCGCTAGCCACATGTTACTACTAGGTATAGAGCTAGTACGGAGATGAAATGTTTGGAAGTCGGCTTTCGTGGGACTTACATCAGATCCGAATGTCACTGATAGAATATTGCTAAAACGGCTTTGACAGACAATACTGTACAGGTTGAAAGGCGTCACATTCCTAAAGATTACCACTGCCCTTGATAAACTGGTATGACTCATAATACTGCACAAGGCATAGCCATCGAGTATGCCTAATGTTCAGGTGTGATCGTTAAAAATTGAATGTTTTAGAAATTTCATGATTCCAAACGTGGAGGATTAATAGGATGACCTGGCAGATGGCACTGAATGAATACATAATGTGCTATTCCAGTTATGCCTATTCCCATATTGTTTACATGGTCTAGATATTGAGAGGTATGTCGTCAGTTAGAAAGAATGGTTGATTTATATATCTTTACCCATCCGAAAATAACCGACCGCGCTGTCAGGTTTTCGGGGCCTAACATGAGCGAATATTTATCATCAAGCAACCAATAATCAAACCCCAAAATGGGGCATTAATGACGTCTTCGTCAGCAGTTAACTATATTACAAATGATGGCAGCAAGTAAAGACTAGCTTTATCACGTACGGCCAACTGCCAAAGTGTTGCAAGCATTCTATCACTAACCTGGCGCACGCAAGAAAATGTGGTTGTTTGGGAGCCCTGAATCTCGCAAACACATCGCAATATACTGGGACCGAGGAGCTTTGCTCAACACTATAGTACAGAGACTAATTATCGAAAACCCATGTATCTGCGTTGTATCATCATTATACATTCTTTGTGTCAAGCTCAGTCCTCAAAGTATATCACCACCATCGATCGCAGTTGCTGGTGTCTCAAAGGCATTATGATATGATACAGTCCCGGTAGGGGTTGGCTTACGCCAAGTGAGAGCCATAAAATTTTCCTGCGGCACTCCCAGTAGTTGCAGAGAAGGTTCCGGCTTAAAGACAAAACGCGTATAGTAGTTCGGGTTTCCTAAGACGACACACCCAGCTGCATGACGGACCTGGAGTTCTGCCATAGCACGCTGGACTAACAAGGACCCAATGCCATTTCCTTGATGCTGAGGCAAGACCGAGATTGGGCCTAGCCCGTACCAATTTTCACTGCCGTCAGAGACTTTCACAGGTGAAACAGCGACATGACCCACGATGTTTTTTAGGGATTCCTCCTCCGCGACCAGCGAGATCGATAGTTGGTTCGCTTTGCGTAGGTCATTGACGATGACTTGCTCGTTGTGGTTTGAATGCTCAGCATTCATGAAAGCAGCCAAGGTGAGTTCTTCGATTGCTGACTCATCATTAATTGTTGCAGGTCGAATGCGGATCGACATTTCACTCGTCATTGTCAAGAACCGTTGCTGGGAGTTTCGAGATTTTGATGTCTAGAAATTGCGCCTCGTAGTAAGGAATATTAAATGCAGATTAGAAGTAAAGATTCAAATCATTCAAATGGCTGAATGCTGAAGGACAATCAGACCATATCGCCCCAGGGAGTGAGTGATGTGAGCCATGGTGAGTCAAAACATCGGTGTGGAAGTATCATCCGAAATTTTACCGTGCTTCTATGGTTCACCTTGTTGAGATTTTGCATTTATGTTGTCGACCTTTGGAACCCTGGTTACAAGAAGGGCAAGGAATACTCTGAACAAGGTATAAAGGATCGAAAGGGAGATCAAGAGAAAAAGAAAGTTAAGCAACGGACGACTGAAGTCAATAGCAGCACTTGAAGTTAATGCGATTTCAACACACCGGTCGTACCATTGTTTCCGTCAGTCTGGAGGCAAAGTGGCTCTCGCTTCGTCAGTATTGACTCCTCCGTTACCAAGCATGCGGCCCCCAGAGTTCGGCAACCCGCGCGCCGAGCTCCTTTTTTCCAAACAGTGTTTCCAGTAGTTGGCACGTGTGCTGCCCGTTCTTGACCGCAAACATGGTCTCGTCATTTGGGAAAGAGGTGCGAAGGGGCGCAAGCGAATCTGCCTTGTAGTAGCTGACAGTCCAGTCTCGATCGTGAACCAAGTGTTGAAAAGAGTTTGTCACTCCAGGTCTAGGCACCAACGCAAGGTCCAAGAAGCCAAACCACATTATTTATAAAGGCAGGTCTGATTGGTGTCGGATGGTCGAGGGTGCTTCCAGAGACATTGTCTCCATGCCTTAGTCTGCTTTCAAACATCGATAATGTCTCATGTGGAATTTGGACATACCCCACCTGGGGATAAGATGGCTGTGTCGATACTTTGCAAAGATGTCTTGAAAGCCATCGGTAAAAGGCCAACTGGGCACCTCAAAGGTGGACTCTTGAGATATTACCACGGTCGGGTCTAGTTGTGACTTAGAGGAAGATGGGCTTGAATGGCCTGAGTGCTCAGAGGCACATGGGAGCATATAGCGGCTGGTCCTAGTAGAAAGTGGCCACTACTCAACACTTTTGGGTGTAGGTAGCATCAACGGTATTAAGTATGTCTCTCGCTACCTAGGTGATCAAGAACCGACCCTGGCAAGACCTAAGTCGACAGCTAAATTTAGACTGATAAGAGCTGTTAATCATTATCTGCCCTAACAATATGGAGCAAAATCAGATGTTGTGAATAGAATTAGGATGTTATTGTTTATCAAAAGGTATAGGATAAGGTGGCTTACGGGTGCCACTTAAGCAGACCCAGGCTCAGTAAGTGGGCCGGCTTAGTTACGTAGCACTCAGTAAGCAAATCAGGTTCAACTCTACAGAGCAAAGAGCAGCGAGAGATGAGAGCAAATTAATGGAAAGGGAAGACTAGAATTTGACATAGATTCATTCGCAATCCCGAAATTTGGAGTTGGTGCCTGCGAAGGTGTCCAAGCCCCGCGACTTCGAGTGGCATTGGTGGCGGTTCCAGACTTCCATTTGTCATTCTCGTGATCGGGTCCGCCAAGCCGACCAAAACATTCTGGAACAACAACATCAGCAATTAAACGAATTTCGACCCTTATAATAACTACATTCCGCTTTATTTGGTGACCCGGGAATCTCTTTATTCTAAGCCAAGACCGGTCGCGTGTCCGAGACACGATGGCTGCAACGCCCAACCGGGGCATCGCCGTCATCTCCGGGGGAAGCGCGGCAAACAATCTGGTCGACGTGTTCGACGCAATCCGGGCGAGCAAAAATTGCCCCCTAAGCTATATCATCCCCATCAGCGACAATGGAGGCTCGTCTTCCGAGTTAATTAGGATATTTGGAGGGCCGGGGATCGGCGATGTTCGAAGTAAGCACTGGACAGGTTGACACGCGACACCGATGGACCCACGTTTTGCTCATAATAATCAGGTAGATTGGTCCGCCTGATCCCGGACTTGCCAGTAAATCCAGAGCGAATGGCCATCAAAAAACTGTTTAATCATCGTCTACCCGCGGAAGCGGCCGCGGCATCCCTTGAATGGCTCTCTATCGTGGACGGCACATCTGGCCTGTGGATCTCCATCACGCCGGCAAAGAAGGAGTTGATTCGCTCTTTCTTCAACATGCTGAACTTGGAAATTCTCAAGCGAGCGAGACCACCGTCGTCGACTTTTGATTTCACATTGGCTAGCGTGGGCAATCTGTTTTTAACCGGAGCGCGAATCTTTAGTGGAAGCTTTGAAAGCGCCATTTATCTTCTCGGGAGTATATGTGGTGTGCAGTCGGATATTGTGCGGGTTATTCCGGCGATCAACTCGAATTTCTCGCACCATATATCTGCCACCCTCATTGATGGGACTATGATCGTTGGGCAGAATAGCATCTCACATCCGAGCGAGGCAACGGCACTCGGGAATGCTCAAAGCGCTAGACGCCCCAGTCTTCTTCTCGCCGATGGGGATGACTTGGAGGACACCGATGTCTCCGATACTTCGGATACGGTCTCATATGAGGAAGACCATCTCCCTGGATCTCTTGCCACCCTGCGAAATAAGAACATTGCATTCAGCAAAGCCAAAAACGAAGATCTACCATGTCGCATCAGCCGCATTTGGTACATTAATCCCTACGGCCAAGAGATCCGACCAGCGGCAAACCCACGCGTTCTGGAGGCACTAAATGACGCACAAGCTATTGTATACAGTATCGGCTCTCTCTATACGTCTATCATCCCTGCAATTATTCTTCGCGGCGTGGGAAAGAGTATTGTGAACAGTCCAGCGCGTCACAAGATTCTAATCCTGAACGGGTCACTAGACCGAGAGACTGGTCCCCCATCTCAATCCTTTTTAGCATCTGATTTCGTTGAGGCTATTGCACGTGCCGGCGAAGAAAGTCGTGGACGACGCCCTGAAAGTTTTCCACCATTGCAAGGATCGCATGACTCGACTTCATCCCCAGCCACTATTCGGCCATACAGTGTGATTCCGTACGCCTCGTATGTGACACACATTCTTCATCTAGACGGACCGGGTACCCCGCAGGTTGACAGGGAGAGACTGGCTCAGATGGGAATCGAGACAATGCGTCTATACGGGCGGAAGGCTACCACCAAGCATAAAGATCAAGAAGAGATTGTTGGTATGCAGTACGATTCGAATGCTTTAATTCAGGCTCTTGAAGTTGTGTTAGGGAAGAAGGGAGATGCGATGGTGCGAGGGGGTGTGGATGGTGGTTTATGGAGGAGGAACACCCTTGATCCAGGCAGACGGGAGAAGAAATAGAACTATCATTATAAAAGTGACATGAAAACGTCAGGCCGCATTAAACATTTCATGGCCATGGTTCTTCATCGACGGGTCTTGGAGTTTCAGCCTAGATTTGTTACCCCTGGCTGCCTCCACCTACACTAGTTACCGAGTTACATTTTACCCTATCCTCAGCAACGTCACACGAAAGGTTGTCACACACGCAACGAGGCGATCCAGTCGGATCGTTTGCCCAAAGTATACCGGTTAATCGTGCGAGTGTTGGTTTGACTTGTATAAATAAAACCAAAATCCTTCCCATCCCTGGTTCCATCACCAAGCCAACCCGACCCTCGATGCGTTCAATCGCCCATTATGGCGAAGCCGATAGCTTCACATAAGCAGGAGACAAGTCTCGATGGTAGAACAGTGATCGTTACCGGAGGCAATTCCGGACTTGGATGGGAGTTTGCTCGGCAATGCTTGATATTAAACGCGACGCGTGTGATTATCACCACCCGATCCGAGGACAAGGGGATTAAGGCGATCGCGGCTTTGCGTGCAGACCCTGCTGTTCAGCGCAATAACCCTACTGGTCAATTAGAATTCTTTGAATTGGATCTTGACGACTACGAATCTGGAATTCGGTTCTCTCGAAGGGTTCAGGAAGAGGTGCCGGAGCTTGGTATCCTTCTTTGCAATGGTGGTACCAATTCGTTTCGGTATGAGATTAGCAAAAGCGGCCATGAGCGGATCATGCAAGGTATGTTGGATATCCTACTTGCTGGGTTCGGGAAATTTTCTCGATTGTCTAATCATGCGGCCTAGCAACATGCAGTCAACTGTTATACCCACTTTTTGATTGTACTGTCCCTGCTCCCTCTTCTCAGGCATACTGCACTCAAGCGAGGCTCACCTTCGAGAGTGACATTTCTGAGCTCCTACAGCCATATTTCCCATACACTCAAAAACAGCGCACTTGGCTCAGATGAAAGCATCCTTGGATTCTACGATAACAAGCAGAATTTCAAGGGCCGTCGGCACTATGCAAACAGTAAACTCGTGGTTAATGCGTTTGCTCAGCGTCTAGGTAATACTCTAGCACCGTTCGAGGTGATCGTGAACACTGTTTGCCCCGGAGCGATAAAAACAAATCTTAATAGGAGCTTGCCTTACTGGATGGCACCGGTTATGTATATTTATTTGAAGCTGAAAGCTCGCACTCTACATGATGGTGGTCGAACTCTGATTCATGCTGTAGTCTGCGGTCCAGAGAGTCACGGCAAATATCTGCAGCTGGAGGAAATCAATATGTGCGCTGTTTCTTTCAACGGTGTAGACAAATATTTGGCCCTTTACTAACAGCTCGCAGTGGCGCTCCGTTCTTGACTGGCTTGACTGGAAAGGGCTACATCGAGAAACTTTGGAATGAGATTCTCGAGGATATAATCAAAGTTGATCCAAAGCTAGAGGAAATCTTTCTTTGACATGATTCTTTGAATGAAACATACTTGGGTAATACATCTGAAGGATATTCAGATAGGATATTGCGGAGGAATTGACATACTGATCAATGAGATCCGTGCTCAAGACCTCTTGCCTCGGGAATGTTTGTGCCGAGCAGTGACGGAGGAATTTGCGGAGAAGCAGATCTGCGGGGAAATGATCACAGTCACTACACGGGACTAATATTGCTTGTGGGACTCGCGGGGCTAGCGAAGCCACCGGAGTGCTTCGCATGCCGATCTTAGATCCTTTTTAAAGGCGAATTTCCCACCAATGACTCCAAGCCGGAATGTTTTATTCTATTTACCAACAAACAAACGAGTGCGGAGAATGAGCTTTCGTGCTAGACAATGCCGAGTAATTTCCGTATGCATCTGTGCCCCTTTCCTCTCCTTAAGAATGGAAATCTATATGTAGGGTGTCTGTAGCGTGAAAGTAGATCTTTTCCTCACACGGTGTACGAAAGGTTGCAATACAAGGGTGGAATCCATTCACAAGATCCAATATGCGGCGCGCATTTTGGCTTCAACTTCTTTTAGGGGTCTGCTCCCTTGCTTCACCTGTTCAAGCAGAAACATGTTGGCGAAATACAACCTGCTCTGGCCCCACAAAGGCGGCCTTCAGTGGAGTTTGGGACAAAAACATATATGCGCCCTCGTCTCGAACAATTAAACCTGTGAAAACGCTCTCTGACCTGAAGAATGACGCTACTACCAACTCTGCCCATCCCGCGACGGCAACACTCCATGGAAATGGCTCTCTTGTTGTGTTCGACTTTGGCAAAGAAGTAGGCGGCATCATGCACATCGAATACACCTCAACTGGCAGTGGTGCTTTGGGAATCGCGTTCACAGAAGCTCTCAATTGGATAGGAGAGGATTCTGACGATTCTAACAGTCTATGGCATGATGGTGCTTTATACGACAACTTCACATCCGCTGGTTCACACTCCTATGAGATGCCCCTCCCGAAGATTCGTGGTGGGTTCCGGTACTTGACTCTATTTTTGATCACGGACGATGCGACGACTGTCAAAATCAAAGACATGGATCTTGAGTTGGGTTTCCATCCGACTTGGTCGAATCTGCAGGCATACCAGGGGTATTTCCACTGCAGTGATGAGCTTCTCAATCGGATTTGGTATAGTGGTGCATATACCCTGCAGACGAATCAGGTCCCTGTTGATACTGGACGTATCACCTCTGGTGTTACTTCTGGGTGGTTGAATAACGGGACCTTGGGCCCGGGAGACACGATTATTGTTGATGGTGCCAAGCGCGATCGTGCGGTGTGGCCTGGTGATATGGGAATTGCTGTCCCGTCAACAATGGTTAGTCTTGGTGACTTGGATAGTGTCATGAATGCGCTGCAGATTATGTACAATACTCAGGTATGTGGGCGTGCTCGAGCTTTGAAGATTGGAATTTTCTCACATTTTGACTAGGATAAAACGACTGGTGCCTTTGATGAGTCGGGACCACCACTCAGCCAGACTGGGTCGGATACTTATCACATGTGGTCCATGATTGGTACCTACAACTATGTTTTGTACACCAACAACACGGATTTCCTTCTGGAGAACTGGGATGGGTACATTCTTGCTATGGATTACATTTATGGCAAGGTGACATATGCCAGTGGACTCTTGGATGTAACTGGCATCCGTGACTGGGCTCGCTGGCAGCAAGGGTATAACAACACGGAAGCGCAGATGATGTACGTGGTACCGAAAAGCTTTCTTCCCTCGCATTATTCCCTCGTCTAATCTTTTTCCCCTCCTGGAAAATTGCTAACCGGTTGGATCTTAGTCTCTATCACACCTTGAAAACCGGTTCATCTCTCGCCAGCTGGGCTGGAGATACAACAGGCCTTTCCAGCACCTGGGATTCTCGAGCAGAAAAACTAAAAGAAGCCATCAACACCTACTGCTGGGATGAGTCTTACGGGGCATTCAAAGATAATGCGACCGACACTACCCTTCACCCTCAAGATGCCAACAGCATGGCTGTCTTATTCGGAGTGGTTGACTCCGACCGTGCACAAAGGATTTCCGACAACCTGCTCAAGAATTGGACACCAATCGGACCCAACTCTCCCGAGCTACCGGACAACATCTGTCCCTTCATTACCTCCTTCGAGATTCAGAGCCATTTTCTCGTTAATAAGCCGTCTAGGGCCTTAGATCTGATTCGTCGCACCTGGGGGTGGTACATCAACAATCCAAATGGAACCGAGTCGACTGTAATTGAGGGCTACCTTGTCAATGGTACTTTCGGTTATCGTGGTAGTCGTGGGTATTATTATGATACCTCATATGTCTCTCATGCTCACGGCTGGTCCTCTGGCCCAACGTCCGCATTGACAAACTACATCGTTGGACTTTCGGTTACATCGCAGTTGGGGCTGACCTGGGATCTTTCGCCGCAATTTGGGGATCTTGAGTTTGCGGAAGCTGGCTTTGTTACTGATCTTGGGAAGTTCCAGGCTTCTTGGACCAAGTCGTCTGCTCGGTATACGGTAGATTTCTCGGTTCCGAAGGGGACTACTGGGAATGTTACACTTCCCTATATTAAGTCGTCTAAGAAGCCATCGATTACCCTCAATGGTGCTTTGGTGAAGAAGAATGTTGTGTATGCGGATAGCACAGCGACATTTGTTCTTGGAGGTGGTTCTCACAAGATTGTTGTGAAATGACCTTGAGAGCCGAGCTACAGTTACGAATGAAAGATTTGTCCAGCACAGCATGAACCTGCCTATCTTTATGTAATGTCGGTCCAAATACTTGATAATAAATGTTGATTTTTATAATGTCGATCCTCATAGGTGGACTCATATAGATCGAGACTGGTCACGTGTATCCCCACATCCGAGGCCCGTCTCCGGATCAACACGAGCAACACATCTCCGACTTTCATTTCTCCGAATAGGCCAGCCATGACGTCTTCAATTCGCACAGCGCCCTGGCGCACATGCCAGTGCTTAGCTCGCCAAAGCCTCCGCGCTCCTCCCAGTGCCCGCTACATCTCCACCACGAACTGTCTTCGATCAGCCAAACATGGTGCCACCAACCCTCTCCGTTCCCGCCCCGCCGGCAGCCCCAAGGGCGAAGGCGTAAAGTATCGAAGGTCGATTGTCTGGTCTGCAGCTGGAATTGTTGCCAGCGCAGCGGCTATGTATGGAGTGATCAAGCTGGATCTGTTTGGCCTGGAAGAACTCGAGGCCGGAAAGAACGGCAAGTCTGCATCGAAGCCTCACGAAGCTACAATTGCACCTTCAGAAAGCCGCGCTATGAAGATGGATGGACCTCCTGGATTCCCGAGTGACGGTGGCCCTTCTGTGATCCCCCTCCACGGGCAAGATAATGTCGACCAAATTGCGACCGGGAACAGTTCTGTTCCTTATTTCCCCACTACCATTCGGTTACCGTCGATTACTGGAACGGAGAACAAGAAACCTGGAGACAAGCTGTCTACGTCTGATGGAGATGAGTACCAGCTGTTGGGTCTTGGTATTCGCACTGTCTCGTTCCTGTCGATTCAGGTGTATGTTGTTGGAATGTATGTTGCCAAGAAGGATATCACGGAGCTGCAGCAACGTCTCGTGAACACAGCGATCCACCCCCCTGTCTCAGACGAAGCTGCTGCTATCTCCGGGGTAGGCGCTGAAGCTGCCACATCATTGGTACCTCCGGAGCGCCAGCAGCTTAGAGATCTGCTTATGGATCCCGAGCACGGCGATGCTGCCTGGACAGCTCTGATCAAGGAAAATGGCATCCGGACAGCCTTCCGAATTGTGCCCACGCGCAACACCGACTTTTTGCACCTTCGTGATGCATGGGTCCGTGGTATCACCGCCCGCGCACAGCAATTAAAAGCTTCTGGGTCGGAATCACAGGATATGGCCTTTGGCTCTGCAATCAATGAATTCAAGGCTATAGTCGGTGGTGGCCAGGCTAAGAATATTCCCAAGGGCCAGACGGTTGTTCTTCTTCGCGATGCTCATGGTGCCCTTGATGCCCTCTTCCAGCCAGATCCTAAGGCGACCCACTGGATGGGCCGTGTGTCCGATGAGCGGATCAGCCGATTCGTGTGGCTCAACTACCTTGCTGGAAAGAAGGTTTCTAGCGAGGGCGCGAGGAAGAGTATTGTCGATGGACTCATGACTGTTGTCGAGCGGCCTGTTGGAACCGTCGCGCAGAGAGTCGTGTAACTTGTGGAATAGTCTTGTACTTTTAGGATGATCCCTGTTTTCATATTTTGGCTTATACAATTCCTACAACTCCCATCTACCACTGGAATACATGTCCCATATTCCTTGCTCTCTAGACAATTTAGAGAACCTTGGTAGTCTCATTTGAGGACAAATGGGGCTCTGTAGTCTGACAAGATTCAAAAGATTTGACAAATTTCCCATTCCGACCGGCAATGACGTTGTTTGGGAGGCACCGTCGCGGACGAAAGTCAAACTTGTACCTGAACCACTCTAGATGGACAGGCCAAGATCGTAACCCAGATAGGCAATCCAGAATTGATTTTGTTGAAAAGACATACATATATCGTTCGACCACGAGAGTTTTATGTCTTTCTAGGTGACAAGTGCTATAAGTAGGTCCTTTCATTCCTTTCTAGTCCACTGCCTTTCGCCTTGATCGTGAGACCATTCTTTTCCCTTCTGAGTTTCATTCCTTTCACTTCTATGAAGCCATATCATCATTACCTTTCCTTTTCTTTACTCCGCGTACCCACGATAAAAGGCAATCCCCTTCTCAGTATAAAAGTCCAACGCCACACCCTGCCCAATAAAGTAAACATATCCCTCCTTCATCTCAATCGTCTGATCACCAGGGATCTTCATGGATCCACTCCCCTTCGTCACAATCATCAAACTAGGACCAAGGATAGCCTTATGCGTCTCCTTCTCGCCAGCCCCAAGACAAGTACAAAGCATATCGAACTCTTCAATCGGAGGCGAAAAGACATCCGTCTTCCCATGCAACCCCTTATTACTCTTCTGTCTCGGCAAAAGCGCATCTTTAGCGTTGTGAGGCGCAAACGTCAACGCATGTCCGAATAAATCAACACTATCGCGTTCCGTCGCGGGACAGAATCCCGTGTTGATCACGTTGTCTGAGCGCGCCATACACTCCACGATATCACCTTCCAGGTATGCGTGGATACTGTCTGCTGGAACAAAGACTGAATCTCCCGGTCCCAGAGTCATATAGTTCATCAGTATGGCTGCAACGAGGTTTCCATTGTCGCTTGCTGTGTACTGCTTGCTCAGTCGGATCAAGAGACCGGGAATATAAGAATCGCGGCCAAATTGGGAGTCTGGGATATTTTGTAGATCTTTTATCGTTGAAGCTACCGTTTCTGGTGATGCCTTCAACATCGATATGCACACATAACGCAACGTCTCGTCATCGAAGGTCGTGAATTCTGGTAAGAACTTTGTCAATGGCTCCAGCTTGCATAGTGCATGGATATCCTCCAATGGTTTCCAGCCTGCGAAGAGCTCAAACTTTGAGAGCGCGATGGCAATCTCGGGCTTGTGCATGGTATCGCCGAATTTGCTCGGATCTTTCTGGTGGAGTTTCTTGGCCAGTGACAGGTCTGGATGAATTTGAAGCGGCAGGGCTTTGGAAAACGATAGGATCTGTTTTCTTTTGTCAGCTGGATTTTCGAGCACGGCATTGATTCACACACACCTTTGGCAGGAATGGTATTTCCGCTCCCCATCGATCCATTACTGACTTGCCCACTAGCTGTGGGTTCTTTTCCAGATATTCTTTCAGTGGCTCTCCGGTGGAAAGAAGGTGTGACGGGTTAGATGGATAAGTTCCCAGCCACATCTGGGATTCAAATTTGTTAGATCAATCGGCATTGCAGGAGGTATACAGGACCATCTACCTCGGAGTACGTCTGGTTATCATCAATAGCTTCATTTCCGGGCGTTTTGCTCCACAACTGGGCCGCCATGGACTCTTTGCCTTTCTTTCCCCAGCCATCGTTCTATTTTCCTTGCATGTTAGTGACTATCCGAGATATTGAAGCAAAGATACTTGCCTTCACACCGCATCGTAGTTGAACAACTGCATCCGCCATGACGAAAATGTATGGAATCTAGTGGAGTTAACGAATTGAGTATTGAGTAATTCAATTCGCAACAAAAGATGAGAATAAGTAAAATATGGAATGTTGTTCGAAGTTGATATTGAGCGGGATAATCGGCTACACGTCGGTATGTCGTCATTCCACGGTTGCAGCCGCGAGAGCCGTTGGCATCTTTCCAACTTCGGTTTTAAATCCATCCACTCAAATGTGCATTTAGGTGATGCTTAATTGAATCACATTGACATCACTAAAACTTGATGGTACGATCCAAGTACACTCATTGTTATTACTTCCCCTCGTACCCCTGGCTGCGTGTCCGAAACTTCGTAGAATCAGACCCCGACCGCACTAGGATTTTCGATCATCCCTGAAAAGGCTTGTAAACCTGACAGTCATAATCGAAACCTAAAAGACCGATTGGAAGGCTAAGGAATCAGGTTTTGTTTCTAGATTTGATGTGAGACATCTGGAACATCATGTCTCCGTTCGCGCAGTGTTTCTTGTGGACAAACTAGCTTTGATTAAGCTTCGTGTCTTTGTAAGAGTTTCGGATGCCATGGTGAGTCTTTTCAAGTCTGTTCAGTTGTCTTTCACTTTTGCAGGTGGTTGAGGGGGATTATCAGGAGGCGGAATGCCCATTTGTTTGTGTTTCTGCGGCGGAATGAAGTCAGTGTTGCCCGCTTTCTACTTCCCAACAATACAAAGTGATAGAACTTACCATATATCTTCTGTTATCCATTCAATTAATAAGTTTCTGGTCGGATCAAAGGCATTTGCAATTCTATATAAAATTTGATTTTACTTCACTCATTTTGATATTGGTCCACGCACTGCCCGAGGTTGCATGTTTCCTCTATATATCTTGTCGCCAAATCTCCACTTTGGCACCATATAAATTATACACACGACGGGCGTCGAAGCGTCATGAACAAAAAAGAAAGAAGTCAAAAAGTCCACATGCGTAGCGAGACCTAGAGAGCAACTGGACACTTTTTCTTGGCTCTCACTCAACTGATTTCAAGATTGCAATTAGTTCACTCTTGAATTTTCTTCTGATTGTAATGATTCTGATCTCCAACCTTCCAGAGGTCACTTCAGTCCACTCCCCCGATTCCAGCAGACTATGAAAGCCTCTTCTCTCTGCTTTTCTTCCTTCCTTATTCTTCTTCATCCTCTTTCACGTTCCAGGGGACCTTGAAGGATCACCACGAAAACACCCTTCCAGGAAGAATCCTCGAACTTCTCTTCAGGGTCAGCAACCAAGTTTACATCGAAGGTTCATCACGACATCACTTTTGTATATGAAGCCCTCCAATATCCTATTCAGGTTCGACAACCGAAAATTACGCGAAGACGATTTGTTTTTCTCGTCTTTCAGCAGTCCTACGCGTTGAAGCCTTCTCGATATTTAATGGAGTAACCTCGAACCCCGTTCTAGGTTCAAGAATCGAAATCCAACCCGAGACAAATTATTCGGATTAATTGCAAATCCTATCACGCGGAGCATTGCGGGACTCCATTCCAGATATCGACGCAAGGAAGAAACATGCTTGTTGTAATATTCAAAAGCTTCCTCAGGGGCCGCTGTGCTCTTGTCTTCGTTCATGCTCCTTTCTGAGCTCATCCTTTCTGCGATGCCCACGTTAAAGATGGAGGAGTTTGCAATCAAACTTTTTCATGAAGAAGCTATGTTGTGGGCTCCTTGAATCAATACCTCAGTGCTCTCTAGGTGATGATGGAGACTATGAGTCCACAGGTAAGTTTACTTCCTGAACCATGTCTTGCACCCTATAGCCCCTGATGAATATATTATAGACAGCGAAATGCATACGGCCCATCGATACTGAATGCCGCCTGCTGGGATCGCCTCAATATATCTGCACTTGCCGTGCAATTACTCAAAAAAGGCCGTCGAGGCCGGGGAAGACTTGTCACGACTCTTGTGGCGCGCCGGGCCTTGGTATGCATGCCATCATCAGCTAGATCGTGCTATTCGAGGGATGTCAAGGTATAATAGCATATCCCAGGCAATGGACAGAATCCACCCTTTTGAAAATCAAAAGTGAGGTGAGACTTAGGTGGAATACAGATCATCCACTTGTTACAACGACAATGTCAATACCTTGCAAAGGATGCCAAAATCCAGCCATGAAAGGAAATACCTCTTCACGGATGTTAAAACCAACTCAGACATTCCGAGAGAACGGCTGCAATCGCAAAGATTCATCTCCACGGAGTTGATAAGCTATGATGAAGGCGAGCTATGAGGGATTGGATCATAAAAGACTTCTCCAGGAAATTGGGCTACATGCTCTTCAGTCTTCATCAGGTTTGACAAAGAATAGATAGTCTCCTCAGCAAATTACAAATTTTAAGTGCAGGCGAAACCAGAATCTAAAAATTTGTATTGTCCAGCTTTCCAAGCAGCATAGACTATTTGTTCAACAATTGTCAAAAAATGGCTAAAGTGGAATCCAAAAGCAGATGGAATATAGTCTAGAAGTGAAACAAGAGGCAGTGACGAAGTAAAAAAGCACTATGTTCAGGGAGCGCGGAAGAAGGGAAGAGCGTTGGCTAAATTGTTGAAAAGGTCCAATTGGACTGCTTGGAGATGTTCAAGGGCTAGTGCGAGGTGTGGAATGGCTTAGGAGCGCCACAGGCCCCAAAGTCAGCTGGAGTCGGGATCACAGTTTCCCACTCAGTGACGGTGACGGTGGGGGTGACGGTGACAACAACGGCAGAGGAAGAAGGGGTGAACTTGGGCGTGGACGATGTGATGGGAGATGGGGTGGGTGTAGACGAGGTCACAGGAGTGGGAGTGGCAGAGGACGAAGGGGTCTCAACTGTGGTGAAGGCAGTGAGGGTGGTGGTAGAGGTCAAGAAAGAGGTGGGAGTCGGAGTTGCAGAAGTAGTCGGGACGGGGGTCGATGTAGACGCGGCGACCTCAACGACCTCGGAAGAGCTCGAGCTGGAGGACTCGGATTCAGCCACTGCCTCAGCACCAACATCGATGGAGACGGAGACAGATGAAGACACCTCAGTCTCGGACGACGAAATGGTCTCAGTCGAAACAGAGACGGAGGTTGAGGTAGATGCGGCAACAGCAAACGTAGTTGTCGACGTGGAAGTAGACTCGGTGGAGGACGAGGAAGACTCGGATGAAGAAGAGGAAGAGGAAGAGCTTGACGAAGAACCAGAGACAGAAATGTAGGCATTACCAACAGAGTTGGCGACGCTGTCGGTAAGCATGTAGTCATTGGCGCAGAAGAAGAACGAGTAGCGGGCAATGGCGGACTTGGTCTCGAGCCACTCGCTAGCCTCCTTGACGAAAGTAGCAGCGGTGGCAAGGTCGGTGATACCGGATTCGTCAGTGTCCAAGCCAAACTCAGTGAGCCAGACCTCGGAGATGGAGTATTCCTCGGCCAGTGTGATAGCCTCATTGACGAAAGTCTTGAGGTCGGACAGCTCGCTGCCATACCAATGAACAGCAAGCGCGGAAATCTCGCAGCTTGTGCACTCGCTCAAGAAAGAGGACATCCAAGACAAACCTTGGCCAGTGGTGGTAGACGAAGTCACAGCGGGACTAACCAATGTAGCTTCGCTGGAGTAGATGGTCAGGTACTCCTTATAATATGTAGCGGCATCGGCGTAGCCGATATTGGCTTGGGAGGACGAGTCGGGCTCGTTGAAACCCATCAAATGGGTGCTGCCATCGGCAAGGGCGGTCTTAACCGCCGCAGCCCAGGCATCCGTATAGGTGGAACTCGAACCCCACAGCATGGGCACATACTCGACACCGGAGGGAATATCACCATTGATGGTGCTTCCCCAGTTGTAAGCCCAGGAGATAACGCTAGAGCTGGAAGTCAAAGCGGAGACGAGAGTTGCATCGTTGTAAGCAGCGCCGCGCTTAGTCGAATCGCCGGATCGCTTGTGCAAGGCGGATTTGTGCACATGTTGGTGGCCGTGGGGATGGGCAGCGGCGCCAGCAACCAAGAGGCCGGCAGTCAAAAACTTAGAAAGCGAAGCCATTGTCCAGGCTTGAATTGGTTGAGTTGGTTATCAGTTCGATCTGGCTTAAGCGAATTTAAATGAGTGATAGGCTACACGGGTGTAGAAAAGAATGACTTGGTGCCAAAGGGCTCCTGTCGAAAAGGAATGGAAACTTCTGCGCACAGCACGGAAAGTTGGAAGAAAAGATATTGAACGAAGATGTAGATGAAACAAGGGGATGGCCTCGCTACATAGACGTGGGCTAAGGCCGTTGCGTATGCCGCCCATTAGCCTATACTCCAAGCGAAAATGCTCGGGCGACCATTCCTCTTTCGCCCCAAAACGAGGTGGGTTGCCAATCGAGAGCTAGGAAGTGGGCATTGTCCGGAGATCAAACCGAGCGGACGATTGGCGGATCGTCAGTAGTCAATTTCGATGTGGAAATGGCAGGAAGCCACTGCCGAGTAGCCATTGGGCGCCGCCACGAAACGTGAAAATCTAGACGTACGTGTATCGGGCTCGAGCGTTGGGGGCCCAATGAGTGCTCGGTCTAGTCTACGGTCGGTTATTATCTCCCGCGAAAGAGCGGTGTTGGTTGTCCTGCGTTTAGGGCTGAATTTTGAGTCCTGATGCATCAGAACCTAGAAATGTCATTTTGAAGCTTTCCATGGCTGCGCAGGGGACTTGGGCTTACCACCATGAGATACTTAGTGGTACGATCACTATGAAAATTCGAATGCACGCTCATAGCTAATCTTCGGTGCCTACACGGGTTTTTCTTTCCCCCTCGTTGTGAGCCACAAACATGGGCTGAGGGAGTGGGGCCTTATTTCCAAGAGAATTAGCTTACGTAGACTCTAAAACATCTCGTGGAAAGCTTGGCTTGTACACATCGGTGCCAGATCGCCCAAATATACACGCTACGGGTATAAGGCATCACTCAAGAGTCAATAGAACCACTGATCGTCACAGAATGTTAGGAGACTAAAACAATTATACCATGCACCTTCTCCTAAAACATGTGGCCAGGCCACAGTGGAATGTCAAATTTGTTCTAGTGAAAAGTGGATCCGCCACCTCAGCACAAACATTCGAGTTCTAGCAGAATCTAGCCCGATTCCCGTATGATTCCGGTGTTTCATCTTAGCGCCATACTCCAAGACCTGATAACGTGGCGGGTTCCAGCCAAACTCCGCTAGGCTCGTGGATGTTGACTTGGCTGCACATTTAACAGGAAAATGTATATTGATTGTGGATTCGTGGGGTTATAGGGGTACCGGTTCAAGCCCCGAACTCCTGTCACTCCTTTGATGGTGTTCGTGGCCCATTTATCGGATTCGTCACCCAAGGTAGGCGCTGTGCGGCACGGCACGCACCCTTGTCATTTGCACGGGTACCTGAATCCCCCATGCATGCGCAGTTCTTTCGGCACCTGCATGAAGAGGAAGGGGACAATGTCTTTTTCGATATACCAGTGGTTCGTCATTTTTCCACTTCCCTATAATATTTATTTATCATCATGGTGAAGAAGAAGGCTAGACCAAGGGCGGAGAAGCCGATGGTCACGTATTGGAGATAGACTAGCGATAGAAATGGATAAGCACAGTTTTTTTCAAGAGTTGAAGAATTAAAATAAAAATGAATGGAAAGGAGGCGATAACAAACAGCAAATCAAGCAACGTTGACGCCATATCCATGGGGCAGCAAGGCAATGAAGCACGCAGGGAGAGCGGGATGGCAATCATCACGTGAGATAAGAAGTCCACTTCGGGACTAGTGCGGGCGAGAATTAGATAATGCGAGGAAAGCGGGATTTTGAACGAGAAGGATAGAAAGAAGAACGAACGAATTGAGACGTGTTACGGCGTCGATGGTCTTGGAGATACTGGACAAAAATGTCTTCATCTCTTGAGGTTTGTGATACCCGAGATAAAAGAGTAGTCGTCTGCAATAAAACTTGTGTCCACTGACTCAAAATCCCAGCATATCGATGCTTGTGTGCCAACTACAGCCTTGAAGGCACTCTCTTGGGGCAGCCAGAATCTCATTCTTCAAGGCCAAGGTCCATTCTTACGCGTCATTGACGACGAATCTGGTGATGTTGTGACTCAAGTGCGAGTCTTCAAACGCAACAACCTCCATGGATTCATTTCATTATCCGAAGGGCAAGATGGCAGTGACCAAAGGCATATTCGGTTCATCATTTGGGGTGGCCAGTCATTACGGGTGGTTGGCCTGAGATCAGATTTGAATGGTGGAATAGTGTCATCCGTTTTGTCATCAGAATTCCTTGCTCCAGATTGGATAATGAGTGGCTGTGCGGCAGTCGTGGATCAACCAGACACGGCATTTTTGATCACCGCCAATAACTCACTCTTGAGATTAAAGGTTACACCTAGCATTCAAGCTCCAGGCCAGTCCGTGATCAAAATCTACCAACTTTCAACAAGCGTTAAATCTATTTTGTGCGCGGCTGATCTGGTTGCACTTTCACCTACGCATGTGCTTATTGCCGCGGGAACCATCTTTGGAGAGATTATTGTTTGGTCTTGCTTTATGGATGCTAGCGAGAACGATGAGAACCAGGCGATTGGATCAATTCACCACTTCTTCACCGGGCACGATGGAACTGTGTTTGGTGTGCAAATATCTCCTATCATTCCATCAATGAAAGATGGACAGGCAGGCCGCGTTCTAGCAAGTTGCAGTGATGACCGAACCGTGCGAATTTGGGACATTTCTGATTGTGAATACAAGTCTGCCGATGATCCCTCGGCGTACTCCACAGACGGATTTGAACTCCGAAGCACGGGCTTTGGTGCCACAGATGGCAATGACACCGGTACAAGGTCCGAATCTTGCATTGCACAGGCGTTCGGACATGCCGCTCGTATATGGGATATTGGCTTTCGTTCGAACATATCCCAAGATTCCTCTAAAATTGGACTCGTGACTCGTGGTGAGGATGCTTCGTGTATCGTTTGGGATTTAACCTGGGAGTCACCATCGCCAGGCACTACAAAATATGAATTACGCAAGGACTTCTCTTCAGAAGCACACCTAGGAAAGCATATTTGGTCGATGGATCTTTGCCGCCGCGGCGATGACACCGTGGTTTACACGGGCGGTGCCGATGGAGCGTTGAGAAATTTCAAGATTGACGAAGTCAGACCCTCGCCGATAGTCAAAAAGACTGCAGTGAGGGAAAAGAGTGCCAAAACCAGTTGCGTTCAACATTTTGCCTTCGTTGCTGAGGATTGTCTCATTATGTCCAACAAAGCAAGCCAGCTACAGATTGGATATGTGAGTCCGGGGCTTGATGCCAACATTACGTGGGAACCTTTGCAAAATAATGAAGATCTTGGCTTGATTTCCCTGATAGCTGGAATCCCCGATAAAGGCCTCGCATTGATAAGTGACCCTCGAGGAAAGGTTCGGCTGTACAACCACAGTCTCAAATCGGCCTCCGATCTCATTGACTTAGCCGGACGGCCCATGGAACTTTTAGTGCTCAAGTGGGATGCTGATGCGGAAAAGATCTTCTTCGTCGCTTCTTATGCCAAAGATGATTTCGCAACATTGGTCACGATCTCGGAGTGGAGCGGTGATCGTCCCCGGGTAGAAACCGTTACAATTATCTTACCCCTGGCACCCTATGATGTGGCCTCTGCTTCACTGTGTGGCGGGGGAGAGTACTTGTTGCTAGGATCAAGACTTGGTGGCTTATCAGTACACCTGGTCGCAAATCCTGAAGTTTCCACTGGTCCTCTCCTTGTCGACCGACGTGTCCATGGTCACAACGGTACCAACCACATCCAATCACTTTCCTCGGTGAAGGCCTCGGATGGTTCATATTTGGAATACCTCTTGACGTGTGGACGTGATGGGAAATATTGTGTTCATGAAGTGAAGATTGGTAAGGAGAGAGGTGATGCTGTGACTCTCACAACCGTGCATAGGACAGAATCAGCGCTTGGTGGAAACATTGAAGGAGCATATAATGACGAAGTGACCGGTGATTTGATGATGTATGGATTCAATTCTCAGAATTTTGTTTTACGAAACGAGTCGAAAGGAACAGATATCACTTCTATTGGATCTGGAGGTACTCGCAGGCCGTGGGGCTTCCAACGACGCATCAAGGGTGGAAGTGGCGACCTTCTTGTTTGGAGAGAAGGGCCTTCCCTTGCTAGCCAGCGAATTCGGCATGATGTCAATTGCTTGATCCGAGCCGGAGGCCATGGTAGAGAGATCAAGGCCATGGATGGCTTGGATGGCACAAAGGATATCCCGCCCCTTATTGTGACGGGCGCAGAAGATACCACGATCCGGATATCCACCATTTTAGATTCGCCCACTACAGGCCCTTGGGGTTCTGTGCAAACTCTTCGCGTTCTGAGTACGCACGACTCTGGTGTTCAAGAAGCCTCCTGGTCAAAATGTGGAAAATATCTATTCACAAGTGCTGCTTGTGAAGAGTTTTTTGTTTGGAGAGTACGACGGATCCCTTCCTTTGGAATTGCCACAATCCTAGCAGCGGTTTGTCCGAAAGATGACCCGAAATCCGAGCTTCGGATAACAAGCTTTGATGTGGTGGAGGTTGAAGAAGGGGAAGAATCCGGCTTTCTTTTGTGCCTCACTCTCTCAAACTCTACTATCAAGGTAAATATTCTTTTCCCACGCATTTGACGATGAAATGCTAATCTGAGGTAGATCTTCCACTACTCGCCGCATAGCAACGACTCTTTCACGCTTCTGGCTCGAGGGAAATACATGACGAACTGTTTGACACAAGGCCGCTTTGTTATCCAGGAATCTTCCGTGACACTCATAACGGCTGCTACGGACGGATACTTTACTCTTTGGGATCTAACCGATACCCTTAAGCGATTTTACACCATCAACTCCTCCTCTTTGAGAGTCATCGGGCCATTTGACCCCGAAACATCTCCTGAAGATATCACTTGTGAGAATCGGCATGAAGTTCATTCTAACAGCATCAAAGCCATGGAATTAGTTTTGGTGTCTGGCACAACAACGCTGGTTGCATCCGGTGGTGATGACAATTCGTTGTCAATATCACTTTTGGGGCCTGCCCTGAACGGAACAGTGGAGACCGACACATATGTGTCGACGATCTCAATTCCAGATGCCCATGCAGCCTCAATCACAGCTATCAAAGTTCTGAGCCAGACACGCTGTGAAACAAAGGATTCCGGACTGGACACCACGACAATCATAGTGGCTTCGGCAGGAAATGATCACCGAGTCAAAATCTGGTCAATTACTGTCCCTCTGTCTCAAAACTCGGGAGGCATTGAAGCCCATTTTCTCCAGGACAGGTACAGCTCTGTAGCTGATATTTCTTCAATGGCCTTGGTTCGGAGGTTGGACTCTGGCAAATCTTCTGAAGAAGAAGGTCATGCCACGTTATTGGTCGGTGGTGTTGGTATCGAACTTTTGGAGGTAAAAACATAATGATCTGCATGATGGGCATAGACTATGTATATATTGATGAAATTTAAAATTTGCGTCACCTTTCATAACAACAAGTAGGTATTCGGTCCTTTCAGGCCCGAGACCCATGCCCGTTTCAAAAACGGCTTAGCCTAAGAGGGGTGATCTCACTCATGCAGGATTGTTTAGGTTGCATTGACGGAACAATTCTTGGTACGAAATGGTGCCGACATATAAGTAGCTGACCCCGCATTTAGCGGAGGCTTCGCCGTTCAACTTGCGAATTTCGGATAAAAAAGGAGATCGACTGACGATTGCGGAATGTTGTCCGTGGCAAGATTTATCAACTAGGAAATGGGGATGTGACACGAATTTTCCTAGCTAGACCATTCGCAGTCGATCAGTAGATAAAGTTGAAGGCCGGGCTGAATTCCCCCTTGCGCGCATATCGTCAATAAACTGCTTGTTTAATTCTGACTCAAGCTCGAGGGCTGATTAAAGATCCTATTCAAGATGAAAAGCAGATTGCTTTGCTGCGCAGCTGGTCTTATCATGGCTGCAGCGGCACACTTTGGAGATGCACCGTTGCCTACCTACTTTTTCACCTTGTAGGCGCTCACAATCAATGTTGAGACCATTATAGAATACGTCTAAATTCATATACCCAGTGGCGATTCGTACAGCATGACTAGCTTTGATGTGTACGGCGAACAAGCGACGCCTCAAGATCCGATGGGGAATCCAGCACTGGGTGAGCTGAATTCACACCAAACTTCAGCTAATGGTATTGACACACTTCAGGCACTGGGACAACAGGAGGAGGTATCAACTGGATAGGCTATCTAACGACAGCAGATAACGACTCGCTCGTCTTGAGCTACAATCTCGCAGTCGGTGGAGCAACAATTAACAATAATCTCATCAATGCCGGAGTAGAAGACATGACGACACAGGTTGCTACGTTTTTATCAGTATATGGCGATAAGCCTGGGATAGCGCCATGGGGCTCTGAGAATACAGTCTTCGGCTTTTGGATCGGAATCAATGAGTAATCACCGACACCAGTGCTGTTGCTATGCCTCGAGTCTAACGATTCAATAGCGTTGGCTGGGCATATTCCGGTGGGAACGCTAGTGTTGTTGTACCAGAGCTCATGGCCTCGTACGAATTGCTCGTGAAGCAAATATATGCCAAGGGAGGACGGAAGTTCTTGTTCTTGAATGTTCCGCCGACTAGCCGCAGTCCCTATATTCTCGATCAGGGGGTACAGGCTTCAAGAGAACATGCGGCGTGGCTTGCGGTTTTTAACGAGCATCTTAAGTTGATGGTGTTGAGGTTTCAAGATGAACACCCCGATGTAAGTGTATTGGATGGGTCAAGGTTGACGATAATTCTCAAGGCTGATGTCCTGCAGGTTCAAACCGTTATTTACAATTCCTGGAATTTCATGACAGGCGTTTTGAACGATCCGCATAAGTATGGATTCCCGAATAACACGTGCATTGATGATGATGGGACAACTTGTGTGTGGTGGAACAACTACCATCCTGGACTAAAATACCATGCGTTGCAGGCTAGGGATATGAAGAAGTACCTTTCTCCATTCAAGGCATGGTAGCTTGTGAGAATGAAGATTCCAAGGGGGCGGGAGGTAGGCTGTCTGTGGGATGTAACATGTCATTTCATCTGAAATTCGAAGATGTGCATATGTAGTCATTTCTGTAGCAAAGCAAGAAAAGGAAGGTTGCGAACTTTTGTTCAGATTCTCGATATTTCTATCTATTAGTCTGTTCAATCTCAATTGGCTACCTACACTATCATGTAAGACTTAAACCGGACGAAGGGCTATGTACATATCGGGTTTAGCTAGAAAGTGGGGACTGGAACTGCGCCTCTTGATAGATGAATGGCGCTGCCTAATGCAAATTGCAGATCTACCAGTCCTCGTTGTCTGAGAATGCAGAAGATGGGAAATATTGAGAAAGTTTCATTCTTTTTGTTCGACCTGCCCGGCATGGATGAGCCTGGTTCAAATCAACAGTCAACAATCTTCGAAGTAATGATTGCTGGAATTGTTTGCATCGTTTTTGTAGCGTCATCTTGCAGTGTCAATCAAGTCAAAAGGCGTGATGCTGAAATGTACACCGTAGCAGCTGTCACAAAAGTAAGATGGCCTGGTTCGATAGAGCCCCATAGTGAGGCGCAATCATGGCCATGGCTACGCTGTATGTATCATCACATTGCTGTAGCTCGGGTGTGTCTGATAACACCATTGTGTTGGATAGTTGAGGTATATAAGGTGTCTCTTCCCTTGCCTATGAAGAGTCTTCTTTTCTTCATCAACTTCCTTCCCATTCTTACCTCGTTTATCAATGCACCTATAATCCTCCTCTCTTCATTTCCAAACATCATGCCCTCCAAAGCCAAAAATGTGGGCATCAAGGCCATGGAAATTTACTTTCCCAGTCGCGTCAGTACATCTCGGAGTTCAATTTACCACAAAGTCGAGTAATTGACTAACATATGCATCTATAGTACGTTCCACAAACCGAACTTGAGACCTATCTAGGAGTCAACACTGGAAAATTTACCATTGGACTAGGTCAGCAGAAAATGAGCTTCTGTGATGACCGCGAAGGTATCTTGTCACACTCCATCTTCAGAGCCCAGGACCATGCTCCATTAACACATGACTACATTCATAGATATCTACTCCATGGCACTCACAGCAGTCTCCTCCTTGCTAGAAAAATATCACATTGATCCAAACACCATCGGCCGCCTAGAAGTGGGAACCGAAACCCTCCTCGACAAGTCAAAGTCATGCAAGTCAGTGATCATGCAATTGTTTGGTGACAACACAGACATTGAGGGTGTTGACACCTACAACGCTTGCTACGGTGGAACAAATGCCCTATTGAACGCAGTCAATTGGGTCGAATCATCTGCTTGGGACGGTCGTGATGCTATCGTCGTAGCGGGCGACATCGCTTTATACGATCAGCCTGCCGCCCGCCCGACTGGCGGCGCTGGGTGTGTAGCCATGCTGATTAGTGCCGATGCACCTCTGGTACTGGAACCCTTCCGCGGAACGTACATGAAACACGTTTACGACTTTTACAAGGGAGATTTCGGATCCGAGTACCCCATTGTGGATGGACCATTCTCCAACGCGTGCTATCTTGAGGCATTGGATAAATGCTACGAAGGATATCGGACCAAGTCCATGGCAAAGAGTGGCGAGCTTATGAATAGAACTGCAACTCACAAAGGGTTATTTTTGGATGCCTTTGACTATTTCGCCTTCCACGCGCCTTATTGCAAACTCGTCTCCAAGGCCTACGGTCGTTTGCTGTTCAATGATCTCCGGTCGGACCCTGACCACTTTGATGAGATTCCCGAAGCGGTTCGTGATGTTGAGTACACCGCGTCCTTGATGGATAAAGGGATCGAAAAGATATGTATCGGGTTGACCAAAGAAAGATTCTCCGAGCGTGTCCAGCCATCCCTAACGGCACCCACTAATTGCGGGAACATGTACACTGCTAGTGTCTACTCTGGACTGCTGAGCTTGTTGAGCAATGTTCCCAGTGAGGAATTGCAGAATAAGCGCATTGGCGTTTTCAGCTATGGAGGTGGCTTGGCTAGCACTTTGTTTAGCTTACGGGTTCAGGGAGATACTTCCGGAATCGCGGAGCGGATTCGACTAATTGAGCGTTTGGAGGCTCGTACTGCGGTCTCACCGGAGTTCTATGATGAGGTTAGTTTGTTTTTGTTAATCAAATCGCTTGTGGCGACTTTCTGACAGAAATAGATGTGCAAAATTCGGGAGAAAACCTACCAACAGAAGAGCTATAGCCCTGTTGGAAGTGTTGATAGTCTGATTCCTGGTACTTACTACCTTGTGCATGTGGACGAGATGTTCCGGCGGAGCTATGAGAAGAAGAGCATTTAAATGAACGAGCCTGGGCAAAATTTACTATAGATGGTGGAATGGGCTTTTATTCTTATTCGCTGGAAGTTTTGTTTCACCTAATTCAATTTCTGCAAGTTATAGTAATATCTCGCGAGATTTTATTCGTCTGGGTTTCCCGCAGATTAATTATTCATTTGCGAAACTCCGGGACGTGAAAAGAAGTATGTTTTGAACATTGGAGGATTTTCGGTGTATTTTGAAACCTAAGTCTCAGGAAAATTGATGCAAAGTGGCGCTCATCCGTGGTCTTTCCGTAACCCCCCACCCCCCCCGTATTACACCATATCGGATTCGATGCATGAAAATGGCGAAGTAGAATAGAAGAATCGACAGACTACACTCAGCCTTAGAAGTGTACAATGATGGATGAAAGGCTGGGTTATGTAAATGAAGACCATCGGATTCAGAAGTAAAGTAAGCTAATCAATAGAACACGATCCGATTCGTCCAGGCATAGAAGGATGAAACTAAATATAAAAGCGCCAGGAATGGAAGCGAGGTCTCATGGAAATCAAAATAATAAGGTCATTGCTTGTAAATGCGGTGGCCGTGACCAAGACCATTCTCAATACTATCCCGCTCCCTCTCAACACAGCCATCCAGGAATTTTAAAGGAAGTGTTGCGAGTCTCGGGTCCTTGCCATTCAAGACTTTAGTTGCCATCTGGAGGTATTGGGCGGCAAAGACTTCCCAAAGTTCTTGATCTAATTCACTTTCCATCAAAGGAAGTGGAAAGTAAGGATCGTTTTCGAAAAACGACATCACTAGGTGCGATACTAGTACCTCAGGGGCCGATAGGGCAACGGATTCACTCCACATATTGCACAGGTTGAAGTCTAACATCCACAAACGGGTCGTACGCTGCTGGAAATTGACCGACATCATAGACTCGATGTCTGTATGTGGAGATAGTGCTGCTATCTGCTCCGGGGACATATTCAGGATGGAGGAGACATCCGGTGTGTATGTTGTATTGCCTTCACTTCCCAGAACAAATTCAATATCATATCCATCAACATGTGCAGCCCAGTGGACGAGTGCTAACGCTTCACCAATAGCGCCAGCCATCTTGCTGATAGGAAGGCCCAGTTCAATCATCTGGTCGAGATACAAGTTAAAGTTTCGTAAGGTGAAGTTTGCAGGCGGAGCGGTTGTATTTCGACGCCGGCCGAGGTAAACTCGAGCAAGACAGTCTCGGTTTGTGGGATTGGCGGCCACAAGGGCTCGAGATGGTTCTGCGCAGTACTTGTTGATTAGGGCTTCGCGAGCGATTTTCGGCAATGGGAGGATCCGCTGGGAAATCAAGGCCATCGCTGGTAAAGAGATTGTTTCGTGTAGTGTTGTGGTGAAAAAGGGTTTATTTTCGTTCCACCATGTATCATTTTCCTTTGTGATATAAGAGAAGAGTTGTGGTACGCGGCACTGCATTGGTTGGTTGGGGTTCTGATACTTTTGAAAAGCCTGACTGATGCTGTAATGGGCCTTGAAATCGGCCCAAAGGCTATCTTCATATGACGGCTTGGCAACTTTCAGAACGTACCCCCGGCCAGGTCTTTCAAAGACAAGGCCACACTGACCAAACCCGATGGTACGGTATCCGATGGAGGTCAGGAGCTGTTGGCCTTGCTGGAATCGGGCAAAAGAGGAGGCGGTACCCGTGAATGACTCTGGGGAGAGCACTTTCAGGAGGATGTTCTCGGGGGAAATGGTCGCATCTAGGAGATTCAGCTCTCGAACGACCATGTCGTTATGCTCCCGGTCCAACAGGGTAGACAGGTGATTGGTCAGGTTCATGTCTGCAACAAAAGATGAACTTGCAGAAACAGGGGAGTCCTCGCTGGAGGACTGCTTTGAATGACGAAGACGATCCATCACGGGTGCTTTTGAGAGGAACGATGATAATGGAAAAGGGCGTTAGGACGGTGGCAGAATGAAGAACAGAAAAGGAGGGTTTGGATTGGGAGTTGCCTTAATCAGGTCCGATGCCAAATTTGGCAGCGGCGCACTACATTGTGGTATATCACTGGCTCAGAATAAGATTCACATAGCTGGGAGAAGGTAGCCTATGCAATGGAATCTACTATAACGATGTCAGATAAAGAAAAAGAGTTTAGAGTTGATATGCATGTGTTTCTCGTATAAACAAATTCATGGAACCAAGGTCATCCTGAGGGTGGCCTTGGGTAGGATCATGGTAGAATAATCCTCACAAAACACCTTCTATGGTTTGGCTCTTTCTACCAACCTCTTTTGAGCCCCCTTCATCTATCCTCATTCCTTCACCTATGAAGGGAGTGGTGAAGCCAGGGCTTTAACGAATTCTGCAAAACACTCTGCTTCGAATCGCAGATCTAGAACGACAGAAGAACCTTGTCGAGGCGATGCCCATTATCCCTCATAATCTTCTCTTTCCTCTTGCTGCTTTTCTTCTCCTGAACCTATGAATTTCTCTCACTGCTTACAACAATCCGCAATTCTCGTTGAGGTATTTCATAAGGATCCTCTAGCCCAACGAAATGGAAACCAAGCTAACCAGTATGCATATGATTGTAGGATTCCCATCACCCTTCTCGTTGTCAACAAACGTCTGAACGCAATGCCGAACCCTCCGCCCAGTGAGTTCATGACGTCTATTTCAATGGATTTGTTTCCATGAGGCTAATGCAGAGCTAGAGACAAACGCCGAATGCGAACCTCCGGCCCCAACCATTAATGGTGCCAGCCTGCCTCCTAGATTCTGGGCCAACGTCGCCCAGAATCCAGGCACGCTTTTAGGTCAGAATCCAACCTGGTCCCGTGCCGTGGCCGAGATCAACAAGGCCGGCACGCTGATGAACTCTATGCGTCACATGCCACTCCTATGGGAGCCCACGGTCATGTACAGGGGAAGGAGGTGGAAGGAAAAGGAACACTGGCCATGGACGGGCAAGGTTTTCAGTGGCTTTATCTCCGCCAAGAAGTCCGATTACACAGGACTACTGGCCCAAGCAACAAGGGAGTTGCTTGATGGAGACAATGCATGCTGGCACTGTCAACAAGGTATGGGGATGTTTTATGGGTGCGTCCGAGTCCATGGTCTCAAAAACTGCGCCAACTGACATATAGAATTCTAAGCGATGCGCCCTGGGATATGGCACCCTTACCACTATGTCAGTTCAGCATGGTGCGATACCAGGGGGGAACACATCAAACGCTCAGCAGCTACTCGAAAGACCTTCGAGCCATGAAGGACGATGTCTTGGCAAATCTCATATCGTTGCGAAAGCTCATTGAAAGAAGTGGGGAGCATTGGCAGAATGCTGATGAGTCGAATCCTGAGCATGCAGACCCTCCAGTGCCGACGGTAGATATGTTGACGCTGACGGACATCTACCATCGCGAGCTCAAGGGATCGTGGATGCGCAGGCACGGTAAATATCTACGGGAGATTCTCACTACTATCGGATCGGTGAAAGATGGAGTCGTTGAACTGGTGAATCGTCTGGAGGCATTAATTGCGAATCGTTAGGAATGAGGGCTCACATAATGCACTCAGCCTTCTTTATACATGGCCTTAATAGCTCTCTACGTATTCCGTACTCTACCCGCTCTTGCCGTGTCTGTGACCATGTAGTAAAGTTGAATCAAATACCTGAACGCGGTTACGCTTATTATTATGGGCTGAGACTGTAACTAAATCTAATACTAAAGGTATAAGACAGCAATGGAGTCATCCATCAAAGATATCAGGTCTCTAAGAAACCTATATTCATACTTTACTTTTCTTGTCTTTTTTTCCACCGCTTGAATATATGTCTTCCGAGATAGGTACCACCCGCGTTGAAATTGCCAACAAAACTTAGCGACATTCTCCAGGGCTCATGCATCTTTTACAAGGCGGTTGGGAAAGTATTCCTATTTTCAAACCATTTCCTTTCAAAACCCAGGGGCGGAAATGTGTTTGCCTACAGTCCCCAACAGAGTTCAGGGCAAGGTCATTATCGCTTGTCAAAACCTCCACTTTTCTACCGTTATCAGCGATGATAAGCCCCATCAATTCCGCCATTCCGGTCGCGCACTCTCCTCTCACCCACGGACCACCAGTATAACGAGACCAAGCAGAGTGAATAAAAGACGAGTAAAACATCATGACGTCTGATGCAACAAGACGTGACGACGAAGCACTCCATCAAAGGCCAAGGAAGAGGGCTAAGTACACACAAGTCGCCTGGTATGTGTCCGTGGCGCTTCAGTTCCGAAGTGCCGAGATTCTAACCGCCCCAGCAACGAATGCAAAAGACGCAAGCTGAAATGCAGCGGAGGCAACACCTGCGCTCGATGTGCTCGAGACGACATTTCGTGCATCTATGCGGCGCAACGGCCGGTCGCAGCTACGCCAGAGGGTGATGTCAAAGATGATCGGTACGGCCCCTTGAACGATTCGTAATGTCTTTCATCAACAGCCTACGGCTGGGCGCGCCAATGGCCCAATGGACTAATATGATTCAGGATAAACACTAGATTCAATGCTGTCAATCAGCAATTGGAGGCTCTCCAGCGGGAAATGCGCACTATTTCCGCTCGGCTTCGTGAACTCGAGGGAAACAGTCCAGCCGATTCTCCAAAATTGTCGGCACGGGGAACTGCTGCGGCTGTTGGATTACACCGGATTTTGAACGCTCCCAAGTCGCCTACATATGTTGGACCGACAAGTGCTGAGTTTGGGCTCGGTCGCCAGCGTCGGCTCGGTTCCGCGGACAGCAACCATGGTGAGAATGGGAACGATGATGAGGAAGAGGACTTTGATCTTTCAACAGCTGCTCCTAGTCCTGCACCCTCTGGTGAACAATTTGAAGTGGCTTCTGGAGATCCACTGATGGGACTGGGTCTGGAGGAGATCTTGCGTTTGGTTCAAGTTTACGAGGACACTGTTGGCATCATGTACCCTTGTGTTGATCTGGCCAGTTTGCGTACATACGTCGTGGAGTTCCACCATCAATATGATCCAGCTATCGACCGTGGATCGGGTCGGTTACTGACAGATTCGGACCAAGATTGGTTTCATGCCCGCGATATTCAAGTGTTGAAGATTTTGTTGGCTACCGCCTTGCTTGTCGAATCTCATGGTCGAAGTGAGCGTGCAGCGCAGCTGGCGAATAGCGTCGAGGACCGCTTTGCCAGTCGGCTCAAGGTAGCTGAGGTTGACATGAAGGAGATTCTTATCTTGACACTGCTGGTATGTTATCCTTCTCCATACACTGAGATCCTTTCTAACGAAAGTAGTCTATATTCCACTCGTATCGCGACGATGAAGTCATCGCCTGGCGATTGACTGGTATGGCTGCCCGAGGTAGTATGGAGCTTGGTCTACACCGTCAGGATACATGGCACAAGACAGGAGGAGTGTTTCCGGGTGCGTTAGAGTGGATGTGGGCAAGTCGGCTTTTTTGGTGCATCTATGTTCTAGACCGAAAATGGTGTTTTGGAACCGGTCTTCCATTTGCTATTCAAGAGTCAGACATGGACACCAACCTGCCGGAACCTGGTCATTCCACGCCCTACCTGATGTGTATGATCTCGTATTCACGTCTCAGTACGAAGGTCTGGGGTTTGGTTGTTGGCTGGCCAAACAGGTCACGGGAGGCAACAGCAGAGAGATGCGCATTCTTAGATGCACAAGTTCAGCAATGGGTCCACTCTATTCCCCGGGAGTTGCGATTCGATCCAACCTGGCGCTCTTCTGCAGGACCAGAACATACCGATCGAGCTATGATGCTGCAAGTGCTTCTCGCCCTTCAAGCCAATCAGCTTCGGATTCTGGTCTATCGTCAAAACCTCATGAGTAGTGAGCAGATCGCGGAAGACCTGTCTGGTGCCTCGACTGCAGTGGAGACGGCTAAGAGTACCGTTCACATGCTGGATTACTTTAGCCGTGTCTCCAACGTCTATTTCCAATGGCCGGAACCTTTCAACTACTTTCTGATCTCGGCCCTTGCAGCCCTGTTTCTGGCCGTGCTACATGCGCCAGCTCGTTTCAGTCAGACCTGCCGACCGGAATTCTACACGGCGGTTGACATGGTGCGCCGCTCAGCAACACGGGCTCGCACGTCTAGACGTCTACAAAAGATTATCCGCAGCTTGAAGCGAATCCAGCTTAATGTAACTTGGCAAAAGAACACGGGATGCCAGACGTTGGAGAAGGATTCCCGAGGTTCTCGTTCCATATCGGGCCCTTCTATGGTCGCCGATTCGAATTCCGGTGCTTCCCGGTCAAAACAAGTGGAATCGCGTATTCTATGGGATTCAACTCCGCTATCCTCTAACGTCGATTCCCCATCACTCCAGAATCCTCCAAGTCTCTATCAGACCCCTGGAATGTCCACCCCACAACACTCGTCGGCGACATTTTGGCCTCTATCGCCTGGTACAGCTGCGGAAGCAGACTCCAATGAATGTGAGGATCTCAGTAGTTTCTTCGAGATTGCGGGCGGACTTTATTTCGATCCTCGGTCTGGCGCAGACTTTACAACGGGTGTGAATATTGAGTTGTCAAACTGCGAGAATGGGCGGTCACACAATGCATTGGGCGCTTTCCAGGCGGAGGATGAGGCATTGACACGCGTCATGGCTGGCTTGCTGTAAATGTCAATTTTGCAATTAACTACGATACCATGAAAAGGTCAGGAAAAGTTAAAGACAATATTTCCCAACTTTGCAATGAGCGATTTCTTTGAATCGTACGAAGTGCTGGCGGTATGGTCTGTAAGCGGACGAGTTCCGGATGAGCTGACGCCCCCGGATGAGATAACCCCCGCGGCCAATATCTAGCACCATCGAGTGTTTCTCACCCAAACCTCCTGTGATAAATCATGAAACTTTCATGTTTTGTGCAATAATTACAGTTGTCTACTTGGAAGCCCGCTTGACTCTATTCATCTAACGCTCCGGAATAATTCCGAAACTGAGCTCATCCATCGCCATGGTTTCCTTCAAAGAGATACAAGGCTCCAACGCACTCATTAACGATGTCACAGCGCCCCGCATCGCTATTTTCATCGGCGGTACATCTGGAATCGGAAAATCCACAATAAAAGCCCTAGTCGCAACCGGCACAAGCATAAGAATCTACCTAGTCGGACGCAAGTCTTCATCGGAGCGCACGCAGTCCTTCATCCTGGAATTAAACGCCATCAACCCCAAAGCAGAAATCATCTGGACAGAAGCCGAGGTCTCACTCCTCTCAGAGACCAAAAGAGTTTGCGAGCTTATCACAAAGAAAGAATCACGCGTCGACTTGTTATTCTTTACAACGGGCTACGCACCATTCGGTGCACGGATGGAGACTACCGAGGGTATAGAAATTACTCAGAGTTTGGAATACTACTCGCGAATGCTGTTTGTTTTTCGTCTTCTCCCACTACTACGCGCGGCCGAAGCTCCCAGGGTTGTTAGCGTTCTTGGTGGAGGGTTGGAAAGGGGGAATTTCGACTTGGAGGATATTGATCTGAAGAGACCTGGGAATTTCGGGCCTATGAAAACTCAGATGCAATGCATTACTATGAATACGATGACTATGGAGAGACTCGCGGGTGAAAATCCCGATGTGACTTTTGTCCACTCATGGCCTGGGTGGGTGAATACGGGCAATGTGAGGAGGGGTTTGGATCCCAATTCGATGATTGGATGGGTTGTTTGGTTATTCCTTGAGCCTCTTATTGGTTTGTTTTCGTTGAGCGGTGAGGAGTCTGGGCAACGACATTTGTATCAGTGTACTAGTGCTGCTTTTGGCGGTCGTGGCGTGCGGTGGATGGGCAAGCCAGGCATTAATTCGCTGGGGCAGCAGGGGGAGCAGGGGGATGGACTCTTTCTCGTGAATTATAAGTGTGATTGTACGCCTAATCTAGGGGTTTTGTCCTTGCTGAGAGGGAAAGCGACAGGGAAGATTTGGAACCATACACAAGATGTTCTTCGCCCTTATATGCAGGAAGAATGATCGTTTATGTTGGATGGCACTTAATTTGACTATTTTCTCACAATTCATACAAGAAAGAATATACCCGAGACGACAGAATACTGTCCATACTGTTTGAAAAATTTTCACACGCATTGTGTTTAACGAAGGATCATGAAGATGGGTGAAAAGTCAGTCGGTCTGTGTGGGCAAGGAACGTTTACCGAAGACGAAGACGACCCTCTGACCATCGGGCCCGGGCTTTCTCCCACCAGACTGGAAGTTCATAAGCCGCATGACACAGCAATCCGGCAATAAAGCCAACAGCATCATTCTTGAATCCTACCAACAACCCAACGGTCACCATCATCACAGTCCATCGTCGTTTGCGCTCTTCATCGGTGAGTACAGGGCCAATGTGCTGGTCTGGAATACCTAGCATGTGGCTTCCAGCGCGACCGATATCCCGGGCAGCAGAGGTGTTCAAGCTCTCGCCAACACTCACGAGCTCAAGGCCAGCCGCAATGACCATCACGCCCAAGAATGCCACCGGGAAGCGCTTGAGCAGGTCGATCAGGGTTTCTCCAAACAAAAGCCCAATGATGAGCTTCAGAACACCAAGGAAGATCACACTAGCGCCCGACCGTGCACCAAATCGATATTGAGCTGCTAGACCGCCGGAACCATGGCAGACAGGCATTGCGCCAAACCAGCAACCCAAAAGGTTCATTCCGGCGACACTTAAACCAATGTGCGTGATGGAAGGAGCGCGAACATTCGGCAGCAAGTCATGCGCAAGGTGAACAACCGCAACAATGGAGTTAAGAGTGGTGAGGGGAATCTGACCAATACCAGCATCAACAGCACCAGTTCGCCACTGGGAAGGAGTTGGCAACACGATAAACGGATGCCAAATTTCAAATGCAGGCAGATGACCAGCGAGCGTAGTCCGAATGATCGCAAACACGAGACCAAGCACCAACAGTGTCAAAGCATAAGGTACACGTCGAAATATATTGGTAGTCACAAGAGCGACGAAGGCAGCAAGGGCCCAGATCCGATTATCAGCCCAAGACGGGCTAATCCATCCCAAAGGCGCTAGCATACTCCCACAAGCAGAGATAACCAAGGACAACCCCGCTCCAACCTGGATTCCTTTAATCACAGGAATTGGTATAACATTAGAGAACCAGCGCAGCAGGCCAGTAACACTGAATACAAGAATACAAGCGCCAACGAAGATCCCGGCTGCGGCGATTGACCCGTTGGAAAAGCTGCGGGCTATAGCCACGGCAGCGATCGCTTTCATTGGCTGAACGGGGAGTGGAATGCCGAAATACAATCCTGTCAGGATATTGTAGACACCGGAGAAGATCAAGGTGCTGGCTAGGGAAACGCTGCCGTTCACTGCTAGCGCGATGGCGATTGGGAGAAAGGTTCCCAGATCGCCGAGGGATCCTGATATTTCCGAGACATAGTGGCTCTTGAAGGTGCGTAGATTGTGGGCAGATATCTCCCGTAATGATTGCGCCGTCATGGTGGATAGTGAGCTTGCCCAGGAGGACTGTCCAGTGGGAGTGGGGTGGACCGTGATGAGGAAAACAGAAAGCTTGGGTGATGCGGAAGCTTATCAAGATCGGAGTCCACCGATCACCCCGCACGTGGCGCCAGATGGATGGACAATCCTGTTTAGATAACTTCTACTTCCAAGTTCCAGACACCACCTACATTCTTGCATAATACGCGTGATGCCCGATTTCCTAGGGGGGTAACGTGCATGAACTGACCCGATCTTGGTCAATACGCAAGACAACCCTTCAATCATTCCTTGACTCGAAGTCAATCAGCCACTAGTCATGACCCGTGTGCACCCACGTCCAGCAAGTGCATCGGCTTCTTCAGCATGGACGCACACTTCCCATTCAAATATTCAAAGGCGGGGGATGAGGAATCGTATGTGCCGTGCACCTCCCCGGAGAGATGTAGCAGCCAAGCAACGAGCCAGTCGTTACACAGGTTTCTCAGAAGGTTCCAGGGTCTCAAGGAATTACTGCAGTCTCAGAATAGCTTAATATACTTGTATCGGATCTAATTGGACCGTCTATACTAGTGGTAGTGTCTTGGGAATTGTGTGGCTAAATAAGGTCATGTGGCTAAGATCCTTAGTTATTGAATATCCAAGAAACCGGGTTCAATTTGCTCTGAATGGCAACTACCGCGCTAGCCTAGAGGTGGGCTAGCAAGGTGTCACAATATTACTTGCGGGTTCTGAACTACGAATCTTCGGTCATGATTACTGCATGACGCTAAATGCGGCTAGTGAGGTATGCCAAGCACTGGCGATTCGGGAATTTATTGACATGCACAAACAAGGTGGTTTCATCCTGTGCAGTCAATGACGGAGTCACCGAAAGTGTGTGAGTATGCATCATTTGATGGTCCTTTACACTCTTTCATTGTCAAAAGTCGAAATTCGTATTAAAAAAGAAGTTCAGTGCAATACAGCGTGGGCCACGTTGCTTAGCCACGCTGTCCGCGGGAAAGTGGGGACTCGGAAATTCATGCACCTTCCAATGATATATCGTATAGCCATGCCTTGTGCAGACAGTGTGTAACAAGTACCTAGGCAAACTCTTGCCAGTCGATCACGTTAATCCGGCGCTTGGGGAAAAGGTGAAACCGCCCGACATCTATCACTCCCCACCTTAGCCTTCTTTCATCTCTTCTAAGAAAAACAAAAGGCCAGCCGCCTATCTTGAAACCTTTCGTGTTACGAAAGATGCCTCAAAGTTTGAAAAATCTATTTACTTCACTTCGAGGCCATGGGAAGATTTGGAAAGCCCAAGACCCAAAGAACTGCATGACAAACGATAGACCCTCAATATCGAGCCAGCCCGCAATTCAGCAAACCCAGTCAAATAAAATAAACGACATAATCGAAGTAGACAAGTCAAACGAAACCTTGCACCCGCGAGACTTATGGCAAGCGGCTTATGACCAACTTGATGCTAGAGCGTCATTCAGGTGGAGCTCATTCAGTGGCTTTCTCTCCTGATGGGCTTACCCTAGCAACGGGCTTAATTGATGATACCATTAGGTTGTGGGATTTGGCAACCGGCACGCAGCGACAGATGTTAGAGGGCCACTCGGGATGGGTTGATTCCCTGGCATTCTCCCCCGATGGGCTCACATTAGCATCAGGCTCAAAAGATTGGACCATCAAGATTTGGGAAATGGTGACTGGCACAGTAACGCATCAGCATTTGCTAAAGGGCCAGGAACATTCAAGTCGGGTCAATTCATTGGCCCTCTCCCCTGATGGGCTCACTCTAGCTTCGGGCTCAAGTGACTGTACTGTTAAACTTTGGGATACAAAGACGAGCACGGCGACGCTGCTACAGACGCTAGAAGGCCATTCAGACTGGGTTACATCTGTGGCTTTTTCTCATAATGGGCTAAATCTAGCATCAGGGTCGACTGATAGCACCATCAGGCTCTGGGACACAGTGATTGGCACGCAGCGGCAGACGCTAGAGGGCCATTCTGATTCTGTCGTTTCGGTGGCCTTCTCTCCCAATGGGCTTGACCTAGTATCGTGCTCAGGTGATGGGACCATTAAGCTCTGGGACACGGCAACCGGCATGCAGCGGGAGACACGGCATGGCTATCCTGATCCTGTCACCTCGAAAGCCGCTTCGATGGCAATTAACCTCGATGGACTCATGCCAGCTCTCGAAAATGCCCCTACAGACTCTCAGATATATCTATGGAAAGATTGGTTTTGTTTGGGATGTGAGAATCTACTGTGGCTTCCTGTTGAGTATCGCTCTTTTACGTGCCTGGCCGCCAAGGATGCCACAATTGCACTTGGGTATGAGGACGGGCGGGTCTTGGTATTCGGGTTCCATGCGCACACGGTATAATTACACTATTCGTGGTCTTTACTTGATCGATCTTGGCATCGGCGTTATTTCAATTCAGCAAAGACTTTATGAATCATGATTATGATTCCTTGGCAGCTTTAAGGACAAAGATATGACCAGCGGGCACTAACGAACACTAATATTGCGATACGGACGTAGAGCTCTCAGAGGCGGCTTGACCAAGACCCACAAGATAGGAAAAAGGGTTGGAAGTTGAATTTCAAGCCTGGTCTGTAAAACTGGCACAGGAAAGCAAATATCGGAATTACTTTCTCACTAAACAGAGGCCATATCACCCTAAAAATTCGATACCAAAACTTGTATCAGGAAGTTTTCCAGCAAGTAAGGAGTACCCACTTCCTTTGACTTGATTCAAAAAGATGGGTTGGCATTGACAAGTAGCTGCTCGAAATATGCCTGTAAAATATGAGCGAGGGAACAATTATGATGATTGCAGGTTTACAGAACAGGGGGTTAAACTCACCTGGAACCACGTTCCGGCTTCTGGGGCAGGCTGTAAGGCATCACTATATCCGCAGTGTGCATCATATCGTGCGGATGTGGTATCAGATGTACCATCGCATTCTCCGCCGGGCTTGACCCAAACAAATGCATCCTCAAGAGCATCCCCAGTATCTGTCGTGGGGCGAACACCAAAGCCAGTCCCAATGACGTTGCACCAGTCACCCCAGGCATTTTGCTTGGTTGGCTGGACACCGTTCCGTGCTAATCGGAGGTTAGATTATCCAATTTGCATCCATGCAAGAATCAACAGATCATTGAAGATTTGAGGGTTTCACTTACAAGTGTCAGTAATGAAATGGGCAGAGAAACCAGCAGCTTCAAGCAGAGGGGCCATAGCATTGACATAAAGCTTTTCGTCGCAGTTTGAGTCTCCTGATGTGTATGATGGACAAGAGGCAATGGTCCAGGCGTTATAATTAGCAACATTAGTGGCTAATCCGCGTACAGCAGCGGGGGACGACGCGTTTTTGTATACATTGGCAAAGAGCGTAGCGGCCGGTTGGAGATTAGCTGACCAGCCCAGCCAGCCGGCATGTCCTAAACACGTCGGTTTAGCCAATTTCTTCTATCTAGATGGGAGGATAAATGGATAAGGTCCGGGGAAGCAATCATACCGGCGTCAATGTACATTGCTACATTGTCCAAGTTGAGCTGGATCAACGCATAGTTGACGCACTCCAGGTAAGCACTCTCAGCATTGGCGCATTTAGCCACATTCATATTTGTAACCAGATTTGCGAGGCTATCGGGCTCTATTGAAAATTAGCAGAGCTAATACGTTTCTTGTAAAGGCTTGGGGTCCCAACCAATGACCAAAATAGTCTGCACATCAGAATATTTGACAATCTGAGCCCTGATTGAGTCAATGTACGCTTTATAGTTAGCAATTCCGTTATCGGCAATTGAGTACTCGCCATTACTGGCAAGAGCGGCGCAGTCGCGGTCTGGCAAGTCATAAACCACAAAGATTCCGGCAATGGGCGGGTTGGCACCGGCCGCATTTTGCGCCTGGATGTCGGCAAGGTAGGTCCCCATGGTCGGAACCTTGGCAGCTGTGTCACTATTGAAGATTTCAGTAGAGGCGCGATTTAGAAGCACATGATAGTACCTACAGCCAAACAAAGGATGGAACTTTGGCAACCGAGCTAGCCTTCACGGCGAGAGAGCTTGTCAGTGAAGGAATTGCTGATGTGAAGACCTCGGCGGAGTAGTAAGGGTTTGCATAGAGCTGATAGCCGCTGAACGGATTGCCACTGTTTGTAGTAGCAGGAGCTGTAGTGGTAGTTCCTGTGGATGTTTTAGTCGTGGTAGTTCCAGTGGATGTTTTAGTAGTGGTGGAACTGGTGGTAGTCGACAATGTAGTCTTGGTTGTCGTGCTCGTGCTTGCTGTCGCAGTTGCAGACACACATTGTGCATAGTCTTTTAAAGCACTTAGCGTTATGGTTGTAGAGGAAGGAGGGGGAAATAAAAACATACAGGGATTCAAGGTGCTGCAAGTTGCCTGTGCTGTGCACACTGTTGATCCTGACCATCCACTACCTCCGCCTAAAGAAACGATTAACCCAGAATTCCTGTATGAATAAAAAATGTAAATCCTTACATTGGCCATAGAGGGATTGCTGTGCATAGGCAATATAAGAAAAGAACAAGAACACGAAACCTGATGCGCGCTGCATGGTGCTGATCTGTTCGTAGTTCAATGTAGCCTCGATTGTTTTGATATTCAGGATCAGGGAATCATGGGAAATTTCCAGTGTAATATATACCTCATACTATTAGAATAGCGATCCGCCTTTCCTATGATGCTGAACATCAATACTATAATAGCCACGGAACGATATCTCAAAATGACGCGGAACATAGATAATCTGCAGGCTAAATTATTTCAGGCTATGTTACTTTGAAGATGTAATGCATATCAAGGTTGCTAGGACAAAGGGTAAGGGTAAAGTCAGACTTGAAAGTAGGGCTTTCAGCGTCGGAATCTGTTTCAAAGTATTCATCACCTTTCAAATGCGGTACCTGACCCTTGACAACTCCCGCAGCTCGGTGGCTGCTAATTTCCACAGGAGCATCAAAGGATTTACCCCTATACATCACGGGGAGGTCAAAAGGGGTAAGCGCGTAGGGCAGGCACGAGGACCCTGCAGCTCTTCACCCGGCTGCAGAATAAGGTTCTTTATATGATACGCGGGATCGAAGGGCTGCATAGCCTAATCATCCGGGTATTTGTGCTGCGGTCTAGGGTTCCTCAGAATAATAACAATAAAAATGAAAGTGTTTCTCATATTGCTAAAATTAAAACCTTTGGCTCCCCAGAAAAAGGAAATAGTAAATCAGATAATATTTATTTTTGAGGGTTTCATATAAAAGCTACCTGTTAACATATAAACGTGGCAGGGCATACAACCTTGGAATGCGGGCATCACGCTGACTGGCTGATTTGCTTCTGCAGGTGGCACAACGGCGGGCCGTCTCCCGAAAGGAATGATGAAGAATACAATGAATCCACGGATGGAACGGAGATGTTGCCGGGGAGAAGAGGCCAGAAACGGCCTCTCGGCACAGTTAATGTTGGTCACGTGGAAACATTGGTGCACCAACGCTAGCGGTCAGGCACCCAAAGGCTAAAGGTACCAGTCATAGTAGGCACCTGGGCAAGGTAGTTATATTAGTGGACATTTACACAGAATAGGTGGCTTCGTAAGTTCTCCCGACTTCATCACGAGCTCATGTATCCCGAATATGGTGTTTGTACCTGACGCTTATCGTTGATAAGATAACCCTTATCTAGGCGGTGAAGATGTATCCCTCATGTCGTCACTCGCAGTGCACTGCAACCATTTCAATTCTGTGCACAATTTTGAACCTCTCTATGTGTCAAATATGATGGTAACTTCGGTAATGGAAGACCCCCTTGCGATTCTACCCCCCGAGATCGTCCTGCGCATCTTAGACTTTGCCCCGGTTTCGACACTCGCATCCCTTACTGCCACGTCCACTGCCTGGCACGAATTTATTGATGTGACCCATCAAGAAGCGATCTACAGTTCCGAGTCCAAGACTTCCCACCCGCCCGGCACCACTCGTGATCTCTCGTTCTTGTCCAGTGCGGGAACCTTTGCCAAATCGTTCGAAGGTACCACGTCATGGAAGGATTTGTGCAGACGCCAAACACTTCTTGCCTGCAACTGGGCTGATTCCTGCCCAATCACTCAGGAGTCGGTGCTCCAGGTCGGAAATGATCCTATTTGGCGGTTTCGTCCAGACTTCAAGCGTCGGTTCTTCGTGTCTACCTCCCATGCTGGCGGGTTAAATGTTACAGATATGGACACTGGCTGTATCCTATGGCGCCTGCCTTCATCACTGGATCGGGACGAGGACTCAGTTCGTCCATATGCCCATCTCGAATATCAGGATGGAATGGCCGTTTTTGATCGTGAGGGCGATGCTGTGGAGGTTTGGCAAGCCGATGTGGACGGTGCACCGCGTGGAGAGTTTCGGCGCATCGCGGTCTTGAACCATGATTGCCAGACTAGGGGCTTTCAACTATCCTATGACACGCTGTGTGTGGTGTCCAACAAAGCGCAAGGTTTTGTATACGACATGAAGCAGCGGCCTCCTCAGTTGATCACACACTTGACAATTGAACCTGATGCCGTCGGTCATTTAGATCAAAGCAAAGATGCGGTGATCTACTCTATAGGAGCACGGGGCTATCACATTTATGACAAGGCTTCTGGCAATTATTTGGGTGCTCTGCATCCATCGCGATGTACAGATAAATACCATATCCGTCCACCCCCCGCAAGTTCCCGTTCGGCCAGTGCGGCACTGGCCGGGACTGTCCGGCATGGTCCAAACCACCGTATCTTCCCATCCGGGCCACCTCGCAAAGACTGTTTGACCCCCCCTCAAGCTCGTCAAGGGGCCACTCTCCCCACCACCAAGCGACCCGGAGCATGTCTGGCATGGAGAAGATGAATGGGGAGCAGGTATGCTGGATGGTGATCTATTTGTCGGCTTTTCTCGTGCTGGTCGAGTCTTTATTTGCTCCGACTGGCGGAAGGCTATCCAAGATGAACCTGGTTTTACAGCCAATACCTCCATCATTGAATGCGAGACTGACGGCTCCAGCTTCGACTTGGGTGGTTGGTTATCAGTGCGCAACCACCGCGTGATGTTCGAAATCCAAGACCGGGTATACGTTGTGGCTCTTGATGATCGTAACAAGATTCCCGCAGGGAACCCTCCTTCTCGCGCTTCATACGCACTAGCCACCAGCTCTGCGCCACAGCTTGCTGTGCCAGTCAGCTTCATGACGCTATGCGATGATGCTATCATGACCACTTACACGGTGCGTTTATAACTCTTCATACCTGGGCATTGACAATTAGAAACGATATGGCTGATAATAAAGTTACAGACTCTCGGTTGGCGACAAACCCTCTCCGACATCCCTGGCGATGCCCAGCAACAACATGAAAACCCCGCCCGAATCTTCCCAACTAAAGCTGTCCGGATTGTCAGCTTAAGCCCCAACCTTTCCAGCAATCCAACTTCTCCATCCAACACCACACCAGAACGGTCAGCAGGCATTAGTGATGAAACAGATCCCAATAACCCTCATCCCGATGACCTTTGGCGGTCCCAAGCCGGTCTATTAGACTTGATCAGCATGCTCCAAGATGAATTTGAGGAAGAGGATGACCCACCAGAACTCCTATTGTCGGATTTGCAAGCGGGACATCCAGTTGATGGAGAATGGGAAGACGTTGAGGATGACGAGGATGACCATCCAGACGCACCCGAAGCTTAACTCATCTGTAAGCTTCGACGCCTTTGGACCAGCCATGCAGTCTCTATGTGCGTTGCTTTGGGCCATCAGCGACTGCTTCAAATTCTGATGGCCATGCATTTCTTGCCCACTAACCATACAACAGCCTATATCATGTACAGAGGCCTGTTATCTTGCTTGAAGATCTCAGGGTCTATGGGATAAAGACCATATCGCGATGATAGAGGTTCCCCTCAAGTTGGACCATAGAAGCTTCCAATAGAAATAGCGACGAATAGAAATAGAGTATATGTTATGACTGCGATTCAGAGGACGAAAGTGGCTTTGGGCGGTGAGTCCTGGGGTCTGGTTCATATAATCACATTTATAGACCTGGATGCAGTCATCGTTGGGAAATAAGCTGCTCTAGCATAACCGCATCTGGGGAAGTTTATAATTGAAAACTAGGCAGTATTGGTTGAACTTGGTGACTGTGGACATATCGCCACCATACACAGTTGTCAGCTTGGTGATCGTCCATTCAACATCCACGGTGCTGGTATACGCGGGCAGTGTGATGGTCGTCGTGGTAGTCAGCTCAACCTCGGGTAAAACCATCGTGCAGGGAATTGGGCACGCAGCTTCCAAGTTAGACCACCCGTCCGAATCAATATAGACAACAGTGGCGTTAAACGTCGTGGAGGATGAGGAGCCCGAGTCATCGCCCACGGAGCTGGATGAGCTGGAGCCTGTCAAGGATGACAGCACGCATGATCCCTCCGGGCAGTATCTTCGACTGCAAGCAAAATCGCAGAGTCAATTCCTATTCTCTTGCTGGGGTGTCTTCTACTATCCGCTCCATTTTCTCTTGACGTTCCATTTGCACGCGCGCCTCGATAAAGACCGAAAAGCGATAACCGATGTCCTCGCCATGAAAAGGGGGATCAGCACCTATCGACACCTCCATTCCGTTGGGAGTCAAGATAGGTACTTGCTGCCGCATAGGCCACTGAGCCTTCCAGAGTCCTAGCCCATAGAAACGCCAGAGATCCCAGATCGGCATACCTAATGCACGCCATAGACGGGAATCCTGGAGGCTATATACCTGATGTCTAGCCGGATGGGTCTTGCTGCGAATCTGCCATGAGCGCCAAAGGTCAAACATAGGATTCTCTTCGGTCATCATATATCCCTGTCCCCAGAGGTCTCTCGTGATGGACATTCTGGGTGGAGTGGGGGGAGGGGACCAGACATCAAATTTGCACAGCAGTTGAGTGGCATATGGTACCTGTATAACAAGGGCCTTATCACTGCTTTTCGATTCGACTAAGAGCTGTGTAGTTTGATCTATATCGGCTCCAAATAGATTATCCAGACATTCCCTCACGGAACGGATCTCCTCCGTAGCTATATAAGGCAATTGATTCCAGCCGATATAGTCGGACCGTAAAAGGTCGAGATCACTTTGGGGCCATTCTAGCCTATCGGCAGCGACCAATAGGTCGGAACATAATAGCACGTGCCATAGCGCGCGGTAGACCCGATACTCCTCAATCCAGGAAGGAGGGCCGGCATCACGTGGCTTATATGGCGCGGTGCCCGTCACTTTGAATAAGCGGGCGCCTTGTAATTCCCCCTCCCAGCGCCGTGGTTGAACCTTCCGAAGCCGGGTCAACAGAGTGGTCAGACAAGCGCATGCTAGCCGCTGAATGTTGGCCGCGACTTTCACCATTTCCTGCAACGTAGCGCGATTTATCGAAGAAGAGGCCATACGCGAACGAGAATGGTCCCGAGCCATAAATTCGGCGAGATTTCTATCTGCTAAGGAAGGTTGGCGCAGTTCCATGGTCATGCGGAAATAGCGGTGTAGTTCGTGGCTCATGATAGAGTTCTCCTTGAGAATTGATTCAACAAGGCGAATGGCTTCAGGGTTCGCGTTGTCGGACTCGCCTGCGAAAAGCTTTCCCAACTGGGGGGAGACTTGTAAAAGGCTTTCGAGACCAACCCAGTCCGCTGCATATCTATTAACGCTAGAGAGGAGCTCATATGGAAGTCGGTTTAGTGCTGCCATTGTTGCATTAAGATCCGATATCAGAGCTGCTGAATCTGAACACAGAAGGTGTATTCATATTCTGCGAGCCCAGGTAGAAAGAATTTGTCTGGTCACGTAAATAGACGAATGTGAGTCACCCGATTAGACGGAAGATAATAAGAGGATCCAAATTTTTTAATGGTTGGATCCGCGCTATACCGCATATAGTGTCATGCAGTGTTGTAATTCAGGAAGAACTATGCCTGCTTTCTTCGGCATTATAAACAACTATAGACTATAGTGGCGTACGTGGGATTTGAAATACTGCATGTCGATTACATAACTTTTTGCGACAGGTTTCTGCTAGCCTGAACCTTACATAATATGATAATTGCTAGTAAAAAGACATTTGCACACGATGGCATATGCATGTCCATCGTTTAAGCAGACGTTTTTGAATGTCTTATCGGCTTGTCAATAAGCCCGATTTCAAAAGAAAACAAAACGTGGTAGGAGCTTCATTGCATGCCACTCACCGCCTTCTCATCCGGAATTCTGCTGGCAATTACCCCTGCTTACCTAACCCCACATGCAGGTCAATCACGCAATCCCGCGTTAAACTCCTTTGGGAAAAAATAAGTATGGCGAAAAAAAGATATTAATACTATGTTCCCGCCAAATGTCTACTGCTTCAGTGAGAACCGCTTTCGTGCTATCCGGGACACCAAAAGACATTTTCGAATCTGTCCTTGTGCTTGTGCTCATTGTCTCGATGCCCATTGTGTGTTGAGTGGCGTTGGTTCAATCCCCGGAATTATCTTATCAGTGGTTATCACCAATCCCGACAGACCTGTTACTCATTCCGAAATACACTTTTTGGATTTCTCCGCGGAAAAACTGCGGGACAACGCATGAAAATACGAGATATCTGATAAAGATACTCAGGTCATATATTGGTTCTGCTTGTTATACAACAAGGTCAAACCCCGGCGGACCCTATATTGACCCCACGAACTTGGAAGGGCAACCCAAATTATAGCACACGACACCATGAAGGGTCCTTCGAATGGTTCTGGAGGTGCAGCACCTTTCATGACCGCGTGGAATGTCGAGTCCCAGGTTCACCTCATTGTTGGAGCTAGTCCCTTGGCTGCTGCGAGATGCACGAAGAGTCTCGAGGCTGGAGCCAAGCCCGTCGTTATTGCGCCAGAGGCCGCAGATATCCATTTCACCCTAGCTGAACACATTGCCAATGGCTCTGTGCAGCTGTTGCGTCGGGATTTTCAAGATGATGACTTGACCACCTTGGGTAGAGAGGAGGTTGACTCGGTTGTGGATGCTGTCTTTGTCACATCGGGTGGCAACAATGAGCTGAGTAGGTCAAACTGTGCAGAATAAGAGAATAGACCCACTAACAACTTTTCAGATACCCATATTTCGAAGCTGTGCCGAAGGCTCCGAATCCCTGTAAATGTAGCTGATGCTCCTGCTCTGTGCTCGTTCACTTTACTCTCTACTTATTCGGACGGGCCGCTCCATATTGGTATTACGACATCCGGTCGTGGGTGCAAGCTTGCGTCCCGCCTGCGGAGAGAAATTGCTGCTTTCCTTCCCGCAGATCTTGGATCTGCCATTGACCGGCTTGGTGCTATGCGATGCAGGCTTTGGGAAGAAGACCATGCCGCTGGATTGACCGATGCCGCCCTGGAAGGCGAAGACGACGATGCAACTGGCCAGAAACACACTTTCAACACCCTAGTCACAGAAGATGATGTCGCGGCAGCAAAGACACGGAGAACGCGCTGGCTATCACAGATCTGTGAATACTGGCCCCTTAGGAAGCTCGTGTCTATCAACGACGCCGATATTGACCAAATCCTACAAGCCTATTCGTCTGGTAACGCGGCCACCCCAGAGACAAACGAAACCAATGGAATCTCCAGGAAGGGTAAAATCATCCTCGCTGGCTCTGGTCCAGGTCACCCCGATCTCCTTACACGCGCTACATACAATGCAATTCAAAACGCCGATATCATTCTTGCCGATAAGCTCGTCCCGGCCCCAGTCCTGGATTTGATTCCTCGCAGGACAGAAGTCCACATTGCCCGGAAGTTCCCCGGAAACGCCGACCAGGCCCAGGAAGAATTTCTACAGATGGGTCTCGCTTCTCTACGGAAGGGACAGACCGTTCTTCGACTTAAGCAAGGAGACCCATATCTGTATGGTCGTGGCGCAGAAGAATTCGAGTTCTTCCGCGCAGAGGGCTATATCCCCGTCGTCCTTCCTGGTATCACCAGCGCCATGAGCGCTTCCCTATTCGCCGATATCCCAGCGACCCACCGCGGCGTCTCAGATCAGGTTCTGGTCTGTACTGGAACTGGTCGGAAGGGGGCTGCACCGCAACCTCCAGCTTACGTGCCTACTCAGACAGTCGTTTTCTTGATGTCCCTCCACCGACTGTCTGCTCTTATCGATTCTCTGACTACATACCCTGCAGAGGACTCAACACAATCACGGGCCCTTTGGCCCAAGGAGACGCCTTGCGCTATTGTTGAGCGCGCATCTTGTCCCGATCAACGGGTCGTTCGTTCGACCTTGGAACATATCTGTCAAGCGTTTGAAGCAGCTGGTTCGCGGCCACCTGGTTTGTTGGTGGTTGGTGCTAGCTGCCATGTTTTGCATAGCCCGAATGGGCAAAAATGGGCTATTGAGGAAGGATTCAGTGGCCTGGAAGGGTTGAATGGAGAGGTGGATGCTGTCACAGTTGCGCTGAATGGGGCTGAGAAGTGACTTGACTGAACATATTTGCATATTGAACGGAGTCATGAAGCATGTATATAGACGATCAGATACCCCATTGAATGAGTACATAACATCATTTTTTATGTTTTTCCCTTCAAAGTTGATGCGCGGTGAAGTAAACTACCGGTTATTATCAAGTAATGGATCAATGTGATTGGTTGATTCTCTACCGCGTTTAACCGCTCAGTAAAATCTATCCAAATCTTCACCGTCCTTTCTACCGCTCAGTAAGTGTCCTGTCTAAGATACGTATTTTACAGCAGAGAGCCTAGATTTCTTGTAATTTAAAGAGTAAATTTTAAGGTTGAGTACCCATGCAGTACATGTAATAAGGTTTCTGCCGGTGAAATATCTGCATTCTGGCCATGGGCGCCAGATCCCGCCGCAAACGGGTTCCACCAGCCCCACCAATGTCAACGCAAGGCGTGCATGTGAATAGGGTTTTTCATTCTAAGTTTTTTTTTTCACGATCGTGTCCAACATCAATTGATTGTACTTTTGATTCCTCTGATCATTTGATCAAAAGTACGAGAGATAGAAGCCTCACAATGGAGACGTTCGAGACTTCCTCTCAGGAAGCTCTTTCAGAGCACCATGAAGCGAACTTGCCACCAGTGGATGGAGGGAGAAGAGCATGGCTTTTCCTTGCAGCTTGTTTCGTGATTGAAGCTTTGATTTGGGGTACGCAACCTACTCAATGCTATAAATGACTTAAAGCATATTCTGACATATCTTTAGGTTTCACTTTTTCTTTTGGCATTTTCCAAGATTATTACAGTACACATGAGCCATTCAAGAGCTCAGGTGATATTGCCATTGTTGGTACATGTGCAATGGTTAGTTTCCAATCAAGATCATGGAGTGCGGAAACTTCTACTGACTAAAACCAGGGTATTTCCTACATGTTACTGCCTGTGGCATTCATCCTGCTACAAGTAATGCCCCGCCTCAAGCTATGGGCTGGCCCAATAGGATTTGTCATTATGTGTCTAGCTCTTTCTTTGAGCTCCTTCGCAACAAATACCACCCACCTTATTGCTTCCCAGGGTGTTGCGTACGGTATCGGTGCAAGCCTTGCATATGCACCGACAATCATCTTCATGGATGAATGGTTTGTGCGTCGGAAAGGACTGGCTTTCGGAATTATGTGGGCTGGAACCGGTCTTTCGGGTGTCATCCTTCCCATCGTTCTTCAATGGATGCTGGATACATTCGGACATAAAACGGCTCTACGTGCATGGTCTATCATTTTGTTACTTGTCGGCGGACCACTCCTCGCATTCCTTCGACCTCGACTGCCCATTTCACGTGCTTCGCAGCCCCGGCCATTGGACTTCAGGTTCCTTTGGGATACGACCTTCCTGATTTATGAATCTGGGAACATCATGGAGGCTATGGGATATTTCCTTCCGACTATTTATTTACCTACGTATGCCAAAAGTCTTGGTGCCAGTGGTATCGAGTCTACGCTTACTGTTATGGTCTTTAATCTTGCCTCTGTTTTTGGGTGTGTGATTATGGGCTCCTTGGTTGATCGGTACCATGCTACTACCTGCATCTTGGCTTCAACAGTTGGTAGTACTGTTGCTGTATTTCTGATCTGGGGGTTGGCTGACAGTTTGGCGCCACTGTACATTTTCTGTATCTTTTACGGATTGTTTGCTGGGTCGTTCACTTCTACTTGGCCGGCAGTTGTCAACGAGGTCACGAAGAGGAGTATTTATACTGACCCTAGTCTTATCTTTGGACTTCTGTCAACTGGGAGAGGCATTGGGAATATTGTTAGTGGGCCTCTTAGTGGAGCTCTACTTGACCAACATGCTTGGGATGGTGTTGCTGCGAAGGCATATGGTACTGGTTATGGGCCTTTGATTGTCTTTACTGGTGTTTCTGCTTTTCTGGGTGGCATTGGTGTTGTTGCAAGACTGGCAGTGCGCTCGTGAACGTAAGCTATCCAGAGCAATATCAATTGTATATTAAAATTATTGAGGATATCAAAAAGTGTTTTCGTGTTTGAGATTTTGAAGTATTGGGGCATATTGCGTTTCTTCGATCCATGATTAGAGAAGATGCTTGTCCACTAGGTCATGTCACGGGGGTGAGTAAATAGAAGTAGGCAGTAATGGTATCGGCCTTGGCAAACAATTTCATGGTAGCGAGCTATGTTTCCAGAGCATTACCCCGCGGGGCCGCGCAGATCGACAGATTGAAGATCCACCGAAGCCAGCTCTTTGCTGCATTCGATTGGTAGTTGTTGGAGATCTCCATATGTCCGTGATTAGATTTAGGTGGACTCAAATCCTGGAGTTCGGCAGTTTGAAAAGGCAGTGCGGTTTCGAAATCCTAGGTGTCTGATAGGTCGGCAGTAACATCGGCAGTCAAATCCCTGTATTGATAAACCTAGATAGGTGTCTCAAAATTGCGTCATATCTCCATTGCAGTTTGCATGACGCGCGGTCATCGGATCAATTATCCCGCGATTCCGCGGTGGCAGGATTGGCGTGTTTGCAGTCTCCATGTACCGATGTTCGTGGCCGACACACCCCGAGAATGTGGGGAACAGACCGGTTCTGCGGGGAAAAACCCTTAGAACCTCGCATGCATCCAGGGCAATCTTTGGGGTAACTACCAGACTATCAACTTCAGATGGTACTTTAGAAGGCCTTGTCTCATCCTCGGATTTCCCACATATTCAACATTCCTGGCAATTGATTCCTCAATCACTTGATTTGAAGTCTTCGATACCAAAAGCCCTACTTTAGCCTTCAATATATCGATCACCTTCCATCATTTCATCATGATACCTGAAAAGCAAATTCCGACCAAGGCATTCGTCGTCGATTCTCCAGGGTCCCCATTTATTTTGCAAGATGTGGTTCTGGACGAAGTTCGGCCTCACGAGCTGTTGATCGAGATGAAGTATACTGGCCTGTGCCATACGGTAAGCCCATGGCCCCAATTCCATGCGGATTCAAGAAAGCTACTAACCTTTTTGAGATAGGATATTGTGGTCCAGAAGGGGGCGATTCCTGTTGGTGAATACCCGGCTGTGCTGGGGCACGAAGGCGCGGGCATTATCCGGCGGGTGGGCAGCGCAGTGAAAGACACATCCCTGGCGGAGGGCGACCAGGTCTTCTTGAGTTTTACCACGTGTAACAAGTGTACACAGTGTGACGAAGGGCGCCATGGATTCTGTCGTCAGTTCACGGCAATTAACTTCGCTGGTGTCAGGGGTATGTCTGCAGCGGATTCACCCATATCATCACCCAGTGGTCAGCCCATCCGAGGTCAATTCTTTGGACAGTCATCGCTGAGCAAGCTAGCCATTGTCGCGGAAACTTCAGTCGTCAAGGTTCCACCTTCCTCTGGTGTCAGTGAGACCGACCTGGCTGTGCTCGCACCTCTGGGCTGTGGATACCTCACTGGAGCGGGTACAGTCTTGAATGTTCTTAAGCCAAAGCCGTCGTCTCGTTTTGTTGTGCTTGGTATGGGAGCCGTTGGGCTGTCTGCAATGATGGCTGCACGGGCCATGGGAGTTGAGAACGTTGTTGCGGTAGATATCGTCGATGCGAAGCTTGAACTAGCCAAGTCTCTTGGTGCGTCGCATACTTTGAACTCGAAGAGTGTTCCCGATCTCGCGGAGGGGTTGCATGGATTTTTCGCCGACGGAGTGGATCATATTATTGACACCACGGGTGTTGTTCCTCTGCTTCAGTCGGCCATCAAGGCGCTGGGTCATGAGGGTGTGCTAGCAATTGTAGGCGTTGCTCCAGGTGGCTCTGCGTTGACCATCGACCCGCTGGATTTTATGATCAATTGCAAGCGGATTGTTGGATCTATTGAAGGATCTGCGAATCCTACTCAGGTAGGTTGACAGACTTTCAACTTCTTTTTCAAGCACGGCTGACCAGATACTCCTTTGTCCAGATCCTCCCTCAACTCATTGATTTATACAAACGGGGCAAATTCCCTGTTGACAAGTTAGCCAAAATTTATAAGGCCGATTCTATTGAAAAGGCATTGGACGACTTGCATTCGGGCAGTGTCATCAAGCCTGTGCTTGACTGGGTCAATGTATGAAATGAGAACATCTTGTTTTCTTGGGGGCTATTGTCTTTTATGGAGTTGGGGACCTTGCAAGGATATTTAAACCTTACTGACTAGCAGAGCGGGTATAGGATGAACCGAAATCAGTCTCACCACTTACATACAATGATTCTTTCTCCATATAAATAATTCAAAAAAGGTTCTACTGGAAAAACAGGCAAAATCCGTCAATAATTTACCGGCTTATACTAAGAGGGGAATGCTCAAGGCAGCACGTTTGCAGCGTAGGTCCCATCGTGCCGGTCGATTCAACCTTGCGAGCCCACGCTCCATACGCCAAGTGTTACTAAAGATCAGCCCCAGGGAGGTCAGAGACGGCGACCACTTCAGGTGGAAGAGAGTGATTTTGGGGTGTGTAGGTGTCTGTATTTCCAATCTGTAACTACTCTGCACTATAAACCCCTGCTAACGAATTGACTAGCTAAATACGGAACGCAGAAGAGAACGCAGAACTGAATAACCCCTAATATAGGCCTGTTTGGGACCGTCTTCCCCCATTATCGTACCTACCTAGTAAGATACCGAGCAAACTTGACAAGCAGAGAAAAATGCCCGTCGACACCAAATGCGAGAAGTGTCGAGCGCCGGAAATAGCGGCCTTTCCACGTAAATGCTCACAAGGTCTCTTTAATGCCAGTGCAACTTGTCCATCCGTTCATAGTAGCTGGCATCCGTTTCACCATCTTCCTTTGGTGTGTCGACAGCCTTCGTACAAAGCCGAATGCATGACCCAATAGCATTGACATTGCGTCCCGCGTCACATTCGTTATCGACTCTATTCATGGCAGAGGGTACACGCTGTAGATTGTTCTACACAGTGGGCGTCGGTGTAGCATCCAAAATTCGAGCATACGACCCGTTTAGTGACCCGGTTTGTTAAGTTATTGCCTGCTGAGATATAAGCCTCTATCACTTACCATATTTATCTTTATCTCTTCCTTTGAAGTAGTATTTATCTCACCTGATACCTTATCCAGATCGTAGCTTACTAACCAATCGCCAGCAGGCTCATGCTCAGGTAATTTGAGTTCAGTATTACGCTTGTTTATCCCCTTGGCAAACAAAACCCTAGCGTAGGGAGGGTCGAATACAAATGTCGTTTCGCCGGTTTTTCGATTTCTCTTTTCTGCGGTGGCCGTAATCTCGTCTATAGCGGTGTACTCGTCTGGGATTGGTATAGTTGCTCTCTCAATTTGATTCTTGATATGCTGAGCGCTGTCACTATCGAAGCGGGTGTCGACAAAGTATAGTTAGTCTCTTCCGGCTGCTGCGACATATGGAGTAGCTGGTGCGACAATCTGGAAGCCAAGTGGTGTTTCGATAAAATTTGGTACGTAGCTGCTATCTCGATATTCCTCCTGGTAGGTTGGGGAGCCGTCGCACGTTTGGAAAGAGCTTAGTATCATACTAATGAGGAGTAAGAAGAGCATAGTGAGTATAATGATAGGTGTCTGTGGATACTTTACTGGGACTTTCACCTTACTCTAAAATATATTTTGAGCGCGAAGTATGCAGTACTGACTAGGAATCGAAAACAATGGGAAGTAGAGTCCTGGTGGGTCATAGAGTAGAGAGAATGAACCTTGGAAATGGGGGCTTTAGAATGGATACTAGGTATAGCCTTAGAGATCACAAAGTGGAGCGTTAGGTGGAGAGCGAAACATTGCGGAGTCAGCTTTATGGAGCGTAGCTAGGGGATGCAGATTAGACTAAGGCCTACCTACAGGCTACGGAGGGCGGAAAATAAATATGTTATAACGCAACCACGGACTACCAACGGAATGCGAAAGGATAAAAATAACGCATCGCGTGCGGTGTTGCTTGAGAATAGATTGCAATATTCAAAATGTTGGAGCCTGGCGAAAAGATAAAACTATCTACAGGGGCGATGTAAAGATAGTCCCATCCGGCATTACGATTACCCATTTTTTCCTGCTGGAAGTATGATATAATCTGTATGGGATCTGTATTGCCAGATCCCTTGTTGAGGGAATGCATAATTGGTATCCCCACTTAGGTAGTCATGCCACTAGTCGGTTTCTATTATTGGAACTATAATACAAAGCTGTATCATATATCCAGTAGGCGGTATAATCTAAGCCCTGGCGCCCATAATGTAGGGTGGGATTATTCTTCTATCACTCCTGCAGCTGACGTAGAAGTTGATACTACGTCGGCTATGTCATGACGGGGCAGTGGGTTCATCGTGGAGAGACCGGCCCCAGGGATCTCCGGATCTCCGGTGAATTGAGTGAAGGATTCAGGGTTCCCGACATAGACCTTGACAAAACCTGCAACGAGTCCAAGGTCAGGAACCAAACCCGACCCGTCAAAACCCGTAGGGGCGGGAAAAAAAGGGGTGAAAAGCGGATCATGTCAAGGTCTATCCTGACGTAAATATTTCTTATAAGATATTATGTAGGCTTGTGAGGTGATCCGAAGGGTCTTGGTAATACTCTACTATATTCCATCATGGGACTGCAGATATCGTGTTGGCTCTGAGAGACCAGCCAACATCCCCTAGCTGCGCTTGCTACACTTTCCCATCAATGGAGATGCAAGTTATACCAATCGAGCTCCCAAAAAAGGCTGGCAGCTAAATGTCTGGTTTTTATGTGTCGAGTGGTGTTATCAATCCAGTTTTCGTCTGGGTCTTTCGTGTGTCCTCGCTAAGTACTCGTGCATAGACACTGCATGATAGATTCGGGTGTGATCTAAGCCAATTTTGTGGTGCATTCAGCCCTCCAATCATACAACTCATACCCCCTGAACGCCCTTGGCTCTTCAAAGCTTCTTGTGATCATGACGCTCGACCGACGCTAACGTCGTTCTAGCATTCTAGCATTCTAGCCACCTGACGGCTCAGGCTTACTGAGCACACAGTGATCACAATCATGATCAACCGCTGACGTATCCCATTGATTAACATAGACAGTAGCACATGGAGAGGAGCACATTGAGACACAGCCCGTGAGGACACAACACGTGAGAGGACAAGTACCAGGCCAATGAAAGCAAGGCTTGCCAGGAAATTTGGCAGTGTTTCTCTCAGGGTCAACTCAGCCTGAAAGCCATCCTCGCACAGATCCACGGTTTGTAACCCCTTGCACTCCGTTCCTTCGTTTCAGGGTATTTCACCTACTTCCTTAGCAGAGGGGTGAGCAAGGATTAACAGATAGAGTCGCCCCTATCCTCCCTTAGTGGCCGGCCATTGCCCCTGCTGAAGCTCTACTGCTCTGAGAATTCTCTTCTCAGTATGGTACCAAGACCCTCTGTTTCAAATGATTCTTGTGTTACATGATCAACATTCTAGAAGCCTGGCAGGCCATATAAGCGTAATACATGATCTGTTTTTCTTCTTTGCTGTGATTTATAACTATATTGAAATAATGCCTAGAAATTGAGTTACAGTAGACGTAAAGTGACCTATATGGGTCTAGCGTGTTTCGAAAGAGGGTTTGAGATAGAATCTCTATGGGTAAGTGGTGAAACTGATTTCGATCCATTCTATAACCTCATATGTAAACGCACAATTATTAGCACGAGACGAGATGAGCATATCGACCAATTACTGCACTTCTACTATCTGCCGCCCTTTGAGCAGTTTCAGCAATCGTTAAAAATGAATAAACATAAAAAATAGAGACGTGGCTCTCATTGGCTGCTAAGCCTATGGCTTAAAGCTCCCTCCGACATGGTGAGCTGCAACTCTAGTCACGTTTGTTCGCGACCTGCATTGCACATAACTATCCATAATAATACACTCTTGCGCAATCTGCGCGATCATTATTTTCTTATTTTCCGCTTATCTATTCTCGCCATGTACAGGTCTAGTAGAACAAGATATTTTGCTTCCCCCGCAGAAATCATGTGACAGCCGTATTTCCCCGCGTTTGTTTGAATCCCAGTCAAGTCACGCAGATAAGGACATGCGTCGACTCCTCCGCCTCACTCGCCCTGTCGGGTTACACAAGCCTTCCCTGCGATTTCAGTCTCCTTCAATCGCACACAAATCTACCATGGCTCTTTCATCTACCCCAGCCAGCGGTCAGACCAGCTGGCACGGCGCGGGAGCCGCGGAATTTGACCTTAGGAGTACTTCCCCCCAAACCCAGCGATATGAATTCTAGAATTGACAATTTGGTTTCCAGGTGATACAATGACAAAGCCCACCCCATCCATGCTCAATGCGATCTGCCAAACAACCCTCCTGGACGACGTCTTCGCCGAGGACCCCACAACCAACGACCTCCACAGCTATGTTGCCGAAAGAACGGGACACGAGGCTGCTCTCCTGGTGCTTTCCGGTACTATGGGAAACCAGGTCGCGATCCGCTCGCATTTAGCTCAACCGCCGCATTCCGTCCTGTGCGACCATCGAGCTCACATAATTTGCTACGAGGCCGGTGGTGTTAGTGCTTGGACTGGAGCCACGGTGCAAACAGTTGTGCCGAAGAATGGCATCCACCTGACTTTGGAGGATATCCAGAAACATGCCGTGCTTGATGATGACATTCACCACTGTCCCACCAAATTGATCAGCTTGGAGAATACACTTGATGGGATGGTTATGCCTTTGACCGAGGCCCGCCGAATTGTCGAATGGGCGCATGCCAATGACATCAAGGTCCATTTGGATGGTGCAAGACTGTGGGAGGCGGTTGTATCTGGTGCTGGAAGTCTATCTGACTACACCAGTCTGTTTGACAGCGTTAGCCTGTGTTTTTCCAAGGGACTGGGTGCGCCGATCGGCAGCATTATTGTTGGTTCGTCAGCTTTCATTAAGAAGGCTCGTTGGTTCCGCAAGTCTATTGGCGGTGGTGCTCGTCAAACGGGTGTGTTTGCGGCTGCTGCCAGGATAGCTCTAGACGAGACGTTTGGAACCGACCCGAATGGCAAGACTGGTCATCTTCTAGCAACCCACGCTAAGGCCAAGCGCGTTGCAGATATGTGGACCGGTCGTGGAGGTAAGCTAGAGAATCCTGTTCACACTAATATGGTATGGCTTGATCTGGAGGCTTCTGGGCTGGGGCCCAATGATCTTGCTGTGATCGGCGAGGAGAAGGGATTAAAGCTATCGGGAGGCCGAGTGGTGATCCATTACCGTAAGTGACTTTCAAGATTCCAAAAGCTTCTATGGAACTTATTTTAACCTGTCGCAGAGGTGTCGGATGAGGCGATTTCGCGCCTGGGGCAAGTCTTTGATATCGCGATGCAGGGAAAGTTTCAACGCAGTGAAGACCAGAGCCAACCCTATGGCAGTAAAAAGTGACGACCGCATAGAGATATAGTATAAATAAAGATACCATGTAGAAAATGCACTGTTCTGAATGTTTTCAGCGCTGGATCAGTATTCCCTTATTTTCTTTCTTGTACGCTCATGTAGAAAACTGAACACTTCGAACTATATGAATCTGCTGTACCGAAATATGTCCCGGTCTAACCCTTCCTTTTCAAGGTTCCCTGCGTACCTGAGGATCTCACGATATCTAAGTTTGGCCCCAATCCCCTTTATCATCTGAGCGCTCAAATTTGCATGACAAGCCCTGCATAACAAACATAACAAATTAACAATCCTCCTTCCCATTAGCGGCTTCCAAATGGGGACAGCCTTGCGGTGATTCTGTCTTATTGGTCGTTGGATATTGTGGCATATCCACTTCCAGGGGCCATATTTCCCGTGCCCCACTGGGGCTTAGGTGCGTAGAGTCTAAAAAAGACAAAAAGCAATAGAGACGATGATCATGGTCCTATTTGAGCTTCTGACTATGCTGCAAAAGGTAAAAGTGTCAGTGGAGCTGCTGGTCAAAGCTGCATTTCCCAAACTATAAGTATAAAGATGCCCCCTCGAATCATGTAAACTAATCCATGTAATATTTTCTTTTACAAACCCCAAATCGTCAACATGGGTCTCGTCACAACACATCTCATCAAAGGCGTCGCTGCAGGCATTGGCCTAGCCTCAGAGGGACTAGCCGCCCGCAAAGCAAAGAGAACGCAAAAAGCTCTTGACGAGGACTCAAATGGGTCAACAACTACAACAAATATTACCATGGAGTCGCGTGAGATTCTAGAGCTTGACAGGCATACAACATCGACATATGACCCAATTTACGAGCTTCCTACTTCAGACAACCACCAAAATACCCCACAGAACCCGCCACCAAACAACGAACCAGTCGATGAAACAGCCCTCGTGACACAATTTGCAAGCCATTATCCGATCCCGGTCGAGCCCAGCCTGTCAGAAGTGGTCCACCGGTTACCGGCCCCAGTCCTCCTCCCACAACGCAGACCTAAGAACCGAGATCGTGGCTTTCTTCGTGCCTATGCACCCGATCTAGCACCATGCGGCATCGACCAGGAAATGTTCATCGAATTCCTCAACACGGCTGAGAAAGGTTGTCGGGCGCACAGGTGGTTGCAGGCTATCAATCTGGCAGCCATTGCAGGGCACGCCGTCCCGTCTTTACTGGCGATTGCAGTGGGAGTTGCCATCCACCAGATTGCGAACTTGTCAATTGCGGCTGATGGTCGCCGAAGGTGAGTGCTGAACCTTGTTATTTCCAGAAATCAGGCTTTTTACTCAATCCTATAGAGCAAATAATTTCTTTAATCAGGCGAATGAAGAATTCTTCAAGCCCCGTGGTCTATATTGCCTTGTCATGACTTGGTATCCTGAGGACCCGGATATCCCAGCCATGTCAATGGATCTTCAGTCCACCATAGCAAAAGCCACCTTCGGAGCTGACTCGACTGTGCTTGGATCAAGCTCACTGGGGAGTTTAGAGCGTAAATTCAAGAGGTCTGATGGAAAGACATTTGGAAATGTGTTCTCAGAAGTTGCGCCGCTGGTCTTTCCTGAGCCGGAAACGCTGGGTAACCAACTTGATCCGGAAGAAAAGTTCTATAAGGTCAAGAAGAAGAGAGATTTTATTCATGGGTACTTGGATAAGAGAGCTCAGGCTACTTTTGTAGGTACTCTTCGATATTCTCACATTGTGATCTTTCTAATTATCTCTTAGGAAGCTGAGAATCCTAATAGTCACCTGAATCAGCGGCCGAAGCCTACCTTTGCTTCGCGCTTTGCTGATCCTAATCATCCTGCGAGTAGTGGCGATCTACTTGCTTTGCTTTCAGGTGGCTATATTAGCAGGAGTGGTCCTGGTGAGAGGAAGGCTGGTGATGACAGTATTATCCGTACCGTCATATCTACAGGTTCCAAGATGTTTGAATCGGTAGGTCTTTTGTTCTTTTCCATTCTGTTCGTATACTTATCCGTGTCACAGAAAGCATTGTATTTGGCGATTGTAAATCTTCCTTCTGAGGATGAAATGAAGCAAGCACGATCGGTGCTGGGTATATAGAATGTTCATTAACATCTACCAGATGGTACCATTTGCACCACCGATTATCCATTTCCCAAGCAACACATATACAAGTATATAGAGAGTTGAATATTTGACACCAGTCGAGATTTGTATTTGCAGTTAAATATACTGACTTGGCGTCCCTTAAAGAGATAAGAACAGACCATAACTTCCGATCGGTTTTGCATTGTATCAGCTTAAGGTTCTCGGTTCACTAAAGCGCCAGAAGAGCTCCGAAAAAGAGACCCAGGATACTAGTAGCTGGAATGATGGGCCCAGAAGCTGCTCCAGCGCTTGCTGACGCTGAGGTGGAGCTAGAGTTGGAGGTTGAGGTTGAGTTTGTGTTGTAGTCATAGCCCACAGTGCCAGTAGAGTTCACACCAGAAACGTAGACTTCTCCATTCCGGGTGTACGCCACACCAGTATCCAGACCATAGGCAGTATCATATGGGAAGGGAGAAGTATAGTTGTAAGTTGGTGCACGGCCTTTGTAAGTGTCGATGACAGACTGCAAGATACCGTTGCCAGATGAACATGTATCATTAGTTGTCGGCACAGGCCAATTAGAACGGTATTTGGAGTAGCCCCAGTCCTCGAGGGGACCAGGGAGCGACTCGTTCAACCAGAGCATATTTGAATTCACTTCCCAGTTCGTGTAGTTGACCTTATCAGCTACCAGCTGGAACAGATTGGCGCCACAGTCCCAGCGACCCAAAGAGGGCAAGCCCCAGTTTGCCTGAACCGAGGCAAGGGTGGAATAATGGGTATAGACAGTGAAATCCTTTGTGCCAATTTTGTCTTTCGGTACCGCACCACCCATCAGAATGCTGAATACACGATTACGTTTATCGTAGATGTCGGCCTCGGGGACATAGTAGGTCTCGGTCTCATCGAATGTCAACAGCAGCAGTGTATTATCCCACAAGTAGGTATTGTTCATCAGGTTGGTCACGAAACCTCGAAGCCAGTGTGAGCCAAACGTGACATTGGTATCATGGGCGTCATTTGTCATGTTTGGTGTGATGAAGGCCCATTGGGGTAGCTGCTTCTTTTCCAAGTCGTCATAGAATGAGGTAAAGTTCTTGATCAGACGCAGAGCTGTGTCATTGCTGGAGATCTGATCGAAGGAAACCAATGGGTTGTGCTTGCGCATGTAGTCATTGGCATAGGTTTCCTGGTTTGAGTAATTGTAGCCCTGGTAACCTGCGTAGGGCATGTGTTCCTGGTATTCTCCCCATGAGATTCCCTTGGGATTTAAAAGATCGGCGATCGTCGAGACATTTAATGGGATATCATGGAAGAGGTCTTTAATCAAACATTAGATTAATGAGCATTCAAGAGACACACGCGGGGTAATGCGGGTGCGCTGCCCCGAGGAAAGTCATATTCACCATTATCCATTCCGTAGTTATCACCACTCACGGCACCCACATAATTAGGCTGAGAGGTATGACCAACGCCGTAGTAGTTGATCAAAGCGATACCCTTGCTTGCAAGCCACTCTTGATCGTCATTCTCGGCTGCAGCCCCAAAGTCCTGGAACGACATCAGTATCTTCGATCAAGGCTGACTAGTTCATACTATCGACTCATACCACGTTCTCCAGCCAGATCTGGTAAAAGCGATCGAAAACTTTTCCCGTCACATTTGACGTCCAGGTTTGAGGCACCGTTGTGGCCCGAGCTTGCTCAATCGCAGCCAAAGCAGGTTCTGTGGTGGTGATGGTCGCTGCGTGACCCAAGGTGGCGACAGCGAGAAAAGCAGCAACGGAAGCCATGGTGAGATTATCACCGTATTGATGGTGCAGCAAAAGAAGAAGAAAGAAGTCGCTTGGCAGGCCAAAGCAGCCACTCCGACTGATTCGCTTTTATAGCAGACTTGGACCAGGCACGTGGTATCGCGTGATCTGTATGTCGATGCAGTCGATGTAACCGAAATTATTCCATGCTGTAGACCGGACTTGACGGGCAAAGTTCGCAGCCAATCAATATATTCAATGGAAGGCACGTTTATTGCTTCGCTCATGGATCCTGATCCCGAGCGGGGTCCCTGTAGGGTCAGTTCATGGCGATTGGCGCGTGGCTTACTAGGCGTCGAGGCTTGACCATTTAAGCCTTGAGCTCCACACCAGGGGCCACTCCCAAAAAGATTATTATATCATCTGTTTCATCTCGAGCTCTCTATGTGAAGTTCGGAAAATATTGACTTTTGAAAAGCTACGAAGAAAAGATAAGTAATAATAAAAAGAATGCCCTGAGGTTCCACAGTTACCGATAAATCCCCTGAGTGCTTATAGGCCGGATTAATGAACTGTGCTTTGATTGAAAGAATGCAGTCAAACGATAAGGTATCTCGTGCTAGGCAGCAATTTTCCTCTGGGCATCGTTCTCCACTAGCCTAGGAAACCGAAGTTGTAGGGCTGACTGGCCCACCTAATGGCAGCCCCGCTCTCGCCCGTAGATGCCCGTCCTCCGTAATGTAAGTTGATTGAATCTTTATTGGCTGAACAGTGATTCCCTAGGGTGACTGCTAATAGGTTGGTGACAGCGAGGTGTTTATTTGTTTTTAACTCGACTTCGGCCTTCATCTTGTGGATATAGGCTTAAAGTCCTAAATTGAGCTTTGAGCTATTTATCAACCACCTGCTAGGTCTGTACTGCAATTTGCTTTTGTGAGTCTAACTTTGAGCGCCCGTATCAAAGCGGCGGATCAAGCATAGATAGCCCGGGTAGAGGAGATATAGGCGTATAGGTAATGGCCAAGGCATTATCACCAACAAGACCTGGCTATGTTTCGACTGGCCGAGCTCTGGACAATTGCCAGGCTCAGAATCATGAGACTATATCTTCATGGAAACATCATGTACCTTGTCGATACTTAGATTTATGTGACATTGCTCACCAAGAATCAAGTACCCCACATGTATCTCCACCCCACAGGAGCTTCCCCAGGCACGTGCCCCTTCTCCGCCCGAGGTTCACATGCAAATGATGCAACTGTCAACTTACGTCTTGATCCTCCCTTTGATCTTCTCTTTCTCTCTATACTTACCACCCCGACAACTGCATGGACTGGGCGCTTTCTCCTTGACCCATGGCCTACATATCCCGTGCACTATAAGCCAATCGGGCTTCAAAATGGCCACCCAGTCAACCCTCCGCCGCCCGGAGGACCCCCTCCTCGCCCTTTACTTACACTATTCTGAACTGTTACGCTCTCGCGTCCGTCGCACCACGAAAACCACCCGTCTAATAGCTACAGTCGCCTTACTTTTGTCCATTATCGGCTCAGGATATGGGGGATTCAAGTGGCTGCGAGAACGCGCAAGAGACCGCGCTCAAGGCCGCCGACTCTTGCGCCGGAACTCGGGAATACGTGGCAAGGATGGCTCTCGTACTATCTACGTGCCCTACAAGGGCTCACGTACTTCGAAGGTCATGATACACCCCACCAAGATGACCACGTTCGACGCCCATCGACGACTCTTCTTAAATCCGCCAGCATCGGCACGGAGCATTGAAGAGGGCTCGGCAAGCCAAATTCCGCCTCCTACAACAAAGCCGGGGCTGAATTTGGCATTCTTGCATCAGTTTCTCAGCTTGGGGAGTATCATGGTTCCCCGGTGGAGTAGCAAGGAGACAGGACTATTGCTGGGTCATGGCCTATTTCTTCTGCTACGAACATATCTCTCCCTTTTGATTGCACGATTGGACGGTGAACTTGTCCGAGATCTGGTCGCTGGCAAGGGGCGACCTTTCATGTGGGGTATTCTCAAGTGGTGTGGCATTGGCACCCTCGCCTCGTATACCAATGCAATGATCAAATTCCTCCAGTCCAAGGTGTCGATCGCCTTCCGGACTCGTCTCACGAGATACATCCACGATCTCTATTTGACTGACAATGACAACTATTACAAGCTGATGAATCTGGACGGAGGTATCGGGCAAGGTCCCGATCAGTTCATCACACAAGATCTCACCCTCTTCTGCTCCGCTGCTGCTTCCCTGTACTCCTCGATGGGAAAGCCTATGGTCGATCTGTTTGTTTTCAATTATCAACTATACCGATCTCTTGGCCCATTGGCTCTGAGCGGAATTCTCGCTGGATACTTCAGCACAGCCATTGTCCTTCGCAAGCTGTCCCCGCCGTTTGGCAAGCTGAAGGCTGTCGAGGGGAAAAAGGAAGGCGATTTCCGTGGCCTGCACTCCCGTCTCCTGGCCAATGCGGAGGAGATCTCATTTTATGGCGGTGCTGATATTGAGAGAGTCTTTTTGGTCAAGAGCTTCAAGGACCTGCAGCGCTGGATGGAAGGTATCTACAGCCTGAAGATCCGCTATAATATGTTGGAAGACATAATTTTGAAATACTCCTGGTCAGCTTTTGGTTATTTGGTCACCTCTTTGCCCATCTTCCTTCCTGCCTGGGGTGGGTCTGGTGGTGCCATGGAAATGATCGACGCACCCGAGGGTATGGGTCGTGAACGGGGTCGCATGAAGGAGTTCATCACCAACAAGCGTCTAATGCTATCCTTGGCGGATGCAGGTGGTCGCATGATGTATAGTATCAAAGATATTTCCGAGCTTGCAGGGTACACTTCACGTGTGTACACCCTCATCTCTACTTTGCACCGCGTCCACGCAAGCGCATATTATCCACCTCGAGGATCATACTCCGAGCTCTATTCTCTCGCCGATGCACAGGGCACCACACATAACGGCTTTGATGGGGTTCGTCTTGAACAAGTCCCTATCGTTGCACCATCTCTTTACCCCATGGGTGGTGACGAGTTGATCGACTCCTTGTCGTTCATTGTTCATTCTGGGGATCATCTTCTTATCTCGGGACCTAATGGCATCGGCAAGTCTGCCATTCCCCGCATTGTAGCGGGCCTTTGGCCCGTTTACCGTGGGCTTGTCAGCCGCCCGCGCGGATTCGGTTTAGATGGTATCATGTTCCTCCCACAGCGGCCCTACTTGAGTGTGGGTACTCTGCGAGACCAGGTCATTTACCCACACACCGAGATCGATATGCGAGAGGCCGGGGAGACTGATGCAAATTTGCAGAAGATCCTTGATGCTGCACACCTAGGCTACCTCCCATCTCGTGAGGGTGGCTGGGATGCCCGAAAGGAGTGGAAGGATGTGTTGAGCGGTGGAGAGAAGCAACGTATGGGTATGGCCCGGCTTTTCTACCATGAGCCACGATACGCCTTCCTCGATGAAGGTACTTCCGCCGTCTCTTCAGATGTAGAGGGTCTATTGTATGAACGTGCCAAGGAGCGCGGTATCACCCTCATTACCATCTCCACTCGTGCATCTCTCAAGAAATACCATACTTTCAACCTGAGCCTTGGTCTCGGAGAGGAAGGTGAGCGCTGGGAGTTTGAGAGAATTGGCACTGAGAAAGAGAAGCTGGGTGTTGAGAAGGAGCTGCAAGAGTTGCGCAAGCGACTCGACAAGGTCGACGAATGGAAACAGCGCCGCGAGGATATTGAGAAGGAGTTGTGTAAAGTTTGGACGGCAAACGAGGGGGAGATTGCACCCCCACCATATCAAGAAGAGGAGCCTGTTTCAGAGGTTCTAGAGGCTGAGCCTACGAATTAAATCAGCACATTGGCTCGTAACACTGACTCGCATCGCATTCATTGCTTTTTTGCTCAATTGAGACCCGCTGCATTTCATCAGATCTAAGAACGTTTATTGGATATAGCATTTGACCTTTTTTTGTGTACTTGAACACTACGCTTATACCCAACAGCTTCTAAGCGCCTTATTCGCCCGCACTCTAGGTGTAAGAAACGAATTTTTGTGAGGCTATTTTAGGCAACATGCGACTCTTATATCTGGTAGTCTTCAAACAGATGCAACGCTAAGTAATAGAGCCCCAGGAAAATATGGACGATGAGCTATCAACTCAATCCCACTTATTTCCTCAATGTACCATCCAAGCAAGATAGACTTCCTTGCTTCCGCTTATTTGTAATCGCAGATTCTAGTTCTATTTACTCCGCCTCGACCCTTTACACACACTCAAGAGCTCTTCTTGGGATCCGCATGACGGAAACGGCGCGTCCGAGTCCGCAGCATCTCTGCTCGCTCCTCAAGAGTCATATTGACTTGGTCTCCAATCGGAATAAGGCATTTCGCCAAATGAATATAGTTCTTGCGCAGCAGATTCACCGTGATGAAGATATAATCCACATTCCGGAACACAAGAGCCCGCTCCTCAGCATAGCGATCTTTCTGCTTGATAAAAGCAGCTGGGTGATCTCTCCAGTGACGACGAGGGTTAAGATGATGCGAAGTATGGTACCCATCATTGAAAGAAAAGCGGTTACTCTGGAGATCCGTCAGTATTTCTTGAAACACATGGAAATAGGATCAATTTCTAACTCACCGGGACATCAATCAAAGTGATACTCGATAGATAATCCGAGTCAGGATCAGCCGGGTCGACAAACGCATGCTGTCCCCAATTTCCAACCATCAAACCAATCCGCATGACGACAAGCGGAAGAATATACACGAAAAGAGTCGCGCGGGCGTTGACGTAGTTGAACAGCAGGTAGATGAAAAGATAGTTGCTCAATTCCCAGAAAGCAACCTTGCACGCATACTTCTTCTGTCCCTTACTCCAGAAGTAGCGAGGCAACTCGGCCCAGATAAAGAAGAAGAATCGACCGACATAGCACGCAAAATCGGCGACACTATCTCTGTCATAGAACATCGTCGTACTCAGATCTTGAGCACCGTTGCCCTCAACATGGTGATGTTTGATATGGTGATAGAAGTACGAGTTCCACGTGTGCCCAAGCAAAGGATCAAGCACATAAGGGAAAAGAGTATCAAAAATCCAATATTGAGGCGCAAGAACGCCACCCATGTGGATATGCTGGTGTTTCATCAGCGTGAACGCACCGCAGTAAAATAACTGCATGGCCCAGTGAAGCACACCACGCCACCAGGAGAAATGGTAGAATAGATAAATGGCGCTAGGGACCAGCGTCGTGAAATACAGAATAAGATGTGTTAGCATGACGACATCTGTCGGGAACCGGACGACGCCTTGAGCCCATTTCAGGTAAGGCTGCAGTACATAGCGGTGCACCGGAGCTGGGAGCTTGTCTCGTAATAATGAGTTATCCCATAGCTGGAAGACGGTTGGATCAAATGTCGAGTGTGAAGCATCGTTCATATCATAGAGCTTTTGTGATAATTTCTCGTGCTCTGATTTTGCTTCGCCTTTTTACTGTAAGCAATTGCCCAGTTTGCGGGCGGTCATGAGCTAACTCACTTAATGAGGCTGGCTCATTGACCAGGGCATCGATCACCAGTCGATCCTGCAGGGTCAACTGGGGATCCGTATAGGTTGTGGGATCCTTGGGATCCATGCCAGGCAGCTGGGCCGTGACTTTAGCGTTTGTTTGGTGTTTACGGAAGAACACGGATAGACACTCACAGTTGATCGAGAGGATTTGGGAGCTCTCGTCGCCTGATGGATGGGATGTAGGTGTTATTTTTAAAGATGGATGGAAATAGAACGGGGACTAGACGTCAACCCCCTAGCAGTATACTGCATTGGGCAACGCGTGGTCTCAGGGGTGGAAAGAGTTTTCCCCTTGGTTAATGTGGGTCTGCGAGCTGATTACTGGGATGAGCTGACTGGCGGCTGGTAACGTTTCAAATATACAAAAAGTAGTTAAAATTTTGGCATTTCACAATAACGGTGATCAACATTTATCATGCATGTTTAAATTCCTGAAGCCATGGGTGTGTTGCAGCATGCATGTTTGTTTTTCATTCGGGGTGGAGACTTACGGTCGGAATGGAAACTTCCCCTAAGTATTCTACCGAGTAAACACTTGGGACTTATACAGAATGGAATCCATTCAAATACCCAGTATTCGTTACCAATCCAATTAGATCGATCTCCACAGCTATTATAAGCATCAAAGTGCCCACCTCGAAGATAGTTACACGCCGCACATCTGGACGAGCTGAGTAAGCGACATTGATCAAATAGAATATGAATACGCCTGTCATGGTAAAAATCTATCCTTTTCGAATCCACGGATCGTTCGATAAAATCAAATGGGTATATGTACCTTAGAATACCCTGACAGCTACACGCTATTGTGGCACCCCGCCTCTTCTGACATGGGAGTGCATTCACTGGCACAAACATTCCTCGGAGATTAAGGTCATACTGTCAGTGCAAACGCCTTCCAGCCTGAATATTACATATATAGAGGTCCATTGATTGATTCAAAGGATGAACGCCTTTGGATAATCAGTGGATTTATTGTATTCTGAATATTTTAAGTGGTCCACTGTTGTAGATCTTAATGTAGTCCAAGACTGCATTTGGACTAGAGCCGTGAAACTTTAAATTTGGATAAGCTAGCATGGCATAGATGAATACACATATGTACACATTCCAGCATATGTTCCTTGGCCTCCGGGAAATGCAGGATCGCTCCCTATTGCACTCGATCCAACCCGGAAGTTATTCCAAGTGAACCCGATCACCGTAACTGTCTGCTTTGGCCAATGAATGTACACTCTATGGGCCATTTATACTCGTGTTTTCGAAAGAATTCAAACGTGGAATCCCCTCTTACAAGTATAACTAAGACCGAGTATGCCGCCTCGGGTTTATTGTACCAAACCTCGGACTCCGCGCGGGCCGGAGTTGCTTTTAAGCGGCACCCATTATAAAAAATATATTGAACCCCGCGCTCGCGTGTATCGCGGTTGAAATCGAACAATTACTTCTCGAGGCTACTAGGTGACAGCATTCGAACCGCCACAATGAGCGTTGCCCAAAATACGCGACTGCCAACTTACTTCATCGGTCATGGTGAGACGGATTGAACCGGGTAGTTTTCATATAAAGTGCTGATATCTTGCCTCAGGCGGTGTTAGTATCATGTTTAAACCCGAGCACGAAGCCGTCCGACAAGGCTTGCGCGAGCTTGGCAAACAAATTAAAGCCCTGAAACCCGAAGCAGTTGTTCTGACCTGTGGCGAGTTTGAAGGTGATAGTGATGCTATCCAAGGTGAACCACGGATTCCGCCTGGCATAATCTAAGCAGGCCCACGTTAATTGGTTCCCTAGTCAACTTCAAAGAGCCAACCAAAGTGTGGCATGACCTTGGGCCTTCGTGGAGAAAGACTTTCCCACATGTGTTTGAGTATGATTATGAGCATAAATCCTCCCGCGCGTTGGCCGAGAAGGTTTTCCAACATCTGCAAGTTCAAGGCGTGAAGGTTGAAAGTACTGAGCGTGATTTGGATCATGGAGTGTGAGTACAAAAGTGTTTCTTGGAACCAGTGGAATCTATATGCTGATCTTTAGCAGATGGGTTCCCTTCAAATTGATGTTCCCAGAGGGCGACGAATTGGACGTCCCAATTTTGCAAATCTCGACATATGCTGGCGACGATCTCAACGCTCACGTCCAGCTTGGAAAGGCACTATCAACTATGTATGAATTCATTACCCTCACAGACACAGAAAGATGGCTAACAGCACATTTAGTCCTGGCCGTATTCTCCTTATAGGCTCTGGTATGCTGTGTCATAATCTCCCGGCTACTCGACAGGGAACTAGCGATACGAGTATTGCTCTCGGTCTGGAAGCTGCTGCTAGAAATGCGCTCGATGCGCCCACTCCCGAAGAAAGAACTGCAAGGTTTTTGGCTTTGCAGAAAAATGCCGACTGGATTGATGCCCATCCTACTCCAGAACACGTTTTGCCATTATATATGACTCTAGGGGCTGGGCATGATCTGGAGGGGTATGAAGTGTGGAACGAAGATAAATGCATTATCGGGCAGTCGTACTATACATTCAGGCTGGGTGCACTTCCAAGAGACTAAGCATCACCAAAAATCAGTATTGAATGTGCCACTCGGATTGCAGCATTAAGAGGCTGGCCAGACTATTGCCGTATGTTCAGACATAACAATACCTCTAAGCCTGATACTTAATTCAATACGGAGAGCCCGATACTACCCTGAGTTCCATCACTCGCCGTAGGTTTGATAGTGGATTCAATGTGTGGAAAGCATGAGTCAGTGCCGCGGAGGCCACCGAAACTCACAGATTACTAAGGGAGCTCCACCCGATAACAGCATGTCCATGCGATAAGCCAACTTTACTCCCCTCTCTCGCTTCACAGAGATTATAATATCCTCTCCCACCCCTCAATATGCCTTTGATGGTTCGTTGAAAATTGACACATGGTGGGTATGCTGTACAGACGAGCTTTATCCCATCCCGCCCGCGGGCTTTTCGCACGAGCTCGGTGGCAAAGCACCAGCTCCATCCCCTCAAACGCGACCACCGAGATCCCTCCACATGCTACCCCCAGACTCACAGCGCTGAAAACCGCGAAGCCCTTCTCCGATTTCCTCACAGATACATTCAACCGCCAACATGACTATCTACGAATCAGCGTCACCGAACGCTGTAATCTCCGGTGCCTATATTGCATGCCCGAAGAAGGAGTGGAGCTCTCTCCTCAAGCACGACTATTGACGTCGCCGGAGATCGTCTACCTGTCGTCCTTGTTCGTCTCCCAGGGCGTCACGAAGATTCGCTTAACCGGTGGCGAGCCTACGGTACGGAAGGACATCGTTCCTCTGATGCAGAGGATCGGCCAGCTGCGGCAGAATGGGCTCCGCGAACTGTGTCTGACCACCAACGGGATATCCTTACATAGGAAACTTGATCCTATGGTTGAAGCCGGTCTCACAGGCGTGAATCTGAGTCTTGACACGCTAGACCCCTTCCAGTTCCAGATCATGACCCGACGCAAGGGATTTGATGCTGTGATGAAAAGTATCGATCGGATTCTGGAAATGAACAAAGTCGGTGCTGGAATTAAGTTGAAAATCAACTGTGTAGTCATGCGCGGGATGAACGATCGCGAAATCCTCCCGTTTGTCGAGCTCGGTCGTGAGAAGCCCATCGAGGTGCGGTTCATCGAATATATGCCGTTTGATGGGAACAAGTGGAATAAAGGAAAGATGTTTCCATACCAAGAAATGCTGGCCGTCATTCGTGAAAAATATCCGTCGTTGGAGAAAGTTGTCGATCACAAAAATGATACCAGCAAGACCTACATGGTCCCTGGCTTTGAAGGGCGTGTCGGCTTTATCACCAGCATGACGCACAACTTTTGTGGGACCTGTAATAGGTTGCGCATCACTGGAGATGGTAATCTGAAAGTCTGCCTCTTTGGGAATGCCGAGGTCTCTTTGCGGGATATCATTCGCAGGGAGAACGACGGACAGCCCATCGATGAAGACGCATTGAAAGAGCTCCGCCTGCTTGAAACAGTGCAGGATGCGGCTCGTCTCAGTGATGAAGGAGGTTTGATTCCCGAGCGGGAACGCGAAATTTTGGATATCATTGGCCTGGCCGTGAAACGCAAGAAGGAAAAGCACGCCGGCATGGGTCGGCTGGAGAATATGAAGAATAGGCCCATGATTCTTATTGGTGGGTAGCGTCCTTGATGAATTGGAATGATTTACGACTTGCATATTTGTCACGGAGCTTGAGATTCATCTCATGTACTTATGATCTCATATTGAGAGCTTGGATTTGCGGAATCCTCTGCTGATAGTTGAAATAGATAGTAAAAAATACCCATGGCCATTTTCCAATTCACGGGCAAAACCAACAAAAGTTCCTTTGCATCTTCTTTCTTCAACGGGACTATCCCAAGCTCGTCTTCTCCATACCGGACGATCTGCCCAAACCCAAGAAACTAAGCAACAAAAAGAAAACAAATCTCCCCGATCTCTCCCCAACATCTCAGACCCCGAACTACCACATCTCACCCCTTCGCAAACCGTACACATGACACAAATCACCTCCAAACCCGAAACAAAACGACTAGCTACCGCCGCATGCCTGGTCACCTTCTCCAACCAAAGGCCATGGGAAATCCTACGAAGGGGCGAAGGCACCCATAAAGGCGATGTATACAGCGTCGCCCGTATTGCAGGCATCATGGCCGCGAAACGAACACCGGACATCGTCCCATTGTGCCATCCTGGAATTGGCATCACGGGTGTAGAGGTTAGTGTGGAGCTTGTTGAACCCAATGCTGCCAGTACACAGGATCATGGCGGTATGCAGATTGTCGCTACGGTTAGCTGTTTTGGACGTACTGGCGTTGAGATGGAGGCCATGACGGCTACTATGGGTGCTGCGTTGACGGTTTATGACATGCTTAAGGCTGTTGATAAGGGGATGATCATTGGGGCTGTGCGGTTGATAGAGAAGCAAGGTGGGAAAAGCGGGCATTGGGTGCGAGAGGAGTGATTGCCCCGTGTGGTTCTATACGAACAGAGTTGATGCGTGTACATATTTGGTCCGATGCTCCGCCCATTTCGGATCCGGATTGTCGGATCCGAGTGGGATACCGGATACAACACATCGACTTGGTTCTCGTATTGGGGGCCTGAATAATTTGAGTCTCAAGCGCTTCGTGTATATAAAAGTGGTTCCCAGAATTCCTATGAATGAAATCACAGCACATCTTTCAAGGTCAACAAGCATCAACATCCAACCTCACAAAATCAACATTTCCATCAGCATAAAAAATGGCTTCCAACAACATCGCAATAATCGGCGCTGGCCTCTCAGGCCTAGCATTGGCTCTATCACTACAAAAACAAGGAATTCCCTGCATCATCTACGAGTCCCGCTCCGCCTCCCTAGACATAGGAGGCACAATTATGCTCTCACCAAACGCCCTCCGGATCCTTGACGCAATAGGCATCTACAAAACCATCAAACCACTCGGCTACTCATTCAAAACCCTCCACTTCTACACCGGAAAACCATTGGATACCTACGACTTCGGCGATAGCGACAAATACGACTACGACGCCCTTCGTATCTACCGGTACGAACTAATTGATGCCCTCGTTAAAGCCGTGCAAGAACGGGGTATAAACATCGAATACGGGAAGAGGTTTACGCATATCCTCTCTGAGACTGATGCGGAAGTTACATGGGCATTCGAGGATGGAACGACCGGCACTGCTTCATGTCTAGTCGGTGCTGATGGGATCCATTCCCGTGTCCGCAAATATCTCTATCCAGAACTCGAGCCGAAATTCACTAATTCCATCGGTGTTACGGCTGCGGTTCCTACATCTCAACTTAAATTGGACGGATACGAGTTGCCATTGACGATAATGAATCCCAAGCATGGAGCCTTTATCATTGCGCCGCAACTTCATGATGGGTCGGAAGTCTTGATTGGGAAACAGAAACGCGCTACAGAACTGGATCGTCAGGGCTGGAACGAACTGCTCGGCAATAAACAGTGGTGTGTTAATTTCCTCCGTGAAGGCGTGGAAGATTTTCCCGTGATCGTACAATCGGCTGTGGAGAAGATACCACTTGACAAGATCAATCTTTGGCCGTTTTATGTTGTGCCTAAGCTTGATACATGGGCTTCGGATAAGTGCCGGGTTGTTATTTTGGGTGATGCTGCTCATGCCATTCCGCCTACGGCTGGTCAGGGTATCAATCAGGCGTTTGAGGATGTGTTTACTTATGCGCTTGTACTGGCCAGGTGTAGTGGTGGAGATCTCAAAGGCGGGTTGAAGAGGTGGCAGGTTGGTCGGCAGGCGAGGGTCGATCGGGTTTTGGAGCTTAATAGGCAAATTGATGCGAGGAGGCTGCCGAAGGATGCCGGTTCGGGGGTTGAGGATTTGGATAGTCAGCCATTTGAATTGAAGTGGCTTTATAGTCCATCGTTTGAGAACATGGTTGAGGGTTGGTTGGAAAATATCTAAGAGGTCTCATGGTCCACTGGTTCTTTTGAACATTTTATTTGTTTCAGTAGTTCGAAAAGACTATCCTGCTTTAAATTCAAACCTCGATCGCTTGAAAAATAAATAACTTTTTCACCTAAAAACTTTCGAAGATGAGATACAAAATAAGAAAGTGTCTCATGATAAGCAACATAATGAATGCATTGATATGCCACAACCAGTGAGAAGGCTGCATTAGTTGGAGTATCCGACAAGTCCCTGCAATATCAATTACCCAAGGAGCCCACACATAGCAAGAATAACAGCATCTGTTTCCTCTTCGGCATTGCAATCTCCCACATACCCCAGTCTTCCCATTCCAACCCGAGCCATTATCACCGGCGATTGACCTGGGTTATGCGCAGGGGACGGTCCGAAGACTCGTGGTTCAACGACAGAACTGGCATCCGTGGTATACCATCTGTCCGAATGAGCGACGTTTTTGATGAACACAGCCTTCTGGCTGTAGGATGGTGGCAGCCTCGCAGCTAACTCGTCCCCAGTTGCTGCTCGATTGATCGTCAATGTTGTCCGAACATATGTTCTACCTTCCCATGGTAGTCCTGCTTTGGAAAAGAAGGGCTTGATGTCGAGCGGTCTAACGAAAGAGGAGAATAGCCCCATTAAATCAGCTGTAGAGCCTTGGCGTACGCAACGACAGACCGCCTCCCAGACATGTGCATATTCGTCGAGCGTCAATGCCTCGTCCGCGATGAGGATGACCGATGGCATTGGCTGATGGTCAAGCAGTTGGACGGTTAAAACCGGCTCATTCACAAGCAGAACTGCTGCCTTCGATCTCAGATCAGCCAGGACTCGCTGCCATATCTCTTGGAAAAGCGTTCCATTGATGAGAGAGATGACAAGAATTTGGGGTTTCGAGATGAGGGTGGAAATCTTTGATTCAAAAGGGAAGCACTTGGAAAGGTGGGTTGAGGCTTGAGGAGGTAGGGCAGCCTGCTAGTTGACGTTAATAGAGAACTGAGATCTTGCTAGAGGCAAGACACGAAAAGAACGGACCGGCTGTCTGTGAAGATCCGGTGGGAAAGCGAGGGGCTGGGTGATGGATTGAGGAGATATGAAGAAGAAGCGTTGGAGAAAGTAAAAACAACTAGTCATACTGCGAGTTGAGGACTCGTGTGCTTCTGCGAGCAAACATAAAATTGAAACATGTGACCATGAACAAACAAGAAGTACAATGAAGAAGAGCGGACTGATTCTAAAGATTGCTATGAATCAAAACTTGGGTGGGAATCGTACCGAGACCTGTCGATTCTCTCAATATACTGAAGATACATTGTGAATAACCTCATTTTCCCCGGTAAATCCAAGATCTCGTTTCTCGAACGCATACTGTTGCATAATTCCATTAATACATTTGAGCTCTTAAATCTTAAATCCTCGCCCCTGCATATCCAATCTAAATTCCACTACTCCAAAAATCCCCAAATATTATTCAAACTCTCGGCAAGAGTAGGATGAGCCAAAACTGCATCCCTCAACTTCTGATAGGGAACATTCCCAATCATCGCTACCTCTACCGTACTCATAATCTCTCCACCCCCAATGCCCAAACAAGTAAAGCCCAAAATCAAACCGCTATCACCATCGACAACAGCTTTCATCATTCCCCGCGACTCACCCGTTTCCAGTGCGCGGGCAATGTATGCCATTGGCATTTTCGCTATCTGGATCTTCTTGCTTGGGAACTTTGTTCGAGCTTCTTTTTCGTGGAGGCCGACGTGTGCTAGCTGGGGATCGGTGAAGACTACGTATGGGACTATACGGTCTTTAATTGAGAGCTTAGTTGGCGATGATGATGATGGGAGGATGTTGGAGCGAATAATACGGAAGTCATCGTAGGATATATGCGTGAATGATGGTGGTCCTTTTACATCGCCCATTGCATAAATAGCAGGAGTCGATGTTTCGAGGTACTCGTTTGTGGTGATGTATCCTTTGTTATCGGTGTTGATCCCTGCGGCGCCCGTGTTCAACATGTCTGTATTTGGGATTCGGCCTGTAGCAAAAAGAATGTGTGTTCCTTCGATGGGTTGATCGCTGTGATTGGCACGGTATTCAAGCGTGAATCCGGTAGAAGATGGCGCAATTCTAACGGGATCAGAGTTCAAGTGGACTGTAATTCCATCCTCTTGAAAGATTTTTCGTAGCATATGAGCCATCTCTTCATCTTCGCGTGGTAGTAACTGTTTTCCACGCTGAATAATGGTAACTTTTGCACCAAGTCGGCGAAACAATTGAGCAAATTCGACTCCTATATATCCGCCTCCAACCACGACGAGGTGACCGGGGACCACATCGAGCTCTTGAATAGACGTGGAATTCAAGACTACCTTTTGATCAAGCATGGCGACTCCTTCCAGAAGTGGTGGCGAAGGTCGTGTTCCGGTATTAATGAATATCCTCTGACCCTGGACTGTTCTCACGTCGCCACCAGTATCTTTGTATTGGATCGTTTTCTCGTCCAAAAAAGTCGCTTCGCCTACCAGTGTATCCACGCCAGCATCTTTTAGCTTAGTCTCGCTACCTGCACGGAATGATGTGACAATGTCGCTTTTTCTTTGGCGGACTTTGAGCATGTCAACCACGGCCAGATTCACATCGGCTTTGTGTTCATCAGTCTGAGTGTGTATACCATAATCTAGTCCCTTGCTAACTAGATAGGCGACGCGACCTGATGCGATTAATGTTTTCGTCGGTGTACAGCCTTCGTTGATACAGCTTCCGCCGATATGCTCCCGTTCAATCAGTGCTGTTTTTTGTCCTGCTTTGGCGAATGCGATGGCTAGCGGCGTACCAGCTTGACCAGAGCCGATGATTATATTTTCGTACTGAGTCGTCATATTGCGATAGTTCTTCAGCGATTTGAGAAAAGCTGGTCGACGAAACATCTATTGATTTCAAATTTGCGTCGTTCTGTAGGTTGTTCGCTGTCGGTCGATCGATCATGCGCAGGTTGAGTTATGCTTCCCTTGTCCTGGAGAGCTATTAGCTAGGGAAAATAATAGAATTCATCGATTTGATGGTTCACGGTTTTCCTTTATTGGTTCAAAAGTGAAATCATGAACGTCACGACGGTTTTCCGGGGCGTTACGCAATCCCGTGTTGGCAAGCCACTTAATCAGCATGACGGTCTATAGGAGAAAGTAAAGCCATTCCAGCCTAAAGTCCAATTGATATGTAGCATTTGGTACTGATGACAATAGTGGTGATTCCCTCGCCTCATTATGTATACAAGTTATCTACGCTAAGCAGAGTTTGAAGTACCCCGTGATGATCACTTCTCTACACATTTCATACAATTAAAGTAGAAGTGCTGAGGTCGTAGAATTTTGTATAAGTAGTCAATATTTCAAGGAGATTAGCCCTTCGTGATGACAGATGAAGAAGTTACATCTGAGCCGCGTTTCTTACAGGATGGCTAAATCTGGTTCAATTAAGGAAAGGGAAAGTCAACTCAGCCGAGGTCCGGTATATCCATTCGCATTTATAAACATCTAAGCCCGAAATAATGGATGGAACGCCAAGTGCGGGGGTATTATCATGCTGCGTCCATGTAAAATTCATCTGAGTCCATATCTAGAAAGTCGCTTTCATGTAATCGTAAGAACCGCCAAAAGGCGACGATCCTAGTCCTCTCTCTCAGCCTCAGGCTGACTCTGTTCTTTCGAGAGTTTAGGATTCCGCAAAACAAAGGCTAACGTAATCATTGGCGCGGCGAGACATATTCCAGTAACACAAAGAAGTCTCTGTACGTGCCGGTAGCTAACGATGATAGCACTTCTCTCGGGTGTGCCGATTGGATAGAACGGGACTACCTCGAAAGGTGAATCATAGACCGCATGTGCCAAGGTGGTATTGGACTGGAAAGCCAAGTTGTCGACGAGTGATTTATACAGCGTCTGCGTCCAGATGGCTCCGGATACACATGTTCCGAGGGCGCTTCCGATGTTGAATGAACCGAGGTAGATACCCGTGAGAACGGCCATATGCTCGTGCGTCGTTGCGGCTTGTACAGAGGCTTGGGTTGGGTACGCGAAGAATCCTCCTGCAAGGCCTAGTAGGATTTGCGCAGTGATCACTCCGGCTTTGGAGCCTCCATCGGTGCCACCTCGGAAATAGAGGACTAGACCGTAGGCCATCATGAAGAGGCATGTTCCACAGATAATCAGATATTTCAATCTGCGGGTTCGGTAGATAATCATTCCCGTGATGAGGCCGCTGATTAACCCGAAGAATGAGTAGAAGGATTGGATGCGTGTCGCAGTCGCGACGGAAAAGTCAAATGCAACAATCAGAACTGTATAAAGGTAATCGGCTTGGAGGTACCAGGAGAAATTGAGAAGACATCGGATGGCGAGTGCACTCCATACACCGCGATCCTTCAGAAGAGGGAAAGGCGCGAGGGGATGTCTTGCGCCTTTCATTTCCCAAAAAATGAATACCGGTATACATAAGATGCCGACGATGAGAGGTGTAATTATGAAGGGTGATTGCCACTGTGATTCAGTGCCACCGGCGATGGTGAGTGGCGCAAGGATGAAACCGAAGATGGCGATCATGAGAAATATACCAATGACATCAAGCTGGTGGAACATATCCATCGCCAAACGACGAATGCCAAAAAATCGCAACGGGCTCGGATGATGTTCTAAAGCCCCGGACTTCTGTGCACGCCGACTAGTGTAAAACAAAGTCCAAAGCAGAGGCAACGAACAAACGGTGTATATGATACACCACATACCGATCCCCCACCGCCATCCAGTCTTGCTCAGAACGGTAGAGGTGATATTCCCACTGATCCAAGTATTGATGATAAATGGTGTAGCGGGTAGATAGCTGAAAAAGACGCGCGACCGCATCGAAGTAATATCCGCAATGATAATCTCCACCAGTAGCACGATCCCAGTATACCCCAGCTGGTATAGGACCGTGCCAGTCGAGAAAATCTCGATTGAAGTCGCACAGCTCTCCACCGTTGTACCAATCAAATAGAACACCATCGACACGACCACAAGTTCAAAACGACCGAATACATCCGCGATGCGAGCGGCGGCTGGTTGGGCGGCAGCGGCGATAACACTACGGACCACGTTGACGGTCGCTAGGAGTGAGTGCTCACCAAAACTGGACGTAGCGTATGATTGGTAAGTAGAGCGTACTTGGCTATCCAAGCCATAGGCGTATCCAACCAAGAACACGCCCAGAAACATCATTATCCGGTCATTTTGCGTGAGTGAAGAGTTGATTATTTCGATGCGAGCGACTCCGGGTGATTTGACGGCCAGCGTCGAGGGTCCGAGGAGCGGTTGTGCCTCTCCAGAATCATGCTGTGACGGGCCAGAACTGTTTACGGAGTTTAGGCAGTCATCGTGTTCCGAGGGCTTTCCCACGGTCGCCATTTCAACGAAAAGACCACATGGGAGTGTATTGGTGGAATGTCAACGGTGACAAGGTTCACGGGTGGACTTGGCAAAGGGAATTGGGGAAAATGGGGAAAGGGCAGATCTTCTTAATCTGATAAGATGTGGGATGTCACGGAAAACCTGGACGGGGTTTGGGTCCGATGTCAGGAGGCAAATGGAACTTATGTCAGTTGATCCACTTGGGCATCAACGTCCGACTATCGGCCCCTTACTGATACCAGCTGAAATCGAATACGAGCTCCACATGTGTTACGTTCTTTATCGTTGGCTGAATTGCGAGACCTAGCTAAAGCGTTCACGCTGGGTACCATCCTGGGCTTGCATGAGGGTGCTGCAGGGCCAATGACTTGTCGCAAAGATAAGCCCTCATGCGAACCAAGATGCGAACCAAAAAGTATATACATCTACCCAGCCGTCCCATCCAGTCGAGAAACCAATACTCTTCAAAAGACGAATTTAAGTCCAATCAACCAAGCAAGAAACTGACACGGATGAATCGGGAGAGGAGCCAAGACACAAGAACAACTTGAAAGTGCAACAATCACTTCATGATACAAAGACCACTACCATGAAAAGCTCTCCTCAACATAATCCAGGTTAGACTTGGACTGCCTCTTGCGACATACCCGACGAACATCATCGCTCAAGCTACCGTTTCCACACACAAGCACACCCATCTTACCGATCTGGTTTTCCACTTCCATTCCAACAAGCGTGTCAATATTCGGTCGGCCAGGGAACATCTGCACAGTCGCAGACGGGCTCTGTATTTCCTTGGTATTACGAGGACGGGTCACAAACAGCATGATACGCAGCACCTCACGCCGACGGTCCATGGCTAAGATGCTCGTCATCCAAGGACGGATCCATTCCAGGTGTTCAGGGGACTGAATAATCCACACAAGGGTAACGCGGCGCGTAGCCACCGTGCCATCCGCAAAGCCAGCTACAAGGTGACGGACGAAGGGAACGTGATGGGTGATACCGACACCGCCCGCGAAGAGCATGACTGTACCGTAAGAATCCATGGAATGGATATTACCGTAAGGTCCTTCGGCGAAAGCGCGGAGTGTGATGCGGCCACCCATGGCGTTGGCTGCGCGCTGAAATAATTTATCGGTCATACCTGTACGTCGGCGAACAAGCAGTGAAAGAGTCGTTTGCTGCGGTGCACCGAGTAGGTCTTGGTGGGCCATTGGCAAAGACTTCTCGTCGGACATCTTGTCCTCGTCTTCGCTCCAGCCAACGGAAAATGGGTGCGAGGTCCACCATCCCACTGCTGGGATGTAAAGGTAGATATGTTGACCGGGTCGGAACTTCCATGGTCGGGCGAGACGGAGGGTAATGCGCATGGCGTCACCGGGCATTGCTTCGATGGTGGCCGTTGTGGAAGCGCGACCGAAGTTGCGGTATACGATAATGAAGAGGCGGGTTGCGCGCTTGAACTGGTTAGCGTGTCATGGGAATTTATAGGTTACAGAACTTACCTCAAGTGCCCACAGGATTATCGCACCGAGCAAGTAGTTCTGAGCGGCATATCCATTTAGATGCACCCACAGGAAGCCCATTAAGACAGCGGCGAGGGCGAAGTGCAGGTGGATAAATGTCTCGTAGAAGGCATGGCGAATTGGGGATGGTGAGTGTACCAAAAGCGCGACTGCAACACAGGTAGTCTGCGATCCATGTCAATATAAGTTTTCTTGAAAGGAAGGGCCAGAACTTACAACCAGACCAGCAGTCAGAAAGCTACTTCCAGCAATGTATGAGCCAACGGCACTCCAACTTGCTACAAGTCTAAGTTAGCATAGATACTAGCACTGAAACAGGCATCAACTCACCATCCTGAGCTTTAGGAATCGCCCAGGCAAACGTATGTGCCAAAGCCTCACAAACCACAATACGTCCCAGCCATCGGTGAAGGAGGTTCCACGTATCGAAAGGAACATGAAGCATAGCAATCAAAGGATTGTTCCGGCCCGCCATCAACACAAGTGGAATCAAGTTCACAGTAGCCATAGTACCAGTCCGGTTACGAACGATACCAGCAGCGGTACTTTCCTCGGACGCATAAGGAATAGTAACAACGCAAAGAATAACATTCATAGCAACGACACCGGTAACCAGCAATCCGTGAAAGCGACTGGGCAGTGTACCCATGTTGATAGCCTGTGACAATTGCAATTCGCGGTTGTGGCGGTTCCGGAACAATGGGGCATAGATCAAATGGTTCTTGATCCAGGAGAACTTCTCATGAGCTGGGACGAAATACCGTTGATTGTCATCGTTGAATGTGGATAGTCTTCGTAGGTGGTCAGAGAATCGAACTGTGAGCTGCCAGATGTAGTATGCAGCTGCGGCGCAGCCCAGGGCTAGCAGGGTGTAGCGGGCTAGGTCATCATTGACGGCTTCGTAGAAGAGCTCCATGGAGCTGGAGGAGCCGTGGCGCTTTTCGAATTCCATCTTGCTTATCAGCGAAGCTGCGGGCGAGCAAATATTCGATAGATATCAAGCAGTAGTCTGAATGAGTCAAGCAAAATCCCAGCTGCGTATTCTCTCACAAGACCGGCTTGTTTGAAGGCTGGTTCAAGTTGCTGATTTATTCTTTGCTAGGATGAAACGGTTGAACAATTGCCAATAGCAGCACCAGGCTGCTGTTTGAAAAGAACGAATGAAGAAAAGATCGTGTCGATACCGATATAGTGAACGGCGGCTCGAGGATCAGGGCCTGCCTAAGCGAATGTGAGTGTATCGGCTGAAGAGAATCAAGAAGAGGGATCCTTTGATTTCCCCTCAGATCTACCCAGGGATACCGTCAGATTTTTGCTGAGCTGTTCCGTGGGCAACGCAAGGAATGCTGGCGTCACTCAAGCCCGAAGAAAAGAAGTATAAAACACGATGGAACCAGTCCACCAAAATGATTGTGAGAAAAGAATGCGAACAAAGAAACAAAAAGAAAGAACGAAGAATAAAAAAGTATATTGTTACAGACACAGAGACACAGAGACACAGACACAATCCACAGGGTGGAGATAGATGAGACAAGCCAAGTCCACACTAGGATCAAGCAAATTACTACCTTTACAAAAAGCAGCAAGGCCAGCCGATTCAAGCCCTTAAACCTGGCAGTGAGTTCCTGAACCACAAATGCTATCGATCCGATCGCCGGACTTGAGCCTAGAAAAAGGGCCTGTTGCCGCCAGGTAAACCTTCATAAGCAACATGCGACAAATTGTCATCCCTTCTGGCAATCCCGATCCGCCAATCCAACCGCCCCGCCCAGATGACGCCGCATCTAGGTACCCTCAGACGACAGCGACAGGGCCGGCAGGACTTGGCAAAGATTGTGGCGGGTGCGGTCAGTACGAATGACAGCCATGAAACGGAGGAGGAACTTGAGCCAGCGTTAGCGCCGATCCTTGTCTGGATTCTTGGCGGGCGGCTGGTGGTTTGAGAATTGGTCCTTGCTTCGATGTGCGGGCCAATGCCGTGCGACCGGGGAGATCTAGGGATGTGAGTGGATGTCAGGGGCGTGAAGATTTGGATGACGTCGGGGTAAATGTTGCAGGTATACTGGTTGGTTTCAGTATATGCATGGTCATCTGTTGACTTTGGCTTGGTTGACAATTATGGTTTGGGTGTTTTTCGATTGCTCCACTGATGTTTATTGTGTACGACTCTTCGGTCGGTGGGGAAGACTGCTCCTGCCACGTGACTGTAGCTGTCGTATGTATACCTTCGTACACTATCGCGAGATCAATATCTTCCAGTTTGGAAATTCGTAGCCGAGCTTGGCTCGAATATGCTTATCCTTTGTCGCCCAGGGGTGCATAAGAGGAGTGCACTCTACGGAGACATTCGGATTTGAATCTATGTGGACCCAGACTCCATATATCTATAACGAACTAGCCTCGCCGAGGCTAGTCCAACCCCCTGTTCTTTCTCCTGATACCCACTGGTCAAAATTGGTGGAACTCCCCAGAAGCGAACTTAAACGTCGAGCTTATTATGCAAGACACGCGACCAGTATGAAACGTGCAAATTGCTTAGTTCTCTCCGGCAGGGTCTGACAGCGTGCTTGGCTGCATCCAACTGAATTTTCATGACATGGCCATGTGGCCGTGACACACATCCTGTGAATAACGCTTCTGTTCTTAAAGTTCTTATCGCTGCCTCAGATAAAATGCTTTGAGGCGGGCAGGTACTTGTTTCAGTCTATTTCCATGGCAGGTCAAAATGTCTTGATAGTATGTTTCGTCTACTGCGACCGCAGCGCCACATCTCCGTAAGAGCACCGAAGGCCGGGGCTGGCCATTTGGCCATTTCGGAGTCGGGGATTTGGAAATAATTACTAGGTATTGTCAATCGGAGTAGTCTCATTCGGCTCGATTCAATATGTTCCAGGTAAATGCAAACGTAACAGGTGGCCGAGAGGCAAGCTTCAAATCTATCCAAATCCAAATGAATCATTATCATCACCCATGTGCAGTTATGGTCATAAATCAGAATCGTTCCATCAGGCGCTTGCGGACCGTCCACATACGGGCCCGTTTACCGTACATGTACATTGGGATCGACATGAGTAGAAAGAATAGTTGAATCCCGCCGATGGCAAGATAGACGGTGCGGAAGCCATCCGCATCAAGCCAATCCACAATGAAGAGAGAAAATACAAGTCCGTGAACGATGTCTAGATGAAGAAAAAGATTAGTCAATTCCGACGAGAAGAAGGGGTAGTGCATACTTTTGGTAAAGTTCAACGTCACCAATGCTTCCCCTGCATACTGGCGGTAACTATCCACACAGAAAGTGATGGCAGTCGTACTTCCCAAGCAGCATCCGAACGAGATCACACCAAAGAAAATCGTTGGTACAATCCAAGCATTTCTTAGCTGTGCACTCCATCCAAATCCCATCAACCCAATTGTAGTTGACAATGCGATGGGGATTGCCATTACGAGGCGGAACTCGGGCTCATAAATTCCTCCATTACGCCGGGTGAGAAAACGCACAACCATATCCGACACTTTGCCCGCTACTGCAGTCCCGAGTAGGCCACCGACAAAGGGCGATATGTAGACCAGACCCGTCTGAAGGGCAGTGAAGCCATAGCCCTCATCGTTTTCGAAGACCTTACCCACAGACTCCGAGATCACAATGAGCCATCCAACAGAGAGAGCGTAGACGACAGCGGACCAAAGAACAGATGGGTAGGCGTATAATACAAACGGCCGCATAGCAATCTTAAACCAGTTGTCACGGGCAATTCGCCCATTCCATACCTTAAGTCGCTGAACGTAGGGGACCTTTGGGCGGTCACGTAGTCGGTTCGTGTATTGTAGAGTAGAGGAGAGATGAGCACTGGTTTCACGAGACTCAGTGCGTGCAGGTGAAATGGCCACGGGGCGCGCCTCTTCCGCCTCGCCGGGGTTCCTATGAGAGGCTTCAATGTGAACAGATTGAAGCGGCTGCAAACCACCACTTTGTTCAGGATTGGGTTGAGATGGCTCGGAGTGGACCTGAGCATCACTGGGATCTCCAGCGTGTGGATAGAAGTAATCTCCATTTCCTTCTGGCGTATGTTTTTCGTTGGTCGGTAGATCGTTCGCAAATCCAACGTGAGCATTTTTATGCTTCCTCTCAGTCGGCGATGCTGGATCAATGTCATTCGGTGACGTTGGTTCGTCAGGAATCTGCACATGAGGACGACGTCCTCTGAACCCGTGGGTCATCAAGTCGGAAACAGTTCGATGAGCATGCGGACGCTTGTGCGACTTTCGAGGGCGCGGAGTCCGATCCCAAAAGGTTTCTGGGACAAAGAAAAACAACAGGACCAAAAAGCCACCGACGATGATAGACACAATCCAGAACACCCAACGCCACCCGAGACTACCAATTACAGCAGCACTGGCGAGGGGAACCAAGTTCTTTCCACCAAGCAATAACAGCGTGTAAATGCCGACTCGATAGGCCCGCTCATGTAAAAAGTAGATTTCCGCAATGGTAGCCGACGGGAGGCATTCCACCGGGCTCACCGCAATACCTTGGAAGATCCGAGCAATCACCAAGCTTGGGTAATTCGGGGAAAGAGCGCACCAGATTCCCGATAAGATGAACAGAATCGCACTGAGGAGATACACAGGGCGCTTTCCAAACAAGATTGCAGTTGGGGACATGATCACCGATCCGAGGCCTAGTCCCAGCATATAGAGGCCCGTTGTGAACGCTACTTTCTGTTGAGTCACTCCGTACGTAGCTGCAACTTCGCTGAATCCAGCGGCTAGAATGGTGGTCATGCCTCCTCCGATCAAGCAGTAAAAGCCCAAGGAGATCAGCGCAGTGTCTCGTTGCCATACTGGCCAGTTGAGAGGATCATTGACGGAATCATCAGGTTGGGGATCTAGGACAATTTGCCCGTCCGCCGTTCGTTTTTTCTGTGGGACTGGGTTTCGCGAAGATGAGCGTGAAGAGGGCTGAATGCTCGTGGGAAGCGATGAGGCCGACATCCGTTGCGGCTGGTGCCGCATTCCCAGAGGTTCATTTCGATCAGAGGCGAGAAGAAGGACGGTTCCTACACCAGAAAATAAGGTCAGGGTTAGGAGATTCTACGAGTCATGGCAAACTAGACCACTTACCAGGTACTTCGTCCGTCTCCCTATCACTAAGAATGCCCAGGGTTCTTTTTGGGCGATAGATAGAATCCTCATTTTCTTCCCGGTCGCGATTGGGCTTGTTCCCGAAGACCCGCCTCCATCGTGGCATGGTACTTGGACGTGTTTTTTCCATCTCGCCCATCGATGTAGGGGATTCGTCTGCAGAAGACATCTCTGCTCCAGGGGTTTGGGTCGCTTATAAGGATTCGGGAATAAAGGCGCCAAGAAATGGCGCCACCTTTTGGAGAGGGTAAGAATAAGCCTGAAAAAAGGGAGCTCAGTAGACCGAGCTCTAAGACAAAAGAGGGTCGACTTGATCTAACAAAGCTTGCTGTCTCTGCACCGGCGCACTGAGGGAGTAATCACTGCTTGCGATAGAGTCCAAGCAGCGGCTTCAGTGAAACACAACCCATAGCGTGGTGGAGAGGAGCGCGATGTAAGTCAGGGAGGAAGAAAGAGCGGTATCCAAGTTGATCCAAGAAATAGGTGCAAGCTAAGAAGATGTCACGGGAAAAGAATCACGAATGATCGGCCGTTTATGCCCATGTGGCTCCGATGACTGGGATGCGGGGCCCAATCAGGCGGTGAGGAGCTCTGGCACTAAACTCAAATAGGAGATGACAATCAATCTACCTAAGGATGAGCAATACTGAATGCTTTCGCAATGACCTCGAATGTGTTGTTCTTGAGAAGTTATTGTCAAGCCGATGCAACGGTGCATTTCGGGATCTGAAAACGTCCATTTTCGGGACCGAGCGTAGCGCGGATGGTGTCAGCGAACATGCCTACTGGTCCCGGCATGATGATCGGATCCACTTGACGATCATCAAGATAAGGTGCGCAAGAGGAAAATAGGAAGGACAATCAAAATACTCCGGACACGAGGAAATGCACAACCATGCATGCGCACGCCAAGCACCTTGTACTACTTCTATCACGCATGCGGCCATAAGGCCCGCTATTTCGCTCAACAGCTTTGACCGCTATCTTCATGCATCAAAGAGCTTTTGTTTACGGGACCCTTCCTTGTCTGAGATGTCGGTCTACTCAGATTATTGCGAATATCCCAGCTGACTCGGATCGTGTGTAGTTTGCCGTCATCGTGCAGCCTCCCGTGGGGTGAAAACGCCCTCAAAGGTTAAAAGTTCCAGTGAGGCCAACCGCTCGGGCTCATGTTGTCGTCATGCGGATCTTTGGGTCCCAACGGCGGCAAGACGCGGTCTCAGTCGACAGTTAAAGTTGATCGCAGCGGGGTTTGGCACATGATACTCTCCAGGCTTGGTGAGATGTTTCTAGTAGACAATCTACCGATGATGAAATAAGTGTCCACGGGTATGTTCGTGTTTGGGCATGTTTCAAGATATTAGTCTATACTTTAAATTATTTTAGCCGACATGGCCTTTCAAACTACGTTTTGTCCACTGGTGTAGTTCTCCATATCACCCCGCCCTGTTCTCCAAAGAATGCCAACATAACCCCACAGGGTCACAGGTACTCTCCAGTCTATAAATTGATGGGCCCCAGACATTTGGAGTAGAACCTTGGAATCCACGCGGTTTGACTCTTTGGTCATGAATCCCATTCTGCAATTTCAAAAATGGCTCAGATTTGTAGGGGCTATCTTCATGCCCAAATTCAAGGCACCATTCAGGCCTAATTTACACATTTACATTTGATTCCTAGTTTCACATGGGAGTTGGTCGCGGCAAGTGTTCAGGTGCAGGCAACATGTTAAATATATTAATAACTTCAAAATGAGTCGGCCTTTCGCGACTGTAGGAATGTTAGGGGCCGAATTATTATCAATCAGCACAGAGCTCGGGGCTTGGCATTATATCCTAAAGCGGCAACTCCGAGGCCCGAGAACTTTTAACTCCATGGCAGCCTCGCATATGTACTGAACGTCTCGCTCAATATGAACTTTGCAGGATCATTCCTCTTTGATCTAATAGTCAGAATTTGCATACTTATTCAGGACCGACCGTGGACTGTTCAATGGAAACAGCTACTACCACGTGATTGTGTGACCTGTCCTTTGTGCTGCAGCAATTCAGGATTACCCATCACTGACTTACGTATTTTGGCTGCAGCCTTGCAGAGGGGCCAGAAATTAAAGACCAAAAATTTCCCAAAACCACACAGTCACAGCAGTCATCATGACCGACTATCCAGATTCGCTCTCTCAGGGCGAAGACGCGGATCAATCAAGAGTGGTACAGCGGCGGAGACGACCCCCGCTCTCTTGTACAGAATGCCGACGACGCAAATTGAAGTGTGATCGATCGCTGCCCTGCGGACAATGTGTGCGTTCAAAAACTGCAGACTCGTGTGTCTTTGTTGGTCCTCAACCAGGACCGACTCCAGAATCAACTTCACGGCGCATGTCACCACCAGTATCACGGATGCGTATTCCTAATAGTTCTGAAGACCCAGCCACGAGCACGGGCAGCATGTTTGTCTTTGATTCTAAAATGGGCCCCCGATCCGATTCAAATCGGGTGTCGAAACGCAGTCGCCCGGACGAACTGCATGAACTTCGACACCGGCTGCGTGTATTGGAACATGCGCTAAACAAGCCCAATAGCAATGTCCTCCAAACGCCCGAAACTTCCATCGGTGATGTTTTTTCGGATGCGGAAACTTCTGCTATGGATGCTGCAGGAGTAGATGATCGTGTCCGATTTCTCCCGGATTGCAGCTTCCGGGGGAAGAAAGGAAAGACAAGGTACTTCGGTCGCAGTCATTATACCACCACTGTGTCATTTGTGAGTGAGGTTTATCGAACTCCCCTTCCCCCAAAATATCCACTAACTGAGAAACTAGTTTCAAGATATTGGATCCTTCCTTCGGCGGGGTCATCATGCTGTCAAGGATAAAGAGTACTCCGATATGAAACGCTTCAAGAGCGAGCTTTGGTCCCGTGAGAGCCAGGACCATCAACGAGCATTTCGAGACCAGGCCTTCCGACTTGAAGAAATGGTCCCATCGCGCAAAGTAGCGGATCAATTGGTTCAGTTATATCTCGATACATTCGAGACTACCTACCGAGTCCTGCACATCCCGACCTTTTTGGAGCAGTACACGGCATACTGGAACCGGCAACAGGAACCAGATCTGGGATTTGTAGCTCAACTCTTGGCCGTTCTCGCAGCCGGAAGTTGTTTTTATCTGCCAAACCCTAACGCCGAAGGAGATCAGCGCGATGTGTATCAAAAGCCCGCAATGAAATGGATCATGGCGGTGCAGTCGTACATCTCATGTACCTTTGTGAGTCCGCAACTCAATCTCAGCATGATTCAGACGCAAACCCTTCTTTTGATCGCTCGTCTCGGGATCGCCAATGATGGAGACGTGGCATGGGCCTCCGCAGGATCGCTGATTCGATCTGCCATGACGATGGGACTGCACCGGGACCCGACTCGATTTCGGAAGAAGGCCCGGCCATTTTGGTGTGAGCAGCGCCGCCGGCTTTGGACCACGATTGTGGAATTGGATCTCAAGATTTCTTTGGATCGGGGTGTCCCGCCTTCTGTGGATCTAGACGAATCTGATTGCGATGCACCCTGCAACTGGGACGACAATGATTTATCTGAACGGATGGAGACCAATCCCGCACCTCTTAGTACAGCGACATATACCCGGAGCTTTTACCAGGTCCTGCTTTCTAAGACGTTGCCTCTGCGCTACCGCATCGCGAAGAAGATCAACACCCTGCGATTCGATCTATCATACGACGAAGCGTTGCGGATAGGCGAAGAGCTCCTCCGAGCCGTGCAACACTCGCAGTCCTTGTTTGAGGATAACGCGCTCGGGGTGAACCCAGTGGACGTTGCCAAGCATAGATTCGCTCAGTCCTTACACCTCTTCGTCATGCGCAAGTTCCTCCTCGCGCTCCACCGACCTTTCTCGCTCAGCGTGGTCCGATTGCCCAAATGTTCGTATTCGCGAAAAGTGTGCTTAGAGGCCTCGCTCGAGATTCTCTCGCAGATGGAACTCCCGAACCCAGCGGACTCCGTTCTATACCCCCATATCACACAGCTTGGCAGCGGTATGTTCCGGGACGAGACGTTTCACGCCGCCATCACAGTTTGCGTGGAGCTATCCCTGCAAGCCCACGAGATGGGCAATTCGACCGGTCCAGCAATGGACGGAATGAACTCGAGCGTGCTCATGAGTATGGTACAGTCACAACAGAACGTTATGCTGCAAGCAGTTGAACGAACCTTGGATGATTTCGGCCGCCGCATCGGCCCTGGTGGTAATGGATGCAAGCCATACTTCTTCTTGACCATCATCTTGGCTTCTGTCCAGTCACGAATCAAGGGCGAGGACCCTATGGTGAATGTGGAAGCTTGCTCTAAGAAGTCCGTTCGCGTTTGCCGTGGTGTGTTGAATGGGCTGGCCTATTCTGATGCTTTGGCTAGTGCCCAGCGTCCACCTGAATCGGTATGCTTTGCTGATTTCGGTCTGCGTTTTGCGCCTACTAACATTTTCTTTCAGAATGATCTGAGTCCGGCTGCTATGGGAGGCCCTACGCCGATGTCTGGGTCCTCGATGGAATTTGATCCTATTTCTCTTCTTTCTACCGATTTCGGTGACTTTGCGGTAAGTCTCATATTATGAATTTTGGATGGGTTGTATGCTGACTTTAATAGCCTATGGATCTAGGAGCTTGGGTTGAGGGACTTGACCCTGGTGGTCCGGAATTATGGGATAATGATTTCTTTGGTAGTTTACCGGCGATTTAAAAGAGATACCCTGTTTAATATGGCTTTCCGACTCGCATTTGGTCAATCAAAAGCCCACTTTATCAATAATTGACTTGATTTCCGACCTGTGACAAAGGCAGGATACTTCTAGACCTTCATGCAAGTGCATAAAATGTGACCAGTTCATTGTACTTTGGTAGAGCGGAGGTGTATATTTTCAAAGGGAGTTCAGGTCAATTCCCGATGACTTAACCAAGGGTCACACAATTTGATGTCATAATTGGCAGAATTGACTAATTCTACTTTGAAAACATTCATTCCCGACCTTAATTATGTCCACCTCTCCACTGATCCAGCCCTCATCAAATCACTAATCTTTGGTGTCCAGACCGTTTCGATGAGGTAAGCGCCTCGGGGCATGCGCAGGAGTGTGGAGACTTTCGTTCGGTCGCAGCCAAGCAGAGGCTTTCTGTTAATAATTACGGACCCGCAGCGACAGATGTGGAGCCGAATGATGGAACGGAAAATGGGGAAGTCAAGATGAGGAACATGCAACGGAAAAGAAACATAATCAGGGGTATCGAAGATGAAGTTCAGCATTGATGGAGTCGCAGTTGATGCTGTAAGGGAGAGGAGATAAAGCGATGCAGATGAGATGATGGCCCTGCAGTAAGATTGCGAACAAGCGGAATGCAGAAGTACAGTGTATAATGCGGAGGGAGGAACAAAACCGAGGCCCAGGGATTCCAGCTGTTTCTCTCCGAGTTCTTCCTCTACCCCTTCTAATCTCCACCCATCCATTCTTTGCCATCTTTCCGTCCTCTCATTCCTTTCTTTTCATTCCATCACATACACATCCATCACAATGGCGGCTGCTCGCTCTGCATCCCGCGCTTTCTTGCGCTCCTCCTCCGTCCGCCCTGCCGCGCGCTCGGCTCGCTTCGCTCTCCCCGCTCAAATCCGCGCCTCGACTCGCCGCGGATATGCCTCTGAGGCCCCCGCCGGCAAGTCCTCCTCCTTCGGTATCTGGGGTATTGGTCTGGCTGTTGCCGGTGGTGCTGGTGCCTACTTCTACCTGAATGGAGAGGCTGCCCCTAAGGGACCTTTCGTCCCCACCAAGGCCGACTACCAGAAGGTGTACGATGCGATTGCCCTTCGCCTCGCCAACGAGACCGACTATGATGACGGCAGCTATGGCCCCGTAAGCATATTAATCCCATCCTAGATTTCTAGATCAGCGCTGACAATGTTCTCATCCAGGTTCTTGTTCGTCTCGCCTGGCACGCTAGCGGCACCTACGATAAGGCTACCGGTACCGGTGGCAGCAACGGTGCCACCATGAGATTCGCTCCTGAGAAAGACCACGGCGCAAACGCTGGTCTCAAGCACGCCCGTGACTTCCTTGAGCCTATTAAGGCCCAGTTCCCTTGGATCACATACTCTGATCTCTGGACTCTGGCTGGCTCCGCTGCCATTCAGGAGCTGGGTGGTCCCAAGATCCCCTGGAGACCTGGCCGTGCGGACCGTGATGTTGCCGCCTGCACACCTGATGGCCGTCTCCCTGATGCCTCTAAGGATCACCGCCACATCCGTGATGTCTTCGGTCGTATGGGCTTCGATGACCGTGAGATGGTTGCCCTTTGTGGTGCTCACTCCCTTGGTCGTGCCCACACTGACCGCTCTGGATTCGATGGTCCTTGGGACTTCAGCCCGACTGTTTTCACCAATGAGTTCTTCCGTTTGCTCGTTGAGGAGAAGTGGAACCAGCGCAAGTGGAATGGCCCTGCTCAGTTCACTGATAAGGGTACCTCCACTCTCATGATGCTGCCTACCGACCTTGCTCTTGTTAAGGATAAGGCTTTCAAGCAGCACGTTGAGCGTTATGCTAAGGATAGCGATGTCTTCTTCAAGGAGTTTGCTGATGTTTATGTCAAGCTCCTGGAGTTGGGTGTTCCTTTCAAGAGCAAGCCCGAGGATCGCTTTGTTTTCGAGACTTCTGAGTAGATGATGACATGGGAATTGGCCTATGCGTCGTGAAACTCAGGAGTTTGGCACGGTTGATATACTTTCTTTTTGATTTTCTTTGATATCCGAAATCTTTGGTCGGTCATATAGATTTAGATCGTTCCTATAAGACATTGTTCAATTTTGTGCCTTGATGAGTAACTTGAAAAAGTGTCAGTAGATTCCTGAGTAACTGTCAGTCAGGGATAGAATTGTCATCCTGCCCTCTGTTAGTCTCTTCCCCAGTTGTATGGTGACTTTAATTGAATATAACGGGCATCAATACGTCTCTGTGAAGTATTCATAGCCCTTTAAATACTTGTCCTTAGAAGGTAGTAGCTGGAACCCCGCATTTTCATCAGTCCGGGGTTTGAATATACGAGTGGTTGGACCTCTTCGCTTAAATCAGGGCATCGGGATTGAAACCTGGGGTTACATAGCCACCAATGACCGTCTAGACTAGCCCCTGTTCATTCGTTTCTACGTCCAAGCTCAAATTCCAGGGTCAGGTGTTTTAGTTGGAACCAAATCCGATTGGTGAGCAAGGCTATATAATATCATACAAAGACTTTAACAGGCTGCATTCGTTCATTATCCCTCAAACTTCCAACAATGGATGCATTTACAAGTCAACATCTCGCTTCCACAGCCGGACGAAAAAAAAGCCTTACCAAGTTCCCACGCGGTAAGCAAAAGATTAGTCAAGCCCACTCCGGCAGCAACAGTACGCTCAAATGCCTTTTGAAGCCCATCGAATAACATCCACTCAGTCCCCGACCCCTCATGTATATGACCAAAAACATGTAGCCGTGGCCGAACTTGCCACAGCGCCTGTAATAGATAGGGACAACCAAACTTCAGTAGGTCACGATGTGCAAGTGGTGGACCATGGGTAATAAGCATATCGATTCCATCGGGGACTAAGCCGCTCCATACATCTTGATTGCGAGGGTATTGAAAGGCCCAGTTGCCGTGGCGGGTAGATTAAGGACTTCCGTAGACTCTGAGTTGACGATCATGGCAGGGAATGGTTACTGTCGAGTTTTCTAGGTAGATTATGTCGCCCCAATTCAATAGGGCTCGCTCTGAGGCTGCTTGGCCTGATTGATCATCACGTCCTGAATCGAGTAGTAGCTCGTGGTTGCCTGCAATAACGATTCTGGTGGGATGGGGTAGCGTGTTTAGCCAGGTGAGTGCGGCTTGTAGTTCCTGAAACGATCCAGATTGTGTGATATCACCTGCGTGAATGAGAATATCTCCATCAGGAATCGTGGGTTAGCTGTTGTGGGTATCGGAAATACAGACGATGGCAATAGGGGTTGTGAGTGGTGTAGCTGGGATTGGTTTATGCCAGCTGTTAAGCATTTGTGTGAGGAAGATAAAAGGCCGTGCTTGGAAGTCTTGCCATCGGCTTGGTCGCTGTCGATGAAGGAGCTCGTGGGGACTGGACATGATCTAGACTCGAGACTATCAAAATAAGCGTTGATGTGAGATACTAGTCTGCTTGGGATTCACCTTGTTGAAGTTTTGCCTCGATTCTCTAGATCTTAGACATCTTAATGGAGAGAGTCGACGTCGCCGCTGGAAGAAAAGACAGTCTTTGCTGACCCATATACGGTGGTCCAAAGTTAGATACGCCCTGTGTTGGTCGCCACGTGACGAATATACTCCTTCTTTACACACGATGAGCCCATGGGGCATTGCTTATCAAAATTGAGAGTAATATTATCGAGAACGTGCTCATGCAACTTCTTCCTTTCACTGAGCTACCCAAATAATGATACCGTCTATGGCTTCAGTATAATCTCATCAACTTGCACAGTATCCGACCCAAGACTCTGTAAGTCTATAATGCCCCCAAAGACAGAAGACATCGAGTTGGCCTTGGAGGATTCGTTGCTTCCTTGCTGTAGATCCAGCAGAACAAGGCACCTTCGTCCCAGAACACCATCTTTCATATTTATCAGATGCAATGGCAACAACTGGGCATGACTAAGGAGCCCATCCTTTGCAAATGCAACTTTCCGGCTAGAAACAATCTTCAACCCATCATCGTCCTGTCGATAATGGCGGAACCATGCAGTACCCTCCTTTGACGGACGGTAAACATTGGTCCCCTTTTTGGCAGCAATCTTGATCTGGTGATCATATGTGTAGCTCAGAGTGGGTAGTCCTTCCGGAGGATCGAACTGTTCCACAGCAAATGCGTAGACGGGAAGCAATACTCCATCCACAAGATCAGTCCACTTGAAGCCTCGTGCGACCGACTCATCATTCTCTTCCTTGAAGTTCATCTCCGGGAACGGTAGACATAAGATGATCCATTGATACTTGTCGAGAAGCGCCACCAGCAACCTTCTTTTGATTTCGTCCATAGGAGCATCATATGTAACCTCTATATCGGAGATCCCCAATGCCCCAAGTAAAGCCCAACAGGAATCCGCAACTCTACTATATTTTCGTTTTTGCTTGCCTGCGAGGATCTCCAGGGGGCTCTCCCTCCAGAAACCCACGAAACCCGATCTGAGAAGTGTTTGCAACGATTGACTGAGCCAGGTCTCGGGCAACTCGGAGCACGTATAGGCTTCTTTAGGACTTGAGTCACCGAGAGGTGGCTCGTGGCCTTCCGATTTGATAAAATACCCCATGGCCAGGTATAAGGCCAGTCGTCTAGTGGGTACCGTGAGATCAGAGACAGTGGCTCGGTCACTTGTCCAAAAATCAGGCCCTAGGAGGGCGTTACCTTGGCCATCAATGAGGTCGGTTTCATCCAACAGTACACCTTCTTGTAATGTCCAGTCTGAGCCTAGCCAACGCTCTTGTGATCGGGCAACATCAAATTTATCCGCCACTTGGTCAATGTACTTCTGCATCTCTGCAGGTGTACACATAGTGTCTAACGTTGGTAGAGTGAGTAGCTCTTTCAAAACCGAGTCCCCTGCCCATGAGGTTGAATGTAGCCAGACCATGCTTTTTCGCTCCCGCTTATAGATAAACCTATGCCAAACGCCAATCATGAGTCTCTTTCAAACCCCAGTAATCGTGGCCAATACTTACTTCTGCTTCCCGATTTCTTGGCCTTGGACTTCCAGAAGTTCTGGGCTCAATGGTCTCATGCCCTTGCCTTGCTGGGGGATGCACATCCAGTCCCACCAAATGTAGCGACATCCGATTTTTCTCATGATATCTCTTATCTCTGGAAGTTTCCATCCTTTGATCCCTGGCACATCCCAGAGAAGACCCTTTGGTGGGTTAGGGGCAGGATGGCCTTTGTCAACGATGTACCCCCAGGTATATGATACAACGCCATAGCCTGGATAGGAAAGTGCCTCCTGTGGAACCTCGGTATAAGGTATACTCTCCCATTTCTCTAGATCCACAAGCCATCGTGGGTTTTGGGGGTCGTTGACAGGTATAGACGTTGAAGTCATGCTCGCATCAATTACGGTAATTGGATTGGAGACTCGGGCCTGGTCTCGAGGTATGAACTTGAATATGATAAAGCTAAAGCCCAGGTGGAAAAATTTCTCTCAACTATTGAAATTGTCGGTGTGTTGACTGCAACCTGCAAGACTACGTCATGCACCTGTTTTCCACTGAGGTCGTGTTCACTTTTGCTTGGATTGGCATGAATCATTAGGCTCGCATATGTGCAGTATGTAGCAATGCCTACGCCGTTGGTTACACAGATCCACTTGATGCGGAAGTTCTAGTGAATGAGCGGAGAGATCGAAAAAATAAATCCCAACAATTATTTGTACCCAAGTTTTGCTATATGTCCTTCTGTCTTGCTAGCTGTACAATCATTAGAGGTACTGTAGTTGCCTTTCCACAAGGTATCGTCAGCCCATCTCGAGGTTTGCTTGATTCCTTAAACATGAATGGCCACCTTATACATCTTGGTAGTAAGCTCGAATTCCAATCCCAAGAATCTCAGACCAAACTATAACTTCTCCCGACGATCCAAAGTCAATTCACCGTGCAGCCACCGCTTGTTTAGGAAAGTGTCCACAAGTGCCGATCCCTTCTATCCCCCCACCCGACCCCATACGCGCAGGATTAGCTGCAACCACGAACGCCCAACCAACTAATATCCGCGAATAACACTTGCCGAAGAAATCAGGCAGAGGGCATAATGCCAATTCTTCACCGAAACCCGGGACCTATGTATACACGGACATCAAATTCCATGTGTTCGATAAAAAGAAACTTGAAAACTCTACGTAAAGCCGGGAATGGAAATAGATCGCTGAGTATGTAGAATCGTAATTTTTATCATCTATATTCATGGAGTATGCAATATGTACAAATAAAATATAAACAGAGAAGACATCCCTCCTAGATATCTTCTCGTTTCCCAAACATATATTCATTTCACAGGCGGTGCTGCACAGGAGCAGGGGGCGCAATGGATGTAGGAGCCTTCTCCTCTTGACCCTCCCAGTTCAGCACACGACCCATCTTGTAATAAGAGTCGATACCGCGACGCGCATGGTCAGCAGGAGTAAACGGATCAGGGTTAGCAAGGGTACGGCTGAACAGCTCAAGAGAAACCCAACCCCGGAAACCAAGATCATTGAAGAAGACCTTAGCAACATCCAAAATAGGCAAGTAACCACCCCGCGACTCCTCGAAGGGGAAAAGACGCGAGTTTCTTGACCAAGACATACGAACAGGCTGACCCTCAACATGGAAGGGGTGGTTCTCATCTAGAGGAGCATCGAGACGCTCACCATCAACAAGCTGAACGTAAAAGATCTTGGCCGGGTCGATATTGGCGTTGCGAAGACGATCGAGCGAAGCAGCAAGATCCGCCGCAGCATTGGGTGTCTTGCCCGAAGGCGCAGCAGGATCGGCATAAACACGACCAGCGATATTGAAAGAATCCAGACACAATCCAAAGTTGGCACGGTTCACATCACGGACAATCTCCCAAGAAGCTTCCCAGGTATCAACGTGATCACCCCAGCACAGAGCCTCGTAGACGAAACGGAAGCCCTCTCCGGCACCGATATCAGCGATGCGCTGCAGATCCTTCACGATCACGGAGCGATCGCCCGTTGTGCGGGGAGCCTTGGTCTCGGGGTCTGGTCCGAGGAAGTTAGATGGGACCTGGATCATATCGGTTCCCAGCGCCCGCGCTAGGATGAACCACTGAGGGAGCTTCTCGTTAACGAGTCTGTCGGACTCGGCGCGGTCAATCAGACCTTCGTACATGGAGAATGGCTGCAAGCAAATGATGGACATGCCCAGGCGCTCGCAGAGACGGCGGACCTGGTGGGAGGCCTCGAGATGGTCGCCATTGAATGTTCGTTGGGCGTAGCAGTCCAGATCGTCGAAGAAGAGCTCAATACCCTCGAACCCATGCGCGGCGGCTTGCATCAGCTTTCCGGGGAGATCGTGAATCCATGGTCGGCCCAGGGACATGGACGCAATACCGGGGCGGTTGATGACCATTGTGGTGGTGTTGGTCAATGTGGAGAGATTTGTGGTGTTTAGGGGAGTTACAGTTCCCTGGCGGTTAAGTTCAGCGCTGCAGGGGCAAAACTTCAGATTGATTCTGCTAGGGAGAATCTGTGAGTGTTGAAAATGTGGAGGTGACTGGGGTATTATTACTATTATAATTTTTTCTTAACTGTGCAGAGAGGGGGCGACAAAACATTATCCCCGCCCATATCCGTTGATCTGGGTTCTGCCTTTTTCCAGAAGGTGAAGATGCGCGTAATCCGCAGCATCTGACCGGCTAAGTGTTTTCCTCTAATTCGTTTATCCGTCGTCGGTGCGGATTAATCCAATAGTCCGATGATGATTGCTGGCAGAATACTTACCGCCCATTCCTGTACCCCGGATGTATGGCGAGCTGCTAGGTGAAGATCGCCTTAAATGCCATAGGTCTGAGCATAAATTGCACAGGCTATTTACACATAAGAATGGAGAATAAATTTTGTATACATATGAAACTGGCATACTTGACAGTGCGTCGAGGTATCCTCAGCCAAGCAGCTTGGCCCAAGCGGAAGCCCGACGTGCTTTACAATTGCCGGGACAGAACCAAAGAGAAACCTCGGCCAGAAAGCCGATCCGGATTTTCGCTTGAGGTTCAACGAAATAAGCACCAACAGCGATAAATTAACTGACTCCACTTTAAGGAATTTAGGTTTACTGAAGAGATGCTAAAGTAAGTGTATGAGTCTCTACAACCAGTGACGAATTGTATAAATCCCACTATGATTTGATCAAAGAGAAACACGTATAATCATTATAAACCTCCTAAGGCTATATCCGTGGATATCATCTCCGCCTACACAATAACATGGTCTCGCAACATGTTATCCACCTTCTAAGTCCGAACGGGTCGGAATTAACCCTCGGTCTTCGGATTAGCAGAGACAACGCTCCGTTTACGAATATCCGCAACCGTCTCATCCGTAGCAATGTGATCAAAGTGATACAAAGGCTCCAGCTTCACATCCTGGCGAAAGATGTATCTCCTGAACCACCACGGAAGAACCTTGAAAACCTGGTACCGCATGTGAACCCTGGTGGGCACAGCGAAGATGTAATCCAATTCCTCCAGTGTGCGTTGCTTGGTCTCAGGAACCCATAAAAAGATCATAACCAAGGCGGTGACGTTCAGTCCCCTGTAATCTGTTAGGAAAGCTTGATATGATATGATTATTTACTTACGCGTAAAATCCGAAGGCTCCTGTAGCACCCATGGCGTAAAGCATGCGGGGGAAGGTGATGGACAGAACTGCGGCGAAGCCTAAGCAGACGGAAACAGCCCAGGCCATACCAACCTCTAGAGTTACATTAGTCTTCGATCAGTAGCATAGGCTGGTCAAACGTACCACGATGGGAAAGCGGGAAAACTTCAGCTGAGTATGTGAAGGGCACGGGACCTTCGCCGGGAGAATAAAAGGCTTCGAACAAGTACACGAAAAATGCGATGAGGCCCAAATGAGCATTAGAGCTTTCGGGGATCTTGAAGCAGAATCCGGCTGCGAGGAGAGTCCAAGCCATTTGGGGGAACGTGAATATAAGCAATGATCGACGGCCCCATGTATCAATAGTCCACACAGCAGGAAATGCGAAAACAAAGTTGACCAGACCAGTTCCCCACGCTGCGAATAGAGCTTGTTCATTGCTAGCGCCGGCGTTTGCGAAAATCGTCGAGGAATAGAATGAGACGATGTTGATACCGCACATCTGCTGCGCGATCATGACAGTGAACGACGCCAGTGTCGCTCGTCGAACACGTGGAATTGTGAAAAGCTCACCGAAACGAGTAAGGTAGTTGCTCGGACCAATGATATCCTGTTCAATCTTGATTTGTGCCGAAATATAGTATAGATCTCTCGCGGCCTGAAGAGGCGTGTTTCGTAAACGAAGCAGAGATTGGTATGCTTTATCAGCCGAGCCCCTCTTAATATACCAACGAGGAGACTCGGGACAAAGATAAACACCAAGGAGAAGAGGGATAGCCGGAATGAACGCTGAGCCAAATTGTAGACGCCATGCGATGGTTCCCACTTTCATGACAGCCAAGTTGGCGCTGTAGCCCAGGAAAATACCAAATGCTGTCCATAGCTGCCAGCACATCACCAAGCCACCACGGATGTTAGCCGGGACATTTTCCGCACAGAAAATCGGGATGGTAGATGCTTTCAACCCCATGCCGATACCAAGAAGTAGACGTGTGACGAATAGCTGAGGCCAGGTCTGTGTTACTGCGGAGCCGATTGGTGAAAGGAAACAGAAGACCGCAGCCATGAAGATCGTTCCGCGACGACCAAGGTACCGGTTGCAAGGATCTGATAACCAACAACTGAAGAATGCGCTTGAAAGGTAGGGGCCCGCGTTTATAACACCGACTAGCCACTCGTTACGGACAGCATCAGGCGTCCCTGACTCGGGGATGCCGAATGCAACTGGAAAGGAAAGATTGGCACCGTTCGATCCGGTTTGATCCCAGCCCCTAGAAATCGCGTATATTAGTAAAGCCTGTATCGAGCCAGAGCGAAGGATCCGAGGGCTATGGGGACAACATACTGCACAGCTGCACCGACGGAGCAAAGAATGATCGTGAAATAGAGAGCCCATGGTTGACGCCACTTATGAAGGACTTCATCGCGCAGGGCTCCAAGCTCAACTCCAGTCAAATCGGGGACTGACTCGAATTCACCTGGGTCGCGAGCAACCAAGGCCCCTTTTCGAAGTTCCGGTAGAATATGGGTAAGCTGGTGCTCCTGAGCAAACTCTTCGACGTCGCGGAGGACTTGGGCCTTGGTGAGATCGGCCAATGGGTTTTTGATCCTATAATCATGAGAAAAGAGCTTAGGAACTGGTTAGGGGAAGCATACTTAGCAGACACGTTGTTTTGCAAACTGACTTGCTCAACATGGGCCTTCTCCGTACGACTGTAATCTGGAGGAGCATCTGCGGGAGCATCCGGGGGAGCACTAAGAATTGTATAAGCCGATGGGACAAAATGTGGGGGTGGTGGTGTATACCCTTCCACTCCTTCCTCTTGTATCTCGCCCACTTTCCCCATCTTGGGCCAATGGACAAATGCCGTCAGGGAATGCAAGGAAGTAGTGGCGCGAAAGCACGAAATTGACGCAGAGTGTCAACAGATGTGAGCCTAAAGAAGGCGTTAACCGTATATATGACCAAAAATTGTCTCAATGGATAATTCGTACCCAGCTTGGCTAGAATTCCTGCCAAGTAAACCGAGCCTTGACAGAAGCTTGGGTGCGGGATGCACCACTTTTAATACTTGGCCAAGGCTTTATCTCCAGACCTTGGTTCTCGCTAAGCTAAACCTGCTCGGCTTGCCCGTGCAAGTCATGGGATTCTGTAATCAACGTAAGAAAGCCACCGCTAAACCTCAGATACGTTAGTTCTGGAGCCACATTGGATCCTGCTCCAACAAAAGCATAGACTTTTTCTGGTTCGGAGACATCAGGGTCAAAGCGCGCGGGGCCGTGTTTGCCCATGGGGTTTGAGCGGCTTGAGAGTAGCATACATATAGGCTCACGCCAAGCCTTTGCTCCCGAAATTGGTCTGACTCCTCAGCTGAGAAGTTACGTGAGCCGTTACCGCTGTTTCATCGCTTTCTTTTGGTCTCAGTCCCGGCAGCATGGTCATAACTCGAGAACTTCTCGTTTCCCATGTTCTGCTGAGTTGCTAAGAGGACCTGAGGATGCCATGTGGACTTTGGTATCCCATGGGCGTGCGTAAGACCAAATGCCATCGGCTGGTCCGTGTGGGTCTCATCCCGCATTCATCACCCCACGCCCCGTACCCACTTCCCCGGAAGGCAACAGAGGGAACGAAAAGGATCTTAGCCAATGTAACACTGGGGCTCAATACTAGCAGTCAGAGCGGTCCTGTTTATTACCGCTCCACAACGGCATACCTTGAATGGATCATTTGCGCCACATGCGTATTAAATTTTGGACACTTCACTTAGATCGACAGAAGGCTTCACTACATGTGGGCCGTGGCTTTTTTATTGTGCCCGAGCTCGGCCTTTAGGGTTGAGGCTGCGGGGCGGAGTTAGGGAGAAACAAGCTACGTTCGGTGCTTTTCTTCTGGTTTCCGGGTTTTTGAGTTTTGCGTATGAGAATTCGGAAAATCTTGTTATTGCCGACAAAGCTCGCGTGCAGGATTTCGAGTCACAAGGATTTTGTACGAGCAGGTAGGGGCGATAAAAGTCCTTTCTCACTAGTGTGGTAATTTCTCACCACTTGCATGATCACAATCCCTGTCGTTCTCGGCTCGCAGAACTTTGATGTTGTCTTCGTACAGCGCAACTCAACACGTGTTTACCGCTAGTACTGAAAGACAGTGAGGACCGAAAAATTACAAGACAACCAGTGGAGACAACAAATCGCGTCCTGCTACTTTGATTCACATTTTAACGTTTCATTTCTTGGGATGAGCCTTGGAAACCGTCATTGTATTGAGACCCCGGCGAAGTACCCCTGTAGATGCAAAAGTACGAAGCTCCATGCCCAAGTATCGCATGTCATATTTAGCTCCAGTCTACAGCAGAGAGTCCTGAATCTCGCCACGCGGAGTATGCAGCCCTATAGATCGTGATCAATGATAGTTTAGCAAGGATCAATCGGCCTAAAATTAGACAATGCAGGAACCATATATTGCAAATTCTAACTATTCACGAACGGTCTATGGGACCCGAGGAGTTGAGAGACCTTATACATGGCCCGCTACTCCTCCCTTGCTATAGAAAGAACCATTCGCCTAGAGTTCTCATCCTCCACCGCACTTCGAACTTTAGAATTCCAACTTCATCAATAAAACCTCAACCGTCCACTTTGTATCGTATCTTCAGACTGAAAGTATGTGCCAGGTCTCTTGATGAACTTTGGCCCCCATATTCTGCCGGGTTTTCATTTAGGCTGAGGGAGAGCCACTACAAACAGTATTGCGTCATATCAATTTTTTTTCTTAATCAGACATACTCCATATGGAAAGGTACTTTGAAGGACACGGGTTTGTCACTCGCATAGTTCGTTTCGTATTGACACCAAAATTTTCAGCCTAAACTCTAAGAGTCTATTTGCTCACAATGATGGGATCCACGCCTCAGTCCACATTGTAGTTTCCAATCAATGCTTTATCCACCAGAGGGTGATCTCTGACTTATATTTGTTGAGCTGACCAACCTAATCACACTTCAGCTCTATTTCACCCTCCTCTATCTGCGTAACCTGTCTCAATCGCCCGCTTGCATCATGCTCTGCATCCCATGTTTCGATCTCTTCAAGGGGAATCTTGATCAGGCAATGTGCTGTGATCCCATTCTCCCCATTGATGATTGTCTGTCGGAGTTCGTATTTGCGCCATTTCGGAAGGAGCCACACCCAAATGTAGTAATACACAACACAGAAGCCAATACTGTTATTTTAGATTAGGTTATGACCCAAGAAAATTGAGTCGGGAGTCTGAACTTACATAGCTAGCCCAGTGACACAATATGTGGCATACCAAAACGATACATCACCACCATTTGCCCCGGTACTTGGTGGATACCACGGCATGGCGAGCATAAATGTATTGGACAGAAGAGAAAATCCCACTGCCACATTCCAGCTGCGGAACTCTGCCGGGTCTAGGTTAAGGCGCTTGCGCCGATGGCGGGTGATGAGCAGGCCAATAGTGAGAATAAAAATGAAAAGATTTGATGGATAAATGGCGAGGTCCACAACTAGATGAGCGTGAGGTGTTAGTTTCATAGTCTCGTCTGGAGGACCGTAAATGATTCATACTGAAGTTGAAAGCATCACCTGCGGGCGGCGCTAGGATCATTACGATGGTCAATGCCCATTTCAAAGCATATGGGCCCAAAGGAGTCCCGAATGGTTTTGTAGAAGTCCAAAATTTAGTCCATGGGAGAACCCCTTGTCTAGAAATATGTCAGTCAAATTTACAATAATTCACATAAAGTCTGGAGTAAATATACCTTCCACATTCTCGAAGCATTCGGGATTGGCCGATCAGGACAGAGATCAAATTACCGAATGCACTGAGGCAGATTAAGAAGTTCAGTGCAGACGCCGCCCCTCCTGTTCCGAATACCTTTTCGAAAAAGATACTTGCAACCACCTGTTCTGACGCTATAATCTCCTCTTTTGTCGCAACTGCAAAGTATGCTATGTTGGCTAAAATATATAGAGTTGCCGTGACAGCCAGAGAGAGAGGAGCGCTCCAGCGAAGAGTCTTGATAGGATTCTGATATCTCATCAGCAACAGGTATATACAATTGAGCATTGCTGGGACTAACCCTGACTTCATTGACGACGTTAAATGAATTTGCGTACCCAGCATATGAGAACACAATGTGAATTAATGCATTAGTTGCTCCATACACTGTTGCCTCAGAGCTGCCGGAAAATGCATTTTCAAAATTGAGCGTCGGGTTTTTGATTGATGTGTTGCCCCCAAGGACCACGAGACCTGTAATTCCGATGCTGCCAGGTAGGTGGTGTGTTAACCAAAACCTTTTCCATGTCGCACATATTGTATATGAGAAAGAACTCACAATATAAGAGTCACAAGTTTGATAGCGCCAATAATATTGGAAAGCATGAGCGACCCTTTGGTATGGAAAATCACAACTAACAATCAGCACGTTAGTATGGTAAATAGCCACGGGCAATATTCTGGCAAAACAAACCTAGAACAGCAACTGTGTATGCTGCAACAGCCACGCCCTTCAGTTGCATTGATGTGGGTGTGGAGTCACCAAGAGCAAACAAATACTCCGCGAGAACTACCCAATGATTGTCAGTGACTAGTGCCCTCATTTGTTCCTGCTGCTCCAAGAGTACCAACCAATTGCATTGCTACTACTGAAAGAGAACAGTACCGTTTGAACTGCAAATACGGTTGGGAAGAGGTACCGAGGACGAGGAAAAGACTGTTCCAAATATACCACCTCAGACCCAGAGCGAGATGGGTAGTAAGCAGCAAACTCAAGATACACTGACAGAGTGCTGTATGCCATGAAAAAGCCAATAGCCCAGTAGATCAAACTTAGCCCAAATGAACCGGTACCCTGAAGGATGGTGGATGCTGAAAGTTCCAATGGTCAGTATATAGCGAGATCAGGATATAGCCAGGGGGTGCATACGAGTCGAGAACACACCAGTCCCAATCATCATACTGAGATTGAGGAATACCACTGTGACAGGCCCAACAGAATACCCGAGGGGACTGTGTTGTTCAACGGGAGCACCGCTCGCTTCTTGGACAGTGAGTCTATTGGAGTTTTCTCCTCCCTCGGCTGTATAATGCAGACTTCCTTGGTCGATCTCATTGCTGCTCATGTCGGAAGTGACAACCTCTTCTACATCTTTTTTACTGCGTAGAAAGCCCATCTTGTTGTTTCCAATTAGTGAGAGTAATTTTAGAGCATAGTCCGCTGCAAACAGCTATTATATAGGACATCCTATCAGATATACCTTGCCAATTAGCAGTTGATATGGCGACACATGGGCTATTACCTGGGCACATTAGCACCAACAGAAGTACTTGAATGGTGAATGTTCCAAAATGTAGCTCGGCAAATAATACTTTTGCAGTGAGGGGAAGTCAACCTTACGCCATCATCTTCATTGTCGCAGTGATATTCCCCGCTCGTCCTCTTGCTGATAATATATGCATGTATTAATCGAAGGGGCGTTTATCCGGGTGTTAGTCCTTAGAGCTCTCGCTTGATATCTAATATCTTATTCCTCATTTTCTTCCAGAGGCACCTGGTTATAATTGTCCCAGGTCTATCGACATAGAGCTCCCCAGTGGCTATTTGTTGTTTATTTGGAAATGATATTCACTTTGCATAATTCGCTATTTTAAAAGGCACAATCTGAGATAATTATGGTGTCATCAGAACCTGAAAATACGTACTTATGTTTGATAGAGCTGAGAGAAAATTGATCTTGAGAAGACCTCGCGGGAACGGTATCTGGCAAAAAAATGTGTATGAATAAACCCTCTTTAGTTTGAAGAAGAAATTGTTATTTAAATGCAAGATACCAACATGAGCGTCGGAAATTCTATTGCATCCTTGCGACCAGAAGCTGCTTCGCGTCATTACTAACCACCGTTGCACCATCGCCATTTTTGTAGCTCGCTGCACGCCATTTCTGCTCATAATGAGTGATAGAACGTGAGCGGTATTGCGGGGGTTGAAGTTCCGAAACGAAATGCAGGTCATATGCGATGGCAAGTATCAACAGCAGGGTAAAGGGCGCATACTTCTCTTTCCCCGCCTATAGACTATCTAGGGATGAATTTTTTAGGCTTACATAAATGCCCTCTCCTAAAGTTTGAAGTCAGCTACACATTGAGACTCCTAGGTAATATTTTTCTCTTTTCTTCAGGGGGTCGTGCTAGTTACTTTTCAATACGACCTTGGAAGGGTCAGCTTGAACTGGTGGTGTGACTCGGATTCAGCCGTAGACTAGACCATGATTCTAATATTAGAACGAAGGATAACGCTAAGAATGAGCTAGGAACAGGGATCTTCCCCTGTCTATCGTTATCAGGATTCTACGCGTCCAATCGAATGCATTCGGGACCTGTTACTGAAGAAAAATATTCCATTTTAACATGATTGGCGAATATTTACCTCTAATCAATGAGGGTAAGTGGCCAGGACAGGACCTCGGGAAAGTCGTAAAATTGATCTATCCATGGATATATCTGCCACAATACGAAAAATTCATCTCGGTAAAGAACCTATTGGGAGACGGCTGAGCTCTAGCATTAAGTTAATTTTGGTTAATGAATAGAAGTGCATTGCAATGTCAAAGCACTACCTTGAGGTAAAATATTGCTATACTGAAAATGAAAGGACTTGTGCTTATCTAGTCATGTGATAAGCCACACCCCGGGCGCGGGGGTAAGAATATGCGTTTAGGGGTCTGGCTGACCCTTCAAACTTACGCTCAAACATCCTTCCAGATGGATGCGGGCTCCACTCTCCATCCTTATCAAGCTAAAGATTAGAACATTACTCAAAATCCTGTGCTAACCCCCGACTATGGCACGCCGGAAGGGAGAAAAAAGGAGAGGAAGACCAACATTACCCGTAGCAGAACGGGATGCCATACCTGTCGGCGCCGGCGCGTCAAGGTAGTCCAGACCGAACTTTGTCTTTTGAGATGCCAGGAACTGATTATCCTGCTATATAACAGTGCGATGAAGACAAGCCGGCCTGCAAGACATGTGTCCGGCTTGGTCTGCAATGCGATGGCTATGGGTATATCGTGAGGTACCGATTTACAAGGCCGACCGTGCTGGAGCAAGGTCCTGTTGGTACTTTCGACAATATTGAATGGGCACCAGTCGCAATATCTTGTATCAACATAGACGACATGGAGCTCTCCGATGGCGGGTCCGTGCATGAAGAAAGCGCATCGTACACGCAAACCCCGGACTCATCGATAAAAGATACATCAAATTATCACGTGGATTCATCCAGTCAAGAGGTATCGCCAAGAGATCCATTGATTAATGATGTGAAGAATAGCGATAAAGATCTCAATTTCGATACTTCCGATGCTCGCACACTGGAAGAGTTTTATTTTACACAGTGGAGAGCTTGTGTCACTCCAATCCTACCCCCAGTCTTCACTGACCTGACCCTGACAATACCTACGTTTCTGCCGTTTAAATATGCTGTCCTTGCAGTAACGGCAGCTCATCTCGCTCATACCGGAGCTTCAATCCGTTCTGGCGATGATGAAATATACATTCCAGAGCGCACACATCGATATCGAAGCCTTCAGTACTACGGAAAGGGAATCCGGGAGCTGGCAGAATACGTGAATGGCTTTCCTGATGAGAATCTCGACCATCTGGTCGCCACCTCACTTCTTTTTTATTATATCGAGATCGATGTAGGGTCGATCAACAGTGCTGTTGAACACATTGAATTGATCAACCGGCTACATTGCTCTGCTCAGTCGCATGTGAAGGAAGGGTCGATCAAACTCAATCCCAAACTGCTCAGTACCTGGAAAAGTTCACGATCCTTGGCAATCAACAAGCGGCTTACGATTGGGTCCAATCGATCGCGACCTCTTGCTGCAATTCAACCTCGAGACCCGACAGATTCATCAGAACAAGCTGGGACATCATCTGACATCATTGCGCAGCTGCTTTGCGAAACATTTTCCAGCGCTAGAAAGATAATTGTGGAGTTTTTCGTATGTCGTGGAACCAGGCTAGCCTCAGAGGAGCAATCTCGGATTGCCTTTGGGGCTCTGGTTGAGCACATTTCCTCTCCTAACGGGCAAACTGACTCGCCTGGTCAATCCACCAATGCCGAAGAGTCATATTTAAAGGAGTTTGAGCAAAATCGCAAAAATTTAGACAATTGGCACGCGCATCTCGATTTATCAGAGCTCCCAGTCGAGTCCTTCACTTCTGCATCCACTGAGCCGATTGGAGAGAAAGACGGGGAATTGCACGTCCAGCCTTTGAGGTTTCGAACTTATGGGGCAGCTATGAACTACGCATATTATGCCACGGCACAGCATGCCAGTTCACAGCAAATGATCAATCGATTAACGGCGTTCGCTCATCCCGATATCGACTCCAGCTTCACGCGAGAGAACTATCCCTGGGAAAGCCTGCTTCTTCGCATTGCCTGCGGTCTTGATCTAGAAGACTGCCTATATAAACATACCTTCAAGATTGGCATTCTCTCCTTATTGATCTGTATTGCATCTTCCTGTCCCCATATCGGAGTGGCAAATTGGATCCACGACTGGATGGGAAAGCTTGGAAATTATGGTAGAGCAGTTGAAGATGGAATGCCCGTGGTAATGGTCATGCGCGTTATGCGTCTAATCATAGCGATGAAACAAGATGGTCATGATGCATTTCGAATTTCCGTGCTGGACAGCGACAGCAAAGAGAAAGAGGAGTTTTATCACGGCAACATCGATCTCAAGGTGGCGGTCTGCGGGAAGGATCGAGTAAAGGGGATAATGTATAATAATGTGGTCGCATTGCCTAAGTAGTAGATCTACTATAGCATAAAAAGCTGACTCTCACATGTTCCCTGCGGTTAGTAAAAGTTTGATAGACTCGGAGGAAAGAGAAACAAGGAACCAGAAAGTGTAACAGAGTGCGGATAGAAAAGTTTAAAAAGAAAAAAAAAAGGCATGCAGAAGAACAAGGGAACAGAAAACCAGGATTAAAAGGAGCACAATGCTTTGTCTCAGCTCGCGGGGTAAGCCGACCTTCCAAACCAGCAACGCATAGCGAGCCGAAAATGGAAATTCCGGAGCGACCGTCCGTGCAAAACTTCATCCCTGACAACATCCCCCGATATTGACTTAGCCTCGCACTAGGCCTGCAGGTCTTCACACCCAAACCAAAATCTCGGGATGCTGGCGACCCTTCCAAGGTTTGCATATAAACTTCTGCAGAACTTTCTTGGGCTGCCAGTTCGTCCATTGTCAAATTACTCACGGTAGTGGTCGATCATGAGCGACACTCAACCCTATGTGAGGGAGGAAAAATCTCCCGGATTGGGCACGGTCGCTGCTGGCGATGGATTGACTAGCGTGCAGAGCCCCACTAAGGCTGGGGAAAGAACCGGTCTGGCGGATCTAGACGGCATCAAGCGCAACTGGACCCTTCGCAGTCTAATCGTCATCTGGATCTCCGCTGGTCTGATGAGTTTTGTCGTCAACTTGAATAACCAGTCATCCTCTACTTTTGCGCCTTATGCGGTGAGCGGGTTTAGCTCTGCCCCATTGGTGGGCACAATTGCTGTTGTACAAGCTGTCATTGCATCAGGTGCGCTGAATACACTTACTCGATGGGAATACATACTTACAACAGACTATAGCATGTCTGCAGCCTCTTGCGAGATTTGCCGATCTATACGGGTATGCAGTTATGTCTTCTTTTCCCTTTGTGAGGTGGGGACTGATAGGGATCTTAGGCGCCTGGAAATGTTCCTATTTTGCATAGTGATGGCAACAATTGGGGAGATCATGCTTTCCTCCTCGGCGAATGTAGGCGTCTACGCTGGAGCGCAAGTATTTTGGGTCATCGGACTTCAGGGTATGACCTATCTTCTCTATGCAAGACTCTATCTAAGCTGACTCGGTCGTCAAGGAATCTTATTAATGCTTCAGATCATTGCGGGCGATTCGAGCGATCTTCACAACCGTGCGATTATGAATGCGATCCCGTATGCGCCGTCATTCATCACCGCCTGGGTAAGCATTCGAACCAAGATATCGCACAATGCGAGATGGAAGCTGACTTTGGTAGATCGCTGGTCCCTTCGCAGCGTCTGTGCTTAAAACCTCATGGAGATGGGGCTTTGGAATCTTCGCGATCCTCGTTCCCGTCATTGGGACTCCCCTTTCGTTAGCTCTTTTCCACAGCAAACGGAAGGCAACAAAACAGCAAAAGTCTCAAGGAACCTACCAGCGTCGCGATCATCTTGCGAATATCAAACAACTAGATCTCATCGGTCTAATTCTGTTTGCAGCCGGGCTCTCCCTTGTGCTTGTGCCTATCACGCTAGCGGCGAAGACAGCAAACACATGGAAAGCCCCGCATATTATTGCTATGATAGTGGTAGGCTGTGTCAGCTTTATTGCATTTGTCGTGTGGGAGACCATGTGGGCTCCCTGGCCCATGATGTCCATGAGGCTATTCAAGAGCCGCACCGTAATTTTCGGCATAGCAGGTATGTTCGACTCCGTGATTAATAAGAATCTACTAACTATATCAGCTTCATTGATTGATTATACGGCACTCTATCTTCTCCAGGACTATATCGTGACATATGAGCTGGTTGCCGCTGAACTTTCCGTCAAAGCAGCTACGAACATCGCCATTCTCATTCCCTTTGCTGCTGTTCCTGGACAATTTGCATCGGCTTTCCTTGTCAAGTATACGAAGCGGTATAAGTGGATCACAGTCTCTGGATATGCACTGAACCTTCTCGGACTTGGGTTATCATACAAGTATATCAATGGACATGACCACTTGGGTGCTCTGGTTGTCTCCCAGTTGATCCTCGGCTTTGGAGAGGGAATCATCAATACTATGCAGCTCGGCATGCAAGCAGCCGTGAACCAGGATGGTAAGATGCCGCTCTTGTACTTCTATGCGAGCTCAATACTTATTTATTTTTCAGACATGGCCGCAGTCACTGCCTTGTTCACTGCATCAATTGGAGTAGGCAGTGCCTTTGGTGGAGCGGTGGCAGGAGGAGTATGGACTGGTATGTGTTTCTTTATTGGTTATATTCATTGCCCCAGACTAACACGTTTTCTAGCCATTCTTCCTCGAAGACTTCGCGAATACCTTCCCACCGATGCGCTAGCTGACCTGGCAGAGATTGACGGGTCCATCGAAGTTGCAGCAGGGTATCCCTGGGGCTCACCGACTCGAAATGCTATCAACCACTCATACACGAGCACATTCCGGTTGATGCTACTGATCGCAGTCATCCTCGAGGTCTTCGCGTTGATCTGTGCACTCCTCATTCAGGATCTCAATGTTAAGGAAGTGGACGATTCGCGGGAGTACAAGGGTATCGTGATTGGAAAGACGGGCGCGATTGATACGCTGAAGGAGAAGATTCATGCTAAGCGGGATGAGAACCCTAGCGGAGTTGTTTCTACCGATGTTACACGGGAGATTTAGTTAGTTTACTAAGAGCACTTTTGTAAAAATTTAATGGATTCTGAGCACTAACCTACGAATGCTGACGCGAAATTGATTCCCGCCTTTCAAAAATTGAGTTTGGCATGAGTGTGGATATTGTGAGACCCACTACATGAACCAGCATCATTGGTCTAGTGGTAGAATTCGTCGTTGCCATCGACGAGGCCCGTGTTCGATTCACGGATGATGCAAGCCTCTTCTTTTTTGTATTTTGATTTTAGTTTGATATGACCCGGTCGCGGTTGTTGAAGCATGCGGCTATATGCAGAAGAGTGAAATTAATATCATTATAATTTTTGATTGGATGTCGTCTACGGGTTTCCCGATATGTAAGAAGCCTAACTAAGAGCCTGAGGTATCACTGATGAGTGTTTCAAAGCTCGGCAAACCAATCACAATGAGAGTCGTAGTCGGTCAAGGGCGAGGCCTGAGCCATGAGGGGTAAGCATTATTAGATATTTACGATACCTTACTCACATAATGGAAAGTATGCAACTCTACCAAGGTTGAATCTGGAATCATCTCACCACATATACAAAACAAAGTAACAATCAAGCAAGCAAGAATGTCTTCACAGGTAGCGCCTTATGGAGAATGGGACAGCCCTATCACGGCAGAAAGCCTCTCCGTTGGAAGCATCCAACTAAAAGGAGTCCAAGCCAATGTAAGCTACAAGCATAACAACCTCACAAATCAGCTAATAAACAAGCCCATTACAGGACAAATCTATGCTCTCGAGTCGCGTCCGGCTGAGGGAGGACGAATCACCATCGTCGAGGTACTAGACTCAACAACCAAAGAGGTCCTACCAGCGGAATATAGTGCAGAGGGCACAATCCACGAATATGGAGGTGGCTCTTTCGCCATACATCCAAATGGCAAATTGATGTTCACCAATCATCCAACGAACGGCTTGTTTCTCCTTGATCCAGCGTCCGGGGCTGTTGAGACCATCGTAGTTCCCGATATATCCATCCGATTTGGCGATTTCCACGTCTACCCACCAACACAGGAATGGATTCTTGCTGTCCAAGAAACGCACTGTAGATCCTCCGGGAATTTCATTGTTACGAATACTGTTGTTAGTATTCATGCCAGTACAGGTGATATATCTATCGTGGCCGAAGGGGCGGACTTTTATCAACATCCTCAGTTCAGTCCGGATGGAACGCAGGTCTCTTGGATCCAGTGGAATCATCCTGATATGCCGTGGACAGGCTCTGTGCTTCACGTAGCTCCATGGCAACCGGGTACACTTTTGATTGGAACGGTGGTTTCCGGCCAGGCGGGCGTCGAAAGTATCTGCCAGCCACGGTGGAGTCCAGATGGCACCCTGTTTTTTGTCAGCGATAAGACGGGTTTCTGGCAATTGTATCGATTCGATGGGGAGATGCCACATTTGATTCATCTGGAAGGGTTGGAATCGGCCGAGTTTGGAAGTCGAGAGCCTTCTCTTGGAACGTATGAACATGCCGATGAACACCATTGAAGAAAGATCAACTGACTGCTTCAGATGCACGTATATTTTCATGGATGAAGAAACAATTATTGCAAACGCCATTCAAAACGCGACCTCCAATCTCATCAAAATCAATCTGAAAGACAATTCTTGGGTCGATTTATCCCTCGGTCTAGTCGAAATCTTGAAAAGCGCCATGATTCGTATCTCACCTACTTCTTTGGCCGTTATAGGAAGTACCCGGACAGCGCCACAGGCCCTTTACCGCGTTGATATCAAAGATGGTATCTCGATACAAATGATCCGAGCCACCGTCCAACAATCCATACCAGAAGAACTAATCTCCGAAGCACAACACATCACATACCCACGCACATACAGCCATGATTCCGGTAATGCCCATGCCATATTCGTTCCACCTATGAATCCTGCATTCCAAGCACCAGAGGGCACTCTACCTCCACTACTTGTCTGGATGCACGGTGGACCTACCAGCCATGTTACTCCTGCCCTGGCTTCAAAAACCCTGTACTGGACTTCACGGGGATACGCATATGTACTCGTGAATCATGTCGGATCCACGGGGTACGGCCGAGCCTATCGAGCGTTGTTAGATGGTGCATGGGGCGAAGCCGATATACAAGATGCGGCTAGCTGTGTAGCGTACCTCGCCTCAGAAAAACTCATCGATGCATCCAAGGTCGGGATCGTGGGTGAAAGTGCTGGTGGTTATGCCGTTCTGCAGGCACTCTATACGTATCCTGATATATGGAGGGCAGGTGTTAGTCTGTATGGAATTAGTTCTTTGGCGGGATTTGCGGAGACAACACATAAGTTTGAAAGCCAATATATGCAAGGACTTGTACTGGGATACGGGGAGTGTAGTGATGAGAAGCGTGAGGCTTTGTATAGGAAGCGGAGTGCTGTTTTTCATGCGGGGAGGATTAAGGCCAATCTTTTGCTTTTGCAAGGTGATGTTGATACGGTTGTGCCGGTTTCTCAGGCTTTGCAGATGAAGGAGGCGATGAGGGATGCTGGAAAGGAGGTTGAGATTATGATTTTTGAGGGGGAGGGACATGGATGGCACAAGGGAGAAACTATTCGGGCTTCAATTGAGTTGGAGACGGAATTTTGGGCTAAAAATTTGCTCTAAGGGATGGACTCATTGTCTGCATTTGCCTTGGGTCATATCATTTTGATTCCATCCGTTCCACTTATTCTTGTCTTGACTGCCCGTCCCCATCCCCATCCCACCTTTGCTACTAAGTCTCCTCCGCATCTATTCGCCAGAATGATCGTATTCTCATTGAAAAAGCCGGACTCTCAATGGCGCATATAGATTCTGGTTGTCTGTGGTTTCATTCTTCATTTAATATATAGATAGCTAAATGGACGCTACAAAACTCTATCAAACCAAATCATAGTATCAGGCATATCAGAGAAATCAGCAATAACACCAAATCTATCCACTTTTCCCGCAACACTGATATGAAACTCAGCTTTGACAATCGCCGATGGCTCAGGGACACACATGTACTCGAACACTTCCGCTACAAAATATTCACCTGATACATGTTTCAGATTCATGCTGACATTTAAGCTTCCTGACAGGACAACACGCAGTCCTGCCTCTTCGTCACCTCGTAGACTGATCATAAAATCCGGATAGGCGGGGTGCGTGTATGTGCCTGCATATTCTTGCAATGGCAGGGTATGAGACAGACCAGGCGAGGGTGCAGAGGGATATAAACGCTCCTTAGCCGTCAAACGCATTTTTTCAATTTTGGCAATTTTCTTTTGTTTTCTGTGATTTGGTCAGTATTTCAAACAGAAGTCACACTAGGCCTAGTCCGGCACAGAGACTTACAGCTCATAGAGATCGATACGTTCTTCCTTGGGGACATCAAGTAGATCATCAATCAAATGCCACGCAAGAACTTCCCGTCCCGGTCCAGTCGCATTACAGAAAACAGCCACACCCCAATCTCGTTTCGGAAAGAAGATCATCGTAGCCGTCATACCATCCAAGCCACCAGGATGCAAAACGATAGTCTCACCCCGATAAGTCGAAATGATCAACCCAAGCGAATAAAACGCCTGCTGCGTAAGCTGTGGAAGCATCTGAGGTACAAATGCCCTCGGCTTCATAAGCTCTTCGTATCCCGTTTTAGAAAGCGGACCCGACTGTCGAATCATTGACCGAATATAAACCGCATAATCGCGGACAGACGAAATCACAGCGCCCGCGCCACTCAACGTTGCCTCGCAATACGGGATCTCGACGGGTTCGGGAGATGCCGAATTCCAGCCGTAGGCTTTTGCTAGGGTCACGTCGTGTGAGGCGGCGTAGCGTCTCGCATCTTCCAGTGAAAAGAAGGTCGAGTTCATGCCGAGGCGTGACCAGATATTTTTGCGAAGAAAGTCACCGAGCCATTCTCCCGTGACGGTTTCGATTGCGTGCGCTACCGTGATGAACATTGCGTTGTTATATTGCCATGTTGTTCGGATTTCTTTGTCCATTGGGAGATGACGCAGGTTTCGGACTATGTCACGGACTGTGCCTTCGCGACCTAGTGAGATCATGTGTCCTGGTAGACCAGTTCTATGGGAGAGGGCATCTTCCAGTGTGATGTGGGATGTTGCGTACTCATCTTGCACGACAAAGTCACCAGGGATGAGTTCGCTTAGCGGGGTCGTCCATTTGATGTTGGGATATTCGTCGTTATCGACTAGCAATGATACTGCGGAGGCAGTGAAAGATTTGCTCGTGCTGCCCGTATAAAATAATGTGTCTGGAGTGACTGGAGTATCGGGGTAAGCAGCAACTCCATATCCCTAGGTACCTTTGAGTATTCGTGGCTCTTGGGGGGGATTATTGAACATACCTCAGCCCATGTTTCATCTCCATCGATAACAGCAATAGATACTCCTTGAATATGCCATTTTTCCAGTGTTGAATGAACTAGTTTTGCGAATTCTTCGTTGAGTGGAGACACTTTACTGGGTTTGGGGTCAAGAACTGCCATTGCATACAGTGTTGTAATGTGTAAGAGGCAAGCATTCTAACTTTCAATTCTTATTGATTGAGTGAACTCCAGCCCCTAATTCTTCATACGCAAGATAATACGAGGCCGCCTGCCCCACATCTTCCATACTGACTGTAGAGTAGATAGTGATGCCGAGGCTGGGCGCTAGACGCATTAGGCAATGAGGAACGACGGGCCTACGTCATTGGTTCACATCCACGCATTCTTACTAAGGGCGAATTAAAATTTAGTGAACCGGGATACAGCCATGAGATGTAGAGATCCCGATTACATATCCCGGTATTATCAAACCTTCTCGTATTGTCCATCTCCAGGGCTGAGAATAGTCCCGGTCACAAACTCTTTATCCTCACTTTCTTGAACGAGATCGTAAAACAATCCCTTCATTCTCAAAAGCTCTGCAGGCGTTCCAATTTCTCCAACTTGTCCCTCATTAATCACAAGAACTTTATCAAAAGATGCGATGGTGCGCAAACGGTGCGCAACCACAATTAGTGTTCGGCTAAGTTCATTTCGAATGGCATCCTGAATCAATGCATCCGTCTGGTCATCAACCGATGATGTAGCCTCGTCAAGAATGACAATCTTTGGATCCCGAACCAAGATCCTTGCAAGACAGAGGAGTTGGCGTTGGCCCTGCGACATATTCATCGCGCCTGCAGTGACTTGTGAGTCCAAGGGAAATGAGCCAGACTCCTTTTTACCTTCCCCTGTAAGAAGTTTGACACGTCGCAAGGCCTCGTTCAGTTTCTTCGTTGGATATTGGTTGAAGTAGTCAAGATTTGATCGAATCGTGCCTGAGAAGAGGACTGGATCTTGAGGAATGAACCCAACCTTAGACCGAAGAGACTGCAAATTGATAGTGGAAATATCGGTTCCATCAATACAGATAGAGCCAGACTGAGGATCCAGAAAGCGGAGGAGCGCGAGAGTTAAAGATGATTTGCCCGCTCCAGTGCGACCGACAATTCCAACTCTTTGGCCAGCATTCACGGAAAAGGTTATGTTCTTCAGGACCAGAGGAAGACTAGACGAGTAGGCAACGTTCAATCCCTTGACTTCGACTTGTCCATGAGGTGGCCAGTCTGCTGTTACTTCAATTCCACCTTGTGGCTCAGTCGACAATTTGGAATATGCAACAATGTTGCCAGCTGAGCCCATGTATCTTTCCAGCATACCGAAACTGTTGGCCGCATTGAAAGTAGCCTTTGAAAATCCCATCGAAAATGTGAGAGCAAACCCCATGAGAGACGCATCCACCATAGATCTGGATCTAGTTGATAGGAGAACAATTCCAGTCCCTGTTGTGAACAGAATGCCCGCAAGTGATATTTGAAGTCCAAGCCATCGATTGAATATCCAGAAATGCCGACGAACGGTAGATAGATTATCAATTCGACGGTGCATTTGGTCCATGAACTGGTCTGTTACTCCAAATGCTCTGATGGTCGAGACACCAGACGCAGAAGTAGTGTAGTATTCGAGTATCTCAGCGTTGGTCTCAGCTTCGCCCAATTTGCAAGGTCTTCGGGCTCTGTTGTAGCGTTTGGCAACTCGGAAACACCAATATAGGAGACTCAGAGTTAGACAGCTTGTGTAGAGAGAAGTGTTCATCCTAGAATTGAGGGATTAGTCGAGCATTCCGTCTCGTTTTCTTGGTGGAGAAGATAATTTATTACCCGACAAACGAGACAATCATCAGCTTCACGATACTGTCACTAGTCTCAGACACGGATTCCAATAAGAAATCATCAACCATCCTCATATCTGGATGAAATCGTTTGAGTAGCTCTCCCACAGGAGTATTGTCAAGCCAAATAAGCGGCATACGGATGACCTTTGCGGTCATTTTTCGAAACAGGGCTTTGGAGGCACGTAGGGAGCCAGAGTACATATGGAGATTGAAGAGAAACTCCATCACGATAGCAGATAGAGACCCCAGCAGGTAGAGATAGAGATTGGTCTCTAAAGCTTTCCCCGTGGAATCAAGCAAGTCGTATGCTTTGGTCTTTAGACGCGCTGAATTGATTCGGCCGAGGGCCCAAGTTGTCGATGCCATTACAATTTGCTTAGCGACAAGACCCAGCACGTAAATTGTCGCAAATACCAGGCCCCCAGCGTCCATGAAGTACATCTTCGAGGCTCCAAATTCCGTTTGTTGTACGAGATCTTTGGGTTTTTGTTTGCGATTGACAGGCTTCTTTGGCTTCTCTTCTGTAGATGAATTCACGACAGTGCTGTCTGACTCCCATTCATACTGTCGCTCACTTCCTTCAATCGTGCGGGCATGGCGCACAGATTTGTCATGTAGCTCAACAGCATATTTCGCCTTCGTCAAGCAGAGAGAAACATGATGTGTTGCGAGTATTCGTGTGCGACCTTGACAAAGCTCGCCAGTGAGTGCTTTAAATATATCGCGAGAAACATGAGCATCAAGAGCGGCGAAAATATCATCTAGAACCAGTATTCTCGCCTGCGAATATATAGCCCTGGCAAGAGCTACTCTCGCTCTTTGGCCTCCACTGAGTTTCACGCCTCGGAGACCAATAGAAGTTTCATCCCCAAGAGGGAGAGCAGCAATATCAGTTTCAAGTGCACATGCTCTCAGCACTTTTCGATATCTGGTTTCCTGAAGAGGACTTCCAAACAGGATGTTATCTTTCACTGTGGCATTTTGCAGCCATGGAGTCTGGGAAGCAAATGCCACAGGCTGCTCCTGTGCTGGTGATTCGATGCGACCACGAAGAAGATCCGCCTCGCCGAGAATCGCAGAAAGCAAAAGACTCTTGCCTGAGCCCGTTTCTCCGTGGATGATGCTTAGCTCACCGACAGGAAATTCAATCTTAATATCACGGAGAACGAAGTGCTCTGACGAGCCGGGCTTCTCTTTGTTTTCTTGTTGTTTCTCCAAGGGCCAGGTAATGCACGCATTTCGGAAGGCAACAGAGCCCGTTGGGCTAGGTACCAGAATTTGCTCTAGCTCCGGCTCCTTTAGGTAATTTTCCATACGCTTCGCATTGACTCGAGCACTGAAGTAATCTTGGAACACCACAGGAAGTAATCCTAATGTGCCCTGGAGGTGCGGCAATAGTTCGATCATCGTAAATATGATAGATGAAGAGACATTGGTTTCTGTATGCGCATAGCTGATAATCGCCGCGGCAGCGACAAGGAAAGGAGATGCGACCTTCCATACAGAGCGAATATTGATAGCGACAAAGGTCTCGCGCAACCTATGTAGCTCCTCTCGGCGACAAGCGTCAATTCGCTCTTCCCACTGCGACTCCATGGCCGAGAATTTGATCTGGCGAAGTGTATGAAGACCTTCAGAAACAACTTTTGTCTTTCTATCTCTTGCCAACGTCAGTCTTTTTTTCGCAGCTCCCACGTTCTTGACGACCCATGTGTGTATAGGCACTGTCCCTGCTGTTGCCACCATGGCCACCAGGGTGCTCTTCCACCCAAGCAGTTTCATGAGAAACGCTAACGCGAAGAAGAGCTTGAGAAATGAAAAAGGCAGCATGTAGTTGACTGCCGTGAACTTACTAAAAGACACAGAGTCGGAAGATATGAGGTTTATTGCCGCGGGCTTGTCACCAGTGTCTTTATCTTGGACTCTCAATGCTTTTGAATACATGGCCATAATTAGCTGTGCGCGAATCGGGATTCCCATTTCGGACCACTGAATCCAAGCCATATGGTAATGGAGCACAGTTTCGCATACAGAAGAAACTGTAATGCCGATCAGCCAAATCCAAGCGGCATTTGTTGGGCCTTCGCTTTCCAGGCATTTTATCAATTGCATGATGCAATAGGGGGAGCCGAAAGTAATCACCGATCGCACTAGCATAAAAGTCCATTGTTTGACAAATCCATGATACCATTCAGCGAAAATAAGGTTCCACAGCGAGCCTTTGGAGATTTTGATCAATGGTTGAGTTTTCGACTTGCTTCGAAAATTCAGTCGCGGCAGTTGGTCGAACGCAAGGCTTTCTCCAGCAATACGAAGGGCACCCGAGCACCATTGCATAGAGTATCGCTGGGCGGCCGAACAGCTATTCTCAAAGTCCACGGGGCTTCCCTCCGGTGTGAAAAGATTTGGTCGGCGTGGATACAGAATCTGCAAAACTACTAGCAGAACCGCAGTGTACATTTGGCATGATGATATTGATAGATCGCAGAAGGGCACTTCGTCGTCCAAGGCTCTCCTGTGAATTTGCGAAGCAAGGATTGCAATGGAGATAAGTGATCCCCTCAGCCCAGCGGCGTACAGACTGACCGGACTCTCCTCCCAATGTGAAAAGAGGCTATGCAGTGAAAGAAGAGGCTAGATGACGAGTTAGCTTAGGTATTGAGATCTGCATTGGCAAACTCGCCCATAGAAACTTGATCCAGGATATTGGTTGATACACATTCAACTCCATGCTCGTATACTCACTGCTTAGAAGAGCAGCCCCAAACCCCATCCATGACAATAGCGATGTCAATACGGTGAGGCTTCGTATGCGGGTCCAGTAAGCCACCTCTGAGTCTTTTGAAGCAGTACCATCGTTGTCGGAATACATAATCTGCAAAATTTAGAGATTTTGCAGAGAGACCAGAGGTGAAGTGAGAATTCGAAGGTGGGGAAGTACTAATATTTATCGCGTGGTGATCACAATTGCTTATCCGTCTTATGCGGAGCCCCGTCGGAAGCTAACAGGGGTACATGGCACTACCGAAATATGATTGGATCAAGATAGCCGGTGGGATGCTGGTTGGCATAAATGCTTCATTGTCGTAGGGCCCGTTTTCCTTGGAATTGTCAGCCATTAACTCAACTTGACTTTCAAACATGCAAACATATCCATAACAAGTCTCCGTGAATGCCTTGAGATACAAGTCGAGTTTTGTGGAATGCAGTACACCTTTGGGAAGCAAGATTGTTGATCGAAGACAGATCCACGTGCACGCATCAAAGATTCAAATCATGCAGTAGATGAGGAAGGATGAATAGAGAGAATTGGACAGAAGAGATGGGAGTGGAAGAGAAGATGTTGGGTTGTGAAGAAAAGCGCGAAGGGTGGCAGGAGCCGAAGGTAATTGACTCCTCGGCTCAACAATTTGTTGAGATATTGAATGTTAAGGCAGCAATTTTACTCGGCGAGATCATGAACCTAATGGCTGAAAAGGAGTTTCGAAAGCCCATTCTTCTTGCCCAACTTGGAGGAATGTTGCTCTATGAAATACGCTGAGAACAAACGATTTATATTGAGGCATGGAATGAATACCGACGGTGAGTTGAAAGATTTCATCCTTCAGTCTACCCAAGCGTAGTGTTTATGCGACCTGTGTCGATCATTGGCTCCCCGTAGATTATATATGAAAGCGACACTGGCAGCGAAAGCAGTACGGGACTCATCAGCTGGAGAGTTGTCCTTATCTGATAAATCTGATAAAAATGTAGAACTCGAACCGAAGTTCAGTTGCAATTCCAGATCGCGTCACCAGCGCCAAAGTCTCAATGACGTTTCGCTCCAAAGCTTATTCTTTAGATCCAGCACCTGGTCAAATTCACAGACCAGTACCGGGACTGCAAATGGCAGCCACTATTCCGCAAATCAAATGCGACCCTTGGTGAGTCGTCTATCACCTTCCTAGGGCGCTTGCTCTTTCCTCTTGGGTAGACTTGCCTGGTCACAGTAGGCTTGATGGCGAAGGCTAACTTCTAAATAGGCATTTTCTCCCTATTTCAAATTCATACACACGGCTGTGTCGTTTATTTCAGTAAAGCAACCTTCTGAACATTCACATGCCACATACTGACACGTTTCACTTTTACACATTCTATCGTGTGATCGGCCATCCAAGATCCTTCGACGCACTTTTGAGTACATCATGGATCATGTTGTACCGCGGGTTAACAAATAAAGTTCCATGCGACATTTAGCTATAATAAATGAGGGACTTATACACATTAATACATACAATTAAAGGGTACACCTTTCTAATTCAGGGGCATAAACATATACAGGTAGGCACTGAGAGGCGGAGACATCAGCCTTGCTCATGGTGAGTCAGACGTGGTCACTCAGTTCTGACCAATAGTCATGAAGGGATATACTAGATCCACTCTTATCGCCTTATGACATTTGATCGCTCATCACTAAGCGCGATTGTGAATGGTTTGCGGTCTAGGATTAGACTCAGAATGACCAATGTAATTGAATAGTCGATGTTTTGCCAAGACAAAGGTCATCTATTTTTTTCCTTCTTCGAGATTCTCGGTGGCACTTAGGGTTACCTTCCAAGGAAAGACTCAAGCTTTAAAGTTGGCCTAATTACCAGGCTTTTTTCCCTTCTGTCAACAACATCAAAGAAAGTTACACGAAACACCCTGAAAAATGAGTGCCATTCAAATTCATCAAATCATGTCGGAAAGGATCTTCCCGAAAACCAAGCCAACAGAGGTTACTAAAGCGTTGTCATTAATTGATGCAACGACAGTGGACTTCTCAACATCGTGTGCCATTTGGTTTTGTGAAAAGCCTGACACACGAAATGGCTTCAATCTGTCAGATCACTTCCCCCAATCACTCACAATCGCTCTTGATGCTTATCCCCAGTGGACTGGTCATTTGAAAAGCATCACGTCTCTCGATTCGTCTGAATCCACGGCTGAGACAGCTAAGTTTCCTCGGCATGCGCGCCGATATGGTCGAGTTTATGTTCACTATGGTACATCTTCAGATCCTGGTGTTGAGTTCGTTACTGCCCAAAGCACGGCCACCCTGGATACATTATGTCCCGCTTCAAGGCCCACGGAACAACCAATATACAACCGACAAGGAGTTCCGCTTGATGAACTGGTTCCTTCAGTTGAAATTGCCAATGCTACTCGACTGATGGTTCCCAATGAAGCCGGCATACTTCCACCCTTGATGGCTGTTCAGATCACCCACTTGGCCTGTGGAGGCTTTGCCTTGTCGGCGAAAGTCGGACACCCACTGAGCGATATTTCATCGCTTGTCCATTTTGTTAAGGACTGGGCGAGTATAAGCCGGTGGATTCTTTCAGGCTCAGTTTTGCCTGCCCCACTGTTAGAACCTATCTTCGAACCAGATCAACTCGACTCCGTGGCTGCTGCAGATATCAATGCGGATACCCCAGACCCGGAAATTCTCAAACAAGCCGCAGCCCTCCCTTTACATCGGTACGACTGGTGGATCTCAACAGTCGGATGTCCATGGGAAGCAGTCATCCCTGAGATACATAGATCCCAAGAGATCCACCCGGTCGGCACCTCCATGCCCTGGTCCGAATGGGACTCTCAATCACCCGTCTCCCACTACGTGATCCACCTGACTTACGGACAAGTGGAAACAATATGGAAATCCGCAATCGAAGGAAGTCCGCACGAAAGTGGTGTCCTTCGAATCAGCCGCCACGATACAGTCCTCGCGCATATATGGTCGTGTATCGCTCGGGCTCGTAACCAACACGAAGACTCAGGGCCCTTACATTGTGACCTCACTCTCGGGTTGCGATCGGCTCTTCATCTTGAAGAACGATTCGTGGGGTCGCCGAGTATGATGGTGAACATCGAAATGACCGGGACGCAACTTACGTCCTCGGAACAGTCAGGCGCGATTTCTCAGAGCATTCGCAAGACCATCAATCAAATGATTCGACCAGCTGCCATCGCTGCGCACCTTCATAGCTTGGCTTATGAGACTTGTCCGCAGCGGATCTGGCAAGCTTTTCTTGGTTCCAGACATCTTCTTGTTACGAGCTGGGCTCGGGCTGGTGTTTATGATGTTGATTTTGGGCTAAACGACTCGCCGAGGATAAGGTATGCTGAAGGCGTGATTCCTGATTTGGATGGGTGTGTTCTCATCAAGGAGGCGCCACCCTCACCGAGTGCTGATAGCTCGGGTGGGAGCTGGACGGACAATGGGGTTGATGTGTCAATTCATCTCCGAGCAGAGGATATGAAGCGGTTGACTGTGGATCCATTACTTCTTCCTAGGTCTAAATAATGAAAAGCACATTCACCAAAAGAGAAACAATTCAGCGAATAGTTGAGTTTCAGTATTTTAAGATAAGGTTCATTCTTGTTGCGTACAGGTTACGGCTTGACTGGCGTATAACTGGCATCAGTATGCATCAAGATTTTGGTCGAGCCGTACTTGCAAAGCCTAAAGACGGTCACCGGATCAAGGAAAAGGTCAAAGTGGTGCAATGCAATATTGCAACGATGCAACAGTGCAAATGTTGCAACTCTACGCTCGGGCCACCTCCGAAAGCGGCAAGTATGTAAGGGCCCGTGATATGCGCGATCGAGTACACATGGCCGTGATGGCGTGCACAAGGTCCTATTTATCTTCCGTGTGGTAGTCAGATCTTTCATTTCTATACAGGTACAACCTAGCTTTGTAAATACGTTCTATGGTGAAGGGGAAAATAAGGGGAAAAAATATCCAATCATACACGGTTCCCTTCTTTGCCTCCGCCAAGCGTCGAATCCCGCGAAAATTCGAATCTATAGGCCTGAGCCCGTGTTCCCCCGCAAAAGTTGTCTCTAGTCTTTTTCTGTCTAGCCTCAATTGCAAATTCTAGACAATTCTATGTTTTAAGTTAACCGGGGAAGTTCATTGTCGCAGCCCCTGAGTGGTGTCTGATGTTTCCACGGGTGGTGGGTACGCCGCAGTTTTTTTCTAAAACCTCCGCAGGCCTCCGCGGGTCCGATTCTTGAAGCACACCCTTTTCGACTCCCCCCGAAGAACCCCCCTCCTCCTCCATCTTCTCCCATCCCCACCCGCCTTCTGTGCCTCTGCACTCTACGACCGTTGCAGAATGGCCGAAGACAAAGTGCACGAGGCCGCCGCCTCGGCGGGAGGTCCCGTGCCTCCTTATAACGGTGCGGGCAAGGTTGAATACAAGGCTCAGGATGCCATTGAATCTGTTGATGAGGCTTTGCGGCACTACCACTCCACGGAGGGACAGGGTTCGGACTCATCTATGACCAAGGTCATTCAGAATGCCAAAGCGGCCACAGAGAAGGAACAGAATATGAGCCTGATGGAGGGTTTCAAATTGTACCCCAAGGCTGTCGCTTGGAGTGTGCTCATCTCGACTTGCATTGTCATGGAGGGATATGATATCAGTCTTGTGAACAACTTCTATGCTTTCCCGCAATTTAATAGGAAGTATGGTACATTGCAAGCGGATGGTTCCTATGAGGTATCGGCTTCGGTAAGTCAATACGGTTCAACCCTCCCACTCCCAATGGTTTTGGTTTGAGCAGTAAGTGTTTGACAAAGAACTGACATTTACGGGCTTTTTTAGTGGCAATCGGGTCTTAGTAACGGTGCTTCCGCCGGAGAAATCATTGGATTGTTCATCAACGGATGGGCTTCGGAGCGATTCGGGTACCGATACACCATCATGGCATGTTTGATCCTTGTCAGCGCGTGGACAGCGATCTTTTTCACAGCCCCGAATATTCAGTCACTCTTGGCTGCGGAAATCCTGTGCGGTATTCCCTGGGGCGTGTTCCAGACGTTGACCGTCACATACGCCTCTGAGGTGTGCCCCGTCGCGCTGCGTGGATACCTGACCACCTACGTGAATTTCTGTTGGGGTGTTGGCCAGTTGATTGGAATCGGTGTTATCAAGGCAATGCTAAACCGGGATGACCAGTGGGCCTACAGAATCCCCTACGGACTTCAATGGATGTGGCCCGTCCCACTGTTTATTGGTATTTGGCTTGCACCCGAGTCTCCTTGGTGGCTGGTTCGGAAAGGACGGACAGAAGATGCAAAGCATTCCCTTGAACGATTGACTAGCAAGGATCGCACAACCGATTTTGATCCCGACGAGACGATTTCGATGATGGTCCATACAACTGCTTTGGAAGCTAAGATCACACAAGGTGCCAGCTACCTGGACTGCTTCAAGGGCATTGATCGACGCCGGACGGAGATTGTCTGCATGGCTTGGGCATTGCAGAACCTGAGTGGTAACACCTTCTCCAATTACTCGACCTACTTCTTGGAACAGGCTGGACTATCTTCTTCCAATTCGTACTCCTTCGCCATGGGTCAGTATGGAATCAACATGGTTGGCACATTCGGTGCCTGGGCGCTGATGGCTTTCGGAGTTGGTCGCCGATCACTCATTCTGTACGGACTATGTGGCCTCTGCACCATGCTGATGATCATGGGATTCCTCGGACTCGTCCCGGAGGCGCACAAGGACGCGGCCTCCTTGGCTACTGGCTCGATGATGCTCGTGTGGGCTCTTTTCTACCAGCTGACGGTCGGTACAGTCTGTTATTCCCTGGTCGCCGAGTTATCGACCCGCCGTCTGCAAATCAAGACGGTTGTTCTCGGTCGTTGCCTGTACAACATCGTGGCCATCATCTGCGGTGTCCTCACACCGTACATGCTGAACCCCTCGGCCTGGAACTGGAGCAATTACGCCGGTTTCTTCTGGGGTGGTATCTGCTTTCTTTGCATTATTTATGCCTATTTCCGCATCCCTGAGCCCCGAGGCCGCTCATTTGCCGAGCTGGATTTGCTTTTCGAGCGTGGAGTCAGCGCTCGCAAGTTTGCGACCACACAAGTCGATGTGTTTGATGAAACTATCGAAGGACAAGTCATCGATAACTACCGGGCACAAAAACATGCCCACAACGAACCGAGCCAGACGGAGAAGAATGCTGGCTTCCAATGATGCGACGTGTCTCACGTTTATGATTTGAGATTTTTTACATATTCTGCGCGCCCACATACACCATACAGCATGGGGAGATACGATTACTGAAATGTACATAATGCATTGTCCTGTATTTAGCTTTAATCCACCTAATTGAATGATTCGACTACTTTACATGTTGATCTCCACTTTGTAAGGCACAACCGTCCCACTAGTGGCGGATCCACGGTTGACAGCCGTTAAGGACCACGCCTTCTGCCAGGTTTCCCGCTTTTACTCTTCACCGGTTTCAAGATATCTTCGTCGTCGCTTTTATTTTACGTTAATAGGACTTTGCTTTTCTTTCGACTCGCACAGATTCTTTAGGATTCCGTCGCGCGGGGTTAGTGGGGGTTCCACTCTTCTGCAGGATGGACACCACATTCATCACAATACATGGCAAGCCATTCCCGCCTGCACTCTGCAAGCCCATCTGTGGGGGTCAACGTCTTAACTAACGCAAAGCATAGATCTCTCGCGGGATGCCTCAATTCGCTATGCCTCGGAAAGTATCCAGGTAGTGCTTGGGTACCAACCATATGAGGTGCTGAATCGCTCGTGCTGGGACTATTTCCATCCCCAAGAACTGCCATTCGCGCGCAGTGTCCATGGTCGAGGTGTGCGGTTAGATAAGGCCGCGGTACTGAACTACTGTTCAATCCGACACAAGGATGGTTCTTGGGTCGGATGCGAATGCGTGTTTACGGTTGTGTACGATGTGTTGATCGCAAGTACCACTGTCTATGGACGTGGGAAGGGCAGTCAGAGTAAGCTCTTTCATCGCTGTTCCGTGAACATTGCTGATTTTGGGGGGGCGTTTAGACCGCGCCGTCGATGCTCCTATTGTCCGCCATCTCTTCGATTCCTCACCTAATGACTCGCGGTATCACATGCTCACGTGGTTATCCAACAAGTTCTCGCAACGTCTTGATGAGCCGCTTCATGAGCCAAGGGCGGCGATGTTCGTTAATAGATTTACTCGTACGGCGACAATTATGTACGCTACAAGTGGTGTGAGCGAGATCCTGGGCTTGAGCCCCAGCCAACTTATCTCGAAGAGCTTCTTCTACTGTATCCAAGAGCGGTGCTTGCGGGATGCAGTTAGATGTTTGGAGAGCGCAAAGGCGAATGACTCGATTGCCTATCTGCGATTCTGGTACCGGAATCCAATGCAGGATGATAATCCCGAAATGGCTCAACGAGGACTCGTCGCATTTTCTGACCCAATTCCTCCTTTGGAGCTGGAAGCTGTCGTGTCGTGCACTTCGGATGGGCTGGTTGTTGTTCTTCGTCGTGCGAGGGCCCCCATACCTACCAGCACGACTATGCCACCTCAGCCGGTCCCCGTTTACTCGAAAGGTCTTTTCGCAGCACCGTGGGCTCCCGAGCCGGTCTACTCTTATGGGGAAGCGCCACGTCCTCAGGAGAATGTTGACCCGAATGTGTGTTATCCGGAGGTGAAGTCTACGTTTTGCAAAGACGATCATTCTTCAGGCTCCGACTTTACTTCAAGCTCTTCTGCTCCTAGCTTTTCAGTGCCTTCCCAGCCTGAGGCCAAGGCTAGCAGTTCCGGTGGTCCTCCGGCACAAAGCCTCATGGATACGATCCGGGAGGTGGCTGTCTTCGCTTGGGGTATTGTTGGAATCAACCGGTCGCTCGAGCAATACAAGCGCGGAACGCCAGCAGGCAATGCTCAGCCGGAGGATGCGACATTCGATGATAACTGAGGGGAAAACGCTGCGGCAGGCCGTGGCTAGCAGGAACCTCCACATGTTACGTGGTACAAGCATATATTTCTAGCAATTCGACTCAATACCAACATTTGTAGTATGGGAAGCAGTGGTTTCATGAATATGTCCGGCATGTTTACTCATGCGACCACTCAGGCTTCTTCTTCTCAGCGAAAGCAGTCATACCTGCATGCATGTTAGCAAATCCTTCCACAATTAGGATATCAATATAAATCCACTCACCAATTTTCTGATCCTTACTTCCAAACAACCCATGGAAAATTCTCCGCTCGTACTCAACACCCTCTCTCAAAGAAAGTTCCTGACTCTTATTCACCACCTCCTTAGCCGCAAGCGTAGCAACCCGACTATTTCCCGCAATCTTCTCAGCAGTCTTGAACGCAACATCAAGCAACTCCTGGTGTCCGCCCTCAACAACCTCGGCCGCGACACCCCATGCACCAGCCTCCTTTCCACTGAAGTTCTTGCCTGTCAGAATCAACTCCATGGCCTTACTCTTGCCAACAGCTGCAGTCAGACGCTGCGATCCACCCGCGCCGGGGATAACACCCAGCTTGATCTCAGGTTGTCCAAAAGTGGCGTTGCTGCTGCAGTAGATTATGTCGCACATCAATGCGAGCTCGCAGCCACCGCCGAGGGCGTAGCCTGAGACAGCGGCGATGACGGGTTTCCGGATGCTGTTTGCTAGGTGCGACCAGGGGGCGATGAAGTTGTTTGTGTATGCCGATGCGAATGTTAGGGGAGCCATTTCTTTGATGTCGGCTCCGGCTGGGTTTGTTAGGTATGTTACGTATTATAAGGTTATGAGTTTAATCAAATGGGGCTGTTTCATACCGGCGAAAGCCTTCTCGCTGCCTGTAATGATGATAGCGCCGACATCTTTGTCCGTGTCGTACTTGCTCAATGCATCGTTCAGCTCTGAGAGAAGAGGGCTGCAGAGAGCATTCAAAGCCTTGGGTCGGTTGAGGGTTACTGTTTGAGCTTATTAGTACTTTTGTTTTCCTTGGCATGATTATCCTGTAAGTGTTGCTCACTCATGCCAACGCCGGGCTTTGGGGTCGAGACGAGGATGTGCTCATAGCTCGGCCCGGTGGAGTAACGTGCTCGAGCTAGGAAGGAGGTCAATGGGACGGCTGTCTTGGAGGTAGCGAGACGGGCACAACGACGCGCAAACATAATGATTGTGTTATGGCAGAATTGTAGATTATGAATTATGGGTGGAAGAATAACTTGGTGTTTAGAGTTGGCAAGGGAGGTAACTTATGAGCATGATGTAGCTCTCCCCGCTACCCCGAATTGGGGACCGAAGTTAACCGTTCCGACCGTTCCGAGGCAATTGGCGTGATGAATGGACCCAAGTTGTTTTGACTCCAACGCCGTCGACTATGGACTTTTGGACTTCATTGATGTCATTATTAGAATTTAAGCTTAATACTATCATCACCTTGATTCTGACCTCGTGCTCCAGTCTCTTAATGATATTCACTGAATATCGCAATTATCAGCTCGCAGTTCTCAAAGATGAAGGCGGTCAACACCGAATGCATGTGCTCAGTGACTAAGCCGCTGCAAGCAATGCATTACATAATCAAACATAGCCCCAAGTCACATGAGATGTCAGTGGCTTCTGCCCGGGTCATCTCAACGCTGATTGGCGCACATCCAGGGGACACTTTGCGTCTGTTTTTCAGAAACAACGCATTCAGCATTGCGACTTGCGACTTCCATCGGGCCTCTACTTCTCTCCCCTATACACCTCCTCGCAATCATGGATGTTCCTGAGCCGGACCAGTCGCCCTTCACTGCGGTGACCGCCCACACATCTAAGCTGACCAGGGTGAGTGCCATGAGGGGCTTGCCTCCCCGGATCCCGGAGGTATCCCGCAAGATGAAACGCTGAAGTACTAACGCGAGAACAGCACTATCAAGCTTGGCTCGATGCCTCGACTCCCTACGCTACCTACCGCTGGGTCGGATCCGCAGTCCTTCTGCTGTTCTTCTTCCTGCGTATCGTTCTCGCGCAAGGATGGTACATCGGTACGTTTCTCCGTGTTTCGCCATCACCATCGCGACGATTCTCTGCAACAGGGATTGTTTCCAATGGCAATGGCAAACGTCGACCACATAAGGACTGAAGGCTAACAGCTTGTTCACAGTCGCCTACACACTCGGCATCTACCTCCTGAACCTCTTCCTCGCCTTCCTCACCCCCAAATTCGATCCATCCCTCACCCAAGACGAAGGACTTGAGGACGGCGACGCAGGTCCCAGCCTCCCCAGCAAATCAGACGACGAATTCCGGCCCTTCATCCGTCGTCTCCCCGAGTTCAAGTTCTGGCACTCGGCCACCCGTGCCATTGCCATCGGCTTTGTATGCAGCTGGTTCTCCATGTTCGATATCCCGGTCTTCTGGCCCGTGCTGGTAGTATACTGGATTATTCTCTTCGTTTTGACGATGCGCCGACAGATTCAGCATATGATTAAGTACCGTTATGTGCCTTTCTCTTTTGGCAAGACTCGGTATGGACGGTCATAAAAGCATGGAAGAATCTCCTTTTTATTGCATGACTCTACTATGTTCTGTGTTCTGCTAAACATCCTAATTGACTCCTCTTTACGCCCTTGGTTCAGTTATAAGGAACCTAGACCTGCAGAGGCGTTGTCATTGGTTATGTGTATGTGTCCTAGAGCTACTGCTAATGGATGAGATGCGATGGTTACGAGCGACTGTGGGTACGGAAGGACGTTTGGGAGTCGGCCTTGATGAAATCCTATAATCCCATTCTATGAGAGGCGCTTTGTTTTTCATTTGTTATTATCTGCGTGTTCTCTTTAGCTCTTCATCTGTGAAATATGATTATTAGACTTGAGCCTAGTAAATACTCGCTTAGATTCCAATTCATGATCTGAAATTGCGTCGACAAGTACACAATTGCATTCTATTCATATCTAGAACGAATGATCAAGTGCTGGCTAATACATACTAGGGCTATCTATTCTCATTTTAGACTCGCTCTATTCACAGAAAACCATGAATCAAATTTTGGCATATCAGCCTAGGCGCCACACACGCCGTAAACCCCGTATGTGCGGTAACGGTAACAATAAACAAGCTCAAAACAGAAGGGGGTAGTCATTAAACAATAAGGAAAGAAGTCATGGGAACGGGCATCTTAGATCTGTAAGTCCTCAACGCTAGTTGAGCGCTTCACTGTGGCAGTAGCGATATCACTGAGGGAGAGCGCGGAAATTGTACGGCCGTTTTGGGGACGGACGACGTCTGCTTCCTTTGTGCAGATCCATGTTGAGGCATACATGTTGACACTGGCTTACGTTAGTTTGGATCCGAAGTGATGGACACGATAGAGATGCTGAGCTTACCGGTCAATACATGTGCCGGGGAATCGGGCGCCAACGCGGCGAGCTGTGAATCCGTTTTGTTCAAAGTACTTGATGTACCAGGGATCGATACTGGCGGAGCGAAGGAGAATACGGCCGCCGACCTTGAGGGCGTGGTTTAGACGACGGGCTTGAGCTGCTGCTGCATCTTCGGTTGGGTCGAACCAGTCCATTGAGTCCATGACCACGGCGATAGTCAAGGTACCAGGCTTGATACGGTTGATGACTTCATTGATCTCGTCGGTGTGAATGCGGAGGCCATCAAAGGCACCGGGTGTGGAAAGCTTGACGTGGGCCTGGGGTGACAGGTAAGTAGGGTGGCATCTGGATCAAGTTAGCTTAAGCCCATGTATAAAGATAGGTGTCAACCGACCTGCGCGAGAACTTGCCCTGTAGGCAGAGGTAGTAAAAGTAATTATCGTTGCTGAGGAGTGTGTCCTTGACAACGGGATCAAGAGTATCCACAACATATTCCCAGATGGACTGGCCGCTGACATCCTTGCTCTGCTTCATATCTGAGTTCAATCCGTTCCGACGGAAGAAGTCATCCACAATCATGTTGCGCTGGTTGCGAGGCACACCGGCAGCCTTCCATGCGAACCACTCGGTGCTGACGACGGCCCAGTTCAACGGCTTGCTCAGGAGGATTCTGCGGACCCGCGGCCAGATTGCACGCTGCTCAGCCAGAGTCTGAGCCTCGCACATCTTGCGAATCTCTCCATCGAGTCCGAACATCTTCGCCAGGTAGCGAACCATGCGGATAGCGTGGCGGGAGCCACCGGTCTCATATAGACCGGCACCAGACTTGGATGTGAAAATATGGCTGTGCTCGAGCCAGTACTGGAATGCCTGGCTAGACAGGTGAGGGCTCATTTTTGAGATGAGCAGCTCGCGGAACTGGGGATGCTTGCCCTCGCCAAATATTTTCCATGTGTCACGATGACCCAGTGCAAGGTAGCTGGCTACCTTCAATTCAAGAAGATGGTTCTGGTTAGGATTCAAGTCAACCGCATGCACACGTCGCGGGTTCTTCTGGAGGTAGTCGAGAATATTGTCACCAGCACTAGTGATAGCCAGGATCACGTCGTCTGGGCCAATGTTCAACAGGCGATGGTCGACACGAGGGTCTTCCCAGGTGAAGGCATAGATGTATTCATTCTGGAATTGGGTGTGCTTGGGGAGCATGTCGTTGTAGTGGATTCGGTAGTGGTGGTTCTGGTAGAAGGAGGATGGGAGAGGAAGGTTCGCACTCAGGTTGATGACAGCAGACTCGTAGGCTTTGGAGCGAATCTCGCTAGTGCTCTGTTCAACAGCTTCGCTCATTTCCGACTGGTGGTTTGCGGGGGACAAGTAAGGAGACTCGGTGAACAAGGCATCGAGTTTCTCGATGGCGGCTTGGCTGGACGGGGTGGCGGCGATCTCCTTAGGGCAACCAACAAAGATATAGTACGGAATGCCACCGAGAAGATAATTACGGTCGCTGGCGGAGAGCACGGTTCCGAATTTGTACTCAAGGTAGTCACGACGAGCAGCCTCCAGGCTAACACGGTCAAAGTCGAACCATGCGCGCCAGAAGACACGACCGAGCCAATTAACGTGACGGTTGAAGGCACCACCGGTGTAGTTGCGGGAGGACACATCGACGATGCTTTGGACTATCCTAGCTGTTAATAGACATCCATCCAGAACACCTCATATTACATACCGTAGAAGTCGCAAACGCCGAGCACACCAGTAGGGGTGAGGCGTGAGGTCAAAGAGTCGACAACACTGTAGTAGTCTAGAAGATGTTAACAGAGATGCCCATACATTCTGAGTATCTTCACGTACCTGGGATCATGGAAAGACTGTAACTCATGGTGATCAAGTCGGCGCGATCGGTTGTGACAGCATCCTTCCGCGGTGAGGTCTGTCGCTCAGGAAGTTGGAAGGATCGGGCATCCTGGCAAAGGACAGTGACGTTCTTCCATCCAAGACGCTCAAATCGCTTGCGAGCAACATCACAGAGCGACGGTGAGAGATCCACGATGTAGACTTGATCGAAGAACTTTTCCACAGGGACGAAGGCTGACATGGCTTCGACATTGTATCTGCCAGCGCAGCTGGTTAGCCTCAATCCTCAAGTAGTGTCCTCATGATTCCTACCCAGTGCCGCCGCCGATCTAAAAATCCAGTTAGCTTTGAAGCGGTTAAATTTCAAAGTCCAAAACTCACATCCACCCAGACTGCCTTTCCGGCCTTGATATCTTTGCTCTCGACCTTCTGCTTCAACTGCGCCGCCACGAGACCCAGCATATCCTCGCGACCCTGGAGAAGTCGGCGACGGGTAGCATCGTAGACAGTAGCCTGCACAAGTAAGCTTCCTGTTTCTGTTTCGCCGTTCCATTACCATGGGGCGCACCTGTGTTCTGTAGAAGCTCTCCAGCGCATCTTGTTGACCGGATCCGGACCTGTCGTGAGGCTTCAAGAAGTTCGCCCAGATAAACTTCACGTAAGTCAACGGACCCTGGTCCATGTTGACCTTGACCTGCTGGAAGGAGACAAGGAGAACCAGGGCCACGAGGGCAAAGACCAGGAGCGCAGCTCCGCCGATGTAGAGATGTAACCAATCCATATTGAAGTGAGGCACACGAAATAGTTGTGTGAAGGAAGGAGGGAGCACGAGGGAAAGATTCATATACAACGCCTGTCCGAAAACGCCGATAGCACAAGCCCCATCACGAGGGGAAACGCATCGACCACATCCTATCAGCATAACACATGGGTGGGGAGGCCATGAGACTGAAATTGGCGGGGTTTAGTCGAAGCAGCTACGGATGGCAAGTGGCAAGTACCCGGAACATACGCCGACAGCAAGCTACTATAGTCCGGGGAAGTTACTAGTACCTGGTAATGTCCACTATTGAAGAAGGATCCGCTTGATGGTACTATGGATCGCCCCAAGCGGATCGACACCCGAGTTCGTCCATTTGATTCATGCGTTATCAGGCGGGGCAGCCTGAGTGCGGGCAAAGTGCATATGTTTGGGAAATTATTGGAGAAGGCAATACAACTTTAAGAGGAATTGGCTTTAACCTCCCTGCAGTAGTTCCGATAATCGGGGCCACTCAGGGCTCAGAGCGTTCGCATGTGTCGATGGACGGCTCCACTGGGGAGACCACAGCCCTTCACGTCGGCCCGTGGGGGCTTCAATGAGACCCCATAGGCCCGCCCGCAATCACCAATCAGCGTCCCGATCTTCGGCACATTGGGCCTTCCTCGGGTTTGAATGGGATCGCCTAGAACACGCATTTATTATGGTGGTTGTTTTCGTCTTTAATTTAGATTCTCTATGAGAGCACTTGATGATTCATGATTAAGGCCCATTGGTCACTTGTCTATTGGTAGTCCTTATCGTCCTGAATACGGTTTTGGGCTGAACAATGTACTAAGGCATGTTTGCAGGTACAATCCTCGCCTAACTTCATATGCATAGCCCCCGTCGGAGGTTCCATCTCTCATATTTCGTCTGGCTTAGGGGAACGAGCTCTTTAGGTCACTCGCTTATATATGACCACACGAAAGAAAAAAAAAACCAGAAATACATCAATGGTATTCCTATAATATCCTGGTGTCAAATTGCACCACTGAGGATGAAAAGATGAGACCTCGGGAGGAGAGGGGAGAGTTATCCATGGTTTTCTGTCGCTTGTCGACTTGCACCGCGCCACTCTGCATTCGTCTACCTATAAATAGTCGCCTAGCATCCGTCGATCTCTTCTTCCATAATTTTTTATCATAAAGAAAACTGTAGTCTTGTGTAGCTATTAGATAGACCCACAGTAGAATTCCAGAGTAAAACAGTAACCCCCACCAGTAGTGTACGTGTAGACGGTTTAGTAGGACTTCACGGTGTATTAAAGTAGACAGAGTAGGAAAGATTAGACTTATTCCTTTTTTTGCTCTTCAAGCCCTGTCCTTGCCCACCTAGCAGGTGTAGGAACTAAGACGGTCACCGGGTTTCTTCTAAGGGTCAACTGAATGACTTGAGTCATGAAGCTACTAGCTCCAGGGTTCTAGAGTCATAAGAATAGATGGCCTTGTCCATGACCTTGAAATTGCCTCGAGATCTGATATTTCCGACAGAGTATCGGATTCTTCCAATCAGAAATGCAGATTGTTCAAGAATTCTAGATCCAAATACAAGCCCAGAATATAGGAATCCTGGTGCTAATGTTCAGGTGTGAGGAATTCATGTCTAGGCAGGCTACTTTAATACTGTAGGAGTGAGCCGCACTAATCATCCTTTTTATTCTTCACGAGAGAAATTAATAGAACGTAGAGAAACAGTGTTATATCTAGTAGCATCCCATTCCAAAATAATACAACTGGAGTGACTTTGGTATCAGAGGAGTAAATGCTTAAATGCCGGTGTCACCATGATCTCAACTGGGCATGGGCCGTAATGTTAAACAAACTTCCTATAAAAGAGCTCTCTTATACATGTTTTTTTTCTTCCTCTCTGATAGCACACCTCATCATCATTTGACATTCTGCCACCTACCATTACGTAGGCCTTAGGATTTAACTCATTCTATCAACCTCAAGGATGAAGCGCCACGACCCCAACCCCATGTTCTACCGTGAACAAACACTAGGTATGGAGAGTCTTTCCTTTCTAGCGCAATGAAATACTAACAAGTAATTCTAGCAAACCTTCGTGTTCTCTTTGGAAGCACGGTCGAGATCTTAACCTGCGCTGGGATTTCTAGCTGCGTAATCGCATTTGCATACGAGACGCGACTTAATGGAAAGCGTTTAAAGATTATGCAGACATTCGGTGATGATGTGGAAAAGGCACTGAAGGCGTTACATGACATGACATGTAAGCGTCTTGCGGAGGCTTTCGCTGATTGTAATTTTATAGTACGTGCGGAGCATTTAGAAAAGTGCTTTATTGCTTTGCCTTTTCAGATACAATGCCCATCGGAGTGTACGGATTCAGAGCTTCTAGAGGAAGGCGTCTCAATTTATATGCCTCTTCCAGAGGAAGCGCTCGAGGCTCTTGAAACATAGTGTGATTCTACAACTGTTCAAGAAGGTATAAAGAACATCTTTGTGGTATTTAAATCCTATGTGAGTCCTGTTTCAAGCAGTTGATTATCAACAATTACCACTAGTAGGCCGGATTGCTCACTGCACACACTGATAATGGTGGTGACTTTTGTCGATACATCTGGCTTAAATTCTTCAATCACAATAGCTACATTTATTAGGTTTGACCATGGCTTGTTAGCTCCAACTGAGGCTTGGCGAAGTGATGCTCATTCCACTCCAGTTTAATGATAACCTATCAAAGTTGGCAGATTGTCCCTGTTAGAGATCCTTCGCTGCTGCCAAGGCCCAGCTCATAGAGCCAGAAGATAGAAGAACACCCGATTAACGTTGTGGTGTTGCTCCAATCTACCATGTTATAGGCAAACATTGTAACTGTAAACCAACAAATCATGCGCGCCGACGAATGGCTTCAGCAAATCAGAGAAGAATTGAGGCATATACCCAAGATGATACACTACCTGCTCAATAGTTTACGTACAAAGAAACGAGTGTTTTGCATTAAGTGGCTAAGAAGCTGGCCCCAAATAAGGCGTGATTGTGATAGATCATCAAAAGCTTAGCCCATTGATTGCCACGCATGTTCGGCCGCTAGCCTCCAACATCAAAATGCAAAGCTCTCCTTCATTGGCCCTCTGTGGGGTTTTTGGCCCCCGCTGACAAAACAACAATTCGTCTTCAACCAATTGCTATTGATCCATAGATCAAGATCATTGGGTCACGATCTTGATTACTATTTCGCCTGAAGTTCAACGCCGAAACGCCGAAGGCGAAGGCGCGAGCCTCGGTGGATCGTTGGATTATTCATCTCTTGTATGTATATTTTCTTTAATCCACCGCCCATCTCCAGGTATCTTCTCTCTATGAAATATAGTTACGTTCGTTCGTCAGTTGGAAGAGAAGAAATCCAATAATGACAGCTCATCCACCAGAACCTGCGGGTAAAGCTGACACCTCTGAGGCTGAGAAACAGTTGCCTGAAAAGCCCGACGACTCTTCACCACCTGACGGAGGAGCTGTCGCCTGGCTTCAAGTCGCAGGGGCTTTTTTCCTGTTTTTCAACTCTTGGTAAGTATTTGTAAATATTTTTTATCTGTGTGTCGTGTCTAACAAGCCACTCCTAGGGGTGTTGTCAACACATTTGGTGTGTTCCAAAGTTATTATGAAGATGTTCTTCTTTCCGGCTACTCAGCCTCTTCAATCTCCTGGATCGGCACAGTCCAAGGCTTTCTTCTCTTGCTCGCGGGCGTGGTCGTTGGTCCTGTCTTCGATAGGGGCTATCTCAAAAGCCTGATTATCATTGGATCATTCTTCGTTGTGTTTGGTTTAATGATGACCTCGTTATCAACTGAATACTATCAAGTCTTCCTTGCCCATGGCGTCTGTGTTGGAATTGGATGTGCATTTCTCTTCCTCCCTAGCATCGCCGTCGTCGCCACCTACTTTACCTCGCGACGCGCCTTAGCGACGGGGATTACCGCTTCAGGTGGTAGTATCGGTAAGTGATCTTGACAAGATCCCGTAAGGAAAGCTGTGCTAATGGCTATTTAGGCTCTGTGATCTTTCCTATTATGTTTCACAAACTCATTGGTTCCCTTGGCTTCGGCTGGACGACTCGTATCATCGCTTTTATCGTACTGGCAGGTCAGATCTTTGCTTGGGCCGTAATGAAACGTCGCCTACCACCTCCTAAAACAGCACGATCGCTTCTCGACCTCGACGCATTCCGAGAGCCGGTCTTCCTCGTCTTCTGCTTTGGACTGTTTTTCTCCTTCGTGGGCCTATACTTCCCCTTCTTTTATCTACCGAGCTTCTTCTCCTCTTCTCTCCATGCGAGCACCAACATATCATTCTACATCATCGCCATTTTGAATGCTGCCTCCGTGTTTGGGCGGATCACGCCTGGCTTGCTCGCCGATCGTATCGGTTCTTTGAACACACTTATCCCTATCAGTCTGATCGCTGCGGTTTTGTCATTCTCGTGGATCGGTATCCACAATGAAGCTGGTGCAATTGTGTTTGCGTGCCTTTATGGGTATGCATCTGGTGCAATTGTCTCTTTGCCACCTACTATCATTGCGCGGCTAAGCCCTAACCTGGCTACTGTGGGGACTCGTATGGGCATGTGCTTCACTTTTGCTGGTACGGGTCTGCTTATTGGTAACCCTATTGCGGGCGCTTTGTTGGATCTAGAGGACGCGGAATTCTGGAGAGCTCAGGTTTTCACGGCTGTTATGGTACTAACAGGGTCAGCTTTCTTCGTTGGATTACGGCTGATGAAGTGGAAAGAGGGGGCAGGTTGGAAAATTTGAGGAAATTATAAAGAAGGTATGTACGGCATAGACACTGCGTCCAGGTATATATTTCTCTGTGTCTTTACGCTAGTATGGTAGGCGCTTTTTACAATCCGCATACAGTATAACCAGAATTTTTGGGATAGGCAGTCGAATAGTATAGACAGCAAAAAGTGTGAGTCAAGATATGACTCAAAGAAACAAAAAAGAAATTGAATGAATCAAATTCTGATGGTTCCAGAGGGGGTCGAACCCTCGACTTTGGCGTTATTAGCACCACACTCTAACCAACTGAGTTATGGAACCCACATGTTGATGGGAATTGAAATATTTGTCCCAAGTGGAAGACTGTGGGTCACAGTCGGATAGAAGACGTCAGTGGGACCTAAGGCATCAAGGAAAGTCAATTTACGGAGTACAAAGCCCACATTAATCCAGGTCTAGAATTTTAAAATCTAATGTAATTACGACCGACTGTAGCTCTTTGCTTCTCAAAATACATGAGTATATAATAGTTAATACTGATAAGGCCACCGGAAAGGCAGAGAAAAATTTGGCCAAAGCGTGACTCAAGTGGGCGGAAATGACATTGGTCTCCACTTTAGCAGCCGGCCGGGAAAATTTTTACTAAGAATTAAGCATTTACAGTCGTAGTAGTAGTGTAGTGGTCCCTTTCGCTGTTTTTAGTGATCGCTTAATCTCAAGTTTGGTGATCGGGTGCCACGGAAGTTCTGGTTGTGGCGATGCTGGTAGGCTGGTATCGGGTATGTTTATTGCGGGAAAGAACGCTTTAAGAAAGGCCCTTGCTTTGTCTTCGTTTTAGGTGAGCTCTTGTGAGCCTACCTTTAGGGCCGGGGTGCACCCCCACGTTTCTTAAGGCTTTATGTAGGTCGCAGCTTTCTAGAGCTTCCCTTCACTAGCCTCGTCTAAGAACTGTCTCTAACGCGATGCTGGCTTTCTCTATAGTCCTATAGTCCAGGTCCACGCTCGGCGCTTCTATTGCATAAGCTGAAAGGCTGTAGTAGTGCTAGCATGGCCTCGTCTAAGCTCCGCATAGCTCGCCTGCTATCTTCGGCGTAGTTGATTGACTTCGACTTATTGAACCTTGAGATCTGGTGTGAACCACCGTTTGGAGTATGGTGTTGGGCGAGTGTCGGGCGTAAATTGGTCGATTGCCTAGGCTATCGCTGCTATGAGCTTCTCTATAACCTAGTCGAGTGTTGGCCGGGTCTTGATATCCTTCTAGGGGCTCATCTTCTGAGCTACCTCCCCGCCGATTCTGGCCTAGTCCGCGCGCTTATACGCTTTTCTTACTTTGTCGTTTAGCTTGCTCTGGGGTTGAATATTCCACTCCGAGTATGTGGCATGGTGGTTGGATCCGTATTTCTCGTGATATAGATGGCACTTGATAAGCCGTTCCGGTTAGTCTGTCACTGTTAGATCGATAGTCGAGTTTTGGCCTAGGTTATTTAAGGCCTAGTAAGTCGCTATACCTCGGGGGAGGTAGCTATAGAGGTTGTGGCTTTAGAGGAACTTAATTAGGTCGCTGGCATGCTCGATGAATCTAGGTGGGATATAATTGCCGCCCTATAGCGGGTAATATCGGTTAAAGTCTCTGGATAGGATAATGCTTATCGGTCGCTGCTTATTTTATAACGCGGCTGTGATAGCGTTTTGTATTGCTATAAGGGCTGGTAATGCTGACTCGTCGTCGCCTATGAAAAGCGGTGCTAGAGGTATGTAGACCGAAAAGAGAAGGATTTAGGAGTCGGCTAACTAGATCTTAATAGCTACGACATCTAGGTGGTCGTAAGGTATCTAGCGGTGTGAGGAGGTAGAGATTCGTCTATTAACATAGACTAGGCTATGGAAGCGAATTACATCGGTCTATGTGGTAGGTCGATAAAGTCGCTAGGCGCTGTGATTAATATGCGTGCGATATATGGTAATGGATGGCTCCTAGATTAAAAGTACATCTAGATCTTGGCTCTAGGGGTCGTTAACTAGTGCCTCTATTCTCGGTCCTGATTTTTTATGTTTAAGTATAGGATGCGGAGGTTTCTCTCTAGTATCTAGTGGGGTTGAACGCCGCTAGGGCTACGCACTGTCGATCACCAGTTAGGTATTCACCACTATAGTCGAGGCATCGGGCCCTTACTCTAGGTGGACAGCGCTCCCGTTCGTGCTGGCCCGCACAGTGTCGGCATCGTGGCGTTTCTTTACGCGTCCATGCTAGATAGCCAAACCATTAGCATCGGAAGCATCTCTTTTTCTTGATTTCGCGTCGCTCAACATAGTGAATAAAGTTCCCGCTAACAAGGAACCCCTCCCGAAGCATATAGTCCGCTCCTTCTACAGAGTCAAACCAAAATCCCAGGGATGCGAATTTCCCTAGGGTCTTATCTTTTACTTTCATCCAGGCCAGCTCTTCAATACGGAAGCTATATTCCGCTAAATTATTGTCTTCGATGATTTTCTCCGCTGCCTAAATGGCTCCTGTTTCTAGGTTAAATCCCTCAGTGGGGGTCCGGTATACAACGACACCGAATCGTGGTTTCACCAGCTTCGTGTTGTTGCCTAATTTGTGTAGCCACTCGGTATTATTACGGGCCACCTTAGCTGACTCCGCATCCTTAAAGCGGATGATATAGCTAGTTTTAGTAGTACCGATGCCGGCCACTTAAGCTTCTTGCGTCGCGGCGTCGCTCTGCAATGCCGTTTAGATATAGGTGTTGGTGGCCTCGATGGGAAGATATCGCCTAAAAGCGTTTCCATCGTTGTTATTGCTATCTCTTAGGTCGACAAATTTTCTCTAGGTGCTGATTCGAACGTAGCTTTAGTCCTTCTCGGGTCGTTGGTGGTTTAGTGAGGAGGTGCTATTGCCGCCGTTCGCTGCGACTGTGGCCCAGGTCCTCCTGATGAAGCTTCTCGTTCTGTTCCTAGAGAACGTTCTGGTTGTGCTTAATCTCCTGTAGTTCATTTTAGGTGGCTACGATGGTGGCTGTTTAGCGGTGGATAATGTCTTTCAGCGCGCTAACGAGTCTCCACACCTCCTTGGTAGTGATTCGACCGGCCGGATCTGACGGAGCGAAGGCATCTCCACTCCGTGTTCGCTTCCGGTTCTCAGAGAGCAATCCGGGCCTGTCTGCAGCTGCCGTGGCCTGGAGTTCTTCCCCTGTGATGCTGGAGATGGTTTCTTGGGTGTTTGTGGGAAAGGGCTCGGGCCCTCCCGTCGGTGGGTCCGCCATCGCTTTGGGGATGGTTCCCGCTCGGTGCACAACGTTAAAGTTTATATCGCCGTATTATCGAAAGTTATTTTCTCACACCACCACGTCCTCTTATACAGTCCGCAGCTGTTCTCTTCGCCTGTCTCTCTCTACAGGATGAGACTATCCTTCTTTTGAATATCCAAAGTCATTTTGGTATAGGATCGGTTCATTCGGTAGAGTGTCAGCGGATGCATTTACAGTCACTAGCGAAATCAGCTTCTACCCTACACAAGAACATTCTTTTTCCGTGCCCCACTGCCAAGACGCTAGTGCTATTTTTGTTCAGCAGAGACCAATATACTGATGCTTTCGTGAGGAATTGCTTCGTATTTGACCCCATAGCTCCGGTTATAACTTTACGACATCACCTACGATACGGCATAAGAGGGCCCTCTGCACCACCGGACTACCATGCTTAGATGCGTATGACAGGTCTCATGTCCGGTAAAGCCGCACAGTCTTAATTCGGTCACGGGAACCTTGTTGTAGAATCAGCGATTTACTGGGCCCAAGGGAATATTGTTCCAGACCTGTTTGGGCGCGCTGGTTGGGAGAAAGACGCTGGTTCGCGAGTGGCCTCAAGATTGAACACAGATAAATGGTCTTACCTAAATCAAGGTTAGTTCGGTGGATCATCTCTGCATAATTTAATAGAATGCCCATATCATTGGACAGTTCACGTGATGTGAGACGTAGGAAAGAGCTGGTTTCTGGTGGCTGGTGGGTTAAGAGTGGCTCCAGACTGTCGCCAATGACAACCTGTCCTTTGCCGCCCCCGTCTACTGCCCTTCGTGTCTAGCACGAGGCTGAGTTTCGGAAGCCGAGAAGGCTGTCTGCCCTGTCCCGCCGCCAATGACAAGACAGTTTTTTAACCCTTCCTTTTGACACTCGGCTTCTCTTTGATATTTATTGCTTTATACCAACCTAATTCCTGTTCGGAGTGGATCACACCATATAAATGGCCTGCCCTCCACGAGAAACGTTCCAGATCGGTTGGATATGTGCACTGCCGATCGAGGCGGCTGCCGCTAAGGAAATGCTGGATGAAAGCTTTGGCATTCTCGATGAGCAAGATCCAACCGACCCAAATACCTACACGCTAGGTCGAGTCGGCAAACACCACGTTGTAATCGCCTGCCTCCCGGGTGGTCAATATGGAACTACGTCGGCGACGACTGTCGCAAACAATATGGTTCGCACCTTTTCGAAATCCCTCAGGGTCGGGTTGATGGTTGGTGTTGGCGGTGGAATTCCGTCGACTGCTCATGACATTCGACTTGGTGATGTTGTGATTAGCTGTCCTGAAGGCACTTCTAGCGGAGTGGTCCAATATGATACGGGAAAGGTCGTTGCTGGTGGAGAATTTCATCGCATTGGCTCTTTAAACAGCCCTCCTAGAGCCCTGCTGACGGCAATCAACTTGATAAGGGCTGCCGAGCTAACGGATGATCCTCACTATCCCAAATATCTCCTTAAGGCGATCGGTAGAACGTCACGCACTCGGAAGAACTTCGAACGACCTCAAAAAGACCGACTCTTCAAGCTCGAACACATTCATCCTACAACTGCGAGCACCTGCGATGGATGCCTAGAAGAATGGGAAGATGTACGCAGTGAACGCGATACCAGTGACCCACAACCGCACTACGGCATTATCGCATCTGGAAATGCGGTTATCAAGGATGGATCTACACGTGAGAAGCTTCGGGTAGCCACTGGAGCATTGTGCTTTGAGATGGAGGCAGCTGGCTTGATGATGGATTTTCCTTGCATTGTCGTCCGCGGGATCTGTGATTACGCCGATACGCATAAGAATAAGCAGTGGCAAGGATATGCTGCATTAGCAGCAGCATCGTATGTTAAGGAGCTGCTAGGGTATATACCAGTCGGCCGTGTTTCGCAAGAGAGCTTGGCAGCAGATGCGTGTAGTAAGTGAACTCGATATTAGCTTAGTCTCGAACTAAGAGTGGCTTACTTATATACCTGTATATAGATGAATTAAAAGACGAAGTCAAAGGCACAAACAAACGCCTTGACCGAGCATATAATCAACAAGATCAACAGCATCGTGAGAAGATCGAATTGGCTTTGACGGATCAGCAACGCCGTTGTCATCAAGCTTTTAAGACATCAAAGTATGAGGAACAAAAGAACATCAATCCACGAAGGGTGAAAGGAACCTGTCAGTGGGCCCTGTAGAGTCTTGAATACATTCGCTGGTGGGAGAGCAACTATAATGACATTCTATGGGTGTCAGCCGACCCAGGCTGCGGGAAGTCTGTACTAGCCAGATCGATCATCGACGAACACGTGGAGGCTTTAAGTCCAGGAGTGACCATATGTTTCTTTTTCTTCAAAGACAACGATGACCAGAACCGTCTTGATACAGCACTATGTTCGGCACTACATCAACTCTTCAGCCAGCGGCCTCATCTCTTGCCCCATGCTATACAGTCCTGGGAGAAAAACGGGGAGGGACTGCGACATGAGGTTGATGAGCTTTGGCGGATCTTCACTGCTGCCGCATTAGCTGACGTGTCACACAAGACAATTTGCATATTCGATGCGCTTGACGAATGCCGTGAAAAGGATCAGGCGCGATTGATTGAGAAGTTCTAGTTCTTTTATGACCAAAGCTCTTCATTAATGAAGGATACTTGTTTAAAATTCCTCGTCACTAGTCGTCCCTATGACCATATACAGGGTAACTTTCGAGCAATCACTAATTCTGTCCCACATATACACATCAAGGGTGAAGAAGATAACGACCGAATCCATAAGGAGATTAATCTAGTGGTGAAAACTCGAGTGAAAGAATTAGCTAAAGTAGTGCAACTACCACCGGAGGTCTACCAGCGAGTCGAACAGCAGCTACTTCAAATGGAAAACCGTACTTATCTCTGGCTACATCTAGCGATTGATGATATCCGCACCACCCTTAGGCGCAGCCTTCGGCCTACAGAGAGTTTGATCACCCTTATACCGCCTTCCGTGAATGCAGCATACGAAAAAATCCTCTGCCGAGTCCCAGCAGATGAAATGGATACAGTCAAAAAGATCTTGGAGATCATTGTGGCGGCACGACGTCCTCTGACAATACGAGAGATGGCTGTGGCGCTAGGTATTGCCACCTGCTCCGAGGCACGAACAATAATGGAGGCCGGGCTAGATCCAACTCATTTACAAACAAAACTTCGACAATTATGCGGCTTGTTTGTATTCACTAACAACTCCAAAATCTATCTCATCCATCAGACTGCCAGAGAGTTTCTAATTCAAAGGAAAAGTTCGGACAATCTCTATCTTACATACTGGAGCAGCCTGGGCGATGCAGAATATCAGATGGCTGAGATCTGTTTGCGATACCTTTTGATGGAGGATTTGGAAGACGACGAAAGCCAATCGAGCTTTAATTGTCGAGACCTCTTAGAGTATTCAGCAGTACATTGGTCCGATCACGTGCAGAAAATGACTCCGACGTTGGGCCATGAAATAACGAATCGACTACATCAAGTGTACGATATGCACAGAAGACGGTTTTCACTGTGGTTTCCTATCTTTTGGAAGGCAGTAATGCCATACACAAACGTGCCATCAATGAATGCACTCAATCTGGCAGCACTTAACGGCCATGAGCAAGAGGTTCATTTTCTACTTGCTGTTAAGAAACACGAGATCAATACGGCAGACGATACAGGAGCAAACCCATTGATGTGGGCCTCGCGAAACGGACACGACAAAATCGTGCAGATGCTGTTAGAGCGAGGAGCCGAGGTCAACGCCCAGGGTGGACGCCACGGAAATGCGCTCCAGGCTGCTTCTTTCAGAGGACACGACAAAATCGTACAGATGCTGTTAGAGCGAGGAGCCAATGCTAACGCCTATGGTGGAGTCTACGGAAATGCGCTCCAGGCCGCTTCTTTCAGAGGACAGGACAAAATCGTGCAGATGCTGTTAGAGCGAGGAGCCGATGTTAACGCCCAGGGTGGAGCCTACGGAAATGCGCTCCAGGCAGCTTCTTTTAGAGGACAGGACAAAATCATACAGGTGCTGTTAGAGCGTGGAGCTGATGTTAACGCCCAGGGTGGACGCTACGGGAATGCGCTCCAGGCAGCTTCTTCTGGAGGACACGAAAAAACCGTGCAGGTACTGTTAGAGCGAGGAGCCGATGTTAATGCCCAGGGTGGACGCTACGGGAATGCGCTCCAGGCAGCTTGTTACGAAGGACCCGACAAAATCGTGCAGGTGCTATTTGAGCGAGGAGCCGATATCAACGCCCAGGGTGGACGCTACGGACATGCGCTCCAGGCTGCTTGTTACGAAGGACACGACAAAATCATGCAGATGCTGTTAGAGCGAGGAGCCGAGGTCAACGCCCAGGGTGGACGCCACGGAAATGCACTCCAGGCAGCTTCTTTCAGAGGACACGACAAAATCGTGCAGGTGCTGTTAGAGCGAGGAGCCGATGTTAACGCCCAGGGTGGACGCTACGGAAATGCGCTCCAGGCTGCTTGTTACGAAGGACACGACAAAATCGTGCAGGTGCTATTTGAGCGAGGAGCCGATATCAACGCCCAGGGTGGACGCTACGGACATGCGCTCCAGGCTGCTTGTTACGAAGGACACGACAAAATCATGCAGATGCTGTTAGAGCGAGGAGCCGAGGTCAACGCCCAGGGTGGACGCCACGGAAATGCACTCCAGGCAGCTTCTTTCAGAGGACACGACAAAATCGTGCAGGTGCTGTTAGAGCGAGGAGCCGATGTTAACGCCCATGGTGGACGCTACGGAAATGCGCTCCAGGCTGCTTGTCATGAAGGACACGACAAGATCGTGCAGATGCTTCTAGAACATGTAGCTGATCAATCTGTACGCTATCGCTCCCCTTTCCAAAGGTTTCAAAGATCATGAGGCTTAGGGAATACACAGTCCAATCAAATGTAAATATACTTCTTTCATCCCTCATGCATCGGCCACTTCGGCAACGGTCCGATGATTCTCGCCATTGGTATCTGTTGTTGGAAATAGAACATGAACTCATCAGTTTGAGATGATGCGGCCATGGGCCACTTAATTGTTTATTATCGAAATAAAAGCATATAGACTGTACTCAATAGATGTGACTGCTCTTTTCTGTCTTCACATTGTGTGGTCAATAAGCGGCCTTTTCCGTCATTGATTAGACCGGATGTTTATCTTCTTATTCACCTACTTGTAATGTGCGTAAGATAGGGAACGGTATTATAATGTAATCTTAATGTATCGTGCTTGCTTAGTATTGTCATTTTCATTCATTTATAAGTGGCCGTGGATTTAAAACTATCCGCTAATGTCTTGACAGTGGGACACTTATAATAATTTTGAGTGTTTAGGCGGAAGCTGTTTTCGCTAGTGACTGTAACATAGTTAACTACGGATTATAATCACATTAATGGGACCAACGTAGTGAGATTTTTGAAAAGGTGAGTCTTTGTTAATAGTTAGATAGAGCTTATAGGTGGTATACTACCTGATATAGAAATGAGTAAAGGTATGATTTAGGAGTATATTCCAAGTATTCTCGCGAGACCAACTCACGTAGAGGATATGGATGTGACGGAATTTTCCACTGTGAAGACCAAGCATTCACAAATCAGAGAATCCGGCGTTTATTAGATGAATATTTGAGCCTAACCACAAGAAACGGGTTCCATAACTCAGTTGGTTAGAGTGTGGTGCTAATAACGCCAAAGTCGAGGGTTCGACCCCCTCTGGAACCACTTTTTTGCTTTTTGGCACTTTTTTTTTTACCGCCATCTCATTCACATAATCATTCAATGTATCTTTTAGAAAATTTTGAGACTCAAATAGGAGGATTTCTCTACTCATGGCCACCCACTATATTGTGCAAAAAGCTGGATCTAACATCATGTAGACTGCAAGTTATGGAATTCGTCTCAACCTTGACGGGTTCTGGAGTTCTGAGGTCATATATCTACGCTCTAGGGCTCTTACTTTGGCTAACAGAAGTTTGATTTATAGAGCTTCCACCCTAATGCCGTATGAGAATGCTGGCAGACCCTGCACGTTGTCAGCGCTTTCTATGTGCCTAGGTATAGGTATACTTGTTGATTCAACGATTGTGCTGGCTCTGAATCCCTGAAAAATGGACATTGTAAATATTCGAGGGAGACAACCCATAATAACATTACATGAAGAATGAAGTATTCATTGAACCAAGAGCATCTTCCGTATCGATGTATTATGTTTCTAAGGTTGTTGGATTCTATAAGTGGGATTCCAAGGCTGGCAATTAAGCCCAGCGCCTCAGGTTGTTTTGAGAAGGAGATCATTGGTTCGACACCATACTTAGCCGCATCTAGTGTACTGTATGATTTGTAATTTGAATAAAATGCGGCCTAGTTGCTCGGGTATGTGTTCAAGAACGTACAAAAGAATATACTATGTACCCGTGCTTGTGTCAAGCCAAAAATACAATATAACGCTTCAATAGACCTCTGGCTACAGGCCGATAGGACTTTATTTATGACCCGTGAGTGTGCCCGCCCAGAATCTACAGTTACATGCTAGTCCATATCTAGGGGAGTCTGGGTGTTAAATATGTGGCCATGGTGTCGAACTAATGATCTCCTTTGGGAAATATACGGTGGGTTCTAAATCAGAGCATAGTTGACAGTGTGATCCTAAGCATGGGGAGAAGCCCTAGAGCGGTGCGGACGCACATGAATATTATGCAAAATATTCAGCGTGTTTTTGAGAGTGGTATGTTTTTTTATCAACATGCAGGTGTTAAATTATATATAATTTGAAGAAATTATGGTGGTCTGGTATAATAAGTCATGGATATATATTTGTTGGTGTGGGGACCAGAATCGGGTCGGGGAAATACTTTTGACTAGTTGATATATTCCTATTATCCTACACTTGAACATCGAGAAAAAAGAGGCCAGGGACCTTAAACCTCATGAATCACCTGAATGAAAGCAATGATAACGAGTTGACTCATGATTCTCATATTTTGGGACCTGCAGTAATACCAGAGGGTCGCTTTTCGCGAATGAAACGTCCTCCCTGTCGAGTTAGGTGACGGTATATTTTCCTGAGATATAGTGGTATGGTGTTTTAGGCTATAATGTCAAAGCAATGGCCTGTTTTCAACAAGTCGGTTCCATAACTCAGTTGGTTAGAGTGTGGTGCTAATAACGCCAAAGTCGAGGGTTCGACCCCCTCTGGAACCATTTCTTTTTCTTACCTTTCTTTTTCTTACCTTTCTTTTTCTTACCTTTCTTTTTATCCATTTCACCTCTTCTTTTGCTACCAAATCCTTCAAATCCGTAGGAAGTACTTTTTTTTTTTTACTATATTACTACCTACTATATTGGGACTGAACTCCCCCGTTTTCGAAACAACAGCGCTAGTGTTGGGGTTTTTGTATTTCTCTCCCTGTTGTTGTCCTTCGACACCACACACCGATCGACTTCTCTTCTCCACTACTGCGCAGAAATTTGCATAGATTCCAATTAAAAACAATGGCAACAACATAATTCAACTTGGCCTTTGCAACCCATAGCGACTTTATCAAGGAATTCTCAAGACGGCTCTCCCCTCAATCTCAGACCGTTCAAGTCGCTGCAAAACATCGACAATCTCCTGTAGCTCGAACAATTCAATATGCGCCTGCACATCACCTTTGACCGCCATAGCCAAAAGTTCATTCATTTCCTCAGATGTCCCCGCGGAGTTGCCGACAATCGTGAGGCCTGTAGTATTCAGCAAGAGCTCGTTAGTGAACCTGTTTATAAAGTACAAATCATGCATTTTCCATGACTCGCCTTTGACTATCATTTCAAAAGGAGTAGCTGGGAGCCGGAATGAAACATGCGGAATCCCAACGCAGACCAGAGTACCCAGTGGCCGAAGCATTTGCATGCTTTGTTGGTAAGCTGCCTCCCCATTGGCGGTACAAATCACAGCATGGACACCCAGGCCTGATGTGATTGATTTGGCGCCTTCGACTATATCCACTTTGCGGAAGTCTAGAAATTCGGTGGCCCCGAGTGAAAAACACAGTTCTTTCTTTTTGTCACCCCTTTGGTAGGTCAGTGTATGCACTCGTACTTGCGAGAATGACATTTATAGGCGCTCACGTATCGATTGCAAGGACTTTTAGTCCTTGTTTGGCTGCAATTTGAATACCCCTACCAAAGCGTGTTAATATGAAGTAAACGTGGATAAAAGAGTGTCGGCGCGGCATACATATGTCCCAAGCCTCCACCGGCACCAATTATAGCAAGCCAGTTACCCTGCCGGGCCTTGGCTTTCTTGATCGAAGAGTACATAGCGATGCCAGCTAGAGTGTGTCAATGGAGACTAGATAAAAGATTGCATGGTTTCCACACTCATACCACAGAGAAGAGGTGCCGCTAAATCAGGAGAAAGTCCAGGTGGAATCTTCGTGGCATGGATCGCGGGACTAACAATGTATTCTTCATAAACAATTCAGCATTCGGGTTCATTTCCAATACTTCAAGCCACGAAACGGATATACTCACGTTGAAAAGTGCCCGGAACATTCTGTGAATAGTTAAAGTTGGCGTTAGACCTTGGCATGCACCTGGTGATATGCTATTGCAATGAATTACTGTAACGTACCGCGCCGGCGTTCCTTTGCTTAGGGCATGCCGTATGGTTGACCTCGCAGACTTCGCACTGCAAACAAGAGCTGTACAACCATCTAGAGAATCTTGTTAACCCTCCCACTAAGTTGTAGAGGTTTGGATGAGCATCGTATTGTTTTAGACATACCTTACCCCCACTACTTGACCCATCCATTGAGTCTCATCGAGGCCACCCCCAACTAAGAAAAAGGAATCAGGATCTAGCTTCTGGATTACAGTCAAACAGGGCAATGCAATGCGAGTTCTCACCTGCTACCACCCTTCCCACTCCTTCATGACCTGCCACATCGGTCTTCATAGGTGTGTCGCCTCGAATGCTGTGGACATCGGAATGGCAAACCCCCGAGAAGTCCAATTTTATCAGGACTTCTCCAGCTCCCGGGGTTGGAACTGAATGCGTGTTGCTGATTTGCACATCCGAAACAGCTTTTCCCCCAGATGCGGGGATCACAGCTGCGATCTGGGTAGCTGGGACAGACATGTCAATCCTTAGTTCTGGTAATGCAAGTTGATAACCGAGGCGTATGCACTGTAATGGGCTTGGATGCAGGGGTAGTTACAAGATTAATGACAAGTAGAGATTTCCATGCATTGTGCCTGTCGCATGGGTTTAATTGGGGTCGTATCTCAAATGCGGGGGAGTGCATGCCTTATCTCGGAAGATAGGAACTGATATCCCGTTTTGATGCTTTAGCCGATGTGCTAATCTTATTCATAATCTCGATTATCACCTGGGCATGCTCGAGCCTGTTTATACGAGTTTATTCAACAATGATTATGTTCAGAACCGACCCCACGGCAGTTTCATTAAAACTATTATCTTTAAAAACCGTAAGACGCTCATACCCCAAATCATGTAGCAATATAAGACAAGGACTCTGCCGGTCTGAGCAGAGCCGAAGAAAAAAGAAACATCACAACCCCCGAATGCAGCAGAACGGCCGGCAAGTCGCGCGAGCAAGCCGAGGTCTAAGGTATATCACAGATCAAAATCTATCTCCCGACATCAAATAAGTTTTCATGCCTGTTGTTCAGCTTGGATTGTTTGCTGCAAAGAAGATAAATCATTAGTAAACGTTGAGAACCCAAGACTAATCAGAAATACGAACCACCAGCCAGTCCATGCCCTCATCAATACCCTTGCCATCAATGGCAGAGCAGGCGACAATGCTCCAGTTCCGATCACGTAGCTCTCCCAATTTCAAGGCCTCCGAGATCTCACCCGCACCCTTAGCACCGGGTTGGTCCTGCTTATTGGCAAACACTAGCAGAGAAGCGTCACGAAGTTCTTCTTCGTTCAACATGGCCGCTAGCTCGTCAGCTGCAGTTCCCAGGCGCTCAATATCTGTGGAGTCGATGACGAAAATGACAGCTGCTGTGTTGGCGTAGTAACACCGCCAGTATGGACGAATGGATGTTTGGCCACCGAGATCCTAGTCCGTGACGGTCAGTGAAATTCAAAGTCATGGTGGTAATTCTAGAGCACATACCCAGACATTGAAGTTGAGATTTTTATATGTCACGGACTCGACGTTAAAGCCGATGGTAGGAATGGTGGTGACGACTTCACCGATCTAGATACGCGATTTATTAGCACTAACGCGTCTAATACAGTGCGCGAGGCTTGATTTAGATCGCATATGCATACCTTAAGCCTGTAGAGAAGAGTGGTCTTTCCGGCATTGTCCTGAATAGAAAGAAGTGAATCAGTCATGAGGTTCGATCGTTGGGCGCTATAGGTGCGCCCTTCCCCGCGACAGACGAAATGCACATACGAGACCGAGGATGAGGATTCGGATCTCCTTTTTGGCCCAGATAAGAGAAGCTAGACGAGATAATGTGCCTCCCATGGTGATGTGTAGTAGATACGAATAGGTTGGCTTGGTGTCTTTGATCGCGATTCCAACGAGGGCGGAGTCGGAGGTTTAAGGTTTTGGCGCGGGCGCGGGCTGATGGAGGAAAGGAGGGCTCGAGTGTGCAACAGCAGTGAATGAGCTTTGATTACTCAATTCAAATGAAGTCAATCAGAGACAAAGAAGTGTTTGGTGAAGTGGAAAGGGGAGTGGTGGTGGCAACTGCATCGGACTTTGAGCAATCGGCCTGTGCGTGTGGGCGGTCAATCGTCAAGCTGAATGGCGCTCTAGACTGTCCCGAATAAGCTTCCCACTTCCCGGGATTCCGTGTTGAACTCCTCCATTATCTTCCAAACCGCTATCTCCCTCTTTTTATCCCAATACATCCCTTGGAAGAACTCCCAATTAGGCGACCGGTTCTAGCGAGCAGCTCGCTACTGAGTGCCCACATCTCGGAGATAGCGAGCCCACCGGTTTGCGCGCTCCCTAGATTCAACCAAACCCCCGATTCAACGAACGAGACTGTCGCACAAAGCGCCTATCATGGTGGGAAAAAAATCGGGCAAGGCTCTTCGGGATGAAGGTGAGTGGTCATGGATATATGATGTAGACCAGCCAAATTGGCAGAGACTAGAGGGACTTACCATGAACTACCAGGCCTGGAGCGGACGGACAACAATATGGATCTTTCCAGCTGGCCGCAAGTCCCAGCTATCAACCAGAAAAACTACTACACGTATGTCCGCGTTTGTCTGATTTGTTTTATGCCTGATGATTTTAAATGCTGATTACTTCTGCCCAGCGATTACCTCAAGCGTGACGATCAGTACTTGGCATTTAGATTGCAAAACGAAGAAGCGAGAACGAAAATGACAAAGTCCGCGAAGGATCGGGATCGCGCCCTTGCAATGGCAAAGACCAATGACACGGCGGAGGCGGAGGCAGAAGCAGACGGCGATGCCAACATGGAAGATGCGGAGGAAGAGACACCCGCCGAGACAGTGGGGTCGAAAGTGATTGTCATTCATATCGGTAGCCAAAATCTGCGAATTGGATTGTCGAGCGATGCTTTGCCGAAGACAGTACCAATGGTGATCGCGAGGAAGGCGAAAACGAGCGAGAGCGAAGATCAGGAGGAACCCAATCCGAAACGACAGAAGCGAGAAGATGGCACATTTGAAGAACCAGAGCTTTTGTTTGGACCAGATGTGAGCTTGCCACATGTACTTCGTGATGGATATCGAGACTAATTGCTAACAACCGAATAGTGGTCTGCCCACTTTAACAAGATGTCGGCCGAACTGAAAGTGCATATGCGCCAGAACAAGCGAAGAATGTTGCCCAACTCGAAGGAAATGGTGGTTAATTTCAATCGAAGGACTGTTCCAGAGACAATTTCTGAACACAATGATCCAATGCGCATTGAATGGACCGAACTATCGAATCCACCACCGGAGTACATTGTCGGACAGCCCGCATTGAGGGTCCCAGACTCATCAAACCCCCGCTACAAACTCTACTGGCCATTCCAGAATGGATGCTGCAATGAAAAAGACTATGCGAGCAAGCGGATGTTGTTCTTGGATATTTCTTTGATTCTCGAAGATGCTATCAAGACCCAACTTGGCCTCACTAGCAAGAAGGACTGGCCCCAGTATTCCTGCGTCTTTGTCATTCCTGATCTCTATGAAAAGTCCTACGTCACCCAGGTACTAGATATGTTGATGCGGGAGTTCGCGTTTGCCCGAGTGTGTTTCATCCAGGAGAGTCTCGCTGCAACTTTTGGCGCCGGTTTTACCTCAGCCTGCGTGGTCGATATTGGAGCACAGAAAACATCCATCTGCTGTGTGGAAGAAGGAATGTGTGTGGAAAACTCTCGAGTTAATTTAAAGATGGGTGGTCGTGATGTCACTGAAACCTTCATCAGAATGATGCTTCATGACCATTTCCCCTATGCAGATATTGACCTATGGCGGAGATATGACTTCCTGCTAGCAGAGGAGCTGAAAAGGAACATTTGCACAATGAATGAAGCCAGTGTTTCTCCCCAGGTCTTTGACTTCCACCTCCGTGTCGCTGGGCAAGATACACAGAAGCACACCTTCAAAGCCTTTGACGAAGTGCACCTGGCACCAATGGGCTTTTTTGAGCCAAACATCTTCGACAATTCACAGAAACTTGCTTGCCGGCGCAAGTTAATTGATCGTTCTGTTGACATCTATGACGGGCAATCCAATGACCCTGTCTCTGCTGCCCAATCTGAAATTCTGACTGCCCTCGCTCCACAGCGTCCCAAAGCCAATGGGGAATCACATTCGACCCCGGCCGATGTACAAGCAACCCCAAGCAAGCCTCAGCATCCCAGTGCATTGGGTCGCGTCCAGGATCAAGAGGCTACTCCCCACTCCTCCGCTCCGGGTTCACCTGCACCAGAGGTGGCCGGCACTCCGCAGGCTAATTCTAGTGCTGTTGCCACAACATCGACCGCCCAGGCATCTCGTCCGACAGTTGAATACCACGATGATGTTTTGCCTGTGTATCCTTTGGATAATGCAATCTTGACATCTATTGCGCATGCTGCTCGCTCGGATGAGAAGAAGATGCGGGACTTCATTGGAGGTATCATGGTTGTTGGTGGAGGTACCTTGACCAGCGGATTCCACCTATTCCTTGAAGAGCGTCTCCAAAGCCTGCGCCCAGGATTTGCTAAGGAGATCATGATTGGAGTCCCGCCCAGAGATTTAGATCCACAGGTTGTTGTGTGGAAGGGTGCAAGTATCTTTGGAAAGCTGAGCGGAACGAATGATAGTTGGATTGGGCAGTTAGAGTATGACCGGCTTGGTCACAGGCTGATGGCCTACAAGTGCATGTGGGCATATTAGGTTGATATGGTCTATATTGAAGAGTTATGCGGTAGGAGCTATGAAACAATGGGTATAATTTCTTTCTTCAACTTGAGAACTATTTTCACAGCAAGTTTTCCAAAACAATGGTAATTCACCAACTGACGGGTTTTTGTTATCTTCGTTGCCCCACTCTCGGAGAAACCTTCCACATCCACCAACCTCGGATTAACAAATATCCGCCCACCCTAACTTCCCACCCACCCAAGCAGGCGGTCGTCAATGGCATTATGGCAGATGGTAAGTTGAAGATGTCACGCTTCTTTTGATCCCAATATCCAGGAGAACCGAGTCCGTGAGGTTTGGGGCTAAAAGACAACCAAAACAGGGTTCTCGCCCACTTCACCTCCGCCCAGCCCGAGCCTGCTGCCACACTCCCCACCCGATTCCCCAGCTTTCATCGCGTTCAACAACGGTACGTTTCTATCCTGTAAATTGGAGAAAGCCGGCAATTGATACTAATTGAGTTCCAGGCTACGATCAGTGGAACAATCTCATAGCCCCTGACGAGGTGAACGGCTTTGACCCCACCACCCGATTTGATACCCTCTTCAACAGTAAGCTTCCAACATTGAACTCCGCTCCGATCCAGTGTTTATTGACCTGCATAGATCCCCCCGCCCTAGCCCTTCCAGTCACAGAGGAAGAGAGCGCCGAACCCCCCGGCGAGCAAGAATCCCTCAGCGAAGAAAGAGAGACTTCTTTTGAAGGTGACTCAGTTCACACGCAGACCGACGATCTTGAACATTTGTGGAGCAAGTTCGAGGTTGAGTATCGAACTGGTAATCTTGCCGAATTCGTTGGCGATTTGTGGGATCTTTACGACCCTATTTCCAGCAGAAACCAAGTCGAAGCAGCAGAGCTTCTCTCTCTCATAAATTTCTGTGGTATCCTCTTACCCTACCAGAACGGTTACCAGAACGGGAGCACAGAATCCGAAGGCGAGGAAGAAGAAACCTCTGCTTCAGATAATTCGGAGGACAGCAAGTCTGACTCTGGCTCTGACGACGAAAGTACCGGAAATCCCACCGGAACTCCTGACAACGGATACGGAGCTCAAGAACCAAGCTCTTCTGCTCCGAACCGTGGCCCCTCCAATCCCGGTAATTCGTACAGACCTCCGCAGATACTTGGTAAAAGACGCCGCAGGGACAGCCCTGACCACCACAAGATGTCTTCCAAGCTGAAGGAGGAACAGCCCTCTGGGAGCTTCCACCAGGACTACATCGCATCCTTGCGTTATCGCAATGATCTCCCTCCTCCGGACATGCCCCCGAAGTTCCTAGATATTCCACATGAAGGTCTAAGCCGCTTCCTTACCCCTGGGTTTGCTTCCAACCTTGCGCGTCGCGAGGAACCAAATATCGACGTTGATGCCGAGGGTGGTATGCCTATTGACATGGTCGGTATTCCGGGTCTACACCTCGGAGATGAGAGTGGTAAGCGAAAACTTTTCCTTTTATTTGTTTAAAAACGTATATGACTGACACTTTATTAAGCGATTATGGCACCCGAGAACCCGCAGCCGATTGACCCCGCTGATCTCCCACTCCTGATGGCCCTGGATCAGTTGCGCAATCCCGCCCCCAAGAACACGAATGTCAGCTTCCTCCGTCGCACGCAACATATCTCTGTCGAGCGCAGTGCTCCTTCGGGATCAGGTTCTACTACTATCAATGCCCAAAGCCGGCCTCTCAAGAAAACAAAGGTTTCAGTTGATGACCCCAAGCACGTCAAGAAGTTGGTCCAGAAGGGCTTCGATGTCGCCTATCCCGAGAGCAAGTACACCGGCGAGGACACAGAGAGTCATATTCGAGGCCTTCCCGCCACAAAGGCCGAGATTGATGCCTGGGCTAACCCGGTCCACCCTGATAACCCGAAGCTCAAGGCCGTTGGCTTCTTCGCTGTCCTGCCCGACCTAGAGGGCTTCACAGATCCTGGAGGTTTGGTCCAATTCAAATTCGACAAAGCACCTGTTTCGGCTGTTGGTGGAAAGCGGGACAAGCGCATGGATGTGGCTCTGTTGCACCCATCCGCCCCCGAAGATCGAATCTGTGAGGAGCATGCGCAGAAGGTGGCCTTGCACAAAGCCAACCCGGAGGTCTACCCTGACCCCGGTCCCATCCCTTGGGATTATGACCTCTTCTTGTCGGAGAAATCAGAGTCAGTGAAGAAGATTGGTATCAGCATGGACCCGAAGAACCCGAATCGTGACAACGAAGATCTTTATGCTCACGAAGGAACTGAGGGCCACAAGTTCCACCGATACGACCGTGTTCGCACCTACGCTACGAGTGCTCAAACTCTCAATACCGACCAGAAACAGAGAGATATTGCTCTGACTCTGTTCCAGCCAAATGAAGGCGAAACTAAGCAGCAAGCTGCTTACTACTACCCGATCCTCGGCAAGACGCGCCTAAAGCCTGAGCGTGCCCGTACAATCGCCCAGGCTGGGTTGGCACCAACCGCATCCTTGGTCAAGGAAGATCAAATCGACCAGATGCAGGTCGCTGTCCGCGACCCCGATGAGGCCGAGGTCTACAAGAGGGCTCTGCACCGAGCCAATATCGACCCGGAGTTCGCCAAGACTCTCGGTCCTCCCCCGGAGCCACCCGTGGCTGAACAGGGCTCCCCAGATGCCCTGGGCGATGAGGTGGCTGGGGATGACGAGGACACGCGGATGAGCGAAGAGTAAGTCGGTCGCAGTTGTGTGGGAGGACGATCAAATCTCTTTGATCACCTTGTGTTTGAACAGTGTTTGATTATTGTGGATTCCGAGTTATGGAGCCTGGCGCACGTGGGCAGTCGAAAAGGCGTTATCGTATGGTGATTTTGCGAGGGCGGATTAGACTCATCCACGTATGACTTATCTTTAAGAATGAATCCGTTTGACCCCTAGAACTGAAAGCTTCCAGCGAATTCCTTTGATCCAAAGTAACGAAACAAGTGACAACTCCACTGTGTTGGTGTATAATACCCGTGGACTTTGAATCTAGTTCAAATCCTCCCCAAAAAGGAAGGTAGGGCTTGGACTGTTGACTATTCACCGCCTTCCCATATTCACCGCCCGCCGAGAACCCGATTTCGCCCTATGATAACTTGATCTGCAAGGGCGTTGCAGAACCTCGGATCAAGCAATTGCAGTAAGTAATTCCCTTCAACGCTGTCAAGCTCCTCATTATCGTATTTGCGGCCTCGAAAGAATTCGTCCCATGGCCTAAACTCCAGGCCGAGCCAATTGTCCCATATTCAGCCACACGCATCCAACTCGCCGGATCAAGGAACCCAAGCTCACCAATTACATAGGTCCAATTCGGCGCTCTTACGCCGAGGCAGGCCAATTAAGCATACCCCTCTAATCGTACATCCAAATGACCTCTGCATCTGCCACAATGGCTTGGAGGGCCGGTCTCCGAGCTCGTTCGCTCCCCGCCGCCCGATGGTCGCAACGCCCGTCCGCTTTGCTACCGAGGCGGGCCGAGCGCTTGCCTAGTGCTGTGCGATATGCTTCGGACTCGGCTCCTGCTACAGCTGCCGAGCCCGTGAAGGAGGCTGCTAAAGAAGTGCCTAAGCGCGCAGCTCGTGGATCCCGGAGGGGCCTTTATGGCACATCGTTCGCCCTGGCGCTCTTGGTGGGCTATATCTATGGAACTGATACTCGGGCTAGCATTCACCGTTATGCTATGGTGCCTTTGATTCGCATGCTGTACCCCGATGCGGAGGAGGCGCATCACTTCGGCGTGGAGATTTTGAAATCGCTCTACGAATACGGCATGCACCCCCGGGAACGTGGTAACCCCGATAGCGACGGTGCCCTGGCTACTGAGGTTAGTGCTTGGCTCTCTCACAGCGGTTGATGCTACTGCAGCAACTAATCGGGATTACGTTCAGGTCTTCGGCTACACCCTCTCGAACCCAATCGGTATCTCCGCCGGTCTGGACAAGCACGCCGATATCCCCGATGCCCTGCTCGACCTTGGTCCCGCCATCGTCGAGGTTGGCGGTACCACCCCGCTCCCTCAAGACGGAAACCCTAAGCCACGAGTCTTCCGCCTGCCCTCGCAACACGGAATGATCAATCGATACGGCCTCAACTCCAAGGGTGCAGACCACATGGCCGCCGTCCTGAAGCAGCGTGTTCGCGACTTCGCTTACGCCGCTGGCTTCGGTGACTACGACGGATCTGAGCAGCGCGTCCTGAACGGAGAAGCCAACGTTCCTCCTGGCAGTTTGGTCCCGGGCAAGCTTCTCGCTGTGCAGGTAGCTAAGAACAAGCTCACACCGGACGGTGACATCGAGGCTATCGCACGCGACTACACTTACTGCGTAGACCGCGTGGCTCCCTATGCCGACATCCTTGTCGTGAACGTCTCCAGCCCTAATACACCCGGTCTCCGTGATCTGCAAGCCGCTGCACCCCTCACAGCTATCCTGACAGCCGTCGTCGGCTCTGCTAAGAGCATCGACCGCAAGACCAAGCCCTTCGTCATGGTCAAGGTCAGCCCAGATGAGGACTCGGACGAGCAGATCTCCGGTATCTGTGAGGCAGTCTGGAACTCCGGTGTCGATGGCGTGATCGTCGGAAACACTACCAACCGCCGACCCGATGCTATTCCCAAGGGTTTCGCCCTCCCCGAGAAGGAGCAGCAGACCCTTAAGGAGACGGGTGGTTACTCTGGCCCGCAGCTCTTTGATCGCTCCGTTCCTTTGGTCGCTCGTTACCGCGCCTTGCTGGACCAGGGTCCCCCGTCCGAGTCTGCGCAGGATGCTGCTGAGCAGCCACGCAAGGTGATCTTTGCTTCAGGTGGTATCACCAATGGGCAGCAGGCACGTGCGGCACTTGATGCCGGTGCCTCTGTTGCAATGATGTACACCGGTATCACATATGGCGGTATTGGTACGGTGACCCGCGTTAAGCAAGAGATGCGGGAGCTGCTGAAGAAATAAGCGGTATAGAAAAGCCAGGTGATTGCATTTTGTACATAGCATAGGACAGGGAATTGCATCTTCATTTCATTTCATTTCATTTCTGCTTCTATAGCGTGCGAATAGGTTCGCCTTTGTGGGTGTTTTCTAGTCGGATGCTTCGTCTCGAGTCATTTTATCTGTGTGCGTGGCTAATAGAGGGCATATACATCCTGCCTACTTAGGCAATGCCGTCAGAATAAAATATGGGTATAATGCCACAATCCACAAGTCCATAATTCTATGGGAAAGAGGGGCAAAGCTCGGATTACTGCATCAGTTCTAAAATCCACTATAAAGTGGACTAAAGACAGCTGGACCCCACGTTCCAGTTCCGCAGCCACGAACCAAAAAGAAAACCACATACACCAAAACAACCAAGTGGCGAGGTACCGGCTAATTGGGGTTCACCGAAAACCCACGCAGATCTCAAAAAAGCCTTTATGGGTGTAAAGCCAGGTACAAATTTCTGATCATCCTCGTGACAGGTGAATAAGCCCCAGTTTCTCAGACGTGGAGCTCCACGAGCCCCATACAAGCTGTGGAGCAGAGGGTTCTCCATCTCGGGATCCCCAAGATAGGCTTTCCCGAGAAAGTCGGGGAATCTCCTACTCGTCACGACCCACTAAAAGTGGACAGCGGTGCGGTTTGCCTCTGGTTCGCAAGAAGATTGGATGAAATGCAAGCTGTCTAGACCGTTTTTGTTTTCTTGCTTTTGTTTTGATGCAATTTCCACCTGGTATTTGTCTGTATAACAATGACGGTATGATGTAAGACGCGAAACGACAATACCACTCCGACACTGAATCCAAGTGCAATGTTGAAGATGGAAACACCAGACCATTATAATCCTCAGATATTCGTATATCGTAATCGTAATCGTAGACCGGATCGTCCAAATCAAGCGAGACTCTCCTCAACTTCCCGAACAACCTTCCGCACGCCCTCGATTTCGTGCGCAAATCGTCCAAGAAACATCCCATCAACGGCCTTACCAAGTCCACCCTCACCCCAAAGTCCTGGACCGGCACTACCACCGTAAAGCACACGTGCAGGCCGCGACCCGATGACACCACGTATTCCCTCCACGACTGCAGCTACATGATCCACACCAGCCGGCTTCGGCTTCCCAATCGCCCACACAGGCTCATAGGCAAAGATGACCGGTGCCTCGGCAGGGATAGCATCAAGTACGGCGCGAATAAGCACAGCGCACTCGGAAACAGCTTGACCGACCGCCTCAGACGCGACAGCACCGGGCGCAGTAATCTCGCCAACACAGACGAGCGGGACCATTCCCTGCGCACAGGTAGCCGCAGCCTTCCGCGCAGTCTGCTCATCTGTCTCACCGAAGATAGCGCGACGCTCTGCGTGGCCTAGTTCGACGATTGAGCAGCCCAGAGCACGGATGGAGGCAGGTGAAACCTCGCCTGTGTATGCGCCGCTTTGCTCCCACATGCAATCCTGAGCACCGAGGAAGAATGGAGGAGGGCCGGAGGTGAGCTTTCCGGATGCTGAAAGCTGGGTTTCATATTCTTTTAGGATCTCGGCGCAGGGCCAGATGGTGAGGAAGTCTGGGATTAGGGCCAGGAGGAGCTTGGAGCTGTTGGCGGGGTTGACAATTTCGTTTGCTGGGTCTAGGAGGCCGCGCATGTATTCGAGGGTGCGGGCTGGGGTGAAGTACATCTTTAGGGAGATGAGGAGAAGCTTCTCCGGGAGAATGGGGTAGGCTTGGGCCATGGTGATAATGCAATTAGTCGTCTTGGCTGGAAGTCTCGTATGAGGGTATACGGTTAGGAGGAAAGTTGAGAGATTATTTTCCTATTTCTTGGTGTCTGGAGGCGTCAGCCCAATCCCACCCATGCGTTAGTGGCCGACGTGGCTGCACTAAATTCAGGGATGTTCCTACTTACTCGGGAAGCACGGACTGAGCTGGATGATGTCACGGTTTGGATGAGGGAACTAGGCCGAGGAACAGGTCTAGATGCTATAAGGTAAAACTAGGTCGACAAGTTCAGGTACCTAGCAAGGGGAGGATTGAGAACAAAACCTGTTGGAGGATTCCCCACTCCATCTATACAGACGTGGGGTACGGCCGCTTTAACGTCGAAAAGCGGCATGAGATAAACACTAAAGCAGCAAAGCTTTCAACAATTCTCGTGTCGCAATTGTACTTCTCGTTTTATCAACTGGCTCTTTCCGTTTATGACTGAACTGCACGTTTCATCTGAATGGTATCTTTGCGCAGTACCCCGGAGTACACACGACCGATCGCGCAAATCCGGAGTAGAAGTCGAAGTAGCTCTGGACCGGTAACCAGCGGGGAAGTGGGGACGATTACTGGTCTAAGCCAACAGGTCTATGCGTATCGGAGGGCATTCTATGGCCCACTGGCATCCTGCTCATACTGTAACGTGCATTGCGAATAGGCTGCATTCCAGAGAAGTAGTCCGTGGATTACGCATGGTAATGGATCTCGAATTTGAGTCCATCGTGATATACGTATAGATCTATTTCTAGCGTTGCGGCTCCCGCAATGATGTAAATGCCAGGTTTTTCAGTCATCTTTTCTTGCTTTTCGGCCTCAGGGGAAAACACTCACACGGGATATTGAGTCTAACCCGTTCCTTACCCCTCTCATCACTCCATCTGCAAAGCCTCGCACGGGCGTTCCAATGCGGCACCGGGATCAGCCCATTGACCCCAGCAATTGACATGTGCACAAGCCACATCCCGCCCAGTGACATCGATGGCTTATTCAAAAGCCCAAGATCTAGATGCTCAAGATGAAGGTAAATAGCTTCTAATTATGAGACCGTTTGCGGGTATATCTTTGTAAATACGGGGTAAGGTGAGTGTACGGAAACTGTACCGGTTGAAATCTGGTTCCGGCCAGAAAGTCCTACCCGCGTCGGACCAGTCACAGTCCCTGATAACCGTTTCCATGACGCTATGGCGCCCCATTTCCCCCCGACACAGTAACATATCAACAGGTTAGCTGCACTCTGACTTCATTTGCAGAGTGGAGCCTTTGTTCCTCGTCCCGATGCAGAGAGGATTGGTTCCATCAGCCCGTGCTCCACCCTGGGGTATTGGGTTGCACGGATGGACCTGCACCAAGGTATAAAGAGGGCCTGAATGAATGTCAAATGGATTTCGATTCCCTCTCAGACCTATTTCAATCCTACACCAAAGCTCCCTCTTTCCACTTAAAAGCCTCTTCTCGATCTAAATCCATCATGTCTGCTCAGCCCCTCCGCATTGTTATGGCCTGTGACGAGGCCGGTGTTCCTTACAAGGACGCCATCAAGGCCGTCCTGGAGAAGCACGACGGTGTTGCCTCCATCACCGACGTCGGCGTCAACACCTCCGATGACAAGACTGCCTACCCCCACCCCGCCGTCGAGGGCGCCAAGCTCATCAAGGAGGGCAAGGCTGACCGCGGCCTCTTCATCTGCGGTACCGGTCTCGGTGTCGCAATCGCTGCCAACAAGGTGCCTGGTATCCGCGCCGTCACTGCCCACGACCCCTTCTCCGTCGAGCGCTCCATCCTGAGCAACGACGCCCAGGTCCTCTGCATGGGCCAGCGTGTGATCGGTGTCGAGCTGGCCAAGAAGCTCGCCGTCGACTGGCTGCAGTACCGCTTCGATCCCAAGAGCGGCTCTGCTGCTAAGGTCCAGGCTATCTCTGACTATGAGACCCAGTTCGCCGGCCAGGCTTAAATGTGCCAATCAAGGGGCGAATTTCTCTTCTTTGCGTACTGAGACTATGTGCCCCTATGTCTTTGTCGCAACTTCGTGCCGGTGGAATGGTTTATATACCGGTATATCTTGTTGTGCGAGGCGCAACTTGAGTCGAATTTCTTTTGTCGATATACTAAGCGCATCATGATACCACGATTCCAATGTCGAGTCTTGCTGTATGGGTTGAGAATTAGATGATAGAGGAACTTATTTACTGGTCCCTTCCCACAAATGCGAAACCTGCAGTCTTGATTTTTTGCAATCTTTTCCGGAGTAATATCTGTAAATGTGAACTATGAACTGCTGACTCATCTGAGGTTCTGCGGGGATCGATAAGCTTCTATAACGAGCAACCGTGACCTCCGATTCTCCAAGTAACATACATCCTGGCCCCGGGAAAAAGCGTCTCACCCGAGCTCTGTTTCGTTCTTTATATTATATTTTCTCATTCTCTGCTCCAAAAAAAACCCGCACCCAATATTTGAATCTTCTCCAGGGCTCTATACAAGGTGAACCGCCCCACCTGGGGGTTCCGAACTGATTGATCAGCGACTCCAAAAGTCGTCTTAAAACCACTTTCACTTTCACCTGGCAACCCTGTGAATAAGAAACACTCCATCACCACCATGGCCCAAGCCCTGAAGACTAAAGCCAACGAGCTATTCAAGCAAGGCGACTATGTCGGTGCCGAGGAACTCTACTCCCAAGCGTAAGAACAATCTTACTCTCCGCGACCCCCGAAGAACCTACCCCACGTCTCCGCGCAAAAGCACAACATGCATAGCACTAGAACGACTTGACTAACTCGTTCCGGAATTTAGTATCCTCAAAGATCCGCATGACCCGACATTCTTTACTAACCGCGCCGTTACCCGGATCAAGCTTGAGAAATGGGCCGACGTCGAACATGATGCCCGTGCCGCTATCGATATCTACGGCCTGAAAAATACGGCGACGCTCAAGAGCTCCTATTACCTTGCCCAAGCGCTTCTGGGTCTTCAACGCCCCCAGGAGGCGTACGATGTCGCCGTGACCGCGTACGAGCTTAGTTTATCGGAGAAGAATGCGCAGACGGAGAACTTGTCGCGGACTGTTCTGCGGGCTAAGCAGCAGATTTGGGCGGCGAAGGAGACGGCTAGGTTGCGGGAGATGAATGAGACATTGCGTGGTGTGGAGGAGCTTGTTGAACGGGACTTGGAGCGCTCGATTGCTGAGTCTAAGGCGCAGCTTGAGGCGGGGCAGATTGGAGAGATTGGGTTTGGGGAGGATTGTAAGGCGTTGAGGGAGGATGCGGCCAAGATGATTCAGGATGTGCGAGAGGCGTTTCGGATTGCTTCGAAGGGGGAAGTACAGGAGCGGGTAAGTTCTTTTTCCTTCCACTGGCTGTGTCTGTTTTGAGTTGTGCTAACCTGGATAGGTTGTTCCGGACCATTTGGTTGATGGTATCACATTTGAGATCATGCATGACCCTGTCATTACCCCATCTGGTATTAGTTATGATCGCATTGGCATTGTTAAGTATGTCGAAAAAGCTGGTGTGGATCCGGTCACTAGAGTTGCAATGACTGTCCAGGATCTGCGGCCTAACTATGCCCTCAAGGCTGCTTGTGAGGAGTTCTTGACCAAGAATGGCTGGGCGGTCGACTGGTGAAGACATGTTCCACTATTCATACTTATCCTCGTGGCTTGTACATATTATTTTGGTTTATTCAGGTGCATAGCGAGTGAGTTCACTAGCGTTGGCATCGACTTGCATTGGTAGGCGTCTTTTAGTTTATGAGAATTGACATTGTCTGATGTATAGACACTACCATACATACTTACTGCCATACAAAAACATTTAATGAATTTTTGTTATCCAGGTTGTCGAACGTCATATAACACTATGAGATATGATAAATTTCTCATATAGGTGCAGACTATAAGTGGTATCAATGGTATAGAGATATCATTAGCCAGAGGATCATACCCCGAGACCCCAGTCTGCCGCCATGCGCTGAAGAATTGCCGCGGACCATGGTTCATCTGAAGGTCGGTACGGAGTAAGGGGAAGATCATAAGGCATGCGCAGTCCAACTACAGTAGCAACACCCGGAGCCAAGGTAGCCGGATCAGGCTGGTTCCGCTTGAAACAAGGCATCATCAATACATCCGAAGGTGTCGTAGTATGCGCAGAATCCATGGAGTGAGAGTCGTTGTATAGTTCAGGCCAAACAACAACGCCAATCTCAAAACTTGATATTCTCACTTCGCCACTTGCGTTTGGGACTGCACCCCAGGCCTGCGTGGATAGATTGGCAGATGTCACCATGGCCCAGTCAATGGTTTCCATCTTCTCGTCATGAAATCGAATGTATGTTTTGATGTGCGGTGCAGCTTTACCGCGGCCAGCCTCGCGGTTCGGCTTGTCTTCAGAGAGGTCAATGACTTTTGAGGCACCGGCCCATTGACATAGATGTGGGCGTAAATATTGTAGTTGTTTCTGATGAGCTGCGCTTTGAGTTTTCATGTGGATTGAACCGCCAGATGCATACCCATCCAGAGAACGAAAAACTTCTTCCGTTGTTGGCCATATAATCGAGTATTTTGGTGGGGGATCGGATGATGGTGCAAGAGCTTTGAAAAACTCTTTTAGCCATTTGTCTGATTGGCCGAGAGAGGCTATCGACGAGACCTGGGAATTTTAGACTTTGAGCTGGTTTCTAAAGAGGTATGCATACCTGTATCGCAATATGACCGACTTGGCGATCCTTTTCTTCTTTGGTTTGTCTCACGGGAACTTGGCCCATCAGATTCTTCAACGCAGGCCAGCCCCATAATGTTGTATTTCCGGAATCGAGATCAATAAGACTTTGCTTTGAAGGTACACTTGCAATAAGAGCCGCACGTATCGCACCAAAGTCATACTGGTTTAGCTGCTGCACTAGGGGGCCCGTTTTCTTGGAGCCATACGCTCTCAGGTATGTAAGCAAGTCTTTTTTGAATCGTGTACCGGTGCCCAGAGATGTAGTTTCCGAGGGAGAAGATAAGGCCCCTAGGCTCAACAGAGACAGCAAAGGAGATTGCCAAACCGCTTGGGTCATATTCGTCCAGTCTTGTGGGATCATGTTGGCAGTGTGGATGACAACCCTGGAATTATTAAAAATGAGGTCGCATACCAGGATGTAAAGTCGACTTACTGGGCTAGATCATCATGCCGGAGAAGAATCATCATTTTAGAATGATGAGTCCCGAAACGTTCAGGCATATAGGCTGTAATAGCCTCGACATTCGGATACCGAGTGCATGCTTCCTAATTTTGGTAAGCTTTGAGCCCTCCTCCAATTAAATAAGGATATGCATGTCAAAGCATTGAGGATACTTACATCTATCCGAATCTTATTCATGGATTCCCGCTCCCAGGATCCATGAACAATTTTGACTTGAACGAGACCTCTGACATCCTGATCAAAGTTGGACATCAAAAAATCCACATCAAAGCAGTAGTTAAATTGCCAGCACTCCTTGATCATGGGGTCCCCAAGAATGTCGCGTAGTTCAACTGTGCCCTCATTGAAGCCTCCTTTGTCCGGGAGGCCTTGGATATGAGTGAGCTGGAAGGGTGAAGAAATCAAACGAGAAGAATAAATTTTATTTGCTGGGAGTCCGTCATCCTGATCACCAGGAATCGCAGGACACACTGAGATCGGTTCCAAGGGTTGCCCGGAGCGTGTCCGCGTCGGCGGTGAAATGGACCTTTGCAGGGATTCAAGTGGGGTCGAGATGCCACTTGCCGAACTGTCACAATCTTTGAGTGGATCCGTAGAGATTCTTGCCCGCTTAGAGGGGCGCTCCGTCATAATCAAATATGAGGTGGTAAGGAGCTGAGAATCAGATGAGGCGAAAGAAGTAAGGTTCAATGATCGGAGATTGATACCAAACTTGGAAATGTGGAGCCCGAATGAATACCGCAAGTGCAATTTGGGAATGAGATATTGCAGCATTCAATAAGCTGCGAAGTCTTGAGTTGAAGACGGAGTTTCAACCAGTTCGACGGGGAAGTATATGCGACTCCTTGGCGTTTTTTTGCTAACCAGGACGGCACACGTGACCTTATCTGACCAGCGAATATCACATCAGCTGATCTGCTCTCTCTCACACCACTGTGACAACCTATGCCTTTGGACGACATTGCACCTGATCCAAGAAGACTGTTGATTGATGCGCTTGATTCTATTTACATGATGAAGTCAGCGGTCGAATGCATATCTCTATTGCTAATCCTCTTGGTGTTATCGACATTCCAGAAATACATATCCGGGCATGAGTTGTCTTCCGAGATAGAGGGTTAGCTAGAGAGCACTTCCTAAATGGCGTAGGCGGCGAATTTGATTTCCTCTGCTGTGTCGGTGTCGTGAGGCAAAGAACCGCTAAAGGCCCCGAGGCCTACTGTGTATAGGAAAGTCCCAGCAGATGTCTTTACACAATTGGTCGGCGAAAATTGGGAACTCATTTCGCAGTGAACGGTACAACCCCGATTCCTTACCCGCAGGAGATCGCGCCTTGGCGATTCATGGGTAAACTTGACGCAGAGTCTAAGACCCTGGAACTCCCCCCAAATGCAGTCCGGAGAGGAGCGGAACACAGAACTCTAAACTAGATCGGCAAACGATCTGGACTTGAATGATATAAGTACTGTAATATGTATATAGTGAAAGGTATTTGACAGCGGTTTTTAGACCGCGTATCCTGCTGTGCCTTCATCAGACCTCTTGATATGGCATTCAGACCACTCGACACCATCCAGAACGGCGAGTCTGATCGGTACAATTGCAAGCATCTCTTGCACCATTTTCTGTTTTTCTGCTGGCAAATTGTCCACAACGGCCTTGGGTGGCCCGTGTAATTTCATGTATAATTGCACACCACACACTCGGCAGAAACAATGGCCATTAAACTTGCGCTGAAAGAGGTATTCTGATGTGTTCTCAGATCCGTGAATCGAGACACTGTCTCGGTGAGAGTAAATGCAGATATTGGCATTCTATCCGAGTCAGACCTAGCCACATGGGAAGTTTTCGGGAATGAATGCTCACCCTTTGGCAGATACTGCAGTTATCTTCCTTGATCTCCACCTCTGACATAGGTTTGAGCTTCACGGCTAGAGTTACGGCACCACAACAACAGCCTCCAGTGTAGAGCTTCAGATTGTCGCCTGAGACTTTCGGTAATTGTCCGTGGAATGGAGCAGAGACAGGTGCGCTGTCGTAAGGGCCATCCAGGCTATTTTAATGTTAAAGGAAATCTTCTGTGAAAGGCCTTGAATTGCCTACGCCTTAATTTCAAGAGTAAATGGATTCACGCCTAGCAATGCTCTTGCCTATATATAATCCACATTCAGCATCGCAGACGTGGCAGGCTGGGACAAGGACCACTCACATTCACAGCAATATTTGATTCTCCCTTCTGTACCATATGATTCTTCGCCATGATTCCTGTACCGCACACTGGGCAAAACTCAAAGGGATAAGGTCAGTGATAAACAATCTAAGTGTCATTGAAGTTTCCTCACATAATGTTCCCCGCTGCGATCATTTGCAGTATATGCAGCCATGACTTGCTGACCATCTGTAATCCGGAACTGAGATTTCTCGGGAAATATCCAGAGATAGCCCTTCTTGCTACAAATCGAGCAACGGCAGCTGAAAACATGCCACAAGGATTGGTGTAGATCCAGATCAAATCTAATTTGACCGCAATGGCAATTTCCCCTATAAGATTTTGGCGAAGACATCTCGTTATCAGCCATGTTCACCTCTGCCATGTTTTTGTTTGAGATGAGATCTAGGAACATATGAGATTAGAAGGTAAGGGCAGCAAGAGAAGCATGTATGTTTCGCAGGGAGCAACAAGGAAGAAAATAATCTACGAGAGGTGAGGCCCGGGTATAGGATAAGCACGTTTCTAATGTGGACGTTAGTAGGCTGGAGACTGGGAATCCGGAGACAAAGAGGGGATCTAGTCAATATATGGGGGCCTTCGCAACGCTAGCTATATCTGATTTAGTATGATGATACAGTGCCGCTATCGCTTCAAATGTCCATAGAGAAGCTTTCAAACCCTTATCATATGACGCACCAATCCTGATTTGGTTAGTCTTACTTGATGATCCGTTCTAAGGCTGAATTGTGAAGTGTTAAAAAAAAAATAACAGTATAGGTGTTTAGCAGACGTATGATTGCCCTTCTCAAAATAAACTCAATATGCCCATGGCGCCTTCCAAGGGTCCAGACCCCGCGTCGAAGGGCACGAACCCTCCATGTTTAGCAACGTAAGCCATTCTTCATATTACTCAGAGCAAAAACAAAAAGGGTCAGAAGATTTCGCAAATACGCCCGGTGACTGAGTGAAGTGAGTATTTAGTCCCTTAGGCAGGAACCAGGATTGGCTGACATTACTTTCACGTTTGTGATACTGTCCACATTTCTGCGCATAACACTAAGGTTAATGTCTACTTATAATTCTAGTTTGAACCATCAAGAAGAGTCGAAGTCCGCGAGTCTGTTAAATTTTACATAAATTATTTTGACAATACATTACTAAGCCCGATTTATACTTCAGAAAGTATCAGGCTTTGCTTCTTCACGACCTCACTTTGACAGGTTCCGGGGGGTTAGGTATTCGAAAGCGTCTGAAGGTCACTAGTTCCATCACCGCCTATGAAAACACACAGCTTAGTGACCAAAGAGTTATTGGCAATTAAGATCGAAGATATCCTGTTGTTATTAAAAGCTATATTTTGAAAGGTACAGATATCATGTATTAGGGCACAAAAAGGCGGTATCAGGACAACACAGGGACACTGATACAATGTTTGCTGCCGGGAGATGCTATGCATAGAGATGGGATTATCATTGCTCGATAACAGAATTATGGTACAATAGTGGTTATGTCGTCTCAAAATACATCTCAAATGGAAAATAAATGACACAGGGATTTGAAAAGATGGCGCATCACAGGTTCAACCCCGCAAAGAGATCATCCTCTTCAGCTTCTAATTCCCCATTCTTTCTGAGAACCGCTTTCACAACTTTCTCCTCCCACTGCAGACGCTCGATGAGCTGAGCGAGGTCTCGGCAAAGGGAGCGGATCGCAGGCCATTGGCGATCACGCAGGTTCGGGTCTCGTAGCACGGTATTGTATAGCTCCTTGCGATATTCGGGCCCGGTAGGGACCTTGAAGTCCTTAGCAGCAGCTTTCTCGGCTGCGTTCCGGGTATTGTCGTTGCCCACCGTCCCGCCCTTCTCTCTTGCGTGGACCTCATCTGCTGCATCATCCTCCTCCAGGCCATCCTCCTCCAGGCCATCCTCCTCCAGACCATCCTCCTCCAGACCATCCTCCTCCAGACCATCCTCCTCCAGACCATCCTCCTCCAGACCATCCTCCTCCAGACCATCCTCCTCCAGACCATCATCATTCTCTAAGCTATACTCCTCCAGTGTGTTATCCTCCTCTACCCCATTTTCAGGAATTACTGAATCCTCATCAGATTCTTCTTTGATCCCCTCAGCATGCCGACAAAATGACGAGGGCCTGTCAGAGTCGTCGGAGTATTCAGAGTCGTCGGAGTCTTCAGACTCGTCAAACCCCTCGAACCCGTCGGACTTTTGAGATTCCTCGGCTCGCCGACGCTTATTAACCGAACTTCTAAGCGTCCGCCCAGAGACATTGACTGAACAGAGGCCATCAGGCTCGTCAAACTCATCTTCAACGTCCTCGGCCCGCCGACGCTTGGTGGCCAGATGCTGGGGAGCTCGGCTAGAAGCCGTAGATGACGGAGGCTCTTGAGACCTGTTGGGCTCTTCAATCTCCTCAGCACGTCGACGTGTAGTGGCAGAAACCCTAAGCGTCGGGCCAGCAGTATTTGGTGTGAAAGGCTCATTGGACTCGCTATACTCATTAACCATACCCACACAGCCACGTCGCAGGACTGGAGCGCCAGGGTTCACGGCCCTGAGTGCATTGAAGATATGGGGAGGAAGGAGGCCCGAACGGAAAGAACACTTGTGAGTTTGAGCACCCCAGGCACAATTGGCACAGGCTCCATTGAATAGAAGCCGTCCATGGACAATGGCAATCTTGCAGGATTCGAAAGGACCACAGCCACGGCGGCAAAAGTCACACGCGTATCCATTAGGGGCAGAGATCCCAACCTGCTGCATGAACGCAGCCCGGCGCGGAGTTGATCCTCCGCGCGCGATTGACCCAGTGATAGGCTTCCGGTTATTCTCGCGCCAGTCCACGTCCGTGACGTGTGTACTGGTGATAGGTAAGGCGAGTAGTAAATTTTTCTCGTAGTTGGACTCAAAATGAGACCGCAAGGGGTTTCCAGAGGTGTCGAGACCAGGAATATCGCTTGGCTTCTGACCAAATTCGTCCAACTGGGATCCATCCTGCTCGTCCATTTGACCATCCATCTCCTGCTTGTCCGAATGGGGATTCGCTACTTGTTTCTTGAGGATCTGTATGGATAGTTTCTTGATCAATCCGACTCGGGAGGATCAGCAGAGTCCTATCAAGCTCTTAGCTAAATAGAAAAATAGGAGTTGTGGGTTTGTTTCACGACACGCCCGCTTGTAGTACACTTTCTTTGTCCACGGGTTGTCATGAAGCTATCACGTGAATAGCGACAAGGATATGTAATCAGAATGAAATAGGCACAATTACAATCTCAAAAAACAATTTATCATAGTAGAAAGGACGAGCATGCGTGAAAGAGTAAGTTTTGATGGATGAGGTGACTTCCTACTTCACGGGCCCACGCGGCAACGATGAGCCAGAGCATCCTAGACATTACCACATTGAGGTTAAAAGGGGGTGGCTATTTCCGCAATCTAGAATAATTTGTTTTTTTATATGTATCTGAAATAGTATATAAATGGAGTTTTCTAATTGGTTGCGGAGGATGATGTTCCAGGCCCCGCGTTCGTTTAGATCGTAACTTTATTTGCCTCTTACGCCCTAAAGATCTGGCGTAGAATAAAGTCAAAGCTGCATCCATTCCTCTCCTAGCGATGTTCGCAACTCGGAATGGATAATGACGAACAAGAATGCCCAATCGGTTTAGTACGTCCGATCTTTATGAGTCTTCTGGCATTTGTGAAGAACTAGAAACATCGTACTCTATATAACACACCATACCCAAAGCGATTCGAATCACCATCATGAAACGAACTATTCCCTTCTGGCTTCAGTCGAGATGATATTCTTCATCAAGATGCTCAAAAACGAAACTGCGCCAATGAGAGCAAAGTTGTTTCCTAGGATATATTGTCCAGGAACAAGCACCACCTCATTCTGCACGACGAAGTCTGTAGCAGCTGAGGTCGACAAACAAGTTTACTGAGAACTTTGGGTAAAATATAAATACATTTTGGACTATTGTACAGGTACTTCCAATGAAATAGCATTTCCGCGGAAAATCACCACATGAACCGTTGGATCTTACCAGGCTCCTGGGGCCACTCAAAGCCCTTGTATAAGAACAGATACCCGGTGACAGCGTTAATAACCAAGAACCAAACAGTCTCAACGAACTTGGGTGCATTGGTAGCCAAGTCATTGATTTCTCTCTCCCTTTCGGTTTGAGGACGTTGCTTCCGAAATGCGGCAGGGTTCGGCATGGCTGGAAGATGCAGACGCCATAATACCCAGGGGATGATAAAGTAACGAGGTTCGACCAAGGGGGCTGTCACAAGGGACAGGGTGGTCGCTGCAAGCCATACAAGGACGAAGCTGACACGCGGAGCGCCATGCTGCTCCTTGCGACGCTTGATGAGGCCTTCTTGAACCTTAGCATAAGCCTCAGGTGCCATAGGCTCGGGCTGGTTTGACTTCGGTTTCGATTTTGATTTAGGCTTCGATTTTGGCTGCTGGTCCTTCTTGGCTGCAGACTTCTCGTTGGCTCGGCGGGTCTTCCTGTTTCCTTGGGCCTGCTCGGTGGCAGGGGTTGCAGCAGCTGGCGCGGGTGTTGGAGCTGGAGCTGGAGCCTGGGGGATTCGAAGTAATCGAGGCGGTGCCTGGACAATAGTGAAGCCAAAGGCAGAGACAACGGCCCATCCGCAGAGGAAGTAGACCAGAACGGCCGCATATTTCACAGCAGGGTGAACACCCAGGAGAAGCCGGAAGACATAGAAGACGTAGTGTCGGTTATCGGCTAGGGTAAAGGGGTGCACGATCGTGTTAAAATGGACGATGGCGAGCATGGTTGGAAGGACAAACAAGGCAGCGAGGAGCTTTGGGAGCCGTCTCTGCTTCTCCGGGAAGCCATAGTTTAGATACTTGGGCAAGAAGGTCACGGGGATAATGATATTTGCCATTGGAACGATAAGCAGTGGCCAAGAGAAGAAGACAAAATACGGCCAGATGTAGAGCATCTGAGCCAGATGTATGCCGGCCGTGTGAAATTCCTTGTGACCTAGATATTTGTTAGCTTGAAGTTCTCAACTTGGACTTTCAGATAGGGCTAGGATGACCTACCAAGCACAACACCGTCGTTCCACAAAACGAATGCACCAAAAGCTCCAAGAATAATCATGTGTGGTATGACCGAAGCCACGGTAGCGAGCGGGTTCCTGAGGCAAGTAGTAGCAAGAGAAATAGCGGTTTTGAAGTAATCTAACCATAACCACTAAATCAGTACAATCAACGGAAATGCCAAATTCTGTTACACGTACCTTCTAAGCAAGCCTCCGAGACAAGAGGATCGTAAATCTCATTCTGCAAACCGCCCTTCACAATATCTGAGATCCCAGATGATTTGCATGCCTCAGAAGAGCTCCGAATTTTTCGAACCACCTGTAATCCACCTAGAAAGACCGAAACCCAAAAGATGTTGGTCTGTCGGCAAGCAAGCGCAGCAAGACCAAAAACAAGGAATCCCAACGTAGAAAAGAAAGCAGCAAAGCCCGATCCAGTATTCCTCTTCAAGTCCCAATTATAAGCCTCGATAACGACCAAAAGAGCGAGGATATCGGTATAGTAAAGACCGGAGAAAAAGAACAGCGGCGGGAACAAGCAAATATTCAAGACGGAATGGCTGAGCCATGAGCCTAGAGTCCGGTTGTTTCTCAAATTGTGCACAGCATCAGAAAGTGTCTGCAGTCTCCAGGGTAGGAACATAGCCGTAGTGGCAACATTGGTCGTGCGGAGAGCTTCGGTGGTGAGCTTCGTCGGAGACCCGCGGAGGAAGAGCAACGCGGCGCATAGTAGATAGGACCATAGGTACAAGCCAGGCGGAGTAGTAATTTTAGGATCCCAATGTGTCCACTGGCCTGCCCAGTAAGCTTGTGCCTGGGGGACGTGAAATACTTCGTCTAAGTATGGTTCGGGGACTTCGGTTTGAACTTGTCTCCTCCAGAGCGGGATGAACACCAGCGCGAATGGAATGGAGTAGCGCGCCGCGCGGCTTAGATTTGACTCGAGAGCAGACATCTTGTTCCAAGCTTCGACTCGAAGCTTCAGCAGACTGGAGCTCGAATCGCTGAAATTTGGAATTGCGGAGTGGAAAAGAACTACGTAAACGAGATGCTACTTACTCCATTCAGGCTGCAAACACGCCAAACACTGCATTTCAATCAAGACCCGATTCGATCCCGCAACGAGACCAACATGCCGCATTGACGGCGTGAACGCCTGGAATTTTGTCAATTGACTGTTATTACGTGCACGGCGTCCGTGTCAATACCGTGACGCACAATGGCCTTCCCTTTCCCACAGGGCATTGCGCCCTCGGAGATCGCCTTTCTAGCAGAGATGGAGATGGTGACCATCGTACCCCGACAGCGTCTGGAGGGCCTGGAATTACTAGGAGTAAGTCGTAAATCTCGGTTTTTGCCTGTAATGCTCGAGAATACTAATTGACCCGTCCAGGGGCCTGTCGAACCTCTCGCTCCACCACGTCGTGCCTCCCTTCCCCTCTGGCTCGCGCTGCTTCTAAAACGTCAACGTCGCGCCAACATTATACCCCCCACATGGCTACACCCAGAACCTCTCAGTCTGATTCTCGAAGTTGAATCTCAACATCAGGACTATAAACATGCTTTCTCGCCCCCGCCTCCGCTACCAGGCCAGCCTGGTATGCACGAGCAAGGACTAGAGCCCACTGCTCGACCACAATACACACCGGACGGGGAAAAATATTTTGCTGCGCCGCCGTTTTTGCCACATAATACTGCGCAGGCGAGAACTTCTTCGGGGGAGGTCCCTGCGCTGCCGTTTCATTGGATCGAGGTTGGTAATATGCTACTTGATGCCGCGAGTGATGACCTGATGGATCCGGATCAAATCCGACGGTTATTGAAGGACTTGCGCGAGGTGCGCATGGCGAAAATGAGGTCTGGTGTGGATGTTCTGGATGCTGCTGCAACTGGTGGCGGCGGAGTTGCGCTGACAGGTGTTGGTGCGATGGAGTTGGGCGAGGAACGTGGGTTCCTGACAGGCGTTGTGGATAACCTCCGGTATGATATACACAACTATATAAGCTCTAGATTGTTTATACTGACTGGACATATAGCAAAATCGGCGCATCAAAAGAGCAAGCTCGGCGGGAACAAATGGCCGAGCGCGCAAATGGCGGTTACGACGGGACCCAAGATGAAGAAGAGGATTACATGGAGTTTTAAATGTTGCATGGAGGGCTTTATGTTTGTTGATCTTACGATTTCTCTTTGGCGTTTAAGGTGCATATGCGACGTGGATCAATGCCCCCGGACGAATATTCAATGTATATAGACTCATATACCCGACTTTCCTGGTCTGATGAAAAACCAGCGATTCTAACCAAAAACTGTTCCAATTTACCTAACACCATACAGCATGCGAAACGCTCTAATACAAAACGAAGGTGGGGAGAACATCCCGCACGCCGTGAATGAGTGGGAGAGTTGTCCAAGAAACATAGGTCTGGGGTTTTTGTGGCGAGGTCAACCAAGAATTCAAAATCGAGATGGCGCAATTATTTAACAGGATGGAAATCCACCTCATTGGGCTGGGCCCTTGCCCTTCTCCATCATCTTCCTTCGCGCGGCTAGGATCATCTCGTCTCGGCGCTTTTGAAGTAGACGCTGTCGCTCTTCTTTGTTCTGCGACCAAGCGCTTGGGGAGGTGGGCGGTTGGTTCTCTGCGCTTTCAGCGCCGAGTCTCGCGCTGAGATTATATCGGGAGATCAAGTCCTGTCCATCCGCCTTTGATGATGTGGCCGTTGACGTAGCCGGGGCTGGGGCATGCCCGCGGGGCATTACGACCTGGGGTTGGAATGACGGGGGTGGCTAAGATTCAGACGTCAGCATAAAACGCAAGTACTTAGCGATCATGTCCGATCGATGCTATGATGGACTGGACTGGGATAGGAGATCGTGAATGATAACATCAGCGTCGCAACACGTACCGTTTCCAGGCCCCGCCCGGCTAGGATTCGTTCTGTTGTCGCCGCAACACTGCCACCATTGCGCTGCAAGTCCCACATGATATCGCGAGTGCTTAGCTGGGGGAACATCTGGGCGATCTGTTCCACTTGGGCCGGATCAACAACGTTGCCACGGCGGGGGCGGCCTCCGCTGGAACCTTCATCGCGGTTGAAGAACCATCGGAGCACGAAGTAGGAAACGACTGCTAATGTCAAGAGCGAGGGGATGTTGAGCGAAGGCTCATCGTCGTGCATTGTGTCGTGTTGCGCCCTGAAGGTTGTCTGGTTGAGTCGACGTAGTGCGGGCGAAGGCGGAGTAATTCCGGGTTGGGCAGGAGGTCATGTGGATTTGGCCGACCTCGGGAGGCGTTAAACTATCAAGTCCGGGCCGAGAGCGGGAGCAGATACAAGGTCAAGTTGATCACCTTTGGAAGGTTGGAGATGGAGAACTTCGGAGTGATTCTAGTGCACGTGAGGGACCAGGCTCCGACATTACAAAGTTGATGTTTGCTTTGTTCCTCACCGTTCTAGATTTATGTCAAAATAGCTTTGGAACTTTGACTAATTATAATAGAGGATTAAGTATGATATTGGGCTGGAAACTTGAGGAATCAATAGATTACATGGCTTGAAGTACACCCCACGACCTGCTTTCAAATGATGAGTTCATTACCACAGCATTTCTCCTGGCCAATACGTCACTCCAGTCAGATGCCTAGACCGTTTTATCCACATAGCATATGCATAAACCGCAATACTACTGCAACTAACTTCGGATCCAGATTGTAGTTAGGTGAAAAGACCACCAAGGAAGTATATATAAATTCACATGGGTCTTCATTCGCCTCTCAGGAGAAACTAAAGTCTTGTGCAAGAAAAATAACAAAGCCTTCATCATGCATAGATCATGAACCAATATCCCTTCCCAACCAAGAAGCCAGACCAAAACTCGAAACCACATAACACCAGCTGCCGACCAACGAGTCGTGAAATAGTAAATGCTTCGCACCAGGCTAGACCAATACAAAAAAAAGACAAATTGACCATAATAAACATATTTTCATGATGTTTATTTCATATCGGCAGCGGTCAGTGCCTGGACAATACTGGTACCCTCGCTGAACCGGGTGCGGAAAATACGGTTGGCATTCTGGAACATGCCGTCCTTGAGGGAGACGACAATGAACTGGGATCCCTTGAACCGAGTCTTGATTAATCGTCCAATATTTTGTGTGTGGGATAGATCCAATGCGGCGTCAACCTCGTCGAGAATGTACATAGGAGCGGGCTTGAATTGCAAGAGGGCCATGATCAGGGACAAGGCGACAAGAGATCTTTATCAAAGTTAGTTATGGAAATTTTAGGGGAAAGGGGAAATTGTGAGACATACCGTTGTCCACCACTCAACTCCGTCAAGCTCTGCTTCCAAACCTTACCCAGAGATACCTTGACTTCCAGACCGTCTGTGATATCCTTGCCCTCAGGCGGGTCCAGTTTGGCAAAGCTACCGGGCAGTAGCTCCTCAAAGATCTTTCCAAAGTCACCATTGACCTTGACCCAGGTCTTATGCAGAGCCTCCTTCTTATACTCATTAAGGTTGAGAATAGTTTCCTCGATCTTGCTCTTGTCGCGAATAACGGTTCTCATCATGTTCTTGAGAGCGGCCTCCTTTTTCTCGACGCTATCTATCATGTTCATGACCTTCGGGTTGATCTTCTTCTTCATACCCTGGGAACGTTCGGTCAAGTTGCGCAGTGTTGACTTGCACTCGGCGATGTTCTGGCTCTGGAAGTGGTATGGCGTATTGGCGCGACCAAACTGCTCCTTCTCATCCGCAATCCACTCATGCTCTTGCTCCATATGAGCGACAGCTTGAGAGGCGCCATGCTGGTCTTTCTGAAGTTTCTCAAGCTGGTGGCCCAGCTTCTGCATCTCCAGGCCCTCTTCAGTGATCTGCGATGACTTGCTCTTCATTGTGGCATCAAGCTCGGCGAGCTCTTCGTCAAAACCGGTCAGCTTAGCCCTCTCATCCTCAAGATGCGCCTGAGCAATGTCATGAGCGTCCTTGAGCCGTGTCTGTTCCCGCTGCAAAGATTCAATCTCTTCGGCCTGGGCCTTTAAGGTGTTTCCTGACTCTGCCAACTGCTCTTCGGCCGCTGAAAGATCACTTCCAGCCTGTTCAGAGTCCAGACGAGAGGACTGGAGTTCCTTCTGTAGCTCTTTCACAGAAGCAGAATTCTTCGTGAGGCCCTTCTTGAGAGCATTGAGTGAAGTCTGAAGCTCTTCCAGCTTACTGTCCTTGTTGTTGCTGAACTCGCTCATATCCTTCTCGATGCGCTTGATATCTTTGGACGCTTCGGCTTGACGAGTCTTGGCATTGGCAATGTCGGTCTTCAGCTGCTCGATATTTACTTTCATCTCTTCGACGGCCTGAATGATCGAGGAGGAGGAGTTGCTGTTGATTTGCTCCTCTGTGAGCTTGATCTCGTGGGTCTTGAGATCCAAGTCTTGTTTGATTGATCGAACCGCATCCAGCTTCTTCCGTTCTTTGTTCATGTTGTCTTCCAGAGTAGCAAGCTGGCGCTCCTTGCTCCGCAGCTCCTTGGTAATCTCATTGAGTTTCTGTAGGGTTACAAGCACGCCACTAGAGTTGGGAGCACTTCCACCAGACAGGGTACCAGATGGGTCGTAGACATCGCCCTCTAGGGTGACGCTCTTCATTCGCACAGCAGGATCGAACGTTACCTTCTTGGCTGTATCGGCATCATTGCAGATCAGGGTGTTACCGAAGACATAGTTCATTGCTGCAAGCACGTCCTCATCGAATCCAATTAAAGACAAAGCAAGATCCACCTTGCCCGGAGCAAGATTCTGAGCAGCTCCGATCTTCTCTACAGAGGCTTTGAATGCCGCGATCTTGTTCAAAGGAATGATGGTCACGCGCTTGCGCAGCTTTCCCTTCTGAAGCAGCTGAGTACCAGTCTCAGCGGAGTCGACCACAACGTTGTACAGACGACCACCGGCACAAATCTCGAGAGCAGTGGCAGCCGGGACCTGATCCTTGTTCAAAGTGAACAGTTGAGCAACCAGGCCTTTAACCTTTGAACGGTCAAAGTTGGGGTGGGGATCGGCGTAGTTGAAATCAACGTTCGCCACCTTTCGTCGGAGGCCATCAGCTCGTTGGCGAAGATCTCGAATATCGCGCTGTAGCTGGGACTGTTCTTGATAGATCTGCTCCTCTTTACCAGGCTCAAAGCCAAGACGAGTGAGCTCTGACTCAAGCTTCTTAGCTTGAGCCTTGAGACCCTCCAAGTCTTTCAAAAGGCCTTGATTTTGCTCCTTTGCCTTCTTCGCACGCGGTTCCTCCTCTTTGATTCTCTTCTCAAGGTGAGCAATCTTGAGTTTCGCTTGTTCTTGCTCTGTGGAGGCATTGCTCGCCCGGTTTCGTGCGTCTTGTAATTGTCCCTGGTAACCGCTCTCCTGTCCCTCCTTCGAGGCGACACCTGTCTGCAAGGTCTGCAGCAATTCCTCTTTTTGCTCCACTTCAACATTCTGCGCATCGAGCTCAGCTTTAGCGGTATTATACTGGGCCTGCACCTTGTCGTAGATCTTCCGCTTTTCCTTCAGTGCCTTCTCGAGCTCACTGACAGATTTTTGCATGGACTTGCGCTTTTCCTTCTCTTCCGCCATGCTAGAGTTCTTCAAATCGAAAACGGTTGTCAATCGGACTAACTCATGTGAGTGGTTCTTGACTTCGTCTTCAAGACCTTGGAATTTGCCGCCTTTCCGGAGCTCCTTGTCGCGCGCAGAACGGACTCGCTTGACGTCCTCCTCTAAATGCGCGATCTCGCTCTTCAGTTTGATTGCATTTTCTTCCAATGCCTGGACCATATCCCTCTTGCTGTCACACTCCTCACCTGCAACGCGTAGTCGCTCCCCGCCGCGCACATAGTCATGTGCCACAACAAGTCGAGTCAACCGTTCCAAGTCATTCTGCGTTTGTTGGAAGTCGAGGAATGCACGCTTTTCAGATCGAAGCTTCTCCAGCTTGGGCTCAATCTCTTCCTTGAGCAGCTCTTCGATCTCGCGCAGTTTCAACTCCTTCTTCCCCATTGTCTTAATCGCCTTCTCTCGTCGGTCCTCGAACATTCGTGTGCCGGCCGCTTCCTCGATCATTGATAGGATCTCAACCGCCTTCATGTTTAGCACCTTGGTGATACGACCTTGCATAATTAGGAAGTTGGGGTTGTTGATGTTTAGCTGGACACTCTGGAACAGGTTCTGGACGGTTTGCTGTTGTGCGCGGTGACCGTTGATCAGGTATTTGCTGGTACCGCCCAGCACAATCTGTCGGGTGACGGAAATGTTCGCATACTCTTCGAAACCGATCGGAGATTTGGATGTGTCGCGGTTGTCGAAAACAATGGTCACGCTAGCCTTGGTAACACCGGCTTGACCACGCTTGTAGATAAGGTCTTGGAGGTTTTGCGCTCTGACAGTGGTCATGTTGGTAATACCGAGGACGAAACAAATGGCATCGAGAATGTTGGATTTACCACTACCGTTCAGACCGGTAATGGAGTTGAACGATTCATCCCTGGAGTACGTTGTTAGCTTATCCTCATTGCGATCATGCCTTCGCTTTCGTCGTCCGGAGAGAGGAATCGGTTGCGCACCATCCCGAGATAACCGTACGCACGGCGTACGATTTGAAGCCCTGTAACAAGTCATTAGCAAAGCGCGGGAAGAATAGAGCATAGCGACATACGTCAATCACAATCTCTGTGATCCTCATGGTTGCGACAGCGAGTCGGCTCGCTAGGCGGAGTACATCTAAGGTCGGAAGAGATGAAGAGGGGCGCGATTGTTGTTTTGCCCGCAAATCAGGTGTTTATGGTTTGCCCGTTTTGCACTAGCGCTGGGGTGACATAAGCATAATGGACCTTGATCACGTGATATATACCCCGGACACTTTCGTCGTGTATGTTTCCGTCTTATGCGTCGTCTCACTTATCAGCACTAGAGCACTCAGTTCACACGATCTGGGCTTGCTACCAAGGTAGACATGCGATCCAATCACGTCAGCCTTTTCTTTCCAATGATGTCATATTTGACGCTTTCTCTTTGCTATCGGAAATATGCATAAAGTATCACCCCAAAGTACATACTTCGCGGAGACATTCTCGGACACTTTTCGATCCTATGCCTAGCGCAGGTGAAATCGAACGGCCACACCTTGGTAGCCATTACAAACATATAAAGTACCCTAGAAGTCCAAATTGAATCTTGCGTAAGTATCAGCTTCACTCATCGAGAAATTACCTACAGCTACAAATTCATCAAACACATCAATTCCAACTTCATCCATACATCGTCAACTATGGCCCAAGAAATTCCAGACTGGAACATTCTCTTCAATGACGACAAGTTTATCAAAGCTTATAGACTCGGTGAAAGGGCTACCGTACAATTCGCTCAGCTTCTCATCGGCCAGAGTGGCATAGTAGCTTACTCAAAGTCGCACCAAGACCGTCCATTGGTGGTTCTTGACAACGCTTGCGGCACTGGGGTTGTCTCCAGTATTCTTCAGCGCGAGTTGGACGAGCATGTCAGGGCCAAATGGCAGCTGACATGTGGCGACCTTTCGGAGGGAATGCTTGAGTACACCCGGCGCCGGGTGGAGAGCGAGAAATGGCTTAATGTAGAGGTGAAGACTGTGGATGCGCAAGATACAAAGTTGCCATCCGAACACTTTTCGCACGTCTTCACGGCTTTTGGTATGTAAATGCTTCATCGTATATCTGTCACAGGTGACTGGTCCTTGACTTACATAACCGCTATATTTATTAGCCTTTATGGCCCTTCCAAAAGGGTTGGATGCATTGAATGGTAAGTCTCCTCACTTTTCGCTAATCTGATGTGACCTGATAATGCTGGTAGAATCCACCCGTATCTTGCAACCAGGAGGAACCATTGCTTTCACTACTTGGATCGAGCGTAAGTTGAGCTGCTGCTAAATGTGCGAGGGTATTAAGGAAGCAGCAGCTAATGATACATGTCCAGCGAGCTGGCTAAGGGATGCTGGAAAGGCAATTGCGACGATATCCAATGACCTTCCATGGCCGACAGCCGAGGAATTCCTGGGCATGATAGGCCAGGGTCAATGGAATTCTGTGACATGGATTGAATCCCAGCTCAGAGACCGAGACTACCGTGATATCAAAGTCAACGTTGTCACGAAATACAACACACTTTCGGTGGCTGAGTTCGTGGAGATGACCATGTTCATGATGCCTCTAGTAATGAAGTGCTGCTGGTCGGAGGCCTTGCAGGAGGAGAACAGAGACAAGGTTAAACCGGCCTTAGAGAAGTACCTGGCCGGTGCCTACGGAGAAAAGGGCGAGGTGCCTGGGGAATGGATCGCGATCCTTTCGACGGCGCAGAAGCCTGCAGAATGCCAAGTCTTGGATGATATGGCTACTTGTTAACGTGTTAGGGATACTCAGGCACCTGAGCAGAATAGCCGAATCCTGAACGTTTAATACAAATCTGACAAGGTCATAAAGGCCATTCGAGTCAGGCCATGACTTGGTTTGCCATGTAGCCTGTTTATTTTCCCGGTAAATCAACACGCCCATTTCCCGAACGACATTGTACTTTAGGCCACCCGTAGAGCAAAATTACAGAAAGCAGACAGCCTAACACCATTGATTGAACAAAGGACTGACCCGAGCCATATTCACGTCAATTCAATTTATGAAGTATGATGCGCCTGACTAATGCCACGAGAGACCCGGTTGGAATCCAGCCGGTTGTCCAGATCCTCATACCGAAGGATGAAATCACGCTGTGAAGACATAGTCAGTATACATAGTTTTCAAGCTCTTGGCGATAATCAGAAATCACGTACCCGAACTTTCTTCCAGGTGGCAGGATCCCACAAGAGATACACGCCACGTTCGCTTACACCCCGTTCGACATCAACAGGGCCAGGGTATGTCTCATCACGAGTCAGCCAACACCGCTCCAGCTTGTGATACCGCCATTTGCGTCCCATCAATTCTTCTGCGACCAGCTCCTGCATAATATCTCGGGGCATGCTGTAGAAAATGTAGAAGAGGGTTTCGTCGCTAAACCCTGGGATTCGGGACTGAAGGGCTTGGATGTTCGCAACATTGTAGCAAGAGGGGAGAGAAAAATCCTGTTCAAGCGGTACTGCAGACATGGATGACACGAACGGAGAGGCGAAGGAGGTGTGGAGAGGTCTAAGGCACGTGAGAATTCATTAGCTAGAGTCGCCAGTGTGTTCGAAGCGGGCGCGCATACTCAGGCTGATTCAAGTCCAGGCCAAGGGTCATCAAATCTTGACCAACAGCGAGGCTGGCCACGTCGGGGCTCTCGCTGTGGATCATGCGCAACAGGCCGGCCAGGCCGAATCGGTCAAGCTCACTCATCTGTGCGAGAGGTGGTTGTTCTGCACTTTGAGCACCAGCGACTACCGAAACATCCTGGCCTTCGGCCTGTTGTTGTCTTTGCTGCAATTGTTGCGGGTCGCTGAAGTTGCGTTGACCCGACATGAGAGTGTTGTTCAAGTCCTGTAGTGTCGGTGAGTGCGGGGCCTGGGAAAGACGATCGGCGATTAACCTACCTCCTTCTCCTGCCCCAAAACCCCATTGGGTCCTTGGTTAACGGGCGACCGCGATGTTCCAATACCTACATATTGAGATCAGCTATTCATCTTCGCCCATACATTTCTCCCGCACAACAACGAATAACATACTGGTGTTGTAGCTTCCAAACGCAGTATTCTGCAGCAATGAGCTCCGATTATCTTGGCCGATCTCAGCAGCAACGTTTCGACCCAACGGAGGGAATTCGTCGATGTTACCCGTCTGAGGCTGACTTCCGGCTCCTAGCTGGCTACTAATGCCCTGTCCGCCATTCCTGAAATCATCCAGTCGATTGGTGAACTGGGCGGCGGAGGGAAACATGTCATCGTGAGGGGCTTGTGACGGCTGCTGTACAGGATGCGGTTGAGTTTGGGAGGTTCGAGAAGGGGGTTGCGACGTAGGAAGGTGCTGCTGTCTCTGAACGGGGGTATGTTGTGCGGCTCGTTGACTGGCGTTGGCCCAAACGAGTTGCCCGGGGTTCTGAGATTGTGACTGCTGGGGCGCGCCTGAAAGTGAAGGAAATTCGCTGAAAGCACAATCAATGTCAGTTTCTTTGATCATAATGCATTCGAGCCCACTCGAGGTTAAAGTCATGTGTTTGATCGACCAGAATTCCACTCACGAGAGGTCTAGCGGTGTTGCTGGTTGCGAGCCACTCAAGCTCTGCGCAAAACTGCCCATAGTTCCCATATTTCGTTGCTGGTTGGTTTGTAGAGTGGGAGTTCCGCTCACAGGCAGATTGAAGTTCCAATTCGCTGCGCCACCTAGATCAGCACCCCACGCATTAGCATCCACCCATAGCTCCGGTCCTAACAACGCAATCCATCACGAGCCCGCAGACGTACCCAATTTTCCGTTTGGCAATCGTGCGGAGGCCAATGTTGCGTTTCGGGCTTGTGCTTGCTGCGGCGCGGGGAATCCGGACATGCCTCGTAGCGGCTGTGGACCAGGTCCTAACACAGGAGAACAAGGAGTTAGCAAGATCTACGCGGTCTCAAATGATGGTGTTCATGCTTCGGCCCAGCCCAGGAATGTGTCCACAGATCCTTGCGAAAAATGTCTCGGTCGCATATGGTGATGCCGTCTTGAACACGAGCTGCCATTGCAATATAAAACTCTTCTTGGTTCCATACTAGGCGGGCGAATACCCATTTTCCATTGGGTTTCGTAAAGGAGGCTCTGTTGGGGTAACATGACATTTTTCTCTATAGCGGGGGCAGGCCGGGGACGAGGGCTCGGAGGGTAATGAAGAAACTGACGCACCTGGTCGATTCATAGTTGAGAAAACGGGACACAAGGCTGAGAGAGACGATCCCAGAAATTATACAAAACTCGTTCGGGGATTAGAAACGGTAGAATATCAAACCGATGCAGGATCTGTGGAGCGTTGGTAGTCCACCATGAAAGGCCTCTCCAACTTGATGCGGCACTGCTCCGCCTGGAGGTGGAGCAAATCGATTGGATAATTAGGCGCGCGGATGTTCTGGGAAACACAGGCAGCCTCAAGGTATCATGAATCGAATATTCTTGTCGGATAAGAAGGACGCATGAATCTGTCCTTGAGACAAAGAAGCGGTATTTTTAAAGCGACACTGCTGAGGCAATGAAATAAAACATTGCTGTATCGTTATAGCAAAGCGTCGCTTTAGATGGTGTACACGTGACCGTCCGTTGAGCCCGAAAAATCGCATCTCCGTTCGTCTTGCATTTCCCCTGCAGTCGTCAATTCCAACATCATGCATCGGCCAGTCGCTCGTTTGGCCAAATACGGGGGCTTTGCCCTGGCTGAATTGCCTCCGCCATACCTGGCACCCTCCCTCCATTTCACGCCTCGATTCCAATCCTCGAGCTTCTCCACGACTCCCGTTGCCGCTGCCCGAGAGCGAGGACGCGACTTGAACCGAACCCGAGCTGTATCAGCCATTCATCGCACTGGCCCACGATTCAAACTTGGCGTTTCCAAGTACCCATTGCCGAAACCTGTGTCCTCTGAGAACCTGCCTCCCCGGCCCAAGAATCCCGACCATGGACTTTGGGGATTCTTCCCTCCATCGCGTGAGGCCATCAGTGTCCCGGAATTCGACATGGCCCACGGTGAGTAAATCAATGCTCTAATATTTTCCTGCCATCGTACAAAGCATGTTCTAACTTCCGATTCAGGTCGCTCATGGGCTGTTACCGAACTCCGCGACAAGAGCTGGGACGATCTTCACAAACTTTGGTGGGTCTGCATTAAGGAACGCAACCGTATCGCTACCTCGAACATGGAGAGAGACCGTCTGAAGGCTGGATACGGAGAGCACGAAGCTGATGGCCGGGACAAGACTGTAAGCTCCCTTACCTCTATTTCGACGCTCTTGTCAATCTTCAGTCGCCACGACAAGCCATCATTTGTGGTTCCAAAAGCCTTTCTGGCTAGTTTCATTCTATGTGTCCTCGAAACTTGGTTTGCTAATAAAACCGTCTTTTTAGATCGTGATTACCATGAAGAGCATCAAACATGTGTTGCGTGAGCGCTGGTACGCTTGGGAAGAGGCACAGCGTCTGTATGAGCAGGGAGCTCGCCCGGAGTATGAAGATGTCATGGAGGCCCCTGAGGCTGACGAGGTTCAAGCCTCCAAGCCTTAAAGATGGAGTCATTCCGATCACTGTTGTGAGAGTTGGTTGAGACCCATTTGAGGAATCTGTAGCAATATTCTGGTGATCTTTCATTGTGTTTTCTATATAGTTTTTTCATGTAAAATATCAACAGCGCGATGTCTATGGAAGCTTGTCTAGTCTTGAATTTAAGTCATCGCAATGCGAGTTTTATAACATCACTCAGGGGTTCCTGAAGAGAGATAATTATAGACCCAGGGGCTTAATCTATAAATCTCGATGCCTATAGGTTGGGAAAGGGGCCTTTCTCGAGAATCTGCTCCGTGGATGAGGTAAACTAAGTCACTAGTGGCGGGCCCGCCAAATAGTCTCCTCTTCTTACCGCTTCTGTTGATCCGCGGGGACAAGATACCAGGAGAAACCTTTCTTTTTCCCTTTTGCCTCCGGCTAACTCCCTTCCTTTTTGTATCCTTCTTTACCCCCAATATCATCCCGCTATATCCACTATGGATGAGATCGCGCCCGAATACGATGTCGTTGTGCTCGGCACTGGTACGATGCTACCCCGCCATTCCACACCTCTTCAAACGCTGACCAACTTCTCGTGCAGGATTGACCGAGTGTGTTCTGTCTGGGTAAGTTCTTGAATTAACCATGATTCGTGACTAATGCTGACTACTGCTTCTTTGTATTAGTGTTCTGAGTGTCAAGGGTAATAAGGTCCTCCACATCGACCGCAATGACCACTACGGAGGGTACGTAAATGGAGCTTCGTACCACGCCACCGATGGAATGTAGCTAACAATTGCTTTAGAGAGGCAGCCTCCGTCAACATCGAAACAGTATGCCAGCTAAATGGAGCGAGAAAGAGACCCTACTGACCGCCTCTGCAGTTGTTCAAGAAGTACGGCAATGTTCCCGCCGGGGAGGAGCCTTGGAAGAAATATGGCCGTGTCAATGACTGGAACATTGACTTGGTCCCCAAGCTGCTGATGGCCAACGGCGAGTTGACAAACATTTTGGTTTCCACCGATGTCACCCGATACCTCGAGTTCAAGCAGATCGCCGGTAGCTACGTTCAGCAGGGCAAGGGTCCCAAGGCGACCGTGGCCAAGGTGCCCTCCGATGCTGGTGAGGCTCTGCGCTCTTCTCTCATGGGTCTCTTTGAGAAGCGCCGAGCCAAGAAGTTCCTGGAGTGGGTTGGCGAGTTCAAGGAGGAAGATCCCGCCACTCACCAGGGTATGTGATGCGAATGTTGCCAGAGGTGTATAGTAGCTAACTCGTTTAGGTCTGAACATCAACGCCGTCACCATGAAGGATGTCTACGATAAATTCAACCTTGAGGAAAACACCCGTGATTTCGTTGGCCACTCCATGGCTTTGTACCCATCCGACGAGTACATCAACCAGCCCGGTGTGGCTGTCGACGCTATCAACCGTATCCGTCTCTACGTTAACTCCATGGCCCGTTACGGAAAGTCCCCATACATCTACCCTCTCTACGGTCTGGGTGAGCTTCCTCAGGGCTTTGCTCGTCTTTCTGCCATCTATGGCGGTACCTACATGCTGAACACCGACATTGATGAGGTGCTGTACGAGGGCGGCAAGGTCTCCGGTATCAAGGCCACCATGAAGGATCGCGATGAGAACGCCGAGGTCATGAAGTTTGAGACCAAGACAAAGAAGATTATTGCCGACCCCTCCTACTTCCCTGGCAAGGTCCGCGTTACCGGATACCTGCTCAAGGCGATCTGCATCTTGAAGCACCCCATTGACAAGACCGATGGCAGTGATTCGCTGCAGCTCATCATTCCTCAGTCCCAGGTCGGACGCAAGCACGGTCAGAAATATCCTGCTCTTTTTTTGAGGTCTCTCGCTGATTTTTGTAGATATTTACATTGCCATGGTCTCCGCTGCACACAACGTTTGCCCCAAGGGCTACTACATTGCTATTGTCTCGACCATTGCCGAGAACGACGCTAACCCTCACATGGAGCTTGAGCCTGGCTTTGAGCGCCTGGGCGCCATTGAAGAGAAGTTCCAGGCACCTCCCATTCCTCTTTACGAGCCTCTGGAGGATGGTACCAGTGATAACATCTTCATTTCCAAGAGCTACGATGCCACATCTCACTTCGAGACCACAAACGGTAAGTACCTATAGCACATTAACCCATTTTGTTCTTTTCACTAACTCACTTAAGTTGATGTGCGGGACATCTACCGCCGTGCTGTTGGCGAGGAGTTGGTTGTTGAGGGTCTCCGTGAGGACCAACAGCTTGCTCAGGAGTAGATATAGATATCCTTCCATGGGATGATCTATGACCTAGATGCTAGGATGATTATATTCTCTTGGACATTTTGATGCTCGTCGTTCGTTGATTCTTTGTTTTCCTCCACGGGTCCCAGGTCCCGGTCAGACTAAACAGGAGGTTGTAGCAAGCGCAAATATACCTGTCTCTCATCATCATTCATTCCTTCTTTTATGATATTCGCCATTCTAAATCACACCGAGAAAGGTGGGTATAAGTATATAAAGCCGTTATAAACATCCAGTCTATACCTCAAATCCTCTGATCAACCTCCGGGTCCGTATTAGCTTTCTCGTGCTCCCCAACAACACAAACATCCCCAGTATCCGCCTTCTGAATCTCCGCCCGTAACAGCGCCAACCGTTTCCCAACATGCATAACCTCACACACAATCCTTGCCTCCGTCCCAATTGGCACGGGCCGGAGATAAGTCAACCTCAAGTTCCGGCTCACGCCACCAAACCCGAACTTCCCGGGCGACGAGACTCCTAGCAAGATCGTGGTCGAAAGGATATCAATTAGAGTCGCAGCACAGCCACCATGCAAGCTTCCAAGTTTATTGCTGAGAGAGGGAGTTACGGTCAGAGTGAAGGCAACTTTAGTGGGTGGACCGCGGGTTGCGGATTCGAAGCGGAGGTTGCATTCTTGGGCGTTGACGTCCCAGCGCTGTTAAGCTTGTCAGTCAGATACCAGCCGGATGTGGTGAGGGCTTGGATTAGCAGGTATACGCACTACGTCGGCGGCTTCCTTGCCTATCATGTACGTGCATTCGTAGACGTGTTGCTCGAAGTCGGTCATTTCCCGAGCTGGCGGGAGTATTTGGTGAGTGGACATGATATGTGAGGTTCGGGGTATATGGAGAAGAAGAGAACAAAGAAAAATCAAAGGCGTGAGCACTCTAGAATTATGGGGTGTAGGTAGTAAGGAAGATCCGTTGCCCAGCTTAAGGTTACCCCATGGAGCTCGGTCGGGGGTGGACGAACCTCGGCTCGGATGAAAGACCTGGGCGGCTTTGTTCGCCGGGATTGGGATTGGGTCAATCTGCCTTTTTATCAAAGGTTGGGTACTGAATATATTTTCGATACTAGGTCACTCTGTTTCCACGACATGAGCCAATGGGTAGTCTTGCGTCTATAGCTTGATGGCAGAATGCATTTGGCCATCCGGGCTTTATCCAAGGGAAGTCAGTTCATGGATATATTCCGAGGCTTCGACCATGATCGCAATTTTCCCAAATACAAGGCTACAAGTACCGGGTTTTCAGTGATCATAGGAAGACCGCATGGACTTTATAGATAAACCTAGCCAATAAGCAATATTCTCCAAGTTTCTCAGTCGCAGAGCGCTAACTTCAGCTCTAGACTATAGATCAAACTGATCATGTGACCGTTGGTTATATAACAGGGCGTGACCAAAAGCGGCAAGGGGTGTGCACTAAAAGGGAAAACCATTTCGCGCAGCCTGAGGCGCGTAAAACACGGAGATTGCGATTTGTTGCCGAACAATCGTCAACAGCTTCCCCTTACACCTGGATTCACTGTTCGGGAAGCACACCTGGGCACATCAGTACTTCATTCGATTCCTGGGCTTTTAATCAAGCCATTTATCACCAAAATAAAGGCCAATGAGCTCCCAATTATAACGTACCCGGCACGGCATGATCCTTGAGACGCAATTGATGTGTTTCAATTGGCCTTGATCATATCAGCAGTCGCAAGGACTCTACAAAGTCTCTTGTGGAATCCACTGTCGGATTTTTCCTTTCTCAGCAGCTCGTATCCCACGATCCTATCCTTTGATTCAACTATACATCTACCGCCTCAACTACAGCGCAATCATGAGGGATCCCCGCGCAGCCAAGCGAAGAAGAGTCTCCGAAGAGCCAGCCCATGATGAGGACGGTGATGTCGCCATGGGAAGTGAAGGTGATGATGCCTACTCCGCGCCCTCATCTCCTGATGCTGAACCAGACTCCGAAGAGGACCAAGAATACCGTGGCCCCCGATCAAGACCATCTCGACGACAATCGACACGCCGAAAGAGTGTACAGGTACCTGAAGGGCTTGGCTTTGATGATGCAGACGATGCGTCAGATGTGGGGACGCCGAGGAGCACACGCGCAAGCGGACGGCAGCGCAAAGCGCCCCAGCGATACGAAGGGGATGGTCAGACACCCACTTCGACGCGGAGGGCAGCTGCTACACCTCGCAGTACTCGTGGAGCAAGAAGTGTCCAGAAGACGAGACAAGAATCTGTAGATGACGTCGACATGGGCTTCGATGAGAAATCGCCCAAACCACTCGCGAGGACGAGATCTAGACGAGCTGCCGCCAAACCGAAGTCAAATGGTACAAATGCTGGATTTGTAAACGAGGACCAATCAGACTCACCGGAGACATATAATGACGGTCTTGATGATCTCGTCGCGATGCAGCTCCAACAAGACTTGCATCAAGAACAGCCTGAGGTGGAGGAGAGCGTGGAGATGGCAGAGCCCCTTCCTGAGTACGTGGAAGCTCTACAGAATATTTGCCACCGGGGGCTTGATAAAGAGGCCCGCATTCTTACAAACTTTCTCCTGGAGAAGCTTGCTGGGAAGCGACAGATTCCCCTCAAAGGACTCGAAAGCGAATACGACAAAGTCAACCATCTGCTTGAGCAGACAGTTACCGTTGGTGAAGGTAACTCAATGCTCCTTCTAGGATCACGAGGCTCTGGAAAGACAGCAATGGTCGAAACGATCATTTCATCTCTTGCGAAGGGTCATGGGGAGGACTTTCATGTTGTTCGTCTGAACGGCTTCCTCCATACGGACGACCGTCTAGCTCTTCGAGAGATGTGGCGTCAGCTTGGTCGTGAGACCAACACCGAGGACGACACTCTCAAGATCAACTCTTATGCGGACACAATGGCAACTCTCTTGGCCTTGCTCTCCCACCCCGAGGAGCTATTCGGGACTTCTTCAAACAAAAATGGAGTGACGGCTGCCAAGTCTATCATTATTATTCTCGATGAGTTCGACCTATTCGTGACTCATCCGCGACAGACATTGCTCTACAACCTTTTTGATATTGCGCAGGCCCGAAAGGCGCCAATTGCAGTGCTCGGGCTTACCACCAAAGTCGACGTGACTGAGATGCTTGAGAAACGGGTCAAGAGTCGATTCAGTCACCGATATGTATATGTTCCACTTCCTAGAACATACGAAGTTTTCTCGGAAATCTGCATGGCAAGTCTGGATCTCAATGAGAACGAAACCCTACAACTTGCAGACGCACTTGGTTCTGAGCGTGCTGTCTTGGAAACGACAGGTTGGAAGACACTACTGGATGGCTGGAAAGTATATTTGAAGGTAACAGCCACCATAAAGGAAAAAACCACCATCCACCTGAGCTAACATCTTCTCCAGCACATGTGGGAGGACAAGGACTTCCAGTTCCACCTCAAACGGATCTACCACCAGACCAAGTCCGTAAAGGACTTCCTGACGAGTGCACTGCTACCAATTAGCGATCTAAACCTCAGCACCCAAGCAGCCGACAAGCTCGCAATGCAAATCCCAATCCCAAAGAGCTTCGCCTCGCAATCCCTTTCCTGCTCTGACCCAGCACCCCTCCCATTCTCCGCATCAATCACCTCCTCATCGAGCCCTTCATCATTACCACTAGCCCTGCTCCTCGCCGCAACCCGCCTAGCAGCACTCTTCGACCCAGGACTCGATGGTCCTCAATCCCAAAGCGTGGCACCACTCGCACTGTCCTTCCCGGCAGCCTACGCCGAATACGTGCGTCTGCTCACATCTGCCAAAACATCCGCTTCGGTATCCGGTGCTGCAGCTACACCCGGCCGTGTTTGGGGCCGCGACGTGGCACGCGAGTCCTGGGAAAAATTGGTTAACTGGGCACTTGTCACGCCAGTCGGCGGAGGAAACGGCACAGCTGATGGACAGATGTTCCGTGTGGAAATCAGCTTCGAGGAGGTAGTTGAGATGGCCGGTTCGGGCATTTCTCTTGGCCAATGGTGGAGAGACGGTTGATACTTACAACCGTATCAGAAATATATACTCTACTGAATTACATGTACCCGGGTAATCCATCAGTCACTCCAATTGATTCGCTCAGGCCATAGAACCAGAACCAGCTGCACCCCCACCCTTCCCTATTGATCCTTCACGCATGGTAATCACATCGGTTACCAATCCACCATTCACAATCCAACAAATTATTAGTCTTTAACAGGTACACGTCCTTGTGACCACGCCACCGAAATTAACATTCGTCACAAACAGACCCGCCAAAAAGCCAAAACACATGGCAAACCGCGTCCTCGTTAGCGTACTGTATGCAGGCCTGGTTTCTTCACGCGATCTGATCGAAGATTCCATATATGACATATCACACCCACGGACCTATTGGCGGGGCACCCCTTGTTAAGCTACGGCCGCGCTAGGACGTTAGTGTAAGCAAGTTGTGGCGGTGATGATCTTCATTTCTCCCTGCCAGATGAGATTGATTTCTGCCTAGGCTCGGAGGGCAGTAGTCCCGGAGGCAAATACTTGCAAGGTTTGCAGCCCCGTGTGCCCAGGCTAGGGTATTCATTACACACCCGGGGAGGAGCGGGAGAAGGGAAGATAGATCCAGGCCATCCTTGCCTGGTCTGCACCTTGCCGTCTTGCGGGAGTACAAGTGCCAAGAACTGAGGGCTGGGACTGTGAGCAAATTAGAGCTACCTATCTGGTTTGGATTATGATTGCCAGTGGCCCCGGGGACTATTGAATTGATGTGGAATTTAGCTGGTGGCATGAACTGCCCGGATGGTAAGTTCCGGCTTTACTTCGGATGTGGATAGCCACATGCCCTAATGCCTGATCTAGGGGTAGACAGGACTGGTATAGAAGTCTGTCTTGTGCTCTGTCTGTTAGGTTTAGCCACATGGGACAGGGATATGGCAAACATTGGAATATTCAGGCGTCTTACAGAGCCTGGGCGAGCCCTGGACTCGTTTTGTTTTTTTTTTTTTTTTTTTTTTTTTTATTTATTTCTCAAGGACTCCCTGTACCTAGTTTTCTGTATTTACAATATGTAAATGTGCAGGTGTTTTCCACAACGATGTGATATGAGGCAGTAAAAAGAAGATTCACCATCCCACCGGGTATATATTGCAGGAACAACAACCTTGGTACTGAATGCAAATCACTACTTTAGGAAACCAAGCCTCCTCCAACTATTGCCCCTGTTAGGAAATCCCGCTATAGTTTGCCACAATAAAGCCGACGCACAATTGGCCCAGATATGAACCCTGAAGCACGCGGCATGCAAGTGCGCTCGCCATGTGTCAAAAGTGACATGTCGCAGACCCAGGAAACGAGGCAGGGGATGTGGGACGATCATTTCAATTTTGGTATATTTATCCGCCTAAAGATACACATACCTTGAAAATGTACCTAGTATAAGCCACAGCTTGAGCAGCTAGAAAAGGAAACCCTTGCGCGCAGTGGCTAGGATATCACTCTGCAGCACTGCATTCACCGGGTAAAGAAAAAACCTCAAAACCTTGGAAGTAGCACGTAGGATCACAGTTCGTAAACTTGGCTTTTGTCTCCATAGCTTCAGCGCTTAAAGCACTATGTCCCGTCCAGATGGATCTCGATCCTTTGGCCGCTATGCTCCTTTGAAGCGACTGTTAGCGGGAAATTGGACACGTTACTGCGATGATCAGTTGGGAACTAACGTTAGGTACATGTGTACTGTATGTAGCAGTTTTGGTCGAGGTGCAGGACTCCACAATTCTGCAAGCAATGATCCACCAAGGAATTGGGTGGTTAAGGGATTTTCCCGACTTGCATGTTGTGTAGCGGTGGAGAAGAAGGGAGGCCGTTGGAAATTCATCTAGGAATTGGAGATCCGACGCTTTTCGCAAGTATTTCCTTTTTTACTTTTTTTTTCTTCTCAATTCTGCTTACCTTTGAAGACGGAGTAACTAGAAAAGCAGCTAAACATTAGTGCGAGCGCGGCACCCTGCGTGCTTTAGCTATACTGTAGCTCCCGTCTAGCCCTTGGGGACAGGACTGAGTCGGTCAAGATTTGTATTCGGGGACATCGGAACACTAGACCTACGGGGTCTGGTGCAACGATTGCCAAAAACACCGGGATTTGGACCTCATATGGATGATCAGCGCGCCTCCCGGTGTGATAAACCAATCCGTAGATGGTGTTCTGCAGTAAAAAGTCCTAGATGAAACGTGTTTTCAGGACCATGTGGAGTTGATGCATGGGAATGTGAACTAAGTTAGTGCTGTAACCCCGCTTTCAGGTTGCAGCTCATTTTCGCTTACGCTTTACCCTGTCCTCGCGGTCCCATGGCATTCCAAAACCCGAGGATGTCGGTACAGAGTTGTGGGAAGAATAATGTAGCGACCGTCTAGGTGTGCATAAAATGCCAGCCGGAGGATAACTGGGGGAATCAGCAGAATCAAACTTCCACAAGCCAGCCGAATTCCTCATGGATCGACGAGGAGGGGTTTGGCGATTCAGAGTAACATCATGACATGATTCGATTTGACGATCAGCCCGTTAATCCCGTCTTCCCCGCCACCATGCAGTAGCGAGTCACAGCGATCTGAGTACAGGTGATGCAGAGTATGGTGAGAGGATGACAGCATAATGGAGACAATATTGATGCATGCCAGAAATTGCAGAAGCTAAGGGAGATTAGTTCACATAAGTGCGTTTTTGCAGAGAGCATTGCCTGCACACAATTCGCTGATATGCGCCCGAGGTTGCAACCTAATTTCGCTTCTGGCAGGCTTGCAAGAGGCTGGTAAGGTGCAAGGCGCAGGGGCATGGATGTTTGCCCTGGACGATGACACCCTATGGACGCCTCAAAAAGTTTGGAGATTAAGGCGCTGTATAGGTTGAGGCATGCTAATTATCCCTTAGCCCCCAATGTTAATTAAGTCAGCATTAACTCCGAGGGGGCCATAAGGCTACTAATCTCAAACCTATCCAAAAATGAGAAATTTGCTTAGTGTCCGGAGTTATATGAAAGGATGGTATACACTAGTATTGATCCCTACTAACTTCATGTGCAATGAAGCCACATGGATGTTGATCCTTCCATGCAAGTCATTGATGAAATCACGATCGTCGGCCGAAACCCCCTAGCTGCATCCAACTGAACTTTCAACCGAGACAAAAACCTCCTCCACATGTCACAATTTCATTTTCGGTGTCGATCAGCCACGTGGAACGAAACAGTGGTTCTGTTCCCGCCCTTCTTTCACGGAAACGGTGGAGTATTACAATCCGTGTCCTTCACGGAGTGGAGTTCAACAATCACGCGGATATCTTCGCAGAAAGAGCGGTTTCCATCGGACAAAGATATCGGTGAAGCCCGAAAGAGGATTCTTTTACGTCTGTTTAAGACATTGGATATTGATGTGAAAATTTTCCGATACTACGAAGTGGAGAAGGAGACTCCACTCTAAGCCTTTTTCTTTATGCTGAAAATTGGGTCTCAGAACCCGATACAAACAGCCTGAAAAGATAGATATAAGGAAAAACAAAACAAAAAAATATGACAGACAAATGAGAGTTAATCAATACCTGTCTGCAATTCTTTGACCGAACACGAGCACAGATCGCAATCGGTGGATCCCGCCATGGAAGGCTAAGGAAGAATATTACTTCTTAGCGTCTTCCAGAATCCTTCTGGAAGCCTTCTAGCGCCGAATTTTCGCCACACGTGTATCAGTATCCCGGTCGGAGTGGCCGTTACTGATTCATGAACACCTTGCTGAAGTCTTATCTGGACTATCCCGATTTGCAATATAGTACCATGGTTGGGTGCTGTCTTCATACTGTACGGAGTAGGGTGTGATAATTTGAAAGGGTTGAAAGTCTATGACGTGATCCATCTCCAGGCTCGCAGCTCTTGACTGTTTTCAGTGACTATGGGGAGTGGGTCTCCACTTCGGCCGACGTATTTTTCCCGTGGGAAAATACCGTTTCGTATTTGGTTTTTTTTTTTTTTTTTTTTTCATTCGGATCGTCCCGACTGATCTGCGTGTAATTTTTGAACAAACTCCGAACGCCAAGATTTGGCCCTCTGTTGGGGGTTAGCGAGTCAAGGAACACGCTCCGTAGTATATTAGATCCTACTTGGGTTCGGGGTGGCCGACTTGAGCCCTATACCTCGTCGGCAGTTGTGAAGGATTTAGTGATTTGCTCAGGGGTAGTGAGATGGTGGCGTATGCTCAGCTGGTAAGATAGTAGAAAAAAGTAATCTATAAGCGACATGTGTTCGTGCCATAAGGTTTTCCGAGCCTCTACCCTAGAGACTTTTACCCCCTTTTCTTGTCTCATCCCATCCCTTCCAGAAGCCTAAACCTATTTTCGGTTGAATGGAAATAACCGGTTGCGGGCTGACTGACCATTGACTCAGACGCAAGCCACATGGCATCAATACGGGGTGTAAGGTCTGTGATTAGGATTTGAATTGATCTCCACCGTCGGTTTAGGGGGCTGGTCTTTCCCACGTGGAAAAGTCCCCACACCTGTCTTGCTTGGGAAAGGGCTGGAAGGTAAAACAAAACTATATTAAAAGTAATCCAGACTTCGTATCGCCAGACTTCGTATCGGGAAATGAATATGGACGACAGGAGGATAGTATGATATCTGGACCAAGCGGTGGCGAAGCTCTCTTTGACCTTGTTTCCCTGTCGCTGACTCAACCTGGAAACACTCAGCTCGGACCTGTTGACTATTATTCTGCCTATCTTCGGATGAGAACCCCTGAAATTTCGATTTGACTTTGACTTTCGACAACATCGCCAGAGTCCGCTATGTATTCCAAATAGCATCGAGTCTCCACAAAAGATAAGCATCTGCTAATTTCCATTGAAATTGAACCTTGGATGGATATGAGGATCTTCCCTAACAAGGTATTTCTTGGCATCCATGTTTATCCAAAGCATATCAAAGCCAAACCTTGCAAACCTTGTAAATCAACAAGAAAGCCAAGATATCCAGTGTCCAACGTGGTCTGAAACCAAAAGCCGAAAGCCGAAGCCATGCGCTGAACAACCGACATGCGCTGGCCCCTGTAATGTGCATGCATCTATGCCGAGCAATGTTACTACCGTTACCAAGGTAAGTACCAAGGCAAGGGGAGAACTAGACGCACCATGACTGGTCTATCGGAATAGGGTGTTTGTTTGTACTACCTTTCCTATCTTCCCCGGATATACGGAGTACTTGAGAGTTTACACCACCACAAGGGTAGGTCCCTACATAGTCAGTAAATGTCCGACTAGGCAACTCAGTCTGCACAATAACCCATGGATGCAGGGAGAATGGAAATATGCATTCGGACCAAGCATAGACTCGGATTCAAGAGCTGGCCGACGATCATCCAGGAAACTCTATTCGTTCCAAAGTAAAATATAACCCTTGTATACTCCGTATAGCTTCAGTAGGGTGTACCAGTCATGTTGACCAACATGTGTACTTAGTCGATCGATCTCACGTATCCCTAGCCTGATCAAGTAAGAGTCATGACTCGGAAGGTTTTACGTTCAGCCGCGAAATACCCCAGACATGCGTTCTGGACCTCTCCTGCCAGCTTAAGTAAAATATTTTATTTTGGTCCCGGGCCGCAAACATGTCTAGGCCGCAAATGGGAAAGCTGCATGCATCTCGCGTGGCGGTCAGGGATTAGAATGTTAGCGGTCCAAAAGGAGAATAGTAAATTACCCATACCGACCGGGGAGGAAAATGACCTCTGTACATTACGTACAATACGGCATGATTCTGTTTTCCACGGTTCGGTCAAAAATACAATAAATGATTCAATAATACCCCTCGCAACCTGGAAACCTGACTCCTGAAGCCCCCTCCCCCCCCGATCGGCGTTTTACGAGCACTCTGGGTCTTAGAGTTTTGGTCCCTTTGGTGGCTACTACTTCCTTACGCCGTTGAATATGGGGATCTGACCGCAAATTGGGCTTAAAAGGGTTGAGTTTACGGCAGGAGAATTCTCGGTAGGCATAGTGGGACTCAATTTTCTGATTTAGATGGAGTATAAACAATCTTGATGTTGCCCACTTTAATTGTTGTGATCGTGGTTCGGCGGCGGGTTGAAGCGACGGGTATTACCAAGCTATTTCTAAGTTCTATGCATACTTGGCGGAGTGTGATACTTACTCCGGAGCTACACTGTAGGTTATTTTGATTTGTATTATTATCATATAATACTATCTTACTTCAAGTGATGAATAATATATATTCAAGCTTACTGTGCTTGTTTGAAATGTGACGCGCGTTTACGCATCTGAGTTTACTCCGGCATGGCACTTAGCTACGCCAAGGATTCAATCATGGCGAGACCTCTTTCTGTGACAGCTTTATGCTTCAAGGGCTCTGTGAGCCTCAGTTATTGGGGGCCAGTCGGGGATTCTCGGGGGCACTCTATGATTGTCATGGCAGGGCTGACGGCCCCAAATTAACCCCAAATTGATGGCCCCTTTTATTATCTCACATACTGAGGCTATATGGAAGGGGCTGAAGTAGCTACGCTCGGTTTATCCTACATATCGATAGATCAACAAGATCTGCTATTTTATTAGATCCTGATCTGGTATTCGGATAGAACATATCCCAAACCACGTGGCTTGCGCAGTAATCGATAGATCTCACTGTGAGGTGTCATATGTGAAACACTGATCTGTATGGAAGCTGGATGGAAAGGCGGTCGATCAAGGGATCGGCCCCCTCCGGGTTCGTATATCCGACCAGTGTATTCTACATCAAGCAGATTTAACTTTCAGCACCCCGCGAATGTACGTAAACAGTGCTCAAGCGCAGACTTGGGCCCCCGGCTTTTATACTAGGCCCCCCAGGCGGTTCATGCTTGCCGGATCATGGCGGATGAGCTCACTAACGCTGATTCGCGTGATTACGGTTGAGCCTTATCTTGTTGCGCTCAGTGTCATCTCGCACAGCGCACCCTTTGGGGATGCCGCTGACGCGTCTGACGTTGGAAGAAGCCTGGAAATTTGTGTGACTGGTTCCTTGGATCCCTTGGGGGCCGATCGGTCATTGTGGAGTTGACTGACGCGGTCCAAGAGGAATAAATGAGGCGGTCAGCGGGGATAAGTATGCATCGAGAATGATGAATAACGGTTGAGGCTCAATCTCCGGGCTAACGTGATCCAACAAAGCACCGAGAAAGGCCGTTTTTAGTGAGCGGTTTACACGGCGATCGGTAGTCCAGCGCTATCAGGCTCGTATGCTGTGGATACATGGGCTGTATGCAAGACTCTTTCCCTGATCAATGTTAGACTAAGTAACTGAATTGATGATCTTCCGTATTGGGGGAGATTTTGACAGCACAGTTCATTTGATGAGTCTGTGCGTTTATACTGTTTCAGGTCAAGGATCAGGACGAGCTACCAATCCCCCTTTAAACGCGCCCACAGGAGGAATGTAGAAGCAAATGCTAGAACAAGAAAAGCATGACACCGCCGAGAGCCTCTGAAACGAACGATTTGTGGTTGGCGCTTCCTCATTTTTTTTCTCTACTTTTTGTTTTCTTTTTCTCTTTGTAATTTCTTGGCCTGAGCGCCAGGAACCGCGCCCGGGGGCTAAAGTACTCCACCTTACCTTGGTCGCAAGCCAATCAGTGGGAATCAAGTAAATAAACAGAGCCAAAAGTTGGTGGAACGAAGCGAGGCTCTCTCCGCTCTCACGAGTTTTGTACATTTACCTTGCGGTCAGACACCAGCTGTCCCCACGTGTGTCCACGTGGACCACATGGGCCCTCGCGCGAAGGCGCCTGGAAAGACCATGGAAGGAATTGCTCCGCCACGCGGGCCAAACCCACGTTGTTTCGAACCCCTTCAAACACTGGTCCGAAAAGGAACGTTGGGCGTAAAATGAAAATGATATGCTCCGTTGAACAGTGGCGCTAGGCTCCACTAGAGCAAAATGCTCCGATCCGATACTGTTGTCCCGTAGGTTGAAACATGTGATGTGCGCCCCTCCTTTTTTTGTCTCTCCCTCTCACACCTTCTCATTGGCATAAAGCCGTTCGCAGGTTCATGCCCGGGGAGAAAAGCATAAAAATGAGAATGCTCCGACAATCTTCCGACTGGGGTATGACCGACCCAGAAAACAAAAATTAGATCAGATCGAAGTTTTCGATGATGTTTTGTATTTTGCCACACCGATAAGGTTCCTGACAGTAACCATGGAGGGGCGTAGGGATTCTTCCACGTGGGCTCAAGCTTCTGTGAGTTGGCAAATTCACATCATTGCCTGATCAGTACAGGGGGCCGAGAGAACCCACTTAGGATGGGGGTCAACCATAGAGAGGTGAGGAAGAGAAACGGAGGAAGAAGGAGTGAACAAGGAAAGGCGCCATCTGGAACCAATGAGAGGGGAGAATGGCTGAAGAGTCGGATTACTGGCTCGATATCGATAGGGGGCACTTGCTACATCAGGCAAGACTAACGCCCAACCCGGTAAGATTCACGCCGTAGCGCAGGGGGGATTTCCCTGATTTACCGCCTGGTTAAGGGAATACAGTGGTCGGGAGAGGTATGGTAATACCAATACCAGTACCAATGGGGCCGTAAGATCACCGGCCGGATCTGTTCGGGCTTGTTTCTATGGTTCATGGAAGTGGAGAGTGAAATCATTGACTGAAATTCTGACTGATCTCTCTCATTTGGAATTCTAGAAGGACACTATTTGAACTATTCCCCGAGCACGGAGCATACATCATTCATTGTGTAAGGGACTCTACAGGAATCAAGGATACAATATATGTAATGCATGTCATTGGGAAATGATACCCAAAGTGGTAAATACGGTAAATACCAGACCCTGCACGAAACAAGGAACCCACCGATCTTCACCATGAGGCAATCCCTTCCCTGGCCCACGTTGTTTGGATGCAGCACACCAAACTCTTTCCGAGCTCACGCGTGGGCTGTGGGTCAAGGATGACAGGCCGATTGTCTTCAGCGAATTTTTTTTGTCTCTTTTTCCTGTCTGTACATGCTCTATGTATTTTTGGAATGAACCATAATCAATGATCATGCACTATTCGCTATCACATTCCATCCAGAGGGGAGAAGAGGTGCAAGAAAAGAGGTGGTAATGTAGATTGTTTAATTCCAGTTCCACTCTCCGGTTCTTAGTTTTTTTAGTTTTCTTTTTTCTTTTTTCTTTTTCGTTTTCCACTTTTCCCTTTTGGCTTTTTCCGTTTTGAGTTTTAATTACTTTTTATTGAATTTTGAATTTTGGAATAATTATTTTTATGATTATCCTTAACTGTGTTTTTTTCGTTTTTCCCATGATTTTCTGGCATTACCTACAGCCCATTTCCCCCTTTTAGCCTTGTACAAGATCGTGGGTATCACTTGTTTGACTTATACCCACTTTTCACACTCTTCCCGAAGTCTGGTTCACCCAAATTCATTTTCCCCCAAAAAACCATTCAATGCCAACCCTAGTGAACCATTACCGAGACTATTCTCTTCCTCTTCGTGATCCGATAACTACTCCCTCACGCGCTATTTCCCCTGTCCCTCCCCCAACGACTGATCCGCCTACCCTGCATACTACCTTTACGGGGTCAGTCGTCGGTTCTATCTCCCGCCGCAATCGTCGTTCCTTTGCCGCTTTGGCTTCCAAGACTTCCAGTGCCTTTGCTAGTTTGTCCACTATCAACCAAAATACTCCATTGCGACCTTCGCCCTCGGCCAGCAGTTTGTCCAGATTATCAAGGCTTCCGAGCGCGACCGTCAACCCCTTGACCCCGCCATTGTCAGACGGAGATCCTAATCCACTGCTGGATTTAGCGCGCTCAGAATCCCCGGCATTGGCCGACCTGAACCCTTCTCATAAACGCCGCTTAACTCTGCAGCGCATTCCGACTCCTCCACAAGAAATCCGCCATTTCCCGGCCACTGTGCCCGCACCATCCAAGATGCACCAGACATCATCGCGGTTGTTGCGCATGACCGAAGATGAGCGCCCTTTCACCAAGGTAGGTTGGGCGAGATCCTACTCTCTGGGTTGGAGTGAGAAGTAAAAAGAGAAAGAGAAGAAAGAGAAAGTTGAAGAGAGAGAGACAGAGAACAAAAGAAAGATTGGTCCTTGAATGCTGACATGTTTCTCCAATTACTAGGATTTTATGGACTTGTTCTCCACCTTGATGGTCAGTTTGAAGTTGGACAGCCACCGGGTTCGTTTCACCAGATATGACCACACCTTTACCTCGGAAGAGGCGATCAACAACTTGGGCTCGCTCAAGTTCTCCCAATCGAACCGCATGCCCGACCCCAAGGACCCCTCCCGCATCGTTACCACCACAACCACCACCACTTTCTCTATGGCCAAAGAAATGGCCCGCTCGGTCTGCCAGCGATTCGTTGACGCCCGGTTCATCGAGCCCGTGGATGGAAAGGCCTTACCGATTTTCCCTCTGAAGGGTGCTTTGTTCCAGCTCACACCGAAGGGTATTAACATCCTGCAGCGCTTCTGCCAGCGGAACGGAATCACTGCTCGTCACGTGATGGATGTGTTGGAGTCCCCGCGCAACACTATGCAATTGGTGAACCTGGAGCGAGACACCGAATCGGATAAATTGTCGCACGACCGCGCAACTATCGAAGTCATTTTCCGTCGATTTGCCGGTCAGGATGGACCCAACATTAAGAGCAGCATTTCTACTTCCGATTCCGACTCATTAAGCGACTACACCAATGGCTTGGTGGGAGTGAAGATGGCCCGGGAGCGGAAGTTGCAGGATGGAAAGATCTACACCAACACATTTACCGGCAAAGGAGCTGTGGATTGGTTGATGGATTGCTCCACCACTATTGAGCGCCGGGAAACATGTTTGATTGCCGAGTTATTCCTCAAGTATGGCCTTATCACCATGATCCAGGACGACAAGGCTTTCCCCGACTCGAACGCGGTGTTCCAGCCTTCCAAGTACTCCATCTACTGCATTACCGATCGTGGCCAGCGTGTATGCGGATGGATTGCCCGCGACAAGAACCGCGACAACAACGCTAACACTACCTACGACAACCGCGGCATGCCCCGCGATTCTAACAACGCTCGCCTTACCCATATTCTCGGAGACCCCGCACTTCGTCTGTTGTTCCGCGAGTTCTTGCGCTATTCCCTCTGCGAAGAGAACCTATCTTTCTACCTCGATGTGTCCGAATTCACCGCCAACTACCACAAGTCCGAGAAGGCCGGCGTATTCAACAAGGTGGACTCTGTCCGGGAAACTTTGGCTGCTGCCTATGGTGAGTATCATTCTAACAAACTCTGCTTTAATTTGCGTCTAACAACCTTATAGGCTTGTACAACGCGTTCCTGGCTCCTGGATCCCCTTGCGAGTTGAACATTGACCACGCTCTCCGCAACAGCTTGGCCAGCCGTATGACTAAGGCCGTGGGAGACGATGAATCCATGTTCAAGAGTCTCCAAGAGGTTGTCCACCTTTTCGAACTTGCTCAGACCTCCGTCTTCAAGTTGATGTCAAGCGTAAGTTTTAACCTGCGCCGCGCGCTTTCAAATCCCCTTACTAACTTCCACAGGACTCGGTTCCAAAATTCCTCCGTGACCCCAAGTACTCCGTCGTCCTGCAGGAGCACGACGTCGACATCTTCGGCGGTTCTCGCTCGTACTCACCGACCCCCGGTGGCCCGGAACGGACCATGAGCCGTTCCGCGCGGACATGACAATTACCGCGAGGCAGCGTGGATGTTTCCTGCAAGCCAGCAAGCCGTGACCGTCCGCATCGTGATTCGATCGCCCATTCCACCCCTGTTGGCCTATAATTGCCAAGCTTCGCCGGTCTCGAACTCAGGGTGCCATACTCGGCCAGTCGAGTTGGTCCCGCTCCCGTCAACCTGTGCGACTGCAACGCGGGGATCACACCCGCGGTCGCCTTGGGAAACCCAGAGAAGGAGGACTATCCTCCAGCGATGTCACCAATATCGTTATGATCGCCTCCGACCACGAGACTTCGTTATTGCATTGCGCTTATGCCATGCAGTCAAGCCCTTGTCTTAACCCCGGCAGAAGCCTTTATTCCTGTTTTAATTTCCTCCGCCGCGAGATTTTTTCTTTTCATTTCCTTTTTTTCTCTCCCTGGTTTTCTCAACACCCAGATGAAAGACGTTATGATCGATGCCTCATGTCATAGAAAGGCCAGAAATTGGGCACCACTTGTAATATTTGGATGACATTTTCTATTTTCCCCGGAGCTTTTTGCCAAGTTCCTTTGCATTCAACCCTCTTTCCCGATATATCATATTGGGGAAGAATGAAAAGAGAAAAGACCAAAAAAAATATTCAACCTCAAAAAAGACCGGTGGTTGACTCCTGCAATGCAAGCCTTGTGTTTTTGTTGAGCATCAGACACGGCGTTCCCTGCATGATTTCCTACATCTTATTTCTTTATTTATTGCATGCATGATCTCTCCCATTGATGAGCATTTGGTTTTTTTTTTTTTTTTTCAATACCTGTTTCTGCATTTTATTTGGGCACAGCGAGTGAGTTCTGGTCGATTAGTGTATGTCATATAGTATGGTTCCCAAGGGAATTGCAATGGACATGACGATCTCATCTACAGTATGCCACCTTCCTATTCTACACCATCCAGTATTCCACAGTATTCCACCCTATTGCATTCCATCCAGTCATCAATTCAGCCCTGTAAACCCTAAGTACCTAGAACTTTCTGAGGCTACATGTATTATATGAGTTGGGGTCATCATGAGTCTAGATTCCACTTGGTTCCTGGGCTAGATCTTCATAGACTCTGTAGTGCTCGTACACTTAACGTTTCAAGATCCGTGGGTGACTTCCGAGGTCGACTCCAAGGTTACCACATGGTCCGGGCTGAATCCGAAACAAGTATCCGAGCATGTTCTGAGTAAATGGGGTAGTCTAGGCCTTGATGGCGTTTTGGGTATTCTGGTACACCGGCCTGTCATATCGTAGACCGATAAGATATAGGCTAAAAACAAACAGATATTCGGTATATAGCTCGGTAAATGCATTCGGTACATAAGATGTTATTTTCATGGTACAGCCCTTCTACCTATTGAGCCTGGAATATGATATAAGTAGGCAGTAGGGACGAAAGACGAAACAAGGCAAAGGCTTCAACACACCTAACAACGCCAGAACCGCAACCCTGGTGTGAAATTCCATTTTATGAAATCAAAACATGGCAAGTAAGGAGAAAAGGGGAATCAATATCAGGCATCAAGGAAAATAGAAGCTAGGAGGTCATCATTTTGACCCCCAACCACGAAGCCTCATGCCCTCCTCAATAGCTGTCCAAATTCCCTCAACAACCTCCCGATCCCTCCATCGTCCACCACCATGAATCCCACCTTTCTCATCCCACCGCTCAACATTGAAACTCTGCACGCCGCGTCCCCATCCCTTAACAGTAGGCGGAACCTCCTCGCCCCTCCAGCCAACATAGACACCAGTAGCATGCTTAAACAGCTCTGGCGGAGAAGACCACTTATAGGACTTAAACTGCCAGGTCTGTCCAGTTGTAAAGACGGCCACAAGCCGCGACCAATACTCCGGCTTGAAGTTTGTTGTTCCATCCACAAGAATGAACTTGGTAGGCTTGGATGCTTTGTTGGCTGCGCTCGCGGCGTTGGGGTTGGAGGGGTCAGACTTTAGGCGTAGTGGACGCTTGAGTTCCATGAAGTTGGCCTCGGTGGACATGGACAGTGTGGGGTGGTCTGGTGGGACGAAGATACCGTCTTGCAGGAAGGACTTGATGTTTGACATGCGGATGAGAGATGAGGCGGAGGGGGAGAGGAGGATAATGGGGTCTGGCCGGGAGCTGGATTTGCGAGAGGGCATTGAGAGGCCTGCTGAAGGGGCGGGGATCATCTTGCTGCCTGGTTTGGTGGGTTGACCTGGGCGAGAGCGGTTGCGGTCGAGGAAGATCTCGGCACTCTTGCGGACATGGGAAAAGTCCTGTTAATGGCGTTAGTTTGATCTACTCTCTCTATCTTTTGGATTGGCGGTGGTGTTGGAGATGCCGAAGGGGAAACACTCACGGTAGCCTTAATGCCTCTCAGCACAGTATTCCGATCCCCAGTCTTCCGTTCTCCATTGTAAATCTCCTGCAGCCGAGGATCAATCGGCTTCTGAGGACGGGTACCTTGAGCGCCGGCCTGCGTCGCCGCTCCAGGAGCACCACTAGGTACAGTAGAAACACCCCCTTAACACCAGATGCAATACCGGCCGAGGCTTCAGCCTGAGCAGCACCAGCTGCGGAGGCGGCAGCAGCAGCAGCAGCCGCAGCCGCGCCTTGCAAAGGCTTGATGTACTCGCTTTCATCCGACGCACCCTCGAGCCAGGTAATGAGATCCAAGCGCTCGACGAAAGGGAGATTCTGAACCTCCTCAACTGTCCCAGACTCAGCGGGCCCCTTCAACCTCAGCGCCTCGTTCAACTCATGTGCGGAGGCAATGTATTCCGGGATAGCGACATCTTTCTTCTGCCACGCGAAGAAGATGCTGCGCAGGTCGACGGCGGACTCGACTGTTCCGGATGCGATGCGCGTGAAGCGTGTTGGCGTCGAGAGGGGAATTGACTGTGGAATTGGCTGCGAGAAGTAGAGGTGTGTAGCCTGGGCGAGGTCCTCTGTCGCATGTTCGTTCGAGAGCTCGGACGAGGTTGTCGGGGTTGGGGGGCTGTCCGAGGCAATGGCTCGGCGCAGCGAAAGAAGAGGATCCTGCACTGATAGGTCGGCTGCTGCCATTGTGAATGCTGAGGGTGTTAGGCCCTGGGAGAAGCTGAGTTGGGATTGGGAGTCGGAGGTTGAGGCTGGTTGGATTTCGCGTGGAAGCTCTGGGTCAACACGTGATCACAGACTCGCCAGTTGTTGAAAGATATCAAGTAACCGATCATGTATAGAAACCTTGATTGATTCACGATTTAAATTCCTGGTTTTTCTAAGCTCGAGCACTTGAAAAATGAATAAGGGTCCTAACTTTAACCAAGCACCATGGATATAAACAAACAGAATCTCAAAGGGAGAGCATGTAAAGCATATGGTACAGAGAATAAGGTGTAGAGAGGCAGTCCAGAAAGTTAACGAATGGTCCTTTAACATTTGAGTCCCGGAAAGGTGTCCAAACATCAGCCCTACCAACCTAGTGGTCATTTCACCAGCGGGACTTGTCCAAATTGGACTTGGACTTGCGCGTTGGCTCTGCCCTGATTGTGCCGCTCAATTCGAAGGCCTGCTCCTCAATCCTTACATGTTAGCTATCTACATGATGCAACATCGGATCTGGAGAAGTCGACATCTTCACCGCGAAGCTTAGATATTTCACAAGGCCTTTTTAAATTTGCCTCGAAGCCAGCGTCTTTCATGTTCTTAGGCCCTGTCTAATTCACAATCTATCATCTTGTCCACCAACTACAACCTCAGTGGAGACAACGTACCGCAGGACTCATGTATCGCCACATCCAGCCCCAAGCCCCCAAAAAGGCTGTTATTCCTGTAAACAGAATCAAAGTTCCATACTGAGTTTCGTATCCTGTCGCACCATCATGACCCAGCGCGCCCTGGCGGATCAGCACTGTACTCAAAGGCCCACTAATGACATTTCCGATACCTCTCCCACCCGCCAAAAGACCAAACACCAGTCCAGTCTCCAGTGATGATGAAGACTCATTCTCGATCTGTGTGATGATACCCGACCAAGTCGAGCTAAACCCACCAGCGAAAAATCCATAGAAAATGGCGAAAACAGTAAGAAATGCCACACCAGCGTGAGAGCCTGGATCCGCAGACGAAGCCATGCCCCAGAAGAGGAGCACTGACAAAGCAGATCCTACAGAGGACAAGAGTAGAACGTTTGTCACGTTGCATCGGTCGCAAAGCATTCCCAGTGCAATACCACCGAAGATTGAGGTTGCGTTGACAAGGGACACAAGCAACGTGCCCATGAACTCGGGCAGACCGACTGTTCCTGTCGAGTATGTCGGAAGGTATGTTGACGGTAGGAAGTATCCGAAGCTCTGCATGATGTTGCCTGCTTGCAGCATCCAGAACGTGCCCAGCCCAAGGAAACTGAGATCAAGAGGACGGGCCGATGATGATGCAGACACTGGGATTCGGGGCTTCATGTACGGTAGGGAAAGCAAGGTTGTGATGAGCTAGAAATAATCAATTAGTATCTGGATCATCCGGCATCCTGAGAAAAAGTATGGTGGGCCGTAGCCATGGATGTCAGATCATACTGTAGTTACGGTCCATGCCCTCAAAGTTGTACTTGAGCCAAATCTGTTCAGACAGGCACTCGCAATGAATGGTAGAGCAACACCAGTAATACTCTTCGCAGCCCACATGATTCCAAGAGCGAGGCCTTTCCTCCGGATGAACCATTGATCTAGATAGAGAGAAGGAAGACTGAATAACAGCGCATTGCCGATAGCACATATCACGCCTTGGGTCGCAATGAGTTGCCATACTTTCTCCGAGAAAGAAGAAAGCAAGGAGCCGATCACGGTGACGACTAGTCCCGTTGGAGCACACCAAATTTGCAGATGTGGGTACCGAGTCAGCAGCGTGAAGGTGACTGGAGAGAGAAGATAGAGTAACCCCTATTACCATTCATCAGGTCTGGCAGATTATCATGAATCTCCGATATGCTCGCTCGTACCGTTGATGTAGTCCCCACAGTCGCCAAGTCTCCTTTGCTGCCCTGCAGTACGTCGTTCAAGGAGTAGTACTCTTGGAAAACACCGAACACACTCGAGAATCCTGGGTATGTAGGATTAGTCAAACACTCATTATAGTAGTTGCACGCGAGGCATACCCCAGACTGGAACTTGAATGAGACAGCACGATGCCAGTATCAACCAAGCGGCCTTGCCGCCATCGGGCTGAGCGAGCATGGGCTGCTCAATCTCGTGTGGTGAAAAGGAATCATCCTCAGGATGAGAGGCGACTGCCCTCAGTTGAATGGATTCGTTTGCTGGATTGGTCATCGTGGATGTACCTAGAGAAATCGGGTGAAAAGAGGGGAAGTATGGAGCGGAGAGATCGCCCCGACGACCTTTGAATCATAGTACTGTCACGCACGTATCTACGCCAATAAACTCATTGTCGTTCACTTTCCATATTTATGATTGTTGTTTCAATCCGATATGATCAACAATATCTTTGAACATAATTCGATTGTTATCTGCATTACATACAAAGCGGTAAGAATTCCCACCTGTCTGCATACTATTCCCATAAGACATCCAGTCGAGTCCTAATAACGAACCACTTCCAGCTCACACATGAGGCACGTGAGCTGCACAATCATACTAAGAAAAGAAAGAAAAACAAAACTGAGAGTCCTGATCGTTACCACGCCTCGCTCAAATCTGGGTATGTGAGCTCCACAAGCGCATGGAAGCCAGCTTAGTCGGTGAAACCAGCCATGGCCATGATAACCTCATCTGGCGTGCCGTGACCGACCTCTCCAACATAACCAAGCTTCCCACGCTCCACATTGGCCTGGACCACCGAGAAAGTAAAAGGATTGACTCGGGAATTGACATCGTCGGCCTCGACAACGGGGAGGATGGAGATGTCCATCTCGGTAGAACGGTACCAAGCGTCTTTGTAATCAACATTACGCAGGAAAACAGCATTGGTGATGTAATAATCAGGCAAAGCCCCCAGACGCTCTGCGGACAACGGAATGTATTCCCTGTTCAAATAAACCACGGCGTGGTGCTGTTCATCAAACTTCCACCCGAGACCGGCTTGAGCAAACGGATTCGGCAGCTCATTGAAAGGGTCATCAGGCGAGCAGTCATCAGAGATGTTCTCATACACTTTGCCGAAGTCGCCGAGGCAGATGGCTGTTCCGCCACGGCGCACAAACTCCAGAATTGGATTCCATACTTGCTTGTACTTGGGCAAAACGATAGCCTCGCAGTTGACAAGGACCACGTCATAGTCCATTTGGAGATCGAGTATGGCGAGACTGGAGATATGGACTTCTCCGAAAAATTCGGCTTTTTCTTTGATCTTTCGAATAAGATCGGCATGCATCTCGTCATAAGCTGCCGTGACGCCCAGGGCAATGAAAAGCACTGAAGGCTGAGCAACCGACATCGTTGGCGGTGCCTTCAGTCTTGACAAATTGTTAAGAATGATGAACTAGGTTGGCTTTTAGAAAGCCCAAGACGCGTTGTGAGGATATCGAGTCAACCACTATGAGTGTGCAAGATGACAAGAGAGAAACAGATCAACAGATCCAGAGAAGATAAGGAACCGGCTTGCCAGAGACAAATTGAAGGCGAAGTATCTGGTGAAGGCAAGTATCTGGTGAAGACACGATGCGGCTTTATCGACTGACCGAAGTCAAGAGCAGACCATGGAGGAAAGATGGTAGGAAATCAAAGGAAACAGCATTGAATACCTGCGCTATTCATCGCGCTATTTATGCTCAGTCTACGAGCCGTGAGGTAGCATGGACGCCATATGGCGAACTCAGTGTCGACAAAGTCGCTCGGTTGTCGCTGAACTGCTATACAGTCTGTGGTGTCTTCCTAATTGGCCTCTGAAAAGCAAAAATACAGTGAATGATCTGTCTTCAATAGAAGGATTTGAATATAGAGAGACAGCGGGCTGGCAACATTGAAGCGATCATGATTCAAGGACTACAGCCCAGGCCCATCGCAGTAGATTAACGTATACTTCGGCTAAAATTCTATTATTCCCGTAACTCCAACGTGACCTTTGACAGGTGATTCAATTGACTGCGATTATCTGATTTATAGTGATCATACGAAAGTTTGATAACGATTGCGCAAGCCTGGCTCCAAATTCAAGATCAAGGCTTTAGGTTTCATCATACGTGAACTTCTGGACTCCTGAGAAATTGAATACGATGTCTTCATTTTTCCACGGTGCACACAATATGCTTTTGAGGGGGATAGACGTATCGCGACATGAACATAAACAGGAAAATCGAGCCAATATCAATATAGTAACAGCAAGTTCTTTCAGTCTTTTCTTTTGTTCCGTTCCTTTGTGACAGGTCGGTGCTTATTCACCGCATACTTGTCTACCTGCGGCCTGTATCTCTATACCGCAATGAAATAAGGAGAAGTTTGTTTTATGGTTGCCGACGAGTTCGAGCATTGCGTTCAAACATGTGAAGTCATCCAGGAGGGAAGAAGGGCTTTTCAGTAGACTCAATTGTTGTTGAAGCATATTGTAGTTCTCCATGGAAGAAGAGTCTGCAATCTAAAAGGTCAATCCAGAGTCATAAAATTGAGAATGATCAAGCAGAAGGAACTTAGATTCTCGCTATGACAAGTTAGGGGGTTGTTAATCAAGGTGATCAGCGTGTTGATAAACCAAGGTGTGAATGATGATGAGCATTCAGAAACGCGTGAGAACTATTAGCATCAAGGAATAAACAAGAAAAACAAAGCAAGAAATGGAAGTAGACATGTAGCCATAGAGGTGAATTAATAGGCACTGAGGTCTTTATTAACTTTCCAATGTTATTCTAGGACAGTATATCATGTCGAGTCCCGATTGACTGCATGTCTACATGTCTACATTAACTACAACCTGGGAGCTACATGCACAATGGAAGGACTTAATGATAATGTTCATACAAGCAACCCTGTACCATGGAATGGAGACTCCACGTCGAAGGAGAGAAGATATTGGATAGATACTTCCACAGATCATAAGATAAGCGGCTGTGCTGCACGCCAGTCAAACCGAAGGCCATAACCACCCGAATCCTGGTATTTCCGTAACCGACCTTCCCATTTCCTTGGACACGCCGTACGCCTCGGAAAGAAAAAGAATACAAAACCGTCACACAGACACGCAACCCGAACGCCGTTGCCACCCTTGTAAAGATGAAGTAAAGTCACACGAGAGAAGAATTTTGAAGTCGTAAAGAAACGTCATTCCGAAGAGGTTTCGTCAACCGACCACGCCATTATTACCACACGCAGTAATGAAGAATAAAGCTGAAGAGATAAAGATATAAAGACAGAAGCGAGCATAAGGATATCAAGTGAAGTGAAGAAAAGGAGAGCAATCACTGAGCGATTGAGGGATGATGGGGCTCTGCCGAGTCGGGGGCATCCTTCATTGTAACATCACTGGGCTGCGAGGTCTCAACCTTGGTGCCTGAGGCGTTGTTGTCCGCCGATGGATTACTGGGATTCTGCGCGTCATCTGCGCTCACAGCATGCTCTGGCCCCGGGGTAACAAGGGGGTTCAGCGTAGGAGCAGCAGTGGGTGCCTGGGCTTGAGAGCTCTCCGAGGTCGGGGTTGTCAATGTGCCTCGGCGGCTCAGATAATCGCCAAGCGTGAGCTTTCTCTTAGCTGGCGTCGGCGTCGGCGCAGCAGGGATTTGTGCGGAATGGGGAGAAGAAGCCTCCACGGTGGAAGGAGAAGCCAGACTAGCGTTGGATGCAGACCCAGGGCTGATGGCAAGGGGGATGCCAGGGACGCTGGGAGGAGGCATGGAGACACGGAGATTTCCTTGGTTGGGCGAAGTAATCGATCCCAGAAGCCTGGTGGTGTGGGCAATAATAGATGGCCAGGGAGCGAAAGTCGGAGACTTGCGTGAGTCGTGATCGGGCTTATTGGCCTCGAGATTACCGGCAATAGCCGATGGCATAATGTCCGCAGTCTGAGCAGTATCCATGTCCATATCTGCAGCCATCGCAGCGTTGGGAGACTGGGTGAAGGGGGAGACAGATTCTCCTGGATTCACGCTATCCGAACCAGCAGAAGACAACTGCTCTCTGGCCGACTTCTCCCTGTGGCGCCGACAATCTGCAAAGTAACGTTCCAGCAGGGCTATCTTGGGGTTGACCCAGTTCTTCCCTGGGACGATCCCGAGTTCGACCCATTTCTCACGAGGTGGATATGGCGGCGGATCATTATCGCGATCACATTGGATTCCCGCATCCATATAGTTATGCCGGTATTGTCGAAGGTGCGGAGGAATCGACCCTGACGTCCCACGAGAGGTCGCATTAGGAGCAGCAGGCAATGAACCAGGAGACAAGCCGGTATTGGGAGACTCGGATTGAGCATTGCTTTTATTGTTGTTGGGAAGCATTTTGTTGGATGCCCGTTGTGATGCAAAGAAAGAAGATCGTGATGTGGTATGCGATGGTGGGGGGTTGGCGACAGGAGATTGCGCTGAGGGAGCACTGGTGCGCTTCTTCTTCTTTTGGGCGGTGGTGCGTTGGTCGTTTTCCAGGGCTTGGAATTGTTTCTCCGCATCAGCGATCTTGCGGCGTTCACGACTGGACATTCCAAGACCGGCAAGTCCGGGATTAGACGCAGTTGGACTAATATCGCGACTGAGAGATTTTCGCACAGAGCCTGATGTTGAGCGACTATCTACAGCCGCATCATCGTCCTCAGTGTGCTTTGTCGTTTCACTGCCAGCACGACTAGTCGAACCACGTTGCGCATCCAACGGAGATTTACCGGGTTTGGTGTTCGCCTTCTTCCGCTTCCCATTAGTTTGCTTGGGGGTTTCAAGCGATTTTGGATGCCGCCGCCGATCAATATTAGCAAGCAAGCAATTTTGTGGATGCTCACAAGCACATCCACCAAAGTTCGCAAGAGTGTTGCTTATGCACATGGCTGCAGCATCTGTCGCACTGTCCCCAGATTCTTGCTTGACAAAGCCATTAGATGACTCAGATAGCTGTGCATCTAAATACCACATGATAGTAATCTCCGAGCCTGCGGGGATATCTTCTTTGGCCACGAAGCAGAAATGATACTCCACGTCATTGGTGATAAAGATCTTCATGGTGACGTTTGGTCGACAAGACCGACGAGTGTAACGGAGCATACTACCTTCACATCGGCTATCGATATAAAGTGGTAAGTGAGAACTGAAGAAAACGAAAGGCTCGGGGTGGCGTAGCTCAGACCACCTGTTGTTGGAGTCGAGGCAATAGTCGTCAAAAATGCCAACCTTGCCTGTGATTTCGCCAACGACCTCGTCCTTTCGCACTGCATCTTGAGTCTTCACGATCTTCCACGTAGGGTGCCGGCCACTGATCTCGATATTTGAATCGGTAATGGTGTCAGTGGTCAGGGCGGGCCAACGCGAGCGATCCAGGGCAGCATCGGACCGAATGAATGTGTCTTCGGCTCGGCGTCCATTGGTAACTCGCGCCAACGCATCTGGGTTCTTAACCCACGAAGCTGACTCGCCGACCAGACTGACATTGACAAACAGATTACTGTCCATGTCTACATGGTCTTCATCTCCGTCGTAAAGTTGTAGGAATTCGTTCGAATAGAGAGGAATGGAGGGGCCAGAGAGTTTTGTAGGAGATGGCGCAACGGAGGTAGAGGAGCGTCGTTTACGAGATTGTGCGGGGAGATGAGGAGTGCCGGAGAGGGCGCTGATAGAGGTAGACGGTCGGTGGGAGGTTTTCGTCTTCTTTGCTGGAGGTTGATCACGCGCGCCAGACTCGCTGCGCTGATGACCAAATCCATTCATATCACCATCCTTGAGTTTTTTTTTCGTCGCCTTCGCACTGGATCGTTTCCTTCGGTCCCCGTCCTCACTCTGTTCTCGAATCCGTCGTTGGCGTTGTCGGTCGGCAGCGCGACGGCTATCCAACTGACGTGGTTCACATTCGATACAGTTGTGCACATCTGGTACTCGCTTGTCTGGATAGTAGCAGACAATGTGCTGCCATGTCTCGCAGCGTTCGCAAAATACCGTGCTACCGTCATCTTCGTTGAACTGACAGATACATTTAATGGTGTATGGCTCTTCTTCATCGGGCGCGCCCGAGTCAGAGATAGCACCATTGACAGGAGAGTCTGGGGGAGCGGGGACCGGGTACGAATCCGTGGTGGCGTGCGTGATGGCGAAGGAGGAGGTATCTGTCATAGTCCGACAGATTACCCCCTCTTAAATCAGAGAATATGGAAACTTGAGGAACGATGGCGTGGCCGACCCGTCCCTAGTCAACGAGCATGTCCACGACCACCTGGGAGGGTGAGTCTATGCACCGCCCTGTCTGAACAATGACAGACGCGTTAGACTGAGGCACGACCGCAATTACACACAAGATTCTGGTCCTAGCATGAACTTGCAAGCCCAGTGTAGGCTAGCACGAAGGTTCACGGGTTCCAAGGATTGATTTTGATGATGAATAGGCTGACTAGACGAGGAGGAAAATCCTGGCCGAATGCGACTGACCCGTGTCCTGAAGGGTGGGAGGCAGGGAACTGACAAAATCGAGGGGACGAAAAGGAGATATGGTCCACAACGATGAGGCGATTCGAGATTCACGGCTGGGCGGGTGCGAAATGGTTCGGAGGGCCAGGTGAGGTCGTTCAGCAGGTCGAGACGAAGGCGAAAATGGTTCAGGGCGACGGGATCGCGTGGAGGGAAAGAGAAATGGAGGAAGAGGTGGCGATCGAGAAAGAGCGGAGGATACACAGACAAAAGAGATGGAGAGGTGGGATCCGAGAAAGGGAAGAAAAGGGACGCGCAGGGAAAAAAGGAGAGAAAAAGAGGGTGAATCTGAGTGAACTTGGATGGAAGGAGGAGGAGATGGGGCAGGCCTAAGGCAGCGAAAGGCGCCGAGCAGCAGCCCAGCGAAAGGGGATTAGCGTAGGTTGAGTCGCGCTGGTGACTCTCGAAAGCCCGAAAACGAACACAGAAAACCGGATGGAAGAGGGGAAAACAGCGAGGAAACGGGTGGGAGGCCCAGCTGGGTACTGGTTGGAGCGTGTCCGGCATTGGAAACATGTAACAAGGCTGTCAGAGGCCTGTTCTCTGCTGTATTGTGGGTGAGCGCGGTAATAAACGCTAGTCCACATTCGAACTAGCGGCGGGAAGGATAGAATCCGGGTGGGGGGATCACGGGACTAGCCAGAAAACCATGGAAGGACTCGACAACAGAACTGGTTAGGTTAGCATCTAGATTCATTAGTAGTCCATCAAGTGAACATGTTGAAACAGAAGAAATTTTCATGTCTTCATCATTATGAGAAGAAAACGGGAGAGTTGTCCATAAACCAAAGCTTGACCAATGCACATGAAGTCCCATGCATATCCAAGTAGCCGGGCGGCATTTTTGATAGGCAGTCCGATCCAGTGTCGTTGTTTAAGCATCATAATCAAAGGGGCTGGAGAATAGGTCCATCTCGACCTTTCAAGGGGAGCCTGTGTGTAGAAGAGAAAATAAGATGGGAAGAGCACAAAGAAGTATGGAGGGCAGCTTCTCTTGGCCAAAATGGGACAAAGGAAAGATGATCAAGTAAGGGGAGAGCGGATGAAACAAAAATGACTGGGAAAGTTGAAAGAAATCAGAATGAACATGGGTGACGAGAGGGAAAATAGGAATAGGGCACAGATGCAAGAATGGGAGTTTAGGGCAGTAGGGGAAATGTGCAGGGTAGAGTGCGTATAGGTTGTAGGATGTAAAATAAGTTGCAGTGGGAACGTGGGTAGTGGGAATTTTGGCCTTGGGACGAAGGAAGATCATCCGAAAAGACGGGGCAGCAGCGTGGCGCAGGTGCTCGGGAGGGGAAGTCATCTGGTCCCTTGGGAGAATGTGGGAGAGAAAAAAAAGAACAGCCGCAAAAGGTAAAGTGTATGACAACTTGACAGATTTCGGAGGATGTGTCCGAGAAAATGGGAATGCTGGGGAAAGAAAAGAAGATCGGTTGGAGAGCAAGTTGCCCGCTTTGGTAAAAAAGGGGGGGGAGAGAATGATCTAGCAGCCCGATATTATTATTCCAGCCCGGTGATTTGGCAGCTATTTTTTCGCCACTATAGACAGTCGGAAGTGTGCAAGGAACAGGGCTAATTAAGCCAGAGCGTTAGTCGATCACAAGGCGTAAATTGTATTGAAACTTATTCGTTACGAGCCGCTCAGGGCCTCGCCGCCCCGGGAACATGTTCCCTAGCAGGGCTTCCGACCACACCGCTGAGTCTGCGAACTCCCATATTTCTGCTCTTTCCTGGATGGATTAAAAACCTTTTGTGCTTCAACCGCACCGAATGGTACAGGGTAGAGGTTCTCGTGATTGGAGGTGGCAGGAAGCTCATATGGACGTGGCAGTGGGTGTTAAGCCTGGCATAAAGCAATAAGGAAAAAATCCTGCAGAGAATAGAAGAGGATCGAAATAATAGCCATGCGATAAATCGAAGTATAAATCACGCTTTGGAGGGAAAGCGGTAGGAATATTAGGGGAAGATGAAGTGAAATGAAGAAACACAATGAGAATAGACTTCCAAGGTGTCTGGGAGAAGCACATGACAACAATAGGCAGTTTCGTCAAACAATTCATACCAACGAAAAAGATACTGCGATGATGAAAGAGGACAAAAAGGCGAATGGAAGTCATGAGCACTACAAGAAAAAAAAAAAAAAAAAAAAAAAAAACTAGTATGATCACAAGGATTACAAAAATTTCGAAGACACAGCAAGTACACCTGGAGTGTAACGTTTATTTTATCCCAACAGCAGCCGAAGCAGAGGGAAAAGACACTAGTGATAAGCGTCCCAAACAAAACTAAGTATACAAGTTCAGCTATTTCGGATGCTGTGGTTAAGGTCCTTAACACGCCCCTGGCTCTCATTCGAGTACCTTACGATCGCTCATGCCTCCCTGGCCATCGCCCAGACCGGTTCCAACTCATTGGCGGTAGGTGGCTGGGGTGATTGTCCATATGGTACCCTTGGTCGTGAGCAATACTTGGTTTCTGGAACCTGATGCGCTGGTTTGACGCGGCTTTCTTCGCTAGGGGTGGGACGTGGAACGGTATTTCCAAATCGATGAGCGGCATATAAAAGACCAAACAGAGGCATGCTGATGTATGCCATCATGATCCTGGCTCCACGAGGTCCATTGTGATTGCCTGGCACAGCAGAAATCAATCCATTGGACAGCAGCAGCAGGGTGCTGAGAGCAAACCCGATGATTGTACCCACCGGCTGGAGGGCATGATGGTAAGCAGTGGTGACTCTGTTAGCGTGCAAAAAGACACGTAATCGACGGTATACGACACATGACAGTACCCAAGAAAGGTAGCCGGAGCTGTTCACAAAGAGGATGAAGTACGTCGTCATGGTCGAGCTAGACGTGGCGACAGACAAAAAGGCGAGTGCGGTGAACATTGCTGTAAAAACCACAGCCACCCATGGAACACCCCAGTGGTTTCGGTTTCTGAACATGGTAGGCGCATGGCCGGCGTCTGCTAGTGCATATAGTGAGCGAGAGGCAAGGTATAGGTACGACTGAGCCGAGGTAACAGAGGAGAGGAGTATCGCAAGGGTCGCTGTCACAGGGAGGATTCGAATTCTCGCAGTGTTGATGCCGATGACGAAGGGAGACAAGCCGGCACCAGCTCCACCATTGGTGAGTAGAGGGTTATCGTAGGGAGCCATGACGCCCATGGCCAAGGAGGTCAGGACATAGGGAACCACGGTCTGGAGAACGTCCCCGAAAACCAGTTTCGGAATGTTGGAATTTGCCGCTGGCTGTACGCTTCCCGGGATTTCAGGTTGACCAGCTACTTCCATTTGCTCAGCTCGTTGTACAATTAACTCTGGTGCAAAGGTGAAAGCTGCAGTGCTGAGATGGACACACTGTAACAAGCCCAAGAATTTCCCCAGTGGTCCACGAACCAAGTACTCATGCATAGCCCCGGGCCTTTTCCAGTATTGAAATCCCCAGCGACCATGACCAGTTGCACCGCCAAGAGCAATCGACAGAGAAAGGACGAGAAGACAAGCTAATGTGCCGATTTTGATCCGATAAAACACGGTCTCGGAGCTTTTGAATAGTCGATCAGGGAGGAAATTTAGGGCGACGATAATAAAGGTGATCAATACCAGCCAGATGGCGATGCTGGGCCCAGCGTTCCACAGCCCAATGTTGACCATCGCGGTTGTAATCTCGTATGGAACGAACATGGCCATGGTATACCAGCGTAAACAGGCGGTGGCGAAACCTAAACTGTTGCTCATGTACTGGAAGCCATGCATGACTATCGTTCCGTGGCGAGATGGTTTATAGGTAGCGACTTCCGCGACACTGGTGGCCATGAAGTAGACAAGAAGTGATAGGAATATGTATGAAACGAGTAGAGAGGCAGGTCCACCGACAGCCAACGCCTGGCCGCTGGCGAGGAAAAGGCCAGTGCCAAGGGTCGATCCGATGGCCATTCCTGGTGTTCAAAGAATAATAATACGACGATAGCGAATGCGGGGTCATGGATTCAACGAAAGTCAGACATCGAAGTTGTGAACGCATCGGTGCATTCCAAGAATATGAACTCGAAGTCGCACCTGCCACGAAATCGCCAAGCCCAACAAGGGGTCTCAAAAGCCTCAAGTATCATTAAAATTCGAACATGAAGTATACATCAATGCTATGAAAACAAGTGCAAGGGTATCAATGTTGTCTCAGGGGGACTGGATTTTCGATCATCCAGCAATGGAATATTATGGTTCACTGGGCAGCCAGATCTGTCTCAGCAAATTCAAGCCACTCTCCAGCTAATGATTTCTTCCAGAATCGAACAGCACCATCATCCCCAGAAGAGATCAAGGAATCACCTAGATACAATATCAGAATGCAAATTATCACTGGGGAACGTAAGTACTTACCAGCAAAGGAGAATTCAACCTGCCACACGTCGAGATGTCGACTATCTACGCATGCGACTTGCTTGAAAGAATGCTTAAACAAAGAATCGCCACTGGCTTGGCGATTGGACATCAATTCGGTATCCTGGTTTGCCAAGGCGCTCCCAATTCCTGACTGCGACGTGGCACGCACAGATGGCGATTGTTGCTGCCGCCGTTCAGCCTTCCGGGAACCAGGGTTTTGGGAACCTTGATTGATGGGTGTCGTGTAGACTTCGAAGATGCGCACCAGACCATCCTTGCTACCACTAGCAATGAGGTCATATCCTCGTACGGAGCCGTTTGCCCAGGAAATATCTCTAACCAAGCTGGCGTGTCCGTTCAGTTCAATGGCATGGTAGAAACGTCTATTGGCATCGGTGCGGTAAACTTTGACAGAGTCCATTGCCGCAACAACTAATGATAAACTCTTCCGATCCGATTCCGGCTGAATAGAGTGGGTAATATCGGTGGGGTCGTGGTGAAACTGTACCTTGAAACTTGTTTCTTCTCCACGTTCGGGTGCTGCGCATACTCGAAACTGATCGACTGGTTGCCATTCTGCCAGACTGTCTGGGCTGACAGGCTCCATGACCATCAAATAGCCATCACGGGTAATCACGGCCATCCATGACTCCAGGTCAATATTGCGAAAGTCCAGCGACACAAATGGATGGCGGTGGGGCGCTGTCATGCGGAAGATAGACCTAAACCGCCGGCCAGAATTGGGTGACTGTGTTACGTCTTCCTGCCATATTTTGAGTTTCATGTCTTCTCCAACACTAGCAATATGTTGGCCTGTGAATGGACCGTTCCATGTTGCCTATAATGGTATATTAGAACGCGTTTCTACGCGACACAAGCAGATGTATTGTGGTCTTGGGTCTTACATCGCGAATCTCCGCGTCATGGGCTCGCCAGGTGTCCAACAATTGCCACTGACCATCTTTCAGGTCCCAAACTTTCATGCGATGATCAGCAGAGGCTGTGACGATGCGATTGCCGTAGAAGTTGAATTTGGTGACAGTTACGAGATCCCGGTGGCCAGCATCGAAATCGGCGAACCCACCAGCCATCTCCGGGCGCTCTATTGCCCCCATTGGGACCAGCTAATTTGCCTTGACTAACTTTGGTCGGGAGGAATGAGCAATAGGCCAATAATGCGCCTTCACTTCCACATATGCATGGCGTGACATGAAACAAAGGTGTCTCGGGTTTCCTTACTTGGCCGCGATCATCAGTTCTCTGCCGCCCCAGGGCGGTCAGATACGACGGGCAGATTCGATAAGCTTATCGAGTTTGGTTTCCGCATGAAGACACATTGCGTAAGCCGTGCTCCATAAGAAAGGTGTTCACTTCTTTTGTTCGCTTTTCTTGCTGGAATTGGTCCTCGATTTGTGGGGGTCAATCGCTCAAGATGCACAATTCAAGCACACTTTCTCGGACGGAGACATGGCGCCTGCTGCTCCTCGTGGGAGCTGGTCTCGGCGTGTTGGTCAACACGTTCCAGGGCGACGGTGCTCCCTTGATAGCCTCAATTGCACTAACTTGCATATCATTCGCGGTCGCCTTTAGCATGATCCGATGGCTTGGACCAGTGTTTATTAAGGCCGGGCTGAAGGGAAAGGATATGGCCAAGCCAAGAAAACCCGAAATGTAAGTATAAACTCCACTTATTTGCTTATTGTTTGTGGCGTTGCGATCAGTAACTTACTTCACGGATTAGTCCTGAAACTATGGGAGCTGTATGTGCCGTGGTTTATTTGCTCTCCCTGATAATTTTCATTCCGTTTGCCTTCTACAAGGACATTGTCGCCGCAACCTCGGGCGGAGGTAATCGCGACGTCGTCATTGAAGACCAACACATTGAGATGGGTCGTTATCTCCACAGATTTCCTCATGGAAAGGTTTGTTTCATGGTAATGATCCATATGAGAAGGTGCGCCGAGCTAATATCCTTGATAGCTTGCATCATACCTGTCAGGTCTGCTGTCTTTGCAATGCATTGTCATCCTTGGGATCGGTGACGACTTGCTCGATATTCGCTGGCGACACAAGGTCTTGATTCCTGCATTCTCAGCAATTCCCATGCTCATTGTATACTTTGTCGACTTCGGTGTCACCCATGTTGTTGTGCCAGTGCCACTACAAGCATACCTGGGAGGTTTTATTGACCTCGGATGGCTGTATTACATGTACATGGCAGCCGTGGCCATTTTCTGTCCGAATGCAATAAACATGTTCGCAGGCATCAACGGCATTGAGGTAGCTCAGTCACTGGTGATTGCGGTTCAACTCCTTTTTAATGATGCACTGTACCTGACCCCGATCACGCCATACCCGAACCCGGCTACAGACTCGCACTTGTTCTCCATCTACTTCTTGCTCCCATTCATTGGTGTGTCAGCTGCACTTCTGTGTCACAACTGGTATCCATCGAAAGTGTTTGTGGGAGACACCTACTGTTACTTTGCCGGCATGGTCTTCGCGGTTGTGGGCATACTTGGACATTTCAGCAAGACCTTGCTCCTGCTGTTCGTGCCCCAGATATTCAACTTTTTGTATTCCACACCCCAACTGTTTCATATAATCCCTTGCCCTCGCCACCGATTGCCAAAATTTAACGCTGCGACTGGGCTTTTGGAGACCTCTGTTACTGAGTGGACAGTTCCTCCTTCCCCGTTGGTCGGGTTAGCATTGGAAATCCTTCACAAACTTAGATTGGTACGTGTGCTCAAGAACGAAGACGGCAAGATTGTCGAGTCGACGAATTTGACTATTTTGAATCTTTGGCTCGTGTGGATGGGACCCATGAGAGAGGACACTCTTGCATGGCACATGGTGGGAATCCAGATTGTGTGTGGTTTAGTTGGATTGTTTGTGCGGCATCGGCTGGCTTTGCTAGTGTTCAACACTGACAACCTGTCATTCCAGTCTATGGCATAAAGATCTCGCGCCTATGCCCTGGAAATTGACACAGTTTACGATCCTCTGTTATTTGTACATATTGATTTTCCGATGGCGATTCGGAATAACAGGTTTTGAAGCATTCGCCAAAAAATAGAATTTGCTGTTCATCTAAACAAGGCCAGGGATATATCTTTATGACAGCAGTCTCTCAGTTACCTAGTACAGTATCAGATGGTTCTCGTAGCACTCGAGCTTCTCTTTCAAGCTTCTTGTCACCAAGAAGATCTCCTACTTCTTTGACAAGGAGCCATGCAGGTAAGATTGCAATTCCCCACAAGACAAAGTTGAGGTAAACACTTCCCACGGCGGCCATGACAGTCAGACTGCTGAGACCATACTGCAAGGGAGAAAAAGATAGCAAGTCAGCACTGGAAGAAAAAACTAGGATCGGAAGAATACTCACACTGACAGCTTGCGCAGCTGACTCAGTTCCACGCAACAGACCAGCGATTCGGACGACTTCCTCATCGTCATCCGCCAAGTTACCGACCAAAAAGAACCTGTGTCGATATTAACAAGAGTCAAGCTACTTGTTCTGGAATTCCAAAATTAAACTCACAGATACATATAATTGAGTTGAAAACCGGCAACCCAAAACAAGAAAAGAGCAAAAGCTTTCCCAAACCCAGGGTCAACCCAGTCGTACACCGGGTTCGTCTTGTTGAATTCTGTCGTGTTCACTGTCGCCCAAATCCAGCAAAGCCCTTGCCAGCCAACGACAAAGAAGAAGGCAGATCTCGTCCGTGTCTTGAGCGAAATTGATTTGTTGTCGAGGAAAGAACCCAGTATATTTCCTGCTATTAGTGCAATCACACCACTGAGAAAAGAGCCGAGAGCTCTTGCGCGCACACTGAGCCATAAGTCCTCGTAAGAGAACATCACTGCCTCAGTATAAACGGCCTGACATACAAACGGAATGATCAGCAAGAACTTTCGATTCAAAAACAGCTTTATCATCTGCTTAATCTCGAAACCCACACTGTTATCCACCCTCAATCGCACGGGGACTCCATCTTTTCGCTGCACACGAGATGGGGAATTCAGAAGCAATCCCGCAAATGGTCCCAAGGCCTGAAGAACAATGAAGATGATGTACACGGTGTACGACACGCTACCCTCAGTCGCGCGATTAGCATTGATGCCCAGGCTAATCGCACCACCCAAAATCTGTCCTCCAACACGAAAGCTGAGCCAAAATCCCAAAAAGCGACCTTGATTATATGGCTCGGGATACGAGAGTGCAATTGCAGCTTCAGCCATCCAGAAAATACCTGCTGAGATACCGCAGAGCGCTGCTCCCAGAATCACTAGCCATGAATCTCCAAAGCGGTTGTTCGTGTATAGTCCCGCGGCGTAAGGCGCATAACCCATTGTTCCAATGATCAAGGTCCACTTTATGCCGATGAATCGGACGACGACGCTGCCCAGGAAGCAAGATATCACCATGAGACCGAAGGTTAATGCGTTTGCTGCATTGACGAGGTAAGGTTTCTCCTCGCCTCCGCCACCTAGGGAGTTCATGGCCCCCCATATACCGGGTGCGAGGAGATTACAGAGGCCCAGGATGAGAGCATTGTAGAAGGTCGAGCGATACCATTTCACTATTACGTAAAGTGAATGAGTTTGAATACTCTATGATGAGAAAGTTGGGCTTACCTTTCCCGACCTGAAACTCATATATGTCGCTGACCTCCTCATCTTTCGGAGGCGTGCGTTTCTCCATGATTGTCATGACGGGCAAAAATGAGATACTAGCTAGAGCGAAGAAAATTTGCAAGGAAATTGGGCCCTGAACCCTTATATATTAAGCTGAATTCCCATCTCGAAGACTAGTCCGTTGTAATATCAAATTTCTCCACTCAGACATGACATTTCTTTCGGCGGCATGGCAACATCGGCATTTAAAAATTCCATCCCCCGCTTTGAAAGAAATGCATGTAAAGGATAATTCATTGAAACTCCAGGGATGTTGTAGTTTCTGGCCAAGATTACGTGCTCGCACGAATTTAAGACTTGCAACACACGTCATGTTGGAGTATAAGCGAGAATCGGAGGTAATTTGTTAGCATTTGGCTATTTAACATTCTTTATCGATCGTGAAGTGGCCTTATTTATGGTTAATTCTTTACGGCCGAGAGAAAATTCATGTATACCTGCCGTATTCGAGATTATACGTCTATGCCCAAATGTGCATCACCGGTCGCTTGGGTGTCCATATGTTACCTTTGATCATCCACCTCTGCATGGATACAGTACTATTTGCCTGGCTTCGGTACATGTCAAAGCAGACCTCAAGAAAGCTTCGTTCCGTCAGTGGGCTTAATTAGACAACATGGCGACTGCCTTGACTTTGAGTGTCCTGATGATGGATGTATGGTTGTATCACTTGAACAGTTGATGTAGCGGGCTTCAGTGACTAATAATGATAAAAGCGTGGATATTTACTTTTTTTCGTACTGGTTTTCCGGACCAAGACATATATCGGTTCGGAAAGCAAGGCGTTCCCGGGTTCTGTTCATTCTTGAAGCTTCCGGTGGCTGGCCCTAATTGCCTACGATTCCAAGGTTATAGTGACAACAGCAATACATAAATCTCGAAAGCCTTGAACTCACAACAATCCAGGACACATAACATTCCGGGTCGATCTTAGCTACAAGAATTCATTTCATAATTACCGTAAAGTGGTGAAATCTCCGGGGCTTCAAATGCACCCCTGAAACTTCAACCAAACAAACTCGATATTTCGTCATCACCACCCCGGATCACATCAACTCAAGTCCAAAAGGCACCTTCACTGTGGTGCTCAGACGTAATCAGCATAACGGAACAAGATAAAGTCTATTGTTATCTTTTTACACACAGCTCATGAGGTCGTTGTCCACCTTCACCTTTCAATTTTCTTGTCGGTTTACTTATCTGGATTCTTTTGGAGTTGCCCTAAAGCTCAACTCATACTAAAGACGTCGGCCCACCAATGTAAGCTAATTATGGGGTATTAACGGGAGATTCACAAGGCCGATCAAACTAATCTTTCAATCTGATCTACCACTCCCCCGTTCCCCCGAGACTGCCAACGAGGAATCCCCATCACGCCATCTAGGCCCCGCCATGAGCAATGCACAGCATCCTGAACACGTCTAGGTACCCTGGGATAGGCTGGAACAGTCTCAATGTAAGCCAATATACTTTTAATCAGTGCCTTTTCCGCCGGATACCTTGGGTCAAGTGTTCAGCGGATGCGCCCCGCTATGTGCGTGCTTTTGGTAAGCATTGATATCAACGCTCCCCGCTCTAATGTGGCGAGCGCGCGTTGCCTAGATCTCTCGCCCGAGAAATGATCCGTACTGGTAACTCTCAATAGAATATAGATAGACTCTGGCTTGGTGCCCGTGTCTACTTGTGGTTTTGATTTCAAACTATGGCTTTGGTAGCACCCAGCATCATGTCAACCACTACTTGTCTCCAGCTCGAGGAGCTGTCAAATAAACCGTCCCCTTTCCATCGTTGTATTTCTTCTGAAAGTCGCTTTCAGCATTCTATACCTACTACAACGCACGCGAAGGTAGATGAACAAACATCAACGCTTATCACTCCTTTGGAAGCGAAGCAAAGGGTGCTGTTACTTAGGGCGGCCCGAGAACAATATACCTTGGTAGATAACCATCACGTTCCTTCCATCCTTCACCCAGGAGAAGTTCTTGTCAAGGTATGTGCCTTCTCTATCATTTCTTGTTGAGATCGGCGTTCAGGATACTTACCATTCACTGGCAGGTTTTGGCGATCGGCCTGAACCCGATCGACTGGAAAGGGCCGTATGTGACACTTTTCTCTTCTAAAAATTGCAACACTCGCTTACAACAATACAGAGCATACAATTTTGGAATTCCCAGTCTTCCATGGATTAACGGGCGCGACTTAGCAGGACTTGTACTCCAAGTCCCCAACGAGTCCTCCCGCCTCCGTGTAGGCGATATTGTTCTCGTGCCATCCACAGATTACCGAGACATCAGAAAAGCAGCTTTCCAAGAATACGCAATCGCCACTGACTTCAACGCCGCGCGCATTCCATCTTCAACATCTATCCACGCATCGGCTTCACTTGGTGTGGCCTTTGTTGCCGCCGTATTAGCCCTGGGCGTCTCGTTCGGACTAGACTTCTCCCGTCTTACACAATCCCCAGGGCCCAACCTGATGAACGTCGTCAATCAACTCAATAAGAATGATGTTCCCGCCGATGTTCAGGATGAAGTTTTTGCTATCCATGATGAATCGGATCGGCCTCAGCGAGGTGATTGGCTTGCAATCTGGGGGGGTAAGGCAATTCCCATTTTCTCATCCTACTCTCCACGGATAAGACAGCTGACGATACTTCTATAGCGTCAACAACTACCGGACTGGTGACCCTTCAACTAGCAAAGCTTGCCGGTCTACGAGTGATCTGCGTAGCAGATATTGCACGACACGGTGCCAAACTCTTAGAATCCGGCGCCGATCTACTGGTCGATCGACACGACACAGATCGAGCAGTGGAGATCATCCGTGGGGTTACCGGTGGTAAGCTGAGGTATGCTATTGATATTGTTGGCAAGGATACAGCCACGATACTCGAGAAGACACTGGATGCTTCGGGAAATGCCCATCTCTTAGGGCTTACTGGTCTGCCCAAGGAGCGGAATCCTGGCATTAAATACCATACTGTGCCCATTAAGCTTTTTCACAGTGCACCTGCAGTAGGTGAGAGTATGGTTACCTGGCTGGAGAGTTTGCTGCAATCGAGTACCTTGACCCTGCCGGAAATTGTTCGTGCAGAGGGTGGATTGGAGGGTATCAATGCTGCTCTGGACATTCTGCGAAGTGGGACGGTTTCTGGGAAGAGGATTGTGGTTGATTTGGGCTCGGAGGAGTCTCGGCCCTAATCTATGGGTTGTCTACGGTTTTATGAGAAAGTATTTACATAAAGTGTTGACTGTTTTAGACAAATCAGATATGTCCTAGATATTGACATCTCGGGATAGGAATTTTGGGAATATACGTTATTTTGCCCTGAGAGATAGATAGAAATTCATTCCACTGTATTATTCCATGGTGGGTCCATGTGATGTATAGCCTCCCGATTGAGTTTGTGAAGACTCTTGGCTATTGATATATTGGCTGGGGGGAACTGAGCACCAACTCCTCGAAAATATTGAACATCAATGCAGACTGGGTGGGACCGAAGAATACTTGATCTTCTTTAGAGGACACGTTGGATTGCCGAGTTCCGGATATATACTTGAATAGAATTGTTTTTTTCTTTGACCAAACCAGCATCGGAAATATGTACTAGAGTACTCCATACCCAGCTAAGTGTTTCTTTACCCCATTTCAACTTGGAACCCCTCCAATCCGTTACCGCTACACCCCACTTTCCTTCTGCAGTCGGCATGAAGTTTTAAGCGGGGGCCGATCGGACCCCGGCGAATGGAGCCAATCACTTCCAGAGGATTACTTTGACACTCCCCGGAATCGGTCGTCTACGTCATGTACTACTATCAGTCGTTGAAAGAAATGCACGATAAGATCCCAATCACTTCTTTTAAACCATTGGAAGATTCTACCATCGCAGTGATCTAATTGCCACAAGTCTGAATATCATGATTTTTTCGTAGAAGAAGATCTAGACATGAGTCAATGGGAGGTTTCTCCGTCCGGAAGCGCCGCTAGCCGCGACAGCAGTTTTCAGTATGCCGATGTCGGGATCCACCGGATTTGCCACTTCAACCAATAAAACCGTAAATATTGGCCGCTGACCGACCGAAGTCGGCGTTGCCCCTCGAGCTGTTCCCCAGCGACATCGCGGTGGCTGCAAAATATAAGTCTGCAACTCTTGCTACCCCGACCATTGATATCACACACGAATTCAAAATGCCTTCCGTTGAGACAAAACCGAGGACCTTGTACGACAAGGTCTTCGCTGACCACATTGTCAATGAGCAAGAAGATGGCACTTGCCTTCTGTATATCGGTATGACGATTGTTTTTTCCCCTTACCATTGGCAAGGGTCGCATTGTCTAACTGTTGAATGTGAACAGATCGTCACCTTGTCCACGAGGTGACCTCCCCTCAGGCTTTTGAGGGTCTTAAGAATGCCGGCCGCCCAGTCCGCCGCCCTGACTGCACTCTGGTGACTGTCGACCACGTACGTACAAACCAGCTTCACCTTCTTTGTGCTAAATCGACCGGTCTCTAATTGCTGTCTCAAACACATAGAACATTCCTACATCTTCCCGGAAAGAGTTCAAGAACGCCGAAACTTTCATCCAAGAAACCGACTCTCGCCTGCAATGCACCACCCTCGAGGAGAACGTCAAGGACTTCGGCCTCACCTACTTCGGTATGAGTGACAAGCGTCAGGGTATCGTTCACGTTATTGGCCCCGAGCAGGGTTTCACTCTTCCCGGCACCACCGTCGTCTGCGGTGACTCCCACACCTCCACCCACGGTGCCTTCGGCTCCCTGGCTTTCGGTATCGGAACCAGTGAGGTCGAGCACGTCCTCGCAACCCAGACTCTCCTTACCCGCCGAAGCAAGAACATGCGTGTCCAGGTCGATGGCGAGCTCCCTGCCGGTGTGACCAGCAAGGACGTTGTTCTCCACATTATTGGTGTTATCGGAACCGCTGGTGGTACCGGTGCCGTCATTGAGTTCTGCGGATCTGTCATTCGCAAGCTCAGCATGGAGGCCCGTATGTCTATCTGTAACATGTCCATTGAGGGTGGTGCACGTGCTGGTATGATTGCGCCCGACGAGATTACATTTGAGTACCTTAAGGGCCGTCCTCTGGCTCCCAAGTACGGCAGCGCCGAGTGGAACCGTGCCGTCGCCTACTGGTCTACTCTTAAGTCTGACCCTGACGCCAAGTACGATGTTGACGTTTTCCTGGATGGCAAGGATATCATCCCGACCATCTCTTGGGGTACTTCTCCTCAGGACGTGGTCCCCATCACAGGTGTCGTTCCCAGTCCCGATGACTTCGAAGACCCGGCCCGCAAGCTTGCTTGCGAGCGTGCTCTGGAGTACATGGGTCTCACCTCCGGTGTCCCCATGACCGAAATTCCCGTCGACAAGGTCTTCATTGGATCTTGCACTAACTCTCGTATCGAGGACCTGCGCGCCGCCGCTAAGATCGTCCGAGGCAAGCAGATTGCTGCGAACATCAAGCGTGCTATGATCGTCCCCGGTTCGGGTCTGGTCAAGCAGCAGGCTGAGGCTGAAGGTCTGGACAAGATTTTCACCGATGCTGGATTTGAGTGGCGTGAGGCTGGTTGCTCCATGTGTCTGGGTATGAACCCCGACATTCTGTCTCCCCAGGAGCGCTGTGCTAGTACCTCCAACCGCAACTTCGAGGGTCGCCAGGGTGCCAAGGGTCGCACTCACCTGATGTCCCCCGCCATGGCCGCTATTGCTGCCATTACCGGTAAACTTACCGACATCCGCGAGCACGTGGTCTCCAGCCCCGTTGTCGCCAAGGTCCAGCCCGTTCTTGACGTCGAGGCCGAGTCCTACGACTCCCCGGTCACCGAGGACGAGCTCGACCGTGTCCTCGACTTGCCTGCTGACAACGAGCCCCACACTAACTCCTCCGCCGGCGGTGGTAGCAGTACTGGTCTCCCCAAGTTCCTTACCCTCAAGGGTATCGCGGCTCCCCTCGACCGCTCCAACGTCGACACCGACGCCATTATCCCCAAGCAGTTCCTCAAGACCATCAAGCGTACCGGTCTTGGCTCTGCCGCTTTCTACGAGCTCCGTTACCACGCTGATGGCACCGAGAACCCTGACTTCGTCTTGAACCAGGGTATCTACCGCAATGCTAAGATCCTCGTCGTGACCGGCCCCAACTTCGGTTGTGGTAGTTCGCGTGAGCACGCCCCTTGGGCTCTGCTTGACTTCGGTATCAAGTGCATTATTGCCCCCTCCTTCGCCGATATTTTCTACAACAACACCTTCAAGAACGGCATGCTTCCTGTCGTTGTCTCTGACGAGGCTGCTCTTGCCAAGATCGCTGCTGAGGCCCAGGCTGGCCGTGAGATCGAGGTTGATCTCGTCAGCCAGGAGATCAAGGATTCCGAGGGCAACAAGATCATTGGCTTCGAGGTCGATACTTTCCGGAGACACTGCCTCACCAACGGTCTCGATGATATTGGTCTGACCCTTCAGATGGAAGGCAAGATCCGCACTTTCGAGGCTAAGCGCAGCCTTGAGACCCCCTGGTTGGATGGATCTGCCTACCTTAAGCGCGGTACCCGCGGTGGTGCCACTCGCATCAACGCTGCCGCTGTTCCCAAGACCAACCGGGGTGACGTGAAGGGTGAGCCACTGGAGTGGTAAGCTCATATTGATGCTTTCTAAAAAGGCGCTGTGGGTGATCGCATTGGATATGGATACGGTAAATTGTAATAGGAGCTTCAGGCTCTCCTGGCTTTTGAATTTCTTTCAAAGAACGATATTCCCCCTTATATTTGTCCGCCTGCATTTCATGTTTCGGGGTTAGTTAGTTTTGGACTACTCGCATCTTCTACTGGCTATCTACGAATCTCAATGAGAACGAATTATGAATTCCAAATGACTCTCCCGTTAAAGTGTCCGTATATTTCTTTTTGCTCTGAGCCGGGCTGCGAGGTCATTATATTAAGATAGATATCGTAGACAAGAATGAATAGCAAATAACAATCAACAAAAGAAAGAGACGTGTGTAAAGCAAGCAAAAGCTTGACAGACTATGACCCATCCCACTTATTAACCCGAATACCCTTGTCCTACCAGGCATTTGCAAACCAAAAAAAAACAAACAAATCAATTGTCTCCGGGCTCAAATCAAGGCTTGGAGAGTTGTTCACGACGGAAGAACATGAGGAAGCCGGCACTAAATAAAGTCAGACGAGTCAAAACCCAACAGACCACTCAAAGAAGCTTCACAGCCACTCACCAGATCGAAAGTTGGCATATAAGCGCAATCCAAAACCAACCATTAGCCAATGCATCCGCACCAGCCGTAATATCAGGCGAGATAGGCCCAGGACCAATCCTATTAGGCGCAAACGACCTCGCACAAATAGTGGCGATTGAACCCAGAACCTGCGAAACAAGCAATGTAAAACAAATATGCATCCGCGTCAGAGTCTGCAAGAGAATCATGCCGAATCCCAGACCCTGCAGTGCGTCGAGGACACCAAGCCATAGCCACAGACTCCGGGATACTAGTGCTCCGGAGGTGTAACTACCTGCCCAAGGGAGATAAAGACCGGATCCTGACGTTCCCCACCATATTTGGGCCCAACGTGGTGCGCCGAGACCACACGCTACTATTGGTAGAATCCAGCTATGGTATCGGGAGACCCAGGCTAGACCGAATAGGATTGCTATCCAGGCGAAACCGAAAAATGCCACACAGAGGAGGAGGATTTGCCATGGTTTTGCGTGGTTGGATATCCAGAGGACTAGAAATGTTAGGTGATGGTTTGGATCATAAATATGACTTAGACTTACAATTCCAGTTTCGACCATATGGAGCACTCAAGAAGAAGTTCTGGAGGATAACGACAACCCAGTTCCAGAGCACGATCTTTCGCCGGAAGACGGATTTGTAGAATGATGGGACTTTACCCGGTGTTTGGCGGTAGTAGTTTGGCAAGCCAAAGTATACGATCAGTCCGACGCTCCACAAGAATATTGTAATCGGCGTACAGGCAGCCCTATGGTAGTTATTAGCTTGAAGTAGTCCCTTATAGCTGACTAGGAGGTCTGTAAGATATACGCACGTCATTCTCCAAGTGTTCGTGACATTTCCTTGGATATCGGCAACACCGGCGTTGGACGCTTTGGTCAGTGTTGAACCCCAATACCAAAGAGCAATGACATAGGCTTGCTGTGTGCCTTGAATAAGACAAGCACGGAAAACCCACTTCTTGACCGGAGCACCACTCTCATCACCGAAATTCAGCGCAAAGAAGATAGAGCCACTGGACGAGGCAGCGGCATAGATACCACTGCCAACATTCTGGAGCCAACCCCGAGCATAAGAATCAGGCTCATAATGGGCAAGACCGATGATGAGGAATGCAAGGCCGTACAGGAACCATGGTACAGTAAGAACAAGGACAGACTTGTAGAAACGGAAGAAAAGCCACCACAGTATTGATGTGATGAGGTAGACTGTTGCGATTCCGTAAAGCTTCTCTGCTGTCTGACCAACTTCACCTGTGAGTAGGGTTATTTGGTAAGAATTGGCAGCAATGATCTGACCAAGACCTAGGAAGAGTGAATAAACGGGCCAGTCTCCAATGCGCATCTGCATCCATTTTTTGAGTCCGGTTGGTGGGACGTAATCTTCTCCAAGGAAGAACTCATCTCCGGTAGCTTCTTTTCTTTCTGGGACTCCGCTTTCGTGAGATGTTGAGTCGTCGTTATTGATGGATCCTGAAGGGGAACCACTGCCATTTTTGGCAAATTGCACAGATGCAGCTGGAGATTGGTTTCGCCCAAGGCGAGCATCTCTGAACCGGTCGAACCATTTCTTTTCACTCTTTTCGAGGTATTGCTCAATGCATAATTGGGAATCGGAGTTCGAGCCATTGAGATCATCGAGTTTCTTTTCGAATGCTCGGTAGAACTCGCCATTGCTGTCCGTGAAGGTAGGATCCACCTTTTGAAGTTTGTAATCCTTTTTGTCACCAACAACCGAGTCAAATGAAAGCTGTGACGCATTACTTAGACGGTTCCCTGCATCTGCCCAAGGTCGGGATGGCGGAAGAAGAGTATCATCCGTCCCTGTCGTGCTTGGCGCAGCGGAGCTGGATGGTGTGCCACTGGAGCGGGCAGAGGGTTGATTTGCATGGCGAGCTGAGAGAACTTCACGAGTCAGAGGAATTCCAGCAAGCTGAGCGCCCGGGGGAGGTGTATCTATTCGGCGTCCAGTCTCGAGCATTTCAGGTCCTATAGTATAATCGTCTTCGCCGTATATGGTGGACAGGATCTCATCATCACTGTCGTCCTCAGCGACTGGGGATGGAGTACTAGAAGACCCTTCTCCGTTCTCATCCACATCTTCAAAACCGCCTTTACTAGGATCCCGTCGTCCACGGCTTTCTAGCGGAGCAGAGACAGGCCGGATCCCGAAGGACACCTGGCGGCTGAGACCTGATTTTGGTCTACTTTCGCCACCGGGGCTGGGATCACGGCTGTAGACAACGGAGTTCCTTTGCATTGAGCCCATCGTCCCAGGACGACTCGACTGCAAAGGTGGGGTAAGGGTACCGCTGGACGCATTAGATTTTGTTGACACCGCAGCCTGGGGTGTCATCATTCCGTAAATAGCATTATACGCCGACGCCGCAGAGGATTGAGACTGTGACTTGGCACGTTCCTTGTTGTGAACGCGCATAGCTGTTGACTGAAGGATTTCCAGATCTTCAATCCACTGCGCGACTGGGAACCGTTGTTTAGCCGACCTTGCGCGCATCATGGCTCTCGTCTCAGGCTTGGAGTTCAAAGCGCTGTCAATCGCAAGCTTGAATTGTTTAATCAGGTGGGAGGTTGTCGTGGACTCAACAGTATACCACCAACCAGGCATTTGTCCAAGTCCTCCGACTCGAGCGCCGATACCAAGAGCACCTTTGCGGCCAAACTCGACGGCTACAAGACCAAACGGTTCATCTCTTGATGGGATCAAAGCAAACTCTGCTCCCGAGAAAACGAATGGAGGGAGAATTGTGAATTGCGGTTTTGAGCACACTCGGCCCGGGTATAGTTTCATCAGCCTGTCCAGTTTGAGTGCGGCGAATTTACCATAAAGATCAATGACTGGGCCCACACAAATCAGCTGGACATTTGGTCGCGCGTCAAGAACGCCTGGCATAACATCGGCAATGAGGTCTATACCTTTCTGCATAGACCATCTTCCCACGAAGACAAGAAGGTCAGCATTAGGCGCCTGTTCAAGACCAGCCCATTCTTGTGCTTGGCGCTTGGTCTCAGCTCTGCCGAGTTCGAATTCGTTGTCCACGCTGATCTCGCTTTCTTTAGGCAGTTCCTTCTTCCATTCACCTGTATCGGAGGGATCAGGATTAGGCAAATTGCCAACTTTTCGTAGACCCCAGAAGATTGGGTATCTCGCATATGACCGCTTTCCATACTTCTTTGACACTCCAACTGCTCCGAAGCCTTGCTGGTGGAGACGTAGATAACTCGCACCAGCATGCAATAGATTGAAGATTTCACCAAACTGAACATAGCGAGTGACGACATCTATATCGAGATTGAATACGGAGCACACCTCACTCTTTTCTTTCTGTGTTCGCATTGGCCACAATCCTTGAAATTCGGCGTTGTGTAGTGAAAGGCAAACTGGGATCGTCTCAGGAAGCTGGTAGAGCGGAGCAATCGCTCCGTGGTAGTCATTGATGTGGTACAAGTCGATAGGAAATCGCTTCATGGCCTGAGCAATACATTGATTCCACGCAGAGTAATAGATCGCGCTGTCCATATCATCCATGCGTGCCGGGTAAGGTTCTCCAACAGTTTGTTGACGAAAGACGGGGGCATCCAACAGGACATAGGTGATGTTTCTCAAGTAGTGATACTGGATTTTGACCTCGTATGAGTTTCCAAGGATCATTACAAACATGGATTCGGCCGGTTTATCAATGGGATATTCCACACCCCCGACACAAGGAATGACCCAAATAAGGTCTTCGTGCCCGAGCTGCTTTCCCATTAATTGTGCCATCACGCCCAGTCCGCCAATCTTGATTTTGATTCCCCAGTCGTCGACATCATATTCCATTGTTGCGACCAGAACCTTGCGTCGTTGAGATGTTCGGTTGCCAAAAGCTGAGTTGCTTTGCAAGAATTTGGACTTGTTCGCCAAGCGGACAAAAAAGTTTCTGGACCCTCCGGCCTCCACATTGTCGAGCTTGAATCTGTTGAGAACGTCCATTGAGATCAAGGTTTTCTTCTCACTCACACCGACCTGATTGAATTTGATACGGTAGAATGACTTCATGAAAACGGTCGCACATGCCACAGCACTTAGAACGGGGATGATCCAAAGCATGAAAAAGAGCGCCATTTGGACATATTTTGATCCCGCGGGCACAAGCTTGAACTTCAATGTCGCATCATCAAGTTCGATTCTCCACGCTAGATGTGGACTAGGCGGAGGACGCGTGATGTTTATTGCTGTCGTTTTGAGCGAAGAAGGAGGAAGACGATCTAAGACGGAATCTCCGTCTGAGTCTCCAAAAATATAGCCCTGATCAGGTTGTCCATTCGGATTAATTCCCCAGACGTTCAGTTGGCCCTGCGCAGGCCACTCGGCCATAAATCGGAATTTCCATAAACGATCGGCAGCCTGTTTCACGGCATTCGGCAATCCAGCATCATAACCATATTCATTAAACGGCCCATTGAAGAATAAATGAGGGAATCGTCGTGGCATTCCAGCGTCCCAGTCAGGGGTATCACCTTGCTGAACGTAATCGCTGCTTCCCGTAAAACGATTCCAGTATTCAACACGAACGTGCTCCCCCTTCCACTCTTGGGCCTTTGTTCCTGACCAATGCTGTTTTTCAATCGTGTGGTTGCCGCCTTGGTACGGAAGCCATTTTGAAAATGTGCTGCCCCAGTTGGTTGAGTACCGATACAGATCGGCCCCTGCTGCATGTTGTTGAATGAACAGTGAGCCGTTCTCGTGTTTGTGAAGCAAGCTGCTGGAGTAATTGGCAGATGTGAAAGTTATCGGATTGTCATGCTGCCCGATACGAATCAAAAAGTGATCGATGGCGTTAGTTTTCCTTCCGTCGCTACTGGTCACGTTGCTGACGGTCAGTCGGTGCACTCCGTTATATACCCCATTTAGAGTCGCTGTCCATGCCCAGGCGCTGGGTATATGGCCAGTGAGATTTGAATATTCCGGGTTCACAAGTCGGCAATTGATGGTGTTCTTATCAATTGAAGGCGTCTCCCCAGTTTCTGTTGTTGATTCAAGGGTGATGGCTTGAGTGACCGTGCTGCAGTTCATTTCCGTGGAGAAGTATAAACCAATCTGAAGATTCTCACTTTCTCCAGGTTGGGCTTTGGAAAGCACTGGAACATCGTGGCCTGGAGTGAATTTCGTGATCATAGGCCGTGGAGGGTGGAATTTGCTTTTAGGGACGTAGGCCCTGAATTCATAAGCACGAAGGGTTAAATTGCTCAGACAGCCATTCCATACTGAAGAAGCGTTGAGGTGCAGCTTGGTGGTACTTTTCTCCAGGGTCAGTTCGTCATGTGGATAGAACAAATTTTTGACTGTGGTATTCGTCCCGAAGGGAGCAATAAGCGCCCGGTTGGGATCGGAACAATCAAAGTCGTATGTGACTGTGTGATTGTCATTCTGGTACACAAACCAGACAGTCTGATTCCCTGCTTTCCCAAGATCTTGCTTTTGAGTGTAAGGACTTCTTAGAACAGACCACATGCCCGTTTCAGTCGCGATTCCATTCGAACCAGGATAGTAAACATCATGAGTTTGATTAGACAGCAACTGGATCCACCAACCATCGTTCATAGCCGGATAGTCCTCCCGCATCTGGTACATATGCTTGATCGTGTTCCTGATGGGGTGCGAGGGATCTCGATGGTCGTATGTGACACTCTCATCGTGGCAGGCATCTCGGCCAGACTTGATTGGCCAGTCAAAGTATTGAGTCGAGTTGAGGCTGAAGCAGCCATGAGTTTTCCAAGCAGTCGCAGGCGACATCGCTTGCCGACCATAAATATAATTGGAAGCCAATGCATCCAAAGTATGAAATGCTTGTTCTTCACCCCAGAGTAGTAGTGGAATGCCGGGCATGTGTAGTGTTGTAATGAAAAGAGCTAGTAGCTGTCTCTCGAGTCCATACTCCACAGCCGGCCATCGGAAAACATCTTGATTTGTTGCCCCGTACATGTGGCGGGGATCAAACTTGCCAGTATTCGCGTTGACAAGGTCATTGGTGAGCACCATATCGTACCAAGCTTCTGTCCAATTGACTGGGACATCATAGCCAGCGGCCAAATTGCCATCCATGCCAAGAAAGCGAGTGAGGGAGCGATAAATGGAGTAATGAAAAGCAGCTCCATCGATAGCCTGCTTATTTTCATCCCGCAGGAAGTACAGAGTATCAGAAGAGTTCGTGAGACGAAAAGCCTGATCAAGCGTCTTAGGCACCATATCTGGCTGCCTACCCCGCCCCAAGAAGACCGAGCCCAGAGTGTTTCCGCTGGTAATTTCTCCTGGTAGGAAAAAGTTCTCCTTGCCAACTCGCCGAGCACAGTCACGATAGGCGCCAGATATATCGCCCAAGGCATCAACCGTGGCTTGTGTAGCCTTGTCATACCGGAAGCCATCAATGTCGAGTGAAGAGATGATCATACACGAGTGCTTAATGATTCGCTCTCTGACTGTAGGTACCCATTCGCGTAAACGGTCCTGTACAGATGCGAATTTGGCAAGTTCACGTTGCCAGTCTGGGTAGACACCAAACGCTTCGATGTCGCCGTATTGGTCGAAGTCACTGTCGTAACAGCCTTTTAATTCGTCGCGAACATACTGGTCTACTAGGTAGCCAGTCTCATTCCAAAAACGAGGGTATTCACAAGTATCATTGTAGGAGTTCCCAAAGTTATAGTCGACATATTGACGGTCTGACTTCCATTGCGCTTTGTGTTCTTTGACTGAGAATGGTGTGGTCGTATTGAGGTATCCGTCAAAACCAATCAGATCGCCCATACTGATATATGTCAGGACCCTATTAAAGGCTGATAGTATGATACGTTTGAAGTCACTTACGTTGCCACCGTGTTGTCGAAAATCACATACATGCCACGGTCATGGATCTCTGTGATTGCAGCTCGCCAAGTATCAATAGTGCCGAAATGTTGATCTAGCAATGTGGTATCCAATGCAGAATAGCCGTCTGCGCCCCAAGGCTGGTTCATCAAAACAAGGCCAGCAAGATATATTCCCTTCAAAGACTCAGCAAAAGAAATTTCCCGTCAAGAATTACAGATCAACTTACCTTGATGCCCATTCCTTGTAAATAATCAAGCGTGTCAATCAGTCCAGCGACATCACCACCATGACGCATCTGGTTGGAGTCCAAATCATGCTCAAAGAGTGTTCCATTGATGTTGTCATTGGTTGGATCACCGTTCACGAATCGATCGAGAAAAAGAGTATATATGGGGAAGCGCCAGTTTTCTGGTGATGGGTGGTATGTATGATTGGGCCATTCTCCCCAGTACTCGGCCGGGTTGGTTGCTGTCTGATTTTCGTTGAGGTTATATTCAGTGAGGGCATCATCATAAGGCCAACATGATACCACGGCCGCGAGGTGAGCAAGCACAAAGCTTGTGCGTTTCCAATACATCGTCACGAACATCAAGAACCACAAATCAGAAGCTCCGTGTTGGCAACATGGGATTTTTTTCTAGCCGAAAGGTATAAAAGAATCAACTATGCCAGATACGATGGTGATGAAGGAATGTCTGCAGCCGTGTTCCTGTTTTATTCTTGGTTAGTTAGTCCATCAAATATCATTAGGAAGAATGTATGGCAATGTGCCTGAAGAAAGAGAGAGATATTTACAAGCCAGGGATAAACATATAGGTATGACAGACTCAATAGGCAAATCGTATAGAGATTGAAACCTTATGCAACGCATATACTTTGATGGCGACGAGGCGCGAAGGACGAGTGTTACTGAATAGATAAGAGTAACGAATGTAAGAGCGAGCTTTAGGATGCTTCAAGTATACCCTGCCGGAATGACCTTCAAGTCGCTCAAGGATTGGACCAGTCTGCAAAAGCCAAAGAGAAAACGAACAAGAGGGAGGAACCTTGCGGGGCGTTTAGTAGAAATAGGTGAAATTGTGGCAAATCAGCAACAAAAAAACAATCCCAAATCTAGCTCTGACTGCATGCTCTGAAGCGAGTCTTAAGTCACTTTTCTCACCGCAAGTACATGATTTGATAATACCATCGCAGACCAATAGATTCTGGGGCCAGAGGTTCTTGACGCCGGAATGAACGGTGTCAAAGTGACTGCTGATAGGAGGCAGAGACCTCAGGGTACATCTGGAACTTTCGGGGTTTGAATGGGCACTCGGTCGACGAATACTATCTCAAAGGCAATTGAGCTCAGACGACAAAGTTCACCACTGTCTCACGACGCGACGCCCTCGTTCAGAAGCTCCTGGCAACATCCATAGCTCTTTGCATTACCGACGGCCAGCATGGAATAGCTGTGGCTCGATAAGACCCAATGTGCAAGACATGCAGTGTCTGTATGACAGGGTACGGTGGTACATTCTCAAGGATGATAAGGGACCATGCGAGTAGGGAAAGACAAAGACGAGAAAAGCAAAACATGCAGCGTCGATCGAATATCGGTCCAGTTTCAACATCGACTGTGATGGAGCCTGAAATATCGCGCTTGAAATATCCGCTGTGTTTGTTCTGCTTTCGTTGACTCTATTTAGTAAGATTTTGATATAGGTACTTAATGCATTGCTGAGTGCCGGTACTTACAGTATCACTCGAGGCTTGACTTCAGGTGCTTCTGTTATCTTTATATCCAGGGGTAAATACTATTCTCCCGAAACCTTCACAAATTCGGCTGCTGGAGGATTAATACTTTCATTAGGTCGCATCGGGGATCTGGATTTATATTTCGACCGCTGTGACATGTGTGGCCGGCGAGATCGGGGATACAATGAGGACGTGCTTACAATCCCTGTATCCCATCTATAGCGAGTTTGATCGCATGCAAGGGCTCATAGTCGCTGAAGATTATCGCTTAGTATTATTTCCATTGGCAAAGAAGGCTGAGTAATGGCACGTTTCGTGCCTACCACTTTCCTCCGCAGCTTTTATGAAGTAACTTATATGTTCTCATTTCATAGAAGAGGAGACCAAATCAGTATATTATGTAAAGCTCGTAAGATTTGTCTATAGTCACGTTTCGAAAGTATAATCAAAGCCGAGGCCTTCATCGAAGGACCCACCCTACTCGTCACACATTTTCACCCTCGAGGATGGCTGCAATTTGTGCCATGGGCTTCAAAAACGCCTTTGTATTCATTGCTCTCTGTCTGTGCTAGCACAAACAGACAATCATTATAGATATGATATTGATTGGCTAATAAACCATTTGAATGCCATAACCCGTAAGTTGCATGCCTAGAAATGACCAGAATTATAGCCGATAGGACGTTCACCAGTCAACGGTCTGCTGATATACAAATCAATTGAGTCAGACATGCTCTCTAACTTCACCCATATCAGCCCACAACAATCTTCCAGGGTTCTAATAGGGCTACCGCGTGGACGTATCTCTGATGACGACGCTTTAGAGTTCTTGGAACTACCAGATGGCGCACATGTAGATGCATAGTAATAGTAAAGTTTCTTTACCTCGACTTGAAAAATTGCATCAGTTAGTAAGAGGTGTTACATAGCCTTAGGACCCTTGGTTTCAATGTCTTTCTCGGCAAGGCGTATGCACCTCCCCGATACCTACATGTGGCGATGTAAAGCGTAAAGTATTGAGTATTGTGATTGATCCACTGGGGTCGAGGTAAAGGATTGGTCGAGTCCGGGATTTGCACTACAGATATTCAGTAACATTGTTCATCTCAATTTCAATAATACGACGGTCAGAAATCGAGACATATGTCCTTCTGACCGCTTCTATCAGATAACGCAAGGCGTGGAGGATCTGTGTGATTATGCATCTAGTCACTGATCGACATTATTCGAAATCCGTCGTGTGCTCATTCGACCCTTTGTGAGACACAAACAACCATTGGACAGACTCGGAGCTTCCAATTTTAGGTTTGGGGTTGCCCAGTGTATATAGATGGACAGTACCAGGTGTGAACGCCCGAGGAGAAAGGTTCCTAGGGAAAGTGCCTGGGACCTGCCGCCATCATGCCCTAACTCCTGTATCTTGTTCCCCAGTGGCGCAACTTATACCCTCATGTTGAAAAGTTTTCTTTCGTAAGCTTGATCTGCTATTAAACATCAGCTATGCATGTTTGACTTCGGGTACTTCCATCGGATCCTGGATGGCTGATTATTGTCTGAGCGCTAGCTCAGCACATCTTAGAAGGCCGATTCTCAGTTCCAGGTGCTTCTTGACCTCAGAATGTAGACAATACCCCAAAGTATCAACCCTGCCGTACTGTGTGTGACCGTTGGAAATCCATGCACCCGGTGTGCCCGAGAGGTTCCTTCTTAGACTATGATCCCTCAGAAAGGGCTCGATCTCCTGATTTCTTGAACACCTGAGACATTACGGTTGAATTCCGGGCTTGCGCTTGTCCTGTACAACCTTCCAGACAGGGGTTATAGGATGCAAGCGGCTGGACTTGACAGTCCTATTATAGGCTGCATCGCTCTCCGTTGGGGAACATCAATTGCCATGCTGCTCCTGTTCAAGCTGAAGGCACTCTGGGAATAGAAAAATATATGGGGTTCCGAATTCCCCGATTGGAATACAAAATATTTTCAAGAGACATACCTCTTGACTGTACTACCGGTTCATGAACGACGTGTTAAATATCCCTCCACCAACCTTGGAAGGCGAGGGAAATAAGTATCTCATTTGTGGTGTGCGTGGATAATGGATTCTAAACTCCAAACTATCCTGGTATCATGACCTCTCTCTCATTTTTCTTTTATCTATAACATCATTTCTCAATGCATCGTATATCAAAGGGTCAGCCGTAGGCTAATCCCCTATCCCCCTCATCTTTACTCAGCGCCGTAGCGGGCACGGTAATCCTTCAAGCGCTGGATATCCTCAGCGCCAATCTTATCACTCAGCTGTTCGATAATGTCGTGCAGACCGATAACGGCACGAATGGGAATGTTGCCGCCGAGATCCCGCTGGGCGCAACCGATGGCGCTCTTGGACTCGGTATCGCTGACCCGCTCCTCGCGGTCCAGCAGGACAACAACGCCGGCAACAATGCCACCCTCCTTCTCAATGATGCCGACGGCCTCACGCAGAGCAGTTCCGGCTGTGATGACATCGTCAACGATGACAATGCGCTTGCCCTTCAGCGGGGCACCGACAATGTTGCCTCCCTCGCCGTGGGACTTGGCCTCCTTGCGGTTGAATGAGTAGCTGACGTTGTCCCAGGTTCCCTTGGGCGAGCCGGAGAGCGAGTCCCGCACGGCAAGCTCGTTGGTGACAGCGGCACAGATGGGAATACCCTTGTATGCGGGGCCGAAAATAATGTCGAAGTTAGGCTTAGTGGTGCCATCAGCCGCGGTAGTCACGAAGGGTTCGGCGGACAGCACACTGGCGTAAGCGGCAGAGGAGGCGCGCAGCAGGGGCGCAGTGTGCATGAGGGAGGAGGTGAAAAAGTAAGGAGACTCGCGACCGGACTTGAGGATGTAGGTGCCGAAGGAGAGGACGCTGTTGTCAATGAGGAGGGGGAGCAGAGTGCTCTTGTAGTCTTGAGAGGCGGACATGGTGGGTGGGCTTAGGGATTGAGTTTTGTATGTATATTTGACTGTCTGAAAAGGTAGTTCTTGAAGAGGGAGCCCAAGAAAAAAAAAGTGGGTGACAGGTTTATCGGCGAATAGAAGTCCGCCCCGCCCAAGGTGACTGGTTAGCTAAGTCAATCTAATTTTTTAAGTAATTGAGGGGCAGATCATAGAGGGGCATATACGGAGTAAGCTGACCCAACATGGGATGATTACAGCCTTGCAGGTTTGGCCCCCATTGAATTACGAGGGAATATATAAGTAAGAAGAAGAGAAGTGTGAAGAGTGAATTGAATAGTATATTCTCTCATCAAGTGGAGGTTGTAGACCCTGCTTACCCAACCCACCAGTTGACCTGAGCACGTGCTAGCTCCGATCGCCGGCCTTCCCCGCCGAATCCCAATCCATCTTTCTTCCCCTTCTTTACGGAGATCTCCTGCCATTTTCTCCTTCCTTCTTTTTTTTTTACCTCGTTCATTTTTTTTTTTTCTCTAGTTTTGAGTCGACCAGGTCCCCCTTGTCGAATCCTCACGTGGTGTTACAAAACAAACAGGTCGTGAAATCCTGGTGATTCTGCGAGACCCTGTTGTGAGAACTGCAGAACAGCCTCAGGTGGTTACAGTTGCAGAAGAAATTCAGCCGTAGCTTTTTCGGTAAGAGATCATTGTTTACCTAGGAGAAGAATCATAGCGGGCTTCCTGACCCGTTATGACCAACTCTCAATCCCACCAGATTACTGATGACAATGCCCGTAGGTTGACACGAAACCATGCATATCCGGGAAAAGCTTGCACAGAAAGAGGCCTCGGGGGAGCCGGGTATCTCCTTCGAGTTCTTTCCTCCTAAGACCGCCCAGGGTGTACAGAATCTCTATGATCGCATGGACCGCATGCACGGGTTGGGCCCCTCTTTTATTGACATCACATGGGGTGCGGGTGGCCGTTTGTCGGACTTGACTTGCGAGATGGTCAACGTCGCTCAATCGGTGTATGGTCTGGAGACCTGCATGCATTTGACTTGCACCGACATGCCCCAAGAAAAGATTGATCAGGCACTCCAGACCGCCTACAAAGCTGGCTGCACCAATATCCTGGCGCTACGAGGTGACCCACCGCGTGAGAAGGAGGCCTGGGAAGCCGCCGATGGAGGATTCCGCTATGCCAAGGATCTTGTCAAGTACATTCGGGAGAAATACGGAAACCATTTCGACATTGGTGTGGGCGGTTACCCGGAGGGTGCTGACGACAACCCCGATGTGGATCTATTGATCGACCACTTGAAGGAGAAGGTGGATGCCGGTAGCACTTTCATCATCACTCAGATGTTCTATGATGTGGAAAATTTCAAAAAATGGGTTAACAAGTGCCGTGAGAAGGGTATCAATGTGCCAATCATTCCCGGCATCATGCCCATTCAAACCTATGCCTCGTTCCTGCGCCGTTCTAATTGGACCAAGGCACACGTTCCTCCGCACTGGATGGATGCCCTCGAGCCTGTGAAGAATGACGACTCTGCCGTCCGAGATATTGGCAAGCGCCTCATCGCTGAAATGTGCCGAGAGCTCTTGGCTTTTGGGATTAACCATCTTCACTTCTATACTATGAACCTGGCCCAAGCAACCAAACTTGTTCTAGAGGAGCTGGGACTAGTGCCATCTGAGGAGTCTCCCATTCAACGTACGCTGCCATGGCGGCCGTCTCTGGCCCTGGGCCGTCGAACCGAGGACGTGCGGCCAGTTTTCTGGCGCAACCGCAACTCTTCATATGTCGCTCGCACACAAACATGGGATGAGTTCCCCAACGGTCGCTGGACCGATTCTCGCTCGCCTGCCTTTGGTGAACTTGATGCATACGGCGTCGGTCTGAAGGGTTCAAACGAGCAGAACATCAAGATGTGGGGCGAGCCGAAGTGTTTGAAAGATATTTCCGATATCTTTGTGAAATTCTTGAGTGGTAAATTGGAACGTTTACCCTGGAGTGACAGCCCGATCAGCATTGAGGCCAATGATATCAAAGACCCCTTGGTGGACTTGAACAACCGGGGTTTCCTGACCATCAACTCCCAGCCCGCTGTGAACGGTGTGAAGTCTTCCCACCCTGTGTATGGATGGGGTCCGAAAAACGGTTTCGTTTACCAGAAGGCTTACTTGGAGCTGCTGGTCCCCTCATACTTGATTGACGAACTTATTTCCCGCATCGAGAACAACGAGGACATGACATACCACGCTGTTTCCAAGGACGGTCAACTGCGAACTAATACACGCGACAGCCCGAATGCCTTGACTTGGGGTATTTTCGCTGGCCGAGAAATCATCCAACCTACCATCACCGAGACCATCAGTTTCTTGGCGTGGAAGGATGAGGCTTACCGCCTGGGTGAAGACTGGTCCAAGTGTCACGATGCTGCCAGTCCCAGTCGGAAGCTGATTCAACACGTCATGGACGACCGGTACCTTGTCAACATCGGTAAGATTACATATTGATATCGTTGAAACTTGCAGCTTAGCTAACCATCTTATAGTTGATAACGATTTCCACCGCTCCAATGCTGTCTTTGATCTGTTCAAGGACCTAATTGTCAAGGATCTTGATGTCGAAGTGACCGGAAAGCCAGTAGAGACCAATGGCGCTCCTGAGTCAAACGGCACTGAGACCAAGAACTAAGGCATCCTCCCACTCAACCGGGAACCCAGCTAGGCTGGATACTTTGACGACCACTCTTATACCTGGCCTCACACCTGAGCCACTGCCAACACTACTTACTACACTCTACCTAATTCAACATCACCTATCTCAACGATACTCAACGAATACCAGCCCGAGATGAATCATCCAACACCAATCTCCGGCTCTCATGCAATGTCTTATGGCGTAACGATTGAAGACCTCTCAACGATTTCTTCCTGAGCGTTCACTTTTCTATTTCAACATCCAACATTTCTACTGTACCGATACCCCGTCCCTTTTAACAACGACGCTTCAGAGTACTTCTTTTTTCTTCTGCTTCTCCAAGGCCTGGTGCTTTTCCTCTGACGTGTCCATATCTCTCTTCGATTGATGTGGACTGTCCAGATTGGAACGGAGGATCAAAAAGGAAGAAGAATCCAATTCAACATAATTTATGCCCGATCTGGGCGCATTTTCCATTCTATCTTTGTCTTTTTTCTTTTCCTTCCCTGTTGGATTTCGGGTATAGAGATCGCAGCGAGATGTTCATCCTTCTCGTTTCGACTTACATTTCTCTTCGATGCAAGCAGCGGTGTTTCGTTCTATAATGTGCTCATTTTTTCCGGACCATTCTGATGCTCCGCGCCTTCAGAACTTTTTGGCTTTTTGGTTATTTACAACCACTTACGGGATTCCATGCCCATGCAGGTCTTCGTACCTCCAGCAGGGATTTCGGTTTTTACTTCAGATATAACATTGATCAGAAGAAATACAAAAGCTTGACTATTTCCCACATTCAACACGGGGACGTCCAGCATATTGACTGAATTGGATCTGTCAAATAGTAAGACAGTCTCACAATCTATAAAGTCTGGAGGTCCCATTGCTTAATCCCATTGCTTAACTGGTAGATGTTTCCTACTTCGTGGGAAAATAGAAAGATGAAACATTTAATTTATGAACGGCAAAGGGATAAGTATGAATAACACAACGCTGACCCAACCAATGATAGGTATTACAAACCATCAAAAGACACAACGGTCAAAGCATAAGGATGTATAATAAATGAGAGTGATGAGATCATGTTATAAGAGCATGAGTAACACATTGAAAGGCCCAAGAAAAAGGCCTAGCAAACCAAACAATCCAGGTGCCCACGAGAACCACATACCCAGCCGCACGACCGGCGATCAAGGCCCCAAAACCAAGAATAAACAAATAGACAATAGCTTGCAGGAACTCGACCAAGAATCGGCTAATAGCCTGATCATTCTTGGCTTTAGGCCAAGAACCCGTGTTCTGGTAAACCGAGATAGTACTGCAGATTGTACTGAAGACATGGTAACAATGGCGGGTCATGTTCAAGATGTTCGTGATCACGAACTTGATGTATGGACTGTCGGTTGTTTGGAGAGCGAATTTATGCATGTTTGTTATCGCTAAGAAAACGATTTCGAAGATTAGGGAGAGGGCGATGGTGTTTGTGTCGTTGTCGGTGGTGATGGTGATGTTGGTGGAGATTTCCTTGGGGGACTCCTCTTCTTTTTCTCCTGATGAGAGATTGTGAAGATCGTCGTGAACATCCGTTATATTGGCTTGCAGACTCTGTTTGGACGTGGCTACTTGCTGCCCGTCCAATTCTGCGATCTCCACAACTTTCGTTGCCCTTCGGAGTCGGGCTTGTTCTTTGAACCTTTCTAGTCGTTCGGCTCGAGATAGCTGTTCAGCAGTAGGAGGTTGTTTTTCTGCTTTTCCAGGCTTCTCAGGTGTCTTTTCCTTCTCTGGTGGAGGCGTGGCCTTCTTGACTGGGGGCTCTGGCTCCACTGCAGGTGGCTTCTCTTGGATAGGAGGTTTCTCAAGAGAAATCCCGGCATTCCGTGAATTATTTTTAACTGGAGATGACTTTGTAGAGGATGGCGGAGTCTCTTTCGCTGATATGAAGGACCTGGCAGATCTTGAAGATTCTGAATTGTCTCTAGTCGGTGGTGAGGCTTGAGACACAGAGGAGCTTGAGCCCTTGCGGCTACCGAGAGATCCTGAGCCATTGCGTAGGGATTCCGCGCGATTGCGCAAAGATTCGGTTCCGTTGCGGAGTATTGTCGCCAGACTTTCGGTTGGTGATCTGACGAGCCCCGTAGATCTTGCTAGTCCGGAGGTACGAATGAAACCACGGATAGAACTGCTTGGTTTCTCGGTCTTATCCTTTTCCTTCCGTTGGCTGGGGCTATCCTTTGGTTTCGGATCACTGTCTTTCGAATCTGCGTCTTTCGACTCTGTCACTTTCAACTCCGTAACCTTCAGCTCTTTTTCTTTCTCGTCTTCTGCTTTTAGGTCTTGTTCTTTTGACGCAGGAGTGCTGATAACATGGGTCGCTTTAGAAGGCGATGAAGATGGAGTTGTCTTCAAAGAGGTAAGCGATGGAAGAGCCGACTTGACTTGCGCAATTCCTGACACATGTCGTAGTCCAGCAGGTGTAGAAATGACCTGGGCCTTTGCCCGAACAGCCTTAACGGCCTCTCCAGTTCCAGATTGACCAGTTCCACCAGGACGTCGTAGCCCTTGCGCCTTTATAACAGAGATTTTCTTTTCTGCCTTTGCCACCTTCTCTGGTGTCGGGGTAGGAAGCATAGTACGTGTGACAGTAGGTGTGATAATGAACACATCATCACCACGTCCACCGTCCATTCTACCTGGAGAATTTTCAATGCTTGGCCTGGGACGCGAGTTCTCTTTACTCGAGCCCTGAGAGCTTGGAGTTGAGACCTGATTATCAGGGCATTCTTGTTCCTGGCACAAGGTCACTGGTGTATGCTTGCCCTTCGAATTTCGCGAAACTTGGGACCATTCTTCTTGTATAACAGTTTTCTCCATTGAATTGCGCGCCACCTGGGCCTCTTTCTCCTTCTGTCTCTTTTTTGCGCGCACTGCAAGTGGACGGGGTTGTAGAGTGGTAGAGTCTTCCCCTGATGAGAAGAGTAGAATTTCGTCAGGGTTTTTTGGGCAATTATTGATTTCCTTGCACCCCAAGAAGGAACCATCTCCAGTGTGAGATCTCCGCTTCTCTCTGGGCTTTGTGGGAGACTCCTCCCATATAGTGCTAATGCGGTTTTTGCCAATTTCATCAGGGCTATAATAGTTGGTGTCCGCCTGAGGCCCATGAGGCTGGGAAGCTGGAACTTTCAGCTTTTCGACTTCCCCCTTAGGCTGTTGTGGCTCTGGTACCGCGCTTTCATTGGTCTTGGATTGATCTGATTTTCTTCGCCTCTCTTGATATGTCGAGGAATTACGTCGTCCCTCGCTCGGTGAGCCTCGTGGGCTTGGTCGAGTATTTGGGTCAAGCATTCGGTTTCCCTCCCGATGGACTTTCTCAATGCTTCTTTGATAATCGGCAATTTGATCTTCAGTCATGGTCGGTGGGTTGGGATCCTTTGCAGAGGGCATATGAACGACGAATCTGTCCTCCCAGTCACAGTCTGTCATCGAGTCCTCGGCGGAAACCGGCGAGATTGAAGGATGAGACCGGGGGCTGGAATCGGTGGTCGTGTCTGTTGCTTCCGATCTCTGATGCATACTCTCGCGGGTATCTCGATTAACCCACTGACCTCCCTCCTTTAACCACTTATTTTGTGGCTCGGCATTGCGAGAATCATAACGCGGGCTCGATACCGCTTTATTGAGGTTGGTATTGGGATTGGGGATGCCACTTCGTGGATTGCTCGCTCCGCGTTGCGATGGTTGGACTTCCGAGACTGTTTTGACTGGATGCTTGTGCTGTTGCCAGGAATTCGCACTCCCTTCAGATCGAACTCTATCGCTTTCCCTTGATCGGATATAAGAGCCGCGCTGTGACAAAGGTGATTCCTTTTCAAACCTGCCACGTATTTTCCGCATGCCTATGCTTCGGTCCCGGTCCGCAGACGGACCACCAGATCCCCCCAATGAAAACGCGGCCGATGATGATTTAGGGATTCCGGTAGGGCTAGGGGTTTGATTTCTCTGCTCCCTTGCCCTCTCAGCGAAGGACTTCGGCACCGGAAGCTTGGTTGTTTTCTCTTTTTGATACATGATATCTAACGAGGTTCGACGGTCTTCGAGTTCTGATGGTGGCACACGATGGGAGTTTCTGGCTGGTGGGGTCGGATATAGCTCTGTCGCTGTATAATGAGCGCGGTATGCCTGGTATTGGGGTTGTCGTTGAGGCCTTGGAGAGAGGTTAACGAGGTGTCCGTCAGGTAGTTCGACACAACTTTCGATGTCCATGTTGTGCTGGAGTGTGTTGGCTAGTATTTCCGACTCTTCAGCCAAGATTGACCCTGTTCCTGACCCATGCCGTAAATAGGCTGTTTATAATTGTGGTCTGGCGCAGGTGCTGCGAGTTAGGGCTGTGTCGAGAGTATAGGTTGAACGGCTTCGGTTGGCTTTTCTTGAAGCAGTGCAAATGAACAACGTAGAGAACCCGTAGGGTCATCAGACTCAATTCAATGTCCAAAGCCAGCGCGGCTCCAACGCGTAATAATGGGGAGGTCTGGTTGGGTGGAATGGCATGTGGTCCGGGATGAAGAATGCCAGCCCCCGCGCTGGAATGCCTCACGATATGAACCTGCCTCCATCTGGTATGACGCTTCACGGTTGCTTTCGTAATTTGAGTTTTATTATCTTAGAACAGACGGCACATGAGCAGTGAATGGGCTCAAGAAGAAATTCAGACATGTATATACAAGATGTCATATCCTGCCGTGTATTAGGGCATGATCGGGTAATAGGCGGTAGGAAGTCATATTGACTTCGGTTAGAAAATCAAGATTGACATTCAAAATCTGGAGAAAAATGGACTTATTCCGCATTCTTGGGCGTGGCAAGTCACGGGGAATTTTAGACGTCAAAATGATGCTGCTTGCGAGTAAATCTGGATTACAATCGGAGCTTGTTAAAAGGACCCAAAGAATTACTAGTTGGACCCGCGCTAGCCGCATTGATACTAGTGTGGTAATTGTAGTTCAAAGAAATTCTACCTGGTAATTTATATCTCAGCAATTACACTAGCATACGTTACGTTCGCAATCCTCTACCGTAAGATTCATCTGAATTACAATTACTAGGCTAGTACCAATGCGGTTAGCGCGGGTCCAACTAGTATTTTTTTGGGTCCTTTTAACAAGCTCCTTACAATCTGGCCACAAAATATCCGAAGATGGGTATTCAATCGATACCCAGGCTAATGTACGCGAGCCGTAATATTGGTACACTTCTTGGCCAGAGCCGGTAGGGTTTGCATAGAAGATTATTCAGTTGGGCTTAGGATCTAGCTGCAAGCATGAACGTTTCATACGTGCAAAAAAAGAAAGTGATGACATGCTGAAAAGGAAAATTCGATTCGTGGTTTCATTCTAAAATCTTCCCGTTTCGCGACGAGGGTTAAGGCTGCCAGGTCTATGGGCTCCAACTCCTGCTGCTGGACTCATGGGTGCCGCAAGACTGCTCCTCTTAAGAGGGCTGGATTGCTTCTTTACGGGACTTGTTCCTCTTGGAGTATAGACAAAATCTCCACTATTGTGAACTCGGCGCTCAAATGCAGTTGATGCTGACTTCCTCAATGGGGAATTCGCATGTGAATAGACCCCAAGACTACCTCCATCGCCTGTGCTGGTCGATGTTGGCCGAAATTGCGGTTGCCGCATAGAATTTCCAGCAGTACGCACCAATGGTGAACCATCACCTGACACTATGGGGGTGCGGAGGGACGGCTGGCTCTGGAAAATCGATGTGCCAGGAGTAGCAGTGGGGCGTCTTGGAGTCAATCCTTCTGGATCGACATGACTGACGTAGTTTGGGTTAGGGCTAGTCTTGAACCCTCGATTGATAATAAACGTTGGAGTATGGACTTCAACTTTGTTCTCGGCGTCTGAGCCCGCCTGGGCAGGAACTGGCTCCGAAAATTGTGTGCCCACATCTCTCATCAACGGTCTAGTCCGAGGGTGAACGAACTTGGTGTCATATTCCTTCATCACTTCCTTGTGCACCAACATCGAGTCTTTTGCCTGCTGTGTATATGAAGTGGACATGAAGGCCATTTGTACAGATAGAAGAAATGTGAGGGCGATCGTTGTGACGATTGTGACACTCGGGCGAGGGTCGGACAGCTGCGTTGGCAGGAAGAGTAAATAGATCAACACATGCCCTGGGCTAAACAAGCACAATAGGCGGATACTGATCGGTTTGGGATCCCAGAGGGCAATCTCCCATACATCACGTTCGGCATCTGGGTGGGCACGGGATTGGGCCGACTCTCCGGCTAAGGCGTTCGCGAGGTATCGGAGGGGAGACGCGGCCATCGGGCTTGATTCTACTCGCACACGGTGCGCAGAGGGGGTCGCAGGGACTTGATCGATAGGCGTTTCGAACATGCGATAACGCTTCACGCGAGCGAATGTGTAGACTGCATTTGCGAGCGATAAAAGTCCCAGGATGGTGCTGATGGTGGTTGCCTATGAATCATTCCAATAACAGTCAATTTTACAGCACAATAGGATTATAATAGAAGACCACGTACCAGCCAGCTGAGCCAAGGCACGCCTTCATCTTCACCAAATACATCGTCGAAAGCTTTCCCGCCACCCAGTCGACTATTGGCGCGTGCAATAAGGAAAATCAGATTGAGCCCAACACCAATGGGAAATCCCCAGTTTTTCTCCATCTGATCCCAGTCATGTCCATCGATTTCCTCGGAAACCCAAAGTAAAAAGTCCCACGGGTTCAAGTAGGCTTGGATGCGCTCCATGAGCGGGCGTCGACGCACGAGACGAGGCATAGTGTCGGAGGACTGAAAGTAAAGCGATAAGATAGAAGCTGTTCCTCCACAGCTTCTTCTTTAGCTGGATCGGCAAAATAAATGCATGCAGAGCAAGGTAAAGCCAGTGATGCGGAACAGTGAGCCATCCAAGCAATGAAAGTAAACAAAATTGCATCAGCTTATGTCATCGACTCTCCGCTCTCCGCGATAACCACAATCAGTGAACAACGCAACTCTTAAGACTGCACCAGACTTACTGTTAAGATACGGTTTGTTCGTGGGACGGCCTCTCTTGGTCTTTGATCAATTTCTGTGCTTCGGCTTTATTCACCATGGCGACGTCCGTTGCATACAAGGTAAACTGGACACTTCGAACCTGCCACCACCCCTCCGATAGCATTGCTAACTCTCCCCGATGACAGGATCGCCAATTACTCGCCGTGATTGGCGATGAAGAGTAAATCTCTCATGAATTGTCATTGACACAGAACCCGAATGGTTTCAGCTAACCTTGACCTTCAACTAAAGCTCCGTGACCGGTCTTCTGCTCGCGGGAATCGGAGTATGTACCTCCCTCAGCTCAATCGCCATCGGCCCTTTTGCAACTATTCTTTTGTGTGGTGCTGATGCAAATTTACTCGTTACAGCATGTTACCAACCCCCCGGACGCACAGCGCAACTTCCTGGTTGTCGACGCCAAGACCGAGACTTCGGAGATCGAGCGCGCCTTCCAGACCTTCACACAGGAGAGAAAGGACATCGCCGTTGTTCTCATCAACCAACATGTTAGTTACAGCTGTACTTCGCTGCCCCTATGAGTTATCATCCTAACATACCTCCACAGGTTGCGGAACGCATCCGCCACATCGTAGACACCTTCACCGATCCCTTTCCCGCCGTTCTCGAAATCCCCAGCAAAGACCACCCATACGATCCGGAGAAGGATAGTGTTCTCAAGCGCGTGCGCCGTCTGTTCGGCGAGTAGGTGTGCGAAGAGCTTTTTCTGGTTTTGGGCGTCATCAGCTCGTGTGTCTTTTGTCGCATGTTTACATATTTGATTCTTGCCAAAATCTCCCGGTGTGCCGTCATCGTCTCGGTATTGTCTTTGTTTCGATCAGCTTATTCTACGAAACTTGGCGTGGTGGGGTGATCAAACGCTTTAAGAGGAAAGATACCCAACATGTCTGAGAATGCATATACAATCTCAATATATCCGATTTCCAGCATGGAATACCTCATAAGTTCAGTCTCGCTATTCTAATGCATTGTTTTCCCCCACACAACATGGCTTTTGGCTATGCTGCTATCTACTTGTATTCGCTTTAAGCCCGAGAAGGATTGTAATTGCAAAAGAAGGCTAGCAGATATATTAGTGACCACGGCTTCAGAAAGCTCCGGTCGAGTTACATATTGACAATCACATGGATGCAAAGCGACGGTTGAAAGAGCAAGGCAAAACGATATCTGAGCGGACAGAAGCTTATAGAAAGCAGAGGCATCAAATGGAGAAGCGAGGGTAAGGTCGTTACGAGACGTGGGAAGAGGCGTTTCTGGCATAGAGAAATCAAGGCATGGAATGATCAATGTGAGCGTTCAATCAAAATGAGGCACCTGGTAGTTGTATGCAAGGAAGTTATGCAAACCGGAAAGAGATGATCTAACGATTAGTTACAATGGCAAGTTGAACGAGATGTTGTCTGCCTCTAAGCAGGTGACTTGCTTAGCATCGTTATTGTAGACATCGGCCATAACAGAGTATTTGCCCTGGATTGAATGTCAGCTGTACGATGTCTTTGGTAAGTTGACGTGAATATCTTACCGGAGGAATCTGGCTGGGCAAGGTGACTTCCTTGGTCAAAACCATATTGCCCTTCTTCAAGGGACATTGAAGGTCCACATTGCCGAGCTGATCACAAAGATCGGCAGTCTGCGAGATCAAGGTGATGAGACCATATTTGACGACCAAATTGACATAAGCACCCTTCACGATATCCTCCCCGACGGTACCATTGGCCGTGATAGTAAGCTTCTGGCCACTATGAGTGTAATTAAAGTCAGTTAGGTGTCATTAAGAATCATGAAATGGCCATTTGGGCCGGTCAGACATACGCCTTGGGGGGGGTTGGGCGATAAAGTGACGGAATCGATCTTAAGAGTGTATGTATCTGGGGCCCCGCAGTACACCAGCGGGTTTTCTCCGGGAACTTGAACTTTACTCTCGGTCTCAGTCTGGAGGGGAATTTGCCATGGGTCAAGCAGCTTGGGGACTGAGGCGGCTGAGGCGAGCAGAGGAGCCGCGAGGAGAGTGGCTGATAAGAACTTCATGATCACGATCGGCGTCGAGACTTTGATGGGAAGAACGATAATTATCACGGTCGGGTTTTTGAGGTTTAGGCTGTCAGAAAAGTTCAAGTTGAGCAGGAGAGGAGGATATCTGGGAGGAATAGAGGAAACAAGCTTGCGAGATAGGGACTGTGTCACTTGATGACGACTCGCACGTGATCGATGGCGACCCGCTTTAGGATTAGATCGTCTTACTTCTCCTCATTTGCTTCGCTACAGAGTTGGTTCCTGCAGCTGGACCTCACCTCTATTTTTCACACGCCGTCCACTCTGTCTTGCCTTTTACCATCTACTTAATCCCAAGGTTCTTCCTACCTACCTCTTGAATTGCCTTTTCAACATCATTACATACGTTGGGAAGGGTGACCCAGGACGAAATCACGGATCCACTACATTAGCCCCACTTGGTTATCATTGATCTTCCAAGATAACCTTGTTACCTCTTTCAATCAACACCGCCATGCATCCGACAAATATAGGCTCATTCATTAAGATACCTCACGCTAGGTGGATATTTAATCCTCATCTTGGCTCTGCTCGACTTGTTATTTGAATTGATCTTAGGTAGTAGTATTAGCCTCCTATCATCCGCCTGCGAATATACATATGTTTGAAGCTGTAAACCTCGGACGAATGATCCAACCATGGATATGAATAGGAAGCAGGGTTTTTAGAAGCCCTGTAGGTACGACCTCGCAAACTTTTCAAGGGAGGAAACTTGGATCGCGAGGTTCCCGTGCTTACGATGGGTATGCCTATCTATCTACCTAAAAGATCTCGGGACATCACTAGAAAATAAAACCTGGAACCATGGTGATCACCTGTCCATTGGGCGATGATGGCGATGTGTTTAAGATAAATTGATGAGCAGAGGCTGTATATTGTGTTGCAAATGCATCCGTAGTCCTCTATCTCTAAGGCTCGTCGATGTTTGCTGAACCGCGACAAGGCCTGAGAAGACAGGGCTCGGGAAGGCCTTGGCAGCAACTAGGCAGTCGGCCCAGTCTAGGTGGCTCTCGCTGACGGCATTGATAATATTTTTTAGGTAATTTGGCGCTTATATATGTATACTTCCCCTCGGAGGACTCAACGAAGTACATCATAGGCAGGCTTTCCTGTCCCCGGTTCTGAGACCTCTGATTATCACAAAAATCGCAAAACACTACCCTCGCATTCCGGTCCGAAAGGAGGCTAGCTCTTAAAAAGTGAAAGTTCAACTCATGGGGCTTTCCTAGTGGCACATTCAATCTCAGTTTCATTCATTCATATCCTCATGAAGCATTCCAGAAGGAAGCAATTGGGAACCCAGCGATTGATATGATAGTGGGCGGAGAAGTTGTGTGACATAGACGTACACAGCACAAGTTGAAAATGTCATTGTAGATGCGTGGTACTATATAAGGTTCACATACTAAATAGCAAAAACTCATATAGAAGTTAGTACTGCGCGGCATTTCATAGCCTCCAAAAGTTAAGTCTTCATTCAGGAAGGGGGCTAAAAATATTTTCGAGCTCATCGAAGTCAAGAGGCAGTTGAGAAAGATAAACTTTATATAGTGAGCCTGCACGAGTATTGGACAGTATGTGACGCTAAATTCCAAAAATGCCGGACTCTTCCACGCAGCTCTTGTTTTCGGCCTTTCGGCCCAAGCAAACATCTTCCCACAATTTTCTCATCCACTGCCCCTGAAGTGGCTATATTCTTTGCCTCGGATGAAACAAATCTCGACAAATGGATTGGCGCGGTTGCACGCCTGTCCACAAAGTTCCGAGAACAGTAAAGGTTTTGTCGATCCCGAACCCAGCTACAGGGTTGGAGGAAGGCTTGTCGGGCTGTCACTCCACTCCCACAATGTTGAGGGTTAGCTGATGAGATGAAAGAATTTTCACCTGCAAGTCAACCCCCGCATTCCCTTCTGTGCGGTCTTAGTTGCCAAATAAGGCTAACTTGGCTCACTAGTCCGGGGTTCCCCACCCCCACGCTAAGGGTCATCTCCGCGTTCTGGTCTACATTGCACCGATGTCAGGCGGTACTTGGGGCTATGATTTGCTAAAGACATGTAGCTCCACTTCGTATAAAGCTCAGGCAATGTTCTTGGTAATCCGGTTTGATTCACCTCGGGATAAGAGTGGATACGATCAGACCACGCCACTGACGAGCCTGCCCGGGTGCTCGGCCGCCTTTTTGTCGGGCTATTATGTTTGATGGCATAGATATAAAACCAGATGATTTGTTCATTTAGTTCAAAATGCTATCATCTATTGTCTTAATTTGAAGAGTATTGATCTACATTCATCATGAAGGCTTCAAGCTTTGGTCTTCTTGGACTAGCGTCTCTGGTCTCAGCCTACGCAGAGCAGCCTTACTATGCAAATTTAACATGGGAGGCTCCTCGAACTTTGTCAAACTGGTCCAACCTCACAGTTGAAACTTCGACGGGAACTTTTATAGGAATGCTGAATGATACTTATCCAAATGTCCGGCAATTCCTTCGTGTCCCCTATGCCAAGGTTAGTATTGATCAAACCCCTATGATATGCATGCTCACAAGCCATTGCTTTGGGTCATAGCCCCCAATTGGGGACCTTCGCTGGATGCCTCCTCAGAAACCAGAAAAATCTCACAAAAGAATTGACTCAACCTTTTACGGACCAGGTAAATATCCCAACAGCAATGAAAATTCTAGGCACGCTTCTTTTCGCCTGTTCTAACTATTACATAGCTTGCCCGCAATACGTACCTTCTACATGGAGCTTCTGGAATGCATACGAGCCACCTAACCTTCTTGTTAACATCGGCGAAAAGCTAGACCAGGGTTCGATCGCCTGGTCCTCCGCTGAAGATTGTCTATCGATGGCAGTGTGGACTCCTGCATATGCCAATAAAACTTCAAAACTTCCTGTGTCCTTGTTTGTGACTGGTGGAGGTGGTATCACTGGAGCTATTCAAATCCCTTCTCAGCTACCAGCTCATTGGGTATCGCGATCTCAGGGACATATCACAATTACCATTAATTACCGAGCGAATATTTTTGGAAGTGAGTCCGCATACTCCAAAATTCAGCTCTAAACACTGTTTAACCTATTTTTTAGACCCGAAGTCAAGGGCACTGGAGGAAACATCTCTCACCCTTCTAGATGTGAGAGCTGCAGTGGAATGGGCCTATGAACATATCGAAGCATTTGGAGGCGACAAGGATAATATTATGGTAGGATTCCCCCTCCCAGGGAAGAAAACAGCGACCTGACTCGAGAAAAAGCTATGGGGTCAATCTCAAGGTGGAATTCTCACGCATCTGTACACACTTGCCTGGCCTGAGAACCCTCTTGTTGCGAAATTCGGTGTCATTTCACAAGGTGCTTCAGCCACATTGAACCTCTCGACTGTCGACGACGTCTATCAAGATTTCGATATTGTTGCGAAGAGCCTCGGCTGCAACTATGGCGATGACGCAGAGGCCGAGCTGGAGTGCATGCGTCAGATCTCATGGGTCCAGATTGAAGAGTATATCAATCGCTACAACTCCACCCCTGCAATCGCTTTCACAAATTACATGCGTAAGTCTCATTCTCTGACCAAGCCTGATGTTCTCACTGCTGATCCGATTTTTAGCCGACGAAAGATACATCTTCTCGGACGAAGCTACTCGATATGCCCAAGGAAAAGTCGCAAGGGGACCATCAATTCGATCTGACACAGCTAGAGAGTTCCCGAGCACCAATACCACCGAAGTCAATGAAGAACAGAAGGCAGCAGACTGTTTGGCTCTGTCGGATTCCAAACTGCGTCAATCCATTGGACTTGAAACTCACCGATACTACTGGGCTGGTATGTATTCTCTCTTTGAATAATCGGACAGTATTTGACGGGAAACTTATAGGAAACTTCACCAACATCAGCCCTGTGCCATGGCTGGGTGCATTTCACTGGACGGATCTTTTCATGATCTTCGGCACCTACATGTTGGATGTCGGTAATGTCAGCCAATTGGAAGTCGACACTTCGGAAACAATGCAGGATATTTTCCTGGAATTCTTGAAAAACACTTCAACATTCAGTCAGACTGCAAACTGGCCAGCTTTCAATGCGAGCAAACCTAATGGAGGGGATATCATGGAATTTGGAAATGGTACCACATGGAAACTCGTCTCCGAGGACTGGCTTGATGCTGGTTGCTATAACTCTTCAATTCCGTTCAGAATTGATGGATGAGAGGTAAATCAATGATGTACTTATCTGCAATGACTTGCTGTCACGGGCTGCGCCACTGGGTCTGCGAACCCCTAAATATTGGACCATCCAATGAACTCCATATTTCAAGTCTTCCATGGAATGTTCTTCACTTCGTCTTCCCCACTTTAACCCCATCAACCGAATCGGAGTTCGTCTTTAACTGATCAGCGAGCTGGCCCTGAAAGTTGAGTGGGTCTCACCCAAAAAACTGCTCCGACACTAAGCCCGACCAAGTAATGATTTTTGAAACCTCACCGTTCTTGCTCCACGCTTTCAGCGCTAGTTTCAGTTGGTGACTCCATAAGGATCTGAATGGGAAGACTTGGATGAAATCCCGCAGTCGGGACTTTTTCTTTTCCTTGTCAAACGGGTCCTCTTGGCCTGGCATTAATTAAGAACCTCAGTTCTTGTTACTGAAGTTTCATAATGAATCCTCTAAAAGAAGAATACAGGCTTTCATACGTTCCTCTTCAGGATGAGCCCCAGAACGCGACGAAGACAAAAGCGCGACCCTTATCGTCGGCCGAACAGGTGTTTCTCCAGTCTCAGGCACAGCCGTTCTGGGCATCAAGCTGGACCCTGGAAATCCTGAGTTGTCTCACATCGATGGTGTTTTTTGTTGCTATTATTGTGGTTCTCTGGTATTATGATGGAAGACCAATGCCTGACTGGCCCTATGGCATTACTCTCAACGCGCTAGTATCCGTTCTAAGCACGGTCATGAAAGCTTCTATGGCATTTATCGTGGCTGAATGCTTGGCGCAGCTCAAATGGTCATGGTTCCGGGGTGGGAACAAGTTGAGTGATCTAGCACTTCTCGATGCTGGAAGTCGTGGGGCCATGGGGTCCCTTCTTGTGCTTTTCAGAACCATGCCTCGGTAAGATGTGGTGAATCTAACTTTTGAACCCAATTACTTATTTTTATTCAGGCATCTTGTCACATTTGGATGTTTAGTCCTGGTCGTATCCACTGCTACCGATCCATTTGTTCAGCAAGTCATGGCTGTCAAAGAGCGACCTGTTCATGCACCCGGTCACTCATCTGTTCAGGTCTGCAACACCAGTACATATACGGACTATGATGAAGGTGCAGGTCCCGGTATGAACGAAGTCCCTCTCGCAACATTCGGAGCTATCTATTCTGGCATCTTTCAAACTTCGAGTCCGAACAGCAAAAGTATCATGATGGACTGTCCGACCGGAAACTGTACCTTTGCACCATACCAGTCCCTAGGGTTCTGTAGCCGCTGTGCCAACATTACAGACTCCCTTACGCTCTCGAAGTCCGGAATCATCCCCAGTGAACCTACTTACAAGTACAAACTACCCAACGGATTCACGTTCTCAACTTCAATGTACGGAATGTATTTGATGAACTCGACATCCTCACGGAGCCTTATCAAGTTGGATACGAAGGACAAAGCTTCGATTCTGAACTTTACTGCAATCAGCGCGTCGGGCTACGGAGTCCCACCTCAGGTGAGCGCAACCGAATGTGCGCTTTTCTTCTGTGTCGACACATACCACGCAACTGTGCAGGGAGGCACATTCTCAGAAAACCGAACTTCATTCTCCACCACAGCGAATACTTCTTCGGTCGTTGAAAACTTCTCCTTAACGCCAGACACATGTTATGACAATGGAACCCGACTCGAGAAGCCATACAACAGCACTGCCGACTGCTCATACAACGTTAATTGGCTCAGTCGCTTAGCCATGTCGAACTCGGTCTCCCCACTTCTCCACGGCTACGGCTCGCTTTTTGTGAGCAATAGACCAAGCTGGTCTTCCAACGTTATTGAAGCCCTGTATGGTGTGGAAGGAAACTATACGGACATCAATTCTGTCTTCCAATCCCTAGCTTCTACACTTACCATCAACGCAAGGTCCAAGGTTTGTGAAGAAAAAGTCAACGGAATCCCGTGGACGATTCAGTCTTTCGTCCGTGTGAGTTGGAAATGGATGATTCTGCCCGGGGCCTTGGTTGTTCTGAGCATGGTCTTCATGGTCATTACGATCATGCATACCAGGAACCAATATATTTGGAAATCGTCGCCTTTGGCTCTTCTCTTCTCGGAGTTGTTGATTGATGAGCCGTTCCCACTGCGATCGGATCCGACTCTAAAGGGGATGGAAAAATCCTCGAGGAATATGGAAGTCTGGCTGGAGACAACTCCGCAGGGAGTGAGATTGAAAGCTATTCCAACCTCATAATGATTGCTTTGAGTTTGTCCGGGGCTTTGTATGCCAATATATCTAATGGATTTAGAACATAATATATCCAACCATAATGTAAACAAAATTGAGCAATAGTGCATAGCATGTTCTATCAATAGAAAGTGGCAAATATGGGAGATAAAAACAGGGCTCCTTACCTAGCCTGCATGAGTATCTGGGGCAGCCTTCAGGCTTACAAATGAAATGCATGAAGCGGAATTCCGCACGCTAGAGATGCATGGTGGGTCACGTAGGCCAATCAGATCGCTTTCCGCTCGACTTTAAGCTTAAGTCCGGCCGCCTCTTACCCTTACATGTATTTCACATCACCGCGCTTTGAATCAAGGGATTTTCCAATCTCATTTGCCTACGTTGAACTCAAATTCAAACAGTACCTCGCACATTCACCATGGCGCGCAACCTTACTGAGGTCCGTAACTGGAATGCGAACTTGAAGACTGCCCGCCCCGAGCTGGTGGCGCTCTTCGTTGGCGGTACTAGCGGCATCGGAAGAAACACCGCCATCAAGCTGGCTGGTGCTGTCGCTACCCCAACTATTTTCATCGTTGGCCGCAGTGAGAGTGCTGGCGCTGAAGTCTTGGAGGAGTTGAAAGCAGCCAACAAGAATGGCACCTACTCCTTCCACTCTGCCGATATGTCCCACCTTCGCAATGTGGATGACCTCTGTCAGAAGTTGAAATCGGACATGCCAGCTCTGGATCTCCTCTTTTTGTCCTCTGGAAATCTTGCATTCAGCAAGCAAGGTAAGACAAGCTTCTTTTTGAGAGAACCATATCAAAAATCAAAACCCTAACTCTATACAGAGGGCGATGGAAACATCGATGTCAACCATATTATCCGTTACTACAGTCGCATGCGCTTTGTTCAAAAGCTTCTTCCCGCTCTCGAGGCTTCAAGGTCTCCTCGCGTTGTCAGCGTCCTCGCCGGCGGTAAGGAGATCATGATCGAGGAAGACAACCTCGACCTCAAGAAGAGCTATTCTTTTGGCGCAAGTGCCAGCTATGGGGCAACTATGACTTCCGCCGCATTCGAGAAACTCGCAGTGGATTACCCTTCCATCAGCTTCATGCATGTCTTCCCCGGAATTGTGTCAACACCACTGTTTAAGAAGTTCTTGGGGTCTATTATGGGCACGGTCGTGGGATTCCTGAGCAAGCCTTTGTCTATGTCAGCTTCGGAGAGTGGAGAGTGGCACACGTATCTCTCTACTGCTGAAGCGTTCAAGTCTAAGAATGCTTCCGGTAACGGTTCTTATATCTTGAACTACGATGGGAAGGATTTGACCAACGATGCGATCATGGCTGAGCTTCGGGAAAAGGACTTCCCGACTAAGGTTTGGAATCATACCCTTGATACCTTTGAAAGGATTGTTTAGAGGCGATGTCTTTGTGTTTTTCATGCGGTCATGTATGGCGCGAGTTGGAGTTAGGCTTATATTTAATTCGAATCAAGCATGAGTTGTTCAACGAGAAAAGCGCTCTTAAGACTCGACGATATGATTGTTCTTTGGTGTTGCATCCAAATTCCCCTTTTTGGTCCCGTTGCTTATCTCCGTCTTTCGTTTACCATGCCAAACATTGACTGAAGATGAGGGAAGATGACCGAAATTATGGTCAGTAGATGCATTAAGTATTTCGAAGGGATTCCCAAGGAGTCCGAGATAATAAATTATCTTGAACATTTTCAAGGGAGAAAAAAAAAAGAAAAATACAGGTGGGAATCGAACCCCGGATCTATTGATTCTCTCAATACCTCAGAGGTACAATGTGAATAGCCTCATATGCATCGCCCCGAAAATCAGCCAAAACTTCTTTTCACTATAACCCACTGCGTATTTAGATAAAAGAGTTCAATTCTGGATCCAGCAGATTAAGAAGAAGCTATTTTATTTTTCAAAAACAGCAAACATCAAACCCAGGGGGACCCCAAGATCACAGCCGTAGCTGTGTCTTGGCGGTCTGCCACTGGGCGATGTTTCCCGGTCTATCCAATACGTACATCGCAGGTCCCGACGGCTAACCTGGTGTGCCCCAACTGGCAGTGGTGAGGATTTACCCAACTCGACCACACGTATTGGATTGTTGATTTGGAGAGGAGGAAGTAATATTTGAGGGAACAATGCCAATACTTTTGGCATTCCCCCTCCACCTTTCCCATTGAAAATCCAAGCCCCTTGTCTTGCTTGGATATCTTTTTACCACACATTTCGGGTTATTAATTCGGCGAGGAGGAAGTAATACTTAAAGGAACAATGCTAGCCTACCAGAACTTTTGGCTGCCCCTAAGTTGAAGTGTCAACCCTACACATGATCCTTGACTCTGTTACTTTCCCACTTGACTCTTTACATCCAGACTACCTCTCTTGTTCCTTCGATTTGACGATTCGGTGATTCCTAGTTCGTGAATTCCCATTGCCACCTTTATTTCACGGGCCTGACATTAATATGATGATTAGTTCCACAACGCATCAATCTTTGAAGCTTCCACACACACATTCTCTTTCTCCAATCCCCAATATTGACAGGCACAGCCACACGTCATAACATGGAAATGCCCATGAGTGCCTTCCCGATTCCCCGGTCCATAACCAACTAAATCTGGAAGCGCACACCTTCATCTTGCCCAATAACAAACCCCTCACGTGTTGACGGCAAAGTGCAATTTAGCGGATCTTAATTGCCAACTATTATAGAGTAATTACATTCCAAGGCCGCAGATTTATGTACTACTATATTGGTTAGCATGTATTTACAACCTACGGGAGGCCATACGGACCCTGACTTCTACCAGGGTCCTGCGGGATAGTAACAAGAACAGTAACAAATCAGGGCTCGAGACATGAAGGAAACACCGCTAATTACGCCTTTGTGGCTGATTTCGAGAAGGTCTACCTTTAAGCGATGTGGTCGACAACATCTAATCCAAAAGCATCGAGATCTTCTATATTTTAGTACTTGCAGTAGACTTTAATCAATATTTCCGCGGTCCAAGCTCAAGGTTTGAATCTAATCCCGCGTTCCAGGAAGATTAAGTTACTCGAACACAATTACTAGAGGGATTATTATGTGTGGCTTTCCGATTCAACATTTACCCCTCGAACTCCAGCCAACTCCGCCAATAATGACATGATCTCTGCCCGCTGACGTGTTCACATGCAAAGTGGCGTTCTCGTCTACACTTAGCTCGTGTGGGGCACTTCATCCTAAATTAAGGCACATCGTCGAAAAACAGCCCACCGGCCCTGACAGCCCTACCAAACAACGCACGTGTGTTATTCCTGCGTCATAGAGGCAGTATGAGGCCAATTAGGCGAGAATCAAACCACCTAGTTCAATGCCAACTCTTCAAGTATTATCCGGAGATCACCCCACAGCAAGCCGCCCGGGCGTCCGTCGGCGCCATCCCGCCCGAGTCCTTCAGGGCTGCATCTAGTGTATAGTGTATATATCCTGCAGAAATGTATAATCGTTTTCATTCGATTATGTAGAAGATGGTGCGGTGGATTTGGCAACTTGCCCGCTTTGATCTTATCCAGCGTATCAGATGTCTTTCTTCATCTGTGTGTGGGTTATCTGCTCCCGATTGGCGTTCCTGGTTCTGTTGCATTGCATGAAGCATGAAATATCTTCCAAGGCGAGCTTCGGTGATCTCGGCGCTCGTTTACGTATAAGTATCTAGCTTTGACCCAAGTAAACAATGGACATGTCAATTGACTCGGTCACTTTCTAACATGCCTTCTTACACTCCGCGAGGCCTGTTGGCCTTGGCCGCTATGGACCTCCTCATGGGAGCCCAAGCTGGTCTCGTTACCTGTGACAGCAGCACCGAAGTTCTGAGCTGCCACAACACGACTGCAGTCTCTGATATATGCTGCTTCAACTACCCTGGTGGTTCCCTGCTCCAGGTCCAATTCTGGGATACCGATCCTTCCGTCGGTCCCACTGACTCGTGGACTATCCACGGTCTCTGGTATGCTCCTCATCCTCCCGAGATTTCCCCATTGCTTCCGGTAGATTTGAGCTGTTTACTAATTGAGACGTGAAGGCCTGACTACTGTGATGGTGACTACGGTGAAGACTGCGACTCTTCCCGCGAGACCTCCGATGTCGAGAGCATCCTCGAAGACCAGGGTCGTACCGAGCTCCTTGAGTACATGAACACTTACTGGCTCAGCGACGATGAGTCCGCGAATAAATTCTGGGCCCATGAGTGGAATACGCACGGAACTTGCATAAATACCATTGAGCCGAGCTGTTACACCGAATACACCGATAACGAGGAAGTGGGTGACTTCTTCCAGGAGGTCGTTGATCTGTTTAAGACTCTGGATACTTACACGGTAATTGTTTTCTCCTTTTTCCTGTGTTCAAGATTTCCATTATTTCTTGGTCACTTACGCTGCTTCACGTAGGCTCTGTCTGATGCTGGAATCACTCCTACCAACGATAAGACTTACACTCTTGCTGAGATTCAGGCTGCTCTTGCTGATATCCACGGTGGATACGAAGTTACTCTGCTGTGTGATGATGATTACCTTTATGAAGTGTACTACTACTTCAATGTTTATGGAAGTGCCGTCGGTGGTACCTATGAGGCTTCCAGCCCTCGTGAGTTTACCTGGTTTGCAAATATATGGTTGAAGCTAATGTGTCTCTTTAGTCGAGGACTCTGACTGCCCCAGCAAGGGCATCAAGTATGTTCCCAAGTCTAGCAGCTCTAAGAAGGTTAAGAGGGCTGGAACTAGCCGCCGTGGCCGTGGGCGCAAGGCTTAGATGAACCAGACTGTGTGGTTGACTATGTTAAATTTGAGTGGAAGACTACAAAAGGGGTTGCAGTTTCAACTTGGAAGTGGTGAAGTTTTTGTTGCAGTTTATTTCAATTGCTTTGATCCAGTTTATACACTCGTTTGAAATTCATGCGCATGAGTCAAATTTTATGGAAGACAAATTTTTGAGTTTTCAACCCTGGATTGCTGGAAATGTGGTTCTGGTAATGATCGGCCCGTATGAAAGTTCAAGCCGCAACCTTATCATGGACGTATAGAGTTCATCATCCGTGTATTCTACAATCTCAAAGCATGTAACTTAGTGTTCATAGCGAGAACTCATTGAACAGGAAATAACAATTCTTTGTATTAAAGCGGATTACCAATCTAAACGGACGCCAGTATCGAAATAATGCCGAAGTCAAAGTTCAAATAAATTCTAAGACGTACATATGTCAACGAAGGTAAGAATCGAATATTCCATAAATACCCATGTAATCATTACCTAAAAGACTCCGACAAAGATCTAGTTGCTAATATATGATTCAGTCCATCACTCCAAACACCCAATTAGAGGTACTTAGACAGCGATCGCAAGAGCGAGGGCAGCGACGATGGCACCGAAGATGGAGCCAGCGGGGCGGGTGGCAGCACCAGTGTAGGCAGTGGTGGAAGCGGAGGCAGAGCTGCTGGAGCTGGAACCGGAAGAGCTGGAGCCGGAGCTGGAGCTGGAGGTACCGGAGCTGGAACCAGAGGAGCCAGAGCCAGAGCCAGAGGCGGAGGAACCGGTGGAGCTGGAGCCGGAAGCGGTAGCAACGGGAACGGAAGCAGTCACGGAGCGGAAGCCAGAAACGGAAGCAGTGCCGTTACCGTGGCGGCCAGCGGAGAAGCCAGAGACCTTGGCGCCGGCGCCGGAGCCGGTGGAGGAACCAGTGGAGGAACCAGTGGAGGACTTGCCGGAGGACTTGCCAGTGGCGGAGGAGGTGGCGGAGGAGGTGGCGGAGGTGCTAGTGCTGGTGGAGGTGGAGTTGGAGCAGGTCAGGTCGAACAGGGGGGTGGTGCTCAGGGTCTCGCCGACGATACCGAAGGAGGGGCTGGCACCGTAGTCCTGCTGGATGTACCACCAGGTGTTGGTGGTGCCGAAGAGAGAGCAGCCGACAGTGTCCCAGTACTTCTTAGCGTTGGCGATGGAGGGAACGCCCTCGTTCTCAGTGTCACCGCTAACGGGCCAACCGGTCTCAGTGACCCAGATTTCCTTGCCATCAGCGACAGCCTTGGTCTTGGCGACAGCCTCATCGAAGAGGGATTGGGCGTTATCGATACCGTTCTCATCAGTGGTCTGGTAGTAGGGGTAGGTGTCGAAGCCGAGCCAGTCGATCTCGCTGATGACAGCGGAGTTGGAGGAGTTGGTCCAGGCATCCCAGGTGTCGACGTGACCGATAGTAGCGCTGCTCAGGGAAGTGCCGGAGATGGCAGTCTTGACGGACTGGATACACTTGACCAGGTCATCGGGGTTCATGCCGATGCCAGCATCAGACTCAGCACCAGTGACGGAGTTACGGTACAGATCCTCAGAACCGACGGAGATACCGACAACAAGCTTGGTGAAGGAGGTACCGTAGGTGCTGATGGCGGACTTGAGGGCAGCGATCTCGTTGTCGATGTTACCACCGGAGGTCCAGAGACCCAGGAGCAGGGAAGTCTCCTCCTCAATGGCAGCCTCGATAGCCTCAATAGGGGTGTTGGTGGTACCATCCTGAATCATAGTGTACAGACGAGCGCTGTTGAAGCCGGAAGTGCCAATCAGGTTCTTCGCGTTCTTGAACTGGGAGACGAATTCGGACTTGTAGCGGGTGCTACCATCCTCGTTGGTAGAGCCATAGTTGAAACCCTTGTAGGCGGCCTCGGCCGTGGCAATGGACAGGGCCAAAGCGAGAATCTGCTTCATCTGCATGATGAAAGTGAAAATAGAAACGAATGTGTGAGATGGTTTAGAAGCAACGAATGACTGTGAAAAAGAATGTCACAAGGAAAAAAGAGAAGGTTGATTTTTTGGATAAAAGAAAGATAGATGAAAGAGAGAAAGAGAAGAGGATGATTATGTATCTGGGGAAATGAAAAAAAAAGGCCATAGGGCATCGCATCCGGTCTAGACAACGCCACTGTGTAGACGAATGGAACCTGAAGTGGGGCGCGACACGTTTGCTTGTCTCTTGTCCTTCCTTGCTTATTGGACTCTGGGTTTCCAAAAATACACAGACATCCAATGATCGCCTAGAAAGTGGATTTGTGCCCTGGCAGACGGAGAAGGGCTTCCTATTGTGTCATCCACTGCCCCCGGATATATTCTTTTGCAGTGTCGTTCTCCATTAAAGTTCGGATTGGGCCACATAATTTGACTCGTAGGACCAAGTCCCTTTCTCGATCCACCTGCAATCCCCTTTCCGTCCATGGATAAGGGAGTTCGAATTTTGTGTCAGGAACCAACTCCTATCCGGCGCCCGGAAGCCTCGGCACACGGGATTGACCGAGTTTTCAAGACATTATCGTGAAGCAATTGCAGGTCAATTTATGAAGTATTACTGACTCCGTAATGATCAGCCACATGTTTCAAATACCTCTAGAATGATGAGCGAAGCCTGCAACAAATCAGAATCTGAATTGGCTTTTGTGATCGGGACCATCACGCTATTCCCCTTTGAGCTCATCGGTACCTGCGACGTATGCCTTATAACGCAGGCATCAACTTTCCGATGTGGCGGTGAATTTCCGATTCTGCCGCTCGCAGCAATGATGTGCATTCTAGACTCCATCGGCCTCGCTCCTCTTGGTCTAGACTGCTCATCTCTCCTTTTATGTATCCGTGTTCAGCTTATTGGATCGTGTCTGTCAGTGTTTTCAGACAATACCATTATCATGACTTCCGTTCCCAAATTAGATCCACCCAAATCCCACATGGATCCGCCCCAGAAGTCCCATTGCTGTAGCTTCTCAATCCGTCAAAAAAGGGTCCTGACGCAAACGGGCCCAATGTATACACAGATCGTGATCACCCAGATGATCGCCAAAGATATCCCCGATGCGTCTGTTTCCTCAGATCCCGTTGAAAAGATTCCATGCCATAACGCAAGTGATGCAATCAAGTATCCAGCTTCCCCTCGAGCTACCACCTGCGCAAAGCTAGCCTTAATATAGATGGCGGATACAAGAAGTTCTACTTAGGGTGCAATAGCCTAATTGTCGACGCCGATTCAGTAGTGTGGGTGGATACTTGATCCTCTTGGTTAAGGGTACATACTATCGAACAAAGCTGCGTCTTTGCCCCTATTGTGGGCCATTGCGCTGGGTAATTATCGGGCTCGGGTTCGGGCCCGCCCTTGTGGACCTTGTAAATTTGACCTACTTTGACCTCTCCGAATAGATTCTATTTTTAGAGGGTTCTGGTCGAGCACAGAGAGTTGTTATGAGCGCAAAAAATGGCTTTCGAATCTTCATTTTACGAATGTTGTAGATATATTATCCTATACAGAAGGTACAGGGGTATGGGAATGGGTATAGCAATCTTTCTGGTCATATCAGCCACGACAATTGAGGAGAAGCGCACTAGCCATACCCCTGTCACCATCTTCCCAAGGGGCATATAAGCGCATAATGATACCCCGCCATCCTATACTTCCCTGAGAAATCTCTGTCCACTGATGGAAATTTCGAATTCCTTAAAAGCCTGCCTTTCATATTAGTGGGTTTGAAATATACTGAGCACCATGACTGACAAAGAATAGTGGAATCAAGATTCGACCCACAGCTTCTTATAGTTCTGCTCCTACACCTTCACCCCTTGTGGACATCTCCTTTTCCTGTGAACCCTGTGCATTTCTCATCTCAGACTGCGTATCAGCGGATACAGTCGTCTCTTTCACTCCGTGACCAACTCATCAAACCAGGAGAGATTGGAGTTTACAAGATAGGCGGCAAAGACACTCAAAGTATCTGCATAAGAAGTCTTCGCGATATTCAGATGAAAAGTCGCATTTGAGTTGAGGTGTGATGCAGGGATACGCATTCGATACAATTAATTTCATTCATCAACTACAGAGCCCACCTTGTCTGGGCAGGCGTCATACAACTATACTTTCGACACTCAACCATCTATCTCCAGAAACTCTCTGTATCTCTCACCCATACACGGTATAAGCAATAATTTTTGAAATCCATCCAATCGTCCCCGGACTTGTCCCTCCTGCCAACCCCTTGAGAAGTCACCATAGAGTACAGTTTCCGAACGCAAGTGGTCCGATTCCGCAAGCCACGAAGCACTTGTACTCAGATCCCATAAGGAAGCCTCGGGTGTGAAGGGCAATATACTCATTGCCTTGACATTTGGACAATGTCCGATTTTTAGTGCCAGATACAAGCCCTCAATTATCATGGCAAAAATCACTGTTCTTCGAGCGCTCTCTGCAACTATCCATTCTTGCCATGTGAGCGCAGGAGTCAGCTCTCCAGTTCGTATTTGTAATTGAAAATTCCAGTTACGTAATGTGTCCATGTGTTGCTCTGCTAATGAGCGCTGTCGAATATCACCATCGAAGAGCTGAATGATTTGAAACAGCATCAGTGCATGCACTGCGGCGAGGAGCTGGGGCAGGGTACTTGTGTCGTGGTCCTGCGCCACGAGGTTGGTAGTTTTGTTTTCCAGTATACGAAAAACCAGATCCTCTGTTTCTGGATTTTTGGTGCCATAAGCTGCTAGGGCTGTAAAAGCGTCTTGGATAGCATCAGGCAAGTATGCATCGTAGAGGCGCGAATGAATGAATGGTGTTTTTCGGGAGCTAACAAACACTTGCGGGTAGCGTTTGATGTTCTGTAAAAGCTGATTGGTCGACCATTTATCTAGGATTTTAGTTTCTGGGGAGAAATCAGCTGGAGATGGTGATGGTATGGTGAGTAGGGAGGGCATCGAAGTAAGCCAAGGGGAAGTAACACTCGTATTTTCGGATGGAGAGTCGTTTAACGGCCAAAACGATAGTGCTTCATTGGAATCAGGGAAGGATTCTGGCCACGCTTCCGAAAAATGTGATGATTCCAACCGTCTCGAGATATCCTGGCGCTTTTGTGGAGGTCGTGCACTCAGGTAAGTACATTCCAGTCCCTGGACAAGACACCGTGAGCACTGCGGGGTTTGACGATTGCAACGCCGCTTCCCCTCGGCGCAAGCAATACATGACTTCTGCCGCGAGCGTGCATATGGTGATCTGGGTGCCATAGTCTCGAGAAAATAGGAAAGATGCCCATTGAGGGGCAGCGGAGGAAAACAAGGCTGTGATGACAAAGGTCCGCAGAACTCCGCAAACTCCGCACTCTCGAAACTCCGCAAGCTCCACATCCTAAATTACTATGTGTAAATTCCAAATTCACAATGATACTTCAAAGTGTGGCAGGCATGTAACTACAGCCTGGAACTGAATACATATAATTGAAGCAAATGAACAACTTGGTTTTTCTTTACTATCCAACAATAGACATAAACATTTCTTCTCTATTATGGCGATCACTGAACTGATTTTCCCATGTGTCAAACCTGACCCAGCTACACTTGAGGCACTCGAGCGAGACTGGCCCAAGTTGAGCAAAGGATTGACTGTTCCTAATCCTGGCATTATCGACGCATTTCGTGGATGGATTGTGACAGAAGATGGGTTGGATGTAAGAAATGCCTATAGAGAAATTCTTCTTTTTGGTAAGTTCGCCCGGTGCGTCAATTTGAGCGTATCTGATCTGGCATAGAGTGGAACTCAGTCGACTCTTTCCGAGCTTTCGTCGGCTCGGAACAATATGCTGCTTTTGCTGGCTCCATCAAGCATCTGTTGACTGGGCCGCCTACCTTACAATTGTTCGAAACAAAGTTCTCCCCAGGAGAAGCAGCTTCGGCATCTTTGGTTGAAATAATTCGGGTTGGGGTCTCCAATTCTGAGAATGTGGAGGAAACACTTCGAGTGTGGGAGAAGGCAACCCGTCATTTAAATTTGAATGGGGATGGCACGACTTTCACCTATGGCAAGAGCTTGAACCTTGAAGAAGATGTCATTATGGCTGTCATAGGATGGCAAAACTTGGAGGTAAGGTAGAGAACCTACTCTGCTATAGATGCTATGCTGACCATCAACAGGAACAGCGTGACATGTCTGAAAACAAGATTTGGTTAGAGATACTGGAGTCTTTCAAGTCGCTTGGCAAAGTGTCACGGATCACTGTAGAGATTGAGGCAATGGACCTGGGTACAGATGTGTTGTAAGGCAGTGAGAAGTTGCTTTCTGAAGAACCCGGTTAGATTGATAATGGAATTTACTCCTCTCTTTTAATCCTTCTTTAGAGGCTTTGCTTGGGCCATTTCTAATTATGCAGATCTTAAAAAGACAAAAATAAAGAAAGTAAAAACGTACGTCGCCAGGACCGTCCGCCGCTGATTTACTTTTACGAGGTTCCTTGACTATCTAATAGGAAGTCTTAGAAGATTTTAGTAGGAATCAAGCGAGGGAAAAACATAATAATTCCAATGTTCTCACTCGAAGGATATAACGTTCTAGCATAATAAACACGGAAGGCAAGTTGAATATTGCTGTATGTACAGGATTAAATAACAAGTCTGTATGATGATCGCAAGAAATCTAATGCTCCGAGACAAAGATACCGGCCATACCCATGCCCTATTGTAACGTCAGTATATATGAAGGAATTGTGCTGAAGATGAAACTTACAGTTCCCACACACATCGAAGTCACGGCGATGCGCTTGTCTTGACGACGCAGCTCCGACAGCGCTGTAACAACCTGGCGGGCACCAGTTGCGCCGAGAGGGTGGCCAAAGGCACTAAATGCTATTAGATTGGGGACGCATATAGAGGATACGAATCACTTACATAGCACCACCACGAGGGTTAACCTTAGCCTCATCGAGGCCCAGCTTGCTAACACAGTATACACCCTAGTAAAGGAGTTAGCAAAAGTCCAGATCAACCAACCAAGTTCACTCACCATAGAAGCAAAAGCCTCATTGATCTCAAAGATATCAATGTCATCCTTAGACAAGTTGAACTTGCCCAGAATTTTAGGAATAGCAAGAGATGGCCCAATACCCATAATTCTAGGCTCAAGTCCAGTAACAGTAGCACCGCAGAACTTAGCAATAATAGGCTGACCAAGTTCCACAGCCCGCGACCGCTTCATGAGCACCAAAGCAGCAGCACCATCAGTAATCTGGCTAGCATTACCACCAGTGGTAGCACTAGGAGTCCACTGCGGGAACGCAGAACGAATCTTGCCCAGCGACTCAGCGGTAGTGCCGTACCGAATACCATCATCCCGATCAACAATAATATCCTTCACCTCGCCAGTCTTGGGATCCTTGATCTGAGTCTTAACAGGAACGATTTCATCCTCGAACCAGCCAGCCTTCTGCGCACGCTCGGCCTTCTGGTAACTAGCCGCAGCGAACTTATCATGCTGCTCGCGCGAGATGTTGAATTGCGAAGCGACGTTCTCAGATGTTTGGCCCATGGGCTGGGAGTTCTGGGATGCAATGGGGTGCTTGGTGATACGCTCGGTCATCTCGGGGGCACCGCCGTCGGCGTTGGTGGACATGCTCTCAGCTCCGACTGCGATACCGACATCGATTGAGCCGGCGATGATCTGGTTGGCGATGTTCTGGACTGAGAGGAGGCCTGAAGAACAGAAGCGGTTGCAGACTGAGGCGGCGGTTGTTACGGGGAATCCAGCGGCGAGGACGGCGGAGCGGGCGACGTAGGCGGCGCCTGGGGCGAGGCAGTTACCGACGCTGACATCTTCGACGAGGTTGGGATCGATCTTGGAGTTCTCGCGCACGGTCTATGTGTGTTAGCTGGGTTTTGTTTTCTCGCCAGTGGCACTCACGGTGAGCAGCGAAATCAGAAGGTTGTCGATGGTGGTATCCTTCAGTCCACCTTTGCGGGCCTTAGTGAGCGGTGTGCGCGCGAGGTAGGTGATGACCTGGTGGAATAAGGGGTTTGATTAGTGGCTGTTTATGAATGGAGCTACAACCGGCACTTACGACATCGTCGGCGTTCTTTGCGAGCACGCGCTGCTTGCCGGAAGGCAGGGCCAATTGGTTGGCGACCGAGGATAAACGCTGCTGGGGGGACGACATTTTGGAATAAGAATATTCTGGGGAAGTTACGAAAGGCCATAAGGACGGGCCGGTCTTTTTTATTTAGTATCCGGGGTTACAGAACGTGGGGCAGCATTTGGACCGCGGCTCCTTGAACATCGGCATCTCGGCACCGAAGCCGAGCATGCATTTGCAACCGAAGGAAATGCCGTTGCGATTACGGAGACGAGTGTATGATACATGTATTTGTGAGTCCTCGGCTGAATGCGGGGACTCTGGTTGGTGAGATGCCGTATATTACACGGGTGTCGGGTTATGTATGTATGACGTTCAACGGGTATCTTGAATAGTGCAGCGTACCTGTAGATCGCGGTGAATGCCGATTTCGGGTATGTTGGAAGAAACATTGAATTTGAAAGTGGGAATGGTTTTCAGCTATCATGAAGTATCATGGAGATTGTTCTGAATGGAAAGTCGTAACTGTGTCTGTCAAGCCAATACCGGGGTAAACCGCGCCAAGACCAAGCCCGGGGTACAATGTTAAGGTGATGTGAGTTTCCGTAAAACCAATCCACCCTTGCTAGCTCCGTCACGAACGGCAGATCAAATCCAGCCAGCTTCCGTCTTGAGCTCATCATTGTGGGGGGTGGGTCTTTTTTATAACTTCCCACTGATTTCCCCAGACTTCGCATTTGCAACAATCGTGTGAAGCGTCCAGACTCGTTGACCCAGCTATTCCGAGATTTACTCGCGATTGAACCTCATTTGCGCTATTTTGATATCTGCGCTTCGGACGCAAATGGATCTGTTCGCTGAAGCGAGTGTGCCCGCTGTGGCAATGGCGTCGGCTCTGTCCGTCGCTGCCGGGGCATACCTGAATGCGAAGTTCTCAATCTCCACAGACTTGTCTGCTCATTTCAATGACAAGGCATTTGGCAAGCGACTTGGGGAGCGCATTGGGCAGCTAGGCGAATCAGCTACTATTTACAAGCTTCTCGAGCGTGTGGTGGATGTCGAGGGCCAGGGTGGTGCAGATGCTCTCTGGTTTGAGCACAAGACTTGGTCGTACACACAATTGAAAGAATGTACGTATCTTCCATCTGCTTCAATGGAAGGTTCACAGCTGACTTGGATCTTTTTTAGTGGTTGACCGTTTTGCTGCTCTGCTTCACGAGCGGGATATCAAGGCCGGCGATTTCATCGGTGTTTTCACTACCAATTCCCCGGAAATGGTGGTGACACTATATGCGCTATCGAAACTGGGCGCTGTAGCCGCCATGATCAACACCAATTTGCGGGGTAAGTCATTTCCTTCGATATGCAAGCAGTATCACTAACAAATTCAGACGACACATTCATTCATTGTCTCAATGTCTCTGGCTCCAAGTCTATCATTTCAACACCCGATTTAGCCCAACATGTCTGCGTGGACCTTCCACACGTATCATTCAGCCTCACATCCTTCGAGGGCATTTCCACTGGCCCGGTGGAAACCATCACAGCAACAGACCTGCAAAGATACCCTACAACAGGCTTGCAGCCAGCCAAGCGCACACTCAAGGACTTGACCGCACTCATCTACACCTCTGGCACAACAGGGAAGCCCAAGGCCTGCGCAGTGCGAAATATGCTTGCAGTAGTCACATCTAATACTCTTTCAAGCGATGCCAATAACCGATCAAAGTACTACCCCCTCCGCACATACTCATCTCTGCCCCTCTTCCACGGCACAGCTTTTTTCACCGGGTTGTGCTACTCGGTCGGAAACTGCGGAACTCTCTGTCTCCGCCGCAAGTTCTCCGCCTCGCAGTTCTGGAAAGATGTCCACGACTCCGGTGCCACGCGTATCCTGTACATTGGTGAACTCTGTCGCTACCTTCTCTCCACTCCCCCTCGCCTTATGATGCCAAGCACAATTGTATCGTTGCTTCGGGCAACGGACTCCGTGCTGAGATCTGGGAAAAGTTCAAGTCACGATTCAATGTACCTGAGATTCGGGAATTCTATCGTTCCACGGAAGGAGTTGCTAAATTCGATAACCATGGCGAGGGTGTCTGGGGTGCCGGCAAGGTGGGCTTTTCTGGGCCCATCCGTCGGTCCTTGGAGGATGATAACTTCATTGTCAAGTATGATACCGATACTGAGATGCCGTGGCGGGATCCTAAGACTGGATTCTGTGTTCGTGCCAGTCTGGGCGAGGAGGGTGAGGCGATTGGGCGTGTGCGTGATCGCGGGCTGTTGATTGAGTATCTGGGAAATGAAGAAGCGACTGAGAGCAAATTGCTGCGTGACGTGTTCCAGAAGGGCGATTTGTTCCAGCGCACAGGTGATCTTGTAGTTCAAGATTGGTCTGGCTGGATCAGATTCCAGGATCGTGTTGGTGATACTTTCCGCTGGAAGGGTGAGAATGTTAGTGCGGGTGAGATTCGTGATCACATCTGTCGTATTGAAGGTGTTCATGATGCTGTGGTTTATGGTGTGAAGCTCGCCGGGTACGTTTTGGTTGATGCCTGTGAATGAAACATTACTAATACCCTCCAGATACGATGGTCAGGCTGGCGCTGCTGGAATCACCTTGGAAGATCAATCACCTGCCTTCCAGGATATCTTCGCTGCCAAGCTCTACCCTGAGTTAAAGAAGAAGGGCGTGCCATCATACGCCTTCCCCCGGCTTGTCCGATTGATCGAGAAGTAAGTCATCTTTACTCTTGAACCGCGAACAGAAACTGACTTCGAAACTTTAGAGTCTCGACTGGTGTCACTTTCAAGCAGGCCAAGGGTGAACTAGCAAAGAAGGGCTGGGATCCCCGCAAAGACTCCGCGGACAGCCTTTACTGGTTGAATGGAACCAAGTACGAGAAACTAAATGAGTCAGGCTGGTCTGAGATCGAGACAGGTAGGGCTAAGCTGTGAGCACTCGGTTCGTTATTAAGATACCATGGTTCGTGTATATAGATGAGTAGAGCATGTATATTCCATCAACAAGCAAATACTGAAGTAGAAACAATGGGTAGGGGTAAATATCTGAATTCTCCTAGGACGCCAAGAGAGGAGAATCATCCTTAAAGGGGAGATGAACCTAGAAATATATGAAAACTTGCACGGTGCCGAAGGTTTTGCTTTTTTAAGAAACGTTATTAAGAAACTTTTATTAACGAAAATTGCTGACTAGATTTCAGCTGTTAAATTAGATCTAGGTAATACCAAAGTGAGTAGACCTTGATAAAGTCCACGGACTTCCCACTATAGGACTGTAGGTAGTCTTTAGTACATCATCCTACCTCCGCCCCATACCACCTAGGATAACCGCTGAGAATGGAGGTATGATGACTTTTCTATGACCATGATAGATTTAGGCTTAGGCTACAATACCTTCCACATTGCTGGGAAAAGCAGAGGCATAATCCTCGCATTCGGCGTGGGTTAGCGCTAATATGGACGTTGAAACTATTATGAATAATGGTAGGGGGAGTGGTTGGATGATAGACTTTGTGGGCGCACTTCCATAGATCAGCGATTACATTGTGCAAGGTTACACCATCGCGTAACACCATTGCATCATTACAGCCTTTATAGCACACCGCTGCTGAGCGATAAAGGCCCTTGAGAATGGGGGCCTAGCCCTTACAGATCAATAGTTCATGCACGTTCTCAATATGTGGTCACGGGCTATCCTGATTTCTTTCCTTTGCAGACTGTCGATCCCTTGGAAAAGAGTATAAATGGGATTTGTCCCCGACAGTAAGATTATATCACTGAGGTTCTTGTCCCTGATTATTTAGTGGGTTACTTGGTCCAAGCATTTCTTTCACTTGCTCAAAATTCAATTCCTCAGCCTGCCAACATTCATGCCTGTGCATTACTTGATAGGCAATATGAAGACTATCTTTGCATTTGGTGCTTTAGCAGCCATCTGCAAGTCAGCATACAGTTTTAAGGGTGGACTATACTCGATCAGCGTTGACTATCCCGAAGATCTGTATCTGACGGTGCAAAGCCCTCCTAATCCGCTCAACTTTACAGCACTTGCACGCAATCAGAAGTGGAGTTTCAGCAAAGTTGGTGATAGCGAGACCTACTGGATCTTGTATTTTGACACCACAGTTGGGGAATTCAACTTCATAAATTGTCCAAGTGGCCAGGATCTCTGCCACCTATCGGCCAGCCAACAGGCCTTCACCATCCACGATTTCAGTCCGCGAGATCGTCAATACTATATTCAGGATGAAACCGGTAGAACTTTGGTCAAGACAGACAAGGACCAACTGAACGCGACTTTGGAGACCGGCTATCACGATGATCCTATTTTCTACATTAAGTAGACACTCCTTTCAGGTACATAAATCAGCAAAATCCTACGCCACAGTCAGAACACATGTTTAACTTACGCCTAGTGTGTCTATCTAGTTTTCTGTGACCGACTAACATGGGATAGCCTCTTACTGGGGGTACATTCTCAGGTCTCCACAACACATACAGCTTAATCGTTTCGGTCTCTTTTCACGTTTCCTTTTTCCTGTGTCTATCTAGGGCTTCTCCCACTTGTCATTTTCTTTGTTTTTTTTAGATAGGACAAACCATTTTCCCTATCCTTGATGCTGCTTCCCTGTAAATCTCCACTCAAGAGAAAAAGGCAAGGGGCTCAGAGCAATTACCCGACCACGCTGGTTACATTTAGTTTCAACGTTCATTTGAATGTTCGGGCTCAATTGTATAATGCTCTTATATATCCATCATCCCATGGTCTTTGGCTTTGTAATTGTATTTATTCACAAAATTATCTTCAAAGGTTACGAGGGAGTACATCCTATCTAAGCCCTTACTTGAGGCTAAAAAATATGTAAGTTTTAAATAATGGTATTGTTTTCAACTTTTCAAAGACGTTGTCCATTCATAAGCAGTCACGGTGTGTAGCAGTTCAATGCCTCATGGAGCTAATAACAATACAAAGAGCGATAAGACGAAGCTTCACAGTATTCTCATTGGCTTAAGAGATAGCGAGAGATAAAGGTTTGTTCTATATATTATCTGCGCTAGGAATTGTAAGGCCACCACCGCTAGCTGTATTGATATCAATGCCGGGTGTAGCAAGGAGCAGCTTCACAAGGCTCTCATTGCCTTCACAAATAGCGAAAAGTAGAGGTGGAAGGCAACCCCCGCTAGTTATGTTGATATCAATGCCGGGGATAGCAAGAAGAAGCTTCACAATATCCTTGTGACCTAGACTTATAGCGGTAGATAGGGGTGAATTTCCTTTGCTGCTAGGCATATTAATATCAATCCCGGGTACGGCAAGAAAGGTTTCCGCAATTCCCTTGTGACCTTTTTCAATAGATAACAAAATAGGAGTTCGACTATCGTCAGTAGTGGAGTTAACATCAACGCCATGGGAAGTAAGTAGTGCTCGAACAACCATGTCCAGACCTAGGTATGAGGCGATGTATAGAGGGAAAGGGTGGACGGAGCGTCCAACTCCCCGAACAGCGATCTCCCAGTCCATATATTGGTCTGTCTCCATAGAACATAGATCCATAGCCTGAGGGAGAAACTCATGGCGATCTTGAATTGTCATACGACCAAAGTGCACAGCCCAACTATTTGCTGAGTACTCAAGAAAGTCATAGGTGGAAGCCAATTCCAGAGCATCTCTGACTGGGGGCGCTTTCTTCTTTCTCAGCTCTTTGAGATACAAAAAGCGGATACAGATTGAAGTAAGTAGTAAAGCCGAGTCGGATACGGAAATAGAGTGCTTCCAGCTGGGCGCAATGCGTGAAACTTTTTCGGATAGCGATATTAAGAAGTCTTTGGCAGACTGATGGATCAGGAAGACGGTGTCATCTACTATGTGAACGAAGAGTCCACAGATATTGCGGGCGGTTATCGCAAGCTGCTCGTCATTTTGCAGCTCTAGATCTTCGTAGCATTCGGTTTCTTCTGTGATAGCCAATGCAACACCAACTTCACGAAGCCGAAGTGGTCGGGTCGCTGCTACAATTATTTGCAGCAGTCTTTTTGCCTGAACTTGGTTCGGAGCTCTGAGAAGGATCGAATTATAGACATCATCCAGGGTTGTTGGTAGATTTTTAAACAGGACCTTAACTATTCGTCTGTCTATTCGTGGTATCTGTTCAATCATTTTAAATATCAAATCCAACCAGAGATATGTTCGATTCTCAGTTGCCAGTATCCCCCAAAGAAGTTTTTGTCTTGTAGTGTCATTCACAATCCGAGAACCTAGTCTAGACATTCGAGAATGTACAACGCGATTCATTTCTGATTAAATTTGTTTAGAAAGCTTTTCACCTAGCAATCGAATCCTAGGAATACTCTCAATGAGTTCTCTAAAATCATTTTCGATGTTGAAATATGGACGGCTAGTCATAAGGATTTTTAGATAGTGGCTTAAACACTAAGATTCCTCATAACATTCAAGACCCTTAAGCCGCCTAATAAAGTCTTTTTGGTCTTTTGTCTTGCACTTATCCAGTGCATCCAAGATGAAAATGATTCGCCCATATTCCGGATCTTTAGATATACCTCTTAAAATATTCCACATAGTGTCGAGATTCTGGCACACCTTCTCTAAATTTTCAAGGTACGCTGGAAGCGCATGCCTCATAGCCTTTCGGCCACATTGAGACTTTAGGACCTAATGCAAAAAGGCAGCCACAGCATTAACAGCACTCCGAGTCTCAGCTAATGTGTCCTTAAAGAGATAATAGTAGATGGTCGTGTCGCTAGACTCAAGGCTAAATAGGCGGTTGTCGATAAGGTCCTTACAAAGAACAGATTTACCACAGCCTGGGTCTACTATGATCCATAATAGACAAGATAAGTCGTTTTCTTGCCAATTCTAGAAATTTGGGCTTTCAAGACACCAGCTACATGTTCCATCTTCCTTATCTAGGTTGAGATCTTTCTGGTATTCATAGTTTATAGCGCGAAAAACTTAAACACACGCCGTCACTTTTTCTAATTCTTGCCTTAATTCAAGCTATTTAAGCTTTCGTAGAAACTTTAAACATCGCTAGCCGATAAAAAGTCAGCGTTCGCTCATTGGTGGGCTTCATTACATAAACAATTAAAAGAAACACACAAGATTTCCTCAAAAAGATATAGTAGGTAAAGAGCAAAGGAGAGCATAATTATACTCCCCTAATATACGATTATAAATCAAAATATCGGATACCTTTATCAACTAGAGGCAAGTAGAGGACACCCTATCCTGAAATTTTGAGCAAAAGCTCCTTTGCGTAGGCAGCCGCAACAGAAGCGGCGTATGGTCACCAAGCCTTATTCTTATATGAATCGGCATAGTCACAGATACCTCTGATAATAAGACATGGAAGCGTATCCATGAGCCCTGGCCAAGAAGGTCAGAAGCAATAAAATAAGGCTAATTTAGATCAAGGCACTAAGCTCCTCGAACTTACCCGCAGCTTCCATTTCGAAGCATATGATATTCTCCTATTAAGACCATTTATCCCTCAAAACAGCATCTTTCATCACTTAATCTGCAGACCCAATTGTTCCATAGTGTATATAAGGCTCATCACTCAACCGTTGCTTCCTTTTCACAAGGCTTTTACCATCAGGGTCCAGGCATAACTCGCATTCTTTCCTGGTACATAAGGAATCCAAGACTTAAATAACTGATCCTTTATGGATCCAGGGTGCTTGAATTTGTTTTCCATTCGTGAATTGTTCGCAAGCATTTTGGAGAGCAGATCGCAGATTGAATAGCCTTTTCGTTCATGTCGAGCTTCAGCATAGATATTGCACTCAGGACAATTCCGGGGGGCTTATTCAGCTAACCTCCGGCACGAACAAACTCCTGTCCCTGCACAGATTTCCCATAGTCATACTGTACGACAGCTTCTGAAGACTTTGAATGTTGGCTTATCACCACATCTCCCAGTCTAATGTCTTGGATTTTGCCCAAATCCTCATCTTCAGACTCATCGGATTCATCCACATCAACATTCACTCCATAAAATGGTGCACCACCCCCAATCCCAACCACCAATCCGAATCTAATAGCTGAGAAGCTACGCACCATGTCTTTTACCACAGTTGCAGCGGAAACCTTTCCTGTTTGCTCTACGGGTAAACAAGCAATTACCACGTTATGATCTCCAATCCTGCCCAGGAGGTAAGAGTTAATATCCTTTGGATCGGCTGCCGGAAGAACGGGGTGCTCTTCATCCAACATGGCACCAGCGGCTACCAACTCACTACTCGGCAAGGCGCATTACCACCCAACGGTCTAGTTTGAATGGGAAAGCTCGCGAGTATTCTTATTCATGATAGACAAATAATGAGTTGGGAAATCTTTGCAAGAGATTCGTATAATCTGTCCAGGCTCGTGTGATTATTTAGGCAACTCTTGGTAATCGATGCCGGCTGGCCACGTAATTCGGGTCTAAGAATAGTTTGATCCCAGCGCTAATGATGTATTTCTCATTGGTCAAATTTTTAGCGGATGCATGACTCGAACGCCAGGACTCATGGCGCTAAATTCGAAGCATTGCGAAACTAGGCTCTGGGTCATATAATCAAATATGAAAAACCTGTCACTCAAAAATCCGATATGGTGTAGTGGCTAACATCGTCGTCTCTCACACGACAGCCGGGGGTTCGATTCCCCCTATCGGAGTAATTTTTGCCCTCTTCTGATCAGGACAGGGTATTCTCTTTTTGCTATCAGTGTACAGAACATATTTTTGTTTACTGTGCCTGAAGGAGCTGGAGAGTGACAAGGAGTGTAAAGAAGTACATAGAGGGACAGACAGGATCTATGTATCGCAAATGGCTGATAAGTGGAGCGATGAGGCCAGGGTGCCTGATCCAAAATATACAACCCGACCTTGGGTTTTTGCCGACTACATACTGTATATATATATCCACTTAAAAGCTCGGGATGCATTTCGGCATTGAGGTTCATTGGGTTTCAATCTGGGCCTGAAGTTAAAAGGTGCCAATCGGAGATACCTCGATGATGTAACCGGGGCCCGCCTGCGGATGAGGCTTCAAATGGACTGAACAACTGAGGAACAAGAGTTAAACCAAGCAATGAAGGATTCAATTCCTGATACCAAGTAGCCTTACAATTCCAAAAGCATGGAAGCCCGTGAATTGGAAAGCCATTTAGTACGTACCCCACCATTTACTGAATTGACTGTACTACCACAAACCTCAGACCCCTCCGCGTCCATGACACAATAGGCCACACGTGCACGGATAGGTAGCGACCTCCTAGGTGCATTATCCAGCGTCATTGAAAATGTTTGCTCTTAGTGCTCAAGGCGTTCATCTTCCAATGTGCGGGGATTGCCACCGCACCAAAATCCTTTACAGGTTGCTGCTGCATTAGCGCAGTGCCAAGGTGGCGAATTTCAGTATTATGAAGAAGCACTAGGCATAAAAACGGCATGATCAGGATAAAAACTGCATCAAAAACCCCTGCGACGAAGAAACAAAAGAGATGGTCCACTTCTTTCAAGGTTCTGCCGAGTCACATAACGGTAACCCCGCACTTGAATCATGCATGGGAAACTTTGGCGAACAGGCTTGGTCTACTATGTGTTGATGATCGCGCGGAATTGGTGGCTAATATATAGAGATAGATTAAATCGAAGATACTGTAGATTCATTATTTTTGGTGAGATCCACCGTGGCTTTGGTGGCGGCTTGGTGGCTTGGTGGCTTGGATGGCTTCGTACATATCAAAACGAACTGATAGGGGTCTAGTATTTGTATGGAGAAGACAATGAACTTCCAAGTTCGATGCTCAGATTTCGGGGATGAATTGAAAATTTAGACGACCCAGTCGATCCAGACGATCCCTACCAGTGGGCCATCATGTCATCCAGTGTAAGATACGCAATCCCGGACTCGAGGAATCGGCAAAAAACAGAGGCAAATGCAATGGAGTATGACGAACGGGGCGGGCGGCAGAGATTTAATCTCCTGCCAATAGCGCGTTATTCAAGTGGAGAAAACCCTGTCAGATACTTGCGTTAAGCGATGAAAAGAAAGGGAAGTGAAAAAAGGAGATCCCATGATTGTGATCCGCAACTTTCTTCTTCCCCTTCTCTCCTCTCTAAAAGCTCGTGCCAACAACTTGCACGGCGAACCATCTCGGATATGGACGGGAAATAAAAAAAATAATCCAAGGTGGAGATTGCGGGCCCACTGAAATATCAAGAATCTCGTTGAACCCGCTCAACTTGAGCCAATTGGTGGTGGTGGATTGAGACGGCGCCATGCCATGGTTCAATCAATGGCGCATGTCGACTTCACGGTGGGTCAGGACAGGAACCTAAGTGGCTTACGCCACTCCCGGATTGACTAGGATTCCTTTCCTGCTGCAAAGCTTGAGTACGCCAATTGGGAGATCTCGATGATCTAAGTCCCATTGCGTCAGTTCCATGTCCACCATCGCTTAGCAGGGGACCCAGAGAACTCAGGAGTTCATATCTCCCCGGTTGGCCCTCCACCCTCAAGTTCGTTTTTTTTTCGCCCTTTGTTGCCTCGTTGGGTGCTTCATTCGCCCACCTTTCCGACCGTTGGATATCTGTTAAAACGCGCGCTGATCCGCGTTGGTCTTGGCGTGCTTAGATTCGACACACTCCAATATAAAATAGGAGATCAACCAATTACAATCATGGATACTGAAGGAGGAGATCTGCGGAGCCCCAGAGCGACCGTGAGTGATATCAGACTGAGAATTGATCTGAATTACATTTCGATCTAACTTTCCTCTCTCTTTATAGTCGGGCACCACAAGAATTAGCTCTCCCACTGGGAGCTCTCGGTTTAGAGATGAAGCAGTCTCTCCGAGGGGAAGAGGAGCCTCGGATGCTAATGAGGATGATGGGGGCCTGCGACGTCGTAGCTCGGCGAGACGCGGAAGCGCTGGAATTCCCAGCCTGGCTCCGAGAACAACACTGGCGGCCCGAACCCAGGGTAAATTCACAATGGCCGGCCCGGAAGAGACACCACAGCTGCGAATGGCTCAGGAGCCTTTCGTGCAGCCTGGATATGGTGAACTAAACCCGTCATATGAGCAACCCGCCAACGCGAAGCCAGTGTGGTCTCTGGCTAAGCCTTTGCCCCGTGTGGTGCGACCGGGCATGGTGCCAACCAGGGATGAGCTGATCCAGCAACGCCAAAACGCTCAGTTGCCTTTGGAGAATTCGAATCGATATGGTCTGGATGTGAACCCTACTGATCTTGAGGAGGGTCGGATTGAAAAGACCACGGACCCCCGGAAAATGGCGGCACAGGTCGAGGATGCTCGTCTGCAGCGCGAGCAGGCCTTTATGAACAAGATTCTTACTGGTGACACCACGTCCATGAGACAAGGGTCGCGCATGTCTCGTACTTCATCTACTCGCGTTAGACGCCAGTCTCGCTGGAACAACAATGACCAGGATGCGTTGTCGGCGGTAGCGGAGGGAGACTCCTCAGACACCACTGAAGAAGCCCCACCTAGGAATGAATACTTTAGCGATGATCCATTGCGACCCATTCCCGAGCAACAAGAGCCACCGATGGTTGATGACGCGATTGAAGATAAGCTTGAAATCCCTGTTCTTGATGAATCAACGCACCCTGAGGATCTGCACCCATTGATCCAGGAACTGGTGGAAGATGAAATCCACAACAACCACACCACTTGGTCTGTCATTCGTACCCACCACCGTGAGGCTCTGGCAGAGGCTCTAGCAGTTTTTGTGCAACTCACAATTGGTTTCTGTGCCGATCTTTCTGTCACAGTTGCGGATGCAGGTAACCCTAACACCACGGCCTGGGCTTGGGGTCTTGCCACCATGATGGGTATCTACATATCTGGTGGTGTTTCTGGTGCTCACCTCAACCCGGCTGTTACTCTGATGCTCTGGTTCTACCGTGGTTTCCCCAAGAGCAAAATGCCCGAGTATTTCGCTGCCCAGTTCCTTGGTGCCTTCTGCGCTGCCCTCGCGGCCTACGGACTCTACTACGAGTCCATCCAATACTGGCTTGCGAACAATACGGACTCTGGTGTTGTCACCAGCTTTGTGACCAGCCAACGTCAAACTTGGATTGGCGCAGGAACTGCTTTTGGTAACGAGTTCTTGGGAACAGCTTTCCTCGCATGTACCGTTCTGGCGCTTGGTGACGATCAAAACGCCCCACCCGGTGCTGGTATGAACTCCCTCATCGTCGGTCTGGTCATCACTTGTTTGAGTATGTCCTTCGCCTACCAGACTGGAGCTGCTTTCAACCCTAGTCGTGATTTCGGTCCTCGTCTTGCTCTTCTAGCTCTGCAATACCCTAGCGAACTGTTCCTCAACGCATACTGGTTTTACGGACCCTGGGTTGGCGCAATCAGCGGTGCCTTCGGTGGTGCCTTTTTGTACGACTTCTTCATCTTCACTGGTGGCGAGTCCCCAGTAAACTACCCATGGGAGCGCACGGAGCGTGCCATTCGGAAGAGTCGCATGAAGTGGGGACGTCGTCTTCATCTTTCCAAGAAGGAGAAGGTGGAAGATGATGCACCTGGAGGAGTTTGAGATGTCTGCATATTTCCTTGTTTTGGGGCGTTCGCAAAGACATGCTTTTGTTCGAATAAGATGGTCGAAGCGATCATAAAATGAGCTAATCTTAATACGATTCGCTCTGAGCGTGGTGTATATAATTTCGAGGGAAGATTGCTCTGTGAATATTGCGTGGACAAGTTTGTTGCATGGCTTTTGTTATCAAGTCGAGCCGTCAGTTGCATATTGAAATTGTATAAATACTCTTACGAGAGATAATTCATTGTTTTCTATTCTGACATTTGACTCCATTTGTAGTAACTTCAGCAGCTTACTGTGGGTCAACGCCCGACCACTTAAGTAACCCAACTCGAAATGAACTTCAACTCCTTCAACCATCGACAGCGGTTTTCAAAATACTACAAGCTAGCCTGATACTTAGACTATGCACTAAAATTCTTATATCAAAGGCCCAATATCAGCCCCTCCAAGAATCCAAGACCATCACATCTAACCCTGAACCCGCAATGCCCCGCAAAGGTCTCAAAAGAGTCCACACAAGCTGCAAAACGTGCAAGTAAATACAACCAAAACCAAGGCTCCCATTCGAAAGATCCATAACAGAACCTAGAATCCGCAAAATAAAATGCGACGAAACAAAACCATCCTGCAAAAAATGCACCTCCACAGGCCGAACCTGCGATGGCTACGTTGAACCAACATCACACCTCAAGATTCTCAACCACATCAACCCCTCCCAAATCCCATGGGCAAGCAGCACCGAAATTCTCTCCCTGGAATTCTTCAGAAAATTTGTCGCCCCAATGCTGGCAGGTTCATCCTCATTTTGGATGATTATACTCCCGCAAATGACACATCATTCGCCCATAGCCAGACACGCGACCATGGCGACAAGTACGTTCTTCAAACAAGCCGGTGGAAGCAGAGATTGCGCCACCAAAACTGATCTGAAATCTGCGTTGGGCCATTATAATCAAGCTATTGCGGGTATGATTACGGTCAGACCTGGTAGTGATCTTGATATTGTTGTTACAGCGAGTATCCTTCTGACCGTCGTTGAGTTTTGGAGGGGGATCCGCGTGCGGCAATGATTCATTTTGCGCATGCGGGAAGGTTGATGGATAGCTACACGCCTAGAGCCGAGTTAGAAGGGATCATGGCGCATTTGAATGTTTTTGTTCTTCTCTTTTCGGATTTCATTGATGCGTTTCCGAGGCCGAGGTTTGTTAGGTGTGATGTGAGTGTTGGGTCTTTTTGGACATTGGACCAAGCGAGGGAACTATTAGAGGTTCTCACGGGGAGATGTGTGGAATTGGGGTCCGCGAGGCTCGTTGAAGGATATCCAAAGGATGGGATGCGGCTGCAACGTCAACGTAAGTCGTTGAATGAGGATCTTGATGCGTGGCTTGCGAGGCTACATTACCTAAAGCGCCGGGGTGAGAGTTTAGTCCAGGGTGGTAGTAATTTGTCTGAGGCTAGATGGCTTGTGTGCAAGGTCTGGGCAACCGATGGGCTGAAAGCGGATGCAGGATACGGGAATCGTGAATATCACTTTCGACGTATAGTTGAGCTTGCTACAGACGCTGAGACTTGGGCGCCGAGATTCATGTTCTCGATGGAGTTTGCGGTGATCTTGCATTTTGTGATTCGGAAATGCAGGGATGAGCGGATTCGGTCTGATGCTCTCACTTTGTTTGAGCGGGCTTGTTGTGCAAGGGCAAATTTGAGGTCTTATGACTAGCAGAACCAAGGGCTTCGATGGCTTGCTTTATCTTCACTTCCTGAACAGGGCATGTATATGATATATCAATCAGAATTACGTTGTAATATAAACTCTTCACTATATCCTCACTATATCCTCACTTTGTCATCATTAGAGGACTTATTTCTAATTTTAGAAATCAATGATTGAATGCACCTCTGGATTCTCACGCTACTAAATACCTCATGGAGTATATCTACCACCAACCCACCCACCATCCTCGACAAAGAAGAGGTGCTCAGGGAGCGGAAAGGGAAAAGACAGAGAAAAAGGCGAAGCCTTCTCTGGTAAGTCACACAAGAGATATTTGAAGTGACAAATCGACGAGTGAGTGGGCAAAATGCTGATGTGGTTTTTCATTTAGGGATGTTTTGGGTGTGGGAACCCAAACCATCATATCGCAAAATGTCCCGAGCGTGCACCGGACACAGCGAATGAAGATTTCCAAATCATGATGTTGGAGGAGTTGACACGGGACAAGAAGGTTAGTTACCTTTATCTGTTCAAAGGTTCGCGTGCTAAGATTGATTGTAGCGCCTTCGGGCTACGAGACAAAGTAAGTTTCCATCGCATAAAGATTTCCATTTATTCTCTGTTTTCCTCTGATGCTATCTCGCATATTAATAAAGCGTGTTCAGACATCATTACCAAACCCGGCAGGAACACCGGGTCCTCTAGCCAAGCCGCCATATTTGGCGAAGGGCCTGCGGGCCAGAAACGGCTTCGGAAATCAAAAAATTCCCAGCAAACGCCTCAAACACGGCCCCGGACTGAGGCCCAACAAGAAGCGATAAGCGTGAAAAACAGGGAGAGGAGGAAGAGAAGGGGGGGAGACAAAGAGGCGGCTGAAAGAGGCCGAGGCAATGAAACCGAATGTGGCAGAAACTGGTGGAGATGAGGCTTTAGAGGGTCGCGACTCTGAGACATCGTTAATTCTTCTTACCTGGAGGAGCGTTTGGCCGAGGCCGAGGCATTTGTGGCGCAAATGCGCGAGGAGCTCGAAGAGGAACGCCTCATAGAGGCAGCGGAGAGGCTTCGAGTGGAGTCTCAGACTCCAGATGTAGTGCTGCCCCCACCTGATTCTTCTTTTTTCCTGTCTTGGAGTCTGTCGAGGAAGCAATGGTCATCGAAGATGACGACCCGGATAAGATAGACAGGGGGTCCCCCAAGAAGGAGTAACTCTTAGAAACAGTATTCTACTAAACAATTCCCTTATAAAGCTGTGTTTACTGATTCCTTATTTACAACATCCTTTTAATCTGACCTATAGCTTACGTCTGAGAATTTCCAGCGGTAATTTTGTACAGGGGCTGATCCTTAAAGCCACCCATGCCAAGGTGCCACGAGATCTTCGTTGGCTGACTTCGATCCTATCAATGGAGCAGTCAAAGGACACCGTAAGTTCAGGAAAACACCACGTTAAGCCATATCTGAGCTAGCCGAGGGATTGTCATTTACATGGTATCTATCGTAATAGAGTCCAGCTTGCTATTTTGGTAATGCCCTCGGGAGGATAGTGTTATGACCCATGGGGATGACCGCCCAGAAACTACAACAGCTACCTTGACACACCTGTATATACCTGAATCAAGCATTTATTGGGGTGAGTAATGACCAGAACCTTTTCTTGTACTCTGATGCTTGAGAAGTCGGGTAACTTTCTATTAGATTTACAATTACGTGCGAGTTCATATCTCAGCGAACGTCGTGTCAGGTCTATGGCTGTATTGTCATTTATCTCCGAAAGGTTGTAGCAGAGTCGACCAGGTGCTAAATTGAGCATCCGGCCTCAGGGCCGTTGTCGTCCGCCGTAGGCTATCCCTTCTTCGTTCGCTTCACAGACTTCCACTCGATACCGAGGGTGCTGACCACGACCAGACTTGTAAGACCCAAGGAAATATAAAATACCCCCACAAGGGCCTCATTATAGGCAACCAGGGCCTGGTCCCGGAATTTCACCGGGATTTTCTCAATAAGACCCAGTGCACCATTCTCTAGTGCATCATTGAGGTTCAGTCCCGGTACTTGCGTGGTTAGGTTGCGGGCAAGTCGATTCAGGAAAACATTCTGCGCAATAGATAGAATAAAGATACCGCCAAATTGCTGAGTGAAGCTCAGCACAACCAATGATGTGGAAATCATGGAGTCCGGAAGTACGGTCTGGACTGCAATAAAAGGCGGTTGAAAAGCCAAACCTATGCCGATTCCGTAAACGATCTGGTAAGGTATCCATTTTCCGGGACCAGTGTCAGGACGGAGTGTTGTTATGAGCCCGCTTCCCACAACCATGAGAATGCTGCCGAATATCAAGGTCGGATTATAGTAGCCTATATAGCTTATTAAAGGACCACCGGCTAGTGCGGCAATACCCAATGCCACGGCTAAAGGCAGATACATCAGAGCAGAACCAAGTGTGCTTGCGCCGCGCACTGCTTGGAAGTAAAATGGTAACTGTCCCTAGTCAGCACTTGATTTCCTTAGTGGGAAATGTGAAAGGCAGCTTACATAGTAGGCTATCACCGCAAGGTGCGCGAAATTGCAAAAAGTAATCAGACTAGCAAAGGCGACGGATCGCTGACGAAGCATTTTCAGTGGAACCATGCTGTCATCTTCAGCTCTATACTCCACGATCAGGAATATAGCAAGCAGTAGGGCGGCAATTACTAGAAGGAGAATGATTCTCCAATTGCCCCAGGAGTAGGTTATTCCTGCCCACTGCAGTGCTAGTACCAAGCATAGAGTCATCGGCACATTTATGGCGAAGCCTATCCAGTCAATACGCTTCAGACTACCCTTGCTGTTGTGTGCATTCCCGGATTGACGAATGTGGTCAAGGCTAAAGAAGACAACAGCAATGGTGAGAACACCAATTGGGATTATAATGTAGAAGCTGACTCTCCATGTTGAGTAATGGGTTATAACCCCACTGATAAAGGGGCCAAAAGCCAGAGCGAAACATTCAGTACCGCCCATGATTGCAGAGTATACAGGGCGCTGTTTGAGTGATGTAGTGCGTGCGACAATGCTATTCAGAATGAGTTAATATCGTGCAGATTCTCTCAATCAGGCTGTATTGTTCTATTATTACTTACATGTTCATACCTGCTAGTATGCCTGCTGCTCCCAACCCACTTAGTGCGCGCCCCAGAATAAAAACAGCAGATGTTGGAGCTGCAGCAGATAGTACGGAGCCAGCAACAAAGACGGAAGATGAGGCCATGTAGAGCGTCTTCATCGAGTAAAAAGAGTATAGTTGTCCATATATCAACATTGTTGCGGATTGAGCGAGCAAACTGAAATATCTCAGTTAGAGAAACAACTTTGACCGACTGTGAATAACTTACTATGCTACTTGGTACCACCCAAGGTAATTGAGTGCATGGAAATGATCGGTGATGACCGGGGTCAGTGTTGCAATACAGCTGGTATCCTGCAGCCGATCATCAGCTGAGATTTTTATTTCAGAAAATGGACATTACTCACGTAACCAATCATAAAACTTCCGAGCAGGATACACGTAAACAAAAGGGCAAATCTGATCCCGTTTGGGCCGTGTATGTTTTCTAACACTTCCTCATCCCGCGTCGCCGCGGCTGATTCTATACCGTCCACGGGCTGTTCTTGCCTGTGAGTGAACTTTGGCAAAGCCTCATCAGGCTTACTGACATTTTGTAGCTCCATGCAGAAAACCTTGATATAAAGATTGAGTTTTCCACAACTGTCATTATTGGAAGACCGGGTGTGTGTAATATTGTGGGTTATATAGTTTAGCAAAACGTGAGAAAATGGCGGCACGGCGTGTTCGCTTGGAGAAGTTTTCAAAATGCTCGGACATGCCCGAATTCCGAGTCCGAGTCCTGCATTGAATTCGCGAAGGTGTTCTGAGTCAATATCTTTTTCTGCTGTCCGCTTGATAAGGCATGCCTGACAGTGAGGGCGGAGTACCTGCTTAAGTCCGAGAATTGATGTCGGAGTACTAGGCCACATTTAGCTTAGTATCCCGACAACACTGATTACTTATCCTGATCATGACGACTTATCCTCAAAGAGACGACAACCTTGAAAATCTGTTCAATCCACTTATTATGATACCTCGTTAGATTTTATCGATTGAATGGCGTTGAAGCCAGGGATATCTCAATATGACCGATAGATTTCGCCGCAACGGCCAGCCTTCCTCATGCGAGCCTTGTCGACGATCAAAGCTTCGTTGTGATCATGCAAGACCACATTGTACTCGCTGTGTACGCCGCAACATTTCACGAAAGTGCTATTACCATCCATCGCCGATGACACAAGGAGCAGAATCTTATGCTGTCACGTTGCTGTAAGCAACCCCCCCCCCCTCATTGTCTTGAAGACCCTTTACGATCATGAAAGCGACCCAGCACCCCGCAAAGCACGAGACCTAATGACACCGCGGCCACTTCGTCAGCTTTCACGCCATTCACACCATCCGAGAACTCGTCAGCGGAAAACTATGACTATGGTCGGGGTACTGGGCTGGTAAACATGCATAATTCTTTAATGCCGCTTGCAGACTTGAATGGCAGACAGCCGCTCCGCCAATTCGCATATTTAACTCGAACAGGCATATTTACACCTATGCAAGCATATCCGCTGACACCAGCTTCCATTTTGGAGGGCGTGGAAGTCCTACGATCTCTTCTCGAGTTCTATGCGGATTTAAATGGCCATGCTCAACGACTGTACGAAAACGAAGCAGTTGATCTATGCGGCTCAATTATTCTCAATGCAGCCTGGCGAGCGACACATACAACCTTACAATGCTTAGGCAGCAGGCCATCTGTAGCCGAATTAGCAAGTACAGCTACCGCAATATTTGAACAGACGGCAAGCCCATTCAAACTGCCCAGCTCAGCGGCAAATGGTGCTATAGAACTAGCGCTGTCTGGACCTCGCTTGCGTTGGGAAACGATTGGTTTATGCTTCACCCAAATAGGACCATTTATCGCAACCATGAGAAGTAATAGCCAAGCCTGCTTTGCTCGCGGGCAGTCGAATTTTGACCGCCACAAGGCTATGATTATGGCATTTGACGCTTGCATGAAATGTCGGGCATTCTGTGATCAAGTTGAACAGACAAACGACTTGACATTGTGGCTTTTAGTATCGGTATCCGCTCTTGCGAGTTGGTGCTTTGGGGATGATTCCTCGCGTGCATGGTGCTTAGTAGGTGATTTATCCTCAGCCATAGCTGCTCTTGGATTCCATAAGGGGTTCGAGTCTGAGAAAACAACCCCTCCATATTTAGTTGAACTTCGCAAAAGAGTCATGGCTCTTGCCCACCAGCGTGACAAGGAGCTGGCAACTTTTGTTGGTCGCCCGCCTCGTCTTAGTCGACTATACTATACGATGGATCTACCACTTGACTTGCCTGATAAGATTATCATCGGCTCTGTGGAGCAGTTCGAATCTGCCAAAGCCACGCTTGACCAGAACGGCTGGAGTAGAAACATCATGGTGAATCCAGTTTCCCGTCTTCGGGCTGTTGTACTACTAAGCATGATCCGTGAAGAGGTGTTAGAGCTATCACTTGGTCCACAAATACCAAGTATCGCTCAACAAGCTAGGTAAGTTGCAAAAGCCATTTACAGTCAAGTGCTCCAGGTTGACGTTTCTCTAGAGAAATATTATCCAAACTGACCTCTACTTGGGAATCAATTCCTCATGTAGAATACGAACAGTCAATGTGTGAAAGTATGCTACCAAGTGCTATCTGGGTTATTCTAGGCCCTCGACTCGACTACCTTTATACAAAATTTCTTCTTCACAAGTTGCTCATCACTCACAATGAAGGAAACCGTGAGAAGATGATCCACACATCGCATGATATTCTCCATTTAGCACTGTCTCTTATGAAGAAGCATGATTTGATAGCTACACCAAACCTGGAGTGGTTGGTGAGTTAATAAATTCTTTGTTTTCAAAGTCGGAGGCTGATGTAAACCATAGATGGTGTTCTACGCAATGCCATGCGCCAGCATGCTCATTTTGGAACTATTTCGACAGAACCGACAATCTCAGCGGACTATGGCCCTTAATCGGTCGACTTTGATTCAGGATATAAGCGTGCTCATCTCGTGCTGTGACTCGTTAGCTATATCCGGCCAGAGTAACTATCAGATCTGCAAGCAAGCCCAGGCGGTTTTTTCGCGATGTCTTGATCAAATATTGAATCCAGTTGAGCTACTTTCACATGGCTTCACGAGCCAGGCCGAAAGACAAGAGGCACGGGAGCCTTTCTCTTTGGGTCCGATGGACTTGGGCCTGACAGAGTTGTATCCTCAAAATCTGGAATGGTCTGCTTGGCTCGAGTCTTTCGACTTATATGGGGGATGATGATGATGATGATGGATGGGTATCTTCATGGGACTGATTCGAGATATAATCCGGCTTTGTTAGAATTTTACGGTGACCTCAGACGAGCTTTCAATTTTGGTATAATTCTCGGCTTTAATTGCCAGGTGCCTCGTTGTCCATAATCCTTGATTTATTAAACCGGAATTCCATTGACTCGATGTACTTTAAGGAGTTCGCACTATGCACTCAGATCCCGAGTAACAATGGCTCTCAACCCCGGATTCTTCTCTTTTGGAAACCCCACCTGGTAATCCCTATATGTCGCGATATCTTCAAGGGTCGTCTCGTATACATCCATGTCAAATCTCCGCACCAAAGTGGCAACAATTAGATAAAGCTCTGCCAAAGCGAGGCTACATGGCGTGTGTCAGTCAACATTAGAGACCCAATAGAAGTCAGTCTTCAGGGAGCCTCTTACTTGATACCAAGGCACTGCCTAGGTCCTTTGGAAAAAGCGACAATCATACTTTCCAGGCGGTCTCCATTCTCTTGCGCCCGGATCCAACGCTCGGGGTCGAAAGCATGGGGATCAGGGAACAATTCCGGGTTCAAATGTACAAAAAGGCCGCACTGGCTAATCATGACCTATAAATACGGTCAGGAGCCAAGTCACCAAGCCCGATTCAGAAAGTAAATGCCTACCTTTGGGGGAATCAGCCACTGTTTATATTGAAGTCCACTGCCTGTCGGGACACACCGGGCAAGTCGACCGATGCCGCCAGAAAATCGAAGTCCCTCATTTATGACTCCCCTCTAGACAGAACGTATCAATTTACGCCCTTTGAATTTGATACAGAAATCTTACCATATAAGGTAGTTTTTCCAGCTCCGTCACCGAAGAACTTGGGAATTGTTCAAGCTCATTGCGAAGGTGAAGCAGCTTGGTCTTATCGTGAAGCAGATGAAAAAATATGACCCTTAGCACTCCTGCAGTGGTCTCGGTCCCTGCATTTAGCATAGAGAAAGCCTCATCACGTATCCGAGCAGGGGCTCTTTCAGCTGGGGGTAGGCTGGGATCACAAAGAGCTCCAAAAATTGTGTCTCTTCCTTTACCACTGTCTTTCAGTGCGACCTTTGCCTGTTCAAAACACAGCCCCTGTACATGTAGAATGCTTGATACGGCTGGAGAAAGCCTTTGCAGAAGCTTCTTGGGTACTATCTTTGCGACGGACAACGGGATGGGGAAAAAAATCATCAAATGGGAAAGGGTCAGAATACCCAACATCGAATCCCTGATTTCATTTCCAAAATCCTCTTGATCCAAGTAGTCGAGACAAAAGCCATATGAATATTCGGCGATCACATCGGACGCGATGGCTGCAAAGGCACTATCAAGGTTGAAGACTGTACCTGCCTGAGAGGCGATTTTAATCCTTTGGGCAAGCTTGTCGACTTTGCTTTGGATCATGGACTCTAGCCCCAATATAGACATCTTCGAGAAAAAGGTGTGAAGGATAGCACGGCGTGAAGCATGAAGCTTGTGGTCAACGGTCATGAGCATAGAACCTGGTATATCACCAAGCCTAGTGAATCTAGGGTCCTTGTCACGCAATTTTGACCCATAAATTTCGTTGTAAAAATGCGGGTCCATGATGTGAACCTCGTGGGGATCAACTCGTACAATAGGCCCTGAAGAAATAAGAATCTGGCTGAATTTGCCTCATGGGCTAAGACTGTTCGTACCATATTTTTCGTGCATCTTTTCTATCTCCCATATATACCGGCCACCCTTTACTACGTTGAAGTAGAAACCGTAGAGGCTGGTGATGGCGGCTAGCTTGGGCCCTGGGAACTTGCTGATGGGGTGGAAGTATAAGCGGTATATAGCCACGAGACAAACGTAACCAAGGGCGATAGCAGAGAGTAACAGCAGCATTTTGATATCGATCTCAGTTCTGCTATTGGTATTATTTCCAGTGTTTGAGAATTAAGGACAAGGTCTCTGTAATAAGACCGGCTTTCAAATTTCGGCTAATGGAGGTGGGGGTATCCATAGCTTAAATTGACCAGGGACGGAGCAAACTGGCAAAAAGCAAAAACACAAAGTGGCTTTTGAATTCTCCTCTCCAGACTTCACCTATAGGCCTAAGCAAAAGAGCCAATCACAGTGTGTGATAAGTTACAATGGCTGCAGGTAGATGAGCGCCCCCGCAGTAAGCAGGATGCCTATCAGCTAGAGTCATTGGGTAAAGGATCCAAACAGATGTGGTGCATAGACCGTTCCTTGGCACCCATGATCTCCTCTTTTACTTCCATATCTAGCGTTCTTCTGCATCTCGCTTCGTATATATTGCCCTTCAATTAGTTAGCACCACACCAATTTTACACAAATACAAATGCAGATTGCAGCGCAAGTTACACGATATTGCACACGTCTGCCTCTATGCGCGTATGTGCAGGCATTGCTAGTATCCCGCCCAATATGATACGGCCAAATCAAAAGTGGGAATTCGTCAATTGTGCCACAACTCGCACTACCTGGTTTCCAAATTTCTCTTGGTTGAGATACAGTCAACCCCCGCCTATGGGTACGGTGGGTTATAGAACACTCACCTTTATACACTCCCATTTTTGCTGTGTCATCCGCTTATTTAGCTCTATCTACCAATCAGAATGCCTGAATACTCTATAACTCCCCCTGCCAAAGTGCATCAGACCGGCCCACCCAAGCACCACCACCAAAGCTCTACATAATGAAGTACCTAATCGATAATGTTCGTAATGATAATATTGTATAATTTGATCAATTTTTAGACTTTACTATAAGCGGGAGTTGACTGTATATTCCATTCATTTCATTTTTATTAGCAGGGAGTACTGATGCCACCACTGCTTTGAATAATTTAATTATCATGCCAACTGACCCAATCAGGCAGAGTCTGACTTTTCTAACAGAAGCTTCGAGTCTGGTGTGCATCTTTGGCAATTTATTCTTGCTCATCACATCTCAACATCGAACGGAGAAAGAGAGTGAAACAAGAAGTCAAAGACGGTTGAAGCTGTCTCGATCGACGGTAGCTGATTGTCAACAAATGCCTGATCGCATAGTGGAGCAGTGGTGTATCCTGCATCTGATGTCTGAAGGACCGGCAATCTCTTCGCATCAGATGTCAAAGGGTCGCCTGCAGTGTTGAAATCTTCCGTAGTAAGGACTTCATGACTGCTGGTAATAACAGAGGCAGCGATACTAGCGAGCAAATCCGCAAGGGCACTAAAGCCTTTGCCTATCGGCAGCTTTTCAGTGAGCCTCAGGTCGGCGTAGGTTATTAACCGTATGCACAAACAAGACAAGAGCGGCAACGAGGACGTGAAAGCAGATTGACCTGTGATGCCTAAGTATCTCTATACCGAAAGAAAGTTATATTCACTGACCAGCATGTCACATAGTGGGTTGGAAGTGAGCCGTTCCCGTATTTCAGTAGATCTATTGTAGCTCTCGATACCGAAAGACAAAGTTGGGCGCTCAGCTCCACCCGCTGCACTCGACAAAGGACATGTACAGAGCCAGGAGGAGCAAGATTACAGAACCAAACAAGATTCTGATTGGCCTTGTCACGCTCTGGATGAGCAGAGTAGATGGGCTCAAAGGGGTTCTCGCCGTATAAACACTTTGAAGATCAGTCCGCTGTAGCTCTTTCTGGAGTTTCTCCGTCTTCCGCTGAATGAGCACCTTTGGATTGGTCTCTTGGCCAATTATCCAATTAACAACAGTCACCAGACCACAAGCTACAAGGAGGACCCAGTAAACCCATCTCCAACCCGCGCGCTGGGCAATAAACCCTCCAATAATAGGCCCAATCACGGGACCGAAGAGAGGACCGGTTGTGAAGAGCGGCGCTCATTTGCCTGTCCTCTTTGTTGGAGTGGAAAGAGATCAGCGATAATTCCGCCACCAACAGCCAAACACGCAGAGCCACCAAGTCCAGCCAGGAACCGGAAAACAATCAGACTAGCCATATTTGGTGACAGAGCAAATCCTATCTGCCAGATTGACAGTAGAGAATTCGATACGTTCAGAACGATTTGGCGTCCGTAAGTTTCGCTTAGTGGGGACATGATGAGAGGACCAACCTATTATCTCATGAGCTGACGTCTCGCAAGCGGGAATGGACCAAGGGAGGCCGAAGAAGTTTCATTTACTGCAAACCCAAGGACAAAGATACTGGGACGATGTAGTTGACATTTCTTCGGTGTTCGAAGCGTCGCTTGGCTCCGGAATCAAGAAACACCGTGAAGAACAAGTCTGAGAGAATTTATATTCTAAACTCGATCTCTCTCTGTCGTACCTTCCGAAATGTCACGTATGAAGAGAGATTTGTCTCAGCTCATACTGACTTCAGGAAAACAGATTTTACTCATCGGGGGCGAGCATCACAGGATGTTTATCGGACCCTTGTAAGGGTATCGGTCGGAGGGTGTGGATTACCCGGTAATTTCACACTTTAACAGTGCAACTGGCGAAGAAATATTACCGGGCCCAGTCCGATGAATACGGAAGTGGGTCCGGATAAGCATTGTTAGGGAGCTCCTCTTAATGAGAACAAAGCCGCACTGCACTATTAATTGAAGATCCCACATGTCGGCGGCGATCTTTGTTCGAACTGGTCAATTTACTTTGCGTCTTTCTACAGTAGATTTGCTAGTGTAACTAGCGTACCACGTCATGTACTTCTAATCACCTTAGCATGGCACGTCCTTATACCTCCTTCGCACCTCTCCAGGGCACAAGCTATGCATGACACTCGCCGGACGTTAAATACTACTATAAGAGCCTCTCAACTAAATCGGACTCTTGACTTCTCTTAGCATTGATTAATTAATGAGCTGCGCGCCTTGAAAACGGGTAAATTGATAAAGAACTGAATACGTATCCACTGATTACCCGGAGATAACAGGAAAACACCTAATGTCCGAGCAACATTTCTGACTGAACAAACGCTTTACTGGTGTATGAATTGGCAAAGGTTTTACCCACTATAGATACGGAGATAACAAATAAACCTTAAACCCGAAAAATCCTGGTGTAGTAGGACTACTAAACGTTCCTGCAATGAGTATATAATCATTAACGGAGTCTCTACCCTACATCAGACTCCCAATAAAACACATCCACAGCTTTAGAAGCCTACAAACAAAATGGAAACTGCTTTCCCAGCCCCTCTCCCAGCCGCTCTTCCCTCTCTCACTACCCGCGAGGCTATCACTGATACACTTCACCGCGCCGTTCTCGCATTCGACACAGACGACAAAGCCCTCCTCGAATCCTCCTTCTTACCTGATGCAGTCTTCGACCTTGATGGCCAACTTATGAATGGTCTAGATGAGATCTGCGCCAAATCCTTTGATATCGTCTCAAAATTAGACACCACCCACTTTATCAGCAATGTTCGTATCAATTACGTCGAAGGGGCATCTACCGCCTCAATGACCGCCTCTGCGCTCTCTCAGCATTACCGCCCAAATACCGGGAAGACACCTGGTGCGACAAACTTTATGGGTGGCTCTCTATATTACCTTGACGTTGTTCGAGGTACAGATGGATTGTGGAAGGCTAAGACTTGGAGGATGAAAGTAATTTGGACTACTGGAGATTTCGGAGTTATGACGGGAAATTAGTCAGCTTGAACCTTTTGAGGTCGGAAGGTGTATGGACTATGTTTCAGTGAAGTATCTAGTGACCAACCATAGCCTGCTGTGCAGGAGCATACCTGTTACCATGAGGTTTAGCCGAATCAATGATCCTCCGCATCTCTACCTTATCTTCCTCAGTCAACTCAACATCCCTCGAAGCCCAGTTCTCCTCTAAACGACCAGCCTTCGTGGTGCCGGCAATAGGAATGAGTCCTTGGGAAGCAACCCAAGCAAGAGCGACCTGACTAATCCTGCAGCCTTTACGAGTCGCAATCTTCTTTATTTCCTCCACAATAGCCTTATTCTTGTAGAAGTTCTCGCCCTGAAATTTCGGGACCTTGCGACGGAAATCATCGGGGGCGAAGTCGTCGGGGGTGTTGTAATTGAAGTCGTCGACCAGCCAGCCATGGCCCAGGGGGCTATAGGCAACGTAGGCGATGCCAAGCTCTTTGGCTGTGTCGATTAGACCGTCTGTTTCGTGGAGTGTCTCAAAGGCTGAGTACTCGGCTTGGACAGCGTCGATCTTGGCAACTATTGAAAGTGTTAGTGGGTTCACAGATTGGGAATTGCGGAGACGGACTTGAGTTTGCTTTGCGGAGGGTGGCAGCGGAGCATTCTGAGAGACCGATGTACTTTGTCTTGCCAGCCTTGCGAATCTCGTCGAGGGCAGGGATTGACTCTGTAAGAGGTGTGTCTGCGATAGTTAGCATCGTACATGTATATTCTTGGAATGTTTGAGACGTACTCGGGTCGATTCGGTGGAGATAGTAAAGATCAGGCGCAAATCCGAGACGCTCAGTGGTACCGTCAATGTACTCTTTGATGTGCGACGCAGAGTTGGTAACGGAACCATCTCCTCCCATAACGTTGAATCCACACTTTGAAGCAACTGTTCATGGCAGTGATTAGACAGTGAGACATGTGGCGGAGTGAGAGCATGACTACTTACTGAAAACCTTGTCGCGGACGTTGTGCTTTCTGATGAAGTCTCCCAAGAGCTTCTCGTTGACACCGGCTTGGTATACCACCTATATATTGAATCAGACTTTATTCCGTTTATTTCCCTGTCATCGTCATATTCACTTACAGCAGTATCCCAGAATGTGCATCCGAGCTCAATTGCCTTCAGCAGTACCGGCTCGGCTTCCTCGAGGCTAAGACTGGTACCCAAGCCAAAGCTCAGGCCCATTGCGCCGAAGCCCGGAATTGGGACCTGGAGGTCGCCGAAGGGGAGTGTCTTGACCATATTTGCTGTTGAAAGGTTGGTTTGGATATATTCGAGGTAATAAAGAAAACGGATGGCAGAAGAATAATGGAGAGGCAGTCATTCTCAATTTATAGTAGCACTTTGGTGAAGTCCATGAGTGGTTCCTGGAGTTAGGGTGCTGACTACTATGGGTCCATACGTCACCGTCGGCATGCTTAAATCCGTTGGTGCTAATGCAGGGTCATCATGGCTCTTATTGGACAAAATGCCAGCTCCATGAATCATTACTTCATCAGGAACATGCAATGATAGATAGAGATTGAATTTTTTGGACAATGTCTTTCTGTTCAAAGCCATTTCGTTGCTAAGTTATCTTCTAGGACCCGGCATTCAAGTGCCGGGGTTAATGACGCCCCACTTGGGGTTCGGCATTAAGCATCAGCGCAAGTCAGCATTTTGCATTAGCTTGTTGGTAGGGCTCCACTGCTTCAAGATAGAATGCAGCTGAAATTGCCTGTCAGCAAGATGCATCATTCAAGTTCAGTGAGATAGAAGTGTTCTACTTCGCCCCGCCAAATTTCGAGCTCACCAGTGCTTCCATCTCCTCATTCTCCACTTCACTCGGAATTAAAAGTATTTCTCTCCAGTTCACACTATGGGAGACCTCCCCCAAACAACTCCTCATTAATATTTCGCCACTCATCAAACGCAGCGAAGATTCGAGCTGCAATAAAACCCAAAGTCTCCCTTTTCCTTCTTATCTTTTCTTCTTTTCTTTTCCCCCCATCGGACCAGAGTGGCGTTAGTCATCTCGCATCCTTTAAGTCGTACAAAAATGCTTTTAGTCTCTAATCGAAATTTGCCTATCAGTCTTGCAAGGCTGTTGGCCAGAGCTCTGGTGGTACGTGGGAAGATTCCAAGGGAGCAAGCAGAACATGTTTACCCCAGCTCAGCTCGGCAACTACTTTATGTTCTTTGAGCAACACGTGGATGGCGTGGAACGAATCGCATGTCAAGCGTCATTTATAGTCACGTTGGTCAATTTCTTTTTCTTGGGCAAGCCCTTGAAAAGGCCTTGTAGCGATAAACGTTCGTAAGAAATCATCTGCAGAGGTGAGATTTTTTTTGATAGATCGACCTATCAAACTATGTATGCGAAGCTCTGCCAGGAGGTTCCATGTATGATGATGACGCAGTACAGAGAATGTTACTGAGGACCTTCGACTCTGCCGAAGTACCAGTTAAGCTCATGCCATCTATTTGAAGTGACACAGGCCGCTTGGTCGCTTCCCATGCGAAGTCATTGACATGGATGATCAAGTGACCCTGCACAGAGAAAGGACTGCAAGCATAGCTGAAGGACGATATCTGCTAGTGGACCATACATTGAGCCGAGTTTTTTGCAGGGAACATTGGGATTCAAAATAAGCGCGAAATCATCTGGAACGTCGGAGGTTTTTTTTTTATCAGACTGAACACTTTATATCATAATCGCTATATTCCATGAAGTTGAATAGTCCGAGATTCTCGGGAGAATTTTCTTCGGTCCCATGAGGTAAGATAAGCGGAACGGGTATTGACATCTGACCGTGGGTGTATCGCACCACGGTGACTTCGTTGCATACCCAGACTCTCCTCGGGCAATGCATCAACGTTGGGCAGTGAGATCCGTATGATAACATCAACACTGATACATCTTATTATTCTTATTTTTTTTTACGCATCCAGATACCTTGACTCACTTTTCAAGGTTTCCTATTATCGCCAATTTGTCGAAACAGTTAGAACCAAGAAATTTCAAGATGAAATGCACGAGTTTACTTTGGACCCAGGGATCAATAAATCCCTAAGGCTATATTGTATTTTCTTCTGTATTTTCCCTATCATTATAATTTTAGGGTTTGGTAATCTACCACATCGTTGTGTGAAATGACGGGATCGTAGAAGTGGAATATTCACCGAGCGCAAAGCGAGAGAGTAGCGGGTTCGACCCAACACCTCTGCTATATATGATCAGATAATCGCGACGGGATTGGATGTAAAAATACCCTTCACAGTGACACCTCACATATTCGACGGTGGTCTCAAGGTTCCTTATCGGCTTGACTTGGGTCAAATGTACGTGCTTCTCGGGTTCAACACCTTGCCGTGCCAAGGGGCTTCGGCATATTTCTCATTCCGCAACCACACGGCCCCGTAGCGAAGCTCAATCGGACCAATAGCAGTCGTTGCCTTCAGACTCCCACAGTAGGTGCTGCACGTTTTGACTAGCGATGATTATGATAGGGCACGTGTGCGCCGAGTCACTAAGCAATCGCTAAGCCCAGGCCATGAAGTGGAGACCAATCCCGATTGTCCTGCGATCGGCAACAACATTCCAACGCGAGTGGTCTCCGCTTCGATCAGGGTTTATGGCACGCGGGGCTGCGGGCCAGTGGGTAATTAAAATGGCGTTAGATGTCCGTGATGGCTCTGAACAGAAATTGCCGCCCCCTCTTTCGCTCCTCCCCGATTTTTGTTTTCTTGTTTAAAATTTCGGATTTTGTGTCTTCTCTTTCACGCGATTCAGTTGGCATGACTGCGTGACTTCACCTCGGGAGCTATGGATCAACTCAAGGACAACACGCTGTCGACTGTGGAGGAGGACCTGCAGGGTTCATCCCAGCTCGAACAGCTGGACAAGACGGAAAATGTGGCTCCGGATCACTTCGATGAGAAATATCGCACGACCCGAATGGAGATTTGGGCTTATTACTCGTGCGTTATTTGTTGCAGTCCAGGGACTAAGAGAAACTAAACGCTCCGGTTACCCAGCTATTACATCGGCAACAATGGACTTTCTCTGTTCAGTAAGCTCGAGTTTCGACTTCCAAATTTGAGTACAAGCTGACGATTGATATTTTAGACTTTGCGCCCACGGCTTTTCAAAACTTGATGTACCAAGCAGCCCCACCGAATGGCATGCTCAACTTTGCCGGCCGATCACGGACAATCAACAGTATCGTGCTGCTGTGTAACGGAATCTCTTTCGCGATTCAAATCGTCGTCTTCCTGGCCATTGGTAGTTTCGCCGATTTCGGTTACTGGCGACCCAACATCTTGATTGCTTTATCGATTATCGCATGGGCGATTGGCTTTGGCTGGCTGGGCGCTCACACGTGGGACAAATGGCATGTTGGCGTTGGTCTTTACATTGTCGGCTTGATTGCGTATCAAACAACATTGACCTTCTGGACTGCTGCGTTCCCAGGGCTGGCCCGTAACACGGTCGAAATGAAGGAGAAGGCCGACGAATATGCCTCTGGGAAGATTACCCGCGAGCAATACAACTTCGCCGATACCATGATGCGCAGTCGTCTGTCTAACATTGCGTTCTATGTTCAATCTGTAGCGGAGATCTTTATCCTAGCCATCATTGTCGGGATTATGTTCGGACTGGACGTCAACGCTAGCGACGCCAACAATAACTGGGGCCTGAGTGTGCTGATTGCTTTTGTTTCGGGTGTCTGGCTCCTGGTATCCTTACCATGGTTCTTCCTCGAAAAGCGCCGCCCAGGTCAAGATCCTGGAAAGCGATCTGTCTTTGTTGCGGGTTTGTGGCAGCTTTGGCATGCGATGAAGCAGATCTGGCACCTGAAGCAAAGTTTGCTGTATCTGATTGGTGAGAAACTGCAATTCCTTCATATGCTCTATGGCCGATCGCTAACCCCAAATGTAGGGTATTTCTTGTTAGGGGACTCTCTGAATACCACAGTCACGGTGATCTCTACCCTGCAAAATGAGATCGTCGCTTACAATACTCTCCAACTTACATACCTTTTGATCGTGGGAATTGCAGCACAGGTAAGCCTTATACCAGAGTAGCATCTCTAAAAATTGTCTAACATAGCCGCGATGACTAGGCTGTCGGTATTTACGCGTTCTGGTTTATTCAACAGCGTTATGAGCTAGGAACTAAAACCATGTTCAACGCCATCGCATTCTGTATCATCCTCCTCGATGGCTGGGGAATGATCGGAATCTGGACCGAAAGCTTCGGTTTCCACAACGTTTGGGAAGTCTGGGTATGCAATGCAACCAAATTCTAGACCAGTGAAAAGAGAAGACTACTGACAATTCACGCAGGTATACCAAGCGTTCTACGGTCTCTTCGTGTGCCCCTGGTACAGCTACTCCCAAATCATGATCTCAGAAGTCACACCCCGTGGCCACGAATTTCTGTTTTTCAGCTTGTTCAGCATCATCGGCAAGACCTCGTCATTCATCGGTCCCATTGTCTCAAGTGCTATTATCGATGCGAGCCCGACTGGAAACACCTCAACTCCGTTTTACTTTCTGTTTGCATTGAGTGTGTTCAGTTTTGCTCTCTTGGTCTTCTGTGTCGATCTGAAGAAGAGCCAAGTGGAACAGGAGAATTTTTTGTTAGAGAAGTTACAGCGCTTGAAGGATAATGAGTCTGAAGCCTCGGGGGATAGTGTTTAGCAATGTATACGATAGTTAAGATACCTGTGTATGGTTTAAAAGGTTTAATGGCGAACACGAACATATTGGATTCTTCACCTGATTTATACCATTTCATTTTCATTTACAGACTCTTTTTTAGTTTTCCTCCTTAGGTTCCTTACAGTTATTCGTAAGTTTTGAAGGCATACCCAATGGAGACTGTAAGTATTTCCCCAAGTGCGGGTCCGGTCTGGTCACCGACAACCAACTTTTGGGAAGGCATATACTACCTAGTATTAAGGCTCACTTCAAAAAGATCTAATTTTAATTCATGACCATAGGGAAGCATTTTGAGAAGATAATTTAGCTTCGGAGCGGTTTGAAAGTTTATGTGTAAATGGGGAGGACCCGCCGAGGCATTTACTGGGCTTTTAAACCCCTCGATATTGTTAAAACAAGGGCTTCTTAGATTGTATCTAGACCTTGGAAGATACAAAATTGATGGGGTAGGTCCGAAAGCTGATCTGGGGAAATGTGTATATTATATCCGAAATTCAAGCTCCAGTGGCGCTGGGAGCACCGATCTCCAGAGGTCGGCGCCGAGATGTACATAGCTCGGCCCCGAGAAATGAATTCGACACCTATATAACGTTTGTCTGATCTGAGTTCATCACAATGGTTGTTTCAACTGCTTCGGTGACCACGTATAAATTTATCTAACTGATATGCCTTCTATTACCTCTGAGCCAGTGATTGTGGTTGGAGCCAGCTTAGTCGGGCTCTCCGCAGCCCTATGCCTGGCCTCACATCATGTCTCAACCATTGTCCTGGAGAAGCACGCCGGTATCTCCAAGCATCCCCGTGCAATCGGTTTCACCCCTCGAACAATGGAGATATACCATACCGTCGGAATCGAAAACAACGATCCAGCACCAGATGATTTTGTCCTCGAACGAGCCCATGTCGAGAGTGTGACTGGCAAATGGCACGACAACTCATGTTGGTCGGACACGGAAAAAAACGCAAAAAGAAAAAAGGAACCTTTCAAAAGCTCTCAGCCAAAGAAGGAATACTCGGCTGCTCGTGGATACGCCAATCCCCAAGACAAACTCGAGCCAATTCTCGAAGCACGAGCTCTCGAGCTTGGCGCCGATATTCGCCGTCAGCATGAAGTCTTGAACGTGGAACAAGACACCAATGGAGTCATCGTCACAGTCAAAAATGCACAAGGAAATGTACAAAAGCTCCGAGGATCATATCTCATAGCCGCAGATGGCAATCGCAGTACCGTCAGAGAACTCCTCCAAATCCCACGCCAAGGTCGCGGCTTCATGCAAACGATCCAAAGCGTCCTTTTCCACGCAGATCTCCAAAAATGGACAAAAGGCATTGTCCAGTTTGATATCGAACAGCCGCACCTCAAAGCCTTCCTCGCATCCTACAGCGATGGTCGCTGGGCCCTAATGTTCAAAGACGACATCAAGCGTGACGACGAAACTCTCCATGCAGCAATATATCAAGCCATCGGAACGGAATTCCCCGTCGAAATCATCACAACGGCTCAATGGGAGCTCACAGCTCTTGTAGCTGATACGTTCCAATCTGGTCGTGTCTTCCTAGCCGGTGACGCCGCACACACACTCCCGCCCAACCGCGGCGGGTATGGTGCGAACACCGGAATCCACGATGTGCATAATCTCGCCTGGAAACTTGCCGCTGTCCTCTCGGGGCAATCTGCGCCGGAATTGCTTGATACCTATAGTGCTGAGCGGAGGCCTGTTGCGTTGTTGCGTCATGATCAGATCTTTGTTCGTGCTGATTATAAGGTTCACCTTGATACAGCTGTATCAGCGGGAGAGAAGATTGATGATGATGCGATGGAATTTGGACAAATCTATCTGTCAAAGGGTATAGTCGGTGCCAATGGGAGTTTACCGAGGGCTATGAAGCCTGATGAGTGGATGGGACAACCGGGGACCCATTTGCCTCATTGCTGGGTTGAAAGGGGTGGGGCGAGGGTTCCGATTCTTGATATTGTTGGTTCGGAGTGGACTTTGGTTACTGCTTCGAAGGGCTGGGTTGAGGCTGTCTCTGAGGTCAATGAGGGGTCTTCTGTAAAGATTCGATCTGTTTGTGTCGGGCTTGATGTTTCGAGTTCTGGGGATGTTGATATTCAGACGTTGCTTGGCATCTGTGGGAGTGGGGCAGTACTTGTTCGCCCTGATGGATATATAGCTTGGAGATCAGTAGAGTTGCAGGTTGATGCTGGGGAGATACTTAGATCTGCATTGTCCCGGGTTGCGTTTCAAATTGCTGGTGTTACAGCATAGGGATAGCGGCCAAGACCTGGAACTTAAAGTTCTATATGTTTGCTTTCGGTATATCCTAGAGACCAGCTCTCGAGTCATGCTCCTGGGCCTAAACCGTTTAGCCACGTGGTGCTAATTGTGGCCCAACAAAGTCGGAAGAAACATTCCCAAAGGCCTGATTTTGAAGTTCAAGTCACGCAATTTAACTTTTACGTCAATTAGAGCATGGAGGCGTTCCGGTGGCCAAATGAGGGTTTCCTGCCTCTCCAGTATCACTACTCTATCTATATAGCATGTGATTCGCTTACCTTGCATAGATTCTGATTTTTCGCCCAAGGCCATTCTCGGAAATAACTATGGACTATACAAGTTAACGGTTACGTGCAGAGCCATCATCCTTGTTAGTCGGGTGTCTTGTACACCGGGAGGTTTAATACCCGCTCCACCTTGGTACGACATGTTTCTTTAGCCAGGTGCCCCGTCCTGTGGCTGTCCGTAGCGGTACTCGACAATGGCAATTGGACGTAAGGCTTTTTTGGTAAATCTACGTGGTTTTAGTAGATGATAAAGTACTCTAGGTGTGTGACAAGGTACCGTGAGTTAGGTTCTCCACGTTTCACCTACGAAACTTCCTGGTCTTCCATAATAGATTCTGTCGTACAGTAATTTGGGACTTCGACAAATTTTTGGCGAGGACTTGGCTGTATTCTAAACCATAAAACGAGTCCGTTTGCTCCAGCTTGTAAGCAGTTTATGTTAGACATGGAACAACTAGTATCCAGGTACAGGTAGTTGAAGTTCTTCGTCCATACTTCAACGGGGCATCATCATCTCTTCATGTGATATTGATGCTTATTGTTGAGGCTCCAAATACACTTAGTTCATGCGTTTTCAATAAGGTAATAAGCATGAAGCTTGTCTGACAGTGCTTAGTTGAATGTGGTAACCAGTAATCAGGTGTGTGTCACCGTTGCCTTAATGCGACTCGCATCGCTGACGGCACCTTCCGGATTGCGGACTCCTGCTTTATTCTCTATCAACCCTTGTCAATGGTTTCCTCCTTCCTTCTTCACCCTCTTCCCTCATTTCCCTTTCCTACCCAGCGAATCAGTTCGCTCCCCATAGCTCCCCACTCTTCTTTCTACGTATCAAAGCTTCATCTTTGATCACCCCCATCTCTATTGACGATCATAATTCTGAAGCCATGGCGAACACACGCCAGGTCGCCGGTACCGCCGACCTCAACCTCATAGAGGCTCCTATCTCCCTGCGAGCCTACCTCATCTGTGGCTTTGCCAGCTTCGGAGGTAGGGCACCTTTCATATGCTTGATTGATATTCCCAACCTAACATTGAGAATCAGGTATTCTCTATGGATATGACTCTGGCTACATCTCCGGTGTGCTCGGCATGGATTATGTCAAGGAACACTTTGGAAATTCCCGTGTTCCCACCAAGGAAGATCCATCAGAGTGGATCATTCCCAGTTCCCGAAAGTCGCTCATTACTTCCATCCTGTCCGCTGGTACCTTCTTCGGTGCCCTTCTCGGAGGTGTGCTCGCTGAGCACTTCGGTCGTCGTCTCACTATCATGATCTCCTGCTTGCTTTTCTCCATCGGTGTAGCCGTCCAGGTTGGAACCGTCAACGTCGGTGGTCTTGTTGCTGGTCGTCTGATCGCTGGTCTCGGTGTTGGAGGTGTTTCCTCGACTGTCATTCTGTATGTCTCTGAGATCGCGCCTCGCAAGGTCCGTGGTCTACTCGTTTCCGGCTACCAGTGGGCTATCACCATCGGTTTGCTCGTTGCTTCTGCCGTCAGTCAAGGCTGTAAAAATATCGATAGTCGCTCGTCTTACCGTATTCCTATTGGATTGCAGTTCATTTGGGCTGCTATTCTGGCTGGTGGGCTGTTTCTACTTCCTGAATCCCCTCGGTATTACGTGAAATGCGGCCGCATAGACGATGCTCTACGCTCACTTGAGCGTGTTCGTGGACAGTCCCAATCCAATGCTGCCATCCAAGCCGAGCTTGCTGAGATCCAGGCAAATTTCGAATATGAAAAACAAATTGCGAGCACGTCCTGGGGTGACTGTTTCAAGGGGGGGCTTTCTGCGCGTGGAAATCTCCGTCGTGTCATAATGGGTGCTTCTTTGCAGATGTTCCAGCAGTGGACTGGTATCAACTTCATCTGTAAGTCATGAATGATGTTCAATTAACAGCCAGCGCTTTCATCCTTCTCAGCTAACCGATCATTTTAGTCTACTACGGTACCACCTTCTTCCAGGAAGTTGGTCTCAAGAACCCATTTCTGATGTCGACTATTATGAACATAGTCAACGTTGTCACTACTCCAGCATCTTTCTGGATGATCGAGAAACTGGGAAGGCGTTCTTTACTCATTTACGGTGCTCTCGTCATGCTAGTCTGCGAATTCATCGTTGCAATTGTGGGCGTTACCAGAGAAGGGACACATGCCGCGTAAGTTTTGAAAGACGAGTTGTCTTCAAGTGAGGGAGCTGACCATCTGGATTTTTAGGAGCGTTTCCCTCATTGTCTTCACTTGCTTCTACATCGCAGCTTTTGCCATGACCTGGGGCCCAGCTGCCTGGGTAGTCATCGGCGAGATCTACCCGCTGCCCATCCGAGCCAAAGGTGTTGCCATTGCAACTGCATCTAACTGGCTCTGGAACTGCATCATTGCCGTGATCACTCCATACATGGTCGATGAGTCCGAGGGTAACCTGAAAGTCAAAGTCTTCTTTGTCTGGGGCAGTGCACTCATCTTGTGTCTCTTGTTCGCTTTTTTCATCGTTCCTGAGACCAAGGGTCTGAGTTTGGAGCAGGTTGACAAGATGCTCGAGGAGACTACTCCCATGACTAGTGCCAAGTGGAAGCCTCACGAGACTTTCGCGCATGAAATGGGCATGGTCGACAAGATCGAGCCTACTATCAGCCACCACGAACAAAAGGGCACTGCCGTGACGGAGCACGACGATACCATTTGAGATGTCTACAATTTCTACACTCTACCTGTGCATGTCCTGACTACAAAGTGTTCAATGAAGGATGGCAGGTGCTTACTACAACACATTCTTGTAGTGAAAATGGTAGATCTATGTACCGTGGACTTGATTTGAGAATGCGAGCTGCAAGACTGGATGCCCATGGGTTTAATCGGGCAGATCTGCAATTTCTACTTTTTAGTTTCATGCAGCAGTTAAAATCACTTCTCAATATTGTTCATATAGTACCTAGATGTAGATCAAAACTTGGTATTGGTCATTTTACAGTAGAAAGCCCCTGTTAAGGATGCGGCCACAAGAAAAAAGAGAGAGAAAAACGCCAGACCCATGCTCTGCCATAAAGCGCCAAAGTCCGAAAACACTGAAACCGGGAGAAATATTTTTACTCCTCGTCGGGGGAAGCATCCTTGGACTTGCTCTTCTTCTTTTTCTTTTTCTCCTTGCGATCGGCATCGTCCCCATCGACCTCGGCCTCGGCCTCGCGCTTGCGCTTCTCTTTCTTCTCCTTTTTCTCCTTCTTCCTCTGCTTCTCCGCGTCGACATCGGCCGGCGCAGTCTCCTCGGGCGCAATGAAATCCTTCTCCCGCTCGCGCATCTTCTCCTCGCGCTTCAAACGCTGCCGCTCGACAACCTCCTCCTTCTGCGCACGATCCTTCGCTTCCTTCGAAAGGAAGTACTCTCCAGACTCGATCTGCAAATCGACCTTGCTCTTCTCGGGCGCAGGCGGGAAAGGCGTGTAAACCTTCTTGCTCTTGTCCGTAACATTGTGAGGAACACGACGCTTGGAAAGCGTGCGCTTCTTAAAGTTAGGCAGGAATCTGTCCCATGATTCGTTCGCCAGCGTAGGATCCTTCGCCAGCTCACGCTTAATCATCAACTCCTTGATATGGTAGATAGGATGGATATTCGCCATGCAGTCGTCGATAATTCTTCGCACTTCCTTGAGTCCCTTGAAGGGTCCCATGCAGGCTACTGTGTTACCCTGCACCAGGATGTAGGTGCTTGTGAGCAGTTCCAGGGCTTTGATGGTTGAGCCGTTGGGACCGAGGATACGTTGTCTGCGCTTCACGAATCGCTCCTTGTTGCGTACTTGGTTGCGGATCTTGATGATATCGCATGCAACGCCATCTTCGAGGATCTTCATTGCCTGGGTGACGGGGACGCTACGGGCGAGAAGTTTGATCAGATCGCGGGCTTTGAGGATGGCGGCCGGGTCGTAGGTTTTGCGGGTTGTTTTCACGGTCATGCTGCCCTCTACCAAATCCAGGGTGCAGGCAATGCCTTGCTTTTCGAGTGCCCGGGTGATTGTTGGCCATGCTTCCTTCAGGTATGCTTCGCGGTATTTGGGGAAGAGGGTCATGAAGGAAGACTCCTCAGCGAAGTTTCCAGCAACATTGTGTTCGGCTTTGAATTCTTCGATCTAATGGTTTCGAATTTTAGTGAGGTATTCTCTTTGGGAAAATAGTGGTTTGAGAGACCTACCTTCCACTTGTCAATATCCTCCGTGTCCCATGCTTTTTCTTTGTTGTAGGTGGAAGGCATGGTGGCTGATGCGTTGTAGAGAGAAACTTTGCGAGTTGATTCCACTGAAGCTCAAATTCCGCAACTTTTTTTTCTCCCCGCCTTTCCCTGATTGGGTGGGCGTTGGTGCCTTACAAGATAGGTGTCTATATTTGTTTGCCCTCGACAAATGCATCGACTTGCGAATTTATTCAAGTTGTCGCACTTTCGGAGAACTCGAGTCTTTTCATTTCTTGAGGATGTAAACTGCCCGCTGCATTCATATCTGGTTACCAGCAATTTAAACCCGTTGTCCATCTTGATCAATTTACTGTCTTCCCACCAGTCCGCCAACTACAGTATGGGCCATGCTGCCCATGCATTGGACCATTTTAGCAAGACAAATTGGGCCAGAGAATCGACAAATTCCACCTCAAATCCTTCAGCAGTGGTGCAAAATACGAAACTGATGCCAGGCTTCATACTCGACAGTAGTGGTCCCGGATCTGCGGCCATGCCTCATCAACTATTGCATGGAATGCAGTACCGCTACATGTCCACCCAAAGAGACAGAAGTACACCGCATCCGTGCGCTCCTGGGATGGATCAAACGTGTAAGTGATATCATATGGTATCTTTACCTCAGGGGGCTCTCGGATCGAGACCGATCACAAACACCAGGGAGATAGAGATCGTCTCGGTTAGCTCGGTGCCTAGCAACCATAGGCGACACAGGAACGAAAAGAAAAGCCACAGGACAGAATGTCGAGTCTCAATTCTTGATGTTGGAACAAAATTCTGCATCTTCTAACTGGATCCTGCGCTGTCTTTGCTAGGTCCCTTGAAGGCATTCCGGAACGGGATCTAATAGGGCGCTCGATCCCGGCGCGTTGGGCCGGGTAGTGTGTCGACCAAATAGGAGAAACACCGGGGCCCAAGCTCACCCTTTGGCCTCCATCAAGGCCCATCTTTCTAACGGCGCCCAAATGTCACTTTCTTCCTTCAAGTAGCCTTGGATTCCTCGCGTTGGTCGATCACTTCTGGTGGCTTTTGCCATGTAGAGCATATCTGTCGGATTTTTGGGAAACAAATTACCAATCAACAGAGCTGTAGTCTGTTGTATGCCGCTAGAGTGTAGAGAGGGAGATAAGATCGGGCACTGACAGGCCTTTGATCTGATATTGGGCCGTAGAAATCAGTAATATTGGCAGGGATCACGGAAGGAAAGAATGTGCACAAGTCCATGCGCGCGATGCGCACTTAGAACTCATGCGGTTCTTGCCTTCCCGGCAGTTTGGGTCAACACCCCCCTCTTTCCTTCTTCCACGGCTTGCTCCCTTCTCGCTTTTCAGTCCTTCTTCGCCCATGAGAGCACGTTCCGACTCAGTCACGCTCCCGATATCATACTGCTTGTGGGTCTGCGTGAGGCAGTGCTGCTTGTTGCCCCAACATAGTATGGTCGGGTTGAGGCTCCCATCCCCAGATTCCCGCACTGGATCACCAACAGAAACCTCATGGAGCTCGCGGTGCACTGATGCAGGAGGAGTTTTGATGGGATCCTTTTGAAACTTCACATTCAATGAAGAGGTATGGCTCTGGTTTGTGATTCCAGCGCCACGCGGTAACGTTTAGCGTGATCCTCGAACGTTATCGATTTGCTTCGTGATCCTCCCGATCCGCACAGGGCCCCGATCCATAATGACGATCTGACAAAACAAAATCTCTCTACCATACAGCTCTGGGCTAAGCTTTTGGCTTTTGACACTTGCTTTGTGCTGCGTGGGTGTACTACAGTCCACACTCACAAGCCAGGTCAATCTCACGTTCCCTGTGCGACCATCTCACCGAGTCACATCCTCCTCTCCGGTCCGGAAGTTCTCGCCATGTCGGTTGCAGGGAAAACACGGCGCCCCCGTCAAGGAGCAGCAGAATACGAGTAGTCCAGCCGGGGTACAGATGTGATCAAAAATTTTGTTTGACTAACCGTCATTTGGCTAATTCGACATGGAACTGCTCGTGGAAATGCGACAAATGCAATACACTATCCCGGAGGAAACACCACGCCAAGATGCTGCAAGTGCACAAAGATCCCTTTTTACCATTCCGGTTTGGGTACCGGTGCGATAAGTGAAAGGCCTGATCTGCTACTTATCTCGGTTTTCGACCAATGCAAACGTATCTGGCCCGTCAGTAATTGGACCGTTCAATCTTCTGGAAAGGAGTACCCACAATGGAAAATATGCCTTGAGAGAAGGATCTCTGGCCTCTGCCTGTGCTTGTTGCACCAACGACTCAAAATTTTCTGTTGACATATGCAAGCGTTGAGTGAGGGGGTATAGCGCCAAGGATCGAAGAAGTTGCTGGATGTTGTCACTGTTGCACTGCCCAATGGCTCGCATCCTTGTATCTGCATTGTGTCAGGTTCGGCTTTTGAGCAAGACGCCGCAGCAGTCACTCACCGGCCGACCATGCCGACAAAGGAAGAGGGATCATGTTTGAGTCAACCTCCTCGAACCCTGCCTCCAAGAGGAGATTTTTCAATTTCGATCCAATACGAAGATCCTTCCTGTCTTCCAAAGCACGCATGTACTGCCTACTCCATCTTCTGAGAGCATGCTGGTCGGTGATTGAGCCGTTGTCAGATTGCACATTGTGATATACTTCGACCATTTGAACCCATCCACCTGGCTTCAAGACCCTTTAAACAAAAGAACACAGATATCAGTATGAATGATTTCTTTCGAAAGGATTATTTACTGGGGTTCCATGGCAGCTGAGCTCCCTGGATGTTCGCACCTGACGATGTCGCGGATATAAGACGGCCATCGAGTACGGTGGATGCCGGTCGCAAGAAGTCGAGAGTGTACAAGATCAAAGTGGTTCGGAGGAAATGTGAATGGTCGGTTCAAGTCGTCAACCTACAGCATGTTGTATTAGCGACCGTCGGCCCAACCGGAAATATCCCCTGCCAGGTCAGATGTGCAACGATATATCGCAGGCCAGCCGCCAATCAAAGAGAACCAGACTGAGGAACTCATGGTGGGACTGGCCATTGTTTTCTCTTGATTCCTTGCTGGGGATGTCAAAGGAAGGTTAACCACTCACCTGTAGCCAAAGATTGTCCGGAATATCATCTGGGCTCATGTGCGGGGCAATGTCCACGCCAATTACCTTTAAACAACAAGGGTCAGATGCCTGATGAACTGAAACAACATATCAACTTACATCACAGTCAGGATGCCGTTCAGCAACCTCTACAGCCCAAGAGGCGGCCCCATGCCCACAGTCTAGCACTCTTCGCAGCCGACGAATTGGCGGAAAGACTAGGCGGTTGTCAAAAATCCTTTGGAACACTTGCTGCTGGGCATCCAAGCGTTCTGCTTCTTCCTACTCAAGCCGTCAGACCAAAGAGAAGCTTCAGGCGAATCTCCGTCTTACATCATCGATTGGGCCGAAATATATGCGGTGGTCGATCGAATATT